TATTTATACAATACCAATAGCTGCTACCTATTGTAGGATACTAGTATTCTTAGGACAACTAGTATCCTACAGAATCCCTTAATCATGGTATATCCTAGGATACTCCTGTTCATGTGATAGCTGTTATTGCGCGAAACCGTGACCCATGTATTATCGTAGGATATTCTTTTATCCTAGGGATCCCCGATCCCTACAATACCGTTTATCCTGTGATAGGCCCTTTCTTGCGTTGCTTTCCTAAGTCATGGTCTTTCCATCGCGACCCTACATTATTCTGTATTGTCTGGGTACAACGGAATGGCCATGGTTCCTAGAACCATGCCTTCCACGTGACCTGTACGTCAGACAATTCGGTTGGGTCTCGTTGCCCCGCAGGAGTGCGACCCCTATAGGTCTGTAACAACCTCTAGCTAAGCTTTCTTAGCCTATATTCTTTTAAACTTATCTTAGATATATTCTATTCTAGAAGGCTAAATAAACCTACTTATAATAAGCTAACTATCTCTAATTACCCTTTCTCTTACTATAGATACTAGGGGGCCTACTAATATTATTAATAAAGAAAAAAGAGGTAAAAGATTATTATTAAGAGAGCTAAGGAGTTCTATAATATATAAAATATAAGAATTAAGCTTTAGCTCCTTATCTTTAATCTCTATCTTAATCTCTATTTTAATCTCTATCCTAATCTCTATCTTAACCCTCTTATTACTTCTATCTACTTCTAATATCTTATATTAAATAATAATTATAAAAATATTATATTTATCCTTTAGCTTAGTAAAGCTAAATTTAAGAAGATTAATAAATTTATACTTATTATCCTTTAAATTCAAGATAAATAAGGGCTTTTTAAGATTTCCCTAAACTCTAATTATAAGTTATAGTTTATTAATTAGCTTATAATATTTATATAGGAAGTTAGCTAAGACTACTAAAAAAAGATCCTTTTTAATAAAATCTTTAAAATTATTAATTATTTAACTTTAGAAGGAATAAAAGATAGTTATTAGAATTTAAATATTAAATATTAGGCTTTACTCTTTAATTAATAACTAAGAGATATATACTAAGTTCCCTTAGACTCTTCTAACTATTTAAAAAGAGTTTTTAAAAGTAGAAGGATAAAATAACCTAAAAATACTAAAGAGTACCTAGTTAAATTAGCTACTCTACTTATACTATCCTATTTAAATATTAAAAGGCTAAGATAATACCTTAATAAGCTAGCCTAGATATAGTCCTATAGATATACTCTTACTAAATATAGTTTATTAATCTAGATTTAAAGCTTTCTCTAGTATTCTATAAAGTAGAATACTAGTTTATTAACCTAGGTTAAAAGCTTTCTTTAGTATTTTATAAAATAGAAAGCTTATTATAGTTATTATATTTATTATACTTATAAGGACTAAGAGATAAATCCTAGTAGTTAGATTAGAATTATTAAGATATAATCTAGCTTCTTAGATTTAATATAGTACTCTATAAGTTTAATCTTTCTAGTATAATTAGATTAATACTATTATTAAAGCTTAATATTTTAAAATATAAGATAAATAAGAAGGGATAAATAAAAGAGAAAGAATAAATAAGAAAGAGGAAATAAGAAGGAAGAGAGAAAAAGAGTATTTTATATTTCTAGCTAGATAATTTTAAAATATCTCTCTTTTTTAATAATAAATATTATTTCTAATTTTCCTTAGATAGTATTATATAATATTTTTAAGTCTTTATCTTATATATCTAGTATATATTAGGTATATAGGGACCTAGGTATTAAGTTAAGATCTCTTATAAATAAAGAACTTTAGCTCTTATCTAGATTTATAATATAGATATATATAATATTAAAGTTCTAGATATTCTTTATAATATAATCTTAAAAGGTTATAAGGAGTGAATTTATAATAGGATAGCTAATCTAGGTTAAATTCTATCTCTTATAATTATAGATAATATTATTTTAATATCTTATATAAGAGATATTTATTTTAATCCTAATCCCTAATATTTTACTCTTAAAACTTATAGATTTAGAGTAGATTAATAGAGATTATAAAATCTTATTTATTTTATAAAAGGTTATAATAAAATATCTATAGCTTTCTAAAATATTTATAAGTATTCTTCTTTTATATTTAGATTAAATACTTATTCTAAGTATTAATATATAAATTAATTACTAATCTTATAATTAATATATAGATTATAAGGAATATAACTTAATTAGGTATATTTATATAAATATATTTATAATCTTCTTATAGTTTTTAGAAGTAATACTAAATATAGAGTTAGTTATAAAAAACTACTTAAGGTAAATTTAAATATTTTTTTATATAGTAGATAAAGGTATAAGATTTTAAAAGCTAGGACTAAAAGGCTTTAATCTTTTAGTTATCTATATTTTATCTAAATTAATAATATTAGTTAAATTCTATTTTAGGATTATTTACTTAATAAAGAGTATAATATATATTATTAATTAATATTATTTTTAATCCTAAATCTAATTAAATAATCTTAGGCTAGTAGTATTAAGTAGTAAATATAGTAAGATACTAAGAGATAATACTTATTATTATATAAGTATTATACCTAATATAGATCTAGATAATATATTAAGAGAAACTATTAATTATAATATAAACCTTAATCCTAAAGTTTATTAATTTTATATAGCTATTAGTATATTATATAAAGTTTAGACCTAATAAGATATATATCTTATATATATATTAGAGATTATAAATCTAGGTTTTTAGAGTATTAGGATATAGAGTATGATATATATTAAATATTTGTTTTATTAGGAAGTTATATCTATTTACTTAAAAATAAGTATATAATAGACTTTTCCTATATCTCTTAATTTTTCTAAGTCTAATTTTATAGATAAGGATCTAGGTAATTTATATTAATTATTATTCTTACTAAATAGAATAGTCTATTTGATAAGGAATTCTAAGCTATATTCTAATCCTTTAAAGACTTTATTTAGAAATAGGTAGATTTGTTTGATTATAATAAAGAATATCCATAACCTTATTATCTAAAAGACTAATCTTAAGGATAAGCTTTTTAATATAATTATAGAGAGTAGTATTATTAAAACTAATAGATTTTTGATAGGATCCCTATACTTTTAAGTAGTTTCAAAGTATACGAGTTATAGTTTTGATCTAGTAGGTAGTAAAAAGGAGATTATAGACTTTATCTTATGTCATTCCTCATTATAAATAACGTAGAATATCGTCTTTATGACTCTCAAGATCAATCTTCGATAGCATCATGAATAACTAGAAAGAGATAAAAAGGGGGTTGTACTTCGTTGGGATTGTAGTTGCACTTTGTTGGGATTTTAATTCGAAAATTACAAAACCTATACGTTTGGATAGGGCGGTGTGTTAGGCGGTAATGTCAAATTCTCTATTTTCCGGATGGCCGTTATTCCCGCCAGTAGATGTGGCGTTCCACCGGAATGTAAACCTAATGTGGAAATGGGAGTCGCAAAATCTTTCTGCAGCCAATACAACGATGACATTGACTACTATGTAATTGGTGATGAATCCATATTTGAGTATTTTAGCATAGTTTCTGAGGATTTGCCTCTCAAGAAAGGTTTGCTCGAGTTCTACTACTCGAATCCGAACTGGGCAAATCTCATGCTGATTGTGTCGATGAGAAGTAAAACTGGTGAAAATTCAAACCGCGCTGTTACCCAGTTCCAAAAGCCTGTAAAAGTTGGCTTGTCAATCGAAGTGCTGAGTAAAAATGACAGAGTAAATGTCCCATTTGGATGGCAGAGCGAGGCTCGCAGCATTTGGATACACCTCGAGCACTTTCTTTCATTAATATTGATAATATGATATAACATTGTAGTAATATAATATTGGTAATATAATATTAATACAATGTTATATTATACTGATTTAATAATTACAAATCAGTAACATCTAATTATTTTTGGCTGGGCCGATGCCAAGTGCCCAAGTTTCCTTGAGGCTAGGCACCAGTGGATTGCCCTCCCTGGACCGGTATCATCGCCCGTAGGTCTTTAACCTCATGACGGAACGGACCTGAATTTGTCATGACCTTTTGAAGCAAGGTTGTACCTTTCATGGAATGGAAGTTGATTGAAACGTAGTGATCAACTTCTGGTAACCACGGAATGTGCGATTTATCATGCCGCTGCTTCGAGATATGCAGTGTGTCCGTGGCGTCCAGTCTGTTTATTAACCCATCGACTTCGGTATTTGAGACAGAACTTGGAATCGCTGCAAGCGGCTGGAACCCATAGATAAGCCATGTTCGAAGGAGCCCTGTCGAGGCGCTCTTGCGTGAGTTGAAAGTTCGTGCCAGAGCTGGGAGCACGTCTTCCCTGTACCTGAACCGCTCTCTGTCTTTGAAGCGTAGGTCGTCGGCAATGAAACGTAGGGCGATTTCGAATCTTTGATTGGTTCTCTCGCACCCACCGTAAGATTTCGGACCAACCGTCTTACGGTGGGTGCTAGGTTGTCGGCATCATCAGCTTGGTGTTGAGACGCTGAAACAGAGCGGACCAAAATTGGGCGATGGACTTTGAATCTCGCAGGGTAACATCGGCTGCAGAACATCTGAGTTCATATATGTCTTCAAAGACCAACCCATTTGCATATCTTTGTCTTGCTAAGAATAGTATCAACTTCCGGAAGCCAAGCACGCTATGCCATTTTGAATCGGTAACAGCTGCCCCCGTCCCAAGACGCCATAATCCTCGATAGACTGTATGGAATAGGCAGGGTAGCAACGTTAAACTAGCAAGTATCCATATTCAAAATAGTCAACAAATAGGTGATGACAAGTAAGGGATATCTGATGCAGAAAAAAACCAACGGACTACTTGAAAAGGACGTAATGGGAGTAATGAAACTTCACAAAAAGGAGTTAGCAGAGCTCTCCCGACTTGAAGAGGTTTCCTGGCAACAGGTCAACCAATCTGGTTTAACTTCATCCCTTTAGGGTTCTGTTGAGGGCTGAAGTTTCACTTTTCGAGCACCGACACCGTTCTTGGTGTAACATTTGTCGAATAGCGAGAACAGAGCAACGTTGGTAGAAGGATTGTTACCAATGTGTATTTGTCTCTTTTCCATGTTCCTTGTTTCCCAAACACCATATGGTAGACAGATGCAGATATCTCCCTCCTCTGCGACATAATTTTTGCGCATCAGCAAACAGACACCCACATCTCCTCGACCACGCTTACCGCTGCCGCATCGATGCGTGGCGCAGAACATCTGTGTTGATTTTCACAAAGGAATTTTTTTGAGCGCAACCAGGGAGAGCGTAGATGTTGGTAGCTCATTGATGATGACATCTAATTTGGTTGTAGCTCCCACATGAACTCGCTTCTTTTAAGAAAAGCTCTTGACGTCGTTAGTCACAGAACCGCAGCCATGACTGGCAGGTATGCAGGCCCCTATTTGTGAGACGCGACGAACGGAGCCATGGGGTGGGTGAGAGACAAAGTAGCGTCAAGGCTGCGGGGGAGTCGATGAGGTGGCTGAGAGGTAAAGTAGCATCAAGGCTGCGGGGGAGTGTTGATTGAGTAATGATTCGTTGGTCGGAGATTCAAGGAGGATGTTCTTCGAGATTGAGAGAGCATGATGCCCGAGTGTTGGGGCAGTATGTAGTGAGATCGAATGACTCAGAGCTGGTGTAGTGTTGGAACTGGAATTCTGTCGCAGTATCTCGAGAGTGAGATTTCAAATGAGAGAGTATGGACTGGGGAGATCAAGTTAAATCGTTGATGGCAAGACAATAACGAAGTGATGAGAGAAGTAGTGGATAGGAAGGGGAACCCTTGAAAAGAAGGAAGAAAGATATATGAGCTAAGGAAGGATCTGAGTCTTGGAGCTTGGTGAGGTCGTGAAGTTCTCTGACCAGGTTCACTTACCTGAACGGAATATTCATCTCTTTTGATGAATGTTTATTATTGGGAGGATTATTCAACAAGAAGTTTGCATCCCAGGCTTATATGCTTCAAGGTTGTCATGTAATTTATAATGATTGATCACGCAGAAATGAAATATGATACACGAAAAATCGGAAGTTCACAACCAGTATGAACCCCTTTGCCCAGCAAAGGTGAGGTTAGAAATAAGTCTCTGAATTCCGCAGCCAGTGCGGTACCTCAATATTAGCTGACTCCCAGCAATCTTCTTCACAAGCGGGATACCATTCTTCCAACGGCAAGTCGAAGTCATGAACTGTTTGTCCAACCTCAGTTACGGCAAGTAGGATATCCGCCTCCTTGGCCAAATTCTCAAGCCTGACAGCCAGATTGTAGATGCCGCTATTTGTCATTTCATAACAAGGACTGTAGGCACTGCACGGGTCCGTATCTACCAGGTGCAAATAAGCATCGGATGGCGATAGTAGCGTGACCTTCAAAACAGTATCTTCGTGAGTCAAAGTGGCAGACTTTTTGCCGCTACCGATCTTCACGGTGGCTGTAGTGTGCCAGCTTGTCGCGACATCGACAGCACTGGATGCGCGGACTTCGTCGCGAATAATTATTTGAGAGCCATTTGTGAATGCAACACCCCGCATCACGCTCGTGGTCACGTTCGAATACGCACTTGTCAAATTTGTGATTCCAAAGCGGCTAGAGCTGTCGAAGCTGCCTGCCCACAGCAGAGAGTTGTTGGATGAAGGGATTTGGTTGGCAAAATGCAACTCGGTTTGGGTTTTCTCTGATATGCTGAGGGTATTTGCCCCTTCAGTTCTGCATCGATAGTAAGTCCAGCGTTTGGGGGCTTCAAAGTAATCAGTTAGATCATAACTATCGGATCCTAAAAGCTCTGCCCAGCGATAGCCGTTATAATCGATAACAAAGGAACCAGCATCAAGATGTCCATGTGAGCGCCCTTTGAATCCAGCTGTCAGCCCAAAAAACCAGGCGCTAGAGTTCTCCCAGGACGTGCGATAGGTCATGGCTCCTACTCCACGGAACTGATCATACAGCTGCATCGTCGGCAACAGGTTTGGAGTCATGAGAGATGAGTTGTAGAAAAGGAAGGCCTGGAAGGATGAAACTTCTGATGAATCAAAGCGGGAGAGCATTCCTTGGAGCCACTGAGGCTTGTTGAACTTCTGTGCCCAATATCCAACACTCCAAAGGCTGTCTGCATTGCTGAATTCCCAGGACCCATCTGCCCAGCCAAAGCCTCCGACATTACCGAAGGTGTGTGTGAGCCAGGCACCAACGTTACTCATTCCAGATAAACCCGAGATACCTAGATCGTCACCCAGGGCAGTGTCCAAAGACCCCATCATCAGGCCCAGGAAGATCCCAGCATATGTACCGTATGAGTATCCTTCGACCCAGCCACCATCGGGGGCATATTGTTCCAAGGAGGTATTCAACTTGGGGAACGAGAATTCAAGTATCTCATGCGCAAGTTTAGGGTGGGCTTGTCCAATTGCCAGAGTAGCCATAATTAAGGAACAATGAGTGACCTGCGCCCAGTTATTTGTGTGTTCACTCCATGAATTTATTGAGGAGTTCAACGCAGGTAGAAACGCCAGTTCTATGATAGCAGCTTGGATCTTTTTGCGATGCGCCACGGTCAACGTGTCGTAAATCCAGTCGTATCCAAGAGACACCGTCATGGCAATATCCGCAGTATCCATGTAGTCGGAGGGGTCCCAGTCGGGGAGATTCGCGAGTAAGAGAATACTCTCGGCAACCCAGTCGGAGTAAGTGGTGTTTTTGGTCAAAAGGTAGGTTCCGGCAACTGCACCAACGTCCATCCGAATAGAACTTGACCAACTCTCGGCGGATGTGATGGACAAAGGGCTAGCCACTGTGACGTCGGCGCTGCGTTGAATACGGGCAAGAATGTCTTGGTAGTAGGTGTCGGTTTTATTCATGGAAAGGACTGCGTCAATTCTCTTCTCATTGAATATAAGTCGCGGATGAGATGGAAGAGCAGCATAGTCAATAGTGACTGCCATGACCGCCGCCGCGAGCCAGGCGAAGATAATGAGCCGATCCATGATTTGAAGATGCATAGACGAGTGAGAATCGTGCGATACAATCACATTTGAAAGACAAGTTTTCGGTGTATACGAAATCAGAAGTTGACATTTTCCAAAGTTGCCTGCTAATTAGCGCTAAATTGTCTCCCGCGTTGGACAGGGGCAGACTAGTTCGAGCCTCCATCTCGAGTTAATGTCGCTCGCGTTGAAATTGGCGAAAAATTAGCCGACGTATTCTGAAACAAAAAGAATGACCAGGAGCTTGCATAACGTGATTTATGCGGGGATGCAGGGGTTGTGAATACTCGTGACGCGTGTACATAATCGTAGTCAAGCAGAAGTTGAGATCTTCCAGGGGTATTTTTCAGTCGTCGAAATCATAGAGGTTTAATATCAATAGGGAAGAAACAATGGCACTTGTTATCATTTCGGTATGCACAAGGTACATTGAGACGCATCTGTGACATGATTCGCGCTTTTTCTTGGGAAGTTAGAAGGTCAAGTTTGGTGGGTCCCTGAATCTCATCTCAAACGTCTCAGCTAAATTGCTTGCCCCACCCAGCCCCACTTGCTGTCATGTGCCGATCCAGGAACTCATCTCCCGTAGTAAGTTGTAACCGGCATTTAAAAACATTAAAATAACTGGAGGAATTGGTACTGATGAAGCAATATGCTAAAAATGTTGTGTATTAAAATATACACATGTTGAAAATTCCTTGAGTTTATTCGTACTATGATTTTAAAGTTGTTCGGCGTTAACCGGATTTATGATCAGGCACCCCTAACAGGGAGAAACGCTTCCCAACTGACACCGACTTAGCAAACGCCTCAGCGGCTCAGCCATTTCCCCATCTTCAGTCATCTAATATCTGTGCATTCGATCCCCAACCTGAGAATTAATACCATGCAGCCCTCCGAGATCGCTAGCGCCGATGAAGATTGGCTGATTGACCTTTGCCACGGGTGTCAAAACGAGGGTGGAATGATTGGAGGTGAAAAACACGGCTACAAAGTCATCAAGATTTCCGACCAGGTCGTAGTCAAATACGGATATGTTCAGGAATCCGAGGCAGCTACACAAGAGGCTGCATTCAATGCGGTAGACCAGAACATTGTTCAAATCCCTGAAGTCTACCGCTACATCGAATCCAATCGATCTTCACAACCAGTGGGATATCTCTTTATGGAGCATATTCACGGTCGCACTCTCGACAAGGTTGATCTCAATGTGCACACTGATATTCCTTCACGAGTGGTGAAAATACTTGAGCATCTTGGTCAGATTCGAAGTGCGGATTCGATACCGGGCCCTGTGAAAGGCGGGGAAGCTATGGGATATATCTTTGGCGACGAAGGTGCGAAAACGGCGTTCACTTCATTGGAGCACCTGACTGCCTACATGAATAAAAGGCTGCAATATCGGAACGACTCTATTGATCTGGAGCCCTACGACCAGAACTTAGTGCTGTGCCATGGTGACATCTGCCGAAGAAACATAATTATGAAGGAGGATGGCGCCCTTACTCTCCTTGATTGGGGATACTCCGGGTTCTACCCTCGATTTTTCGAGCTCGCCACCCTCTCATGCGTGCTGCCTTACGACAAAGAGTTTCAGCCACTTGTCAAGAGAGAGTTTGAGGAAGTATTAAACTTGACCGACCAAGAAAAGCAGGACATGAAGTTCACACTCTGTGTCCGAGGCGCAAATCTCAGATGGTCTTTGTAAGCAGCAGACTCTCGTCCCTCACATGTGCAATTTTCGGGATACATATACTAATAGTCTGAATCAATAGCGATGAGCCTGCGCAGAGCTACGAGGAAACATGCGATAAAATATACCGAGACGCCCTTGCGAGTAATGCAATGCTTGCAAAAAAGCTCGAACTTGAAGAACCTAAAGTCTCAGATCCTGCCATAGAAACAAAGGTTTGAAGGAAAGCTTCAAATTTTCGATTTCAGCTGTGGGAAAAAAAGAGCATTGAACATTGAATTTACTGGACGTGAAAAAATGGGCCTTGAAACATTTGAAAGTTATAAAATCACGAGTTTCTAAAGTTCAAGGTATCAATAACACATATAGATAGGAAATTTAATGATTCCAGATTCCGATTTCTATATCCTACCGACAAGTGCCTCCATAGCAAAATAATAATTGATCGATCTTCGCGGACAAGTGAATAATTGGCGCTACGGACAATATCGCTCGGGGACATAGGGAGAAGAGTAAGAAAAAAGATAGGAAGCAAGCAAGCACTGGATATCTAGAGGGCGTCACTTGACCCCTCTCTAACAACATTGGGGTTTTCTGTTGCTAGTTGACCATTTAAGCTGTGCCTCAAGGAGCCCACGAGCCATTATGTGTCCTAGCTTCAGATCCTTATCGAGGAATACAGGGCCTGCAATTGGGTATTTTGATCTACTCAAATTCGCAATGATCCCTTTGCGGTGAGAACTGGTGCAGTATTGGAGCCGTTTGCTGAGAGGACTTGGCGGTTCTCATTCTGAGGCTATCATAACCCGCAACAGCGATTGGCTGACTAGCCTCCACAGCAGAGTAACTTTCGGATCTATCCGTTACTTAAGTCTTGGCAGCGCTGGTTGCAAAATTGTGTTTGCAAACTTTGAATACATGAATTTACCAAAATGAAGAGAAAGGCCGTCAAACTTCAAAAATTGAATTGCAGAATTCTCCTTGCTGCCTTATTCTTCCATTCCCTGCAAGTGACCAGTAGCAACACCGAATCCTTGGCGCCAAGCACGGAGCCTTGGTGCATACTAACATTCATGTGTTACTTAGCTGACACCAGACTTTTTGCGTTGCGAAAATTTGGCAATTTTGTATTCTGAACGGTCGCGATACGAGAAATAAAATTTACTTCCCATGCACAGAGGAATAGGGCCTAGCTTCTTTCCGGCGGTCGGCGGAACCTCGGTGGCAAATATGATGCTCTAGATTCCACGCCTGCCACTTGCGGCGGATTTATTTACGACGCCAAGACTTGACCAATATGAGGAACGAGAAATGGAAAATGGGCATGATGTAATACTTGTTACGCTATACGAACTTTACATCTCACCCGGGGAACTTAGTAGTGCTAATCAATCAACTTGGCTGTGTTCGAACTTATACAAACTTGAAGGTATGTTCACTTGACTTCGTATTTGATTGAATAGGGCCTTCACGATAGATTGTTCCAGCCACATAGTCGTATCATAGAATTCTTTTGTCTGGGTTTAGAGCGTCAAGACTTAATGTACAATATGTACTTTAATAACACTTGGAAAACCCTGGAATTTCACTGCAAATATTTTTGAATCCTGGATATTTTTCTTTCCGTGAAAAAGTGGTATCGAATCCAACCCTCTACTATTACCCCCAGGAATGCATTCCTGCCGAACAACCTCATTGTTTGCAATATTTTTGATGTATATGGGCTTAGTCCCAGGGACTAGCCAACAGCAAACCGAATGCACAAATGGCCAAATCCAGCAGAGAGACCTGAGCACCTGCAAATGCTCGGGGGGCAATGACCAATGCACTACCACATGTTCAGCCGGACCAGATGCTCCAAACTGTCCAAACGATGTCTTATCCCAGTACAACTTAGATCACTGCTCCCTGCATTGCGGGGCAGAGTCAGGCCACCACTGCAAGGCGTGTTGGATCTGGTTCGACCCACTCTGTAACTGCCTGCAGAGCGGCGGTTGTCAGCAAAGCTCCAATAATGCACCGTTCTGGGTGAAAGTAAACTCCGAAATCATCACGACGAGCTCGCCAATCCCGGACATTTTGGACCTGCAAACAAACCACCCATCCCTGGCACCCTTCGGATGGGACTTCGGTCAGCAATCAGGGGTTTCTGACACTTCGAAGGACGCATTGGTCATTAACTCTGTGCATTCCATTACCGAGGACCAGATCCACATGCACGTGTGCCCTGTCAATACCGGGATAAAGAATTTCCTTGGCAGCCTTACACCTTCCCAGTATTATGATCTGAAGGATATTCAGATAACTGGATACACGATCTACTGTCGGGCGTCCCACAGTGCTGGTCAACCCGTTTCGGGAGATGTTGTTGCGGCTGATATCAATACGGTTATGGGTAAGGAGTGTAAGTATTATGTGGGTGCAGCAGTGCTCAGAGACAAAAATGACCTGGCCTGGTCATGCGTGACAGCCGATCATCTCAGCACAGAGTATAAAAGATTTTGTGACTGATGTTTTCAAAATATTGCACTTATTTATTGAGTTTGATAACCTTTTGGATAAGTTGATACATTTTCATTACTCGAACTTGGGAAAAGTTAAAAGGCAAAGAATGATTCAACTGCGCCTATTTCTTGGGAACTGTGAAGCAATTACCGTATTCCAATGAATCCAAAACAAGCAAATCAACAACAATGAATTAAAAGGCTTTAGGCTCTTAGTAGCGTCCAGTTAACTAAACATAGATTTAAATTCAAGTTCGACAGAGCTGAGGAAGTACGTTGTGCAGAATTATCAAATCCCGAAATACCAAACCCCGAGATTCCAAGTCCCGACCTTGCAGACCCCGAATTTGAGATCCCGAAGTCTCAAATCCCGAGGTGACAGTTCCCGAGCACCAGCCTGGAGACACCGAGATTTCAAACCCCGATACCCAAGAATCTTCAACCCGAGTACCTATTGATTGATTTTGCTGACAACAATTTTTTCTCAAACTAAAATCTTAAATGATGATTTGAAAAACTTGGTAGGAATTTTCGCGTAGAAACGACCTTGTACCAAGCCACAGGACCAAGCAAAGTAAGACTTGGGTCCCGAGCTAACCTTAATTTTAGACTTTGATATGCTATTCAGACCCGTATATTGAAGAATTATCAGAGGAATTTGGATCGACACTGCCTGCTTAACTAGTTGGAATTCTAGAATCACTCAGTGTTCCATCATATCAGATGTAACACTCGAATAATGTTCCAATCTTCTACAACTTTATTGTAGCTTCGCCAATCGTCATCTCTTCTGGGTCACCCTTTACCCTCTTCGTATAAAGCAAGTAAGCAGACTTCTCAACTGGATTCACAAAGATCTTCGCAACCCTGACTCTTACTCGCTGTGGAGTACGGCAATTTTCAATGTCACAATCCCCTTCCCCCTCCATTTCTATGAGCCAGGTGGCAATCTTCGTCACCAACGGTACATCCCAGTCATTGAAGCCATGCGTCTTGGAACACAGAGCAATTGCGTCCCGTCGTATTTCAGGGTTGCGACAAAATCTGCACACCATATAAAGTCCAGGGAGAAAGCCAACTTCGATTGCGACTTTGTATTCCTCTTTCACTGCAACAAAGGGTAGAGGTTTTCTCAGTAGTGCCTTAGTATGCGCCAGGATGGCACGAAACTGGTCTTCAAGTTGGTCAAAAGCCCACTCATCCGTGGTGACCAGGTACTGGAGGAATATTTGAGCGACCTCCGCCAAGAGCTGAAGTTTCTGATGCCTGACTTTGTCTCCTTCTGATTCGTGACCAGGGTTGAGACGAAGTTCTCGTAATGCGTTTTGCCATTTTTTCATCCAAGTCGAGTACATTGCATAGTAAGTCTGAATATCTTCCGATATTGGGACTGAAAGTGGGGGAGTTTGTAAAGAGTCAGCAAGTTCTCCACCTAGTCTTTCGGTATACCCATTTATTTTCCAGAAATCATCTCGGCTAGGTAGATTCATACAGTTGGCACTGGCTGTAGCCATCTCAATAAACTGTACAAAAGGGGACATCAGAGCCACCCAATACCTTGATGCCTCGATGACACCTGAGAATCTAGATGGCATCGTAGAGGCGATATTCTGACATGCATCCATTTCTGCCTGAAATGATATCAATGATCTAATGCCGGGGAAAGCGAGAAGAGCTTGTAGATAAAGCAGGGAAATAGTGTCGATAAGGTCATCGTCGATCGCATTTTGGCATCGAGCTCCAATCTTCACAAAAGAGTAAGAATTGTTCACCATCCACGACTTCATCATTTTGAATCCGCTGGCAGCATGTACAAGAGCTTGTTGGCGCTGGCCTTGAACATGCTCAAAGCAAGACACTAGAAGACATCCAATAAGGGCCTTCCTCGGATTTGATTCTGTTGCCAATGCTGATCGCATGGTACTTATCGCTTGGCCATAACGACGGAGAGCGAACTCGTAGTGCTTGGAGTCAGCTGTAGAATGATCAATTTCCGTCTTCTGGAGTGTCAATTCCAGTTTCGATACGCTTAGTGCCGCGATGGCCACAACGGCATCCTGTACAAATGATTCCTCGTGACAAGCTGGTAAAATGACTCTCTTCCAGACAGAGCCGCTGAATATCTCGATGATATGGGGCGACTCGTTGTTCTGTAAGGATGAGAAGTAAAGACCGTCCCTCTCACTTCTAAAAGAAACCCCCGGAAATAGATTTTCCGGCATAGTCAAAGGCCCGGACTGTATCGATAGATCGCTGGAAATAGTCCCTTTATGTATCGACCAGTGGCGAAATTTCATTTTACTAACAGGCTGCTTCGGGATCGCATAGCCGTCGCATTTCATGCCAAATTTACGGCACCGTAAACATTCGGGCTTGGCTTCATCACATTTGACACGGCGGATTCTTGCGCAATCTCGGGGTCAGACTCCCAACCTTTTCATGGGTATGATATGAACTCACTTGCACGTTATACAGCCGGTCTTGGCTTTTGGCTTGCTCGCCCTCGTGGTTTTCGGCTTTTGGTCGCTAGTCGATCCGCTTGTTGATCGTTTAGCTTGCCGTAGTACTGTCTCCATTTTGCTTATCCTTTTGGTATAGCGATGTCAGGAAAGTCGAGGATTTCCCAATTCCTCTCCACATATGAAGACTTCTCACGAAGGTGGGGCGAGGGAGGAATATCGCGCCCTATTCAGCCTCACGTGGAAAGAACGGAGGCCAAGTTGTACAAATGCAATCTGCTTTCATGAAATTGGGTTGATTGAGCATCAATATGGAAAAAAATATTCCGTGCTGCTGTTGCTGTATCAAGGCCACAAACCAGAGTGGTGGGTGGATATTCAAGCACATCGGAAATGCCATGTCAAGACGGAACAGCTAAAAACACGCTTATCGCTTTTGGCTCTTGAGGCTAAGTCAGGTGATAAGCATGTGATGTATCACATCCTTGTATGCACGTGTGTTATCTGGACATTAGTCTTGGACAAGTGGACGAGCTAGGATCTGGCATGCATACTGTACATGAAAGCAAAAACTATAAAAGATGAGTAGTTCCTATCCCCTGTATACGGATAGCCAAGAGGTTATTCCCAATGATTCCCCACACCCAATCAGAGTATGACGAGTAACCTTGCTAAGCCTGAAGCTGTGGACGAGGAAAAGAACGAAACATGCCAACATACCACGAGTGGCTATATGTGACCATATTGTAGATGCCAGGAATCGTGGTTAATATGACCTTCACAATAACAAATAAGATGTTCGATCAAGATGCCTGTACCTCACTACACGGAAACAAAGATTTCCTTCCCCAGCGCGGTATCGTCATCTCATAGTAAGTGAAAATACGAAAGAAGAGCTTGAAGTGTGAATTGGGTGGCTTATAGAAGTTGATCTCATTCTGGTAATATTTCTCGTCACTAGTAGAGATATTGTTGCCTTCTCCATCCACAAAACATGCAAAGCAAATCAGAATGACGAGGGCAAAGGGGTGCGATGAGGAGAGACTCATGACTAGGAAGTGTTGTTAGCTTTGTCGAGATAGTATGTGCTAATCAGGATCTGAGAGATGTTCAGCGAGCATCTTTTCATCGTTATATTCAATATGGTCGTCGCGTGGTAGAATTTTGAGGCGAGATTGGAATGAGACGCAGGTGGATTGCATACGTTCGTCGGCATTTATCGGCATAAATGTATACTAGTACACTTGGAAATGGAAGCATTTGAGCACGGAACGTAAGTTGCAAGAAATATGTTAAAGTAGTTTTCTCACTGGGTAGAAGGAAAAGAGGAAAAATGCTGCATGTGGAAAACCATACACCTTAGCAGAGTAACCTTGAAGTTTCAACCGCGCTGTCCGCACATTCCTCCCCACTACGCTACATGGGTAAATTAATGGGCTGCACATGGAAAGCGTTTTTCTCGGGGTATCTGCACGGGGCCAGGCTGAAGCCCCGCCAGGGCTTATCGGTGGCACGAGAAGGCAGCACAATGTGACACGCATCCAGAGCCTCATATTCTATTTTTCTAAGAGCTAAACGCAATAATCAAGCCACATATCTCAGGTTCAACAGTGGAACCGTTCTACATAGGGGCACTCCGTAAGTATCACGGGCAGAAAAAATGGACCGGCATTACACCAAATCCCTAGGAAAACTTGGAATAGGAAATCGGTGGATCTTACGGGCCGATGAACCATCCTCATCTTCGTCATCAACAACATCGGTCAAGGTTTCGGTGTAGTGACAATCACGAACAGCACGCTCCACCATTTCAAGGTATCTTGGTTCCACCTCACCCCAATCCCACGATTTCATTTCCAGAATCCCTTGTTCAACCCTTTTTTGATAGTCTTCATCGCTTTCTGCGTCGACAATCCAGCGAGGAGTGTGGGAAGGTAGGGAATGGATAACAGAGCCCAGAATGAATGAGCATATGTCTTTGGTAACTCGGATCCGGCTACAGTCGGCAAGCGGTAGTTGTAGGAGGTGTCTGAATAATGATAGAAAGTATCGTGGGGGCTTGGGAGTGCGCAGAGTAAGTTCAGGATTGAATGTTGATGGCACCTCGATAGTTTCTTCGAGGGTGAATCCAACGAGGGAAAGTGGAAGGAGGTGAACTTTTTTATGCCCAGCTCCGTCAAGATCATGGGGTATACAGTTGGTCCCCCACATTCCAAGAACCAGTTGATTCCAACCATGCTCTAGAAGAGGGAAGCCATGATCAATCAGAATCTGCGAGGCCACAGACAACTGCTCGTCGGGCACCGCCCACTCAACGCGCTAGATGATTTATTAAGTAATGGTATCAGGAATGTTATGGAAGGTCCATTTCACTTACAATTAGGACTTCTGCATACCCGCATCGGTATTGAACTTGAGATCCCCACTCGACAACTGTGATATTTCCTTCAATCAATGCACTCAGAGCATCGGACATCACAGGATAGGCGAATTGAAGTTTCACGGCTGGCTTTGCGGAGTCTGATGTAGGATCATCGGTGTTTTGCGTGTCAGATGCGTTGAGGGGAAGCTCAACGACCGGGGCGGGGTGTTTATCTCCCTCTAGGGAAGCTTCTTGAGCGTTCTCAGACTCCATAATCATGCTTCTTGGTCGCAGGAAGGGCGTATTGAATTGAGCTTGGGAGAAAGCAAGAAGAACGGAAAGGAAAATTGTGGAAGATTTAAGAAGTTAAAAGATTAAATTATTGACGAGGATCACAGGATTTCGGATATCCGTAGGGTCTTTCAGTGTTTGCTTACTTTGTATTTTCCCTTCTGCCTTCCTCCTACTTGATTTACTTCGTTCCTTTCGGTTTAAATTACCTCCTTGTCCTAGCTACTCTGGTAATTGTCTATCTTGCACCTCTCTCTCTGTCTTTCTCCCTCTCTTATCTCTCCCTCTCCCTATCTCTCCTCTACTGTCCTATCTGTCTCTTCTCTATCCCGTCCCATCTGGCTCTCCTCTATCCCGTCCTATCTGTCTCTCCTCTTTCCCCCCCATCTCTCTCTCCTCTCTCCTTTCTATCTCAAGATGCCTCCAGCTCAAGGCCAAAAAAATAAAGCAAGGAACGGTGCTACCGAGAATACCTTAAAGGCAAGAGCTAAAAAGTTCGAACATCTGGATGCGGCGGCTACGGCTCTAACCCGGATTTTGCGGCGACTCGACATCAACCACATGTTCGTTGGTGGGTACGCTGCCAGTGTTCTAGGCGGAGAGCGGGTTACTGAAGTGAGCCAGTGTTTCGGCATTCTTTCCTGATAATCATTACCCAGGTAACTGACAAGAAACCAGGATGTCGATGTGATAGTAACGAAGCAATGTCGTGACTACATAGTCAAGCAACCAAATTTCCGTCTCTCTACCGATAATCGCTTGATATTCTGCCATAATGGCACCGATGTCTTGATTGATGTGGCGCACTTCGATCAAGACTATGGCAAGGATAATTTCAAAACCTTTCCTGAGCCCACCAGACGCCGACTAATCCAGGTCGACATCCCTGAACGCCGGTTTGAACTTCCTCGTACGTCTTGGCTATGATACAATATTCTTGAGCCCAAACTGATATTTTTGAATTCAACAGTTCCTGTTCTGCATCCCAGAATCCTGCTTTTGACAAAACTTGCGCCCTGGAAGGAATCGTATTTCTCCACACGCTCCGATGCCAAGATGCGGTCCAACACTGACCTTCAGGACATCATTGTCCTTTTGGAATGGTTGAGGGACAGGGGGCTAAAGGTTGATTTTGACACGGCGAATGTAAAGGGAAAGAACACGTTTGTTCAAGCATTGGGTCATCTTTTTGTACAAGTGGAAGAAGCCCGGCCCCTCGTAGCGGGCGTTCTTGATCCGTTCGTTCTATGCGACGCCATTAATAAGGCTAAGCCATGATCGTGGGCGTATCAGAGCTCCTCCAATGGTGTTATTTGGATACCGTCCGCTTGATGGAAAGTCATTTCTGGGTCACTTACAGCCGATTAGTTCAGGTCTATGGATGTTTGTGGCCGTCCTGTCGGACATATCGGCTGATCATCGAAAATGAGATCCGTGGGTTCTCTCGTGAGAGTTTTCGGGTTAGGAATTTTGATTTTACTACTTTTCTCCGGTTCCTCACAGCAAGACAGTAAAGGATGCAGTAAAATATTTAAACATCAATTGATGTAAGTTCGAGTGATCCTGACATCTGGATCTGCCAACAGATTGATAAAACCACACATATAGATGCTTTTTATTGTTCGGCCTAGACCCTGATTGGTGCAAGAAATCCAACCAACTCAACTCGCACATAGACACCTGGGTCTCAGCTTCGAGCTTAGCGACAAAAGAACCGCTTTGAACAAGCACTTGAGGCGTACATATGCGTGACCCATTCACGGTACTAATCTCAGCGTGCCTTTCATCAAGGACAAGTGGCGTCCATATGAAGTCCCTATCAATAACTGAATTTGTTTAATTTACATGGGTAGGGGAAAGGGAAAAACGGAGCTAAGAATCATAGATAATATCTAATGGCTATTGTGAAGCAACAAATCTAACCAGCTATGTATGAAACAAGTCACTTTGCCAGTTGAAAGCTCAAACACTCCGAACGCCATCGCAAATTGGGTATCACAATGCCAAGCTAAATGATATCGCAGCCAGTTTGAAGAAAGTCGGAAGATGCATAAAATAGCAAGAAATATTCAAAAGCGATACGCGAGAGTAAGAAATCAATAAAAGTAAAAAGCCATGAGAATAACAAGACCAATAAGAGGAAAAAGCGCTAAAAATACAAAAGAGCAATGAAGCTCAAAATAGAAGAGAGCAGTTGAAGTAGAATGAGGGGTGAGAATCGGAAAGCCAAACAAAAAAAAAACTCAACAGATTAAGAAGGTAAAGTGTCAAAAGAAATTCAACGGTACTGACGAAGTAAAAATGAACATTGAAAAAAAACACCTCTGAAGATCATCTGCTTCGCTAAGAAATGCAATCCCAAACACAAGCTAAAATGAAATAACTGAAGCAAGGTTAAAGAAACTGAAATTAATCGGAAATATTGGCAAGAACGTCGGAGGGAGCACGGGAATAATCCGAAATCTCGGCCTCGGGGTCGGTCAAAGTCAGATCAGGGTCGAGTTCAGTTTCATCGGGATCAATGGGTCCCATGGGGTAAGGAAGGTTCTCGGGCTGGAGACCAGTCTTGATCTTCTTCGCAGCACGAGCACGGTTGGGTTTAGTACCCTTGTGTTTGGTGCCGCCAGGCTTCACCTTGTTCTTCTTGGCCATCTGAGCTCTAGTAAGCCCACCTGGCTTGTGATGGCCAACCCGATTCACCAGATGATCAATCACGCAGCCCTCATTCCATCCCACGGACTGCTCGCCAGTAATGGCACGGCAACGGGGACAGTCCTTTCCGTGGCGAATAAAGAGTTGGTGCAGCGAGTACTTGAAGTGATCGGGGACTCGAACTTCCAGGTGGTTGAACGTGGTGACTTCGTTTACAGTGGAACGGCCATCATCGGGTGGAACCCAACCCAGCCACTGGGAAAGGCGGAAGATGTGGGTGTCGACGGCGAAGCAGGGGCGCTGGAGACAGAATAGGATAACACAGGCTGCGGTCTTGGGACCAACGCCTGGAAACTTGAGAAGCTCGTTCATGGCATCCTTGGATGAAAGGGCGTGAAGATGGTTTAGGGACAAAAAGGATTCCTGGCCGCAAGCAATTTCATACTCGCCAAGGTCCTTTTCAACTTTCTCATTTAGTGCGGTGCTGTCGACTGCATCAGTCTCGTTATCCCCGCTGGGATTTTCATTGGAGGGATTTTCATTGGAGGGCTTTTCATCAGAGGGCTTTGCATCAGAGGGCTTTTCATTGGAGGCCTGTTCATTGGAAGGTTTAGGCACGTTGTCAGCGAGGACGAAGAAACTGTGTGGAGGATTAAGGCGGCCAAGGCGCCGCATGTTCTCTTCGTAGACCGTGTCAAGAATTGTCCGCAAGTTAGTGGCTTTGCGCATAGCAAGACCCCCAGGCTTGATTGCATCGAATACATCGCCGAAGGGGGCACGACGAACAGCGTCCCAGTCAACACTTCCCTTTCCGATTCCTTCCTGGAGGATACCGAAGCGCTGGACGAGGCCACTAAATGCCTTGGCGGCGTTCTCAAAGGTCGTGGCTCCACTCAGGAGAGTACGAATAAGCGCGTCCAGCACTGATGGGACTTCTCCACAACCAGTCACCGTTAGAGAGGGAGGAGGAATTTCCTTGGGGGCGGCAACTTGTCCGTGGACACTAGAGAGGAGTGTGTTGACCACCTCACATTCTTCGGGGGTAGGGTGGGGCCAATGGTTAAAGGGTGTACGTCCAGGGGTCAAGTGGTATTTGTTGAGCTTGAGCTCGCCTTTGTCATCTTTGATCCACTTAACATTATGCGGAGAGGATTTTTCGGAAGGTGGGTATTCACCTATTGCGGTTTGATATTTCAGGGCAGCTTCAGTAAGCTGTCTACCAGGTGGACCAGCCACGGGTTGATTCTCTTCGTCATGAGGCGATGAGCCGTTGAGGGGGCCCAGATTGTGCGGAAGTTCCTCGTCGGCAACCTGCTTGAGGAATGACTTGCCTATCTTGTCAGCAGCTCTCTTAGCTGCAGTGCGCACTCTCTTTTCCTCTTTGGCTTCCTTGTCGGCAGCTCTCTTAGCAGCAGTCTTAGCAGCAGCACGCGCTCTCTTCTCCTCTTTGGCTTCAGCCTCGCGTTCCTTGGCAAGGGCAGCAGCAAGCAACTTGCGACCTGTTATTCTGTCTCGGTGTGGAATGAATTCCTCGGCATCTTTAGAGGCTCGGCGCTTAGTCGTCACTTTTTTCGCTGGTTGTTTGGCAACGGGTGGACTATCAGACTGTTTGGCAACGGCTTTGTGCCTAGTCACACCTGTAGCACGCGCAGATGCAGCACGAGTCAAACGCTGATTTGACATGATGCAAGTTTGTTCGTGAAAATTAATATTTTCGCAAAAAGTATGGAGAGGTGGGCTGTGAGGTAGATAGATGGGGGAACTCGGGATGACGTCAAATTTCAAGGAAGGGCGGTTGGTAACTTTCAGGTAAGATGAGGAATCTGGCAAAGGAATCCGAGGGGAATTGAATGATATGAAAATGAATGGAAAAATTGGTGAAGTTGTAAAGAAAATGAGGCGAAGTAAGAGAAACACGCGAAAAAGTCAATAGCCATTCTATACTACACACAAATGAGCACGTGACCAAAGTCAATAAGGCTTCAAAATTGAACGTTTGGGATTTGGTATAGTTTTATTTGCCACATACACAAGGGAGATATGTAATCATAAAACTGAGTATTTAAAATCTCAGAAGATAATCTGTTAATGGTATTTCGATACATTTCACGGGCATGCGGTTTAACATCACATCGCATCACTTTTTGCTCATCAAAGGGGATTCTTTCCCCGTCTAAGGTATGCCGCCCGATACACAACTCCCAAGACTCCAAATGCAAATCAAACCCGAATGGCTCTAGAAAACAGAAAAGGGGGGAATAATCATCATAATCATGGGTGGTCAGCCTGGTTGTGAATGCTGATGTCCATGCGGTCATCGACCTTCGGGTGCTCTTCATGGGATGACTTGTTCTCGTTTTGTCGCTCATTATCATCTTCGGCAGGGATAATCTTGCCATTGGTATCCACTGCGACACCCTTGGCGGCAATCTGGTAATCAGTGGTGCTGGCAAACCCATGAGCAACAGCCTCCTTCGCCTTGTCGAGAGCCTTGTTCTTGCGGCCTTCACCACGAACCTCCTCGAGGTGATCGAAGTAGCCATCGCCCACAGGGGTGACATACTTTCCACAGAAGACACCAACTTCAAAATTGACAGGCTCTGTCTGGCCATTCTCAAGGGCGACCTCAGAGCAGGCGCCCTTAAGATCTTCGAGTGTCTGGAACACAACACTCTCGGCACCGATATGGCGAGCAATGGCCGCGCTGTCACGGTTGTGGGCCACCAACTCTTGGGGTGAGGCCAGATCGATACCGTAGATGTGGGGGTGGGTGATCTCGGGAGCACAGCTGGCCAGGTAGACCTTCTTGGCACCTGCTTCACGGGCCATGCTGACAATCTCGCGACTGGTAGTACCACGAACAATGCTATCATCGACAAGCAGTACATTGCGGTCCTTGAACTCGGCTTTCATGGCATTGAGCTTACGACGGACACCTTTCTGGCGCGTCTTTTGCTCAGGCATGATAAAGGTTCGGAACACATAACGGTTCTTAACGAAACCATGGCAGTAAGGCTTGTTCAGGTATGAAGCAACATGACTGGCGGATGTGGTAGAAGTCTCAGGAATAGGAATGACAACGTCAATATCCTTAACAACCTCGGGTCCCAGAACCTTAAGAATACGGGCACCAAGACGGTCGCCCATGCGCTGACGGCTACGGTACACACTAATACCGTCCATGACGGAGTCAGGACGAGCAAAGTAGACGTACTCGAAAATATCAGGAGCGTAGTCGCGCTTGGGAGCGACTTGGCGGAAGACCGGCTCACAACCCTTCTCGAGAATAACAGCCTCACCGGGCTGGATGTCACGGTGGTTGCTGAAACCAAGCTGGTCCAAAGCGACCGACTCAGAGGCCATCATATAATCAGTACCCTCACCATCCAGGGACTTGCGAGAACCAAGAACCAAGGGGCGAATGCCGTATGAGTCACGGAAACCAATCAGACCGAAACCTTAGGAAGACGAGGAACGTTAGTGGGTTGTCCGAATTCATTCAGAAGAAGCGACAATGGTTATCAGACTTACCAGCAAGCATAGCAGTACAGGCCCAGCCACCCTCACAACGCTCATAAACACGGCTCAAACTGGCAAAGAGATCCTCCTTGTTCACACGAGCCTTCTTTGTCTCGCTCAGTTCATCAGCAAAGATGTTAAGCATCAGCTCACTGTCACTATCGGTGTTGATGTGACGGTGCGCCTCGAGATCAAGGTGCTTCTTAAGTGCGGGCGCATTGATCAGGTTTCCGTTATGCGCAAAGCAGATACCGTAAGGGCTGTTCACGTAAAAGGGCTGCGCCTCGGCGTTGGCACTGCTACCAGCAGTAGGGTACCGCAGGTGGGCAATACCCATTGAACCAGGCAGATTGGCAATCTTGGCACCGTCGTGGAAAACCTTAGCAGCCATGCCGTTGGCCTTCAGCTGGAAGATGCGACCACCAGACGCACAAGTCGCGATACCGGCAGCATCCTGACCACGATCTGTGTTACACAGCAGACTTTAGTCTTTGCTCTTTCCTGTCTCTATTGTATAGTTCGCAGGCACTCACGTTGCAGGAGATACAGGGCCTCGTGAAGATCAACTGCGGCAGCGGCGGAGGGGTTCGCCAGGATCAAAGCAATAATTCCACACATATTGACGGATAGTGTAGGTTTCCTAAGCACCCGATCGAGGGAAAGGTTAGCATGCTAATCTTCTTCGCGTTTGTGGGATGAAAATGCATCGCGGGGTTATTTTTTTTTTCTCAAATCAGTATGGATGTGTCTCCGCAAAAAAAGCTAGGAAGTCTAACATCTATAAAAATATCCAGGTTCATCATAGAGAAAGGGGAAGATAGAGTGCAAATGAATATAACAAACGGAACACAACTCACCAGAACCAGGATGTGGTAGTTTGGGCGCAATGGTCAACAATGACCCCCAGGAACAAGAAGAGGAGGGGAAAGAAGAAGAGAAATTCTCGCGAGTGCCGTCGTCCCGCCAAAGGAGTTCAAAGTCTCCACATAATTTTTTTTTCCGCCGACGCCGGCCCGGTGCTGACTCATCACCCTAAACCGGCCCTCAAGTGGAGACAGTATGTGTACGGGAGTAGTATAAAAGCCAATCTTATACTTGCCCGTTGGGACATGCTTTCATCTTTGATGGTCACTGATGATCATAGTAGGTTCATTTGTGCATATTTGCACGGTAATAGCGAAGATGACAAAATTGCCAGTGTATATTCATCAGGGTATCAGACTTTGTTGCTGTATTGGCTCACAAGAATCTTTGTTTTGTTGGATATGCAGATAGCATGCGGAATAATAAGAAAGGCCTTGAAAGATCTCTGGTATTCAGACCATCACAGTAGGCAAAGCACGCTAGCCAAGTGACGTATCGACTGGTCTGGTCTGGTCTTCAAGTTGTTTTTCTTTTCCAAAAGCTTCGTCTTTCCCAATACTGCTCTGGCTTCCAAACTTTTTTGTCGCTCCCCTCGATCTCCCCACTTGATTCATCATAATCCTGTTACAAAATCAACACCACTCTATCTCCTTCGTCTTTTGAGTTGTGCTGACAAAATGGAGAGTCGGGTGATAGATCTTGATCCATACGAAGGTTGGAGCAGTACATCGTCGACAGCAGAGCATGCTTTACCCCGCGTCTCACTTCCCATGGCCATTCCAAGACCGAATAACGGAATCAGCTCTGAGCTTGCCGTCATAAAGCAAGAGCAACGAGAGGCTGGCTCTGCCATGTGGTCACCCTCTGGGTTCTTGACCGTCAGCTCCTCGCGGTCCTCGAAGTCCCCTCAGTCCCCTCAGTCCTCCCAGTCGTCATGCCCGATGGATGAAACCACACCAGGGAGTTCTCAAGAGAAACCAATCGATCTCACGGCAATTGGACCGCTGATCATCGATCTCACCGATGAGGTTCAAGCTAATACACGGATGGTAGCTGCATTTGCTGACACGGCACAGGTGTCGGAGATCAGGCAGCAAACCTCACGATTGACTCTAGGACCGCAAGTTCATGAGAGCATCTCATCTTCCCCGGCCGTCGTAAATGGTGTCGTCTATGGACCAGGATCATCGGTGGAACTTCACGATGGGACCTTCCTCTACATTGAGCATGTGGAGCAACGCGGAGGTGAATACTTCTTCCATGGCCGTCACCTAGTATTGTCAACCAGTGGAGGCATAGGTGACTATTTCCCCAAGATAGAGGGCGAAGCTATCTGGCTGTACCACAACACGGATTTGTGCGCTTTCGACCAAATCAAGTGCTTTCGTCGGATCCGCTTCAGCAACCTTCGACGTGATAAGGACCCTGAAGTCATTTGGCCCAGCGAAGGCCAGCGTGGAGATGACCTAGCATGTCGATTGAAGTTCACGCTCAAGTTTCGCCCGATATTGCCCCATCACAACAGTCGGATACGAGCAGGCTTAGAGGACCAGGAATTTGCCGTCGAATACCTGACATTTGACGAGGCAACAGTCCAAAGTAAGTATCGGCGTACTGCCAAAGAGCTCCGCGACGAGTGGCGTGGTTTCAACCAAACTATTCCATTTGGCTCAGCTGTACTCGCAGGTAGATCTGGACCCTTGGTGATTGATCTGGCAAATCCCGTTGCTCGAAGCTGGAATGTCTGTGATTCCGATCCCCGTCGCACATACACCTTTGGCGATGCGTACTGCGGTGCAGGAGGCACCTCCTGTGGCGCCCAGAAAGCCGGGTTAGCCTTGACCTGGGCTGTCGATATGGATACCAATGCCTGCCAGACTTATCGACAGAACTTTCCGCAGTCCCTGGTGGAGAATTCATCGATAGACCAATTCTTAACGCAAGATCCGTCGGAGCTGCGAGTAGATATCATTCATACATCGCCTCCCTGTCAGCCATTTTCGCCGGCGCACACTGTCCACAATCAGACGCGAGATGAGAGAAATTCAGCATGCATTTTCACCTCGCTCAATTTAATCGAGAAAGCTCGCCCACGAGTGATCACCATGGAAGAGACATTTGGATTGCGTGGTCGACATCCTGCCATCTTCAATCGGTTGATTATGGACTTTATCGAGATGGGATATTCTGTTCGCTGGACTGTAGTGGACTGCATCAATTATGGAGTGCCGCAGATCCGTCGTCGGTTGATCATTATTGCTTCGGGGTAAGATTGAATTCCTTCAATTGCATATTGAATTCCTTCCTTTTTTTTGGCTTTTGAACTTCACTGACGGAAATGAAATGATATAAAAGTCCCGGAGAGACTCTTCCAAACATAGCATCGCCCACTCATGGTCCTTTCGGGACAGGACTTGAGCCATTTGAAACAATTCACGGTGCGATCAGTGGCATACCTTCAGGATCTAATGATCATAACGTCTCCGCTCTCCTAGAGCGAAGCAAGAATAGTTTTCGCGAAGCATTCAGCCCTCACCAACCCGCAAAAACCATCACGTGCAGCGGCGGTGAGGCCAACTATCACCCCTCGGGAAAACGAGCCTACACGCCTCGTGAGGTGGCATGCCTGCAGACATTTCCCCTAGAGTTCCAGCTGTGTGGTCGTAGCATCCGCAGACAAATTGGCAACGCTGTCCCTCCTCGGCTTGCCGAAGCCATTTTCCGAGAGATCCACAAATCATTGCAGCGAACAGATGCACAGATGTGAGAAAAGCTCGGACGCTCCCCAAAGAAATCGGATGTTTGAAATCGAGTGCATGTGATGTGTGACGGCCCGAGGAAGGAACGTTGACTCTTGAAAAACCACCGTGACAATATACTTACAAGCCGGCAAGGTTAGATCACGTCAACGGGGGAGAACATGCGAATTACGCTTCTGTTCCTAGTTGTGAGATAGTGTTCGTTCTAACTTCAAAGGTTCACCATATTAATCCCCAGCTGCGTGTATTGATCTTAAAATACGTTTTCTCTTACCCCCGCTTTACCACGATGTTACGATATTTGTTAGGGCCATCTACCACACGTGAATTTAAGTGTGCTTTTTTTTCCGATTGTCGGAGCTTGTATGTTCTGAAAGAGCGTAGATGTATAATGGCAGGACATAATTATGTATATGTTGCGATCATGCAAGAGTCAACTGGTAACTGAGCCCTAGCAAGGGGTTCTCTGCGTAATAAATGAAATGACCGGATTCTTACCGACACTAACCGACTGGCCTCGGCAACATGAAAGCTTGCGACCCTTTCAAGTTTCCCCCCAACCTCTTCACTCTTCACTCTCCACATTCTTTCCCCAAGATCTCTTTTAATCTCTCCTCCCCAGAGCTTCTCCCTTACCACCTCTTCACATTGGATCATTCTTTTTGGTCCTTTTCCTCCAATTGCTCTTTCTCAACATGTCCCTTCCCGTGAGACGGTTGACCCACACGGCTCCCCGCACTTTGGCCCGCATCCCCATCTCTAGAATCCCCTCCACCTTTTCATCCTTCTCTATTCCTCGAGCTGTTCGCACTACTGCCCCTAAATTTTCTACCATGGCCGCTCGTCAATCTGCTGCACCGGTCGCATCGACCGACAAGTCCTATGATCCTGAGATTCAGGATATGGCCAAGTATATCCATGAGTACAATGTGGACTCCGAACTGGCGGTAAGTTTGTTTGTTTCCGCTTTCCCTCAATACAAATAAGGAAGTACTGGCATTGAATCGAATTTGAGACTGATTATTTGATTCTTGGCAAAATTTATCAGTTCGATACCGCCCGTCTTGTTTTCTTAGACACTCTAGGTTGTGGTCTGGAGGCCCTGAAATTCAAAGAGTGCACCAAGCTCCTTGGCCCCACTGTAGAGGGCACTGTGGTCCCCAACGGTACCCGCGTTCCCGGAACCCCATACCAATTGGACCCTATCAATGGCGCCTTCAACATCGGTTCCATGATCCGTTGGCTCGATTACAATGACTGCTGGCTCGCCGCTGAATGGGGTCACCCCTCTGATAACCTGGGTGGTATCCTGGCTGTGGCCGATTGGATCTCTCGCACCAACCGCGCGGGCGGCAATCTTGGAAATGGCAAGATTTTGACCATCCGTGATGTTTTGGAGGCCATGATCAAGGCCCACGAGATCCAGGGTGTTCTGGCCCTTGAAAACTCCTTCAACAAGGTTGGACTGGATCACGTCGTCCTGGTCAAGGTCGCCACTACTGCTGTCGTCTCCAAGATGATGGGTCTCAATGAGAAGCAGACTGCCGATGCCATTACACAGGCTTGGGTTGATGGACAGTCTCTCCGCACCTACCGTCACTCTCCCAACACCATGTCGCGCAAGTCTTGGGCTGCTGGTGATGCTTGCCAGCGTGCCGTGAACTTGGTTCTCAAGGTGCAGAAGGGTGAGGGTGGTCTCCATACTGTCCTGTCTGCTCCTACCTGGGGCTTCTATGATGTTTTGTTCAAGGGCAAGAAATTCGACTACCAGCGTGCCTATGGTAGCTACGTCATGGAGAACGTTCTCTTCAAGGTCTCCTACCCTGGTAAGCTCTTCTTTTACCTGACTGAATATCTTATTCTATTTACTAACAGCTTTATTAGCCGAGTTCCACTCCCAGACTGCCATTGAGGCTGCCCAGAAAATTAACAAGAAGCTTGCGGAGATGGGCAAGAGTGCCAAGGACATCAAGGAGATCACTAACCGTACCCACGAGGCCTGCATTCGCATCATTGATAAGCAGTTCAAGGCCATGGACAACTTTGCCGACCGTGACCACTGTGTTCAGGTGAGTAAAACGCTCCACTTTCCGACCACGAATTCTTTTTCAGAAAAAAAAAAAAAATCTAACATAGTATCGCAGTACATGGTTGCCACCATGCTTGTATTCAACCGCCTCACTGCCAGTGACTACGCTGACGGCTCCGAAGCCGCCACCTCCCCTCTGCTCGAGGATCTCCGCCAGCGCATCCGTTGCGTCGAGGATGAGCAGTTCACCAAGGACTACCACAACCCCGAGAAGCGCACCATCCCCAACGCTCTGACCGTCACTCTGAAAGATGGCACCGTTCTGGAGGAGGTTGTCGTTGAGGCTCCCCTAGGCCACCGTCTGCGTCGCGAGGAGGCCAAGCCCGAGATTTTGGCCAAGTACAAGCGTCACCTGCAGGCACACTTTGATCAGGCTCGCATCGACGAGCTGCTGCAGGTGGGCTGGAACACTAAGGAGCTTGAGAGCTACGAGGTTGACAAGTATGTCGACCTGTATGTGACGGACAAGGTGATTGCCTCCTCTTAATTCGGAGGAAATGACTTGACGATTGCCCTCACTGTATGATGAACATATTTTCTCTCCCTTTTATACACCGCAAAACTCGACAATAGACCGTGAATTGCATTCCAAATTTACATATCCCTCCTCCCTACGGCGGCCGATACCCGCCACCCTACTGCCATAGGCCCATAACCCAATTTCAACTTTCCGACTGGCAGAAAGTAAATTACGAATAATTCCAAATTCATATTTGTTTTTGAGATCCATTATATACAGCGCTGCATTATATACGGAATCCTTAAACTCCATTGTATGTTGAATCCCTGTACTTCCCTTCTATTTCAATCCTTCAATGTTGAACTAAATTATACATTGAATCCTTGAACTCTATAATTAATCCATTCTCAAGTCCCTTCTCAAGTCTATTCTAAAAGTGAAAAGATCAAATTATTCAATGTTGACCAGGATAAGAGGATCTCGTATGCGCGTACAGCTTTCCAGCGTTTGCTCACTTGGTCTTTTCCCTTCTGCCTTCCTTCTACTCAATCCATTCTGTTCTTTTCACTTCTTCCTTCCCTCTACTCTATCTACTATGTTCTTTTCGGTTCGAGAGCTACCTAAGAATTATCTATTTTATCCCCCTCTTTCACTCACTCCATCTCTCTCTCTCTCTCTTTCCTTCATCACCCTCCATCTTTCTCTCTCAAGATACCTCAAACTAAAGGTCAAAATACCAAAGCAAGGAACGGTGCCACCGAGAATACCTCGAAAGCAAGAGCGAGGAAGTTCGAACACCTGGATGCGGCGGCTACGGCTCTAACACGGATTTTGCGGCGACTCGATATCAACCACATGTTCGTTGGTGGGTACGCTGCCAGTGTTCTAGGCGGAGAGCGGGTTACGGAAGTGAGCCAGCGTTTCGTCATTCTTTCCTGATAATCATTACCCAGGTAACTGACAAGAAACCAGGATGTCGATGTGGTAGTATCGAAGGAATGTCGTGACTTTGTGGTCAAGCGGCCAAATTTCCGACGCTCTACTGACGATCACTTAATATTCCGCCACAATGGCACCGATGTCTTGGTTGATATGTCGCCCTTTAATGACAGGTATGGCAACTTGCTCGTACGTCCTAGCTATGATACAATGTTCTTGAGCCCAAACTGATATTTTTTAACTCAACAGTTCCTGTGCTCCACCCTAAAGGCCTTGTTTTTGACGAAACTTCGGCCCTGGCGTGAATCCCGTCTCTGCACGCGCTCCGATGGTCATAGGCGCTCCGAAACCGACCTTGAAGACATTCTTTTTCTTCTGAGATGGTTGACAGAAGGACCCGTATTTAGATCAAATCCCTTAAGATGTTCCTGCATGTAATAGATACCAGATCTATGGTGAATTGCTTGGAACATTGGCCCTGGGAGGGAAGAAAGAGCTGCTTCTTATGATGGAAGATTTCTAGATCCTCCCAATCGGTGCTCCTACTGCCCCTGCTGCTGCTGCTGGCAATGAACCTCCCCGAACTCCAAGAGGCAAGGTTGCGCGCCCAAAGACCAGCTCGACACCGCGGAACTACAGACCATTCGAAGGAACAGGAGCGGCAGGCCCTATTCCAATGCCCTCACTCCTGGATGTGACCACCCCTGAAACTCCGACTCGATCAACCGATGAGCCTCGATCAACTGATGTGCCTCGATTATCCGAGATGCTTCAAGAAACCGATGACAGCCTAATTGAAGAGACAGCACCAGCAGCACCTCCCAGGGCAGTCGCTAAGCCAAGAACCCGCACCAAGAAGCGAAAGACCGGAGAAGAAGCTGACCCTATGGACGAGGAACTTTGTAAGAGCAACACCAACCCGGACCTTGATAGTCCTACTGATCAGGACCTCCTGGAATTCTTGGAAGTATTAGAGAACCAAGCTGATCCAGAGGCATCATAGGAACAACGTCATAAGACTGCAAAAGGGAAGAAGAAGCGTGCACCAGGGTTTTGATCATGACGGATTTGAATCGCGGGACTAAGTTGAGTAAAAAGGCCTCAACTTGGGTGAAAAGAAGAACAAAAAAATGTTAAAATGATATTAAATCTCTACAAAATACAATTAATTGCGATTGAATCTTTACTTTTGCATTAACACTGTTTAATATTACTGAAGGATATATATTGAACATTTCAACACCGAAAGTTGAAAATATATATATTGATTGGTATAAACATGATAAATATTAGTGTGCATATGCCTCCACTATTGAAAATTTACATGATCGCCGCGCGCACGCGCGGCGATGACACTTGTAGATACAATACATGTACCGGCGGGAAACAGGTCGGTCAAGTTAGAAATTGAAATTGGGTTATGGCAGTAGGGTGACGGTTATCGGCCCCCGTACCTCCTCCCGAATCGCCAACACAACATACAAAATTCCAAACAGAAAAAAATCCCTTCACCCCGAAGCCCCAGACGTACACGTAACCCCCAAATCCTCCGTATTCGCACAAAGCACCTCACTATCCCCATCCGGCGCCACAACCGTATACCCACTAACCTTGACCCCACAACTCCCATCAGCACCACAATCCATATTCCCCGTAACAGCCCCATACGTCCCACTAGTCTTCCCACTAAACCCTTCAAAGACCACATCGCTCAAGACCGCATCCCCAGGATACTCCTCACAATAACTCGCATCCTCCCCATAACAACTCTGAATCTGAATCGCATAATCACACCCCTCAACCACAACCCCACTCCACGTCACATTACTCACCGTCGCAACCCCATGCTCCCCACCAGACGGATAAGTCTTGATGCCCGCCGCCTTAGTCGAATTGATCATCGTCGCGCCCGAAACATACACATTCTTCACGGACGCAGCCCCATTTGAGCCCAACGACCCCACACTCAGCCCGTGACTGCCCGTGCAAGTAATGTCTGAGACGGTAACGTAGTTTGCGCCGGACTTGAAGGCTACGCAGTCGTCGTCGTTGGAGACGGAGACGGAGGTGATGCTTACGGTTGTGCAGGAGCCGATGTCGAAGCCGTCGGTGTTTTTGGCGGGGTTGGTGCTTTTGGATGCGGCGGTCATTTTGAGGTTCGAGAAGTGGATTTCGCTGCTTGTGCCTGTTACGGAGTTGAAGACGTTTGGCGGGTTCTTTTGTGTTAGGCCGGTTACTTTTATGTTTGTGCTGGATGTTATGTAGAGGAGGGTTGGGCGTGCGTAGCTGCTGTTTGAGGCGAAGAGGTCGTATCTGTTTGGATGGGGGGTTCAAATGTTAACGACTGTTTGGATATGTATTTGGCGTTCATGGCGATCGGTATATTATATACTCATGATTTCGGTACGGGACTTTGGAACATGGAAGAGAATTCCTGAAATACAAGAGAGGAGAGGAAAGGAGAGGAGGGGGATTCCATACGCATCTTGTCCGTTTCCATCAATCAGTCCATCCCCAGTAAGGGACTGCAAAGTCATCCCAGTGACGCCCTTCACGTACATCATTGCGGTCCGACCTTCCCAATAGGAGGTATCCGAAGCGAACTTCAGCGTGCCCTCGATTTGAAAGTCGCAGCCACTGCATGATGAGAAGTCGAGCACGCTGTTGATGTAGTATGTTTTTCCTGCGGGGATGACGATCGTACCACCATCGCCACATGTTGCTAGCGCTGATGTGATGGCGGGCACATCATCTGTTGAAGAACTTCCTCCTGCTACTGGGGTGCAAGTTGATGAGCGAGCTTCGATTGTGCGTGTTGGAGAGCGCAGAGAGAGGGCGGTGGTTATGGAGAGAAATGGGAGGAGGGTAAGGGCTGATAGCTTGGAGAAGTACATGATGGGCAGCGGCTCTTCTTCAATAATCGGACTTCTGTTAAAAGTTCGGCCTTGCAAGGTACCTAAGGTGTTCCTTGATCAAATTTGTGGCACTTTTGAATTATTTATGCCAATTTTTGTAAATCTGAACAATGAAACGGAGTATTGTTTTGGACGTGAAGCTTATTGTCAACCTATTCCAAGACACACGGAGGATTGTCCGGATCGGCACAGGAATCAAAAAAGCTTTGCATCTCCATTCGAGGAACATCTATCAGACATTTCCCCTGTTTTTTCCCAGTTTCGAATCAAGTGCAGCGTAATGTATGCAGGGCCAGCGGCCCCACATGCTTGAAACCAATAGCATTTCCAATGGATTCTTCACATGCGCACTGTTTCGGCTAATCGTGCTTCCATTACTGTTGTAGGCCCCCGTTCATTGGTCGGTGACAAAAGTGGCTTTGGGGTTCGTTGTGATCTGCCGGGCAATGTGGATTCCTGCCCTTCGGCAATCCCGATGTATGGAAGCAATCTTGGAATTAGCGGGGTTGAAGAATCGCAGAAACTTTAGAATCGCCATGGCGGTTTCACAAAAATCCCTATTCATGGAATCATGATATGCAGGGGAGAGAGATGGCAGTTCTCACTGAAAAGAAACGGACAATTCTCCATTAAGCTCAGTGCACTCAGACCAAGTTCGTGGAGGAACTAACGGTGCACTGCTCTGAATATGTTAAATAGGTCTTCATTGCGTCACATTCCATTTTCCAAACAAGGGAAAATTGAATCCAACCCATTACTTACATGTCGATTCTCAAAATGAATCTTCTCGCTCTTTTCATCTCAGCCCTGTGCTTGGGCTCGACTGTGCTCGGTGCTCCCGCGAAAATTAAACGCGCAAACACCGTAAGCAGAACTACACCACCTTCAGGATGTATTTCCGTTGGTTCAAGTGGGACATACTCGACCATAAGTGCAGCACTCACAGCACTGGGTTCATCAACTTCATCGGCATGCATCTTTGTGTATAGTGGCACCTACAGCGAACAGATCAAAATCGACTACGCAGGATCTCTTATCATCTACGGCGAAACTACCGATTCGGGCCTTTACAAAGACAACACTGTCACGATCACGCATACTATCTCCTCAGAAGAAGCTGGATCTTTAGATCTTAGCGCAACAGTTAATATCGTTTCGGCAAATGTCAAACTCTACAACCTCAACATTGTGAACGGGTACGGCAAGGGTGCACAGGCTGTTGCGTAAGTAATATATCAAGGACCCAAAAGTCCAAAGGAAAAGTCTCGCAGATCATCGACGCTGATACCTTTCAGTCTGGTCGCAAATGCAGACAAGCTCGGCTTTTACGCATGCCAATTCACCGGATACCAAGACACCCTTTATGCCAAATCCGGGACACAGTATTACTCGAACTGCCTGATTGAAGGTCTGCTCCCTCTCTCCTCTCGACGCAACCCTATTCCATACCATTTCTATATTCTGACTTACATCCCAGGTGCCGTGGACTATATTTTCGGCGACGCTTCCGCATGGTTTGGCGAATGCGACATAGTTTCCAACGGCTCGGGCGCCATCACCGCCAACTCGCGGGAAGAATCCACCGATACCTCGTGGTACGTTATTGATTCGTCCACTATCAAGGCTGCCTCTGGAGTGGATCTCGATGGTGAAGTGTATCTCGGCCGGCCGTGGCGCGTTCTTGCGCGTGTCATTTATCAGAACTCGGCTCTTGGCGATTTGATTAATGCTGCTGGTTGGACGACTATGGCTGCTGATGCGACGCCGCTTTATTATGAGTTTGATAATACTGGGGCGGGATCGAGTACTACTGACCGCTTGTATGAGTCGTCCATTTCTGCGGCTGTGACGCACGCTACGGTTCTTGGGAGCGATTATAATGATTGGATCGATGAAAGTTATTAGGAATTAGTTCAGGCTATGCTAGGAGAAAAAGAGATGATTTCGAACTTCTTTCTGACTGTTCAAGGCTTTACTGATTAGTATACGTTTAAAGGATTTGGCATCTAAAGCGGATTGTATTGATTGATTGGTTCGCGAGTTTTTCCGAATGTAAATCCAAGGAAATTATGTAGAAAGCGCCGCCGCCGAATCTGCTTCAGAGCATGATGATTGCTGCTCAATTTCTGTAATCTAATTGGCAGCTGAAACAACCACCGGAAACCTTGTTCATTGAGCAATTCAGATCTCGCAGAGAGCTCTAAAATTGCTTCAAACTTCAAAGCACCCAATACGCCAAGCAATTGATGCATTTTCTCCGTGAAACATAGTAATATCAGAATCAGCAATTCAGGAGCTTGAATGGACAATCACAACCACCCACTCGAATACAATCATTGATCTAGAGCCGAGGATCTCGGTTTCTATGCAATTTGAAATCATGCAAAACCTTCGTGCCCAAAACATCATCTTGAACTCTCACTGACCCCCACGAAAATTCCCACTTACCCTCCGACATCGATTATCATTACCATTATTCCCAGTGCCCGTTGAAAGGCAAACATTGTAAAACCACCTCGGCTCACGGATACATCGGCAAATAAATTGATGCAGATAAAGTCTTGCCAGCCCGGCATATCCCAGCATGGATGAAGCATCGAGAAACATCGCACCTAATGGATCCCACCGCGGCCAATATCAAAGATGGCAGCCTAGAAAAATACTCAGGAAGAAAGGTACTAATTGTGACATCAGTACTGATCCCCCTCCAGCTATTATGTGTTACACTCCGTTTTTACGTGCGGTATCGAAGCAAGATCTCCTTCGGACTGGATGACACAGTAATCGGCCTGGCCATGCTAGGCCAGCTTGCATGGGCAGGCGTCATAATCGGTAGCTATAAGCCTGTTCCCAACTCTACTAAGAAACTCCAGCTCCATCCTGAGATTGATATCTAAAACACTGAGATGTATATTCCGATTAACTTCCAATTGATTACTTGCAGGCGCAATCAAGAATTCCGGCATGGGGTACCACACCTTATATCTAGAGCAAATCAATCCGAGCCTTATAATCTCCGCGAGCAAATATCGCACCGCAGAAGCTTTCCTCTATATTCCGAACGCCAATATGCCCAAGATATCAATCCTGTTGCTCTACCGGCGTATCTTTGCGACGCATACACTGCGCATTGCATGTGACATATTCATCGCCATACTGGTGGCGGATATTGTCATTTGTACCGTCGTCTTGTTCTTCATGTGTCGACCGTTCGCCGCAAACTGGGATCCTACTATCCCCGGAGCCAATTGCATGGATATCGTGGCGATATACACCTGGGGAAGTTTGCCTAATATTATTTCGGATGTGGCCATTTTGATTTTTCCGATGCCGGCTGTTTGGTCACTTCAGACGATTCTGCGGACGAAGTTTCAATTGACCATCACTTTCGCGCTGAGCAGTTTGTAAGCCATTTTTCCCCTATATGCACATGTAGACTTTATTCAATGTTACGAATTAACTTGAGTCTGTAGCTAATGCTTATAATGTGTGCACCTAGTGGGTTGATTGTGTCGATTGTGCGGTTCAAGTCATTCTTCGTTAACCAGAGCAATGATTTTACATGGATCGGATCTCATCATGGGATTTGGGGACAGGCTGAGCCGGCTGCGTATCTTATCTGTGCCTGTATCATCACCTTTAAGCCTCTGTGCGATAGCTGCAGATATAAGGGACGGCGGGACTCCGGTGGCGAGAGTTGACAGATACATAGGCGATAAGTGAGGGTGTTACTGGGTGGATACATGTGCATAATGCAGAAAGCGATAGAAGATTTGATATGAATACATTTCAAGGTATAAGCAAAATATACAGGATTCGTTAGAGGTGAGAGGATCGTAAGTATCACAGTGATAAGATGTTAAACCGTTTCAGCAGGTGAGTATGAAGCCTGACAAACTGGGCACTTGTAGTGCCGGTATTCGAACCAAGAGGTAAGACATGTTGAATGGAAAGCATGGTGGCATTGTTTCAGAACAATTATGGGCTTTTCATTCTCTGGGCCGGCTGTGGATTTCTCGTTTAGCTTGACTGGGGAGTGATGGCGTGAATTTCGTGATAGATGCGCAGGCTCAGGTGAAGATAAATAGGCAGATGATGAGAGAGATGAGAGGCAGATGGGACTGGATGGATATTAGCTCAAGGCACAGATAATATTGGCAAAAAGAGAAATATTTCAGTGATAAAGGGCCGAGACCAAGACACGAACACTTGGCCCGGGAAGTTTCTTGGTCATTGAAATTCTGCTCAGCCAAGGGCAAGTAGATACTCGAGTGACATTTGCCCAGGAGGAATCATCAAAGAAAAGGCATATAAATAGCCCTATCGGACAGAGGAATGTTGTGCCTAGTCTGGGCGTTCCCCACAATGTACCACCCTACCCCTCGTGGCCAAGACACGGGACCAGGAAACGAAATGAAAACGAGAGGGAAAAAAATAGGAAAATGGACTTACCACATGTCTTGGTCGTAATGTGCAATATCGCTGGGATCATTTTGCTCATTGAGCCATCGGTCCACAGAAACCTCCTGCATTGATGAAGTGAGAATGGCAGTTTGACTAGCACGGCGGGAAGCATCACGGCGCCGGTGTTGCCACATGAGAGCTCTAAGAACCAGGGGAACAGTATTAGTCACACAGTGAGATCTTGTAGGCAGATGATGAGGATGGCCAAGATCAAACCTGTCAAACAACTCACATAGGAAAGAGGCTAATCAGGGAAAACAGGGCCAGTGCCCCAATAATGATTCCGATCACCTCGCCCCGCGGAAGAGTATCTTCGGGCATAATGTGGAAGGGAGGGTCTCGGACCCTGACGTCAGGATAAAGAAGTGAGAATACAAGCAGAGGGGGTAAATGTATGTGATAACCGAACAACTAGACAAGTGAGACCAGTCTGACCCCAGATTAACGACGAGATCGGATCGGATCACTGCTAAACAAAGCACAACCCCAAGATCGTCAATCAATCACCATTATCCGACCAAAAAAATCCAAATCCACAATCCGACGAAGTTCGCCACCGTGGACGAGTAAAGCAGTTCAGAATGGGGGAGACAGGGACACCAGAAAATCAGAACCAGGATCACGACGGGAAAGGAGAGCAGATTTGAACTCAGCAGTGGACACTCAGACCTCGCACAAAGCAGGATGCCAAGGATAGACCAAGAACAGCCAAGAAAGACACATTATCTCCGTTGGATGTATCAAGCGCGGAGGTCCTCGCGAAGCCCAGAATCCCGCTCTTGGTATTCCGCTCCACCAATCACGACGCGGTGGCGGCTCACGGCCGAGCCAGCGCCGAGACCAGTCGTGTGCGTCATTTTGCCTCGGCAGGAGTCGCGAAGACAGTGCCAAGATGGTCCGCTAGAGACCGAAGTTTGGTTGATGGTTTTTATTGGGTGGTGGAATTGGCATTCTCCCCAGATTCTGGTACCCAGACGATAGACGATATCTGAGATTCGGGACGGATGGCCCGTACGTGTTGACTGCGGCGGAATTCGCCATCGCGTCTCCGTGGGGAAATCTATTTAAAGGATGGGGATTCCCTGGATGAGGGGAAAAAGTAGAAAGATCAAGACTATATTGTACTTAAAGAACAAAAGTCAGAAAAGCCACTCTAGAGTCTAGATATTTAGACTCTTTATCATCTCAGGAATCTTACTGATCCTGTGTATGGACTCCCACTCTGTTGAAGATACTTTCTATATGACACCTCCTTGAATCGGGAGTTCTTCTAGAAGTATACGATAGTACCTACTCAAGTAGGTTTACCACACAAACAACCAGTCTACTACAGTACTGGAAGCTCCACACTATGTCCACGGAAAAGGTCCAGAACTCCGAAAACAATATTTCACACCCTTACCTCTCCAATCCACCACATCACCTCACCTTTGAAGATGTGATCAATGAGTTGGGGACAAACTCCGAAGATGGTTTAACCACAGTCGAGGCGAAGAACCGCCTGGAGAAATATGGTGAGAATATGTTGGAAGGAGGCGAAGGAGTCTCCTTCGCCAAGATTATCATTCGCCAAATCGCGAACGCCATGATGCTGGTAAGTATTAGAATCTCGACCTGAAAAGACCATCCGCTCACCACATAATAGATTCTCATCATCGCAATGGCAGTCAGCTTCGGCATCCAGTCCTGGATCGAAGGCGGCTTTATCGCAGCAGTCATCGCCCTCAATATCGTTGTCGGCGTCTACCAAGACTTTGCAGCCGAGAAAACGATGGACTCCCTCCGCTCCCTGAGTTCTCCAACGGGAGTCGTGACCCGCGACGGCAAGACAGCAACAGTCCCCGCTAACGAAATCGTCCCGGGCGACATGGTAGAACTCAAGGTCGGCGACACCGTTCCTGCAGACCTAAGGTACGGCAACATACATACCCGAAAAATAAAAAGTGAGAGATAACTAACCCTCTACAGATTGGTCGAAGCCTTCAATTTCGAAACCGACGAAGCTCTCCTCACAGGCGAGTCCTTGCCGGTCCAAAAAGAAGCCGACTCAACATTCGACCTCGACACCGGGCCGGGCGATCGCCTCAACATCACCTACAGCTCTTCGACCGTCACGCGAGGCCGCGCCAGAGGCGTCGTGGTCGGCACAGGCATGCAAACCGAGATCGGCGCAATCGCCGCCGCGCTTCACGGAAACGACTCGAAGCGGCGGCCCGTCAAGCGCGGACCAGAAGGCGAGACTAAAAAACGGTGGTACATCGAGGCGTGGACGTTGACCACCACGGACGCGATTGGGCGTTTCCTCGGTATCAACGTCGGGACTCCGCTGCAGCGCAAACTGTCCAAGCTGGCGCTACTCCTGTTTGGAATTGCGGTTATCTTCGCGGTTGTGGTTGCGGCAGCGAATGATTGGCGCGGAGATAGCGAGGTCATTATTTATGCGGTTGCGACTGGGTTGGCTATGATCCCTGCGTGCTTGGTTGTTGTCTTGACGATTACCATGGCAGTGGGGACGAGGCAGATGGTGCAGAGACATGTTATTGTCCGCAAGTTGGATTCTCTGGAGGCGCTCGGTGCTGTGACTAATATTTGCTCTGATAAGACTGGCACTTTGACGCAGGGTCGGATGGTGGCTAGGCGAGCTTGGATCCCGTCTGTGGGCACTTATTCTGTGGGGTCTTCGAATGATCCTTTGAATCCACGGGATGGGGCTGTGAGCCTGACAGATGAGCCGCCAGTGAGGTTGAAGGATGGTTTGAAGGACAGTGGCCCTGTGAGCCCGCAGGACTTGATTAAGGATAACGAGGAATTGAAATCGTTCCTGAATGTCGCTGCCATGGCAAACCTGGCTCATCTGCACAAATCGGCTCAGGATGAGTGGCAGGCCCGTGGCGAGCCGACGGATATTGCTATTCAGGTGTTCGCCTCCCGCTTTGACTGGGGTTCCGATCAGTGGACCAAAGGTGATAAGCCAATCTGGCACCAAAAGGCAGAGTACCCCTTCGATTCCAGTGTGAAAAAGATGTCCGTCATATTCGCTAGACACGACCCAGACTCGGACAACACACTCGAAATGATCTTCACCAAGGGCGCAGTCGAGAGAGTCCTGGAGGCATGCACAACTATCAAGTGGACCACCTCTTCTCCACCCGTGCCGTTGGATGAGGAAATTCGAGACGAAATCCTCGAAAACATGGAGGCGCTCGCAAGTGAGGGCCTTCGAGTCCTCGCTCTAGCCGGTCGCAGACACATCAATTCCTCCGACAACAAAGGCAGCGATCAAACGCTTCCCCGAGAAGAAATCGAAAAAGACCTCGTCTTCTACGGCCTAATCGGTCTATACGATCCCCCTCGCCCCGAAACCGCCGGCGCAATCAGCCAGTGCTATAAAGCCGGCATCTCCGTTCACATGGTAACAGGAGACCACCCCGGGACCGCACGCGCAATCGCAGCGCAGGTCGGCATCATCCCCTCGAACATGGATGCTGTCGCGAGGGACGTCGCCGACGCTATCGTTATGACAGCAAGCGAATTCGACAAGCTATCCGAAGACGAGATCGATAACCTGCCCACTCTCCCATTGGTAATCGCACGCTGTGCACCCAATACAAAGGTTCGCATGATTGAGGCCTTGCATCGTCGTGGTCGCTACGTGGCGATGACAGGTGACGGGGTGAATGATTCGCCCTCGCTGAAACGCGCGGATGTCGGTATTGCAATGGGCCAGAATGGGTCGGACGTTGCGAAGGATGCGTCGGAGCTTGTACTGACGGACGACAACTTTGCCTCTATGATCAATGGTATCGAAGAAGGCCGTCGGATCTTCGACAATATCCAGAAATTCATTCTGCATCTGCTGGCTGAGAATGTTGCGCTTGCACTGACGCTGCTCATTGGGCTAGCATTCAAAGACGATACCGGCCAGTCTGTTTTTCCTATCGCTCCGGTCGAGATCATTTGGATTATCATGATCACTTCTGGTCTGCCAGACATGGGCTTGGGAATGGAGATTGCAGCCCCGGATGTGATGGATCGGCCACCGCAAAGCGTATGTAACCCAGCCCCACAGCCCCTTGCATAACAAAATGCTAACCGAACGGACCACAGAAACAAGGAATTTTCACCTGGGAAATCATCATCGACACCCTAGTCTATGGCGTGTGGATGGCGGCTCTTTGCCTCTCTGCCTTCGCGCTCGTCATGTTCCGCTGGGGCGACGGGAACCTGGGAGTAGGCTGCAACACGCAATACAACGACCCAAGCAAGCCATACACCTGCGACACGGTATTCCGCGCCCGTGCCACGACATTCACCTGCATGACATGGTTCGCGCTATTTCTTGCGTGGGAAATGCTGGACCTGCGTCGGAGCTTCTTCTGCATGCAGCCCGATTCCAAGCGCCGATTCACGCAGTGGATGCACGACATCTGGCGTAATAAGTTCTTATTCTTCGGTATCATGACAGGCTTTGTGTTGGCTTTCCCTATTCTCTATATTCCAGTCATCAATCATAGTGTGTTTAAGCATACTTCCATTACTTGGGAGTGGGGTATTGTTTTTGTCGAGACTGTTTTGTTCTTCTTGGGTATTGAGTCGTGGAAGTGGTGCAAAAGAGTGTATTTCCGTCGACAGGCGCACAAAGCGGAGAAAGAGGGCGAGCCTCCGAGGGATGAGAGGCGTCGACTGAAGGACTTTAGTCGTCAGCCTACTATGAGTCGGTCGGAGACTCAGGCTACTGGCGATTTCAAGGTTGAACAGTCGATGGTTTGAATCTCTGCTTGAACATATTTCCCTCGCGGTGATTACATTGATAGATTCGAGTAATGTTTGATATATAGACATAGATCAAATTAAATTCAAATTCAAATCAACATCCATACATGTTAATTTGAACACTGATAATAGGCTGCGAGGTGAGCGTTCGATCTACTCAGTCGCAGTCTCAATGTTATGCTTGGACTCCTCATCAATGTGGCCATCATTTCTGCGACAGTCATCTGGATAATCCGTCTCCGTCCAAGGCTCCCAGAAATGGGCTCCACCTTTCAGAGAAGTAACGCTCTCCCAAATCGTGCAAAACACGAACAGCGCCATAATAATGGAAAGAATAGACGTCGCGCCAAGATGGCGTGCAAGAGGCAGTAGGATAATAATGATCGCGGTAACTGGTCTCATCATCAAGCGAACCGGCTAGAACGCACCTGAACATCAGCAAGTCAATTCTCGAATCAAAGCACCACCACCAACATACCTTATTTACGCACAAAGCGCCATTCCCATCCCTGGACCCATGCAGCAACGCAAAAACATACAAACAAAGCATCCCAACCCCCAACCCCCCACAAAGCAACCACCGCTGCGCATCCTCAAAGTCCACCTCCTCAACCGAAGCAGCAGCAACATGCCCACCCGCCAAAAGACTGGCAATAAGCGGTAAATGAACCAAAGCAAACGCAAACGCCGTATAAATATTATGCGTCAACGGATGCGCCGAATGCAGCGACCCATCCGCATGAACATACAACCAATTCAAACAAAACGCAATAACCAACGTCCAGATCGCGCGCAGCAACCGCTCATTCAGGCCAACAGCCGCATGATTGCCCACAATAATAAGGTACAAGAACTCGCCCAGCGCAATAATATAAAACGCCGCGAAGCGGTCCGCCTCATGCGGAATATCCACAGCAGTCGAGTACTTGACCTTCAGCATCCGTTTCGCAGCAGGCGAGTAAGTGAACACCCAAGCGACTTCCTCGAGGACGACGGCCACGGCGGCAGCGGCGACCTTTCCGCGGAGCGAGACCGATTCGAAATATAGTGGGATGTACACGGCCAGCGTGAGGATTGAGAGGCCGAGCCAGAGCCGTTGCTGGGGGCGGTGCTGGTAGCTTGCGATGGAATTGAAGAGGTGCATGCAGCCGAGTGAGAGGCGGGCGGCCATGTATGAGCCGACGGCGGCGCGCATTGCGCTGATGTCGTCGTCGACTAGCGGTGCGTTGTTACCGTATACGACCATTAGGGCCATGATCCAGAGGATTAGGACGCGCTGGAGGAGGTCGTCGTTGTAGAATGAGTTCATTACTTCGCGGAGATCACTCCAGACGTGCCATGATGGTGCTAGAATTAGCTGTGGTATTTGCGAGTCAGTGCTGAGTTGATGTAATCAGGCGCGGTATGGATGTCCACAGCAATTGCGGTTGGATTTCTTACAATGTACTTGGCGAGCTTTGCGCCGGAAATGTCCTCGACGAGAGTGTCGGCGAAATTTGATAGGATTGCCACGTAAAGCAGATCCAGGAAAAGTTCAAATCGACCTGAATTTGAAATGAGTTAATTTTTTAATATTTTTCTCATTCTTTTTTTTTGTATTGATTGGGGCCAACGCGTTGTGGTCATCTCCGCTTACCTGCCTGTCGTTCTCCCTCATGCCGCTTAACCAATTTGCCGTGTTCGAACCACTGCAGTGCGCGCGGCTGACGAATAAGGTAACGCGTCACAGATTGGAGCTCAGGGTTGTCGACTTCTACTTCCGCTGTATCTGCCATTTCCTATCTCGGGCCGTGTGTCACAGCACAGGACTCGGAGAAGCTGACGGTCGCAACTTCGCAAGCTCGCAAAGTTGTCGAGGGGATCGAGCTTTGGGCGATCTAGAATCCGCCCCACCGTTCTTGGCACCTTATCTCACCACTTGGTCTAAATCGGGGCGGACTCCATCTGAGGCTCTAAAAGGTTGCTATTGGCAGATTTTCCAAAAACGATGGCTATTATCCCGTCTTTCTTGCCTCCCTTTACTCTGCACTATGATCAATTATGCTGTGTTAAATGCATATTCCTCCTACACTGCTACCTTGCTCTGTACTGAAAAGCCTTGGGATTATTACCTCGCCTTGACAACAGTTACTATACACAATAAACCTCTACCCAACTTTTCAGGAAGTCATCACTCGTGCGAAAAAAAACAAAACGTCAATATAATCATAGCTTAATCTTCCTTTCTGCCAGGGCAAGATCCAGCCATGACTGAATCGTCTGTACAAGTCCGTCAATCTCATCTTCTGTATTGCCAGCATGTAGACAGACTCGCACACGCTCTTTCCCCTCCGGAATAGTCGGAGGCATGATAGCACGGACAACAAACCCAGCCTTCTGACAAAAGCTAGCTAAATCCCGGGGCTGCGAGGTTCGGAGCGAAAAGATGGGCGATGTGGGGAAATGATCCACTTCAAACATGACCGATTGGCGGATCTGAAGAGAGGCTAAGCGCTTGTGAAGATGCCCAATCAATGTCTGGACTCGATGTTGCAACTATCAAACAGGGTCAGTCAATGGAATTTGTGAAATGGGAGAATTGCAGCCTTACCGGTTTCGTCTCTCCGGAGGCCAGGAGCTCATAAGCTGTTCTGATGGAGGCAAGGAAGGGGAATCCGAGGGCGGTCGTATAAATCAGGCTACGGGCATAATTTATCAAATAATCTCTTGTTTCAGGTCCGCACAGAACCATGGCTAAAGGCATCATTAGTAAAAAAAAAAAGTACTCCCAGCGGAGATTGGTGCTAGAAACATACCACCGTGACTAGCCAAAGCCTTGCCGAAAGTGTGCACACGAATAAACATTTGGTCCTGGACACCCAGTTCCTGCACCACACCGGCGCCGTTCGGCCCATAAACACCAGTAGCATGTGCTTCATCAACAATAAAATACCCATTGCCAAGCGGGAGAAGTTCCTGTACGACATCGATAAACTTCTTGATGGGCGCAACATCTCCATCCATGCTATAGATAGACTCAATAACGACAAAGACATTCCTTGAGCCATCCTTGACTTTTTCATCGCGTTCAATCTCAGCTCGCAGGACCTCCCGCAAGCTGACAGGACAGCTATGCGAAAACAATTCGCGCCGTCCCGCTCGCGAAAGACGCATTCCCTCATGCACACTAGCGTGAATAAGCTCATCATAAATAATCAGATCGCCAGGCTGCGGAATACTAGACAAAACGCCTATATTCGCATCGTAGCCCGAATTGAACAGAAGCGCCGTTGGAGCATTGTGAAATTCAGCGACAAAGCGCTCCAGTTCCTCGGCATAAGCCGAGTTGCCATCCAGCAATCGCGATCCGCCGCTGGCGAACGGGAAGGCATCAGGCGTGTTGTTCACGTGAGCCAGGAAGCGATTGCGGTAGGCTGGGGCCGTGGAGAGTGAGAGAAAATCATTTGATGAGAAGTCGGCTGCGGTTCCTGGTAGGATGGTGAGCCTGCGACGCGCCGATTTGGCCTCTCTGCGTTCTAGCGCGTGTTTAAATGAGTCGACGAGGGTTTTTCCCTTGGGCGCGGTTGCATTACGTGGGGAATTCATCGCGTGTGTATGCGGAGGAGCGGTTCCTGGATCCTGCTTCAGGTATGTTGAGACGTATCGGCTAGGAACGGGTGGAAGGTCCCAGGCACGAATCACGATGATCTTCCCGCACTTTAAAACGTCTACGGAGTAGCGGACCGCGGTCAAGCAGATTCGAATAAATCCGGGGAATTTCATGCAATTGGCTCACATTCCATGCACAGACCATTGAATCGGGAGATCATCGATTTTGCCATGCTGAATTGTTAAGCATCATTTTACATCTTTTTTTTTTTTTCATTTTCTCTTTTTTTTTCGACAAAACAAAACTGGAGTTCGTTGGGGCTCAACGGAGTTTATCCTCGGTGGTCTTCGGTGAAAGGGGATGAATTATTGTGGATACTAAACAGAGAAATTTGATTCGTCAATTGACATCGAACTTCCCGGTAAACGCAACCAGCGCGGAGTTGGACTTTACCACTCCCGGGTCCCGCATTTCAATCCCAAGCATCCAACTTGAGTCATTTGACATATACACACAATGGCTCCGGTCGGCTCGGCCCTTTGGCGTACATTGCGCGCGCATCAGGTCTACGGTGCTAATACCGATGTTGGCAAGACAATCGTCTCAACGGTGTTGTGTAATGCTGTCCAGAGACAGAAACAACAAGCCGCGTTCCTGAAACCCGTGTCCACGGGTGCATTGGATGATGCTGATGATCGGTAAGATGTGATGTTGTCTATACTTGTGGAACTATACTGACTGATTGGGGCTCATAGACACATGCAGAGGTACGGAGCTGGAGCATTGACCAAGTGTTTGTATCAATTTGATGAACCGGTCAGCCCGCATCTCGCCGCGAAATCGAAGACTGTAGGTTTGATAAACCCGCTGATATAGGTTTTTTTTTTCTAACACACCTCCAGATTCCACGGGATGATGATCTCCTCGCATCAATTCATCAGACACTGTCCGGTTGGGCACGGTCGGACATTGACTTTGCCCTGGTCGAGACCGCCGGCGGCGTGCATTCTCCCGGTCCCAACGGCAATTCTCAAGCGGACCTCTATAGACCGCTTCGATTGCCCATTGTTCTTGTCGCAGACTCTCGTCTAGGTGGCATTTCCTCCTCAATCTCTGCATATGAGTCCCTGTTGCTCCGTGGATACGATGTTCAATCCGTTTTATTGTTCCGCGACGAGTATTATCAAAACCATGAATATCTCGGAGATTATTTCCGCAATAAGAGTATCCCCTTGGTTCATCTGCCAGCTCCGCCGCCAAAGCCATTGCAGACTGACCCCGATGCTCAACTAAGAGATGAAGAGGCAATGCTTGCCTATTACGGTCAGGCATCTCAAGAGTCGGAGATTCTGCGCCTCCTTGAACAAATGACTATCAACAATAAGCAAAGGATCGAGAGACTGGAGGAAATGAGGGAACGCGCCCAAGACTTGATCTGGTATCCGTTTACCCAGCACCAGGGCATGCAAGCGAAGGATATTACCGTTATTGATTCCGCTCATGATGATTATTTCCATACATTTGATTCAAGTCGTGCTGCAACCTCGGATGGCGAGCTGCGACCAACCTTTGATGGTTCGGCATCTTGGTGGACTCAGGGATTGGGTCACGGAAACCCCGAGCTTTCTCTTTCGGCAGCTTATGCGGCTGGTCGATACGGCCATGTCATGTTCGCGGGCGCGGTTCACGAGCCTGCACTCTCCCTTGCTGATAACCTTTTGAAGACCCTCGATAACCCACGCTTCAGCAAGGTATTCTATACCGATAATGGTAGCACAGGAATGGAGGTGGCTATCAAGATGGGCCTCCGTGCTTCCTGCGATAGATATGGTTGGGATGCCAGCCAAGAGAAGATTAATATTCTTGGCATGAAGGGGAGCTACCACGGTGATACCATCGGTGTCATGGACTGCTCTGAGCCGTCGACTTATAACAAAAAGGTGGAATGGTACCGCGGTCGTGGCCACTGGTTCGATTTCCCTCTGGTTAAAATGGTTGATGGAAAGTGGAAGGTGGAAGTTCCCCAGGAGCTGCAAGAGGACCTGGGCTCCGACACAGAGTTCAGCTCTTTGGGATCCGTATTTGATCTGAGCAGCCGACTGGATTCCGACGCCAGTGAGCGCTATAGGAAGTATATTCACCGCACGATCAAGGATCTTGTGGACACCCACGGAATGAAGTTCGGTGCTCTCATCCTGGAGCCCGTCATTCTAGGTGCGGGTGGAATGCTTTTCTGGTTCGTTGTCAACACTTCAGCGATATCCTCCCTTTACTAACCAGATTATCCAGTGACCCCCTGTTCCAGCGATGCCTCACTGACGTCGTCCGCGAGCACCCTGAGCTCTTCTCCCCCAACGCAACCTCTGCAAAGGCCTCCCCGTCCTGGTCTGGATTGCCCATTATCTTTGACGAAGTGTTTACTGGCCTCTACAGACTCGGACGTGCGACCGCTGCATCCTTCCTGGACGTCCACCCGGATATTGCTGTCAACGCCAAGCTCCTCACTGGTGGCCTGATCCCTCTCTGTACCACAGCAGCAAGCAAGGAAATCTTCGACACTTTCTCGAGCCCCGAGAAGAGTGACGCGCTTCTCCACGGCCACAGCTACACAGCCCACGCCGTAGGCTGCACGGTCGCCGTGGACTCGCTCCGCACGATGTCCAAGATGGACAAGGATGGTTCCTGGGACGGATTCCGCGCCGATTGGCAGACAGCGCCGTCCGCATCATCCGCCACTGCTACGCCAGAAGTGTGGAGTGTCTGGTCAAATGGCCTTCTCCAAGATCTTTCCTGCGCGGAATCAGTAGAGAGTGTTTTCGCTATCGGAACTGTCTTGAGTATCTCCTTGCGAGATGAACAGGGTGGAGGTACGTCCCATGTAGAAACTACCAAAGGGGAATCTTGCACTGACGATATTACAGGTTATACCTCCACAGCCTCCAAGGGCTTGCAGCAGAAATTGACCGAGGGCGGCGATCAATTCAATGTCCATTCTCGCGTGTTGGGTAACGTGCTCTACTTGATGTCAAGCGTGACCTCCAAGCCCGAGTCATTGCGAGAGCTGGAGAGCCTCCTCCGCTCTGCCCTCCTGTAATGATCAAGAAGATTTGAAATCCGCCACGTCCTACTTAGCTTTCGTTTTAACCAGCCGGTGTAGATCACCATAGCGTGCTACGCACATATCTGAATATGATTTACATGCAAATATCTTCCAACAACACACTCCATCCTTGATGAAGATCGTCGCGGCAAATTGCCAGACCACCTTCCGTATTGGAACAGGCTTTCCCCATTCCCCTGATCAACAATAGCATGATATCATCCAAATCTCACAGACGAAGATATCTCGGATATGCAACCGATTCTCTCCGAGTTTACCCCCAGCCAACCCCGTGGGGATGTCTCAATCAGATCATTGGGGAAGAACTTTCCTCAAAGCAAGCCAGTCGAAATGCATGCACGATGACTGGGGAAATCTCCATCCCCGACGCGACTCCAAGTTTCGTAGAATTGTTGAACTTCCCCACAACAATGAGTGGGGCGATGTAGTCATAGAAATTGAAGTTCTGGGCCGCGCCCCTTAACTTCACACGGGCGCCCGGTGGCCTGGTGTGTGGAGCCGTGGAGTACGAGGTGCACGGTGGGAATCCTTCAGGTTTTGTTTGGGAAAACGGTGGGCTGTGAACAAGGGTCAGATTGTTGTCGGGTGGCGCTCGGCAGGCACAAGGCGCCGAATATAGTCGCAGTACGCACTTGGTAGCGTAATATGTAATGCCTCTATTGCCCATTTTGGCACCTCAAGCTTTCATATCCGAGAAAGGTGGAAATATTACATTCAATGCAATCTTCGGCATTTAGAACCTCGATACGGAGTAACATGGACGGCACATCAATTCTCGGCTAGTCGAGGTTGACGTGTGGGGATAACATCGGCTCCAGAGACAAGAGAAAAAAGTATGCAGATCTGACAATTTACGTCGGGCAAGAGCAAAACTTCTGTCATACTCTGGCAGCAAGTGGTTGCCGCGAAGTTTAAGAATTGCCCTGACTAAGAGATTGGCTGTTGGTGGCGATGATGCGCATCGAGCCGCATTTGCCAGAGTTGGAGTAAGTATCAAGGTTTTTTTTGTTTCCTTTTTTTTTTTTTTTCTAACTCATTACTTTGGGAATCAGTTCTCCGTTGGAGAAGCATTAGTATTCTATTTCCGAAAATGCACTAGGCATTGAAGAATGACATTAGCACTATATACAAACCAAGCTGAAGCTTGAAAGAAATCTCTTCAGACACAAACGTATACTGAGCCGACTTCTCAGTCTTGGCTCTTGGCATTGACCTCGTCGAGCTTCACATGGAAGGAATTTTTCCTTCTTTTTCCCTTCGTAAAAATCCCGGCTACCATCGGCCAAGACACCCCAAGGGTCCCGAGATTTCCGTTAGATAATATGTAGTTGAGCCGAGAAGCTGATTGGTACAAGCGAACAATAAAGTGGACTGACAGATCCACCATCTTGCCCGGAAGTGGACCGAAAGACGCTTAAATGTCGAAGATCTTGACCGAGTATACATTTGCATCGCTGAGCGAGTTTCCGTCCCTAATAACATGTACAAAGAAAAATCAATTCGCGCCAGATAAGCCGATTAAACACATTCCAGAAACTCCGGGCCCCAGAGTTTTTTTCCCCATAAAACTTGTTCACCGCGGGGGTTTCGGTTGGCTCATTGTAACGTTGAGATCCACTCCGGTTAGCTAAGGATTAATTTTTTGCACATACATATCCAAGCTGTCTTGCTTGGAAATTCTTTTGTGTGCTTGGTCTTGTCGTTTCTTTTTCTTCTTTGGTATAGAATTGTTGCTATCACTTCGCCATAATGATCGACGGGGTTAATGTGCAGCATGATTCTGAGTCGGGGTATGATGAGAAGAAGGTGGAGGATGATGCGTTCCCACGCTATGTCGATGCTTTTGGTGATGAGTCGAATGCTGAGGTCAAGTATAAGACTATGGAGTGGTGGTAAGTTCTAAGCATATGCGTGTGCTAGATGAATCTGAATGAATACAACCGATCGCTAACGATTGTATCAAAATCTAGGCAAACTGGAATGTGTATGTCTCTCTGATCCGAAACGCGTTAGAGTCCAGGCGTTCATATGTTCCGCAGTTGAGTTCTAACAATATACAGTCATGATCGCCGAGTCTGTCTCCCTGGGTGTCCTCTCACTGCCCGCGACCCTTGCCCAACTCGGTCTCGCCCCCGCGCTTGTCCTGATTATCGGCCTGGGTCTCCTCGCAACATACACCGGATACGTAATTGGACAATTCCACCAACGCTACCCTCACATTCAGAACCTCGCCGACGCAGGCGAAGTGCTCATGGGCGCAGTGGGACGCGAACTCTTCGGAATCGGCCAGCTGCTCTTCTCCATCTTCATCATGGGCAGCCACATCCTCACGTTCAGCGTGATGATGAACACCATCACCGACCACGGCACCTGCACCATGGTCTTCACGACCGTCGGATTCCTGATCTGCATGGTCTGCTCACTGCCGCGCACCATGAAGAATATGACCTACATCTCATGTCTGTCCTTCGTCAGTATCCTAACCGCCGTGCTCATCACCATGATCGGCGTCGGTGTCCAAGACCACGGATACACCACTCTCCAGGCTACCGTCGACACAAACCTCTACAAGGCTTTCACGGCCGTGACCAACATCGTCTTCGCGTACTGTGCCCACGTCGCCTTCTTTGGCCTCCTCGCTGAGATGCGTGACCCTCGTGATTTCCCTAAGGCCCTGTACATGCTGCAGACTTTCGAGATCATCTTCTACACCGTTGCGGCTGTGGTCATCTACTACTACGCCGGACAAGATGTTACATCCCCAGCCCTAGGCTCCGCCGGCCCTGTCCTCAAGAAAGTCGCGTATGGAATTGCTATCCCCACCGTATGTTCATCATAATTCACCAAACCACAGTCTTTATTGTTTACGATTACTAACAATTACCCTAGATTGTGGGCGCCGGTGTCGTCAACGGCCACATCGGTCTAAAATACATCTATGTGCGTCTCTTCCGCGGAACAGACCGTATGCACCGTCGCGACCTCACCTCCATCGGAACCTGGGTCGCCATCGGCGTGAGCTGCTGGGTCATCGCCTGGATCATTGCCGATGCCATTCCGGTCTTCAGCGATCTTCTCAGTCTGATCAGCTCTCTGTTCGCGAGTTGGTTCAGCTACGGTCTTGCTGGCGTTTACTGGCTGCACATTAACCAGGGCAAGTGGTTCTCGTCTCCCAGAAAGATCGCTCTCACCATCCTCAATGTCATTATCGTGCTTATCGGTGCTTGCATGTGTGGTCTTGGTCTCTACGTCTCTGGTAAGGCGATCCACGACGATGCTTCCAGCAACAGCTTCTCTTGTGCTAGCAATACCGTTGTATAAGCACTTTTTGGGAAGACTGCTGTTATGTTGATGTTTATATGTATATGAGTCTTTGCATGCGACGTCTGTATCTTTTCATCTACTTTGTATATATGAAGGAAGGACTTGTTTGTAGCCTTAAAATAGAGATGAGATTTCTTTCGCTTTCGCTAAATTACTATCTTTCGTCCACCTATCATTCTGTCTTGTACATCTACCTATCGCACTCTTCCCGCATCACATATTCACCCCCGCTAGCTTCACAGCAACCGCAATTATCCCTCTACCAATTATATCCATCACTTAGGTGGATAAGCACCCTCATAAAGCAACGCCCTATTCTCCTCAATCCAAACCCGCTCCTCAGCACTCTTAAACGGGGGCGGGATCAAACTATTAATCTTCCACAGCCGTCTCTCCGTTTGACCAACATGGTACTCAAAATCATACCCCTTGTCCAACAGATGGGGTTTGACAACCTGATCCAGACGGGAAGTAGTGCGGAGGTACGCCGCATTTTCGTCGGGGACATGGACCGCGACGTGGTTGATGACCACACGGACGAACGGTTTGTCAGAAGCGCCGTTTGTTTTTCCGCCAACAAACACATCCGCGGTATCCATCTTGTGGAACTGGGTTACCACGTAGAAGGCCGGGAGGCCGACGTCTTCGGTGTACATCTTCGTGATATCTTGTGCAAAGGCTTGCTTGGATTCATTGTCGGGGAACGTACCCTCGGGATGGTATATTTGCCAGAGGGGCATTTTGACTTTGGGGGTTGTAGATAAGGTTGGAGATTCGAGATTGGAATTGAGTGAACTGTGGATGTGGATCGTTTGTACCTTGGAAAAGGAAGGTTTGAGTAGGTATTGAGCAATTCAAGGAGTTTGGAAGCTCAATGTTTGGAATGGATTGGTTTGGTGGGATTTCCAAGATACGGTTATTTCAATCTGCATTTATATTCATTCTCCTCCCGTTGTTGTTGTTGAGCATATCTTCCCGACTCCGTGTAATGTCAGCTAAATTTAATGGTGATATGTACATTCCCTTGTTCAACCATGACGTCAAGTTAGAGTAATCATTTTTGTTCATACCGAGGTATTCCCAAAAAAAAAGAACAATCGGATGAAACTTATAGCGAACGAAGTCGTGATAATTGTTGATGTTTTTGATTTTGTAAGCTGCGCAGTGCTATCACTGCTATGATCGGTGTCGGAGCCTGACAAATCTCATTTTAAGATTATTCAACATTTAACGATTATTCAACATTTACGCCGAGTTATGCGCTTATTCAGCATTTTCGATTATTCAACGACTCCTGTATGCCCATTGCCGGTCTTACGAGAAAATGACGAAAAGCCACTTGCGACATTTCACTATCAATAAATCAAATCAATGGATTATTCAACACGAGATGCAATGATGTTGGTAATCATGCAATTTGTCACGACCGTGAAAATTTTCCCGTGTTCAAGTATAAGTTCTCGTCGTCGACCGGGTTCAAAGGACATAATCCAAACAATCAAGCCTCTCTTCTCAAGTCTCATCTAAGAAACAAACTACTCAAACAATCACCATGTCCAAATCTCTTGTCTTCATCACCGGTGCAACCGGCTTCATCGGAACCCATGTGGTTGCTGCTACACTGAAAGCCGGATACCGCGTTCGACTAAGCATCCGCAAAGCCGAGCAAGAAGCCGGTCTCAGAAAGCGCTGGGCCGAGTTCAACAGCGACATCGAGATCCTGGTCATCCCCGATCTATCCAATGTTGACAGCTTGAAAGCCGCGCTCTACAATGTCGACTACATCTTCCACATCGCCTCTCCCATGCCGGGAAGCGGCAATGATCTGGAGCGCGACTACGTGATCCCAGCTGTGAAAGCTACGCTCTCAATGCTTAATGCCGCATTGGCACACAAGCAGATCCAGCGAGTCGTCATCGTGTCCTCTCTTCTCTCGCTCGCAGTTCCCGATGCTCTGATCTCAAAGAACGTTGTCGCAAAGGGTAAGACCAATAGGCTCAAAAATACACCATCAGAAGACCTCCGATTGCTAACAATACCTCACAGAAAACACCGGAGAAGTCATTTACGTCGACCCCGAAATGACCTTCGCAGAGGGCTTCGCAGGGCACGGGCTGCGATACGCCGTGTCTAAGATCCGCGCACACCAAGCAACGCGCGATTTCCTGAAGACCGAAAACCCGCACTACAAGATCCTTACTCTGCACCCATCTTTCGTGCTCGGTGAAGACCTCAACCAGACAACCGCAGCCGGTCTCGCTGGAATGAACAATCTCTTCTATCAATCCCTCCTCAGTGAACAGCCTCGTATCGGTAACGTGTGGGCGCATGTTCGCGATGTGGCTGATGTGCACGTGAAGGCACTGCAGGCGGACGCTGAAAGTGGCACGGAGTTCATCATTTCTCACCCTCCTGTGTCGTGGGAGGATGAGGCGAAGTTTGTCAAGGAGAAGTATCCCTCTTTGGGATGTAAGTTGCAGCCTCCATTCACGGGCGGTTGGGACGTTTATCCTACTGCTGCTGAACAGATTCTTGGTATTAAATGGCGATCGCCGGAGACCATTATCGAGGATGTTGTGAATCAGCAGCTGGCGCTCAAGGCTCAGGAAGCGGCTGTCTAGGATAGAGATACTAGGTATAGATTCTCCGGTCTTTGGATCTGATCATGGTCTTGTTGTTCTCTTCGAGTTATCGAGTTGGGTAATAATAATAATAATATTTGCATTTATTGAATACTCGATCTTCGATAGACTCCACCAGTAAAGGCCTAACATAATCCCGTCATCATCATAGCGCTTGCGCTTCTGAAATAAACGAACGAGAAAATCCTCAGAAAAGAGGCATTCTCGCCACATTGTCATAATCAACGTTATCCGCCGCAGACTCAATACGATCCGTAGTCGTCCCAAAAATCCGATCCCAAAGCCGAGTCTGCTTCCCATAATTATGACTCTTCCTCCACCCCTTCCGATGATGCAGATCATGATCCTCAATAACAATATCACAATCGAAGATCTGCAACAACCAGCTCAACGTCGACGGCACAGTCAAATGCATCCTCAACCCACTATGTCCGAAAACCTCCGCAAAAGCCACATACTGATGACACACCCACCACTCATAAAAGCCCATCGGCAGTCCCATCAGCCTCAAACTGAAATAAGCCATAAACGGCACACCGACCATATCAAAGAACTCCTGTTCGTGGTCCGCATACGCAGCCAGCAACGGGTTCGGGTGTTTAGTCAGGTGGTGTGTTCGGTGGAATTTCCACAGGAAGCTAACATCGTGCATGAGACGGTGGTACCAGTAGAACCAGAAGTCAAGCACGATGCCATAGAGACCTATTTCCAGCGGCAACCAGAGCCAGTTCATGGAGCTGGGGAGCTGGTCTCTGTTGTATGTTAGGTAGACGGCCATGACGAGGCGGGATCCGGTGGTCTTGTAGAGGGATGTGACGACCTTGCCGACGCCGACGTCGGGGACGCCGTCGCGCTCGTGCTTGTCGCCGTCTAGGAAGCCGTAGATGTGGCCCAGGCGGCGGAGGATGTGCACTTGGTAGATGACTGTGGCGTTGAAGGCGAAGAAGTAGAAGTTGAATGTGGCGATGGGTCCTAGCGTGCGGCCGGTGTAGGTCATGTATAGTTGGTGTAGGAGTAGCGGTAGGGCTGAGTAGAATAGAACCCATCGCTGCAGAGACCATTGTGGCATGAATGGGATCTTCTCCTCTTTCGCGTGGACTGGGACTTCTTTATTTAATTCGATGGGATGGGCGTTTAGAATTTCCAATGCCCAGTGTTGATGTGTCCATTCTGATCGGTCGGCGGTTCGCCAGGTGGATTTCATTGAATCCTTTGATGCTGGTTTGGTATCCATGGTTGATGGCCTTGGATTCCCTTTTTGGGGCTGACTTCATGGTGGTCCGAGGGATGCATGGTTTATATCCATTCTCTGGCGGATATAGAGACCGGGTATCGAAATACATGTGAATTGGTTCATGACGCCAAATGATCCCTGGGTGGATCTGAGTTCCCCAACAGATTCTGGCACCGAATGAAGAGAGCAGTTGAGAAGGTTGTAGATCAATAGAATCTTGAAGGATCCACAATTGGATCCGCTCGGTCGTTCTCCCACATGTGAAAATTTCCCCCGCACAAATAGGCCGAGGGGCTTTGAAGAACTATTTCACGCGTTGAACTAAACAGACTGTGACCATATGCCTGCCATTAAGCACCTGAATCAATCATTAGCGGAGAATTGTACTGCAGATTTCGACGTTGTTGTGCATGTTGTGTGATGTTGATGATGCAGGGGTAGAGTTGAGCCTCGGCTTTCCGATCGTGAAACGCGATCTTAGATCGCGTCCAGCAGAATTTCCCGTCCTCGCCTAAGTGATCTACCCCTTTTCTTCCAATACCGGCACTTATTCACCGTTTTTGGATGATGATCTTACTCCTAGAATGGTAACCTCTGCGATAATTCATCAACTAGTCCGGAAATAACAGTAATAGTGCGCGTGGTCTCGTTATTCTTGCCTGGGGCCGGGAACCTGGGGTAATTGACGAGTTTCCAGGAGAATTTTCCACGAACACCTTTGGTTTAGGAAGTGATAATCATCAACTCACCAATCAATCTGAAGATGAGTCCGTCTTTAACTCCGTTGATCTTATCTACCCTTCCCTCTTTTCCATCTAGTGACATACAAGGTTCGTCATTTCCTCATCTTCTCCCTCGGTCGATAATTGTTGGGATATCAAGTCGGCTATATACCATCTCTCCAATCCCTAACAACTTGTTACTGAAAACCAGAATTCTTAGGGAAAATATTGACCGTGTCTCATATTCACATGCATTTACATCATTATGGTATCAATTCTAAATTTCTTCAAATGACAATCTTCTCTTTCTTGCCCGTCCTGCACGATCCGACCAATGTGACAATAAGAAAGAGCACCAAACTCAACCGTGGACCAAGCAGTATATACATGAGCTGACCCAATGCGATCGCCAATATGATCATAACTCTGGGTGAGATACAAATATTTGACGGGTCAAACTTCACACCACAGATGAGCTTGAAACGCAGGAATGACTCTTTCCGTTTATTACCGGCGCCATCCACAGAGATCATTGTTCCAAACTGTACTTGCAACAGGGCACATAATTGCAGACCAAATTGCAGAACCGTCTTAAGAGCTTTGAATTGATTGGGGCTGAAAAAGACGCCGAGTGCCATGTTCTCGAGCGGTTGGTTTGGCGCTAGCTGCGCGTCATTCTCAAGACTGTTTTGAGTCGTAGAGATCTCTGCAACCTGGTTCCTGACATCTTCGACGATATCGAAAGTGGAAGCGGGGTTAAGGTATGCATGAATGCCCGTTCGGGCTGGGGTGTTTGCGGGCACTGGTGGGTTTTCCAGCGGGAGAGTGGGGTATCGTGTAATAGCGGGATTGGGTGCCATCTCATGGTCGCCGTGGTTTGTGCTTGATGGTATGGACTCAGACGGAAATGACTCAGCCTCGTCAACATCGAGTACATTATCTTGACTATTTTGTAGTCTACGAGCTTGATGTTCTCTCAACTTGGCCCGCCACAAACCACGCCATTCGCTCTCCTTGTTACTCTTTTGAGTAGCAATATTGGGGTGGACGTTGCTGTGAAACAGAAGTTCCACAAGTTCCTTGATGCTGTACTTCACGTGATCATGCTCCGATTCCAGGAATGTCATTTGGTGTTCCAAAAGCTTGCGAGCATCTTCGCATCTCTTTTTCGCCAAACGATGATTGCATTGATTGTTTTTTGTGGTTCTTGCAAAACATTGCTGATTGCCATTCTCGGTGATTTTAACCCTGAGGATATCACCAAGATTGATAATTTGCTCAGCCATTGTGGATGGAGATAAAAATATGTGCGAAGATTGAAATGGATAAAAAGGCAAGTTCCGAAGTAGGCTTCGCTCAATGATGTTCAAAGGGCGACTGGGTATGCCTAGACTCGATGGCTTGATCTTACAATCCAAGGGAGTCCCCAGAGATGCCTTACTTTATACATTTCCGGGCATTATTCTCGCGATTCTGCTTTATTAAAACCATTCCTAATTTGCTAGCTTCGCAGGCACCGCCACAGCTAGCAACAGCGCCTCAGGTAGTCTGAAACGAGGCTGAGTTACTAGTGTTTGCAGGCATTAGTGCGGCTAGATGGTCTAAAATGACATGGTAGCCCTTAGCTTCTGTTAGACTACGTCAGTGTATTTCGCTGGCCAGTAAAAAGCACCGGGAGTTTATCAGCATGTCAAGCCTCAATGACGGGCCGAACCATTGAAAGTGGATCTCAATTCATGGGCGCGTACATCTCCAATTGAGACTGGCGAAATGGGCGATGCCTATCCAGGTGCATGTGGGTAGCATAACTCCGTGGGGCCAATTCAATCAATTGATATTCATTGCTCAATATCAAAAACATCAATAGACAGGTTAGTTTCTAACATTGACCAAGCACTTTGGTTAGCTGGACATTCAGCCACACCTGGGCATGTTGATCGATTCGCAGCGCTGGAGGTGGGTTTCGCGCAAATAATTAGGTACCGCGCGATTCCCATGCACAGATGAATGAGGCCCAAATTTTTCAATTTCAATTAATTTAAATGTTCACACTGAGCCATTTCTCTGTCGCAATATTCTGAAGGTTAGGGGAGGGGGAAATTGCATCTTGGTACTTTTGCGTTGCTGTGGTTCTATTCTTAGCCCCAAAATGCAGCTAACACTTGGTGCCATTTCCCAGCCACATGTACTTGAATAAGTGCAGTTCAAATCTTGGAATTCGAGGACAACCAATCAGCGCTTGGGAGGATGGAATGTGAGACTGAGCCTCGGGAATAACTTTGATCTGATAAGATTGATCGGTCCATGGAACCCGTTCAGATAAGAATAAAACTAATTGAAACCCTCCGGGTTAGGTGGAGGTTAATTGCAAGGTTCCAAGGTTCTTTCTGTCAGCAACCCTGGAGTCGGGACATATGGAGAAGACATATGGATGATCGTAGATTCATTCTGTGAAACTTCCAAGGTTCCAGGCCTTCAAATGTTGGAATTGCCTGAAAATGATTCGGAAAGAAGGGATATGCACGTGTACATGGATTATAACCTTTGACGACGTCAGAACCTTCATTTGAATGTTGAAAGTTTCCATACTAGTAGTATGTGTTTACTATCCATACCTCCAACATCTCTTATGCTACCTTTACTATGCGAGATCCCCATGATGTTCAACCTCAACTGTTATGTATTCGCCCTAATACATTTTACCGCGATTGCTCATACGCGCTATCTTGGAATAACATCAACAAAATTTTTAAAAAAACCATTCAAAGAACTTTCCCACCAAAGTTTTTCTTCCTTCTTGTCAGGAGAAGTAAACCATGTGACCGGTCTGCTCCTGGTCATGCTGCAGCGCCTGTGTGTTTCTTCCTTCTTGTCAGGAGAAGTAAACCATGTGACCGGTCTGCTCCTGGTCATGCTGCAGCGCCTGTGTGTTCGTGTGTTCGTGTGTTCGTGTTGGTTTTGGTGTTGGTTGTAGTTTTGGTAGTTGTGACGAGGCAAGCGAAAAACAATGAATTGTTTTAAGGTCCTAACTGCGAGGAAAACACAGAGAGAGAAGAAAGGGAAACGAGAAAGAGACAGGAGGAAGTCAGCCTTAAGTACCCAGTACATTAAGGTTGACGACGGGAACTAAACGTAAACCTAACCCTAACCTTCTCTGTCAAACAAAGGAAACCTCTGAGAAAACCTTCTCAGCGAACAGAAACTGTCAACTCGTGACACGACTGACACGACATGTGACACTAGTTAGTCCAGGGAAGTGAGAGCTTCTCTCTCTTTTCCTCCTTCCTTCCTTTTCTCCCCATCCCTATCAGTGAGAAGAAATACAACCAGAGAGCTTTGATTCTTCCCCTTCATTTTTCCCAGGTCTACATTGTCGATCTGTCACTTCCCCACCAGAATCTTTCTTCCTTCTTCATCTCTCCTGCTATCAAATTTCTCCCCACACAGCTACACGCGTGGTCCAGCCTAAAACCAGCAACGCATAAGAGACTCTGAACGTTCTTCCCACCAGGATCTTTCTCACTTCTTCATCTCTCTTGCTATCAACCTTCTCCCCACACACCTACGCGTGGTCCAGCCTAAAACCAGCAACCCATAAGAGACTCCGAACCATCGCGAGATGGATCCACCGGTTGCGCAGAACGAGAATGATATGTCCGATGCCCAGATACTCGCCCACCTCGAAAGCTGTTCAACCAATGATAGAGTTGATTCGTTGAACGTCAATTTCAACGTCGACTTTGCTATCACCGACGAGTTCCTTGCGCGCACGGCTACCGTGGACGACGAAGCTCTGGTACACGCAGTCCATAAATGCCACGCGATGCACAATCGCTTCTTGGAGGGAGCAAATAAGTCCCGGGCCCGCAACGAGGTGGTGGTGGTGTACGATATCAGCGATGGATTCTTAAAAGAGGAATATGCACAACTCACCAAACTATTTGGCGAGGGTTGGTCTCAGATCCGGAACCGGGCGTTCCAAAATCCCCGTGCTGCGGCGATCGCACAGCACTGGTTGTCACAGCTGAAGATCCCCGGCCTTCCAATACTGACGCCGTTCGAGCACTCGTGCATACCAAACCCCCGCGAATTCGTCCGAGTGGCCCGTAACATGGCTTGGAGCCGGGCTGGTGCCGTCTTCTAATGAATAAGCCGGTGGCATGGACCGAGGATCGCTTGTCCTTGGATTCAGGCACGCTCGTGTCTGTTATTTTCCCCAGCTTGTGTCCCGCGTTATCTTCTTTTCTGTCATCCCCAACTTGTATGGTTGTTACCCCCCTGATCACCGATGTTATGTGCGTTTCTTACCACGCTCTCCCTCGACGAGGACACCGAGATATTTTGTTGCGGGGATTGTTTGGCCCCTGTCCCACGTTACTGTCAGGAGAAAGTGAACCGTGTGACCCATTCTGGTCACATGGTCTGCTCCTGGGTATGCTCCAGCGCGTGTGGGTTTCCTGTTAGTATCGTGGTGGAGTGTTGGTTTTCGTGTTGCTAGTCAGTCAGGAAAGTGAGAGCTTATTTCTCTCCTTCCTTTCCCCTCCATCCCCCATAGTGAAGAAATACTCCAATGAATAACAGCTTGGATTCTTCCCTCCTCATTTCCATTCGTTTTCCAGAACTACACCGTAGATCTGACAGTCACACGTCACATTGATGAGAGGAGAGTTGTTTAGTCTAGTATCTTAGTCTTCAATGTTGTATTAGATAAACATTTGAAGAATCCATCCAGACTCTGGACCAGTTGACATCTGGACATCTGGATGTTGCCTCAATCTGATTGACATTACATGTGCATCATACATAGTACATATGACAGTATGTATATTCGGTCAATCCCCAGATGTCAAAATATATATTTCTACATGATGGTTCTAATCTAGCGTATCTATGGACTCGTCATGTGAGGAATAAAAGAAACTTTGGTTTGAAATAAAAATTGCTTGGGATGGGATAACGGAATCAAAGCAGGTTCGTGAAATCTCAGCGGGTGGCGTTAATTGTATATTTTTTTTTAAGGTGGGATCCATGGATTCTCCGAAGGCTCTGGAACATCTAGATGTTATGCTTATGAGTGATCCATTTTGCTCCATTTTACTCCATAAGCAGGGGATAGTTTTCCCCCTTGCATCCGAAATCGTGAGCTTCTGATTGGTGGACGTATGACATAATCCACCTTCCTTGTTTGAAATTTTCATGTTGTGCCTGAGGCGAGACAACTGATAAGGCTAACCGAAACGGGGTTAGTAGTGTCCCATGGCAATAGTCTGTGATGTGATTGGCTTAGCCCCCACTGTCGCCGCCCAAAACAAAAAAAAATTGTGTGGATAAGCCCGATCGCTGATACGCCTCGTCTCCTTTGAATTCCCCTCCATCCCCTCTACACCCCTCTATCCCTTCGCTTTTCTAGTCAAGTGGATTGGAGTATCGTCCGCCGTCTCTGGACTTTGTACAGCTTCTTCCAGATCGTGCTTGGTACGAGTTTCATCTCTTTTCTGTGATTTTTGTCTTGTTCGAGTTTCTCGCCCCCCTCAGCGCCTTTGTCAAGGACACTCTCCTCTCCCCCCTCGCAAACTTGTCGCACAATCTGGTTACATATCCAAACCAGATTCTTCTTTTGAATCCTTATCATCAAGACAATGCCACACACCGTCTCTCCTTCTGAGTCGCCCGCCATGCCGACCGTTGTCTCCAAAACCCCTTCTGGGGTCGCCCCCACCTCCGAAGAGATTTCCTCTCTTCTGGCCACCATCCTCACAGCAGAGAGCTCCCAGCAGTCCCTGGATGCCTCTTACGCTTTGACAAACCTCCTCATTCAGAGTGTTGGCGTTGCTGGTCTGCTGAACTACAATGTTCTCGCCGAGACCCGGAAGGCCGCCACCGATAAGAAGAACGGATCCCGCCGCGAGAGTGCCATGTTGATCATTGGTGCTCTGTTCGAGCGCTTCCCCCAGGAGTTCCCTCTCAGTGAGGCCGTTTTCTTGTTGCAGGATGGAGGTATCCTCAACCTTGCCCTCGACTCCCTGGCCGATAAGGGTACCGTCGTTCGCGATGCCGCCCAATATGCCATCGATGCTCTTTTCACAGCTCTTAGCCCCGAGGCCAAGGTCAACGCTTTGCTCCCCGCCCTCGAGTCTTACTTGAGCAAGGGCTCTGGCAAGTGGCAGGGCTTCGTTGGTGGCTTCAAGCTGCTGGAGAAGATGGCTTCCGGTGCTCAGATGGGCACTGGCTCTGCGGAAGAAGAGCGCCAGAAGGATGTGCTGCGCGACTCCATGGGTAAGACCCTCAAGGAGTTGATCCCAGTTGTCGAGTCTGGAATGCACGACCTCAAGGCCGAGGTCGCCAAGCAGGCCAACAAGACCATGACCGCCCTCACCACTCTGCTGACCAACGACGATGTTGCCCCTCGCATCCCCCTGCTCATCAAGACCATGGAGCAGCCCTCCGCCCAGACCCTGCAGAAGGCCATCCACGCCCTCTCGCAAACCACCTTCGTTGCCATTGTCACATCCCCCGTGCTGGCCCTCCTCACTCCCCTGCTGGAGCGATCCCTCAACACCCCCACTACTCCCCAAGAAACTCTCCGTCAAACCGTCGTTGTCGTGGAGAACCTGACCAAGCTGGTCCACGATCCCGCTGAGGCCCGTACCTTCTTGCCCAAGCTCCAGCCTGGTGTTAAGGGCGTCAAGGACCGCGCTTCCCTCCCCGAGGTCCGTGAACTCGCTACCCGCGCCCTGAATGTCATGGAGGAGGCCATGAAGGACGGCAATCTCGCTTCTGGTTCGATCGTCAAGGTCACCCCCGAGGATGTCTTGGCTCTCTTGAACCCTAAGCTCCAGGAGCACGGCGGCCTGACTGGCGATGCCAAGTTCATCGAGCTGGCTAAGATGTTCATTGCCGGCATGGTCCGCGAGGATGTCAACGTCCGTTACTACGACCGTATTCCCTCTTGCATCACCCCTTACCTGCGCGGTATGATGGCTGATGAGCACCTTGAGGCCATCGCCACTGCCATTCAGGCTCACTACGTTGAGGAGGATGAGCGCAAGTTTGGCAAGCCTATCCCCGATGACCCCAACGAGGTTGAGATCGTCAATGCCAACTTCTCCCTCGCTTACGGTGGTATGCTTTTGCTGTCCCACACCAACCTGCGTCTGCTCAAGGGTCACCGTTACGGTCTGTGTGGTCGCAACGGTGCCGGAAAGTCCACTCTGATGCGCAGCATTGCCAACGAGAAGCTGGAAGGCTTCCCCCCTCAGTCCGAGGTCCGCACTTGCTTCGTGGAGCACAACCAGGGTGAGGATGCTGACCTTAGCATCCTGGAGTACGTTTCCAAGGACCCCCAGATTGCTGCCGAAGGAAAGGAGGCCATTTCCAAGGTTCTTCTCGAGTTCGGTTTCACCGATGGACCCGAAGGTCGCCAAGCCCAGCCCGTCGGCTCTCTGTCCGGTGGTTGGAAGATGAAGCTGGCTCTTGCCCGTGCTATGCTCATGAAGGCCGATGTTCTGCTTCTTGACGAACCTACTAACCACTTGGATGTTGCCAACGTCAAATGGTTGCAGGAATACCTCAAGAAGCACACCGACATCACCAGCTTGATCGTGTCTCACGACTCTGGCTTCCTCGATGCCGTCTGCACAGATATCTACCACTACGAGACCAAGAAGCTCGTCTGCTACCCCGGTAACCTTGCTGACTTCGTCAAGGTCAAGCCCGAGGGTAAGAGCTACTACACTTTGTCTGCCTCGACCGTCCAGTTCCGCTTCCCCCCTCCCGGTATCCTCTCTGGTATCAAGTCCGCTACCCGCTCTATCATGCGCATGAGCAATGTTTCCTACCAATACCCCGGCGCTCCTAAGCCTTCTTTGCACGATGCCTCTCTGTCGCTCACCCTTTCCTCCCGTGTTGCCATTATCGGAGGAAACGGTGCCGGAAAGTCCACCTTCATCAAGATCTTGACTGGTGAGACCATCCCCTCGGCTGGTAAGGTTGAAAAGCACCCCAACCTGCGTATTGGATACATCAAGCAACACGCTCTTGAGCACGTTGAGATGCACTTGGAGAAGACTCCTAGCCAGTACCTCCAGTGGCGTTACGCCAACGGTGATGATCGTGAGGTCTTCTTGAAGCAGACCCGTATCTTGACCGAGGCCGACAAGAAGCAACTGGAGACCCCCGTTGATTTGGGTGATGGCCGCGGCCCCCGCCGTGTTGAGGCTATCATGGGTCGTCAAAAGTGGAAGAAGACCTTCCAGTACGAGATGTAAGTTCTCATCTGATCTTTCTATTTGATCGAACATTGCTAATTTCTCTTCTTCAAAACAGTAAATGGGTTGGCCTGCTTCCCAAGAACAACGTCATGATTTCTCGCGAGACTTTGACCAAGCTTGGATTCACCAAGATGATCCAGGAGTTCGACGATCACGAGGCTTCCCGTGAGGGTCTTGGATTCCGTGTCCTTGACCCCCCTACCATCTCCAAGCACTTCGAGGATATTGGTCTCGACCCCGAGATTGCCAACCACAACGAGATCTCCGGTCTCTCCGGTGGTCAAAAGGTCAAGGTCGTGCTTGCTGGTGCCATGTGGAACAACCCTCACTTGCTGGTTCTTGACGAGCCTACTAACTTCTTGGATCGTGACTCCCTGGGTGGTTTGGCTGTTGCCATTCGTGACTTCAAGGGTGGTGTCGTTATGATTTCTCACAACGAGGAGTTCGTGGGTGCTCTGTGCCCCGAGCAGCTGCACATTGCCGACGGTCGTGTTGTCAGCCGTACCAACACTGCTATCAGCCTCGACCGCTTCGAGGACAGTGCTACCAACAGCCCTTCGGCCCCTGGTACCCCGGCCGCTATCTCGGCCGCTACCAGCGCCGCTGCCTCAGCCGTCAACTCTGGTGCCGAAGATCAGGGCGAGCTCAACTTCCGTGCCAAGAAGAAGAAGAAGATGACTCGTGCTCAGCAGAAGGACCGTGAGGTCCGTCGCCGTCTGCGTCACATCGAGTGGCTCAACTCCCCCAAGGGCACCCCCAAGCCCGTCGACAGTGACGATGAGTAATTGTTTCCTGGCTACTGATATGGTATATATGTTTTCTATTTTGACGTGTAATGGGCTTTGTCATGTTCATGTTCATGTTGGTCATTCTGCTTGCAAGCGTGCCTAATCAGAGAAGGTACATTGTTTTTTGATTTGCATGGGACTTAAATAGACGGCGCTCGGAGTTTTCATTTCATTTCACCAATTGAGGTAGATATGCATCCTTAGCTTAAAAGGCTGGTGATAAACCTGCCAGTCATTGCTTGAACAAAAGTTATTTCAAATATTCATCTATGTTTCAATGTTTCATTATTTTCTAAATCAATGTTTTCTATCCTGCCGTATACCTACAACTTATGTAGTTGATAATGTTAATACTTGAGTCAAGTGTCTACAATGTTTGACTTGATCTGGACACTGCGAGGCTTGGGCGCGAAACGTCCTTGCATTCCAAGGTTTCAAGTGTTTGAAGGATCCAAAGTTGCAAGGTCCGTGGGCCCGTGCATCGACAAATATGTCTTTGGTCCAAAATATCTACATAAACATGTTCATCAACACAACCTTATTTGATGCACCTTAAACACAAATATTAATTCATAATATAAAGTTAAAAAATTTGGATAGCAGCAATTACTGGCACAAATCACAAAATCGTCAATAATGTCAATGGTGTCTGCCAGCGAGGCCCATATCCCGATATCAATATACGCGGCGCAACAACAGGAACCCTTGGCTAACTGCCGGGACAGACGATGGGGCATTCCAGCACTGATGATATGGCACTATCTGCTCAGATGACAGCAACATGAGAGCCTTCTTCACCGAAAGTAGTTCAAAATCATGAGATGATAATATTAAATATATGGGACACGTCATATGTGGTAATTTGGTGGAACTTTAAAGAACGGATTATCTATGCCAATCCGAACATTGAATTTTCGTTTGAATTACATTGACTGGCACTAAGAAAATGCAAAATGGAAAAAAGGCAACGGAAGATGAAGAAGCTTGGAAGTCGGCAAAATCCAGCCGATAGGGCTGAATGTAGAGGTTCGTGCAGTGTTCGACCAATGAGGATGGGAAAGAGCTACACGATCTCAAGTCCGGGGCTTAGTCTTGCTGGTTGGATCTAGGGGGCGCCTCCTCTAATGATGATGATAACCAATTGGCCTTCTATCAATTGGTCTTATTGTTCGCTTTGTTGATATATACCCGCGTTAAGTGAATGGGATGGAGACCCCCAAGGGTCTTTATTTTCGAGATTATATCCTTGGCAAGATGCCAAGTTTTCTGATATGCTGATCTCCCACCAGACAGACTATTCTTAGAGTTCCCTAGGTAAAGTTGAATTTCGGTTCGGGACATACTTTGAGATGCCCTAGTCCGTATATGAGGTAGTTCGTATGTACCAGGATCAGTTAAGCAGGTTCTAGAAAACGACGCGCATCAGCCACCATGTACCTACCGAGTACCTTCTGATCCACCGGTTCTCAACATCGACATGCATTAACTATCAATCTGTGTATACATTGTAATCAGCACAGTCTTTTACATGTGTCGGCTTTTCCCGAATTGCCAGGTGCATCGAAGGAAGCACTCGATTGGATGTTAGTTTGCCTCCGGCGTAACCGAGGCCGGCATCTCATATCTCTATAGGGAGTAGGTTTCGGAACGGAGTTGGACGGGATTCGTCCGAGCTCATTTCGAAGACCGGGAAAAATGCCAGGAAATCTCACACTAGCTCAACGAAATCAGCCGATATACCCGCCTAGGTGAAGGGCCACCAATCGGGGAAACAAGCGAGATGAGTGCGGGAATCTAGAAGGGACTCGGCCAAGGAAATTGTACTCCATTAGCCGGTGCGCGAATATGCTTGGTAGATGGGATGGCTTGTCTTGGTAAAGCTTAGTCCTGTTGTTGTTATCGCTTATGGGATTTATAGCGGGAAGTTTTGGGGAGGATCCACATCTCCCACCGATCTAAGCCAATCAAGATGCTTTGATATGGAACGTGCCAGGCACGACGGGATCCATCGACGTCCTCAACCAATCAGCTTGCAAGGGGCCTACTTTCTCTGCCCCCACTTAATCAACGCCCCATGCGAGCATGAGCATTTCCCACGTTCACATATTCAGCCAGTCACTGACACGGGAAATGCAGCGTGCTTGCAACACGCCTCCATCGTGTGGAGATAATTCCCTAAACTAGATTGCTTACCGTTGCATCGCACTACTAGAGCCCCGCGTGGGCAGTCATCGGGAAATGTCCCATCTCCGACTGGTCCTCGATATGGTCAATCTCTCTCCGCAGCGAGTATAAGATCGCGTGAGACACCCGGTGATCAGCTCTTTTTTTTTTCTCCGTTCTCCAGCACTCCATCGGTTGATAGACAAGCATCAAGAGAAGCCATGTTCACCAAGCAGACTCTCTCCGCCTTCATTGGCACCCTGTCTTTGGCTTCGGCCTTGACTATCCCCGCCGCTGACGATGTTCCCACCTTGGCTGAGGTTGAGGCTGCCGCTGCCACCGTCATTCCCTTGTCCCCTGTTTCCAGCGTCAAGGGTCTCGTGTTCGACAAGTTCCACCAGATTTGGTTCGAGAACCAGGTTGGTCATATCCAATTGATCTGTCAATGAGAACCTTTGCACTAACACCTAAAAAGGATTACCAAACTGCCGCCGATGATGTGAACTTCCAGAAGATCGCCAAGGAGGGTATTCTCTTGACCAACTACTTTGCCACCACCCACCCTTCGCAGCCCAACTACGTTGCCTCTGCTGCTGGTGACAACTTTGGTATGGACAACGATGACTTCCGTCAGATCCCCGCCAATGTCTCCACCATTGCCGATCTGTTCGACACCAAGGACATTGCTTGGGGTCAGTACCAGCAGGGTCTCCCCTACGCTGGTTACCAGGTGAGTTGCTATCTTCTTACGATCCCCTCTAATAGCTTCAAAACTAATCAATTTATAAAATAGGGATACAACTTCTCTAACCAGGAGACCTATGCCAACGACTACATGCGCAAGCACGACCCCCTGATTATCTTTGAGTCGGTTACCAACAGCGACGTTCGTCCCCGCCAGATCAAGAACTTCACCTCGTTCTACGATGATCTCAAGCACGAGCGTATTCCCCAGTACTCCTTCATCACTCCTAACATGACCAACGACTGCCACGACACTGATATCACCTACGGTGGAAAGTTCCTTGCTGACTTCCTCCCCCCTCTCCTTGCCAACGAGTACTTCACCAAGGACTCTCTCATCCTGGTCACTTTCGATGAGGCTGGCAACTACACCGAGGAGAACCGCGTCTACAGCATCCTGCTCGGTGGTGCTGTCCCAGAGCACCTCAAGGGAACCACTGACGACACCTTCTACACCCACTACTCCGTTATCGCCTCCCTTAGCGCTAACTGGGGTCTTCCCTCCCTCGGTCGCTGGGATTGTGGTGCCAACATCCTGAGCCTCGTTGCTGAGAAGATTGGCTTCACTAACTGGAACATTGACCTCACTGCCGTTCCTGACCTGCTCAACGAGACCTACCCCGGTCCCATGTCCGACGGTGACTACTCCAAGTACGAGGAGTACTGGCCCATCCCTGCCACTGAGTTGCTCTGCAACGCTGGTCACGGTATCCTTGAGCTTGTCAAGAAGACCTACAACCGCCGCCAGGCTACCCACAATTACATCAGCCCTGTCCCCTATGACAAGCGCGCTGGTTACAACGTCGGTATCCCTTACTGGCGTACCGTAAGTTTTATCTCCAATTACCTCAACATTAATGAATATTTTGCTAACCCCCTGAATAGGTTGACGGCAAGAAGGAGACTGGTGTCACCAACTAAGCGTTGGAAGCTGTTCTTGTCTGAAGTATATATCCGATGATATAAAAAGGGGGCTGTTTCTTTTTCTCAAGCTCGCCTGGATGCTTTATATAAAGCCTTATTGTGATGATAATTGTTAATAATATGTTGCGCATACTCGAATGAATTGAACAGGGCAGGGTAGACTTCCACTGCCTGTCCCTTATTCTTTACTCATTTATTCTTTTTAAGATTTCTGTATCAGATTGTGGATATGCTGACTTACCAGCAAATAAAAATCGAACTTCAATCGCGTAATTTGGCACATCTTGCAGTCAGGTGATCCGTGCAGCGTGGCTGCCAGTGGGTCCAGGCCTTCAACTTATCGATTAACTAGTACTTCTCCTATATAACTTTATCCTCCTTAATAAAAAAATATCCGGTCGTGAACTCCATTTACGTCGCTGCTTCCTGGTGTTTCGGACCCCAGGATGAATTCTACGCGTCACCTATAATTGAACCTTTTCTCCACTGCCAAGACTCCAAACGCGATAGCTACAACCACCCCACACCAAGCGCGGATCCCCAAAAAAATGACGACTCGAAAAGGGTACGAGTCGTTAGAGTCCAACAACCCAGACGAGCACCTACTAGCAACGGACTCGGACGATGATTTCCACAATGTGCACGCCAGCAAGTTGATTGGAACGCGAAACGACACTGCCGACACTCCCCTATCCAGCGATGACGAATACTCAATCGAAGACGAAGCCAACCTCAAGCTCCTCCCATTGCAATCGAAAGACACATCCAAACTGCGCCGCGACCGACGGACCTCAGTAAATCGACGAACCTCTACAAGTGACTCGGAGATCGATGGCGATGTGGCGGCGGCGGCCAATGACGACCCCCATAATGTGCATGAGCGGATCGAGTTGATGCTGCAAAAGGATCAACGAGAGAGGAATGCGTTATCGGAATCTTTCAATCTGGATTTCGACGACGACGAGTCTCTCCTTGCTTTGAGCGATGTCGATAGTGAAGGGTTTCCGGCAGATAAGCTACCCTACACGGACGCTGGGTACGTTGAGGGAAATGCCAATTTCAAGACCAAGATTCAGGCGATCCATGCGGTCGTTCGCCAGAGACCTTGGTGGCAGATTTGTGGTATGCTTTTTGTTGGAGTTGGAGTTATGTGGCTCTCGGCAGTGGGATTGAGGAGGTGGTTGTATAAGAGTGTGGTTGCGGAATTTGTACGACTCTCTCTATTTTGATCTCGGCGACCAGGGATTGCGCAGCTGGCTGACAGTTTTTAGGATCCTGTACCCTGGTATCCTACCCCACTAGGCGGAACGAATGCGGCATGGCAAGAAAGTTATAGTAAAGCCCAAGAGCTTGTACAGCAGATGACCCTTTTGGAGAAAGTCAATGTTACCACAGGCACAGGTTGGATGATGGGTCTGTGTGTTGGAAATACTGGTGAGTGCTTTGATTTTATACTGTGAGATTCGGTACTGATGCATTTCACGTCTTCCAGGCCCCGCAGCTCATGTCAACTTTCCCTCGCTTTGCCTACAAGATGGTCCTTTGGGCCTACGATTCGCGGATAATATCACTGCATTCCCGGCTGGTATAACGACCGGCGCCACATGGAATCGCGAGCTCATGCGAGCCCGAGGCGTGGCGCTTGGACGGGAGGCTCGGCTCAAAGGAGTGAATGTGCTCCTTGGCCCTTCGATGGGCGCATTGGGAATGAACCCTGCGGGCGGCCGCAACTGGGAGTCATTTGGATCTGACCCCGTGCTGCAAGGTGTGGCTGCCGCAGAGACTATTCGGGGTATTCAGCGCAACGGTGTGATGGCGACAGCCAAGCACTTTGTGATGAATGAGCAAGAGCACTTCCGTCAGCCCTTCGAGTGGGGCATCCCGACGGCAATGTCATCTAACATTGATGACCGGGCCTTGCATGAAGTCTTCGTCTGGCCGTTCGCTGAAAGTGTTCGAGCCGATGTGGCAAGCGTGATGTGTGCTTACCAGATGGTAAACAACAGTCACGCTTGCGAGAATAGCAAATTGCTCAATGGCATCCTGAAGGATGAGCTTGGTTTCCAAGGATTTGTCCAATCCGACTGGCTTGCTCAGCGGTCAGGTGTGCAAAGTGCGCTGAGTGGTCTTGACATGAGCATGCCCGGTGATGGGCTGCATTGGCAAGATGGAGACTCACTCTGGGGTCCCCATCTGACTCGCGCAGCTTTGAACACCTCTGTCCCTATGGAGCGTCTAAACGATATGGTTACACGTATTGTAGCGGCCTATTACCATTTCCGCCAAGACACATGGGAAAGCTCTCCTGCGGCAGGCAAGATTGGCCCCAACTTCTCATCATGGACCCATGAGCGGAATGGCAGCCTCCACCCCGGTAGTCCAGATGATCAAACCAACGAGGTGGTTAACTACTTTGTTAACGCACAAGGCAAGAGCCCCCATTCAAATGCCAATGTCGCGCGCAAGATTGCGGCAGAGGGAACTGTTCTGTTGAAAAACGTTGAAGGTACTCTCCCGCTTTCGCGCACTGTGTCTCGCCCCTCTGGAAAGTATCGTGTTGGTATTTACGGAGAAGACGCCGGCCCTGGCCAGGGTCCTAACTTTTGTGCCGACCGAGGTTGCAATCAAGGAACCTTGGCGTCCGGTTGGGGAAGTGGCGCCGTGAACTTCCCGTATCTTGTCAATCCCTGGGATGCTCTCAAGTCCGCTTGGTCATCCGAGACGGTGGATGTCCAGGCCTACTTGACCAACAATGTGGCGGTGAATGATTTGGTTGAACAAGACCTCTGTCTTGTTTTTGCCAATGCCGACGGAGGTGAAGGGTTCATCAAAGTCGATGGAGTCAACGGAGACCGTAGTGACCTTTTCCTGCAGCGGAACGGAACCGCTCTGATCGAGGGCGTGGCCCGCAATTGCGGTAGTGGTCATGGCAAAACAGTGGTGGTGGTGCATTCTATCGGCCCTGTCATTCTCGACCACTGGATCGATCTCCCTGGCGTCGCGGCGGTCCTCTATGCAAACCTCCCGGGACAGGAAAGTGGCAACGCTCTAGTTGATGTTCTTTTTGGCGACGTCGATGCCAGTGGACGTTTGCCATATACCATCGGCCACTCCTTAGAAGACTATGGGCCCGGTGCTCAAATCTTGTACGAGTCCAGTGAAGCTGTGCCACAAGTCTACCTTACCCAAGGCCTCTATGTCGACTACCGCTACTTTGACAAGTTCAACGTCACGCCTCATTTCGAGTTCGGTTTTGGTCTTTCGTATACAACCTTCAAGTTCAGTTCTCTCCAAATCGAGAAGCTGCAAGAAAAGTCACGACTCCCCGAAAAACGTCCCAGCAACGCGATCGACCCCCCAGTGTACGAGGATAAGCCCGAAAGCTCCACTTTATCCCTCTTCCCCCCGGATTTCAATATCCTTGGCAAATATATCTATCCCTACCTGAAGTCAAGGGAAGGAACCAAGCCTGGCTCCTACCCATACCCAGAGGGATACTACAAGAGCCAAAAACCGTCCGCCGCCGGAGGTGGCCCCGGTGGAAACCCGTCTCTGTACGAGCCAATGCTCGAACTCACTGTAGAGCTCACGAATACCGGCGCAAGGGCCGGCCAAGAGGTCGTTCAAATCTACGTCTCTTTCCCCGCTGACGTTGTCGAATCGCGCGGGTTAGGCAGAACCCCCGAGCCAATCGAGTTCCCCGACCGTGTCCTCCGGAACTTCCAAAAGGTGTTGCTAGAACCCAACGAAACCAAGTTTGTCAACATGACGTTGACACGCAAAGATCTGAGCTATTGGAGTGTTCGAGCGCAGAACTGGGTTCTCCCAACAGAAAACTCGTTCCGTATCTGGGCGGGAAGAAGCTCTCGGGATCTGCCGTTGGTGGCTGAATTTTAGGTGCTTAGGCTTAGGCTTAGGCTTCCGTGTTTTTCTGTGGATATTAGCGTTTCCTGTATTATTTTAAGAGCTGGATTTTTAATATTCTTATTCTGAGCTATTTCTGGAAATCCGGGATATCGGTGCCGTTGCATATGTAAACTATGGTAGTGGAGATACTACATGTACGGAGGTATACGGTGAACAGTTCTTGCTAGCGGATCTGATCCGAACTCATGACGCTGTGGTAAAACATCGCAGCCTTCCAAGGTCGTTGACGGAGTTTATTTGAACGCAGCTTGCACTGACTAAGACAATGTTTCTACTCTGCAACTGCGCCTCAAATATCGTCTCCACACGTCCATTTAGCCGGAGAAATCATTCTGCAGAAGATGTGGCGGTGCCATCACTCGCTTTGACTTCTTCCACGGCCCACCTGCGGAGTCCGCAAGGACGATCACATCGTTTTCATGTCACAGGCATATTGATTTTGATTGAGTCGAGACCGTCAAAGTTCCACGGGGCTTATTGCAGAAAGTTCAGACATACAGATGACGGGAAGTCAATATGTATTTCCCGATTCCAATGCGGCCTTGAATACTCACAGCCACCAGATGGAATAGTTACGGGGACCTCCGTTTAGTGATCGGGAGCCAGTATCGGATGTGATGTCAAAACCGTGTTCGCCGAGACACTGTGGGCCGGCAAGGAGAGATTCCGGCCAGTGACCGGGGACGGTTGCCTTGAACCATTCAATTTAGTGTGCTTTAGATGCATTGTGAGTTTTTTTTGTTTTTCTTTTTTTTACTCGGTCTGCGCCTTCATCGCGATCTTTGATATGCGATACGTCGTGTTTGCCACTGGTTGAGCCTGGTTCGCAATAATGCACCTGTCGATCATATCTCGAAATCGCAGCGAGTTGATTTCCCTGAAACGTCCCGCCCATCAGGGTCTTTGCTTCGATCGCTTGAATCGCGCGAACAGAAATCCCCGAGCCTGCACGTTCGTCGCCATTGGACCCGCATTCCAATACGATTTTTTCTACTACCATGTATAATTTCTAGACAGCAATCCCTCAATTGACTTACAGCCTACTCCGTCCAGCTTGTCTTTCAATCAGGCGTTATCGCCGCCAAAACCCGCTTCGAAATACGCCCAAATCCTGGTTGTGGCTGTCGATCACTTGGGTTTGTGGTGGAGACTCTTCAACATGTTTCAGGGCCGGTCGAATAGGAGCCCGCCGTTCCTGATTATGGACCCTTGATGTGGAGACACTGTCTTTCAAGCAGGTCTAAACTAAGAAGCGATTATTGGCTCTCGGCGCTGTAAGCTCGACACTATCCCCAACAAGGAATTCTCCTGATGGGGTTTTCCTCGAATATGGACCTCGCGTCCAAGTCTCGAAGACTGAGCACAGATATAGAATTCGATGGTACCGTGGCAGCCAAGGCGAAGCTGTGCCGATCAGGACCCTTAGACGGCACATGGGGAATTCAATGGATCCAGCATGAGTGGGATGATATGATATCCCCCCATCCAATGCCCACACCATCTACTTAAGAGCAGCTCAGATCCTTCTCAAATGATTTTTCACTTACCACAACATCTCTAATTTCTACCCGTTCCATTCGCTATCAAAACTCACTTTCACAATGAAGCTCTCCGCTCTCCTCTCCCTCGTCCCCCTCGTCGCAGCCCTCCCCGGCTCGCGCTCCACCACCAAGGACGTCAACGCTCCCTTCGGCGTCACAGCCGCCCGCTCCGGCTCCCCCATCCACTTCCTCCCCCTCACAGCCTCCGGCAGCAACTTCTACCTCGGCGGCAAGAGCGCCACCTACTGCCCCAGCGAGGTCGTGCCGGGCTGCAACGGCCGCACCAACGACACCATCATCTACGGCCAGTCCGCCCTGGTAAGCCAAGCACAAGCCCCCGTCTATATTGCACAACGCAACCCCAAACTAACATCGTCCCAGGATGTCGTCGTCCCCGGCGGCCAGGCCATCTACGTCGCCCCCACCGGCGCCCTGATGTTCACCACCCCCCACTCGGGCTACATCCCCGCCGGCTCATCCCAGGGCCCCTTCCACTACGCCCCCGGCCAATCTGGCAACCCGCTCGGCACCTGGACCTACACCGGCCAGGGCGCCGCGGGCTTCATGGCTTGCCCCGTGCCTGCTTCCAACTCTAGCTCTAACGCTGCGGCCCGCCGTGCTGCTGCTGCCGCCCCGCCTTCTTGGCAGGTGTATGCTGCCTTGCAGAACGCTACTGTGCCCTCTGGCAACGTTGGTGACTGTCTTGGCTTTGATGCGCTTGCTGTTGGCTTGAATGTTACTTCTGATACCCTGGCTTGGGAGTACATCTAAGTTATCGTTTACGTATGAGGGATGTGTTTGATGGGTTCGGGATATGTAGATGAGTGGAATCCTCCTGGCTGAGGGCTTTTATACATATCTCGACGTTTGAAATGTCTTGTCTTTTGTTTGGAAGATGGGATGTTGCACAGCGCTATGATTAGACTGTATATTTTGGCTTGTTACATACATGACATGTGTCTTGAATTTTGATGTCATATATAGATTCGGTGTTACTACTTTCATTACATACTATGCTCAACACCTTTTATGAAAATTCCATGTCTTATGTACGACGTGATTGTGCGCATCAATTGATTGATAAGAGAGACGAGCACTTGAGAGTTGTCGCCTCGAGACACAGAATACCCAATGCGACATATCAAGTCTCATAATTGAAACCCGCTAGACGGTCTAGTCTGCATCCCTGCCTTCTTATACACCAAATCAATAGCCTCCATCTGCTTAATACTGTCCTCTCCATCAATCCATACGCCGGACCCCTCACGCCCTTTGACTTTATTCACAAACTCCTCAAGCTGATAGAAATACGAAGACCACCACTCCTTCCCGCCGCCGCTAGTCCCAACTCTCCTATCCCCAGTAGGGAAAGTATAAGCCTGCACAAACCGCGCATCCTTCCACGTCCTCACAACCTCCTCTCCAACCCGAACAGAATAAACATCTTCAACATCAATCCGATGATAGATGCTAGGCATCAGATGATTCCAAAGCACAACCTTCCTACTAACAAAGCATCGCTCCCCACCAGGCGCCTCAAACCCCACAGCAGACCGAATCTCCTTCTCCCCACACTCAACCACACACTTCGGCCACGCAAAACCAGGCAAGACCCCGTCCGTCCACGCCCTAGGCAAAAACGGCCACCAACCACCCGCAAACCTCAAATCAGAAACCATACTTCCCACCGCCCCAGTCGTAGTCACATAACTCGCCCTCATAGCCTCATCAACCTGCTCCCGAAACGGCAACCCCGCGAACCCGACCCGTCTCGCCTCCGCACTCAGCGCATCCTCCCTCGGCTCCTCCCTCAAGACCTGCCTCAGCACATTCATCGGGTATGTCCCGAAATCCATCATACACCCGCCAGAAAGCCTGTACTGCCAGCGGATATCGGTGGCGCCGAACGCGTATTTCGGGAAGTACTGCTCTGCGGATACGGATTTGATGGTGCCCGCCTGCGGTGCGTGGTGGATTATATCGAGGAAGGTCTGCCAGGCGGGGTGGAAGCGGTAGTGGAATGCTTCTAGCAGGACTGGTGCGCCGGGGCTTGTGACGAGTGGGTGTGTGAAGAGGGAGCGGGCTTCTGTGGCGTTTGAGCAGCAGGGCTTTTCGAGGAGGACGTGCTTTTTTGCGGCTAGGGAGCGGAGGGCCCATTCGTAGTGGGCGCTGTCTGGGAGGGCGATGTAGATGGCGTCTATGGTTGGGTCTTGGAGGAGATCTGGGTGGTGGAAAGGAGTTATTTTGGAGGCTCAACTGGTAAAGGGAGTATCGATATAATGTGGCATTACCTTCGTATGTGGCATGCACGATTGGGATATTATGTTTTTTGGCATATTTCTCTGCGCGAGTCCGATCTCGGGCTGCGACGGCTGCTACGATCACTTCTGGATGGGAAATTGCTGGTGCGATCAGAGCGACCGGTCTTAACTTCGATCAGTATTGATGCTCTTCGCATTTCAAATAGAGAAAGTAGATTGAGGTCTTACGCGATGTTGGATGCGCCGAGTAGCCCGAAACGAATGGCGTCATCCTTTTTCTTGGTGGTTGGTGGATTTAAGAATCCGTAGTAGACGCGGTATAATAAGTCGAAGACCATGTTTCTCGCGGTATGTCTGCTGAATATTGTAAGCAAGTTGGCGTCTGATTATGCGGAGAAATGGTGCTCGCAGCTCAAGTCCCCGGTGGTCAAATCATGACGATGACGATGTACATGTTATCGCGATAAGATAAGATAAGATAGGTCGTTTGACGTTTGGAGACTCAGACGCGTCGCTTCAAAATTGTCAACTACTGAAACATACTAGTACTGCTAATCGATGACTACCAGCGTCATTTGTTTGGGATCTCCAGCGCGCTTATGATCATGGCATTCGGTGCTTGCTTGAAGTTGCAACTCGCAGATGCTCACCACGTCTGACAATGCACTCATTGGCTCATAGCCTCATCCTATGTATTCAAATGATCCAACGCGTGACTTGGTTGATTTGGCTAAATGCAATTGAAAAGCTGTGGTGGCTTGGTACAGCCCCTTGTCACATTGTTTTCGTTGGCGGGACATGATTGGCCGTAGAGGCCCAAGTCGACTGAAGATGTTTTTGGCCCCCTCACCACTCACTGCCACCATCAAAAAACCTGATGAAATAGCACACCTGCAGTTCCACTTGTTCATCGGCCGCATGCCTTGAAAATGCCAGAACCGAAAACTCTCGTTTGCGCAGATTACTCGTTGACGTGGATATGTGCGCTACCGCTTGAGTTGGCAGCCGCAGAAGCGATGCTAGATGAAACCCACCCCCGCCTTACATCCACTGGTACAGCCCACATCGCATACACCCTTGGAAAAATTGCAGGCCACAATACCGTTATCGCCTGTTTGCCATCTGGTGTATATGCCACAGTATCAGCAACTTTTATCGTGTCGCAAATCCAATCTACCTTTCCCAATGTTCGATACGGAGTTATGGTTGGCATCGGGGGTGGAGTGCCTAGCGCTATTACTGATATTCGGCTAGGCGATGTGGTGGTGAGCAAACCGACTGGCAGCTTAGGCGGCGTCGTACATTACGACTTGGGAAAAACCATTGCCGGCGGGCATTTTCAGCAGACTGGCATGCTCAATCAGCCACCGACACTCCTTCTGACGGCGGTCTCCAAAATGCAGGCGGATGATATGAGGAAGAAGGATAATCGCATTACAAGGAATATCTCGGAGGTATTCGAGCAGCATCCGGACATGCAACCTCGGTTTTCAAGACCTCTCACAGAGGATCGTCTCTTTCGTTCAACATACACGCATTTGGATTCAGAAAAATCCTGCATTGATTGTGACGTCAAAGAACAAATAGATCGTGATGCGCGAACTTCACGAGAAGCTCGAGTACACTATGGAGTGATTGCATCTGGCAACCGCGTCATCAAAGATGGCATGGAGCGAGATAGTATTGCAAAGAAGTTTGACGCCCTCTGTTTCGAAATGGAAGCAGCCGGCATCATGAACCATCTCCCCTGTCTTGTTGTTCGCGGCATCTGCGATTATTGTGACTCGCACAAAAACAAAGAGTGGCAGGAATATGCAGCTCTCGTGGCAGCAATTTACACCAAGGATCTCCTCTCCATGATACCGATAGAAACTCCCGCCAGTGGCCTGAATCAAATCAGTGGTATTTGGATCCCACCATTTGAACAAAATCCACGATTCTTGGGTCGTGGAGACGAGATCAGCCAGCTCAAAGACCGGATCATTTCAGGGAAATATGCCAGAAAGGTTGCGATCTCAGGACTAGGAGGAATGGGGAAGACCCAGATAGCACTGGAGTTGGCCTATCAGATTCACCACGAGGATCCCACATACTCAATTTTCTGGATCCCGGCAACTAGCGTTGAAGCTATCGAACAGGCATTTCTAGGTATAAACGAACAATTGGGTTTACCAAAAGGACCAGGTATCGATGTGAAATCTCAAGTGAAGTCATATCTCAGCTCCGAAGAATCCGGCCCATGGCTTCTTATTATCGATAATGCCGATGATTTCGAGATGTGGATGACTTCGAGTACCCAGCCTGCGCTGAAGAGTTTTCTTCCGCAGTGTCATAATGGGTTTATCCTATTTACGTCGCGGAATCAACAGCTTGCAAGTCGGCTAGTGGGACCGGATGTCATCACGCTGTCACAGATGAACGATACCACCGCTCTTGAACTATTGAAAGAATCCCTTGTCCAGAAGGATTTGCTAGAGGACAAGGATTCTGCCATTTTATTAGTGCAACAGCTCTGTGGTCTGCCCCTTGCTCTGGTTCAAGCTGCCAGCTTTATCAATGAAAATTGTATGTCTTTGGATGAATATCTTGGCCTGCTTGGTGATCAGGAAGACACAATAATTGAATTACTCAGCGAAGACTTTGAGGACAGCTATCGGTACACAGAAACCACAAATCCGGTAGCGGTTACCTGGCTTATCTCCTTCCAGCACGTGAAGAAGTCCAGTAGCTTGGCGGCGGAATTTTTATCATTTATCGCATGCATCGATCACCGCGATATTCCGTTATCACTTCTTCCGTGCAGTGGATCGTCATTGGAGAAGCAAAAAGCGCTGGGAATCCTCAAGGCTTACTCATTCGTTACCGCACAGGTGAATGGTCACCTTATCAGCATGCACCGACTGGTTCATTTAGCCACAAGGAACTGGCTCAAGAACGAGTCTCTACTGCAAGAGTGGACGAGTAAAGCGGGCGAACATTTCAACCAAGTCTTTCCATCATGTGACCCCAATAATCGAAAATTGTGGCGAGAATACCTTCCCCATGCTCAAAGTTTACTTCAGAGTCGAAAGGTACATCCGAACAATGGTAGTAGATATACCTTTGCCGACATGGTCGGGTGCTGTCTTGCTGTCGATGGAAGATACAGCGAGCCGACATGGTGTTTCTGGCCATATGCGACGGACAATTTGGAAAACTCGAAATCGATGATGGATGTCTCCTAGAAATTTTAGCTTGGATGGCTTGGACATACGGTAAACAGGGGCGATTAAAGGAGGTTGAAGGGTGTGGGCTTGAACTTATCGAGGCAGCAAAGAGGTTGCAAGGTGTTGATCATCCTGACACGCTAGCATACATGAACAACCTCGCGTTGATATATAAGGATCTGGGACGACTCAAGGAAGCTGAGGAGCTTGGGCTACAAGTCACCGAGACAAGCAAGAGGGTCCTAGGTATTGAGCATCCCGAGACGCTGGCCAGTATGAGTAGCCTCGCGTTGGTATATAACGATCTTGGGCGATCCAAGGAGGCTGAGGAGCTTGCGTTGCAAGTTCTTGAGAAAACCAGCAGGCTGCTAGGTGCTGAGCATCCTGACACGCTGATCGGTATGAGTAGCCTTGTGTTGATATATATCGATCTTGGGCGATTCAAGGAGGCTGAGGAGCTTGGGCTAGAAGTTCTCGAGACAGAAAAGAGGGTACTCGGTGTCGAGCATCGCCATACGCTGGACAGTATGAGTAACCTCATGTTGATATATAACGATCTTGGGCGACTCAAGGAAGCTGAGGAGCTTGGGCTACAAGTCGCCGAGACAAGGAAGAGGGTCCTAGGTGCTGAGCATCCTGACACGCTGAAAAGTATGCGTAGCCTCGTGTTCATATATAAAAATCTTGGGCGATTCAAGGAGGCTGAGGAGCTTGCGTTGCAAGTTCTTGAGAAAACCAGCAGGTTGCTAGGTGCTGAGAATCCGGACACGCTGAATAGTATGCGTAGCCTCGTGTTGATATATAAAGATCAATTTTGGGCGATTCAAAAGGAGGCTGAGGAACTTGCGTTGCAAGTTCTTGAGAAAACCAGCAGGTTGCTAGGTGCTGAGCATCCTGACACGCTGACCAGAATGTGGGACCTGGCATGTACTTGGGCCGCGATGAATCGTCACGCAGAGGCCATAACCATGCTTGAAGAATGTGGCCGACTACAAGAAAAGACCCTCGGACCTCATCACTCTCAGACTATTAAAACGATGTCAACACTGGAAGCTTTGAAGAACGGTATCCTCTGATTCTCAAGCTTGTTGGAGCGTACAAATTGCCAAGCTCAATGATCCTTAGCTCCGCTAGGTAGACGCGCAGGATTCTATGTCTCATACCATATTCATTCACTTTCGAGCACAATGAAATCTTGCATCTGCATTGGATGTGCTCCAACATTTGATGAATCAAACTTTGGGTCTCTTGCATACGGCATTCTGTAACGAAACGTTGGAACCCGAGTTCATTCTCAACTTCAAAGCGTGAGACACACCATGAAATCACCGCCCCGGACTACAAGCTACACGGAAGGACAATATCCACGTGATTGGTCTCTATATATTTTCAAGAATGACCATCAATTGATGTCTTCATTTCTCAGCTTATCAATTGACGATTCCGGCCAAGTAATTCCATCCATTGAGCGAGCCTGTAATTCCCGTTTCTCAGCATAGTGTTCCGGCCAGGCAATTCTTTCCATTCAAGGACCCACCGAGATATGTGAACGTTAGCAGCTGTATTTTCGGCGAATTCTTCCAGTCGATTATAACAGGAAAGCGACAACTGCGACGGCCCTGGCTTGTGTTAGAGCGCTTCAATGCATTACCCTGCGAGGCTACTGAAATGAGTCGGTACCCACAAAATATGGCGACAAAGTACTTACTTGGAAAGTCCATTCCGGATACTGCAACAGACTTGTTGATGATGGTGATTCCATTGCATTCTGCCTAGCGACTGCATGTAGCCTGATGGAAAAATTGATACTCACTCTGACTTTCCTAATGGGTGGCCTCTACGTTCTTTGTTCTATGTCAGTTCTGCTGTGGGGGCCAAGATAGGGGGGATCTGGTAGGCTAACGACAACTGCTAGCGCCACCATCACATCCATCATTCGACTAGTTTGCTTGCTCCACATTGACCTCACGTCCGAGGATATTACATGGAATTTTGTTTCCTAAATGATTAGGAGCTGCGTGGACTTGACAATTGTCCTCCCACTCATGGCCACGTAGATCCTGGTCAGCTAGTAGTCAATGACACCTGTTTTTGGAGCAGGTTAGATACGGCGATTATGTAGGTGCACATGGGGGCCATAATGAAAGATCAACGTAATTTTTGTAAGCAGCCGAAATAGGCTCCAGGTATAGACCGGCGCGTAGGTGATCAGCAAGTATACTAATTTCAATTTTCTTCCATCGTTCATTCATCGAACATATATATGCGCATGAGTAAGTAAAGAAGAGACCCCTCATGGCCCTATGACTTCAATGCTGTGAACGTACTTTGTTTTATGTTACTATTCAAAAGTATAGTACTGCGTAGGAACCCCCACTCGAAGGTTGACTAGTGTATCCAACCAAATTTATGAAAGTGGGCCCTTCCCCGCCCATTCCCAAATCCCGATAAGCTCAAACTTGGGTTTACTTGCCCCGTTTGCCAACAAAGAAGGTACATTAGTAACATTGAGTGGTACCTAGTGCTGCTGTGGCTTTAAGTCTTCGATGATTCCTTTCCAGAATACCTCTCCTCAGCACAACTCGCCATGGCTGATCACCCCTTATACAACACCTACTTACTGAAGCGCAATCGAGCCGAAGCCACCAGGTATGGAGATCAGTCGTTACGCGGAACCCGAAAAAGCACTCACTAATACTACAATCAGGCTCGGATCACAGCATCTTCTATGGAAACTACACATGAAACATGTTCTTCACCCCGATATCCCCATCAAAGAGAACATGGCAATTGCCGACATCGGGGCAGGCACGGGGTATCTGACCACCTCTTTCTACTCACCCAGACATTTATTCATTAATGCTAACGCATTTTCCCCACACAGAATCTGGGCCATTGAAGTAGCCATGCAGCTTCACTCTTCGGCTCGAGTCGCAGCGTACGATATCGCCGATACTCACTTTCCTCTCCCAGAATATCGCCCATCGAACGCCACATTCGATGTGCTCGACTTCCTCGGCGAGCTTCCGTCGTCTCTGGTTGGCCAGTTTGATGTTGTTCATCTACGCACGTGGGCATTTATCATTCGCGATAATGATCCTAGCCGGCTGATTCAGAATGCCGCCAAAATGCTCAGTAGGTTTTTGCTGTCTGGTTGCACATGCATGGAAAGGCCCGGACGTCCACTGACTAGTATCTCAACTACGCAGAGCCTGGTGGTTATATTCAGTGGGAGGATGCTCGGTTCGACAGTGCGGTGGTCAGAGGTGATGCCGCACTCAAGATGCGACAGATGATGAGCCTCATGAGCGGTGCCACGAAGCTTAATTTCGAGTGAGTTATATACCTGGGATTAAATTCCGCTGGTCCACCATATATTCAATGTTTTAGAAAAGCATGACTTACTTTTTGAATCTAGATGGGTTGAAAAAATTGACCAGCATGTGAATCTGGAAGCCGACTTGGAAGTAATCGACTGCCAGTACAAGCCGTGGTCAAACCAGCTGATTCCACTCTGCATGGACACGTTTTTCGTGGCACTGGAGAATAGTGGGGCGATTCTGGATCGTCTGAAGCAAGTGGAGCCATCTGTGCCGAGCTCAGATGAATGGATGAGCGCTCTGGAAAATGTCCAGAAAGAAAGTCGCAACAGTGATCAGCTTTACTGGCACCCAGTGACGCTTCTAGCTCGAAAGAGTGGTTGATAGCGACTATTTTGTTTTCGACATCTACGGTCTAATTCCCATAAATTTCAGAATAGATTTTTTGCATGATTGAATCTTCATAAGTTCGGCTAATAGTTCCGAGGAATGTAAGATCCCACAGGGGAAATATTGAGGGATCGGAACATGAAAGGAGTGGCATTCCAATCCACCAAGCACGTCCCGGAATACGTCCACTTCTCGTACAGCCGATCGTAACATGTGGCTGTCGGTCGGGCCGCCAATTAGCGCTTAGGGATCGCATAGGGCCTTGTTATTTTTATTTATCGGCATCAAGAATTCTAATCGGCAGATTGACCCGGAGGAGTAAGAATGTACTCCTGCACTATAGGGATTGGACAGAGAGGACAGGGCGTGCGTAATTCGCTTGACTTCAAATCACATCACCCATTTGTTATGTGTATTCCTGTATCTCAAACCAAATATTAATACGACCGACTCAATTATAGCTTTTCAGAAAGGGGCAAGATGAGATTCCTCAGCCCGACCATTGTTCATGAGGAAGTGTTCGATGTTGCGGAGATCCTAAATCATCGAAGTCGGTTCGTAGGTCGCCCTCGACAGGACGGTTCGCGAACAACTCTCCATGAGTATCTCGATCTCCTTTAAATGATGAATGGGTGCGGTCGGGTGATTTGATCGGGTGTGAGGAACTAGTGAAGACGCACCAAGACCGCCAGCCAGGAGTTGCGTTACGCACTACTATCTCCTGCTCTTACTTATCCTACTTCACTTACTTCCTTTATCCAACTTAGATCTTACTTGCACACCTTATCCCGTCAACACCCCTTTTACGACGCTCAAATCCGATTATGGTAATCTTCTACTCTTCCTCCCTCTTTTACCTCTCTACCCTTTCTTCTACTCTTTCTCAACCCTGGCATTAGCGACCTCACGTTTGAACCCGATGATTGTCAGCGACATATCAGCCGCACGTAGGGTCAACCACTCGGAACTCGGCGACTGTCTAAGGACTTCCGTGAAGTACGCTTCTGCCTCCTGGTCTTCCCGTCAACCGTGGGTACCGGCCTACGTACCGCATTACTCGAACTGCCCGCCTGGCTTCGACCCCTTGATCTACGGAACAGGAACTCCGGACACGTCAAACCGGCCACTTTACGACGGCCATACACGCGGAACGTCAACACCTGGCCACCCCCTGCTGGTGGGGTCCTTGAACCTTGGCAGGGCTTTAGCTTGCGAGGCAATTAACAAGCTTGGGGTAAAGGCCCGCGGACACAGGTACCCGGTTAACTTTGCAAAGAACGGTTCCCTGCGCCCTTCGTGTCCGCCGTTCGGACCAGTGTCAGTCATCAAATCCAATTGTCTCACCTTCACAATTGTCTAAAGTCTAACGCAATATATGATGTTCTTTCCCTTCCCCCACTTTTTATCCATCCTGCACTACTTAGATCTTATTAGTGCTACGCTCGCGCTTGTAATTTGTAATCTAGTGGATTATTTTGGTCTGTCGTATTTGGGGTTGAAATAGCCGGTATCATTACATGTGCATCTGTAAGGGGGTAGTACTGGGGTTAGAAATGCGCCTTCAAATTTTGGATTAATGAATAGCTCTTGGAAAACTTTACCGAGTCGTTAGTAAAGGAATTTGATTCAAATGTTTGTTCCATCACGATAACGGCAGCTAGGAATTTGAGGCGCCTCCGGGCCATTCAAGGAAACATGCTGACATTGCTAAGTACTAGATTCAATGTTCAATACTTGACACTTGACTTAATATACATGCCTATGCCCCACAAGAGAATTCAGGGGGAATCCAGTAGTTAGTCGAAAGATAATAAATACTCATATAACGAGGCTCTACGTTCTTCTCCTCGAACATCTGGATCAGACATAGTATAGTTTATACACTTCGGTGTTACTGCCTAAACAACGGCTATGGACGAAAAGAACGAGACTGAATACGTCCCGCTCGTGACGAGTGAGTTGGACTATAGTCGGTATTGGGTTGTCGACGATAAAAAGAAAAATTCCAAGAGTCGATGTTCCTCCTTATGTCTCTGGCTTCTTCTCTTTGAGCTGGCTAATGTGGCCTGTTTTATTGGTGGATACCTTATTCTGATGAAACCAAGAGCACAACGCCAGCCTCAATTGGATGACTGTACGTTTAATCTTCCCCGCAACGGGGAAAATACACCAGAAAACTGCTTACACGTTCCAGATGGATCGCTCTCTCAATTCAACAGGACCTGGGACTATAGCAATCATAGTACATTTGGTGAGAGTGGAAGCTCTTACCATGAGACGTGGGACGACATGGCCTCGCGTAAGTGCTCTCTGGCTCAGTTAGTGCAATATACTCATCACTTTAGACCATGGCATTGTGTCCGTCACCAAAGAGTGGGCAGCCCAGCACGATCTACCCCCGAGTGCACCCACACCCGATACACCTGGGGAACTGGTCTATCAAGTGGATGGCTTCCATGCTATGCACTGTTTGGTGAGTTTTCGATCTTAGCACCACCACTTTGCATGGGTTCATATTGAGACATTAAACAAATTTGGCAGCACATGATTCGAGAGAATTTGGAGAAAAAATATCTCTTCGATCACCACACACGACACTGCCTGGAATACATTCGCCATACACTGATGTGCAACGTGGACATCACGCTCGCTGGAATGGACAAGGACAATCTGTTGGGAGCTGAGACGAGTTATGCGATGCATACCTGTCGAGATTATGACGCCATTGTTCGTTGGAGTGAGGCCAATAGGTGGAGGGGTATCTCGCAGTGGCTTGTAAATAATCTCTAGCGAATCAAAAGGGTGCAATTTTGCCTTCCAAGGTCTCCGGGCTATAGCTACAAATCACCCAAAACGTAAGTAGCCTGCAGCCTCAGTAAAAACCCGTGTGCTAGGCAAAATTCGTTCCCAATACTTAGAACACTAGTCGTGGGGGGTGGGGCCGAAAAGTGCGCCCATCAAAGCCCCCTCATTATAGGTTCTGACTGGCTTGACAGGGGCTCTGTGGAGTAACCAAGGCAAATTGAGTGAGTGATGTACCCGAGGGTGGAGCTGTGTTACTCCGGTGATTTGAGCCAATCAAACAAGCGCAAGAGAAGCATGTGCTTTAAGTGATGCTTGTATATAGCCAGTCCAGACTGGAGAATCACCTCAGTTTCAGCCCCATGTTCCCCCGCAGATCACCTTCTTCACTCGCCGCCTACCCACCTCAGTTTCTCACGATTAATTTCCCAGGTGCGTTATAAAGGATTCGGTAACCTGGCAATCCAGAATGAGTCAAAACTTGCCAATGAACCCGATGTCATGATTTCTGAAAATGTTGCCCACGGATTTACGCTTTGATATTGCAGCGCCATCCGGCTGGCGCTACAGCCCCGGCGATACCATAATTGGGAACGTCATTCGAAAGTCCTCCATGATCTCCCCCCACGCCACACTCCACATATGGCTCACGGGAATAACGAGTGTCAAGATATGGCCAGCCGGAACCAGCCAATCCAACAACTCTCGCGAAACCTACACCAACAAATGGACTCTCCTCGACGCAAAGGAGAACCTGATTTTCAGCGGGCCAGTGCATCATCCTGAAGATTGCGAAGAACCCCTCGGTTGGTCTTTCTCTGTACCCATCCCCAGTAAGCCGAGGACATATATCACGCAAGGTCATCAGCCTCATGCAAGCTTTGTGCCTTTTGGCCAGGATCACCCAGCCTACAATATTCTGCCCGGCTCTTTGCGCACGTTTAGCACTGGCTCCGGAGCGAGGTCAGAAGCTAGAATCGAATACAACCTTCATGCTCGACTCCAGTATGAAAAGGGAGGCTCCAAAATGGCCTGCTATGCGGCTATACCAATTATCCTAAGAAACCCTCCGGGGAACGTTGACAGGCTCCACTTTGCAAAGGGAGGCGGGTTGTCATCCGCTACGAAAGTACAAACCCAGCGCCTGCTACCCGGTATGGAAGATCATAAGGCTTCGTTTCGACAAAAGGCCAATACGTTTTTCGGGTCGTCGAAAATTCCTGTGTTCTGGTTCAAAGTTTGCGTGGAATCGCCATCGGTCGTTCAACTGGATAATCCGCAGATTTTGCCTATTTGCTTGAGCATTGAAACTTTGAAGGGGAACGGCCACACAAGCAAAGTTATTGAAGACGCCCCACAACAAATCCAGATCAATTATATCAAGATTCTGGTCAGAAGCTCTACGACTGTTATCGCCCCGGGTAACCAAAGCAGTAGTGCGTATACGAATCGACAGGACTCTGAAGTGGATTTCCACTTCGACGACGTCATGAAAAAACTTGAGAGTCCCTTGATGGTTCGAAGTTCACACAAGGACAATGCAGATGTCGATTTGGGGAGTATGTTTCAGCTTTTGCTGCGCAGGAATGGCTTGTATGCGAATGGAAAGCGATGTTCGCCCCTCATCACGCGTGCTCTTTTTCCTGATTGCTCCACCTTCAACATTAAACATACACATCAGTTTGAGTATAGAATCAATCTGACGCTTGCAGGGAAGACGCTCGAGGTGAACGTTTTTGCCCCAGTGAGGATTATTGAAGCTGCTTAATAACAATACAGTATTTCTTGTTCGTTGTCGCATTTACCGAATAGATGATTTCAAATTTGAAGACTGACGGAATTACTTCTTCAGTCCTCTTGCGGATGCCTTTAAAGCTATTGTTTCTTCGGCTATTTTTTCTTTCCCTTTCCCCTCTTCTCTTTTTATTTCTCCTTCTGATCCGTCTGATCCTTCTCATACGTTCGGGCAGGCTCTTAGACCTTTCCACAACTTGCCCTTCCTCATCACCTCCTAAAGAGATAATTATCATCATTGGCTCAGCCTCGCCCGTAACACATACCAAATCAGAAGAATATTACCAATGCATAAAATATTGATACACTTTCTGAGCTCTGGGGATGCTAATATTTTGCTTTTTTTTTCTTACACATAGCTTAGCTTAATACACCAAAATAAAATAGTGCCATGGCAAAAAGAAATTGTCTTGGCGAAAAGAATCTTAGTTCTCAACAGCAGGGAACATTCAAAAATAAAATGTTTGTGAAACATTGACTTCAGAAATCAAGTAAGAACATTTGAAGGTGAATAGTGTTAGTCTAGATTGTGTGATAGTGTGTCATACAATAAGCCTATAGATGTCATATCTGTATATCTTGGTGATCAAAGAGATGTAAAAACCGTGAATTATAGCTCTAAGCTCGGCGTCACGATAGCGCCAATGCAACTACGTATATTCGGGTAAGTACACGCGGCTCCGAACCAAAACAGGGAGGACAAGCCGGGCCGTTGCTAGACGTAATTGGTAAAATTAATTGAACAAGCAGCTTAACGTGAATAACTGATAAGGCCATTCTTGTTTGGTGCATCTGGATCCACAAGAACCCACAACACGTCTCCACTTTATATCTCTAGTCGCCGTGATTGGTGCGCCCGGTGACACCGATCTTTCCCCCGCAATGCTATTCGGCTGCAACCCTGTCGGAGAGATCCGCAGGGACTTGTGATAGCTTTTTTGCATGGTGGCTGGCTTGAGATACTTAGATTGCATGTCCTCCGATCTTCCGGCCTTCCGGTGCATTTCTTGTCATTTTATTTCTTCTTTCCAACATATTTTGACTGCATGTCGATTTCCAATTGCGATTATGAATAAAGAAGAGCCGATACAAGATGATGATGCGCAGCTTGCTGCCATGGGCCATAGGCCTGAGTTGAAACGACAGTTCTCTACATGGTGAGGCTGACTGATGCGTTGAAAAAGAAAAAGATTTGCACAATGCTGATTTTTCTATAGGGCAATGCTAGGACTGGCTTTTGCTGTACTCAATGTTTGTTTTATACTATTCTGCACTGGACCCAATATCAATACCCCTTGATATCTAACATGCATCTCAGTCATGGACTGCTCTGTCCGCAAGCTTGTCAATAAGTCTTACTTCTGGTGGTAGCACCAGTGTGATATGGGGTATGCCATTCCGTCCGAACCAGTGGTACTGAGTGTGGGAATTTCGGGTAACACTCCATAGGTCTCGTCACTGCGGGGTTTTGCAATTTGTGCATCGCAACTTCCTTAGCGGAGTTTCTATCCGCTTATCCAACGTGCGTATATTTTGCTTTTCAATTGGTTATTTATCACTCATATTTTGCAGAGCTGGTGGACAATACCATTGGGTTGCAGGTAAGTTGGTCTGTTCGTGATCAGAGAGAGACATACTAAAAACAACATGTGCAGTCAGTATGTTTTCTATCATGGCGATCTTTCACCGGAAAGTTTCTTACCGACTTAGTTTCCTGGCCAAAATGGGTCCCTATTCTCTCCTGGATCACAGGTTGGATCAATGTTGCCGGATGGGTAAGCCATTTTGCAATAAAATCCAAAATATTGAATACTAACAAGTTCTAAGGTCGCCCTAGTAGCTACCAACTCGCTACTTTCGAGTCAATTGATCGTTGGTGTAATCTCAGCTATGCACCCGGTAAGATGATATAAGTTCGCTTTTTCTATCACTCTCGCTGAGAACAATTTTTAGAGTTACGAGTCGACTCGCTGGCAACAGTTCCTCATCTACGTTGGTCTGACTCTCGGTGCGTTTATTATTAACGCTTTTATGAACTCGATTTTGCCGACTATTTACCGTGGCGCTTGTATGTATATCTTTTGAACTTCCAGTGCTTCTTGATTTCCGGCTAACGTGGGCTACCATGGAACAGTTGCTTGGTCTATTGGTGGCTTCGCTGTGGTATCCATTACAGTCTTGGCCTGCGCCGCGCCGGATTATAACACTGCCTAGTGAGTACAGTCCCGTAATTTCTATTCGACTCGTTCTGACTTGAGATTGATAGCTTCGTTTTTTGCAATTTTGTCAACAGTACAGGTTGTGAGTAACTCTTTCCAAGCCACAGCGATCAGTTCACTGACTTCAATAGGGCCTGATGGTGTTGCTTGGCTTCTTGGAGTATGTTCTAGTTGATGGAATCCATGGACACAGATACTAAAAACATTCACAGCTGCTGCAAGGAGGACTCGGCGTAACTGCATTTGTAAGTCAATTCCTTTATTTCAAATAATCTATGCTAACCTTAACAGGACGCGGTTGTTCATATGATCGAAGGTATGAATGTGCATGCAATTGGCGCTTTTCATTTGACTAATTTGTACAGAGGTACCGAATCCATCCATCGAGGGTCCAAAGATCATGGTTACTTGTGTTGGAATCGGTACCGTTACGGGATGCATCTTTTTGATCGTGCTCCTATTCGTGGCTGGAAACATGGAACAAGTTGCTACTTCGGCAGCTGGACCTCTTTTACAGATATTGATTGACGCAACTAAAAACAAGGCGGGGGCTATTTGCCTTCTGATGTGATTCAAACCTACCTGATTCCTTTTTTATGCATTCGCTAAAACCAGAACAGGCTGCCCCTCGTCTGCTTAATCCTTGCGATCCTCAGTGTGATGACTACCAGTAGCCGAATGATTTTTGCTTTTGCCCGGTAGGAACACATTTGAAGTCACCTATTTTCTTCTTTCCAATCATACTGACTTGAATAGGGATGGGGGCCTTCCTGCCTCTAAGTTCTTTGCCAAAGTCCACCCTACGCTTCAGTTGCCTCTGAATGCCCTCATCTTAACCGTGGTCGTGGTGATCTGCTTCGGATGTATTTTCCTCGGCTCTTCCAGGTAAACTCGGTTCCTTCTCCTCAGAGCGTATGGGCTTTCTAACCTATGTATTAGTGCATTCAACGCTATCATCTCCGCATCTGTTGTCGCACTCGACTTGTCGTACGGTATTCCCATCCTCATCAACTGCCTCCAGGGACGCAATGCACTTCCTGAGAGAAAGTGGAAACTTCCCCGTGCCGTGGGTTGGTTCACCGATATTGTAGGGAGCGAATATCCGGCCATCAAGCCATCAAATATGCTAACATGAAAAAAAGGTCTCATTGTCGTATATCGGCCTCACCACTGTCTTGTTTGTTTTTCCTCCGTCGAGCACCGTTACCGGCAGCAGCATGAGTAAGCGAATCCCAGATCTTGATCGAGATTTTTCTGACGTGAGATCCAGATTATTGCATTGCCGCTTTCGCTGTCATCATCATTATCTCCGTCTTCCAATGGATTGTTGATGGGCGGAAAAACTATACTGGTCCTCGTATTGATTTGGGCCCTGAATAAACCACGGTCGGGCATGCAGCTCAGGTCGAAAAAAAAGGGGCAAAATATTTTCCCGAGATCTGACCGACAACTTCAACTCTGGAAATGGATGGAAAATACATTGACTGGAATTGCACTGGTGCCATTAGAATTTTAATACATTTTCTGCCCCCAAAGTCGAGGTCTCAGGTAGGTGTCAAGGGTTTGAACCGGCAATTTTCACGTGGCTCGATATGTGCCATGTCTGGAATATATCCCAAATATACAATTCGCCTGTACTTCTGACATCCAATGCGTCCAGATGTCTGGATAATTTCAACCTCAAAAAGAAATCTGGGTGAATTTTAACAATGCTCTGTGACAATTGCCTTGCGGCGTCGCTTCAAACCTGAGGTACGCTACTTCCCTCTCCGTAGCAAGGGGCTCTTAAAAGCATTCTTCCACATCTTGTTTCGCGCGTGAGTTCATGAGAAGGGCGACGATTAGACCGTACAGGCCTTATAAACCAGTTAGCTTGTCGCTATGTATTTCCAAATTTCTAGAACATATATTCGCGTTCTTACCAAGAACTTCAGCAAAGATGAGTATCAGAATCATGCCGACATACAGTCTTGGCTGCTGAGCTGATCCACGGACCCCAGCATCGCCGACAACTCCAATAGCGAGACTAGTGACACAATTAGAGCTTTAGTTATGTCGATAAATCTGCCTAATGTCATATAGCTTACCCAGCTGCTAAGCCAGCAAGGCCGACCGCGAGACCTGCACCAAGCTGGATAAAGCCTGTATATAAAGCAAGGTTCTGTTTCAAATCGTTTGCGACAAGAACGGAAACGACTAAGCCATATATCGCAATTATACCAGCCATAACAACTGGGACAATATCTATTGAATCACCCTCGAAGTTAGTGTTTTGTTCGTGATTAGGACGCGTGAATATTTCCAAAGGGAGCTGTTCCAGGACTTGAAGAAGGCCTACTCTTCACAATCAACTCAGGATGTAGGACGCCCGTCGAGCAGACTCCAACGCCTGCCTTGGCAGTTCCGTAGGCAGCACCGAAGCAAGTGAAGACGATCGCGGACACGCAGCCCATTGATCCGAAAAACGGCTAGGAATATCAAGGTTAGCTACTAGATGCGGGGAGGGCATGAGGAGATGAGCTATAGCCGACGCTTAGGTCGTCACATTCGAAGAAGCGACGAGGGAAGTGAGCTCACAGCATAAACAGGACTAAGAGAAGGTTTAGCAGAGATCGGATCTGGGGTCATTAGAAATTGAAATGGATGAGATTTGCATACCATAGTTCCGACACCATCTTGCTGATCGATTTCGCTATTTGGCCACGTGAGACAGATGATTTGAAAGATAAAAATGAAGCAGACGAGAACAGTATATTAAGAGATGGATGTTATCACCAAGGAAAGATGTATGCGTGGACGGACAGAGAAGGAACTTGGTAAGCCTAGTTTGTTTAGCGGCTAGCCCAGGCTTCCAAGGCTATTCCACCAAAAGTACTGCATGGTACCAGACTTCCCCATGTCCGGATAAAGTCGGAAAGGGAGCGTGGCCATACGCCGTCCTCGTCCAGCGCCACTGATAGTATACCAACATTCCTTGAGATTTGTGATTGGGGTTCGAAATAATTTAGCCAAACGTTGTTCAACAGAATAAATTAGGCTCCATGATCCGCCCCCCACATGTACCGATGTCCGTGCATCCCCTAATACTACTTCCCCCCTCCCAAAGTCTATAGCCAATCTTCCCTTTCCTCTTGACTGGTAGGGTGATTCGCTGGTCGCATCTCAGGTTCTCAACATTTCAGCGTCCGCTTAGTGCTGAGTTCTTTCCTGAACCCTCATAAACAGCGTGCGCATGTGTATCTGGGCCAAGGTATTGCACTGAAAAACCAGTCGACACTGCCCATAGTGGGCCCAAATTATTCAAACTCCAAACATTCGAGCCCAACTTGTACCAAAATCAGGACCGTACCATAGGGCGTTTCTGCGTTGCAAACCATAGATCTGCGGAGACGAAAGAACCTTTGGAACAACCTTGGAACCCCTAAAATTTGCGGCTCGGCCCGGTGGAGGTACGAACGTAAAAAATCTATGCAATGCAAATTTTATAATGTTATGGACAGTCGCTAAAAACTGATTTCTTTCACCCCAAAACAGCCTACCTAACGTGTTTATCAAAAGACCCGGTGAAATAGTCTAATAGTGAGCAAGAAAAAAATAATTGACATTGTCAAAAAGTAGTTTTTTTCTCTCTTTTCCTTATTTGCTTGTTCTGGGTGTTCATAGAATTAAAAACATTAGATTAAGGCATTCTGCTTGTATTCTGTCACTCTTCATAAAGGAATGGCAGAGGTAGAGGCTGATTAATATACAAGAGACATGGCAAAGAGGACCAAGCCGCAAAGAAGGCTGGCAGAGAAAGTGGAAGAGAAAGTCGCAGCTCCAGTGTAGACAGGGCCGGTGACGGTAGTGCCACTTGCTTGTCCAGTGGTAGAGCCAGATGGCGAAGAAGCAATATAAGGAATGGAAGAGCTCGATGTAGCAAAGCTCGAAGGGGTGGCCTTGATAGGCTTGCCGCTAGAAGAGACGGTGGTTCCAAGGGCGCCAACACCCGATGCGCCGGTGTTGATAGCTTGCGCACTCCCGACTGTCGAGGCTTCGGTTGCAATGGCGGTCGGTGACTCTGGCTTGGAGTAAGTAGACAACGAACTGCTTGAGGGAGAACCAGTCCATTCGGCGCCGCTAGGTCCGGCACCAGTATACGAGGCAGACTCGGAGCTAGTAGACAACGGGCCGCTCGAGACAGAACCAGTCCATTCGGCGCCGCTTGGTCCGGCGTCAGTGTACGAGGCAGACTCGGAGCTTGTAGTCTGGGTGGCTTCAGCTGCAGTGACTGGGCAGATGGTAGTATAATCGAAAATAGTCTCCGTAGTGACCCATGTCGATTTCTCAGAAGCAGGGCAATTCTTTACAGACGAAGGGCAAGCAGTGATAGTTGCAGTGCGTGTGGTAAAGGCAGTAGAAGTGGTCCATTCCTGAGTCGAGGTGGAGCTGGAGCTTGCAGTCTGGGTGGCTTCAGCCGCAGTGACTGGGCAGATGGTAGTATAATCGACAACAGTCTCCGTAGTGACCCAAGTCGACTTTTCAGAAGCAGGGCAGTTCTTTACGGACGAAGGGCAAGCAGTGATAGTTGCAGTGCGAGTGGTGAGTGCAGTGGATGTGGTCCATTCCTGAGTAGAAGTAGAGCTTGCAGTCTGGGTGGCCTCAGCAGCAGTAACTGGGCAAATGGTAGTACCGACAACGACGGTCTCGGTAGTAAGATAAGTTGTGCGTTGACGGGCAGGACAGTCAGTAACACTGGAGGGGCATGCAGTGATGGTGGTGGTGCGGGTGCTCAGAATAGTCGACGTGGTGACTTGAGGAGGTGGAAGGCCTGTAACAGAGCCAGGCTTCCCACCTTCATGGCCAGAGGCAGGGTGACCGCCTTCGTCACCAGAGCCAGGCTTACCACCTTCGTAACCAGAGCCAGGGTGACCACCTTCATGCCCAGAGCCAGGCTTACCGCCCTCGTGACCAGAGCCGGGGTGACCACCTTCATGACCGTAGCCGGGTTTGCCACCGTAGCCAAAGCCAGGTTTACCACCATGACCAGAACCGGGATGAGGACCATGACCAGTGGAGCCAGCTGGACCGGTAGGAATAGACCAGGGAATGGATGATAAGGAAGGAAGAGGAGTCGACGAAATGGGCCGACGGCTCCAGGGTGCCGAACTAGCAGGAGCCGAAGAAATAGGACGACGGCTCCAGGGTGCTGAGCTAGAGGGAACGGATGTAGTCGGAAGACCTGAGGAGACCGGGGCAGAAGGAGCCGGAGCAGAAGAAACAGGCCCAATGAGGCTGCTGCTAGTCGGAATGGACTTCGAGCTAGCAATGGCAGTAACGGATGAAGAAGCAGGAATGCTGGAAGGCACGACAGAGCGAGAGGAGCTCAAAGAGACTCGAGCAGAGCTGACGACCGAAGAGACAGGAATACTTGACGAGGTATGGATAGCGATAGACGAGGAAGTGGCAACACCGGAAGGAGTTGTGGTAGGAGTCGGAGTGGGAGTGCTTGTACTCGAGCAGACTGATACCGTTCCCATAGCTTTCGCGTTATCCAGGCTGAGGGAGTTGTATCCGGCAGAGTCACAGTAGAAAAAAATGTAAAGATTCGCGGTAGCCGATGAGGGTTGCCAGGATCTCGTGAAAGTTGACCAAGAGGGATCCTCAGACGCGTAGATCAGCTTGTAGCTACTATCGATAAAGCTAGAAAAGGTATTCTCCGAAAATGCTAAGATGCAAACATGGTATGGGACGGTAGGAAGGTCTAGATATTTTGCTGGAGTCGCAAATTTATAGTCGACGGAGAGGGAGTAGGTCTGCGTAGTGTCAAGATCTGTTAACTGTTGGTACAGATAATTCTCGCCTGCTGCGCCTACGAATCCGTCCGTACTGGAAAATCGTGTTACAAAATTGCTAGTGAAGAATGTCTCGTAATGTCAATAGCGTAGGAAAATTCTCACAAATAATATTGGCCATCAGAGGCATCTCCTGTTATGACCTCTGCGTCTTGTTCCTCGATGGCAACAGTCCAACCAGTCAGATCTCCGAGTTCAAAGGATGGGTTTGCGAAAAGATTGATTTCCTGTGTCTCGCATGCGGCGTATCCGGAACTGAATAGCGAGGCCGAGAATATAGCAGTGATGAGGAGACGATTTCTCAGGGAAGATGGTACCATCTTGATGGATACCAAAGTAAGTTTCGTGAGTGGAAGGAGTATTCCAAGGCTAGCACCGGAGTGAATCACCGACAAGAAACACCAAAAAATTGAATGAATGAAAATAGATAGTGTTCAAGACTAAAAGAGGGACGAGGTTCACTTTGAAGGCAAACAAAAAACAACAACGACGCAACCAAAAAGAGTGATAGGTTGCTCGAATTTTCCAGCAATTTTCAGTCCAAATCAGGGATTACAAAATGTGGGTTTGACGGGAACTATATACTCCATGCGTTCCAAATCATAATAAAACAAGACTTATGTGGCTGATCACGCCACGGTGCTAAGAGCCGATAATCCCGTTTGACTGCCATAAAATCTTAGCTGTTAAGATCTCCATAAGCGAAATGTTATTGTCAGCTCGGATAAAAACTCCATTACTGTTGTGGAGCTATCCACCTGGGGCCACGGGCAGTGGAACCCGGCGTTCCCGATCCGCATCACCAAAAACCAGGACTCATGTATCCTCGTGGAACAGGGGCAAAGAAGCTAGATCCCTCAACCTTGGAGTTCATTGGGCACCTTTACGCTAGTTAGTCGACGCCCTGGACTAAGCCTTGGAGTGCACCCCGGTCCCCACCAAGCCCGAATTTCGCGGCAACATTAGCCGATGTAATCAAATCTGGGTAAATCTTGGCGACTGGGATGCACGGTTGCCAAACAAATGGATATGGGCGCTCCATTACCCCATATTCCTATCAACCGGTCTGTGACGAGTCACGGGTGGCTCCACAGCCCCTTGCCACTGGATGTTCTGCTACAACATCATACACGACCTGATAAACACAGAAAAGCAACTTCAACCAAAAAGAGCATTCAGTTTGAATCTGATACTCTTGATGGTCCGAGAAGACTGCGTAAAATAAAGCGAAATGTTTGTCCTTTTTCTGTTCGAGTCGGACAGGGAGGTCAAAGAGAGTTGGTGATTTTCGATAGTAAAAACCAATGTTTAGCGATCAACTGATGAGGGTTCAGTGCAATCAGTTTACAAAAAGATCGATCAATCCTTTGGTTTAGAAAGATAAGTCTTGACGTTTCAAGATGGCTTATTCAGTCACCAGATTCCTCAGCTCAGTCGAACTTTCTAGAAACCCGCCTGGATGCAGATGAGTCTCCTCATCGCGCCTCTCCAGAATCAGCCAGTGATCAACATTTCCAGCATGAGGACCTTGTATTGTACCATCCAAATCGACGGATGGGCCCCAATCCCTCAACTTGGCCACTGTGCTGCTGAAACCCTCTTTTTGATTGGTACCCAACCTTCTGAAATTGTCCGGCTTCCCTTGGGAAGAATGCAGTCGTGAAGAGTCCAATAAGATCGCCTCCAATGCTGGATCATTCACTGTGCTGATCCCACTCCACGTTGCTTGTATTACGGCCAACGCCAGCCCCGCCAGCACTAAGAGCAAGTTTATCCCTGCCCATAAGTAAATTCTCCAACGTGCGACTTCCGCGCGGACGACTTTGAAGGGCTGATAGATCTCAGTGTCGAGTTCGACACTGTCATCGCTCAGATAGTTGGTGAGAGCGCTCCAAGTTCCTTGATATGATCGTATAAGAGACATGCGCAGGTAGAGTTCAAGGCCGCCGGAAAGGTATGTGGAAGTAGTGGAGAGAGCGGCGGCAAGGGCTTGTACTTCAGGCATCATGTTGAAGATTTCTAGAGTCAGGTGGTCAGGGGAAACAGTATTTTTTGAAGAGGTGACGATGCCGATGGACGAGTTCAGGGCACATTCGGGGCTCGACAGGGATGAGGTAAATGACCCATCCTGGCGGCAGTCTGTTACACCGACAGTGATTCCTATCTCGGCCACGGCAATACAGTCGCTGTAGTTGTTATTCCAAGCCTGATTGACCAAGGCTACATTCGGGGGAAGAGGGTCAAAATCGCTCGATGCAGATGAGCAAGGGTACTTGATTATGTCGCCGTTGTTTTGATACCGATTAACATAAATTGCAGCGTACTTTTTGCCAATAAACACGGTGGGTGAAGGCAGAGCGGATGAAGATGGAGCAGTCCATGTAGTGTTTTTTAAAAGAGCGGAAGTGCCTGGAATGGTCTGTCCCAGGGGGTTGCCGCCATCTTCGGTAATGTTCAGTAAAGTTCCTTCCATTTGAATGATCGACTCGTAAATTCCACTTGGTAGCATCGATAAATCAGAGACCCAGTTGAAGGAATCGATTTTGAAAGAGGGAACGGTAATATTTCTGACCACGGAGCCGTTGCTATAACTTGCGAATTGGGATACCATTCGCTGGGATGGAGATATGAAGGCGGTGTCGGTATTGTTCTTGCTTTGAAAAGGCGATGTTTCGGATCCGGCCAATGCAGCAGATTGCTTTACCAGTTGCAATCGTGCAGAGCTGTATGTGACATACCAGAGCCAATTAGGTCCTGCATGTGCTGCACCAACGGCCTGAGCAGTCCCCGTCATGTTCACTCGCGTCGCAGGCACCCAAGAAACGGCACCAGAAGCGATGGGATTGGCAAGCTGTGCTGGCCAGAGCAACAAGAAGATAATGCATATTGCCCACTGAAAGCTGAGGTCCGCCTTCGAACGGTTTTTATGAGAGGCAAACATTGACAGGCCCGGTACTTTCCAGGAGGCAGCCCAGTTGACATCTCCTAGCCTAAGGCCCGTCTTCTCCAGCAGGATGAAGATACATCGCCACGATGAAAGTGATTGCCAAGAGCCCGTGATAATCCTCGACACCGTGAGAAACACAGAAATCAAAGTTGTGATATCGGACTGGGTCAGAGACGGTCCATCGGCCCATTCAAGGTAACGATTGCTGGTGCCAATCGCGAACGGTCTCCCATCGAGCCATGTGACAGCCAGGACAGTGACAAGAGCCGTCCAGAATGCTTGGAGGGGGAGAAGATACCAGCTAACAAGGACGTTGAGTATTCCTTGTTCGCCCTCGAGCGGGATATAGTTATGCGTCCTCATTGTGAAGATTTGGCTTTCTGTTCCCTTATCAAATTTATAATAGCAGAGTGTGGAAACAGAAAGTGAAGAATAGGGCAGCCGTCCCGTAATTCTTAGCTTTTTCCAAAGGTATTCTTATTTTTAAATAATAATCAGTACCTGACCAGACTTTTGCTGCCAGGTATCTGGGGAGCGATTGGTCGGCAAAATGCCCGAGAGAAAAAAAAAAGAAAGGAAAGAAGTTCCTACCTGTGGCAACATTTGAAGCTTTGCACCCAGCCTGGCTCCAAGGGTACGATAGTTTTGAAAATTCCACCTATTGTCCAGTTAACCCCACTCCGATGAGGTTCATCTCCATGTGAAATCAGAATAGGACCCTTTTTGTGATAAAGAATAAGGGTTTCAAAACTAAAGTGTTAGCTTATTCCAACTCCAAAACTAAAAAAGAAAACCGGGTAATTGATCATTTTGACGAATCCAGGTGGGCATGGAAATAAATGCCGAACGGTGCAAGAATTTAGCTAAACAATAGGCTAAAGTGGCTTCAAGAAGACATTGCGATATATGCACAGACGGGATTTTTGTCGGACTGGTCTGCTGGATTTGCGCCCGGGCGAGAAAGAGACTACATGCTGTAGTTGCAACATATTTGCTGCATTTGGGGGGGGGATAGTTTCCCACATGATTGACGCCAGCCACTGACATTAGAAGCGAGTGTGGGCGATTGGGTTAGATAAAAGGGTCTAAGCTTGGAATGGTCAACTTCAGCCGCACGAAGCTGCAGCTCGTAAACGAAAAGTGCATATGCATAAGTTCATTTCCGGAAGTCAACGTGTCAACAATATTCCTCGCTTCCGAGATCCGTCTCTATCAACCCCGAATCTATTATTGTAAAAGTCGAAAATAAGACGAAAAATCAGTTTCAAAGTTGTTTACACAATGCGATCAGGGGGTGAAGTCTTAAGACAACAAGATAATAACGCCTGCGGAACGATGGAAGCTGATTGCCTTTTGACAAAAGCAATCCAGCATTATTTCAACCTAGGAGAATGGACAAAACTCCAACTAAAATTTGAAGTTCAAAAAGATCTTCAAACATCGAAAGACATGTACTCGATGCTAAAGCCATCGAGAACCTGCATTTCTCTATTTCTGCTTCTACCTTGTGAAGGGTTTTTCCAGATACGAGGCACATCATAAGTCAAGTCGACTTGTTAGCGCCGCATGTGGGGCATTAACTAGTCTATAGATAGAGATTGCTTGGTTTAGAGGCTTACTTACTCGAAAATGACTCGTGTTTTATCTGACCAGCATAGCCCGGTTGAATTGACGGGCGGGGGGCGTGAATGGCCTCACCAATCAAGTCGCCCGGCCCCCAAAATGTCATTAACTACTTGTACCGGCTTGCACAGGCCACCTACTATTCACCAATAGAATGCTTGCTGATAGAGACCGGCTACTGAGTCCCAAATTAGGTTACTCCCCGTCTAAATTTAAGCAAAACCCCGAGGCTGCCCAGTTTGAAATCCCCAATATTTCTCCCTTGGCAAGCCATTCTAAGCTTCAATCAACCACGGTTGATGTCTTATGTAAAAATCAACCCGAGTCACAAGAAGAATATCATTTCCCAAGAGCTTCAACAGACAAGAAAGGAAAGCTTCACAACAAACCAAATGCCTTCCTACAGTAACCCAACTCCCGACTTGGAACGGGGCGAAGCGCAATATGGTATAGATCCTTTCTTGATCGCGAATTTACAACCATCCTAACATATTCAACTCATAGAGCTTAGGCCACAAAGTGACATGGCCAAAGCACTCGCAATCCGCCGTGACATTGAGACGCAGCTCAAGTACGCCGCAGCAAAGCAAGCGGAGCTCGGTCTCGCCCAACAAGCTCTTCTCAACTCGATCACCTCAAGCGACGACCAACAACAGCGCCGTCATATCGACTCGATTGGCGGAAACATCATGGCCTGCTTTGGCTCCGCTCGAAACATGCTAGCCGAGTTAAAAAGAACCACAGGCTCCGAAAACCCGCAAATCCAAGAGCAAATCCACTATGTCGGCGAGAAGATCAGGCAAGATATCGAAGTATACAGGGTCGCCCAAAATGATTTTGATCGACAAATGCGATCGCAAGTGCGCCGGAGATATCAAATCGCCCACGAAGATGCCTCGCCGGAAGAAATCGACCAGGGCGTAGAGAATGTCATTATGGGCCAAGATCAGGTGTTCTCGGTGCGTTCCGATCAATCCCCAGTATGAGGCATGACGGTCTAACCTATTTTCAGATCCAGGGAATGCGAAGTCAACAGGCTAGCGATGCTCGCGATGCTGTGATGCAGAGATCAGCGGCGATTCGCAAGATTGAGCAGGATTTGATCGCTCTTGCTGAGATATCGCAGGAAGTTGCCAATTTGGTTAATCAGCAAGAGTATGCTGTGACGGAGATTAAGAGGGCGGTTGATGAGACGCATGAACACGTCCACGAAGCCAATCACTTGTTAGACAAGGGTATTGTTAGTGCGCGCAACGTTAGGAAATGGAAATGGTGGGCGCTTGGTATTTGCTGTGAGTATTTCCTCACCTCCTTATGAAAAAATGATGACTGATTGATGGTCCGTTCTAGTGTTGATCATCGTGATCATTGTTGTTGTAATCATAATCTTGAAGAAACTTAATCTTATTTAGGGAATTAATGATGAAGGAATTTTCATAGCTCAAACCCTTGGAAGATATGAAGGTTGGAACTATTAATCACAAGATTTGAGACTATATGATAATAGCAGATGTACTAGTTTGGATATAACCATGTTTGTTCCATTCAAACATGCCTGTCGGGTCATCGAACTCGGCCCTCATATTGATGCTAGTAGAAATAAAAGTTGGCACGGTTCCTAGGGACACAGTATAGCTCGAGAATTAGCCATTGATTGGTCAAACTAATTGTCCAATCACAATCTATAACTATATTATGTCATCAAACGCGGCCGTGGCACCTAAGTTCTAATTATAGGCTATTTCACACAGCTCCCCATCGCATCGCTAATCATCTCACCTATCCAATGATTCGAATGTTCTGATCTTCTTTTGTCATATCTTTGACTGGGTTAAAGAACGAGATATAATCCTCTCCTATTCCTACCTGGTCTTTTATAGTATTGTGGCAAATATTCGGAGTCCACAAAAGACTAGTTTTTTCTTCTTTTTACAGTCATATTGCCGATTGCAGAACATGACGGCTCTCGAGGACGTTCAACGAGCGTCGGTGATCGCCTCCTGTTCAGATCCACTGCCTGAAAATATTCTGAGCCAATATGGTAACCGAGTTATCAAAATATCCGATCATCAAGTTGTTAAATGGGGGCCAGATGTGACCAAAGAAGAATTTGAAAATCAGAGGCTAGCATATGAACTTGTGGACCGCTGCAAAGTTCGTATCCCACATGTGTATGATTTCTTTTGTGATGAGAGAGGTTGGGGGTATCTTGTGATGGAGTATATAGATGGAAAGGTCATCGATCCATTAGAGGATGTCTGCTCTATACAAAGGGTTGCAAGTGTGCTTGATTATTTCTCAACGCTACGATATAACATTCCCGGGTCACTCTATGGAAGTACTTGTCGCGGCCTCCTTTTTCCTGAAACCGAGGATGTGGTTTTCGACAGTCTTGACGGAATGGAGAAGTGGTTCAATACCCGACTTTTCCCGCACAATCCGAAACTGACCTTACGGGACTCTGAGCTCGTGCTTTGCCATTTGGATATAGCACCTCGGAATCTTCTGTGGCAGGAAGATGGCTCTCTGTGCCTTATTGATTGGGCATCTGCCGGCTTCTACCCGAGGCTGTTTGAGTTTTGCATGCAGTGGATTTTCGATGGAAAAGACGGCAACTTCAACTCCTGTTGAAATCAATGAACCCTCTTAAGGATCAGGAAATGGCACAGAAAGAGGCTATCCTGTGTGCTTGGAGAAATATTCAAAAGTACCCGTTGTAAGTGTGGCGAGCTTCGGCTATTTCTTTTTGAGACTGATCAGCTTTCAAGCCGAAACAAATCATCAACACGATGCCAAACAGTAGTAAATTCTAAACCGGAGCCCGCTCATCCAATGCCAGAATATCCACCAGATTGGTATGAACATGTTCAAGATGAATACTCTACACCGGATGATCCCTGTTGTGCTCCACTGTGGGGTGAGTCCTGATTATTTGATGAACTAGGTTATCAATGATTGATTGGACGTCAGAACCAAGTTAAAATTCGACAAGTTGCCATAAAAGCCTTAAGAGAGTACTATGTAAACGTGTTTTAATTGCTTCTCTCACGCTGTCCTGGAAGGTTCTCCAGTCTTTGATCCTTGAGCAAAATAATGGCCTGTCTCATTTCCGTAGAATTCCACACCAGGCACAGCATAGTCGCTGGGTCGATAACCCGCCACCTTGAAGTATTTCTCTCGAATTTGGGCCTTCCCACTTTTTTCCGAACCTGTCACAGGAGTGATCTCCCCTTCTTGCAGAATCCGTAGAACTCTGGGTAACTTGTAAGATTCCGTCGTTGGGGAAAGATCGGCACGGATCTTTTCAAGGTTGATTCCATCGTGACCAGGTTCCAGACGAATGAGCGCCGCCACCAACTCTCTAGCTTCATAGTCCATGATAGGAAGTACGTGAGCCTCGGTCACGTATGGCAGATTAAGAAGGCGCTGTTCCATTTCAAGAACTGATACTGTGAATGCAGAGAAACGAATGACTATTGAACGATTAATGCGCGTGGCCTTATTTTCAAGGCTAGGAAGAACTTACAATCGCTTGAACCTCTCCCAAGGAAGATGTATTGTTTTCCATCGCGACGAACCACATCGCCAGTTTTGAAATATCCTTCTTCATCGAAGGCGGCCTTAGTAGCCTCCTCATCACCAATGTAGCTGTGAAGCTCGTCAGAAATGCATCGTTGAGACTGTGTTCAGCATCAAAACTTACTGGGTGAACATCCCAGGATACTTGACCAAGAGCTGGCCAGTGTCCCCATCAGACAGCTTCACAAGGAGACCCGGAATGGGCTCCCCAATACATTGCTACAGAAGCGTTATATGTCAGCATTAAGGTATGACCACCCGGATTTCGTTTCACTCAAACAAACCTCAACAAAAGGGCTGCCAGGCGAGGTTCCAAATTTTCCGCATCCCAGCTCTGTCATCCCAAAAACAGAGCTGATGGGCATGTTGGTGAGATTTTTCCAAAACTGCACTGTAGAGGGGTTCAGAACGGAGCCACTAGAAAAGACAGATTGCAGCTTTGAGGCCCCGGAGATATATTTGTCATGTTCTTCAGACGGCAAATGAGAAATTGTCGAGTGATAAAAATCTTTCATGGCTTTGAGCCGAACAGGGGTTAGAGAGGTCATAGTAATTGTGCCTTCTTTGAGTACATCCCAGATTCGGCCTGGATCGGCCCCACGCTTCAAGGCACGGACTCTGACCCCCCTCATAACGTTTGCCAAGGGACTTGCTGCACTCCCCATCCAGTGGACCGGACGGTATGTCATGAATACAGCGGTGGGGTTCATTTTAAGATTGATGAAAAATGCCTTGCGGGGAAGAGCTATGCCTTTTGGCTTGCCGGTGGTGCCAGAGGAAAACATGATTAGGCATGTATCGCTCTCAGAGATAGTCAGAGACTCATCCACTTCAATATGAGGTGAAATTGAAGATCTCTCTGCTCGTTCCATTTGGATGGTATTGATCCTCTTGTCTGGTGTTGTTTCGAAATGGTCCTTAACCAGAAGGAACTGCTCAACTGTCCAGGGATCAAACAGAATGCAACAGGCGTATACTTTGCTCACAGAAAAGGCAGTATCATTGAGACTGCCCGTGGGTGCTAAAATAAAAAGAAACCAAATATGTGAGCATTCATTCAGTCATTATGTGTTCACCTTCTGAAGAACATAGCAGGGCAACCCACACAATGGTACCGATGCTCCCCCCAAAGAGGCAATTGCGATGAAGCTGACGATGAAGTAATAAACGCTGACTGTCATAGTAGCAATATGTTTCGATCCCGGTCGCAAAAGGCCTCTGCTATCCAAACTATCTGGAGAAAGCTTTGTGCGCAAGACCTGACGCAAATGCATCACATCATCGAGAAGAGCCTCATAATCCGCTTCAATGCCATATTCATCATACACTACAGCACCGGGGAAAGTGTCTCTGAGCTTGACAAGGTTGGTAATTAACGCGTCATTCGCAAATACTTCAACTGCTGGAGTAGCCATTTTGGGCACAAAACAGGGCGGAAATGCGATGAAGTGAAGACGTCCGTATTTCCCAAGAAGGACATTTTCTTTCCTCTGTGAACCACAGCGTGACCCGTGAACAAACACGTGCCGTCTTTTCCAGTACTTGATAAATACCAAAGCTCGAAAACGAATACTTGTGGGGAGTACAGTATTCGTATTGATTGTAAGTTGTGAATACGAAGATAAGACCCACTTCTAGCTCGACGTGCGTCGATCGCCAAGGTTTGTCACTTGTGCAATTTATGGACGCAATTGCGCAGATATGGAGCGGTGTGTGCTTACTGAACAGCCTTTCTCACATTTTGAATCTGGCCTTTTTTTGCTGTTCATATAATGAATAATAGTTTTTTTTTTTTCAAATTCCGCAAGGGCATGGTCCGTAGCACATACTATGGTATGTACCGATTATCCTACAAAATCGTAACAATAAAGTCCCAGCTGCCATTGAATGTTGCTTACATAGCTTCATAGCTTACTTCATACAGAGCAAGTACCAAAAATCAAGATCTTGCTCAGCTGTGTCTCCACTTTCAGCCAAGATACAAATGTCTCATACTGGAAAGTGAAAATTGCCCCACATGTTCCCAAGAACCTTTAGTGTAACGATCGATCTCAGCAGAACTTGTACATTTGATTCAAAATTATGCAACACCGCGGTAATTGTACGTGAAAGTAACAGCTAACCCTGAAAAAAAAAATCAAATTTCGGTGAAGATCGAAGTGGGAAGCTCCACACGGTCCGCAACTAAGTTTCCCCCATTCTCACCAAGAATCCCCAAATAATTCGGGACGTCAGAACTTCCATTGTAATCGGTCCACTATTGAAAAATCATCACTATGAAGAACCCGGCACATGCAACCACCATCCTGGAGAAATTCCGGGAAGAACACCCGGAAGTGAGCTATATCCGCTTCCAATGGCAGGACTATTCAGGTGTGCTTCGAGCACGCGTCCTCATCTTTGAATCCGTCATTGCGCAAGTTGCCGATGGAAAATCTATCCAGGCCGCTGGAATCGCGTTGGATTGTACCGTTGATAATCACATCCTTCCTCGGGACCCCCCGAGAGGCATGCACTGGGCAGTTCCAGATTGGTCTTCTTTGCGACTAGCCTCCCATTCTGGAACGGCCATGGTGATGTGTGCTTTGAATTTCACCGTACTGGATCGCCCTTTAAGCAGCGACTTGTGTCCCCGACAGACGCTATCAAGAGTACTAGGAGAAGCACGCCAGACCTGGGAAATAGACTTCCTAGTAGGTTTTGAGGTTGAATTTGTCGTGATGAAAAAAGACCAATCATCCAATTCTATGGTGCGGTGTAGTGACGGCCTGGGACACTTTGCAGTCTCGGGTCTACGAGATCCGACTTATAAATACGTGGAAGAATGCGTGACTCGACTTCGCGCTCAAGGCGTCATAGTCCAGGCAATACACACGGAAGGATTCCGAGGACAATACGAGATTGTTCTAGGCCCGCTTCCACCCATGCAAGCGGTTGATCAATTAATTCTTGTGCACGACTACCTTAAAGATACGTTTGCCCGCCATGGGTATCAGGTCACTATGTCTCCCAAGCCTGTGGCTTCAGAAACCCAGGCAAATGGACAGCATATGCACCTCTCCATTCAGCCTACCACTCCTACCGTTGAAGCTTCATTTCTCGCGGGCATGCTGAGGCGTCTGCCTGCTTTGTGGGCCTTCTGCTTGCCACTGGAGACATCTTACGAGCGACGCAAACCCCGGCTCGCAGGAGATAGCGTAGGCTGGGGAACACAATCGCGAGTTGTCCCTATTCGAAAAGTGGAGCCTGGCCACTGGGAACTTCGCTGCATTGATGTCACTGCCAACATGTACTCCACCTTAGCAGCGGTTCTAGGTGCTGGACTGTTGGGGCTGGCCGGAAACGAGCCACTGATTTGGCCAGATTTGGGTATTCCAGCGAATCAAGCTTCTTACTGTGGTGAGCCGCTGCCGCGGAATCTTAAGGAATCCTTGTCTGTCTTGGAGGCGGATGATGGTCTTCTGTCTAGTATGATTGGCCGGTCCATGATAGACCATTATATTGAGCTCAAACATTATGAGATTGCACAGATGAAGAATATGGATGCGAATGCAATCAGGGAGCTTCTGATTGAGCTATTTTAATAATTCAATGAAACCTGGGCATCCACAGATTGAGCCCTTGACATGGTATTCGAATCAATATTAGACCATCAATTGATATACTTCCTCCTTCATTAAAAAATGCGATTTTTCTGTTTCTCGGCTTTTTTGGACCCGGTCATGCTAATGATGATAGATACTATGATGCCTATATATCAGCACTGCGTAGCGTAGAAGTTGGAGATGTATGGGAACCCACATGCATACTTCAATATGTATATTATAAGTTTTTAGGCTTACTTGAACAATGCTCAAAGACAGATCTCAAAAAACAATAATGTAGCTCACTCTCGAACACTCTGTCTCATTTGTTGTAATTCCGCATCCCCCGGCTCCGGACATTATCTCTCCAATTCTCATGCCAAGAAATATCCAAATCATTCTCAGTTGTCGTCTTCCCATAGCCTTCCCTCTGCAAGAACGGTGTATCCAAGGTCTTCAGAATCAACTTCTCCGTCGGTCGCAAAAAGTACAGCAACGCCAACCGGTCATTATGCGCTTGATCCTCCGGCGGAGAGATCACGCGATGGAATCCCGATTTCATATACCCGTTCGTCAAAAAGTTGAAAGCATTAGCCAGATTGACTGCAATTGTCCCGGTCGGCACGTATAGATATTCCCAATCCGACTCCTCGCCGCTCGGCTGTACCTGCAACGCGGAGATCGGCTGCTGGAACATGAAAGTCATGCTTCCGTTATCCGTGTGTCCATTGAAGTGCATATCCTGACACGCCTCACGTTCTGCCTTCGAGCGCGCATGGTAGTACATGTAGCGGATAGAGCTATCACAGGCATCCTCGTAGTGGTGGTATTGCAGGAAGTGTTCCTCGGGCAGTTCGAGCATGATGGCCAGTAGTCGTAGCAGCTTGAAAGAAATATTCTCGTGCACATGGCGGGAGAAAGTCTCGATGTCGTCCCAGTACTGGCGGATGATTTCAGGCTGGGTCCTTTCGGTTTCAGGGATGCATTTGAAGATGCTGTAGAACTCCAGTGCATCTTTTACTCCGGGTTTGATGTCGACTGCTCCGAGAGGTCGGTAGCCATTGTAACTTCCCTCCTCCAGTGGTGCGCGGTATTTCAGTCGCTCTTCTTCTGGAAGAGCGAAGAAGGCTTTGGCAATAGCAAATTGCTGATCGATTTGCCCTTGGGAGAGGCCGATATTGGTGACGTAGAAGAAACCTTGTCGTGGTTTAGTCATTATTCTGATTGGGAATTCAATGCGACGAACCGATATTATGCGCGATATCTTTCAACTGTTGAGCTAGCTTTTCTTTGCCTCCAGGAAGATCAAACTCTCCCAGGTCTAAAGTGACTAGGTCCGCGTATTTCACTTTAATTGCTGTCAGCTTCTGAGATTCTTCAGATTCGCACAGGGCAAAAACTCACGCTGTTCCTTTGTCTCGGCTGGATATTCATATTTTGCTAAGGGTATCTTGCAGTTGACCGATGGCACGGTGCTCTGCGTAGCTAGCTGAGTACTCGTACTCATGATTGGCAGCTTCAATGTTAAATTGATAAGAATGCTAGTCGGGGGAGAAAAAAAGCGGTGCGGTAAGTCGAAAATCAAACAACAACAAATAAGGTAATACCTACGACTGTTCATACATTTACGGTATGGTTCTCGTACGAATCGGGGAGCATCTGATCGAATGCGGGATGAGCGATGATCCTATTCCTATCCTGTCTTAGCGTGGCCTATGGCTCAAGATCGCCAGTTCCTGCCCCTACAGATCATAAATGGGGTTTTCTGATAATTTGCAACTTGCAGCCGTATGTATTAAATCTCTTCAATATGCCCATGGCCCTGGCGCTCTCCATAGATTTTCCTGGTTTCCTCAGGCTAACTGGATGGTAAATTTGATGCTATAAATATTGTGCAACGTGCTGCGGGGGGTGAGTGATTCTTCACATGCAGCTCAAATACTTACTCCACCCAAAGCTCCACGGGTGCCTAGGAGCGGGCCGCCTATGTACCACGTTTTCGTTGTATACGTCTGTATTGCCGAAAGTAAAGCCGCGCTAATGTCGCATGTGCAGGCGGCTCATACGGTATTTACAGTATTTACGGTATTTCTGATCTCACTGTATCTTACTCTGTCCACATCGTATGAAGCCTGAAATTCGTGCTCCTAGAAAGCTCATTACTCATTTCTTACAATACAAGACAGGTCAATTGTTGGCCCGGTTGGCTATATTCCTGCCAGGGACGAATTTGATAACACGAGCCCACTCGCACGTGCGCTGCTGCAATATGCTCCTTCGTTGGAGGGGGCTCAGCACTTGAGGAAAAGAGTACCATAACAACTTAGCTCAAAAAACAAACATAACATTGGATTTTTATGAGGTACCAAACTGCATAGCGTATCTGAAGATCCAGGGACTGTATTTGAAATAAAACTACGCAATAATTAGGATTATGACGAGATTAAGCTTCAATTACAATTTCCTTCCACGTGCTGGATATGTAGCTAGTGCTTATAATAACCCTCTCCAGTTCAATGCTTTCTTTGGGTAGGCGTGGTGGTAGAGGGCAATTAATGGGTGAAATAAGTGTCATTATTGACCCCAGGCGCCCCTATTGGCGTGGGCACTACCTGCTGCGCACATGCATCAGGAGATGTATATAAGTTGACATCTGGAGGTATCAGTGTCGGACATAAGGAACATTGAAATAGGAACTTGAAGGCTTTCCAAATCAAACATCCAATCTGTATTGGCTGTAGAAATCGAAAATAATCTCGGTCGCATTAAACACGTAGTGTCCCATAGGACACTTTTCCTTCCCTAGCGTCTCGTAATCATCATTGGGTCTTGTGCTAGGCCAACAGTGACCATTGTTTCCCTCGCGATAGAACTGGATAATATCCTTCTTTCCATCGCAATCCCAACCAGCATGCTTGACTAATGGTTGCTCGTGTACAGTCTTATTGCTGGCCCACTTCGAATCTTCAGGGCATCCATTGCGCTCCGCCCAGTCTTGCAAGACATCAATCATGGGCGTGATGTCGTCTTCCTCGTCTCCATTAATCGGTGCAGTCTGATCAACAGTTCCATGGAAGAAGATAAAGGGATACCCCTCGGCACGCATAGCAGGCTGACAACCTTGCAAGCCCGGCACGCTTCCCGTGCCATGCCAGGCACCGCTGACAACGGAGAACGCAGCAAAGCGACTGCCGACCGTGGCATTGCAGGCGATGACAGCAGCGAATTCTCCGCCATTCGACTTGCCATTGGCGTAGACGCGACCCGTATCAATGCATAGGTTCTCTTCCAGGTGAGTTAGAAGATCGTTGGTGAAATCAAGGTCATTCGGATAGGTGATGTTGGCGTTGGAGTTGGATAGCCAGACATCGTCCTGGGTTTCAGGGTAGATGGCGATGCCGTCTGGGTTGAATTCTGGGTTCGAAAATTGGGATAATTGCTCCTGCTCTTCGCCGCTTCTAGACGCCCCGGAAAAGGAGAAATATACTGCAGTCTTTGTGTCGTTTTGGTAGGTCTTGGGGATATGAATTCGGTATTCGCGATCGCTGTCGGGAAGCGAAAGGGTCTTGCTTGAACCGGGGCTGGGGAATGCATCGGGGATATTCTTCCCACAACCGGAGATAGCCGAGCTTGTGCCCAGTAGAGCCGCGAAAGATAAAAATGGTGAGACGCGCATATTGTTTTCTGTGCGTTTGATTTTACCGATGACTCAAATTGAATGGAGGACGGTAGCAGGGATTGAATTTATAGTCATTCAACCCCTGTCCATCCATGGTCCTTTGGGCAAGGCCCGATCGTCAGGAGATGGGCTCTGCAGTCTATCCATGGATTTTCTTGATCTCGTTGTACTTTGGCGACCCAAACTGACTATCTTCTCGTCACGGCTGAGGCGTAAGTTGTCGATCAAGGCTCTTGGCGGTAAATCTCCCCCGGTTGGTCTAGGATTAACGGCTAATTCGTGATGATCAGTGGGGCCTAGGTGGACCTGGTTCCAGACTCCTTTATCTTCCCTATAACCGGTTAAGTGTTACAAACCCCAGATATAAGCCTGACGCGTCAAATTTGGCTGATCATCAATGAGGTGATTGTGTACGTCACTGATTGAATCGTAGATATGATGATCCGTTTGCTCATAAGCAGCTCTTCAGAGCTTGTTCGCTAGTACATAGATGGATTGATCGGCTAGAATTCAGGAGTACCCCAAGGGGCAAACCCTGGTCCACTAATATACATAATCCTCTTAGAGAACATTCATCTGAGTAGCAGCGGGAGGGATTCTGACTCCCTCCAGTCGAGCGTGTTGGCATTTGTCCGAAGCAATTCACAGAATCAGAATAGTTCCGGGAATATCGATTGATAGCCATTCGAATCGACAGGCAAACTTACAGTGTAGTGTTTTCTGATAAAATAAAGAGTCAGCACTAGAATGAGTTTTTCTCTCTCCTAATACTATGTACTCAGGTACCGATCGGCGGGCCATATTCCGAGCAATCGAAGAATGTGAGTGCAACAACCGTGGATATGCATTCCGTAGACCCACACAATCCGCCACGACCCACGAGGGCCTCAACCGGACGAAATTCCATGAACCTGTATTTTCGGAGTGCATGCTGCTGGAGTGGTGAGTCGCCTTGTCACGTTGTCACTGAATTTCATGATGCGCTGAGATGTGAGTTCGGCAGTGAGTAAACCTAATTTTGCCGGCGAACATATACTGAAGCCATTGATACTGCTGATCTCTCACGATCGGATTCTACAATTTACCACCCAAAGTCGATTATCGCAACGAACAAAAAAGCCTTCAGAACCTCGGAGATGGCGCCCGACTACATTGGTACGGCGCCGCACCTGGCTACCCACGGGAACTCTTACGTGGTGCCGCGGTATAAGTACCCAGCTTATAGACATCTAGACAGAGCCGAGATGCCTTACGATATAATCTAGTGAAACTAATTGGCTTTGCTTCTTCAAATGTTAGTAAACTGGTCGTTACTAAGTAACCCCTTTTCCATTTTCAAAAGCACTCTCATACTCTTATGCCCCTATTGCTATTATATTTAATGGCTTGATTAATCTTATATATTTTTTAAGTGGAAACGCAGCGCTGGCAGCCTGAGTGGTACAGACGGGTCGAGATGCAGAAAGGAAGCACGCTGGTAGCTGGCCTACTCTACGGTCGCATTGGCATGAGGATGGGGGGACAGGCACTGTAGAGCTCTTAGAAGGAGACTTGAACAGCAGACATGCTGTGTGTACGTATTGTGCTGATCCAAGGGGGTTGACTATCTTTCAATTACTTGAAGCTAGACTAGAAAGAGTTAGTTAGTTGGTAACTAGTGAAGAGGGGAGCGGGTCTGCGAGCCCGCTAGCCACTGCAAACCAGAGGTTTGTTACTGGGAGCAGTAGAATACAAGAAAGAAGGAACTAGGGGTGGCTTGTGGAAGGAAAGATGGTCTCAGACTCTGAGTTGTCTATCCCTGCGACGCGCTTATATTCTTGCTTAGTCAGGTGCACATCCACCGCTCTTCCCCACTACACTAGTTAATTAGAACTTGGCTTAACTAACATTGAAAGGTAACTAAAGCTCAATGTCATTTGTAATTTGTGTGTAGCAACTGATAGCCAATCGGGGGTTCAGCGTCGGAGATTGTGGGCCTAATGCGGGGTAGCTATCTCCTATTCTGAATGGGCTTAGTGAGATCGGGAAACTTCAAATTTCCCCATGATCAATATACAACGCTAGAGCCCCTCTCCTGTTCATTTTCTTCTTCTCTACTTGATATGACTTTGATTTGATGACTGCAGTCAACTGTTTCCACCTTCCCCTTGTTTGAACCCCGATCCGTGGATTGGATTGGGCGTTGGGGCTTCTCACATGCGGTGAAAATCGACGCGAACCGCAATCAATCTCGGTCCTTGCACATCCTAAGCTGTTCTCCCTTGCGATGCATAATCAGCAGCAGTCAGCCGATCGCCTTCAAGGTGCTGCAGCTGTAGCCTGTGCTTCATGTCGCCGAATGAAGGTTTGTCTATCATTCCACCACTCTCCTTTGCGCTTAATCAAGACATGGACGATCAGATCACTGACTGGTTGATGTGAATGAAAACTACAGATGAGATGCATCGGCGCTGCCAACCCACCATGCACCCGCTGCTCCAGGAACAACCGCGAGTGCGTAGTACGGCTTCCAAATCGACAGAAGAATCGCTCGTTTGGGCGCTCCAAAGCCAGCACTGTTCAGAATAGCGCCGACCCCCCTTCACCCAACTCTCTCGCCGAGCATAGACCATCTCCTGCGGTCAATCTCACTGATTCGATGGCCGAAGGACAGGGAGTGCCTCCCAGACCAGCCTGGGAACATCCAAAATCACAACGCGACCAGACGATCCTTCTCTCAATATTTTCCTCCCCACCGATTTCCATTGCTAGTACAAAAGTCCCAGAGAATAATAGACCCTCTGGCGGCGTTACTGCCTTGCAACATCCATCAGACTCTGATGCGATTCTGGATTCCGTCCTATTGGACCTTGTTCAATTGTAAGTTTTGATCCATCCATGCGTAGCCATTTCATTCTTGACCTAAAAATACAAGTCAGCTAATAGCAAATTCTGCATATCAGCTTCATTCAAAGATTAATATGCTATACTCCGGTCCTTTCGCTGGAACCACTTAACAATCTTGGGGATTTAATAGCCAACCAGCAGCCTGTTGCATATGCCATGGCATTCGTCGCTTCCTCTCTCAGCCCAGGCTACAGTTCAACACGCCTCGCACTTTTCCCTCACATGTTGAAAATGCTGGAACAGGCCAACGATGTCAGTCACAACACCCAGGAAGAAAACTGGACTTTATTGCAGGGGCTGGCTGTCCTCTACTCATATCCTAGAGTTTCCGCAGTATCAGTGCAGGGCCCGGAGAGGAAGCTAAGTCTGTGGGCCGTGAAGTCCGCAGTGGAGACATGTGCCATGCAGTTGTCATTGCACCACTCCGTTGAAGATCTTCAGGTGTATCTACAGTCTCCCGGGCCTGAAATATTGGCATCCCTTCCATACCGCCGCTCGTTCTACTGGATTTGGCTCTTCGTGAAATCTCGTCACCACTCTGTCATTACTAGAACGCCTCCGACAATACGTAATGACTCGACTATCTCCGCGATACTGGAAATTATGCCCCATTTTGATTCCCAACCAGGAGTAAGGAGGGTTCTGGCAGAGGCTGCCTTACATCATCAGTGGGACAAGGCCGCTCGTCCAGACACTGACTTGGCCGAGTGGTGGTGCGTACCTCGCTGCACCAAGGATATCGGAGCATTGTCAGAGCTACTTGATAATGCGGATAACTTATTGCAAGAATGGGGCGCTATCTGGCTCCAGCCTTATGATTTAAGTGTGCCCAGCTCACATGGTTCTAGTCTCGAGGACCCGTTGGTTTTCGCTAACAGCATCACTGCATTCATGGGCGTTCTGACACGCTTCAGTATTGTTTCCTTTGCCGCACCCATTGTCTCGCATCAGCTGATGGCAAAGACTGGTCTTGCCACTTTCCCACCATCGACCGCACATTCGCCCGAGCTTTCCGCTTTTCTGAACTGTGTGTTAAAGTCCGCAGATGCGGCTAGCAAATGCTGTGACGCTATTATTGAACTCAAACCCGCATCCAGGGATGCCTTGCGATATATGCCCGACTACGGCTTTACAATGATCGCTTTATGCTGTCTCCATCTAGTATATGCATATAACATGTGTCCAGATAATTCAACCTTGAGAAGCCACCTTTCAAAGGTGGAGCAAGTAGCTGAACTCATGATCGACTTGAGCTTCGGATGCAATATATGTCCAAAGGTCTATGGAGAAAACATTCTATCGAAACTAAGGGCCGCAACTCGGAGCTCGGTTCAATCAACCGACAATGTTGATCAATCTCATAGCATGGCCACCTCTCCTATAGGCCCTACCGTGGGCCTCCCAGGCCCTCATGCTTGGTCACAGGTGGGATCTGTGGCTGGCTTTGATTACCCTATGGACTCCTTATTCCGTGTCAGTTCATCAAATGCTGATTGGCCACCAACCGAGCTCAGCTCTGACATCTTATTACAATCGAACTCTGGACTCGTTGATCTCTTCAATACGTATCCGGAATCTGTACTATATTCAAATACAAGCTCGCTATGATAATCTGGTTTCCATGATCATAGAATGACAACTTTACTCCTCCATCCAGTTTCTCCCAGCCAGTGAACTCTCAACTTTCTATCTTTTTCATCTCCAATTCCGGCGATGCCTAGCTGTAGAGTTTCCCCTGGGACAGTATCCACGCCATTATCCTCCCAGTCAACCTGGCCTTCGCCCTCAAAATCAAGGTAAATCCCTTTCATGGGAACCGATGCAGTTATCTCAATGACGAACTTCGATTCCTGTTGGACAAGCTGCGTCTTGATATTCTCTTCCTGGTCAGAGAAAGGGACTTCCTTTAAGGGCTCGTGGAAGTTGACATAACGCGTTATTCTGGATGTTTCCAAGTCTGAACTCATGTGAATTGAAAAGGCCAATTCATTCCACTCGAACTGCTTCTTATCTCCTAGCCTGTGTCGAAATTCAATCTTTCCCAGCTCCGTGCTTCGGTTCGAGTCCAGCTTTGTCGCTGACAAAGCTTTCTGGGCCCAGACCTTTTGGCCAGTTTTGACATGCCAGGCCTGGATCTCATAGGTTATGGACACTGTCTGCATGGTCATGTTGCAGGCCCACGTCTCCAGAATTAGTGAGTCTCCATCGGACACACGAGCAATGCCGGCAGTGATAGGCTGGTTTTCTCGCTTGACAGTCCAGTATGCCAATTTGGGGCGTAACTCATAGTCAGCAATGGACCAAGATGTCACCGGCCAGCAGTCATTTAGCTGCCAAACCAAGGCACCGGCGCAGTACTCCCGACCAGGGCCTTGCCAGAGACGTCTCCAGCCTCGGAACGCGGTTGATAGCCCCTCAGCTTGGATAAGCTGCGAGCAGTACATGTAGCCTCGGAGAGACTGGTCATCGAATGGAATGTTATCAGTACCGTATTTTGCAATGTTTTCCGCTCCCGCTTTGCCTTTATTGTGCGCTAGCATGTACTCATTCGTCGTACAGTCCAGCCTGTCATCCAGACAGAAGCGCTGATCAGCCGGAAAATACTGCTTAACCGTCTTCCAATGTGGAACAGACTGTAACCCGAATTCAGTAACCATACGACCGCCGAGCTTTGGATAATCTTGGTATGGAAACTTGTCGAGATGCCAAACGTGCCACTGGTGGATGTCACCAACTGTCGCATCGTTGCAGAATGATCCTCCAAAGGGAGAGCCCGGCCAGTAGGGGATGTCCGGTATCAACTCTTTGCAAACCTCAGGCAGCCGAACCTCATAGAAAAGACGGGCTGGAAATCCAGACTTCCTGATCTTTTCAGGGTCCATTTCCGCAGGGTCATATTCGCCCTTGCCTGCGTGTATTTGGGCCAGATGCGCAATTGCGTAATCCTCATTGTTTCCGCACCAGACGGCAATTGAAGGATGATGTCGCAGGCGTGACACATTTTGACGAACCTCGGCAATGACGCTCTCTTCGAATGAGGAATAGGCCGGGTATATGCCGCATGCGAACATGAAATCGTGCCAGACCAGGACACCCAGTTCATCACATGCGTCGAAAAAAGCATTATGCTCGTAAATTCCGCCACCCCAAATGCGTATCATCACTTGGTTGGTGTCTTTGGCCAATTGTATCCAGGAGCGGTATTTTTCTGGTGTCGCTCGTGACGCAAAGGAGTCCATCGGGATCCAGCACGACCCTGCGGCGAAAATAGGCACATCGTTGACCCGGAAGAAAAAGCTAGTGCCCTCCTTGCCCTGCAATGGCTGCTGGACTAGCTCGATCTTGCGAATACCGAATCTTTTCTGAAGAAAATCCAGCTCAAGCTCATCCTCGCGGTTGACTACGTTGACCAACGTAGCCTTTACAGTATAGAGGTTCTGATCGCCAAGTGTCCATGGCCACCAGAGCTTCGGGTTTTGTATCTGTATGGCCGTTGTAGTCTGTTGACTTTTAAGGGTAATGACGCGCGATTCAACTCTCGTGCCGCCTATCTCAAGGTCTATTCTTGCAAAATCTGCTTTTCCTTCGAATTCAACCGATACAGAGCAAACTGCTTGCTGGTGACCAGGGGCGAGATGGGTTCGAACCGAGAGATCTTTGACGCGTGTCTCGTATGTTTCGAGATAGATTGGCTTCCAGGGTCCACAGTCTGTCAATACTGGGCCCCAATCCCATCCCTATATATTATCAGTCATTTGGCTGAGAACTAGAAACACTTTTCATGGTTCAGCTACTTACAAAATGGTACTGAGCCTTTCTGACTGCTAGTCGACTGTTTCCAAAATGGAAACTAAACCAGCTACACTCAGGATGCTTTGCCATTTCCTGCGCTGCTTTCTTCTCGACATTATGGAAGGTAATCTGTAGGGTATGCATTGCATCCGCTGTGGTCTGTTTGGAACGAACATGTTCTGTGATGTCGACACGATGACTGAGAAACATGTTATCGGTCTCCAGGATCGTCTTGCCGTCCAGCGTCACGGTCGTGTACGTATCCAGGCCCTCAAATACCAGGACGAAATTCCGGCTGCCATTGTTTTGCGCCAGTAAGGGAATAGGAAATTTCTTCTCGTAGACCCAACTCTTGCTAGCAACCGATTGTACTAGCTCTTCGTTCTTAGCTTGGAATGGATCCGGAATGGTGTGGTTGGCGATCAGATCTAGATGCACTGACGTGGGCAATGGCTGGGCATTTTGCCAATCGTGCACAGAAACATCGTTTTCCACCCTATACTTCCATCCCTCGCTTAGTGATAGCGTTTCCTTGGCTGTGGTCATCGTGCGACGCGACTGGGTTGAATTGCGTGTGGTGTATGCCGAGCGGACACGGTCGTAATGAAAGATAATGGAAGTGAAACTGCCTTCTATGAAGGCAAATAATTAGCCGCGGTATTCCAGGGCACCCCTTCATCCTTTTAACTTACTGCTAAGTTGTGGCTTACGTGAGTAAATTTTACGGGACTTTTGCTCACGGTTGAGCAATTTCCGCCGATCGGGTTAGACGTCAGTAAGAGGCGAAATCCGCAGCTCTCCAGTAACTCCGTGACAGGAACTGGGTATTCCCCCGAGACATAGTACTCAGACATGTACCTCGTGTTCCACAACCGGCTAACGTCGCCCGAGGCCCCCGATATGGCTGCACATGTGAGGCCCGGAGCCCGGGGTCAGATACGATCATACGCATACCGGCCGCCGGGTGCTCCACTCCACGCGAACCAAAAAATCAATCGGTGAGATCGTGGGGTATCAACAATTCTTCATTCCTGAGTCCACACTTTGAAAGCAACTTGCGGGGTAAAATCTGGGGTTTTGAACTTGACTGATTTTGCCCCTTTATATAAAATGAACCTTTCGTATCGCATTTCCATCTGACTTATCCTGGCAGTGATGCATATTACTTCATAATTTGTGATCAGCTTCGCTCAATCATTCATTGCCTACACCGGAATTCGACCAACTAAGATCCAGCACTTGAGAACAGCCCCCCGTTTGTGATCAGGATGACCAAGTCTGAGGTCGGTCAGTTGGAGGAGTCTCCGACTGTTGAGAGATGCGAAAACGTATCCGACGCAAAGATGTCTATCCATAACCCAGGTGTGGATGATGCTCTTCAAATGGCTATCGATGGCCAGGAAGAAATGTGGACTGCAGAGGAAGAACGTAAACTTCTCTGGAAAATTGACCTGATAATGACTCCCCTGGTATGTCAGCCCAATCTTTCGACTCTTCAGTATGGACGCTAATAACCCAATGTGGTTAGTTATTCCTTGGAACAATTGTAGGCTACGCAGATAGCCAGGCTTATGGATTCGCGGCCCTCTTTGGCCTCGTCAAAGACCTCAACTTGTTCACTGAAACTGTTGTCAATGGAGAGGTTGTTATGGACACGACCAAATATCAACTCACAGCCGGTATAGTGTCTCTCGGTGCAGCAGTGGTTAGTACATGCAACCGATTTTTCACAAACAAATTATAGTTTCTAACCACAGATTTCATTGACTTCTAGGGACCATACTTGATTCTCCTTCCTGCCCAGCTGCTCCCAGTCGGTATTGTCTATGGCGCAACTCTTTTTTACATCGGCCTTCTAGCCATATTGACCATTATATGTCATAATTTTTCACAAATCATGGCCCTGAGGTATCTTCAAAAAATCAATAGAATTTCTCGACTACATTCACACTGCACCGAGTACTGACGTGTATAATAGGTTCTTTTATGGCTTTAGTCAAGTCATTCAGCCCCTGGGTATCATTATAGCAGTCATGTGGTGAGTAGTTTATGACTATCTCGATCGATAAAATTCTCATAAGTGAATTTAGGTGGAAAACAAAAGAGCAGCCTCTTCGGATAGGCCTCATGATCGCCGGTAATGCCGTGGGATCGCTCATTGGAAACGGAGTTGACTTTGGAGCAATGAAACTGGGCGGGGTCTATACTGATAGTCGGTGGAAGTGGATTTACGTTATCTTAGGAACCTGTGCACTATTTGCTGGCATGGTTGTGATGGCTTCGATGCCTGCAACTCCTATGAAGGCATGGTTTCTTACGGATCGCGAAAAGCGCATTGCTGTACGCCGTCTCATGGGTAACAATACCGGCATTCATACCAGAAGATTCAAGATTCGCCAGGCATTATCCGCGTTCGTGGATCCTCAACTTTATGCTCTGTCGATATTTTCATTCACCTTCGCATTTTCCAACGTGGCAGTTTCCAGGTTTGTTTTTCTGTTACACTAAGCTTCTAATGAAACGCTGATCTTTTATGTTTGGTAGCTTTGGCGGTTTCCTTGTGTCCTCTTTTGGATATTCCCAGATTCAAGCCTTGGTCCTCTTCATGCCTGCATCTGCTATTGCAGTCGTGTGCATTCTACTCGCTGCGTATGTGATCCCTCAATTCAAACATGGAATCCTGCCTCATTCATTGACTTGTACAGAATTATCGGCAACCGCTTCCCACACCACCGGATCATTGTCGCAATCGCTTTCATGTTGCCCGCCATGATTGGAAACATCCTGTTATGGAAGTCTCACAGAGAAAATAAATCTGCCCTTCTTGCAGGACTCTATATGGTATGCCGTCGCTTAATCATCCAACCAGGCTATTCTTTTGCCCGGTCTTGGAAAATAAGTGATCTAATATGAAGTCCCAGTCTACAACTTTCTACGGCTCTCTCGTCCAGCACTATTCTCTGCTAGCAGCAAACGTCGGAGGACACTCTAAGAAGACTGCTGTCCTGGGCACCATAACTATGATGGTAGCCCTTGGGGGATTCAGTGGACCTTGGGCATACAAAGGAAATCAAGCTGCTCAAGGTTACCCCGATGGCCAAATTGCAACTCTGAGCTTATTCTGTGCCTCGATCCTGGCTTACACGTGTCTTTGGTAAGTTTAGCACATACTTTGTGTTTGTCAGATTGTCTGCATGGCGTATGATATGCCTACTCGCTCAATGAACAAGCCGTTTATACCTTTGGAATCAATCCATGAACTTACATTTTACTAACTCATCGGCTATAGGTTCTATTACAATTACTCCAACAAGAAAAAGGAAAGTTTGTTACGTGCGCAACCTGAGCTGGCGGATGATCCTATGGCTGCATTCATGGATATGACTGACCAGGAAAACCCTGCATTCCAGTATAGTCTCTAGTAGATAGTAAAATATTTGTTGGTCTACATGCATAAGGTTTTGAGATATTCTTCTTGTCTGACTGGTTCAAACTGCCGAGGTGTACTAGTGGACATGATTTCTGTAATTTGAACAGTTCAATGTTAGGTGTATTCAAGTCTCCAGATGTCAGATGCGTATTCAAGCAAATGTTTCTTTGAAGTTTGGGCTGTTCATTCAATATTTTGAATATCAGAAACCATTCAGAATATTCACACTTCCGAGCACTATTATTCATTGGAACATGCTACTAGTGACTATTCCATATGGTGCCGGTGTAAGTTTAAGATCTCTAGCAATGCGATCGTATCATTGATTTTTAATGTTATACTGTAACCTCCATCGGAATTGGGGGTAACCCATGCTGAAAAATCCTCCATTTATATAGGCAGAATTAACATTGAAAGTCAAACATCGGCATCAATGATGAATCTATTTCAACATTGAAGATCTCCATCATGATAATGAAGATAGTACTAGTCGAGGAAAAGTCATACATCTGGAAAATGAAATCATTTCGTTCCACGCCACATACATAAAGTGTTTGAACTCATCTACGCGGTCGAGTGGTCTACACACTACGACCAGGTGGCGTATTGACTTGGACCGGCTTTCAGCGTGCACGGTCCACCACCGGCGGCCGGTTACCTAAGCCCCGGGCACCGACATGCGCACGGGCCGCCGGCCTAACCTGGAATTAACAAAATACGATCTAGTGTCCGAATGCCATCTCGGTTCAAGATGCCGGACCGAACATGCATAAGCACGGGTATGAAATTTTGGCTTGCCTCACTCGATAGCTTCTGGATATAGAAACGGTGGTACCCCCCAGATAGGTTCGCCTGAGACAATGTTTACTTTCACTTTTTCCTGAATTACTTTCACTTTTTCAAAATGGCAGTCTTCAAATCCACACCTATAACCACCGGCTGGGAGTTCAAACAAGTTGGAGCTGTCGGTGTGCCGGAATGGACGGGTGGTTTCCTCTCAGTCGCTCAGTTCCCCACGAACGTGCACCTGGACTTGATGAAACACAACAAGATACCGGACCCTTACATTGGATTGAACGAGCATGATGTCCAGTGGGTCGGAGAGCAAAAGTGGCTGTACAGAACCCAGTTCAGTCATGATGGCCCAGATTCTTCCGTTGAAAAAGGTAAAAAATATGTTCTCCGGTTCGAGGGTTTGGATACGTTCGCCACCGTCTCATTGAACGGGCATTCTATTCTGGAATCAGATAATATGCACCGCACCTATCGCATTGACATCGCCAATACCATCCAGGAGGGTACAAACACTCTTGAAATCCTTTTCGATGTTCCGCTAGTCAGGGGGCGAGAACTATTAGAAAAATTTGGCCACCACACGGTCCAGTTCAACGGATCCACGGAGAAAAGTCGCGTCTTTGTCAGGAAAGCGCAGTACCACTACGGCTGGAATTGGGGTATTTCTTTTCACCTCCAGTCCATTTTCAAGTGCCCATACTAAGTTAAACTATTCGCATTTACAGGACCCGAGCTCACAACCTGCGGCCCTTGGCGCCCGATCATCTTGGAGGAGTATTCGGCAAAGGTTTCAGACCTATCGTGTCGTATAACCGTTGATACAGACCAAGAATCTGCCTTGATCAAGGTTGTCGCTGAGACTGAGGATTGCAATGCCGATGACATTATCAAACTGACAATCACCGATCCAACTGGCAAAGCGACGGGCGACTCTGTCATGCTGCCTGTACGCGAAAACCTGGCAAACTTCACTGTCGATATCCAGGACGCGCAATTTTGGTGGCCAATTGGCTATGGGCAGCAGCCTTTGTATATCTTATCCGCCGAACTACTCCGGAACGTACGAAATTTCTTTACCATAACCCATATATAGGTCTGATATGATGCTGACGAATGTGTGAACAGGGGATTTGCATTCACTCGATCACGAAAAGAATCGGACTTCGAGAAGCTAAGCTCGTGATACAACCGCTAAAGGATGCACCCGGAACTTCCTTTTTTGTTCAGGTGAACGGCGTGCCAATCTACAGCAACGGATCAAATTGGTGTCCAGCAGACCACTTTGTGCCCAGAGTGAGCCCTGAGCGCTACCGTACGCAGCTGAACCTACTGGCCGAGGGTAATCAAAACACTGTGCGGTATGTCAATCCTCAAATTTGTTAATATTCCACGGATCATACACTGACTACTCTGGTTACACAGCGTCTGGGCAGGCGGTATATTCGAGGAGGATATTTTCTATGACATTTGTGACGAGCTCGGCCTCCTGGTTTGGCAGGACTTTCTGTTCGCTTGCGCGGCGTACCCGGCGCATGAGAGCTTCATTCAAAATATCACAGCTGAGGTGGAAGACAATGTCTCTCGTCTGCGTCACCACCCTTCCATTGTTGTTTGGAACGGCAACAACGAAGATTACCTTTTCGCCGAGCTCTTCAAGACAAACTACGACATCACAGATAAGAACCCGGAGAACTGGTTGAAGTCGACATTCCCAGCCCGATATATATACGAAATTACTCTACCTGCTCTTTGCAAGAGGTTGATTCCCGATTCTAGCTACCATCCGGGCTCCCCATGGGGCGGTGATTCCTTCAATAATCCCCTTGTTGGAGACACGCACAGATGGGAAGGTAAGCAGGCTCAATGATTGTGCCGTCTCTCCCTCCTTCGAAGCTTCCAATGAGCATCCAGGCATTCTTCGATACGCCTAAAAGCTTTGCACCTGATAATAACCATGGCTTTTTTTTCACAGTTTGGCATTATCTTCTTCCCTGGCAGAAGTATCCGCAACTGAAGAGTCGCTTCATTTCAGAGTTCGGTATGGCGTCGCTCCCGCATATCAAAACCATCGATTCCTATCTTGTCGAATCACCGGCCTCTGAGAGGCATCCACATTCACGTACGGTTGACGAACATAACAAAGAGCACCAACATGAGAGAAAGATTGCAACATATCTGGTCGAAAACTTCAAGTACACCTATGACCTGGAGGACTATATCTATGTTACACAGCTCAATCAAGCCGAAGCTATGACCTGCGCTCTGCGGTCATGGCGAAGAGAATGGCAGGGTAAGGGCAAAGAGTACTGCGGTGGAGCCCTCATATGGCAGGTATATATTTCTTTCCTGTTCAAACTAATCCCTTCCTTGAAAACCTTGAGTCCAAGCTGATCCAAATTATGTACCAATAGTTCAACAGCACTTGGCAAGTGACATCGAAAGCGCTCATTGATTACTACAATCGCCCGAAAATGGCATATTTCACGGTCAAGCGCGATATGGCGCCCATAACCATCGGCATGGCGCGAACAGAGACCAAGGCCCCCGGGATGAAGCACACACGAGCTTTTATAAATTCGGAGGTAAAGCTCGAGGGCTGGGTGACAAATATGAAACTCAGCAAAATGAGGCTCCTGCTGTCACTGCAGGTGTTCGCCCTTTCGACAGGAAAGGTACTCTTCTCGAAGGAAGAAACCTGTGAACTGGCACCCAACTCAAGCTCAGACTTGTTTGAGTTTGCACTCTCTGACATAGAGACCAAGAATAAAGGCGAGCCCCTCATCGTTTCAGCGCGACTTTTGGATCCATCTGACAATACGGTCATCGCTCGTTGCACCAATTGGCCGCAGCCTTATCGCTATCTTCATATGCCTCAAGCCCTGCTGCGGATTCGAGCGGAGAACGGAAAGGTCTATGTGAAAACAGAAGACGTTCCGGTCAAGGGCTTGCTGCTGTATGTTGATGATGTGGACTCAGTTAAGTTTGATGATAACTGCATTGATCTTGTTCCTGGCGACGAGCAGGTCATTGCGTTGACGGGATTGGACAACCAAAAACTGCGTTTTAGATATTACGGAATGGAGAGGGATTAGATGACAAATGCTTGAATTAAATATTCTAGCTAAATATACTGAGTCTGCTTTTTTGACTGATCGAAACCTAGCTAAGCAGCGCAAGGCTGCCCAAGTAGGACGCTAAGTGTGTTGTCCGCCGGGTTTGCAGCCACAATATCGAGATAGCTGTTTTTGGTCAAGTCACCCGCTACCACGCCAATTGGACTATCTCCGACATTGAGTATGATTTGCGTCTGGAAGAAACTGTTTCCATTCCCGAGTAGCAGGCTTAGGGTATTGCTTGCATGATTCGAAGCCACAATATCGAGATTGCCATCGCCGTTGAAGTCTCCCACTGTAACAATAAGTGGCTCACTCCCAGTCGCGAATGGAATCTGTGCCTGGAACGTCCCATCTCCATTTCCAAGAAAAACGCTCACGGTGTTGCTTTGATAATTCGCAACGACAAGATCGAGTTTTCCGTCTTTATTAATGTCGCCGACCGCAATACCCGCCGGCAAGGATTCTGTAGCAAATACGATCTGCGCCTTGAATGTCCCATCTCCATTTCCGATCAAAATTCCCACCGTGTTGCTGAGTTCATTTGTTACGGCGATATCGAGAACGCCATCTCCATTGAAGTCACCCAGTACAACACCCATCGGACCGGGCCCTGTGACATAGTCTATCTGCGCGTTGAAGTTTCCATTTCCCATTCCAAGCAATACCCCAACTGTATTAGAGCCGTAATTGGCAACGACGAGATCCACAAAGCCATTGCCGTTCAAATCACCGACTGCCACCCCTTGAGGCTCAGTGCCAACGGCAATGGGAGTCTGTGCCTGGAAGGTTCCATCTCCATTCCCGAGCAAAACACTTACTGTATTGCTCCCAAAATTTGTAGTGACGGCATCCAGATGGGTGTCTCCGTTGAAGTTCCCCACTGCCACAGCAAAGGGGCTTGAACCCACGGCATAGGTCTTCTGCCCCTGGAACGTTCCATCTCCGTTACCAAGGAAGACACCCATGTTATTGCTGGCCAAATTCACAGTCGCGATATCAAGATTGCCATCTCCATTAAAATCGCCTAGTGTAACACCTTCAGGCTCAGACCCAGCTGTAAGGGTAACCTTTGTCTGGAAGCTTGCACACGGTGTACAGGCGCCTGATGTGCATGTTGACCCAGTAGAGCACTAAACCACCGTGAGTATATGTTTCTTCGGTCTTGGAATTTAAATTCTCTTCCAAACTCACCATATTACCGCACTTGCCGCAGTTATTGGGGTCCGAACTAAAAGTTGGACATCCGCCGTTACAAGGAGCCAGTCCAGAGTTCGTGCATATACAGGCACCTGATGAACAGGTTGAACCACCCGGGCACTATGCGACTGTGAGTAATTATCGCCTTACCCTTGATAAGAGTGAAATCTTCCCAGCTTACAACAACACCGCATTTTCCACAGTTATTCGGGTCTGAAGTAAAAGTTGGACATCCGCCGTTACAAGGAGCCAGTCCAGAATTCGCGCATACACAGGCACCTGATTTGCAGGTCGATCCTGTGGGGCACTACAGATAGAACCAACGGTCAGGATTCATCGCCAAAGCAATAGAAATATTTTCCTCACTCACAACATTCCCGCACTTCCCACAATTGTTGTTATCGGAACTGAAAGTGGGACAGGCGCCATTGCAAAGAGCTAGGCCGGAGTTCGTACATTTGCAGACACCCGAGTTGCAAGTCGATCCAGTAGGGCACTAAATAAATGTGAGAGCCCATCCTCTTACTGAAGTCTTCATTCCTCAAACGTACAACATTACCACATTTTCCACAATTTTTCGGATCGGTACTGGTTTGGGAACAGGAGCCAGAGCAAAGCTGCTCCGTCGCGCTAGTCTTGTGAGGCCCACAAGTATAACAAGGCCCGGTTCCGAGTATGGCAAGCCCTACACAGGCGAGTGAGGATGTCGGGAGATTCTGTGTGCACCATGGGATACAGAAATCAAATGCCTGGGTAAAGCTCAAGGCTATCGGGTAAAGAATTGTCAGCATGGGTTTTCCTTTATATTGTGGGAATAAATACTCAATGAGACCAGGACGAGAAGGGCAAGGGTGAGTTGAGCCATCGGATAGGTAATTTTAATGGGTACTTAACGGTGTCGCAATTGCAATTCTGGGAAGGACACAGGAACCCAGCGTGAAAAAACAGTGGGAAATAAATCTTCAAGCTTCCGCGCGACGGGTGGGTGAGGTGTTGTATTTGACTCTGACAAAGGTCTTCTGGCATGGTGGCTTAACCCTGATGAATGTGTAACATTTCTGAAATTGATCCCGACCTAATAATTCAGCGATGAGCACAGGAGAGAAATTACACCTCAATAAAAAATTTTCACGACAAAGTGAAATTCATGTGCGAAATTCTAGTGTCTTTCTCTGGCAGAATGGGAAATATCAGCCGTGCCTTTGAGATTGAATGTCAGTAAGAATGTGGCTGTTGTTCGGACATGCTACTTAGCAGACATAGAGGCTAGAGCATACACCCTGGAGGCGGAGAGCACGGACCCACAAAGCATACCTCCCTTTTGCTTTCTTGAATAGCCGACGGGATTCTAGTACTTGCTACTAGTAGGATTTTCAAATGTTGTGGATTTTCTACCACACATATACTATATTGCAAAGCCTGTCTCGTCACCCTAATACATCAATACATCAATATCACCGCCTCTCGCTCAGCGAGCATCAAAGAAAATTGATTGAAAAAGCAAAACATGAAGTAGCCGAAAGATTCAAAGCAAACAAGAGTATTGAAAATGCCACAAGAAACAAATATACATAACCAGGCATGTCTTTGTAGTTCCGCTGGGCCTCTTCCTTCTCATCCGACATCTCAAAGCCCCTATGAACCGAACAGCACCAACAAGCTGCAGTACAGTGACCCCTTCCTTTTGGTCTCTCCGATAGAGATCTTCGAGCGCAGCAACCACAGCCTTGACCACAGCAGCCACTTCTTTCCGCGCAATCCCGGACCATTTCTTCGCGCATATACCAGTCCATGTCGGTCCTTAACATATCATAATAGCATTTCAAATGCGAATACATGTCCGCTTCTGCCCGGTAAAGTGCCTGTTGCTTATGCTAACATTGGACACGAGCTTTATCCAGTTGGCTATTCACTTCTTCGTATACAATCTGAGATTTGCCATCAGGCTTAGAAGCTGCAGCTTTTTCCAGAGCTAGGACCTTGTCTTGTAGTGTTTCTTCATGTTGAATTGTTTCACGTAGTGCGTACTCAGTAACTAGTGTATCACTGAAGGAAGAAGCGAGACGCAGCCTGCAAACTGGAACTAAAAAGAGGAAGCACTGACAAACATAGTCATGTGATTCCAAAAAACAGTTGACTACTGCCGTATCCATAAGGCATAAAACCCCAAATACAATATTTCTACTTTTCTATGATTGGGTCAAACATACCCCGCAGTGGAGCTCGGTTCAGGTACGCTCCGAGGAATCAGGATCCCACTCTTAAATTGACCATCTTCACACTTACTACTGACGTCTCCTTGAAGGCATTGACTACTCAGAACCTCGTGCAAGATGAAGTCATTTCCTCATGTGATCAATGAGGCACTCAAAAGCCAGATCAATTCGGCCTGTAGTGCTGAGAATGGCTTACCGGGCGCTTCTGTTGCCATTGTGGGGAAAGATGGCAAGCTATTGTTCTCCCACGCAGGAGGGCAGAGAGGAATTGTGAAACCCGAGCCCATGACAACCGATAGCGTGTTTTGGATCGCGTCGTGTACGAAGTTGATCACCGGGATTGCGTGTATGCAGCTCGTGGAACAGTGTCGGCTTTCCTTGGATGATGCCGACGAGACTGAGCGCATCTGCCCTGAGTTGAAGGATATCAAAGTCTTACAAGACGATGGCACATTGGTTGATAAAAAGCGAGGCATTACCTTACGGATGCTTCTGACGCACACGGGTCAGTGCTACCACTTTTTTTCATTCTGGTAGGCCTCGTTCTGTGGATGCTGACGTCATGGGTAGCTGGGTTCGGATATGCCTTTATGAATGACAAATTGCGAGACTACAGTCATCCAGCCGGTTATGATGAGTTTTCGGGTGACTTCAGAGACTTTAAGCAACCACTTGTGCACCAGCCGGGAGAAGCTTGGGAGTATGGAGTAAGAAATATAACAATGGAAAGCCTTGCAACCAGTATGCTTCAGCTGCTAACAACCCATTTGGCATCAGGTAAACATCGACTGGGTAGGCGTCGTGATTGAACGCATCACCAATAAGTCACTGAACGATTACTTCCACCAACACATCTTTGAGCCGCTAGGGCTTACTCATATATCCATGGTGCCCACTTCAGAGATGAAGGAGGAGCTCGCCTATATGCACCACCGTGACTTGAAAGGCCGAATCTGGCCTCGAGACCATTTGCTCCGGCGAGCACTGACAGCAGAGTCCAAATCAGACTTAGACTCCTATTTCAACAGTGGCGGAGCTGGATGCTTCTCGAAGCCGGAGGATTACTGCCGTAAGTCAATAACCGCCATTCCACCGTCTCATTAACTAATGTTTCCTCAGAAATCCTAGCAGTGCTTCTCAATGGTGGAACCTCGCCGACCACTGGAGCGCAACTGTTGAAGGAAGATACTGTGGAACAAATGTTCTGCGACCAGGTTGCGCATCTTCCGCCTCTGTGCGAAAAGTACCTCGCAGACTCGAAGCCTGAACTGGCCGGTGCCAGTACGGGTCTTCATCCGACCGTTGCTGGGGATCGCCAGGGCTGGGGGCTGAGCTTCTTGCTAAGCGGGGGCTCTACTGGCCGCTCCGTGAGAACAGCTCAATGGTCTGGACTCCCAAACCTTTTCTGGTGGTGCGATCGGGAAAATGGGGTTGCGGGTATGGTGTGTGCACAAATATTGCCGTTTGGTGATGCTCATGTTTTCGATCTTTTCCAAAGCGTGGAAGGTCTTGTGTATTGGGCGAATAATAGGGCCACTTAGACAGGATTCACATATAATCTATGTAAGGAGTTTGCCAGATTTTGTTACAGGCTCTCCTCTGCCCTAAGGAAGACAGTCAGGAGGACAGTCATGAGGAAATTTAGGGAGACAATCTATTATTCCTTTCCACTTCCTTTTTCCTATCTATACAATTTCAGGGTGTCATTTCAGGGAAAGATGAAGATCGATTCAAGTACAATGTAAAATAAAATTCTAGGACGGAGAGAGAAAAGAAAAATAGAAGACTTCCTGGCCTTGAGCCAACACTTTTATACCCCCTTCTTGATGGAAGCTTCCTTCAAATAGTAGCAATCGTCAAACATTGTGACAAGCAGTTCCAAAGCAGACTTGATATCCCCAGGCTACTTACAGTGGCCTTACTTCTGAGGGAAAAGTCAGGTTAGGTGCAGTGACATCGTCACATACACCACATTCTATAATGTCGCATGTTGGTGACAGGCATAGGTATCCTTACTCGTCAGTACCCCTGACTCATCTCTTGTTTGTCTTTGTTCCTCTTGTTTGCCTATGTTGTCCTTGATTGCCTTGAGGCTTCAGGCATCCGTGTAAGAGTCAACCTTGGGTATTTAATATTGCTCCTTTCTTCTTATTCTTTTTCTCTTTCTTTCTTTCTTTCTTTCTACTCTATATTTTCTTTTCCTGTATTCTAAGTCCTTCGTTCATTTCATTGATCTTTGATTGCCGTGTCACATATAACACGAACGTTACCACACTCGTCATAATTGTATGACTTGATTTCAAACTCCTATCATCGACGAAACTTATCAAAACTTCCATCCACACCACTACTCGCAACCTGCTGGTTTTTTTCCCCCGGAAATAGCAGCCGCACCTGCAGGTGGCGCAAGGCTACCGGCCTTCCCATTTTTTCTCGAGGAGTGGAAAAGTGCTGCAAGAAGAGACCACCCGGTGTTTATTCAATGAGGCGGTGCGACTAAAATACGACGGCCTGAGTTTCTGACTCTTCATGTGTTATGACCATCGACAAAGCATCTTCAAAATCGGCTGGGTAAGGTGACTGTCTACGCATATAAGTTCGGGCTCCTAGCCTCCCATGTGACGCCGAGCCGAAGATCATGGCTATCCTCGACGCGATCGAAAATCGATAACGATAAGGTTAGGGAGGCAGCATTGGAGCTGGAAAAACACATCGTCAACTGTCTATACATTGACCACGCGGAGGCTTGCTTAAACGCATTCCATCCGTTCCAGAAATATTCAGTTCATCCATGTCCAATCCCAGAATCAACAATGGAATTGATATACCTTTAGACGTGCCGGCGATCACCCACCTCGGACCCGTGTGAGGATTTCTGCCGTGTGAGAAATATCACCCACACTTGGTGTTGGGGCCCGATCCCCGGGGCGTGCGCCACGTGACTATAGAAGTACATTACAGTCCATCTGACTCTATATGTTGGGAAGTTACGTTCTCCTCGGCGACGGACTCTCTGCCTACGTTCCGTGGATGCTAGGCAACGGCTGGGCTCCCGATTATGGAGAGATCAAGATCGGCTATGTCGCAGTGCCGCCGAACCTCTCACACGATGACTTCGATTACATCGAAGATGTGCACTTTCACGACGATCATCCCGTCCTCCCAAGGCCAAATCAGGTCAACTTCACGCACATGAACACTGAATGGGAATCAAACGTTTTGATCGCGCCGTTAAATGCCTCTTCCCTCGTCAGAGTGGTATGAATGGTGGATATTCCTTCCTTCCGATTACGATGCTCACCATCCAACCTTTGTGACGTTATTCAGAAGGGCATGATTGACGACACGACATACGAATCCCTCCTCCATTTATCCTTTGACCACGACTTGAGCGATGATGATCATCTCGAAGCTCGGCGAGGACGCCGAGATTTTCGATGCGGGGATTGTTAGGGCCCGATCCCCGAGGCACGCGCCACCTGACTATAGAAGTGCATTACAGTCCAGATAGTTTAGTATCCTTACGAATACTACGCCTGTTATGACTTCATCACCTGATACTTGGCTAGGGTAGAATACATCGCTCCTCTTAGGTGATAGGGCTCTTCGAACTATTGTCTTCGAACTATTGAATTTGCAAGATATGAGGCTTAAACGCAGCCAATAGTCCGGAAGTAGATGTCAGGTGGATTTAGGGTGAGAGCCGCTTTACAGTCGCGCGATCGGGGGTGAGATTCCGATAAAGAGGCACAAGCAGCGCACAGACCCTATGTATGCTCCAGGTCGTTAAAGAGTGTGATTGGCTTGGCTTAATCTGCCTGAAGCCACGGTCTCTCGCGATTAGTCCCCAAATTGATTGGCTAGATAAATAGCGAGACTGTCGGTGCAGAGACGGGAAACATCCTCCAACAATGTTCTCGTTCTCCCATCGATAGCTGCTTTTCAATACTGTAAAGAATGCTTGAGAGTTGGGTGACAATATTATTGAGCTCAGCTAATGTTGAGTTGCTCCATCCTGATCATTCTCCCAGGACAAAATAGCCTGGGACTGACATCTGGAGGTTCAAAACCTTGAAGTGCGGGGCTATCGCGGCTGGTGGAAGATTCACTTTTGTCTATTAATGGCTTTGCGGGTGAGGGGTGTCTAACCGGCTCAAACAAACCTACATGTAGTTCAAATGTTATTAAACCCTTAAACCCTCCCCCGATACCCCACATATAGGAGTTTCCTCTGTCTCACCAAGCAAGATGGGAAATGCAAAACGGGTTGTTCTTCGTTTAGCAGAAGCTGACTGGAATCAGAAGGATTTCTATGAGCCAGTTCGACTATATCTCGAGAAACACGGTCGGTCGCCGGAGGAGTTGGAAGCCAAACGACACTTCATCCATATCCAGCCCCCAAGTTCTGATATCCCAATACAAAAATCAAAGATTTACATTGTCATTGACATCGAAAAAGATGAATTCGCTGGCCCTCTTTCCAGCGACTTCCCACATGATATACGTGAGATTCGACGGGAGGATGGTAATCTGTATGTTCCAGGTATTATCGGCTTGGCTATTGTTTAACTGATTTTTCTCCCAGGAGGAGCTATTCGTACCCGGAAGGCATTTGGTTGGATAACTACAAGAAGAAAATTCGGGAGTTTACTGATGATTTTTACCCCTGGGGAATGACTAAATATGAAAGTCGGGCTCATGGTACTTCCTGAGTTTTACTATGGCGTGAGGGAAGCTTTGAATGGCAATATTTCTATATAATTGGGCCAAGATTGTAGGATTGGATTCCAGCCGACTCTTCCATATAATAACATTGAATATTGCCACTTTAGCATACACTGGGCCTTCTAGAGTGTAATTTAAGTAATCAATGCCATGATTTGCCTAGATCATTGCTAATCACGAGATCTCTTGTTGTGCTACTTTTTCGTTTTCCTTATATTTCTCGTTACCCTTTAGGCTCCAGTGCGATTTAATCCATTCAAGATCACCACTGCCTTCCACAAAGCGGCAAGGATGAAACCACAGCGAGGAGCCCAATGCCCGATTTGTTGGCACTAAGCAGTTGAAGGAGGCAGCAATAGGTTCTTAGAAGATACTCTTTGCAAATGTCACCACTGATCCTGACCGATATTTGCAGCCATTCTGGGGTGCTCAGCCGCCTTCGACAACTCCCCAAAGACAAGTCGCAATTAGGCGCCAGCCCAACATGACGCGGGATCTCCTATTGATCGCCCGTAAGGCGTTAAATGGCGTATCCCCTGCCATAAAAAAAGGGGATGATGCAAAGAGATAAAGCCAACGAGCGCGTCTTGCTTTCGTTTATGGAGCTGGCTGACTCTGATCTTGTTATCGCTCGTCGTCCTCTATTCCCCGCCCGCTCATTTCCACTTTTCAAGATGGCACCGAAACTTCCAACCACGGAGCTTTTGAGTCTCGATTCTGCAGGCTTACAGAGAAAACTCGATGCAGGTCTGCTGACCAGTGTCGAACTGGTCCAGGCATGTCTTGAACAAATCGACAAACATGATCGACGGGGCGCAAAGCTGAATGCGATGGTTTCTCTTGTCCCCAAGCACATTCTGATGGAGCGTTCGGTGCAGCTTGACCGCGAGCGAACAGCAGGTCGTGTCAGGAGTCAGTTTCACGGTATACCCATACTAATCAAGGTTTGTCATTTCGCATAAATTTTCACATATTTACCGTGGTGATCTAATTGACTCTGCGTAGGATGCCATTGTGACACCGTCCTCCCTTGAGCTTGCAACAACATTGGGCAGTCTTGCCTTCAAGGATTCGATGCCCCCGAAAATTGCTAGCATTGTTGCCAGGGTGAGTGAACAGATACACGATTGGCCCGAGCATTCTGACAATGTAGAATAGTTGGAGGAAATGGCTGCCATCGTACTAGGCAAGACAGATCTGAATGTAAGCGAGCCCTGTGCCTTGCGAGTTCTTATTTCTTAAGCTGAACCCGCGTTATAGGAGTTCTGCGATTTTAAGTGCGTTGAACTAGTACACTCGAGTTTCCGTGCAAGTCTAACTCACTTCAGGGGCGATGGGAATTCGAATGGATGGTCGGCGATTGGAGGACAAACGCAGTCTGCTTATCTAGCTCACAAGGCAAACGAGACACGCCTCGGACAGACAGTACGATCTATTCGTCATCTCTCACGCCACCTCAGGCTGACCGGCTTCACAGGATCCATGTGGCTCCTCTACAGGCTCCGCAGTAGGCGTCTCGGCAGGCTATGCTCCGTTGTCTCTAGGTACTGAGTCGATTGGCTCTATAGTCATGCCAGGTGCAAGAGCCGGGTTGTATGCCTTGAATCCCACACTTGGCACTGTGAGCATGGATGGTGTTTTCAAAAGTTCCGTAGAGCTGGACGTTGTAGGCGGCCTTGCTAGATCAACCACGGATCTAGCGCTCCTGAGTCGGATTTGTCTAACTGAAGAGAATCGGGATCTTTTGCCAACAGAAGGGTATCTGAAGTTCCTGACCAAAAAATTTGATTCGCTCCGGATAGGCTTTCTCAATCCTACGAAATGGTCTCTTCACCCGAACATTGTAAAGCTTGACGACGTCATACTCAAGCAGATGGTGCGTATCCCGACCCTGTTGCTTTCGGAAAACCTAACAATCATGCAGAACGACATATACTTTGCGGCTATCGAGCGCATCAGGAAACATACCACGCAAGGATCTGTGGTCTACCCAGTGGATATACCACCTGCCACCGATCTGTGGTATGAGGGCGAGAATCCGATCGACATCATTATGTGTAGGCAGTGTCCGAAAGTCTCCCCTTGGCTAGATACTGACTGTATCAAAAGCGTACGAAGGCAAACAGGCAGTTGAAAGCTGGCTAGATGAGGTCAAAGTACCATGTTTGGAAACAATTGAAGATATCATCAAATTCAACTTCGACCATCATGAAATGGAATTGCCCGAGAGTACGTATCGCGCTCTGCGTTGGTTGCAGTAGGCTGACCGGAATTTACCCCAAAGGCCACTCGGATCAAAACCAGTTGCTGAAAGCTTCGTGGGATCCTCCATCAAAGGAGGTATATGAGACGGTCAAGGAGCGGATGAAGTTGATTTCCAAAGACAATGGCATAGATAAATTGTTCCGCGAGCGGAACTTGAATATGCTTGCCTTCCCTTTGGACAGCCTTATGGTGTTCATCTCGGCTGCGTCCGGTATGATTCGGCAAACTGTTCCAATTTAATTGAAAGCTCATCTGATAGGCATGCAGGCTACCCCATCGCGACAATGCCTCTTGGGGTGATCCCAGAAGATGGAAGACCGTACGGACTCGGTATAATGGCTCAGGCCGGCAGAGAGGATCTCATGTTCCAGTTCATGAGTGCCTTTGAAGATCATTTCCCGCCACGTGTTTTGCCATCTCGTGTGCACAATGGTAGACCTAATTTGGAAATTTAGCATTTCTCAATAGAATGATACTTCTGCACTTCTTAAAACTCAAAGAAAAACAAAAACATACAACAGTCAGGATTCGCATGTGGTCACCCACCATACTACTAACTGACCGGCGTGTGGCTTAAGTACGGCTGAGCGGACGGGAAGCCCTGTTTTCCACACCCTATGGTCGTATGTACTCAAGATGGAAGTAAACCGTCATTTGGCTCAAAAATACTATCAACCTCCTTCAAGTACTGATCATAGTCCTGCAACTTTTTCTGTAGAATGTCAGGCCCTCCCCAAAGATTTGCCAAAAGCGTAAAATCTGTCGTGTGATCTACTGTGAGATTTAGTCGATAGGGCAAAATTCGATACCAAAAGATCGGGGAAAAGGCAACTGGATCCCCAATCGCCAGAGTAAGCCAGAAAGTCCCACTGGCCCATGCGTTTCTCATTATAGATGAAAGCTTGTTAGGGGTCCTTGTACTAAGAAGCTCCTCTTGCTCCTCCAGAATCTGGACAAAGCGATTAAAATAAGGGCTGAATGAAGTGGAATCAATCTCATCAGAGCATTGTCCTCCAAGCCAGTAGGGTGGCTGTTGGAATTCGAGAGGCCACGAACAGGCGAACTCGAGGTCGATAATGCGCACTATGTTCCAATCATCGTCGACCATGATATTACTTCTGTGGAGATCTGTCAGACTGAGGACGAAGGGACCGGAAAGGAGGTCTCTCCGTAACATCTGCGGGAAGATGGCTCGTGCTACGGCAAGACCTGCCATTTCGAACCTTCCATCGATATCGGTTACAACGGCATTTGGCTGGTGCAGTAGTCGGTTGTTGAAGGCGTCTAGCTTTGCAAGAACGAAATCATCTACACGGGTGTAGGTCTCGTGGCGTGGGACGTTCAGGGGAAGGTCTTCGTTCTCTTGTAAAATGACTTCAACGCTGATTGGGCGATTGTCAAGGTTGATATAGCCGGCATCATCAAGTCGGAACGCACCAATGCGGGGAAGGGGAACGGCTGTGAGCGAAAGGAGTATTCGCGCGAGGCTTCGCTGGAGATTGCCCTGCAAGCGTTCATCCTCGCGCTTCTCATCCCACGAGCCCGAAAGCATTCGTCCTTCGGTATCAGCGATGGTCTCAATCACTAAGTAGCCCAATCCGAGAGAAGTCGATGCACTCGAGTCATGCGGGATATATTGGGTCGGACACGGATAGCCGAGCAGGGTCCGAAAATGTCGCTGAAGTCCATGGAGCCAGCGTGACCACCACGGTAGGTGGCTTACGTGGGTCCACTGGAAAGAGACGAGATGCACGGATTAGCAAGCTCTGAAATGTTAAGTATTATGCTGCAAGCCGTACCTTCTGCCCCGTGGATAGCCCTACGCCGTATAGATGTGGTATAGGGACCGAAGGACAGTGCTCTTGAAGCCATGAAGAAGTAGCGGCTTCACATCTAAGTTTTTCGTCTGAATTTCCAGGACGCGTTGCCTCTCCGACACGGTAAGGCAGTGGAAATCGGACCATGACGAATCTGGGTTGCGCAGGATCTGGAGCGTCGATGCGAGCCGGCAGGCAGGCGTTAAAAGATCCATTGCGCCAGTACTCCGGAGGCGAGACCTCGCAACTCGCTGGGTCAACACCCAAGTGGTGGGCAACCAGGGAGCGAATAAGGTCACTTTGGCTTTCAAGCCGCTGAAAGAAGGCTTGTTTGAGCTGCGGGTATTGAAGCTGATGGATCACGTTGGGCCCCCAGTCTTTTGCGTCAGATAGGGTGATAGGCCCTGAAAGCAACTCGCGGGTCGCCATGAGGGGGGTGAAAGGAGCATGCACTCAGGAGTCAGGAGAAAGGGTGCATGTGGCTGGAGCAATCGATTTCAGCACGTGACGCTACATCCCTGTAAGTACAGTATAGTAGTGGACTGGTTGCTAGTATAGTATTCAAACAAGACTTTCAATCGACTAATGGCCCGTGCAATTCTCATAGTGTTGGACCTTGGTACCGCCATCATTAACTATCAGCTGAACCACAGTACTTACGAAAGAACCCAGCCATGAGACCCACGGGTATTACCCCGCAATCCCTTTAGCAGATCAGCCGTCATAATATTAGTTCCCCGTACTATGTAGTAGAATCGGTCCTTCTTATCCAAGTGGCCTCGCCGAATTATCTCCAGGTTTCCTTAACGTGCAGAATTCCTAAGCGTACTAGTTAAGCTATCATCGATAAAGACAGTATCTCTAAAGACCCCGTCAATGGTTTCGGCATAATGAGCCTCCGAGGCCTTGCGTGCAATAGTGCCTTTGGGAGTCCTCAAAAATCCGACAGCTGGATCCGTCAAAATAATTCGAGATCGCGGAATCTTTCCTTGAGAGGGAACAGCAGCATTTGCCTCCTCAACCGATGCCCAGATCTTGTCGATGAACTCATCTTTGCTCACATCCTTCATGCCTTCCACCGGCTCAATAATAAGCAGAACAACTGGGCGGCCATTTCCGACAACCAACGCCCCGGCGATATTAGGATCACCCTGCAAAGCAGTCTCCATCGGAACAGGAAACACCTTAGCACTAGTTCCCAGCGCGATGAGATCATCAGTGCGAGAGTGAAACTGCCACAAGCCCGACTTCGTAGGGTGACGGGTAAACAGATCCTTTGTGCGCCACTCTTTCACATCTGGAAATGTATGTGAAAGGGTGCGCTGGGCTTTGAACTTCTCGTCCTGATGCAATACCATTTCGAAAAGGCCGGAGCCTTCCTCGACCTCTTGCATGTCGCACTCTTCGGCAGGGTTGAGCTCAAGGTATTGCCACTCGCCAGGCTGGGGAACTAGCATCTGAATTTGGCCGCTCTCGATTGATCCGTACATTTGGCAAACGTCGGCAAGCTTGCTGAGCTTGTGCCCGACGCTGGGGGAGAGGGCCCCCCACCGTATAGCACAAAGTCGAGGCTCTCTGCTTGCTTATATGCATTTGGAAGGGTCACGAACTGCTCGATGACAGAAGGAGGAACATAGAATGCTCGAATTGTTATCTGGTCCATGATTGAGCTAACAAGTTGGCCACTAGGTGGCGAGGTCGAGGGACCCCAGACAGGGGTTGCGGTCGTGGAAAATGTAGGGATTATCATGAATGCCATGGTGCCTGCCAGCTATTTGGTATTAGTTATCTTTACGAAGGAGTCATTATTAGGAGGGTCCTTACATGGAACGGTGGGAAGCAACAGTAAAATCGCCCAGGAGGGGAGAAATCGAATTGCTGAGCATTCTGTGGTCGCCGTCCCTCTGGGACAGAGATATTCCGGTCAGAGTCAGTGCAAGCAAAAGCAGCGTGCGTGTAAGACACAATCTTTGGAAGTCCTGTAATATGTAAATGATGTCAGAAATAATCTTCAGACGTGATTCAGGCTGTTAAATATACCTGTAGACCCGGAAGTGTGCATGATGAGACACTTTTCATTCTTTATATCCTCATATAAGGCATCGTAAGGGTAAGGGGACGAGCGCCCATTCATTACTTCACCTACAGATGGCACCAATATAGAGGGCCACGAAGAGGTGGGGTCAATCTGCTGGATGCCTTTGACGACTGTCTCTAGTATATCGGCATAGAGGATAAGGCTCACGCCCGCCTGGCGCAGCAAATAGGCGTTTTGCTCAGCTGGGTTTCTTGGTGATACCCACATTGCCTAAAAAAAAAATATCAGCCAAGTGCCGAGCTTCAAGGACCTTTGCGTTCAGTATGTACCGTCCACCCAGCTTTGATTGCTGCAAACAGAAGAATAGGATAGCGCATGTCTGGCATTCCGACATAGGCCAAAACTCTGTCTTTGCCTGGCACACTTTTGGAATGCTCATCAAGCCACCAAGCCATGAAATCGACGGCAGTTGCCATTGACTTCATGTCAATGTCTTCAAACCCATCCGCAATATCCTGAGATTTTGGGACACAGGCAAACACTCGGTTTGGGTTTCTATGGGCGTGATGGTCGATAACATGAGGAAGCAGTCTCTGACCCCTGAGTTCTTCTCCGCCTCGAAGCCAGGACTCATTGTTCTTGGCAATTGGCATTTTGGATAAAAGTAAGATCGTAAAATTAAGAGGAGAGAGATTGGCGCGGAAGTTATTGACAACCAGGACGGAATGAGGATTGAATAAAGCACATTTGATGCTGGAAAGGACCTGGCCTGGTTATATAGGTAGTATGAATCAGCTTCTAGATTGGACTAACGCTAATTGAGGTACAAAGAAACAAACATTTGAAAATTACAAGAGGAGTAAGATATCCTGACAGATTATCATGACTAGATACACATGTATTATACATCTCATACGGGCATTACTGTCAATGTTTTCGAACAACTTGGAACATTTGAATATTTTTCCAGTATTCCCCACTGGTAAACAGCATGTAAAGTAAGTTAAAAACAGACTCACTTGGGACAAATGCGCGGTGGTGGCTTACTGCAATTTTCTTTCCACCCAACATTCACCTTGGAGGGGGAACGGAAAGAATGGGTGATTTGGGGGCTGAAAAGAACCAACAAAGAAAAAAGCGGAGATGGCATGAGTAGCTTGACGCCATGACTTGGACTTCCTCTTCGAGGATCACGATCGACATAATTCCTGGGCCTAGATTCAAGGTCGGAAAATACCACTAGCAGGGATCGAGGGGGCTAAATGCAAGCCCCAGCGGCACTGTCGGGGGATGGATTGGAAATTTCAGCAACGATCTACCGGAGCTTATCAATCCTGATTGTACAAAATATGCCAGGTGGACCTTCTCAAGTCTGGGGTCCTTCTTCTTTGGGAGAGTGGAGCTGAATCCTGCAAAGGTGTCGCAATTTGACATTGACCCCGCGCAGGTTTACAAATGCACCCTGCAACACGCGGACACCAAGCCCAATCACAAATCCGCATCCACACTTGCCCCCAACCCCAGTATTAACAGGATGTCTGACACTCTCCGTGTGCTAAGGTTGCGGGAGGCTTCAAATGTTTGCCCTTAGGCGGGATAAGGCTTGAGACTGCAGGTGCCAAGAGGTAGTAGATAATACCGGTGAAATCAATTTAATGCAAAACTGCTGTAAGCATGCTATTGGTACTCCGTTGTAGTCTCACGGTTCACCTGTGGCTGCAGTCAAGGTATTCCCTTTTTGTGGTGTTTATTGGAAAACAGACTAACTCAACGAATTACTCGAGGAAAGAAAGCCAAGAGGCGTGAATACGCCACATGTCGATCGAAGGCGAGCCCGCCTATGCATGTAGCCAGCCCTATAGTACGGTGGCCGATACCCGCCACCCCCTGGCCATAACCCAATTTGGATTTCTGGTTTCACCGCCCTGTCTCCCGCCCGTATTGTATTTATCACATACAAGAATATCTCAATCCCAAACCCCTTAAGCTTCATAGAATCTAAGGAAGAGAGGAACAAGCAACAGATGTTGTATTGTGTAGCGAAGAAGAAGAGGAAGGGAGAAGCAAGACGCAGCCTGCAAACTGGAACTAAATAGGGAAGCACTGACAAACATAGTCATGTGATTCCAAGATTTCCTCGTCTGTCCCGCGTGATGTGAAGTTGCGGGTATCCTCCGTGTCGAGTCTTGAAGAGTGTTTGCGGAGTAGTGGTCGCCGAATTTTGGGTCCACAGCTGCGTCACGTGACGGCCCGCACTCACTATGTTGAAGGCTTGAAGCTAGGTAGCAGTGAGCACAAACTAAATTAATGGCAAAAACATACAACAGTCACCTTGTCCGCAAAATACCCATAACAGTTTCGGTCACTCTTCAAGAATCGAAACTAGCAATTGAGTAGGTAACGACGATGACAGTCACGTGCCGAAGCAAATATTCACGACCAGAAGATAAACAAATGGTAAGAATTGACTCTCAGGCTTTGATTAGGAAACCTAGAAGCAGCCGTGCTTCCGCTCACGGAGCCCACTTCTCAGCTCTTAAGCCATGGTTCTAGATGTACTTGGATTACCATGCCGCCAACCCCAACTTGCCTGACCAAGTAACAAGATCACCACTATGAGAGCCAAGACTGCCAAGAGGACGGCGACGAAAACCAGGACGGCAATGCTGAAGACCCAGCTTGCCCATGAAAACTCGCCCCATTTATTCTGCGTGTCGGTCTCAACGGCCAGTGCAACCTGCATAGAGGATAAAATGACCGAAAGAGTACCGAAGATGAAGACGAAGGGAGCGACCGAGGTCTGAAGAAAAGCGCTTGTGTCCCAGTACAGTTGCTGATAGTAAAGACGGCCGAGTGTGGCGTGATAGCGGCGACTAGAGGGTTGGAAGAATCGGACGGCCCAGTTAAGCCGTGAGAGGCGAATCTGGCCGTAGTGGTAGCGTTTGGAGACTTCATCGTCTCCCTTGTCGCGAAAAGGCAGAGTAAGCAGTTGGAAATCCGCAAAAGATATCCTCTCCTTTGAAATGATGTGCTTTTCTTGGGCTAAGAGGAAGTCGCTCTCGTGGCGGATGAGACGGGTATATGAACGGATGAAGCCTGTGGCATCAAGACGAGCATGTGTTTCTGAGGCCTCTTGGCTGGTTGCAGTGGTTATTGGGAGGTATGTGTCCCAAAATTCTTTATCGAGCAGCCATAGTGGCAGAGGCTTAATCCAAATGGTGTTCTTATGCCAGATCAGATGCAGCTCTGGGTCTTCTGTCACGACGACTTTTCTGTTCTTGACAAGATTGTTGTGTAGGGCGTCGATATGCATGCCTGAACGTTTGGCAACCCAGTACATATAGGGGAAAAGAGCATCGATAGTCGGACATTTTAGTTCCGTCTGGAGAAACTGGTTGATGCTGTCTTGGTCCGAATCTACTGGGAATGGCCAAATGTCCTTGAAACACTTTTCAAAAACGGCATTCTCGGACAATAATGAGGAGGAAGATGACGAATTCGTTTGAGGCTCCATGGTCATACATGGGGAATAACAAGAGAAAATAGTGAAAAGAAGAGAGCATTTGTCTGTCCTTCTGATTTTCCAGGGTGCTTGTGACCGGCCCCCACTGCATTTGTTTTTTACCCCGCCCCTTGGACTTTGCACCTTGGTCCAACCACTTCCACTTTGTTCCTTTCATTCCATAGTCAGATCTCACGACTTGGGCCAAAACGACCGGCTTTTGGAATTCTGATTGTCATGAGTACATTTCTGCGCTATGAACCCGCTTTCTGGGCCGTCGTTGTGGCGGTCTCGGTGCCGTATGATCTCTACTACATCGTCACTTCGCTTAGCTTTTGCGCGACCCGTCTACACTTTGTTTTGTGGCCATTTGCACGTTTCCCGATAATCCCACGGTTGATTTTGGTCTGCTTATCGATCTGGTGTTACTTTCTCACGCCGGCTCACGTCTTCACTTTCACTCTTATGGACCTTTGGACCCCGTACTCGATACATCCGCCATTAAACCCCATTGAGGTAGTGCATGATCCTGGTGAAAATGCGGTTGTTGAGTATGAAGATATAAAGACTACGTCTCTGCTTGCCACTGACTAACGGTTTTTAGTGTCTTCGCAATCCATGGCCTTGGATCGAACCCTGATAGCGCATGGACATACAGGGACAACGTAACAGAGATACGTTGGTTGAAAGATATTTTGCCGAAAGAACAGGGGTTGGTCAATACCAGGGTAGTGATGGTGAATCACCGAACTCAGTGGTACGCAAATACTGTCGATGCAAGTTTCGACGATCACGCGGAAATGATTCTCAAAGAGGTCGAGAATGTCCACAAGGTTCGTGCCCGCCATCCCAGCAATTTACGGGCGAAGGTATTGAAACATATAGAGTGACCAACGACGGCCAATCATCTTTATAGCACATAGCTTTGGCGGGCTGCTTTTGAAACAGGTAGATTATGCCTTTTTAGCGATTGTTGAGCGTATTGCTAAGTGAAACATAGACTCTCCTTCTCGCAAAGTTGCGATCCAGTCCTATTTCCGCCATGACGAGAGGAATCCTTTTTCTCGGAGTTCCTCATAGTGGTACCAGAGCAGCATTCATCGCATCTCTTCTTTCTTGTACAGCGTACTGGCGCGGCTCTTCTACAACTTTGCTTGAGTATATGGCTCCTGGTTCCGAACATATCAAGGACCTCGAAAGAAAGTTCTATGATAACTATGCTCATCCTCACTCGACACACACCCTTCTGCCGTACATATGTGATTTCCAGGAGATGCGATCGGAGAGATTTGGGAGATTTTCTCTAGGACCAGTGAGTTTTCCGAGGTACTTATCTGGTCACAGCGTTTGACCGTGAAGCGAAACCAGACAGTCGATCGCAACTCCGGGAGATCTTCTCATGGAGACGTTGTACAGCTTGACACAGACCATCGTGGGTTGAACAAGTTCAGATCACCCCAGGACCCGAATTTTCGGCGCTTTTTGAGGCATTTTATCAAAGCATTCGAGACTACAACAAATGTGGGTAAGTGTCTAGTACTTAACTGCGGGAATTGAAAAGATACCGAAATGCCATTTTTACCTTGTACTTATTCGCCTTTCAGGGAGCCCTGGGAAACCTGGGCAGAATGATAGGGCTAGAGAAGTCTCTACTTGCCCAGGTGCCGATTTCAGAGAATATCACATCCCTTTTCAGTTGGATTTCTTCAGAAATGATAAATTTACTGGTCGAAGTGGATGTCCTCGAACGCGTACATGAATCATTAGCTCGTCGCAATGAACACAGTCAGGCAAATATTGTCGTTCTCCAGGGAATGGGAGGAATAGGTAAGACTGAGCTCGCTGTCGAGTATGCGCACTTGCATCAGGAAAGCTATAGCTCTGTTTTTTGGGTTGATTGCTCTACGAAGAATTCGGTGCACCGTAGCTTCTTACGGATCGCAAGTCAAGTCTTAAGACACTATGCAGGGAACACAGCTGAACCGGCAACTCCCAATACTTTCGCTACAAGGCTCCGGCTGAAGGGGCTGGTTGACGAGAAAGGTCTAAATTCAACCCTGGACGAACATGCCTTAGACGTGGTGGAAGCAATGAAAAATTGGTTTGCGGAAACTCTCAACAGAGGATGGCTACTTATACTTGACAACCTTGACGATTTGGAGACGTTCAATATTATGGACTATATCCCAAGAAGCGCGTGGGGTAGCATCCTCATAACGAGTCGACGACGGGGGTTCCTAAGCTATGGAACCACCATAGAAATTTCGGAAATGAGTATAGAGGAAGGCCTCTCACTCCTCGCAAAGATTTCAAGGTTCGGCCGGAATCTTAACCCTGATGGTACGCCCTCCGACAACTCCGTTTGGTGCACTAATTTTGACGCTATGTAGAACAGCGACTAGCTTTGAAGCTATTACAGTCACTTGGATACTTCCCTCTAGCGATTGAGCAAGCTGGGGCATATATTTCGCAACGTGCTTCTGACGATCCTGAGTCCTATTGTCGCGCCTTGGAAAATTACCTTGACTCATATGAAAGGAATGCTAAAATGCTCCTACAACACAAGCCACTCTCTATTATTTGGAGCAACCGCAATGATTCTGCTTTGACAACATGGGAAGTTTCGTTTGATGCGATCAAACAGGAGAGCCCAGAGGCAGCAGATCTACTTCAACTGTGTGGATTTCTCGCCAATAGTGACATTTTTGAAGAAATGTTCAGTCTTGGCGGCAAGCTTGCTGCGAATGGTGAGTTCAAGCGGTGACCCGAAGTATCACGTGCCCTGACTTCTCTTATTCCAAGATACAACCTTCCAGGAATCGATCTCCAAGTTATCTTCGTATTCATTAGTAAGCCTCAGAGGTGCACGCGACGCGTTCTCTATTCATCCTTTGGTCCATTTCTGGGTGCGCGAACGCCTGCCATTGGACGTACAACAGCGGCTAGCAAACGACGTACTCAAGCTGATTGCTCGCGGGCTACGCCTCAAAAAGGAAGGGGAATTGAAACACTACGTGCCATTCGAACGACGCATCATTCCTCATCTTGACCATGCTGCGGATAACATGCGGAGATTCCTCAGCTCCTTCACAACAGAAGTCAGCGTCCAACCGCCCTCGAATCCCATCAAGCAAAGTTTCTATGATACTGCAGAAGGATGTTATCTATGGGCCTGGGGAGCTATTAGCGACATCTCGATCTCCTGTCGTCGTTATTTACTTTCAGACATCGAGTCAATCGGTGAGAAATGGCGGCTGGCATACAAGCTTGGTTCCATATATCGGAATCAGGGTCACTGGCAAAGCGCAGAGAAAATCTACGGGTGGGCATTCACCGAGGCGCGCACACAGTTACATGGTGAACATCCAAAAACACTGGAAATAGCCGGCGATTTAGCTTGGGCAATATTATCGCAGGGGCGATACGATGACGCTTCGGATTGGTACACCTGGCTTCTCGCATCACGCAAGAAAGTACTCGGCAACGGCCATCATTCAACACTTGGTGCTATGAAAGGTCTAGCCTCTATATCGAACCGAAGAGGAAATTATAGTGCAGCGCTACAGTTATACTTCGAGGCTTTGGCTGGGCGTCAGAAGAGGCTGGGGCCAAATGACATCCTGACAATAAATGTTATGGTGGATATTGCACAGGTCTTCCAGGACCAAGGAAAGTACGAGGAGGCGTTGAGATGGTATGAACGAGCCCTTACGGGGCATCAAGAGACGCTTGGAGAGAAGCATGAACGAACACTACAGACAATTCATGATATTGGATCGGTCTTTTATCACCAAGGACAGTATGAGGAGGCGTTGAGATTGTATGAGCGAACCCTTGCTGGGCGTCAAGAGACACTTGGAGAGAAACATGAAGGAACACTACGCACTATTCATAATATTGCACGGGTCTTTCATGACCAAGGGCAGTATGAGGAGGCGTTGAGATGGTATGAGCGAACCCTTGCTGGGCGTCAAGAGACACTTGGAGAGAAGCATGAAGGAACACTACACACTATTCATAATATTGCACGGGTCTTTCATGACCAAGGGCAGTATGAGGAGGCGTTGAGATGGTATGAGCGAACCCTTGCTGGGCGTCAAGAGACACTTGGAGAGAAACATGAAGAAACACTATACACTATTCATAATATTGCACGGGTCTTTCATGACCAAGGGCAGTATGAGGAGGCGTTGAGATGGTATGAGCGAACCCTTGCTGGGCGTCAAGAGACACTTGGAGAGAAGCATGAAGAAACACTACACACTATTCATAATATTGCACGGGTCTTTCGTGACCAAGGGCAGTATGATGAGGCGTTGAGATGGTTTGAGCGAACCCTTGCTGGGCGTCAAGAGACACTTGGAGAGAAGCACGAAGAAACACTACATACTCTTCATAATATTGCATTGGTCTTCCACATCCAAGGAAGGTACGAGGAGGCGTTAAGATGGTATGAACGAACCCTTGCTGGCCGTCAAGAGACACTTGGAGAGAAGCACGAAGAAACACTATATACTATTCATAATATTGCATGGGTCTTCCACATCCAAGGAAGGTACGAGGAGGCGTTAAGATGGTATGAGCGAACCCTTGCTGGGCGTCAAGAGACACTTGGAGAGAAGCATAAAGAAACACTACATACTCTTTATAACATTGGTCTCATCTTCCAGAACCAAGGAAAGTACAAGGAGGCGTTGAGATGGTATGAACGAGCCCTTGCTGGGTACCGAGAGACGCTTGGAGAGAAGCACAAAGATACACTGGACACACTGGACATAATTCACAAAATTGGTCTCGTCTTCCAATGATGCTGTTGGATCAGATTGACATTGGACTGGAATTGGGTAGCTTAGATTTGTTATGGGAGAAAAACTAGTCCTCAATGAACAAACTGACAGGGTTTGAATGTATGTGTATGCAGCCTTGCTTGTACCATAAGTTGTACCTAGCATTTGACTCAGCATCCACTTTTGCCATCTCTATCATTATACCAGTTATACCAAAATGTCGGAAGTGGCTTTCCGCCCTCTGCTGTTTCACACTAATATTGTGAACGCACCGCGGGCAGAAGGCATGAGACCTTTGGGGCAAGTACACTAATTTGACGCTCGTGTTAGAATCAATCAATCCACGAATCAATCGACACTCTATTAACCTGACGCTACCTAATTAGTGGTGAAAAGATTATGCAAGTGCTTCCTCTGGCGGAAGCAAGGTTGATCTCGTCTTTTCTGAGGTAGTCGAGGGCTAGTCTTAACTTCACTATCTCTACCTATCGAGTGTGCTCGCTTTCTTAAATTTATAGTAACAGAAGGGCAAGGTATCTAACTAGCTATATAATACTCCTTGATTTGATACACTAGATTATTATCACGACCACCATCAGATTTAGAGTCCTCACTATGTTGGAAGTCACATGACTATGTTTGTCAGTGCTTCCCTATTTAGTTCCAGTTTGCAGGCTTCGTCTTGCTTCTTCCTCTTCTTCTTCTGGGGGCTCCACAATACAACATCTGTTGCTTGTTCCTCTCTTCATTAGATTCTATCACACTATCACTAATCTTATCTATCAGTTCAACAGGCAATTCACACTCGCTTTGCTTATTAAACTACTGCTGTATGACTATCTAGACTTCGTCTTACAGAATATCTTTAGTCTCGGCATCAAACTTAGAGTAACGCCCAAACATTATAATATCCTAGATATTCTTTGGATTCAGCTCTCTAGGTTGATAGTAGCAAATATCGCATATTGTATTAAATAAGATTTTAACCGTTACCCCGGCTCTAGTTGTCAGGATTGAAAGGACATTACAAGCTATACTATAAAGAATAAGGAATTTATCCTTGTATCATTTCCAGACGTATAAAAGGTTAATCCCTTTCCGTAATATATTAAGTTAGAAGTTAAACTATTACTTAGAAGATACAAAAAGTTACATTTCCCTAAATATTAGGCTATCTCTTGGTTCAACACTTCTGTCAATGGCCGGTTCCTTGTGGATTAAGCTTCCGTCTATTGCCAGTGACCAAACTGCAATGCAGTACTATTATAGCACAGGGATATTTGATACGACATTGCATAGGTAATACAAGTGTAAGTGTCACATCTTCGCCGTAACAGTAAATTGACTAAAAAACGCAAAAAATACATAATCCGGAGATTTCTCTGGCAGACGATCGCAGTGTTTCGTTAAAAAGGCAGAACCATAATTATTTGATCGTTTCTAGTCATTGCGAAGCGACATTCGCCCCTGCATTCAGTAGCAGCTGTACACACTCAGCAACACCAGACCGACATGCATAATGCAGAGCAGTCCGTCCTTTCAGCGTCCGGTAATCGATGTCAAACGAGCTTTTTTCGTAAATCTCGATGAGGAAACCCAAAGCCTTGCTTTGGCCCGCCTCTGCTACGAAGTGCAGTGGTGTTCTCCCTTGGGAATCCTTAGCCCGTACATCAGCCCCGGCATTGACAAGTATCGATGCATTAACATCAGAAATAGCAGATGCCAAATGTAGAGGAGTGATGCCAGCTCGATCTTTGGCGTTCAAGTAAGATTGAATAGAGGGCTGAAGAAGAAATTCCACGCGCGTCATAAGATCTGCAATTTGGTACCCATGCATATCTCTTTCCCAGCCACAGTCCTCAATTGCGACTGCAACGTGTAGATTTTTCATATTAATTGGACATTCCTGATCTTGATAGAACTCTACAAGGAAGAAGAACAAGACAGAATGAATATGATGGATTGTTCGAGAGAGAGAGAGAGGAAGAGCGAGACAAGGCTGCAAACTGGAACTAAATAGGGAAGCACTGACAAACATAGTCATGTGACTTCCAACAGATCTATCAGAGCTCTGGCCTGATCTTCCAGCTTCTTCAGGTTCCAGTCAGGTTCATTTTGCCAAAGATCGTGGAAGATCGAATTGCTGTCTCGGTCAAGGGCATTGGGGTCAGCCCCAGCAGCGACGAGCAGTTTCGCAAAATCTATTTAGCTTCGGTCTCCTCCATAGAAGTGAGAGTAATGTTTAGCTATCCAATGCAAGGCTTTGGGTTTTAGTTACATAGTTTCCAGTGCGAAATTTTTGCATGGATCATCACTTTGAGCTCACCGGATTTTCCCTCGTCATTCGTTTCTTGAATGTTCAAGCCCATACTTAGTAGCTCTTTTATCAAATTCTGGCCAGATTTCCAATAATTCTCCCAGTGTGAGAGCCCGGTCAAAAGTGTATTTTTCCCTGTAAAGTCGCAGTTATGAATAGACATTCCTTGCTGGACCATTCTCTTGAATATTTTGACAGGCTTTTCGTCCGAATTCCCATTGTAGGGCGTACAAAACTTATTATTATGGAGCGTGACTTTTCAGAAGGACCGCGAGGTCGCAGAGGTGGTTATACAACGAAATGCTACCCAAAAGCTCTTGGAGAAGGGCTTATTGAAGCTGACTATAAATCTGGAATTATATTTCAGCAAGATGACGCTAAAATCCACCGCTCCTACGTTGCTCAGCGATTGATGGTTTGAGCGTCACATGTGGTATACACGTTATGGAATGGCCGCCACGCTCGCCAGATCTCAACCCTGTTGAACCCGTGTGGCGTATGCTCAAACGTAAATTATATGAGCTCTATCCTAATCTACTACATTGTGGTACATCTGAGGCAGATTGGAAGCTATTCAGAGAGTGTATATCGGAGGCCTGGGATGCGCTAGATCAAAATAAAATTGATAGTGTAATTAGATTGATGCATCAGCATGTAAGCGAGACTCATAAGGCACGTGGCTACTATACTCGTTTTTAGCAATTGAAATTTTGTTATATATTTCGTAATTGATCAATTATTCTATTGATGTTATACATAGCAAATGTTGGAGCAATATATATATTTGATTTGAATTTACATAGAGTGGTGAACATTGAACACATGCATTAATTGATGGCAGAATTATGTGCACGATTCAATGTTAGGCGGTGTCTTCAAACTTATGGCCCAAGATGGTATCATGATCCACTTATGAACAACATTTGAACCTTATGCGATCTAACGCCTAGAATAACATGCCCTTAAAATTAATTCGAAAACTTCGTGAACAGAGGCTATCTCTACATATAGCAATCAATGGAAGCTTTAGATCGGACAGCTTGGCAGAGGTATTACAGGCCAATCACTCTTCATTTTGCCGTCTGGCTGAAGTAGCCCGCACAGCAGCCGCGCGACCGAGGGTGATAATTCTCACCCAGCTTCTCAGTTTCTCGTCAAGCACTCACCCTTTTCACCCCAGGTCGCGTGACAGAAAAGCGGCGATCGGCTGTTTCCCCACTAGGCTAGGCCGATCGATTGGCGAGCCTGGCCATTTAGCATGCGGCTTAAGTACGGCTGAGCGGACGGGAAGCCCTGTTCTCCTCCACACGCTATGGTCGTATGTACTTGACAAGGCATTGAGAAAGGTTATATAGTGCAAAATGCTCGGTCGCTTCCAATGTTGGGGGTAAGAAAAGGATGGCTGGTAGGATACATCATGCGCTGTTTTAAACCTACAAGGGATTGTCACAGCCTGCAGGCGGTGAGGGTGGCTTGTCTTCTAAGTTCTAGTCACCTCATCTCAGATAACGTGACTTGTAAGCGAGCTGCGCATGTAAGCCAGCTACGCAGCTGGAACACCATAATAAACGCGATAAATTGCACCAACTTAATATCTCAACAACGTAAATGTGTAGAAGCTTTTCATTTTTGCTTAATACTTTTCAGATGTTCATATGATGCATGTGTCTAACCAGTTGACTACTTTGAAATATTTCGAGATTCAATCACTACATCAATACTTTCAAATGTTGAACTCGGTGGTTGGGATTTGAATGTATATTCCGGCTTCATTTGAATGTTCCAATTAAACAACATAATTTTCGAATGTTTACTAAATTATCTATTATGTGATATGGCTCTTATGTATTCAGTGCCATTTCGCGATCCGCTTATTCATTCTTCTAATAAACTAAGGGTTTCTGCGCAAGAAGAGTGATAGGAAGCCAGTGGTATGCTGCGCCACGCTTTACCTCAGTCATAAGTTCCACCAACAGCTTCATGCGTGCGCTCTCAGACGGAATATCCAATCCCGGGAAATTTGATGCGGCCTTAAAAAGCTCCATGTGCCCTGTCAGATAGGTTGAAGTGCAAAGCGGAACGAGAGTAGGAGGGATCGTTCCTAATTCACTTTCCAAGACATCCAAGCCATGCTGCTGGACGCGGTCCTTTAGATCACTGAGCCAGCTGACACTATTTGTCAGTATCACTTGACCCAAGCGTAAACCGAAGAAGTTCTTGTTCGCTTACCCATATTCAAAGTTTACCGCCACGAAAATCGGTTTCACGATTTGCCTGAACCTTTCGGCCACATCGCCACGAACCAAAGTTTTTCCAACATCGGCATCCTCCCATTGAATATACCCCCCAGGCTCTGTTATACCGATTCTTTTAGTAAACTTTCGCCAGATACGTTAATGGGGTCCTGCTTACTCAATAGCCGTTCGGCATGGCGAATAAGCCCACTCGGGTCATTGTTTCTCACGACACAACACCAGAATCGGAGGTGGACAACATCGTATCTGTGAACAAGCTCTTCTGGCACTTCACCAAAGGCATCAAGCGTGCGAAAGGTCACATTTTCCGGCCAAGCAGATCTATGAGGGAATTGATCTTCAGACAAATCAAATCCGTCCAATTGAGCGTTTTTGGAGACCTGAGAAGCTACATCCAGCAGCCATATTCTGCAAGTTTTACAAGGATGAAGTCAGTTGAGTTCAGATTTTCTCTAGAATAGAGCATAAGCATATTCACCCAGTTCCGGTTCCAATCTCTGCAATCTTCATATCTTCAGTCGCCGAGATTGCTGGGTGGAGATTATAACCTTTGTACAGCTTCCATAGAAGATGCTGTGCGTCCAGTCTGGTTTGTTACAACGAAGTTCTTTTAGCTCAACGTATGATAATATTGATAGCCTTGGCACATACCTCATAGACCCATATAGATCCCGCCCTAGTAGATAATCATCGGCCATTGCGAAAGGGTTCAAAGGACTGTTTAACTGAACAATTCAACTTGAGATTGATTCCCTGGCGGAAATAATTTGATTCAATGCAAATTTAATCAAAACTGTTCCACAGAGATCATCCCATACTTATAGGTCACCGGCTTCGAGCTCGTAGGGACTACTGAAAAATCACGACCAGCTGGCTGGATGTTCGGTTAGTGAAAAAAGTAAGCTAAGCTTACATTTCATCATCTGAATCTTAATGACGTCCCCGAATAATGTCTTGATCATAATCGCACTTAAGACACGTCACCAAAAAGCGGCGCGGGCCCCCTGCAGCCCTATAAGCTTACCACATCTTTCTTCTATTTCCTTTTCAGCGTCAATAAACCGGGGTATAATTACCGAACCGATGTGAACTTTAAACGGATGCAACGGTCGGTTTGGACCCAAAAGGGTCCTCGGGTGGAAAATTAACTTTTTTATTTAATCAATTGTCATCTTGAGGCAAGTCACTAAAGCGAAAGATTATAAAAATTCACCTACGCGTGGATAGTTCAGCCACGGCCCGTGCGCTTAGACCGCTCATGCCGGGACTTGCCAAGCTCTAATTCAAATCCACAGCGTTGAGTGGGACGCCTTATGGAACTTTGATTTCGAGCTCTATAGTGGCTAGCCAATAGCCTCATACTATACCCGAGCTGGAGATGTTTTTTGGTTGACTGCGGTTGACTGAGTAACTAACTAAGCCATGCTGCTTATTAGGCAAGCCATCCTATACGAACGACGGTGAGATCTCATGATTTCGGACCTCTCTAATTTATGACTTCTCTGCTACAACTGTTCATTTTAACTTTGAAGCACTAGAAAATTCGGAGTTGAGTTTCATACCGTCTTATAGAAAGAATTTCCTGTCAGCTTGAACCCGGCCAGAGGCCCAAAGGTGATGCTAAAGCATTCAGAGTCACCTGCTGCTATGGCTGTAACCTACATTGAGAAGTAAAAGACAATTTGAATATCAAAGGTGGATGGAATAGGGAGAATGCTGGTCTTTGTAAAAGAGCTTTGATCTAGTAAACACGGCCCACGGGTCATATGACGAGTTAAGCCTAATCGAGACGCCATTTTTCTACCAGCCCCCCTTCAATGTTAGCAGAAAAAGCGGTCGTGTGATTTTTAATGGACTTATGTAAGAAGGGACTTGAGTAGACATATGCAAACCCTAGCTGTTGTGTGCGATCAAATAGGAGGATAGATTCCTAACTATTCTAAGCGTGTCGGCAGGGTTCTAACTTCTGAGTTCTGACCCCGTCGACATCATCACGTGACTCTGACTAAACTAGACTCTAATCTGGAATCGTGCAACACTAGCCCATGGGTAAGGGACCTTGCCCACGACCCATGGGCTCGCACGGGATAAATTTATGCACGTAATCAATATTTACCATTAATTCTATGATCAAAAGAATCCGCATGTTCAAAAATTGATTAGTCAAATTCAATGTAGTTCATAAAAATACATGTGCATGTGCATACTGGTGAGAGTGGTGGTGTTGTGTTCTGGTGGAAATATATATTTTCAACATGCACCAACATTACAGATCTACGTATAATATTTCCTATTTAAGACATACTTTAACCCAATTAAGAAGTTCTATAGAAGGATCCTAACCTAATTAGGCAATGTTCTAGAAGGGATCGGCGGGGTTCAACCCCCAAATTAGGCAACTGTTCATAATTCACCCAATAGAGTAAGGATCTACTTTATGCAGGCCCATGGGCAAAACCCACATGTCGGCTTTGCCTACGTCTAGACCTGAGAAGGGACTAGAGAAGGGACTTCGTAATGGATTTGAGAAGAGACTTGAGAAGCGACTTGAGAAGCGACTTGAGAATGGCCTTGAGAGGGGACTTGAGAAGGGATTTAGTAATAGACTTGAAAATGGACTTGAGAACAGACTTGAGAGGGGACTTAAGAAGGGGCTTGAATCTAAACACTTGAATATATAAGGTAATGGATGGAAGTCGATTCAATTCTTGCTACCATTAACAAGTAAAGCTAGAGGAACATTTGAAGGCTGCTGGCAAAAAAAGGTACGAGGCTAGGTAGGCATGAAAGGATAAAAGGAAAGTGAAAAGAACATAGCCATAAAAATGTCTGAATCTCGTGAACATGAATGAACAGCTTTACTGTTTGAGATAACGGTGGCCGTGGCCAAGTCCATTCTTGATATTATCCCGCTCTCTCTCGATACAATCGTCAATGAACTTCAAAGGAAGCGCTGCGAGTCGTGGATCCTTTCCAGTCAGAACCTGGGCCGCCGTTTGGATATATTGGGCGGTAAAGATTGCCCACAGTTCTTGGTCCAAGTCACATTCCATCAACGGAAGTGGATAATAGGGGTCATTTTCAAAAAAGGATATCACTAACTGTGATATCAATGCACCAGGGCTCGAGAAGGCTGCGTTTTCATCCCACATGTTGCATAGATTAAAGTCCAGCATCCATAAACGGGTTATACGGTGCTTGAGTTTCCCTGATATCATAGATTCGATGTCGGTTTGTGGAGGTAGCGCTGCCACTTGCTCCGCGGACAGATTTAGAACAGTAGAAAGATCGCGTGTATAGGTTGTATACCCTTCACTCCCCAGCACAAACTCAATATCGTACCCATCAACATGGGCGGCCCAGTGAACGATTGCTAACGCTTCACCAATAGCACCGGCCATCTTCTGAACAGGAAGACCAAGCTCTACCATCTGATCCAGGTGCAAATTGAAGTTCCGCAAGGTAAAGTTTGCAGATGGTGCAGTTGTGATTCGACGCCGACCGAGGTAGACTCGAGCAAGACAGTCTCGGTTGGTTGGGTTGGCCTTCACAAGTGCTTGTGATGATTCTGGACAATACTTGGCAACGAGGGCTTCACGAGCAACTTTTGGTAACGGGAGGATTCTTTGAGAGATTAATACGGGCGCCGGAAGCGAAAGTGAGTTATGGATTGTGGTGAAAACCGGTCGGCTCTCATTCCACCAACCTTGATGTTCCTTTGTGATATACGAGAAAAGTTTCGGCACGCGGCATTCAATCACTCGATCGGAAGTCTGGTACTTCAGGAATGCCTGGTTGATGCTGTAATGGGCCTTAAAGTCGGCCCAGAGACCATCTTCGTAGGATGGTTTGGCAACCTTCGGAACGTATCCTCGGCCGGGCCTTTCGAAGACGAGGCCACACTGCCCGAATCCGATGGTGCGGTATCCGACGACAGAGGTTGGGAGCTGCTGGCCTTGCTGCAGACAGGCAAAAGAAGACGCGGTACGTGTAAACGAGTCGGGGCTGAGCACTTTCCTGAGGATTTTGTCGGGGGGAAGGGTCGCGTCCAAAAGATTCAGCTCTTGAACAACCGTGTCGTTATGCTCTCGGTCCAACACGGCAGAGAGCTGATTCGTCAGGTCCATGTCGGCAACAAACGAGGAACCGAAGGAGATTGGAGAATCTTCAAAGCTGGAAGACTGCTTGGATCGAGAAAGACAATCCATCATGAGTGGGTTATTTGACGATTAATAGAAGGTCTGATTGAAGATTGTTGAATGAAAAAGAAAGAAATGGGGCTTCGGGTTGGCAGTTGCCTGTTGAGACCCGGTTCTCTACATGGCAGCGGCGCAAATTGAGCCAGAATAAGATACCCACGCATTATGTATTCATCGTATTCTTGGATTATTAGTATGATCGGAATTAAGCAGATCTACTAGTACTTTATGCAAGCCCACGTCCCATAGGCTTTGCACATGTCTAATATAATTCCTTCTCAAGTCCCTTCTTGAATCCCTTCTCAAGTCCCCTCTCAAGTCTATTCTCAAGTCTATTCTGAAGTCTATTCTCAAGTCTCTTCTCAAGTCTCTTCTCAAGTCTCTTCTCAAGTCCATTACAGAATCACATAACCGCTTTTTCTGCCAAAGGGGGGCTAGCAGAAAAACATGCGTCCCTACTAAATTTAGCGCGTCATGTAACCCGTGTTAGCATGGGAGTGACCCGTGTTTAGATTAAAGCCCAATGTATGTTTATGTTGATCCCCTTGCATTAAATCTTCTTTGTACATAATGTTGGTTTCGGGAAGCTACTTAACTAAGCACATGTGACTTGATTTGAGGTTACTCAGGTGGAAAAGTCTGGAGCCCCCCATCAATCAAGCTGAAAGAATTTCGTTGGCTTGCAAACAATTAATTACCCACAAAGAAAGTACTCTTTATGCAGTTTTGATATATTACCCGTCAGGAAGTTCCTTCAAACTTCGTTGTTAGTCCCTTCCACTACTCCATCTATCACCACCTTTCACTCCATCCATTTTCAACCACTTCTCACCAATACCCAAGAACAGACTAACCCCTTTACCACCCCAAAAATGGCTGAGCCGACCAAGGCTTCCACGCAAGACCCGGAACTCCCTCCATACGAGCAGTGGAAGTTGTGGCGAGAACGGCACACAAGTGAAGCTGACCCAAAGTACCGAGATGAACAAGAAAAACGAATTCACCCTCAGGGCATTTTTCAGTACAGAGATTTCGAAAAGCGCGAGGAAAGTACAATGGGCCTGATAGACGTCAAGTTCCAAGAGGTAAATTTCACCATAGCAAGCCCGCGTGTGGTCATCATCGGAGCTGGTTTCGGAGGCCTATTGCTCGCAGTCCGCATCATACAAGCTGGATTTTGCATGGCCAAAGATATCATGATATTGGACGAAGGAACAGATTTCGGCGGCACATGGAACTGGAACAGATATCCAGGCTTGATGTGCGACATCGAGAGCTACATCTACCTGCCACTGCTGGAGGAAACGGGCTACAAACCAAGCGGAAAATATGTGAGCGGCGTTGAAATCCAGCAACACGCTGTCCGTATCGCCAAACAGTGGAATCTTGTCGATAGGACCTTCTTTGGATTTGACGTTCGTTCTATGGTTTGGAACGAGCGAGATTCTTGTTGGGAGGTCGAAGCGGATACACCACGCGGCTATGCCCTAATAGAAGCAAATTTTGCCCTTTTCGCAACTGGGTTATTGAATACGCCCAAGGTGCCCGCGATTGAGGGCCTGGACCAGTTCAAGGGAAAGGTGATTCACAGCTCGCGCTGGGATTATACCTACACCGGAGGAAGTTGGGAGAACCCTGAGATGGACAAGTTGAAGGACAAGCGGATTGGGGTCATTGGGACAGGGGCATCTGCTGTGCAAATCATCCCAGAGTTAGCCAAGTATGCAAAGGACGTGATTGTCTTTCAACGAACCCCCTCCTCCGTGAGGCCGCGCAACGGTCATGTTGTTCATGACGATAGCGAGTTTGAAGAGCTAGGATGGCAGCGCAAGCGCATGGAAAACTTCAATGCGTTCCTCTCCAACGAACATCCTCTCCCAGAGAAGAACCTTGTCAATGACTCATGGAGCAATATGCAGTCATACAGTGTACTGATTGGTGGTCCTTCCAACCTCGACGAGAAACATTTGAAGGAAATGCTCAAAAAAGACACGGAGATACAAAATGAAGTGCGAAAAAGGATTTCGGACATCGTGAACAGCCCAGAAACTGCAGAGTCCCTCAGTCCATATTACTATGGATGGTGCAAGAGACCGTGTTTCAGTGATGTGTTTCTGCAAACATTCAATAAACCCAGCGTCAGTCTGGTCGACACCAAAGGCAAGGGCATCGACGGTATCAATGAGCAAGGCATCATGGCGAATGGAGCCAGTTACGACCTCGACGCAATTCTCTTCTGTACTGGGTATGGTTTGGGAAGCGCGGTTGATCGTTCACGATTTTCTATCACCGGAAGAGGTGGCCAGTCTCTTCGGAAGAAGTGGCATGAGAACGGTATAGCCACTCTTCATGGCGTCATGTCGTGCGATTTCCCAAATCTCTTTTTCACCGGGCCATACCAGACGGCGGCCACTGCAAACTACCTGTACATCCTTGACCAGCTTGCAATCCACGTTGCCTTCATTCTATCTCAGGCTGGGAAGCTGGCTGAGGCATCAACCACTGACCTTGAAGCATCCGACACCGACCTTGACGAACCCGCCGCGTTCACCGTTGAGCCCACGCGTGATGGGGAAGAGCAATGGGCCAAGCTTACAGGAGACATGGCATATGGCCTGCATGGCAGCCACTACCTTTGTACTCCGAGCTACCTTAACGCGGAGGGATTGGTGTTCGGCATGAGCAAGGAACAAGCGGAGAAAGTTTGGCGGGGTACCGTATGGGGTAAAGGGGTGAAAGATTACATCAATAGGCTGGAGAAGTGGAGGACTGAGAAAATCGAGGAAAATCTGAAGCTCACCTTCCTGGATGAGCCAGTACCAAAGAAGGAGTGAGCGGAAGAACCGGGAATACCATCCCTTTCGAGCCTCCGGTGAGCAGTGGCTCTCTCAAGAATCAATAGTCAGAACCATATTGTACTGTTTAGCATCAGAGTTCCATCAGAATGAGTCTGAATGAAGTAATCGCTCAATTTAACTTTGATTGACTGAATGAATGTACCGAAATATTTTACATTGTAGCCCTTGAGGCAAGTGCCGAGCCGTTCAACGCTCTACCAGGATTGACGAATTCGAGCCGATGATTGACTCTGGGGCCCCGGCTTTGCAAAGTTTTCCTCTAACGAAAACCTCTCACCGAGATGTCTTGGATTCTCGGTTCGTTTGGAAATCATGGGGAAAGAGATCCCGATCAGCACGAAATCTTCAACCCCGGGATCCCCGGGCTTTTACAAATCAAATTTAATGTTTCCAGTAAATACTTGATTTCGGAATTCCCCGAAGTTTTTCTCGGAATCCGAGTTTACATGCACCTGTCAAGTAAAAGTTTATATTTTTTTTTCAGGCATTTGCTGGCTTCCCACATGTACACGGGGGAACTAGTACTAGATACCCAACAAACTTGACCACTACAAGCTGAAGATCATTTCATTGGCCAAATTAAACCTGCCCTTGGTCCAAGCTAAATGTCCCTTTTTTTCTTCAGACTCCCCACCTCATATTAAAAAGGGTCTTTTGGGCGTTTCAGTCCGCGGGACAATGTGTGTAGTGTAAAGGGGCTAAGAAGCGCCTCGAGTAGCCGCCCAAGAAATGCTCAAGAGAAAAATGCAACCTAACGACTAATCTTTCCGGCATGGGAAAAGGCGGTTGAGGTTTTCATTGGTCTATTCCCCGCATACGGTCAGGCAATCCCGAGGATTTTAATTTCCATTCGTTCTGGGGATGGGCCGAAGCGGGGCGGGGTCTCCAGAACAGAAGGTGCTTCTCTTCTCAACAGATTGAAACTTTTTTTTTCTACGGTTCGTTATCAGCCATAGACCCCGTAAATTGTAATTGGCTTGTGCGCCAGCCGTGTTTTTTTTTTTTCTCGTCAGCGATAGGTCATGTTAAGCGACGTTAGAGTAGTATTGATCGAAGCTAGTTTCGGGATGGCTTTGATCTGCTACAGGGATAAAAAAAAGCCGTTGATTGTTAATCAAGAATTAAAAATCAAACGGAGATGGCCGTGGTGTGCTACTGCAAGTCACACGACTAGATCAAGCGACTAAGGATGAGGCTGAGCTGGTAGGAAAAAAGAACAAGTTCACGCAGTAATTCACGGGCCGAGAACCAGGACCGGAGGCCGAGATGCAAGAATTCAGGGTTTTCAAGTCACGCGAAGCAGAAAAACGGGAAAAAAGTATTTTCGGGTTGTGGCGCAGGGAGAGTTCGGGGTGTGGACCAATCAGCGTTGAGGAAACCCGGCCGCCAGGCCCGATTCAGGGACAGACCCGAGAAACATTGTTCGGCTTGGGCCCGAGTCGCCCGAGATTCTGTTTGGCCAAGTCTATTTTTCTCTTTTTTTTTTCTCCCCTGTGGCTTGTGCACTGTTTTTGTCATTCCAGGCCTTTCCCCAGGTTCCTCCACCACATGGTTATTACCCAATTCGGGGAAATCTCTGTCCACGTTAAACTCAATTCGACCTAGCGCTAGGAATTCTAGCTCGGTCCTTGGGATGCCATCGCTTCCGACCACTATTCTCTAGAGCCGAGATGGCCAAACAGTGGGAAACTAGCTTGGTCTGGGGAATTTTTTTCTCTTCTGCTATTTTTGTTTGCGGGGATTTCGAGTCCATAGGGCATTTCTGTAGAGCATATAAACCACCATCTTTCCCCCTCTATTTTTTTTCTCCATCATCCTTCAACTCAATCAATCATCACAACATCCATCTTTACTCCATCCTATTTACTATTTGACTAAGATCACTCCACTGCATATCATTCAGTCTACATCCTCAACTAAATCTTCACCCACACCCACACTCACACCCACACCCACAACCAAAACCACACCTATATTTGATAATCTCAATCAAATGCCCGGCGGTGCTGTTCCTTCTATGGGGGGCATCGATGCTTCTCGCATCGAGGCCCCCATCACCATCAAGACCTACTTGATGTGTGCCTTCGCTGCCTTTGGTGGTATCTTCTTCGGATATGACTCCGGATACATTGGTGGTGTCCTCGACATGGACTACTTCATCTCCGCTTTCATGGGCTTGGACAAGGCCACCACTCCCGCTGCCGATTTCGTTATTCCTGCCGCCAAGAAGTCTCTCATCGTCTCCATTCTTTCCGCTGGTACCTTCTTTGGTGCTCTCTTGGCCGGTGATCTGGCTGATTGGTTTGGTCGTCGCATTACCATCATCGCTGGTTGCGTTGTCTTCCTCATCGGTGTTGCTCTTCAGGCCGCTTCCAGCAGCATTGGTCTCCTTGTTGCTGGTCGTCTTATTGCTGGATTCGGTGTCGGCTTTGTCTCCGCCGTCATCATCCTGTACATGTCTGAGATCGCTCCCCGCAAGGTTCGCGGTGCCATTGTCTCTTCTTACCAGTTCTGCATTACCATTGGTTTGATGCTGGCTACCTGTATCGACTATGCCACTGAGAACCGTGCTGACTCTGGCTCTTACCGCATCCCCATCTGCATTCAGCTGATCTGGGCTCTTATCCTTGGTGTCGGTCTCCTCTTCCTCCCCGAGTCCCCTCGTTACTTCATCCGCAAGGGTAACCAGGAGAAGGCTCGCGATGCTCTTGCCCGTGTTCGCGGACAGGCCCCTGACTCCGAGTTCATCAACATGGAGCTTAACGAGATCCAGGCCAACCACCTCTACGAGCTCCAGGCTATTCCCCAGGGTGGATACTTCAGCAGCTGGGCCAGCTGTTTCACTGGTAGCATCTGGGAGCCCAACAGCAACCTCCGCCGCACCATCCTTGGTACTTCTTTGCAGATGATGCAGCAGTGGACCGGTGTCAACTTCGTCTTCTACTTCGGTACCACCTTCTTCACACAGCTCGGCACGATCCAGAACCCCTTCCTCCTCAGCATCATCACCACCATCGTCAACGTCTTGTCCACTCCTCTCTCCTTCTATGCTATTGAGAAGTTCGGTCGTCGTCCCCTGCTCCTCTGGGGTGCCCTTGGTATGATTATCTGCCAGTTCATCGTTGCTATTATCGGTGTCACCGACTACGGTAACCACAATGCCGTCGCTGCCATGATCGCCTTCATCTGCATCTACGTCTTCTTCTTCGCCAGCACATGGGGTCCTGGTGCCTGGGTCGTCATCGGCGAGATCTTCCCTCTGCCTATCCGTTCCCGCGGTGTTGCTCTCTCCACTGCCTCCAACTGGCTCTGGAACTGCATTATCGCTGTCATCACCCCCTACATGGTCGACACTGATGAGGGCAACCTTGGTCCCAAGGTCTTCTTCATCTGGGGATCCCTCTGCACTTGCGCCTTTGTCTACACTTACTTCCTCATTCCCGAGACCAAGGGATTGACTCTTGAGCAGGTTGACAAGATGATGGAGGAGACCACCCCTCGCACCTCGGCCAAGTGGAAGCCCCACTCCACCTTCGCTGGTGATATGGGTCTTTCCATGGACAAGGCTGCTCTTGCCCCTGTTGTCAGCCACCAGGAGGTTTAAGCCGAGACTTTAAGTCTCCGGCGACATTCCCCTGTTTTAATTTTGTTTCTGTTTTGATCCTTTGGCTGGTCCCACTTTCAGCGCAAATACCAAGCTTTCATGTGCTATGCTACGATGTTCATGTTTTTGACTCTTATTTTTGTCGATGAATCTAGTGACTGAATGTAATTTTATCTCAATTCATATTTAATTCGATCATATTTCCAAAAAATTCTTTTTATTTCCAATATTTTTGTAGAATTTAAATAGTTTAATGCCATCGTCCAGAATCAAAATCCAAGTGTGCGTGAGGCATAATATTGAAATTCTGCATAATTCCAATGCCAAGACTTTCCGCAAGAACCCGCAACATTGGCACGAAAATACGCCTGCACGTTTTCGACATTCACCGCAGCCATTTGGCACCACAGATACACAATTGGACTTTGATTGCAAAAAAAGTCTTTGAAACCCCGGGAAGACCTTGGCGACCTCATTTCACTAGATAATTTCTGGTGGTGGGAAATTTCCCCGACAAGATGCCGACGATGGAACGCCAAGAAGGGGTACGTATGCGTCCGTATGCTCCGCGGCGGACTGGAAACGCCATCAGGGACCAGAAACTCGAGAAAGCGGCGGCGTTATCCTAATGCGCATGCAGCAAGGATCATTCGCATATGGCAGGGCGTGAATTAACAAGAAGGCCCACTGCCTCCTTGACGAATCTGGAACATCCCATGCTGAAGCCGAGCCACCGATATTGCATTCTGGAACAACCCTCACTCTAAAACCACCAATCCAACACTTGATATCAAAGGCCTCGTCATCATTGCAGATCATTACATCCACCTTCCACATGCCGAGCCCATCTTATGCAGATAAACTTGGATCAGCGGATCCTTAAAAACTCCCCGTTGGCCCCATGCACTGCCTGACTCGTCAACCTGCCCTTGGCGGACACCCCAGTGGACCCCTGATCGGCGCTCTAATCCGTCACGGATCATCACAGGCTGGACCTGTATGGCCGGCATTTGCCTTTCTGACCCCAGTACCGACGCCTGTTACCGGCTTTCTTTGTACTGATTTGGATCTTTACCCGGCATCTAGGTCCTCCCCGGACCCCCGATTGGTGATCCACTGCGGATCTAGTACACGAAGTAGGGCTTCGGTACCTTGTAGATGAGAAATGATTCAAACTTGATTCGTGTGTTTTGGTTATGGCGTCTCCATACCTTTCGTCAGCTTCTCTTGGTCTTGTCTGAGATATCATCATCGCCTTGTTTGGGTATGGTCTTATGAATGGGGAGATGGGGTAACCCAAGCTCTGAGAGCGTTGGGGTATAAAGGGGAGACTGGCAGCAAGTATTGGATTCTCTTAGCACCCCAGAACTCCAAATATCTCCCCTCCACTCAGGTTTTTTGACTAATATACAAATCATCATGGTGCAATTGACCTCCGCTCTTACAATTGGTCTGGTCGGTTTGACTGGCCTTGTCTCTGCTCACCCAGGCCACAATGTCAAAGCCGAGGCTGCCGAGCGTGCTGCTTTCTTGAAGAGCTCCAGCATTCAGACCCGTAGTCTCTCTCAGTGCGCCTCGAAGCTCAAGGCCCGTGGCCTTGACAGCAAGAATGTTGCTCGTCGTGAGCACGCTGTTAAGCACATCCGTCGCCGTCGTGGCCTGAAGAACGGTACGAGAATATCTGAAAGAACAGTCTAATAAGGGGATGAAGCTAATAAATTCCCAGGGGCCCGCTTCCTCAAGGCTCGCGATCTCGACTCTGATCTGAGCACCTCACACCACTCCAATTTGACCAATGTCGACATGTCAACTGATCCCAGCATTCTGTTCGGATCTGAGTCTACATGCATTTTGGGACCGGATGTTACCCAGGGTCCTTACTGTGAGTTCTCATTAACATTGGCTAATCGACAGTCAACTAATATCCCCTAGATGTGACTGGTGAGATGATCCGTGAGAACCTTGTCGAGGACCAGAGCGGTGTCCCCCTTTACATGGACATCCAGGTGCTCGATACAAACACCTGTGAGCCATTACCCAACATCTACATGGATCTTTGGCACTGCAATGCTACTGTAAGTCGAGCCAGGTCGTCTGGTCCCCATTGCTAAAACAAATGATCTAACTCAAAACCAAAAAGGGTGTCTACTCTGGCATCCAGGCCAGCGGAAACGGCGATGAATCGGATGCAGACAACCTAGACGCAACCTTCCTGCGTGGTATCCAGCCTAGCAACAGCGACGGTGTTGTGCAGTTTGAGTCCATCTTCCCGGGCCACTACACCAGTCGTGCCACGCACATTCACGGTATGAAACCATCTTCAGCTTCTGATTCATCAACTCCCCATATTTGTCACGATATCTATTGAAAATAGAAAGAAGATACTAACACAGAACTATCCAGTCCTCACCCACTCATCCAACGACACCGTCCTCGCAAACGATACCCTCTCCGGCCTATACACCGCGCACTCCTCGCACGTGGGCCAGCTCTTCTTCGACCAAGACCTCATCACCGAGGTTGAGGCCACCTCCCCTTACTCGACCAACACCCAAGACCTGACCACCAACGCCAACGACAGCATTCTCTCCGAGGAGGCCGACACCATCGATCCATTCATGGAGTACGTCCTTCTTGGCGATGATATCTCCGATGGTGTCTTTGCTTGGATCACTGTAGGCATTGATTCTACTGAGAGCACTGATATCACCCCTGCTGCGTACTATACCGAGGAGGGCGGTTCCGAGAACGATAGCTCTTCCGGTGGCGGTGGTGGCGGTGGCTCCGCGCCCGGCTCTTCTTCTTCTACTACTTCTGCTCGGGGTAGCAGCAAGACTCACAGTGCCTAGGTTAGTGTGAGTAGGCTGGTCTTGCTACTCTGACGCGCTGGAAAAGTTGTCGCAGGCTGGTTCGAAATTTCATTGTACCTATGGTCCTTCATTTTTACTGTGATTTGCCCGTCGGTTGTATAGCATCTATGGACCTCGAGCTTTGCCGTTGACACCTAAATATACGTCCTTGTCAATATTTGTGCCAATCTATCTCTTCCATTCTCAAGTTTTGATTTGATCGTGAAATTCTGTAAAATAGAAAATGCGGCTAAATGATGTCCGAAATATCGATCCATGTCCCTCATTCACCGTGATACATAAAGCATCACCACACTTAGTGCTTCCAAACCAGAACCGGCTTAATGACCTCTCCTGTCTTAAGGCCATGAATGGCGCTTTCATAATCCGGTGCCTGTTCGTCTCAGCTAACATATCATATCCGGTTTGCGATCATGTTGGAATAAACTCACATGGAAATACTGAACAAAGAGATCAATAGGGAATTTGCCTTCTCGATACCACTTGATAAGTTGTGGGATTGCCTGAAGAAGATTAACAAGGTATCCTGAGGTGAAATGTACGCAAAGACAGAAATGCAGGGTACTCACAATCTGGGGGTCGCAATCGCCTTCAATACATCCGAAAACAGCACGCCCAGACTGTCAAGCAAAGACGTCCAATTAGCTTTGGTTTCCATTTTGATACTTGCAAATATTGAGTTTCAGAACTCACATTGATATGCGCGCTAGCGTGGATACCCAACTTATAAGCTGGCGACGGCACGCCAACGAGTACCATCTTCCCCCGAGCACGAGTAGCCTGGAGACTTTGCTCAATAATGCTAGGCACGCCGGTGGTATCAATGGCAATCGATACACCGGGAGGTACAATGTTCCAAGTTGCTACATCCAAAGTCGTGAAACCCGGCTCGCTGGTATCAATCGTGTGAGTGGCGCCGAGTTGCTTCGCAAGATCGATCCGAGACTGCACTCGGTCAACCGCGATAATAGTCTTGCAGCCAACGATTGCAGCAGTCTGCATTTCCACATTAAAATCGTTCTTCGACTTTCCCTTCTCTCAAGATCTAAACAGCATGCTACAACGTACCATTAGAGAACCCATTCCAACAGCCCCCAGACCCGTAATCAAAACAACATCCCCCGGACCAGCATTTGCAATATTCTGAATAGCACCCATGCCAGTCTGCAAGCCACAACCCAGCGGCGCGAACAGCTTCAGCTCGTCCAGATCCTGGATGAGGTCTTTCGCGTTCACCACGGAGGACTTGTGGACGATGCTATGCTTCGCAAAACTGGACTGTCCAAAGAATTGTGACCAGACTTTCTGGTCTTCGGAATCAGAGCTCATGGTCATGGTTTTTTGCGCCCCGAGGTAATTCCGCTGCGCGAACGTATCGCAGTATGCGGGGTGGGAATCCTGACATTGAATGCATGATGCGCAGGAACTGAATGATAGCAGTACGGGATCTCCTGGGCTGACGGACTGGACGTTTTTACCGACTGCGCGAGCGATGCCGGCACCTGGTTGGTGTTACAGTGTTAGCTAGCGGCCTGCAGTATGAGATTCGGGTTTGAATAGCCGAGTAGTGCGGGGATGTAGTTTTTGAGAAAAAACAAAACGTATGATACGCACCTTCATGGCCAACGACTTTGGGATACTGAACATGGAATGTACCGGCAGGGACGGAAGAGAGTAGGATGTCTGTGTGGCAGATTCCGGCGGCGTGTACCTCTACGAGGATTTCATCGTCGCCTGGGGCTGTAATGTTGACTTGTTCGAGCGACCAGTTGGGCTTCATCAGCTCCTTTGGCTGGCGAGCTACGATCGCGGTTGTGGATGTCATGATTGCTTGGTGTTAGTTTGTGATTTTCGAAGAAGAAGAATAAAAAAAGAAAACAAAACAAGCTGAAATCAATGTTTTGATTTTGTGTCGTCTATTTTGTCACGCCTCGGGACCAAACCCCGCCTTGCGACGCGATAGCCCTTTAGTTCACGTGTAACTTGGGGAACAAATTTCTTGCCACGCATTCCAATGGAAATGGTATTTGAGCCTCATTACATCTATGTCTCGAAGATCAAATAATCAGTCCCTACGAATATTGGTAGTGGGTAAAATGGATGCTATTTCTAAGCACTTGAGGTCGGAGGACAGAACCCCTCACATGCAGAGATCACGTCGGACCACCTCTTTGCATCTTCGGCACCACATCGGCCCGGCCTGTAAACACAGAACCCCGATTATGGTCGTAAGCAGGGATAATACATGCTAATGCCATGTGACCATATGGGTCACATGCAGAGATCAGGTCGGGCTACCTCTTTGCATCTTCGGCACCACCGCGGCCCGGCATGTAAACACAGAACCCCGAGAGTGGTCGTAAACAGGGATAATACATGCTAATGCCATGTATTATGTGACCATATATATCACGTGACTTACCCGATCACGATTCACAACAGATCCCGGGCAGCAAGAAAACAGCTGTGCCAGCGTAAAAGAAAGAGAAATAAAACAAAAAATACACAAGGATCTCCACTTAGCGTTCGCCCGGCCTTTAGATCAATAAACTGGCCAATTCCAACGACACCTGCTCGATGTCACTGTCTTTGATGTCCTTAATAAGATCGAGCACTTCAACCCTTTTCGAGTGTATGCCGTCTTCGAGACGATTAAGCCGATTATCGATGTCACTGTCTTCGATGTCCTTAATAATACCGAACACTTCAACCGCTTTCGAGTGTACGTCGTTTTTGAGACGTTTAATCCGATTATCGATGTCGCTACCTTCGACCGGGAGTTGGTGTAAAGCTTCCAACATGGTGGCATATTCTGACATCAACTCGTGGATAGGCCCAAATATTCTGGGAGCAAGGCGGCGCAGTGTCGCTACCTTTGAAGACATGTTTGCTGGAACAGGAACAGCTTGTGGGATTGTTTGCGGATCGGGGGTAATGGGAGTTTCGGCTTGTGGAGTAGGATTTGGGGTAAGCGCTTCAGGGGTTGTCGTTCCCATCGTCGTCCGAGAGGAAGATTCACCATCGCTGGTTCTCGGAGGCATATTGCAGGTTGGAGTAGCAGGAAGTCAATGATGGAGGAAGGAAGTCAAGGATGGAGGGAGGAAGTCAAGGATGAAGGAAGGAGGTCAAGAGTGGAGGAAGGAAGTCAAGGTCAGAGGACGTTAAGGGTGGAAACAAGTAAGAAGTAGGAAAAGAAATAGAGAAGAGGAATGATGGGCTGGGTTATAGGTAAAGGATCAAGTGAAAGCAAAGTGAGTTCAAAGTTAAGAGTAAAGTAATGAGGAGCGCTGCGCAACGCTTACCGTTCGTGGTATTCCCTCAATAAATCATCACAACCGATCAGGCCATCTACTACACAGGACTAGTAGGCTCGGAAAAAATCCTAGCTACAAGGATACATGATCAACCTTCCGAAAGAGTTGAACTGACTCAATTAAAAAACATTTGTAACAACATGGTGATCAAGAATCAGTCGAGGCAGCTTCGAGCTCGTAAACTTAGTAGTATATAGAAGATAACACAAATGCTTATATAACGCGCATAAATCGAACACTTGAGTACCAAGTATGTACCCATCTCAAGTACTGCTTATGGTACCTGTATTGTTCCTAATTGAAGACCTGAGTGCAATATATCAATCCCAGCCAAGGACAATGGTCACTTAGGTACTTATTGCAATGAATGCGTGGCGCCCTACCCTTGTATCCAGTATATATCGGAAACACTCTTGATATCTTTCATTTTCAACTTACCGTCACATTTTGTAAGTTGTAAAGTATTGAAACTTTTTTTAGATGTTGAATCCTCTTCTCTTCCTTTGATATCTCGGGCTCTGTAACTTGCCGAGAAAAACGCAGGCACTATTTCTCAATTTATCTGTAATCCCTGGCAATGAAGCTAAGTAACAGTCTCCTCCATTCATTACGACAAAAACTTCGCAAAGTTATTGGGTGGATAGCGCTTGACTTTTGAGTAATAATGCACGAGTCTCGGTTGACAGCCGCAAGAACGGAGCATCCTTGTTAATAAGTTATTCGAGAGGAATATTTGGAGAAGATAGACTTAATGTGGCTGATAAGAAGCGTCGGACTCCGGAGTGGCTCAGACCGGACCCACGAGTCCATGACTCATGCTTGCTCACATTAGATCATTCTGTTGTGATTGGCCGACGGAAAAAAGGCTTTGGAATGTTGACAAAAAGTCGATCTACTAATATCTATAAAAGAGAAGCGTGTGAACATCTCTGTAAATATTCGCAGGACAATTAATTGCAATGACATCAACTTCAACAGCTTCTACTTCGACCACTTCTGCCCACTCCGCTCAAGCAATGCAACAGCTTCTTCCCGCCGGGATGCACGCTATCCCCTCTCACCTCCTCGATCTACGCTCCGATGCCGACATAGACTTTGATTTAATGCACCCACAACTGCCAAATGGTGTGAAAAACATATGGTTTTTCTGGCACTCGGGTTACATCAATATGCATCCCTACACACAACGGACTGTACGCGCATGGCACCGCCGATTTTCAAAACAAGGATGGACTGTCCGGATAGTCGACCGCCAACCGGGCTCAAAAAGCAACATCGCCGAATTCTTAGATGTTACCGACCCAACTCTCTTTCCACGCGCCTTCATCGAAGAGACAATAACTGGCCGTTACGCGCTACAACACACTTCAGACCTGGTTCGCTGGCCACTGCTCCTGCGCTACGGGGGTGTCTATGCGGATGTCGGGTTGATGCAAATCGGAGATCTCGACACTTTATGGAACGAGACAATCGCCAACTCCGAGTCCCCATATGAAGTTCTATCATATACCCCCAGTGGTCAAGACTACTATAGTTTAACTAATTACTTCCTCGCTGCATTGCCCAACAATGCGCTTTTTGCGCGCTGTCATCGTCTACTTCTTGCTCTCTGGGCCGCGGATGGGGGCAAGACAAGCACCGACGGAATGCATGCTAGCCCGCTACTAAAGGGTGCACCTCTTATGGGCGGCGAATTTACGATCACCGAGGACGATGGAACTTTCCTTGGCCCCGCTGAAGTCAGTCGCCTGTTGACCGACTATGTCATCCAAGGTCAAGTGGCGACTGCGGTAATGGGGTTGGTGGATACCGAAGACGACTGGGATGGTCCCTCCTATTGTTTGCAACATTTCTATGCGATTAATTTTATGGAAGGGTCGCAGCTCATCAACGAGTTGACTGCCTGGAACGGCCAGGATGCTTATGACCTATTGTCGCTATCCATGCCAAAGGACGGAGAAAAAGAGTCTGAGTTACAAAAGAAGGCTCGGGAGATTGTTGAGGCCTGTCTGTCTCGAAGCTTTGGGTTCAAGCTGGCTCATGGACTCATCTTGCGCGTCAGCAAGGTCACTCTTGGCTCGCTGTGGCGGGACAATCCTGGGTCGGATATTGTGGAAAGCACATACGCTTGTTGGCTTCGACATGGGATTTGCTATTGGAGTCAAGATAGAGTGCCGGGCTGCGTGGAACTCTCCCTACTACCTCCTACGAAGGTTGGAATGTTACTTGCATGATTAAAATATGGATTATTTAGCGAAAGGTTTCTCATGTTCTGTGGGCTGGGGTGTTTAAATAGATGAGACAAGAATTATACTTTTTGCACGGGAGCTGGTATACATACAAAAAGTTAGCCACGACTTCCAGAGATACTAGTCCTTATTCGGAGATTGGTCAAAATCACTTTGAAGGTTTGAATTCTATCGGTAATAAATAGGATTATACTACGAGGTAAAGCAAAATGACATTTCCGCTTCAGTCTGCGGGACGGCCCGCTATCCCGGGACAACGGTGTATCAACATTGAACCAAAACAAACAAAAATGTGTACAGGTAGTTTAGAGCAGAAAACTGGAAAATTATTACGGAATACCAGCAAGGTGAATCTCCGCCAGAATGTAATTATTTCTCCCGTATTTCGAATTTTTCTGAGGTCTTCATTGCTAGCGCAGCCTAGAAAGAAGCTTGGACCTGAAAAAAATTGCCGAGGCGTAGTGCTCGGCAGACAGAATAGCGCGTGCGAGAACCATATTATCACTGTTTTATGAAAATTTAAGGTTACGCCAGTTGTACCACACAAAGATCCTCTCAGGTCATTGGCCTTTCTCAAATGATTATCTATCAATTTAATACCCTTAAAAAAAGATGGCTGGCTGACAGGGAAGCTCTACCAAATGAAAAAGCTCGCGGCTCGGTAACAAATTCCCATTTTGCAGCTCTCCCCACAATCCCCTTTAGGCCCACCCTGATTGGAGGAAAGGCGTCACATTGCAGAATGCATATGCAGTAGACAGGCGAGAAGAGAGGGGGATGAAAAGCGATTTATTTAGCTGTGTCGCACACGAACGCTGAATTTTCTTCATGTGCAACCATGTTGACGAATTCTCTCAACGTGGTGTCGGCAGTCGCTGGCCTGACTGGTGTAAGCACCCATGTCCTACTTTACCGCCATGGAGAGTGGGACGTGAAGGCCCCGTCGGTCGTGATCAACTATGCCATCCTGGCCGCTATTTTGGTCAGTTTGGAGTACCCTAGGCACGTTGGAGAAGTTTGAAATTCCAACTTCCCCCAACTGGGCATTAAGATTCGTCGGATATCATATCCTGGGTGTTTACACTAGTATGCTCGTTTACCGGGGTGCACTACACCGGCTTAGTAAATTCCCTGGGCCATTCCTTGGCCGACTTTCAAATTTCTATGTGACCTTTTTGTCGGCAAAGAACTTTCGATTATATGAGGAGACGGCAAAGCTTCATGAGAAATATGGCGATTACGTGCGCATTGGTTAGTACTATACCAATGGGGAGTTTATCGCAAGTTACTGATGCAAAAAAGGTCCCTCTGAGCTCTCTGTCACAGACCCGACCGCGGTGAAACTATTTTACAGTTCCCTCGCGACAGCTCACAAAGGGCCATGGTACAACTGCCTCGAGCCACGTGTGTCTCTCCAAACTGATCGCGACAAGGCCTCCCACGCACGCCGACGGAAGGTCTGGGATCAAGGATTTAGCTCTCAAGGTAGTCAAACTTGTCTTTATTTACTGTGAGCACTATACTAATAGACTACCTCTTGCTAGCTTTGAGAGACTACGAGCCCCGCGTGGCCCACTATGCTGCGCAACTCATTCAGGCCATCGAAAAGGCGGCGACCAAGCCAATGAACATGACCCAATGGTTCAATTACTACTCAATGGACGTCATGGGCGATCTTTCACTGGGCAGATCGTTTGATCTGGTCGCGGATGGTGAGGACAAGTACTTCCTCACTCAATTACACGCCGATATGAAAATGATTGGATTGTTCAGCCATTTGATGTGGCTATTCCCTTTCTTCAAGCGCATTCCAGGTATTAATGCCGATTATCTCAAGTTTTGGAAATGGCTTGGTGATCATGTCGACCATCGCATGAAGGTACACCTGTCCAAGCACCAACGGAATAGTGGACAATTACTGATGTTTGTTTAGAATGCTCCAAGTCGCCCGGATGTCTTTTCGTGGCTGTTGAATGCATTTGAGCAGACCTCCAAGACTAAGCAAGACCTTCTTAACCTACACGGAGACACATACTTAATCAGCGTTGCGGGAAGGTAGAGGCTCCCCTTCTATGCCATGCGTTTCTAGGCTAATCTTAATAGTGACACAACTGCGGCGACTATGACAAACGTCTTCTATGAGCTGGCCAAGGATCTCCCTCTTCAAAGGGCACTCCAAGCTGAACTGGATGCGCTGCCGGATATTTCTACTGACCAATTGTCGGGCCTGAAGTTCCTTGATGCCATAATCAATGAAACTCTTCGCCTTCACCCACTTATACCCTCTGGGCTACAGAGAATGACGCCTCGCCAAGGTATCCAGATTGGCGACACATATATTCCTGGTGACGTAATGGTTGCGATGCCCATGCACACACTCTTCAGAGGTATGCCAATATGTTTTCTGTTCTCACTTTCTCCGCCAATATTAATTATGATCCAGATGAAAGAGTATTTGGGCGTCCGAACGAGTTCGTTCCCGAGCGATGGACGACTGAACCCGAGCTCATCAAAGACGCTTCGGCGTTTATTCCATTTGGAGCCGGTATGTAGCCCGAAAGTTCCCAGATATAATCATCTATACATTTGCATTTACTAATGGTTTGAAGGTCCGTACGTCTGTGTTGGAAAACAGTTGGCTTTCATGGAAATTCGACGAGTCACCGCTGAGATCCTCACTCGATATGATGTTTCTTTCGCCCCTGAGTATAACGAGGCATCGTTCTGGAAAGGGAAACAGGATGCGTTCACTTTGGTTGCGGCTCCTATGGAGATGGTTTTCAATGAGCGGAAGTAAATACTATAAACAGTTTGGGAGGCATCGGAAATTCAATATATGTCTGTCATTTGATGCTTTCCATGTGATGCATACTAAGGGTGATGTGTGGTGATGTGACTTGGGTACACCTTACTCTGTGCACATGTGTCTTGAACCCGAATCCAGTAACGGCTCTCCATACTGCATACCAGTAAAGAGCAAATGTTCCATTCTGTGTAGTGCTCATTGAAGTTTATCATCAATGGAAACTCTCGCGGGCCGACCCATCTATTCCGTGTCCCGAATCTAGTATGCCATGTCCCGATGTCGGCGAATCGCCCCACCCGAGCCGCACAAAGTTCTCCACCGTTTTGCGCACCTCCTGTTCCAGTTATAATCAGGTGCATTTGTCTCTCACTATACTCGCATTAGCGCAATCAGACCACATATAAGATGACCGCGCCTTCAAACCCCTTCACCTCATTATTCGTCCATCCAGTCGAGTTTCAAGATGCCCTCTCAAATACCCAAGCGACGGCTCGCATCATCCCCGTAGCCGCCGGCCGAACCGCAACACTAGCCTCATATGAAACCAGACACATTCCAAACTCCATGTACGTGCGCCGATCTTCACCAAAAAACACATTCACCGTGCCCCTAACAAATTCAAGCTTTTTCAACATGGATTCCATCAGCGATACTAGTTCCAAGTACCCGGTAATGATGCCGACCGCTGCCCATTTCGCCAACTGCATGAGCGATCTCGGCATCCAGCCGCAAGATATCATTGTTGTCTACGACACGTACGAAATCGGCCTTTATTCTTCACCGCGTGTTGCGTGGACGTTTCTTCATTTCGGGTACAAGAATGTTCATGTTTTGAACAATTTCCCCGCATATATTTCGCACAATGGTCCGCTTGCCAGTGGTCCACTGCGAGGACTTTCGAGCGTGTTATCTGACTCTGCGACATGCTCTCTCTCACAAAACATTGATCCGGAGGAAATCATCTCGTATGAGGAGCTACGAGATGTGATTCTTGCGAAGCCCAGCGAAAAATCTTACCAAATCCTTGATGCGCGGCCATTTAACCAATTCTCTGGTCTTGACAAGGCTGCATATGCTTCTTTGAGGCCGGGGCATATGCCAAGTGCGCTCAGCATTCCGCTGGCCTATATTTTGGATGGGGATAAACGTCTACTTCCAGAGGATGAACTTCGGGCGCTTTTTACACAGGCTGGGGTGGATGAGCATATGCCTGCTGTGTTAACGTGTAACTCTGGAGTGACTGCTTCGGCGTTGGGACTGGCGCTACGCGTATGCGGCTACGAAGTGAAGATGAGGCTTTATGATGGCAGTTGGATGGAATGGGCCGATAGGGTGACCGAAGATGGTTTGATAGTGACTAACTAAGCTGTCTAATAATAATTGTATCACAAACATTCCGATCTCTTCATGTCTTCGTCGATCCGCACGTATCATATGTTGCTCAACATCTGCCCATAATGAATACCGACTTGGCTCACAGCTTACACCAGTATGCTCTGTTAACCGCCAATATCGACTTCAATATTCAATGCCAGGTCATACCCAGTCTCTGGAAATACCCAAACAAAGCCCCCTTTGGCACATAGCCAGCATACCTGGCCTGCCACACCGCCGCCCAAGAGCCCTCGATCGGGCCCAACTCTCCGAAGCCAATAATTTCCAGAGCCCATGGCATCAGCAAGACCAAGATCCCCAGTGCAATCAATGTAGCATAGACAGGATGCTCGGTCGCAAAGCCTATCGCGGCATCTTTGCATTTAGCCGCTGCATCAGCGGCTGCCTGCGCCATCTCCGCACCGGCCTTGATTGCATCCTCCAGACCGCGTAGAATGGCCTTTCCAATCTCCTCGGACCAACCCGTGATGGCTATTTCCTCCTTCAACTGCTTTCGTAGGGATTCGGGCGATTCTGCGTTGAGGATCTTGGTGACGATGTCGGATGCGATGGATTCGGGAGATCGGCCACCTGAAGGAGGAAGTGGGTCGGCTGCTAGTGTGCCGAAGATACACTCCATGATGGATTGGAGCATCTTGTAGAATGAGGCGATGGTTTGTCTTTGATGAAAACGAAAGAGGGAGGAAAAGTTGGTATGGGGGAGCGTTGAGCTGTAGTACTAGTAGGGAATATGAATGTTATGCGTGGGCGCACGAGGCAAATCAGGACAAAATCCACGTATTTAGTGGTATTTGTATGTTCCAGATTCCGACGAAGAAGACGAGATTGAACAAGATCGGTTTTCCTTTTAAGATAGTTGTAATGCATACGCACTGTGTACTAGTATGTGGGATTTTCCCCACCAAAACAAACCGCCTGATTGGCTATCTTCCGCTACACATCTTTTACTTAGAAACCAACAGCGCGTAAATCACACGTTATCGCAGGGCTGAGCTATGGGGGCTGGGTTAAAGACTGGTTGATATTGCTCAGATTTTTCATCTACTTCTTGACCGAATTGCAGGTCGTGTTTTGTTCTTTACGCGTTTCGCTTGCATTCATGGATGTTTTTGCGCAATGTATTTTTAGAAAGTTACTTCCGCCTTTGTTTGCCCCCTCAGTACGATAACACTTTATGCCTGTCAGCCTTGCGACATTTGACGGTGATTATACACACCCGTAAGTAACTGGCTTTGGCTGGAATGATAAATTGGACTTGAAACCTGGATCTCTACTACCTACCACATGCATAACGGGCTCGGGCGGTTAGAATGTCCATCAACTTCATGATCCCTTCACAAAAGAAAGTATATTATTTTCACTTTTTGCATCACTATCAAAACTGAGTTTTCAACGGATATCTCAATCGCAGACTATAACAGGGCATTCATTAAAAAAGAAAAAACTTTAAAGAAAACAAAATTGAGAAGACAGAAAAAAAGCATACACCGAACTAGCTAACAAGGTCCAGCACTTGAGGTCACTGAATGCCCAACTTCCAAAACTATACAACAACATCATCTTGACCAAGACCAACATATCACCGGTAGTCCCTCACCAGCTGGTACTTTGGTGGAGAAACACTAGTAGAATCCAACTCCGTAGGCCCACGCTGATTACGAGGATGCTGCGCCGCATCCCAATTCCACTGACCAGACCCCCGCGCCAGCGCCAAAGCCCCATACATAGAGCGAGTATCCGGTACCTCCGAGTCCGCCCGGTGACTCGGGAGAGGACTCGAATAATGGCTAGGCTGCGGACTGGAAAAGTGGCTGTGCTCAGACTGGTGGGCCGTAGAGGAGACCGTATTGCTATCAAGTTCACTCTTCTGATTCGGCGGAGCGCCATGGCCATGAGAATGGAACAAAGCCCATCGAGCCGTCCGCTCCGTTCGCCCGTCTTCCGAGAACATCCATTTTTGGTATATGCGGTTGCGGCCCAGGGTCCAGAATAGCGCGATCAAAATGGCCACGAAGGCTACGCATGCCACGGCTATTCCTGCGATCTCGCCCGTGCTCAGACCGTGGCTGGTGGATGTGGTGGAGGAGGATGAGCTGGAGCTGGAGCTTGTGGAGCCTTCTGCGGGGATGGATTCGCCGGGGAGGAGCATGTAGGGGTATGTGAGTGCGGCTTTATATTGCGATTCCCAGGTATGGGTGGAGTTCTGGTGGGACTTGTAAGAGGGGAGTTTGGATTCTTTAACATAGTAGGATATTACTTACTCCGTTTATAACGCCCACCATTCCATTTCCAATGCATGATTGTAGCGCCGTGCAATAAAAGAATGTTGGCTGAAGTAATGAAGTCAGCGTTGGTCGTTATCGCCAGTTTTCCAAGTGTGAACCTTGGAAGCAGATATACCTCTGTGTCATTGACGGTGATTGACCAAGTCGGAGCCTGGTTAAGTAAACATTAGTTGTTTTAGGATGCAACAGGATGATAGATTTTTTTTCTAACTTACTGGACCAACAAGATCACCATCTTCCTCAGTGAAAGTGTTGAACTCCCCAGACCAGAATTCACCCGAGCCAGCTGGCACACATGGTGCAAGATAGTCTGCCTTGGCGACAGAGTGGTTTGTAGGATAAAACTCGAAGACAATAACGTCGCCTGGATTTGCCGTGATGTTGTGCGGGACATAGGCGTGAGGACTCACTTTAGGTCCAACCTGAACAGTATGTGTGGTGATCCCAGTAGACGTGGTGCTTGTCGAGGTCGTGGTCGTGGTGCTGGTACTCGATGCCGTTGAGCTGGCAGAATCTCTCCTCATGATGCCTGCATCATGCGAGATGGCTGGCCCGATCGTTTGAAAAGCTCCATTATGAGCTATTATTGCCTGTGCGACCCCCCATGTTCCCAGCATGAGTGATCCCAACAGTGGTCGCAAGAACCGGCTTGGGAGTCGCATCTTGGGCTGTTGTTCTCTATACAGGTGATGTAAAGATGGATTTGCAACCAAGAAGAAAATGAGTCGAGGTACACATGTGCAGGCTTATGAAGAATGAAAGACAACTCGACCCCACGTGTGAGAGTCCCTCGTGGGCTCCGGATTACGCGGATTAAAAATCACTCTTTGTCTTCCCTGTTCTTTTTCTTTTAGTCAGATCACATATCTACCGAGTATCCAAGGAGGGCCTTACTATGACTCATCCAAGTTGATTGAGTAAAATGAAGGATTTCTTTGAGTGTCACCCTCGTGGCCCTCTGACCTGCCATATCTTTGAAATTCCTGCATTTTTATTTGCACGGAGAACAGTGGAATAGCAACTCGCAGATACATGTTTCTATTCTTTGCCACTTGAAACAGCGACCAAGAATAAACTTGGCTGAAATAAATTTATAGTAAATCACAAAAGCTCTTTGATCTGCTAGTATCTGGTTTGTTCGCGTCGTGGCAAGGCTTGGCTCGATTTCTTTGACCTTTGACGTTTCACCAATTAGACCTTCGCCAACGTGGCTAATAAAGACATCTATGCAATTCCTATTGGTCAGGAAACGAGAATCCACCCTGGCGTGAAACAATGCTCGTGCAGAATTTTGCATTCCAAGGCATCTACAGAGCATCGGAATAAAAATAAATACCATTTTCAGCCTCAGTTTCTGCTCTCTATTCGTTTCATATTGTGACCATAGCGCCTGGTCTAAGCTCTGCATCTTCGGCTCCAGCCGCTACTTTGAATTTGAATGGCGGGGACTGTGACAAGTTACAGAAGGAGAGAAGAGGACCTGATTAAAATTTGATACATAGATGAAATATAAAGTGAATTGTAGAAGGGAAAAGAGGGGAACAGGCAAGCGCCAAGAGCATACTAGGTACTACTAGCACATCTACGTTAGAGCCTTCTCTTCTTCCACCTGCTGGCCTTCTTTGGCTCCTCGGCTCCTTTGGCTTCTCTTCAAGTTGTTGTTTGGCTTTTCCGCGCCCCTTCTTTTCTTGCGGAAATCCCGTTCTTGCATTGCCGCCTCCTGGCAGACAAAGAAGAGAGGTCTCTTGAACGACGCTGATCTATAGACTATATAATCAGCTCTAATTTACACTCGAATTTATCAATAATGCTCCGCATAATTTGCTCGTCATGAACCTCATTCTGCCACGCGAACCCAACAAACATGTCGCCTCTTGGTCCTGTAATGACATTGATTTTAAGCGCAGATCCGACGGCAGACTAGTTCGAACTAAACACGACCCTCCCGAGAAAGATGCGATCTGCAGCGGTGGCAGCAGTGCGTCCTCCTTGGGGAATATCATATCAACATCCCCATGCTGTTTCTCCTTGCTTAGCATCCCAACCAAGTCGACAACGAGCCCCTTCATAAATACCACGCCTAAAAGACCATCACGCTCTTGCGGATGGTATAAGAGTGTCAGAGTGAAGTTCATGTCAAAATCTCAATAGAAGTAAGGCTTGTGTAAGACAGTCAGGGAGGGAAAATGAGAGTTCCTTTGCTCCCCAACCCACTGGCACTCATTGAGAAAATACGACGTGTGTTGATTCTTCTCCTCCTCGTTTCCATTTACAATGAACATCCTAATCAGGACTAGTGCGAACCATAGATCTTCCGTGTTTACTAATCTATTTGCCCGTTTGCTTCTCCACCGCTCTCCACAGTCCCACCATGCTATTGTCTCATTGGATACCGACCATTTCCAGGTCCCAGCAGGACGGTGTCTTGTAGAGGCTCCTCCATACTGGTATTAAGCGCCAAAAAATCCGAGGGCCGCATCGCCTAAGCCCTAGCGTGCAGCCCTTAGTGCAACTAATCTCAATTACAATGTCAGATTCACAGCGATCCAAAATCCACCGACGCGTCCCCGACCCTCCCGAAAGCGCAGATCAAAAACAACTCCAATGTCTTCATTCATGAGCGCCTGTTTCCGAATCAGGATCACCCCGATCCTTATCTCAGTCCCCATATTCTTTCGGACCTATCGCGAAATTGCCGCCCTACGCAGACTCAAGATTTGAGGCTCTCCGAGAGAGAAGCAGCAGCAAATATTGACTACAAGCAACGTTTCCTTCACACAAGAAGGTGATGGCACTCAGATAAAGGCTGGCAGCTTCCAGACAACCACAGGGGGTTGGAGGTGGATGAGACATGGGACGACCGTGCAGGCAATAAAAACAATGAAGAGAGTATTCCTTGGGACTTGGACTATATGTTGAACACTACCTGCAAGAACCTTGCCGGCTTAGAAGATATTATGGTGGCAGAAGCGACTTGATTGGTGAATTGATTGGGGATGAGCCAAGTCCAGCTTGCAGCTCCAAACTCTATACTATGAGCGTTATAGTGCACATTTAAACAAAACTGTTGTCTTTGTCATTTTCGCAGTTCGTTCACACTTTGGCCAACGTGGAAAGCGGATTCTAGCGCGTTTCTCTACTGCATTATGTATGTCTGGCATGTACATTCATTACTATCTCATAGGGGAGCCACGGATCGTGGCAATCAAAGCATCGGAAACACGACAAGAAAAGAAACGTTGTAGACTTCATTTTCTGGAAGGCAGCCTGATCGGGTTAAGTGTGCTAGCTGCCATTTATAGGCGAGAAGCCGCAGCAATGGCTTGCGGTCAAATAGATACCTCTGCCAAATCGAGCAAGCCTTGAGCCTACAGATGTTGGAACCCAGCCCAGCCAGCCAGTACGCTTTATACAGATAACAATGCAGAACACCTTTCTTTTCGAAGCGCATTTCTTTGTTTTCTCATTTTACTTGACCACCCGCCTTTGTGAGCCTTATCGCCCATGGTGGGGCCCAAGACTGGTTTCGGTATAGACCACGGAGCACGGACAGAAATGTCGACAGGAATTGGGTGCTTTGCAGTTGAGCAGTCACAAAACTCCAAAAAGCACAACTTACCAGGTGACCGCCACTACACTACGTCATCTCACTTCAAGTGCTGCATCAAGAATCAGGGATCAATTTTCCCGGCAAATCGTGAAAAATCTCCAAAAAGTCCAGCATTCTTCAATATCAAATGCACACACCCCGGTAACACCAATTGTCTCTCCACAGGATAAATCATCCGTGAACAGAAGCCAGACCCCAATCGGAAACTTTTCCCCAGCCTCATGCCGCGTGGTTAATTTAAACCAGTGCTTAAAACTATACCCACAGCGGAGTAACGGGCAAATATGAGCATCCAATCACGCTATTTCCCAACAGTGAGCCACGCCTCCATTGGACTCCTTGATACAACACACAGGAAAAAAATAAGGCTTTTACATTAGATCGACCGTAGGAAAAAACATGTGGCACAAGCCGCACAACGGGGCTTGCCATGGGGCCCCGCTTTAAAACAAGCTGCTGTTCCTACCGGTCGGCCAACCCAATTCCCCGTCTCATTCCTTTCCAACGTTCTTTCACGACCAGACTGCAATATGGATGAAAATGAAACAATTGAACCGGTTTGTTATATCCCCTGTCTGACTTACGCGGGATATTTGAGGCTCACTCAGGATCGTTGTTGTGTGGGAATAGGACAAGGATAATTTCATCGTTCGTGATCAAAGCTACCCGGATGATTGGCAATCGTATGGTGATCCTTCTCGTGTTTATTTGGGGTTGAGGCAAACTTTGAAGTCTAACTTGAATCTTATTATAGGGAGACTACCTCTATAGGCTCCTCAATATATAGGGGACTTATGGAAAATGGGCGTCGGTAAGGCGGTTGTCCTTTCACATGGATCTCTGACGAGGCTAATGGAATTCGCTACTTCAGTTATCAGTCGTTGCGCAATGAGGATTATCTGTATGTTCTATCGGAGATTTACTGATAACTAAATCCCAGTGCTCTCTTATTCTTAACAATTCTCAATAGCGTTCCGTCGGACGAATTGCAATTCGAAACATATGAAGCTGGGTAGGCATTCAATCAAATCCATGCACTAAGAAACTGTACAGAACATTTGAAATCCTGACATCTGGAATATACCAGGAACCTCCTAGCTATAATTATGGACTCCGATAGAGAAAACCCGCTCTTCAGATCCCCTATAGGTGAAGAACCACAACATATTCTGGACATTGGAACTGGAGAGGGCAGTTGGGCAGTGTACGTTAGCCACACAAAGATACTATTAGCACTCACCTGCGAAAGTCTACTGACATTGAATCACAACAACAGCGATGTCGCAGATAGGTTCCCTAATAGTAGGTTCGCAAAAGCCAGCACTTGAGCATCACCTGTGTATGAAGAACAAAAACCCGATTAACAACCTGCAGCGATTGTTCGCGGCGTTGACCTTTTTCCGCCCCCCATAACATGGATGCCCCCAAACTGCATCCTAGAAGTCGACGACGCAATGCAACCCTGGACCTGGAGAGAACCATTTGACCTCGTTCACATGCGCCTCATGACAGCCTCCTGGAACGATTCAGAGTGGGACGCAGTCTACAAGCAATGCTACGAGTGAGTTTCCACATCCCACACAACCTTCCCAGGAACCGAATGCAGTCAATATCCTGGATAGAGTAGAGAAAAACAAAAGAACACGCCATAGTTGCACCCAAAGTCTTCCCGCTAACGAGCCCCATCTTCACAGCAACATCAAGCCAGGCGGCTGGATCGAACAACTCGAAGCCCAACCCGACATCGAATGCGACGACGCAAGCCTACCAGCCGACAACATAATTCGAACATGGGGCCCCTACACACGCGAGTGCGCGCGCAAGTCTGGCCGCGAGCTGAACGCCCTGCTTATCATGACGGACAAGATACGCAAGGCTGGGTTCGTGGATATCCAGGAACAGGAATACAAGTGGCCGATTGGACCGTGGCCGAGGGATAAGCGGTTGAAGGAGGCGGGCATGGTGAACTATCATCACTTTATGTCTGGGATGGAGGGGTGGTGCATGCATCTGCTTACAAAGTTTGGGTCGCCGGAGCCGTGGAGTAAGGAGGAGGTTATTGTTTATACGTCGAATTTGCGGCGGGAGCTGAAGAATCCGCGGTATCATACTTATTTGAGGGCGTAAGTTGAATAGTCGAATTTTGGGGTGGGGTTATTGGATATGGTGGTATCAATTGTGTGCTGACGTTGTGGTTTTTTTTAATTAGGAAACGTGTGTGGGCTCGGAAGCCGTTTCCGGATGAGTTGGAAGAGAGGATTGGGATTAAGGATGAGCCTTTGACGTTGATTTGAGGTTGGGGTTTGTAGTGATTGATGGGCTGTATTTTTGGACTGGTGGAGAAGATACCGACTGGTGGAGAAGATACCCTGTGTCGATATTAACCGTACTTGTACTCAAGTGCTCGATCAAAATGATGCACATGTGCATGTAAAATCACTTTATGTTTTGTCTTTCATGCAAAGGGCTAACTGCAGTACGTAGGTAGGTGTACGTACTGGATTTTTCCTGTGCCGCTTTAATGAGGTTGCTCAGGCTCAGGCTCAGTGAGTAGTTTTCAGTCTGGGCTCAGGCTCAGTGGTTTGCGCACCCTAGCTATTTCATCGGAGCCGTTTTTGTCGGTTTCTTTTTTGCTTAGAACCACTTCAGTCAAAGGGGATGGATATCTTCCTAAAAACCCGTAATCCTGTATAGTCTCGCCATTCTTTACTTCCCAGTTCCAATGGTCGTAATGGTATTCATGCCGAGAGCACTTCAAATGTGAAGTAACGCGAAGTGCACAATTTGTTGTTAAAGACGCCCCACAAGGTTCCCAAGGTGTCATGGGTCTATAATTGTAGCTCAAATCGTCTTCTTCGATAGGGGAGAGGTGTAGTAAGCGCCACACGTCAGGTCTTGAGATGTATTCAGGATCTCCGTAAGCATATGGACCAGAACCTGCGTCATCCATAAAGCTTTGACGGGCGCCAGTCCAAGGAAAAGCAACTGAGTCAAGAGGTGGCTTGCCTCTTCTTACTTTTTGAAGAAGTGTGGGGCCTATACCGCCCACCACCGCTCCAACCCAAAGCGCACTCACACTTGGCCGGCGGATGGCACCCAGCAAAGCAATCAATTCTTGACTCTTGTGTTCTGTGGTATTGTCTAAGACTTCTTCAAAAACCGGATGTAGCCATTGACTGGCCATATTGCAAGGAACGTCTTGTTGCCAGAATGATCCACAGAGCGTTAATATCATCACCTCCGGGCTGCAACTTAGAGTCATATAGTAAGGCAGCTCTTCTTTCAAATTTGTCCCTATCGGTGAAGCATCATCTAGGGTAGTAGCTGGGGTTTTAGCGCCATGGGTACTTGGGGGCGGTAGTTTGACATCCGTGCCATAATATCGATATATTGGGAAGGATATGGCTATCATAAGAGCGATAGGGAACTGACTTCCTAGACTATGTAAACGCGAAAACTCAAGAAGAGCATGGAACGCGTCATCCGAGGATAAAGGCGTTTGCACGGAAGGTATCGAGGCTCTCTTTTGTTTGATGATGAAAGATGTTTCACAAGTGCGATATACTGCCCAAGGGGCGACAAATTTACCATCAGAATCATCCTTCACTATCGCTTTCCACCCTTCGCGTTTTGCGAGTATCGCAGACCACCAGCGGACAATTTGCGCATCTGCCACCGCTTCCCCCACATCGATGAGATGAGTATCTTCCGGTGGATTGCGCTCGCCTAAGCAATCGGCATGGTCGCTTGTGTAACGCATGATGGCACTATCTCCTTGTAATTCAATAAGCCGTGCTGAGAATATATAACACCAGCCAATCGCGAGGATCCCTAAATAATTAGGACCTGCGGTCTTCTCCGCCGTCGTGCCAATCCAATAGCTAAAGACTCTCCCACAAAAGCTGTATGGGATGGCACTACCGGTGCCGATTTGGACCCAGGCAGGTTTCGTCGTTTCTTTCCTAACCGCGTCGCAGCCAGAGTTTCCCACCAGTCTCCAAGTTGAGGAGGCTGGCGAGCAAAGTGCGAAAATCGGAGTAATTCCCAAAGGGCGTCCAAATTGTGATTTCAGCGGGCCTTGAAATTTTGGAATCTTGTGAAGGGCTTGTTGGGGATTCGTAATTTCGGGAGCCAAACCATGCTCCAGATAAGCATAAGCGAGTGATGCGGCGTGATACCAGTATGCCCGACTCTTTTCCAGCGCGATATCATCTTGCTCTCTGGAAGGCTGAAGGACGTCGCTGTTCCCAACAATCTGTTACTGCTGAGTTAGCGTGAACTGTTTGGGAGAGGGACAGGGAAGACTAACCGAAGAAATTCTTGGGGGAATCAAAGAAAAACTCTGCAGTCCCATTGTTGGGAATAGGGTAGTGCAAACTTCGAATATAAGTGGCCTTGAGTCTGAAGTTTTTTCGAAGAACTGGATTCTGAATTTCTGAATATGAAACAGCCGGTTTCTGAAGGGAGACAGAGGGCTCTTATGTTTGGGTAGGGAGGCTGATGTGGCTCGGGCTCGGAGAACACAGCCACCAGTTGACACCAGAAAATGCAAGACAACAAGTTGACGTATGCACAAAACAGGGTACATTGACGCCGAACTCCGGCACAAAAGGCAATAAATGCGCTCGCTGCAGCACCCCCACTACGCTAATGCGGCACGATCACCTCAGTCACTTCCTCTACAAAGGATTCCTTCCCATTTATTAGCCTCCAGGGCGCTTAAGAATCGCACCTAACTGGAAGATCCCTTGGGTGCTGTTGCACTTTTCAGTATGATAGATAGGCCCCGGACCAGCGAGCACGTATTCAGCCGCTAATGGCATGCCTGTTGACTCGGATGCGACCCTAACAACCCAAGATACCTATAGACCGGGATACGAAGCTGAGGTACAATGCGGAGCGGCTCGTCTGCTCTGCTATCGTCCAAGAATACCGTGTGACGGGATTTTGGTTCCTGGGAACTATGGGTAAGGCTCAATCAAAATCTTGATCACGGCCATTATAGCTCCTGGGAGATGAAGATTGAGCAGCCGATCCAAGCCATCGCAATTAGCTTCCTAGGAGCAACTGTGATGGGGCAATTAATTTCGCTGAGCCAGCAAGTAGTTGAGTTCAAATGTTGAGGCGAGTGGCTCCTGGGAGCAAAAATCTACTTGGAGTCTGATAGGCCAGAATTGCTCATTGTGAAACCCAAAATGTGAAATGCCATGGCCATATTCACCAAGCCATCTCTTCTAGATGGGAACCAAAAATTCATCAGGAGAAATCCAGTACGTAGGTGAAATCCATTTATGTATTTCGGTGAATATTGCATGTTAAATTTTGTTCCAAGTAGAATTAAACGCCTCATAGATATATGTATTCATCACAACGCACTGTTTAAAGTGTGCGAATCATCGTCTTCAAGTACTTCTCTACACGCCCAACGTCGCCCAACTCTGCAACAATACCAACATATCCATCGGGGCGAACAATAGCAAGTGCACCTTGAGATGGATCGACACCAAAGGTGCTATAGACATCATCCAGCTCATACCCACTATAGAAGGACATTTCGGAGTACCGCTTCACCTCCTTAGGAATATCATTCCACACAAACTCTTTTTCAAGTTTCGGGTGAACAACAACCTGCTCAAGAATCGATTGCGGGAACTGAGGAATAACCGCACCAAGAGCACCAAGCGTCCGTGCAGAAACACCTTGGGGATCCAGCAGATCCGAGGATGTTAAACAAAGAATACGGAACCGACCAATCGAAGTAAAGTCTACCCCCCAGTCAGAAAAGGGGAGAACATAAGGCAATAATAGGCTTGGTAAAACTCACCATCTTGCAAATCACGACGGTAGCCATCGGCATGTCGAACAAGGCGCACATTCAATAATCTTCTACCGGGCCGCAACAATCCAGAGAGGTAGTCGGTGCCACTGATTGGGTTTTTATCGCCCTCCAAGTCTCGGACCACAGTCATGTTTTCGGGGTACTCGATTCCGCAACCGCTAGTGAATCCATTGCCGCGACTGAACACTTGGACGAACTCTTCGTGTGTCAAGCCGCCAGCGCCATCCTCCGACGCGCCAATCTGGCCTGAGAACATGGATGAGAAGGCGCGGTCGAACTCGATTAATTCTTGGGCAATGGTGTGGCGTTCGGTCTGGTATGTGTCGAGGATGGGATCTGGCTGTCCGTTGGCTGATGAGGGGGTGAGACCATGAATGGAATATGCGAGTTTCCAGGCCAGATTGTAAGCGTCCATCATGGAGACATTCATTCCCTGGCCAGCCTGTGGTGAAAGGTAAGTGTGAGTATTAAGTTGGAAAAAACAAGGACTTTGTATTGTTGAGCTTACCTTTGGGCTGTGTGTATGGCAAGCTAAAGAAGTCAATGTCAGTACAGGCACTATCCTCATATAGCCCCAACGAACACATACCATCGCCAGCAATAAATACTCGATTCACACCCTTAGAATCCTTCACCGAAAACTTATCGGTAACGCGCTGTCCAATCTGATAAGCCGCCCACCAGTCCACAGCGCCATCCGTCTTCGGTCGAATATAGTACGGCTTAAATGCCGCGGCCGCATTATCAAAGATAGTCTTCTCAGTCACCTTGCTCCGTCTTTGCCTAGCATCTCCCACGGGTGGTGTATGCGTTCCATCCCCCGATAGCTCGGGGTCCACATCGCCAGGGACTTGGACATATAACCGCGTCAAGTAATCGCCGGTCGCAATACGCTCACGCGGAATAACCATGACCGACCCAGCAGGCGAGTGAATCGCACAACGACGTCTGATATCGGGGAAATCGGTATCAACAATCAAATCCACCACACCCCAGATATGATCCAGCGATTCGCCCTCAAGTTTCAACCCCATACAACGACGGACCATCGAGTGTGCGCCATCAGCCCCGACCAGGTACTTTGAGCGCACGGTGCGACGCTGACCGTCCGTCTCGATCTCCGCGAGAACAGGATACTCTGCATCGCCCTCTTCGTCGATCTTCACATCGATCAGCTTCGTGTTCCGCTGCACGCCTCGATTCGAGTACCGCAGCAGATCGGTTTCTAGAATGCGTTCAATTCGGCCTTGGTGGATGGTGACTTCGTGGGGGAAACGCGCTGGCACAGCGACATCGGATACGATTGAGGTGCGTTCAATGATCTTTTCTTTATCGGCGGATGGGTTCCAGAATGCGACCTGCACACGCTTGTCAGAGCCGAACGGCGCCGCGCAGGGAATCAGGGTATGGTCGCGCTTACTTGCCACATCTGACAGCCTTCTGTCAGGATCTCGTCTGCCAGGCCTAGCGATTTCAATGTCTCGAGGGTGCGGGGCTGTAGACCATCGGCCTGTCCGGACTTGAGTGTTGTTGGCTTGGAGTCGACGCATAGAAGGGACTCGTCGGTTAGACCGTATCGTGCTAGCAGGAGGTCCAGCATCAGTCCTGCTGGACCAGCTCCCACGATCACAACCTCATATTTTTCGTTCTTGCTATCTTGAGGAAGAGGAGGGGCGAGGCGTGGTAGGGGTGGTGCAAAGGACGGCAGAACGCGGAGTTCACGCGACGCCGCGGAATATTCGGTGAAGACGGGCATAGCTGTTGTACCGCGTTGGTGAGCTCGATACGGTCTCTGTGATTCAAAATTTAATGTACAATTGGACAAATTCTAGGGCGGGGATTTATATCTATGTTTCAGAAAGCCAATGGACCTCTGGACTGGGCCCATGAGCGCGGTGTAGACATGACGCGGGCACAAATTATTGAATAGCGGGGAATGGAGGGGATTGACAACTGCACGATGAACGATAACTCGTCCTAGCCTACGGGTCAAGTGGATCGGAAATTATACATTGACCAGTCAGGAATTGCGGGCGACCGCTGAAATTCGGATTACTATGGATTGATGAGATTCAGGTAATCAACAGTCATGCCAAGCGGGGGGTTTTGTGGGGGGAATTACCGAAGTTCAGACCGCGAAACCTTGGAAATGCCTTCGGATATACAGAAGAGATGGATATAAGTGATCTGGAGAAGCAAGGATCATATGCAGCCACATCTTACGATCCTCGAACCTTGAAGTCGTATTGTAACGTTTTTTTGCGAAGGGTTTACTGTATTCAAATGGTACTGCAGATGAGAGGTTCCACCAGTTGACTCATCCGTTCGTTCCTTTTCTTTCCATACTTACCCCTCTTCTCCCCGAATATTCCCAAGTGCTTTCGAGTTCATTCTCCATACAGAACATGGCCCTTATATGTCAACACTAATCACCTACTAATGAACAAGCCAACTTTTCTTTGCCCTTTCTCTATAAAATGCCCGACGAGAACAAGACTGCCCTCTCGTTTTATTCACCGGATCAGTGGTATCTATCAACACTCACGCCATGAGTGATTCGCAGAGCCTCAAAGTATGACTTGGAGGGGTTACCAACTTCCACAAATCCACCACAAGTCCCACGAAACCAACATTACAGTGGAGAGCGTGGAGGGCTCTGTCCTTCGCTGCGAATATTTCAGGATTCTCTTGGTAGACTATGCGACGCATGATCACCATTGACGCAACCAAGGGTCCCCGAGGCTGCAGAGAACCATTCCTCGACGGGAAAGAGTGAAGTGGATTTCCGAACCCAAGATCAGTCCCAATAAACTGGCCATTCATGCATTGCCCCTGCACGTCACCCCACAGTCTGAGCCGCGTGGGGTTCCTTGAACAGGGGGTTTCCCGGCTGACCACTCATATTCACTGGTGCCGTTTATACCCGGTGTCCTACTGAACTTGGCGCTGATGATCATTGGAAGTTTCGGACCTCAGGATCGCAATGGCAAACAACAATCGCATTCTGGGCTGCATTGTGGAGGGTCTGTTCACACTCGGAAATGATATTAAGGGGGTTTACCGACGTGCTAATGTGGCAATGAGATACAACTATTGGTCGGGCTGTACATCCCCCATACGGAGGTTATAGCCTCGTATATTTGTTGGCAGCCCCAGTGTAGTATTCGGGGCCCGAAATAAATCCAATCCCATGAAACTTTACTTTGAATTGGTAAGTGACGATTGACCCTGCGGATCTCGGACCCGGGGTCTGCCCACCGTAGATGATAAATGTTGAGAAGCTTTAATAGAAGTGGAAATGCCCCCGGGATTTGGCGATCAGTGAGAAATATTTCCAATTCACTTCTTCTTACCCTGTGATTCATACCATTCAACCTAAACATCATCATGTCACGCTCTTCTCGATTCTTTGACGGACCCACGGTCGTTCCAGATCCTGTTCCAGCATACCACCCCGCATCTGTCGTTGAAGAACGCTCAGTGGATGAGAGTAGACCCCTGAGAGTTGTGATCATTGGAGCCGGAATCAACGGAATCCTGTCGTGCATTCGATTGGTTCAAAAGGTTCCAAACCTCGACTTGTGTATATACGACAAGAACGCCGATATTGGGGGTACTTGGTTTGAAAACAGATATCCTGGCTGCGCGTGTGGTACGTAATTCCGCATGGATTCGCCTTAAACAATACTTGTGTTTCGACTCTTATGGCTCATATGTTCTTTTACTGACTCTTGGCACTTTAGATGTCCCTGCTCACACCTACCAAGCAAGCTTTGAGCCCAACAAAGAATGGTCCTCATTCTATGCACCCGCCGCTGAGATCCACCAATATTGGCAACGAGTCGTGCATAAATACGGCTGTAGAAAGTATATGAAGTTGAAGCAACAAGTATTGGGGGCAAATTGGGACGAGAGAGATTGCAAATGGCGATTGGAGGTAGGTTGAAATGCATTTCAGGCTGTAAACAACATCTAACAAACCACTGAAGGTCGAAGATGTTGAGAGCAGATCAAAGTATCGTGATCAGTGCGATGTCTTGATCCAGGCAACCGGTTGTCTGAACAACTGGAAATGGCCAACTATTCCGGGTCTCCATGACTTCAAGGGAAAGTTAATGCATAGCGCCGATTGGGATACCGAATATGACTATGCTGTATGTCAACTTTATTCTCGCTCGTTCATGCTCATATTCTAACCGATATAATAGGGCCAAAATATTGCCGTGATTGGAAATGGCTCGAGTGGTATCCAAGTTGTACCTGGTACTTTGCCAAAGGTAAACCATATTGATCACTATATGCGGAGTCGTACTTGGATATGCCCTTCATTCGCCAGAGAAATGCTTGACCAGCGTGGCATAACAGGCGATAACTGTATGTTTCTCTTTTCTGTTACTGGCCCTCCTCTCAAGCTTTACACTAATACTCTGTTAAGATTCTTTTACCCCAGAAGAACTCGAGAGCTTCAAGAATGACCCTGCGGCCTTGCTGAAATTCCGTAAAGAAGTTGAGCTCCAATTGCAGTCTGTTCATGAAGCTACTCTCAATGGCACCCCTATGCAATTGGGCGCGATCCCTTTCTTCACTGAGAACATGAAGCGACGCCTAGCCAACAAACCAGAGCTTTTGGATGAGCTCGTACCATCCTTCCCACCGTCCTGTCGCCGTCTCACACCTGGACCCGGCTACCTCGAAGCATTGACGGATCCAAAGGTGGACCTCATCAAGTCGGAGATTGTCAAGATCGATGAAACTGGCATTATCACTGCGGATGGACAGCACCGACCCGTCGATATGATTGCCTGTGCAACTGGTTTCGATACAAGCTACACGCCGAGATTCCCTATCATAGGACGCGGTGGAAAGTCGCTTGCCAACCATTGGAAAGAATCACCTGAGACGTATATCTCGATCGCAACTGACGGTTTTCCGAACTATTTCATCTGCTTCGGACCGAATTCCGGCCTGGGTGAAGGAAACCTTATTATGCTCTTTGAGCGACAGATTGAATACTTTGCTCAGTGCTTGCAGAAATTGCAGCGGGACAACATCCGCAGTATGAGTGTGCGACCTGAGTCTGTTCGCCGGTTTTCCAAATACTGTGATGATTACTTCAAAAATACGGTTTATGGCAGTAAATGCCGCAGCTGGTACAAGAGTGGAAATGAAGAAGGGCGTATCACAGGTGTCTGGCCGGGTAAGTGTTATTAATCTGTTTTCTTTGTTTAGATTTGAATAGCTCAGCTGACTATTTTCCAGGATCGTCGATGCACTCCATGAAGGTGTTTTCTAATCCTCGTTGGGAGGACTTTGAGTATGAATACCTTAATGATAACCCAATGGGCTGGCTTGGTGATGGATGGACAGAAAATGAAAAGTACCAGAGGATCAATGTGGATTATTTGGATGATGACCAGATCGATTTTCCTCCAGTGGTGGTACAGAATGGGGCCAAGTGAGTTTTATGGTACTAGTCCTAGATGGTAGATAGACGAGATCTAGTGTCGAGAAGAATATGATTTACTATTTGATGAATACCTTGACAATTCGACTGTATAAGGAATTCTTGCTCTTTAAATGCCGACAAACTTGGCGAAAAACACCACAATTTATGCAATTACTATGCATTGGTTGAGTCTAGTTATCCTTCTTGTCAGTGATGATATCATGCTTGTTACCATACAATACGGTTGAACGTATTGAAGCCGCGTACTCTTCCCGCATCAATCCCCGACACGAGGTACTTAATCCCCCGATGCCGGCAGCAATACCAATACCGGAAACACTACTGCACCTTTCCCCCCCAGACTCAATCACTTTCTCTTATGATTACCCCAGATCTCCTCCCCGATGGACAGCCATGAAGCCCGCCGAGAAGCACTTTCGCTGCACGGTCTGTCAGCGGGGCTTCACACGCATTGATCACTTGAAAAGACATCATCTACGACGTATGTATTCGTCACCCTGCAGCTATCCAGGTCAGCTTGCTTATGCCTGAATAGATTCCGGTCAGAAGCCATACTCCTGCGTCTTCTGCAATGAGTCGTTTGCCCGATGGTACGTGCGCGAAACATTCCCGAGTATTGGAATGCCCTCAACTCACAGCTTTTGCCCCTCCTCTAGCGATAACCTACGCGACCACTATGCCGAGTGCGCCCAACGGGGCGATCGCCAAATCCCCGAGACCGGACAGAGGGGTCGTCGTCGTCATGCATGCCTTTCAGTAAGGAGAACATTCGCGAATCGCATTGCGCGCGACGAGATTCGTCTTGCTAATTTTTTTTCTCGCGCTTTAGTGCACGTCCATGAAACTGCGATGCGACGGCCAAAGTCCCTGCGGGTCTTGCGTGAAACGGAACCTAGACTGCAATAATGAACGGATCGGCCGACCGCAAAATCCTGGTCTGGACGAAGGTATGGGATGCAAACATTTGAATTTGAGCCGATCAGCTTATGTCTTTTTTCAGGCTCGCCTTCAACTCGAACCGAGACGTACGCTGAACAGTCCGATCGCGGGTCGATCAAGTTCCTTCTTAATGGAGGCCTCGACAGCTTCACGGAACACTTCCGCCTCCCACCACGCAACGAACGAGCTCGCAACTTGATATTCAATGACCAGGAGCTACAGGAGGATACAAATGGAGTGTTTCAATACGATGTCCAAGCCAATCGACAGGCATATAATCCGGCCTTGGTGGACCCGGACCCGAACTCGATACAATATTTCCCCAATAATTTCCTCGACTTCTTCAACATGTCATTCGGTGATCAGAAGCCCATTGAAGATCCATACACAGGGCACATCACCTTTCCGGCGGGTATCCCGCCCGTCCAAGATCATCACGCGGCTATCATACCCGATCAAAATGTCTTTGAGCCAGAGCGCCCGTTCGCGATGGCCTTGATCCAATCGATTCTAGCTCGGGCATGGACAGTGCCTTTGGATAACAAGGGCCAAGAAGAGATTTCGTCGAACCTCAATTACCTCCTGACCACCGCGCGCATCAGGAAATTTGTTTCATTGTACTTCAAATTCTGGCAGCCCAGCTGCCCTATGATTCACATTCCTTCCTTCGACCCAGAGATGGTGTCCTTGCCACTCTTGGCCGCGGTAGTCTTCATGGGCGCCATGTATAGCACCGATCAGAGAGAAGTCTACATCGCCAAACGAGTGCTTGACTTCGCCGAAATGTTCATTTATTCCAGTCAAGTCTACTCCGCTGAAAACGAAATTGCAAGCTTGTTCTTGGGGAACCGGAATACTGTCGATGAGGCAGATGATTGGGTCAAATTTCAAAATTTTCAAGCCGGATTCATCATGATCGCGACCCAATATTGGGCAGGGAACCAGATTGCTCGAAGTCGTGCAATGGAGAACCGGTTTAGCGAAGTCGTCAAGGTAAGGCTCATCGGTCGCATCAAATGCATAAATCATACTAATAGTGGTTCAAGCTCGCTCGGCGTCTTTCCCTTGTCAAGTGCCGTCATATGCCACATGAACAGTCAAATGAAATGCTCTGGATTCAAACAGAATGCCGCATTCGGTGAGTATTGGATTTAAGACGCACTGAACTTATACTAACAGTCAACCAGAACCGTTTCCATTGTGTCATTGATGGATTGTGCTTTCTTCTTCTACCAAAACTATCCATACCGTCTTGCAACTTCCGAGATGGAAAGCGAATTTCCCTGCGAAGAAGCGCTCTTCCGATCGGAGCACCCATTCTCAGAACCCTACTTCCGTTTCTCCCGCAATCTCACTTTATACGAAGCTTTTCAAAATCTGTTTGCCCGCCCCGAGGATTCGCCGGGACAAAGCCCTGACGCGAACCATATGGATTTGACAGTCTTTGATATGTTCATGCTCATACACGGTATGTTAAAACAAATGGTACATGAAAATCCAACTCCTCGCTAATCCTCTGAACAGTTCTGTTCACTTTCATCAACACCCATATGATGCTCGTTGGGTTCATAGGACGCCACGGCGAAGTCATCCAGTTACAACAAAACTCATCCGCAGGCAAAAGCACAATCCCTGAAGATTCTCTTCTATCATCAATCACGATTGCACTTAATCGATGGCGTGACTACTGGCTTACGTTGCGCAGCCAATTCTCGAATGATGAATGGGCTTCGATGGGTTTCTACAAGAACGGCTATAATTTCTGGCTCGTCTCGCATCTCCTCATTACCAAGAAAGATGCCGTTGATGTGCTCATGGAGATGGAGGTGAGCTGCGAAGACAAGTTGGAGAAGTTGAAGGTTTTGTTACAAGATGAAGGAGAGTAGATTGACTTCTTCTCCTTCCTTCTGGTATATGTTTTGATTCCGATTTCTTTTCGATTGTCTATTTTTGACGTTTCACATTTGTGGTGTTTTGGTGGTTTTTATCAAGGGCTAGACGACAGGCGTTGCATTGACACCTTCAATGTTGAGATCCTGGATGATTTGCATCTTATGGCTCACTTATATACAAGGAGTTTCCCTATACATCTTTTCTACATATTCTAATGAGAATTACATCCAACTATTCAACTATTCAACGGTGGAATTCCAAGCATATGTACTAACTCAAAATCGAAACTTGTCCAACGGTTGAATATTCTATGCATGTATCGCTTCACACCTATGCAGATGCTATCTCCTCTATCAAGCTTGAGCCCTCCCAGGGTAACCATATATCCACAGATTCACGCATTTAAGCATATCCAAGATTCCAAAAATTCTCAATATTCTTTTCCGTATCCTCATCCACATATAGCTGTGGCTGCGCCAAGGTAACATTCTCGCCATGCAACTCCGCAACCTGTCCTGTCAACCTTTCATCCTCCGCGAACTGTGCCACAGCCTTAGCAACAGTGGACATAGGGGTAATAATCATGGACTTGAACAAATCCGAGCTAGGAGCAATATTCGTTTCTGCAGAACCCGGTCAACCCTGTTCTCACTCAACCAGTACGAAAAAAAAACACTCACCAATAACAGCAGGAGCCAACGCATTGATGCGAATCCCCTCGATAGTCAACGTGCGCGCTAAAGAACGCACTAACCCAACAACACCATGCTTCGTCGCCGCATACATAGGCGCCATGGGGAATGGGTATAGCCCCGCGTTCGACGCAGTGCAGCAGATCATTCCCTTCGAGCTTGGTGATCCCTCGCTGGACTTGTTCAGAGCCATATAGTGGGTGGCAAGTTGCACGGCTGCATTGATTGTTAGCGACCTATTCCTTGAGGTGTCTGCTTTGATTTGAAGAGTAGTTTGTAGTATGAGGGGTGTCTCACAATATATCGTTCCAACAAGGTTCACATTAAGCGTTCCTAGATTCGGCTTCACGGGCCCCTTTCCATCCTTACTCGGCAATAGACTTCCTCGTTCTGTGATCCCGGCATTGGCAAATACCATATCGATACGGCCCTGCTGGTGGAAAATCTTCTCGAATACAGCTGCTTGACTCTCCCATGACGAAACGTCACATTCTTCGAATGAGACGCTCGCGGATGGGAACTCGGCGCGTAGCTGTTCGAGTGTCTGCGCCCCGGTCGTGGGGTTGATGTCTAGGATGGTTACGTGCGTGGTTGTGTTCGCGCTTGTGTCTTGGATGAAGTGCTTGGTGATTCCCAATCCAATCCCGGATGCTCCTCCTTTTTTTTAACAAAAAACAAAGATCAGTACAGGATCAGTAGGCGACGCTTGACGCGCTGTTCCAGTGTCACGTAGAATATGTATGCAGCTCACATACCTGTGACGACAATGCTGCGCGTTTGGGCCATGTTGTAACTTGGATGTACAGAGTAGCTTTGGGTTCGACTTTGCCTTTCGTTTTAATTATTGTTTTCCGCCGCGAAAATCAATGGCGGATTGTTCTTTAGAATCAATTGATTGTTCGTCGCTCTCGGTAGTTTGTAGAACCCGAGTGAGCTGCGAGCTCGGCAGATAAACCCCTCATAGGTTCCCCACATTGCCGTGGGGGATTTCCGGTGGCTTGAGGAGCTTGTGGATAAACGCTCATAAACGGGCATCTTTGCGTGCCTTGGGACTTGGCTGAACTTTAATGTCCCTGGTCAATGTAAGTGTTTACCTTGACCATGAATCATGATCGTGGGGGTGATCGGAGAATGCTTCCCCGCATTTTGGTTTCCGAGTCCCAATGCAATATGTGGAGTTGTATTTCAAATGGACAAGGCAAAAGTAAAGTGAGAGTAAAGTGAGCACTAAGTGAGCGGTTCATAATATTTCCTGCCAACTTGGAAGGATCTTACTCCCTAACGGATTCTCTAGCAGAATAGCTAGCTCCTCGTTGTCTGATAGAAACCATTTGATTTCCTTACGAGACAAGTGAGACTAGATTTGTATTTCACATTGGTTTAGACTATATAAATAAAATTTTCACCGCTAGATTATTCTCTTCCTTTCTCTTCCTCTTTAAACCTCCTCACCATTCATTACCTGGGAGACACGGCAATTGTACGGAAGACCTCAAGTGCCAGTGCCTTTGGCCAACTTTGAATCCTCGAGTCGGTCGAAGGCACATACAAAACAACATGGATTCCATGGTTGGAGTCGAGGGAATCTGAATCCGAAGGACTCGAAGACCTCAAATCTGGAGGAGTCCAGGGAGCCTCCGAGGATCCAAAGGTGAGTAGTGGGATTTCCCCAATCAACATGCTCGAAACTACATGTCTAACTTATTATTCCCAGAATCCGTTTGACTGGACCTCCTACGAATGAAAGTTTGTCCCTCGTGCAATGAACACGGGGTATAAATGGTTTGATTCCGTGTTTATCTACTTTTAATAAATCCATCCAAACCATCAATCAATATCCATCGCTGGTGCCTTTTCATTGCCTTTTCAATCCTCATCTCTCAATACCGGCTACCTCGGCGTTGGTTGACCCGACAAAGAAAATCACTCTCCATTCACCATCAACGCTGAGAACTTCGACCATCTCCTACCAGCCATGCTACCCCCAATCTGTCCAATTCTCTGTGTGCCACACAGCGAGGTATTTTACACCCCTGTAGACTTCTCCGCCGCCATGTTACACATCAGTCACCATGTGCCTCGGGTTTACCGCCTCATCTCGATGTCCAGTCCACAGGGCGTCATGTGGTTCTGTGACCTGTGTGAAGGTACTACTCATACTGAGGTTCTCGAGGTGGAAATGTGGAGACATGTTTGGAGAGAGCATCACGAAATTTTGGGATTTTTTGTCCCTCTTGTGCCTGAAGTGGAATGAGCAGTTGTCATTGAGCTCTGGCTCTTGTCTGTTATGTGCCGAAGTTCAGGGCTGTGGTCGGGGTCGATTGAATTGATGCGGGTACATGTATGTAGAGTGCTTGTTATGTCATTTCGGTTGATGACCGATCCCTCCCACACCCAAGCCTCTTGGATGTCAGTCGCATGACTGTCGTGGAACCTGACTTGTCGGCGAATGCTTTTGTTATCCGAGATGGAGAAAGGTCGGCATCGGAAAAGTGATGGATATGTTGATTGACTCGGTGCGAACGACCCTTCCAGAAGTCATTTGGCCTGACATCTCGAAAAAGCGGAAGTCGTCTTCCGGTCCGACCATTTTCGCCGACGATACGAGCGCGAGCGGAGTAGATTCGGCAGCGGCAAGAGACCTGTTACAAGAATGTGAAGACGAAGCATCCCGTCAGAACAGTTAACTGGATGAAGTCGTTCAGAAAATGGATGACCTCACAGTCACACAACCAATGGGATTGGTTCTCGTTCGCGCCGCGTTGGCCGGCATCTCAGCCGATATGAAGAAGACCATCGAGAAGATGAAGAACAAGATCAATTTGAGCGCTCAGTTGCCATTCACTCATACCGTAAAATCAAGCATTGATTCACTTGAAATTGAATTATTAAGCATCTAATGCGCTATTTGCATAGATGATATTGAGTCAACTGGTTATAGCAGGCGCAGGCATAAATATGAGCACTTGAGGTCTTACCCTCTCCGCTGCCTGTCTCCTTGTGTATCTTCGCCATCAGCAAAAAACCTTGAACCCGATGAAGAGGAAGTTTTTGAAGCTTTACAACACCGAAGCCTGAGCCAGATTCTTATTGCAAATATCAGACCTCGAGTAACCGAAATGACCATAGACGATCAATACAATGAACAGTTTTAAGCACTAGAAAATACTACTCGTCATGACTTCGGGTACAAATAATGTCTGCGTAGAACACAAGTTATATTTCGTGAGCAGTATCGACCCAATGGCACATCTCCATAATCAGCAAATGTGCAAATGTGCGTGATCGATGCAGAAGATCCCACTCAACTAACAGGTGTTAGAGAGGGGTATGACCAAACATTTGAAGCTCTGGACTTTGCTAAATTTGAGCGGGGAAGTGCTACAGTACATTTAAATCAGTTACGACCAATGATCAACTACCTAGGCTCAAGGTTTTACCTGAAACTGTGTTCTTCTTCTTCTTCTTCTTCTTCTTCTTCTTCTTTTTTTTTTTTTGAAAAGCAGAGAGCGACTCAGGGATCTAATGTCTAAAGTAAAAATGACTCCACTGTGTATTGCGTATGCATTTGAAGTGGAACAAACAATTCGATTATTACAGGCACTCTTCCCCTGAACCCCTTTCTGCGGCGTATTTGAATACGGTTGTAAACAGTGGTGTAATTTAAAGGGCAGGTACGTATTCCGCCTGTGCGCCGTATTGTATGTAAAGTTTGAAAATTACTTGAACAGTCAACAACACTGAAGCTCGTAAATAGACCAAAGAATCATGTACAATGAACTTAAATTAAGAGAAAATCAGATCGTGGCAATTTAGGGTGTTTGACGAGGTGGCTGCAGATTTGAAGTGATTGGTAGAGGATAGGCTCCCATATTACGGACAAAACAAGTGCCGTTTCAGGTTCTTTCAGAGTCGGGGAAAGGGAAAAAGGGGACTTGAGCCCTGGAAATCAATCAAATCAGGGCCAGGTCTAGCTCGGATCGATCCGAGTACGAGGGTCACGTGATGTACATGTGGATCGGCGGTTACTTAGAATGTCTTAGTGTGAGAAGAAGCTTACCCTTTTTGGCCTTTTCCTTGTCCTCTATTTTTCTCTTTGTGCAAAATTCATTTAGGTTCCGAAGATCTTTCACACATTCGTGAGGATTTTCATACTCTGTTCACCTTTGTTTTTAGTATCGATCGCAAATCACACTGCCATACTCCGTACTTCGTAGCGTAGATTATCTTATTCACCCTTTCTTCATTCTCCATGTATTCCAGGGTCCCCCATGCTCTCCCGCACATAAAACCCTCAAAACCCTGAAAACCCCTAATCACCATCAACCATTGGACCGCCCTCTCGCCAACGCCCGCTCGGATGAATTTCCACTGTTCATAAAATGACGACGCTAGCGCCGAGGCTTGCCATCGGAAATACCGCTAAACCACAACCTCCCTTTGATAGTGGTCCCTAATCCAAATAATAGGCTCCACATCTGACAGTTATGTCTTAGCGCTGCTATAATTAATTTGGTCTGGTACCCTTTTCCCGGCAGTCGGCGGCCCGATTCCAGCTCCAACATTTTAAGAGAGGCTTTTTTCATAAAAGGAGTTCAGGGACAATTCATGATCAACGGTCGCTTTTTGGCCCCCCCCTCATAGTACCATCAAATCTGCCAAGGGCCCATTCTGCTTTACGACGTACATGTTGAGAATCTGACAATCCCCGTGCATTTTCTACAAAACGGCGCAAGCCCGACTTGTGCGCTTTCACGATGCGTTTTCTCGGGGACTGGCTTTCGTGCAGGGGCGCGTTAGTCACCCTTCTCCTTTCTAGTAGAGTGAATGCCATTACATTGGATCTCACTGACGAACGTATGTACCTGGCCCGGGTAACGAATCGCGGTTATTCTCGTCCCTTCTCCCGAATCTTGTCGCGATTGCGTTCTAGCCCGTCGCTAGCGGTTGGAAATTGTTGTACTAACTTCCCGATTACAGAATCCATCAAAGATGCCGCTGGGACCAGTGCCTATGCCATGATGACTTACTACAAGGGCAACGAAACGGGTCATATCCCTGGTGCCTTTGCTAGTAAGTGGTGGGAGGGAGCCGCCCTGTTCTTGGCTTTGCTCCAGTATTGGCATTTCACAGGTGATACCACCTATAATGATGAACTGCGTGTCGGATTAGAGTGGCAAGCTGGCGATGGTGACTATATGCCTTCGAACTATAGTAGTTACCTAGTGAGAGAGAGACCTGACCCCATCTGTGCCGCTCTAAATTTACTAATGCATGAACGAAAAGGGAAATGATGATCAAATGTTCTGGGGTCTTGCAGCTATCACTGCCGCAGAACTCAAGTTTACAGATTCTTCCACTGGATATTCTTGGCTTGCTCTGGCCCAGGGTGTCTTTAACACCCAGATCGAGCGGTGGGACACTACCACTTGTTCCGGTGGTATGCGCTGGCAAATCTGGTGGTGGGAGTCCGGTTATACGATGAAGAACTCCATCGCTAACGGTGGACTGTTCCAACTGGCTGCCCGTCTTTACCGCTACACGGGAGATGAGACCTACGGTACATGGGCTCGGAAGATCTGGGATTGGTCGTTGACCACGCCACTCCTCAGTAACACGACCTGGAATGTTGCAGACTCGACCGCAATGGAAGACGGTTGTACAAGTCAAGGAAACACACAGTGGTCATATAACTATGGCACGTATCTAATGGGTGCCGCCTATATGTACAACTATGTATGTTATAATCTCAATATCTCATTTCCCGCCCATTCTAACAGACCCTACAGACAAACAGCACAGAACAGGCTACTTGGCAAACAGCAGTCACTGGCTTATTAACAGAAACATTCACCCATTTCGCCCCAACCAGCAATGGCGGAATCCTAGAAGAGGTCGTCTGCGAACCATCAGAGCAATGTAACGACAATGAGATTCTCTTCAAGGGACTCGTCTCTTCCTGGCTATCATTTACAGCCTTGCTAGTCCCTACAACCTACGACACAATTCTCGCAAAGCTACAGACCTCTGCCAAAGCAGCCGCTTTATCCTGCACTGGTCACGATAACAATACCTGCGGCGTGCGTTGGTATCTATCTGAATATGACGGCTGGATCGGGATGGAAGAAGAAATCAGCGCCACCAATATTTTCACCGCCAATCTCATCAGCTTCTCCAACGCTGCCCCGGTTACTTCGACCACGGGCGGAAACAGTACCAGCGACACCACTGCCGGTAAAAACGATACTTCCACCACAGAAACGACCTACTCAGCGATCACTTCTGGAGACCGAGCCGGTGCTGGGATTCTTACCGTGCTCCTCGTCCTTGGATGGACTGCTATGATGGGTTGGACCGTCCTAGGGGGCTAAAGCATAAATTCTGGAGCTATATCTCAAGTTTCGGTCATTTTTTGGGCGTTTGGTGGTGTTATCTTCCTGGCATTCAAATGTCGGAAGCTTTTTTTCGATTTGATTGTATATTTTGCACTTCTGATACAAATTTGTTAATACATACCTGTTAAAATTAGACATGTGAAATACATGAAGCTAAAATAGAGAACGCATTGATTCTACATTATACAGGATGAGAAGAGCCTTCCAGAGTCGACAGAATATCCGGGTAAACAGCACTCAAGTTGAGGCAACCATATATAAGTCCAGCAAACCGATACCTGCTCCACTAAGATTTCAATAGATTCTGGGTTAATATTTACAAATTATACGTTAACCTACAATTAGCATCTTTACTGTCTGCGTCAAACTAGACACCCCTGGTAACTGACTCTTAATAGCCGTGTAATACTGTGTACTAGCAGTATTCAAGATTGATAGGAATAACTTGGGTAATTTACAAGCTGACATGAATCATGATTTCATCTTTCAGTACAATTCCATCTTGAAATACGGCTAATCCAAATCTAGCATAGCCTATATCCCAAATAGGGTTCCTGACAAACAATCTACACGAAGAGCCAAATCACCCTGCACCAAATCTGTACCCAGGTTTGTACTGGTATGTTAGCTTCCAATTTCAAACGAATCCCATATATGCATAAATCTCTCAGCTGATGCGGGAATATTCTTCCCGTAAATTTGATATACATAGGATCGACAGATTTTTGTGGGCATTTTCGGCAAATAAACGGGATAAGATTTTCGGAAAATATGCACTGCAGTTGACGTTTAAAGAATGCATTAATGAGTTGGATTCATGCAGATATACAGATAAAACCGATTCCCAACAACCTCGCATCGAAAATCCAATTAAAGCCATATTAAAGTCTTGGCTCTGCGGTTCTAGACGATCCCATCCAAATGATATCCCGTAGCCCGGTAAACCCCCGCGGGGAACCCCAGAGTCCAGCACTAGGTTTCCCCATAATGGGGCCTGACGAGCCCCATATCCCCAGTCCCGCAAGACTCAATTTCGACTTTTGAGTTCATCCATGCCAACGAGGCCAAGCCACAAGGTCTCAAGTCCGGGGAAATGAAGAGGAAGAAGAGACGGTGTGAATGTTAGTCTATGTAATCCTATGCTAGGCCTGTTTATAAAAAAAAAGCATAAAAGGACTCGGACTGAAGTACTGGGTTACTCCAATCCTTGCACAGCACACTAGTCCAGCTGCCGACAGGGATCAGCAGAAAGTTTGCTAGAATCATTCCGCAGCCCACGTCAGTATCGCTCATCACTTTTTTTCTTCTCTTGCTTTTAAACGTAGCTCCTTCTGCTACATAACGGACATTCTTCTTTTCCCCCGCCTCTACCACCAATTTCACAACTATACCTTCGCTGGCCCCCAACATGCCATTTGGGATCTTGGAGGACACAAAGCTGGAGCATGTTCCCGGAACAGCTCCACTTAATGGCCAATCTGAGATAGATACTTACTCGGGTATCGATCCTGGTCTACTCAAGTACGATCGCACAGGTAAAATAGTGCTTGTGCCACAGCCCTCCGACTCGCCCAATGACCCGTACAATTGGTCTCGAACGAAGAAGCTGCTATTCACCGTCGCCTATGGATGGGGGTGTGGTTGTGTAGGAGGTAAGTCATTCGTGTCAGAGCATTGGTGGAAATCCACATCCGAAACCTCTCAATTGTACGTACTAACTTCTGCTTTCTGCGTTCATAGCCGTTGGACCTCTGCTCGGAGGTGCATTCGTCCCCATAGCAGCCGAATTCAATGTCCCACTAGAAACCTTCGTGTCGGCTGTACAGGGCGGAGCTATCGCCGCGATCGCCGTGGGAAGCTTAATATTCAATTCTCTGGCTGTTAAATATGGGAAACGGCCCGTCTATCTGGGGACAACACTTGGACTAATGGTGTCGTGTTTTTGGGCTGCTGGAGCCAAAAGCTTTGAGTCATTCGTTGCCTCGAGGGTCTTTTGTGGATTGTGCATGGCGCCCTTTGAGGCTTTGGTTCCAGCGTCCATCTCGGATATTTGGTAGGCTTTGTTTTTGTGTTGTTCCGGGCCTTGGAACGGACGTGGGATTGATGATCTAACGGATTTCTTAGGTTTGTGCATGAGCGAGGGTTTCGGACGGCTATATTCAATCTTGGAGTTCTGGGTGGTATTAACCTTGCGGTTCCGATCGGTGCGTGGAATGATAAATATGGCCCTGTTGTTGAAGCTTTTGCTGATATTTGGGTTCACAGCTGCTTGTATTATTCAGTACTCTTCGTATCACGAGGCATTGTACGGCATGGGTGGAGCTTTTGCATTGGCCTTCATTCTTGTATTTTTCTGGATGCCCGAATCTGCGTTCAAGCGAGAAGCCTTGAATATCGACACCGCGGAATCGACGGTAGGTTTTTGTGGTCCACTTCACATCCCAAGAGACTCTGCTAAGATACCCAGGCCGTCGTGGAAGGAAAAGCAACCCTCGAACAGCTCGACCGTACACCAAGCACCCCCGCTACATCAACTGAGGCTCGCAACTCGTGGCCCACGGAACTGTTGCCTTATAACGGTTACGTCAACCACGTACCTTTCTGGAATACCCTGATCCGACCATTCTATCTGCTAGCATCTCCCCCTGTTCTGTGGGCCGTACTGCTTTTCACCATGTGCATCTCATGGCTTGTAGGTATCTCTCTTACTCTATCGCAAATTTTCTCGGCCGCACCGTACAACTTCTCCGTCATCGGCGTGGGAGCGACCAATCTCTCTTCCTTTGTCGCATCAGTGCTAGGTACACTAGTCGCCGGTCCTCTGATTGATGGTCTGGTCACCAGAATGTCAATGAGAAATGGCGGTACATTTGGTAAGATTCACTCTTTCCTTATCATTGACTACATATAATATGCCAAGGTGTGGACTCAATCATTAACATTTCTCAGAACCCGAATTCCGTCTCCCTATCATGGTAACCTACCTGCTCTTCACATCAACCGGGTTCTTCGCCTGGGGTCAAGCTGCAGCTGCGCAGGATCCTTGGCCCGTCCCGGTGATTGTCTGTTTGGGAATGATCAACTTTGGAGTTCAACTTGGAACTACTGGTGTGGTCACGTATGTGGTTGACTGCCATCGCGAAAAGGCTGGTGAAGCCTTTGCGGCGATGAACTTCCTGAAGAATCTGTTTGCTTTCGGGCTATCATTTTATATCACTGGATGGATCGATAGCCAGGGTGTTCGCAACTGCTTTTTCACTATTGGTGGCATCACGCTAGGAGCCACTCTATTTACAATTCCTATGTAAGTTCACCAAGTGCCTTCAATCCGATCACACGGATTTGCTAACGGTTTCCTCTTCTTCTAAAACAGGTATATCTTCGGGAAACGAGCCCGGAGCTGGGTTCATCGTCATGGAGTGGCTGATCGGCTATAAAGCATCTGCGAGTGAAAGCTACCTTGGCGTTCAACATAGTCTCAATTTGCGAATAGATATTTCCAAGTGCACTAAATAGCTACCAGTATACTGTCTAGAGCTTATCGGATCGTCATCCTGAATTTCAACAAATCTCTCTCCAAAATCTCCTTTTTCCTAGCTTCCAACTCCTCCATATCCCACGGCCCCGAAACATACCTCCCATTCAACCACTCGCGCCGCTCCTTGACAAGCCAAACAATCGTATCTGCCGAAAGATTCACATCATCCTGCAATCCAGCATGCAATCGCTCCGGGAAGTTGGCCCGCATATCAGTAGCAACGCCCCCAGGATGCAACGAAATCGCAACAAGCCCCTCCTCCTCATAATCCCTCGCCAAAAACTCATTAACCCGACAATTTGCGAATCTCGACACCATATACGATGACCCGCCCAGGGTCAGCGTATGCGCACCGACAGAAGTCAAATTGACCATAATCTTAGTCTGAGATCTCAACAAAAGCGGAAAAAAGTAATTTGCACAGAGAAAGGTTCCTTTGACGTTAACCTCGAACCCTTGCCACCATTCCAAAGGGTCAGTCTCGCCCATGCGCTGAAATTTAGGCATATATCCCGCATTGTTGATGAGAATATCTATTTTTCCAAAGACTTCCTCCACGGAATGAGCGGCTGCTCTGACGGCCTCGTCGGAAGTGACGTCGACGGTTAGGGGGAGGATTATAGGTGGGGAAAGGTTGGATCTCTGGGCCTCGGATTTGAGCTCTTTGACTGCTTCATCGAGGGATGAGCGTGCTGCTATGGCGATTCTGCTGCAACCTGCTTTTACTAGTCGGATTGCTGTCGCGAGGCCGATGCCTTTGGAAGCTCCTGTGATAACGACCGTTTTGCCGGTCAGCTCAGATCCGGTGGGAGTTATAAATGGGTATGTGTCGTTGTGGCTTGTTGGGACGAAGCTTGTGATTTGAGGTACGTTGTTCCAACGAACAAAGTCCGCAAGCTCTGCCATTGCGGTATTTGAGGCTGAAATGTTGGTTTAAGTGGGCAAAGAGTGAGAAAAGTTACAAGTGAGTTTTTATTCTGACATCTGGAGGTTGGATTGAAATACTGTTTCCTATGTTTTCTTATATGCAATACAAATTAATGATTTCAAATAATTGTCTACCTGACAAATATTGCGGGATTTAAATGGTTGGATTTAGGAGTCACATGGATGCTATGTCCGTGTATCTCCGACCAGGAACCAAGGTTGGCATTTGAGGTGATACCCAGTCAAGAAAAAGGACGCTTGAGTCTAAGACCTCCTTGATACATTTATACCCTGCATTCATTGTGTGGACCTACGCCCGGGGCCGGTCGAGTGGAATGATGGACCATTGCCAAAAAGTGACATTCATGCTAGGCGTAGCTACTTGTTTCCAGAGGTGAGGCAAAGACTAATCACCTGCATGGGTAATTATTGTTCATTATTATGATCTGTCTAGTACAACAACTAGCATTAATGATAGAGAAAAATGAATGTAGCTACTTAAGCAGCATTGCAGGTGACTGCAAGTAATGTGGTGTTGACCTAGAGAAGGCAAAAACCGTCAGTAAAATTCGACTCTTCGGAGTTAAAGTAAACTCACATTGCTGCATGTAAACTCATTGTAGTCAGCACCGGCCGGGTTAGTGACAGAGATATCAGTGGCATGGATATTCGAGCACACCTAGGATAGTTAGTTAAAATTATATCAGAGATGCTGAATTTGGGAAACTTACATCTGGACTCGAGCAGACAACAGTTCCAACATAAGGGTTGTATGCGCCCGAAGTTGTACCGTAGATGTTGTTGAAGTAGACGTCGGAGATAGTGAGATCGCTCTATATTTAAACCAAATCGTTAGACATTTGCATCATAAAGAAGATTCGTGAAAGATGAACGCACGGGGTACTCGTTGCAAAGAGTCAGGTTGCTTTGTCCGTAGCACTGGGTGACCTGAATAGCGTATTCGACGTTATCGATGTACATGGTGTCGTAGGTGATGTTCTTCACGTAGCCGGTGCCACCACCGCCTTGCAAGTCAGCGGATAGCTCTGAAGAGACGCCAGGCCAAACTTTGATTCGTGCACCGTCCTGTTTTATATTAGTGTACGCTTTTTTGGTGACTTATGATTTACTGACCGATGCATTGAACATAGAGATGTTGTACACGAGGACATTCTCAACGATGTCGACCTCACCCTCGTACTGGCCCAGGGAACCAACTGAGATACCGTGGGAGCCATTGCAGTGAAGGTTCTGAACAATGATATCGGTGGTGTTGGGCTTGAAAGAGACACAGTCTAGAAAAATGTTAGAACAAAATGATTCAGACACATCAAACTTTAGTATCCCGTACCGTCGCCGTTGTTGATGATAGAGTTCTGAATGACAATGTTTGAAGAGCGGTAGACGTCCCTAATCCTGTTAGTCTAAGTTCCGGCCTCTGGAAACAAGGAGTCTCACCATCCATCAGTGTTCTTAGCAGTGATGTCGTTGTTACTTAATCCACCAATGTTGATTTCGTTGAACACAACATTGGTAGAGTTTGCAACAAAGTTGTACCACTGGGGCGACCAGCGAAGGTTCAAAGGACCAATGGTGCCTCCATTAAGTCCAATAACTCCCACCAAGACTGGACGCAGAATCAGATCATCCTCATTATACAAGTCGTACCAGACCTGTCCATTTCCATCGAGGGTACCGCCGCCATAGATATTGACGTCTTCACCACCCAGCTGGAAAAAGGTCGTAGCATTCTGGTAGACCTGAGCGAAAGCATGCTCCTGCCAGTAGTCCGTGTCATTGGTGAACTTGATGTATCCTTGAATATCTGTAGAGGACGATTAGTAAAAGGAAAACCCCAATTGATGAGGAACTTTGATTCTAAGACATACCAAGATCCACATTCTTGAGGAAGGTCAGATCCAAAGCTGTACCGATCGTGTACTCCTTGTCTGCCTCGAAGACAACCTTTCCGCCATTGTTGCACTTTTCAATCGCAGAAAGAATGAACTTGGAGTCATCGCGTCCATCTCCGTACGAAGAGACGGTACACGTCTTGGTTCGCGGCTGACTGGCAGGAAGAGGCTTGAACGGTGCATGGGGCTTGCAGATTTCACTCCGCGAGTAGCCCTTTGCAACTGTAGGTGCACTCACAGATCTTGCCTCGGCGGCCAGACCGAGCGACAAGAGAAGGCCGGTAGCCTGCGTCAAAGCATTGGAGATCCTCATTGTGTATGGTGGGAAAGGGAGGTAGATAGAATTCCTTGAATTGCCCTTGTCAGGCCAAGGAAGATCGGCGGCATTGCTTCTTTTATATACGTATACGGCACAGCTACCAGCAAAAAGTGAAATGCGTACGGCGAAACATGGGCGTCGACGCTAAGCTATTCCGTCAATGCGGGTGAGGTGGGGTAAAGCGCGGTGCACCGTCTTCGTCCGGGGAATCGGCATCATCTGGTGTGGAGAATCTGGGGGATGAAGCTGGTGTAGCTTCAATTGGCGTTGTTTTTAGTGAGTTGCTCGGAGATTGGAGTACTGTCTTTTAGGAGAGGGAGACATTGGCGTGGGTCCGATAGGAGGAAAGTTTGACTTGGATTTCACCGATTGGGAGGAAAAATCCGGGGAAATGCTGATCGTGCATATTGACTACGGAACTTATGATTTAATCCCCAGCGTGATTGGTTTTCCTTGCAGTTGCTATAGATTCTAAAATGTTCTCGTACCGAGTCTTCAAGAAAACCGATTGGTACGTCGAGTTAATCCAAGAATTCTATTCCATGGATAGTTCTGGGATTGCGGGCCTTTTGCCCTACGATCTCGACCAAAATTGAGGACAAAACAAACACTTTCCATAGTTATATGTACAGCGGGTCACGTAGAGATAACGGACAGCGCAAAGAGGAAAATAAAACCAATAAACCCCCATCTTTGGAGTGTATCGAGTGGACACGGAATAAAAACCGAGCCTCTATAAAAGCCAATCTACGTGCAGTCCTGTCTTTCCACATCTTTCAGTACCCGCACCATCCCTGACAAATGCACCTGACTCATGAGACACAGAGTGCAATTTAGTTGGTCTTATCAGACACCTTATCCTCAACAGCCTTCACGGCACCCTCAGCGGCCTCCTCGGCGGCAGAGACGACACCCTTGGCGGACTCGACAACGGTCTCCTCAGCGGAGCCATCGAGGCTGCGGCGGTACTGGACAATGCGGGTGACCTGGACAACACCAACGCATCCGAGGAAGAAGTTGACAGCGGCAAGCCTATTGAAATCATGTTAAGTCAGCGAAACATTCATCGCGTGATCAACACCGAAATGAAAAGTCCAAGAGAAACGAAACATACAGGACGTTACGGGGCTTGATAATCAAGCACCAGCGGGTCCAGATGGCACCAGTAGCCATCAAGGCACCGTTCTGGGTAAGGGACAGCTTCTCAGCCGGGCGGTTGAAGTCGGAGATACCGGCGATGACCAAAGCCCACTGCACAAAACCGTTATGTCAGTCAATTTTTCTCGAGAAGCCTCCCGCGTGACCTCAACTAGTTTCCATCTTATCGCAAAGAGTCACGGATGTTTTATCGTCGGGCGAAACGGGCGTCGGTTGGGACGGGGTGATTTTGGAGTCATAACCGTACCTTCATCATAGGAGCCCTACAAGACATCAAGGTTAGCGGGATCAAGTCATTGCGATCGCCTAAACAGTAACCAATGATCAATAACCTACCAGAAGTGCACAGTCTTCACGCCAACAGGGCTGTCCCACATGCGCTTGAAGAAGCTCGACTGCTCCGCGGCGCCGGCCTCGGAGCTCTGGAAACGGAAGCCCTGGCCGGCCTGCCGGCGGAAGGGACCAGTGGCATTGCGGAAGGCAAAGCGAGTGTTGTTAAGGAAGCGGAATCCCACGCGAGACGACATGATGGCGATTTGAGATATGACGACTTGGGGAGTGAAGAGGGAAGAAGGGCGGGATCGGCCGGTGGTCGGGGCAAGTGAGTTTTCCGCCGGTTACAAGGTCACAACGATGGAATTGCACCACCACTGGAGTAAATTTAAGCTATAATGTGTAAAGGGAAAGCTCGAATATTACTAGGCTATTCTAAAATCAATTGATACAGCTACTACGTTAAACCTCCTCAGCTATCAACTCGTCGTAAAGCGGTTCTTTTCCGGATTATCTAATGCGATATACGCTAGTCCGCATCGGGTATAGCGGGAGTCATCTCTGACTGAGCGAATCACGGGGCTCGTGAATAATGCTCTCTTCTCTTGCTGGAGAGACACGCTTGATACCCCCCTCCTCCAATAATCCTCCAACTCCACACCATTCCGTCATGTCGGGTAAATACGTTTTCACCAAGAGCCTCAAGGAGCTCCGCTTCCTCTTCTGCCAGACTTCCGAGCAGAGCGCCGCCACAAGGTACACCCGACCGACAACCTGAAGATCCTATCCCAGTTCCTCAATGGCAACATGCTCCCCGGATTGAATCCATTGACTGACTCAATCGTGTCGCTTAACCAGGTCCTTCCTTAACCGCGCCTACCCTACCATGAAGAAGCACAACCCTCACACTCCCATCCTCATGCGCGAGGCCTCCGGCTCCGTGCCGCGAGTCTTTGCCCGTTACGGTACGACATCCCAGCTATTCATTCCCTGACAATTCCAGCCCACGTCATGCAAGAAAACTCGAATCGCTAACTCGATGGATATGGGACTGCAGAGCTCGGAAAGGAGACTCAAGAAGCGCTGTCCGGTAAGTTCGCCTTACGCTATCCGCCGGTGCATCCGACACAGGCATCGCTAACTTAAAATAATACAGGCCTCTCCGACGCGCAGATTGAAGAGCGCATCACCCACTTGGTGAAGCAGACCTCATAACGACATTAACCTCATTCTTCCCCTTCGCCCCAATCACTATCTGTCTTATGTTCCTGCCACAATCGCGAGTTTTGCCGTTCTACGATCCTGTGTACCTATAGATGAAAATCGAACCCGAGTCTCACACATCCAATCGCTTCACCGAAAAACTTCAGCTCAAGCCCGCATTCCAGCACGAATGGGAATTCTATTTGTTTCAATTTTCTTATGCAATGACGGATATTTACTTCCTGATTGATTATATTTCCACTGCCAAAACAACCCATTTCATTTACAATCCAATAGGGCCTATAAAGAAGAGCTCGCATTTCCCACATCTCCAAACCGATACTGTGACCAGCTCATACTTCCCTCGGGGAACTTCCATAGCCGCTTCGCGAGATCGGCGCCCGCGGCTCCAGCTCCAATGTGAATAGGCAACAAATGGTCGAAAGTCGGGTGCGCCTGTCTGGCATCCGGCCTCTTCAGCAAAGCCGCCATAGCAGCCTCTCGCTCCTCGGGCTGCGTCGTAACGGCCTCCTTTAGCGCCTCGTCGAAGCTAACAGCGTAAGGCAGAGGCTGTGGCTTTCCCCACGTAAATCGCATGTCGCGAAGGTTGTGAACTGCCATTCCCGAAACAATAATTAGAATATTATCCTCGCGTAGTCGGGCTACTGCCTGTCCAAGGCGGTAGTGTTGGTTTGGATCTTCAGTATCGAACAGGGAGACCTGGACGATGGGGACGTCGAGGGCATTAGAGTCTGGTTCGAAGGCTATGGTGCAATATTAGCATTGTTTGTTTCTTCATTCATTAGTTCTCGTGGATATGGATACAGACTTACCGCACTTGAAACTCGCCCAAACACCATGGTCAAGACCCCGTTTCACGCCCTTTGCATCGATGCCCGCGTCTTTGAGCGAGTCGAGTACTTTCTGTGCAACTTCCTTGCTTCCCACGTTCGGGTACTTTTCTTTGTAGTAATGATCGGGGAAACCATAGAAGCTACATCAATGAATATCAGTATAAACTCCTTGGTAAAACCTTCAAGGTCTTCTGCGTAAAATGAACATGCAGAAAAGGGGAAAACATACTCATAAATCAAATCCGTCTGCTCGGCCGTATTCACATAGATGGTATCCTTTCCACCCTGCCAATGCGCCGAGAAAACCACCACCGCGCGAGGCTTGACCTTAGTAGTGATCTCGCGTCCGATTTGACCTAGTTTGCGATAGGCAGGATGGTCCACCTCGTACATAACGTTAGGCTACATGAGAACATTAGAACTGTCAGTTCAAACATTCACGCAAAGCTTCGAAGCCACGTATCAAACAGTATGTATGCATATCAGGCTCTCATTGGAACAATTGCATGTGCGACAAGGAAGCATATTCTTACCCCACCATGACTCAAAAAATAAACCGGCGTCTTCATCTTGAAAGAAGCCAAATCGTCCTGCGAAGCTGTCTTCGCTTTAACAGCCGCACTAGCAATAGACGCAGACGCAGACGCAGACGCAGATAAAGGACCCACAGCCGAACGAGTCGCACTCGAAGAACCGAACAGACGACGAAACGCAGACAGATTTGCGGTATCGTTTCCAAAAAGCGTGATCAATATCGCGATGAAAACCGTCACTAGCGAAAGAACGAGGATCTTCCGATTGCTTGAGCTCGAGAAACCAGTTGCGCTTGCGGTGTCTGCAGGATGATTATTTAATTTGGTGTGAGGTTCGGAAGACATGTATGTACAGTGTACTGCTTTGGAAGAATGTAAATGCCAGTCCACGGATTTATGTAAGTGGGAATTTTCAAAGTCGAACTTTAATTCCAAAGACCAGTAGGGTGTTCTGCGAATAGTGTAATCCTTGGCCGGGATTGGAATTCGGTGCTTGCATTAGAAATACAGTAGCTTCGCGTCGGAAGTAGAGCCGATGCCATAAGCCGAGCCGATGGTGTGTGTCAGCGCGGAATGGACCCGCTCGGAAATACGGATGTGGGATGTTGAAGGTGACGGCCGGCGGACATGGATCGGTTTTCGGATTTTTTTATATCGAAATTGTTGCATACTGGTTAAACTTTGTGTTGCGCGGTTAGTGAAGTATACATGGTGGTCGAAGCCTAAGGCCTGAAGCTTCAGCCCCAGCTTCATGACAGAATGTATATAAAAATGACGTTGAAATAACAAACATATAAATTCCAATCCTCATATTAAAACCTTCTGCGAGATGAGTGTGAAATGGGGTTTTATTAAAAATGAATATAAAATTGGGTTTGCTTAACTATGGCCAATTAAAAAAAAAAATTCATGCGCGCTGCCTAACAAACTCTTATCAGATGGAGAACTGGGGAAACCGTGGGCTTCCCTTAGTCTTTACCATACTGTACCAATTACCAATATTGATGCCAACGGTAGCAAATATGTCAACATTTGAATATTTGAATCAATACGTCAATGCCAAAGCCTCCTAGAAAATACTTTCAAAGTATATGCACCGAGAGTTTGATGCTCGTCTCAACCCAGATGAATTCCAAGTTCGATGTTCGATTTGAATGGAATTTCCATTCACGACACCACCTGGAAACCAGGTTGGGAAGTCAATGTACAAACGTACAAGCAATTAAAAGGATAGACACCTAATAGTACCTATCTCTATCCCTGTCAGCTTGCAGGGTTTGTGCCCAGCTGTCATTTTATACTTGATGTCTACTTAGGCGAAATAAAAAATCCATAGAAGCCTCCTGTCATATAAGTCAAGCTAGTAGGAATCAAAACCTTTAATGTTGGAATGAAAAGTATTCCACGGAGCTGAAATATACACACATGTGTCACAAAAATCAATCCATTCTATTCCAATGTAAATGTAGCCAGGCCTAGCTCCAGGGTATTTGCCCAACGTGTCCGTACTAATCATGTCTTTCACAGTGGAGATGCACCCCAAAAGATCAGAGAAGAAAGATAAAAAAAAATGTGAATCAGAATGAAAACAAAAGGGGGATAGAATCAGAAGTGGAGGGGGGAAAATTGTACAGCCCATACCAAAAAGGCAGGCTCCATTGAGGTGGGAGGGGGGCTGGGAAACAAACATTTGAACATTGTCGTTGAAAGCATGGGGTCATTAGAGAGATCAATACATATATGGGAAAACCCGGGTATAGAAGTGTATTTGGGCCGTGGAATTGGGAATTGGGAATTGTGGCGAGGAATCCGAACAATGGTCAAGCAGGAAAGAGGGAAAACTACATCAAGACACAGTCTCCGTCACTTTGCTTGTTCACAGCTGCGCGATTGAGACGAGTCTTTTCCATTCTACCTCCACCCTTCTTGAGGTCTTCGAGGCGTTCCCTGGCTTTGGGGAATCCTTGAGCTGCAAAAAGAAGGGAAAATAGTTAGCGAGAGCGATTCGAATTAGAACTAAAACCGGGGGTTTGTTTCTTACCAGCTGCACGCCAGTACCATCGCTTCGCATCATCCAGATTAGCAGCGGCACCGATTCCAACCTCAGTAAAGTAACCCATGGCATACTCGGCCTTGGCAAGACCAGCTACGGCTGCCTTCCGAGCCCAGAGGTATGCTTCGGTATCACTTTGCTGTAGAACCCCATCCGATCCAGTGAGATACCAGCCACTAAGGGCAAGTTCACTTTGGTGCTCGCCCTGAGCAGCAGCCCGGGTGTACCAGATAATACTCATGCGGTTGTCGGGAGCACATCCCATCAAGCCATACTCATAAGCAGTGCCGAGACGGAACTGAGAGAATTTATAGCCCAGCTCGGCGGCCTGGTGGAACAGTTGACTGGCGTATGCCTCGTCGCGAACGATCGAGTCATTGGCAGCAGCATTCTGATACAGGAGGGCCAGCTCGTGCAGGGCATGTGGGTTTTCCTCGTCTGCGCGCTCGGCCGCGCGCTTGAGCCACGAGACACCCTCGCGGGGACTGCGGGCTTGACCAAGTAGACCCTTTAGATGAATCATGCCCATCTTATACATTGCCGGGGTATCGCCTAATGATGCTGCGCGCTTGTACCACTGGACAGCCTTGAACGGATCTCGCTTTGTTCCACCGCCTTCTTCAGAACCAATCTCGCAGCAGACAGCCACTCTGTATGCTGATTGGGCATGGCCATTCTTTGCGGCCGAGTGATATAGATTGAAAGCCTCCTTCGGGTCGGCTTCCAATCCGAGTAAACCTTCTCCGTAGCAATCGGCGTAGTAGAATTGGGCATCGGCATATCCGCCCTGGGATAGCTTCTTTATTATCTTGTGCGCATCGAGAATATACTTCTCCTTTAACTTTGCTTTTGTCTTGGGATCAAGGCGAGTGTTTTCTTCCACAAGGACGGTAGCAGCCTCTACCGTCTTCTTGGCTAGAAGAAGCTGAAGCGCCTGGTCTGAAGGGTTACCACGCGCTTTTTGTTGCAGTTTCTCAAGTTCATTGTGTGTGATGGGTGTTTGTCCCTCTGGGGTAGCTGGTTGGGGAGCGGCAGCTGGCGCTTGCGCAGGCGCGGCGGGAGTGTTGTTGTAATTACGGACGGGCGCGGGTTTTGCGGTTTGTTCGAGGCCTGGTCGGAATGGCGCCGGTTGAGAAGGCATCTGATGGTCGGGACTTTGCTGAGTATCTGGTGACTGATGATATTGTTCGTAAGGAGAGCCCCGCTGGCCAGGAGGAGGAGCTGGAGGGCCCGAGGGAACAGGACCCGAGGGACTTGGACCTGGACCGTACGCTCCGGCTTCATGAGGGAAGTAACCGCCAGATTGATCGTAACTTCCAGGGGAATTCCCATATCCAGAAGCAGCGGGTGAGGTGTCACCGCCAATCCCAAAATTGAAGCCAGCATTTTCAAACTGGTTGGGCGCGCTGCCTTGTCGAAGGTTGGGGTGAGATTGAGACTGTGGGGTTACTGGCCCGCCACCCGGCGAAAAGGCTGCATATTGACCGTTACTAGGAGAGATTGGGGAAACTGGTGTTTGTTGTTTCGGCTTCGGTGCTTCCAATCCCATCTCATCAACCGGGCCAAGGCTATGGGGAATGGCATCAAAGTTGGGCATGTCGGGCATGTCAGGCTCATCATCATTGTTACTATCGTAGTAACTATCCAGAAATTCTCTGGGTGCATACGAGACTCGGTTCGGTGGATCGGGAGGGGGAAGCATCAACCCGGCTGCGGGGCCATTTCCAGGCGCAGGGCGAGCCCGAGGAGGTCGCATGCTACCGGCAGTGTTGGGACGTGGAGGCATGTCACCACCCATGGAGGCTGGGTAGTCATAATCTCCATATGCCGGCCCAGCTGGTGGTTCTCGGAATGGCATGGTTGCGCTGCGCGATGGCGGTCCCATTGACGGGTCCATGGGTGGTCGGCCCGATCGTGGGGGGCCTGAATAACCTCCTCGGCCGCGAGGGGGCATTCCACGTGGGGGTCCGCGTGGATCTGGTCTTCCTGAGTTGGATGTATGGGGTCGCGGTGGTTGGCCACTGATATCCATTGCTGCCATGCCTCGTTCTATTCCGTCCGGGGGAGGACCTCGTCGGTTTCGTGGGTCTCTCGGGTCTCTCGGGTCTCTAGCCCTTGGGTCTCTCGGGTCCCTGGCTCTTGGATCTCTGGGGTCTCTGGGGTCTCTGGGATCTCTAGCTCTTGGATCCCTTGGGTCTCTCGCTCTCGGATCTCTAGGGTCTCTGCCCGGGGGAACTGCTGGGAAAGGACTGTCGAAGCCCTCGCCTTGCCGCGGAGGACGGGATCCCGCTTGAGGTCTGTTAGATGCTAAACCGGATAAAAAAGAAGAATTCTTTCGAGTCACTTACGAGGCCTTGAACTTTTCTGGGGAGGTGGTCTATCGCCAGGATAGCCGCGCCGACTGTCATATCCGGGGGGTGGTCGTACTGAGCCTGGTGGTCCCGGTGGACCCGGTGGGCGCATTGCACGCGGTTGCGACTGAGTCGGCGAAGGGCCAGGGGCGGACTGTGGATAACCATAAGAAGGGTCATTGTAACCAGGATCCGAGTAGCCAGAGTCTGATGGGCCGTAGCCACCGTTTTGGGCGTACATAGCATCAGGCGCATAACCACCAGGGGCCGAGGCAGGCGAAGAAGGTACGGGGTTGTTGTACTGCCTCAGAGGCGGGGGCCTCTGGGCTGCCTGCGAAGGGTATGCCATGACTTTGAATTATACGGGGGGTGGGTTGACGTGTCACTCTCAGTGGTTCTCTCTCAGGAGGTCTTCCCCGGGGAGGGGGTTGGTTGTTTGGCACAACGGTCTGGTCGCATGCAAGGAGGACTAAATGACTGCTCAAACGGTCAGTAGGGAACACGAGCCACCGGACTCCCCGCAAATGCAAGCACGTGCCTCAAGAAGCATTTGGAAGGCCTCGCACATTCTCCAACGCACCTTGCTTTGATTCACCTGAGATTTGCCAATGGCCTTTTTTGCAGGAACTAAGCGGGGACACGGGAATTCGATGGGGGAAAAGGAAACAGGTGACTTTAATAAAACCCGGTGACCCACTTCTGCGCCGTCATCGTCTTTAAATTGTTAAATTCGGATTAAATTTGGTTTACATGAATACATTAATTTCTTCGGTTTTAAAAACGACTTGGAGTTATCTTGGCAACCATGGTTCGGCCCAGTAAAGGTTTCAGAAGAGTCTCCTAAATGTCTTCACATTCAAGTTCAAGTTTCTCTGCAGAACGCGCGCGGGTATTTTCAAAGTTTCTGTTTCGCCTGGGAGAAAATACTGTACCTGACGATCAGGGGCCATGTTATGTACGGGATACGCGGTTTTGTCCAATTTCAGTCAGGACAATGCAAGCCCCGGCCCATGTTTTGTCGCCAACACACTACTCCATAGTGGACTCAATTGGTTCTTTTCGGCCTTGGTCCATTACTCAATCTATTCTAATCACTCACTAAAATGCATTTCTCTATTTGTATTCGATATCGACTCCTGCTAAGAGTACCTTCTACAAAGATCGCATGCTCGTTGATATGCCCGGAATACACTATAATACAAGGCCCCCACACCTGACAAAACATTTCATGCCCAACGGAGCCTTTCCTCACGCTGTAGAAAGAAAAGGGAAATTGGATTGTTGATCGCAACAATGACTAAATGTTACACCAAATGGACCCTGTGCCCAGCATATCTAAGAATAGGCAACATCAATATGGGAATAATATTTTAACAAAGAGACATAAAATATGCACAATAGATGGAAACCCTACGTCACAGGGCAAGATGTGGAGAAAATCACAGAAAAGAAACCTTGTGCAAAGGCAGATAAGGAAAGAAAGAAAAATAAGAAAAATAAGAAATTCAATAGTTTCGTATCGGTGGAATCTCAATCGAAGAAATCGAAGCTCCCGAGATCCCGACTTGAGACATTGCTGCGCCACCACACCAGCCCCAAACTGAGCCACACCAATCCCGCAAATGAGAGCCGCGATGATGCAGATGATGTCCCTTCGAGTGCACGCGCTGTCTCACTGAAATAATCCACCACCCTATCGGTTGCCTCCGAACATACACCATATACCTTGCTCACACGCCTACATCTTCCGCCCCCGAGATATCCGAGACCTCACACTCCCAATCACATCCCGTTCTCCGCATCGGAGAAAACACTCCACATCATGTCTCGCGCCGGTTTATGGGTGAAGGTCATCCTTGGGTGAGTGTTGAACGGCTGAGCAGCATATGACTCAAGAGGAATGATGGAATTGAAGTGCTGAACCGAGTCCGCTGACACTTCTCTCCTTGCAGCGGTATCGCCATCTCCGTTGGAGGCCCTGCCTTTGTGGAATACATCCGACCCACCGACGAGGAACTGATCAAGCGGTATAACCCGGAGCTCCAGAAGCGCAGTGCTGAGCAGGGAGAGCGTCGGGCACAGGAGTTTGACGATTACGTTACCAAGCTGAAGGAGTGGTCCAAGTCTGACAAGTCTAGTATGTTTTTTTTTCTCTCTACCTTTGGGGCGACTGTACTTCATCCCGGAATCATTGCAATACTAACTCTTTCTTCTTTTCCCCCCTTTAGTCTGGTACGCTGCCCAGGAAGAATTGGATCGCAAGCGTGCGATTATCGAGGCTCAACGGGCCAAGGCCAAGGAGGAGACCCGGATACAACGTGAGGAGATGCGCAAGGAAATGCTGGGCGAAGACAAATAGTGACAGCATGTCTTCGGCTTGTGGCACTATAACCGATTTCTCCTCGCGTGAGTCAAGTCCACTCGCTGTGACTGTCTCTTGCGATTTTGATGCTTTAATTCCTCGCATAATTTTCTTTGCAAAAAAAAAATACCGTCAATGCTACGGTACAAGCGCTTTGGATCTACCTCAATGGTCATTATGGTGTGTACGATACGTCTAAAATGTTAAACATTCAAATGTTCTTTGATTAGAATGGATGTTTTCAAGGCTCCCAGTGACGGAAGCCTCTGTATATCGATATTTATTTAATGCAAGTCGACTCCCCTTTCTGCTCAAGTCTATCTACTAGTTGTGTTGGAAATGAAAAATTCAAATAACAAGTTAATATTTTGTGACTTTCCAATTAAGATAATTGCACCACACATTTGACCACTATGTCCACGTTTTGGGAGCTCTTTCAATGGCCTCTCATACAAAATATGGCGGCTTGCTTTCCAGAAGCATGAGTAGCATCCATTTGAAATCTTTTTAATATCAGCTCCTCTAAGTCGAAGGCCCCGGAGGTCCATGTAAAATAGTTTTAGATTCACGTTAAACGCGAATTAAATGTTATTGATATGTGAATATATGGACTACGCGCAATATTTCAGGGGACACAAAACGCGAAACGAAATGAAAACTATTAACCACGTGCTTTATATAGATGCAGCAAAAACACAAAACACAAAACGCAAAAATCAACATTTCAAAACCCAAAACGAGGGCTGTATATTTTTGCACAGTACTACGACGTGCTCGATCCGTAGGACATAGCCATTGTGGAGGGAGGCCCTGGAGGGACTGGAAAATATCTAATCTGCTTGATTGGCGGCGCCTCTTCGTCGGTTTGGCTCTGTGGCTTGCCGCTTGATCACGTCCGAGAGTTGAGACTGCGAGTCCGAATGTTACGAGGGGGAAAATCAACAAATTCGACTTGGCGTTGTCGCTACGCACAAGAAAAATCAAAATCTCGTCCCAGGTTGAATCAAATGTTCAGTAATTTCACTACATCAATGGATAGCACACATCAGAAGAATGGGGGGAGTATGCGAGGGTCGGTAGTTAGTTACCGTACTGTCATACTGTCAGCACGGATAATTATAATTTCGGAAAACCAACACTTATCCGAGAGGACTATGGCATTTCCGGCGGCTTCATGAACGAGCATCCGGAAGAATAGAGACCATTTGAAAGGCAAGTAGGAGATGAAATCAAAGCTTCTGGAGTTCCGTGTGGCGAAATATTTGTACATATGTGAATAAGCCCCTTACTATCATGAAAGTAGTTTCAACAATAAAATTAACTGTTGCATTGGAATTTATACTTGACCAGCAAATTACGGAACACCCACCACGATCCGGAACTTGTTGAAGAGGCTGTGGATAAATCACTCGCTGATCTACAGACGGATTATCTTGATCTGTACCTGGCAAGTCAGCATTGAAAGTGATCTCCTTTCGAAAGGGTTACTGACTCAAATCTCCCGACACAAATTCACTGGCCTATAGCCTTTAGTCTTTAGAGACTTAAATGATACTATTCCGTCTGTCGACCCCAGAACAGGGCTCATCGACACTATAGACGTACCAATCAAGACAGCTGGGAAGTGATGGAGCGTCTAGTGGAACAAGGAAAGATTCGCTCGGTTGGTGTCAGAAATTTGACGGCAAAGTTCCCAGCAGGAGGATGTATAAACACGTGAGAACAGATTTTCCAATGTGATTGATGGAAATTAGTTACCTGGCGTTTCATTGTTAGACGGATAAAAACCAAGAAACTGACCTTATAATGTTGATCAAGATTTGGCCTGAGACGGAGGATGTCCGACCTATTCACTTATCCGAGGTCTATGACCGGATATGAGGGTGTGGTTAAATGGAAACGTAGCCTTTAGTTCGTTTGTAAGATCAGCATGACGAATTGTTCCTCTCTAGAAATCCGAATGGCCCATGCTCCTTTATCGGGCCAATCACTTACCCCGTGGGGAACTTACCCCAGAGAAGTGGAATTGGGAAATGGAACGATACCCTGGAAGTTTAAGTGCAACCCCACAGGCCCCGGATTTCCCTCTTTCTATCTTCATTCACACATTTTCCTTTACCTTTTTTTGTTCCTCTCTTTCTGCCAAACTCAATCCGTTATTAAATCCCAGCTTGAGTCATGGGCGACGTCAAAGATTCAGAAAACCAACACATCGAGCAATATGTGCTCGAAAATCCCAAGGCTCAAGACCCGATAGGTGTACCTGAAGTATTATTGACTTGGTCTTCGGAGGAGAGAGAACAAAGGGAGAAGGCACTGGTCAGAAAGATTGACACCAGACTGTTGATAATCATGTTGGTCATGTATATCCTCAACTACCTAGATCGCAACAATATTGCAGCCGCAAAATTGGCGGGGCTGCAAAAGGATTTGAATCTTAAGGGTAACGAGTACCAGGTAAGAGAATGCCAAGCTACAGACATGAGGATCGAAAGTCGCCCAGAGGCCTAACGGCAATGCATAGATCTGTGTTAGCATCTTGTTTGTCGGATACCTTCTAATGCAAGGTAAATCTAAGCTTTGTCATATTCTCCGTCATTCCATGAGCTAACTACGACAGTGCCTTCGAACATGATTCTGAACAAATTTGGAAAACCTTCGATCTACTTGCCCAGCTGTATGGTAGTATGGGGTGTCATCTCTTGTTGCACTGCTGTCACGAAGGACTTCGGGGGCTTGCTGGCCGTCCGGTTCTTTCTCGGATTCATCGAGGCTGCTTATTTTGTGAGAAATTACTACATTCTGCTCGGCGACAGGTTGCTAATTTCTTCTAGCCTGGTTGTCTTTATCTCCTGTCGGCATGGTACACAAGGAAAGAACTGGTCAAGCGGACCGCATTACTATACGCGGGTTCGTTGATTTCAGGGGCATTCTCTGGTCTGATCTCTGCTGGGATCACTAGTGGCTTGAATGGGGCCCGTGGCATCGCAGCATGGAGATGGCTCTTTATCATAGAGGGCTCACTTACGGTATGTCTCACGACCAAGGTGGCAAGATATGATTAAAGCTAATTTTCTAGATTTTTGTGGCTTTGATCGCTTTCTTCATCGTCCCCGATCTTCCCAGGACTACACCCTGGTTGAGCGATGATGAGAAAGTACTTGCAGCTTGGAGACTAGAGGAAGATATTGGTGAGGATGACTGGGTGGATAGCGAACATCAAAGCATGTTCAACGGTGCAAAGCTTGCTATCCTGTAAGCTCGATATCGAATCCCCAATGTTAGCCCTTGCACTAATAATGTCTTTTCGATCAGAGACCCGAAAACTTGGTTACTGTTAGGTCTGATTTACGGCTGTACATCAGCCGGCGCTGTTACCACTTTCTTTCCAAGGTATGAAACTTCCTCTGGATCCATTTCCTGTGAAAAAATCAATATTGACGCATTCAAGTGTGATGGCCGGACTTGGCAAGAATAACATTGATACCTTACTCCTGACGACACCGCCATATCTTATAGGAACAATTTTTGTGTTGATCAATGCCTGGCATGCGGACCGCACAGGTGAACGATACCTTCATATGTGCCTTCCACCCATTATTGCTATTGTGTCTTTCGTCCTGGCTATGGCAGGAAATAACTTTGCCGCTCGTTATGTGTAAGCTGATGCAACTTCGTGATGCAAATTGGACAATTACTGACAAAAAACATATAGCGCGATGTGCATCATGCTAAGTGGTATATACTCTAGTTATGTTGTTGCCCTTGGATACATTTCGAACAGTAAGAGCTCCTCTGCTATAATATTGCAAATGATACATACTAAAGAGCATAGTCTTGCCTCGCCCCGCCGCCAAACGCGCTGCTGCTCTAGCCTTGATCAATTGTCTGAGCAATGTCTGCCAAATTTACACGCCTTATCTTTACCCTGGTAAGTCCGAGAATTGAGACGACTGTATACAATTGATAATTCTAATTCGTGAACACCAAGATTCCGCTGCGCCTCGATATGTCACCGCTTTTAGTATTAATATCGGAATGTGCGCTATGACGATTATATTTTCCACCATCCTTCGCATTTATCTCGGAAGGCTGAACAAGCAACTTGACCAAGAGGAGGGTACGGATTTGGCCACGGGCGCTATTTCCAGTGAAGAAAATGGCTCCGTCGTGGCTGTTAGACAGGGTTTCCGATACTTGCTTTAAACGTCGTCGCTCGGCACCAAACAAATTCTCAAGTTCCAAAGAATGGATGATAATTGGATGTCCAGCACTTGAGGATGTATGGACTTCACCTGAAAATAAAAAGATCTAAAACATTGAACAATGAAATCATATATTCTTGGATAAAACCGAAATGATCATTTTCATCTGCTTCTCCCATTCTTGTGATTACTTAAGTCTTTTGAGCGGCAATTGCCAGCCGTGGAACCCGGAGCATGTTACTAAGTTTAGTATCCGCAACCCGTTCCTCGAGCAACGTGTTATACTACGGAAAACTAATAGTAGGCAGCAATATATAATAATAATGATTCATCCCCACAAAAGGTATGGCGAAATTTGGATATCAGTCGATCACACGTGCCGAAACGTACCGATCGGATTTTGTGTGCATATATTGATGCAGAAAACACCGCGAATAAATGAGGGGGACAATGCATAATGCGATCGAGACTTGTTCCGTGGCATGTTTGTCCTAGTAAAAGATTCAGCCCATTTCCCCGGCTTTGTTATGACCATGCAGTCTTGCCAATTTCCACCCCGTAAATGTGTCGAAAATGATAGTCTATTCTACCCAAATCCACTAGTTCTTTAAGATTGAGATCTGAAAGTAAACCAAAAAAAAAGAATTTGCCTGCTTCTGGGCGCTTTGAGACAGCGCCACAGTCACGTGACCCAGAACCCGCCATCAGCGGCAACTCCAACTTGTCAGCTTCACAAGTCTAGCAGTCTCCAGTCCATCCCAAATCCCCTCCTCACGCCCTTCAAACGTCCTGATCCGTACTCGCTTGCGATCACTGTCTCTTTACATCTCTTAACTCCGTCTCTTTCCCTCTCCTTGGCCACGAACCTGGTGAGTTACCCCCGGTCCAAACAAAGGCGTCCCTGACTACATGCTCGAGTTCGCCTGATCGCCGTCAACTTCCTACAAAGTCATATCTAACACATTTCATAACAGCTCCGACTATCACGATGTCCAACGAACAGCCCTACGACCCCTATATCCCCAACCAGGGTGGTGCTGCCCCCAGCGCCTCCCAGCAGCAGAATGGAAACCAGCGCACCGCGGCGCTGCAAGCGGTTAGTCTTCACCTTGCCCCATAAAACGGGCCCTCCAAATACCATCAAGTTGGGCTTCGCATATCTATATGTGTGGTGGATGATATGCGCTTCTTTGTTGATGCCACTTGGGAGACACGGAGGGTTCATTTACTGCCGGTGATCACGAGGCTAACATACACCACCCGCCCTCCAGCAAATCGATGATACCGTTGGTGTGATGCGCGAGAACATCACAAAGGTTTCTCAGCGTGGTGAGCGCCTAGACTCCCTGCAGGACAAGACCGACAACTTGGCTGTTTCGGCCCAGGGATTCCGCCGGGGTGCCAACCGCGTGCGGAAGCAGATGTGGTGGAAGGATATGAAGATGCGCGTATGCTTGGTCATTTGCGTTATCATCCTATTGATTGTCATCATTGTTCCTTGTAAGTCTTGTCTTTGGTGCAATGGCCCTTTTCGAAGATACTCCTTCGGGGCGTCGGATATCGGAATGAGTGGGACACTAACATCGATCGACAGCTGTCGTCGTTTCAAAGCATTAAAGGGGCGGGACACTATGAATGTGTCATGCGCGGAATTTGTGCTTTTTTTCTCCCCTGGGAATATGTGATCTTGTTTTGGACCGGGTTTTACTGTCGTTGAGGCCATGGAGCCCTCCCCGTCGTTTTCTTCCCCAGCTGCTAATACCTCCTGCTGTTTTGTTTTGGGCGTGTTCTGAATGACCAATATGCTTTTTGACTTCATTCTCTCCCTGTTTCTGCGATGAAGTGAGCTGAGCCCCAGTTCCTTGGGATTGGGCGCCCCCTGTCGCAACGCAAAGTTTTTTATGACCAAAGACTCTTGTGTACCAGGGTAAAGATGTAAATGATATTGCCGTTTGATGCCGTGTTTTGAGTATGTTACCATTATTATGTCACTTGGACAATGTTTTTCCTGTCGGGTATTGTTACTCTTCCAAGAAAAGTCTGAACGGAGGCTCCGTCTGGTGTCCCCATTGTATCCCCATCGTCACCGGCTTCGTTCCACCCGGGATCCTTTTTTTTTCTTCACCGTTTCAATTGTTCAATTGTCCAATTAACGGTGTGACCCGCAGCCTCGTGGAGGCCCTCAAAGGGAAATCTCTTAGCCCACGAGCAGACATTGGCCCGCGGTAAGGTTCCGAGCATCAGTATCGGCAGGACCTCGTGGTTTTTCCTATTATGAACGGCGGGACGAAGCGAATCCAGGCCACTTAAGACAAGGTGGGTGGAGGAAGTGGATAGCTACGTGGCGGAATATGACGAGTAAGATTAATGGAGAGGATCAGATAACTGGGACTAGATCCAATACGGGTGACGTCTCAAGGGATCTCGGAAGTGCATAGTGGGTTCCTGGTTTCCCTTTACTTTGGTAGCTAGACTTCGCTTGGAGACCCGGATCAGCTTTTGACAATGACGATCTTTTTTTTTTTTCGTGAAGAGTTTGACTTGATGGCCTTGGCATTTGTGAAAAGATACTTTATGGGTTTTATTTATTCTCGCACATGGTAAGATTTTTGTTGAGTTGCCGTTGGTGTTCCCCCCCCCCTCCATAGTCACTTAGATATAGGAACACTGTGATTCGTAAAAAGAAACTCGCGCTTGTTAAAAATACCAAAAGGGGGGGGATTAGAGGGGAAGATTTAATCCCTGCAAAAAACGAGTCAATTGTCATACGTAAAATGATATTCGAGATGCAGGACGAACATCTTATCGGCCAACGGTAAATGGCGCTCGCTAGAAAATCCAGTCGTGGCTCCACCGCCTTCTCCCCATCATTGGATGTGATCGCTCCGAGGCCCGGCCGACTATTACCTTGGTATCTGTAAAATCTGCAGTTAGTCACATTTCCCTCCTCTAACCTTACCTTCCACAAAACACAACCCACCTTCGCTTTTCATTCCATAAAAAGGGGGACACCTCCCTTGCTAACCTGCAAGTTTCTCAATTGCAGCTGCCGCATGTTGGTGAGCAAGATGCTGTCCCTTCGCTCCGCTGTGCGGAGAGCTTCCACCAAGCCCCTCCGATCCTTCTCCGCACCACACATCGTCTCTCCCCTTCGCTGTGTCGCTGCCCGTTCCTCGGTCTCGACTCCTCTGCGCCAGGACCGTAGCTACTCTCGCTCTGGTGACCCTAACCTGGCCTCTACCCGCAACACTGTCGTCCAGCTGTTGAGCAACATTGGCTCCAAGCGTGAGGTTCAGCAGTACCTCTCCCACTTCACCTCCGTTTCGTCTCAACAGTTCGCCGTCATCAAGGTTGGTGGTGCTATCATCACTGAGCACCTGCAGACTCTGTCTTCTGCTCTTGCTTTCCTTAACCATGTCGGCCTCTACCCCATCGTCGTCCACGGCGCTGGCCCGCAACTGAACCGCATGTTGGAGGCCGCCGGCGTTGAGCCCCAGTTCGAGGATGGAATCCGTGTCACCGATGGTAAGACCTTGGCACTGGCCCGCAAGCTTTTCCTGGAGGAGAACATGAAGCTGGTGGAGGAGTTGGAGCGTATGGGTGTTCGTGCTCGCCCCTTGACTGCGGGCGTTTTCTCCGCCGACTACCTGGACAAGCCCAAGTACAACTTGGTCGGTAAGATCAATGGTGTCGACAAGAAGCCCATTGAGTCCGCCATTGCCGCCGGGTGCTTGCCTATTCTGACCTCCATGGCCGAGACCCCCGATGGACAGGTGCTTAACGTTAACGCGGACGTGGCGGCCGGTGAGCTGGCCCGCGCTCTGCAGCCACTGAAGATCGTCTACCTGGCTGAGAAGGGTGGTCTCTTCAACGGTGATACTGGCGAGAAGATTTCCGCCATCAACCTGGACGAGGAGTACGACCACCTGATGACTCAGTGGTGGGTCCGCCACGGTACTCGCCTGAAGATCAAGGAGATGAAGGATCTCCTGAGCGACCTTCCCCGCTCTTCCAGCGTGGCTATCATCCACCCTGCTGATCTTCAGAAGGAGCTTTTCACCGACTCCGGTGCTGGTACTTTGATCCGCCGCGGTAACAAGATCCACGTCAAGACCTCCCTTTCCGAGTTCGAGGATCTGCAGGCGCTGAAGGATGTTCTCATCCGCGACCGCGAGGGTCTTGATGCCCGCGCAGTTGTTGACCGTTACGTCGAGGGTCTCAAGGAGCACCAGTTCAAGGTCTACTACGATGACCCTATGGAGGCTTTGGCTGTTGTTCTTCCCCCCAGAACGGCTCTGTCATTGCCCAGATGGCCACTTTCACCATCACCAAGTCCGGCTGGTTGACTAACGTTGCCGACAACGTCCTTTCCAGCGTCATGAAGGACTTCCCCAAGCTCGCCTGGACCGTCAAGGAGGACGACGAGAACCTTACCTGGTTCTTTGACAAGGCCGATGGTAGCCTGAGCCGCGACGGCGAGGTTCTCTTCTGGTCCGGTGTTGAGGAGGGTGAGGAGGTTAAGCAGCTCGTTCAGGAGTTCACCAAGAACGGTCGCAAGATGTTCGGTGATATCAACCTCGAGTCTCGCCTCCACAGTGCTCACCAGGCCGCTTCTCTGCCCAAGGGCTTTGGCGCCAGCGGTGCCTCTGCTGAGCAGAAGCGTGCTTTCTCCACCACCTCCAACGTTCTGCGTGCCAGCCGTGCTGTGCGCCCTGCTGTTGCTGTCAAGGGCCTCCGCACCTACTCCACCACCAACCCTAACCCTCCCCTCGGAGAGAAGAACGCCTCCAACTCCTCCCCTGCCAAGGTTGCTCTCATTGGTGCCCGTGGTTACACCGGTCAGGCTCTGATCAACTTGCTTAACGCTCACCCTAACATGGATCTCCGCCACGTTTCCTCGCGTGAGTTGGCCGGCCAGAAGCTCAAGGGTTACACCAAGCGGGAGATTATCTACGAGAACCTCAGCCCCGATGATGTTCGCAAGATGTCTGCCAACGGTGAGGTTGACTGCTGGGTCATGGCTCTGCCTAATGGTGTCTGCAAGCCTTTCGTCGATGCCGTTGACGAGGGTGCCGCCCAGGGTAACGTCATTGTTGACTTGAGTGCCGACTACCGTTTCGACTCCAGCTGGACCTACGGTCTGCCCGAACTGGTTGACCGCTCCAAGATTGCCCGTGCCACTCGCATTGCCAACCCTGGATGCTACGCCACTGCTGCTCAGCTTGGAATTGCTCCCCTTGTTCCCTTCCTCGGTGGCCAGCCCACCTCCTTCGGTGTCTCTGGTTACTCCGGTGCTGGCACCAAGCCTAGCCCCAAGAACGACGTCAACTTCCTCACCAACAACCTTATCCCCTACAGCTTGACCGACCACATCCACGAGCGCGAGATCAGCGCCCAGCTCGGCACCAGCGTTGCCTTCATCCCCCACGTTGCTGTCTGGTTCCAGGGTATCAGCCACTCCATCAGCATTCCCCTGAACAAGGAGATGACTTCCCGTGACATTCGCAACATCTACCAGGACCGCTACGCTGGTGAGAAGCTCGTCAAGATTGTTGGCGAGGCTCCCCTTGTCAAGGACATTGCCGGTCGCCACGGTGTTGACATTGGTGGCTTTGCTGTCCACTCCAGCGGCAAGCGTGTCGTTGTCTGTGCCACCATCGACAACCTGCTCAAGGGTGCCGCTACCCAGTGTCTCCGTAAGTTGCATTCCACCTCATTCCACCTAAGCATTGCTAACACACATTTACAGAGAACATGAACCTGGCTCTGGGTTACTCCGAGTACGAGGGTATTCCCCTGGAATAAATGCTTCCCTTAGTGAAGTGAACCCGTTCGGATCAAATTTATAGGGTGGTTGTTGCGTTAGGGTGTTGTTTTGTGTTGTATGGTGTGTTGTGTGTTGTGTGTGTGGTACTATTAATAGTATGCCGTGATGTTGTCGGTTGGCCCGTTATTTACCCCGAGTGCATCTATATGTTACTACGGGTTTGAAACTGGTTTCATGTCCCTTGGTATCGATCACCAGCCTGGTATATCCTATGCTGCCCGCTTACATCTGTCTACATTGTCCTGCGCCGAAAGAGTCGCTTCTCTGTGGATGTTGGTGTCTTGTCTCAATCTTGCCATTTTTGCCTTGTTTAGATTCCATGGACTCTTGATGTTTCCTTTTCCCTTTGTCTCCTACTTATCTTCGGTTATATATTGTGCTCTTGTTCCATGGTTCTTTGGTCCTAGAGGGTGTGCTAGAGCACCTCAAGTGCTTGTTGCCGCACTGAAAAGTAAATTTCCTTTGCAATATATGTACCTGATCTGTTACCAATATCAGCTGCAGCTGCTTATTTTCGAACATCCGAATTCGTCGTAACACCTAAGTTGCAAGGTGAAGTTATTTAGTTCACTACTACGAATCGAAGGGACATTGAAATTGATATCCACATGTGCAGTAATTTTGAATACCACACATGTGCAGATACTGAGCTACCGTGCTAGGTTTAAATGGACTTATTAGGTAGAATACGACTGCTGGATAACCTTGGAAATACTCAGCTACCGTAGGGTCAATAAGTACTAGATAGAACACTTCCAAGCTTCAAATGTTCCAACATTTAGAGGTTGAGTCTATTATGTTGCGCCGCGTTGTCTACTACAATGTGTGTAGACTGTTTACTCACTTCACCCCCAGTCCTGGAGGCCATATTGGAATCTCCCACTAACCTCCCTCCAACTTCCCACCAGCTTCCCTTTCACTTCCCATTAATTCTCCATCTATTTTCCATTCGTTTCCCATCAGCTTCCTTCTATTTTTCCATCTCCCACCAGGCCATCTTATCAATTCAGCCAATAATCATCAAGACCGGCAACGATATCAACGCGACTCTATCATCAACGTAATCAGCTCGACGGAGAGAACCCCATTTAAACCAACGAGGCAGCCACCATGTTCTACAGTCACGAAGGTAAGTCAAACTATCCCATCTATCTAGGGACTCGTTGAGGCTTTGTGGATCCGAACTGACTTCGACAGTCCTCACCTCGCCCGAGTGCGGCGTTGCGACGATCTGGTAAGCATAAATCGTTGATCAAGCTCAATCACAGCTAAGAACCTTAGGCTCGTCGCCACACTCGGATCCCGATCTATCACCAGACGATTCAATCGCAAGGCTATTTTCGACGTTGACGTGCCCGGAGCATGCAATGTCATTGTCAACCCCGAGGCGCCGATGGCGCTGCGTCTGCAAGGGAACCTGTTGTAAGTTAAAATATCTTTGATATCACCTCAATCCAGTCGCATTCCTAGTCTTCAAACTTCCCTGACATATTCCTCCACTTCACAAACCCCCGCTGGCACAGGCTTTCACTGACACAAACTTGCAATTCAGATTCGGCATCTCACGAGTTTATCACGAACAGTGCGGCTATACCCTCCTCGACGCGCAGACCATGCACGACAAGATGGTTTCAATGCTGAGGGCCTTACCTGGCGGAGGACTGGATCCTGATGCCGGCAAGGCGAAGTAAGTTGACGAATGGGCTTTCATGAAAGTCGGGACTGGCAAGGTGCTAACTACATCTCCATCGCAGACCTAGCAATCTACTTTTACCATATGATCCCGCTTTTATCCCCGAGACCAACCTCCCCGGTCTCAACATCGACTTCACCATGATTGACCTTCTGGCCGACGAAATGTCAGGCAAGTGGTCTAATCTTTTGCTCAAGACACCCCCCGGTAGCGAATCGAGCGCATCTCACCTCAGCGTCCGTTTGGAACTGGGCTCAGACGATCTTCTTCGTGGTGGAGACATGTCCGACTTTAATGCTGGGGGTATTGCAATTTCCCAGAACGACGGACGCTTGAAGCGAGAGCGCCCGGGAGACGAAGAAGGCGTCTTGCTGCAGCCAGACTTTGAGATCGATGAGAATGGCAATATAGTTGAATTTGACGACAGTAATCTTTCACCAAGAAAAAGACGGAAGCCCAGCACGGAGCTCGAGGGCAACCAGGGCTATACTGTGGATCAGACTGGCGAGGCGATGGATCTCACAGAGGAAGTGGCTTTGGCCAGAGACGATGCCATGGTGAATGCCACGTGTATTATGGAAACAATCAATCCCGTTGAAGGTGGTCAGAACTCGGACAGACCAGCCGAGCAAGAGGAGACCGAATCAGTGATGGAGCGACAAGCGCGTCAGTACAACCGGGTTATCAAGACCATCAACTCCGACGACACCATTTCTCTCCGCAATACAGATCTCGCACGATGGAACAATGAGTACGTGGCCAACATGGCGCTTGCGTTGAAGCAGAAACAGAAGAACAAGATCCAAAACAATGTGAAGAAGAACGGTGCATTCTGGGTCTTTGGCCAAGGCATCGGGTCGGTGGGCATCGGACTAGGCGCAGCACATGCAAACCACCCACTGAAGTGCTTCTCGGGCGAAGAGCTTTATGACGCAGTCTGCGGTAATACCAAACCATCCACGACCGAAAAAGAAGTCCGCAAGTCTGGCGATGGAGGCGATGAAGATGAAGACCAGCTGCGCCGTGCGCAGGACAAAGGCAAGGGCTCACAGCTGGACAGCGAAATCGGCCGTCACGCGCCCCCCAGTCTGATGGATGAGCACTCCTCCCAAATGCCATGGAACCTGGCCTCAGCCCAAAGCTCCCGGATCGGACGCCTGGGAAGCCTGAGCGAGCTCTCTGGGAAATTCGGAATCGGCGACTCGAGTCTCCGAGGAAGCGGATTTCGACGAGGCCGTCTCACGAGCGCCAGTCCGCTCGCCGGACGAGGATACCGCGACCACTATGATTCTCTTCCCCTCTCGGGTGAAGAGGGTCTCGGCGGAGGACTCGATGAAGAGCTTGAAATCTCCAGATACCTGGAGGCTGAACTTGCGGTCGACAAGGAGGACATTACGACCTTGTCGCGTCGGACATCGGCCATGGACCGCGTTGCGTCGCAGCTGGACCAGGAGAGTATGAACTTCTTTGATTTCATCCGGGATATGATGATGGTTGGCGAGGATGGGGAGAGCCTCGGGATGGAAATGGCGTTTTCGGACCTTCTCCCGCCCGGCAAGACGTCACGCACTGTGGCTACGCAGGGACTGATGAATGTGCTTACGCTTGCTACCAAGGGAGTTTTGACGGTTTCGCAAGAGCCGTACCGTGATGATGGGGTTGGGGGTTGGGGGAAGAGATATGATTACGGGGAGATTTTTATGCGCATGGAGGGGTCGTGAACTGGTTAGTATTTTCGGTGATTTGATGGAGTGACATGGGCATAAGCGACATCGGCATTGATGGCATGTGATTTCATGGGGGAGGATTTCAAGGCGTTTATCGTGCAACTAGGAGGTTGCTATTTTTATGATGGTTATGTTCTTAATTTGAGTATGGGTAATATTCTGCATCCAGTTTGTTTTTTTTTTTTCATGACGCCCGCGTTCTCCCTTCCACGTAGTTAATTTGGTAATGACGGCCTGAGGGCCTCTGATTTTGTCATTGTGGGCGGAAGAAGGGGAGGGGAGAGAATACTCCAAACCAGTGTAGCAGTGCCAATGGCGAAAAGCGAATGACCTGTTGCAATGTTTTCCGCCTCGTTGCGCCCAAGATGATATAGATCCAGAGATGTTTACACTTACAGGTCGCGTTAGATATACTGTCAATCTTACCAGGAACCTGTAAGGGAGAGGGACGGTTGACAGTATCGCGTATGGGATACGGGATATACAGGAACGGGGTCAAGAGTCTTTGGAACAGTACGCAGTAATAATACTCACATACCAGCATCTATACACTTTGAATTGCATATACCTATATCAGTTTTCAGGGAGAGACTCGTGAATTTTTATCTTTGGATGAGCGTAATCCATCTTTCTCCTATTGTGTTTTTCCATCCCCTACTTTTTGGTCATTGGGATTTTCTGTGCGCTTAGGATTTCTTTTTTTAACCGAGCGCGTGCGGTCGGGGATGCCTTGGGCAGCCTGCTTGGCGTGATTTTGTATGTGCACTTTCATGCCTTGTAAAGAGGAAAGAAAGAAATATTATTTCCTTCAAGATGGAATCGAGACAAGACGTCTTACATCAAATTAAGATTTTTAATTTTGAAGGTCTCTTTGTTTGCCTCGTGTACCGGGCTATGTTGGCGCGTAAATTCGAAATTGTAATCATGCTGATGTTTCGGTAACTGTTCACAGCTTGGAGAGAACTACCATCAATGGCTATTCGGCACAATGACTCTTGTCTAGCGAAAATTCCAGGATCTTGTAAATCGAAAGTAGACTACATAATAAATTATACTAGTTTACCATAGATTCTACCAGCAGCAATAGAAAAGAAAAGGATGTAATCTAAGTAGATTAATTTTCACGATACGAATCTGCTTATCGGAACCGGACTCATAATTACGCGGAGCGGCGAAATAACGCGTTCCGTCTTCGTCTTTCCATTTCTTCCTTCTCCCTCTTTCATCCCAAAACCCCCACCGCGAAACATCACCGTAAAACGAACCGGTTTTGCGTCGTGTCTCAAAATACGCGAAGTTTTCGTTTCCCCCTTGGAGCTGTATTTTCTTTCGAGTTTCGCGTTTCATTTTATCGTTCTGATTCTTCATCATGGGTCGTACTGTTGACCAAGAAGTTCACGCGGCGTTTGTCGAATTCCGCGCCAAGGAAGATGATAAGGTGCGTCGTATTTCGTAATATTTCCAAACCCACCGCCATCGTCACTAACATACGAGAACCCGTTTTTTGGGTGTTGCTGCACAACAGTGCCTTTCCGTTCAGTGCATCTACTGTCAGCAAATTCGCGCCAAAAATACCTCGCGACAGAAGCAGCACCTGAACGAGTGCCTTGGTCTGCGCGGTCACCCCAACGCTCCCCAGGCCACTCAGTCTGCTCAGGCTCCGAACGGTATTGGCGCCCCCAATGGATACCCCGGCACTCCCACCACCGCTCCTGCCCCGGGTCCATCTGGCCCTACCATGCCTACTCCTAATGGCTCCATGATTGCCAACGGTGTCAACCCTCATGCAACCCCCCTCGGAACCCCGTTGTCCAATCTGCAGAACCGCCCTCCTATGGTCACACCTGGCCCCCCTCCTGTAGGCGCCCCTCCCGGCTCTGCGCCTTCTTCGCTTCCTCCTCCTCGCTCGACCCCGAAGCCCAAGTCGAAGCCAAGCACCTCGAGCTTGCCTGCGCCCCCGCTTGATGATGTGCATGCCGCATTTGTTGAGTTCCGCGCTAAGGAGGAAGATAAGGTACGTTAACAATCAACTTAGTTCTCGAACTTTCTTTGTTTAAAGACATAAAATTATCAAAAGAATGTTCATGCTAACAATGGGATAGTGTTTGTCCGTCCAATGCATTTACTGCCAGCAAGTGCGCGCAAAGAACACTAGTCGCCAGCGTCAGCACCTGCTGGAGTGCTCTACCTACTTGAGTGTTATGAAAGACTCCATTCCCGCAAACAACCTCCTGCACACCTTCCCCGAAGGTGATGTTGCACGATCCCTGCAGATCCCTGCCCCGACCCTTGAGCTTGACTTCCGCATGAGCATCAAGATGAACCCCAAGGTTCCTGTCGGTCAGAGCATCTGGGGCAACCGCGAGTGGGTCTCCTTCATTGGTGGTCAGTGGGCTGGACGATGGGGTAAGGGTATTGTTCTGGTAAGTTTCTTTCCCCTCCCCCAAACTGTCTTAGGTTTCTTGGGTATTTTTTTTTCTCGTTCAATTCTAACGTTTCAAACAGCCCGGTGGTCAAGACACCCAGATTGTGACCAAGGACCAGAACACCCACATTCGTGCCAATTATCTGCTCCAGACTGCCGAAGACCCTCCTGCTTTTATCATGATCAAGGCCGAGGGTTGGCTCACTGGTGCCAAGGACGTTCTTGAGAAAGTCAACGACCAGAGCCAAGCTGACGGTATCAACCCCGGCAGCTACAAGTACCGCCTTAACCTCTCCATGGAGACTGGAGATGAGCGATTCACATTCCTCAACACTCTCATGTGGATTGGCAGTGGCTGCCGTCGTGGCACAGAAGGTAAGCTTTGGCACAAGTCGCTACTCGCATATTAAATATGAATCATTACTAATTTTATGCAGTGATCTTTGATGCCTTCCGTGTCAACTAAGTTGACCAGAATTCTCCAATGTTTTGACGTTCTTCAGCGTGTGTGTATTCTTTTTGTGATGGGAAAATGGTGTTATTTTTTTCTTATGTTATCAACAACGCGTCTAGCGCTTTTATGACCAGTGCTTTTGTGTAGTTGAAATTATTCCTCTACCCGTTGTTGCCTCCGAGATCTGCGGTGTGTTAAGCGATTGCTCGAGTGATTATTAGCTTATGCCCTTTTCTCCCTTTGACCTGTTTCTTTTCTGATGTATCTCTTTGGACGAATCTTGTGTTACTGCGGCTGTGGACAAGGGCGATCCATATTCTCGGATCAATGGATATGGCCATTTTATGGTTTACTTTCCCTTCTAAATTGTTTCCATATTGTTATTAAATTTTGCTCTTTTTCCTACTCATTCACATTTCGTCGCTGGATGGATGCAATATCTGTTCTGCGATTTAATATTCCACGTATCTAATTATTCCGGTCTCAGTAATTTCAATGTTAAGTTGGTAAATTGTTATGTTTCGTTTTTAACGTTTGCCAAATTGAAATAACGATCCAGTATCTGTTATTTACCTCCACATTGAAACTTAGAACGCGTACAGTATCCATTAAACGGATCGTTTCAACATTGGTATTCGACGCTTAATCGCGTACTCTGTAATCCGCTCTTACCCCGGACTCACCTCTTGCATGGGGTTTTTACGGCTCCCCGCAAACATTGAAACGCACGTATGTAACCTTACAGAGGGCCTGAACCCAGGATTGGATCAGTTATGAAATCATTTTGTTTACATGTATAATTTACACTTATTCAAGATTTTCCATGGTTCTCGACACTTTGGTTATCTTATCGGAGCTTTCCATTGATTAAAACATTGATTTCAGTCTCCGGTACTTTTGGCGTATGTTCGATGGTACTTCCATGCCCATACTGGGATATACTCGTGTATCGGGTACCCCGTACATACCCGTGTTTTCAAGCTTAGTGCCCGGTACGCATGGTGGATCTCACGAAATATATATTTAGCGTCTAGGAAATGCTGGAATTTTGCTCTTGTTTTAAAACATTGAATATCGGGTTTTCCATCAATTCTCAAGTGCTTGATGCACACACTGGAAGTCGGTGAGGTTACGAGGGCTTCCCTTAAGGTGTAGTTTGTAAGCACTCACTTGAGCTGCATGCGTATTCAATGTTTAAAAACTGAACATTGGAATCGGACATTCAGCGCTTCGCTAAGTTAATCAAAGTTGACGAACCATTTGTAGGGAAAAAACTTGAACATTACAAAGCTTGACCATTGGAAATTATGTATACATACTAGTCTGTGTAAATATAGATTACGTGGCTAATATTGGCATCTGGATATTCCAAGTGATGTGGACAATGTTGAAATACCTACTGGGTACTTCATGGATGGATCTCATCTATCCCCCAATTGAGTCTAAGGCGATAAATAGTGTGGACATCTGGAAGATCCAGTCGAGCCATTCATTTCAAGCATCGCTAGCCAGCAGTGGCGGAAGTGGATTGAATAATCTTTGTAAACTACTAGTATTATATTTACCAGCAGGAGGAATCAGGCAATCAAGATATCCAAGCGCGTTAACTAAATTTACTTCAAGACTTGCGTTTTTTTCATATCAAGTAGCTGTCAATTCCGATAACAATAAATTTTCGACTTCAATGGTGGTCATGGAGTAGGGCTTGGTCACCCGCGATTTTCTAATTTATGCATACCTCCAACATCCAGATGTCTCTTATACAGCCCTTACTATACGAAATCCCCATGATGTTCAACCTCACTGTTATGAATGCGCCCCAATACCTCTTAACGCGATGACTCATGCCCGCCATCGTGAAATCACATCAACAATTTCCAAACAAAACTATCTAAATAACTTTCCCACTAAAGCCTTTCTTCCTTCAACTCTCCTTCACCGAATATATGCCCTAGATGCTTGGCCATAGTCGCGCGTTTGATCACCTACCGCACCAGCGACAGACACAACCTTCTGATATTCGTAAGGAATTCATACAGACTCTGTTGTTTCAAGATCCTTGCAGTCAGTTACTGTTGGCCTAAGTGCTTCACTTTTTGTGGGGGCAGTCGTCGTTGTAACTGAACAGAACAGTCTCGGAATAGCCGGCGCTAAAATCATTGTGATGTGATTGGTTAGGAGTTAGCATCGTACCGCATGACGGCACAGGGGCCTATGCTGCACAGATACGTGACATGATATGACTGGTGCATTTTGTTCGAAGAAAGTAATTATTACTGCACTATATTTACTAAGGCTGACGTGTTTCTTTGAACGTACATTGAACCTGCATTTGGAAGCCGATGCAGGTGGTTATTTTTAGGAGCTAGTACTGAGTCATTGGTTTTACAAACACTTCAAGTAGAAGAGTCTGTTTTATTTTCGGGTTTCATATCTGATGGCCAGTATAGGATATTTAGACTTGATCTTGGAAGACTTTGATTAAAAAAAGGACCTCGGACTCGGAAGATATGAATTCATTTTTGAAAGCAAAGCATCATTCAGGATTCCTTGTCTCATCTTGACGAAGACCACCATATTTCAGTCTTTAGAGTCTTAATACTTTGACATATTCCATTTTACTTGATTGAACCTACCCTCTTCTCAGCTGCTGATCAAAATATCAAACATGTCAAAATGCCACCCGCAGCAGCGCAGCCAAAGCCGCAGCCCCCTCCAGTCCCAAAGTCGCGCACCAGTCCGGACAAGAACCGACCAAGCACACCATCCGCCGCCAGCGAGGAAAAGTGGTACAAAGTCTTCGTGCCAGAATTCGACCGAGTGAGCCCAGATCCTCTTGAAGAACACATAAAGAGATTCCACGTCGGCATCTTCATTGAAAAAGACCCGGAATCTGGCATAGGAGACTTTTTTCACGTCACCGGCGACCTTATGATGAGAAATGGCATGAGCTACGAGACAAAGACGAACTGGGACGCGAGAAACTCTCGTCAATTCGTAAAAATGACACAGCTTGGATGGATTCACGAAACAGATTCCAGTTTTTCTACAATAGACAGTATCTTGAGGAAAGTGGATAGGCCGGCCAGACAGCAGGGAATCAACTTTGAGCTCAAGGATGAGACGTGGAATAGGGTTGTGTGGATAGAGGAAGATGGGAGGCCTTCACCGAATAATATTCCCACGCGCCAAATTAGGAAATGTAACGAGTGGGTATGGGATGCGGAAGAGGCGTTGGACAAGGCTGGTATTTTGAAGTGGAGAAGAGAGGTTGACCAGAGTGATAAGTCAACCCGGCGGCCACTTGGATTGATATTGAAAGCCGAAAATTGAAGCTGAAACGAGTCCCTGATCGTCCCTGATCACGCACGATTATACCGGTCGAAATATGGGCATATAAGGAAGTGGGTATCTTGGACTGGTATTTGAAAGTGTTGGTGAATGGAATTGGGTTTGCCGGTGGAGAGCAGTATGTGGTAGAACATTGGACGGACTTTGTCTCTGTTTCATATCTCGTATATTGAGTCATTTAGTAGTTCTGGAAGATAATCATGATGCCGACGGCTCCTTATTTCAGTTCAACATCTCGGTGGCATGTAGATTTTGAGAAGGCGGAAGAAAATACAGCGCGATAAAGACACAGGTGCATGTAAGTCATCTCACATACCCGGATGAAATGCAATTTAATACCCTAGATCCCTATCAATCTGCTGCATGACAGCCATTTCGGCGGGATATACTGGAAGAAAGTCCTGAACGCGCCAGGACCAGTCTTCATCCCAGGCGAAATGGAGGGGCCAAGATGCAGTGAAGAATTCCCAATAGCCAGGAAACCAACCCGAACTCTCCCAATCGACGAGTGCGACATCAAAAGATCGACCACCTTGATGATTTAGGCAACCCGTCTCTGCAACCATGATATTCTTCTGTTGAACGTCTCCATGTGTCAATACGGGCTGATGACCTTGGAGAACAGCAGCGAGGTACTTTTCGTAAAAGCGAGCCTTGTAGTCGGGCTTATTTTGCTGTTCAACCAAGGTCCTGTAATTGCCAACGAGGCCTGCAATGAAGGCAGATTCGTTGAAGAAGGGCCCTAGATATACCCGATCGCCTTTTTGGCTAAAGAATAGAAAATTATGCACGCTGCCCCCATCTAGGCTTCCGAAAAAATTAGGGTCCGGACACTCAACCTTGCGCATTGTGTCGAATATGACTTGAAGTTTTGTGACAATATCATCCTTCTCTGATTCCGCTAATGATGTCCAAACTGAGTCCAGTTGCACACCGGGAACACGTTGCATGATTAGGTAGAATTTTTCAGAATCATCATAGTACATTGCGTATAGTCGTGGGGCTGGAACTTCTGGGGCGCATTGTTCAAGGTAAACCAAAGCTTGGCCTTCCCAGACGTCTACGCGACGCCCATATTTCACAACAATGTCCTCGTTCACTGCTACAACCTTGGTAGCCGACGTCTTGCCCAGGATATTGGTGCAAGCATGTATTTCGTCGATCGTAGGTAGCGTAGGCAGAGGCTGAGAATGATAAAAGGGAACAGTGACTGGTTGCCACATTGTAGCAACGAGCTGACGGAGGTTGGAGATATTGTAATGATGAGTAGTTCAACGGGACAGTCAGTGAGCGGTGAATGCGGCGGGAGCCAAGTAGTACTGGTAGTGAGTGAGTGACACATTGTTGCGGGGAAATAAGGAAAGCGGTGGATCCATGTTCCTTCTCACATGCAGTCTTGTAGGCTGTACCTACCAGTTGACCATCATCAAGCATCCTTTACTCAAATCCATTATCTGACCCACATTTGTTTTTGAACTCCATTATATGCAGCGCTCCATTATATGTATGTCAAATCCTTGAACGCCATGATATACAAGATAAGCTCCGCATTTCGAATCTTGCCCTGGCAACTCATAATATGACAGTCAATCTTCAATTCCGTCGGTATGAGAGGCTTATCATATTTACCCCACCGAGTGGAGAATGATAATACCAATGTTGGAGTAAAAACCCCGATAGCTGATAACCAGCTGCGGGGTTAGCTCACACTGTGCTTTATAGTGCTGAATCCACAGCGCTGCGTCCTGCAATTGACATCACCGAATCGCTTTTCCCAAATAAATTCAGTTCATGAATTAGAAACCGACAACGCCTGGCGAAAATAATGAACCCCAATACCACACCCCCCAGATTAGTAACAGTGGCAGCCTGCCAGCTGGGCCCCATCCACCTCGCCGACACCCGCGAAGATGTCTTGAAACGCATGATCTCACTACTAGATCACGCCGCAAAGCAACAAGTCAAACTGGCCGTCTTTCCAGAGCTCGCCTTCACCACTTTCTTCCCCCGATACCTGCTTCAAGGCAAAGATCTAGACCAGTACTTTGAAATCGAAGATCCCAGCAAAGGAAGCATTGAGCAATCACCCAACACCAAGCCTCTTTTCGAGCATGCACGCAGTCTCGGAATCGATATCTATGTCGGCTACGCCGAGCGCAGCATCCAACCATCCGGCTCCCACATAGATTACAACTCCAGTGTCTACTACTCCGCAGAAGCAAACAAGATCGTTGGCAAATACCGCAAAGTGCACTTACCCGGCTCCGTCGAGCCAAAGACCGAGCCAGGCGCCTTCCAACAACTAGAGAAGCGCTACTTCAAACCAGGCGATCTCGGATTCCCCGCGTTCAGGGCCCCGGGACTTGTCGACGGGGCGTTGAAAAAGGGAGAACCTGGCGTAGAAAGTTCTGCGATGACGGGCAAGGGAGATCCGATTATCGGGATGCTGATATGCAATGATCGGCGATGGGCCGAGGCGTGGCGCGTGTATGGCTTGCAGGGAATGGAGATTATGTGTTGTGGGTATAACACCACTGCTTTCCAGACTACTAGTAGTGGTCATGCGGTGGATATGAGCGCCGAAGCGGCGGAGGAGCTGGTTATGTTGCATCATAAGCTTTCCTGTCAAGGAAATAGCTATATGAATGCTTGTTTTAGTATTAATGTTGCGAAGACGGGGGCAGAGGATGGGAACCCGTTGGTTGGGGGGACAATTATTGTACATCCGCTTGGCCATATTATTAAAGAGGCTGCGACGAAGGAGGATGAGTTGGTGGTGGCTACGATCAATTTGGCGGATTGCGATCGACCGAAAGATACGGTCTTTGCTTTTGAGAAGCATCGGAGGACGGAGCATTATCATGCTATTGTTGAACAGAAAGGGGTTATTGAGCCGGACCTGCTGTGAAAGCTTTGGAGAATAGACTGAAATAATGCTATTCGATTTGGAGTGTTAAAATGCCTTGGACTAGGACCTCGAGTGAAATCGAGTGAAATACCCGGTTGGCGAAGGTTGAGGCGAGTTAGCCTGGAGCGTCACTTATCTAATAAATAAGATGTCAAGTTCAGGTTCTCCGTTAAAGAGCTATGGTCCAGCCTCAAGCTGCGAGTAGAACGAATGGAGAGGTTGAATTCCTGCCGAGGACCGAGACACGACGGAACTGTGTTTGAAGCGACGTGTTAGGTTAGCTCCATTCTACTAGCAACATAATAGCTAGCAATGATCTACTATTGAATGACAATCAAGATTGATAGATAGCAGTCTTTGATGACTGCCACTTGCCACTTGTGTAATGATATTGGGGTTATGTAATCCTTTCGTAAGATAAGATTGAGGGGTTGTGTATCGAAGTTGGGGTAAATACTTTTGGAATAGCGTGAAGCAGATCAGAAAACCAAAGTCCTGATACAAATCCCATACAAAGACTCTCTAGCACAACTTTCCTTTTGAAACTTACAGAGGGCATACAATCCTGAAGACCTGAAACTATCATGTGTCTAGACATAATTGTGAAAAATGGCCTTATTGTAGGTGATAAGCCGATAACTCTTTTCATATACCTATAAGGATATAGGCACATCATTTTGAGCATAGAAGACTGACCCAAAAACAGGTCACGGAAAGCGGGGTGCTTCCCAGCGGACAGAGCATAGGAATATCGAAAGGGAAAATATCCATCATAGGATACGATTTGCCCGAAAGCCCAGAGACTAAGATCATTGATGCCGAAGGAGCATATGTGACCCCGGGAGGGGTAGACTCGCACGTTCATCTCGCCCAGAGAAATGCCCCAACGGGCGATAACTGGGAAACCGGGACTCGCAGTGCGGTTGCCGGTGGCACAACAACAGTGCTGGCATTCACATCTCAGACAAAAGAGATGACATCACTCTTTCCTGTCCTCAAAGAATACCACGAAAAGGCAAGGGGACAGGCCTATTGCGACTACGGATTTCATGTTATTATCACAAAGCCCAATCCGAAAATTTTACAACAAGAGCTTCCGTCGCTTGTGAAAGAAGGAATCACAAGCGTGAAGTTATACATGACGTACGAGCTATACAAATTGTCTGACCATGAGCTTCTGGACACACTGCTCGCTTGCCGGTCCTTGGGCATGACAACAATGATCCACGCCGAGAACGGCGACATGATTCAATTCCTGGTCGAGGGGCTGGAGAGAAACGGCCACACGGCGCCTTTCTTCCATGCGATTGCAGGTCCCAAGATCGCAGAGGACGAAGCTTCGTACCGAGCTATCCGGCTCTCGGAGCTGGTCGACGCTCCTATCCTACTAGTTCACGTATCCTCCGACGGGGCGATGAAGCACATCCGAGACGCCCAGACAAGACTCCTTCCTATTCACGCCGAGACATGTCCCCATTACCTCTTCCTCCTGTCTGACAGATTAGCGAACAAGGAACATGACCATTTCCACAGTGCAAAGGGCGTGTGCTCTCCACCCCTCCGGCACGACGTGGAAGACCTGGAAGCTCTCTGGCGGGGAATAGCGAACGACACGTTCACGGTATTCTCATCGGACCACGCTCCAACAAAGTATGATCATCCGCAGGGGAAAAAAGCAGGGATTATCAACGGAATTCCGAAATTCAGCAAGATACCCAAAGGCATCCCGGGTATTGAAACTAGATTGGCCCTTCTTTTCAGTGAATCGGAGGGATATCTCCCGAAAGAGCGGGCCAGACTCAGTCTCCCTCGATTTGTGCAACTGACGTCTGGAAATCCGGCAAGATTGTATGGGTTAACGCAAAAGGGATGCTTATTGCCGGGGTTTGACGCGGATCTGGTCATATGGCACCCGCACGATAGGGGTGAAAGGACTATTTCGCAGGTTAATTTGCACCATGATGTTGACTATACTCCCTTTGAAGGGATGCGCGTGCGGAATTGGCCTCGCTTCACGATGCTGCGCGGGGAAGTGGTGTGGAATGCAGACGAGAATGTGGTTAGTGGTGTGAAAGGATTTGGACAATTCATTAAGCGGGATGTTGGGCGTGTGCTTGTTGGAAAGACGGGTCAACTTCCGGCTGGTATGATGGAAGGAGAGCGTGAGTTCTGGCTTCCCAAGTAAGACATCGTGATGTTTCCGTATTTTAACAATTCAATACGTTGGGGTAAATACCCCCACTTGTTTCTGAGACCCCGCTCGTCTCGGCCCGTATTGTTTCGGTTATAGATCTAATTGTTGAAAGTAAAGTAAGTGTGTTTATCTTGAGGAATTCAAGGATCAAGATTGGGTGAAAAGCAGGCAATTACCACTGTACAGATTTATTCTGATCCAACTGAACCTTGTACTTTTCTCGTTGAACCGGGATCGGTATCTCGATCTACTTTTGTACGAGAACCTCTAGCAACGAGGACCATCATGGAACGAGCAAACGGGGAGCTTCCCAATGTCACAGGCTCCTCCAACCAACCCAGAATCAACATCCTGCTGATAAACCCAAACGCAACAGAATACATGACAACGGACTGTTTAAATGCCATTGCGCCTACACTGCCCTTAGGCGTTACAGTCCACGGATTCACCGCTCCACATCCCGCGCCGACAGCAATCGAATCCCAGACAGACGCAGTACTGTCCACTGCAGCGTGCATCCGGGCAATCAAGCCAATAGCAAAAGACTACGACGCTTTTCTTGTTGCCTGCTTCCGAGAACATCCACTTATCAGCGTCCTGAAAGAAGAGTTCTCACAGCCCGTTCTCGGGATCATGGAAGCCGCGATGTATGCGGCGCGAATGCTGGGAAATAAGATGGGAATCGTGTGCATGTCCGACCGATCCGTGATGGCCCATCCACGCACTGTTTCTGCATATGGATTCTCAGACTATTTTGCAGGGTGTGAATCCGTGAAGCTGGGTGTACTGGAGCTGGACTCCGAGCCGAAGGCCGATGTGCATGCGAATTTGACCGAGAAGATTCGTCATCTTGTTGAGGGTCGAGGTGCTGATTGTGTTCTCTTGGGTTGTGCAGGGATGGCGGAGATGCGGGAGATTTGCAAGAGTGCTGTGGAAGGGACTGGAGCGAGGGTTTTGGATGGTGTCGCTTTAGGAGTGCAGTTCCTTGTCGGCTTGGTGAGAGAAGATCTTTCGACGGCTAAATCAGGGGTATATCGAGATTCTGGCGCGGATAGGGCGAAGCGCAATCAAGGTTGGCTTTGACATCTGGATGTTTGAAGCCAACATTTGAAGGGAATTCACTGTTGAAAATATGGAGGGTGCATAAAGGAACATGGATTTCTAACCACCTATGCTTTCACATATCGTTGAAATCCCAAGAATAATTTCTCTGGGGCGTTTCTTGTTAACGTGTTTGGGTTTTGTCGGGGACGAGTACTGTGAAAATTTGAATAGTCTATGGATACTAGTGCAGCTGGGCATAGAATATGTCGCCCGAACACAGACATCGACTTGGAGCACGATCCACTCGCTTTGTAACTTGGAATGTGCGTTCTTCTTATGGAAATGGTTTGAGGCTTTGGCTGCGGACGCAAGTGGTCTCCACGATCAGGGCACAAGGCGGCTTTTAAGAATTATTGAAATGTTGCTAGTGTGGTTCGGGAAGCGTTGAGAACATATATTGGTCTGTTGGATATTCGATAGAATGGAAGAAGTCATGACTAACGTACCAAACGTACCCATCAATCGACAAAAATATAGGGCCGGGGGGGGTGGGGGGGGGGGGGGGGGTGAAAATAGCAAATTCCAAAAACGCACATTGCCTTACAAGTTCAATTCTATTACTTGATATACTTCAAATTCCAAGCCGATGGAATCCAAATAAAAACGGCAGTTAATTAAAATCGGCCAGAACGTGGTAGAATAAAGTAAAAATTCATTTTACCGCCACCACCATTTTCCAATAAGGCCGGCTTTTCAGCGGTTTGTAAGGCAGCGCGCGAGATTTTGCGCGCATTGCACAGCACTTTTTGAGACGCGCTTTTTGGGTGCAGTCAACTAGAGCCAACCTGTCAACGTTTTGATTGCCTACAGCTGCAAGCAACAACTTTCAGGATTTCATGAAGAATACAACGTCCAAACTGCCCCAATTCTATTTCATGTAAGAGCTTCAATTGACAAAATGTTTTTTATTTACACGAGTAGGTAGTATGTAGCCTTTCTAAACATTTGCGAATCAATGTCCATTTCTTCATGCCATATATTCATACTAATCATGCCAAGCTCTCCATAATAAAGTCGTGGGTAGACTCCACTGGAATCCAAGAAAAGCGGCGTGTCGAGAGATTGCCGGCATGCAGTACTGATTCCAACATTCCCAAATCACCGAGAGTACTCTTATCGCTGTCATTATCGTTGCGATCGGTAAGCGTGATAGTATCGCTATTCATATGATAATATGGGTCCGATCTCATCTTGTTGTGGCTGAAGTGGGTGCGGTAGCATGTCTCCGAGGAATATTTGGCCTCGTTTGTGGAGCGCATGCGCACGAGAAGGATGCGGAGGGTTGGGATCGAGCTAGCAAATATTGTTAGGCCTGTCTCGGTGGAGGCCCAAAGGAGGATTGGCGTGCAGTAATCTATTTAGATTTTGATTTCAGCAATGTCCTGAGAATTAACGGCGTTGGCTGGTGTAACGTACAGGTAAAGTCACTGATGTTGGACACGTTGACAAGCTTTGAGGTTTTTATGAAGGCTGCGATCGAAGCACTTGGTCATGGTAACTTGTGTTAGCCGATTTGTTCTTTATGTCAAAAAATTCTTGGTGATTCGATTGTTTACTCACAAGATTCCCAGGCTCATAGCAATCATGATACCAATTTTCTCGCGTTTCTCCATTTGTATTTCCCATAGAATCACCCAGGGGAAGAGTGCAAGGATGAATTCCATGCATCCAGAGTATGCTGAAAAGACTCGTGTTAGAAGCCAATAAATCTCAAATTCCACTTCATATATGGACTCAGACTCGCTTACCTCCAGCTGTTATTCCGATATTTTCGTAAACATCTGTAGGCCAACACTTTGCCGTGGCCCTTGTTTCCGTGTCCCAGAGTGCAGCTGTTGGCGTGCACTGAGCCAAGTAGCAAATGCCACAGAGCCACATGACGGCATTCATGCTGATCATGATAAACCATAAAATGGCTTTTTGCCAGGTTCGAGTGACAATGCGTAGCAATGTAATAACGAACGAGGATTTTGCAAAAACACAACCAAATATCATGATCACAAAACCAATGTAGACTAGCTTCAGTCCGTGAGACACCATGCCTTGATCCTGAATCGCTTCGACATGTCGCCCAAGTACACCCATCTGAGTGGCTCTGGTAATCAAAGCTGTATAAATGAGTTGCAGAAGCTAACGGTGTGTTAGACATGGAAATTCAAACCGGAAACCGACAATTTCCACCGAGTAGATTTGAAGATACGCACCCAAGAAAACACACAAATACCATCATCCCACCCGAAGCCTTTTGCCAAGAAGATCTTGCAGTAAATTCGTAAAGCAACGAAGGCACCTGGAACGACAATCAGGATCCACGCAACAGCCAATATCGTCGGTACTTCGTTTTGCGCCGCCTCTGCTGCAGATAATTCCATAATGATGATGATAATTTCAATTCGAAAGCCGTTCTTCAATTTGACGATGACCGCGTATACCAACTTGGGAGAGAAGATCGAAGTTTAAAGCCAAAAAATCCCGACGCCCTGGCCCCGGGACTTGGAGTCCCACAAATCCAACGCCCTCGCCAAATCTCGGGCCCGGATTCCAAATCTAAAAAAAACAAGACATAGAAAAAAGCAATGAGATCCTCGGACCCGGGGGTACAGGCCAATGTGCTTTCATTTTACAATCATTGTAGCCACTTTTCCTCCGCACCCAGGCTGTGATCTCTCAATTATGGTGCCATAAATGGGAATGATTGACATCACCGCCCTGCATCTTCATCCTGGAATGCTGCCAATGCCCCCTGTACATATGATTCGTATACGAGGCTCAGCATCAGGACGCGAACCATGTTGTAATGGTCGTCGGATTGGTGTCATGAAAATCGCCGATCCCGGGGCCATGGATTCGGGTTATGCACCCCTTGGGTAGCCTTGCGTTTTGCATTCATCGGCTGGTTATTTTGTAACGCGTACTGGGAGATATTCAGATATCTAGACAGTTAGATCAAGCTAAGCTGTTTGAAAGGACTCAGATAGTGCGCACTATGTACGTCGTATTGTTAGTTAGAAAGAAATGTATTTAGGGATCTGGTTAATAACTGAAACGCTCACCAGAGCAGAGTGGATCCGCTACCCGGGACACCATCAATCCATGGCCCATTGGCCCCTCCATAATGGGGCCGGTCCGCGGTCCGCAGCGCCCGTGCGGCAGCTAGCGTCGGGGCTAGTTTGAGTTCCTCCAAGACTGCTGAGTGTGGCCGGTAATATTGGACTGGAAAAGACATATTTCGTATTTATATAAAAGAGCACTTGAGAAAGAGGCGATATGTCGGACAGGAATAGATGAAGATCAATGTGATAAAAATGGATCACGAATGGAGACCTCGGAAATGAGTAACTCCGAAGCACTTGAGTGAAGTGGTACTTTTGTCACTTGCGCGAATTTTTCATTCTGTGCTTTCTCTGCTTTTCTTCATGCAGTGTGCCTGCACTTAATTCCTTCAACTTTTTCCACTTTGCCAAGCCTGCCAGCGAAGATTTCACTCAAGGCTTGTAAAAAGTATGACCTACTACCTTTTGGGAAGTAATAATGCTATGTAGGAAATGGAGCTACTCTAAGGGAATGCTTACACTACATCACGACAAAAACCAGAGACCGCCCTGTCTAGCTCCTGGTATATCCTCAGCAGTGTATGCATATAGTGCCTGAGATTTTTTGCAAGGCAGAAAAGAAAGCTTTTCTTCCAAGACAAGACCGGAGAAACTCCAAGAGAATGTGATCTCAGTCTCAACATTATGCGAACCTTCGAAGGAAAGAACGACCCACCTAGTCACCCACTGACGAAAGTGGACAAAATACATATCAGCCGAGGGACGCTCCACTGAGATTGGCATTCATTCAAATCATTGCATCTTTCCCTATTGTCCAGGCCAGTCCAATTTACTGGCGATCATAGGTTGCAAAAACCCAGTACTGCATGACCCCTCTCATGGTAGCAACGTTATGAAATTTCCAGCCCGGGATTACCCCTAAGATCTATACCCTAACCAGTTAAATCGAATATCTTCACCAATCTCGATGCTTTATCTCCTCTTCATGTGGAGCTTGTACAGACAAAACCCCTCTACTTGGCGTGTGGAGCCGTGAAGTGGGTTGTATTATTGTAGATGGACTAATTCTATGAAGACCTTGATCTGGCAGAGTGTGGAGAGACAGAGAATTATTGAGTAATGTCTTTAAAATGAATGGTCCACGCTAATTTGGTGTTTTGTCTTTTTTCTTGTTTCCTTTCGCCTTTGTTTTTCTTCCATTTTGATCCAATTTCGTGTGGTTTGACCGATTGATCGAAGTCAAAAATCATGTCGTTTACAGATATTGTAATCAACATTGCCTTTTCAGTAGGCATCCTGATTACATCCCGCTTGTTGTGGAATTACATCCGCTCTCCTATCAAGTCGTTCCCCGGCCCTACTGCAGCAGGGTTTACCAATATCTGGCGCTTGCAGGATGTCTTCAAGGGTAGATGTGATATCACGCACAATGAACTGCATCGCAAGTATGGTTCTGCCGTTCGGATGGGTCCAAACTGCTTGAGTTTGTCGGACCCGGTAGTCATGAATCAGGTGTACAATGTGAAGAATCCATGGCGGAAGGTATGTGAGCTTCTTTTGTGGCAACGGATACCCATATGTGGCCTGCTTAGGTCCACGAGAGTATTACCTCTGTGATTGACCGTATTGCCTTACTTTAGAGTGATATGTATAATGTGAACGATGTCATTCTTGGCGGCGCTCGTTTGAAGAATCTTTTCTCCAATCAGGATGAGAAGTGGCATTCTACTTTCATCCGGCCAGTCAAGGGCTTATACTCGATGAGCAAAGTCCAAGAAATGGAGCCTGGCATTGATATCACGATCAACTTCTTTTTTGAGAAGCTGCGTGAAAGGTTTGTTCGACCCGGAAAAGTCTGCGAGATGTCAGAGTATCTGAACTTCTGTAAGTGCTGCGAATCTATTCCTTTGAATACCTATATGTCCCGAGTTCCATCTAATACAAAGCAATAGTCGCGTGGGATGTCATGAGCCAAATCACCTTTTCACAAGACCTTGGAATTCTCGAAGCCGGAAGTGACCACCAAGGATTCTTAGATCGATCCAACAGAAGTCTAGACTATTTTGCTTCAGTATGTAGTCTTGAAAGATCAAAACATCAAGCCAAAAGAGTCAGAACCTAACAACTCCAACCTCCAGATCTGCCAAATCCCCCTCCTCGACCTCCTTCTCGACAAAAACCCTATTATGCAAATCGGTCCACCAGGCTTCACCTGGGCCAATCTCTTCAGCCTGGAGCAATTCCAAAAGCGGCTCCAAACCGGCTCCCCACCAACCGGGCACACCGACTTCCTCGACAAATTCCTCGAAATAAAGTCCAAGCATCCAGATACCGTAGACGACAACACCGTCATCATGTATCTCCTCTCGAACGTGCTAGCCGGCAGCGACACGACCGCGTCAACAATGTGCTCGGCCGTCTACCACATCCTCAAAAACCCGCACGTCCACCGCAAACTCGTCACGGAGCTGCGCTCCGCCGATCTCTCTCTGCCGGCGCGGTGGAAGGAGATCGTCGGACTCAAGTACCTTGATGCGGTTATGCGGGAGGCTATGCGGATTAATCCGGGCGTGGGGTTGATGATTGAGCGTGTTGTGCCCAGGGGTGGTTTTTCGTTGCCGGATGGACGGTTCGTGCCGGAAGGTACTATTGTGGGCATGAATCCGTGGGTTGTGAATCGAGACGAGGGGATTTTTGGTCGAAATACGGAGGTGTTTGTTCCTGAGCGCTGGTTGCAGAATGAGGGAGAGACAGATGAGGAGTATCAGGCTAGGTTCTCGAAGATGAAGGGGACGGATTTCACGTTTGGGGCTGGGTCAAGGGCTTGTCTTGGGCGGTATTTGTCGCAGTTGGAGGCTTATAAGCTTGTTGCTTCGCTGCTGAGTACATTCGACGTGAGTTCGAGCTTGAGCTGTGATGCTTTTTTGATTTTGCTAACTTGGTTTGATGTAGATTGAACTTCCTGATAAGAATCATGAGTGGAATGTTGTTAACTCGTGGTTTGTGAGGCAGTCGGGAATTCCAGTTCGCATCACAGAGCGCGCTGACAGAACTTGATACGGTTATACGGCAGCTTTTATAATCAATAGAGGATTTTTTTAGTTTATAATGAAATATCCGAGTTTTGATTTAAAGTGCTATTTCAACCATAAAACGGGGTTCGGGACTACACGGTGTGTTTTAGATAGAAAATGCAGTGTATTTAGTCCTGTACAAATATGATATGAAAATAATACATCTTTTAAGTCGATGGTTGCATTTAGAAACCTTGTTGAAGTTAGTAAGTATAGTGCTGTCATCAACTCGTTCGGATGACTTACCCTTCTCCGTGTTACCCTCGCCCATGCTCTTACTGCTGCTGCTTCCACTTTGGATCGCACCCAAGATGCCGTCCATATAAGGAGCACCACTCCATTTCTGATGAGTAAGGACATCGACTCCCATCTCCTTCTCACGAGCCTGAATGAGTCGCACGTAAGCAAGCATTCCCTCGTCCTTGAAGGCGCGGGACAACTCCGTTGTGATAGTGGCGTTACTGTGAAGACCTGCCAAGGAGATCAATTGCAGGACGAATCTGGGAAATTTAGTATATGATCGCCCCCAAAGGGAACTTCCGAGTTTATATAGAACTTACCCATGCTTGGCAATGTCCCAAATGAAAGACTTCAGAGAAGCCTCGCTAAATCCTTGACCCATCCAATTGAACGACGGACTTAAGTTGTACACAAACTTCTTGCCAGGGTGAACCTCGCGGACTTCACTCGCCAACTTGCCTGCCTTCTCGACATCTGGATCACCGGTTTCGACCCAGAGGAGGTCAGCGTAGGGAGCGAATTCCTTGGCGCGCTTGGTGGCGGCTGGGAATCCTGCGCGGTAATGATAGAAGCCCTCACGCGTACGTGGGCTATCGCATGACCATACCACTGGGGACTTAGTGTAATCGTTGGCCAAAGCACGACGGCGAGAGAAGGAAAGGTTGGGGTTCTCTTGGACATGGGCCTTGTAGGCATCTCGGGCGGCCTGGGTGGCACCCTCGGCTTCGAGGTGAGCATCGACAGCTGCAGATGTCAGTACTGTTGCTTATAGAAGCGGGATTGCACTACATACCCTCGTCAAGAGAGACAAGCTTGTGCCTCTTGACCCATTCAAGCTCAAATGCATCAATCTCAGATGGTGATGCGCCTTCGCGCTCCATGGCCTGCAGAGTCTCGGCCAACGGCTCCACCTCTTCGGTGATACCGAGGATGAACTCATGGTCGCGTACATCAATAGCGCTGCTAATAAGTTTGCCACTTTCCGAGTCTGTGCGCGCAATCACCAAGTTTTCACATCCCATCATGTCCCATTGGAACCGCGCAGCGGTCAGTCTGTTAATGTGCTCGCCAATGGGAACCAGAACCTTTCCGGCCAAATGGCCGCACTTTTTGCCACCGTGAAGCTGATCTTCGAAATGCACGGCTGCGGCTCCATTCTCGGCGAACAGCTTAGCCAGCTTCAGAACTGCTGACAAACCGCCGTGGCTGTGAACCCCAATTGATTAGCAATTCGCTCCCACGCGCCTGAAAACACCACAACGTACCCGGTATCACCATCCGCCACGATCGGTCGCAAGTAATCCACGTAGGGGGTATTTTTGCGCTCCTCCGCAGACAGTTTCCTTCGAGCATCCCATTGTTTGCGATCGTGCATAGATTGAGCCTTGAACAGGCGTTGAACTTGGTTCGGTACCGTATTGTAGGGATAATCGCCGAAATCCGGAGAAACCTCGTTGGTACTGGTAAGAAGAGATGAGCATGCCCAGCCGGAGATGTACAAAATCTCCTGGTTTGGAGCTTGCTGGGTCATCTGTACAGGGTCAATGGCACCCACTATTTTACCCCACGTATTAGCCGGTCGGGTCCCCACAGGGCGCAAAAACAGCTCCACGTCATAACTCACTGGTGTGCACTGGCTCGCCAGCCGCCGCCCGCTCATTCAACAAGTTGAACAATTTCCGCGCCATCAAAGAGCTGGGATAGTTCTGCTGCAGGGATCCACGCTTGCTTACGACATCCTCGGCCGAGTAGGGCCGCTTGATGCCCTCGTACCGAGGAGAATCCCACCATGCTTGCACATCGCGAATTTGTTGTTCGTAGAGTGCATCCTCTGCGGCACCGGCTTTCTCAGCAGTTGAGAGCAACTGGTATGCATCGGATGGCAGTGTGGCGGACACTGGTTGAACGGGCGGTGATGACATCCGAGGATAAGCGCATGTGAACGAGCGCAGGGCGAGACGGGATGGTGCGGTTGGACGAGGGAGCTGGCGAGGAAGTCGTCGACCTATGGAGCGGAACATTATGTGAGGTGGAAATTGCCGTGAAATGATCCTTCCAAGATTGGAGACGAGGAAGAGGAAGAGAAAGAGATGAGATGATGATTGCTAAGTGTTTATTGTTCTCCGCCTCCGCCGTTTGAACCTCGGGCCGCGACTTTGGGGAAAATCCACTTTTTTCCTTTTCTCGATCAATCTCCAAATCCGATAACCGGAACTTGTCTCTTTCTGGGGACTCTAACTCGAAGGTCTCATAAAAAATACACGCTAAACAAGTGTGAAACTGGGGAAATGGGTTTCACCTGTGTTACTCACTACTCCAAGTGGGAATATACATATATTTCCAGGCCTTAAAAGCCACTTTCTCCACTAACATTGAAATCCATCGACCAGATATGTCTCTATGGCCCCGAGGATCAATATCAATTGATCTGCTAAAATGCTATGTACTCTAACTACATGTGGTAGTAGCACAAACATGTTATCTGTCAACATTTGAACCAGTCAACTACATCGTTTGAACGGCTATCTAGATGCACATCTACAATCAACATTTGAGCAGGTCATTCAAATTTGGTAGGTGGGTCCACGGGTACATGACTCCATGTATATTCGAAATATAATTGATGCATGTAGGTACAAGGTAGGCACTTTAACAATTGAGTTTTTGAGAACATTAGATATGGGTATCCTTCTTTCCCGGTTCCTTGAATGATCAACCAGAAGATTGAGTTGAAGTTGAAGCGCTGGAGGCTTTGAGGCTTGCAGCTTTGACGACTGAAAGCTCGTTGAGTCGATTGGTTCACGAATAGAATTAACGGACTCGATAATTAGACGTTTGTCAGGCCCAATAGATTTTTCATTATGTGGTGACATATCACAACTCTCGAACGTGGGTTTAGAGCTTGTCCAAATGTGCTCGAAACTCGGCAGTCAATATGTCGGGATCAAGGGTTTTCCTCGAGTCCGTCGTGTCGTGCTCCGAATAAATGTACGGGGGCATTTGAAGTCTGTGTCAATGCGAAGATGGGAGGCCGTTGTTGCCGGAGGAACTGGTGATACTGCTTCCACCACTGCATGGATCGGCGATATGGTCTCCGCTCTATGGAGCTCAGATCCTGGCCGTAAGGACTTCAGGATCTTGCCCCAGGAAAAACCGACTCAGATGGATGCGATGCCGATTTGATCGTCTACCGTTTCTTCCTCGATGTTTGAGTCTTCGATGCACTTGGAATAGCAGTAGTTATAAACTGTGAAAAAAGAAACATCTCGTCGTCTGTGATCCGTGCATCAGGATGTTCGTCGACGAATGTTGCTAGACGATTCCTTTTTGTAGTGAACTCCTCAGGAGAGGTGAACGAGTAGAGTGACGATGGATCAACGAATGAACAATTAATTTCAGAATGATAAGGTCCAGAAAATTGTGAAGGTATGGTGGGTTGGTTTTTGATGAGTAGAAAGCCATGCAATATACCCATGAACAAGGTTGAATATGAAACAAACAATGCAAAAGAAAAAGAAATGACGGCGAAGGGATCGAAGGTTGTATAAGAGATCGACTAAATGCAGAAAAAAAAGAAGAGAAAATAAGAGATCGACTAAATGCAGAAAAAAAAAAGAAGAGAAAGAAGAAGAAAAAAGGCCATGAAAAGAACATAAAATGACAGAGGAGAATTGGTAATAAGACGTATGGACAACAAGAGGCATATGCGACTCCAGGTCTGGCGTGCTGGTCCCTTAGTTGGAGAATCCTTGAGGAGTTGATTGATTCCTCTTCTGAAAAGCTTCTGTTTTTGGGCGAAGGGGTGAATGAAGTGAGAGAAATCACCGGCCATATCGAGGTATTTATGTTTCCAGCGACGATGAGGGATATGGCCGGATGGAACCTTGCTTGGGATTTTGATTGCCATTTGGAGTGCCGGAAGATTGGTTGGCCAGTTCAGGCTTGGGTGAGTTGCCAGCCAGCGTCGGAGCGCCATGTCAACTGTCTGGATCATTCGTTCGGAGTGTCCACCGGCTTTTGAGTGGTGAATGGCAGCCTTTAATTGGGTGGTGCCAACGAGAAGCGTAACGATGTGGTAGCGCAGGGTATATGGACATTGATTGTCATGCCGATAGAGTCAATCTCCTCACCGAGCAGGATTGAAGACGGGCAACCAAAGCGCGCCGTTTGAGGCCGAGGTGGATGTTGATCCTCTGGCTCGAAGTGAACAGTAAATAGAGCTGTGGTAAATGCTCGTTGAATGTATAGCCATTGATGCAGCTATCATCTCTGTCCATCCGTATCCACTCACGAAAGTCACGGAAGATGTTGTTCCTCTGGTGCTATATGGAGGCACCTGATTTCATGCTGCCAATGATAGTGAGGAGCAGGACCCCTTGGCCAAGGTGCGTGATGACAGCCTGCAAACCCGGATAAATCATCTGGGTGCATGGGCGATTGGTGATAGAGCCTTGAGGCGTGGATTACCAGCTCGATGATCTCCAGATGTCATCCCGGATGGTAGAAATTACAAAATATGGAAACAACATATGCAACAACATCATCGTACACACGGAATCATCGTAGAGGCAACAAGATATGCAGCCCAAAGATGATTCGAACAACAATAATGCAAACAACAATAATGTAAGCAACAATAATGCAAGCAACAATAATGCAAGCAACAATAATGCAAGCAACAATGATGCAAACAACAATAATTCAAACAACAATATATGCAAACCACATATAAATGAAACCACATATAAATGAAACCACAAAAAATAGAAACAACATTAAGATTAAGAATGCCGATGCCGAAAACCCAAAAAAAAAGAAACAACAAAGCGGCGAAACGGCAAAAACGGCGACACCAACGCCGAGAACAAAAACCACGCCAACGAGTTAACCCATGTTGAATGGGATCACACCGTTGCGTTTCGGGGCACTCGATGTCCCCACACCGGCGTTCGGACGCCAAGTCGAAGTGTTGTAACCACTGCAGTCACCTCCCACCCAGGTTCGTGCAGGGTCGGACCGCTCCTTCGGCTTGTCCAACTCGGTTTCCACCGAGTTACCGCTCCTCCAATCCCGCCGGGACTTCGTCGGCTGCGCAATAGCAGCAGCGCGCGAGAGGTCGAAGCAGGTCGGAATCTGCGAATCCGAAAAGGACACGGCCACCGGGGTGAATGGCCGATCCATGTCGATGTCTTCGGGGTGCCCTGATCCCTCGGCCATGGTGACGTCCTGGGGGGCAACCCCGGTCTCTTGCACAGCTGGTGAATGCTGTCGAAGAGCCACAAGCAGCTGGGTCCAGCTCTCCTCCAAAGGCAGAGTGCTGTTGAAAACCCCCACAGCTGTAAGTGGGATGTGTCGAGTTGAGTCGACACCTGCAGGCGAGCAGGCCTGCTCCACACCTGGAAGGACAATGTTAGTTAATCGGCAAAGCAATTGAAGGTTAAGATATGCGACTTACTCAACTGAGTGGGAGCAAGGCCCAACCAAACGAAGTCGGGAGCCAGCACCATGCGGAGCACCCACGCCTGCGAGGATGCTCCGGTGCCCACCACACACACAAGGCTCGCCGACATGACCCCCACCTCCTGTGCTACCGGGATGACGACGGCAGCGTTGGCGCTCACCAAAGCACCCAGGAGGCGGGAATCTCCCCAACCGGCCTGACCGGCGACGTACCGGGTTGTGATGCCCAGTAGGTCGGAGGCAGGGAAGGGAGGGGCGACGGCAGTGTCCAGGCGACCAGCGCCTTCGACGGACACAGGGAACCAAGGAGCAGGGGCGGCAGCGACAACGGGGGCAAGGCGACCAGCGCCAGCGAAGGAGGAAACAATGTGAGTGGCCATTGTTGAAAGTGATAATGCCCGAGGAAGGAAAAAAAAAAGAGAAGAAAGAATTGAGGAGGGAAAAAGTTCATTTTATACCCCAAGTCCATTGCTGGGAGACATGATTCTACGAATGAGGAGATAAATTAGCATGGTACCTCATGTACAGATTAGGGTAAATGTCCACGAATGGGGAAAAGAGAGGCACTCACTAGCAAGAGGAAATATATGGGGTATGGGGGGACGAGAATTGAACTTTCCCGAATTGAATCAAAGCACCGAAAGGAGAATGAGGAGAATGAGAAACTCACTCATGGAATATAAAGAATACTAGATTGAATGATCACTAGAACTGTCAAAATATGGTCATCCTGCAATTGGTTGATTGATCACTTGTTTCATCACATGATTCATCACTTCTCCCATTGAATTTGTCCCAAATAGTGATGCACAAAATTGGAATATATGAGAGTCATTCATTCCTCTTCTATCTCACTCGTTCCCCAAGATGAGGGACAATATGAAAGAAAGCCACGGGAGCGAACATCTCCTATCTCGGATATTTCCAGTACCCTCTCGATGTCTTCTTTTTGGCCTTATCCCTACAGGGGAAGAACCATGGGAGCACGCCGGTCACAGAGGGAAGTAGCCCTCTTGCCTTGATTCCACCAACAGATATGGCAATCTGAACAGTCACAGCCAAAGCCATCAATTACAGCTGGTTGTACTAATCAGCCATTTTTGCTCGTCTTCCCTTGATCTGCTTGTTTCACCCATGTCCTACAGCCTCGCACCACAAGGAAAAACACCATAATCAAGGCTACTATAAGAGGCTCAACTGTCACTACTATTGTCTTGCTTCTCTTCTCCTTTACATCAGCCATGCAAAACACAATCCACATACAAAATGACAAACAAATACACTGCTAAAGCCATTTTGCATTAGGGCTATTATAAAAGAGCCAGATGTGGCTCGTCTTACTCTTTCCTTCTTTTTCATTCTCATCCTGCAGGTCATACCCACGATCACTGCCACAACACAATCGAATCTATCAACAATGTCCGGTAATATCAGAAGCCTAGTCATCCTGGTTTTCCAACCTGGCCTCCTGTTCACTTAACTCCTACACGCTCAAGGCAGCAGAAAAAACCACAACCAACCAAATCACTGTCGATGGCATAATAAAGGGGAGACTTTCACTATTATTCTTCCTTTCTTCCTCTTCACCCGAGTCCTACATATCACAGCCACAATCACAAACGGCAACGAATACAGCTACATCATAACCCATTCACTATCGGAGATACTATATAAAAGCAAGCCGACTCTCTCTTCTCTCTTCTCTCTTCCCTCTTTACTTTTTCTTCACTCCGATCCCACGCAATAAAGCGGACAAAAAATGCAAACACCACAAATCCCTGTTGCTACTCTAAAGGACCCACCCACTATCTTCTCTCTCTTTCCTTCTTCTTTACCTCAATCCTCCAGGATGAAGGCACGACGACGAATGACAACACACATGGTTGCAGCCAAAGCCATCGCCATTGGGGCTAACATGGAAATAAAAACATTGTTTTCCCATTTTTCCCTTCTCATCGATTCCGATCCTACGGAAAAAAGCAATGATAGCAACCAGAATGTACCAGCTGCGCCGGCCTGACTCTCGATAATGTATTCTTGAACGCCATTCTTTTCACACCATCGGCCTCCCGATAACTGTTGCTTGTTGAATTCAGCGTGGGACTTTTTCTTTGTTTGTTTGATCTCCAAAACGGCTTTGTGCCCAGTGTCTATTTTTGCCACGCCCAACCTTCCCTCGCAACATTCAAAACCTCCAAGATCGGCACACTGGAGCTGAAAAAGTTCTTCAATAATTTTCATGGGCCAGATTTTTAGCTCGGTGGATATTAAGAATGTCTGCACCTCCCCTTTCTGTCTTTGCCAGCGTTGGCCGCCTCAAACTTTCCATCCCCATCCTCAAAAACCTCACCCGTCGATATACTGGAGGTGACTTGTCTATCTGGGGCAACTACAAAAATTTGGAGGGGTTTTTCGGCCCCCACAACGCATCTATAACCCTGAAAGATCAGGAAATTCGACCTTGGGGTGTGAACCTCGTGTGTCTGGTGGGTACGGGCCAGACGCCAGCATGGGTCCTGCATATCATCTTCACACCAGATTTTCTCTGGCTGAGCTTGGCTCCAACTCCGCTAAGTAGGTCCTATTCTTCACATCACTGTCTTCTTGGGTTTGAAAACTAACATTTATATTTCCAGCTGTCGAGGCTTGCCTATCGAAGTCTGTCCAATCAAACCGCCAATTCCCAATTGCGACTTCAAGCATAATCACCAGTAATCGCTCGATTGATGAGAGCTGGATGCAGCTTCTCGACACTTTCAGACAACACTTTCAAGCTTCTATGAAGAGTGGGGGCTCAGCGATTCCATCCTCCAAGCTGGGTGTGCCCTCACCGATGGCAACCTCAGACGGACACCCCGAGGATATCGACATGGACCGGCCATGGACCCCTCTAACTCCGGGAGCTGCAATCCTCTCGAGCTCGCTTAGTTCTCCTCTCTCTGTCATTGGGGGTGCCACGCGAGCGCATATACAAGCCTCGCCCAAGAATTCAAAGGAAGGAGCTTCGAATCCATTTGCGCAGCTCAAGGGTTCAAAGGAGGCAACTCCGAATCCATTTGCGCACCTCAAGGGTTCAAAGGAATCAGCTTCTAACCCGTTTGCGCATATACAAACCCAGCCCACGGTTTCAAAGGAAGCATCTCCGAACCCATTTGCACAGATAAAAACGCAGCCTAAGGCGCCAACTCCTGACCCGTTTGCGCAGATACGAGATCAGCCAAAGGGTTGAAAGGCAGAGACTAAGAACCTGTTTGAGTTCTCAAGACGATAGACTTTGCTCGGGGGAAGTCAGATCTAACCCGCAGATAGTAATCGCTACTGCGACCACCTCCTCCCATCTTCGTAAGGCTGGAAAGCGGCTAGGAAGCTTCCATGAGAGGGAAATGATAAGCGCCAACCACTTATGTTGACGGCTGTGTTCCTCCTTTTGGTCCAGACCACTTCGACCTACGGCAGACGCAGCCTGGACAGTCCGAAGTGAATTGTCTAGGCAGGTGTCAGCTCCGAACCGAGTTAGACAGCCCTAGGAGAGGAAAGTTCCACACCCGAAGCCGGGCCAGAAACCAATCATCTTCACTCAGATGAAGATCGACTGGATGGATAATGTTTTCGTTTCGCGCAATCCCGAGTCTGAAATTACCTCAACTCGGATCCCAGAAATTCCAGTCATTCATTTGAGGTGCTTGCTATCCCTTGTGGTGTGGATTTCCATGTGGATATCGCTATCGCAAATTAATTTCAGGCTCGCACTGCAACTCCACAAAACGAAACCTTAGTTCGTTCTTCAGAGATCGTGTGCGATGCAAAGACGCTTTTTGGGTGCAGGCACAACGGCACCCAGGGAGTCGTCCAGGAAATAGCGAGCAAGCTTCGATATGACGCGAGGACCTAGAAGAAGCTATTACTTATATATACACTCTATACTCTATATATCTGAAGCGTTGCTTGAAGAATGCGACTGGCCGCAACAACCACGGGGCCAAGGCGCGCGACGCAAGATTGCCACGGTGGAAATATCGGTGCCCGAACTTTCCACTCCGAGTCCGCCCCTCCACCACGCGGCCACGCCGGTCTCTCTAACCCGGCCATTGGGACCAGGCCCGGCCACCCACTGGTGCAAGGAAGACTCGAGTTTTGCGGCAACAAGATAATACCAGATGATTGACTTTGACATCCACAAGGCATGACAATCCGGCGTTTAGCATCAGGATTCAGGGGTGGCAGAGCAGCTGCCTATGGAAAAGTGCTTGACATACTTGTTACTGAAGCTCACATGCTCTTGCCGGCAGTTCAATGGCCGGAAAGACTGGTGAAGAAGAAGACGACGACCGGCTTCTAAGCTTTCATGGCGCCGCACGGAACCTTTTCGATCCTCCTAACGTCGGGCGTCTCGGTGGGTCATGACGACCTGATAGACGCTTACGTCCAGCTCAGCTATTTCATCGAATAGATGTCACTGTCACTGAACATCTACGAGCTCGCACGATTGCGCAACAGATCCTTGGCTGACAAGAAAGCCTCAGACGAAGGAAGTCTCTCGAACCACAGACCGGGACCCCGGCCGGTAAAAGGCAACCTTGAACATGCTGCAAAGAAAGAATGTTTCGCTAGCTGGAAGATGATATCTTGTCAGAGGGATTGGTTCGTAGTGGCTAGCTGGTTCGCACACCGCTCGCCGCTTCATTAGTTTGTCTGGGTCAGGACTCAGGTGAACAGCACGCCAATTAGGTACATACAGAAAGATCAATACTACATGACATCACATGGTTTCCATGCCCATCCAAATTTATTGAGCTGTATTATCTGGTACAAAATAACACAACATTGAAACTTTGAATACACGTAATGGGACTCAAGGGAGGAACGGGCTTAGTAGAGGATTAAAGCCCACACATGTGTAAGAACTAATGTTGGATAAAGGTGATTTTCTTAAATTAGCGATCGATGACAGTATAAATAAAGATTAACGTCAGAGTGCATTATTTGTATTTTCCCGTATTTTTGGCAACATTTGAACATTCGAAGTTTCACTGTCGACTTGAAATCTCGTGATCATGGTTATAACTTATATGTCTTGACTCTTCCTTGTTGAACAGCCCCACACATGCATCGATTGATTATTTCAATCTGGATTTAAATCAAAACGTCTATACCATTCATTCGACCCATAAGTCAGCGACACAAAAGTCCCAGAAAAAAAAGCCATCGGCCAACGCATCTCGGGTCAGATTACAATCTCAAGTGCTCCAACCCCTCACGGACTTTTCTCCAAGATCGGCACCCCCGCATGGACCTTATCACCGGTTGACTCCCGGCTCGACTTGATTCCTATCTACTCTCTGTCATTCGCTGTTATTCCCCCGTCTTATCTTCGTTATCCCTCTCATTTGTTTTGTTATACCTTGCTTTTTCTCTCCGACCTCGTGAATCGCTCATCACCTTGGTATGGAAACAATTAAAATCCCATCGCCGTCCACGTTTTTAGACTCGCCCGACACGGCCCCAGCGTCAGGGCGGGGAAAAACTACCTCGTGTCCCAAGACAAAGCATATCCCCAGGTCAACCCAGAAACCAAGGCAGACAAAGAGTCGTAATGGTACGGTGTTTATATCCGATCAGAAGAAGAACAAATCTTACAATCAAACCGGGCATATTCTTGTCCGACTGCCTGCGCAGAACGCTGACCCGATTTTACTTCGTTGACGCCCAGGTTGTATTACCTGCAAGGCAAAACGGTTGAAGTGCGATGAGACGAAGCCGTCCTGTAATCAGTGCGAACGACGGAAGGTTTCTTGTGGTGGTTACAAGAAGGATTTCAAATGGCGGCCTTTTGAGGAAACCAATTTGGCTCCCGCTCGTGTGACGCCCGTTAAACCAACAAAGAAAGGTATTGTGGAAATTGTCCATGTCATGTCCAGATATCTGATATGTTGTATTTAGCCGACAACCATTCTCATCTACCGCCCTTACGCATGAATCAAGAGGATTTCCCGACTCCTCCGACCACTGAGCTAGCAGCCTCACCTAGGCGGGCGCAGTCTAACATTCAAAATACATCACCTCGAGAATCGTCTTTGCTCGGTTCACCCGGGAGCAGTCAGAGCTATGCATCGGGCGATGCCCATTCTCTTGACGAGTTCGTGGTCATTCCAGAGCATTCTTCCGCGGGCGAGGATACAGTTCCAGACATCGCCGTGTCCCACTCCATGGATACAGAGTCATGCAATTTCCTTTCATTTCTTGAACCATTCCATGGAGCTATTACTTTCGACGAGGATCTGATTCTAGACACAAATCTCGAGCCAGATTCAGGTGCAACGCCATTTGGCCCAGCATGCCAACAGCCATTTGAACTAGACTTCAGTCTCTCCCAGTTACTCGAGGAGGATAATGGGGAGATCGAAGAAATAATCAGACAATCCAATAATAGCGCAAGCCCGTGGCCTCTTTCCTTCCCTGAGCAGGACAATGCGATTTTTGATTTCTCCCGTGTTCCCGACCAGCCACCACTGCCGCAAGAGAGTCAAGAAATGTTAGCTCTGCGCTTCGACAGACTGACATGCGGTATCTTATCCGTCAAAGACGGCAAGACGGAGAATCCATGGAGAACACTAATCTGGCCTCTTGCAAAGGAAACACCCGCTCTATACCATGCCCTGTTCGCACTTTCTGCATTCCACTCTGCTAAGGAAGACCCATCCCTCCGCGTCCAAGGCGTCAAACACATGCGACAAAGCATGACATGTCTGCGACAACAAATCCAAAATATGCGCACTGATACGGCCTTGGCCACTAGTCTTGCGCTCGCATTTGCCGATACCTGGGACCAAAATACTCGCACATGCGTCCAGCACTTGCGAGGAGCAAAGGTGCTTATGCAGCAGGTACTCACAACCGGTGTCCAAAGTGGTCCGAACTCCGATCGGCTGAATCGCATCCGATTTTTGTATAATACCTGGACATATATGGACGTCATTGCGCGGCTCACATCGTTGGATGATTCAGGCCCAGACGATGATCTGACACCGGATATCTTCCATCCACCTGGCGACGCGGTGCATGAAATTGACCCATTGATGGGCTGCGCAGCTACGCTTTTCCCTCTGATCGGCCGTGTCGCAAGACTAGTTCAGCGAGTACGAAAATGTGCCTCGAATTCAGTTTCCATTGTAGCACAAGGGATGGAGCTCAAGTCGCTGGTCGAGCAATGGGAGCCACCGCATTGGTTTGAACCGCCGGAGGATCCTACCTCCGAAGTACAACACAGTATTCAAGTCGCACATGCATACCGCTGGGCAACGTTGCTGTATCTCCATCAGGCTGTGCCGGAAATGCCATCGGAACCGGCTGAAGAACTAGCTAAGCGGGTACTGATACTGCTGGCCACTGTACCTCCTTCATCACGGACAACCATCATTCAAATGTTTCCACTTCTTGCTGCTGGCGCCGAAGTAGATGATGAGGACGATCGGAGGTGGGTCATGGATCGCTGGTTTACTATCCAGTCTCGCTTGATGCTGGGCGGGATTGATCGGTGTCTTGATGTTGTACGGGAAGTGTGGGGTCGCCGCGACAAACTAAATGCACAACGGCAAAGGGACCAAGAAAATAGTTCTAGCTCAAGAGCTGGATCGTTTTCCTGCGAGAGCAAAGCAAATCCTAATGCTGGTTTTGGGTCGCTCAACGGCAAAACAAATGGCAGGGCCTTCCATAATCGTGCAAACTCTGGTGCTCAACAAGATGTATCGATGCAAGGATTACCAGGGTTGAATAATTCCAAATCTGCCCCGTCAAGGCGTGGCTCTGCGCTTTCATCACTGGAGAGTATTGAATTTGAGAGAACAGTCCGAAGCAGACTACATTGGGTTAATGTTATGGGAGAATGGGGCTGGGAAGGTAAGATTCATCCACAGTCACCTACTCAGTAACATTCTAGCACTAACCACCCCTCATTATAGTCTTTCTTGGATAATTCAGGTGGTGTCACGGGAAATTATATCGGGCTGAGCGGCGTTTGGTACCTCACCCTGCCGCTTTCTCAAACCAGGCTACTTGAGCCCAGAAAAGTCAAGCTCCTTGTGAACTTTCTTCGCCGTACTAATTTTGACTGACAATAGGTTTTCTGTATTCTTCATTTCAAGTGCTACTTCAAATTGTGCTTTGTAGCTCAACTACGGTTGAGCATTCCAGCGCGGCGTTCAAGGATGTTTTCGTCTATGTGAAAATCACGATGATAGTTTTTCGATCGAACCCGATTTCTTCTTCTGAACTCCTGTGATATTACTATCTGACTACCATACTGCCAGGTCTAGGTATATTAAAGCGCCAGCATCCCATGCGCCAATGGTTATCAAAACTACTCATTCATCCATCACCAGCTCGCCCCGGACAGCATTGGGAAAATGAATACCCCTCCCCAACGCAAAGAGTGAAATGCCCGAAGCAGCAAAAACCAAGCACCAGCAAACTCAGGACTCTTTATTCCACTGCTTCCCACTCCAAAGATCCCCCGTCGTCCAGAGCCAGTAATCCCGACCCTTAATCAGCCAAACCAAGAAACTAGGCACCCAGTACCCCATCGCCGCCCCAACCCCCTTACTCCTCCCAATAGGAATCAACTGCGTCTCCCGTGTATCCTCCGTGAACAAACGCTCCACTCCCAAGGAAGCCTGATCAGCCCCCTCCGCAATAAGTAAATCGCGCCTGACATTCGCACACAAAACCGGCACAGCATCCATAATCCCATGAATAGCCGGCCGCGCATAAGACCCAACATCACCAACAGCGTAGACCCGCTCCCCAGCCCCATCAACCCGTAGCGTAGAAGCATTAGTCTCGACGCGCCCATCAGCGGCGAGCAGCGACCCATCCAAAAAGGACGTATTAGGCAAAACCCCCACAGCTGGAATATAGATATCAGCCTGCAGCTCCGTGCCATCGGACAGCGCGACCGTCGCAGGCGCGCTGGTCGTGAGTAGCGCCTCGGTGCCCGCTCCCGCCGGCGCCACGCTCGTGACTTTCGTCTCCTTGATAACGGTCACGCCCACGCGCGCCAGATAAGACTCCGCCTTCTCGGCAATGCTAGCCCGCAGCACGGGCAGGATCTGAGACCCGGATGTCACGACTGTGATGGACACCTTGGGGTTCTCGAGCTTGCATGCGAACCACCCGGCCTGGCCGTTGAGGTGCTCGCCCAGTTCGCCGGCGACCTCGACGCCGGCGGGTCCGCCGCCGCCGATGACGATGGTTTTTGCTTTTTTCAAGGCATGCCGGAAAACGGCCCAGTGGGCGCGTAGATCGTTCGCGTCGTGGTTCAGGCCCAGCAGGGGCGAGGGGGTTGAGGAACCTGTTGCGATGATTAGGGCGTGGAAAGGGAGTGTTTGCTCGTGGCTTTGCTCGGCTTTCTTGGATTGGATTGAGACTGTGCGGTTCACGTGGTCTACGCGCTTTGCATGTGCGTGTTCGAAGCGGAAGTTCGCCGCTGGGTAGTTCTTGAAGAGCGTTGGGATTGAGACGAAGAGTTTGTCTTGGGGGAGCAGATCATCTGACATCATTGCACGTGGGGTTGCGGGACGGCATAGGACCTCGGGTGAGGCGCTGATCAGGATTATTTGGTAGGTTTGTGGGTTTGGCAGTTTGGGGACTGTGTGTTTGAGGAGGTAGTGGGCTGTTGAGATGCCGCCGTATGAACCACCCAAGATGACGATGTTCTTGGTTGGTTCGTTAGACTGGGGAGTTGCCTCGGTCATTTTGAGGAGAGGGGATGATGGAATGGAGATTGGGTTTTTGGGATGGATTTGTTGTAACTTGTCAAGGGGCGGGGGTGCTTCAGAGCTTCTTATACTTGAGTTTCGAGACCGCTGACAAACCGTGCTATGGACAATCTATCTGGTTCTACCTTGTAAAGTGCATTTATAAGATACCAGTCAACAGAAGGATCGTGAACCATGTAACTCTCTCCGGCCTCTAGGGCAAACTAGGGAAAAGTGATGACAGGGCCAATCATATCCCGTCGCGTTCGAAGTTTTAAGGGTCGTGCACCGGGCCCACCATACCATATCTGGGGTTTTCGGCCTCAAATCGTGCCAACGGAATACCGAGACGCCGTTCTACCTCCTGATCTAGATTGTCACCCGCTGTCCTGGTTGGTTCTGTGCTCTTTTGGCGTTTTCAAAGATGCGAAACGTGAGGGTCAAAGCGTTAGAAGACGGATGTCGGATCAACTCGACATTCCGCTTACTAACGGGAATTTAATCTCATCCATGCAAGAAATGTCGCTGCTCGGATTAACTAAATCAATCATTCATGGATGCTTCTGATTTCCAAAGATACCATTGTGGATAAACTTGTGCCCTTGATCTTTCAAATATTGACTGTTCATTGATATATGACTAGGGAATCTCGGAATATACAAATAATCTCAAAATATTCAAGTTCATGGTGAAAATCGTATCAAACAACGCTCTTAATGATTGTGCCTCGGGGCTGGGTTTCGCTGCGCCAGACGCTGATATTTCACAGCCCCCCGTAGCACCATGCCATTCGACAGCTGATCTGTCTCTTGACGGAAGATCTCCTGCCAAGGCGTACCACTCGGGACAAGAGGGTACTCGGTCGCCAGCATTTCCTTTCTCCTTTGCTGCAACTCTTCATCACTGATAAGAATGTCAACCCGGCGCTTTGGCAGGTCAATCCGCAGCTTATCTCCATCACGAAGAATAGCCAGATTGCCGCCTGCGGCAGCCTCAGGACTGGCGTTCAAAATAGACGGACTCGCCGATGTTCCCGACTGGCGTCCATCGCCAATACAGAAGAGCGCATCCACGCCTTGCTTCAAGAGTCTGCCTGGCGGATGCATGTTCACGACTTCCGCCGCACCGGGGTATCCTAGTGGGCCGACACCGCGCATGACCAGAATAGTCTTATCGTCGATCTCAGGCTGATTCTCAAGCCGATTATTGTAGTCCTCCGGGCCATCGAAAACCATGACCGAGCCCTCAAACGCCATGGGATCCTCCGGGTTGGAGAGGTATCGCTCTCTGAAAGCGGGCGAAATAACGCACGTCTTCATGATGGCCGAATCAAACAGTGTGCCTTTCAAATGAATGAAGCCCGCATCCTTCATGAGCGGATCATCATATGGACGAATCACCCGCCGATCCCAGGAGTGTTTCCCGCGGACGTTCTGGGCCATTGTTTTTCCATTACAGGTCAACACATCGCCGTGAATCTTACCGACATCTAAAAGCTCGGCCATGATTGCCGGTAGACCTCCTGCGCGGAAGTACTCTTCGCCGAGAAACTCGCCTGAGGGCATCATGTTTAGCAAGAGTGGGATGTGAGAGCCGAGCGTGTCCCAATCGTCCATTGATAACTCGACGCCCATATGTTGGGCGATGGCGAGGAGGTGGATGGGGGCGTTGGTGCTGCCGCCAAATGCAGCGTTGGCTACGATCGCGTTCTCGAATGCTTCGCGGGTCATGAGGTCGCTTGGCTTGCGATCGGCTTCGACCATTTCCACGATCTGTTTGCCGGTTTCGTAGGCACATTGGCTTCTGTGGCGATAAGCTGCTGGGATAGCGGCTGAACCTGGTAGTGCCATGCCGAGGGCTTCTGCAAGGGCATTCATAGTTGAAGCTGTGCCCATTGTGTTACAGTGACCAACCGAAGGTGTTCTGTTGCTACTCGTTAGCTTTTTCCTAGCCTATTATCTCTTCTGTATGGAGGAGACCACCACTCTTCAAGGTCACACATACCCTCTGGAAATGTAGTCCATGAATTCACCGTCATCAATTTCGCCCGTAGCGTACATCTCTCGGCCCTTCCAGAGGACAGTGCCTGCACCGGCCAAAGCACCTTCGTCATAACCATTCAACATGGGCCCAACATTAAGACAGATGGCAGGAATATTCTGGATCGATGTTAGTACTGTCTCATTATATCGAATGCCCAAATAATAGGGAGGAAAAATGAAGAAAGAAAAATAGAAAAGGAAAATACCTACCACAGTCGCTGCAGCCATCAAACAAGCCGGGGTAGTCTTATCACACCCAGTCAATAAAACCACACCATCGAGAAAATACCCCGTCAAAACCTCCACCATACTCAAATACGCCAAGTTGCGATCCAAAGTAGCCGTCGGCCTCCTCGAAGTCTCCTGAATAGGATGTGTCGGAAACTCAAAAGCAATACCACCAGCAGTGCGAATACCCTCACGCACCCTCTTCGACAACTCAATATGATGCCGATTACACGGCGCAATATCGGAGCCCGTCTGCGCAATTCCAATCATCGGCTTCCCCGACATGAGCTCCTCGCGCGTAATACCATAATTGAAATACCTCTCCATGTAGATAGCCGTCATACCAGGATCACTGCGACAATCGAACCAATGCGACGAGCGCAGCGTTCGGCCCGGTTGCCGGATAATCGCCTTGGAGCCATTGCCGCTTTCTGCGGCGAGACTGAGGCGGGTTTCTAGTTCTTGGTTGCGTCTGCGCAGGGCCTTGAGCTCTTCGACGCAGTCTTCTATTGCGATTGGTGGGGCGGCGGGTTTGTCGCTGCATGAGCACCCGTCGCATGATTTTTTAGAAGCACACGACATGTCTTTTTTTGTCGCGGTTTTTGAAGCTCGTGTTTTTAGTTTTGGAGAATGCGGGGTTGGCGGGGTGGAGGTTTGGTTTTTGGGGAATTTTTTTTTTCTTCTTCTTTTTTTACCATGGGTGAATGGGCTCCTGTTCAGGGTCTTTCGGGTTCTTTTTAACTGGCATCATCGATATTTTTGATTCGGATGTTGAGCTTCCCATTGGGGGACCCCGCAATATGGGGTCCATTGGTAACCAACGTTTCTCGTGGGATTTCGAAGTTGGTGGGCCAATTATCGCCTTATCTCGGGGTTGAGTTGTGGTTCCAGTGGTTTCGGAATGTCATCTTCCGGTTGTTCTTTCTTGACCCCCACGCTGACTAACATGTTAGCAATGCAATGGAATTCGTGTATATGATGGCAATATCCTTCTACAGGTCCTCAAATCTGACTGCTATTATTGGTTCATATCACACAAGTAAAGAAAGGCGAGGGGGTTGAAGGTATGAAGGTATGCGCGGTTTATGACTGCGCGCAGCCCATACTAATTCTCGGTACATCGGGGAACCTCCGCGGCTTAGACTCCTGGTTCACTATTCAAGCCAATCCACGTCTATTTCCCACGGAGAAAGTCCGTGTTGTTTTAGAATATCTCTGTGTTTTAACTATATTGGTATAGTGCCCAGGTTTCGGTATCTCGCATGTACCATTTGCACCATCTCATCTATCACTCTGGCCTCTAGCCCAATATCTACCGGATCCGGTCAACCCGGAAACTCATCTTCCGGTAGATTCACGACCCACCCCCGCGGCTTATCCTTCCCGACACGAGACGTCATCATATAAAAAGGCCGATCTTAGGAGGTTCAACCATTATTAGAACCCACTTCAGGGCTTGTTGGAACACACACAAAGATATTTTTCGTGAGACTTAGAACTGTCTATCCCTCATTATTCCTCAACAAGATCTTTACCCAAAACACCGATCCTTGAACATGGGGAAACGCATCATCGTCACCGGCGGCTCAGGCAAAGCCGGCCAACACATAATCACATACCTCCTTGACCAAGGCCACGACATCCTCAATCTAGACCTAGTCCCCCTCCCAGCACACTTGGCCGATCGCGTCCACACAATGCGCGTCGACCTAACGGACGCAGGCCAAACATACAGCGCCTTCGGCTCCCACTTCCACCTAACAGAGCCCTTCCGTGAACCACTGGGCCTAGTCCCCGACGCAGTAATCCACCTAGCATCCTACGCCCGCAACATGCTGGTACCCGACACCGAGACCTTCCGCTGCAACGCCACAGCCCAATACAACGTGATCGAAGCGGCCTCCCGCCTAAACTTCAAGAAGATCATCCTGGCAAGCTCGGTCTCCGTGTACGGAATCGCCTACGGCGAGGGCGATCTCGAGTACCCGTCTTTCCCTGTTGACGAGGAGGTCGACGCAAACCCGATGGATACGTATGCGATTTCTAAGATGTGCGGGGAGCGCATCGCGCGCGGGTTTGCGCGGAGGTATGGGTCTGATATTTATGTTTTGCGGATTGGGAGGATCGTTGCGCCTGAGGAGTATAAGGAGGAGATGTTTGATTCTTATGTGCGGAAGCCGGAGGAGTGGGCGGTGCATGGGTGGTCGTATACTGATACGAGGGATTTGGGGCAGATTTGTGATTTGGCGGTTGAGAAGGCTGGGCTTGGGTTTCAGGTTTTTAATGCTGTTAATGATGAAATTACGAATTATGAGGCTTCGTCGATGGAGTTTTTGAAGCGCGTTGCGCCGAATACGCCGTTTACGAGGGATATGGGGTTGAGGGAGGCTCCTATATCTAACTTGAAGATTAGGGAATTGTTGGGCTTCCGACAGAAGCATCCTTGGCAAGTATATTATGAGATGTGATTTATGTATCGACAATCAATTGAACAAAAATGAATTTCAATTGTTGAATTCCCGCCTTTTCTTCTTTTAGAAATTACTAGTTCCTCTATTATATATAATATTATGTTATTTTTGCCGGCAATGGAACATTGAATTGTTGCGAGACGAGTCGATCCACGGGGAAGGAGTCCACTCAGCGGCATAATATTTCTCAGGAGTCAGGCTGAAGGGAGAAGAGGTGAACAAAAGGGTGGCGAGCGTATAAGCATAACATTGATCGCCCACTCCCCCAGGGCCTCAGGCCTCAACCTCGGCTTCATCACAGAATGTATATCAAAATGACGTTGAAATAAAAAAACATATAAATTCCAGTCCGCATATTAAAATCGCCTATGAGATAAGTGTGAAATGAGTTTCAACTAAAACTGTATATAAAATTGGGTTGGCTTAACTATGGTGGATTTTAAAAAAAAGTCATGCGCGCTGCCTAACAAACTCTTATCAGATTGGGATTTGGGGAAATCGTGAGCTTCCAAGCACAGTGCTTAAGTGCTTGCCTTCAAATGACACTCATTACACAACCAGTTTTCACACCCTTAAAATTATACACGATGCATTCTCACACTTTCAAAATCATCCGCTCTAAATACAAAAATGGACACTTCTCTCCAATTCAACCATGTGGTTCAGATAAGTTAGCCAGCTAAACATTGAATGTATGTGATCAAGATAATCACTGGGGACTATCTCGGAGATTATGTACAAGATTTCAAACATTGAAGTTGGTGTCGTAGTACAAGTCGATGGCTAAAGAGATATCGCTTCCCGCATTATCTCCGCATGCTGGGAAAGGAAATTTTGCCGGCACCGGCGGTGGATACAATTAAGCTTCTCCGCCCCGGGTACAACATCCTTCAACCTTGAATCATCAAGAATATAATTGGGCATTCATGAAAACGGCTTGCAAACCATGGGGCTGTCCCGGTCTTGATTCTTCGTAGCCGGCGCTCACGACCTGTGCACACAAGTCACGACCGTCCGGCGTCATCACCATGCCCCTCCGAAAAGGCCGTGTGGCAGCAGCATGCAATTTTTGTCGCGACAAAAAGGTACATTTCCGAGTCCTCATGGCCTCTCCGATTGAAACGAACGGGAGTCTAACCTTTCTTCCATAGCTCAAATGTGATGCCCAAAAACCTACATGTGGTCATTGCGCCGCAAAAGGCATTGATTGCCAACAGGGGCCAATTAGACACAAGCCGAGGTAAGCCTGGCAAGAATGCATCTTGACATGGCTCAAGTGCTAGAATTGAGATTCACTGGCTGATAATTCCAGGCCAACAAATCGGCGTATCGCACAATTGGAGCGCGAAAATGCATTACTTCGTCAACAAGGAGGTCAAGTCCAGGATGGGGATGTCACCCTCGATGATGAACCATCCATGGTGTCAACTGATGCTTCTTTTGCCATGAGCCCATCTCGGAGCCAAGTTGATGTTTCACTATCTCAGGAAGACTCTCCCTCTGTTGATCGTCCAACTGGATTAAGCAATGGCTCTTCTCATCCGGAAGCCTCCGATAGCGACCGTCTGAAAAGCGCCGCTTCGTTATATCATGGACCGACCAGCGCTGTTTACGATGATACTGCGAATTCTGGAAACTCTGAAGATACTGCGGAGTGGAATAAATTGCCAGTTCACGAAGGCTGGACTCGAAGCCACCTGTTTGCTGAAACAGCGAGGCAGCGTAAGTTACAAAATTCATTAAGAATCAACTGCACCCCACTGATATTCAATTCAGGACAATTGGAATTGTTGAACTTGTCCGCTGGAAAACTTGATTTTGATGGCGTGGACCCAGAAATCGGAATGCATCTCTTGTCAATCTACTGGTGCCGCCAACTCTATACAGCACAGATCATTTACCGACCGGTGTTTATGCGGGACATGGCTTGTAACGGGCCCTATTTTTCAAAATTGCTACTCAATGCCATTCTATTCACTGTCTCCAAGCATTGTCCTCGACCCGAGCTTCGGTCAGACCCGGATGACAGTACTACAGCTGGGTGGTCTTTTCGTCTGCGATTCACGGAGCTTTTACGGGATAGCTTTGACAAAAGCAATATCACTACACTCCAAGCACTCCTCATCATGTCCAATTCGCTATTCTCTAGATGCGATGAGCGAAGTCTATCTTGGTTATATGCGGGCAATGCATTCAATATGATCATCGATCTTGGACTGCATGTACTCCCTTCCCCCAACAAGATGTCACCGGAAGATCTTGAGATTCGGAAGCGGGTTGTATGGGGCGCATATTGTGAGTGCATTTCATGATGTCCATCTTTTTTATTTACTCCGGACTAACTTTTCATCAGCCATTGACAAGATCCAGTGTCTGTACCAAGGGAGGCCCCCACTTCTTCGCTACATGAACTTCAAGGCATCACTGAATTTTCTGGACGAATATGACGAACTGGATCCGTTTCAGGAAATAACCTACACTCCTGTCAAGCACCAGTCGGTCATTCCGTCATTGAATGTCTCCCTGTTAACGAAACTATGCGAGTTGTCAATCATCATTGATCGCATCCTATGCGAACTATATTCAGAATCACAGGAAATGAGTCAAAGCCAGAGTCAGGTTATCTCTGACGACATCAATTCAGAACTAGCAAGTTGGCGGCAAAACCTTCCACCACAACTCGACTACATATCCCATCCTCGGGAATCCGTCCTTCTTCCTCAGGCATTCTGCCTCTTGTGAGTGTTCCTTCGCCCCATATGTCCAGCCCCTTACTAAAAATCAATAGAGCGCTTTTCAACGTCCTCATAATCCTTTCGCAGCGGCCCTTGTTCACTGGAAGCTACAATCAATCTGACACACCAGGGGCAGCATACGAGTCCGTGAACGTCTGCACAACAGCCGCGAACCAAATTGTCCAGATCCTTCGTGACTATTCGCAGCATTTCTCCATCAGCAGTGCACCGTACATGCTATCATACGCAACATATATCAGTGCAACGATCCACGCCAGAATTGTGGCCCAGAAAGGCCGTAACTCAAATTCGTTTCAGTCGCTGCTGCTTTGTCGCACCATTCTGAAGGAGCATCAGCGTCTATACGCAGCGGCAGGTAAAGCCCGAGCTAATCTCAATAAGCTCGTTACGCATCTCAGGATTGAAATCACAGAGGATGATGAGCAAATATCTGCTACTGTGGGGAGTAGTTCCGGCGCTCAGTTCATTGTACAAGAACCTATCACGACTTTTGGTGCATCCAACATTGTACCTCAGATCATGGAGCTACAATCCCCGCAGTTGAACTGGGAATTGTCAGATTTGGATCTTGAGGCTATTGCCCAGGGATTCCGTCTTGGTGGTGAACTGGATTATCTCATGCGCCCGTCCGGAGTATAGATTCAAATGTTATATATCTTTTAAGGCATTTTTTTGGGGAATTTATCGACATAATTCTGCATATGTGGCATACGAGCTCCGAATACACGTAATACATACTCAACCCGAGAACATCACACCAAGAAAGAATGGATTTTCTAGGCTTTCGGGCCACCAGGACGTTGTGCTGATGTTATCCAACATTTAATTCTATGCCGGGGAAAGCCTAACCGATTTGGGGAAAAACATCCACGTTCTCCCAGACCCGCAATCTACACACATGTGCATAATTGAACTCGATGAAGCGCAACAATATCGAATAGAGTATAATTCTCCGATATTGCCAATCGAAAACAAAACCTACAGTTCTTTGCGATCGCAAAATCCTCACATTGAACACCGAATCACAATATCAATGGCTCATCTTACGTACACTGGACCTCAGCCGAACCAGCAGCAATCGCAGCTCTACAATTACGAGCTCCAGAGCTTCCCCTCACTAGATACGAAGCCCCCTCGCCAGCGTGAACTTTGATTGAATGTTATCATTCAGTTCTCCTGTGGACTGCCTAGTCTGGACAAGGAATCCGATGACATCTTAGCCCAGATCGAATTGTACCTCTACTGCACTGTTGACAACTTCCCCTCATTCTAGAAGGGAGGGCTGTATATCCGCGATGGGATAGTTATAAGCATTGACTGGCCCTTCAGTCCTTGCAAAGCTCCAGATCCTCGGTGATATCGAAATCAATACCCACACACCATCAGTCATCATGGCGCCTGCATTTACCTACCGCCCCAAGGCACAATCTACATTTAAGCCCCCACTCATTGCGAACGAGAATGCGTTCTTGGGCGATGTCATTTCAAGGTAAGTGGGGCTCTCTGGCGCTCCATGATTGGCATTGGCAGACTACGCCGTACTTTGCTAACAATTGTTGGCCATAGTGACAAGGACAACGCCGAAAAACCTATCTCTTGTGGATTCTACCGCTTGGAAAGGGGAACCCCGCTTGTATACACCTATACCTATGACGAGATGAAGATTATTTTGGAAGGACATTTTGTGATATCCGATGAGACGGGGCAAAAGGTCACCGCCAGTCCGGGTGATGTGTTTTATTTCCCCAAGGGAGCCACAATTACCTTCACAACCGAGGACTACGGACTTGCATTCTATGTAAGTGCATTGGTTTTTTTCTTGATTTTTTTTCTCCCGCGTAAATGAGATGGTCAGTGCTGATTGAACTGAACAGACCGGCCAACGTGCCGAGGGTGCGGCGTAAACGGTGAATGTGACTTCAAGAATTTCTCCAATCTCCGACGGCAATCGGCGGTGCCTTGTTCAAGATGTCAGATCCATGGATTCATCGCCCCCACTGGCCGGCCATTCCCAATTTGGCAGTTTGCTTACCCGCGTGTGGAGTTGTGGATCTTAAGAAGCGATCATGCCTAGATTTTTATTTTTATTTTTATTTTTGTTCCTAGAATCAAGAAATCAGGAAAAAGAAAACATCAGATTTAAACTTCATCTGCAGAGCAACAAAGTGCAATAGTCTCGGCAATGCGGGCTTCCCTGCATCGGAGGATTTGCTGTCAAGTGGAAATCACTAGCATATCTGTATGGGGCCGCAGTACTATTGACCAGACTAACGTTTTCAGCAGGGACTTAGCAAAACTCACGAATCAAATCGTCGGGAAAGGAAGCAATTAGTTTTTCAGTGGCTTTTTTTATTACACTTTTCAGACAGCTCCATTTTCAGCCAGCCCTGAAACCAAGTGGGATGTTTAGGACGCGAGCAACAGCCACAAATGGGGGCTCCTGGAGCCGATCATTAAACAAAGAAGAAAAAACCACTGGGAAAAAAAAAACAAACCAAAATGACTTGCAGGGACGGCACACCTCCGATCCCGGTGGACCAGTGGATCGTGTTCATCGGATTTCAGCTTTTCAGCTCGAGTCATTAACTCGTTTCATCTCCATTCTCCATAACCAGCACTAGCCTTTTGCACAGCCTGTCCGTATTCCTGTATGACGTTGGGGGAGTTGCCCCGGCAACATTTTATACAAGGGGTAAAGAGCAACAGAGAGACCTAAAGGAGAGTTTGAATCTCTACCAGAGTGGATAGACTCATCTTGTTTTTTTTTTCTCCAAACCAAAATTAAAAAGGATAAAAGAAAAAGCAAAAATCAAGATCGATCGGTGGAGTTCGGAGATCGTCGCGAATAAAAAGAGATCAAAGGCACTTGAAGGCTGAAGCACTTGAGAGATTATTTTCTTATTTCCTTGCTTGTTCTGTTACTGCCGGTTTCGCGGGTTAGCGTTATTCTTAGTCTCTCTTATCAAGGGGGGGAACCACTCTTCAAAACCCCTCTATCCTACTACTTCCCCATTATCAACCTCCACTTTCACCACAACCATGGCTGTCGACATCGCTGATGACCGTGGTCTTCGTCTCCCAAACCCTCCACCATTGCTACATATGCGCTCCGGCAATGAGACATTCGATCGCCCCTCCACCCCGGCCCATGGATTCACCAGTCCCCCACAGACACCCCACGGTAGTCCCAGCAAATCCAGGCCACCCCCGGGCGCCTTGGATCTACCCAATGTTTTCGATAATGCTATGAAGCTTACACCCACATCTCCATCCAAATCCACCCATAATCACTTCAATCATCCCATGTTCACGGCCGACAGGGGCAACATCGACGATTTTAATGAGAGCGTTATCCACCAGCGCCCAACCAGCCCAACGCGCAAGTCAAACAAGGAAAACACTCCCCCAAACAGCACCCGTATCCCCAAGGATCTGGGTCCGAAGCCCACCGCCGCCGCTATCTCGCGTCATGAAACATATCAACCCCGCGATGCGGACACCTCCAAGCGTCAGGTACAGCTCCGCGGCCTGACACCGGAGGAGATGGAGAAACTCCAACAACCCCGTGTTAAGCGCCTCACAAATGTTACTCAACTCTGTATGTCTCAACCACACAAAAACCAACACTCCCCCATTCCCGAAACTTTATATACACGTGGATACTAATTGTTTGGGGCTTTTTACCCCGCGTCCCAGACTTCCTCGACCACTATTTCGATCTCCTTAGCTACGTTCACAACCGCCAAACACGCCACTCACAATTCAAGGCCGCATACCCCGAGCCCCCCGTAACACCCGATGAAGAATACGAGCCCGCTCTCCTCAAATATCTCGGTCGTGAACGGGCGCACTTGCGCAAGCGTCGCACACGTTTACGCCAACATGACTTCCAGATCCTGACGCAGGTCGGCCAGGGTGGATATGGACAGGTGTACCTGGCTCAAAAGAAGGATACTCGCGAGGTTTGCGCCTTGAAGGTGATGAGCAAGAGACTACTTTTCAAGCTCGACGAAATCCGACACATTCTCACCGAGCGCGACATTCTGACCGCCGCCAAGAGCGAATGGCTAGTCCGATTGTTGTATGCCTTCCAGGATGATAGCCAGATTTACTTGGCGATGGAATACGTCCCCGGTGGAGATTTCCGCACCCTGCTGAACAACACCGGCGTCCTGCACAACCGCCATGCCCGCTTCTACATTGCCGAGATGTTCAGCTGTGTCGACGCACTCCACATCCTGGGCTACATCCACCGCGATCTCAAGCCCGAGAATTTCCTCATCGACTCAACCGGCCACGTCAAACTCACCGACTTCGGTCTCGCAGCCGGCATGCTGAGTCCCGGCAAGATCGAGTCCATGCGCGTCAAGCTCGAGGAAGTAGGCAATACGCCCGTCCCCTTCGGCCGCCCCATGGAGCAACGCACAATGGCCGAGCGAAGACAGGGCTACCGGACCCTGCGCGAGCGCGAAGTCAACTACGCCAAATCCATCGTCGGTTCACCCGATTACATGGCGCCCGAGGTCCTCAAGGGCGACGAGTACGATTTCACCGTCGACTACTGGAGTCTGGGCTGTATGCTTTTCGAGGCCTTGGCCGGGTACCCGCCTTTCGCGGGTGCGACGGTCGACGAGACGTGGCAGAATCTGAAGCGTTGGCAGAAGGTGCTCCGGAAGCCGGTGTACGAGGATCCGAATTACTTCCTTTCGCGGCGGACGTGGGATCTCATTACGAAACTTGTTGCGGCGAAGGAGACGCGGTTTAAGAATATTACGGAGATCCATGCGCATGATTATTTCGCCGAGGTCGATTTCAATCATCTACGTGAACAGCGCGCGCCGTTTGTTCCGGAGCTGGATTCGGAGACGGATGCTGGTTACTTTGATGATTTCAGTAATGAGTCCGATATGGCTAAGTACAAGGAGGTTCATGATAAACAGCGTGCATTGGAGGACATGGCCGACCGTGATGATAAGATGGGCAAGGGATTGTTTGTTGGGTTTACCTTCCGGTAAGTCGTCTCTTTTTTCTATTGTTTTCTTTTTTCTCAACCTGTCTTCATGGTGTTTCGTCTCATGCTAACGTTCCTTCTCCTCAGTCATCGCAAACCTGCAGTCGATAGCTCGGGCCGCAGCTCTCCCCGCAAACCGATTGCGACAGACGGCAGCTTCGGAACAATGTTCTGATTCAAGTCCTGATTCTTGTTCTTGTTCCGTGAACGCGGGAGAATACCTACTTTTCTCTTCCTCGTCCTCTTTTTGTATCTCTTCTCTTCTCTCGTCACGCTGGAGCCCGCGTTAAACTCGAGCTGGATCTTGGTTTCCCGGTGCCACTGGTAGACGCCTTCGTATGGTACGAGTATGAGTTTAATGGTGCATGTTCTTTTTTTTCCCCCTTATCATTCGACTCGTTTGGTTCCTTGCCTGTTCTCTACTAGTATCTTTGTAGGATTAGGTGCTGCAGTCTACTTGTTTCAAGTAGAATATATGAAGAGATGAAGATGTCAGCTTATTGATTATTGTGTTTGATGTAGATAATTGTAGTGGAATTGGCAGATGGCCTAGATTTTCTGCTAGCTTCGTATGCTCAGCCCTACGGAGTAGATTGTAGTAAGTACCTCCAGGGCTACTAGTGCGTTCCAACGTTAGGCTCATTGATTGCCTAGTACTTGAGCCCACTTCTTCTATCGTAACATTTCAATTGACACATCTATGCTAATGGACCTGAACTCGACCAACACAATGTTAATACATCCGCCCCCAAGTCAAACATCCATCACACAATTCCAGGCCAGGCTTCGTCCCGGGTATAAAATACAGCAGACAGTTTCCAGCCCAATAAATCTAATTGCTCGGAATCTGGCGCACCATCTTCAAGATCTCAGACTCCTGGTCACCAATAACAGCGCGACCATTCGTCCAATCAACAGTCTGTGCACAAAAAAGGCAAAACGTCAGCAAACCATGCCTCCCAAACTTAAAACCCGGACCACTTTGTGGCAGGTTTTTTTTTTTTTTTTTGAACCAATCAACATACCACAGGTCTCACAAAACAACTCTTATCCTCCTTAAACCTCTTAATCGCATCCTCCGCATCACGCGCGCCCTTCACCAGCTCCGCAGCTCCATACGTAGCCTTATCACCGGGCCCGCCCACGCCCGAGACAGGGTTAATGTAGTCGAGGATATTGCGGAGCTGATCGGTCGTGGGGTCGTTGGTCGTGACCTCGAGCTCGAACTCCTCGCGCTGCTGCTTTGCGTGCGAGCTGTAGTCGCTTGCTTGGTCTTCTGTGGCTGTTTCGGCGGCGGCGGTCGAGGCTTGTTTGAGGAGGGTTAGGACCCGCGTGCTGTTTGGGATGCTGGGGGAGTGGAAGAGGGTGATTGGGTCGAGGGTTTTGCTCTGCGTTTGAGGGTTAGCTACTAGTAGGGAGGGAGGGTTGAGGGGGGTGATTGGTGGTTCTTACGAAGCGGAACATTTTTGCGGTGTTGGTTTGGGATTGAGGGGATTGGGGTTTGGATGGGATGGTGGGTGTGAGGATGAGGAGCTTGAGCTTGAGGTCGACTTGTCGATTGGAGGATGATGTCATGTGCCGGGATCCCGATTGGGTTTAGGTTGGTTGAGGGCGGGTGGAACTTGGCGTTGTTTTGGTGCTTCCTTGTCCCCGACGCTGGATCGGCAATGGGGCTTACAAGGGTTGACGGGAAACCTGTATCGTTCAGGTTATAGCAAATGTATTTAGCGTTGTTTCACATGGCTTTGTGAGGGGTGAATTGGGTAGTTGGTAAATTCAATGATCTGCGGAGAATCACCAAGGTTTCGATGTGTGGTCACTGGTTAGTAACTAATCAACAGCTACCAGGATCGTCATTTCAAGATGATGTTTCAATTTTCTTTTATCTGTATATGAATATTTTCAATGTTTGGTCAATAATTTCAAGGCGCTCAGGTATCCGTAACAGTACATATCCATGATTGCTACTGTGTATGTACATGAATATAAATACTATGCTACCTATTGAATTTAGCGGCCCTTGCACGAACTTCTAAGGTTGGCAGCCATTCAATGTTTGCGCCTCCCCTGCTACAAATCTGCTGTAAATACCTCAGACTTTCGACGAGGATAGATAGGAGCACTAGAATGGTTGGAGTCGACCCATTATTGGCCCGTCCAGCACCAAGACCACCAGTAGCAGTACTGCGGGAACTGAAACACGTGCATATCATGTAGTTTCCATTCCATCTGCGGTGACCATACATAGGGGGTATGTTAACTGTACCTATTCATCTGGTACACTGGGTCAAGGGCCCAAGTGCATTTTCGCAGGCTGTTCATTCGTCTTCGCGCCCCATGTTCCGGCCGACAACTTGTATCAAGGCAGATTCAACACTTTAGTAGTTGGTGTTGACTCTCTCTGGGATAGTGTTGCTACTCCGGAGCCGAGGTATCGATAAGTTACGATGAGGAGATGTGAACTGAAAGGAACGGAGTGGGTGAGAAGAAGAAAGAAGAAGAAGGGAAAAGACGAAGTGAGGGGACGCTGAAAGTACGTGCATACAAGAGGCCTGCAATCCTCATCACTCGGTTCATTTCTAGCCTTTCCACCGCAGAAAATGGAGAAGCAATCTATGCATCTGCTTACTACTACTTCCTACTAGTCTTTATAACTCTCATATCAAGAAAAGCGCTTGAGTATGTCCCTACCATACTATCAATGTTGCAAGGTTCTTCCACGTCCTTCCCTAGCCATCTCCGAGTCCTCTCCTTTCCAATATTTCTGTCTTTTCAGATCTTCAAGTCTCTTCCTTCAAATCCTCTTACAAAATCAACTCTCCTTCGCTACCTCTTCCCCCTTTTTGACCATATGGATCTCGTCTCTTCTTTTATTTCTTCCAAAATTCACTTTCACTTTCTCTCGCTATTCAAAGCTCTCTTCCTGGCTTTCTTCCTCATCTCTTCTCTCTCACTTCTTCTTACCTTCCCTTTCATTATCCACACACATGTGCGTGCACTTGGTCCTTCGATCCTCCTCACTCCATTACTCCGAGTCCTCATTGCCCCAAGAAAGGACACCTGAAGATATGCAACTTATACGCCAAAAATGAGCCAAGAAATATTAAAACCAACCGAAAGAGTCCACAAATCAGGCAGGAAAAATACCGACTTTCGAAGATAAACACAACGCGACCGTCACACCTGGCCCTTCATATGCATTTACGAAGTCTCTCTGAAATCTCAGAATACCCAATTCAATTTGCCAAAATCTGGTCCAAGATCGAGGTATCCCTAGTACACAATTCTGGTTTCTCATAACCAAAGAGTCTGTGCACAGACTTGAGACGTTGAAGGCGGCCAATACTGGACTTTTTATGGACCAGGTCAAGTGGGTCCCCTTTTGTGGCTCCCTTGGCCCCCGGGTTCATCACCTGGTTCAGCGAATGCGATGATAACCCTTAGTGGACCTGGTCCACCGACTCCGGTTGTTCATGCAGCACCCTGGGCCCCCCTGACACATCGCCTGGTCCATCGAATGTTGTGATTATCCGAGCCTCTGTTGCGGACCTGGAAGATGAGATAGAAGATATGTCTCTATCTTAGGTTATATTTCTTTTACCTTTATTTTACCTTTATGCTCTTGCCCCCAATAAGTGCATCGGCATTTTGTGATTCAAGAATAGCAGCTCCCGAATCCCGGCAACCAAGCACTCCCAAACGATGCAGAGATGAACTCAGTTTTGTTTTTTCTGGTTGAAATGAGGAATATATCGTCATCGACAGGGTATCGACTTTGGATGAGCGGCTTGAGCTCGTTCACTCGTCCTCCAAACGACACATGAAGGTCCAGCTGCGAAAGTCGCGTTGTGTTTATCTTCGAAAGGCAAAGAGCACTTTATTGGCTTTGGGGACACACATTTCAAATGAATAAGAGCCAAAATCAAACAAGGACATACGGGACTGGTGTGGAAGGCTAGACTATGCCAACTTGAATCGTGGATGGCTTCGGCATTGCACAGGTATATGGTTAAACTACTTGTGAGTATACCAGTACAAGATTTATATGAGAGCCTTTTACTTCATGGGAACTGATTGAAATTTCTGCAAATTGCACAGGGCGGAGAAGAAGAAGATGGACCGAGTGAAAGATGGTTGGGATGTCCTCGCAAGCTCAACAGCTTTCCAACATTTCTTTCAAGTCTTGAAGACAGAACAGCACTTGGCAGTCGCGATTGCGAATTGCCTTACATTTGCCTTCGTAGAACAACAACCTGGTTCACGGCTGTCCCATTGACTGGACTTTTGGCCCATGGGCTATTGGTGAAGGATTTGACACTGATCTGCCACTAGTCCGCCGGTGCTACCGCCCTGACAATCGCATCCTGGACATCGTAATCGGTTGCGAGACAATCCGCGCTAGGGACCACCTGAGTACTGCGCATGATGGCGTTATCGCCATCGTCAACTCTGATCGTTCAGTTACCATGGCGCCTTTCTGGCAGATGCAATCTTACCATCCCAAAGCCGCCGATGCGGTCAACGCCTGGCGGATCCCTCGGGCCTGGTTCCTTGCACAAGGGATCCGCCTCCCTTACGACCTGCTCATGTCCCGCGCTGTCACTGAGCCACATGTCCCTCGCTTTCTGCATCCTGAGGAGATCGCCGCTCGGGAGGACAGCACCCCTGCAGAGCCGCTTACACCTACGGAGACTGTGCCTACGGACATTCCGCCTTACCCCCTTCCCCCGACTGCCGACCAGGCTGCTTTCCTTGAATGGAACAAAGACAGCACTTGGCAGTCGCGATTGCGAACTGCCTTACATTTGCCTTCGTTTACCAACAATACTATTGCTTCATGCCCGAGGATGCGGCGAAGTCCATCGGCTACCATCTCCCAGAATAGACTCAGTCAGGTACTCCACTACCAATCGATCCCCCTAAAACAATTACCGATGCATCTGACGCATTACGCACATTCCCTAGCCACCCAAATTTTGAACATTACACCTCCGCAGAGCTTACAATTGAAGCTCTTAATACCTTTGAGAGATAGGGGTGGTGAGAAAGTAGAGGGTGGTAAGAGTCAAGACTCAAGACATAGATTATGTAAGTTTGTCCGGCAGAACGTGGGTTGTTTTTTTATCAAACTCCATAATATAACCACCCGAACTAGCTACGAGGTAGTTTCATTTGGGTCTGCCAAGAAGCTCTCCAGCAACAGAGCTCTTTGTCCACAAGCTTTGCGCTGCCAAGAAGTATTACCGGATCATTGATTTCGACATCCATGAAGCCTACGACATGGCTGCTCAGCACGCGCACCAACAAACACAGACACGCTCGTCCGCATATTTCTTCTTTGCTTGCCGTGTCACCATTGACGACCAAGAACCTCACCACGAACCAGAGATCACGGAAACTGGCTGAGCAAGCCGCTGGACCCTTTAAGATCGTTGACAGGATTGATGAATCCAGGTCAGGTGGACGAGTCCTCAAGGAACAAAGGATTGAAGCCTGATCGTAAAATCAAATACTATCATTTCACAGATGAGAGGTCAAGACAAAGCCCAAGTCTAACTACATGTAATATCAAAATTTCAAAGTTAACAGCAACATTTGAACTGAATCCAAATCCACATGCATAGATATCCCACTAGTAATGCAAAAAAAAAGTCCAGATTGATGTCTTTGAAAGGATAATCCTGGAAACCTCCAAGATTGACCTCAAGTTCACCATGCATTCCAACCAGGTTTACACTCCAATGTTCATCAGCACGGGTTGTTTCCACACACCAACTGTTTTGATGATTAACGGAATATATCCATTATCCCTGACTGTACTCCACAGCAAACTGTAAGTACCATCCCCATTTGACTTGCCGAAGAAACCTGTATCAGCCTGTTTGAGCAAGACATTGTAAGCGTATGTAGTGAAGGTGTCGACTATCTTTCCTGCAGATTCATCTGAGTTCACGAAAGTCACCGGATTGGTTGGTGAAGTTGAATTTGTTTGACCAAGACATAGTAGCAAAGTAGTCGAACTGTTTGCGACAGGTCCAAAATTCTGCGCATTGGTGTCGAGGGTCCTGGTGGTGATTGTCGGTAGCGTGTTGTTGACATGGGCAATCCATGTATACGAATCAGTGGCGTTGGCAGTGACTAAGAAGATATCAGCATTGGGTATGTACTAGCATGCATAAGAGTCATTTTCCACAGAAATAATACTCACAGTAAACATTCCTAGCGCTTGCAGACGACTGCGACGCGTCACCGATCTGAGCTAGGCCTATTGGGTGATGTTGTTAGCCGCATGATTTTATTACATACAAATGCTTCTTAAAATCTTCATACCATCTGCATAGAATACAGGTAGCCCAGTGATATTCTCGCCATAGGCATATAGGCCAAATGAGCTTCCATCGGCTTGACGTTCAGTCACTGGGGCCGCTTGGCATGCAAGCCCAAGGGTTGCGATCAAAAAGCAAACCCAAAACATAATTATGGGGTGACAAGAGAGATAGTATGGAAGAGATGGGTGTTATACTAGTAGGTATGCAAACGATGGAAACGACGCAGACAGAAATTAATCAATTTGGGCAATGGCGTCTGTTCCCCTTATTTAACGTGGCAGAACCAAGGCCACAAATGCATACAGATCCCACAACCATCCACTTGCCACGTGGAAAGGGGACCTGAATGATAAGCCTGAGGACCATATTTCTAGCATCATCCTTGCAGGTACTCGATGTTTGCCTTGACTCTGCCCTGGATGAACGCGTGTTCGTGAATTGTACGCCTTTGTGGAACGCTGACAATTCTCCGGGCAGATCGGCAAATGTCAGGCCTGTTTTTGCAACCGACTATGCCGACACGGAGATTTATTCTTATCTTGAGCGACAGGCATCGGCAAGGTGGCTCGGTGTTCTCAAGTCCAATCTTGCGTGGACGCCCGATGGTGCCCTGCGGCTGAAGTCACCAGCACCATCGGAATGAGGATACATATCTCGTATAGATTCTATTCTGAGAACAAACTGAGGCTCTGTGACTGATAGTCATCCTGAAAGGGGGTGTTTGTTTCAATTGCTCTCTACAACCATGCTTGGATATCTTGCGCCCAAGACTGCGAAGCCGTCCAGAATGGGCGATATGGTAATTTTACCATGTCAATCATAATTTCTTTCGTGAAACATTTTTCTCCCCGATTTGCAGTCTTTGGAACAGTCCCTGAAAGCCTTCCCTTTTATACAGACTTCTTAGTTTCAAGGCGAGAATTAACTAGTATTTTTCCTTCCTCGGAAGTAGGACATCAACTTTATGAATAATTGTTCCTTCATTGTTTCGGATATCCGTATATTGTTATGGACGCCCAGCTTGAGTATCTAGCAATACCCTGCAGCTTTAAAACATGCAAAACTTCAGCCTTGAAACAAGGGCCTTGAAAAAAACATTGATTGAGGGCCTTGATTAGGAGGTATGCCTGGAAGGCCCTTATTGATCGGGAATCCCCCACACCATTTCCTCTATAAATACCCATCCATCTGCTACTGAGTGACTGTTAAAATGCTCTTTAACCCACATCTATGCAACAAAATACTCTACACACATTCAAAATATTTGAAGACTGCGCAATCCTCCTGAGCTCCGAGAATGAATCTGCGGGCTTTATTTTTGTGGGGCCAAACCTTCGGTCTTGCCATCGCGATTCCCCAGAGCCTTACAACCAATACATCAACCAGTGCATCGATAGGATGGAATGCAACCTCCGGTTACTGTGCAGGTAATACTCCCACTGATAGGGGATCTTGGTGTCAATATGACATCAATACCGACTATGAAAGCATTGCCCCTAACACTGGCGCGACCCGCGAGTATTGGCTCTATATCAACGACCTTCAGCTGAGCCCAGATGGGGTTTCCAGATCAGTCATTACGGCCAACAATACAATCCCTGGACCTACGCTCTTTGCAGACTGGGGTGACAATGTCATAGTTCATGTGACCAACAATCTGACAAGCGTGAAAAACGGGACAAGTCTTCACTTTCACGGCATTCGTCAGAATTTTACCAATTCCAACGATGGTGTTGTTTCTCTCACCCAGTGCCCGATTGCACCAGGCCACACGATGACCTATCGTTGGCGTGCTCTTCAGTATGGAACATCTTGGTACCATTCTCACATCGGCCTTCAGACGTGGGAAGGTCTCTTTGGTGGCATAGTTATCAACGGACCGGCCAGTGAGAACTACGACGAAGATATGGGGGTCCTGTTTCTGAATGACTGGACACACACGCCTGTTGACGAGCTATACTTGCCGGAGCGAGCGAGCTTGAATGGACCCCCTCAGGCAGATAATGGGCTTATTAATGGCACGAATATATATATCAATGCAACCTCGACCACTGCCGTCAACAGCACGACAACTCTCTCCTGTAATGGGCTTGATCCGACTTCTTATGTCGGGAAGCGGTTCTCCGTCAAAGTCAAACAGGGGAAGTCCTATCGGTTTCGGGTTATCAATGGCGCAATTGACGAAAACTTTGAGTTCCGGATTGACGGACACCCTTTGACCGTTATTGCCATGGACCTTGTGCCAATCAACAGCTACACCAATGATTCGATCAGTATTGGAATGGGTATGTTTTTATTGATCCCAGCAGTCCTAATCCAACTCTTGCAAACGCACAGTTGAGACTGACGATTTATTCAGGACAACGTTATGACGTGATAATTCATGCAAATCAATCTTCTGTCAGTGACACCTTTTGGATCCAAGCTATACCAAATACACTCGCTTCCGGCGGCATAAATGCACCAAGATTCATGGGCCTTCTTCAATATAAAGATGCTCCTACACAACCAGCGTGCCCTTCAAACGCGACAAAGGGCACTGACATAGATGAGCCTTTGGCTAGCCTGGTCCCAATCGTTAAGAAGTCTCCCTTGTCAGTTAATAGCCCCACTTGGAACGAAAGCATCGGAACAGGACTTAAACAAATTGAGAACGGCAATACATACTGGAACTGGTATCTCAATCACACAACAATGCAGGTAAATTGGGAGAACCCATTGTTGATGCAACTATACAACAATGGAAGCTTTACTAGCACCATGGCGCCTGATTCTGGCCTGAACGACAGCTTGGCCGCTTCTTGGACCAACAAGACCAATTTGATTGACCTCCCCAGAAAGGACCAATGGGTTTATATCAATATTACTACTGGCGTCAATGATAACGAAGCTCATCCCATTCATCTACACGGCCATGATTTCTATATCATCGAACAAGGAGTTGGCTCAAGTAACACTGTGACCAACTTAGAAAACCCTCCCCGGCGAGATACAGCAATTTTGCCAGCCCTGGGCCACCTAGTTGTTGCTTTCAAGACCGACAACCCGGGCATTTGGTTGATGCATTGCCATATTGGCTGGCACACCGAAGAAGGATTCGCACTGCAATTTTTGGAAAGGAAGAATGAGATCGCAGGACTGATCGATTACACGACCATGAATCAGACATGTCAGGCATGGAAAGATTATGCTACGAAAGCCAATGTGAAGGAAGTATGGGATTCGGGGGTTTGACCGAGTTATTCCACTCAAGTGCTGGATCTCCCCTGCACTGCATAGACTGGTCACTGCATACACATGTGAATGTACCAAAGACGCCTTGGCTTGATTTGAGATATTTGGCTTCAACTTCGTTTCATGCGTTAGAGAAAGGGTGGGATTCTGCTTTCTTGATTTCAGTTCTAGATGTTTGATAGACTTTTGTTGTTGAAATAAACGATAACCTTTCCTATTTGAATGGTCTCAAACCTGATATTTATTGGCATGAATGCTAAAAAAAAAATCGATTTTGGAGTCTCAGAATAAAGTTGGGCTGCTATTTCGAGTCGCTGAGCTCATTGCCGGAACCCAGGCGTGGAGGTCTTCAAAATCAAGTGAGAGGCTTTAAGACTAAGCCAACATGTATTTCTTAATTTGATCGGCCCACTCCGCACACGTGACACATCACGTGTCAACCATGGTATGTCGGCGCTAAACCCAACGGAGGGGGCAGGCCAGCAAATCGCAAATCTATAGATTATTGGCCAATAAGATATTTGCCACTTGTTCATTCAGTTGCTGCAAGTATTTGGTGCAAACTTGAAAGTTGTGTGTGTGGCATGGTAGATGGTCAAATTAGTCAGAGACTCAGAGGTCGGTGGGAAGAAGACGCGATTTGCCAGCAAAAGATGGGGGTCCCGCGACTCCCGCCAATGATTTTGCGAATCATGGCTGTTTGAAATAAGGTATATGGACGCCACAACACTAAGCAGGCTTTGAACTTTCCTTCAGACCGAGATTGCTTTCCTGTCTATCACTGGCCAGGGCTAGTGTTGTCACTTGTGTCACCGTCGTATGACACTCCGCTCGGGTTCTTTGCTGTTGACGTGAACAGCATCGATCGGAAGATCAGGAAAAAAGGGGTTTGATGAATGACACGCTCCAAATGCGAATGCAACAACATGCCGGTGGGGATCTTTACATTGTCGGGCTGCCAACACTCACTCTTGTGCCTTGGGCGTAGGTCCGAAAATTAGTCACGGTGTACAGGTACCTGGTAACCTGGATACGTACAAGATCACTGTCGGCCCAGTGTTGTCTTGGCTCAACACTCTCGGCCTTTGGATTCTACACAAACAAAGAACTTTCGACTCAACATCTCTGACCGACATTAGCCGTCTGCCGTGTGACGCAAAAGCTAGCCAATCTTATCTCGTCTCTTTCAGCCACACGGAAGCTGGCAAGTGGGCAGCGAGCTAGGGAATGTGGGGGAAAGATCGCCACGAACCAAACATCATTGGAGGAAGGAATACGCAATTTGAATAGCTCTTGATTCCCGACGACAGCCACCAATGATAAACTCGGGGCTAATATCAAAGCGGGAATGATGACTGCATTGATTCCTACGGACAAAACGGAGGCGTGGGGGAACGCGGGGAAATGATGCCCCCACAAACCTTGTCTAAGCGTGGGGGGACATCACTACCCCAGAGATAAAACCCTGGAATCCTGGAAATGATCTGATTAACAGCTTGGCTTCTACGCGCAGAATATCTTTTACTCTACGCGGAGCAGCATGTCGAAACCAACCGCTATTCACGATGAGGATCCACAGGCGTTGAAGGATGACCTGCCCATTGATCCTCCACATGTCCCCTTGACTGAGAGGGAGAACAAGCGTATCTGCCACAAGACCGACCGAACAATTTTGGTTGTTCTGATGTGGGTTTATTTCTTACAAATTTTGGACAAGACTGTTCTCGGATATGGCGCCACTTATGGCATGGAGACCGATACAGGGTTGACAGGAGATGAATATTCTCTGGTTGGCTCAATCGCCCCCATCGCCCAATTATGCTGGCAGCCATTTTCTTCCTATCTCATCGTCAAAGTCCCTCCTAAGATCCTGATGCCCATCTTGTGTCTTGGTTGGGGAATTGCTCAGGCATGCATGGCTGCTTGCCACAACTTCAGCGAATTGATGGCTGCTCGCTTTTTCCTTGGGCTGTTCGAGGCTGGATGTTTGCCACTCTTCGGTATCATCACTAGCCAATGGTACCTTCGATCGGAACAACCCGTCCGCATCGCAGCCTGGTACAGCACCAACGGTTTGGCGACCATTGTCGCAGCTGCGCTCTCTTACGGCCTAGCGCACATCAAGTCCGATGTCCTAGAGTCATGGCAAATGTAAGCCATCAAGCCCCAGCCCCAGCCCTATATAAACTACAACATCCGCTAACAAGTCTCAGTATCTTCCTCTTTGTAGGATTAGTCACCATTGTCTCCGCCCCAATTGTCTACTGGCGCCTGGACAACGACGTCAGCACTGCCCGATTCCTCAACGAAACCGAAAAGGCCCAGGGCATGGAGCGTCTGCGCGCCAACCAAACCGGTACCGGAAACACAGACTTCAAACTCAGCCACGTCTACGAAGCCGTCCTCGAACCGAAAACATACCTGTGGATTGGAATGGCCATGCTGCTGAACATCGGTGCCAGCGTCACCAATACATTCGGACCCCTGATTCTTGGCGGCCTCGGCTACGACAAGTATCGCACAAGCCTCCTGACAATGCCCTTTGGAGCGATGCAGTTTATCGCAATCCTTATCGCCAGCTGGCTGGCCCAAAAAGCCCGTCTCAAGGGCGCCATCCTTGCATCTTTCGTGCTCCCGGTCATCGCTGGACTCGCCATTCTATACGCTGTTCCCCGAACGACTGCCAACCAGGGTGCCCTTCTAGCAGGCTACTACCTACTCGCGTTTTTGTTCGGTGGAAACCCCTTGATCGTGACTTGGATTGTTGGTAACACGGCTGGCAGCACCAAGAAGTCGGTTGCCATGAGTCTGTTCAATGCAGCCACCTCTTCAGGAAATATTGTCGGCCCATTGCTATTCACATCGAAAGATGCGCCTTCATATCACCCAGGCCTGCGGGCATGCTTGGGAATTTTCTGCGCCCTGGCATGCGTTGTGCTTGTCCAGTGGGGCAATTTATGGTTGTTGAATAAGCAGCAAGCTCGTCGCCGTGTCCGGAACGGTAAGAGTGCTATCATCATTGATCATTCGATGCAATCTCACTTCCGTGGTGTTGAGGAGGGTGATGTGGATGGAGTGACTCATGCCGGCACTCATGCTGCTGAGGAGGACATGACTGATAGACAGAACGATGAATTTGTTTATCTTTATTAGTTGGATATATCTGTCACCAATTGATTTACACTTAGCGTTTCTCAGCTTACTGCCTAACTCGTACCCCGTAAACTCACAGAATATGCACATCCCATTGTCGTTACCGTCGATTGGGGGGCAACTTAAATCCACTGTTGGCGACACAACTCACCTCAACCTAAGCGTAATGTAGATACCTATTAACGAGGGAACGCTCTGCTGTGCCATCTAAGTGCACGAGTCGACCCAGCAGTGGACAATGCCGAGACTCCTACCCAACAACAGCAGCTAGGATTCAAAATCAGAGATGTGTAGGAGTGTGTATTCCAATCTAATCGCTACAGCCGCTATACAATAATGACAGTGTTGATGATACCGTAATGGCATACCGGAATACCGTAATGATATGTAAGGACGTACTTCCCCACTACACTATGTAGGGTGCTCCTTATGTATCGATCGAGAATGTGATTTATTCTAAGAAGGTCATGATGAACACGTCAGTCTTCAATTTCAATCTCTTTGTGGTTGTTGCACTGCCATTGATCCGGCCTATCAAAATTGCAATAAAACTCACATGACTATCTGCCTAATTTGAGCCTCAACGCTCTATGAACATATTATTATGGCTTCAAGCTGTCCATATTGAGCTAATTTGAGTCGGTCATCGGGCCTTTACTAGCCTCAGCTGGGGTTAGAAACCACGCTTGGACGTATATAACGGCATATTATATGTGAGAGCGCTAAGGACAAAATCTCTATTGATATGGCGAGGGGCGTGAAGCTGCTTCATCACACTTGTGGCGTCCATTCTCTTTATTTCTTGTGGTGCTCTTGGAAATCTGACGATCAACGGAGAATATCTACTAAGGACATAAATGCTGGGTTATTTACGATCCATATTTCTCTTCATCCTCCCGAGGTCCCACTTGCTGCGTTCACATACTCTCTTCTCTAAGCAACCAGCTATTGCCTGACATTGCAAGCTTTATTAGGAAACATTGGCTCTGTACACGGTACATCAGCAAGCTCCGCCATGAATGCCTCGCAGCACCTGACTGCGGATCTGAAGGGAAAATATTACGTTTACCCGAAAGTGCAGGTGAAATTTGTTCCACTCCAAAGTCTCGCACTACAATCTTCTGATGTTGGATATGATGATATCTGATAGGCCTTGATAGAGGGGATTGCTGAGAATGACCACGCACATGCAGCTCGCCCGGTTGTCGTGCTCTTCTCAGCGGCACCTATTTCTTCTGACTCAATACTAGATTCCATCGAGCTCTTACTTGCATCTGACGACGATGTCATGTCCGCGGACTTTATGACATCTACAGTAATAATCCAGCATAGTTCTTCGCAAATTGCTGGCCAATATCAAGCGGAAGACTTTCAGACCTCCGTTGGAAATTGGAAAGTTGAAGAGCTCTTGAGTTTGGTACGAAAGCCAGGGGATTTACCAATCCCCGAAGGCCTGTATCTCCTCTGCAATGGTAGCGAACTTCACCAAGCGTGGCGCCTCTACCCAGACCATCTAGATGCATTTACGACGACGGTCATCCCTAGCCCAAAGTTCCCAGGCAGGTAGGGCGTTATGCTGTTGGAACCAGCGGCTTTTTTACAGTCACTAAGTATTTTCTTTTCTTTTCAGGTACGATGTTCTTGAAGCCCGTGCCGGAGATGGGTCTTGGCGACCGGTTGCAGTACCTAGCCGACTATACAGCAAGCCAAATGAGACGTATCCCTTGGCAGGAAGAAGATTGCCAATCAAGGACAACTTTCGGCTTGCTTGGGTCAAGACAACGCAGTAAGACCGAGCATTTTACGAGTTGTACGGCCCTGATACGGAATCGGCCAAGTATGTTCAACACCTGATCAGCCTTGGTGCAGTCATTGTCGGGAAGACCAAACTTTGTGCTTTCTCATCAGTTAAGCTAGATCACTTTGAAACTTCAGGCAGCTTTATTCCGCAGGCTTACACATCTACTCCAGGGAGTGACTCAATGCTTGTCAGCCTTGCAAAAGAAGCTCTTTCCAAGGCACAGTGGCTTACTTCTGTCTTAACGGGAAGGTACACATTTGCGCTGGGAGATCAAATCGTATCTTCAGCGGATGGTGCTTCTGAAGAAACACTTACTAGACTACTAGTATATACTAGCCAAATTTCAAGCCCCTATCTGATGTAAACCCTCATAAATTGAAAAATATCTGAGGATTGTGGTGTTTCCTTCCTAGTTCTATCAGCCGCGGTTATTTCGATAGCCAGCAGCTTTCAACATTGCAAATTCTTTGCCCTCCACCGTTCCTACTAGTCCTGTAATTCAATATAAGCTAATTCAATGAGACATAGAGTTGAGCTGAGAAAATTACATGACAAATTGCGTCTTTATAGTAGAAGTCAACATTGAAAATTGTTACTACAAGTCCAAGAAAAAGGTTAATTTACTAGTGGCCTGGCCTTGATTTTTACTGGTCAGTGATAACGCCGATAAGCATAATCTGTAGTTGACTGCCTAATTGAGATATAGGTTAGGGTATAGGGCACGCCCTTTGTTTACCTTCTCAGAGCCTCATTTCTGCCTGGCAGTCGTCTTTGTGATCCACTGAATTTGCTCAACCAAATTCATAAAACTACCTTTCCTTCCTTGCACAATTGGATCAAAACAAATCAGAATAAAAGGAACATATCGCAGCAACAATGGAGCAATATCTTATGGCTAATGTTCCACGTTACCAAACTTTGATCGAAAGATTCAAGAAACCGCCGTATAAAGCGACCAATGGCAATGATACTGAATCAAGCTCAGAGATGGTCATGACTACGCGTATTCGACCACTGTTGGAAGACGAAGTTTCTTCGGGGCAAGTGGTAGCCATCTATCCCCGCGATGACAGGAGTGGGGTAGTGGATCTCCATGAATTGAAGCGGGTCGTCAGGGGCCTCCCCACTTTGAACGTCAGTCCTTTGATCCACACAAAATGCATACTTGATTACAAAGGCAATTGTATACTAACGAAGGTCGGAGTACTAGTCTTCCAATTTTCGCGTTGGCAAGGTCTTTGGACCGGATCAACCCACCGAGGCGATTTATGAAGACACGGTGCAACGACTCCTTCCTCATGCCTGGGATGGGAATATCGGAACACTCTTTGCCTACGGTCAGACGGGGTCTGGAAAGACATTTACCGTGAGCGGACTTGAGCGATTGATTGCCAAGTCTCTATTTGATGGGAAACTCGCCGGGGAACGGAAAATCCATGTCTCTATTTTCGAGATAGCAGGCAACTCAGCCTTCGGTAATACTATACGGACTTGACGTGCGAGTCCTGGGGAATCAAGCTGATGCAATGCCGAATTAGATCTTCTCAGATCTCACGCTCCCTTCATGATCCTTGAAGATTCCTTCGGCGATACCCAGCTCGTCGGTATCCAAGAAATACTCGTCCAAAACACAACTGAGCTCCTCGCCCTAATTGACCAGGCAACATCGTTCCGTCAAACAGCATCTACAGAGAAGAATGATGGCTCGTCCCGATCCCACGCTATCTGTCGCATGCGAATCGAGAACCCTGCCCCCGAAGCTATCGAAGATGGAATATTGTATCTGATCGACCTTGCCGGCTCGGAAGCTGCTCGGGATATCGCCAACCATACCGCCGACCGCATGAAAGAGACGAAGGAGATCAATACCAGTCTTTCAATTTTGAAAGATTGTATCAGGGGTATGGGTGATCTGGAACAGGCAGGTCCTACGGGAAAATCTACCAAGAAATCATATATCCCTTTCAGACAGAGTATGTTGACGAAGGTGCTAAAGCATCTGTTTGACCCAGAAGGCAATCGGAAGTGTCGAACTACCGTTCTTGCCTGCGTGAGTCCGAGTTTCTTGGATACCGGCGCAACCAAAAATGCACTTCGATATGCCGAGATGTTGCGGGTTGCCCCGCCGACTCACAAGGCTTCGGCGTATGATCCTGCGAATCCGAATACTTGGAGTAATAAAGATTTGCGGACTTACATTAGGATCAAGGTTTGTACCAATCAGTACCTTGGTTCTATGTTACCAATCAACTTGAGTTGTTTATGGTGCTGACACGCTTCTTGGTCATAAGTCTGGCAATCCGTCAATTACCCCCTCTGACCTCGCACCTCATGAGTCTGGTGCTCAGTTGCTACGACTTTCGACAGAGGAATTCGTTGATCGCTGTCTGAAGACTCATGGCGTTACTAAGGAGCAAGCGGACATATTCTATGGAAATTTGTGGAAACTGCATATTGACTCTCGACGAGCTGCAATGAGAACAGTGAAATAACCGACAGGATTTACCTTCTCGATTTTATTGAATCTTGAATCTCTGCATTCGCAATTTGGAATGCAGTTACACACATGTGCCTCTATCTCGATCAAAAAGTTTCGGTGTTCGCAAATCTTTACATATTTCGAGCCAATCTCTCATCTTGAGTTGCTTGCCACGCAACAATATATTCAAAATGTTCTTCAAAGTTTCCTTTAGAACATGTCGGTTTCGAAATGTTGCCAGCACTTCAAGAGCCAATTCACTGTCCAATGTTAACATGGATACTATACAGGGTTAACTTTCGTACCCTTATTCCGCAGGCCCATTTCACGGGCGAGCTCTACTCAGCTGGTAGCATTCGAATAAGGATTCAATTGATATCTCAACTCAGTCATTCAATGAATAGTAATGCTAATGTTTCAGCTTCACATCGATCTGTCCCCTTCCCAAGCCCGCTGCTTATGGATCGTGACTTGCGTTCAGCTAAACAACATTTTACGGAGAGACTCCAAGGCCAATACTCTTTATTTTAGTCGTTTTAAGGTGTTCGGTCGTTGATCCTGGTTTGTGCAGACTTAGAGCTTTTATAGATTCAGTGGGCCGGGCGGTGTATTCTCACGATAACAACAGCGGCAGAATTGTGGATTTGACAAAGCGTCGAGCGAGCTTCCGACATTTCTCCTTCTTCCGACGGGGATCTTTCTTTTTGTTCTATATCCTACTTCAATAACACCATCAAAATGGCGACCACCCCTTTCATTGTCCCTGCGCTGAAGAAGCACACCGCAACGGTGATCATGGCCCACGGCCTTGGCGACTCGTATGTCCCTCACCCCGCCAACTAAACATCCGAAACTAGCCTAACATGTCTTTCAAAACGCAGCGGTGCCGGATGGTATGCCTCGAACCCCGAAGATCACCCCCGCGAACTCGGATACTTATAATGCATTGCTCGGATCAGGATGTCCCTCGCTCAGAACTGGCGCCGCCGCAACAAGTTCGACGAGGTCTCTTTTATTTTCCCTAATGCGCCCAACATCCCCATCACAGTGGTATGATGCGACATCCTGGTCCTGGACACAAATATCGTTCCGCGCTGATAATCACCAGAACTTCGGTATGGCTATGCCCGGATGGTACGACATTGCCAAGCTGGGTAGCGATGTGAGCTTTCCCCGCCAATGTTGAATGCCCTCCATACATACATCCGGCTAACAATGGACTTTCTCTGCAATTGTAGCTCGATTTCTCCGAGATGGTCCGCAACCAGGATGAGGCCGGTATCCTCCGCTCGCGCGATTACTTCAACACCCTCATTAAGGAGGAGATCAACAAGGGCATCAAGCCTTCCCGTATCGTGCTGGGCGGATTCTCGCAGGGAGGTGCCATGTCTGTGTTCAGCGGTCTGACGGCCTCGGAGAAGCTGGGTGGTGTTTTCGGACTTTCGTGCTACCTTCTGCTTAGCGACCGTATCAAGACCATGATGCCCGAGAGCTTCCCCAACAAGAACACCCCGTTCTTCTTGGCGCACGGCAAGGATGACGCCGTTGTGAAGTACCAGTTCGGCAAGATTTCCTCCGAGAAGGTTCGGGAGTTGGGTGCTGAGGATGTTTCGTTCAACTCTTATGAGTATGTTTTCTTGCGATTGTTTGGGCAGCTGGGCGATTTGCTAACTGGTTTATTCACTAGGGATCTTGGACACTCGGCGGATCCTCAGGAGATTGCTGATCTTGAGGACTTCCTTGAGAAGGTGATCCCGGCCGAGAATGCTGCTGGTTTATGAATTGATGAACCCCGTACTATGAAGGCTGTGAGTGGTGCGGACTGGGGGCTCACGCTGGTTCTTGGGCTTGTGGTGCTACTTGCTGCGCTAGCCTGGGCCAAATCGCGATCCCGATCCTCGCAGAATGTAGAGAAATCCCACTAGATTTCCATCCGCGAATATAAATGTCTCTTCGATAGAAATCACACCAGACCACCAAAGAACATGCGTGGCATATCGATGAATTGTATATAACTCCCTGCAATAAACTCAAAAACCAGCTCCATCTCCAGAGCTCAGCCTCACATCCACAAACCCATGCACATAAACCGCAATTTAATACCTCACAGCCCTAGCAACCGCCTCCTCAATGACCCGCACCATAGCGTCTGTATTCTTCGCATCAAACGGAACCATATGCTTCGAGCCATGATCATAAAAGCTCGCCTTAGATGGCTCACAAAGCTTATAAAGCTCCATACTACTTTCATAAATCGAATCCAGCTTACCCACCACATTAGCCGTGGAGATATTAATCGGGAAAGTATCCGGCTCGGCCTTGACAAGCATCAAACCGGTTTCCTCCCAGGGCGCACCTCCGCACAGGAACACGGCCACGCGGAAGAGAGGCGGCGCACCGGGCTTCGACTTTGCGTGGTGGATTATCATCGCGGCGGCTAGGGCTGCGCCTTGCGAGAAGCCCAGGACGGCGTCGAAGGGTCCTTGTTCGGCAATTATGCGGTTCGTGTGCTCGATTGCTTCTGCGACTGTTGCGCCGGGGGACCTGTCGCGGTCGTAGTGGTTGTAGAATGGACCATCTACTACGCCTTCGAGTTCTATGTAGTTGACGGTTAGTATTTTGGAACGTTGGTACATTTGAGCATGGGTGTTGCTGGATTTGGGGATTCAGATCATCGGAGCGGGGGTAAGTGGGGAATTTTGTTTTTTGGAGATCATGTTTTTTTTTCTTGGCTTCGTACCCCCCTCAACTGGCGCAACGAATTTGCCATTCATGAATTTAAAAGTGTGTCCATTTCGTGCCAGTTGTTGTCTCAGGCCACCTGTTTGGATCTCGAGGATCTGGGAAACGCATCTCGTCAGCTTGAGCCAGTACTCTTTGTCGGACATGAACATGCACTTACCTCGGTGTTGGTGCTCGCACCGTGTAGACACAAGAATCTCATGATTTCCGTCTAGTTTCAATAGAGTATAGTTTCCAAGTCTGTATAGAGAGCAGATGCGAGAAGAAAAGCGCAAAGGGCGAAAAGTGAGCTGAGAAGTGGGAATGAGGGCGGTTTTCAAATTTCAGCTCCGGTCTCGTGTCTTCTGCAACTGGGGGCGATGACGGTCCGGACTTATATACGGGCTGGGCTGGTGGATCTTCAATAGTCGCATGTGCATGCAGGGGGGCCAATTGGTGTAGCCGTGCGGAAAAGGAATGCAGCGAGATCGGACGATCGGAAAAATTGAGGGATTCGCTTGGCGAGATTCATGTGAAGATTGGGAAGCGCCAAGTATGAAAAACAGAAGAAAAAGAAAAAAAACAAAAGACGTCAGTAGATTGTGGAAATGTTTATCTGATTTGATTTCAATCAAGATAACTTAGATAACAGATAAGATTTGGCAGATAGATCCCGGGAGATTGCCGAAAGTGGAACAAGCCATTGTTTGCTGCTGCTGCATCTATAAATACTGTAATTGACAAACTCGCCATCTTCCTTCGCCATCCTCCCTACCCATCTTCATTAACTGTTCCATCATGTTTCATCATGAGTTTCAAACCTGAAACTATGCCGAACACAGACGATCCAGGACTGGACTCTATGGCAGATGTAGTACTAGCAGACGAATCAACTTCCAACACATTTGTGAAGAAGTAAGTGCTTGATAAAACTGAAAAGATGGTATCTTAACACTATGATCTGCAGACTCCTTCCTCTCTATCAAGGTCCTACAGTCCAAATCCGAGCTCTGCGCAGAATCTCCAGTCTTTTCAGCGATGTTCGGAGGGAGATTAGAAGAGACTCAAGAAATGACAGTAACTCTGCAAGCGATGAAGGACGTTGTGTCCACTCACAGTGTCGAAGCACTGATTCAATGGCTATACCTTCGGGTTGCCAAATTTGACATCAAAGACTACGCAAAGTATATCTCAGCTGCCATTGAACTCGCGAGGCTAGCAGACAAGTATGTGCAACATCAACAATGGTTTAGAATACAAGATTACCCAGCACATTCGACAAGTCCTTATCTGGGGCGCTAAGTCAACGCAGCTGGGTCAGAATTACCCCCAGTACGTTAGAAACGAGCACATTGCCTCAGCAACCCTTCTTCCGCTTCGCCATTCTGTACGCCGTATCATCGTTCAGGCCTGCGTTAAGGATCTTTTTACAACGCGATGCCCCGATTTCATCGATGGCATTGAAAGTTCTCCTTGCTTTGGATCTGACCTCCTCCAAGAGGTGAGATTGGCACTGGGATGCATCACATGTCATAAAAGGTATTATCTCGTCAAAGACCCCATCAGTGGAATGACAATCGAAGTGCGTCCAACCTAGGAAGGCCCGAATCCTGATTAGTACCAGAATAGGCCAGCGTAAGTTCTGGGGTCGCAGATGCCGAGGTAGTTTGCTGAAATCTTTGTTGTGAATGGTCGTCCGGTTCATGGATCGCTTTTACAATACGTGTTGCTTAGATTTACACCATAGTTCTCCTTTGAGAAAATCTATCAATCTTCAAAATAAAACCTCTGCCGGAGTTCATTTATATCCCTAAACTCACACGCCTAAACATCAGTTACTTGAAGCAGCTAGTATGGGTCTGTAGTAGTCTTCCAGAAATCCAGGAAGATATCCCTCATCTTCAGACTGGCAGTGATCGGAATCTTCTTCCACGTGTTGCCCAAATCGAACTGGTTGTTTTGCGAGGGAACATTGGCCGCCCAATAGGGCAGCGTTACATTAGCCGAACCTCCTTTGTTGGGATTCTGAGTCTTGACGAAGTTGGCCCAGTACGACGACATCTTCTCAGCAACTTCATAGTCGGTCTCGTCGTATGTTGACGACTGGGCGTAAAGGTTGCCTAAAGCGTAAACAACCTCGGAGCCATGAGTAGCGCCACCACCGTTCGAGCCCTGGTAAGTCCACAGGTAGTTGTAGATGGGCTGATCTGAAGTGTTGCTCCAGCGGTTGGCGAAGGACCAGGTGGAGGTGGAGAAGCCAGCCCGCAAGATCGTGTTGTATGCATCCGTGGCGGCTGTGGTGTTGCTAGCCGGGTTGAGAGCCAAGAGATCGTCGGCGAAGTCACCGTACAACGAGGCAATTCCTTCTTTATAAGCAGACACGTTATACGTGGTGGATGAGTCGATGCCATCCTCGTCGGCATTGTTACCAACCAAGATCGGGACGTTGTTTGGCGCACCCTCCTCCAGGCTGACGATGTACTTGTTTGGAATGGAGTGGTAATTCAGCACAGGGTCGAATCCAGTGAAGGCCGACTCTCCAGTTCCGGTGAGCAAAGTCGCGAGATCCAGAGCTCTCAGCTCGGCCAGGCTAGACACATTCAACGAATCATAGAACGCGTTGCTGAAATCGAGCATCCAGGTCATGTTACGGTAGTCACTTCCGAATCCCGACAGGTCTGGGTCATATGGGTCCTTGATGCCACTCTCGGCAATCGCTCCCTTAATTAAGCCCTTGGAGAGGTGGCTGTTAATTAAATGATATGTCGCTCCGGAACCAAATGACTGGCCAGCCGCAGTAATCGCATCGGGGTCACCACCAAAAGCCGCGATGTTTTCGTGGACCCATTTGAGAGCTGCAATTTGGTCCAGCAGACCATAGTTGCCCGTCACGCCACTTTCCTTTTCCAGCTCGGCCAAAGTGAGCCAGCCAGGGGCTCCACTTCGGTAGTTGTAGCTGACGAAGACAACGTCTTTGCCTGCCATACCGCCACCGTCATAGTTCGACTGTGAGGACTGGCCACCGGCAGCATAGGACCAGAACATAACGGGAAGTTTGGCATCAGCGGAGGTTGCCGGACTCCAGATGTTGATGCTTAGACAGTCTTCGCCGATATCGTCTCCGGTCGACTGATCGGGACAGGAGAGTCCGAATGAAGTGGCCTTGAAAGTCCCGTTCCAGGATGGGGCGGGCTGGGGTGGTTTCCAGCGGTTATTTCCACCAGTTGTTGGCGCATATGGAATGCCCTTCCAGACGGAGATGTCCTTCCAGTTGGAGATGGTGGATGGGGCAGTGCTGGTATTGAAAGCTGCAGCTCCTTGCAATTTTCCCTGAGGGAGTTTGATGGTTTGGTCATACAGAGCTGCATCTGCCGCGGCCAGCAGGGCAAAGATGCTAGTTCCTCGAGCGAGGTGTTCGGATATCTTCATCTTTCCGGTAGCGAATGGGAATTGGATGGCAATGATCTGATTTCGAAGAACCATCCATTACGCCCGAGGGATTGGGGGTTTTTATAACCTGGATTCGGAATCATAGTGGCACGACGATGATATGATGTCGGAAACAAGCAGTATTGCAGTGGCGGGGTACGCAATACCTTGGCAGGTGAAGATTTCTGTCCTGCATCTTGGTCCTGCGACGATCTCTGGAGTACATGACGCGTCCAGCTACTATACACTCTATTCTTCTCGGAGATTGTTTCAAATCAGAGTAGGGACCGCGGGATCTCGCAGGATTGATCGTTGTGAGGAATGTTCCCGCGATTCTATGCAGCCAAAAATTGTATCTATGTCAACTCGGGTTAGATTCACTGCATGTTTGGAGATGATGTCGGTGGACGGAGGATATTTACAGTCCGATAATTGTGTCCTGAAGATCAGTGGGGCTCTCTTGTTGCTAATCGATGGAAGTCTTCAGAGTAGATATCGTGCTTTGGTCTTAAAAACTGTTACCCTGTGGCGCTGGTGCAGTAAATAATGCTTCAGATTATCTTGAATTTTTGTCTTCCACTATTTCTGGGTCTAAACTCATTGTTTCGTCGTCAAATGTAAGGATGACAAAAGAGCCGAACGTGGCTGCAATTCTCCGAACCACGGGAGTATGAAAAGCACCAATCGGGCAATTATATCCGAGTGATCAACATCAACAGCAAAGTACAGCTGTACGAAAAGAAGTTGAATTCAACAAGTCGAAGGTGTCATGGTCAAGATGAGGCATTGTACATAGTACTTCAATATTTCTGACAACATGAATTTCTTGTCTACGAGAAAGATGATTGATTGCCGATTCCTTCCTACAAGTTACACACAAATAGAAATTTGCTAAAACATCCATGTTTTTTGGTGATTTTGGTCTTAGTAACACTTTCAATTTCAAAAGGACCGTTCAACAGGTTGATCTTATCAAAGTCACGCCACCGTTCGATGGCTTGTGGGTCATTGTTCAGTATGTACTAGTAGTTAGTAGCAGTGGGGAGCTAAGCAGCACCGGCAAGCTCCACTGCAAATCTTCTTGCTCCATACTAAGCCTTACAGTGATGAGCTAGAGATTGCTTCTTATTTATGTAGTAAATAAACCAGCCTTAGAGAAACTCCAAGATCAATTCTTGACAATCAATTCCAACCACATAACTGCTCTTGAAAAATAGCGTTGCTCGTCAACCTCGGGTATATTGTCAACAGACGCCCATTAGCTTCTGATTAGGTCGTATTTACTAACCACTAGCTTCAACCTTGGAACTTCCCGTAGCAACTTTGGAATCAACCAAGCATGAAAATACCCCTCAACTGATAGCAACTCACAACATGGACGTTCGCGATCTTATTGTCGGCAGCGGTTTCCTATCTTACGGCTTATGGCACCCCCTGGAGTCCCTCTCTAGCGTCGGGCCGACGCTAAACGAGGCCACCTTCGGCCTGCTGGGATCATCCTTCAAGCCCGAACGCGACATCCCTAGCCTAGAGGGCAAAGTCATCCTAGTCACCGGAGGTAAACAAAACCTTTGAAGCTCGCAAACCATTCCCTGTTTCTTTTTTTCTTTGGTTTTGGTTTTTGCCCACTAGTTTTAAATGCATCCACGCTAACAACCACCACCACATCTCCAGGAAATGCGGGGATCGGCCAAGAAACCATCCGCCAGCTCTCCAAACACCGCCCAGCCCGAATCTACCTCGCCGCCCGAACCGAAAGCAAAGCCCACGCCGCCATAAAATCCATCCAGAGCGAACTCTCCTCCCCGGCCGATATCCGTTACCTCCCACTGGACCTATGCTCCTTCAAATCGATCCGCGCCGCCGCGGCCCAGTTCCAGGCCGACTGCGACCGCCTGGACATCCTGATCCTCAACGCCGGCACAATGGGTAACCCGGCGACAACAACGGAGGATGGATTCGAGGTGCAGCTCGGCACGAACCACGTCGGCCACTTCCTGCTCACGAAGCTGCTGCTCCCCACGCTGCAGGCCACTGTCGCGCGGGATCGCGCGAACGGCGTGACCCCCGACGTGCGCGTGTTGAGCTTAGCGTCTGTCGCGCACGCGGTCAGCCCGACCACTTTTGGGGAGATTACGTCTACCGAGTCGCTTCTGGCTGCTAGTACTTGGTCGCGGTATGGTGGGTCCAAGGCTGCTAATATTTTTTTCGCGAGGGAGCTTGCGCGCCGGAATCCTGAGATCTTGTCTGTTGCTGTGCATCCCGGCGCTGTCGATAGTAGTTTGTATGGGCATACTAAGGCTATTGGGTCGTTTGTGAAATATGCTACTGAGGCCACGGTCTCGCTTTTCTTTCGGCGGACTTCCAGTGGTGCTTTGAATTCGCTGTGGGCTGCTACTACCGCGAAGGAGAATCTGGTCTCTGGCGCTTATTATACACCTGTTGGATATCGCAGCAAGGGGACTACTTTTGTCCAGGATCCTAATATCCCCGAGAAGCTTTGGGAGTGGACTGAGGCGCAGATTTCGGAGCGCAGCTAATCTTGATATCTGCAGCTATTTGAACTCACACTGGACATTTATTACTACTTTTTGGCCACGAACTATATCCATGAATGAATCACGGCTAGATCTGGTTAGCCCGATCTGCTGGGAAGCTAGGCTCTACTGCATCCAGAGGGCCTACTGCCGTACTGTCATTTACATACACACAGAATCTACTACTATTATATACTTGCCTCCCGGGCTCATGGGATGAATTTTCAGGTAGCATCGCCAACTGTGCTTTAACTTCAGACTATTCAGCCGCCATCTTTCCAAGACCATTTGTTTATGTGGCATAAATCCTGATTTGTACTATTTCCCAGAATAACAATAAGCTTAATTGAATCCTAGCTGGCGCATAGAGAGACTTGAATTAGAATTTCTCGGCGCCAGAGCGCTGGAAGAGCTTGGTTGGGTGAAATTAGGCGCCAATTTCAAGACTTACTTGTATTATGTTATGAACTTGTATTATGTTATGAACTTGTATTATGTTATGAAATAGAAGGTCTTTATTTGAAGGAGTATAACACCAGCTTCACTTACACATATTATCGTGATGCATTTGCAATAATTCCTCATGGGATACTGGCAAACCAGTATATAAGTGAATCTTTAAAGTGATATGCCAGGCTGCCAAAAATAGATCAACGGGCTGCGCGAATAAGGAAATAATGAAATGCCTGAATTACCATTGTTCACAATCAATTTCACAAGGAAAGCCTGGCTCTTTGGCTTGTACTTTGTGTATCTGTATATTCTGGCTAGAGCCCTGGAGGCTGGAAGGAAAGGAAGAATCCACAAGTTTCACAGATAGGGAAAGAATCAAAGTGGGCTCTGATAGTGTGGGTGAGCGGCGTCTGTCCGGCAAATTCAAAGCGGCGAGCAGCGGAAGGAAGGCAGTAGGTAGCGGAAGGAAGGCGGTGAGGAGTGGGAAGTTCAAAAACCGCGCATTTCCTATATAAGCCCTCACAGTAAGTAGCGGAAGGAAGGCGGTAAGGAGTGGAAAGCTCAAAAACCGCGCATTTCCTATATCAGCCCTCACAGTAAGTAGCGGAAGGAAGGCGGTGAGGAGTGGAAAGCTCAAACCCGTTACCCGCCCATTTCATACATCAAGTCCTCCACTCCTAAAATAATTATTTTCAGCCTCTATGTATGTTCTACTGTAACTTATTGAAATATTTAAGGACAAAAATTATCGATCCTATTGGTTGCCACAGCCCACACTGTGTGGCATACAATTTCCCCACTATCGCTCGGATAAATCGGGTCTGAGTCACAGAGTCAGAATAATAATTAGCGCTTACATTTCATCTGCTCAGTAATACAAGAGGTGAGTGGTAGTAGGTACTGTATCTAAAGGATGATATGAGGTAGAATTTGAAGGAAAACCAGGTTCCTTAGGGAGATTATAACCTGCAATTCAACATTTGATGTAGTATATACTGTCTTTCTGTGTAGGAATAGTTTTCATAAGCTAGGAGATTTCTGAGTTGCAGAGTTTCAAATGAATTCCCGGGAGGTATTGCATACCTGAGGGGTGTATTCGCATCCTGTGAATGTTAGCAATGAACATATCTTTTTTTAGTGAGACATTCATTCTTCCATGATTAAGATATAACGCATGTTTTTTTTTTTTTTTTCTTTCAATTCATTCATGGATCTATCAGGTTTTTGGACCAATTTTCTAGTAGGGCACTGGTCGATAAATAACGCATACTGGACCGTATTTAGCTAGCTTATTCTGTCCTCCAAAGTCAAGCCTTTCGTAGCTGCATGTGCACCCCTGGCTGCTGTCGTGGACATTCTTCAAACTGGGAGCTCACTCTATAAAGCAATTAAAATGCCTCATGTGCTGTCTACCTGTAAATACATTATGTGATTCTTAAAATAGTTTTTTCATGAAGATTCAGATGGTTTGTTCAACCATACCATGTAGCTTCTAAGTATACGATCAAAATGCAATGTAGAAATACCTGCACCACATACTATATACAAGCTCATGGAAGTCGTCATTATCACTTTTAGTCTCATGCAAGGCCTCCCGTTGAGGCTAAGAGCCTCCAGATGTACAATGAAAAAAAAATCTCGGAAGTCCCCCAAAGCATCGACCACTGGACACTTCGATGCTAATGAAGAGGCCAATCGGATATTCAAAGAACATGAAGTCTGTAGCTGAGCCATCGACAATGGCGTCGGGTTAATCGACTATAAGTAGCCGCTGTATTTCTGCTAAACTTGAGTTTTCATTCCATCTTATACTTATTCTCAAGTGCTTCCATGTTCTTCATTGCCCTCATTGTAGGTCAGAATACCGCCAGAATGATTGGGGCTATCTTCATTTCCGTCAGTGCTTTTTTCATCAGCCTCGGACAAACGGCAATTATTCCTCTTCCTTCAAGCACCGGGCCATGCGACGTCACCCTCCAAGCAAGCGAGCTAGTCGATCAGTCTCGAGTCAATCCCTTTAACCCAAAGGATGGAAAACGTGCTATTATGGTCACCACATTTACGCCTTTCAATTGCGGGGATGTACTTTCCTCCTCCTACCTTCCGAATGCAACGGCTTTGTACGAGGATGAGTACTTTCAGTCCTTTGGACTACCTTCAGGAACCTTCGAGTCCTTTCGTATCCAGACTCAGGCACAGCAGCAACAGACTTCCAGTCTTCGCGGAGGTTATCCACTTTTGCTTTTCTCCCCAGCCGTGGGAGTTTCAAGATTGATGTACACATCGCTACTGCAAGACATTGCCAGCAACGGATTTGCCGTTGTCTCTGTCGACCACCCTTACGATGCGGGCATTGTCGAATTCCCCGATGGCAGCGTAATTCTGGGGATCATGGCAAATATCACAGATGCACAAACTCTCGAAGCAGTGAATATTCGCGTCCAAGATATGATCTTTGTACTTGATCAAATTCACAACGAAACAGCGGTCAAGGAAATATTTCCTTTGTCACTGGCGAATTCACAATTACTCTCTCTTGATCGACCAACTATCATCGGTCACTCTCTTGGCGGAGCAACAGCCGCCCAGACTATGTTTGTTGATAATCGATTTGTTGGGGGTATCAATTTAGATGGTACACTGTGGGGTTCTGTCGTGAACAAAGGACTGTCAAGTCCCTTCCTACTTTTCGGTCACTCAAATCACACCCAGGCAACAGATTCCACCTGGGCAACATTTTGGTCGAATCAACAAGGATGGAAGCTTGAATTACAACTCGCACAGTCAGAACACTATAGTTTTTCTGACTATGCGGTTATTGTCGATTCTGTGAGTGTCTCGGTCGATGTTAGAGAAGTAATCCAGGCCGGTTATATTGGGACGATAGGTGGTTTGCGGGCTAAGAATGTCGTTGTTACATACATTGCTGCTGCACTGCAATACTTTGTTTCTGGAAACACATCGGACTTACTGGATGGCCCTTCAGCCTCATATCCTGATGTAACATTTGTGTCTTCCTGACTCTAAGGCTTTTTAAGTGTGGATTTTTGATATATACAGGTATATAGTACTCCTAGATGCCTACGGTAATGAATCACTGGTGAATTCGCACATGTGCAACTACTGTCTCTCAAGTGCTTGATCAACCAACTATCATAGGTCTCTGCTAGCGGAGCAACAGCCGCCGTGTATGGAAAGAGAGAGAAAGATATTAAACAGGGTTCGCCCAATCTGTCAACCGTACTTCCAACTCCACCCCTGTATGCTGAAAGGCAGCATCTCTCCAAGCCTGCAATACCGTATCATCTGGCGTAAACACGCCCATGGCGTCCCAGGTTGCCTTCGCAGTCATTCCATCGACAGTTGTTCCATCGACCTCATACTTAAAATAATGATAGGCACGAGCCTCCTTAGTCTGGATAGACATAAACTTGAGCCGGGGCATCCGCTGAGCCGCGCGGCCCGAGGACATATACAAGCCATTCATCAGCTTAGGTGATGCTTTCACTCGGAATGAGTTTAGAACACGATCCTCTGGCGCTCGCTGCTTATGCTCTGGCAGGCAATCGTCACGTTCAAAATTTGGCTCGAAATCGTCGTCCTCTGATGGATCTCGTTCAAATAACCATTCCCCAGATGGGGTGGTAATCCCACATTCTATGTAAATTGTGGTCAGATTTGGCCAGGAGGGGAGCTGCATATCATCTACATCCATAGAATTAATAGGCCAGAAGAGTTCTTTCCCCACCACAATATCGATAAGGCTCATGGAGGTAAGTTGCTGAGAAAAGTCACGTAATGAAGAACTAAGGGGGTCTTCTATCTTCCCATCTACCAAATTGGCAGGAGTAGAGTCCTCATTTCGGGGACGAATGCTGGTAAACTGAAGATAGAGTTCCTTGATTGAGGAAGGCAAGAGATAAAAGTGGCAAGCAAGATCTATATCATTTCATATTGTAAGCTCTCTTATACCAATCTCTCTCGGTTCATGATAGATTTACCATTTCGATTTTGCTTCCTTAAAGCCTTGTCTCGCTTTTCATTATCGGATAAGTTAAGACTGAGTCTATGTAACCTAGGGAGCTTTGATGTAATAAGGGCGCATGAGGCTGGGAGGATCAGCCGGCTAAGATGTAGATCTCCCATTGAGAGGGCTGTGACTGCATGAACCACTGGAAGGCACTTGAGATGGTCCTTGCTGAATTGCAGATAACTCCTTTCAAACCTCCGCCATCCAAGATCTTTTGTCGGATCTCTGCGAGCTTGTCTTGACCGTTGACGGTCCATAGCATCGCTAGGAGATAGTGCTTCAATTGATAGATTGATGCCTGGCTCATATGCATTTTCAGGCCAAGATTCGAGAGTGCTAAACAGCGACTGGATTGCCGGGACAAAGAGTTCATTATTCCGGCGGTGCTCCTCCGCAGTCTCGAACTCTGCACGAGCCTCAATGCTATATGGTTCCAAATCTATAATCAGATTGATGTTGCGGATACATGTCTTGCGTTGCGTGTTTTGAGCCACGATCTGCTTAAACGCTGCTAGTCGCTCTGAATTCAGATTGATGGTGTTGAAGGTGCGCTGCTCAATGATCAGCTGCCACTCTCGGCTGACAGTGGTATAGGGGGCAGGGTCGAAGCCTGGGTCAATAAGATAGGAGATCACTTGCTCAGTGAGCTCTATGGGCAGTCGATATTCTCTCATGGTAACTTTCTGGCCCTCGTCTCCGGGCAGTTGGTGAAACTCCGTCAAAAGAGGTGGATTGTTGACGGATAAAAAAGGGCCAATTCAAATCACGGAAGCTTTAAGCGGGGCAAACCCCACCAATACCGAATCTAATTCCACGCGGTAGACGAAAGTGCTAAAACATACAATCCAACGAAAAGAAGACGGTCTTTGACTCTTTATACCAAGGCTTTGTGAAACTTCGGCACTAGTTTAAAAATGCCGCGGAGTTGGCTTGTATACGTGTATGCCCTTGGTGATCACGTGTTATCATCACCTAATTCTGGGGGCCCCGGCCCCAAACGACGGGTTCGCAAAGCAGCATCGAACATACTAGTTCCCCATCGCCATGGCCTCTCATGCCGGAAAGCTCCCTTCGTGGCAATTGCCCCATGTTAAGTCACCTGGTTATCGTGCTCCGCCTACATTAAACGTCGTCTTCCTCTGTTGGCTGGAAGAGAGCCAGAGACGGGAGATACTCGACGAGCTGTGCTCTGTTGACAAGACATGGGTGGAGGACCAACCAGCTCTTGATCGTCATAGGCTGGTGCGACGCCTCACCGAAGTGCCCTGGCTCTCTGACTCTGAGCCTTCGCCAGCGTCGATACCATCCACCATATTCCAGATCTATAGGGCGACTAGCCACTGGCTTTCGTTGATATTTGTAGACAGACAGTCCGTCACGGATGGCACCGCCATTGTCCTCAGGGGTGAACATGAGGGTGGAGAGGCTGCGCGGGTACCGATGAACAGAGCTGTTCTGGCTCTGGCTTTGGGATCTGAGAAATCACTGGCTCAAGTCTTGTCAGATTTTGAGAGCGTTAAAATTGACCTCAGGGGGTTCCCTTCAGATACCATAAAGGTGAGTGAAACTTGGAGATGTCCTATTATGGCGGCTAGACTCGCGGGAAATCTCAGAACGCCATGGCAAGGACCTGATCGTGGAGATCACTAGGTAGGAAGAAGCGAGAGCAGATGACTGCCAGTGTATACCTAAGTAATGTCCCAGAAGGGAAAGTCTATGTACAGGCGGCGATGAGCGCTGAAACCTCAGGCACCCATTTTATCACCTATGTTACCACCTGATCGATCCGTGCTGACACCAATTTATCATATCTAATAGGGACAGGACGACAAGTCTGAGGCGAGCTGTTGGCTCCCCCCTCATTTACCCTCCGATCTCAAATCAGAGCCGTCAACCTTGGGCCTGATCTCTCTCGTTCACCTCACAGACGAGAAGAGGGATGAAATCAAGGCTGCAATTGGCGGCTCCGTTGACATTCCTCAGGTCGTCATTTACAACTGGCCCGCTGATCGGGAGCCTTGCTCTAGAGCGGAGTTATATCGCATTTTCCAAGCCACGAAGCCCCCTTACCAGGAAGCTGTGGACGAGACGTTTTCTATCTTTATCGACCGAGACCAGACGCGTGACGGAGCCTACTGCATCATTCTTGCACAAAAGACTTTCTCGGGCCGGAGGCCAATCGTCCTACACACTCTGCGCGACATAGGAGATGCTCTGGGTTTCTGGCATGCCATCTGGAACCCTTTCGAGCACGGTAGGCGCGGCACTCGGCTCAACAACGCCAGGGTTAACACGACGCTCTTCGACGGCCCTCTGCGGGCGAGGAAAATTCCATTCGAAGTTGTGCCCTGCCCAGACCATTTCAATTTCTCTACCGCCCAGAACGACTATTGCTGCTTCGTCCTCTCTCAAATGACGGAAACGCAATTCCGGCAAGTCCGCCAGAAGCTTTTCAGCGAGGTCGAGGATACAATGCAGTTTATTGACGTCGCCAACCTCATCCGGACGCCCGATATTCCGGGCCTGATGGCGTACTTCGAATCCGACCAGTATGTTAAATCGGGCCAGGATGAACTGCCCCAGTTCTTCCTTGCGATCGATGATGAGACCCTCGCAGGAGTGACAGACGGAGAAACCATGGATCTGGTCATCGTCGCAGACCGGCGGGCTTTCTGTGCAGACATATGTGATGAAAATGGCAAATGCTTTGGTTCTTGGTCGCCAGGCTACGCCTACAGCCGATTAGACGCCGAAATGGCTGTAAACCTCTGCACCAACCTGTCAGTCGGCAACATGGACTTTGTCGAATGCTGCGAAGACCCCGAATTTTCCTGCTGGAGCATGTTTCAGCGATGGAAGGATGCGAACGAAGGCGTCTTCGGAGAGACGCTCGGCAGAGTAGACGTAGAAGGCATGTGCCGTGATCTAGGGGACCTGTCTGCTTAGGTACCTTCCTCGTTGGTCTGATGGAGGCCTGTAACTATCGCTTGGTAAACTTCGGAAACATCTCGGTCATCACCGGGGTGCACATGTGTCGACCGCCGGAGCTTGATAGCCCGCTTGTTCATGAATAACGTAGTTTCGAAAATAGCGTTTTGGTTTATCCGCAACCGCTCAGAGCGATTTCAGGTAATTTCCTAATAACATCGAAACCGAAATGGACGTCTATTGAATGCATTTAACTTTATGCTATCCATCATCCTCCCAATACGGGACGCGACCTATTATGAGACCGAGTAGGTACCGAATCAGCTGCCTATTTATGTTCAGAATTCAAGTACCTAGTTAGAGATCATCTAAATCATCAGCTTAAGTTTAGTGATGGCAATCAGTATTATATGCCTATAGCTACTAATATCATCGAGGACCACAGGATCTCTCCAGACGTTTGCACGTCGGCCTTTCAGCGTTCCTTCGCTTCGTCTTTTCAGTTCTTCCTTTCTTCTCAATCCACTCCATTCCTTCAAATCTGATCGCATCTCCTGATCAAAAATGCTCCTCCGAATCTTTCCAGCCGACTCATGGTACACCCGGGTGTTGGCAAGGCAAGGGGCTGAAAATGGTTCACTTCTTCGTGGGCCAAATTGTTGCAGAATGGATTGTCAACAAAGCCACTTGCTTCCCAAGAAGATACCAACCAGCCATCCGAATCGAGCGAGAACTTGAATCAATCAACAATGAATTGAGGAGCCTCTCAGAGGTACCTGGCTCAGTGTTCAAATCGGCAGTGAAAGAAGTACAGACTCCCCGATGGATCGACTGCTGCAGTCTTTCCAAGGTTGCCCTCTCAACTTTTGGAGCTACGCGCATCGATCGATTCGCAATTGACTGAGAGGATGTGAAGCAACAAGGAGAGCCGTCGGATCCTCATTCAACAGATCGTGGCTTGAGTTTAGAGCCCGGAATTTGCTATTAAGTAGTACCTCTTCAGATTACAACGTCATGGTCAAAGGTTCCTTCCTCGGTTGATGTATTTGAGTTTGATAGTACAGAACACAAAACAAATCCATATTCCTAACACATCTAGTATTGAACATTCCATGCAGCCCATCCAACTCCACGTGTGTAAATGATTGGCTCTTTAAAATCATCCAGTACAGAAGATTCCACTGCTCTGAAATGGCGACAAGGGAGGCAAATTTCATCATGATGATCTCGATTGCAGTCATGATTCGCCTTCCATAAACAGTCGTCTGTATATGAAAATCCCCATCATGCTTTCACCTCTACAAGATCAGACTTTCCATCCCCGAACTTCCGCCTTCGTTAGATGTTCAAAGCCACACTCGCAAAAATGGGCCGCATCGTCGTTACCGGCGGCTCCGGCAAAGCCGGCCAATCCATCATCACCGAGCTCCTCGATGCCGGACATACAATCCTGAATCTAGACCTAGCACCCATGTCCCGTCCAGGCGTGCACACGCTCAGAACCGACCTCGCCGACAGCGGCCAGGTCTTCAACGCCCTCTCGGGCCAATGGGCCCTAACCGAGCCCTTCCCAAAGGGCCTCCCTCCTCCCCCGGACGCCGTGATCCACATGGCCGGGTACGCACGCAACATGCTCGTGCCAGACAACGAAACCTTCCGCGCAAACACGCAGGGCACATACAACATCTGCGAAGCAGCCTGCAAGCTTGGGATCCGCAAGATCATCATCGCCAGCAGCAGCACGGTGTACGGCGTTGCGTTTGCGCAGGGGGATGCGAATTATTCGTCGTTCCCGATTGAGGAGGATCAAGACGTTAATCCGACGGATACGTATGCGATTGCGAAGTTGTGCAATGAGCGTGTTGCGCGCGGCTTTGCGGCGCGGTTTGGGGCTGATATCTATGTGTTGCGCATTGGGCATGTTATTGGGCCGGATGAGTATAACGAGGAGATCTTTTATAGTTATGTGCATGAGCCTGAGCTGTGGAAGGTGCATGGGTGGGCGTATATTGATTCGCGCGATCTGGGGGGTATGTGTGAGGCTGGGTTGCGGACGGATGGGCTTGGGTTCCAGATTTTTAATGCCACGAATGATTCTATTACGAATCTGAGGCCTACTAAGGAGTTGTTGAAGGAGTTTTATCCTGATACGCCTGTTACGCGGGAGTTGGATGAGTTTGAGGCGCCGTTGACGAATGCGAAGATTAAGAGGCTGCTTGGGTTTGAGGAGAAGCATAAGTGGCGGAAGTATTTCAATCTGTGGGATAAGAAAAAAGTTATTGTAGATTAAATTGGAATGTTCTCGGGGTCTTATTGAAGCTTAAACATCTGTGCGTACTACTAGAGATATGACTTATTGAAGTACCATGTCAGAGGCAAAAGAAACTGTGCCAGGTAATCTTATGAGTCCGCCTTTCTCTCTGCTCAGATACTTACATCATTGGAACCTTGGAATGTCTTGAGAGGTTTGATACACTTTCACCTAAACTTTTACCAATATCAGGAATCAATTCATATCATCGTCCTCTTTCTCCATCTTCTCGTTCAGCATATCAATACCCGTGGTGCTCATCTTATGTATGAACCGGCTTGCATTGAGTGTACTTTTCAGATGACAACTTGGAGATAATCTCAACTCTTAGGGCATTGAAGAGATATCCTGCCTTTCCACACTTTAAATAGCGACAGTCATCAACCAACATTGAATCTCTCGCTCTGGTCCCATATTTAGGGAAGTCTTCCAAGGTTGCTGATAGACCAGTCAGACTTGAACCTAGACTCAACAGAGGAAGCAGATGTGGCCTTTTGCAGACCTACAAGCCGTGGTTTACCACTTTCAAATAGTACCATCTAATTTCTGATGTTTCTATTCAAGATTGTGATGACACTTGAATCATATTTCAGTGGCTCACTTGTTTATGCCATTGAGCTCTCCCCAGGGCGGTGGGGGAAAACGTACCAACTGTTAGGGTTTAGCCGAGCTTCATTTTGTATTTGCCCACAATCAAAACCACCACAGATAACTCAAATCCAAACAACTTCACGTTTAAGCAATCTATATACAATTAAATGATAATCTAATTCCGTGTAAACAAGCTCATCCTGTAGAAACGTAGAAATAAGCGGAGTTTCACAGTGGCGCATTAGCGAACCTTCCGTTTTTGTAACTCCCCACACAAAACTCTCCATAGTGCATCATCATCTTTCCCTCTTGAACTCGAATCCGATTACACACCTCCACCACTCACACTTCTTTACCGGTAAGAGCACCACCAGACCCCTGATTTCGCCCTGATTCTCCTGCAGGATTTCCGATTTGGCAATCCTCTCTTTCACCGGTCACTTGAATTCCCTCAAGACTTTCCCCCGCTGTGCCATTCGCTGTCGGTGATCATCGGCTAACCCGCTCAACGCTTCAGAAGACCACCCCCTCACAACCATCAAGATGGATCAAGCAAAGTTGGCTAGAATGCAGGCGAGCGTCCGTATCGGTAGGTGAAATCGTCTTGTCGCATCCTTGGAGAGTTTGGTGGGGTCATACCGAGTCGATTCAATTCGATACTGGGACGAAGCTCTGAGCTGGTGGGATATATGCGCCGCCCAGAAGTTTCCTCTCTCGCCTTGTTCTCGACTCGGAAGCATCCTACCAGACCGTCATGGCTCTTGTGAACTCTTTAAACTCCCTTTGGCAACGATTAGCTGACATTGTCGTCCCACCAGGGTACGTATAATCTTCAAATCCAGATATTTTGCCCGGCCCCTCCATCCCGGTCTTTCGCTCCATGGATTCGTGTGACGAGGAATTTCTCAACAACACCCGACTCAACCCTCGCTATCAAATCACCGACTTTATTTTACGCTGCTGTGTACTTTGACGGGGGAACTATGCGACTGTCGTGTTTTTCATCAACAATGGGATATTTGAGCTCGCACCGAATCCATGCCGACCGACCGCCGCAAAACCCACATCCATATTCACAACCACATCACAACCACAATTACAACCACAATTACAATCCTTGATTCCAGCAGAACTAACATTGCTTTTTTTTTTTCTTCACAGAGGCAAGGGTACTCCCCGCCGCAAGGTCAAGAAGGTCGTCCGCAACTCCGGTGCCGATGACAAGAAGCTGCAGGCCACCCTTAAGAAGATGAACGTCCAGCCCCTCCAGGGAATTGAGGAGGTCAACATGTTCAAGGAGGACGGCAACGTCATCCACTTCGCCAACCCCCGCGGTAAGCCTCCATCCAATCCAATCCAATTCACCCGCCGACCCAACCCCCGCGCAAAGCTAGGAAAAGTCGAGCGGGAAACCCTGTTTTTTTACCCCCCAAAAACAGAACAGAATTCCTACCCCAACCAAAGAAACTCAAACTAATCCCTTTTCTTTCCACAATTCAGTTCACGGTGCTGTCCCCTCCAACACCTTCGCTCTCTACGGTGAGGGTCAGGAGAAGGAGCTCACCGAGCTCGTCCCCGGTATCCTGAACCAGCTTGGTCCCGACTCCCTTGCCTCCCTCCGCAAGCTCGCCGAGAGCTACCAGAACATGCAGAAGGCTCAGGGTGGTGACAAGAACGACGACGAGGATGATATCCCCGAGCTCGTTGAGGGCGAGGACTTCGAGAGCAAGGCCGAATAAGTAGAGTAACGTTCAAAAATTTTGATCTATGATCAATGAAATGTATTCATCCGGTTCCAGTCCGTCTCCAACCGCTTCGAAATCTTCGTTCGGCTCTTATGTTTATTTTTATCTCTGAGGTGCGATCGCGATCGACTTCTTCCTATCGATGCGAGAGAGAGAATCAATCCATTTTCTTTTTTAAGGATTTAGGATTGGTGTTCGTGACTACGTAAAGAAGAGGGTATGTATGGAGAGGGATATAGAGTCCACGTATAGCTAGGAAGCTGGGAGACTGGAGCTTGAAGCGTGAAAGGAGTCCTTGTCGGACGGTTCATAATGTCTACGTCAATTTCCAAAGGACTATCGTACACCAAACAAAAAGCAGATCCGACGCCAATTAATGCACTATGAGTTCCCCGCTCCGGTCAACAACAAGCAAGGGTTTCGCTTGGGGGGAGCTTCTTTTCTGGCCCCCGGGATACAGCCAGGGGTCTGTATCAGTGCGGTCGTTTCTCCGAGTAGGAAATACCCGCAGAGAGACCACACGGAGAAAATATCAACCATATCACGCCAGTGACAGCCCATTCTAAGATTCCTCTTTCAGTCCACAGATATCGGTTCCAAGAACCTTATCCACCATGTACCAGAACCGCCAGTACGAGTTCGACTTGTCATAATCAAAGGCGCCGTCGTCGCTGAACTGCGGGCCATCACCCACGATATCACCAGTGAACCAGCTCAGAATGGGAATAGATCGTAGTACACGTTCGGTGACTGTGGGTTGGGGAGGGAGGGCTTCGGCGAGGGGGCGGAGCTTTGTGCGTCGGACGGTAGGGATGTGTGTCATGAATTCGGATTCCGGCTTGGGCTCTAGCACGGGGACGGGGATATTGCGCTGGGTAAGCGATGAGCTGCGGTCCAGGAGGCTTGTCGAGATGCCTGTCGCAGTAACGCTTGACCCTGTGACAGTACCAGAGGTAAAAGTAGCAGTAGATGACTCGAAGGACTCGAAGGACCCGGACTCGTCTGGTTCGGGAGCATCCACGACACTGGAGAGGTTATTCATGGCGAAAGAACGGGGCAGTGTGATGCGGTCTTGGTCCATGCTGGACAGGAAGGAGGTTGATTGTGTGGAGGTGAGAGTGCGCGGCGCACGGGTTCGTGGTGCTTGGTCTGCGGGGATGGCTACATCTTCTGAAGGGCCGTGGCCGTGGTACAGCTCGCAGAAAACAAGGTGACCGTCGACCTCCTGCGGGGAGTAAAAGCAGGCGCGATCGGCAGCCTGCGAGCAGTCGAATGTGACCTTGACCCAATGGTAGCCGCCGGCATAGCGCTTGGATTTGCGGTTCGCATCCGCGGAGAGGTTGGCGCGGATGACGACGTCGCCGCCGCTCAACAGCTGTGCATATTGGGATGTGGAGCTGGGGTCGCTGCGTGGGTAGTCTTCGCAGATCATGCCCTGGGAGATGCGCTCGTACTTGTCGATGACCTTCCACTCCACGTCCTTGGCCTTGTATCCGTAGAGGATACACTCGGTCGCAACCCTTTCTGTTTGCTTGCGTGGATTGTCGAGGCTGGAGGATGAGTTTGATTTGGGGAGGCCGCTGATCTTCTCGTCGTCAGCTCTTTGGGCGAATAGGCGGCCGAATTCGGCGACATTGGGGTTCTCGCGCTTGGCTGGTGTGCCTGTTCGTGTGCGGGATCGAGCATGTTCGTAGCGGGCATTTCTCCTCTTGCCGAACGGTCCTGATTCCTCTGCTGGTCGGCGGGGGTTGCGAGATTCACTAGGATCAATTAGTTGATGCATAATCAACGAAGGGGTTGTTTTCCAACTCACTCTTTGTAAACGTAACCCCAGGGCAAAAGGTTACCCTGCTCATCTCTGGCGCGCTCCTCTGGAGGGACGGCGTGGTACTCCATGGCGGGAAATGTACGGCGCAGGAGGATGATATATTTTGAATGAAAGCTTGAGAAGTAGCAAGATCGAATGAAATGGTGGATAGTAACGGGGATTAAAGAGTCCCGGGATGTCAAGCTTGAGATCAGCAACAAAAAAGGAAACTTTTGGTAAACAGTGGTTCGCTGGGATACGGGTCACATGATCCACTATCGCCGTCTAAGGCCTTAGGTGACAGGTCTAATAACTTCACCTTTTAATACAGATTGTCTCATTATCCATTACTTTGTCTATTTTCAGCTACCTTTCGTGACTTTTTCCCATTGACTGAACTGCATAGCTTAAAATGAATGGCCTATGACTCTTAACGCGATAATGTAATTTTGCAGTTTATATGTGCTTGCAGCTTCCGAGGTTGTGGATCGTGGCATTGAAAGCATACATAAACTTCCCCACGTCACTTACGAGTATTTAAAAACACCATAGTGTTCTTTTTTTTTACCTTAAACATGTCTTAGACATTCACGAAATTCTGCCGGGTAAGTTTGGATCATTTAATGTTTGAGGCGAACATTTGAAGTGGGTGGTTGGCCACTATAAACATTGCACTATAAACATTGAAGGGATGATGTTGCATACATACTAGTATATACATTATCACTTCTAATCATAAATACTTTTTTCAACTGAAACGTAAATTCCTTTTAGATAGTGGCAAACCTATGTAGGAAACAGCTCAAGAAATTCAATATGTACATAGGGTGACACGGGAGTTTAGACACTTTTGTTTCGCCCGCAAAAATGGGCAGAACCCACTAACTTTGATCTTAGATATCTTACTAGTAGTGAGTTTATATGTAAATGACCCTATTTACAAGCTTGTTTGTCAGGCAACTAGTGACCCATATTCTCTTCCTTTCCCATTCTTACGGTGTTACCATCTGTTTGGTCACATTACTGACCTCATTGTTACAAGTACATTTAGCTCATAGTGACCCTCACGGTCATATCACTTTCCTATATATTATACGAGGGGCCCCTCTAGATAGATTTAGCATACATATACCACCTTACCATCAAGCCTTACCAGCCACACAACAGTGTCCTTTGGCACCAGTCAGAGTAACAATCAACTCATCCCAAACAGTACTCCCAATTCCTCTGAATTTATCTTCTGATAAAACAATGGCGAGCCCAAAAAGCAACCAGGGTTTTGGAGGTTTTAGTCAAGAGGAGATCGATCGAATGATTAAGAGTGCGATTAAGAGAGCATTCAGCCGGCCTGAAGTGCAAAACAGAGGCACTACTGACCCAGTCGGACCCTAAGGCACAATTCATACAATCACGTCCGGAGAATGGAAGCCTGCGGATATCGGGTTCTTCGACCCTTTAATCAAAGACCCCGGTGGTTTCACCCTTGTCAACGGGATCGTTCATTACACAAGTGTATACACTTTCGTTGAACGGATACATCATTTAGCATCATTGAAACCGGAAAAGGCTGTACGTGCCCAACTTCACTCCTGTTTGAAGAACGATGCTCTTTCGTGGTACACTGGATTACTGGACATTGAGAAACGGCTCTTGACATTAGAGACCCTTCAGAACGGTTGGTTTAAGAGTTTGATCGATAAATTCAAGCCTCATCGGTGCGAGACCCTTAGCGAGCTCGAATACGCTTTCTATGGATGGCCACAGATCAGAGCTGGTAAGACTGCCCATGAGCATGCTTATAACATTATACGGCTGCTGAAGGCCTCCGGGACATATTCCGAAGCAGATCAAGTACAGCGCATCATCGATTCCCTGGATGGCGGGTTGAGACGAGACCTACTCCCTGCTGATAAGAGCATAAGTGCCTTTATAGAAAAGCTTGATTTTTACGAGCGAATCTGGCGCCGCCAGAGCACTGAGCATACGTCTGGGTCCTTGCAGAGCTTCGTTCAAGATGTTTAATGTTGCTACTCTACCTTTAAGTTGAGGATTGAAAGGTTGATTGAATTTTATCAGCAAACAGCCTGTAACTGGTGGCAACCCCATAGCAAAAATGCAAACTTTTATGAATTAAATCTTTAGCAACTTAAAAACTATCTATTAATATAAATTTACTCAGATAGCTTCAAATGTTTGGTTGAAGAGAGTACAAGAAATAAACTGGATAAAAGGAGGCTCTTTCGGTTTCTCTTCAGCTCCATACACCGGGAGCGAAGTGAGAGCAGGCACTTTGATATTTTGAGCAATACGCAGTTGTTTGCGATCGTTTACTGTGAGTTTGACCAGAGAAAAGCCTGGTTTGTATTATAAGTGTACCTACTGACTAATTGGTTATAAGGAGACCACTCAAATCTCTACGTTGTTATTTCACTTGTCTTGCGTTATTTAGATTCCATTTAAGGTGAGCAGCAATCACTGACTCATAAAGAGAGACAAGACAGGAAGCTCGACATATAGGCAGCGATAATCCAACGGGCCTGGCTTTTAGGCAATGATACGAGCTCAAGCTGTGTTTGGTACAGCCAAACACAGCCCGTCATGTGATGGCAGCACTCGAATTCAATTGAATTCTGGAAGTCTGGAAGTCTGAACTTCAGGCTTCCATACATGACACCCCGCCTATTTAAGATTTTTCCTTCTCTCCTGTTTCACTCTTTCTCCTCTTCTTTATTGTCTGTGTTTTTCTCATTTCTTCATGACCAGTGTCATTTCCTTGACGCCTACTTGCGTATCACATAGCCGAACCTTCCGTTCGGAGCATCTCAAACCTTGCGCATCCTATTCGAGGTCTTATGAAGAGATGACATTGGCGAGCCAACTGATCGAGTACGCCCGAGGAAGTCAGATCTAGGATTTCTGAAAAGATCCTTGTCACCGACACCGCGATAAGAACAAGGATGCGCTACGTCGGTCATGCAAAGCTGGAGGCAATTAAACCCGGAAGTGGATCCGAATCTACTTCAACCTTAGTTAGGGAGGCCGAACCTTCCTGGGTCCTAGGAAAATCAAGCCTTGATAAGTTCTAGGAGAGTCGAGTTTTCCTAGGTTCTAGGAGAACCAAGCCTTTATAAACTCTAGGAAATTCGAACCTTCCTCAACCCTAGGGGAGTCGAACCTTCCTCAACCCTTAGGGGAGTCGAACCTTCCTCAACCCTAGGGGAGTCCAATCTTCTTCAACCCTAGGAGACCCGAGCTCCTGGGCTTGCAATTGGCATCGAATACGCGTTGTGCCATAGATTCCCAAATTCAAACTTATATTCATGTTATTATCTACCTCTACTTCTTCGTCATCCCACGAAGACCTCTTGATCCATAAGGAGTTCCAGAAACACAGTCTAGAATTCCCACAGCTCCAAAATTGAATCTCGTGTGGACACGGTGACTGTCACGCGACAACAAGAGATGAAGCGTGCGTTATCGTCATATACGTCGATGCTGTCTTTGCCGTGAGCAAGCTGCAAGAACCAGAATGACAGCATTATTGAAGATGTCAAATTATTCATCAAGATCAAGGACATGGGAGATCTGAGTAAGTTCCTTGGTTCATACATAACAAAGATTGATCACGACAATAAGTACGACATCAAGTTTGATCAGGCTTAATATGTAAGAGATCTACTGTCTGTAGAACGCATGGAAGACGCCAAGCCGACCAAGGTGCCGGCCACACATAGTATAATATTGCCAACAACAAAGGAAGACGTCCATAAAGACGATCAACAGCTAAGCGACAACAAGGCCGAACAACTGAGATCTGATCTCATGTCGGTGAGCTGTGGTGGCTGTCAATCAAGACACACCCTGATCTGTCATATGTCGTCGGCATACTGCAGCAAGCAGCGGCCTTCCCCTCAAAAGAAGCACTGAGATTGTCCAAACAGGTATTGCGATACGTCAAAGGAACGCCGACACTAGGGCTTGTTAGGACATGTGGTTTCCCAGGGTGCGAGGTACATTACCCCACATCCTGGTCACAGGACATGCCTCAGTTTTCAGCGTGCGACTTGTCCGGATCGCGTAGATAGCAGATAGATAGTCAGGATTCAGGACTAAGGCCTGGAGATGAGTGAGAGCTTCTCTCTCCTCTCCCTTTCTCCTTTTTTTCTCCTCTCCATCCCGCTTAGCACGAAGAATCCATTACTGCTTCTTTGTGACTTTTCTCTTCCGTTTTCCTCGATCCATAGTAGTCAAGGGTAGACTCATATTGTGAATCAAACAGTGTTTTGTGTGTTTAGATGTTTCTTTGTCAGAAGTAGTAAATTATCTATATATATAAAGTACAAAATGACAAGCTATGTTTACCTAACAAAACATATAAATATAGGAGCGAGATAGACCCAGCTGTGAATAGATATACTTATAGTTCTTTTGTCCTACCATAGGCGATTTAAATTGATTAGCAGGTATGTATTCTTATAGGCTTATCATTTAATGTTACTCTCTTTGAAGCTTATGTTAAATTTCTTAAATAAAAATAATCAAAGGTGGTGATATAATAGAGCTTAAGATAAAATTAGCCTAAGAGGTATTTAGAGAAATAAATAATTCTAAGGTAGCGCGCAGTTTTGCTTTGATCCCAACTTTTGCTTTTTTATAAAGAATTCTAAGGCAGTGCGCGGTTTTGGTTTTGATCCTAAATTTTGTTGTCCTAACTTTGGCTACTTTATAGAGAATTCTAAGGCAGCGCGCGGTTTTGGTTTGATCCCAACTTTTGCTTTTTTATAAAGAATTCTAAGGCAGTGCGCGGTTTTGGTTTTGATCCTAAATTTTGTTGTCCTAACTTTGGCTACTTTATAGAGAATTCTGAGGCAGCGCGCGGTTTTGATTATATCCTAACTTCTGTTTAGAAAGAATTCTAAGGCAGTGCACGGTTTTGGTTTGATCCTAACTTTATTATCCTAACTTTTACTGTTTTATAGAGAATTCTAAGGTAGTGCGCGGTTTTAATTTTATCCTAACTTCTGTTTAGAAAGAATTCTAAGGCAGCGCGCAGTTTTGGTTTTATCTCAACTTTCACTATATTAGAAAAGTTTCTTCATAACCATTCCAGAAATAAATTCAATTTTTATAACTCTATTAGATTGATTTTTGAGCTTGAAATTGCCCATTTCTGTCCTTTTAGATAAAAACAAGCAATATTGGTGGAGAAGCTGCAGCCTACTAGTATATCAAAGAAAGTCAACTTGTCAATTTCAAGTTGAATTCTCAAGTGGTCAGTCTCATGATTGGGAGAGAAGAAAATGAACCGAATGAATATTATTTTCTTATTTTCAAAGACAATGTTTATAACGGAATTTGTCCTCGAACCCATGAAAGAGCATTCTCCCACCGAGAATCACCACCCTGCAGCGCCTCCATCAACTCGGAGACCAATGCTTTCCCAGCATTACGAGCCCACCACCTTTTCCCATCCAGTTTATGAAGCAGCACGCCCCAGTACATAAGTATTAGCAGCGAAAAATGCTGTCGACATCTTACACTATCGACGAAATCCTTATCCACCGCCGCCAGCCAAGCCAAGACAGGAGCCGGGTCAGGCGAACGAGCGAATTTCGCATAACAGTGCCGCAAGTGCGACAAAACATCCTGGTAAATATCATGCTGCTTCGCATACACGCCCGTCATAACAAGATCGTTCAACGAAAGCACATGCGCAAGTGCCGCGTCCTCATCAGCGTTCAGCTCCGCAGTAGTCTTCTTCCAGAATTCCCCGCGAGTAAAAAGCTCAAGTTTCACCCACGGCTTGCTGGCCTGTAAAATTTTCTTGACGCCCTGCAACAGCTCGAACAAGACGACGATGTTCTCCGTTATGCTGGTGGTCTCGTTATTGATGGCCGTGAGACGGGGCGAGGCGATGCTGATCGCGATCATGACGATGGAATGCGCGAACACGGCATCGCAATTCTGTGGCGTGATGTTGTCGATTGCGTGGCGGAATGGACTTATACTCCGGTTATAGTACTGGAGGCCTCTGTCCTGGAAAATGAGAGCATCGGCTGGCTCGGCAGATGTGGCTAGATGCATGGAGGCTAGGGCCATGATGCCGTTTAGCAGGTAGGGATGTTTGAGCGCCAGGCGGGGAATGGTGATTTGCCAGGTTGATGTCTCGGAGTCGCTCACACAGAGACTTTTGTACGTGTCAGTAGAGAATTTATGCATTAATTCTAAGTGGTCGATTTCCTGCGGGGTGGAAAAATCTGAGACGGGCGAGCCAACGCCGTTCAGCGATCGCTGGTCGGAGTGCTCGGAGAGCTCGCTGGATGGTCGGGCTTGATGTTTGGAGGGTCGCGCGTTGGCAACTGTCCGGCTACGCGTCGCTTCAACTTTCAGGTATGTGCAGTTTAGCTGGCGATTTGTGCAATTTGTGCATGGTGGGCCTATTTCGTCGCATTTGACCCGCCTTTCGCGGCATTGGTCGCATCCGTTTCGAGATTTGCGGTGCGGTCTCAACGGAGGCATATTGACATAATGACATATTATGAATTGGCCAGTTGCGAGGGCTCAGCTGAGTACGGAGTAACGGGGTTAATCAATGGAAGAAGTAATGATCCGGCGATCTGACAGCCTGACGTAATGTGGGAATATCAAATCTGTCAGCTTGAAATTTCAATCACGCCAACAACTAAGCCTCTGTCTACTAAACAATGAAAATCATATGGCCAAGTTCACATCTCTGTCAATGCTGGTACATAGGCAAATAGCATAAAAATCCAACGAATTTATATTGCAGCTCGTAACACACCGTCTACATAGAATCTAGATACCAAATTCAAGCTTGAAGATACAGAAGATATACATAAAGGCTTCTCTAGAAAACATTCCAAGTTTCCAAGATTGATCAAAGACACCATCTAGCCCGAGGTAACATGAAGAGGTCCATTCCCATCATCAACAGGACAACCATCGCTATCCGAATCAAACTCCACAACACAACTAGCATCTTCACCAATAGCAATCCCAATAAAAGTCGTATCCGTCTGTCCATCACCAGTGCCTAAGCTATTTCCGTCACCGTCCTTGACCTCACAGGTATCAGGGTGACCTCCAAAGTCACTCTTGCACTTGAATTTGCGCGGGGTGCTCCAGCAATCGCCCTCAATGGTAAACTCACGGCCATCGCCGGTGTTGTAGCAAGGCGCGTGATCGTCGGGGAATCCTTGGTTGTAGATAGCATCGCCTGCATCGTTGATGATAGCAAAGCCAGAGTATCCGCCGTTGGTGTTGCCGCCAGAGGGACCAGAGATGGTGGAGAAGTCGCCGGATGACCAGACGACCTTCAAGTGCTCGGCGTAGATGGTTGCTGAGCTGGCTATCAGACAGAGGATGGTGGCTGGGAGAGAAAACATGGTTGATTGTGTTCAAAGGTTCAGGGGAACTGAGAGTTTGAAGTTTATCCAAAGGGTGGTTTTGTTTGGGGTTTGTTGAGTCGGTGGCTTTTCTTGTCCTTGGTTCTCGAGGTTTGTTTGTTACTATTTAGAACTCTTTTATACTTCAATCTTATCCAATTCGCCCCATATGCTGATTGAAGCCAAGGGTCTCGCACTCCTATGGTGCTTACTATTACATCATGGGGCTGAAATACTAATACTCCAAGACATTATCATCATATGGTAAACGCATTGTAGTATTTCAGATTATCTCCTTTATTCGTTGTTCTCATCAGACTGAGACTTATTGCCGAGTCTTACGACCGAAATTGAAATATCTTGTTTCTTTTTGACGCCAAGAGACTCTGATCCTACAAGCCAAGAGAATGGGGAAAATAGCGCATTCTAACAAAAGCATCAATACCAAAATTTTAGTCGAGAAGTGGAGCATATTTGTTCCTTTCCCGTCCGGACCCTGAAGATCGTCACTCTTCCAACTTGGTCGGACTTGGGGGCCATTCAACACCTGCAATAGCACACTTGATAGGAATTAGTATGCGGTGGCCTTGGTTCTCAAGCCAAGTTCTGCTTTTGATCATTTGGTTCAAGGTACGTGGTACAAGTATTTTGCCTCAGGAGGGAAGAAGCCAAGATGTGAATGAATGTTTCCACTTTTAAGGTGGTTTCTCAATTAATTACTGTTAATAAATTATTGCATAGAAGGAAGAAAGTAAGATACTATCGCATCCAACACAAGACCACAAGTTAATAGCCCCGCGAATCAATACTGCAACCCGAGATAGGCGTGTTTAAGCAAGCGCAGCAATAACCATTATACCGGCACCCAAAACACCAAAGATATTACCAGTCATCTTTCCAACCGCGGCATTGTATAAGGGGGATGAAGAGGCCGGAGCAGTAGCCGAGGTGCTGCTCATCGCGCCAGTCATGGAAGGAGTCATCGAGGGCATACTAGTCATATTACCACCCGTGGCCATTCCAATCTATCGAACCCCCACGTCAGTTTTGAGACAAGACAATAAAGTACAGGGTGAACAACGCTGTGTTTCTTTTTTTTTTAAATTACCTCGACGATAGCAGGCCCCGCAACGATGTTATCGTCAGTTGCCGATGTGTTTCCCTTGGTAAGAACAACGTAGCTCTGTCCAGCAATACCGGCGGGGATGGTGACATTGAACATGCCACTGCCAGTCGACGTCAAGGGAGCCCAGAGGGGACCGGTGACGGTGATGAAGGCAGCGTACAGGTTGCTGGTGTTGGAGGTGTTGAAGCCGCTTCCGGTCACCAGCTGGACGGTAGATCCAGACATGAGCGTGTTGGTGCCGCTCATTGTGAGAGAGGGGAATGCCATCACGGGGAGCTTTCCGTTGCTGGAGGGGCAGGAGGTAATGAAGGGCGAGGCAACGGTGTAGACCTCGTTGAAGTCGAGGGGGTCGTCGAAGGGTTGGGCGAATGGGACCTTGCCGAGGGCGGCGCGCAGGTATGCGCTGTGTCGGGCTTCGACGGTCAAGATACTACCTGCTGCGGTGAGATAGGTGGCGTTCATGATGCTGCTGGCGGCGCCCAAGTAGGCACTGACTCCCACGCCTTGGAGATGTTAGCATCCTTTCATGTAGGTATAGTGATGATGGTAGATAGGTGTGGCACATACCTTCCAGAATGCTGGCAACGGCCAGGAAAGTGTTCACATCGGTGGATGGGAACGAGTAGTTGCAGCGTGCGACGGGAGATGCACCGGCAGCTAGAGAAGGAGTCAGTACATATATTTTTGTTATCCCTTGGTCGTATTGGGGAATTGTCTTACCAGTCAGAGCCTGGGTCAGGAAGGTCTCATGAGTCAATTCATCAGAAGCAACCTCCTTAAGGTTGGCGTAGAAGGGGTCCGCAAAGCCAGCGTTCACAAAGTCCGCTTGGGTGTAGTTCTGGAGGCCCTCCTGATAGAATGTTGCCTCGAGATGCTCAAGTGTCAAGGCATAGTTCAGGATGTCAGCTAGGAAGTGAATTGCGTTAGAAAATAATTTCCCAAAAATTTCCTATCAATGACTAGTAGTCTATTTTCAAAACATACCATCGCTGATTGCACGCTTGGATACCGGGCTCGCCGTAGAAAGACCGATGGCAGCACCAGCCAGAGCAATATTGGTGACCTTCATGATGGAGTGCGATATTATATTTTATAATAAATAACAAGCTGAAGACTGTTTCTTGCAATTCAAATTATCCAGTTGCAGGAAAACAAGCAAGTATTTATAAGTTTTCCCCGGGAATACGAGAGAGCCCAATGTTTTGATGTCATGGTTTTGGGCCTGGTTTGAACTACCCGAATTTCCAATTCTGTTCCTTGGTCGACATCCTTGATGCGGAGAATAAATCATGATCTCCATATAATTTCCACATCGAGATAAAGCAAAAGCAAGACCGGATAAAATGGTGAACAATGATAGCCTCAGATTGGATGGGAACGAACCCCCGGAGCTAAGAATGCAGGGACCCTTTTTTGATGGACAAAACGTGGTTAGCTTGAGCTCGAATCTTGGGATGATCTTACCCAAGAACACAAACACTAGGTCATAGCTCTGCATATGCCTAGAGGGGTTGTATAGAAAAAGTCGGGGTAGGTTTGGCTAGCTGCATGAAATGGTAGCAAAAGCGAGAACGGGTACGATAGCGGGAGCGGAAGCGAGACCGAGAGCGAGAGCGAGGACAAGCCACGGATCCATTATAGCCGGCATTTCCAAGTTATTGTACCACAAGTTCTTGATATCAAATCGTGTGGTAAATCTAAACTGCATTTGGTAAAAGAACAGATCAATTCACAGTATAGCGTAGATTATTCTAAGACATTTAACTCTACCTATCTGTTTTTCCGACCATGCATGAATCGATTCTATTGACAAACATTGACTTGTCGGGTTGAATGCGATGAACTCTAATTCACGAATTGACCTCGGCTCCATATTGCTTTTCAAGTGCTGTAATGGAACCGGGGGTTCCGGTCCCCGAGCTCCTGGATCTCTTCCTCCGACAGGCCTGTAATTTTTTCATCCTCAAGTCCTTCATCACGACGCCTGTTGATGCGACGAAGACAGATCCACATAACACCATATAAGACACCAGCAAAGCCTACTAGGCCCAGCGTCACAGCATTGCCTCTGACAAAACGCGGCCCCTCAGAGTTCTTATACAAAAAAGGTGACATGACACCACTGATGTTTCCGAAAGTGAGCTGTAAGCCCGTGGCAAAGGTGCGTTTACCGTATCGAGGCAAATTGGTAGGTAGCCAGGCAAGCGGTAAACCGACTGCCACATACAACCCCAAAGCAACCATCAAAGCGCCAAAGTAATGGACGCCAGAGGAGGAATCCGAGATCAAAATCCCATATCCGACCACTGAAATTGCACTAAAGAGACAGGTGAATAACGCACGATGTTGCGTTCTATCACTCAACCAAGCCATGGAGAGATAGGCAATAGCGCCCAGCCCGTAACAAGGGATTGTCAACGCCTGGACTTGAGGTACGGTCCAATCTCCCATTCCCTCGATGATCGTCGGCAAGAAAGTGCTGTACCCATACAGCATGGTATCGACACCAAACTGGCCAATGCAAAAAGCATAGATCTTCCAATCAAGCGCACCCTCCTTGACATCCGCCCAGTGGAATTTCTGCGCAGATTCCGTTTGGCCAATATATCGACTGCGGAGACGCGCGACGAGCATCCGCTCTTCTTTGTCGAGGTAGTACGCCGTGTCGGGGTCATCGGCCAGAAAGAACCAAGTTGCTATTCCGAGTATGACGGTCGGAATGCCTTCGAGAATCATAATCCAGCGCCATCCGCGCAACCCACAGATACCATCCATGAACCCGATTCCGTAAGCTAGCAGACCGCCAAATGCGCCTGCAATGGCGGCGCTACTAAATAGATAGCCTGTTCTCAGAGCGATCTCTCGCTTATTGTAGAAGATGGTGAGATAGGTCAAGAATCCCGGGAAAAGCCCTGCCTCCACGACTCCAAGCAAGACGCGACATGCGATGAGCCCGCCATAACTCTGGGTGATTCCAGTCAGGGTCGCGATGATTCCCCACAGCACGGAGATTGTGGCAATATATCGGGACGGCCTCAGTTTTTTGATCACCAGATTTGAAGGTACTTCGAAGAACTGGCAATGGGGTTAGGGTGCTATGTCCTGGATCCGAGAACGAGATGATGACATACACAATATGTCACGAATAGAATAGACACGGCGATCTGGTATTGGTCGCCTACTAAGCCGAGGTCTTCCTCCAGGCCATATAAACGGGCATTGCCAATGTTCACTGTAGATGTTAGCGACTGAGTCATCCCTTGCAAAGTGCATCCTTGGTGGGACATGTCGTACCTCGATCTAGAAAGCTGAAGAGGTATAGCAACACGATGAATGGAAGGATATGCAAATCAATCTTCCTAATCAATCTCCGCTCTAGCTTTTCTTCTTGGGCAGTAGAAATTGAATTGAATTCGTCAAGAAACTCGGGGTCATTTGTCCGGGGTCGGCCCACGTCCTTTTCAGCTTCTTGCCCCTCCATCCCTTGCAATTGCGATGGGAAACCGAATCGCTGATTGATCCACGGAAAGAGTTATATCATACCAGGGAATTGGGTATATACTCTATCTGGCAATGGCTGGAGAGCAAAAAAAAAACTCTGCGGGGGGAACCGGGGGATCTTCAGGGTCGAAAGTTAAGGTTGCCAAGGAACATGCTATCGGAACTGATTGGGTGATTGCATTATGGAATTAAAATCCATCCAATTTGAACAAAAAGCAATAATCAATAGAGGTGACAAATGGTCGAGTAATCAATTTCAAAGCGGAAATGGAGAGAAAATTGTATTGAATGACAATATCTTGCATTGGTTTTTAGCATCAGGAGTTTTGTCCCCCACATGTTCTGCATTAGATGTAAACTTGAATAGACGGCAAGAGCTTCTAAGCTTGATTTTTGCCATTTCTAAGCTTATTTTATACCCAGGTGAACTTGATAATTTTGAGATTTCATAATTATCGTGTCTCTCAAATATTCAGAGTATTAAGAGATCCGAAAATTAGTTCAAGTATGGCCCAAGGACTTCGAAAGAACTTTGGAATGCAATCTGTGGATGGGGGCTAAATGCCACAGTACATAGAATAAGTGGAAGTCTTTCAAAACGCTTCCAATGTTGGATTTCTTGAACATTGAAAGTTAGAAATTTCATCTTCTCTAAATAAATGTTCCTCCATCCCCAACATCTACGGATCAATTGCAGCATCGACCTCGATCCCGAGGTCGGCGCTGAGAATGGGGCTTTCACGATGTTGTGCAAGCACCCCAAGTCCGCCTCCAGCTACTATAGACTTGACAAGGCAGTCGTATGACTACATGGGTATACGACAGGCCTGTCCATTCTAGGTAATATCCTAAATAGGGTACCTTGGCACTTTTTTATCAAACAAAGGCTAACCGCTTTTAGGATTGGGGGCTAAGTATAATCAATTTTCAACAAGCACAATTTCGCTTCCGTTAAATGGAAAAAATGCCAATGATGAGCAAACCTATAAGCATAAAATCATACGATGCGTACAAAGATGTCCGATCAAGGCTCGTTGGCTGGTTTGCCTGAATTCGCCTCAGTGGCATTTGTCGAGATCAGATTTTGGCCCCCGATGTCTTCTACGTTCAGTATCCCAGCCTGGGTATATCCTACACTTACAGCAGGAGAATCATGCCTAGGAAAGGTAAGCGGACTCTAATTAAATCGTACGTACTCCGGACATGGTCAGATGTGGGGGCGTTGAGTTTCGTAGACCCCAAAGTGGTTATATCATATTGTCATTAGAGTATAAATTAGTCTCGTGCCGGGCCAAGCTTACCCAGCTTTCCATTTCACAGCCTTGAATTTTATTAATCCATCAAAACCATTCACCCATCATAATCATCATGTCGGTTAACTACGGAAGCTACCAGAATACGGTCTTTGCCAAGGGGACCCTCATGGGTATCAAGCCTACCGTCACGACCGATCCTCGAACGCTAGAACAGCAAGCAAAGAGCGTTCTCAGCGAAGAGGCATATAACTTTGTATCTGGTGGGGCTGGTGAGAAAGCTACTATGGACAGTAACCGATTGGCTTTTCGGCAGTGGAAGATGTGAGTCCAGCCTATTCGTCATAGTTACCTTGGTATCTTTGAAACTGATTTCTCTAGGATCCCGCGAATGATGCCTGATGTTAGTTGCGTACTAAATGTGCTCTTTCGTTTGTTTCTTCTCGGCTGACTGGGGTGCTTGTTCGCTTTTAGGTCAAGGACCAGGACGTTTCAGTGGAACTATTTGGTCAGAAATACGATACTCCTCTGATCGTCGCACCACTCGGAGTTCAGAAAATTTTCCATGAAGATAAAGATACTGGACTAGCCAAGGTTTGCGCAGAAGAGGGAATTCCTTTCACCATGAGCACAGCTGGTACTAGCTCCATTGAAGAGCTCGCCGAAGCCAGCGGCGAAGGTAAACGCTGGTACCAACTCTACTGGCCAAAGGATAACGAAGTTACCGCATCACTCTTGAAGCGGGCAAAGGCTAGCGGATTCTCTGTTTTGGTTATCACTCTAGATTGTTGGACCCAGGGCTGGCGACCGGCTGACCTTGACAACGGATACATTCCGTTTCTCAAGGGTACTGGGTGCCAAGTCGGATTCAGCGATCCAGTTTTCCGAGCCAAGTTTGAGAAGAAATCAGGTCGTCCGGTAGAGGAGGATATTGTGGGCGCGGCAGTTGCATGGTTGGCCGATGTGCATATGGGTCAACCTCATACTTGGGAAGACATTGCTTTTCTCAAGGAACACTGGGATGGTCCGATTGTCTTGAAGGGTATTCAGCATGTCGAGGATGCGAAGCTGGCGCTTCAATATGGGTGCGAAGGAATCGTAGTCTCAAATCACGGTGGTATGTTTGTTATCTCGCCCTTGCCAGATGTGCAATCGCTGACTTTATGCAGGTCGTCAGGTTGATGGTGCGATTGGATCACTGGATGTTCTCCCCGAAATCGTTGAAGCTGTCGGTGATCAAATGACGGTGCTATTCGACTCCGGTATCCGGACAGGTATGGATGTTGTCAAGGCATTGTGTCTGGGTGCTAAAGCCGTGATGGTGGGGCGACCCATTGTTTATGGACTCAGCATTGATGGAAAAGAAGGGGCTCGGCAAGTGATTAAGAACATGCTAGGCGATGTGTGGCAGAACATGACGCTGTCAGGAATCCGAACGACAAAAGATTGCAGTCCCAAACAACTTCGCCGAGTCAGCTATGGAGGAGATGCGAAGGCGATGATGTAGAAGTGATTATACCCGTGAAATGTGATTCGCGAACTTGAATTCACTTGGTCCCTACGTCATTTCCCAACAAAGTGGGAATCACATGTCAAGGCACGATTTAATGCTTATTCACTTATTCTAGACTTTCTATTAGAGAATGCCCATTTTGTTGATTCTTTCAAATATGTTTATCCTTTTACATTAATATCTTTTGAATACTATCTCTTATTTATGGCTCCATGATGACTGCAAATCCTGATGAACCTGAGGAATCTAATACAATAGCGCCGGCTACCCACGTCCCCGCAACGTCAGGCACAACACTCCTGCCGCGCCCAGTCGCGTCCTTGGTATCCCTGCTGACCCAATCCACTTCACTGACTTTACGCATCGGTTCGTTCTTCGGTGGGGTGGCTTTGGATGGCGCGCGAGCAACAACCTTGACGAGTTTAGAATTGGGTCGCGCTGTGGTCGAAGGCATTTTAACGCGTGCCGGGCGCGATGTCGCGATTCGTAGTGGAGATGAACTTGGACGGGTAGAGGCTGAATCATTGTTAGAACGAAGTGTAAGTTCTGACATTTTTGCAATATGCTTAATCTATTGCTGACGTTAGACTAGTTGGCAACATTACATTCAACCGTGACGTCGGCATCTTTCTTTGCCGCGGCAACTTTTCATTTCTCGTCAACAACCTTGTCGTCCGTGGCAAATTTCTCGCAGGCCCTTCTGTCGACTTTAGATGCAATCTTAGGGTCGACCGAGTCTTCCAGGGCCATTGCGGCTATTATTACCCTTATCCGGCGCGAATTTAGGTCCGTCGATACCGGTACAAGTACCGAAAAAATTGGCGTAGGGGACCTGTTCATTGGCTCGGTGGGGTTTGCCCTCCTACAAAGATGGGGGAAAAGGAACACTGAAAGGCGATTACGGGAAAATGGCGGGGATGAAGTCATTTGGGATACTGTCATCCTTGACAATGGGGCTCGAGCAGATGTTGTTGGCACGCATCCATTACAACTGGCAAATGGAGAACGTGAAGAAAGGCCTGAAGAGTCAGAAAGTGCTTCATTCATGATGCCGGGCACTAATGATCAAGGATTCAATGCTGTCCAGCGGCGTTCGAGTATCCCGGATTCATTTGCGGGGTCTCGTCTCTCCCTACCACTGGACAATCAACAGCAGGTTTCAGATGAAGATATTCGATCTTACATTATGAGCCAATTACCACCGGGCTGTCATGCGTCGATAAAATCTGAGGCTTTAAACGCGCGGACCATCACAGTAGATATTTTCGACGACGAGATGGCTGAAATCGCAGCTCCTCCTGGGACTACAATGGTGGAAGAACGATTTCACCATCATGACTATGCGAGTCCTAGTGTGCCAGATTTCCCGAAACTCCCAAGGCACACTCTTGTCTTTCGGACAGCCTTTAACAAATCGCAAAGCACGCAGCTTCGTCCCCAGGGACGTTCGTCTACATCAGAGTTCACTGAACCTGATTACCAGCGGTCTTCGCCCGTGAGGTCGACATTGGCTGGAAACCCGAGGAGCCAGTTTAATCGTGTCGAGTCACAAGGTTCATCCAGCGATGCCACAATCAAAGATGAACCCGTGATTTCTAGGCCCCCAACTGGCCAGACTGAACAGACACCTGCGAGCAAAGGTTCTAAATTTCTCCATCGTGCCAAGTCTACTGGTCTTGAGAAGACCGACAATGTGAAGCGACCGCTGCCGAAAAAGCCGACAATTAAGGCACCTGGATCATCAGGTACAACAACTAGCCGAGCGCCTGCCAAGCCTGTGAGAGGAGCGACGTCGGTGAAAGAAGCAACTGCGCGAGAAAGGGCGAATCGACCAGTTCCAGCCCGACAGTCGGGCCCAACAACAGACCATAGACCTTCTACGCCCGGGCCAAATAGCGGCTTGCGAAGATCACCTTTCTCTAATTCTCCCCAGGCCCATTCTCCACGGTCGCCAGCCAAGCATGCTCCTACCCAGGCTATGCATGATAGGGGCAACTCCAGAGCCGGGCACTATGTGGTGCATGAAAGAAGTCAAGAGTCTCTTCTTACTCATACCGATGCCTTCTCCCGTCGTGCTGCAGACTTGCGCCCGGGATCTCCTGCCGCATCTCGAGCCCATGTTCGTAGCACCAGTTCCTTGTCAGTATCAAGGTCTGAAACAGATGGGCCTATATCCAGTGATCGCCCGGGGTCGTCAGCTATGCACAGAAGATCGCAGTCATACACCCCTAGCATGTACTCTGTTGCGACAGCGGGCTCCGAAACCTCACTTTTACTAGCCCATCGTTCGCGTAAAAGCGCATACGAAGATATGGATACAATCCATGCACTCAACCGCGACGGCATGATACCTGGCATCTTCCCCAAACGGCACTTTGTTCAAAACATTCGCCGGTTCTGTCGGTTTTCCTCCGCTTCCTACGGTTCCAGTGCGTTGAAAGTCATGGGCGTGCGGAAAGATGCGAAAGACATCCCACATAAAATGTCTGATAGCCACGAGCATAGTGCCTTTGAGCACAACGCAGGACTTCCAGCATCGACCATCCTGCTATCTTCCTTCGTGGATCCAGCCGGAGGCTCTAACGCGGCCGGTGAGACGGAAAGCGGCTTCCCACTCGTACACTACCTGTCCATCGACCACGAGTCTAAAGCCGTAGTGCTCACACTCCGAGGCACCTGGGGCTTCGAAGACATCCTCACAGACATGACCTGCGACTACGATGACCTGGATTGGCAAGGCAAGAACTGGAAGGTTCATAAAGGAATGCACGCTTCCGCAAAGCGACTCCTTGAAGGCGGCGGTGGCCGAGTCATGATCACCCTCCGCGCAGCCCTAGAAGAATTCCAGGACTACGGCGTCGTTCTCTGCGGTCACTCCCTCGGCGGCGGCGTAGCAGCTCTCCTCGCAACCATGATCTCCGAGCCCAGCAGTTCCCCAATCGGCACCTCCTTCGTCACAGCACCCTACCACCCAACCTCTCGCCAGCATCAAATCCGTCTCATAACCGCCGACATCACCACCGACACCACAACACAAGCCCCAACAACACCACCCCCACCCCCACCACCACACTACGACCTACCCCCAGGCCGCCCAATCCACGTCTACGCCTACGGGCCCCCAGCCGTAATGTCGCCCTTCCTCCGCCTCGCAACCCGCGGCCTAATAACAACAATCGTAAACGGCCAAGACGTCGTGCCCACGCTCTCCCTCGGCATCCTCCACGACATGCACACAGCCTCGCACCTCTTCAAAACAGACGTGTCGGGCGCAAAGTCGCACATCCGCACCCGCCTCCACGAAAGCCTGCGCCAAAGCATCGTGCACAAATTCTACGTCAACCAGCCCCCGCTCGTGGTGAATGCGGGCGACGGCGTAGGCGAGGACGCCTGGGCCTGGAAGACTCTCGCTCTCCTCCGGGATGAGATGCGTGCGCCTAAGCTGATGCCGCCCGGTGAGGTCTTTGTTGTTGAGACCATGCGCGTTTTGCAGCGGGAGGCGTTTACGCCGCAGCCTGAGTTCGGGTCGGATGGGTATCCGAGGCTTGGGCGGCCGGCTACGCGGGTGCAGATGAGGTTTATTCGGGATGTGGATGCTTGGTTTGGGGAGTTGAGGTTTGCGTCGGGCATGTTGAGTGATCATAATCCGGCGAGATATGAGACTAGTCTTGCTGCGTTGGTGAGGGGGGTTTTGGATGAATGAGGTTGGTACTACGGCCTTTGAGATAGATAGGATGAAGTTTTTTTTTGGTATTTTGGGGGGATTCTTTTTTTTCAGGGCTATGAAGTTATGAGGTATGCGGACATCTATGATGATAGAGGAATATCCTCAGATTTTTTCTCTTTTTATTACTACTTATTTGATGATTTCAATTTTTGGGTTGGGTTGGGTCGGTTTGGGGTCTTGGAAGGGATAGGATTTCGGACATCAACCGACAGACATGGAGTGGATACAATTTGAATAGAACAATACCTGGTAGACACCGCACTCACAATATACTGTTATTTCCAAGAATCAAAATGATAATCCGCAGATCAAATGTTCCAGCCCAAAATGCAAACCCGAACCTGAACCCGAACCCGAACGACCCATGGACTAGTTAACTCTTGGAAAACCGATCATCCAACCGCCAAGAAGATCTACACGGAACCACAGTAGCGCGATGGACCGAACCCCAGTTCGTGCATACGAACAGGACCCTGAAACACGCCCCGGCCGCCTTGGAAATGAAGACAAATCTAGCCCCCTAAACCTACTAGTATCAATTAAGCATGTTTTATTTTCCTGCTCAATCCAAATCGTTAATGCATTGGCAACTCGTCTACAGCGTAAAACGTCCGGATGTATCACTCGTGTCGCGTAAGCGAGTTGAGTCGCGCGGCCCGGAGCACGCCAGTTCATCCGCCCGGGCTGAGCGGCAGGATCCCGAGAATCTACTAGTAACATTGAATATGTAGGTATATGGTAATTGGACCTCATGGATTGATTGGGGTGGGATAATACTAGAACCTGGTTCCTGAGATCGCTTAAGCATACTACTAGGTATCCATCCACCACCTGGGCATAGTATGCGCACCTCACGAACAGTGCACATAGTACAGTCAACTGGCAGTACCTACTTATGAGTGTCTATGTACCATTTACAATTTACAGGGCTAGATAAGTACTAGTTTTGTAGGTACTAACCCACGACCCCAAGTCCACTTCCAATCTCAAGCTCAACCTCAAGCTCAATCTCATCTCCACCCATTACGAATACCATGCAGCTTGACAAATCCAGGGCGCCGAAAGTACCTCCGGTCCAAGCTACCCGCATGCACGCCCCAAACTTGGGGCCATGACTGATGGATTCGTCAGCACGATGGCAACTGCAGTACTTGGAAGGCAAGCAAATGTTCAAATGTTTGTCCGGGTCGTCGGAGAATTACTACTCGAATTGGCGTGTGTAGGGAGGGCCTGGGGGAAATCAAAATGTGTCAAAGACGGGTGGGTGGGAAGGTGCATTAGCGAGGTGTCGGTGATCGATCGGTTGGGTCCAGGGTTTTGATGGTCGCCGAGGCATGTTAGAGGTATCATTGGATGACTGGTGTATAGCTCTCAAGGGAGGCTTTTCTGGAATTTGGGGTGTGTTTGGTGGAGTTGTAGCTTGGGTTGAGAGTGATGAAAGAGATTTGGAGCTGGAACCGAGGCTTGTGGTGGGCACGTATACCTACCTATACGCGGAAGGGGCTTGAAAGTGTAGGTTACGTACTATGAGAAAACCCTAAATTCCAATCCTGACTAGTACAGCTAAATTGGAAGACAGGGGTATGAAGCAGAACTCCTAACATTTGAATAGATTACTAGTAAATCAAGCCTTGGAATAAGAGGATTGGAATAAAGAATTCATCATAGAATAATACATTGACTCATAATTTTGAATATTTATCTTTCGACCTCGATCATCTCGATCTCAATCATCAATCCATCTAATCCAACCCAAACCAAAGAAATATAATAAAAATCTCCAAAGAATCCAGGGTATCACGGCGACAAGCAGAGACAAAACACAGTCCCCAGTCCAACGCCAAAAGCAGATCCCACGCGCCCCCATAATATAGTGACATAGTAAATAAATGACAAAGGAAATGCAACAAAATAAATAACACAGACAAAACAAAAGAACAAAAGAGAATTTGTTCGAACCCCCGGGGTATCATGTACACTCCTCGAGCTCGTATCAAATCACCATGCAATATATCCGATCCGATCCAATGCAGTGCGATCCGTAAGAAATATGGAAAGGCAATGGTAAAGGGCTCAATGAAGCTGAAAAAGGCAAAGCAGGTTTTTGGGTTTCGTTCTTGGGTCCTTTCTTTTTTTCTTTTCTCTTTTCTTTTAAAAACCCCGTCAGGCCAAGGCATGTAACAGCATACGCTGTTACTTGCTCTATGAGACGAGAGCGGTGGGTGCAGCAGGTGCAATGGGCACGACAGGGCGGCCGGAGTGACAGCCACGCTCATGACGCTTCATATTGCTGCGTACGGAGAAGGCCTTTCCGCAGCCGGCATGTGTGCATCTGAATGGCTTCTCGCCCGTATGAGAGTGGGAGTGGATGCGCAGAGAGGAAGGACGCGAGAAGGCCTTGTGGCATGTGCGGCAGATGTAGCGATCATGGTTCTGCTGGTATGTTGTTGAGGAGGAAGGCGGGAAGTAGTGGTGGTGTTGCCAGGCCGGGGTGACGGGGGAGATGAGAGAAGGGGAGCGAGGAGCAGAAGCTTGCTGGGGTTGGTGGTGGTGGTGGTGGGCCTGGACCTGGGGAGCGGGCTGTTGAGAGTGGGAGCGGGAGTGGGAGGGTTGTGATTGCTGGGGCATCTGTGGTGCGGAGATCGGGGTGGCGGGTTGGAAGGTTGAGGCGGTTGGTGGGCGGGAGAAGTAAACTGGGGCTTGAGCGTCGATGGGTGAAGAGTAGGAGAAGACGCTTGGAGCTGGGGAGGCGTAGGGACCGCTGTGGGAGAGTGGTGCGGAGCCGGTGCTCGAGACGGATGAGCGGTGGGGGTGGTGGGTTGGCTTTGTGCTCATTTCTGGGGAGCGAGTATAGCCTGCTCCGGAGCCGGGGCGGAGAGGAGGAGTAGGTGGGAGGTGGATGGTGTCGTAGTGGACATCACGATCCCGAGAGAGAGATGGGCTCATACGTTGACGCTCTAGAAGTCATGTTAGTTATGAATGGTTTTTTTTTTCTAGATTAGATCTAAGAAAGATCTTGTCATAGATGTAAGATGAACTCACTAGCTGCGTGCTGACCATCGGCACCTTCCAACAGACTGGAGATGGAAGGTAGCGAACACTTGACCTGTTCCTCGACCGGCGGGGAAGGAGGCGCTTGCAAGGAACGCTTGTGGTAGGTGGTGGTATATGGCTTAGGAGCGCCAGTGAGAAGATTGGCGAGATCCATGATGGATGGATTGTATATATCTCGGGGAAGGGGAGAGAGAGATATGGTATTTTTGGTTTTGGATGGAAGAGATATGGAACTAGAAGTATGGGGGACACGAGGGTTTATAGTCAGAACTCGCGTGGATGATCGACGATGCCGAGGGGGGGGATAAATGCGAGCAAAGCAAATTAGCCCAGGGTGGGTTTCTTGATTGAATCTCGTACAAAAAGGTGAGACAGTCCGTTCCAAAGCTTAATTTAATTAATATTATAATTATATTCCAAAAGGAAAGTCGAGAAAAAAAAAAAGAAAATGATATTTCGGAGATTAACCCTGCAGTGGGGAAAACATGACGATGCGCCCACGCGAACAAGAACAAAAAGAACCAAAAAAGACCCCAAAGACCCAAAAGGCCCAAAAGGATCAAGAAAAAAGAAAAAAGCAAAAAAAGTCAAAAAGAGTCGACTCCACATGGCATTAGCGACCCAATCAAGGAACAGGGATGTGCCTAGCGTTCGGGAAGACTTGAGCGCTAGTCCTGATATGGGAGGCCGGAAAGTCCCCGTTGGTTGTATGGCCTCGGTTACTAGTGCAGATCCTGGCTTACCTGTCACATACAGACGAGCCCCATAAACGGCTGATCGCTCGATCTTTTGCTTTTTACGCGTATTCGATTTCGTATGGAGATGAGTTTACACCAAGACTAAATATGTATATTTAATTAATTTCAGCAATACATATTGATGAAGATAATGGGACTGGAGTCAAGTCAGAGAGTACTCCGTGCTTGTCCTCCGTTATATCCATCTCACAGGTAAGGGGCGGCCCCGGATTCATGTCGCGTGGAAGGTGGAAGGCCAAAAGGGAAGGTCATAATAGGACCCGCATTACGCTAAGCCCAAAACGTACAAACCTCCGTTGGGGCCAGACATAAGATAAATGCAAGAATAAATGAATGAAAAAGAAAAAAGAAAAAAGAAAAATACCCAAAATAATCAAATGACGGCGGTGGCGGCTCTAAGCGCTCGGGACCGCTGCCTCGCTTACACAAACCTTACAATTGATCGTCGAAAAGCATATGCATTTGGTTATTGGTTTTACCTCTGGCCTTTCTTTTTGGGATTTAATTTTTTCTTTATTTTTGCTTTTTGGATTTCACATTTTCAAACGTTGGGTATACGGGGAATGACAGTGCTTTTTTTCCCTTGCCCTTTTTTTTTAGTAAAGATCCACTGTGATACGTAGTTGATAGTTGAAATACAAGTTTGTACTCAATAATTCAGATGAAAAAAATGGAGAAAGGAAAATCTTCCAGGGCTCCGCATTAACGAGTTCAGAAGGTGCCAACACCATCAGCGATGGTCGATCGCAGGGTCTCCTGAAGATCCCGGTAAGTCCTTAGTCAGCGCATAGAAACGATCTGATCGTCGTTCTGGAACGGGGCCGTTGCTCAGGGCCCGTGCACGGCTTCTGCACAGGCGCGATCGGGGATTGGCCGTTTAAGTCATGGATCCTCCGTTCCGACCTCGTGGAAGCGAGGGCTCCACTCTTGCCTCTTTGGCTCCTGAGTCCCTCCAGGATCGCCTGCTCCGTGCGGCCGTTTACTTGTTTAGGGGGAATCTGAGAGAGAGGGGAGAGGGGCGTGAGGAGAGGGGGGGGAAGTAAGGGGAGAGTTTCATCACCCTCTTTTTTTTTTTTCCCCTCAAAATCCAATTTATACCTGCTTTGTCTCCCAACTTCCCTGTCCGATATTTTTTGGTATTGTGTTACTAAGTCCTTCGTAAGCATGCCCTTTTTTGAGCTTCTTGGTCGGAAGGATCCCGACATAAGTAGTAGGTACTCAAGTTTCAAGGATATTCCAATAGTCGTGCTCATTAAGGGGAAAGGTTTCTCCAATATTGACCTCGTACTCCCCCGTACCTCACTAAGATCAATCTAGACATATGCCGATGCACCCCCCAACCCAACCCAAAGTGACCGTCACCGCCGTCACCAAGAGATTCGAGGAAAATAGAAAAAAAAAAAAATATATATATATATATATATATATATTAACTTAATAAAATAAAACACACGAAATGTCCCAAAAGGGGTTCACAAGGACCAAAAGGCTCGAGCGTGATCCACGGCGATCCTCCTGATCGGCCCTTTTCGAGAACAAGTAACAATCCTTTCCCCACCCATTGACCGCACACGGCACTTCATCTCGGGATCGACTAGTCTCTCGAATCCCGGCGTTAGTATTCCGGCCGGCTTGATTGGCGTTCCCTCAAATGCTGCGGCTCGAGATGGAAGGGGCTGGCTCTCCGTTGCTAGCCTTTTTTTTCTTGATGCTCTTCATTTCCACACAAACCCAAAATCTCCAGTCTATGGTACTTGGGACTTGGGTCTTCCCGACAGAGTGGCTCCCAGAACAGAATGACGACGTAATTTGGAGGTTTATACCAGGGATTTACAGTAGGTAAGTTTTTTTTTTATATTTTTTTTTTCTCAGGTTTATGTTTCTTTGAAACTCTGTCGACAAGACATTCCTCTCCAGGACAGAAACCTAATTTGCGGTAAAAGTGTGGCCCGGTTGATGCCTGAGGTGAGATTGCTACACCTTAAGTTATGTAATCCTATACCCACATTCTTTTTTTTTGTCTTTTTCTTCTATTTGGTCGCTATTTTTTCTCTTTATTGGAGACTTGAACTATTCGCATCGACTATGAAAATCTACTAGGAACCCGGCAATGCAGATTAGTGAAATCAGCCGATCTGACGTAGATCCCAGATCCTCGTGGAACTAATTCTCTCCCTTTACTTGTTTGATTTTATTTTATTGTTATTTTTTGATTTTCCCCTTCGTAATTCAACCCGTCGCGTACTAGTACCCTTTAAGCCATTTTCCCGGGTCGCGGTGATCGATCGGGGATCATCCCGGCCCATGCGTGGCCCCATGGCCACGCGAGAAATGTGTCTCACCCCTTTTTTCCCTGGGAAATCTACAACCTCCAGCGCGGATAGGTCGGTATCATCTCATATCACATGTGGGGCAAATTAGGGATGGATTTTTTACATGTCCAAACCACGCGGTTGGCAAACACATGGCACTTGCATGATACATGTGCATCTGACCTGGAGCTGCAAGATGGAATGAATGAACAAGAAAGAAACAATGCGATCGGAGGCAAGACAAAAAAAGAAAGAAAAATTAGTAAAATTATCATGTTCAAAGACCTCACGGATACGGAAACCAAAGTATAGAGATGTTCCCCACGATCTGCATGGGGCTGGGCCCTGGGACCTTGAACCATCTTGGGAAGGTGGAAAACTAGTGCTTCACTTCGGCAGGTCTAATGTCCGGAATCCGTGGAAATCCCGTAAATCCTGGACCTGAACTACGGACCGTGAATGTCCCCTTCCATAGTTCCAGAGTTTCAGAGTTCCAGAATTCCAGAATCCCATCAAATCCCGTTTTTCATTAATTTAGATTAACTGTGGAATTAGTAATCCAGACTAAGATGAAAAAGCGAGAAAGAAAAAAAAAAAAAGAAAAAAAAGAAAAAAAAGAAAAACAACAGACAAATAACAGAATTCAATCAATATTAATCAACACTAATACTGGTTAAATCACGATCCTATACAACAACAGTATAAACTCCGTACACATCATTGAATAGACTCTCACTAACTCATCCATCAATTTCTATAATCGTCGCAAGAGGATCACTAACCCCGGATCGCGATCCCTCTTCCATCTCAACAGCCGCAACTATCGAAATCCAATCTAATCATAGCACAGAACTTGGTCCGTGGTATGCACAATCCATCCCATATTCCCAATCTTGGAAATTGCCCAGCTTTCCCTTTACTCCAAGACCCTCTTCACACGTGGAAATGAGTCCCCTTGACGTGTCCAACTGACGTGGAAGCGGACCTGTCATTCTGCGTCTAACCTCCTTCCTGATCCGGCTGATCGCCCCGCGGTGGATCATCCAGGCAACTGCTGGCCATAGCTCCATTCGGGCAGTGTCTCCGGTAGGCAAATTTCTAAGGATTATGGTATTACTTAATACTTAATTTGGGGAAAATTGATTTTATTTTGAATATTTCTTTTTTTCGAGAAAAATACATTTAAATTATTTCTTTTTTGGGGGCCTTGCTTCTTTTTTTATACGGTGATCTGCATAATTCTCGCTATTAAACATCCTTAGAAAGCATCGGTCAACGGCGGACATCCCGCACAACTCACCTCTACACACCTCCAAACCGTGCGCATATTCCGTGCGGATACTCCGTGATCGTATGCCGTATTCGTATAGCCCCTGACGAACCGTGGAAGACACGGCAAAATAGGTTAGAAAAGGCAAAGGCAAAATATACAAGGCAAATTCGATATTCGAATATTTTCCAACGTCAATATTGAAAGTTCCTGTGATCTTCATTGTCAACGTAAAAGGGTAAAATCAAGTCATGACCCAAACGCATGCAAGCAGATGCACAAATCTAAAATTATCAAGCGCCCGTATAGAATACGCAACGTGACAAAAGCAAAGCAAAAGCAAAAGCAAAAGGAAAAGCAAAAAAAATAAAAAATAAAAAATTACCAAAAAGCATCTGTCTGATTCGAGTACATAGATCGTACATACATACACACTCACTGGCGGCACTGGTACGGAGTACGGCACAGCTTGGAAATCAAATAGGGAAAGTAGTCAGTGCTTCATCACCCAGGCCCATCACCTAACCTCCTTCATAATCACCGTAGATTGGTTATACACATAAAAAAAAGTACTCCGTCCAACTCGGAACCCCTGAGATCGACAGACGATCACACCAAGATCTATCGGAGAAACCGACTGAAATGTGTCAGCAGTGCTGAAACACGACCTGTTCGTCACGGCCAGGATCGACCCTCGGTCCCAAGCCCCAAGTATGTACTCCGTAAGCCAGGATCTTAGCGATATCGAACTATTCCCAAACAGGCATAAACCCCGTCTGCCGATCGGCCGGGCATTCTCATTTAGGTTTTTCTGAGGGGTTTCTTTTTTATTCATTTTTCGTATTTTTTTTTCTTGATTTTCTTTATTATCCTCCTCCCTGGTTTCCTTTTATCTAGGGGCGGGGGAGGCGGGTATTCTACTCCATTTGCAGTAACTGATTCGGGAGGTGAGGGGGGATTTCCGTTCGTTTTGCCTCAATCCTTTTTTTTTTTTTTTCTTTCTCTTTTTTAAAATTCAATTGGTGACATTATTGGCTGTTTCGGCATTTGTTCCAAGGTTCTTCGACTGGGCCGATGACTATCCGGCTGTACTTCCCAGATTGCTTTCTGAGCCTCTACAGCTATATGTACTAGTGTGTACATGTAGACGCTACCTCACATTTCACGAGCCCACCAATCATGTCTCCACAGTGATCTCTCCGAAATGAACTACATACATGTAGATGCCTCGGATGCGGAATGTGGGTGCTGCGTTGGATTGGCTTGGGCTTTTCTGATAATCTCTCATCTGACCGTAGATCATGATCATGATCCTGATCCTGTAAGTAGCTGGAAGTGTTACGAGTCCTACAACTGATGCACATGTACACGGTACATGTACAGAGGCACATGATTTGCAGAGGTTAGATCTTTGTCCTTGATATTTTTGGGGTCTGGGAATTCCGAGCTGCAGTTCCGAGCTTAGCGGTGGATTCATCTTACTTCTTTTTTCTTTGTCTGGGAGAACATTCATTCGTATACTTTGCGTATCACTTCTATGTACATCATCGTGCTTCCTGGAGGTGCACATCACAAGTAAAATTCAAAATTCCAATCAACGGGTCTATCGACCCAGTTTTGAGTTTCTTTCTATTTTTCCCCTTCGCATCCGAGTTCTACTGTATACATGCTTTGTATCTTTTTCTTTTTCTTTTTTCTCAACTAGTAGCCTCCTGCCTAAACTGGGTCTTTGTCCCATCACTCTCCCATAGACATGCCAATCACTGTCATGTTGGTAAGCATTACTATATCCTGCATGAGTCGCGCTCCAAATTGATATCGTTTTCGAACACTCCTCCGCACACCCCAAGGACATAGTTCCGTAAACGGCGTAGTCCGCTCCAAGAAACACACTTCATCTTCCCAGTAGTCCGGGCTGGCGTCATCTACGTGCAGGTCAGCGAGGGGCCCCGTGTGTTAGTTGATTGACCCTCTGACCTAGTACATTCGTACTTTTACACAAAGTACGTGTTGTATTTACCCCCCACCCCTAATTAGTAACTAGCTACTTGGTAAATTATTGATTATTGATTATTATTTCCCCCCGAACTAGTCCTGTACGAGTCCAGCCCAGACCGGCGATCGTTTCAGACCCTGATGCGATGCGGGTGATCGGGAGGGGATAACGGAGGTCCCATGTGCAGGATAGGAGGTGTGGGAGACGTGGCACTGGCGTACTTGCACCACGCACTAGAGGGAGATCCTGGATGATCGACTGAGGATTGATTCGAGGAGAGTTGTCCGGGAATGAATTTTTCCCATCGACAGGGTTTTGTATGGTGTAGCTCGTAAACAAAGTTTTGGAGTGGAATTGCCCCAGAATTTCGATTTTGAGGGATTTGATTCGGATTGTTGATGTACTATGGCCATACAAGGAATCTGGGGCAGGGGGATTTCTAAATGTTTTTGATTTTCTTTTTTACATTTTTTTATGTTGCTTTTTGGGTGCATCTCTACATAGTACTACATATTATGAATCGTGATGGAGACTGTGTAGATCATCCCACGGTTGCATCGGTTGACCCCCATGCTTGCGCAAGACAACAGCAATAATAAAATAAGTAAAAATATAATATAATATAACATTGCTATTTAAAGATCAATCAAAAAGAAAAATGCAAGAAAAAGAAAACAAACACCGCGTGCTCGCTTCCAACGGAGGATTAAAAAGCAATGTGATGTGATGTACTCGTAACCCCCTTGAGCGCCCTTTCCACGTTGTCAAGCACATGTGCATCGAGACAGGCTGAAATCCAACTTTAAATGCACGGTTTCGACCAAAAATGGTACCTAAGTGACACAAACATGGGGTTACATACATTGAACCCCATCCTTCTACCTAAGCGAAGTCGAACCCGACTCTTTCATTGGGCATTGTAATATGGCCGACCAGATCTGAATTTCCAACTTCCAACCCGTTTCCCCCGTCCGTGACCGAGATTTGGTGTGACACGGGGATCGGTCGGAAAGGGAATACATAGAATAAAATGACTTTTCAAAATTCAATTCGAGGTTCGAGTTACACCAGGTTCCAGGGGTTACCGTGTTGTTCCTAGGTTAGGTACTCTTAGGGCAGGAATCGACGTTGTTTCTACAGTAGCGGGATGCATGTGGAAATATATCTCCGAATACCCCAAGACATAACATTGAAAAAACATAAATTGTTTTTCCAATTTGAATAGTTAGTAATATCAATTTGAATAGAATTCGGCGATTAAGATTGAAATTGAGCTTGAACTTGAAACGTTCCAAGGTGGATAACATTGAATGATTTTCCAGACTAAACTTCGTTGGGTGCGAAATGCGATGTTGCTCAAACTTACTTTGCACTTTTCCAGCGATGTTTTGAAATGTTCACTGCGCCTTTTCTTTTTATCTTTTAGTCCTTTCGGTATTCTCTAGCTCTTTCTTGGCTGATGTGCCCGTACTGTAATCTTGATTTTGATCTTGACCTTGGCCCTGTTATAATCTGTACAGCACCAACCACCACCAGCACACCGCAAAGTAACAAAAGACGCGGTCCGTGCAAAGCTCCATGCTTGTAATTCTCTCCATTGGGGGCGAACGGGGAGGCAAATGGCGGAACGGACGAATCAGCGTCCGTCATGGGCGAACGTCGGTTGTTCCAAGCGCCCGCAGATCCCGCCTCCACTCCGCACCCGGTAACTGTAAGAGTCTACTGTAAGACTAGGGGGTTTTATCTAGCTGCCACAAGTAGATTTAATTTAGTTTAGTTTAGTTTAGTTTATTGTTTTTATGTGGGCATTTTTCTTTTTGGTCCGGCTCCGAGTCATTGGGGAATACTAACCAGTTCCAAACCCGAGGTCCCGGACAGCAGTGAAGGCGTGGAGGCGTAGAGACTAGGGTTTAACTTGAACGTTGGAACAGCGCCACGGATTACCGTCCGCGCGTCATGGGCTGACTTCTGTGGTTGGGTTTTGGAAGCGACTATTTTTGCATGCATTTTCTAGGTTTATACTGGATACCTCTTTTTTTTTTCTTTCTTTTCTTTCTAGTAAATCTGCGTCATATAACCTGCAAACCATAAAAAGTAGAGTTAAACCTTGCCAAATAATAGCTATAGGTCTAGAATATACATCAAGCGGTGAACTGGACCAGGCAAGTAAAAGCGTTTATCAAAAGCAAAAAAAAACACACCAGGTTCCAAAGGTTCCAAAGATTGAACTTTTTTATTTTTATTTTTCTTCTTTTTGACTTTGGGTGGGAGCTTAGCTTTTCCTCAACGCAAGTCAAAGCGTCTACATCTAGTCCCATGCGCAATTCTCAGAATGCAACGTATATGTGCATATAATCTGTTCAAGTTTTAAGGCCAAAGCAAAATGCCTGCATGTACACTTCCAAGGTAAAAATCCAAGTCAGAGAATCCTGACTGGGCTGGGGCTGGCAGGATCGACCATGCGGGATCGTGGAATATCGAACCAATCAACTTTCCCTCTCCGCCAACCGCAGATGAGGCGCAGTGTCGATCAGCCTTGTACATCGGCTGCAGGTTGTAACGCAGATATAGGTGTATGCGCCCGGATGGGGTTGTGTGCATGAGGAGCTACGCCACACCCAGTGAGAGGCCGGCGGAGGGTGACCGGTGAGGGGTTGGAGGGACAAAGCCCGCCACAGACATGGGTATTTAGAGTTGGCCGTAGCGAGGGGATGCCCAACGTCGACGATTGGCAAGCAAAACCTCCGAAGATGGAGCCTGTGATCTGCGACGGAAACGCCCGGTGGTCGATCTGCATGACAACTGCAATGTGGTCTGCGCCTTTCATTAATCAATCATATTTTACTGGGGGCTGTTTTCTCCCCCATTATTCGTGCTGACGAGGGGGTTCTGTGGTCAGCAAAAGAGGTAAGGGAGAGCGATACCGATATCTCTCTTTTTTTTTTTTTTTTTTTTTTTTTTGTTGTAGGTCTTTGTCTTGTATGGAGTAGCGCCTTTCGATCTGTAATAGTAGATGACTCTTGCTTTGTTCCCTTTAACCCCTCTCTTTTTGTTCCATCAGAACATGGATGTGAATCCTCACTGAAGAACTAAGCCTTGAAGTTTTCCATCGGAAGCCACCGACGGTAAATTGGCGACCCCATTTTCAGCCTGATCGACAATCAAAATGTTCAGTAATGTAACACCTGACCTGCAGCCTCGTCGTACCCCCGATCCACTTCATCCCCGGGTATCTTGTTTGTACGCGGTTGCTAATTTCGGTTCGCGCATCTTCAACTACCGAAGGGGAAGAGCAGGGGCACAGAGACCAGGGGGGGGGCTGGTCCATGGGAATGAATCAATGATACAAGTTAGAAGAGTGGGCACAGACACGGCATGTCCGATCATGCATGGAGCCCAGTGAATCAAGTCTTTCGCGGTGGAGACTCTACTTTTTCGTACTCCACTTTGACGATACCTACTTGGGCAGGTCATTGATTGCTCGTGGAGGTCTCTTTACAACATGGCAACTGTTAACATATATGTACAATGTATACAAGGATAGTTTCAAAGTAAATGTAATGCTACCGATAGGTAGCAAAAATGGAGAACTGATATGATCATGCTTGTACTTTCCCCACTCCCCCACCCCAAACTTGAACTATGTATTTCAACCAGGTTTGATTCCCATCATCGTGGAAACAAGGAATGAAGGAAGACAAAAACAAAACATGGGAAAAATATGAAAAAAAAAAAACTGGAAAAGGTATCTTAATCTTAAGTCATTATTGTGTTGTAATTTTTGAAAATCAAAACCGGAAAGATCAGTCATGGAGGGAAAGTGAAAAAAAATCCCTCAGGCATAGACATTGACCCGATTCTGACTCTCAAGGGCCGAAGGGTTGGCCGTGCCATTGGGCCGTCCACCTCTGGCAACGAGATCCTTCATTTTGCTGATTGCCTTGGTGAAGTCGACACCGTGATCTTCAGGCATATGCTCGCCACTGTAGATGCAGAGTACTCTCATGCCAGGCTTGTAGGTCAATCCACTAAGAAGTTTCGGTGTGATCAAGAAGTATTGTCCACCTCCACCACCGCCGACAATATTACCATCCTCGTCGGTCTCTTCCTCGTTCGGTGCACAGGCAATGTCCACCAAGCGACCGTGGACCATGCGCTCATTCCTGGGGTCCATACCCTGGTTGATCTCGTCAACCACGCGGAAAGGTGATGCCGAGAGTGATTGAAGCGCCATTAGATAGAAAATGGTGCTCACAGCTCGCTCGCCACCGGATTGACGATGGGCATTCAGAAGGGACAGGCTTTCATTCTGACGGAACTTCACCCAGATTTGAATGCACCATTGATCGAACTCGCTGCCGCCACGCTCACCATTCACGCTCTCGGCTTCAACTTTGTCCAAGCAGACCTGTCCAGCACAACCGATGCGCTGGAATGAGTCTGAAAAGGCGTCGCTGATCTTGCTAATGAGCGTATCGAGCTTAGGCTCCCAGCTTTCGCGAACCTCATCGATACTCACTTGGATCTTATCCAAGTCGGCCTGGAAAACATCAAGTTTGATGCGTAATTGCTCGATCTGTCGTTCACGCTTTTCAAACTCCTCAATCATGTTGGCACTGCCGCCCTGGGTCAACTCCAAATGGGCTTTTTCGGAGTCCAGGTCGGCATTGAATTTATCCATGTTGTAATCTTCCGGGGCTAGCATCTCGATGATATCTGGACCTCCCGGTCTCTGAGCCATTTCCGTTGAAACTTTCTTTGCCGTCCTCTTCAATCTATGGCCCTTTTCTCGTGCTTCACTGTACCGCTTTTCCATCTTTTGGTTGTCTATGGCTTTTACTTCGAGCATCTTTCCATACTGGTGGTGGCGATTGCGGAGATTCTGAAGATCGGAAACAGCCTCTAGATGTCGAACTTCAACTTGAACGAGCTCCTCGTAAGCTTTGTGAAGCTCCTCAACAGCACTCTGTAGTGTAACATATTAGCACAGAAAGCCACCGCAATAGACGGCAGTACTTACGGCATATTCAACAGCAGCCTCGGCCCTCTGGATGGCGATCTGATCTTGCTGGTTACGAATGTCGGCAATACGCTCTTTCATACTCTCAAACGCAGATTTAAGGTGTGCCATTTTCGCCTCTTGCGCAGCTGAAGGAGAGTTAGTGCATGGGTCCCTGCGAACATAAAATAGATCAAGAGAGGGATCATACCCAGTTTGTCAGGGATTGCGCGGAAGTTCGTGTATTCGGTCTGCTTTTTGGCTTTTTCTTTCTCGAGGGTAACCTATACACAATTATTAATATGTGGACAGGAGGTCAACAAGCATAGGGTGGGGGGAGGGGGATTTCGAATACCATTTCTTCCTTAAGCTGATCCCTTTCTTTTCCCAGCGCTTCTAGCTGTTCTTTTTGTCCCTCCATTTGCTTCTTGATATCATCTTTCTCAGCTGTCCATTGCACAATATTATCCTGGTGTTGTTGTTTGATGGCCGCATCCACAGGCTGAGAAGTCCATGCCTTCGCAGGCTTTACCTCGCGCACGCGAGTTGAAGAAGCTCCGGGGCCGTACTCTCGACGCCGTGAGACATTATAGGTCTGTCTTCCAGAAACCCAGGAATTGATGTCTTGATGGTTTACAAGCTCAGAGTAGGCTTGGTCAGTAATATCTTTCAAAGAGACGGGTGTCCTGTGGAGACCATTTTCATGACAAAGCATAGCAACAACTGGGTCAGGGCCCTGTAGAAAGTCTTTTACGAACCCCTCAAATCCAAGCCTTTTGATATGATCATGAGGAACCGGAGCTTGTAGACTGTCAAGCGACACTGTGATAGTCTTTATAGAGATATCGGAAAGTTTCAAATCTCCATTGAGGGCTCTTTGTAGCGTACGGAAATCGCTTCGGCTTTGCGTTGTAAACGCCATCAAGTCGGTTCTTTGTAGCATCGACTCAACGGCGTTAGCATACCGAGGGTCCGCGACAGAACAAGTCACAATGGGGGGTCCGAAAACTTCATTCTCGAATTTGTTCTGATTGTCGCGGAGCCAGAGGTAGGCCTTGTGGCTGTCTCTAGACAATTGCGCTAGCTTGTTTTCTTGTTGGCCAATCTGTGAATCTAGCCTAGCAAGCTGCTGCTTTTCTGTTGCTATGGAGCGCTCCAGGTGGCCGAACTTTGCTGCTAGGGGCTGTTTGCTGGTTTGGATTTCTGTGGCCTTCATCTCAATTCCTCGAATTTCGAGCCTTGTTGCATGCTGTTGAAAGCATTAGTCCTGGTTCTTCTGCGTTTCTTCTTTGTAACTTACTATTTTCTCGTTAAACACCTGAGGATCGAACTCCACTTCGTCCATTTGCTGGCGTTTCAATTTGCTGATTGACTGCGTCAACGCACCGGCTTCATCTTTGTGCTTTTTGCCAGATTTTTTCTCGGCATCAATTTTGTCCACGCATTCCTTGATCGAGAGATCTAGTGCCTCCATCCTATCCGAGCGTTTTTTAGCCAATGTGGCTAGATGTTGTACATGTTTTTCGCGGTAGTCTTTCACATCGCTGACTTTATCCTTGTATGCCACTTTGGAATTGACCGCCTCCAGCGCGGGTGCAAGATCACGTTTTAGTTGGGCATATTCCTGGTCGCTTTTATTCTTCTGTTGTTTCAGCTCTTGAAATTCTATGAAGAAGTCCTTGTATTCGACAAGGGGGCGCGAGAATTCCAAATTGTCGATCTTTGTTTGAATCTCGACTCTCTGTCGCATTCTCTCCACATCTGGTCTCTGCGCCTCCTGTCGCTGTTCAAGATTCAACAGCATATCTTTGTTACCGCGGTTGTTCAATTCGATCTCCTTCTGCGCATTTCGGAGATCCTTCAAGGCGTTATGCTGCAGAAGCATTTCTTGGCCAGCGGCTGCTTCTTGGGTGGATTCAAGAAGCTTGATGGGGGTAAGAGCAGCGAAGTCGGCAACCTTGTCTTGAGGCAGGAACTGGCACAGATTATCGACTTGAATAGCGAAATCCCGTGCTTTTTTCAAGACAGCATCTTTCGAAACGGCTTGCCCGTTCAGTGTGAACGTACTCTTATTGCCATCCCGCTTGATGGTGCGGGTAATCACAGGATTCCGAGTGTCGTTTGGGCGTTTTGCGAGTTCAATCTCGATCTTTGCTTCTCGAGAGCCATGCTTGACAAATTCACCCAAATCTTTGGCGCGTCCGAGTTGCTGTGGAAGAAGAGAAAAATTAATATCAGTATAATCAAGATTATTGCCCGAGTCTAGATCTCATACCTGAGGTCCCCATCCAAGTCCAAGACATATGGCGCAAACCAAAGTACTCTTGCCAGTTCCATTTGGCCCGATCACCATATTGAGCTTGGGGCCAGGGTGAAACTCCGCGGAGGTGTAGGTGACAAAGTTGGTCATCTTTATGCGCACGATTGCGCCAGGCTTGTAGCCGTCAGGTCCAAATCCCGGGTATGCTCTCAGTGGCCTCTGAGGTGGTGGTGGCATCGGTTCTTCGGGTTCCTCGGCTGAATCGCTTTCTCCTTCTTCCTCTTCCTCTTCCTCTCCCTCTTCTTCGCCTTCATCGTCATCATCATCATCATCATCACTTGCAGACCCATCTTCATCGGGAGTTTCAGCTTCCTGAGCGGGGTTCAGGCGAGGACGTTTAGGGCTGACTTGCTCAGAGGCATCCGATTCAACATCACTACCCGCACTTTCGCTTTGATTCCGGCGACGGGGGATTGAGCTGCCGGACGACATGGTTGACGTGGATGGTGGGGGGTAAATCCATCAAAGTGGAACGTGAAACCTTGATAAGGAGAGAGCGGGAAACGCGACGCGTCTTTGATAACTTTCAATAGCTATCCTGTTTAGGAAGGCGGTCAGGCAACCCCGGACATTTCTTTGTCAAACAGTTTCTTTGATTGTCACCTCAATCTTGACGCTTTCTAGAAGATGCCGTCGCCTCAAAATATACGTCGAGCGGTCTTAGCTGCTGCTGTGACTTCTGTTACTATTGCAGGAACTTTGTATGGGGCTGGCATAAAGACCAACGAGGAGATTGTTGAGGTGAGTAATCATTCATTCATAAGCTTGAACCAAGGAGCATGAATGTGATTCTAAGAGGAGAGGGGATGTCTTTTTTTTGGCTGTCTATCTGACGTCTTACATAATTGTGGCTAATTTTGGATTCCCTTTGTATCATAGAATACCAAAAAACGCCAAGAAGCGACTTTTGATGAGCAAATGATAGCTCTCCAAGGCATGCGGTCGAATCTGACAGCACGGAGAGGGATGATCGAAACTCAAATTCGAGACTTGGACACCAGAATCCAAGAAAAGAAACAAAGAAGCACAGACAGCAGCGACAAAGAACGTCCGCAGGAAGGCCGTTGATTAGGCTGTTGACGCCTCCAGACCATTCCCTTCCGCCAAACATGATCTCCCCTCTTCTGAATCGATCTTGGGCCCTTCCTTGCCTTGGAGGGCGGCTTTCCGGCCAATGAAACCTTTACGTTGGACCCCAATACTGATTGTGGACACCGCATACTTCTATCAGTATTCCGGAATGTGAAGTTCGCGAGCCCACGTGAATCGTCTTGCCATCAACTAAGTCATCGTCACCCATATCTCAGGGTCGTATAGCCAGATACACAAGCACCGCCGACAGCCAAGGTCCTGCCATTGTGCATAAGTTGTGGATTGCAACCCGGGAGTTTCCGTTTGGCCATACCAGTGGCAAGAACAGCTTCTTGCAATGTTGAGTACATTATGTTGATAACATGGACTCCGACTGATATGTATTTCTAGTTTCTGTTTCCCCAGTGTATATAAATGTATAAATGATATGTAAATATGTCCAATCTTCATTTTCATATGTTCATGATGGCTCTGCCTGGAACCTTGGCACTTAACTTTGAAGACAGTCTCCGTCTGCCGAGGCGCAAGATCGGGTGTCTAAGCTTCGAGGTTCAAAGTCTCCAGGACAGCATCTAGCTTCTCCATCAAGATGTCATAGTTCATTGCATCTTCATCAAATTCGTCCTCGACAAGCACTCCATCTAAAGTGCGAATTTCACGGTTATTTTCGGCTGGCTCATGTTGCTTGCTTTCTTCCCTTGCGATGACTTGGGCTTTCGACACATCTAGAGCTTCAATACCATCTGCAAGCTTGTCACCATCCTCGGCTTGCCCTGTTACATCGCCATCCACGGGTTTCGGCTGCTCATCCATCATCTCGTCAAGGCCAGCATCATTAAACCTTAAACGGAAACGCTCATTGAGGTAGAATCGAATATCATCCAGCAACTCGATAGAGTCAGTCTCTTGTCGTGCCTTGATGCGCGATGCTGACTCCGCGATCAGTTCCGCAAATTCGGGTGTGTCGATATGGGCCTCTAATCGATATGCCAGGAATCGGCCAACAAATTCCTCCAAGCGTTGTACACGAGTCAACCAGGCAGCACGCATGATGGCATAAATATCGATATCATCATCATCTTGGCCCCGAGTCTTGGCAGCTTCGGCCTGAGACATGCCGCCACTGCCCAAAGTGCTAATTACAACGGCAGCCTTGGTCTTCAATTTCTCGATAAAAAGCATGTCGGCGGCGAAGAGGACGTCAACTGCAACCTCTAATGGAAAATCAGCGCGCTCGGTGTAGAGGAATGTGAGGATAATTTCCAATACGTCAGGTGCGCAGTCGACGCTGATAATGTGCAGATGCTCTGTGACCTGAGCTTCGCGGAACGAGGACGAAAACATGGTTTGGAAGAATTCGGAACGAAGGAGCATTGCTCGGTGGCATGGGAATAAGGTCGATTTTGGAGATTGACCATCTGCGACCTCGTCCGGAAGGTCATCTGCTTGTAGCAGGACATCCGCATAAATTGCGTTGCTTCGATCCCACTTCACCTTGTTGACTTTCGATGTCTCAATAACAATCTTGTTGCCGAGAACGTTGGTGCGGAACCATCCTTCCAATTGATCTCGGCCCTTCGCAAGCTCTATCGTCCTTCGCTGTCTGGCCATTCTCCTGTCCCCGCTGTCCAGAATACTGTCCATGAGACTGTGAATTTCCAAGTGGCTAGAGATCTTATCGATCGCCGCAAAAACTTCGGATTCGGTGAACCCGGTACCTGGCCCACTCCGAAGCTCACGAGGAGGCTCTCCCAGATATAGATATCTGATTGCTGCAGTGAAAGCATCGGGTGAAATACTGCTGGGGAGCTTCCAAGTTGTCGACTCCGGGGCGGCTGCAAGTTTACCATGGAAATATGGAGACCGCGCAGCTAAAATGAACTTATGCAGGTGGACTGAGTCGTCCGAAGCGGTCACCATAATATCCGATGTCAGCGGTGTAGGCCGAGTAAGGAGCGATGTTATATGGGCTGCAAGAGGTTGTAATGGATCGGTTGACTTTGAATAGTCGTATTCAAGTAGAAGGTTTCGTATACGGTCATTGAGGGCATTATACAGACATCTATGATCACAATACAGGCATTAGCTGATGTAACTCTTCCAAGGTCTGGGACTCAAGATACCTCTCTCCTTGAAAAGTATCTCGCTCGCACAGGGAACCTGATTCCAGCAACAATCGTGCAACTTCATAGTGCCCACAAAGGCTGGCCTGGCCCCGGGATCTTTGTTTTAGTTACTGGACTTTCAATGAAATTACTATATACTTTGGGCATTCTTCTAGACTCACCAAGATCAAAGGAGTGTAGTCGTAAGCATCGCGGGCATTAACATTGACTCCCTCGGTAATTTTCTCCTGGCAGACTTTCAGATCGCCCTTGCGGCAAGCACTGCACAGTTCCCGGAAGGGCTCACTGAGGTCTAGTGGGTTATCATCCTTGATAGTGCCTTCCTTGATAAGCAATTTTTCATTTCCCAAGCTAATCTCCAGCTGGTCTTTGCGCAGGATTGTTCGCTCTGCCGTTTCCGCCATTTTCCCAAACCACCCAATGGAGCTTGTTCACTGGAAATGAGAGAGACTCTGGGAGAGTGGGATGCGGGACCAAAAGCCCGAGAGCTTATCGATAAGAGTAGTCACCTGATGTGTCTGGCCTTCTAAGCAATGGATGAGATCATGAAAATACCAAATGGGAAATGTGTTGTGAAATTGAAAAAAAAATTCTGAGATTTTAATAGGCCCAGTCTCCGAAATTTGTTATTCTTCGCTGATCATCCCTGTTCAATGCACATGTATAACGTGCTATCCCTGCTTTATTCCCTACTTTATTTGCGTCACTAAGATTAATTGAATGTTATGTTGACCGCCTACCACAGTGGGGCAAGCGTGTCATAGTTTGTTGGTTGCTCAGCAACCAGGATCGGCCAAACATCAACGATCTCCAGACCTCGAAACCCCATATTGCAGACAACTTTTCCCTCCACTTCCTCAACACATTTTACTAACAAAACAGGAGCATTCAGAAACTTCCTTGCCTATGCACAGTCTGTAGTTCTTGTGAACAGTTATTCCTATTTCTTTCTGTTGTTTCCATTCTTCTGTTCACATTGTCTCGCAATCTATAGCCATGGCGATTGCTTTGGCTGAGGCTGATAAGTATGAGATCCTGGAGAAGATTGGTGAGTTCTCCTTCCATTTGTGCTACAGTGCTCTTTGAATGTGTAATGGTCTGGGTATTGATACTACCTCTTTCAGGTTGTGGCTCGTTTGGCATCATTCGCAAAGTCAAGCGAAAATCCGATGGATTCGTATGTGGCCTTCTAATGTCGGTGTATGACTGCGCTAACAGTTTTAGATCCTATGCCGCAAAGAGATCAACTACATCAAGATGTCTCAGAAAGAACGCGAACAACTTACTGCCGAATTCAACATCCTAAGCTCCCTCCGACACCCTAACATCGTCGCTTACTACCACCGTGAACACCTCAAAGCCAGTCAGGACCTTTACCTTTACATGGAGTACTGTGGTGGTGGAGACTTGAGCATGGTTATTAAGAATCTCAAGAAGGCCAACAAGTGTGCAGAGGAGGATTTTGTCTGGCGAATCCTGTCGCAGCTGGTCACGGCTCTTTTCCGCTGCCATTACGGCTCCGACCCCGCTGAAGTCGGATCAAACATTCTTGGTGCTCCTCCCAAGCCTTCTGGTCTGAAGGGTAAACAAGGCCAAGTTACCATCTTGCATCGTGATCTCAAGCCCGAGAACATCTTCCTTGGTAGCGACAACACCGTCAAGCTTGGTGACTTTGGCCTGTCGAAACAAATGCAGTCCCACGACTTTGCTTCCACCTATGTCGGCACTCCATTTTATATGTCCCCCGAAATTTGCGCAGCGGAGAAGTACACTCTGCGATCTGATATCTGGGCGGTCGGATGTATCATGTATGAGCTGTGCGCCAAGGAGCCTCCCTTCAACGCGCGCACCCACATCCAGTTGGTCCAGAAGATTCGTGAGGGGAAATTCGCTCCCCTCCCCGATTTTTACTCTCCCGAACTCAAGAGCGTCATTGGAAGCTGCTTGCGTGTTAACCCGGACCACCGCCCAGATACTGCTGCTCTTATTAATCTTCCTATTATCCGTTTGATGCGAAAGGAGAAGGAGGTTGTGGATCTTGGCCGCACCTTGCGCCGACGTGAAGATGTGGCCCATCAGAAGGTCCGCGAAATGGAACAGAACATCTCGAAGATGGAAAAAGAGAAACAGCAAATGAAGGCTGAGATTGAAAGCACTCTCCGACGTGAATGGGAGGTCCGGGCTCGCTTGGAGATTGATAAACAAGTTCAGATTGAACTTGGGTCACTTCGTAAACGCTTTGAGTCGGAGGTACAAAGTCGGGTTGCTCTGGAGGTGGAGAAAGAGAAGAGCAAAAGAAACCACAACTCTCGCGACATTTTCCGGACAAGTACACATGGATCATCGGGCTCATCTCAATCATCGTCACGCTCGAATGGCCGGGCCTCTCGCTCTTCTGGAAACAGTACCGATGACAGCGAACCACCTTCTTCCTCCGATGTCAGCCAGGTGGTTCTGGCTCCTAAGTCACCAACTCCCAATGGGCATAAGAAGCCAAAGAAGGAAGCCCGCACTCCTTTCTGCCGCTCAAAGACTGTTGTAGACTCCCCCCAGGATGTCCAGATGGCCGAGCCGTCCCCAATCTCAATCGCTTCACTCTCCCTCTCTCCACGCCGTACATCCGGTGCCGGACCTGGCCGTAACATCTTCGCCGAGGCAGAGCGCAACAAGGCGAAGTGGGAACCCACCTTGGCCTACTCCGATGATGAAGACGACACCCCGGATCTTCCATCTCCTACCCGTCCCAAGGTCAAGCCTGATCCATTCAAGGCTCCCCCACGCCCTCTCTTGCGCCAAAACACCGCAGCTCTCATGCAGAAACTCAGCACGCAGCCTCCACTCTTCCCCTCAAATGGCTCCCGTCTCCCCCAAATGTCCGGCGGCCCCTCCACTTCGCAGTCTGAAACTCGCCACCTGAGCGACAGTCGCTCCCGCTCGAAGTCCCCCCACCGCCGTCTATCTAAAATCCCCTCATCCGCCAACCTCGCCGCAGATGCCTCCCCCACTCGCAAGAACAGCACAAAGCAAAGTCCCACCAAATCTAATTCTGGCGATGAGATGTTCAAGGCTGTCATGCAGCGTAACATGGGCGGCCGTACCCTGGTCGAGCTCGCCCAGGCACGCGCCGGTGGTCGTCCTATGGACGAGATGAAGCGATGCGCCAGTGATTCGCGCGCGCCTACCTGTTCAAGCTTCCAGACCTCCTCGCGTGACCCACCCGCAATCTGGGACCCTGAACGCGACGAGATGCCCAGTCCTTTCCTGGCCCGTGGAAAGAAGATCATCCGCAACCTGCGGTAGACACCTTCATTCGCATTTCATTTGCACCTCGTTTCCTCAACTTTTTTTTTATTCTTGTTCTCTATTCTTATTTCTCGCAACCATTCTGGAGCGGTTTTCTCCCGGTGTCCCGGCGTTGCATATGGCTTTTGTTTCTGAAAGACCGACCCTGTGATTCATGGACTGTCGTCCATCGTTTAACTACATTTTCGCTTATTGCGCATACCTCTTTGCCTTTTTTTTTTTCTCTTTTTTTACCTCACGGAGTTTGATTGAGCCCTTATGACTGGGCTGGATGGGGGAATTTCTTGCCACCGATGCAAGTCTCGGAGTTTTATTTGATCTCAAATGTGCTGTGCTTCTTTTCGTCTTAGGTTATTTGAGCTTTGTCTTGAGCACCCCCGACTCGACTGATTCTCTTTCCTTTGTTACTTTCATGATTTGATGCCCGTTTTCTCATTTCCCTGGAGAGGAGTTTTTTTTGTACATCTATTTGCCTGCATCGGTCGTACAATGGTGACTCGCGTCCCTTTTTTCAAGTTTTTCTTTTTCTCTTTCTTTCTCTTTCTCTTTAACGTATTCTTTTGCATTTCCATGGTTTTCGGCTTTCCGTCTTCGTTCATAACTCGTTGGCGTTAATTTGGTTGCGGTGTACATATTGCATTTCAAGCAATGTCCGGGTTGTCGCAACACCCAGGGCTCTTGACTACTACCGTTTGATTTATGAATCTTTCGAGTATTAATGCATGGTCGACTGTTTAAAGCTTCTTCTTTCCTTCGGAAATCAACATCTTTGAAGTTTACTACTACAGAATCGCTGAATCTTGGTGATGGTTCCGTTTGCGCTAACTTTGCGCTCCTTTTGAATCTTAGTCATCTATAGTACATCAGGTATAACTATGCAGCCCTGGGGAATCATTCATGTTTCAATTAACCTCAATGAGACCCTCAGGTCTAAGCATCTTCATCTTCAACCTCCTCAATCTGAACAGTCTTGAGTTCGGCATTGAACCGCCGTTCCTCCTCTTCCAAAGACATTTGCTCATCGGTAGCAGGTTTCTGTGTTGAAGCTGAATACCCAGCTTTCTCAAGTCTATCCATCTCCTCCGGCTCAAGCAATTTTCCTTGACCCCGAATCGAGTCCTGTTTCAACCGTACCGCGGCAGGAATGAACTTATTAACAGCCTCCTGCCGCAAGTTGCGGATTTCAGGTTGTGCTTCGTAGACTTTCTTCGCCTCGGGAGCAGGTGGTCTAGAAGGAAGCGCATGGGGCCCACGCCGCTCCGGTTGGCTATCTCCCTCGCCGCCACGTTTCCGCGGCTGCCGTGGAATTGGCGGGGGAGTATCCCGGGGCATGGGTATCCGACGCACATCCTCATCCGTCTCACTGCTATCACTGTCCGCGGGCGGGGCAAACTCATCCCGCCTCCGCTTCCCAAGTACCGCATCCCGCCCATCATTCTTCCCGTAATCGCCACGCGCCGGCTGAAACTTTGGTGCCTTATCGCCGAGCGCCTCACGGGCCTTCAGTACGGAGCGTAACTCCTTTTCAAGTGCTTCTAGTATCTCCTTATCTCGCGGCCGTAAAGTTCCTCCCGTTTCCTCCACTGTTTTCAATTCTTCGATCTGTCGCTGGATTCGCTCGGGGTTGGTGCGCGCAAGTCTCTCATTGCGTCGAGCTAGCTGTTCGGCCTTTCCTTTCTTCAAGGCTTTCTGCTTTTCTTGTTTGCGGTGCGCCGCCGCCGGATTCGCTGATCGCTCCTTGTCCTTGGCCATACTGGAATATTCTTATGGGTGAGGTGGTGTTGATGTGTAGATTTGTTCGCAAGGCGTATCACGAGGACTAGACCCTGGAGAAGCCCAAGAAAGAATCTAGGTCGTAATGCCTCGTTCTTCGGCAGAAGACACCAATCAGAGAGAATTGGCGTCGTCAGCTCAGACCTAGAGCCTCAAGGCAGTAATTGAGATTCCGACGAGAATGACGAAATTCCAGGGTCTGTATGGCACGTAAAATCCCAGACAAACTCAATGACCAAGAAACGGACTTAGCCTGCAGCGAAAGTGTGATCAAAGCGTCAGCGCAGCTCCGCAAGCTCGTCAGTGGTCACCGTCGCGTCAAGTCGGGCTGTCAGGTCGAGACCGTATGCAGGACGCCCTTGGGGAATCAGAGCAACCAACGGGGGGAGCTCACAGGCTGGAGCGAGATTGCGCTATGCCACCTGCGCGTGGGGAGGGGAGGGGAGGAATGGGGTTCGCGTCTGAGGTAGCTGCAAGCCTCTTTGGTCGTAGCGTCTGTGCCAATGAAATGGTGAGATCACCGACTTTTTGACGGGGCCAAGTTGAATTCAGCCTCACGATTTAGGCAGCGGACGATGTCGGTCTCTGATTGGATTGGGTTGAAAAATCGGGTTGCGGAAAGGGAGAGGATGTAAGGCGCGAACAAGACTTGACGTTGGGTGAAAAAGCGGTTTTGGAAGCTAAGGCGGAGTGGGGGAGCTTTTCCATGGTTCGGGATGGATCCATTCGAAGTAGAAGTAGAAGTTGGACTTAGCACTAAGTAGAGGGTACTTTTGGATTTACTCGATCTGACTCTATTACGTCGATTATTAACATATGCGCTTGAGATCATATCTAGTCCACATTTCACTCCCCGTCTTCTCCCCGATTCAAGGCGCAATATTTCAACCCCAATACTTGCCTTGGGTAGCTAGGCATAGGTAACACTACAGTAGACTTATATAGGAATAATATGTCACGTTCAAAACAAGAATCTCTCAAACCTTTCCAGGGCTTTGGACTTTAGGAATATTCTACTCTAAATTGATTCGCTACCTGTGATTCTTATGCCCCTGTGCCCCTTGTATACTCCCTGATGACCCAAGTATAATAAAGCCGTTGCCCAATCACTCTTCACAAATTCCCAAACCTTGTAAAGCCAATCCTAAAACGTTTTATAATAATCAAAAAAAAACATATGAAAAATAACTGACATTTTTCCCCCTCCTTCTCCTTTCATCTAGATCCCGTCCGAGGTATCATATTTTCCGGGAAAAAGCCTGTGCTCCCACCACAACATTTCAAATATATATAACCCTCTCCAAAAGAAATGAAAAAGAAAAAAAAAAGGATAAAAAAAAAAGAAAAGACAGTTGACCACTCATCAAGTCATATATAACATATCCCCACTCACACCTCGTCCCTCCAGTGCCCTTTGGAACTTCTCTTCACTTTCCAAACCTTGGAAAGTAGTAAAAAAGTGCTCCTGTTTTGGTGTAACGGACAGGAGTTTTCCCACGAGCCGCGCGCTGCAGTTGCCGCCGAATTCAAGCGGCTCCCACACCTCTTCTTCTCCGCCCTCCCTTTCTCGTGAGAAGCTCCCCGAGAGTCTCCTTCCAGATTGCGCATCCTTTTCCTGTTCCATCCACCATGACCTGCGGTCCGCTCGGCCTCACCTCGAGTTTGATCGGCGCTTCGTAGACTGTCCGTCGCCGTCGGAGCATGTCTCTGCCGGGACCAAATGTCCGTCTCAGCCTCGATTCCCGACACCTCGCTTGGCCTCACCTCCTCCGAGATCCAGATCCTCCGACAGCAGCAACAGATTGCTCTCCAGAACAGCCATGCCGGCAATGGCGCCTCCCGAGGTCGCGGTGCGGGGAGAGTCAGCAACTCCAGTTCGCGCGCAACCAGTGCTGCCAGCAGCCAGGGCCGCTTGTTGCTCGATCCCGATAGCCTCCACGCCTTGTCGCACCAGCTGGGCTCATTGGAACGTCACATCAGCGGCCAGATCGATTATGTGAGTGTGTTTTGATTGGCTTTAGGGAAATGGATGAACATCACTGGCAATCAATCAGCTTTTCCGATTTTCTCTTTCTCTTTTTCCTCTTATCTTCCTCATTTTCTAATGGTATAAAAGCTCTCTCAACAAATCACAGACTCCGTTAAACGCAGCCGCAGCGGCGCATTGAAGACCGTTCGCGATGTCGAGGCGGAGATGGCCCGCACCCGCTCGATGATGGCATCCGCAGACGATTTGGAGAACGAGCTGGCCAAGATCGCCCACATTCGGGATATTGTAAAATCCTTTCGTGGTCGAATCGAGGGCATCGATCGTCGCATGGAACAATCCCGCCGTCGCCGCTGATATATAACAACTCCCCACCTTGTCTACCAAGAACCACACCCACCGCTTCTCTCGCCCAAGGGAATCCCCGCCGTGAACCTTGGAACCTATAACGATCTCCAATCCGCCTCGTCACGTACAATCCCCCTCCACTTCCCATTAACAAGATGTGAAAAAACCCCCCGAAGACGCATCTCTCCACCTCCTTCCCACACTTCCCGATTCCAGAGTCTCTTGAACTTCTTCCAAAACAGTCAACCCCAAAACAAATTATATACGACTCCCGTCCTCGCGGACAATTTTTTGGCTTCTGTGCGGGCAACGCCTCATGTTTTTACCTTCCTTTTTACCTTTTCCACATTGAATAATCGACAGTCGGTTGAAAGACCTGCATACATGCCTCGCGGCACTTTCGGTCCCGGAGACTCCTCAAGCGAGCCTGCGACTTGAAAGAGATTTGCAGTATGTGAATGGCGCAGGGTTTTATTTCTTTCTTTTTTGTTCTACTATGCTACTTGATTTCACCCGATCTCTCCGCATTCGTTTTGGCAATGTCGATGACCATTTGGCGATCGAACATTTGTAATGGTTTGTGTATTTTTGATTGGCGCAGATAAACATCTCATTTGTATTTGCTTTGGCTTCTTGTATTTTGTTATGTTGATCCTGTGGTTTCGATTCCCCCTCTCTGCATGTTCGTACATCGGTTCAACTTCGGTGCTTTTCCTGGGCCATTGCCCAAGCCAAGATCATGATTCCTTTTTTGTTGAATTGTCCTTCGTAGATGAAACGTGTAGCTTGAGATATAGTTTGAGAGCAATGCTCACATGCAATTTCTGCGGACAAAGAGTTGATCCAGTGCTGAAGAATGCCCAGGTGGACCCGCACTAGGAATGACGGACCCCCGGCCGCGGGGTTGGCTATCAGTGATCGACAATGATGCCGAGTATAAGCGCCTTGCTGATATGAGAGTCGTCCTTGGCTGCGATTGAACCATCCAATGGCATTTTACTTTGGCTGAGGGTGAAAGTGCTGACAAGCATCGATCAAGCAACCGATGCAGTTGGCCAGTGGTTTCAAAGAATCGAGATCACATGGACCTGGCGGCTGTCACGGCATGTTGCTGGATTTGGTTGTCTCGAATCACACCGTATTAGGCCTAAGTGGTGGGCGGGTGCAAGCCTATAGATAAGGTATTACTTGAATGTAATCCATTATATGGCCATTCAGATCCATTCAGGACGTAGTGGGCTGCAGTGTTTGCTTTTCTTTCTGACGCGTCACAAGCTTCTGGCTGCGCCTGTCCGTCTGGGGGAATCGCTTCTCTGTCCCGCAGGTGAAGCATCGAACCACCAGCACCTCGGCCCAAGCTTTCTTCCCACCCCTGCTTGGATTTTGAACCTCGTGCATGCAGCTCACACCAGGGATAAGAAGGGTGTCACACCGCTTGCAGAAGGATCTCTTCACATCTATTGGGAGACGTGTTTGTGTTTTTAACGAAACACCGCGCATATGAGAGACACAGACCCTTGAAAGGTTCAAAAGTGATGGTTTGGCTTGCGGCTGAGTTAAATCTTCCATCTGGTGTTCTGTTTCATTGGCAACCAGTGATTTGGCTTGCAAGTCCAGATCTGTGGAAGTATCTTTTGTTGTTGCACTACCTTGTAGATATTGTGAAACCCGGTGTAAGTAATCCATGCGAGCCTTTAGATGACTCTTTGAGTTTTTAGGCTCTTTAGCGACCTTGAGTTTCGCCATCGGAACAGAATCTTGGTTGTGACTGAGGAAAATGAGGAAATTCGCAAGTGAATGCGTTGGCCGTCAAGACCAAAATCAGAGCGCCTCAACGCTAGTCCCAATGCGGCACCGCGCGCGCCTGGAGTCATGTGATTGCCTGACTTCACTTCCAATGGCTGACTCTGATTCCTCGCAGCCGCATCTCTCCCCATTCTTCCCCATTAACTCGAGGTCGACCCCATCTTGCCCCCCTTTCAAATCCCCAGCAAGAGTCGTCAACTTAGTTTCCCCTCTTCTTTACTCCTCCCCTTTCATCTCTTTGCCCCGCTTCCCCTTCGTTTCCTCACTCCCTTTGAGCTTAACAACAGCTCGCGCTTCAACCAACTTCTATCCAACCTTCCAAGTTTAGCAATCACATTCAAAATGTCGCACGAGGAAGATCTCATCGATTACTCCGACGAGGAGCTGCAGACGACGACCGCGCCAGCGACCACTGCCGCGCCCGCTGACACCAACGGCGATGAAGACAAGAAGGGTGATTTGACTGTCTCCGGCGGTCGCCCCGACAAGAAGGGCAGCTACGTCGGAATCCACTCGACTGGTTTCCGTGATTTCCTGCTCAAGAGCGAACTCTTGCGTGCCATTACCGACTGTGGATTCGAACATCCTTCGGAGGGTTAGTCTAACTCGTTTATCCCACATGCATTCCTCCAATTATATTGCAAACTGCAACGTCCGTCCATCTCCACGAAAATTGCCATCGATCAGAACGGGTGTTGTGTTATTTTTGAGCTTGCAGACGGCATGGGAACAATTGGCCAGATTTAAGGACAGAAAAAGTCATATTCTGGTTGGCTACTCAAATTCTGCACTTGCAGGGTTCTTTGGCAGCTGCATCCAGCATCGTCTATTCATTCCTACCTTGAAGTCTTTTTTTTTGTCTTCAAGAGGGTGATTCCCAATGCCTCAAGGTGGAATAGGATGCGATCTGGATTGCTGGTACCTTGACGATACGCTTCTCCCTCCCCTTGTCGTCTGCAAGACTTTGTCTGGGTTGAAGCCATCACAACAAGTGATGACGGCTGTGGCTGGTGGTCTTTGGTGATCACCTCCAGAAAGAGGTGGAATACCTATAATCTTTTCTTCTCGTATTCATTTTCGAGGGATGGACGGACTTTGCGACGCGAATCGTTTAATTTTTTTGTCGAACCCAAGTCTAACCACCGCTCCGCCTCCCTACAGTTCAGCAAGTCTGCATCCCTACTGCCATCTTGAACGTCGATGTTCTCTGCCAGGCCAAGTCCGGTCTCGGTAAGACCGCGGTCTTCGTTCTCACCACCCTGCACCAGCTGGAGCCCGTTCCCGGCGAGTGCTCCATTCTCGTCATGTGCCACACTCGTGAACTTGCCTACCAGATCAAGAACGAATACGCTCGTTTCTCCAAGTATCTGCCTGATGTCAAGACCGCTGTCTTCTACGGTGGTACCCCCATCGCCAAGGACGTGGAGATGCTTGCCAACAAGGACACCCACCCCAACATTGTTGTTGCCACTCCTGGTCGTCTCAACGCCCTTGTCCGTGACAAGAAGCTGTCTCTCCGCAATGTCAAGGCCTTTGTTCTTGATGAGTGTGACAAGATGCTGGACCAGATTGGTAAGTGGACGATTGGCCTATTGATAATAAAGAAACACCGATCTAATATTCTTTTGGGTCTTTAGATATGCGTCGTGACGTCCAGGAGATTTTCCGCGCTACCCCTGCCGATAAGCAAGTTATGATGTTCAGCGCTACCCTCTCCCAGGAGATTCGGCCCATTTGCAAGAAGTTCATGCGTAACCCTCTCGAGGTCTACGTTGACGACGACACCAAGCTCACCCTGCACGGTCTGCAGCAGTACTACATCAAGCTCAGCGAGCAGGAGAAGAACCGCAAGCTGAACGAGCTTTTAGACAACCTTGAGTTCAACCAGGTTATCATCTTTGTGAAGAGCACTCTCCGTGCTAATGAGTTGGACAAACTGCTGCGGGAGTGCAACTTCCCCAGTATCGCTGTGCACTCTGGTGTCAGCCAGGAGGAACGGTATGTTTTGTTTCTTAAAGAGCTCAACATGTGAGAAATGACTGACCAATTGTCTTTAGTATCAAACGCTACAAGGAATTCAAGGAGTTCAACAAGCGTATCTGTGTTGCTACTGACGTCTTCGGTCGTGGTATCGATATTGAGCGTATCAACCTGGCCATCAACTACGATCTTCCCGCCGATGCTGACTCCTACCTCCACCGTGTCGGTCGTGCCGGTCGTTTCGGTACCAAGGGTCTGTCTATCTCCTTCGTCAGCAACGAGGATGACGAGAAGGTCCTGAAGGAGATCGAGAAGCGCTTCGAGGTTGCCCTGCCGTAAGTATTCCCACAGATCACTCTTTTCACGCAACACCGCTAACTTTTTCAATAGTGAGTACCCCGAGGGCGGTGTTGACTCTACTACCTACATGGCTTAAATTAACCATGGGTATTGGATGTTCGTGCTTCGTACATTCGAATTTGAATTTTCTCCTTAAGGCGTCTTAGTTCGGTCGTGGGTTTTTCTTTTCGTGGGGCCGCTTTTCAGCAGCCCGTGTGCTTTCCAGATAAGAACGGAATTTTATGGTCCAAAAAAAAAAGATGCAAATATGATTTGTTCTCATCGAGATTATATGTTTTAGTTGTATTATTTAACGATTGTATTCCCTGGCACATGGATTGTAGATCTCGAAGCTACGTAAGCTGCACCTGAGTCCAGGCCAACAACGGTGGGTCTGCCATCCCAGATCCATTCAATGTTCAAAGACGACTCGTCGATCCTGATCATGTTGAAGGCACCAACACCGATTTTAGATTACGTTAATATAAAAGCCAGATCGCCAAGCAACAAAACCTGAATCAGAACACTACGACCGCAAGAATTGGCCCCCAATCCAATCCTGAAACCAGCCGAGAGATTACCACTAATCAACAGCAAACGAACCGACGCCAAAACAACAATTGCGATCCGCAAGGAACAAGCTAATTAAACCCCTTCTCCACCTCCTCCACTTCCTCCACCCTCCACATCCCAGCCGAAGTCGATCAATCAACAGCTACAATCTACTGCACTCTAGTTAATCGTCTGGGTTTACGGCTTCACCCGCAATTAACAAACATTATGCTATCACGCAGAGCTCGTTTGCCTTGATTTCCGTCTATCGTCAGCGCGGGAGGGACACGGGATAAAGGCAGGTGGGAAGGAGGATGGTCGTGATCTTATTCGTATCTTGCTGCTTTACTCTAGGCTAGCCTCGAGCCGAGATGCAGGGAATATTGACACGGATGCATCGACCTGATTTGGGATGCTGCCTACCGTTGACGCTAAAGTCTAAGATGTGAATAGTCGTTTACCTGTTGGTGTGACTGTTGAGCCTGTTCTTGCAATTGAGGTACAGTGCCTCGTATAGTATAATTCGTCTCTTCAATCCACGGATGCACCTGTGTTTGGTCTTGGGGCTCCGGCCAGACTTTTGGAAGTAAATTCATTCAAAATTCAAAACCTATCAGTCAGAAGCCCCGAAGGTGACATTCATATCTATAATGTACCTTGGATATAGGCCGCGGTCTAAAAATTTCTTTGCCATATAAAAATCCTGCGCAGGTAAAGCGCCGCCACACTTTGGGATATACTAGTCACCGCACAAGGTTTGAGGGTTAGTCATGGAACATTCATCATTACCACCACATGTGCAGCTTCATTCTACACTGAAATCTTCCTTGCAACCTCTTCCAAAGTTCCCAAGTAATACACACACTGCAGTTCCTATCCACTTCAATAAAGGTGACAAATCTTTGAACATATCAGATTCTATACTAACATCGTCTAGATGTGGCTTCTGCCCCCCCCCCCCCCCAAAGCCCAAAGGCTTCACTGCCAGTGCCACTACAGAGGGCGGGAAAAATTTGTTGCTCGAATATCAGGGGAATACCTTTCATAGCGGTTATATCACTAACGTTGTTATCGTCGAAATGAAACTTCGAAGGCTCGTCCAACGCCACGACACAGTTTTAAATAAACTCGCCACGCGAGTGATGTTCGGCAAAGGGGACAAAGCCGAGATGAAAAAACCGGGAAAGGAGATTGAACGCCTCAATAAAAGCATCAGAACTATACAGCTTGAGCTCTATCGGAGAGAAGAGCAGTTGCTTCGCCAGAGCACTCTGGATTTACGGCAGTTATACGATGAAGTGAGAAAAGACCCTTTATGGTACCTCTGCCCAGAACTTGTCGAAGACTGTAAATCCCGACACGGTTGCTGCAGTCGAAGCTGCGGATGTTGCCAGAAGCGTCATTTGAATTCTCAAGGTCTTGGAGGTCTTGGTCACTGCACGCTAGAATGTGACTGTTGTGAAGAAAGATCCGGGTGCGAGATGACAACGAAGAAAAAGGAGCAGATTTTTGTGCAATTGATAAGTATGCTTCGATTCGAGAATTCGTCTTGGCACAAAACGGCGGATATTTTGAAAATGGCCAATGCGTACTTTATTGTGCCTGAGGGCAGGTCATCCACCAGGTGCCCAGGTGGTCAAGTAAAGCGCGAGGATCTTTTGATATGCATGTGAGTGTTTCTCGGAAGGTTGTCTGTTTCCAGGACTTTGATTAGCTTCAAATGTGACAAGACATGGATATGTATCTATGCCCTTTTGCTTCGATCCATCAATTGATCAGATTATGCATAACAATGCATCAATTGATGTATGTCCAACCTTGATAATAATGCACTGCTATACTCCAAACGCACGGATACGTTGTTCAGATTTATAATTAATTTAGAATTATGCTCTGCACAGGACAGTCCCAAATAAGTAACCAGTTGACGGCCAAGTATCCGTAACTTAGCCCCCAATAACTGATGAAACTTTGTACTTTGTACTTGCAGCCTTGGAAATCCATAGACCAAAAAAGAAAGCAAAAGAACAAAAAATCGGAAACCCAAAAAAAGAGAAAAAAACGCCCCTCAATCCACAGCAAATCCAACGATCGTCTCCAGTAGCGCAAAATCGAAAAACAAGGCAGCGGGCGGAAGCTAAGTGGCAGAACCCTGTCTCGGACCTCTGGCACCGCCAAGTGTGTCCACCCTCCTTTGTCTTGCTTTAGCGTCGATGAGGAAAAGCGCTGAGTGGTGTTGTCTCGCGGCAATTGAGCCCCAGTGGATTCTGATTGCAGTCAGTACAGTACAACCTTGTATTTTTTTTTCTCATATGGCTCGTGCTCCTAGCTGTCAAGCTTCCCGTGATGTTCCGCCGAGAATATTGAGAATATTTGCAGAACCTTAGAAGTTGGAAATGGTCAGCCTGGTAAGCTGTTATCCTACTACGGGATAGCCTTGCACAAGTGGGTTTTGGGCGCAATTGGCAGCCGCCACTGACTCAGGGAAAGGGCTTGTGATTTGCAAAAGCCGATATGAGAATAATATTTCAAGGGAAATGTTGGGAGGGGCTAATGAAGAGGCGTTGATTAGGAGAGGGATTGGTTATTAGTGCACGATATTTATACGAGAACTTGAGTATGGAGTATATACTCCGTACATACAGTACAAAATACACAAGTTGGCAGCACTTGAGTGATTCCAAGGGGTTTTGGTTACTTAGACGGATTTTACGGAGTTTATGGAGATCGATCGGGATTCGACTGGCCATCTTGTCTTGGCTTTTTTTTGTCGGTAGTCTCGATCTTCAACATGTTTTAAGCACAGAAGTGCGGAACAGAATGCACAAATTTAAATCCAAAAGGAAGTATTGATTATCTGCAGCTAGAATTAAACTGATTAGTCTCGTTCTGATGTATGTGGCGTGGTTCTCCTGAAAATCATGTAGATTCTGAAGTCATCGATCGACAAACCAAGGAATTAAGTGTGGCGGAGTCTGGACGCATAAGAACATTGAACATTGAACATTGAAAATAACACATTCTCAACAAACATCCGTTTCCGGAGATTTTATTTCTTCTCGTTTCATGGCCGCAAACGTGGCTCACGCGTTTTTCCCTGCCACCGGTCGGCATGGCCGCGTACTCGATTTGCTCTCCTTTCCGGCTTTAGGATTTTAGCAGGGACAGGCTCAGGGACGTGGTTAAACGGGCGACACGAATAATCATTTAGTAACCTTTTCCAACGGCGGGTCTCTCTCTCCACTCATGTGGTGAAGCTTTGAAGGAACCACTGTGACTTGTCCACTGTGATCCGTGGGGTCCAGGTCTGGACTGATCTGCAATACATCGATGGAAAGTACGCGGGACTGGATAAGAAGATGAGGGATTGGCATTGGCGTTGGCATTGGCATTTATCAGATTCCCGCTTTCCGTTTTCACCTTTTCATCTTGGATTTGAGATGATAAATGTCCTGGACATTTGAGAATCTCAATAAAATCCCCGGGAAATGCTGGACTCTGCCTGATTGGGCCTTGAAACACATCCCTTGAGATGCAAACAGCATTCGGCACGCGCGTCGATCCCTATGGCATGTCAACACCGCCTCCCCCTGGGCATTGGTAGGGCGATCATTATTGTATCCCTGTAGGACAGAGAAGCTTTGAATTTGGAAGGGAAAAATAGGGAAAAATAATTCAAGAAGAGAGATAGAAAAAAGAAAACAAGCACTAGAGCTTGATAGTCAAGTTGCCTACTTTGTGCAACCTTGAAAGCGTTGAACCCGATGGAAAAAGGTACAAGCTACAAAGTTGGAAGAATTCTGTATCGAAAGTTGCAAGGTTAAGCCTGGATACCGATGTGGGGGGAAACCCCCCTCTTATCTGTACTCTGCGTCAACTTGCCAACGGAGTAACATTTTCTGCAGACATTGTGCACATTTTGTAGCTTGGCATGGATTCATATAGTCCCTGACAACATCTAAACGCCACTATCGGCAAATAGGTGGTTGAGGTGCGTTGGTGGCTTGAGTATGTGTCCAATACGACGCTGGACCACACGAGCGCGAAAGATTCGAATGTTTACGCTACTTTTAGTATTGGATGATTTGGAAACTCAATTTCCGAGATTGTGATTTGACTAGCAGCGTTTACTTTTGGTTTTATTCATATACCTCACAAAAAGACCAACCAAATGGGTTCAAATGTGTCCTTTTGGCGCCCAATCTACTATGTATACCAACTGGTACTGTAAACTGGGTGGGGGGAAAATGACGGGGACGTGGCCGCCATACGCGTCGGGTCCATATCTTGTCCTGAACCCGAATTTTGATACGGAGATCAGTATGAGTGGTACCTAGGTAAAAGGGAGTTGATGAATGGATTGTGTTGTATCGTTGGATTATGAAGCTTTAAATCTAGATTCTATACAATACCTTGGATATGAAAGTCTTTTCTTAATCTTTGATTGTTTATGGTGACAGTACTTCTCCAGGGCTTACGCCGATCAAGACGTTGAGTAGGAAAGTGGAGCCACTTGTGGAACAGGGAAAAGAAAAAAAGGAAAAAAAAAAAGAAAAAAAAATTAAAATTGGATTTAAATTTTTCCAATTTGTACCTAAATTAATAACTAATTATAGCAATCCGGTTTACATCCAGTTCTACTTTGAAATGTGATTCGTGAATGCCTTTCTTTTTTTTTTACAAAGGTTTCTTTTCTTCAGCTTCTTTTTTATATGGATTCTCTTTAACAGGTACTATCTTGTCCAGTGTACATATTCCTTTTGAACAAATCAAGTCCCTAAGCACCAAATATGATCCAATCGGTTTTTTTTATGCATGTACCAGTCATGAGGCGGACTGATTGCGTGGATGGCCACGAAACGGTGATAGCGTGGAAACTAGAGAGCATTTGGGACCAGTTTTATCGTATAAACCCAATAGCTTATACACATAAGCTGTACGCTGTATATACGGAGTAAGTAGTATAATAGACAGCATTGGAAAATCTCATAGCTGCATCCAGCTCTTGCCTTATCTTGAACCTCCCGTTTCCGGATTCAGGCGGGGGATCCACGACCGTTGAAGTATCAAGGGGAAAAGAATAACAGAAAGCGGAAAAAAGTAGTTTGAAAACAAAGTCCAAGACTTAACAATCCAGGAAAAGAAAAGAGAGAAGAAAAAAAAAGAAAAGGAAAAAAGAAAGTTGAGGCTGATCTCGAACGTCTCTGAGTCTCCGAACAGACTTGGAAACTTCCCCATCTTCTCTTCCCTTTCCATCTTCCATCACTCGTTTTTTTTTCCCTTTTGGTTTTTCCCCTTGACATCTTTCCCCTTCCCTTTCGATCTTTCAACCCTACGCCCCTGCTGTCGTTTCAAAAGGTCGCCTTTCTTCTCCCTTCTAATACACACCCTGGCTTGCCGGTAATTATTCTTGGTTGGCCTCGCGCCGGACCTTTCAACTTGGGTCCTTCCGCCCATCGCTTCCTGCCACATTCAGACCATGGCTCCCCCTCCACGATTGCGCATCCTGTCCGGTGAGTTTTCTTTCTATACACAACTCTCAAAGAGAGTACAACTTGCAAAATCTTTCACAAGCATGGGTCTGACCAAATACTGTTTAGTTGGCGGCAATGCGATCTCAGCATTTCTATCTTGGCGACTCCAGGCTACAACCTCCTGCGACGTAACACTGGTGTGGAAACAAGGCTTCGAAGCCGTCTCACAATATGGTGTCTCTTTTAAGTACGTTTTTCAAATTCGGATTTGACACATTTGGAGAATCAATCGACTCATCTTTCTTCTCATCGACAGATCAAAAGCATTCGGAAACGAGCGGTTCAAGCCTCGACATGGTACGATTACCTCTCTCCTTGACTCGCCTCAAGGTCGAACCAGTATAACAAGAAGCAACCCCCCAAAAATGACTGACTTGTTTCATTAGTTGTCCGATCCCCCGAAGACGCCTCTTCTCGTGAACATGTATACGACTATGTCATCCTCTGTGTAAAAGCGCTCCCGGATGTCTATGATTTGGCTTCAGTCATCGAATCAGTTGTCACACCCCAACACACCTGTATCTTGGTCAACACCACAAACACCCTTGGCATTGAAGCCCACCTCGAGCAACGATACCCGACCAATGTCATTCTCTCTCTAGTTTCCAACGTGGAAATCTCCCAAACTGGCCCCAGCGAGTTCGAACATCTCAGCTCCAGCGAGATTTCCGTGGGCGCGACCAACAGAAAGTCCGCCATTCCCGCCTCCATTCAGAATGACATGGCTGCAGCCCTTTCCCTGACCCTGAACACCGGGCAGGTGGACTGTAAAGTGTCGCCTAATATTAGACAGGAGCAGTTTGAGCGGATGATTGGGTTTGTGCTATCCCTCTGTACTACCGAAAACGGCGATCCCCTGGTGTTTCATGCTGACATTGGAATGTTTTAGACCCATCGCTTTCCACCCCGCCAGCATCGTTTTCGAAACCTCCAATCCCACCCAATTGTTAGAGAAGACTGGAGTCCGTCAATTGGTGACGGGTATAATTGATGAATTACTGCAACTGGCTGCAGCTTTGGATTGCACATTCCCCGCCGACTTCCGGGAAAAGACCATCCAGAAAATGATCGCGACCGAAGCCCCCAGCACCATGTTCCAGGACTTCCAGGCCCGACGCCCCATGGAGGTCGAGAATTTCTTGGGTTCCCCAATCAAATTGGCCACCGAGTCGAACCTGGCCCTGCCGCGTATTGAGGCCATGTACGCCATGCTCCACCACGCAAACATTCTGAACCAGTCTAGGCCCCGTCATGGTGATTCTCCCCCTGCATCGGTCATGGGACAGCCCCCTCCTCGATTGTCATCCGCACCCCCACCAAACCGACCGCCGATCAACGGAACGATGCGATCAAGTCGCACGAATTCGAGCATGGGTCCTCCCCAGGCCCGTCGAGGCCCACCCCCAGGGATGATGCGGGTCCCACCAGGTGGACCGATGCCCCATCCGGGATCTCGGGGCATGCCCCGCGACCCTTCCCTCGAGGGTCTCGAAGAGTTCAGCCATCTTATGAGTTACGGTGATGAAGGCGAGTCTGGGTTACCTCAGAATGGTGGTGGTGGCCACGGCCCTGGACCCTCGGAACTCGCCCTCAGAGAACGGGAATTGGCACTGCGCCAGCGAGAATTACAGATTCGTGAGCAGGAGATGGGTATGCGCCGGGGTCCTGGTCCTGGTCCTGGTCCTGGTCCTGGCCCTGGTCAACGACGACCGCCCCCGCGGGCCCCTGCATCGGTATTCGACGAGGAAGATGAAGATTATTTTGACCCGATGGACCATATTCAGATCCCCCACGTGGACCCCGATAGTGTTGATATGATGAGTCTCACATCGCGCCGAGGACGCAAGGCCCCCAACCATGCCCAACAGTTCCGCAAGAATCCTGAATTCGCGGCCGGCCCTCCCCAGAGTCGCCCCTCTTCGTCTGCCTTTGGTCGATACTTTGGCCGCAAGCGTGCCAGTGACCGAGTGATGCAGGAGATTCCCGGTCTTCATGACTCGCTCATGGAGCACCCTATGATGAGCTACTCTTCCAACAGATACGGAGCTGTGGACCGGAATCAATTGCAAGTTGACTCGCGAGCCAACTCCATGACTGCCAGCCAAATGGGCGATTTCCCACCCCGTCCTTATCCCCAGAGTCGTCGAAACAGCCAATCCCCCGCAGCGCCATTCCCCGGAGGACCTCCTGGACCTGGGGGACCCGGTGGACCCGGTTCCCGCATGGCACGCCCGATGACCGCCCAAGACTCGAGCATGGGTCCCCCCGGTGGACCTCTTCGCAACGGCCATCCTTCGCCGCCTGGAAACATGCGGACACCGGTTCCTCGACAGCCGTCAGGACCAGGCCCACAACAGATTGAGCAACACTATGGGGTGAGCAACCCGTATGCCGTTAAAGGCCCTCCCAAGAACAAGAGTCTGACTGGAAGTGCGAGCGCCAGCGCGGAGAGTGGTGATAGTGGGGCTAGTGCCAACCTCGATTCCGAAGCGTCGGCTCACAGCAGCCAGATCAGCTTGGGTGATCACCCACACCACCGAGTCGCACAAGCACCGCCCATTCGGTGAAAAAAAAAGAACCTGACACCTATTATACGGGTTGTTGATGACCCTCCTGTTTTTCTTTCTTCTACTGCAAGATCAACAGGGCAATTGATGACTGACTGAATTTCCTCCTTGACGTTTTTCCATCCACCAAATTACTCAGGGTGTATACTTCGTCCAATTTCTTTTAAAAAACCACTCTCACCTTGTCATGTTTGGACTTTTTTCTGCATCGTTGTATGCGTGTCATTCGACTGGGGAATATTGCTATTTGACTCCCCTGTGGAATGAAGTATTGGGTAATACTGTGCTCTTCGCTTCTTTACATATACATGAGGGACATAGGGGTTTGTTTTATCGCTTATCTGTGTTTTCTTTTTCTCTCTCGGGGCTGGTTGGAGTATGGGATTTGTGCTTTGTGTCTGTCTTTGAAATTTTCCTTTTTCCGTTGTTGCCTTGCTTTGCATCGATACTCATCCTGTCTCCTGCGACAGTATCCTTTTCCTTGTCTCCTTGTTTTCTCTCTCCCTCTCCATTGAGATCTGCGTGCGTCTAGACTGGGACTCCCCCTCTCCTCATTTCCCCTACATTTCTCTCCTTTACAGCATGTCGATATAGCGCTCTCGGGCCCCCCCTCGTCCAGTCGCAACCAGCCGCACTTCTCCTTGCATGACTGTATACTACGTGATCCGGCGCGTTCCTTTTATTTCTGGACCTACATCATACGGGCTCGTATACGTCGCCTCTTTTTTCTTTTTTTTATGTGCTTTGTTATCATTTGTTCCTGCTTCGGCATCTCCCATCCTTTCTGATGTTCTCTTTTTTTTATTTCCCTTTTGCTCTTGTCATCTGGCCGGTCAGAGGCATCGCGGCCTTTGTCTGATTTCTATGGTCTGGTCCCTGGCGTATTGCAAAAGAGCGAGGGTTCAATTTATTCGGTTGAGTTGTCTTGATCTGCTTTGGCTGGGTTTGCGCTTGACTGGGAATTAATGATGGTGGCCTTGCATCGCCCTTTGAACAGAATCGTATCCTTCATGGAGCGCACGAATTGATAGACCCTTCCGTTATTTTCATTGTTTTTTACCTCCATCTTCATAAATGGCTTCAACGTAGGAGTAGATTCAGTAGCGTCTTCAACTTAAGTATGAAATATAAAAAACGTCTAGTATTGTTTTAGGTAGTCGTAGACGTAGAGGGCTCAAGGCATTTCCAATTTGTATACGCATCACGTGCAACTCGCGGCTGTAAACAAATCCGCATTTTCTCCATACACCATCGAAACACAACAACCACTCATTCTTCAAGTATCCAATTGACGTATTACGCCAACAAACCAAAACCAACCTGGTATCCAAAACGAAAACAAAAACCAACTCCTCAATCCCAAAAATGCCACCCCCACCTTCCCACCGCCGCCTCGACTCCCAAACAAACAACACCAACAGCTACCCCCGCTCCTCAATCCTCCCCACAAGCTTCAACCAAACAGCCCACCACCAACCCACAAACCCAAACACAGGCACAACCTACGGCTCCTCAACACCCTCCATGTCCGCCGCAAAGACCCGCCAATACGCACACCTCCACTCGCAACTCGCGCAGCTGAATGCCAATCTCGCGGATACCGAGAACCTCCTCCGTATGACGGCTGTGCAGGCGGGGGATATGCGGTTCCTGGGCGGGTACATGGGGGCTATGTTTATGGGGTCTGCGAAGATTCTGGGTGAGGAGGGGGTTAAAGGGAATGCGGATAAGCCTGTGTCGAAGGGGAAGGAGGTTAAGGTTGAGGATAGCGAGGAGGAGTGAGTAAGTGAGTGATTGATGATTGGTGATCTTGATCACGATCATGAGGCGATGGACTAGGCCAGTTTAGGTTGTGTTGTTTTGCAGGGATTCAACCACTGGTATGTATGGATGTGGAATTCTTGGACTCAGAAGCGCTGTTGTGCTTTGATCGTGGTTATAGATGCGCTGGGACTAACTATACTATTGACAGGTATCGACATGGTTTATGATAAACCTCAATGGGATACTTAGATCCTGAATTCGGAATCTCGATTCGCCGCAATATTTACTCGACCACGAATTGTCCGCCCAGCATGATTGCTGGCTCCTCGATGTTATGGTGCTCATAGCTGTGATGATGGTCAGCCGCGGTCCGAGTCTCAACACACATTCTCTGCATCTTCTTCTCTAACAGAGACACAAAAACATACCTCAAAGTCCCCACACTTCCAGCTTCCAAGATAAACGAAGTCTCCGTCAACGACTTGCCCACCCAGCGCATCGCAAACGCACGCAGAATATGCCCGTGCGCAACGACAAGGACATCGCCCTTGGGAGAATCGGGGTTCTCAAAGCACGGCTGCTGGTATTTGTATCTGATCTCGGCGATCAATGCGTCCAGCCGACGCATCACGTCTTCGGGTGATCTGGAGAGCATATGATTAGCACTTGTGAAAGCATAGTCATAGTCATGGTCTATCTGTCTACTACCAGTGTATCTAGTATGAAGATTATGAAGAAAATGAACCAAAACTGGGGGAAAACAAAGCACTACTTACTCTCCACCAGGACATCCATCCGTCCAAATATTCCAAGGCCCCTCCCCATTCTCTTCCCGAATAGCCCGAATCTGCTTACTAGTCAACCCCTCATAATCACCATAATCCCACTCCTGGATCGCATCCGTAACCTGCACCTTCGCCTCGGTGCGAATCGGCTCCGTTTCTTCCGGCTTCCGGTGCGAGTTCCAGGGTAGTCGTTCACGGCAGCCGATCTCTAGGAGTTCGAGGGTCCGCTGTGCGCGCGTGCGGGGCGAGACGTATCTACATAGTGCGCATGTCAGATCGAGTCAGCTTACTTCTTTCCTAGTAGAAAAGAGTCCAATTCAATTCGAGCTTCCCTCGCGCTCAATTGATTCGTTTCAGTATTTGAAAGCGCTTTTTTGCTGGTACTTACACATGGACCAGGTTCTTGGGCACAACTAGCCGGTCGTTGCCCACTAGCGCTTTTCCTGTTGCGATGATGCGCTTCTCGCCGTTTGCTGTGAGGGGAAGGTCTGTTGTGCCGGTGTGGCGGCCGTTGAGGGACCATTCGGTTTCGCCGTGGCGGACTATGAAGCACCGGGGAGCCATTTTGGGTGCGGAGGTATAGGATTGGAGAGAGGGAGGAAAAAGGATGACGGAGAGGTTGTCTTGTCTTACGGGTTACCGGTGTGTACTTCTGCTTGTTTCGGCGGGTCGGATTGGTTGCGTCATTGGTGTGATAAGGGTTATCTAGTTCTTATCTTATCCGCTAGTTATACTTGAGATTGTCTTAACAGCAATGTACTAGTATGTTTTGTTCTATGCAATGTTATAGCGCTAGTAATACATACGTCGCACTGATGTATATACTAGATGGTAAAGAGCCGGGTATTAAGGAGGGAGAACTTGATCAATTAGTGTAATAGATTTAATGGGATATTGATGTAAAACGCCATAAAACAAACACCGTTGCTCTCTACTTATGCTTACTATGCTTATGCCCTATGTCTCGCAACAATGAAATCCGCAGCTCTTGCCGCCAATGCGTACACAGCAACCTGTAAGTGCGCCGCAAGAGGCAGAGGAATCGCACTTGCATCCACAATCCTCAATCCCTTCACACCATGCACCCTCAACTCTGCATCGACCACCCTCCCCATAGAGCAGCTCCCAGCAGGGTTGAAGGATGTAATTCCCACCCGCCTAACGCGTTCATCGATCTCCTCGTCGGTAGAAGTAGCAGTCAAGGGCTCGTACCCCGCCGGCGGAACCTCGCATTCGATGACATCTTTCAGTGATTCGGATCCTTGATACACCTCGAATGCTTTGCGGATTCCCGTGCGAATAGCCGCGCGGTCAAGCTCAGTGGCATAGTAATTTGGATTGATATCCGGAGGAGCGAGTGGATCCGGTGAAGAAATGTTGATTTCGCCTCTGGACGTAGGAGAAACCGCGAGTATAGTCGAGGAGACACAAGTTCCATCCATGGGCGTATCCATCCCAGCAATATCCGTTCCAGTCGGGACGTAAAAGTTCATCGTCTCAGTGAACACACAGCTCGGGTTCAAAAGAAGCTGACTCGAGGGATTATTAAGATGACCACCATCCTTCTCGATAGAAGCCTTCACAACACTTCTCTCCAACCCAGCAAAAACAATCCAATCACTCGGCCACCCAAGCTTCAACACAGGATCCTTCATCATCTCCGCTAAAGACCGATTCATCCCCTGCTTCTCTCCCTTCAACTTCCACGCAATCGGCACCGCAAGATGATCATGAAAGTTCCGTCCAACATACGGCGACTCAACACTCTGCTGAACCCCAGCACTCCTCAACTTCTCCCCAGGCCCAATCCCAGATAACATCAGTATCTTCGGACTATGATAAGCCCCCGCAGAAAGAATAACCTCCTTCTTCGCCGAGAACCTCGCTCCCCCCACAAGCTCCACCCCAGTCGCAACCATCATCCCCGACCCCTCCTCACCCCTCTGCACAACAATCCTCGCAACCCGCGACTTAGTAAGAACCTGCACCCCATCCAGCCCAAAAACCCTATGCACCATCTGCCTCCTCCCCCGATCCCAACTCTCCACCCTCTCCGAGACCCCAACAGGAAACCCGGCATCCGCATCTCCCACAATCCCCACCCCAGCACCTCCCACCCACCCCCCAAGCACAGCACCACGCAGCCCATAAACCCGGGCAGAATGCGACTGTCCCGGCGTAGCAGTAACCACCGTGCGCGGCGTGGGCGCCGAAAACGAGGACCGCGCCCCACCACCACCACCACCACCACCGTCCGCCTCGACACTGCGCGTCTCGGTCTTCGGGAAATACGCCTGCAGCGCATTCCAGCTCCAGCGTGCGTCACCGACCAGCGTCGCCCAGCGGTCGTAGTCGACTTTTGGCCCGCGCGTCCAGGTCCCGTTTTGCATGGCTGTTGAGCCGCCCACGGCTTTGCCGGCGGCTTGGTAGCAGGTGCGGTTTGAGAGGTGGGGCTGCGGAACGGTGGTTAGGTTCCAGTCTAGGTCTGAGTGGTGGGTTTGCGGGGTTTTGAGGGGCTCGGTGGTCAAGGGGTGGGCGTAGCGGTCTTCGCCTGCTTCTAGGATTAGGATGGTGGTTGTTGGGAGTTTGGTGTGGAGGGTTGAGGCGAGGACGGTGCCGGCTAGGCCGGCGCCGATTATTATGTAGTCGTAGTCGTATGCGAAGGTCATTGTTTGCTTTTTTGTTTGATGACTGGGTCTGTCTTATTGGATTTGAGAGTGTTTTTTGAGAGGACTTCTCGTGGGAAAGTAGTAGGTAGTACGGTGTACCGTAGTAGTGTTGTACTTCGTAGAGTGTCTTTCGAAGAAAGAGAGGAATCGAGAACCGAGAATCGAGAGATCAAAGAATATTCACTTTCGCGTCCCCATTTTCCCTTTGTTTCTCCGTTTTTCTTTGAATATTGGCGTTACATACTGGGGCCAAAGTCCCCCGGTGACTAGGGTGCCATCTTTTAAAGTTGTCTGGCAGATGCCACGTTTTTGGAAAATGGTCCCCAAAAATGTTGGTGATCCTGAAGGATGAACCGAAATCATTGCCCAATGGAATCGGCGTTTATCCGCCTATTTCGGCGGCATTGGGGGCTGCGCATCAGGAAAGCGATGACGATCTACGCGGCTCGGGATCGGAGTATACCTAGACGGGGAATCGGGATGGATGACAGAAACTGTGCTTACCCGATTGGGTAGGTTGTGACTATCCCAAATAGGAAACTAAATTAAGCAGCACTAAGAGAAACGTCACGCGATCTCTCATGTTGCGTAATATTCGCTTCCAGGCATCAAGAACAGCCCGGGTGGTCTAGTGGTATGATTCGCGCTTAGGGCAGCAACTCCTAAGCACTCCTGCGCGAGGTCCCGTGTTCGATCCACGGCTCGGGCCTGTTATCTTTTTTTTTTTTTTTTGTGGAGTGGTTGGTTTGGTTGGTGGGTGGATCTCCGAATAGCTTTGGGTCCTAGACTAATAGTGGAGCTCGGTGCCTCCTTTGTCTCAAGTCTGCAGGGTAGGTAACAGGGTAGGTGACAGGGACAGATTAGCCAACAGTTTTAGTTGGTATGGTCGGGCCGGGAAATATTTCCACTGATAGCCTCATCAATCTTCTGGCGCAAAGAGAGGTCTCTGAATAGTGAAGATGGGCTTAGCAGAAAAATATCTTATCAGCTCTGTGGAACCTCCGGTAGGTTCTGTCTCGCGGCTTTCAATGGTTGACCCGTGAATCCTGTGGGTAGTATCGCGCGTCTGGTAATGGGAACTTGAGGTATGAAGTGAAAACGGCTATGCGTTCAAAGCATTGTCAAGGCTATTGTGTGGGTGCTTCATTCACAGCTGCACCTACCACACCCGAGTTTGCTAGGCAAGCTTCGGATCAAGCACTTGAGGTGAATCTAGGCAGACTCAATCAATCATCCTTAAATCCACCAGAGTATATGAGGTCGTTATTCTTGTCGATTAGTTGGTAATTCATGGCGGAAGGAAGACCAGACCGTCATAGCTACGCAAAAACAACATGATATCCGACGAGGCCGAGGATAAATTTACCCGCTCTTGCATTTCTATTTATTCCCAGATGAACCTCGCCAAGTTAACACTGAACATCCTTTCTTATAATTACTTACAGCACTCAAAGCACCCAAGGTCCACAATAAGCCATTCCTACCAAGAAATACACCTGGGCAGCCAATCGCCCACCTTGGAAGCACAACTCCAGCATGAAGCTATCAGACCTATACCTGGCAGCCTCTGTGCTATCCCTCCCAGTTTCTATCTTAGGGACTCCAACGCCGGATTCTACTTCCGCCCCCATTGCTCACAAGAACACGGCAACTGGAGCCGCCCCCCACACTTGGAGCTTTCAACTATACCCTACCCGCGGATGTTCTGGTACAGAAACAAATGAGTCTGGCACCGGATCAACAGATTGTCTGCAGACTGTTGGGGGCTCGGGTGCGCAGGGAATTGTGAGGGTACATGTTGATCCTCATTGCAGTGTCGATCTATACACTGATGGAAGATGCTCGAGGAAGCACAATTTTGCCTTCATTCATTTTGACTCGACAACTCAGTGTACATCGTCGCGGAGAAATCGTGTGAAGAGTTTCAAGGTCACCTGTTCGAGTCAATAGACTATGCCTTTTCTGCTGTTGTTCCATTCTGTGTCTTTCCTCTCCAGACCTAGTTATCTTGTTGAATTGACTCTTTCACTTGCATGGGAATTTCTCATCGCAGTGTCTACTCGGTATTCAAATGTCGTCGCGGTATACTCTACACATGTGCTCTTATCTATTACGTGTGGATGTATCATTCCTTTTGTACTTTACTCCAGGTCAATTCTCATAATACCGGCGGCGATACAGCCTACGCCATCTATGGGTATTATCAAATTTCTGGTCGGATGTGGTTTAATAGCATCTCTAGTTTCTGTGTTTAATTATAAAAGAAATAAAATAGAGAAAAAAGAAATATTTGGTGTTCACCAGTACCGTTGTTATTTAGTGCTTGTCTCCTCACTGACCCTAACACTTTCCCGCCTGTACAAAGGTCGGATATCAACATAGGGAAATTACCTGGTCTTCGGAGACCCAAGACGCCCAGTCGCGATAATTTTCGAACCCAGCAGAAGGAATCACGTCGCCCCCGTTCCTATATCTCGGTGGCGAATTGCCAGGAATATAAGCATCACCAACAAGCCTGTATCGACCAGGTGTTGAGCTCTTGCGCAATACACTGCATGATTTCGCGCCAAATAGTACACACGTAAGATCCCCGGGCTCAGTTGTATGAGGAACGACCCCGTAGAACCCCCTCCTTGTGACAACGATCCGTCGATTGTGCATATTCCATTGCGCATACGTGTGAAAGGCATTGATCCCATTGTTTAGGGGTTCGTCTGCTTTGGATACATAGCCGCTTTGGCCCAGACACAAGTTGATGTAGGCCGTTCTCCATGATACCCACTCGGGCCATTCAGCGCCCCACGATCGGCCCATTGCAAGGATCTGGGAGAATGCCAAGGCTTTGAAAGCAGGTGAGTACGCTGATGCGCTATGGGATTCAGAGACTTGGTCCCAAATTGTTTTTATGTCGTGAATTGAGACATCCCGTGACAACGTCTTGGATGCAAAGATGACCTCATCAAAGATGACCCCCGTGACATGCAAGATGTTGTCCCGCGAAACTACTGGTTTTACTTCCGTAGGAATGAGGGTCGGTGCTGATGTGTGCGTGACGATGTTATCGAAGAGGTTAAGATCCCACCTCGGTACCCAGGAAGGAAACTTGTCATGAAAGCTGGCTTCGGTATGCTGGACGCAATGCAGTATGTTGAGATTCCCAGTTGACTGCAGATACCCCCGAGCCAAATCGAGGTAGACGTCCTTGGGCCTTGTTTCATCAGAGTAATTTGGGCGTATGTGTAGATTCAGCCCAGCGGTGCTGGCAAGGCACATAAAGGCATAAACTCGATCTCGTTGGTCCTTGACGGAGAGGGCCCTGGCATCGTGGAGGATGATGAGAAAGTCGAATTCGATCGCTTGTTTCGTGTAAAGTGGCATCGTTTCCGCCTTGTTCTGCATCCGGTACAGCTCGAGATGGAGACGGTTCATACCGCGGCTGTCGTCTCCATACTTGACTCGCACCTGTGGAAGTCTCCGGATCATCCAGGTATAGGTGTTTAAAAAGGACCGCCAGGGGATCTCAGTGAGACCCCACAACATCAAGCCGCTGGCAGCCAGGCTCGCCTCCTGGACTACCCAGCCACGCGTGAACCAAGACTGGTGTGTCATAAGGATTAAACTGTGCCACCTCGTGTCTGCAAGGTAAACTTCCTGTTCATCCGAATTCAGGATCGGGAAGGAATTCCACGACTCTCCGGTTCGTCTGATTCCGTCAATAACCATATCATCAATCTCCGATACCAAGGACTTGACAGCCTCTCCGTGGCTGTCATCATCTTCGCCCAGGTACATAAGGACCCTCTTGGCTGTTTGATAGACCTGACCCATTAGCAGGACCTGACTCGCTCGCTCGGCCAAGTCATCCTGGTTGATGCAGACTGAGTCCGCCCACAGCGTGCGAGGCGTAACGCGCGAGCGCATTCGACGCAGAGTGCGGTCCAGGTTGGCGGTGATCTGGAAGGTCTGTCCTGAGATCTGTATGGGGTGGTCTCGGTGTGTGCTCTCCCACACGTAGGAGATAGCTTCGTAGGAGACGGGATTATCAAGATTCATTAGTTGAATCACGCAAGACAATTCGTCTTCATGTTCGCCAGGCTCAAGGATCATTAGCCGGATGAAGTTGCCGCCGGGTAGAGCCTCAGATAATCTGCTGAGGATGGTGTTTTCTGCCGTGTCTGAAGTCCGGTTCGGTAAGCAAGACATGATGTATCGTTTTGGAGAGGCATATAATTTCCAAAGATGCGGCCAACTTTTTTTTCGTGAATAAAGCTTCGTGTTCATAATATTTTCAGGTCCAGAAATAGTTGCGGCTCACAATGGAACCATGGCATAATATTCGCATTCCTAATAGTGTAGTAAGCTGTACTAATGTAGCAGGTGACAACACATCAATGATCAGATATAGTTAGTTCAACTTAGGGTATTGTTATAACCCCACCCCCTGCCTCAAAATCTAGGCCAACGTATTTTCTTCCGAAACTGTCCTGCCCACTCAATGCCCACTTTCTCATGTCTAGCGACCTTATTGGTCCGGTACTTTTGGGAAGGTCAAGGTGAACCAATAACGCTGTAGCTGATCTCAGCTAAGAGGGTCAGTGCGGTGGTCGCGCGGCGGAGGGCGAGAATCACCCGCTGGGCCGCTCACACCCAGATTCTCACCCTGTCTATTGCGCACTCACCCTCCCAGCAGCAGACAGTGACTCTAGAAGAGCCTGGGGACGTTATTTCGTTGCGTAGCCTTGAAGGGTTTTTACAACTTTGACAACAAAGAAACTACTCCATCACGTGATCGTAATTTTTCTTATATATACATCAATTGATAACCACCGTGTACAAACTATCGCATTTTTACATCACCTTTACTATTGATATATATATACTCACATCTGCATGCTACCTAATTAGTATGTAGGTCCTATATCCAGAAACTATCGTGTTGGAGATTGTGAACCATGTGATGTCACATGGTCTGCTCCTAGATGCTCCAGCGCGTGGGTTGGGTTGGTTTTTTGTGTGAGAGGGTTAGGGTTGTAGTTAGTTTAGGGAAGTGAGAGCTTCTCTCTCAAACCTTCCTTCCGAGTCCTTCCTCTTTTCCCCTCTCCATCCCGCTCAGTAGAAGAATACCAATACAGTTGATTCTTCTCCGTCTCTTTCTCTCCCTCATTACCATTCGTTTTCCCCCCAGAACCATATCGAGGTTCTGACATATCGACCTACGTTGAATTATTCATATACACCTGGAACGTCGAGTTATCCAACCATCGAATATTTGGAATCTCCAACTTCAATGTTCGACATCTCTACTAATCTTGGACTTCACTTTCAACCTTCCAGATGTCCAAACTGTGCTTTGACTCCAGACAAGTGCTTGCTATTCTCTTCAACTTCAAATGTTTCCAAACTGTGTTTCAACCTTCCAACTTTTCCAAACATTCTAAGCTTTCAAACATTTGAATGTTCAAATGTTCCAACTGTTCCAACATTGAACTACATACTACTACTGCAACTGTTCCAAGTTCCAACTGTTCCAATGACTGGTTTCAACGGTTCCAACGGTTCTAACTGTTCAACTGCTTCATCTTTACTTCAACATTCTAAACTCTCTACTAGAACTCCAACATTCTAAACTCTTTACTAGAACTCCAACATTCTAAACTCTCTACTAGAACTCCCACTGTTCCATTGACTGTTCAAGCAGATCGAGAAAGGATCGGGGCATGGCCAAGTCCCGGAGCAATTCACGGAAGGAACCTATGTAGGTGGTCATCAAGCCACCATTTCCCCCTTCGCCAAAGTCCTTTGTGGAAATCACCAACGCCGTCCTTGCGGCTCTGACCACCACCGAGCCGCCGGAACTTACTCTCCCGAGCCACGTTGAAATCCGCCCCAAATTTTGGCTGGCATCGCTCAAGTCATTCTATCACCTCTGCGCAACGCGTAGTCAAGAAGGAAGTGAAAGTCAACGACCCCGAGGGAAAGCCGCATATGGTGCCCATGCAGTCGTACCATGTCGGAGGATCTACGAGTTCGTAACGCACAAAACAGAGGGGTTATCGTCTGAGAGGATCGCGCGAGCGATCGTCCAACTCATTCTGAGAGCCCGCTTTGTGTTGGATGAGATGAGGTTCGGCAGCACGACCGGGCCCAAAGAACGACTTGTCTTTGAGAGACCACTGAACCTTCGGTCGGTCGAAATAAATGCAGGGAATACGATAGTTAGGTTCTGGCCGGAGGACCTGACGGGGGATTACCATTTCTGTGACAGGGACCACAAGGGCAAGAAGACCAGCCCACTCGCCCATCGAGTGGACGAAGACGCCTGGGAACTGGAGTACTATGGCCTTCCCAATGATATTAGACAGTTCTCAAGAGTATAGAAAATGTCACAAATGATCAGAATTTCTTCAATTTTTTGTAAAAGTGTTAAGTCGACTGGCAGATTTAGTGAGCTTTACAGATGGATGAGGACTCAAGGAGAGCTTAGATATCTTCCTTTGCCAGGAAACTGGGATCAGCGCTGAAGAAGCGAGAAGGATCACAGAAACATACCCCCTGATCGATCTAGAGGAATGCTCTGTGGCAGGATTCTCGGGAACATTGAAGGGTGAGTATTATGATAAACAGGGCCATAGTCCAGTGGTACCCGATGAGTACTGACCCCCGTGGCTTCGTGCTAATACCAGACGGCAACGCAAGGTATCAACATTTGAATGATCAGATATCTGCTCTATCAGCTACAAAGGTACTCCCCTGGTGGTCGCCTTGGTGTACGCACCGGCTAAGGTAGAGGCCAGAATTTTGTGATATAAGATAAATGCTGCCTATTTCCTAAGCCACCCGCTATCCCTCCTGGTGGATGTAGTGGGGGTGCCATGCCTGAGGGACACTGAAGGGAACCTGGCGACGGATAAAAAAACCATGGGGGATGTTGGTAAGGTGTTATACGACAGACTATTTCTCAATATTCTCAATATTCTAAATACTCTAAATATTCTAATTTGAATACTCTATCTATACTCTGACTATGTATACTCTCAAACTCTCTACTCTACTAGTAACCTTCTTAACCTCTCCAACCTTCTTAACCTCTCCTACCTTCTGAGCCTCTCCAACCTTCTGAACCTCGCCAACCTTCTTCTTCTTAAATCTATAACTCTTTAACCTTCAATGTTCTTGACCTCTTCAACCTTCTTGACCTCTTCAACCTTCTTGACCTCTTCAACCTTCTTCTTCTTAAATCTCCAACCTTCAACCTTCTTGACCTTCAACCTTCTTGACCTTCAACCTTTTGACCTCTCCAACCTCTCACCTTCAACCTTCTTCTTCTCCAATCTCTCACCTTCAACCTTCTTGACCTCTCCAACCTCTCACCTTCAACCTTCTTGACCTCTCCAACCTTCTTCACTTTCTTCACCTTCTTCACCTTTCTAACCTTTCTAACCCTGCCAACTATTCAACCTTTCCAACCTTTCGAACAGTGCTCCGACTTTCCAAACTCCCGGACCGTCCCATTTGCACATGTTCCAACTTTCCAATCTCTCGAACCTTTCAAACTTTCTACTGAACTTCCAACAGACTTGAAAGTTTTCAGGTTGCGTTACAAAATGGAACACAATCGGGGAATTTCAAATTCAAAGCGAAAGCTCACCACTGTTTCTGCTAGAGAAATGAAAAGAACCCGCAAATCTGCCTCAGCCATGAAAAAGAAGGATTCCCCTCCCACCAGCCTCAAATTGTCTCCGTCCTCCCCAGCTAAGCTCTTGCATGGAAGTTTTCATGAGATCCCGACCGAAGAACCATCTTCATCATCCTCCTCCGATCCTGATGGGCAGGGTGATATTAATGATGATGATGAAGACGAATCAGATCTTTCTGATGAAGAGAGTGAAACGCCTAATGCTTGTGATGAGCCGATGCCCAAAGTTCCAGTTTATGACCAGAGTCTTCAACGTGGCTTAATCGATGTCAAAATGCAACTTGCTCAGCTTGCGAGCACGATACAGAGCACGGAAACCAATATTGATACAGACTCTGGTCTACTAGAGCTTCTGCCAGAGGTTGAGAGTCTGAGCAAGTTTCAGTCACCGGAATCTTGCACGGTTGGATTTATTGGGACTTCCGGTGAAGGTATGTTTGATATTGCTGACTTGGTTGGGAAAGCGCATCTTCTAATTGAGAAAATAGGGAAGAGCTCAGTGATCAATTCATTGCTTGATAAAGTGAACTTGTCTCGTGCAGTAGGATCCCCTTGATCCGCTTTATGTTCCAGTAATTACTATCTAGCACCTCAGGCTAACTTTGTATTTCACATTTCCAGGGAGGGAGTGGGAGGGCATGCACTTCTGTGGTTACAGAATTTCGCTATGTCAATGAAGTCCACCCTGGACCTTACAGCATCGAAGCCATATTCATGAGCCCTGAAGAAGTTACAGAGCTTCTCGAGGAGCTTCTACGAAGCTTTCGAGTGTATTATTGCGGATCTTCTTCCAAGGAACTCTCAACTGAAGAGCAGAGAGGCTTGAGAGATGCCGCCAATAGTGCTGAGGCCACTTTGGAATCTCTATTCGGGTCCCAAATGGAGTTCAATGAGGAATTCCTTCGAGATGAAAGTGAAGGAGCCGAGGTGTATATTCTTACCCGGTTGGAAGAATGGGCTGATCTTGTGGTGTCTCTTCGACCCAGTGGAACCGATGCTCTGGTTTATACCACGGTTGCAAAGAATCTTCGGCGATGCACGGAAACGCTTGATCACCTAGTGGCCGATACATATGAGGATGGAAAACCTGCCTTGTGGCCATTCATCAAGCTCCTCAGGTAAGTGACTCTTCAAACAAGTATACTTCACTCATTTAACCATATTCAGGGTCTATCTCAAGGCTCCCATCCTGCGCCTTGGGTTAGTGATAGCAGATTTGCCCGGTGAGTTACAATCATAATGTGCTTCTATATACAATTGGTTCAAAGCTCAATATTTACAGGCTTCCGGGACTTGAATTATGCCAGAGTCCGGGCAACTGAGAAGTATTTGTTGCGAAATTGCGACGAGGTCTTTATCGTGTCCGACATTGCTCGATGCTGTACTGACAAATCAATTCCTGACATCATGAAAAGATGTGAAAACAAGCCACGACACATTGTTTGTACCAAATCTGATGTATTCCAATACTCCATTCCACATGTCATCTCGAAGTCTCTAACATTGCTTCGCAGGTCATTTTTGCCGATGAGGAAAGTCGCGGCGACGGTTCAGAGGCTCAGAAAGTACGCAAAATGGTGAAAAATTTGCGAAGAGTCCAAGTCGACTTGGAAAAAGCTCGCAAGTGTAGTCGGAAAACCAAGTTCAGCCAAAAAGGAGACTCGAAAGCCATGCAGCTGATGTAATTCTCTTATTCTTATAAGATGTATAAATGACACTAACCCAGTTTCTATTAGGGACAAAGTTGATGACCTTCAAATAAAGTAAGATCTTTCTCTCCCGCTGCTCTGTTATAATACGGAAATACTCACTCGTCTTTTAGGCTGAAAGGATTCATGGTTGGCAACCGCAACAGACGCGTCAGATATGAACTTCAGCAAAAGTATAAATTTGCCAAAGTTTTCTGCGTTAGTAATACCTGGTATGCCACACACCGCAAGGGCGAGGAACGCCTTTCCGAAGACTATATCAAGCTCAGTGGAATCCATGATTTGCGTGGGCACTGCCAACTGGTTCCCGCGGAAGCCCAGCTACGATCAACGGTGGCATATCTCCACCATCAAGTTCCAGCTCTTCTAGGCTCTCTTCGTCAATGGGCCCTGGCTGGAGCTGATTTTGTGACTGAATATCGAGCTGTTTCTCTTCGTGCGACTTTGAAGCAGGTTGAAGCCATCATTCGAAAGGTGAAGCTTACTATGTCTCTGCAAAAAATCTTCGTGTTGGAAAATGCTAAAAAGAGATAGAAGCTTGTTTCAGCACACGGATGCATCGAGAATGTGAAACACAAATTGATTGATTTATTCGAAAAGAATGTCCTACGAAAGATTGGTAAGGCTCGCGTACCGCTCCATATTCATTTCGAGGTATTGTTCTCTGATGTCGATCTATGTAATAGTGGAAAATGAGGAAGAGTGGACAAAGAAGTCAGTCAAAAATAGCGATGACTGGGCCAATGTGAGTAACTGCTTGGTGCTTATTATTATCTTTTTTTTTCTTATTGACTAGTTGCTTTCAGTTACACCATGTGACCTTTGGCGCAATTTGTCGGCATAATGGAAAGTGGACCACAAGAAGACAGGAATCCATTTCCGTGAACGAAGAACTCACAAAGTACCCGAAGGAGATATTGGCCCCCAAGTGGGACTTTCTATGTGAATGGTTGAATTCTCAAGCCGACAAGTTGGCTATTATAAACGCCGAGATTTTTGAGGAAGTTTGCGCCGCACTTCGAGTCCATGAGCCACATGCCCCTCAGGCTGTGGGGAATGTTCTCGATTGCATGAAAGATAGGAAGGACAATATTTGCTTTGCGATCCGACAAAATATTCGTGAAATGACCTTTTCCTCAGAGTACCTATGACCTACATCAAACAGCCACCCCTTAATGAAATCTCAACTAACAAAAAGGTTACCTAGCACCGTGAAGTGGGCCATGGTGTCTGGCATCGATAGTTCCTTCATGGCAACCATCATGAGACCTGTCTATCTGTCCTGCAGCAAACATACAGGTACGCTCTATACTTTATACTTGGTATTGGTATAACCAGTACTCAGGATGAGTTCGAATGCATGAATATCTGCTAATATTATAAAATAGGCCAAGGCTGTGATAAGAGACGGAAGGATGAAATGCGAGAGTTCTTGATGAGCTCCAAAATGTTTCTCAAGTACCACCACCTTGCAAAAAGGAAGTACTTCAAAGAAATAAACAAGCGTTTCAATGACTTCCAAAAGGACATGCTTGAAGAAGTGGAAAAAATCGTGAGGGATTTGAATATGGTGGTAGCTGATGAGGGAGAAGTTCTAGAGGCCATCCAGAAGCCAACATTGGCTGGAATGGTGAAGGCGGGGGTTGACACTGCACAAGCAACACTTAGTAGGGCGCAGTTTGATTTGGGGCTTGCTATGGGTGATAAGCGAGACTGAGGTTCCAAGGTTGGTTTTGAAATTGCATATTGCATGAATTGTTTTTATCAATAGCATACCCAATGTTCTATGTTGTTATTCTTAACTAGGCATTGACACAGAGAGCATCAATTATCAATTGCATAAGTCTTAGCATTCAATGAGATTTGACTCTGATTGTTGAAATGAGAGATATGTAGATTTACTCATTTTCTCCATCTAAGCAGGAAGTTGAAAGACGCGGTGGACGTGAACCGGTGGCATAAATAGCGAGTGGCCTGATTATGTAATTATGCACACAGAGCATAATGTTGTCGCTTTTGGATGTTCAGAACTCCAGATCAACACTCAACAGAGTTGCGAATCGATGATAAATTCTGAAAGTCATATGTCAGGAAAAGTGAACCATAGAATGGGTCACATGGTCCGCTCCTGGACTTACGTCTGAGTACAGCGCGTGTTGGTTTTGTGGGTATTTAGTAGTCTGGGAAGTGAGAGCTTTTCTCTCCTTCCTTCCTTTCCTCCCCATCCCGCTTAGTTGAGAAAGAATATCACACAATTGGTCCTTCTTCCTCCTCCTCATTATCATTCGTCTCCCAGATCTACAGTCTGGATCTGCCATCATGTCATCTTCGAAAATGCAGAAATTTTGTCCAACGTTGCCAGCAGCTCAAAACAACAACCCACAAGGTAATGGAGGAATGGCCCAAGATATTGTGTCTTTCAAAGACGACATCGTGTCTCACCTACTGGTCCACAACACATACACACGCCTGAAGGACCTTTACGAAGAGGAGCTACGTGATGCTTGGGTTGAGAAGATTGAGCCTGTGAAGCATATCCAGGAAGACCTTGCTGTCGCGGCGTTTTTGATTGAGCTATGGCGCACGATGTACGGAGCAGTGCCAGAGGCCAAGACCACAGAACAAAACACCATTTCGCGATTCCCGGGATTTGTTGACATTGCCTGTGGGAATGGTGTGGTTGTCTATGTGCTCCTGATGGAGGGCTATTCCGGTTGTGGATATGATGCTCGCCGTCGTCAAACATGGGGCATTTTCCCATCATCCGTGCAGGAACGGCTACTGGAGAAAGCATACATTCCCAAACCATTCGCAGACACAGGTTACATCGCAAATGTCCGTACGGATATTCACACAGGGGATTTCCCGCCTGGAACATTCATCATCTCTAACCATGCCGATGAACTCACCCTGTGGACTCCACTCATGGCATCCCTTGCCTGTCCTGTCTCCCCACTCCCGTTCCTCGCTATACCATGTTGCTCGCATTCGCTCTCTGGATCCAGCTATCGCTTCCCTGCGCCGAACAAATCATCAGGAAAATCAGAAAACAAACCAACAAAAGCTGACGATGATGTCATCGATCAAAACCCACAACCCGCGTCAGGGGATCTAAGAGCCTTGAGAGCCGCGAAAGCGAAAGAGAAAACGGCAGAAGGCATACTCGACTCAATGTACGGATCTCTTGCTGCCAAGACTATGCAAATCGCACAAGAGGTTGGGTACGATGTTGAATCAACCCAGCTTCAACTCTTAAGTACCCGAAACATAGGAATAGTGGGGGGTCGGCAATTGGTGGCTCGGGAACGGAGAGGAGAATCTCGAGACGAGAGCCCGGCCCCCGCATCAGTGGACCCTCAATCTGACTGTAGCAGCAAATTAGCCCGCCAAATCCAAGATATCGTCGAGCGTGAGTGCACCAGGGATGGGGGAATTCATGTTGCCGCTCGGACATGGATCGAGCGCGCTCTGAGCCTTCACAGGGCCACAAGAATGGTGAACCTTCACCCAGTCTGTGAATAGATCGGCACCGGAAAGCTTGAAAATACCCCGGAAGCTTGCTTGAGCGGGGGCAACGGCTTAATTTCGGGGATTCGATCTTCTTCAACACGGGGTGTATGCCATGTCGCTCCCGACATTCCGCCGGGTAAATAGCAAATACCCTGTGGAGACGCGGGGACGCGGGGTATAAAGTGGTATGATGGGTACCTGAATTGGCAGAGCAGCTTGGGTTTTCTTTCGCTACCTTGGGACTTGGCAAAATGCGTTTTACTCCTCTTCTTCTGGTCGCTGGGCTGGCGAACGCGTTGGAGAATGGACTCGCGCGCACACCACAGTTGGGATGGGTATGTAGTGTCTCTTTACAGTTGTAGTGTACAATGCTAACTAGAGTAGAATACTTGGAACTCCTTTGGTTGCAACATGAATGAGACTGTCATTTTGCAGGCTGCCGAGAAAATCGTTTCACTGGGCTTCAAAGATCTAGGTTATCACTATGTTGTCATGGATGATTGCTGGTCTGCAGGTCGTAACTCGTCTGGGTATCTTATCCCAGACCCCGACAAGTTCCCCAATGGAGTAGCAGATCTGGCAGACAAAATCCATGCCATGGGGCTGAAACTAGGAATTTACTCTAGCGCGGGCACATTGACCTGCGCGCGGTATTCCGGCTCGCTGGGATACGAAGAAAAAGACGCGACGCTGTGGGCAAGCTGGGGCGTAAGACTCCATTTCCCCCGACAATGAGTGTGGGAATCTGGTGCTGACGAATGTATAGATCGACTACCTGAAATATGACAACTGCTACAATCAAGGTGAAGAAGGCACTCCTAAGCTTTCTTACGATCGCTACAATGCCATGGGCAAAGCACTCAATGCCACTGGTCGACCTATTCTGTACTCCCTATGCAACTGGGGTGTTGACGGACCATGGAACTTCGCTCCCACGATAGGCAATTCTTGGAGAATGAGCGGCGATCTGAACAACGTTTGGGATCGTGAGAACGTGAATTGTCCTTGCTCCGAAACTGAAGGTCTTGACTGCAAGACTCCTGGGTATGAATGCTCTGTCATGAACGTTCTCAACAAAGCTGTGTACTACCCATCCAAGGCGTATGCAGGTGCATGGAACGATCTGGACATGCTCGGTAAGTCATTTGAATCATGGGCCTCACAAAAACTGAGAAAGAATAGCCAAGAACTAACGGCTACAACGAACAGAGGTCGGAAATGGTGGCTTGACAGACACTGAAGCCGTCGCCCATTTCAGTCTTTGGGCTGCGCTCAAATCGCCTCTCCTCATGACGAACGTAATGACCAAGATCGACGCGCAAACCTTATCCATCTTGCAAAATACTGCAGTGCTTGCCATCTCCCAAGATCCAGAGACCTCGTCCGCAGTACGAATTTGGCGCTACTATGTCGATGGTGGCGAGATTCAAATGTTCAGCGGTTCCTTGAGCGGCGGCGACCAGCTAGTCTTACTTTTGAATGGCGGGTCTGCGGCTCGCAATATGAATGCTACACTCACTGATATCTTCTGGTCGGATGGTCCTGGGGGCACGGCGTCGGAGATCAAAAGCAGCTGGGATGTGTATGATCTCTGGGCTGACCGGATGAGCAATGCGACTGCGAGTGCGATTATCGAGGGAGGAAACGCCACGCGGCCGATTAATATGACTGCCCTGGGTGGATATGAGAAGGTCTACTCACAGGACCCTTTGCCGACGTCCAAGGCGCTTATGGGGACTAAGGTTGCTACAGTCAAGGCTAGTGGGACAGTTACGGCCCATGTGCAGCCGCATGGTGTTGCTATGCTGCGTTTGAGGGAGGTGAAGACCAATGATGAGCTTTGAGGGAGTGGGACACGAAAGAAAAGTATGCATGTCTATGTGAATGAATTGATTATTGACTTATTGTCAACGTTGCTCTAATTTGTAGTAGTTGCCCAACGCACCGAGCAGAGTGGAGGTTTAGAGGGGAAAGTAACGTAGTGTACAAAAGTAGAAGAGAAGAGTTAAATGAAGACCCTGTCCAACTTGTCTATATTAGTTGGAGATCCCGAGACCAAGCCTGAACGCCATGCAGTCGAACGCAATGATGAAGAGTGTGAAAAGCAAAATGTGAATGGAAAGAACCTCAGTAGAGCTTCTTACCCGAAGCAGGCTCTTGAGATGTCTGTTCAGCTGCCTTGGTGCGTTCAGCATCCAAGGCGTTTTCAAAAACAGAAGATGAAGTCTGTGCTGGACCGGCTCTAGAAGCAGATGCAGCAGCGCTTTTTGCCGCAGAGTTTGACGCAGCCGCAGCCGCACTCTTACGGAGGCGTTCGATCCGCTCAGATCGCGCCTCGCCAGGAAGACTGCCCCAAACGGGCTCGATGGAGTCAGCACGCCAATTGGCACGCTGTCCAACCGCGCCGCACCTGGTGGTTAGAGGGCTCAAAGAGTTGCTTCCAACTCCAGATTCACCCCACATGCGGACGCGCTGGAGTTTGCGCAACTTAGCAAGACCGTATACACTGACTATGGCGGTGATGCCAAAGCAGATGACGGAGACACCGCCGAAGCCAAAATCGGATTCTTCAATGAAGTTCTTCAAGTTCATTCCGTAAAGGGCAGAGAATAATGTTCCTGCAGCAAGGGACAGAGTGCCGATGCTAAATTTGAGATCGAGAAGCATAAGGGAGTTGCGGTTTGCATCGAGGATGGCTTTGACCCTGTGCTTTGTATTAGAACAACGCTTCTTCCAACCTCCGAAAGAAGAGGACGGGAGAACTTACACTTCTTCGGTATTGCGAATATTTGTCACCAAATTACCGCTCGCCTGAACAATTTCATCACAGACTTTATGGTATGACTCCAGCAACATCTCCACTTCTTGGTGGTCATCCTCATCGCGTTCCTTGCCCTTTGCTCTTTCGCTCAGGTACATAGAAGCAAGATCATCGTCCGCCTCCAGGAGATCATCAATAGCATCTCGGACTAGTCGAGCCTTCTGCTCAAATGTACCGAGCTTCTTCGAGTAAATCAAGAGATGTCGCAGCTTATCACGATCAATGTCTTCCTCGAGCGCCCGCAGGACCCGGACAACAGGATCCCTCACACCATTAAATTCTTCTTCTAACCCGGTCGTGACGCTAATAAGAACGGCTTCCAAAGCACGAAGTTCGTAGGGTAAAGCTGGACCAGCCTGCGCGACCGACGTCTTCTGGCGTAATTTGGCTTCCAGATCATAGATGAAAAGGGACTGCATGTAGGAGTCTGTCGAGCCGTAGGCATCAAATACAAGGACCCGATCGGCTTTGATGAGGACTCGTAGATGCAAGAGGTTGATCAAGATAGCGCTCGGGCGGACGAGGATGTGGGGTAGAGTCGAGGAATCGATCTTGCGTAGGTCTCGAGGGAGAAGGCCGTACTAGAAGTCAAGATGTCAGCTGGAACCATACACCGAAAGTTGGCATTGGCGAACAAACGAACCTTGGCAATCAATTCCATCTTTCGGAACTCTCCGTTCACCAGAGTGACATTCCCATTGTTATCAAACTCCGTACATCTTATCCGTAACTCGTTCGAAGCCTTGGCCGCCAATCCACGGCCAATGTTAAATATTCCATCAGTCCCCTCATCAATCCAAGCGGGCCCATTCTGGGTGTTCTTATATTCAGCTGTCTTGCTTTTCCTGAGATCGAAAAGCCGTTTGAGGAATGGCCGACGGGCCGTGGAGGAGGGACGGGAGAAGATTATTTGTTCAAGTGCGCGGGAGACTATCTCAGCCTTCGGTCGAGTAGAGGCTAATGAGAGCTTCGAGTTAAATGTGGCGACGCATCGTGACTTCTCAGGACGAGCCCAGCTCGAGGATCTTCGCGACGATCCTATCGCGAGGTTGTTATCATTTGAAGGTCGCGGCTTAAGGGGGGCGCATGCTGAGAGACTGGCCACAGAGCCAGACTGGGAGTGCAAGAACCGCAGCAGTGATGCCGACGGAGCAGACGGCTTCAACGGAGACAGCATGTCACTGTTGGTGTCCAGACTCTGAGATAGTCCAATGATCGCAATTGCGGGAAAAAAGCCGCGTTGCGGATTAAAGTTAGCCCGGGCTCCGAAGTATAGTAAGGCCCAGAACACATTGAATTGAACTAATAGTAAGTTAGAATAAGTTATGCCCTTATGACTTTTCCAGGCTCTGGATTTCGAAGTCTTCAAATTAACACTAGAATCTAACAGCACTGGGGAATCAAGTGCGAAAATTGTAAGGTCAATTTTGAGTATGTTTGAAAATTTGGCTCAATTACATTTCTATCGTTCCCTAGTTGGATACCCTCCACTAAGTCTCCACTGTCCAGTATAGCTCGTTTAGTAGTATAGCTTATATGTATACCCCATTCATATACTGAATAATACATAGATCTGCCTGACTGCATTTGAAAACCTTCAAGCAATCCGCTCCATTATCTCACAATCTCCAGCACATGTGTATGTAAGACACGAGGGCTACCAGAAGACGCTCTCAACCCGTCCTAGTCTCTGGCATGTACTAGCCTTCCTTGAACCCATACACTCTTCACATTCCGATCATCACCACTCCACATCCACTTCTGAATCTGCTCCTGCCAAGTCTCATTTCCAAACAGATCAACATTACCCACTGGACCAGATTCAGAGACACTCTGAGAAGCAAGAGCATTGTCTTGTGTCACATCAAGCGGGCTGACGGTACTATTCTTCACAGAACCCAGCTCAACCAGCTGCGCATCCCAAATCATTCCCTTATCAAAGCCACCAATATCATCGACCATATCAACAACAGCTGCACCACCACGCGTAGCAAGATAGAGGCTATCCTCGACAGAGAGCTTCTCGCTTCCATCCGAGACTGTCTTGCCTGTCATGTTTTGGTACTCGGCACTGTACTGAAGCAGCCTGGACACTAGACAAGCCTGTCGGGCAACTTCAAGAATACTCGGGCTATAGCCGCCACTTACATCTGTGCCTAGACCGACCGTGAGGCCTTCATCGAGCATGATGCGGACAGGCGCGAGACCTGAGCCCAGGGCAGAGTTGGATGCGGGACAGTGTGCGACTTTGGAGCCGCGCTCGCGGATGAGAGTGCGCTCGTCTTGGGTGAGGTGTACTCCGTGCGCGAGGATGGTACGGTTGGTAAGTAGATGGGCCTTGTCGTAGACATCGGCGTAGCTTGCTGCTTCTGGGAATAGTGTGTGGACGAGGGCAATTTCATCGGTGGTCTCGGCGATGTGGGTTTGGATGTAGAGGGGTGGGCTGTATGATGCGGCCAGTTTGCCGAGGCCGTCAAGGGACTGGTTTGAGCAGCTTGGGGCAAATCTGGGGGTGATGATTGGGTTGATCAAAGTTCCGTTTGGGTCTAGAGTTTGAATATAGTCTATTGTTGATTTTGTTGCGTTAAAGCCTTCATCCGCAGACTGATCAACATAATATGCCGGGCATTCTTCCTTATTGTCCATGCAGACGCGTCCGATAAAGGCCCGTTGCCCATGAGAATGGCAGAGTGCTGCGAGGGCGTTGGTGGCTGGAACATGAATGGTGGCAAAATAAGAAGCACATGTTGTGCCGTGGGCAAGAGTCCGGGCAACGACTTCATCATAAACGCGAAGGCCTTCCGGTGGTGTGTCTTTGGGGTCTGTTTGTTGGTTGTTCGGGTCTGACTTGGAGCCAAAGCTACTTTCGACTGGGTAGGTGTACTCATTCAGCCAATCCAAAAGGCCTGCGGAACCAAAGAGTCCAATGTTGGGGAATTGTGGCGCGTGGATATGAGTGTCTACAAAATTAGCTTGATAGTCAGGTCGTTTAAGAAGAAAGGCGAGACCTACCGATAAACCCAGGGAAGAAGAACTCATTTTGCGCGTCGCTGGACTCCACAACTTGAACCGGTGTGGATGAGCCGGCACCACCATTAGATGTGGCATTGGCATCAGTCCAGCCATGGCTAGATAGGAATGATTGAAAGCTAGCATCATCGCTGACTTGCCAGTCATATCCTTCAATGCGGCCATTGGCTGAAGAAACCCATAGAACACCTTGGTTTCTGGCAAGCTCGGGCTTTGTCGAAGTAGAATTCAGGCGAGGCAAATGAATGAATGTACCGCGATAGACAGTGTATGGATACTCTATAGCCATGACACCGCAAGCGTTGATAAATGCAAGACAAAGCCATATTGCAGGCAATCCCGCAGAACGTTTAGGCAAGCTCAGGAACATGATTCAATGAAAATTATGTGATAATTGATTAGTTTTATTCAGCTCGAGGGCATCGCAGATAGATATAGACCGGCCGTATGCTAGTGAATAGAAGGACAGGTTGGACTTACCTCTCTATCAGAAGAAGCAGGCCTATCAATACTCTGCAACATCTCGAGGCTGTACTTACTATATTAAAACTCGATATTCTTCAATGTTCCATGTAGTATCGTCTCTGAAGCTTATCGAGAAGACTGGAGATAACAAGATCGACAGGGCACGCCGATATTGGGGGCTTTAGGGCGCGGTGTTCGGCTGTTTCCGATTGATTTCATGTTTTAATGCATATTCAGAGGTGCTGTTCATTGATAACAATGCGGGTGAGTTCTTATAAGTGGAAGGGTGGATATTTTCAATTGAAAAGGGAGTGATCGGCATCAGGATATTTGAAACCCTCCCGATGTCGATAAATGGAAATCTGGCTAATATCCTGATCACAAGTTTGGCATGCTGAACTAGTACTAGGTATTTACATGAAATTATATTAGATATTCAGCATAGATATTTGAAGGCTCAAGTCCTGGCTTTGCACATTTTCTCCAATACTAGACAGTGAAGGCCGCCATAGAAGTATGATACTCACTCTTTGCGACTTAATATGATTCTTCATGGCGGCCCAGGTGGAGACCAGTGTGGAGATAACTTTGAGACTGTGCAGAATTTATGCTTTAATCAAAGGAAAGTTGCAATAAACATTTGTGTACATTAATTAGCTGATGCATACTTCAGGTCAACTAGTGTCAATAGTAATCATCCAGGATATCTAGACCAGGCTCGGATGAAAGCGCCTGCAGATCTGCGGACGATCGCTAGGAATTTCTCGTGAACACTTCAACACTCTCTAAGATTTACATATGTCAGACAATAATAGCCATGAAAGGATTCTGTAGTCTTATTTGACGACCTGCATGTTTTTAGGTCTTGGAGGGGGCGAAGCTAACATTTGAAAGGTTCGTGCACAGGCACTACACACAGTCTCGGTACGGATGCCGGCGCAGCCCGGAGTCGGTGACAACAAGTAGACTGGAATCGAGAGAAGCACATGGTTTCCAGTATGAAAGATCGACTTGAATACGGAATATGGTATAGTCCGGTTAAAGTAGGCCCACTGAAAGCACTTCGGTGAGTTTGATTATGATCGGCACAATTCTTTTTAGAACACTCCATAGTTTAATTAGAGCGACCTTGAAGTGGAGAGACACGAATGGTCTTTGAGAAGAAAAAAACCTGAAACTATTAATCCAACAAAAGAGACAGTTCTCACCAAGGATATATGACAATCATTACTGAACTTGTCTGGGTGACGAACTTTGTAGCATGCCTTTCCCAATGCCAATTGGCAGCACCGAAAAGAAAATGTCACTCATGTATGACGGGATTCTCACGCATACCACTATCTGGAAGGACAAATGGTAGATCAATTATTAGTTTTCATCCCAAGTTTGACAAGAATGTCTGGGAAAAGTGAGATGCATTCCGATCGATCGACCGGAGAACGGCGGAGAGTGCTAAGCATGGATAGGAGCCAAGATCATATACGGGCAAAGACCATATTTAGATTCCCCGTGTTTGTCCCAAACTACTGAAATCCGGGGAACAAATGTGGGGGAAACTGGGGAAGTTTCGGGAAAGCGTGGTTGCCTCCGCAAAAGTATCGAGCAGCCAGACTCGTAATTCAACGGCAACCGCCGCCTACCGTAAACCTAACCTTGTACCAGCCAATTCGACAAATGCTAATTCATCATGTTAAAACGTTTCGATATTGATAAAAGAGAACACACTTATCCCTCTGTGGCTATCTTTTTTATCTCCACTTCTTCCACTATAGTCGCACAATCCTGTTGTGCGCTTTTCTGTCTATAATTTCATGATGGGTTTGAAACCATATCTCGGCCTCCGTGGCAACGCACTCCTTCGGGCAGCTGTTTTATTAGTTGTTGGTCCAACCTTTACATGTTATGGATACAACATGAGTGTGGCCGGTGGCCTTTTGACTCTTCCTACCTTTAACGACCAATTTCCTCGCATGGACACCATCCACACGACTGGCGCACAACAACATAACAATTCCACCATTCAAGGTCTGTAAATTATTGAACCTATCTCACCATATATGCTCTAACATGAGATCATTGCATAGGCACGGTCATTGCCCTCTACACCGTCGGTGGCATTTTCGGGGCCCTTTCATGCGTCTATCTAGGAGATCTACTCGGAAGGAAGAAGGTCATCTTCTGGACCAACTTTATCAACATCATCGGTGCCCTTCTGATGGCAACATCATTCGATTTCGCTCAATTCATCGTTGCAAGATTGATCCTCGGAGTGGGCATTGGAGGATATGTCGCCACGGTGCCCGTCTGGCAATCTGAAATCTCACCAGCACACAAGCGAGGCTCGAATGTCGTTACCGACGGTATTTTTGTCGGTCTCGGTGTGACTATAGCCCTCTGGATTGATCTCGGCTTCTACTTTGTGAAGGATAACTCTGTCTCTTGGCGGTTCCCTCTCGCTTTCCCTATAGTTATGTCCGCTACAGCCATGATCTTTATCACGGTGCTTCCGGAATCACCTCGCTGGTTGATCAAGACTGGCCAGCTCGACAAGGCCCGCATTTCTATGGCAGCTCTCCTTGAGCTTGGGCCCGACTCCGATGAGATCACCGAGAATATTCAACAGATCCAAACTACCCTCGCTGTATGCGGAAATACGTCGTGGACTGCTATGTTTACAATGGGAGAGCAACGTCTTTTCCACCGCGCGTATCTGGCTGCCTCAGGACAATTCTTCCAGCAGATGTGTGGTGTGAATTTGATTACATACTACGCGACCAGTATCTTTCAGGTAAGCGGATACATGCTTCTGGTTTCTCTTTTTAGTCAATCTAAACCTCTGTCGGGCTTCTAGCATATCTTATTAACATCATTCTAGCAATATCTTGGTCTTGACGCTGTGAAATCCCGTATCCTCGCTGCATCTATGGGTTTGATGCAGCCGTTTGGTGGTTTCCTCGCGTACTATACCATCGACACACTTGGCCGTCGACCACTGATGTTATGGAGCGCAGGGGCCATGTCCATCTGTATGGCCGTTCTCGCCGGTACAACATCCCCATCGGCTGCCGATAATACAGCTGCCCTAGTGGTCGCAGTGATAGCGCTCTTCTGTTTCCAGTTTATTTTTACGACCGGTTACTCTGGTCTTACCTTCTTATATGCTGCCGAGATGGCCCCCCTCCAGGTCCGGGCTGCTGTCAGTGCAGTTTCTACAGCGACAGTATGGGTTTTCAATTTCTTGCTTGCAGAAGTGACACCCATTGGCTTCTCTACCATCGGCAACAAATACTATATTGTCTTCGCGGTGGTCAATGCGGCTATTGTGCCGTCCGTATACTTTTTCTTCCCCGAGACCAAGGGGCGCACACTTGAGGAGATTGATGAAATTTTCGCACAGTCAAAGAGCATCTTTGATCCACCGCGCGTGGCTCGTCGAATGCAGCTACAGGCTCATCGGCCGGACTCGGAGAATAGCGGTTCGAAGAGTGAATATGTCCAGGAAGAAGTGAAGGTCTGAATGCTCTTAATGAAATATAAGGGAATGTTGAATTGGCATACCTTCGGACTGTTTACGGTCGCCGGTGTGATACTTGAATTTTGTACCTACATCTATCGACTGTGTTTGTTCGCAATCGTATTGATGACATTTCTCCCTCTGCCAAACACGAATGAAGACCCACGTACCAAACTTGACAAATCCGTGACACCAAAGAAGCTCATTTGATATGTAATAAGAAAGCCGACAAATTAACACGGCCTTCGCATTAGCTCGAGGTGGAGAATGGTCTTCCAATCACTAGAAAATATGTGTCAATGGAACTTCCAGAACAGTTGATATGACAGCATTGGCGGATATTAGTCTAACCGGGCTCATCAGACTAGAGCCAGGGCAAGAGAGCATCGTCATAAATGTTGAGGCACGTGCCCTTAAGCTGGAGGACTGTGGTTCCAAGCGCAGTCTCCGCAATCTCCGCAAATGCAACGAATCTCGCTTCAAGCGAAGTGAGCAAGCCACGCAAAGCTAAGGACCAAAGTGGAACGTTAAAAAGTCCCCATTCAGTTTAGCCGTCGGATCTCCGACGCTTCTCCCCTGCACTCTTAATGTTCCGCATGCTTCCACTCTCTTGATATGATGTTCTGGAAACTCATTGTTATTGGCTTAAAGCTGATTCTAGATATGGAGGTGGAGGAGAACCCCGAGGCTCTGCCGCTCTAGTTAAGTAGCGGGGGTGACCGGGCTGACTCGGCTAAAGATGCTGCCAATCATACGACTGGAGTAATTAATCAATCACCAGAAACATCAAGGATCAAAATAAGAAGCTGTTCTAGATGTTCCCACTTTTGGATTATGGGGGTACCTGAACCAAGATTCAAGAGACCAATCAAGAGCCAGTTTAACGCCCATGTGGTTTTGCTTTGAAAAGCATTGTTATTGCCACACTCGGGTTTAATTTAGTATCCACACTCTCCGGCCCAAATCAATACTAAAGGTACGCGTGCACTTAAGAAAAAGGCCGTGTCCATAAACCTGCTCATCTAAGCCTGCTGCGGAGGCTAAAGACTAGTTTAATCTTGCATAAACCAATCGCTCAATCATCCAATTGCACGTGTGGAAAGCTGTTTAGTCCAGCTTATCAGCGGCACGCAAATGTGACTTAGGTCCCTTAGCTCCTTCGCAGCAATGAAGCGACACAGATAAAAAGCCGGCCTGGCAGCCCTTTGTTGTGGGGTGACACGGGCTCAATTATTTTCACCATGAAGGCCACCACTGCTTCCATTTTGTTGGCACTGTCCGCCGCCGCCAATGCCGTTCCTGCGGTAGACCGTAGAACCGTTGACGAGCGTTTCCCTTACACCGGTCCTGCCGTCCCGATCGGCGATTGGGTTGATAACACCATCAATGGCAACGGCAAGGGTTTCATCCGTCTCGTCGAGGAACCCGCTGTCAAGCCCGCCAAGGCAAACCCGACAAACAATGTCAATGTCATCTCGCTGGCTTATATCCCCGATGGCATTCACATTCACTTCCAGACCCCGTTCGGTCTGGGCAAGTCGCCTTCCGTGAAATGGGGCACTAGTCCTACCCACTTGACCAATGTTGCGCGTGGATACAGTCACACGTGAGCTCCTGCCCCCTAAAAAACCATAAATCCCCCAATTGATATGTCCTGTGCCAAGAGAAGATCGTTGCTTATCGTTATTATGCTTTTAGCTACGACCGTACCCCACCCTGCTCGCTCGTCAAGGCTGTCACCCAGTGCAGTCAGTACTTCCACGAGGTCTCGCTGCCGCACCTCGAGTCGGGCAAGACCTACTACTACCAGATCGCTGCCGCCAACGGCACGACTGAGTCTGATGTCTTGAGCTTCACCACTGCCCGCAAGGCTGGTGACCCTACCGAGTTCACTGTCGCTGTGCTCAACGATATGGGCTACACCAACGCCCAGGGTACCCACAAGTACCTTACCGAGGCTGCTAGCGAGGCTGCCTTTGCCTGGCACGGTGGTGACATCAGTTACGCTGATGATTGGTCCTCCGGTATCATGGCCTGCGAGAGCGATTGGCCCGTCTGCTACAATGGCTCCAGCAGTGAGCTTCCTGGTGGCATCACCAAGGCCTACGATACCCCTCTGCCTGCCGGCGAGATCGCCAACCAGGGTGGTCCCGAGGGTGGTGACATGAGCTCCATCTACGAGTCCAACTGGGATCTGTGGCAGCAGTGGATGGGCCCCATCACCCAGAAGATCCCCTACATGGTTCTTCCCGGTAACCACGAGGCTTCTTGTGGCGAATTTGACGGCCCCGGCAATGTCCTCACGGCCTACCTGAACGACAACGAGCCCAACAGCACTGCCTCTGCCGATAACCTGACCTACTACAGCTGCCCGCCTTCGCAGCGGTAAGGACCCCCTCATCTGAACTTCAAATCACCGCACATGATAAGCTAATGGTTTTATTCTATAGTAACTTCACTGCCTTCCAGCACCGCTTCCGCATGCCCGGTGCCGAGTCTGGCGGTGTCAGCAACTTCTGGTACTCCTTCGACTACGGTCTCGCTCACTTCGTCTCCATGGACGGTGAGACCGATTACGCCGACAGCCCCGAGTGGTCCTTCGCCGAGGACGTCACCGGTGACGAGACCTTCCCCACCGAGGCCGAGACCTTCATCACCGACAGCGGCCCCTTCGGTGCCGTCGGCAGCGTCGACGAAACCACCACCTACGAGCAGTACAAGTGGCTCAAGAACGACCTGGAGAGCATCGACCGCACCAAGACCCCTTGGGTCGTTGTCATGAGCCATCGTCCCATGTACAGCTCGGCCTCTTCTTCCTACCAGAAGAAGATCCGCGAGGCGTTCGAGGCCCTCTTCCTTGAGAACGGCGTCGATGCTTACCTCTCCGGACACATCCACTGGTACGAGCGCTTGTTCCCTCTCGGCAACGGTACCATCGATACCGAGTCTGTGATCAACAACAACACCTACCGCATGAACCCCGGCAAGTCCATGACCCACATCATTAACGGAATGGCTGGCAACATCGAGAGCCACAGCTCCTTCAGTGATGGTGAGGGCATCACCAACATCACTGCTGTGCTTAACTCCAACGAGTACGGATTCAGCAAGATGACTGTTGCCAATGCTACTGCTATGAAGTGGGAGTACATCAAGGGCAGTGATGGATCCGTTGGTGATTCGCTTTGGCTGCTTAAGCCTTCTGCTGCTGATACCAAGGGTCATGGAAAGGAGCCTGCTTCTGCCGGTAATGGTAAGAAGGGAGGATCTCACTAGAGTGCCCGATCTCTTGCTAAGAAGTATATCTGGGGAAGTGTAATGTTTCGAATGTAGTATATAAGTTGATGTTTGGGACCGGTATTACCGCGGTAATCATTGATTGGATGCATGATGAAAAGAGATTGATTGTCTATGAAACAATGGTATTTCCACACACAAGAATAGAAGCTTCTTCTAAGAAGAATTCCTAGTTTCATTTAAATCGATTTTCCTCCTTTGATTCCCAGTCAACTGGTTATACTACCTAATACATATAAGCTGCTGTATACAATTAAATCGGAAAAAGCCCTTTTAGATTGGCATTGATGTCTGCTAGCGTTCCATCTGGGATATACTTCATCGTGAAATCACATGCTTAATAACAACACGGTCAAAGGGTATTTTTATATTAGGGTGTGATGGTAGTTTGCTAAGTAAATTCATCTCCTTCCAGGACTTTTCTCGTGACTGATTAGAATTAATCTTTTGGGTCTATCATGGTGGAAAGAATTGGAATATGCGGGTATTGATACGACACTCGTGTGCTAGTGGTGTACTGTACCCTTTGTCACAAAATGTGATGCGCCCAACAAAGCCTGACTATAGACCCATGAAAGAGCAACGAAATGAAAAGAATTAATAAAGTACAAATTCAGTGTGAATGTGGCTGGAACGACGATCAAAATCAGGGTTTGATATTACATATTAGGCAGCGCGCGTTATTTTTTGGAGGTAAATAATGAAGCGGTGGGTTGCCGGGGGCAACGCCAATTTTACGTTGATGGGTAAATATGGACTTTAGTAGACTATAAATATTAAGTTTTAAATCAACTACTAAAGTACATATAGAGAACATACCACCATTCAAGCGATTCAGAATAGCTGATTCTTTGGTAAACTTGAAACATTGAGTGGCTCACTGTGAAGTATGTAGGGGAAATGTATAACATGATGTAACCAGGCTGATGGTCCACTAAACATACATGAAAGTTTCAAGGTTATCTTGGTATCAGAACATTGAAGTTAGAATAAGCAACATCCACTGGGAGTCCAACTAAGAGATATATACAAAGCATAGACTCTGTCTGCCCTCATCAACGCTTGAAGAAGTCCCAACTTTTAAGCCGATGGCCGCGCAATCAATCAGAGGGGAATAATGCTTAATGTCCGCAAAAGAAATGCCTAGGGAAAGGTATAGGTATCATGGATGAAAAAGAAGCGACCCCATGCAAAAAGAGAAATCTACCAATCGTCATCATCCTCCTTCTCATCATCTATAATCAAAATTAGCACATCTTAAACCTTTTATGACTTGAAGTCCAGAAAAACTCACCACTTCCGCTAACTTTCTGCTTCCGCTTCTTCAAAGCATCCTGCAAGGCACCAGCCAAGCCACCCTGTGGAGCAGCTGAGCTAGATGCGCCAGCAGATGACTCAGCAGCGCTGCCAGGAACCATAGCTGCGCTTCGGTCTTTCTTCTCCGAGGCACTGACTTTCCGCAAGCCACCTCCTCCTTGACCACGAATAGCAGCCAGAAGATCGTCTCGACCACCTCCGCCAGATGGCAGTGGTGGTCCGCGAGGCGGAGCTGGCGGGGGAGGAGGTCCCCCTGGAACGCCAGTAGGCGGAGGTGGTGGTGGTGGTGGGACTGGACCTGGGTTCCCGGTTGGAGGAGGAGGAGGAGGAGGAGGCGGCGGGGCTCCTCCAGGTGCACCAGGACCTGGTCCAGGGGGAGGTGGGGGTGGAGGTACAGAAGAGTTGCCCCCAGAAGGACGAGGGGGTGGCGGCATTGAAGGTACATTGCGCATTGGAGGGGGTGGGGGGCCCCCAGTTGGACCACCGGGTGGAGGAGGTGGAGGTGGGACTGAAGGCACATTCCGGGTTGGAAGTTGAGGGGGTGGTGGAGCGGTGTATGAATTTGTCGGTGGAGGTGAAGCCGGGCCTCGAGGCGGCGGAGGAGGAGGTAAAGCAGGCGCAAATGATGGCGGAGCTGGTCGAGGAGCTGGTGGTGGGGGCGGAGAGGCCGGTCCTCTGACAGGCGGAGGGGGAGGATGCCCTGGAGCAGCACTATTCGGGACCTTAGGGGGAAGCTGAGGCGCAATATCTCCACGAGGTGGTGGAGGTGGAGGTCCGCCAGGAACAGGGCTGCGGCTAGGGGGTGCAGGGGGTGCAGAGACCTTGCGGTCGCCCATGAATGGAGGGGGAACTCCGAATCGAGTGGGTGTTTCATCCATCGGTGTCTTCGGAGGTCGTGGCGGCGGCGGGGGAGGATTGGCAGCACTCGAAATTGCTCGTGGGCGCCGGCGTTCGGCAGGCCCCTCCGGTACTACAGACTTGCCTGCATCCGCGAAGGGGGGTGGAACGTTAAACCTCCGAGCTGGCGGTGATGGTTCACGGGGTGGCGGCGGTGGAGTTGAATCGTCTGCACCATCGCCACGAGCCTTTCGAGCCGGTGGTGGCGGTGGTGGAGGACCACGCCGACTTCCTGAGCTACTACCTGTGTCCTGGGGGCTAATTGATTGGATCTTTGGAGCCGGAGGGCCTGGAGGAGGTGGGGGAGCTGCCCTGGGCTTCTCTTGATCCCCAGTAGAGGCGGGAGCTTGAGCAGCTGAGAGAAAACCTTGTTGTTCAATATAATCATTGATAAAGTCGGCATTCTCAACAATTTGGTCTCCCGTAATTCCCATGTCAAAGAGTTGATCTACCAGCCATTTCCATTGCGGATCTTGGGGGTCAAATAACAGTCCCTTTGGAGCCGAGCTGGATGTTTGTGCCGGAGGATGCGCCGGAGGTTGTGCCGGGGGTTGCGATGGAGCATACGATGAGGCATGCGATGGAGGTTGCGCGACTGGTATTATTGACTGCACGGGAGTAGGATTGGGGTTATGAGATGAGCGGTGCAACAAGCTTCCAAACCGGGATTTGGTTTTTTTCTCATGGGAAGCATGGGGGTCCGCAAGAAGGGCTCCATTTTCATATGTCTTGTACGGGTTCCTTTTCGTCTCTTTGCTTGCGATCTTCTCACGCTTCTCGATCGCAGCAAGGAACTCCTTGGCCTCTTTCAAATCAGCGAACAAGAGCCCAAACAAAACACCGTCAAAAACGAATGAGTGGAAAAATTCTCTTTCTTTAATATAGTCGAAGTTCTGTTCGATCTCAAGGTCCCAGATCACACTGCCACTTCCACCGGGCTACAATCAAAAGCATGCTGTTAGTCTCTCGTCTTTGTCTAGGAATTTATAAGCCACCCACCGAGATGTCGACCATTTTTAGCCAAAAGCAATGTCCAACCGTGTCTTCGCATAGAGCTATTACACCTTGCAGACCAGTGGGTTGCCATTTTGTAGGGTCCGGGTGGGCGACGAGGAGTCGTGCGACAGCTTTCGAGATGTCTCTAGGCAAATGCCTTTCGACAACGACCTCGTCTGCCTTGCTTAAGTATTTAAGACCAGACATAATAGAGGATATTTCGAGGAATGAGGAGAGTTATGGGTCACAATGTTGGGTGGTGTTAGGCTGATCGAGAGCGCATGGCAGCTGGACGGGTACAGCTAGCGAGAATGGCCCCAGTTCACGGGGATGACGAATTCAAGACTGCTGACGCAAGCGTTGGTCGAGCAGGAAGCGACGTGGTGAGGGGATGGCTTGCGAGGTTGTCGGAGGTGAGGAATTGGAAAGGAGCCGACCGGCGGTTGCCTTAAAGTGAGAGAAAGACAAGAACAAGTGTGCGGAAGAGGTTAGACGTTGGCGGGGGGCGGAGTACACGGGCGGTACTTGATGTTGGCGCGTATCTGCCACGGGGCACGTGGTACCTTCAAAGTACTAAGCAAGGAGCCTCCGGTGCACGCGGCAATCTGATGACCGTCATATACACTTGACGAAGATAATATGTACTTTTCCCTTCTTTTCCGATTTATTTTACCCCCTAACCAGCCTATGGTGATGGATGTTCTTGTTGGGCTAAAACCGACTATTGGGAACAAGTGGACACTTGAATCCGCCAGAGCCGCCATTCTTGATAAGCAACGAGTCATGAACTGTAGATGCTTATAAGTTATATCCCTTTGGCATTAACACATACTAGTAGTATAGTATACAATGCAATACTGGCAGTGTAAACTTCATTTCTCATATAATACTGCTGAAAAAAAAAATAACCACAACCCAGTTCTAGGCATCTTCTTTTCCAACGTTCTTGTCTGTGGTGAGATCAAGCCCGACCGCCGACGTCATTCTGCAAGTTTCAAGTTCTATAAAAGCGCACGTTATCAGCGCCAAAACCTTGCCTTTTCATCAACCTCAACCGTGCATTTATTCTTGTTCAATTTTGATTGCATAGTTCAAGACGTCTTGGATTTGATTTCCTCCAGACTATCCCAACAGCTTCAAGATGCCTATCATTCCCGAGCCCGAAAACTTCCCTGAGGTCACCCAGAAGAAAGGCAACGAGCCTCAGAGTAAATCCGAAGACAAGCCAAAAGCTTCAGCTTTCGACCATCTATCCAAGGGACCACAAATTCCTGAAGGTTTGTCGGAGGCACTATGACAAATGATGCAATAGCTAATCCTTCCCGGTCAGAGATGCCGCCAACGGCCTCACACGAAGAAATTGAGGCACGCAAGAAGGAGCTCAACAAGTCCAAGAAAGACTGATACTTTTCATAAGCCTAGCTCATGAGTCCTGCTACCTTGAATCATTTGGATCTGTTTTAACTATGATTTCCCAATAACGAATACGATTATGACTGCTCTCCTTCTCATCGCTAAATCCATTGCATCTTTCCGAGATTCACTGGCTTCGTTTAAAATCCAAGATAATCATTCCATTCCCGTCATATCATTGTAGACTTAATGTAAAACCTTGGCTTCAATTTTTCTTCAAACATGCCCATAAGCCATTCTCGAGGTCCATAGTTTAGTGCTCGATGTATGCATAACAACCTTGATAACAACCTTGGAAACCCCGATCCACACCTACAGATAGAAAGCAGCGAATGATACCGCGAATCAAACTTCAATACTATAGGTTTAACCATGAGCTAGGATACGAGCACCGAAGATGATGAAATACATGATATCAATCGAGTCCAACTTGCTACGTATCCAAGGCAACCAGGTTGGTACCCAAGTAGTAGGTACTCGGTCGAGTCTGCGAGTAAACAACCACAGCACTTTCCTTGTACCCAAAGTTCTCAAGATCTTTCATAATTCCCACTTGCCCAGAAGATAGTTGAAATTTAAATCCAAATCTTTTTTTTCTTGTACGACTAGATTCTGATTTTCAAACCTCAGTGCCATCTTAGCGGGGATCCTAGGCGTGCAGATCCGCTAAAATAGGAACCGACACGCAAGGGTCCACTAGGGCCCCTGAGAGTGGAGAACCCCATACAAGACTGTCTGAACCCGATTTTATTTCAACTTGATGTTTACAACCTCCCTACAATGTATCTCAAGGCAACATTGTTAGCCCCGGTCGCGTTAGCGGCACTTGTCGGGGCAAGCGTGCATGCACGCGATGTTGAACCATGTGCGCAGATCACTAATATGGTGTCAAGTGCTAATCAGGCTCAATGTATGTCCTCAGCCTGGTATTCGGATGCACACGGCTAATCGTCTCAGCAAGCACTTCCATCTCCCATGAACTGGCGTATCAATGTCTGATGTCGATGCCTTTTGATTCGGACCGTGCAGTTGTCTTTCTGACTCAGGTTCGCAAAATGCTCGAATTTCAGTCAACTATTGACATTCTGAAGAGTATTAACCCCCAATCTCTGTGTTCTCTTTGGTAGCTAATTGTTGATAGATCCACCGTCTGGCTATGATATGCCTGCTATCGATCTTCTAGGGGGGATCGATTCCATTCTAGACAAGGTCCGCAGCGGTAGCTATTCTAGCCAGTTTGAGATGGACTTGGATGTTTCTGGTCTCATAGCTTCTGCACACGACAGTCACTTGGTATTTCAGTTGTGCTCACAGTCGATCTTTACTTTTGAGATTGATTTGCCTCTTGTCTCTATTTCTTCAGACGGACTTGCACTTCCGGAAGTATATACGCTCAGTATGTGATTTTCGTCTACATTTTTGTGTCTGATCATGTCTAATCAATTACAGGCGATGCAAAGGCTCAAATGAGTGGCTTAACGGATATATCATCCATCAAATCTATAAATGGCACTTCTGTTGCCGATTATCTTGAGTCATATGCATTTACTCAAAGCCTTCAAGACCGTGATGCACAGTGAGTTACTTCGCAGTCCTTGTCCTTCAAGACTTATCCCTAAATGACAATCATAGATACAACCGAGTCTTCCCAGCACTACCACGCACCTTCACCAACACTCCTACCAATGTGAATGGTATCTGGGCTGCCAATGGCGCCTGGACTGAAGGCTCAGAATTCACTATTCAATACTCTAACGGGACCAGTCAGACCGTTCAAAAGACTGCTACTCCAATGGAGAGGTACTTCTCATACCAGAATGGAACGGAGCTATACAATATCAACTGTCTTCCGGAAAGCTTGCCAACAGGAGCAAGCTCAGGTGCAGGTGCTGAGCAGGCGTCTGGAGATACCGGACTTCCTAGCGCGGCATCGGGCAATCCGGAGGGCTCCATTGCTGGTTATTTCTCCAATCTTACTGGCCTAGAGGATACTGGTATTCTTTTCTTGCCGACCTTCTCTTCGAGTCCGTCTCAAGTTGCTCAGGAGGCTGTTTATTTCTTACAAAATGCCACTGCTGCAGGAAAGAAGAATATCTTGATCGACGTTACTGCCAATCCGGGAGGCTATATGTCTACAGGAATAGACATGTCTCACATTTTCTTCCCGGAATCATCCCCTTATACTGCAACACGTTTCAGAGCGCACGATTCTGCAAAATATCTGACTCAGGCCTATTCACGCTCCAGCACAAAGGACACGAGCAACATCTTCGCCTACAGGGAAATGGTTACTCCAAGTCAAGAAACTGGGTTCGATTCCTGGCAAGATCTCTATGGTCCTCATGATATCCTAGGAAGTTCATCGTCTAGCCTGCTGGCCAATTTCAACTACACAGCTTCCTCGACCAAGGTATACCCGGTTGATGGCTATGGTTCCATCCCGCTCAACCCGGACAAGGCCCTCTTCTCTGCAGACAACATTGCCATCGTAAGTCTCTTTTTACCCCGATTATAACTCATCATATCTAACTCCATCCAGATAACAGACGGCGACTGCGTCTCCACCTGCGCCTTCTTCGTCAAGTTGATGAAACGTCAAGGTGTTCGCACAATTGCCTTCGGTGGTCGTCCCACAAACCAGCCTATGCAAGGCGTCGGCGGCGTCAAGGGCGGCCAATCTATCGGAGTCGACTATATAAACGGCTACATCCAGCAAGCAAATACACTGATTCGCAACGCAGCCAACACATCCACCCCGCTTCTGACGCAGGCCGAGTGGAAGACGTTCAATGATTCGAGCCCTAGCCTTGCAGAATCGTATGCGTGGAGCGGCAATTTGAATCTGCGCAATGAGTACGATCCGGACGATCATGAGACGCCGTTGCAGTTCGTATACGAAGCGGCGGAATGTCGACTATTCTACACTTTGGATAATTATCTGCGGCAGGAAACGGTTTGGCAAGCTGCTGCTAAAGCGATGTTCGGGAGCTTTGGATGTGTGAATGGGTCTACTGGTGGAGAAGGGAGCTTGAATAGTAGTTCTTGAAATTGTTTCGTGGGGTACTGGATCATGTGCATAAGGGCTAGTACCTAGTAGTACTCAAGAGTACGTGCATGCGCGCCTGCTTCCTTTGTTGTTCGCCTCTCTTGTTCTTCAACTTCTTCTTTCTCTCTCCTCCCAGCCTTAGTTGCCTTGTTAAATAGATTCCTTCCGTGTGGATAACCCGGCAGACCACGAGAGAAAATAATTGGGATGGATGAGGACCAGTTGACCTGAGCGAGAACCAGTAAGGTAAAGAATACCTTTTTATGTACTTATATCGTACTCGACATCTGCCCAGGTGCCCAGGTGACTTTATATCTATAGCTCAAACTACTAAGCAGTTGTATGTAAATATAATGAAGTATTTTCAATTCTTGTAACCTTTTTTCATAACTCTATCACTCGAAAATGAATGGAAGGAAAGCAAGGCTAAACAGAGCAAGACACATAGCATGCGATGCAAGTAAACAGACACGCAGGTTCATCATGCGCGTTGCAACCACTTTTCTCTGTAGCATGACCCCGGGGATTTTGCAAAGACGGATGGAGAACTGTAAGAGAATCGAACTCAGAACTACATCACAGCCATTATGCAAATCTCCGAAACCGTATTGTCGATTACTTCATGCCTTGATAATTGTCGAAGCGCCCAAGAGGGGGTAGAAGGAGATCCTCATCCCCATGCAGAACCGATAGGGGTTCAGCGTCCTGGATTGGTTGACGGATGCGTTTTGTTTGCCCGTTCAGAAAACAAGTGAATGTAATAATTTGACTTCGAAAGCCTCGTGGAACAAGGAGGCTCGAGTGATCGGGAGCATTGTATCCAGAATACTGACCATCAACGGCAGTGTAGGAGAAATTTGTGGCGAAACATCTGGAGAGCGCCATGAGATATGGCACCCTTGCAAGGCAGAGAGCATCGAACTGTGGGGTGTAAAGGGGTGAGCTTAGAGCTCGTCGACATCGATTTCCTTCTCATCCTCGCTGTCGCGGTCTTCGTCGAACTCGACGTTGTCGTCTGCGCCCTCGGCGCCGTAGGTATCGGTCTCGTTGATCTTGGCGTGCTCTGGCAGCTCGCCGTAGGCCTTGAGCGAACGGGCCTCATCGGCGGTGTACTTCATGATAACATCGCCCTTCTCGTCTTGGTAGTCACGCAGGGAGAGGAGAATGATGTCACCCTGGTTGATCCAGACCTTCTTGCGAAGCTTTCCACGAATGTGGGCAAGACGCTTCTCGCCATCGAAGCAGAGAGCCTCCAGACGTCCGTTACCGAGCATCTTCACGACCTGAGCGTACTCCTGACCCTCCTCCTTGAAGACAAGCTCACGCTTCTCATTGTCGTTCTCGTTCTTTCCACGACGGCGGTTCTTACCACCCTGTACTCGATTATTAGTGTCTGAGGTCAAGGTAGTTTTTAAAACGCCCAAAAACACCAAAGCTGAAATGAGCACCCTTTTCCACCGCCATCAACCCAAATTTTGAGTGGTTGGCAACTCATGAGGGACGGTGGCGGGGGTGACACATTCCAACAAGGAGGGGCTGAATATTTTGCAAATCTTACCTTTCCCTTGTTCTTGGGCATAGCGGTGGGATGTGACCTTCACTGGACTCGAGTCTCGCTATGTGATGGTGCTCTTGGTTCTTTCTTCGTCAATAGAAGAAGAGTAAGAGGAGTAGATAATCCCCGGAGTGGTCGAGTGGGAAGAAAGAGAGATGGGAGTGGGGGATCTGTGTCCTGCTCAAATCTGCGTCTTACCTAATCAGGCACAAAGGTGGCAATGTGTGCCTTCCCTTTCAGGTATTAGTTATCTTTGGCCCCCACCGCCTAATATTCACTTGGCAGAAAAAAAAGATACAGAAGGCACACGCGATAACAGTCAAGCGTGACCGGCCAGGCGACTTTTCAAATATTTTGGTCCAGAATACATTTTCAAATCCTCTGGCATCTTATACCTGAAACTGCGACACTGGGTGCTCAATTTTGCCTGAAGATCTCCCAACTTGGGCGTGAGAGCAGCCCAAAGCCTCAACAACCTGAGCGCATGACCATCGACTCTATGATACCGATGTGCTTCTACAACGATACAATCCCTTACCAGCCAATCCGGCAATCTCCCACAGCTCACACCAACTCGTCATGAAGTGGTTGTCCTCCTCCTCGACTGGCATGAATATCCGCTATAGTCCGAAACACATTATTCCCCCCATTGCGCAACGCTACCTGGGCTCTCCTACCCATCCGATCCGGCCGAAAATCGACCATATGTGGGCTACTCGCGATACAAATACACTATGGTGGCGAGTGTCTGTGGCGCCTATTGGGCATCTCAGGCGAGTAGTGCGTTCTTGGTGCGCACGCAGAACACGCATCGCGTTTGAACAGGCGCTGAGCAATCAAGGATACAACAATTTGGGAATTCCACTACAAGATTCTTCCACGCCCCAGAAGCATAATCTTACGGGCTCTTTGGAGCTTGTGCTCCGTCCTTCATGTGTCAATCTTGACTTCAAGGTAGTCCAAAAGGACGCCGATAGCCTCTTGCGAAATATACTGAAGCAACGATCTATGCATTTCGAGCATACGGCTCAGAAAATTGCAAAGCCGTCTAAAACTACTACGAGGCCTGCAAAGCCTCCGAAGGCTTCTAAAAGGTCTTAATCGGCCTTGTACAATATGTATCATATCCACCAAGCCCGAGGCAGGGCCATACCTGTACATTATTCAAGCATCATTGCATGGCGTTGGGGTTGGATTCAAACTATATCCACTATTTATTATACTATCTCTGCTCAGAGTTCTCATTACATCAATAAATGTCAATATTATTCTCAACATTTGAATGTTTCATTGTTGGTGTTGGCGGAGTAAAAAGAGTAAATATAGAACAGACGTAATCTAGTTCCCGCGGCCTCAAAGCCTCGCTAAGTGCCGATCTGGCGGAATCAACACTGGACTTGTCAACCACACCTCCTCCCATCCCCGACCACCACCTCGAAATATCTCACAAATCCTTCTAATTTCCTCGATATGCTAGTCTCCTTGACTGTCGGCAAGGTAGACGCCGGCGTTGCCGTGCTTTTGACCCAAGACAATCGCATCGTAAGCTCACCAGCCCCTGGTAGCCTGAGGCGCTCCCCAAACAGCCGCCGCCAGCGACTCAGGGCAAAGAACCAAGCACCAAATTGAGTACTAATGAAAATCAAATCCAGATTGAATTCCCCTCTGTGCTCTTGCCAAATAATATTTCCTCGGGTAGCATTGTCGATATCAATGTTGCGCGCAACCACGCCGCGGAAACAGCCAATGTCAACGCCTTTCAATCCCTCCAGAAGCGCATCCTAAACACCTACGGCGTCAAGACCCCGTCGCCTCCCATACTACGCCTTCGCAATGCAACCCAAACCTCCCTTGTCCTCGAATGGGACCCCATAGACCTGGCCACCGCGTCCCTGAAATCCCTCTCCCTGTACCGCAACAACTCCAAGGCCGGCTCCATACCCCGCCCACTCGAGACTCGCAGCACAAAGATCAGTGGTCTGGCCATCCACGCTGAATATACATTCCATCTCGTTTTGCGCACTACGGCTGGTACCTACCAGTCGGAGAAGTTGACGTGCCGCACCCACAAGATGACCGATCTATCCGGTATCACAGTGACACCTGGCATTCTGGACCCGGCGCGCAAGGAGGCATTGGGCGCTACATTGGACCGTATTGGCGGCAAGATGATTGACACCGTTCGCATTGATACAACTCACTTCGTCTGCGCAGAGGGCCGCGGCCCGCTGTGGGAGAAAGCTGTTGAGATGAACATTCCGGTTGTGGTGCCAGAGTGGGTTGATGCCTGTGAATCGGAGGGAACAATTGCTGGTGTGCGTGGATATTATCTGAATGCGGATCCCAAGGCCCGTCAGCTTGGTGTTATCCATGGCTCTTCGCACCAACGCACTACATCTACCATGTCCGCGGCTACGACTGCTCCGGGCAGACCTAGTACCCAGCCACAACGTAGTGAACCAGAGCAGCCTCCTGCTGAACCGCCTCTGACACCGTTCCCGGGGGGTGAGACAACTTCTCAACCATTAGCACAGACGGAGGAAGTCGGGTCAGAAGATGAGGACGATACCGCGCCCCCACCACCGCCCAAGGACGAGTCCGATGATGCAGAGGAAATCCCCCAGCAGAATGGACACGCGGAATCTACGCCAGAACCCGAGAAAACCGAGGAATCACCAGTCCAGACAGATGATAACGAAGAGGAAAGCAAAGAAACCACACTCCCGCAAAACAAACCTGAAGGAGATGAGTCCAGTTCTAAGGGCAAAGCGAAAGAAGGCGAAGGGGACTTCAGCGAAGTAACGCTGTAGTTGGCTTGCTTGTTATTGTTTCCTGACACCAATCTTTTTCCCGCTTTCTCTTGTCTTGTGGGCGCTTCTACGATTATATCCAGTACAGTCTAGGGTCTGCTAAGCAGGTTGTTTTAGTTATGAATATTCGATTTTAACCATTTTTAATTTCCCATCTCGTTTACGGCGGCCAGCCTTCTTGTTACAACATTATATGTGTCATTGCAAAGTTCGAAAGTACCTAAGAACCCGTTGATCATACATGTAGGTACCGGGCTGTAGTCGACGGGTATAGGTATCCATGTAGAAATATTGGAACTTTAGAACCTTGGAAATTATGTACATACTCATTACTTAGTACTTAGAGAATAAGCCGAATATTTGAGGTGGGTAGGTGAAGGTAGCATTACATACAGACTCGGAAGAACAATATCTATCCAAGGCAAAATGCAGGATGAATTCATGGTCTATGAAGTTTATCATCAATGTTCGTTAGTACTAGTAGGTACACGTAAGGACCGGTAGCCCCGCCTAATGCATTTCATCTCATGTCGCCAAAACTGTAGGCTTATTGACCCGCAATGCGAACCCGGAATTTCAACCGAAAATGACTTATGTGTTTATGATGCAATTTACAGCACGTTGCGGATGACATCGTCAATGGCTTGTGCCACGTACTTGACGTTCTTTTCGCTCACTAGATCGGAACAATGTTAGTGAGGTGTTTTAGTTAGGATTCGAGATAAGGTACTTACAGCCGCTGATGGAAGCCCGGCCGGACTTGAGCAGGTAAATGTGGTATTGGTCCTTGAGAGCGTAAACTTGCTTGGGAGTCAGACCGGTGTAGGAGAACATGCCATTCTACATAAACGGTTAGTCAAATGTGCTGTCAAAGAAAGGATGCCGCGTGCAATAATAGAACTGACCTGCTCAATGATGTGCTCCCAGGTGCCAGGAGTCCGCAGACGAACCAACTCGTCGTACAGCGCTTGGCGCATGGTCTTAATGCGAGAGCTCATAACCTGTAGATCCTGGTGCCAATCGGCAACTAGCTCGTCGTTGGTCAAAATCTTCTTCACAATGGTAGTACCGATACGAGGGCCCATAGAGAACTCGCCACGGATCAAGTGACACAAGTTGTTGACGATGATATCGCGAATAACAGTAGAACTGCGGTTGGTAACATAGTGGAAAGCACCAACACGCTGGCCGTACAGACCAAAGTTCTTAGAGAAAGACTGCGCAACGCACATCTCCATATCTGGCTTGTTGTTAAAGAAGTAGCGGACGGCCCAGGCGTCCTCCTCAACTGATCCAGAAGCGAAACCCTGGTACGCAGAGTCAAAGAAGGGGAAGAGCTTCTTGCGCTCACAAACATCCGCAATGGCCATCCACTGCTCCTTATTCGGGTCCAAACCGGTGGGGTTGTGCGCACAAGCGTGCAGAAGGACAGCATCTCCCTCCAGCGCTTCCGACTCGAGGGTAGCAATCATGCCCTCGAAATCGAAAGACCGAGTCGCAGCATGGTAGTAAGGGTAGGTCTTGCGGGGGACACCAGCCAATTCCCAAATAGTCATGTGGTTCGCCCATGAGGGGTTCGACAACCAAACGTTACGTGGCTTCATGTGGTGTGCCAGGAACAGGGCACCGAGGTGGTTAGCACCTGTTCCGGCAACAGTCTGCACAGAAGCGATGCGTGCCTTGGCCTCTGTGTCGCTGTTGCCGTTCTCAAAGCCGAACATCAGGTCCCGTGCGAGTCCCAGGAACGGGACGTCACCTTCGATCGCAGTGTATTCGTGTCGCATGGGGTCGTTCTCGGCTGCCAATTCCTTCTCGGCCTTCTCGACGACCGGCAGCGGCCATGGCTTGCCTTCATCAGTGCGGTAAACACCGACACCAAGGCTGACCTTTTGCGGGTGGGGATCGGCGAAGTAGGCGCCGTTCAAGGCGAAGATCTCGTCCGGAGGCACGGGGGCCACGTTGAGGCGGGTGGGAACTTTTTCCATTGTGAAGGGTTTGTGGAGGCAATTGAGGGATCGAGGATCGGAAAAGGATTCAATTGCTGAAATAATTGATCAACCAAATGTTGCGCGGAACAAAACCAAATGTCGAAATGCGGGCAAGGGTTTAGTTCGCTGAGTCAACCCGATATCGCCGTCCTTCAGATATTTTTTGCCCCGCGGGAACTACCGCTTAATACCGGTGCCCCAGGTTCTTCACCGACAAAGTTGGCATCATTTTTTCTTTCATCTTGATTTCAGGATGTCACGAGGCCATATGTGCCGCTGCTAGCCTTTGTTGATGACCCGTAGATGTAAGAATATTGAATTTTGGATAACCTTTTTTTGGGATTCTGGGGATCTAAACTTTGTTATCAGCATGGGACGTCATCAAATGCATGCTGACTCCTCAAGGATAATTCCACTGCAAGGTATTATTAACAGGTACATTAGAAGAAATTCGGAAATGTATAGGACTCTTGGGGACTGTGGATTCAAAGGGGTTCGGAATTCTCACCAGCACTGCCGGGGCTGTTGATCTCCAAATTGCCCGGCAATTGATGCATCCCAATTGGGTGGAGATATATAGTTGATTCCCTGCGCGCAAGTGGGGTAGAATTCTATGCACATTCCACACACGGATGGACAGCGATGCAATTGCAATTCTCAATTTTGGCAGATTATAGCCATATACCTGGGCAGATAGTGCTATTGGTGAAAGCAAAAGGTCGTCGAAAGGAATCAAATCATGATGATGACCGGAGGAGTGAGGACAAAAGGCTTGGAGTCACCCCGCACCGTGAACGCACGGTCAACTGCCGGTGGTGCTACATGTAGTTACATACAGCATGTACAACCACAATGAACCAATCATTTAAGAATGATACGCAGATAAAGGTACCCTTCTTAGCCTGATCTTCCCCTCACAAGCTGGTGTTTATGAAGGGCCTGAATCTTTCAGCCTGGGATCTTAATTCTTTCGTCTTCGCTCATCTCGCAATTAAACAGATATTCAATATCTAGACCAGTGAACAAAATGCCTCAACAGGACTCTCCGCCAGATAGCCAGGCCTTGCATCATTTTATATGCCCCGAAGTCTATCAACCTCTCCATAACAGTATTCCTCCGGAACTGATCAACCGGTATGATCCCGCATATGTCGAGCACTACAATAAATACAACGCTGGACGTCTGCATACCCATGAGGTCCCAATTGAGGAGTTTCGTAAGAATCCCGCCCGGTACCTCATCGCATATGGGCGTGCTAGAGGTCCCGATGTCTATCGAATTACCGAACAAAAGTGTCCCGTCAAGGGAGCTGAGATAACTATTCGGATCTTCGAGCCAGCCCCGAAAAAAGACAACCAGAACGAGCAAAAAAAGAGAGCCGCCTATATTAACTTCCACGGCGGCGGTTGGGTATTTGGAAATCTCAGTGCTGATCATGATTTCTGCAAGACCCTTGTTGATGGCCTTGACGGAAACCTTGTTGCCTTTGATGTGGATTACCGACTAGCCCCCGAGCATCCATTTCCCATCCCCGTGGAGGATTGCTGGGCAGCTTTCAATTGGGTGCGAAGACCCGGATTCCTCCACTTTAGGTACTATAAGTGAAGTGCGCTCAATGAGACTAACGGTTATCTAGATTCGAACCGAAAAGGCTGCCGAGTTCAATCTCGATCTGACTAAATTCTCTGTAGGAGGTGTATCTGCAGGTGGCCATCTTGCAGCAGTCATTGCCCATCTCTGTCGCAATGAGGGCATCCCTCTTGGCTTGCAAGTCTTGACTGTTCCTGTGTGCGACCTGCACCAAGTCTTCACACCAGAAGGCGTGTTCGACCGTGAGAACTGTCCATATGAATCATATCGAGAAATGGAATTCGCCCCTGCGCTCCCTGCGGCCCGCATGGCATACTTTCACCGACACTTCCTTGGCGTGCCTCGATCTCCACCATCTGAAGATGTAAGTGGGCCTTGCAGCAATTGATTATCCCACAAGCTCACCAATCTACTAGGACTGGAAAATCTCTCCCATGCTAGCTTCGAACTTTGAAGGGCTTGCTCCAGCTCTCGTATCAACAGCTGAACTTGATCCTTTACGCGACGAGGGTGAGGTATATGCTGCCAAACTCGAAGCGGCAGGGGTCCGTGTAGAGGTCAAGCGATACCTAGGGGCACCACATCTCCTACCTATCCTGGATGGGATTCTTGAAGGAGGGCGACAATACAATGCAGCTGTGATCGCAGCGCTTCGTCGGGAGTTTGTGGCGTGAACATTTGAAGATCAGATAAATAAACTCAGGGATGAACGTATAAGCGCTAGGGCGGTGACAGTACAATACTATATATTACAAGAATGACGAAATGTTACTGGAGTAAATGGCTACGGCAGATCGGACCAACGGTTTTCGTATTGTTATGCCGATACCGGGAAGAGTCGGCTTTGCGACTCGGTGTTGAATCGTTTCTTCTTTTCTTCTTTCCTTGTTCGCTGTTTCACTGTTTATAAAAGGTAAGAGTCTTAACCCCATACTCTTGTCCAAATTCAATCAATCAAGCCATTGGGCACTCTAACTGGACTTGTGAAACAGTTTCAACCATCTACAGGCACAAAATGAATTCCTCTACCTCCCGAGCCGCGGTGCGGTCAATGGCCACCTTGACACATGCGACCAGAGCTGCCAACCCCGCAGCCCGCAACCTTGTGTCGGTTGTTGCTCGTTCCCCCGCTCATGCCAGTCGGTCTTTGAGCTCCATTAGCCGCCTCGGACAGTTCCCCCGCCTCCAGGTTCTTAACAACAACAAGAGAGCTTTCAGCACAACCATCAAGATGGTAGGCAGTTGAAACTTCCAGTCCAGCAAGGGCTTTCATTGACCAGATTATAGTCTTCCGCTTCCCGTACCGAGAGCGATGCCTTTGGTGAGATCCAGGTGAGTCTTTAATCCCAAGTGCTTTCTCCCCTCATTCGAACACGGAGACCTAATCCGAGTCTCTACCAGGTCCCCTCCGACAAGTACTGGGGTGCGCAAACCCAGCGGTAAGACGAACCACGCGATTACATCCAAAATGATATACGGCGCACAAGAAACTGATGCGGTATTCGGAACAGCTCCCTGGGCAACTTCAACATCAACCAGCCCCAGGACCGCATGCCCGACCCCGTCGTCAAGGCTTTTGGTATCCTCAAGGGTGCAGCCGCTATCGTCAACATGAAGTACGGTCTTGGTAAGTGAACTACGTGGAATCGAAAGACATTCATGCGACGAAAAACAAACACCAATTGCAATGCTGACGTTTTCAAAGACCCCAAGGTCGGTCAGGCCATCGTCCAGGCCTCCGCCGAGGTTGCCGAGGGTAAGCTGCTGGACCACTTCCCTCTGGTTGTCTGGCAGACTGGCTCCGGCACCCAGTCCAACATGAACTCCAACGAGGTTATCTCCAACCGTGCCATTGAGATCCTGGGCGGCGAGATGGGCTCCAAGAAGCCCGTGCACCCCAACGACCACGTTAACATGTCTGCCTCCTCCAACGACTCCTTCCCCACCGTCATGCACATTGCCGCCGTTGTGGAGCTCGAGAACACCTTGCTCCCCTCCCTCAAGGGTCTCCGCGACTCCCTCCAGGTGAAGGTTGACAACTTCCAGCACATCATTAAGATCGGCCGTACCCACTTGCAGGATGCCACTCCCCTCACTCTGGGTCAGGAGTTCTCCGGCTACGTCGCTCAGCTTGACCGTAACATCGAGCGTGTTGAGGCCAGCATTCCCCACCTCCGCTTCCTTGCTCAGGGTGGTACCGCTGTCGGTACCGGTCTGAACACCTTCAAGGGCTTCGATGAGGCCATTGCCGCCGAGGTCACCAAGATGACCGGTACTGAGTTCAAGACCGCCCCCAACAAGTTCGAGGTCCTGGCTGCCCACGACTCCGTCGTTGAGGCCTCCGGATCCCTGAACACCCTGGCGGGCTCTCTGTTCAAGATCGCCCAGGACATCCGTTACCTCGGTTCCGGTCCCCGCTGCGGTCTCGGCGAGCTTAGCCTCCCCGAGAACGAGCCCGGTTCTTCCATCATGCCCGGCAAGGTCAACCCCACTCAGTGCGAGTCCCTGACCATGGTCTGCGCCCAGGTTATGGGTAACCACGTTGCTGCTACCATTGGTGGCATGAACGGCCAGTTCGAGCTGAACGTTTTCAAGCCCGTCATGATCCGCAACTTGCTCCACAGTGTTCGCATTCTGTCTGACGGCATGGACAGCTTCCGTAAGAACCTTGTTGTCGGTCTGGAGGCCAACGAGGACCGCATTAACGCCCTTCTCCACGAGAGGTATGTTCCTTTCTTCCCCCTTCCATTCATCCCTTGCACTTGCTAACTTTGTTTTTCTCTTCTTCTTAGTCTGATGCTCGTGACTTGCCTGAACCCCGTCATTGGTTACGACATGGCCTCCAAGGTCGCCAAGAACGCTCACAAGAAGGGTCTCACCCTTAAGCAGTCCGCTATGGAGCTTAAGGCCCTCAGCGAGGAGGACTTCGACAAGCACGTCCGCCCCGAGCTGATGCTTGCCCCCAAGGAGCTTTAAATTAATCGACAGCTCAGCTGTTTAATCTATGCCACTATAGACTAGTTCTAATAGGGCTTGTATACTGAAGAAGAAGCATTGTATTCCTATTATCCACCCTGAAATAATTCAATGATGTAAATCTTTTGTAGAGGGCGTAGGCGGTAAATATAAGTTATATCAGGGTAGTACCTGCAGAATCTCTCAGCTAAGAAAAGAAGAAGAAAAAAAAAAAAAGAAAAGAATTATATTGAGGGCAGTGCTCTAAAAAATCCACTAGTGTTATGCATCGGCATGGATATTAATAGCAAGAGCCCCAGGGGCAGTGTGTCTCACACCCGAACCTTGGAACCAAGTTAAATGGCCAAAGTAAACCTCAAATTTCAATCGAATCTTCCCATCTTCATCTCCGCTCAATTCCCAATAGAATCCTCCAAGCAAAATCGAAAAACCCTCACGCAGAACCCGAATATTTTTTCCTCCGTCCCCGTCGATCTCCCTTGCGCTAAAACCCCGCCGTCTTCCCAATTCGCCCCTCCCCTGGATCAACAAAACCCGCAACAATTCTCAGTCTCTCAAAAACCACAACTCTCAAATACCCCCGAACCCATTCAACAAATCTAAAATAATCACAATGGCCTCTCCCGCCGTCTCCCAGACTACCATCCCAGCCGATCAACCCACCAAACAAACCATGTCCGCAACAGTCACCCCAGTCGCCGACCTCGAACTTGAAACAGACGGTCCCCTCTTCCCCTCCTCCTTGATCTCGCCCGAGGTCATCTCCCTCCTCCCGGAAGACTACACTATCCGTCCCCTCCGTCGCTCAGACTACCAGCGCGGCTATCTCGATGTCCTGCGCGTGTTGACGACTGTCGGCGAGATCAGCGAGGAGCAGTGGGACGAGCGGTTCGAGTGGATCAAGTCCCGGAATGACGAGTACTACATGATGGTTGTGTGTGATGGGGCGGATCGGGTCGTGGGTACCGGGTCGCTGATTGTTGAGCGCAAGTTCATCCATGCGCTTGGTATGGTTGGGCATATTGAGGACATTGCGGTTGAGAAGGGCCAACAGGGCAAGAAGTTGGGATTGAGGATTATTCAGGCCTTGGATTTTGTTGCGGCACAGGTTGGATGCTATAAGGTATGGCTTTCTTTTTCTTTCTTTCTTTTTGATTGTGTTTTCTGGACTTTCTGGATGTAGGGCTTGTGCTGACTTGTTTTCGACAGAGTATTCTTGATTGCTCTGAGGCCAACGAGGGCTTCTATGTTAAGTGCGGCTTCAAGCGCGCTGGTTTGGAGATGGCTCACTACTACTGAGCTTCATTGAGGAGAGGCTTGGCTTGTGTCATTTTATTAGATGAGTTTTTTATCTGTTTTTGGGGGGACATGGCGTTTGGGGCATGTCATTTCCGGTGATTAGCCTCGATTTTGCACTTTTGTTCAACGCTCATATGCATATGTATGTCAGTCATAATCTTGGGCCCATTCAAAGGCGGATTTATTTGACCTTGGTTGAATGTGTTTCTTTTATTCGGTACAGCCGTCGTTGTATATGTGACCCGTGGACAAGCAAAGAGCGCGGCACAGTTCAAATCAATTCCAGGCATGTCCAGATTCTACATACTATGTATGTAGATATGTATGTAGTCGCCCTCTAGGGCTGGGGGTATCCAACTTTAAAGTGTACTATATACTACGTACTACTCAAGTGATACTTCCGGGGATGGGATAGAAACCTACAGAGCTTGAGTATCAGAAACAGTATAATGTCAAATTTCGATCTACAGTCCATTCTGGATAGATATTGCCTCATATATGTACTACATGTTGTAGGCGCTGGAACTTCTTAACATCGCATGCACATGTGTGCGTTACAAGCACTAGTTCCAACATTTCAAGGTTGATTACATTGCATAAGTCGTGTCCGTGCATAGCACTTGGGGTATATGTGAACTTCCAAGCACTGTTGAGGTTGAATACTCTCGAGGGACTTTCGGGAGACACTACCCCTCTCAGATACATACATAGACATGATCTACTCCACAGGGTTGAAGGAGACCAAATCCACATTTGATCTCGAGGACCCCAAGGGCAATTTTTGCCCAAGATATGAAATACATCAATATCGAGAGAACAGTTGCGGTGGGTGAATAATTTTAATTTGAGATTCCTTGTCCCATTTCTGCATTTCATAGTATTGCATAAATTGTTTTCAGAAACAAGGTTAAAAAAAACTGGCCCAAAAGCCAGTCCTCACAGACAGTACTCCAGCCCATTGTCCGCAAGTTCCATCATGTCGCAACCGTCAACGAATAAAACACCATCCAGCTTTTTGTCATGGGGAAATTTAGCGGGACTTGGCGGCGACCTTGGGAGCAGAGCCCTTGGCACCCTGCTTGCTGGCAATGCGCTGAGCACCACCCTTGGAGGCGGCGTTCTTGGCCTTGTCGGCCTTCTTCTGGGCAACGGCGGCGGACTTCTTCTCCTTGGCGTCAGTGATGGCCTGCTTGCGGGCAGCCTCACGGGCCTCGGGGCGCTGGGAGCGGCGCTCCTTGATAACGTCGAGAGAGGCACCGACGATGGCACGCTGGTGCTTCACAACCTTGCGGGAACGCTTCTTGGCAACCTCCTATAAGTTCGAGACCGATCAGTATTCCGTTCTTTGCAAGTTCCCGATTTTCCGATCCACTTGATATTCGAAAATGATATCATATCCCTCCTCTTGGTGTCATCATTTATTCAAATCAAGACCAGACGAGTGGTTTCGATAGTTTCATAAATGGCCCTTCAATTTTCCACCACAGAATCGAACAAAAGCGAAAGGGATTTGGTGATAACCGACCTCAGAGATACCCTTGCGGTGCTGGCGACGGTAAAGGACAGTCCAGGCAATGCGGCGGGGGTTCTTGCGCTGGAGGAAGAGCGACTCGGACTTGCCGTTCTGGAAGCGGAAGATCTTGCTGTCGCCACGGACGTACAGCTTACCCTGTATCACCAAAGAAACCAATATTAGCAATCTGAATTGTTCCCACACTCAAAAACACCCCGCATAAAGTCTGCGCGAAAAGTCCCATGGAAATCGGCGAAGACAGATCGGGATCGATGTCGGATACGAGAGAGGGTCGTAGGTGATGTTGTAGTGATTGATCATTGGTGATGTGGAGTTGTATCGTTCAATCTTGAATTCGCACAATTTCCATTTCCTTCTCGCGCAGACGGGGACCGAAGGACAGGAACAAAACGCACCTTGCCAGGGTAGATCTTTTGGCCGCTGAAGGAGTCGTCGTAGGTACGCATCTTGACGGTGGACGATGCGCTGACGGTCGGTTGGCGTTGGTGATGGTCGAAATTCGGGGATCGCGGTAGTAGCGTCGCTGGGTCCAATTGTGGTGCGCCTCGCTAAAGTGCGACACGTGACGCACGCTGCCCTTTCGGGAACGGACTAGGTCACATGATGTACAGCACGCTTTATCTTATCGCATTATCGATAAGCTGTTATCCTTATCGATTTTACTATTTAGCGGAGCCCTAGTAGGTTGCTACCCCGAGTACCCACATTCAATTGCATCTGCCATCAGCTGGCACTCAACTTCAAGAAACTGACGCATCCAGTATTCAGGTGGTTTTCTTTTTTCTTTTTTCGGTTTCGCCCAGTTTTAATCATCAGGGCAATTCTGTCAATAAGAAAGGAATGAGAATTTGAAGAAAAATGAAAGAAAAGTAAGCCATCAAAAGTTATGTTGACATATAAATATATACCTAGCACTTGTGTAGGTACAGTAAATATATACATGTGTACAATCTTGAGTAACTAGTCAACACATGTGCATCATGTGTATGCCCAAGTACCTGCAGGGCTAGTAGGCATACCTACATCAATTGATTAACAGAGGTTGGTTTCCAAGTTGACATGAACATTGAAGGCAATGTTTATGTACCCAGCACTGAAGTTTCCTCCAGGCTGGGGCCACTGCATTGATGTATGCGCAATGTTGGTAGATATTCAGGACCATACATGTATGATCCCTCGCAATTGATGCGTGCATAGGCCTTAATAAGCGTTCCCTCATTTCCTCATTTCTCTCCTTTTCTTCTCAATCCACTCCAAAGGCTATTAGAATGAGGGTCCTCGGAAACTCCTTCGCACGGCCCAAGCCTGCTTGCTTTTTGAGGTGTGTTCAAACCTTGGAATGGCTTCCAAAGCCATTCAAGGTTGAAGCTGGTCCAGCTGAGAGGATACTAAGGTTCTAACTGAGGGAGCGTGATACTACTGGCACCTAGTAGTAGATCGGAGGATTGATGTAAAAAAACGAAACCACGTACTTCCTAGTCCATACCCGTGGACCCACTAGGTAGGTACTACTAAGTATAGTATCCATTCAACCTTCCGTTCCTTCACTCTTCCTTTCTTCCTCTTCCTCTTCCTCTTCCCATTTTATTCTTCTTTCTCTCCCTTCCTTCCTGGCAATTCTCCAACTTTACTTTATCGCCGTTCTAAAACCAACAACCCTACTTCGGTTCCTTCGATGTTCGACTTCCTATCGCAGGTGTGTGCTTCATCATCATTGGTGCACATGTATGTTGCGCGTCCCATTCGGCCTGAAACATCCAGTGTCCTGAGAGCCTGTTGGTCCCAAAGATCCTACACGGATGCTACAAGTCTGGATGAATGCCGATCAGAAGCCATCGCCAACAGAGAGCATTTAAGCTACCTAAGAGATCGACATCAACCCGGTTGCGGCCAAGGATACCAATACATTCGAGGGCCACGGAGTTTGCACAGGCTCTGGTGTAGCGGACTTCCGCTTCGATCTCCCCGAGGGCTATAACGAGAGCAAAAAAACAACCATACATCAGAGACATCTGTGGACTGCGAGAGTGTCTGCTACCTCGAGAAAGGGCAACCAACCGCGGATGATTCAGTCGCTAGTCATCCACTTGGAATCAGTTTAGATATTCCAATCCAAGGTCTATTCAATGATTAATTATCTAGCAATTAGTAGCTACGTAGGTTGTATTACATACGGCCCATTAAATGTTCTGAGGTGATATTCTTGAGAAATGACTGAAAATTAAAAGGTAGCTTGGAAACACTGCCCCTTTACAAGACCCCTTTACAAGATCATATCTCATCAATTACACATTGTGCTGACATCCTGGCCCGAGCCGGTGGTGGCCACTGCCAGATGTCCATGCCAAGTACCTCCATGAGTCAGATCGATACACGCCCAGTCGTAGTTATACTTGTGCACCTGATCCCAGGCGTCGTCAAGAGCAGCAGCCACAGTCTTCGTCTGTGCAGTCGTATCACAGTTCTTTCCAGTAGTAGTGACCCAGTACTGGAAGTTATACTTCTGCTGACCATTGTCCGACTGCCCACTGCCTCCCTTCTTAGCACAAGAGTTCTGAGAGCTATCAGACTGGACCCAGCCCACAACTGCCGCGATGGCCGAGGTTGCGCCTGCTGCCACCACAATCACATCCCGGGACACTTTGAGGCCTCCGCGGACAATCTTCCAGTTGATTGCCGTCAGCGCCGCGTCGGAAGAGTCCGTGACGTCGACTGAGCGCTCCTGCTTCAGGTCGATCGGAATAGCGCTAGAGTGAGCAAGGCCAGCCCCGAGGCTGACGCATGCAAATAGATGTCCAATGGAAGAAACCCGCATGTTGCTGATGCTAGAATAATCCAATTGATGGCGAGTGATATTGATAAATATGCGTTCATAAAAGAGAACTGATCGTTGAGGAGCAAAAAGCTGGACTGGACTTGATTTTTTTTCAGAGATTAGTTGAGTTGAATAATGGCAGACAAGCCTTCAAGACTTTGAAGAGTCCCATGGATACTAACATTGAGACGGGGAAATATTGATTGTCTGACTTGTGTTGCGAGATTCAGATGAAGGATGAAGACCATATGAGGTGTGCGTGGTTCACCCTTTTATAGACCTCTAGGCCAAGTGGTTCAGCACCCGATGACTATCATTCTCACTTGGCCCGTCAACTAACTGACCTACATGACTCGCAACTATTAGCAGTGACTACTAGTAGTTCATGACTCGCATGGCAGCAGCTGGAGAATGTGTTTCATTGACCATCGTGGCCCCGGGGGCAAATCCACCTACTTCCACCTGAACACGACCAATAAAGAAAATACCGCATATGTCAGAATGTAACTTCATTGGAAATCAGGTTGCTTATTCCATTCTCTTTCTCTGGTTCTAACCGTGTGTGATGAGACCTCGGCCCCAAAATAAGCAGAGCTGGCCGCCAGAGTACCTTTGTCAAGGCAATGATCGACGATCATCATCTTGGCCGCTCAAAGGGAATTTGCTGATATTCAAATCAAATGAGTCAATTTGCCCACACATGAAGTAGTATATCTCAAGATCCAGTCTCCACCACTTGGATGTTCAATTTTATGAACTACTAGGCATAAAACTGTAGGATATTATCTTCACTATCTAGTGAATCGGTGTATCAGTGCGGTTCGATGATGTTCGGATTCAGGAACTCAGGGTCCAGGGGCCCCACAGCCTATCGCTTACCCCTGCCACTAGTGGCGGCGTAGGATCCACTGGGAATGCGCGCGCTGACATCCGGAACTTGGAAGCTTCACCACATGCCCTTGCAAGTGCTTTTTAGCCCCAGGGCCTCTGATAGCGTGATCACCGGCGCCACCTCGGCCCGCAGCGGTAGATCTTCAATGTAACCTACTAGTATATACTGACCAGTAATTTTAGTTCTGTAAGCCTCTGCATCATGCATCGCGCATCACCTTGCCTGCATGTCTCAACTATAGTTCTGAATAGGGGTGATTTGGACGCTAGCTTGGGGGCCGGGTAATGCAGTGGCACCATGCTATTACATACAAGGCAATGGTCAGATGATTGAAGTCAAGTCCTAGATCGTTGAATCGAGTATTGTGCTTCAGCTCGAAAGTTGCTTCCGAATTCGGCAATTGATCAATTTGGTGTTATTGAAGTTTACTTGACGCCTCGTGGATATGGACCCAATAGCGTCAAGACGCCCCATTTTTCAGCCTGGGGTGATTTACAATCAGAGCAACTATGCGTGGTCCCCGTTAAATCCGGGGAACCTCAACCGATGCACTAACTTCCACTCCGGATCCCGTGCATTTCCCAATACCTGGTCGATCCCCGAAGCTTTTAACTCGGGAATAGATAGATTCGACATAGAATTTCCTGATTCACGATCGGGTAACTTGCATTGGCGTCCCATTCCTGGTTTCTAAGAGACGCGAAGAAGTGAGTGGCTAAAGACTTATTGGAACAGTACCAAGACAACGAGTAACACTTAGAAACTCGAGCAAAAGCAATGATCGACAAAGGTTCGGTGGAGAGTTATAGAATAGTGAGATTGAATGATCTCCTCACGTGTATCCATTGTTTGATTACTGATCCGAAGGTTACATATCTCATAAACGGGATGGAAATGGGGGTGTATACATGGTCATCAGAGCTGAATGATGTTGTGTTAGAGATTTTCAACTCCAATATGATTCTTTGCTAGCAAAAACCACAGCATTTGTTTGGCTGAGTAGGCGACTCTCTCGACCACAGCCAATTGTAGTTGTCTTAAATTGTGAAAGAAACCCATTGCATTCTATGCAATACCTTCTGAAATAAGCCATAGATCAACATGTGATAGCTGTGGCGGAAGGTAACTTCCCGCTAAAAGGATGAAAACACGCGCTCGCTATCTCACTGGTCTCAGTGCATTGAATATCCCTTCTCCAAAACTGTCTTGCTTTCTCTTTTGATTTGCTTCATGGTCACGTCACATTTGTTTGCTATCAAGTCATGGCGTGGGTGCGGGTCCACTCTTTCGCGGTCTGAATGGCGGCGGGCTCGTCTTCCTTCCAGCGCTCAGCCACATCGTTGGCAAGCGGGTCATCGGGATTTGGGGCACCGAGGAGGGCTTGGATAGAGAGGAGAATAGTGCGGATCTGGAGGGCAGGGGACCAGTTGTCTATTTGAAAAATGGTCAGTATAATGGCCGAGTATAGCAAACATACTTGACTTACTCTTCAGGACGTCCAAGCAGATACGGCCAAGGCGATCGATGTTGGGGTGGTAGATCTTGGTCAAGAAACGGATCTTCGGCGGGGTCATAGGGTAGTCATCAGGAAGGAAGAGCTCGAGGCGGAAGATGCCACCTGCAATGGATCATGTGAGTGATGTTGTTTGTATGCAGATAAAGACGAATTATATGCATACCTTCGTAGGGAGACTGGGATGGACCGTGAATCGAGACATCGAAGTATCGCAGGTTATCTTCATGAGGAACAGCGTTGATACCGGGCACACTATATCGAGTTTATTAGTTCAAATTCGAATATGAATGTATCGACAATCAGGGACAAGACTCACGGCTCAGCCATCAACCGCTCGGTCTCCTTGATGATGCGCTTCGGCAAAGCCATGATTGAAACGCTTATCGGTCACGTGTGCGAATAGCTGTGATGAAACGAAGTGAAGGGGTTGAAGAAGGAATGGTTCTTGCAGTATTTAAAAGTAAACAAAAGGGATCAAAGTGAAGATTAAGGCTGAGGAAATACCGAGCCACGTTTGACAACAGATGATAAACCGGACTTTCGGAGGGGCATTCCTGCATCGCGGGGCTCTGCCGTGTTCCGTACATTATTAATGCCACATCCAAACCATGACTCAGCCACACTTCACCAGCCACTGCTCCGGATTCCCGCTTCTCTTATCGGAGCTCCCTGGCACGCGAGTGTCTATTCATGCAAAGCGAAGTCAATATGTATGTCCAACGTGGGAGCATCGGCTCCCCATGAGACCCCGTTTAGTTTGAAAGACATTTATCGCGAAATATCTACGACGGCCCTGGGCCTGATTGGCTTCCTGCCGTGATCGCTGACAAGATGTCGAGCTCCATGGAGCCGCGGCCGCTCACGTCGGCCTTCGAGAGCCCGACCTTTGATGAGGACAGTTCATTCCATGTGGAACAGCCTGTTGGGGCCATGTCCATCTCGCCTTGCGGGCGAGATGTGGTTCTGGCCTCCAAAGAGGGTTTACATGTCATTGATCTCGACTCCCCGTATTCCCCACCCCGTTATCTCCCTCATCATACGCCGTGGGAGGTCGCCGATGTACAATGGTCACCGTTCGCGTCCCGCGACTATTGGGTTGTGAGCACATCTAATCAGAAAGCTCTAGTATGGAATTTGGCCATGAAAACATGGCAGAACTCCATTGAGTTTGTCCTGCATGCACACTCGCGCGCAATTACCGACATAAACTTTTCGGCGTTCCATCCCGATCTTCTCGCTACTTGTGCTGTTGACAGCTTCGTTCATTGCTGGGATCTGCGCACTCCATCTCGACCCGCCATCTCATTTTCGGACTGGTTCACAGGCGCTACCCAGGTGAAATGGAATCGTCAAGATCCTCATGTGATTGCCAGTTCCCATGATCGCTTTCTTCGCATTTGGGACGATCGCATGGGCGCATACCCGATTCGTTCTATTGAAGCCCATGACACGAAAATTTACGGTGTTGATTGGAATCGTGTCCGACGAGGTGCTTTGACGACATGCTCACTTGACAAGACCATCAAATTTTGGGACTACACATCGGAAAGCGACGAGCCCGAGAAACTGATCCGGACTCCCTTTCCAATATGGCGCGCGAGAAACACTCCATTCGGGTGGGGTGTAACTGCGATGCCGCAACGGGGGAACAGCGACCTCCACCTTTACAGCCGACGAGCCGGAGAAGGGAGCAACCCCGAGGATGACTTGCCTTTGGTCCACAGTTTCCCAGGTCATAAAGGCCAGGTGAAGGAATTCCTTTGGAGACCCCGAGGTGGCGTGGTGGATGGAATTGACCACCGGGAATTCCAACTGGTGACATGGGGTACAGACCGGGAGCTGCGTCTGCATCGTGTCAATCCGGAAATCTTTGAGCGAGTTGGATACGAAAAGGGCAAGTCTTTCATATCCACTCGCAATGTCACTCGACTGGGTGCAGTCTATCGGAGCTTTAGAGATGTGAATTCGGATTTAGATCTGGAAGATCTAGAATCAGCTTCTTCAATTCAGCACAATGCGACCACGCAGTATGCCGGAGGCCCTGGAATGAACGCCATTTCTGTCCCCCACGCTCGCGCTTGGACAAAGGGCGCTCATGTTGATGCTAGAATGGGTATGCAGCCACGATCAAATCTGAGGGCAGACACCAACCCCATTGCTTGGATGCGCGGTGTGAAAATCTCAGGTTGGGATATTGAGACCCTAGGAGATGAGATCAGCCACGTCGGAGAAAAGTTTACCAAGGTTGTATTTGAATCGGTTGATGTTCGTCAAAGAAAGACCACTATATCCTTGAATGGACCGTGGGGCGCAAACGGGGACTCTCTGTTCTTGAAAGTGGATATAAAGTTTCCGGTCAGCTACCCGAAAACAGCTATTCCAACCTTCAACTGCCAGAGGACAGCAGCTGTCACTGACGAGTTGGCTGGAAAAATCACGGCTGAATTGAGAACAATCGCTGAGACCTATATGTCACGAAAACGAGGCTGCCTGGAAGGTGCTGTGCGCTATCTGTTGGGCGAAAGCTCACTAGAGGAGAGTGTTGCATTGGTTCTGGGCGAAATAGGTGATAACATTAAATCCCCGATCAATGGAGAATTGGAAGGCGAGTCCAGCGACGAAGATGAGGTTGGCATGACCCAGAGTCAGGAGCTTGGTATGAGCTCTGAGCTGCTCCGCCCAGTAAATGCGAATGTCATGGTTCCAGTAGCAAAGGGATGTGGTGCGCTATGGGCAAATGATGGCCGTCTCATTTGCTTTTTCCCTCCAAAGAAGGACAAGTCCACGGCTCTATTTGATAACCTTGGTTTCAAAGAGATGAGCAGATTGTCACGGACAGACAAAGTGTTTGAAGGTTTCGGGCGGTTGCAGACTAGCTCCCCGGGTCCACGTATGACTGGTACAATCACGAGCACAGCTGATGGTGCATCGGATGACTCAGATGATTCATACTCCGAGACCTCGAGCTCTTCGGGCTCTTCTGATATTCTGTCCGGGCTACCTACGGGTCGTTTCCAACCGCCGCAGACTTGGCGCAGCGCCGGTAGTATGGGAATTTACCGGCCTCGGTCTACGGATAATTCACAGAGATCCACTGGCGGTGCCGCAATGAGCAAGTCAGCTGACCCAGCTCAAAATGTCGTCTCTATCCATGATTTAAGCGATATGCTGCCCGTAAAACGGGACCTAGCCAGCAAGTACGCCATCTGCGGCGAGGGGACAGCCGTGTGTGCACACAATGCTGCTGTCGCTCTGGATGCTGGATACCACGAACTGGCTCAAATCTGGGGTCTAATTAAGTTGATATTGCACATCCAGCGAAAGCCTGTGTCTCCGCTCGATGCCAAGATAGGATCGAGACGCGGATTGAGAAAAGAACGCCTCAATCTTGGCCACAGTTTAGGAAAAAGTGGGGCCTACAAAGACGTCGCTAATAGCGTCATTCGATGGGGTGACCATCCCCTGGGCAGTCATTGGCTTGTTTCAGCACTCTTTGATCATTTTGAGCGTATCGGCGACGTGCAAATGGTTGCTATGCTCTCCTGTGTGCTCTTCGAGCCCAATAAGGAAAACCGCCTAGAAGCATCAAAAGAAACACATCTTGATCAGGCGGATTTCTCTTTGGACTTCTCTTCTGTCACGTCTACTGCGCAAAACAAATCGCTGGCTGCTACTCCCGCTTCATCCGCTCCAAGAGAACCCCAGGTGGTTCCCCCTCATACTTCGGCGCGATCATCGAGCGAGCTTTGGCGCATTGACTCCACGCCTCCATATTCCACTGGGACTACACCTCCTTACCTATCCCGCCCCCGCGGCATAGCTGCAAGTCGGAAAACACAGAGCCAAAATATATCCATGGCGGCTTCCCCTGATCAGCAGTCCCATCCACGAAGTGGATCCGGGTTTGGATCGGTCCTAGCATCTTCACTATCACGGTCATTCACCTTTGGGCCATCTTCGGCTTCTCCGCCAGTGACTCACAACATGAAGAAGAAACAGAGTCCGGGGGATAGCCCAAGTGTGGTCACTATACAAGCGGTCAGTCTTAAAGTATACCGAAGATAAAAGAATAATAGTACTAACATTTATTGTACAGCCCCAATCTGATACAGAAAGCGACCAACCTCCACCTCAAGTCGTGAAACCTACCACTCGGTTCAAAGTTACCTTCAAGAACCAGAACGAGTTTGATGGTGACGAATCTACCCCAGGCTATTCCCTTATAGACCGCAGCAAAGAGTGGCTATGGAGATCTTATCGTGCTTCTTATGCCGACATCTTGTCGATGTGGGATCTTCCTATACAACAAGCCGAGGTCCTTAAAATTGGCGAAGTGGAAGACGATATAGATGACATGCACATGAGCCACTATTGGAATAGCAACAGCTCTAATTCCAAGTTGTCTCCACTTCCTGAATTGGAAAAGAAGAAAGCCGCAGAAGGTCTTGAAGGACTCGATTTCCAACGTCACTGCGCCAACTGCGGTCATGCTTTGCAAATCTCAATTTTTGCTCCGACGCCCGTGGTCCCTGACACCCCGTCAAAGCGCCGTCGTCAGCCAACCTTCCGTCGATGTTCAAACTGCAAGCCACGACAGGCACTACCAACCAAGCTTCCTTGCGTCATCTGTAACGAAGTCGTGGATGGAATGTTGGTACCCTGTCTCAGCTGTGGTCATGTAAGCTGTTTTGAATGCCATCAACGCTGGTTCCTCCCCGATGCCGATGGAAAAAACTCCGGTGTCTTTCCACCCCCGCCCTGCCCCAGTGGATGTGGCTGTAACTGCTCTGAGCATGTTGCAGCTATCGTACCCATGCCGGCATGGGAACCGTCCTCTCCCAACCCAAGAGAAACCCCCACTGCACCCATCCATAAACACGCTCATGAAAAGCGTCACCGTCGTCGTCAATCCGAACCCGCAGGCAGCAATAATAGCTCGGGTCGAAATACGCCTACTTTGAGAACCGCTGCGACGCAGCTAGATAATGAGCTGGACATGTTCCAGACTTCGTCGCCTTTTGCATCTCTGGCACGAGGTATGGGTGGTGGGCTCAGCCAAGGGCTCCGCTCAAAGGAAGACCACAGAAGGAAGAACCGCTCTGTGGCAATGGCACCGCCCAAACGTAGATAACTTTTGGACTGATATATTATTTTTGTTCAATGGCGTTTACGGTTTCTCTTAATATTGATACCAAAGGCGTTTTGTATTATGAAAGTTTTGTTTTATTTCCGGATCTTATACAACGATGGAATATTCCCTGAAACCGCCCTGTGTTCTTGACTAAGCATTTACTACATCCATGTACTTATAAGGCTCCGAGGTTTCAACATTCATGGCAGCGTTTTAGGATGGTCAGTTCATGATCTCATTGTAGAAAGCTACCCATTTACTCCATTTATACTCCGTTCATTTTTGACTATCTTTTGTATGTAACACAAAAAGCATATTGGGGGTTCATTCAGAATAAGCAACAAGCTTCATATGCAGCATGCAAACTCTGCACATTTGGGCTATTTGGATCGAATAAGTGTCATTTCTAGTAGAGACTCCATTAAACTTTCCATGATGGATCCTAGTCAGGCTCCGCAATACAGCGGAGCCACCATTGATTCTGCGCGAATCTAAACTACTCGAAAACTGATTATTGTCGATCCCTAGACCCCCACTAGCTTCCCCAGATCAGATAACAGAATGGGCGAGCACTGACCTTGTGGACAGACCGCGCGACAGGGGTCCCCCGCCAATCATAGCGAGCGCTTTGTTTGGCCGAGAACAATACGCCACCGCGAAAGCTTAGCTCGTGAACTACTTGTACAGAGTATATAATTTCAGATCTACAAATTTGACAACACACGGGTAGGAGGAGTAAGAATTGGGGTATGTCATAGCTTCATTAGGATGTATTCCTCTATGTCGACGCAAGAGCAAGCTAATAGGAGCGGGCGATCTAAAAGGAGGACCTTGAGCCAACAACTCAAACTCGATCTGAATTTGGTTCAGATGGCAGAGCCGTGTCTATTTGGATGTTGAAATCGGTCCCCACTAGCCCGTAAACATTGCGCCGGTCTAAGTTGAACCCATTTTCTATAAACGGTCAAAGCAAGCTTACAGCTGCTTGAGGATGTGGTCGGCGGAGGTGACCTCAAGAACGTTCTTGGCGGCCTCCTTGGCGGCGTAGGTGACCTTGCCGTTGTCAATGATGATGGCGTAACGGTAGGTACGGCCCTCAGCGTCGGCCCAGCCGATGGACTTGGAGAAACGGGCCTCGGGGTCGGAGAGGAAGAGCTGTAAGAAGAAGAAAAATGTGTTAGTTGGATTGACAGGCTTAACAATTGCTTGGAATAGGATTCGTGAAGATGTACAATGTCATCGCCGGTAACACCGTTGGCCTTGCCCCAGGCGCTCATGACGTAGGCATCGTTGTAGGCAAGGACGGCAACGGCATCGACACCCTTGGCGCGGAGCTCAGGGAGCTTGGCGACGTACTCGGGGACGTGGTTGGCAGAGCAGACGGGAGTGAAAGCACCTGTGTGAAGTGGCGGTCAGCGGGAGAACCTTGGGGGCAACAGAAAAATATGACGGATCAAAATAGGAAAAGGAGCGGTGACGAACCGGGAAGAGCGAAGAGGACGACCTTCTTGTTGGCCCACTTCTCATCAACCTTGAAGTTGATGGGGTTACCGCAGACCTTGAACTCGGCGCTCTCCTCAGCCCAGGGGATGTAGCTGTGCGATTGAGTTAGTTTCGATTGGACTCGAGAGAGGCAATGTGGAGGGGGGAATTGGTGGGATGATAAGGGAAGCCGAAGCGGGAAAAAAATTGTAAAAAAAGAAAATAAACACGGGAAAAACATACGAGAAGACGACGCCCTCGGGGAAGTTGTCACCGGCCTTGATAGACATTTTGATTGAAGTGCTTTTGGAAAAAAGAAGTTGAAGATTGGAGAAGAAGAGAATTGACTATGGGGAGAAAGGAAGAAGTTTTAAGTTTACGAAAGATAAGGAAATGTATTCAAGGGGCAGTGGCGGTATTAATATTCCGGCTTCCGGCGCTTACACATATCGGCCCATCGGGATCACGGTTTATGACGAATGGAGGGGATTAGAGTGGGACAATGGGCCTTCTCCATGAGGTGATCCGAAGCAGAAAGATACCGAACCGCATGGATTATCAAGAAAGACCGAGCGAGAACTGCCCCGCTGACTTATCAGCTATCAGGAGGGGCGATTGATGCCTGGGTGCCTGGATCGTGCATTAGTCTGTCTTATGTAAGACCACGAGGATCAAAGTCACCTGACTCTCCTGCACTATTCAGCATATTTTCAGGTGTCGATGTTCACGCCCCAGGCTCGTTATCGGGAGCCGATTTCCGAGATCGGCTTTAGTTTATCGCTTATCTTACTCCTTTACCTGCCAACGCGAGAGACTCGAGAGCAATCCGACTATGAATGACTCAATCCGAGGGATCAGAAAGACAAGACAATCGTGATGGTGAAGGAAAAAAGTCAGATAAAAATACTTTGATATGCACAAATTGCACATATGTCATGCTCGACCTTCCTTCTCACTGTTCTCAGTACTCAGCTCAGCACTGACCAAGATTCACCGATTTCAATCAAGGTTGAAAGGTGTTTCCCAATCAGTTATAGCAAACTGGTATCAGAATCTTATAGTCTTTTCTACTGAAATATGTCTTGTCTGCCTTTTACATTCCCCCGCGTGATCTGCCAACCCTATCTCTGGCCAACGGGTAGGCTACCCGACCCCGGACAAACTAACACTGCGGATGCGCTTCCGGCCATACCTCATCCTCTGGCCACATGACAAACAGTTTCTTTTCCAAATTGGTAAATGAACCCGACAGACTTCAACCATGGACGTAACACAAGCTATCAGTCCCATCGCAGCCCCTCGCCATGGTTCCTTCTACGATAACCTTGTCGGACGAAGACCCGACTAGGGCCCGATATTGGTTTCCTGATAGCAAACATGCTAGATATGGTGGGGGTTTAAGGAAGCCCAGGCGGGGTATTCTGATAACCGATAAATAACCTGACTGCTCGTACTCTGAAGTCCATATCAAGACAGAAGTCTTTTTTGACTGATTATCTACAATGTCAACAATGACGCTGTGGTCTATTGGAAAGGCCCCTAGTCCTCGGGCTAGCGAGTTGCTTGTTGCACGATGCACGATACGCAAAACACACACATCAGCATCGCCTAAACAGCAACGATTCTCATCTACTTTGCAAATAGCTGCTAAGAGCAGAACTCATGCGGCTGCCGCCCTACCTCCTCTTTCGGCTCTTCCCACCAAAGTGCTTCTTCGATCACTGCTGGTTTCCACAATATCTTCCAAGCCTCTTCTGCTCTCCCCTTCTCTCTGGCTTGTGTCTATTCTTGCCCAGCCAAACAGGGGCTGGCTGACGAATGTGGACCGCAATCCGATTTTACATGCAATTTTGAAGAAGACATTCTATGAACAGTTTTGTGCGGGTGAGACTGTTGCTGAGACAAGGGCAACGATTAGAGAGCTGAAGGATATGGGCTTCCGTGGTGTAATGATGACCTACGCTAAGGAGACTGTGTTTGATCACCGCACCAACACTCAACATGGACTGGGCATTGCCGCACTGGAAGCGGAAAAGAATGATGAGTCTCTGCACCCACTGGTTTCTCACTGTGCAAATATCGAGGCCTGGCGGGAAGGGACTCTCAAGACAGTCGAACAGCTTAACGATGGCGATATTTTGGCTGTGAAGTAAGTTGTCCCACTCGTTTATCACACAAGGAAATCTATTCTAATAGTTCATCTTCAAGGTTGACTGGAGCCGGTCCCGTTGTCACCGAGGCTTTCTCTAAAGGCGAACTACCACCCGTCCAGATGCTCGAAGCCCTCGATGAAGTATGCAGCCAATGCAAAGATCGCAACGTCCGCATCATCGTCGATGCCGAGTCACACTACTTCCTATCAGGAATTCTCCGCGTAACCCTCGACCTTATGCGAAAGTACAATCGTGACGGTCACGCCCTGATCTACAACACGTACCAATGCTACCTCAAGAGCACACCGGCCACAATCGAAAGACATCTCACAGCAGCACAGCAAGAAGGATTCACCCTCGGACTGAAACTGGTCCGCGGGGCTTATCTCGCCTCCGACGAACGGTCCCTGATCCACGACACAAAGCAAGACACCGACGACGCATACAATGGCCTTGCCCAGGGAGCGCTCAAACAAACCATCGGAAAATTCGGCGTCGAGACTACCTTCCCCTCTGTGAACCTATTCTTGGCCAGCCATAATAAAGCAAGCGTCGTGGATGCGCACCAGCTCCATAAGCAGCGTACCGCTGCTGGATTGCCTACTGTTCCAGTTGGATTTGCTCAGCTACACGGGATGTCGGATGAAGTCAGCTTCTCGTTGCTTCAGCTGAAGGGCAATGATGGTACGCCTGAGGTGTACAAGTGCTCCACTTGGGGAACTATGGGTGAGTGCTTGGCTTATCTGCTTCGGAGGGCGATTGAGAACCGGGATGCGGTTTTACGCACCGGCGATGAGTATAATGCTTTGAAAGCGGAGTTTGGACGGAGATTTCGGGCTGTGTTCTCTTTCTCTTCCCAAAAATAGTATAGAAACTTATGATCTTGGGTATGACGGTTTTACGTGTTTTATGAGATCAATGTTCAATGGAGAGGTTTAAGCTCAACTTTGTGTCTTCAGAATGAATTGGTTATAATACGGTGTATTTTCAACCCCTAATAGTAGGTATTACATACTAAAGCGCACTTCCAAGGTTTCAAATGTTGTCTAAAAACCTTGAACGTTTATTGATGATTTTGTATCAATGTGTGCACTTTCCTACTTTGAGACAGATTATGCGGTGCAATTTCGACAAAACCACTAACTCTCTCACATATACAAGTCGATAGCTTGGTGGTAAGTTGTAATTTCCAGGGAAGGAGGGAACGCGCGCTTTCAACCGCGCGTTCTCACACAAAACAGCGGGCCTCCCTATCTCTAGATTTGGCCGCTACATATATCATCGGAGCAAACGGAGCAAACTCTTCATAGTCTATTCTGCCACTTGGTGGTAACTTCCAAGAAAGGAGGGAGCGCGCGCTTTGATAGCCATCCAAAAGTGCGCGTTCCCCCACAAAACAGCGGGCTCCCTGATGTCTAAGGCTGAAACCCCCCAACCTGAGAAGTACGACGAATAAATAGCAATATCCAATCATTTACAACATTTGAAGGTTGTACAGGAATGAATCCACCGGGTACAATTTACAGCCCTGTAGAAGTTTGAAAGATAGACGAAGAAAAAAAGAATTGCCGTCGGAAGGTGTCGAACCTCCGTCTCTCACATGTGTCGAGGGTCTAGCCTAGTCTGGTAATAATACTGCTGTACAATCCAGGCCAGGCAAGACTGTCCCATAATCACAGAGAGTGTGCTAACCAACTGCACCACGTCGGCTTTTGTTAATCAGAAATGACGTAAAGACCCACTTAAGGCTAACGCTAGTCCAGATAGCGTAGCTATAACTCCACTATTCTCTGCTCTCAGCCAATCAAGCTTAGTAACCCTCTTTCTCCTTTCTCATTTCTGACTACAGCAGTGACAACATTGAACGTGTGAAATTTGAATGCATGATTTTGGACAAGAGGCAATGCTATCTATATAGAAATACTAAGCTTTGTTAAAAATTTCAGTGGTTACTGGGGTAGGTGAAGCCTGACTGCGGGAAAAATTCCTCCTTGATCAGACGAGGGCTGGTGAACCGGCGCAGAACATCGGAGCTACCAGCCTTGTCGTTAGTACCACTGGCACGGGCACCACCAAATGATTGCTGACCGATGAGAGCGGCAGTAGTCTTGCAGTCTGTAAGAAGTCATATGTTAGATGACTGCAAATCGTCGAAAGGAATTAGTTATAAACTTACTGATATAGAAGTTACCAGCTGAGTAGCGAAGGGCATCTTCAGCTTCCCGGATTGCCCGTCGGTCCTGGGCAAAGACGGCACCAGTCAGAGCAAAGCCACCACCGGCCTCATCGACCTTCTTCAGGGTAGAAGACCACTCAGCGTCAGGGTAGACGTAGACGGCAAGTACAGGACCGAAGATCTCTTCGTTGAAGAGCTGGTGGTCTGCCGAATTAACCTGGTAAACGGTAGGGTGCACGTAGAAGCCGACAGAGTCATCGGTAGTACCACCTGCAATCAGTTTCAGGGACGGGTCCTTGTTGGATTTATCAATGATGGACTTGATCTTGTCGAATGAGCGACGATGAATGACAGGACCCATAAAAGCTTCAAGGTTCTTATCCGGGTTTCCAATAGTGATCTCTTTAACACCAGCCTTAAGGCCGGCGAAGAATTCCTCAGCCCGCGACTCAGGTAGGTACAGGCGGGATGTAGCAGAGCACTTCTGGCCCTGGTATTCGAAGGAGCCGCGGATAGTGTGGTTCACCGCGCTGGGAATATCAGCCGAGGGGTGGACAAGGTGGAAGTTCTTTCCGCTAGTCTCGGCAACCACGCGAGGGAACTCGCGATATGTCTTCTTTCCGATACCCTCGCCGATCTTAGCGTAAAGGGAGCGGAAAACATCCGACGAGCCGATGAAGTTCAGACCAGCGAAGTCACGGTGGGATAGGGCGACGTCGGTGATTGTTTCTGGGTCTCCGGTCACGAATTGGATCACGTTCGGGGGTAGACCGGCTTCGAGAAGAATCTTATAGATTATGCTGCTGGCGTAGACGTTTGATGGCGAGGGCTTCCAGATAACCACGTTGCCCATCAGGGCGGGTGCGGAGATCAAATTACCACCCAGCGCGGTGAAGTTGAACGGAGAGATCGAGTAAACGAAGCCCTCGAGGGGACGGTAGTCCAGACGACTCCACATGCCATCACTGCCACGAGTAGGCTGTCTCTCGAGGATCTCAGCTGCATAGTTGCAGTTCAAGCGGAAGAAGTCGGCCAACTCGGCGGCGGCATCGATCTCACCCTGCCAGATGTTCTTACCCTGGCCAAGCATGGTCGCCGCAATCAGCTCATAACGGTACTTTCCAGTCACTAGCTCGGCAGCCTTAAGGAAGATGGCAGCACGATCGACAAATGGGGTCTCTTCCCAGTCCTTCTTCGCCTTTAGTGCGGCCTCGATAGCATCCTTAGTCTGCTCTTTTGTTGCCAGGGGATAGTTGGTAAAGACTGTGGCGTGCTCAGCGGGCAAGGGCTGGTCCCAGGATTGAGTGCTCTTCTGGGCTTTGCCGTTGTAAACAATGTCGCTTTGGACGGGAAGTTGAGCGCGTAGCTTGAGAAGAGCCTCTTCTAGCTTAGCACGCTCCTCTGATCCTTTCTTGTATAATGGCTATCGATTGTCAGCATAATTATTTTTTTCCATGTATTTTCAAAAAATATCGCCTGGAATTCTATCTTACATTAGGTTCATTGCGAGGATCAGGAAGACGGAAAGGCACAGTTGCCTTAGCGCGGACCTGAATCAAAGACTTGGAAAAGTTGGTCCGGAGACGAGGAGAAAAAACTCGAGATGAGCGCATGCTCAGGATAGATGTTGATGACATGATTGATGTGTGTACACTTGATGAAGAGAATGAATCCAGAGCCCTGGTCTTAAATGTATCTCTTTATCATGACCATGGATTTGGAGCATCGGTTGCCCACCCGATGGTGACACACGATACCCCGCCATGGGAGCTTGGGAGCTATGACGGATCAAACATTTGTGGGGTTGAAGATAAAAGAGTCAAGACATCGCATGTCGGACCGGGAAGCGATCCCGATATCACCAGATCATCAAAGCCCCACGGTTCCGATAGACGGGGAACCACAGCTTCTCAGATTATTACTTACAATGCCAGTTTTCATTAAAATAAGAAAATATTGTCAATATCATGCAGCATCGAACGAACGAACAGCTATGGGACAGTTCGCTTTTCCGTCGATTAGCGGGTGATGTTGGGGCCGCAGTAGTCTCCGCGACATTAGTTGCACCAGCAGTGACGATAATAGACAGGTCAGTATTACAAGAGAGAAACTACATGCGACCGAGTAGATGTTGAACAGAGCTTTTCACTGATTTTATTCAGGGCCATTGTGGAAAAATCATCTTTAAACCAGTCCCTCTTTCGTGGGTTAAGGCGACATGCACTTCATGCACTCAAAAACCCCACGCGATTTGTATTCCAATTACCATTCGGCATCATTTGGAGTCTATACGCAGCCACATACATAGTCGCAAATGGAACCGACACAATAAGCAACAAGCTCAAAGCTCGCGGTACAGGAATGCTCACATTTGCGACCACGACAATAGTAAACGTGCCCTTGGGTGTATGGAAAGATATCCGATTTGCAAAAATATTTGGCACCAAGACCTACGCCAATAATGTCGAAGCGGCGCGACCGGCGCTCGTGCAAAATCGCGGTGTTGCAAGAGCAGCCACGGCCATTTTTCTCTTGCGCGACTGTGTGACGATCTTTGGATCCTTTACTCTTGCACCGAAATTATCGGCCGCCATTCCTGATAGTATTACTTCCCACCCTCAAGCCAAGCCGGTTATATCACAGTTGACGGTGCCGGTTTTGACTCAGCTTGTGGCTACGCCGCTGCATTTGTTAGGGTTGGATCTTTATATGCGACAGCATGCTGTGCCGTTCGTTGATCGGGTGGCACAGTCGCAACGGCATTTGGCTTCTACCACTGTGGTGCGATGTATTCGCATTTTGCCTGCTTTTGGATTTGGATGTTTGGCAAATTTGGAACTGCGATCGCTTTTTCATAGACAAATTGGAGGAGAGAATCTATAAGGATGATGAATAAATGGGCATTAATTTGTGTTAATGAATATTTAAGTATGATAGTTGAATTGTGACATTGTTCTTCTATAATTCTGCGTCTTGTATGCAGCTCCAACCTAGAGGCTTAATGCCGTGTATCATTGACATGCGCGGTTGTCTCCATAAGACGAGCCAGCGTCACAGACTCTCGAAGAGCCCGTCCAATGTGACCTCTAACACCAGCTTCTTCCATAACCATCAACCCACCAATTGTGCAGCCTTCAGGCGAAGTCCCCTGATCCTTTAGAAGGGCTGGGTGAATTCCACTCTGAAGCATAGTGGCCGTCCCTTGCATAGATTGGAAGATCATGGTATGCGCCAAGTCCCGGGGAACACCAACAGCCACGGCAGCATCAATCATCGCGTCGCAAATAACAGCAAAGAAAGCCGGAGTCGACCCCCCAACCGCAGTAGTAGCATTCATGAGATGAGGAGCGATTTGAACTGCGCGCCCGATCTGCTCGAAGATTGCAGTCGTGATTTGGAGGTAGTGTTCCGGTGGCGTCGGCTCCGACATTTCGATAGCAGTCAAGGATTGCGAGACTTGTGCAGCGATGTTGGGGAGAGTGCGCACCACCCATGCGCGACCGTTTTTGTTTTCACTGGTTGTTTCGCTTCCATAGATGGTTCGCTCGAGCTTTTGACGCGTCCAACCAGCTGCGATGCTAATCAATAGCTTGTTTTCTAGTGCCTCGCGGAGTCCATTTTGTGTCAACACCTTCTCAATATCAGCCGGATCCACGCCGAGAATGATCACGTCGGATTCTTGCACAGATTTGACATTGTCGCCTCGAGAGAAGGACAATCTATCGATGTGCTTGGAGAACCGTGTGGCTAGCTTCGCTTCTGAGTTTTGACTGCGGACGCATGCAATGAATTTGGTGAAAGGGACAGGTTTGCTATCAGACGTGTTTAACAAACTGTCGAGGATGGCAGCTCCCAAATTGCCTGGATTTATTAGTCTCCATGCGTGCGATTATTGAATTAGCTTAACCTACCGCAACCTAGCAAGCAAAGAGTGGTGATTTCGTCTGTCATATTTCCTGAATTGAACTCAATCCAAAGTTCGATGCAAAATCTCACGCGTGTGAATGAAAATTATGTCTGATAAAGCCCAAGTCTGGCGATTCGGAAGCCCCTCCGATGATGGCGGGGTTTATCTTGCGTTTCTCTCCGCGCTTGATAAAGTTTCCCCTCACGACTCCACTCGGAAGTGCTACCGATGACCAGATGACTTGACTTATCGCAATCAATGCCGCAATTTGGAAAGAGAACGCGTTATATATGATTGAAGCTGCAGCGACAATGAAATTTGAAGAAAATCATTGTTTACAATTCTATCATGGTGGTGTCCAAGTCTGACGCGATTGTCATAGTTGGTGGAGGCGCCTTTGGCCTCTCGTCAGCTCTCCACCTGTCGCAAAAAGGCTACACGAACATCTCTGTATTTGAGAAAGATGAAAACATCCCACCTCGCTCATCCGCAGCCAACGATCTGAACAAAATTGTACGGGCGGAATACGAGGACCAGTTTTACACCGACTTGACAATTGTATGAATACACCAATTCCGTTTTGACAAAATTGTCTAAGATTGCATTGCTAACATATAGGACTACTTTTTAGAAAGCGATAGATGCTTGGAAAACCCCATTATTTGCCCCTCACTTCCACCAAACCGGCTTCCTGCATTGCGTTTCTGGAGAAGCCCCCGAGAAAGCAGTCGATACATTGAATAGATTTCGCGCCTCAGCAGAGAAAGAACCCAAGATCCAGCCTCACGTCGTCCCTCTTAACAGCGTTCATGACGTCCGCCAAGCCTGCTGGCAGCTAAATGGTGAGCTACCAGGATGGCACGGCTACCTCAATCGGTTTGACGGATACGCTCACTCCGCCAATGCCCTGGCGGCGGTCTACCGCGAAACCCAGGCAGCCGGTGTCCGATTCTTCCTAGGAGAGCAAGGCGCCGTCGATGAGATCGTGTACGTGAGCACCCTTACCGGCCGCAAGTGCGCTGGCATCAGAACGAAGAACGGCCGCTTTCACCCTTCATCACTGGTGATCGTTGCAGCCGGAGCCGGAGCCGGTCGACTAGTTCCCGAGATCGGAAAGGAGGTTGTGGCGAAATCGTGGTCTGTTGCGCATGTGCATCTTACCGATGAAGAGACCTCTGCTTTGCGGGGTATTCCTGTCACCTATGCGCGTGATCTGGGATTCTTCTTCGAGCCTGATCCAAAGACCAATCTCTTGAAGCTGTGTCCCATGGGTGGCGGTTATATCAATACTGATCCTAAGACTGGGGTCTCACACGCGCCGGAGAACTTGAGTGATAGTGCTTTCCTGCCTGAGGCGGATGAGAAGCAGCTCAGGAAACTTTTGGCTCAGACACTTCCCTCGCTTGCTGATCGGCCTTTTGTTAGAAAGTCTTTGTGTTGGTTTGCGGATACCAATGACTCGGACTTTATTGTGGATTATATTCCCAACATGTCTTCCTCTATTATTCTGTTGTCTGGTGACTCCGGACATGGCTTCAAGATGTTCCCTATTGTGGGCTCTTGGATTACTGATCTCCTTTCTGCTGCTGATGACAAACAGTCCATCACTCGTTGGAGGTGGAAGCAGCCTGCTCCGGATGCTGGGAAGGGTGACTGGGGTGGCGATGTTAGCTGGCGGATTGGACAGTCTAAAGAGTTGGCTTCAATTCTACCCCCGAGGTCATCCAAGCTGTAAATAGAGTCATGATATATAAATTTTCTTAGAAACTGAGCCAGATTTCATTCATAAAGAACAATCCCATTGTTGCGTTTCTTCGTCCCATTGTCCCATTTCTCGTACGTCTCGGTAAAATGTCTTATATTCTTTCATATAGAAAACAAATCCTCGAAAACTCACATCACAACGGCATTATGTCAAAAGCCCTTTGTACGCAAAGTGAGACCTTAATGTCACAAAGACTCATTGTGCAAAATTCCGCATGCGTGTTCAATGGACAGATTATAAAGGTTACTAATGCACCCACCTAACTATCTCTCTCATCCTCGACAGGGATCCAAGCAAGCTTTGCTTTGCCATCAAGCAATCCTATAATCCAAAAAACCCGTGCGCTCAAGGTACGTCTTCTCTTCCATTCAAGAAGCAAAAAGTCTTTGACTATAATGTGCCAGCTGAACATTCTAGACTACGGTCACATTCGAGGAGGCTGTGGCCATCTTTGGATTCGAGATGTAGACCAATGCCTGCTAGCTGCTACTGATTGTTCGAAGATCCTGTGTGATCCACTAATTCGCAACCCTATTGTTCCACGATCGCCTTTGTTCTACAGAATCCGCAACTGGTTCCGTCCCGGATATAATAAGGTGGCAGGAATGTGCCCTTCTTGTGTGAAGGGGCTTACTGTGCCTGTAATAAGGCCTGGATATGCGGAAATAATGTAGGAATATACTTGAGGTACAAAGAAGCAGTTTCTAGCTTTTGGTCTTATAAGATACTAGGTGATAATCTGAAAATATTGGAGTGGGTTGATATATGGTATTCTTTTAAATTGCCGTATAAATAAAATGAATAAAAATAATCGAATGATTTTTATCAGTTCGCTGCATCAAGGCTCTGCATGAATGTTGCTGCTTGTTTGACTTGGTCAGTTTCTGCTTTATTTAATCGACTCTAGGCCATCTTGCTGCTCGACATGAATACACACCTGTATTCTTTGAATAAATCCATCTTGTATGAGCCCTTTGAACATCATGCGTTGATTACCTTGAGTCATCAGAAAACTAAAAACCATTCACACTCTCCTCAAAAAAGCCCAAATCCTTTTATTGGCCATGCGACCTGTGTTCTCTCACTCTATCTCACTCTAGAAAGTTCTTCTTCTTTCTCTTCTTCTTTACTCCTTGCAGCATTCAATACACAGCATTCAATGTTGCGCTTGCCGTCCTTCCACAGTAGACCTGTTCATATATATATTACCTTTCGAAAGAATCATCCCTCATTTTGCTGAGCAACCCCACACCAACGACATCGATACATCAAGAAACACTGGTTACCTTCATGATGAAAGCAGCAAGTGGCTGCCAAGATATCGTTGATTGTAAACACTACGTGTTTCCCAGACTGGACCAAGCACTGGCGACAACCTGCCCCCTGTTTTGACTTTAGGACTACTATTTACAGAGACAACGCCAAATATCCTCAAGGATCGAGAGAACTTTCACGCCTGGCTCAGACATCTGGATGGACCCACAAAAAATTGAAAAGATTCTGCCTCGATGGCCTTGTCAGCGATTTACCAACACCAAAGAACACTGACAAAACCTTCGAAAACTGGACAAAGGTGTCCAAGCAGGTCTCCCTATGTATGGATGCAGGACAACATGAAAAACGAGATGGTCGAAGAAATTAAATCAGGAGATGAAGATATCTCGTTCGCAGACACATTTTTAAATAAGGCTAAAGATGTTTTCCAACGCGAGGGGGTCAACGCAGAATCTTTACGCGTTGAGCAATATTTTGAGATGTCTGCGCTTGGCTATGACACGGCCACTGAGTGGGTGAAAGCGTACAAGGATGAGTTTAACGCCCTAGTCCTTGACTACAACATCCGATCTTCCCCTTGGATGACCCCTTTGATGAGTATTCTGCGGTTGTTGAACGAAATCAAACAGCACAACGAGGTGGTCGCATTAAACCTGCTTGACTGGCTGACAGCACAAGCTGGCACGGAAGGCATCAAAGGTCTGACCAGCTGGGCCACCAATGACCATTTCAATATGTTTGCCAACCATGCGTTGGAGGTAATGAAGCTATCCAGCACAGAAGATGGCTAAATCGCAGATGCAAAGGGGTATTTCAATTAGGGAAAGGGGCTGTCAACTGCCATACCGATTAGCTCCACATCACAAAATCACCACATGTGCAAGATTCAAGAATGCGCAACATTCCACCAATGTGTCGGGCGAGAATTGTTTAAAAGTCAAAAGAAGGGCTGAAGATCCATAGACTGATACATTTGAATGAATTCACCATCGCTACCTGAAACAATGCTCGAGTAATCGTAATTTCCATACAAAAAAGGACTAACCAACATAAAAAATGCACTTCGCTACGTATAAAGATTCATGACAGCAATTCATGGCACATCACCAAATGCTATGCTCGATCATAGCATTAGACATCCACTCCGTATCAATACTCTCAATAGAATCCGCAACAGCCATGATCTGCGCTGCAGTCAGCCCACTAGTCAAGTTATATTCGTCATCATTCGCTGCCATAGGATCGGATAACAAATCATGACCCAGGGCTTGCGCTGAAGGCGGGAATGAACTCGCGAGCTGAATACTATTGTTGGGATTATTGAGAATATTGGTTGGAAATGAAACAGGGGCCGATAAACATCGCGAGTTGTCGTGAGGAAAGCAGCTCAGTAGTTCGTCAAGGAGCTGGAGTTCTGATCGCCTGAATTTGGCAATTAGGTTGCCATTTTCGATTATGTCTTCGAATATAAGGTAGGCCTTTTCTAGCCATGCTGGATAGGACCATCTGGCGTCGATCGCTGGAGCCATAAGAAGGACTACCGTTGAGACAAAGACAGACTCGAGATCGAACGGTAGGAATGTTTCTGCGCTTATTAGTAAAGATCTTAGATCGGAGTCAGGTGGCAGAGCATGTCTTACCAAGGAGATCTTCGGATTGAAGACTGTGAAGGATGTTGATCATTTGCTGGGAAGAGTCAAGACACATCTGGATCAAGTTGCGGACATTTCGAGACGTGTTCAAAGCTTCCAAGCAATGCTCGGCAGATTCAAAACGAATTTTCAGAAAGCAAAAGAGCAATGGTCTGGTGGCGAGAACAATACATTGATGATACAAGAGGTGAAGATAGGCTGATGTTCTGGAGACTCCACTTGTTGCGCGGTCTAGGTGCAGAGGGAAGGCCTCACGAAGCTCGTCTGCAAGCCGAGCGATACTCGCCAGAGCGGATTTTGTGCGAAGTAAAAAGTTTCGATTGAGGCGACCATCGATGGCATAAACAGCTATCAACGAGATTAGAAAACATTGGATCCACTGGAACTTCAGTACTAACCGCTGCTTATCTCCGCAATGATGCGTGAGAGCTTGATGTGCATGTTAACGCCAGCTGTCCGCTGTAGAGATCCCGGGAATGAGGGAAGCAGAGTGTTGATGTGGTCATCACTGAGGGATTGAGGAAGACCCATCAGCGAGGTCATTTCGCGATCCAAGATGTATACAGTCCACCAGATCTTGCGACAACGTTGGACCAAATGCTCTCCCAGATACTCCACTGGCATTTGAGTGTGCATCCCCTCTGCCATGGCCATTCGCATGGCTGAGCCGATCTGAATAAGTTTGTCAGACGGAAGAATAGTATCAAGAAATCCATGATTCACGTACATAATTGTGAGCAGATGAGCGGCAATCGAGAGCTTGCAAGTAAAGCGCGATGCAGCACAATATCTCCGTCGATTCGATGGGTTCTTGGTGCAGCACACTGATGTCAGGTAATAATTGCAAAGCCTTGACGAAAAATTCGGCACCCGGGGGTTTATTGCCTTGTAACTTGTGCTGAACAAACCCCTTCCCGAATGCGAGCATCAGAAGAAAATGGATATACCATAAACCGGCTGTTCCATTTGGCTTGGACCGCGAGTAGAAGTCGTGAAGCCCGCTCATAAATTCCCCTTCATCGAAAAGGTGATATAATTGTCCACAGCGGAACTTCACGGTATTGATGAGATACATCGCATGGTCAAAGGTTGGGACGGTGGGAAGATCAGGCTTCTGGGGTGTTCGTATTCCATCCCAGCCCAGGTCATAAGTTGCACCATCGAATGCCAAAGCTCCCGTTGGAAGGGACTCTTGGTATATGAACTCGTGTGTTAGACTCAGTACCCGGCGCGTAAATGACCAATTGGAAGATGTTCCTAGGTAAACTGCAAGCGCATTAGATGAGGGAATTTCCCAGGAAGGCGTGTCTTGACATACAAGTTCGCCCATTCTCAGCGGACATGAAAGCCGGAGGCCCTGTTGACAGCGGATTTGTCAGACCAGATGCTGGATCTTCGAGCTCCTGCTCAGTTTCGTGATTAGATTGAGCATCCTCCTTCTCAGCTGGTGAAGATCTAGCAATTTCCGGCCCATCATTTTGATCCCTCGGGACTGAAAGAATTTAGTAGGTGCTCTTGACTTGTGACTTGTGAGAAGGAACAAAGAAACCAACCCGATGACCCCTCTTCACAGTATTCCGGACTTAGATGGATAGATTCGGCATTGCCATGCTGTTGTAACCTGGCAATCTTGTGCTCTAGCTCATCGAGATAACTACTGATAGATTAGAGACTGGGTGGCGATTTGTAGAGGGATTTCGGATTCGTACCCTCTGGTGACAAGGATCTTCTGATCCCGATCATCAAAAATACACGTGAGCTTGCGCTTGTTGCAACCATCGCACGGCTGCGACCCCGAACATTTAATCTTTTGCCTGCGGCATCGGGTGCACCTGGGTCGAGTTAGTCGGGGTTCAAGAAGCTCAGCCCGTAGACGTCAGAGGTTGATTCATACGCATTCAATGATCTTTTTGTAACTCGTGCTGTGTTTCCTGCCATGAGATTTTTTGATTACGATGGCCGGATGTAGTGCCGTTTATCGGATTTAGGGCGAAATATCAATAGCACTGAGAATGCGGGGGATTCTGAGGTGGAGCTTATGCGTGTCCATCTTTATTCGGTAAGATAACGCGGCCACCAATCGCTTCATATACTTTGCCGATAAGGAAGATTGTCATTCTCGCCTCACGAACTTGCAAGAAATGAAGTCATGTGCTCTATGGTTATTCTGCAGATCAAAGGAAAATGTTCTGGATCCAAATAAATTTGTCCAGGAGTTTTAAGATACGCTACTTGGTAATGGCGCTGAACATTGTCGTATTCTGAGATACTTCCTCTTATCTTGTACAGGCCTTTGTTTCATGATTCATTGCCAGGCGAGTGGGAATAACTGACTTATCTATGTGTCATATTGATCTACCCCGGATGTAGATCTTGTGCACGTTCCTCTATGCGTTGGAAACCCTTAAAATTGACCACCGGGAAGCCTGCCGGTCTATATCGATGTGGTTTTATCACCGTCGGGCCCGCATCCGATACCCCACCAGTTCAGATATCAGTATCGCAGGATGTCAAGGGCACAATTGACTGTTCGTATCTAGTAGAGCCACCCCGAAGTTATTGCCCCACTATCTCAATGCTAAATTTATACTGAAATCATTGCTGGTGTCCAAAGTCGTTTCGTTATTTATGTATTCGAGGCCAGATCCACTATACCCGATCGGGAATAGCTGCAATCTCCTGTGCTGCCTTACATTGTGCCTTAGGCAGCTATTCAATACATGCGCAAATCTTGATTCCCACAGAATGTTATAGAAAGCGCCACCAAAAAAGGTAGGACTATAAGACTAATATCGACGGCTTACTGCAGGTATTCGTGTCCGGCTGTTTCGGGTCCCTCCGATCATCGAAACCCCAAATGCTCCCAGCGTAAGGATCACCATAATCAAAATTCCTGCGGTTAGCCCGCCCTTGATACCAACATCAAGGGAGCGCGTCCAAATAAGAATCAAAGGAACCCCGACAAGGATCGTTATCCCAACGAGTACCATGAGTATCGAGAAAACCCACCCAGGTATATTCGAAATACCCTCCAAAAATAAGGTCGGCAAAGCATCGCGAAATTCAGAGTCAGACTTTAGCCAAAAGGGAACACCCGCGAAGAAAAATGCAAGCACAACCATCGCAAGGCTGACAGGGAGCTTGATGCCAGCTTCCAGGTCCCGTGAACAAACCACCGCAATCGGTATTCCTGAGACAACACCGATCACTAGAACGAATTGGACGGCAAAGCCGAACAAAAGCCATAATTTCTGTCCTAGCCAAACGCATTGCGAGAGCGTCCATTTCACCCCGGTGATGACACTTGAACCAAGCAGGTTTGCGAACCACTGAAAGATAAGGAACATGGGTAGGGATCGAGATTGCACAGGCTGACCGTGCTTTTCTGCATATTTTCGAACATCGTATTTGACTACGGTCTTGAGACGAGAGACCCACTGGCTTCGCATGGTCATTCTCATCAAATAGGAAAATGCAGTCACGGAGATGGCTACGACGAAGAAATTCCAGATGGGGACGGGGTTGGTGAAAGGTTCAATCTGCATGCCGAAAACGGACGTGGAGAATGATAGAGGGATGAAGATAAATGCAAGCTCGGTGAGTCTCGTCACCGCATGGGCCTCATCGATCGATCGGCGACTCTCCAGCAGACCCATATTTGATGTTAGTGAAGCAGATGTGGCTTTCAGTCGCTCAATCATCTGATCAATATCATTCGGTAGAAGCTGGTATTTCCGAGTGCTAGTGCCTAGCTCGGCTAATCGCCCCGGTGAGGTGGTCGGTGGATCAACCTCGACCATGAATTCATATAGCGGACCCAAAGAGGCCTTGAGCTCGGGAAGTTCTCTTTGAGCACGGTTGATAATCTGACGCCAAAGACCCAACCGGTCTTCCATCTTTGTGTCATCTAAAATGTCAACTTCCACCTCGTCGAGAACTCGTCGCAAATGCTGAAGGAGAGTTAACGTATCCCGCCGAATAATCTCAAGCAAAGGCCCAAGAATACCGACTGGCTTTTGCTCCATGTCAAGTACCTCGCGAATAACAGCTTTAGTAGACTTGGTCTCGCTCAGTCTGGTACCAAACTCTACTGCAGGGCCAGTTGAGCGAAATATTTGGTTCAGATCAACAGCCAAAGCCTGGCGAGGTGCCATCTGCTTGACAATAACCTTTCCCGGAACCTCATCCTCCTCAGATTCATCTGACAGCACACTGGTTTCGACGCTTTCGACGGGCTTTCTGAATCTTCCTCTCCTGACCATGTCGGCCCAGATCCTGGAAAATGACCGGCCATCGCGGACACGCCGTGGCACAGCCTCGAATAGTCCACCGAGTCCTTCTTCCATCAAATCACTCTCCGGCACAGACTGCCGAGACATGATATCTTCCGATTGACTTGCATCGTCATGAAATTTCATCGGTCCCCAAAATTGGTGGTGCTCCCGTATCTCAGGTAGCGGATCAAGAAGCACAATAACTAGCAATAAGTCAATACTTGGTGAATGTCTTAGGATGATCTTATGTATTACCAATCTCAGTGCCTCGGCCTCGGAGCTGGCCCTTCCAGATCGATATCCTCTCCTCCAATCCACATTCTCTCTCCATCCTCACCGATTTTGTCGGATCCGTCCACAAATTCCACTCCAATCGAAATATGTTTGTAGTCACTGTGGTTTTGACATTACCATGACTAGTAAAGTGTTCGGTCGATTCTTCCAGAAGATCGCTCAAGTCCCGGTGCGAAAAATACGTGGGCTGTCGATAAACAGGTCGGATCCACTGGAAGGAAATATGGGATTTATGAAATGTTGCTGTCTTCCATGTTCGAGCCGGTGGCTCGTGGTATCTTGCCCCAGCATAATTGGAGTTCAACAAATGTTCTTCGAAAAACTCTGGGTTAATACTGAAGGTGATACCCAGACCATCGATAGTCGGCTTTGATAGATCTTCTACAAGAATGAGACGCCGAGTAATATTTGCATTCGCGTGACCCAGAATCGAGATATCATTATCTGTGACAATTCTTCTTGGCGTAGACATTACACCTTCAGAGTAGTCGTAAAATGTGATGGAGGTCTTGTTGTGTCTGGAGTAGCGACGGACACTTCCGTCTTTGAGATGGTCCAGCACGTTTGCGGCATTGTCAATAATCTTTTCATATGTAAGTCGACCTGATCCTTTCTTTTTGGTTTTTGGTAACATCATAAATTGTGTCATCGGAGGAGGACGAGGAGGAGGAAACCCTTCTATAGGAGGGGGAGGAGGTATTCCATGTATTTGTTCTGAAGGTTCGGACACTGCAGCTGGGGATGGTGATCGCGACGGCGACGGCGACGGCGATGTTGATGGTGAGGGCAATGATGGTGGCGGTGGTGATGGCGATGCCTGTAATTCAGATCTTGAGTCCTCGGAATGAGGACTCTCTGGCTGTAGCCCCAAATCCTCATTGCGCAAAGATCGCGATACCGAATCATCTCCAGCATCGTTAGTGTAGCGCGACTGCTGAGTATTGTGATCAGATATAGATGCAGAGCGGGAGTCAGAGAAGATTATCAAGGCTTCGGGGGCCTCGTCTTGTGTATTTGAAGCATCGTGCTGGTTACTATTGGCCGAGCTTGTTTGCCCTTCTGACGCGATGCTTTCCTCTGTGTATACTGGCTGCGCTGGTAAAGAATCGTTTTCCTGCCGCTCCTCGACGATGTTTAAGTCATCAAAGTCCCCATCGGGCGGCTCGTATATGTGAGTCTCGTGGGGTTGCTCGATAGGTGGCTCCGGATCGTCTGGTTGATTCAACCATTCTCGGACCCGGTCAGAATTCCGGTCTTCGGCCATCTGCACCAAATTGTTTGTTTATAAGACATCCATATTCTGGCTCCGGACAAAAATAATTGAGGAAATGAGCCCCAGGACCCCAGCGATCAGAGCTGAACTGGACCGTGCACAATATCATTGCCTAAGTTGGACTAGGGCTGACCACGTACAAAGTGAGATTCCCCGCCCACATCGCATATGGAGGTGTTAAACATACTACAAATTTTGTAACGCTGTAACGATCACTTTTTGAGCGTGAAATTCGTTTTTATTACGGTAACGTTTTCGATCGTTTTGAGTTGCAAGGAATTTGGCGCGCGCTGCCTATGATCTACTAGTACCTAAGGCCCCCAGACAAAGGCTCCGCAAAACCCGTAACGCGGCCCCATTTTACACAAAATCAATAAAATGCTTTAAAATTGTCACATAACTTCGTTTGTTAGGAAGTTGTCGGAGAAAAAAAAATATACGATATACTTATTCCATTTAGAAAAAAAAGGGCATAAAAACTAGTGGCAGTCTCTGCAACCTAGGATCTAGCCTGACATGAACGACCCTCTGGACTCGTCGGATTTATCCCCAAACCAAGTGTCTCCAGCAATTTCCAACAGCCATTGAATCGGCGAATAGCGCGGTGAAAATTGAGCATAAGGTGGAAGAAAATGCTGTTTATCTCTTGATAACGGACTTGATAATAGACTTGATCGTGGACTTGGTATTAGACTTGATATTAGACTTGATATTAGACTTGTGGACTTGAGAAGTATGGGCTGACTAGTATTATATGACATGTGTTAGCATGAGGATGATATGTGTTTAGATTAACCCCCTTTTTTGTCTTTCTGAAGAATTCCAATGCATGGTGGTCGGTAATGATTGTAAAAGGTTTCTCTCAACCATCATCGATTCCAATTCCACACCTAACTCCGTTCCTTAACATGGCTACAGTAGCCTCACTAGTACGATCTACTTCGCGCGGCTCAGACCACGAATCATCCTATGCATCACCTCTCATCACCCAAATGATTGGAGGTGTACCTGATAGCGAATCCCTGCGGAAGCATACAGTCTAACCACGGGGATGGGAAACTTGGAGCTGATGGACGGAAGCGTCGGTCCTTTGGCAGCAGTGATGATGAAGGCGGGTTCACTTACGATAATCTTCCACTCCGTTTCGGCCCTGCAAAGGATGAGATAATGAGATTCCTGGACGAGCAAGGCCTGATGGCAGTCAATGTGGAAATCGTCAACACGGATTCATACTGAATATCTCCGTGTCGGGGGCCCGTACCTGTGCTCCATCCCCACAGAGGATGCAGCAGTACCTCAAAAGCAACCTCACTTTCTGTTGACTTGCTTCGAAACCCCGGATGAACAGGTGCTTGGCAACAAGATTCTCCAAATCTTCGATGGATACCATCTCACACAACGTGGCTCTAAGTTTTCTTTTTTGGCCAGGAAGTCCATCATCAACCCCGAGCCACAGCTCCGCTTCACCCTTTACATCCCCGCAGAGCGAGGCACATTCTTTTTGTATGAGGAGAGTTTATTGCACCATCGACGTAAATTTGAATTTTACGATCAAAACGCGCTTTGCCTCATCATTGTCACTCTTCACTCAGTCTGTCAAGCAGAGAGATACTCAGGATCATAATGAGCAGCCCCAGGCTAACAAATCCAATGAGAACCACCGCAAGCCACCCCAGCACCATCGCTGCTGTCCCAATATGCCCCGAAACGGTACCATAAGTGAGTGTCTCTACCATCGATGCTGTCGAGCTGCTGTTAATGTGCTGCCACAGCACCGAAATAAAAGCAAACCCGAAAGAAATACTGATTAATCCCAAAGCCGCTTGTGAGACCGGTCGTGAAGGAAACGGCTTAACTTCTATATCTGACCCAGTGTCGTTTGTTTCTGTATGCCACCCGGGAAATGTTGCCAATAGCAGAAAGCAGACAAAAGTAAGAATAACAGATACGTAACTGGATAAAATTGTCAGCAGCTGATCAACATTATCTAGCGGAACTTCAGGTAAACGCAAAACGAATGAATGAGCCGGTGAAACTGACAGTAGGCCATCAAAGACGATCTTGGTTCTGAACTCCTCGGCCATTAAGATTAAATTGAGCGGATCCGGTGTGAATTCCGTCGTAACATTCCCAATGACACTTGTTGTCCTCTCGGTTTTGAGGATATTCGCCAATGTCTTGGCACTGCTGGAGCACACGCGCCCCTCGTCACTTTGCGACATGCAGAGCCCCATATACCCCGCACGCACCTCAAGTGTCGAGCTCTGGGTCGAACCCGACTCCGAGATATTATGAACGGCCGACTGAATCATCGTGCTCACTTGCGCAGCATTTATTGTCAACTCAGAGCTGTTGGTATATCGCAGTGATAGTAAATAGACATTACTGAGGCTATCCGAGCTTGTGCAGCCCGCCAGTAGAATTGCTGCAAGGGGTACGCGTGAGTCAAGTGTACGCGAGAATCATAATGAACCCAAACCTTTCGATCTCTCTTACATATTAAAGTTATAGCTCCCATGGAAATCAACATAAGAATATGGTGATAGCCGAGGAATGGAAGGGATCGGCCTATTCGCATTTGGATATTGTGTCGCGTCAGCACATATTGATCTTTCAGATCAGGATAATACTAGTACAGAGGCCAACCTACCACAAAACACCTGAAAGGACCCCATGGTGCGACGGGTGAAACAGAGTACTAGTAAGGGGAATTGTAATCACTGCAATTTTCACTTGATGAGACGTTAGTTCAGGGTCCTATAACCTCACCCAGAGGCTCGCAAGCGTAGGAAATGCCCTGCAGCTGTCACGAAATGTCTGACAGATTCTCTCGGCTTGTTTTTTTTTTGGCAGCCTCGTAGCGCTAGGTGAATCTAGGCTTAGCTGCCTATCCGCCATCTGCAGCTTACGGTGCGTGTGCACTCATATCTTGGCCGTCGTTTTAACGTGATCAAGTGACTGTAAGCCTGCCACTTTCACGCTAGTATGCGGGCCGTGGCCCGTCCGACCAAAACAACCCACTTTTCCGTAATATCCACACCTCGGCCCAGATACGAGGTTATCAAGAAAAGTGGAAATTGGAGCCGACTCGATGACATTTCATCTTGAATTGACAGAATACGAGATACTTTGAAAATTTTGTATTCATTCAAATCAACCCACGCGGGTAGATTTTGAAACAGTTGGTATTGGGCGTAATCTTGCCCATGGTCAAAGTATGGGTGCGTCTAAGAACCTTGAACCACAAGCTGGATATCCATCTCAAAGGCATCTATTAGGTACCTTAGTAGCAGGTTCCATGTTATGAAGTTAAGAATAAAGACTGGTGCTCAATAAATATGCAAATTTTATTCCAAGGTTGTTGTTCCAGTGCATCCTGGAGAGTTTTTAGCACTTGAGTAGACATCTTGTTCCATGAAAGGCTGAGACGGGATGTACATGTACATGCGCATGTGCGTACTATACTATGAATATATACAATGTACATCCATCAACGATCCATCGATCTATGAGCTCCAATTCCGATCAATTGATGTCCAGAACCTTCTTTGAACACGAACGAGAACCTTGCACATGTGGAATACTTGAATTGATCCTTCTTGAAAAGTCGACTAATCAATTTAGGTACAGCCTGCTTTTTCACTGACCTCCCTAAGCAAGCTTGAGCAATTCAAAAATGTACTGATTTTCGAATGTTGTCAAACCCCGACATCTTTTACCAATGCTGTTCGCTAATCGCAACTTGGTCCACATCAACCCCCTCCACAAACCACCGTCCTTCGCCATTACCATCCGGGCCAAGAACCAGGTCGTTCCCACTCATCATGCGCTTACGCATCTTGCCAGTCTCCCAATCAAAAGTCCAATCCTCCAACCCATAACACCTCTTCCAGCGCATGCCATCACTCATGTCCTGATATTCATACCAAAACTGGACAGCGATCCGATCCTCACTAAAAGAGAAGAGCTCTTTACGCAGCCGATAACTGCTCTCCCGTTTCCATTTTGCAGTCAAGAATTCAACAATCTTTTCGGTGCCCGAGAAAAAGGATGTTCGGTTCCGCCAGATACAATCCGAGGTGTAGGCCTGGGCAACGCGCGCGGGGTCCCTGTCGCATGGTCAACTACGTCATTTACGGGTAACTGTGCACTGCGGCAAACAAAACACTGAGGCTTCACAACGGGAACGAAATGGAAAAAGGGGGGGGAAATATTGGAAAGTGTATAGACCGGACAGACCGGAAAGGGCATGCCCGCGTGTGCGCAGGGTTTCTCGCACGGACAAACATTGCGGTGGGAGGAATGCAAGGGATAGGGATATTTAGCGCCCTTTCTTCGACCATGTGGTTGATTCAGGGACCAGGGTGAAGAGATCGTCTGAACTTACTGGGTGTTCCACATATTCTGGGCTGCCTTGACTTTCTTGCGTGCGGTCTGCTCTGTGAAGGGGGGTTTGATGTCCGCCATGACTATAGATTCAAAACCAAGTAGATGGATGTGAGTGGAATAGAACAGGAAGTTGAGTTTGAGCGACCGGAGAAATTATCGCGACTAGTTTTTATATTGCCAGAACAGCGATTTGAAGGTTTATTTGGGACAGAATTTTGAATGGCAAATCAATCACCGAGTACATAGGTAGTTCAATTACGACGACTGTTACATACTACTAGTTGTACGGGGTTTGGAACCGGGGTTTGAAATGTGCATGGCGATTTTGTGGAGTTTAAAGATGTTCCAGCCAATTATCGTTTGAGAGTAAATGGATTAGCGTGTTTCTAAGCTCGATTCTGCAACATTGAACATCTGAATAACCAACTTGTGTATTTGGCCCCCAACTTAGGCCCCGGGACTCTCCGTAGCAGGATCGGATAGGTAGGCAGGTCAACTGGTGCACATGTGTAGCTCAAGCGTTCTCAAGTAAAAAAAAAAAAAACATCCGCAGACTCAAGCGCTTCTGTGCAAGGTTTGGTTTACCTGGTACTAATGGACATGCAAGTTTACATACATAACTTGATCTGGGCTGCCCATCAATTGATTGATACCTAGTAGATATTAGCCTTGATTCAAAGAAACCTCCTTCAAAATGTTGTCCCAGACTGGACTGGTGTACATACATGTTTGTATGGAAACATATATGTATTGATACTCTGCATAAATTGATGTACATGTAGTATGTATATTTCCCACATGCAGATGTATGTACAGGTTGGAGGTAGAAATATGTACTATATATATCGGCTCGCTCCCGCAACATTGAACCTGTTCACACCTGCCCACATGTGCAGATTACCTAACAATTGAACACCTAGGTAGATGGATCCCTCACTTGGGCCGGATATACACTCGTGGACATATGATACCAGTACTAATTGACACTTTCTTCCATGTCTGCTTATCAAGAAATGAAGCTATGTAGTACAGGAATAGAAAAGTAGTATAAATTGTACATAGTGGGGTCCTCGGGTAGCGGAGATCCCGGAGCTGGGCATCACTGTATAAGTAATTAAGTATAGTGTGCACGGTACCGCTTCCAAGCTGTCCACGAAGCCAGCCCAAATTGATTTTGAATAGAAAAAAACAGGATTGAACCACGGCAATCTCCATTGCGAATTAGATTTGTGAAGGACTCCAGGGCGTGGAATGTCGAGGGTGAAATGTGGATTGAACCCCCTGTCCACGGGCCACGATAAACGATAAGCGTGTACAAACATTGCCCTCTCCCTGCAGTTACCCGCCGATGGAATGCTTACCACTTTCCCTTTTTTTTGCTCCAATTATTGGATTTTAGCTTGCTACAGAGACGCTTCTTTCTAATTGGGGTTTTAATTTCCCCATAGCTAGACGATCAGCCGGAAGGTTTAGTTGCAAGTGTCTCACAGGTGTTAGCGTCAACGGTGTAGTAAACAAAACGTCATTGCGGGAAAGAATGGGAACAACTTGTAGTCTATAGTGAAAAAAAAAAAAAAAAAAGAGTGAGATAAAGCCACTTGGAGAATGAATTAAGAATAGTCGAAGATAGAGAAACTTCTAGTGGATGCTAGAAAACAATTACAAAGGTATAGGGCTAGTTGAACTGGAAGGTGGAAAATACGCTATAGTAGAAGGTGCATTCCAGAGGAGCGATGATGAGGTGGAATCTGATTTCTGCATTCATTCCACAACAGTGGTGCTGAGGCATGCCACACTACCTTTCTTTCCCACCCATCTTTCTTTTGATCTTGTCCCCCGGAGCCACCATTTTGTGACAACCTCTTGTTCCTTGTGTCCAACGCCATTGTTGATTCGGGTTTACAGCTCCCGCAACGTCTCTCGTTTTGCATCTTGGACCCGTCATGTTGCGTTAATCAACCACTTGTCACTCTTTAATCTCCTGAGACTGCTCTAGCCGATCCTTAATCATATTTTCTTTCCAAAAAAACACTCACCGTGAGTGTCGAGGACCGTCTTTTTTGTGTTTTCTTTTTTCCACACCGACCAAATGTAAGCCGATTCAATACACGCATCAACGGATTCACTACTGACGGGTAGCTTGGATTCCAGTTCCAACTAACCCACGAAAACATTTCAGAACAAACATCTTTCCCACAGTTGTCGATACAGATCTACCAAGGTTACAAACATGGATCAAGTAATGTTGGATTTGGATGACCCTCTTCGGAGGCGTCAGCCCTTTACGGATGCCTCGAGCAGAATCAACCACAGCAGGTCACCAAAAGTGGAAACACCGCGCGTCAAAGTGGAGGAATTTCACGAGCTCAAGACCCCAGACCGAATGTCGGTGATCATGAGCCCAACCCCTCGCGACAAAGAGAATCAGCGCCTATCCGTGGCCAATGATTGGCAAACAGAGTCAGCTCGCAACTCAGTGGTCTCGGCGGCGTCAATTTTGTCCGGCAAAGGAAAAAGAAAGACACATGTTGGTCCATGGCAGTTGGGCAGGACCTTGGGTAAAGGTGCGACAGGTCGAGTGCGACTGGCAAAGCATGCTGTCACTGGACAGACTGCGGCTATCAAGATTGTGTCGAAGAAGTCTGCCGCTATGGTACAGAGCGAGAGCATTGCTGCGATGGATCGAAACTCCAGCAACTTTACAGGCCATTCGGGTGCCCGACAGATGCCCTGTGGAATCGAGCGTGAGGTTGTGATTATGAAGTTGATCGAACACTCCAACGTTATCAGCTTGTATGACGTTTGGGAAAACCGTGGAGAGTTGTGAGTCAAATATGAAAGCGGAGTGCGTGCCTTGCATTGAAGTCCTAACGATCTATAGGTATCTTGTTCTCGAGTACGTGGAAGGAGGAGAGCTGTTCGATTATGTCTCTCAGAACGGACCCCTGCCTGAAGAAGAAGCTGTTAGATTATTCCGTCAGATTATCGCAGGCTTGGGATATTGTCATAGATTCAACATTTGCCACCGCGATTTGAAGCCTGAGAATATTTTACTCGATGGAAATCACAATGTCAAGCTCGCAGACTTTGGTATGGCTGCGCTCCAACCTGCAGGGCATTGGCTCAATACTTCCTGTGGAAGTCCCCACTATGCGGCTCCCGAAATCATTTACGGTCGGAAGTATCGAGGTGATCGAGCCGATATGTGGAGCTGTGGAATTATCTTGTATGCTCTTTTGACGGGATACCTGCCTTTTGATGGCGGTGACTTGCCCAATACACTGCGCTTGGTGAAGAAGGGTGACTACATGATCCCTCCCGAGCTGAGTGACGAGGCAGCCAACCTTATTACACGGATTCTGCAAAAGCGACCGGAAGACCGTATTACCATGCCGGAGATTTGGGCCCATCCCCTTTTGACAAAGTATGAAAAGTTGCACAACGCAATGGCGGACTATTATATCGGACCTCCTCCACCTCTGTCCATCAAGGACTGTGGTGATCCAGTGTCTAGCCGCCACGACATTGACATGGATATTCTTCGAAATCTGCAGACTTTGTGGCACGATGTGAAGCCAGAGGGCTTGATAATGAGAGTCATGTCGCTTGAGTAAGTACTTTGAAGAATTACCTTGACTGAGATGGTATACTAACAAGATAAAAAGGCCCACACACGAGAGAATGTTCTACAACTCACTTGTCAAATTTCGTGATGAGCAACTGGAGAACTACCAAGGCCAGCCACTCGAGTACTCTGCGAGTGACTATCATCACATTTCAAAATATGTTGAAAGATCGCAAAGGGGACGCAGCGAAACTGGAGGAACCAATTCTACACGACGATCGCACGTTTCAGTCGTGAAGAATTTACACCGCCGAATCGGTCATACTAGCCAGGAACCAATGTCTCCTGCGAGTGTGAAAAGCTACGACCCCTTCAGGTCGCCCAAAACGCGGGGCACTGCTGCTGAGGCCAAGTTTGCACAAATCACAGTTCACCATGCAGTGCCAGAGATTCCCGAGCGTGGCGAAGTGTCCCCCGCCGGAAAGCCTACGCCTTCTATTATGGAAGAGGAAGAGCCTGCGGATGATGAGGATGTCACAGACTCACCATTCACTGTCCTACAAAAGAGAAAGCACAAGCCTAACTCGATGAAGTCTTTGCATTCCACGAAGATGCCCCACTCTAGTTCTCGAGTTCCCGGGCTATCAACCCATTCAACAAGTTATCACCGAAATGTTTCCTTCCGCCATGCTCGCAATCGTTCGCATGGATCAACTAAGCCCAAGCGCAGGAAGACTGCCCTGCACCAGCAGGGTGAGTTGAAACGGTCTCCTAGTGCTGCTAGCTTGCAGATGATTGCCACCGGATTGTCAGTTCCCGATATGCCAAGCAGTCCCCCTCTTCCAGCCCAGCCCACAGTTGTTCGAGGTGGACACAAGGTCAAGAGCGTCGACCAAAACAAGCGATTCCGCCAACCAGACTTTGTTTGGAAAGAGGACGCCCGCAAGGTTTCGCACGAATTGAGTCAAATTTGTGAAGAGGCATTCAATGGTAGCTCCGTGACAACTATTCGTACTGCTAGTACAGGCACTGAGATGGGATACGAGACCCCCACGACGCCAGTCTCTATTGCGAGCCCGGAGCGAGTTGAGATGCCTGCGAAGCCCCCGACCAGGACCAGTCTTCACCCGCCTAGGGAGTCCAGCCGATCGTACAGTATCCAGGAGTTAACTGAGACTCGTCAAAAGCTTATCGAGCATAGCCTTGGTCGCACCGATAATATTCCAGGGTACTTGTCTGGGGTCATTGGTCATCTAGATCGTTTGATTGAAGAAGATCAATCGAGAAAATGTCTCCAAGGACTGGGTGAAAACGAGCCACAATTCGTCGATCCATTCCTTGTGCCGACTCCAGCTACTCGTGATACTTCCTTGCCAGCAATCCACGAAGAATTCGCAAGTCCTGTTCGTGGTACCCCTGAGGAAGTTAGCCCCAAGCGGAAGCCTAAGCTGCGTCACACTGGTCGTAGCAGTGATGGAAAGGCAACCATCCGAATGGTTCCCCATAGCTCCCTCCGCTCCATGGAGGAGGTAAAACCGTTAACCATCCGCAAGAAGCATCAGGTGGCTGACTCTAATCCTCATTCTGTGAATAAACCTCGCGCTTTCTCAGCCGACTCTCGACAGAGCCGCCACCCTGGTGGTCTGGACCCCATAAGCGAAGTTCCCGGATCCCCCACAAAAGAAGACAAAGGTACAGAAAACAAGAAGTGGTCTTGGTTCAGGACCCGTTCGCAAAACTCAGACTCATTGCCTACACTTCCACGCAAAGACACCCCTTCCATTATCCCGAGTAATGGGACAGTCATTGTCAACCCCCCACAAGAGCTACAATCTCCTGCCTCTCCTACCCGCCTGGAGGGAGATCGGATTCCTACCCGGAAAACCTCGATGGAGCGATTTGGAGGTGCTTTGAAGAAGCTCGTGACGAAGAAATCAAACAAAAACCCGCAGTCAGGGATTGGTATGTTCAATCGCCTCAGCTGTATAGAGCTTCCACTAAGAAAACTCAAAGACAATCTCCAACCCAAGGATCCCCGCCACTCAGAATTACTATGCAAGGGCTACCCCGATACGGACAGTTCCTTTGAAGCCGATGACCCACAGAACCCATTCCAGAATAAACGCCGATCAATTGCAAATCACAACTGGTTTGCTCGTGTCTTCCAAATCAAACCTGCAACTCGCGTTCTTGCCTTGAATACCAGCAAGGCGAAGGGTTGTAAGGTCGTTCATCATCTCCTTCGCGATTGGGAAGATTATGGAATGGAGGACGTCCGCATGGACAAAGTCAACAGTATTGTTCACGGCCGTGTTGGGGAGGTCAACTGTGAGTTTCTACTGTTCTGTTTCTGTGACTTGATGCTAATTTGGTTTAGTTCTCCGACTACGTGAGGTTGAATTCACTGCTGAATTCTACACCGTCCTGGAGCATGGCCGAAAAGCCAACTTGAGTTTGGTCAAGTTCAAACAAGAACGTGGTGCAGCCTCCTCATTCAATAAGGTGGTTGACACTGTTCAGCAGATCATGAAGTCTCGTGGTCTCATTGTCGAAGATAACGCACGAGCAAAGAAGATGGCCCGCGTACTCGACACAATCCCCGGCTCCTAATCTCCTCCACACTCATCCTAAGCTTTCTTATTTAACCCTATTCACCTGACCTTAGTCCTTCGTTTATTCCGCATTCATGCGTTTCAGCCTGTAAAAGCAACCACTGCATCTCATTTCGTCTTATCCCATCCATACAACCACCCCCTTCATCTGACAATTTCTCCCCGCCCTCTTACCGAGCACTGCCGCTTTCAGTCGACTCATTCATTCTTTTTATCCCATTCTCTCATACAAATATCACTGGACTGTGATTTTGTTCGATGTCTAACCCCCTTATCCATGCCATATTCTACGTTATTTTGCATTTTATTATTTTATTATTTTTTTTTATTCATTTATGTCTGTGTCTGTGTCTTTCTCCTGCAACGGCCTTCTCTTTCGGAATGGAATCTAATCGAAGTGTAATAAATAATCACCGCGTGTTTGTTAAACATAAGCTTTCAGTGTGGTCTTGTCATGCTTACGATTGGATCTGGCGAAAGGCGTTGAAATAACAGAGTACATGTAGCTAGTTCTGCAAATCACTCGAATTGTTTAGTTTCTGTTGATGCTTCAAATTAAATTTTATTTGTTTTCTTCTATGACTTGATCAAGTCGATGCTTGTACAGATCCATTCTATCAACAAGACCAACTCAACTTCCCAGCTTGTGAAGTACCTCCTCCTTCCACCCCCACCCAAGCACAAATGCCGTCCCAGGCCCAAACACCCACGTAACACCCACCAACCCCACAACAGCTCTGAACCAAGAGACTCCAGCTCCAAACATCTTCAACTCCCGCATCCGCAACCAAAGCCACACGAATCCCGCCGCCATTGAACTGATCTGGTCATACTGCAGGAACCGCGCGAGTCCCTCCTCAAACGACACATCACCCGACAAGACATACCCATCCAGCCCCGGCCAGAAAATCTCCAGCATCGAGGACTCCGCTGGCACAGTGGTGCGTGCGTACACAAATCCGACTGCTGAGATCAGGGCTAGCGAGCTATACACGACGCGCACTGCGGCTAGACTATTTTGTTTGTCTTGTGTGCGTGACGTGATGGAGCCTACGGCTGGATCTTGGTTTGGGTTTGGGTTGGTAGGGAGCGTGGTTTGGAAGAAGAGTGATAGTGGGAGTTGGAGGAGGGGGACTGTTAGAGGGAAGATTTGCCATGCTGCGTTCCACAGTTGCCTGTCTTTGAGGTCTGGGGCTAGGAAGCTGGCGTAGGAGGGGATGTAGTGTGCTGCTGCTAGGGCTGCGAGGAGAGTGTATGTTGACGTTGGCTTTATCTCGCGGTTATTGCTTTGTACTGTTTTGTGCAGTGGGTTGAAAATGTACTGGAGTAAGTAGTAGAGCGGGCCGAACACAGCAACGGAAAGTAGTTGGGCTGCTTGGCCAATGATGATGGGGCTTTGATGTGTTAGTTTTTGTTCCGAGAAGCATAGTTGAACCATCCTCATCTGACTTACAACAATAATCCACGCCAGGAATGATCTTTGCGATACCCCTCCAATAACCAGATCGCATACACAGCGCCGAACTCCGGAATAAAGCTGAACATCTGCGTCCATGATTGCGCATGTGCCCCAGTAATCGACGGCATGAAGCACAATATGACAGGTCGAAATATCTCATCCAGAAACCGGCCATTGTAAATTGGCTCGTGGACATTGAAAGTTTCCCCTGAACTGGCCGTCCAAACGCCGTGCTCGAGTAGCGCTTCCATGTGCGGCCTGATATGGAGCATCGTCGCCCCGACTGTACCGGCTCCGGCGCACATCAAGCCGAATAGCGGAAGTCCCCACAGCGCCCGCTTCCAGAACTTCTCCTGAGCCACGTTTCCCGGGTTCTCTGGGCTTTTATGTGGCATTGTGCCGGTGGTGGCGAATGGCTTGCCTGGGCTGCGGTAATAGTATATGCTGATCTCTTGTTTGTCGCTAACGCGGTCAATGGCGAGACTCGGGAGTCGGGAGGAAATGGCAGGGGAAATGGTATTTCATGTAATAAATCTTTCTGCCAGTACTGGTTAGCGTACATTCTAGCGTACAATCTAGCGTATAATCCCGCGTACAATACAGCGTACAATACAATTCCAATATACGGCCTGCTTGAAACATACTTTTAACTATATAAATCAGAATACAAAGTTGGATTAAGCGAGCGCGGGGTAATCTGAGCAGATTTAGAAGTTTGAGATTATATGAAACAAACAAATATGAATTTGGAATTACGCGTAATTTACTATCTGCCGGTCGGAAAGTTCAAATTAGGTTGTATCGTGGCCTTTATCGGCCACCACAGCTGAGGTAATATCTTTGAGGCTTAAAATGCGCAAGACCCACTACTTTAAAGCTACCACTTGTTCTTATTTGATTGAATAACAATCTTACTACACGCTAAAAATTTACAGTGTATACTAGTACATAGTAGGTTCACGGAGACAATACCTGTGCCAATCAATGGAACCAATTATAAGTGAATATGATATTGTACCACTGGGCTATCTAATTGATCAAGACTGGTGTTAGTAATTACATACCCAAGTTTATCGTCACGTAGGAGGTCGTGTAGTGAGTGACGTAGGGAATCGTGTAGTTGATTGCGTAGTAGCTACTGGTCGCGTAATTAAAGAGCTCTCGTCGAGTGAGTCGTGACTCTCGTGCAAACTGAACTGAAGTCACCCACTGTTTTTGAAACTTGGATACCCACCAAGAGACATTTCTGGAACCTGCACTACGTTACTTCCGTGTTATATTCCAAGGATTGAATACTAAATCTTATCCAACTCCAGATTAGGAAGTCGATGGGTGTCTACTACTGTGTACTCCAATAGAACCATTCTAGAAACTCATTCTGGCCTCACTTGACTCCCCTCTGTTTATTGAATATTGAGTTAAATTTAATTAGAAAGAAACAGCCGGAAGAGAGTCAAGTGAGGCCAGATTGAATAAAGAATAACGGAAGGAGCTAGCACTCAGGAGAAGAGAACGATAGTTAACAAAAGCTTCCTTTTTCTCTCCTTCTTCTTCTTCTTCCTCCCTCTCCTCAAACAACGTTTTCCTCCACGCCCTGCAAAAATTTACAACTTTCCACTGAAATCCGCAATCTTGAGGTACGCTTGTCACCCCACTTTACTTGACCAACCTAATCCTTGACTTTTTGCGCATAGCCTTAGAATTATCGGCAAAATGGGTTTCACTTTCACCACCGAATGCATCCGATGCCAAGAGTTGGTTAAGATCAACAACAAGTGTAAATGCGGGGCTGTGACCCGCATTTCCGATGTGAACCCCGAGCACCCCAAGTACGGGAAGAAGGAGCCGGAGCCTAAGGAGCCTAAGGAGCCGCGGGGCAAGAAGAAGGAGGCAGAGACTAAGAAAACTCCCAAGGAGACGAAGGACAAGAAGGAAAAGAAGTAACCGGACTCGGAAAGAACAAAGTGAGGTGAGAAGACTCCTTTTGCCCATGCTCTGAAGTCAAGATCTAACTCTTTACAGCCAGCTGTTGGAAGTTTGATCGTCGTTGCTGGGTTTTCTTTGGATTTTCTGGTTTCTTTTCTGGTTTCTTTTGTGTGTTTCTTTTGTGGGGGAGTTTCGGGCTCTTTCACCTGTTTGTTTACTTTTTTCATGCTTGAAGAAAACGTATCTGGTACGTGAGGGGGGTATTGGGTGGGAGGGCGGCCCCCCTCTCTTTTTTACTAGTATGAAATTTGACTTCGTCAATTGAATTGAATCCCCGTAGATTGTAGATCTGACGTCCAATTTTCAATTCCTCAGAGATTCTATCCTAGATTGAATAGTTGCTTTCTAGGGGGAACTTTGGAATGTGTCTCGGTTTTCGCGTTTCCGGCGTCTACTCATCTTTTGATATGGGTTTATTGTGGGGTAAGTGGGCCTTATAACAAGTACCAGAGCCCCACTTCCTCGTGAGTGAATAAATACAGGTCCGTTCAAATAGCAGTCTTTCCAGTCCAGTATGGATTTCCTATCAATGTGAATAGAATGCAACAATCCAAAGTGAAATCTAGTGGGTTGAGGGTGGTCCAACTCTTGCATCGTTCTGTCCAAATCGGGACTAGTCTGCTTTCTTTCTGCATCACACTGTTTCTTCTTTTTTACTTCTCTTTTCTTTCCTCTTCTTCTTTTACTCCTTCAAATTTTCAACAAAACTCGCTTTTCCCTATCTCAATATCCCTCAGATATCTCGACCTGTCAGACTCAATCGAGATACCTCCCACGAATTTGGCCATGGCGGCCAAACACTCAACTCAATCTCTTGGAACTATTTCCGCCACCGATGCTGACGATCAAAAGCCAGGCAACGAAACGATGGCCAAAGTCTCAGCTGGATTTCTTGGAAGTGATTCCGCCACCGATTCTGACGATCAAAAGCCAGGCAACGAAATGATGGCCAAAGTCTCAGCTGAATCTCTTGGAAGTGATTCCGCCACCGATTCTGACGATCAAAACCCAGGCAACGACATGATGGTCAAAGTTTCAGCTGAGTCCCTTGGAAGTGGTTCCTGGCTTGAAGTCGATGATCAAAAGACTGACGATGACCTCGATCTTCGAGATATCACATTCCTTGAGGGTATCAAGTGGGATGTTCTGGCTTCAATTTGTTCACGCCTTCGGGACGGAATCTCCTGTGAGATCGATGGGAAGTATTGTTCCGGTTCCAATAACATTGTTCGTCGGGTTTCATTTGTCGACGGCGTCAGCTGGGTGGCAAGACTGAGACTACCAAACGCAGATATGATGCACGGCGCCCAAGATGCTCTCGATGTGGCCAGCACGCTCAAGGTGGAAGTATCTACAATGAAGTTCTTGAAGTAAGTTCGTTTCATATGGATGCTGTTTTTACTTGTTCTGACATATAAAAGGGCCAACTCTTCCATCCCTGTGCCTACCGTACACTCCTACAGTTTCGACCCCACGAACGAAGTCGGTGCCCCGTACATCCTAATGGACTATATCCACGGAACAATTGCGGCCGATCTGAGAAGCCAAACTGGCGATGGGATTCTGTTTGGCACACCAAGCCAGGATCGCAGGTTCAGGCAACAAATGGCAGATATTCAAGTTCAGCTGTCGTCGCTCACGTTTGATAAAATCGGATGTATCTACGAAAATGAAGAGACCTCTGAATTTTACATCGGCCGGGAAGTCGAAACGGGCCAAGGACCTTGGGAGTCTGCGATGGATTTCTACAAAAGTTATGGTGATCACTCTCTCAGTGAGTATCGGCGACGCGGAGCTGAGGACTGTGCTTCGATGGCAGTCCCAGCCCTCTTTCAAATCCTGATCCGGCTCTACCGGGAACAAAACACCAACGGAGGTCCATTCCGTCTCGTGAATCGCGACTTTGGAGCCCACAACCTTCTCGTGAATGAGAACTTTGAGATTATTAGCGTCATTGACTTTGAAGAAGTTATGGCTGCTCCGATGGAGGCTGTCGCCCAGTATCCCGTGCTCACTGACCTAGACCGGGCGCCTCCTGGATACGTCGCCACCGAGCCTTTTGTGATCAAACGCATCATGGAGACTGCGCCAAAAATTCAGGAGTACAATGAGTTCATCAAAGCGGCCGAAGTCAAAATGAAAATCGATCGTGATGGAAACACACCAATTTCAAATTTAATGATCTCAGATGTCTCCAGCATTTTCCAGGGTATCATGGATTACAGATACCACTCACAAAAGAGGAACGACAGATGGACAACAGCATACCTCATGCTGTTCGAAAAGAAACGGGAGGAAATGGGCGGTCTCTCAATCGCAATCTAGGGCTCTGGAGGCGACTCTAAAAAAAAAAAATCTCGGGTAGTTGAAGATGCCTGTTGTTGGAGCTTGAAGGAAGGAGGAAGGTACGGACGTCTGGACTTTTACAGTTAGGGCGGAACGACGCGGTTTACTGATGAAGACAAGGATTGATGTGTTTTTAGTACTAGTATCTTTTTGAATGCGTGATGATGATGAATTCTGAAACCGAATTTTTGAAATGATCAACGCGCTATTGGATCTCATTTGTACCTTTTCACGCGGGGTCGATTCCCACGCTCTAACCTTCGCCTTCAATAAGACTGTCTCCGCCGTTTCGTTTGTAAACAAGGCTTCATGGACTCGGACTGGGCTACCCGGACAGGCGTCCGTCAACACCAAGATCCCAGGATACAACTTTATGCTGTCTGGTAGCCCCATCTCATGGCAGTCTTTGCGACGGAATGCTGTGACGATGTCCTCGACGGAAGCCGAGAAGCCGACTATATGGGGAAGCTGTGAGGAGGCAAGCCGAAACCAAATCAAGAAGAATGTAGTTGGTCAAAAATGACAAAATATGTACAGACGGGGGAGGAAAACAGGAATTGAGGAAACAATGTTCTATACTAGTAGTATACATGTGTGGCCGATGAATGTATTTAACGACCGCATGTTATGGATCCCTGGCAAATTATGCACATGTGGAGTTCCAAGTTGAGTCCACGTTGAGGAATCATTTTCAAACTCTGCGATTCTTTGTCAACATTTGAATGTACCCACAACATCCGAGTGACCTCCAAATAAATCAAAACTAGTATTTCTCGAGCTCTATGCCTTTCAAAGACTGGAACCTTCAAAGGAAAATTTTTACGAAAAGTATTTCAAGAATTTGTGGTGCACCCAGCCGTGTACATCTTCCAACTACATAGAACATTCGACAACGTCGCCATGACTTATAAAGAGCAGCCAAACTTTCCACCGACGAAACAAGGACCTTTCCAAACTTTCCGACCACAACCCAGGATCCTCCGGCTCCAGAAAGAGACAAAGAATCAACCCCTTTGAATCCATTCGCATTAACAGATCATGCAATCAATTGATGTCCTTGTCAAAGTTCCACGAAACAACCTTGAAACCAAACATTCTCAACGACGAAAAAGAAAATTCAAAAAAGAACATCAAACCCACCCCAACACGCCAGAACCCCCCTCAAAACCGCGCATACAAAAGCCCCCACCTTTGAAGATGACCCAGGCCGCAGAAGAACAAAAAGGGAAAAAAAAAAACAATCCAGCCTCAAGTGCTCCCGATGGGACCGGGTACAGCCGTGATATGATAAGATTGAGTTACTAGGGATCGAAATAAACTATGGGCCTAACTGCTCGGGCCAACGGGCCTTCCGCTCGATCTCGGGAGTCTCCCCTCCCGTCTCCCGATATGGTATTGATTGAGGCTAGCTTCGCCCTAACTGGTTAAATATAAATTAGACATAAATACCCTTGTCTTCGTCAGCCCTATATACTACATGTACTATATATAGAGAGTTGCTTATGAGATCGGGCGGGATGGGCCATCCCCGCCATCCGGGGGATATTTGGGGTGGGGTTTGAGTTGGATTTCATGATTTGATTTATGTATGAGTTGACATCACTTCGGATTCCCTGTGACCTAGGAACCTTGGAAATCTTGGATTGCTAGGTAGTAGGTACCTATCGGAAAAGGGAAGGAAAAGATGATATCAGGACGGGTGTTTACCTTAATACGCAGAATTACCTTACAGCAAGAATGAAATCAGTAAACTCACGCAGTCTCGATTCATAGCGATCGAACTCGCGCGCTAAGACGTATAATGTGGATCAAAACATAGTGCATATAAAGACGATAGTGATCAAACAGCCTCCCAAGTTATAATAAGCAAACAAACATAAAAAAAAAAGACAAGGACCAGATAATTCAAGATCAACGCAGGAACACAGAACAGGAAATAGAAATCGAGCGCAAGAAAAGAGAGAAAAAGACGAGCACGATAGCGTAAAAAGTTGACACAGCCGACCGTCTTTTGTCAGGGACAAAAACGCAGAAATTCAAAGCTTGAAAGAGATTGCCTGCCGCGTAATTTAGATATAAGCATGAACGCAAAAGAAGAACACACACAAAAAAGGGAAAAAAAGAAACGCGAAATGATGATAGAGCCAAACCAAACGCAAGTGGAATAGTCAAATAGCCGCCCGAAATTGTAACAGATGTGGGCCGCCTGTGATCCGAGAGGGGTTGTATCACAAGGGCGGGAGAGAGATGTGGAAGAGGAAGGGGGTGGTTGGGTTGATTGATTTAGCGTATGCATGGAACCGATATTCGAGGGCTAGGGCCTGCTGGGTGCATCTCGGGGAATGCAGCCATCCTTCCCGAGGAGCGAAGATAGCTGCATTTCAATCGACCAGTAACGAGAGGGGAGTTTCTGCGGGCAAAAATCTGCAGAATGCAGATAGATATGCAGAGGAAATAAAAACCAGCCCCTCAAGTTTTCGTACTCGGGCCCCCTCCACAATTAATCAGAACAGTTGGAGAATCGAAATGTATAAGTGATAACAGATAAAAATAAAATCGTATGCCGATGCCGGACAGAAAAAGTCTGGCAAAGTCGGTGCTTAGAAGTTTCGTACGGCTCGTAAAGCTCATGGGTCCGCGTTTCGTATAGCATCGTACCGGATCGAGGGACAAAAAATCCAGATAAGAGGTTCCATTGCCGAAATTCTTGCTGCTCCAAATCGAATTTTCGAGATTCCGAGAAAATTTGATAGCCAACTCCTGCCTGCATCATTCCGATCTTGAATTCTCTGGTTGAGTTTTCCGCCGTATGGAAGTAGCATCCAGGGAAATGGCGCTCCGTGATTCGCGAGATAAAGATTGTCGAAAGGGAGCATCGGAATTCCAGAGAAAAACTCTATTGGCAAGAGATTTGGCGATAGAGAAGAAAGATATGAGAAAAAAAAAGAGTCAAAAAAAGAACAACACAAATCATAATCGAGATGGTGATTTTGCCGATCCAGCCACAATAACCTCTTTAGGTCACCAGAAAAACCTCAACACATGGTAACTCCCTAGTCGTGTGGCCAGCACACGGATCGTTCCTTCGCAATTCCCCGCATTCCCACCACGCGGCCCTTTTCTATAGGTCTCAAATTCCGGCAAAAAGGGATGGAAAAACGCCGAGATTTGAAACCGCAAGAAAATGCTGGGAGTGGTTTACTGGCCGAGTCCGCGGCGGTTGAGCGCATTGAGCATATCGCTGTCAGCGCTGCTGCGGCCGTGAGAATCGCCAGGGTTCAGCATATCGCGTACATTCAATCCTGCGCGTGCGGAGCCACTAGGTGTGGAAGTGGAAGTGGAAGGGGGTGGAGTGGGACCACTTTGCGGTGGCTGCATTGGCGGGTATGGCGAGCCGTGAGGAGAAGAGGAATGACGAGCTTCGTAGGCATAGGCAGATTGCGGCGACGTACGCCGGTCCTGGGGAGGAGGTGGGTAGTAAGGGCTTGAAGTTTGGTATCCCGGGATGGATCCGGCGGGGGTAACGGGAGCCAGATTTGTCGGGTCGGGATAGGCAGGTTCCGAACCGGAGCCTCGTCTGCCACCAGGTTGTCTCTGTGGGGGGGGAAAAGGGAAATTAGATCTCAGTTCGATGTATGCATTTTAGAGTTTACGGGTCAAAGAGCCAGGAATGCCTTACCGGATCCGGCATCGAAGACGCAAGGGGGGCTCCGCCGTACGGGTGCTGCGGGTACATCCCTTGAGGCGGCGGCAAGGTGGTTTCGCCTTGCGGTTGCTGGTGCGAAGGAAGAGGTTGGCCGTGGGCTCCGTAGAGCGTCACGCCGCCACCACGGGGCCCAGAGTTGCGTAGATGAGGGTATGCGGCGTGTGCGGGGACAAAGGCTTGAGCCTGAGAGGAGACGGGAGTGAACATGCACTCTTGATTGAATCGCACACAGTTAGTACATCTCCCATCCGAGGAGCTTTCAAATCCAGAGCAGCGAATCTGTTTTTTTTTTGGACAGGTTGTTAGTTATGGTTGTCCTCGATGGTCGCCCTCGATCTTAGTAGATCTTTTCCCTCTCTCTTCCTCCCCCACGTACCTTCCGTCGGCGACAATAGCGGCAGGCAATGGCAGTTCTTTGACGAGGTGCTGCGGCCTGATAAACGACTCCAGGTTGGCCATAAGGATCAGCGGCATAAGGTCCTCCAGGTGGTGGTGGTAAGCGATAATCTTGCGGTGGGTGCGGATGTTGATGGACGGCGGCCATGTTGGGCGGGTATTGCGATGGTGGAGGAGGGTAGTAGGCGCGATCGTGTTCAGGAGGACCGTATGATGGTGCTGGAGGATACTTTTTGGAGAGAAATGAAAGTCAGCTTGATGTGCGCATTATACAGGATTATAAAAGGGCTCAGCTGCGCCATCAGCCTGGGGTGCACATACTTGATGATAGTGATCTTCGGGAGCCCATCCGTGTGGATACTGTCCCGGGCCCGGACGATTACTCTCGTAGTCGGGGGGATGGCTTGACATTTGTGTGATTTTGGGGGCGAAGAGGGGAGAGGGGAAGTAAGAAATTGGGAAACAAATGAGATGAGTCAAGGGTACAGGGATGTGACGTCGTGTTATGAAAGGGGGGGTTGGAAGAGGTCAAGTCACGCCAGCATAGCGCAGGGGAAAAAAGAAAGCAGGAAGATCCAAGACCCGAAATGCGATAGTGCAGAACAAGGAAAAGAAAAAGAAAATCAAGGGGCAAGGAATAAAAGAATAAAAGAGGAAAAGGGAAATAAGAAAAAAAGAAATAATGATAATAATGATTAAATAGAAAAAAAGGAAAATTAAAATAAAATAAAAGAATAAAAGAATAATTCTTTTTTTCTTTTTTATTTTTAAAAAGAGCCTCGGCGTTGACTATGACGTGAGCCAAAGGGAAGGAATAAGCCAGTGGTCTAAGTAAAAAAAAAAAAAAAAAAAAAAGCGAAGGGAATTACGATACCAATCAGGAGGGATTTCCAACGAGAAAATGACCATGAAAGAAAAGGGAAAGCAAATGGGAAAAAAGAACAATTTTCTAATTGGCAAACCAGATTTCTTTTTTCTTGCAAGTGGTGGAGCCCCGGGCAGTGCGGGCTAAAGCGGCGCCAATTGACCCAGGATCCATACTGACGGACCCTCTTGGACTTGACTCTCACTCAGCTGTCCGTGGAACCGAGAACGGTGGCAAGGGATATCCCTTAACCTGTGAAATATACAAGTTGAAAAAGTAAAAAGATCAGAACTAATAGAACTAACAGCACTAACAGAACACCAGAAAGTATAACCCCATTCCTTTTTTTTTTTTAAAAAAAAAAGAAACTAATCTTTTAGCCCCCATTTAGGCCATCTCCCCCTCCCCCACAACTAAGATAGTCGGTCAAGGATTTCGGATCTTTGGGGGATTAAAGAACGGTGAATCCTCAGTTCTATAAAGTACCAACTTCTCAACTTCTCAACTTCTCAACCTCCATAACCTAGACCTTGGAAATCTGGATCTGACATCATCTGCAACAATTCGCACAAATCTCAAATCAAATTAAAAAATGCAAAAGAAAAATACCAAAAAGATATCCAGCTGACCCTTCAATCAACCCTGCCCATGTACTGTCCAAGGTTAGAGTGGATCTTCATTCTCAATGTCGCACAACCGCAACCGGCCCCGCGGAACTAGGATGCTCTTCCATGGCGATGGGCGCGGCTCGGGGCGAATCTGCCTGCATTAAACCCATTGCAACCCAATAACCCACCGCAAAAGAAATCCTAGGAACACGATTTTTGGAACTCGATTATTTCTTTGTACACCAAACAGCCAACGTGGAATAAAAACCTCGTTTAGAAGTTTTGAAAAACAAAAATACCAAAATATGTAGCAAACAAATATTCCAAAAAATTAGAAACGCACAGTAAAAAAAAAAAAACAAACAAACAACAAAACAAAAAAGGTGGCATATCTTCTCCGGGCCATGTACAGGGCGCTACTGCAAGTACTATCGACCATTTGAACATTTCCTTCCGCCCAGTCTCGAGCGGTGTGCAAAGGTGGCGATCAGACTTCAGCTGAACATTTCCAAACGCAAGTGGGGATTCACTCAGCTTTCGCCACACAAAAGATACGAACAGACTTGAGTCTGGTGACGGAGAGCGGAGACTCTACTCTTTCCTACCCGGGCCCATAACCATAGATTCGGGCCCGGAAGGCCCATCCTGAGCCAAGGTAACCTGCATTAGCGCCGGCTGGCTACTGACAGGGGCGGGTTCCTTGTTAGAGGGGAGCCACAACCACGTTGTACGGGTGTGCTCCATTTTCTTTTTTCTTTTTTCCCTTTCTCGAGTCTGGGTTGGCGTGTTATTCTGGATACACTCCGGTACTCCGTTCTCCGTAGCGGTTGAAAAAGAAACACTAGAAGAAATCATCACCGCTAAAATCTCGGGGATCCACAGTCTTGTTCTGCTTTGGGGAAGGACGGGGGAAAGGAGGATTTTTGGTTCCTTGGAAATCAGCGCTTATGATTTCATAAAACAGAAGCGGGGACGGTCTTTTTATTTGTGTGTTTTTAGATTAATTCTCACCCGTGGGTTACTCTATTTCGAACAAGGACTCGCACTCGAGGAAATTATATCATGGTGTGTTGAGTACTACTTGGTCACCTGTATACACCTATACAACTACCGAGTCCTAAAGGTACTTATACCTCAAGCGGTAGTATACCCCCGGGGCGCGAACTTTTGGCCTCGGGGTACTTGTCCCACGGGCCGCTCCGGCCTTCCCGCCGATCTCATGCATGTGTCCAACAAGGAAGAACAAGGCTCGGGATGATTGCCTAACTCTGATCTGATTATGCGTTTTTGGAGGAAAATGTCCAAGTCTTTCATTTTTCTTTTCTTTGTTACTCTCTTTTTTTTTCTTGTCTCATTTTATGGAATTTTCTGATTTGAAAAATCCATTAATCGAAAATCCAAACTAGGGGCGGGAGTCGGGCAGTCTAAGAAAAAGAAATCTGGGTCTTGCCACGTTTTTTCATTCCCTGTTTTTCGCTGGCGAACCCAATCGGCGCTTGCATTCCCGTCCGCTTCTTTCCGTCCGCTAAATCTCCACTTTGTTCTGGCGTGGCCTTTGCTCACCACATTTAGCGTACCAGACTTTGAATCGCACTAAAAATCTCTCTGTTGTTTTTCTCTTTTTTCTCTCCCGTTTTTCTCACAGGTATCCACACCCGACCCAAACTCCCTAGCCAGTCGATGCAGTTTGTCCAAGGGACACGCTAGTCCAACTGGACCCAAAGGAGGGACTGGAGAGGGACTGAGCGCTGACTTGGGGATCCAACCACAGCCAGTAGTTGCGGTTTGAGTAGGCTGCGACTTTTTTTTCTCTTTTCTTTTTTTTTTGTTTTTGTTTTCCTGCCTTGGTCTCGCATTCATGCCTCCTTTTTGTGTCTCCCCAGGCCTCCCAAGTGGACTCGTCCGGTTTCATTTTATATTAGCTTACGCTGCTGGTTATACATGGATGAAATTTCGTCTCCCAGGACAAGGAATGGAGGGGCTCTTGCCCCTCTTTCTCCTTTTGAATTGTTTTTCTCTTTTTCATTTTTAGTTTTCTCTGTTCTCTGTTGAGTTATCCACACGGGAGCGCGTCTATCATTAGGATGGAGCCGTCGGGCACTAATAGGCGCATCCCGCTGCAGCCCGCATGGCCGTCAGGTCACGGGAACACGGGCCTATGACGAGACGGGATCTGACGTGGCCGGATGGGTTTAGCTGGGATTTTTAGCTGGGTTTAGCAGGGTTTATGTGGCAGTGCACCAGTCGTGTGATGGGTCGAGGGCATTCAGGACTGGCGGTGACACCGTAGGATTGGGATTTTGACTCGGAGGGAAAATATAAGTAAAAATTGGAAAAAAAAGGAAAACAAAAACAAAAACAAAAAAACAAGGTAATTTTAAATCCATATCTATTTCTCTCTGTTTTTTTTTTTATATTTTCTTTTCTTTTCTGTCGCTGTCGTACAGTCGATCGCGTTGCCTTTTCTTTTTCTTTTTCTTTGTCTGTTGCTAACCGCTGCATCGATCTAACACCTGCAATTCCTTTCACATTCAAAGAAAATAGCAAATAGTTCTCGAATCCTTGTAAACCGATCACCTGATAGAAGTGAGACTTTTATTTTATTTTTCTTATTTTTCAGTATGACATTGTTGACGAAAATGACATCACACCGTTTACTGCAAAGCGACCGGGGTTGAGGGGGGAAAAGGCGGCCTTAGAGCCACAGGGCTGACAGAGTGACCAGGGATCGTGACCATCCGCGAAGCCAAATATTATCCTTCCCGAGGGTCAGCAAACAACTCAAAATCCTTAAGCAACCGCTCAGATCCTGGGCTTTGGGCAGCAAGGAGTCGGTTATGCATCACTGGGAAATCATCTGTGGCCCGTGGCAGGGGTTCCCCAGGTGCATTGACGTGGAACGGGGGCTGCGGCCCTGCGGGTTGGACTCGGCAGTCGGGGGTTCCTATTGGCCGGAATACTTGTATATCGCATATCTTAGTAGAAGCTAAGGTTAGAAATCCATGTCAAACTGCAATGCGATCTGCTGATTATGGCCGTTGATGTCATTCGTGATTTCGGAACGTTTTTTTTTTGGTTGTTCTTGTTCTTGGGCTCGGGGTTCGCATGGATTTCTGTGGGTAACCTTGGAACAGGAGTTTGTGGTCAAATGTTTGAGTCACCAGATACTACTAGTACACAATTAGTCTTTGGCGTTGTAGCTACCACTTGCGAACCACATATCTGTCCTCTTCGTTTACCAGATCGGGCTACTGAGCAGCGTTCAAGACACTGCACCCGACGTAACTTTAATAGAAAAAAACCAGATGTCATTCTCCGAATGGTTCAAATGACCCCCGGCAAATGTTTTGGCGTCGTTCAACAACCGAGTGTCTAACCTTCTACTCGCCTGGGCACAACCACCCCTCATTCGATAATCCCAATCTCAACATCACACCAACTTCTCCTATCAAGTTATCCTCTCTACTCGATCAAAATTCCAAAATAAATCAACCCGCGCCGGACGCACAGACATGTCGCAAATTTGCGACACACTTGGCCGATCTCGATCCCGATGCAAATCTGCAAGAATCCCAAAGATCTACATGAATGAGCCATATCCACAAAGTTGTAGTCCTCTAAACCCGCTCAACGAATCATTCGCTTCAAAAACAACACTTATACAACACCAACATCCTAACTCGTTATAGTCATTCTAGCTCGGCCATGGTCCGAGATCAGATCTTCGAGGAATCGCTTCGGTCCTAGCTCTGGTTGGTTACTGGCCATTAGCGACAAAGGAAAATATACACTTCGTCGATCACAATCAAGATAATCTTGGATTTTGTCTGCTTTCACAAAAGCAACCCTGTTCTTTAAATCCACTAACTTCTGTATCCTGTACGTCCTACCCAAGTTGGGCTAGTGTTTCGCAGATTTACTTTTACAGTCCGTCGATATCTAAGATATGCAGGGCTACCCGTCTATCTTTACGAATGTCGTACTACCATACCCTACATGCGCATCTATCAGGCATCTATACTTGCAGTAGTATAGAGGAAGCCAACTACAATCTTGGAACCTGTAGTACAAACCTTAGCGACCCAGAGACTCGAGCACAACATGGCACCCACAAACCGCAACCACCAACAAAAAGAACAGAAACAAAAACAAAGAAATACTCAAGTCAAAACATACAGTACCGAATCCCCATCTCAATCCATCCGTCCCAAGAAAGCAGGTAGTTAGCTCCATTCCCGCATCCGAACATCAACCAAAAAAAAAAAAAATAAGAGAACCACATACTTCCATCCATCCGAACCCCAAACCAAAAGAGAACATTGAGGAGAAAATAAAAAAGAAAAAAAGAAAAAAAGAAAAAAAAAACGGTCCATCCCAAACACCCAACCCAACTTTCCTCAAGCCCTTTCCATACCAGGAAGGTGCTCGGTACTCAACGCTCCAAAAAGCCGCCAAAACACCGGTACACCAACTCTGGTAGAGGGAACGCGGCGGAGTCCCGACCCGACCCAATCCCATCCCACGCGCACCAAAACGGAGTCTCAGCATCCAAGGTTTCGTCTAGCGGGCATGCCCGACAACGGGCCGAACGCGGCGGCGCGGGCGCTTGCTTGCGGTGGCGACACTATACGTCCAACCTAGCAGCTAGTGCGGCAGGGACAAAGAGGCCCTAGTTTAGTGCAATTCGAATGGGCCTTTTGATGGTATGGATCCAAATCCAGTCCAATCTCGGGGAACGCTTTGCAGTCTCGGGGTCTGGTGGGTCGTTAGTGAAGGAGGAAATTAAAAGTAAATTAAATTAGGAGATGGATCTGGTTTTTTTTTCTGGCGTGGTTCTGGAAGGAATTTGTGGGTTTGTCTGGTGGGCTTATCTGGGCTACGGAGTAAAAATATGGAGTTGAGTGGGTGGATGGGCCTTTTGGCACGGGTTGGGAAGGTCAATGTTTGGTTAGCTAGTAGCTTAGTCGCCTGTGAGGAATAAATACATACTAGTAGTATGTAGGGGGTGTTTTGTTTTGTGGCTATTGGTAGGCTGTTATATCCGATCGGTTGGTGTTGCTGCATGTGTTGAGTTGTTGGTGCTGGTGCGTTTACTTGGAAGTCGGTGGTACTCGAGGAAATTTACGAGCGTCGTGGACGAATGTTTGTGCTTGTCGCATGCGTTGGAACCGGTCTCTCGGTAAGAACTAGTGACTACACTCGAGTAAACTTTGTTTTCAAGGCGATGATCTGTGTGGGAGAAAAGGGAAAAAAAAAACAAAAGTTGAATTCGCACTATTCCAGTCGACCCATTCACTATTGGCTCTTATTGCTTCGAACAAGGTTCGTACCTAGTAGAAGCTGCACATCCCCATTATGTAGTCCGTATATGCGAGTGGCTTTGGTGGTGGCTACTGCGGGAAATGAGACCTCGTGTAGAAGCCGAACAGTAGTAGGGGATACTGTAACGAAAGTGTCCAGCGGAGTAGGAACGGAGTACACAGAGCGAACGTTATCCGCAGTTTGAAAATATGGGAGACGTAGACCACATTCTAGAAATACAAAGAACGCGCCTCTTGTTTCATCTTTCTTGGAAGTTGCGCTCTCTCTCTCCTGCAGGCTGCGGGCTGCAGCTAAGATGTGACGAGGGTGCAGTGACACTTCCTACTGCATAGGAATGGGACCGGGAAATGCATCTGTCTAAGTTGGGGCATGGCAATGCCCCAAACAACAAAGAGGGCCAAGGTGAAGGAGCGGAACTACAGCAGCGGTACGTACAAGGCCTGCGTAAGTTCTGCAGATGCCTAGAAATCCTTCCTAGCAACACTCGCGGTTCAGTAACGTCGTTGAAATTTCGGGACGGAAATATTGACCGAGTGGACTGAAAACATAATCCATCATGTAAATTGGCCGAAGAAATTCCCCGGTGAAAATGGATCTGGTGGATACAATGTGTATCACTCGGCTGAGTCCGTGAAGAATATGCATGTAAATTGGCTTCTATTCGTTTTCCCCCTCTATACGTGTTTCCAATTACGTTCTGATTGTTTTCTTCCTTTTTTTTTTTTTTTTTTTTTCTCTTCCCTGCTTCTCCACTTGGTCAGTGCCAGTGCGGAGGAAACAAATGCCGGAGATCCAATCCAATTGAAAGTTCCCTGGACTATTGATCGGGCATCACAACACTGTTGAGATACGTCACCTATTTTGGGAGGAGCGGTCAGCAAAGGACGTGAACGACGAATTGCCCAACGAAAAAGGAAGCAGCTCATCTCACGCTGATTCGGTGAGGGGCATAAAAAGGGGACGGGCAACCGAGCCTAAGTGGCTAGCTCAGAAGGGAAATGGGGCTAGTCAAGAGGGGGCAAAATCGGCGGGGGCAAAAAAAAAGGCAAGACAAAGCACAGAAGCAGATAGATCAGAGAGAGAGAGAAGAGGGGAAGAGACGGAAGAGGTGAGGGGAAAAGGCTTACGAAGGGCTCCATGACCCCAATCAGCGCGACGATCCGGTCCTGCACATCCGCTGCCATGATTTCCTTGTCAGTGATGGGTCGTCCGATCGTGAAGCTGCGTAGTCGAAGTAAATCGATATCCTTGTGGTCTGCCTCATAGCCCTGAGAAACATCATTAGCAGGTGTTTTGATTGTTTTTTTTTTCTCTTCCATAGGTTCAATTCCAAGTTCCGGGGGTGTTCGGGGGCCCGAGACTCTTTTTTTCCCTCATGGCCCGTGGAGACTGGCGCCAGTCTGAACCATGGAACCAGAAGAGACGGCGTGAGAAAATATTTTAATACGAAAAAAGGGGAAATATTGCACCCAAAAACACGAAAAAAAACAATGAAACAGTGAAAAAAAAAGACAAAGCACCAAAAAGAAAAAACAAAATAGAACATAGAGGGAAAGAAGAGTCTGGTAAAGAGAAACCCAAGGTTGATTCCCGAGAGACTTTTGGTCCGGGAAAGACTAAAGGCGTGGGCTTTTCAAAACACGGGTTGCCCTCCCGCTGACACCCGTGCGCGGTCATGCTTTCCGCCACCACTGAGCCCCAGATGAGTTGAAGTCATGTTTGGAAAAGGCTCGTATAGTCAAGATCCTGGGTCTTCGTGTTTCGTGCCATGGAGCTCCATGAAACCGCGTTACGATTCCGATCAACGGCAGGATAGCTTTTCCCCCGTTATGGAAAAGGGAAATCGTGGAAACCATGGCTAGGGAGCTGACTTGACTCCTGTGATGAACATGGTTATATCAAGTCATTTCCGAGAGCCTAGGTCCGATCGGCCGATTCACATGGATCTCGATCACGGCGTTGCACTCGATTCAACCCTCTGAAGCCGGGTTTGGCATTCATCATCGAGTGATGGCTAACGAACTGACCCATAGACAAGGGGGAAGATGACGAATAAACAATGGCGAGAACCTCCGACACCCTGAAGCGAAAGCGAAAGGGAAAGGGTGGCGGATGCCAGTTGGTGAATCGCAGATGGGAGATGGCAGAGAACTAATTGAACATAGTACATACCTTGGGTTTGGTCTTGAGTGCGGATTCTCTATTGTGATGCGCAAAGGCTTTCACAACTGCTTCATTGTCGTCGCTGACTCCATTCAGAAACTCTCGACGCATCTCGGGCGCTCGAAGCACATCCTTCCATTGCTGCGCGTCCGTGTCAATGTCCTGTCGAAGCGCCGCGAGTGCATCGGACTCGGGGTTCCACAGACCACAACCTATAACAATCGATGCAAATTAGCTCAGGCCATCATAAGAAAGGGCAAACACGCGGAGCGAAAGAGAAAGGGACAAGAAGAACAAGAAGGACGGAAAGAAAACAAGGCGGCGGGGACGGTTAGACAACATACCCACGAAGCTGGCGCCAGGTTGGAAGTGGACATAGTACGCTGCATATGGGCCTTTTTTGCCCGTGCGGGACCTGTGCTGATATGAGTGGATCGTCTGCCTCCTTGGTCGTGATCACTTACCATGCAGCGGAGAAATGAATCTATTCGTCCGTTAGCACGGCGCTAACTGGCCATCACAGTGACACACGGCAATCTCGTCACCCGACCAGACAGGGGTCGGTCGAGAAGGGAGCGGGGTTAATTCCGACATACCTTGTATGGAAGAGGATTCTTGCTAAAGCGAACATCGCGATGAATGCGGAAAATCTAGAAAAGAAACTGGTCAGCGGACTGGAAAGCAGAATGTCGAGAAGATTCGAACCCATCCCTCACTTACCAGATCCTTTGTGGGAAGCTCAGGAATCAAGCCATCCACCTCAGTGACCTTAGGACTCAACGTCTCAACAAAGGTCTCGAAGTCCTTCTTTGCCGCGCGGAAATCGGGATCATGCGCTAAGGGGCGAAAAACAAAAGAACCCGGTCAGTGACGTGACATGATTAACCGCGCTGCCGGTAGAAACTAGAAACTGCGCGCGCCCACCTTTCAGCCATTGACGATCATTGTTGTCGGCGATATCGTGCAAAAACAGCTTCGTATTTGGATGCAGCGTCTCATCTTCATAGGGCACATCGCCCGCGTCTCGAGCCTTGGGTTTGGCGATGAAAACCTCCTTCCCGGGCCCTAGTCCCGTGCGAACTCCTTCGCGCCAAAGTTCCTTACCCTTGGAACTAGAACTAGCACTAGCGGGCACAGCAGCACCTCGCTGCTGTTTGCCCTTGCCCTTACCCTTGCCCTTAGCCTGGGTTTCGGGTTCGGCCTCACTGGCCGAGGCTTCCAGCTCCTCATCCTCTCCTTCATCTACCTCTGGAGTCGGTGAGGACTGCGATTCATTCTCCTCATAAGCGGAGCCGGAATCCCCACCGTCGGAGTCGCTAGAATCCTGTTCCGGCTCGGCGGAGCTCTCGGGTTCGAAATATTTGCTTTTCTTGCTAGTGGATTTCGTCGCGCCGGACAGCGCGCTATTAGATTTGACCCTCTTGACCTCCGCCTGAGGGGCCGACAAGCGTGTTGAGGCGCGTCGTTTCGGCGCCGCCGCTGGCACTTCTGCGGGGCCGGGCCGAGACGATCTTCGGGCCATTATTGAGTGGAGTTTTGTCGGATTTGAATATTGACCTTGCCGGTTGTGTAATCCTTTAATTATGGATACTGTAAGTCGGTTTTGTAGGTATTTGTTTTCGCCGGTCGTTTTTTTCTCTCTTTGGTTTTCGTTTTCGTTTCGTTTTTTTGCCGATCAAGTAGGAATGAGATCGAGATCAGGATCAGGATCAGGAACACCAACTTGTACCTGAAACAGTAGTCGATTTTGGTGATTAGGGCAATGGAGATTTGAATTTCAAAATTGCCAATATTTGAAAATGAACGATTCAAGTAAAAATATAAAAAGAAAATAAATCCAGAGGATCGATCGAAGGGGTGGGAGGTACCTTTAATAAAAACCGGCTTTTTTTTACTGAGTAATACCATTTCTCCGCCTTGACTCTTACCTTCCCGGGATTTCTCTTAATTACCACATCATCTGTGTATTTATTTACCTACTGGGTATTCATGATTGGTGTTTCTTTTATGACTTGTTGTATCATGTTTCTGTTCTTCCGAGTTTGAATCTCCCTTCAGACTCTCAGTTCAATGTTGACAATTTTTGAGTTGTTCGGTTACATATATTTTCCGGCCTGGGTAATCCCCAAATGTGCATATAGTATGCATACTTCCCAGGTATCTGGTAGTGAACAAACTCTTGCAAAAGTCCATGGAAAGCCCACGCCCAAATAATCCTCCACAAAAGTTTCCAATTTCAATAGACCGTCCTGAAAAGTACATCATCAAGACGTAAAGGAAACGCTGGAAAAGCCGCAATAAAACGGCTTGAAAATCAGCAAAGAACAGTACATAACTTACCACACAAGACCCCTTAACCGCAAAAATCTGCGGAAGCAGGCCGTTGAGAGCCGAATGTTCAACCCGTCCGCCGGCATGTCATCGGTCAGGATGGACTGAATCTGGCATTGGCCGGCATCGACAATTTGGTGTTGAAGAAGGTATTTGATATCCACATGCTTCGTGCGAGGGAGATGCTCAGATTCGACACTATGGCTATGGCACCCTGATTCTCTGCGTACAAGACGAAAGGGCGCTCGAACAAATCAGGCGTGAGAACCGGACAAGTCGCATAGATCCTGCAGCACAGACATAATCCAGACAACCTCTCGTACGGCGTACTAATGACATACTTTCATTATTGTGATTCATTCTGAGTATGGCGATGTAGTCAATTCGATTTAAGAGTGAAGGGGGAAAGGAGATGAATGCTTGGAAACCCGAGGCACCCATGCAGGACCCCTCGGGCCTCGACTCCCAGGTTGTGGTCGGAAAGTCTGGAAATGTCGTTGTTTCGTCGCGTGGACAGTATGGCTGCTCTTTATATGTACGTTGTCGAATATTCTAGGTGGAAGGTGTACTCGGTGCACTACAAATTTGAATCTCTGAAAACCTTTTCATGAAAACCTTTGGAGATTCCAGTCTTTGAAAGTCAAAGAGCCCCGGCAACAATCAATAGTCTTTATTTATTTGGAGGTCATTCCCAGGTTGTGGGTACATTTACCTATTCATTGGAAGCAAAAATCGGAAAATCTGTAATTTTGACATATACCATGCATACTATTGATTGTTTCCAGTAACTTGAACAACAGACTGGAGACTATCAAGATGGTTTATGAATACAGGCAGTACAAGCAACACACGAATCAACGGCCTCTCATATTCCCACTGACAAACAATCTCGGAGTTTGAAAATGACTCAACTTGGGACTTCACAATCCGCCAGTGAACCGTACCAAGCGGTCGTCGAAACCTTATCTGGGCCACACATGTATATGTAACTTTGTTTCCTCAATTACTCTCTTAATTCCGAACCCTTGTATTTGCCTTCTCCGTTCTGTCCATCACCTCATCCTTTTCGATTATCGTTCGCCCTCGCTGGGCTTTAGTGGAACTGCGAATGATGAGAATCAGCCATGAACTGTATCAAATGATCCAAGTATACAAACAAACCTTGAGTTTCCTGCAAGAAATCAAGAGCCTGGGAGCCGGTTCCCATCCCACACTCTATTTTCATCCCTCCATTGTAAATATCAAAGCACGGTAAAAGACCCAGAAAGGCTTTGCCAGAGTTGTCAAATGCGGTGGCTCCACCCAGCAGAATAGGAATCGAGGCATTCCGTGGCGGCTGTTTCTTGCATTAACTGCAAAGCCGTCTGTCAGCGCATATTCATGGCTGTTGTGTTTTGTTGTTTCGTCTTGGGGAGGTGCTCTGTCCGAGGAAGGACAAGTGGAATTTTGAAAATTGACAACGCCATGGCAACAAGGTGGGAAGGAGGGGGTTGCACTATCAAAAAGGTCAGCCGGAAGCCACAACATGGAGATCATCATTATCTTGATACCTGGAAGTGTCCAGGATAGTCGATGAGATTTGTTGACAGTTTCATGAGATCAAAGTGTCTTGAAGGACCGACTGAGATGGGAGATCGGTTGCAGATGACAAGAACGATGGAAGCCTCGACGAATGGAAATTGTTTCCATTGTTCCTTTGACTTTGATTGTTGCATTTGCAGTTGCACTTTTTTTTTGTTCTTTTCATGGAGTGCTTTTTTTCTCTTTCGATCGGCGTGAGTTTGCTGCAACATACTCGACCATGGACACAGCAAAGAGAGGGAAGCTAGATGTTAGTGGACCCCAGCACCGTATCCCAACTGAATTTGTCCTGACACGCAAGCTTTTTCAGCTACGTGACGCCTGTTCAGAGAGGAAACGGGCTGACCCATGAGAAATGTTCGGCCAGTGCTTCTTCACTGCTTGCCTATTCATGACCCTGTGGCTTTTTCCTCCACACCACAATAGAAGACAAGAAAGATGCGGTCTTTGACGAGATTGAGTTTTTGCTCTTTGCTTTTGTTGTTGTTGGTTTTTTTTTTCAGTGAAATTCCAAGTTGATGAATAGGAAAAGTCTCTTGACGATGAAGAGAATCAGTGCGAGCAAACTTGTGGAATAAGGTTGAAGTTCCCAGAAGATTGAGTTGGCAGAATTTATTGCTGGAAATTGCAATAGAAACAAATTGCAGAGGCTTTCCGAAGGAACTATAGCACTGCCTGACATGTCATTAAAAGGACGTTGTGAATGATCAAAACATACATACCTTGGATAACTCGTCGAGACAACCTTTAAGTGAGAAGGGGTTGGTGATCATGGTGATCATTGTGATGAATCATCGCGAGGAGCTTGTGATTCTGAAAGGTCAGTGTATTCAAGCAGATAGAACGAAGACTCAAAGAGTGCGTACCTTGAAGCTTGTTGAGCCAAGATGAATTGATCAAGTAGAATTATTGACCATAACGACCAGTTAGATGATCAGAGTATCAAGGTGGAAAGCAGGGACAGCTTTGTGTCAGATATTGGATGCATAATAAATCCATGATGAATGGGCGTGAAGTTCGAATAGAAGTTCAAAGTCGAGGTCAAACTCTGAAGCCCAAACCTGGGGTTTGGGGTTTCCAAGTAATGAAGGGTGATCAGAGATGATCAAAGATGATAAAGGATGATGATGAAGGATGATGAATGATGATCAAGGATGATCAAGGCTGATGAAAGGTGATGGAAATTGATGGAGGGAAGGAAGTTGATTAGGGATGAGGAAAGGAAGAGAAAGGAAAAAAGAGAAAGAAGAAGAAAGGGAACTATTTATACCCACAGGTGAGGGGGGGGTTCTCTAAGATCACGTCCGTCCCCCAGGATCGGCCAATCGTGACACATGGTGAGTTATCTCTCACTTACGCGAGTCATTAACCACTGTAGATCACACTTCGCGTCTACAATCAACCTATGACGAAGAAACACGAAGATGAGTTGTTGGAGATTCCAGGCCCCCATGCCTGCAGCCTAAAATCTGTAACAATAATAGTCCATCGTTGTATATAACTCAACTTCTAAGTAGCAAACCGTTAGATCCCGAGAAAATAATGAGCTTTAATGTTCATTTTCTGATTGACCTTTGGAAAATTCAGCCCAAAAAACAACTCTTATCTTCAAGAAAATAGTATCCATGTCAAAATTGGTGTTTATGGCCGGCAAATGCTTACGCGTGCTTATTCGAAATTCATGGTCGAATTCGCGATTTCGAAGGAGAAGAAGATTTTAAGCTTCGAAACTTCCAATAAATATAATTAAATTCCCATATACCGTTTGTTCTTATATCCTGTAGAAATACGCACACGAGCATTGAAAAGAGCCGCACCCGCCTCTTTATTCTTCCCTGAGGATCAGCATTTGCTTCCTCAATCATTGGAAGCCAGCTCGCGTCAATTTTTTTTTTTTTTTGGAAACGTCATGACGCTAGAATGCAGGACTATGGATCAGTAGTATTCTTGTCCCGGCATTTTCTGGTGAGTAACCCGTGTGTGGGGTCAACTGGTTGCTTTTCGATAAACCATTGGAATTGAAAGGACGATCAGGAAGTTTAATATTCCGACAAACAGTTTTCTTCATTTCACCCGTGAATTTCGAGGGTATCTGCACGGATCTACATGACATCTGGAATATATACCTACTAGTATTATTTAATGGACATGATCTTCTGATATGTAGCTGCGTATATGTAAGGCCATTTTTGAATATTCTTATAAGCATTTGAGCTCCTGCTGCCCAGATGCTTAGGTGGCTTCTCTAGTAATTATTCAAGACGACTAGCAACATTTGAACATCAATTGATTTGAACAGATATTTATTGCAAGCATCTTTGAATGTTTGGAAGTACCGAGGTACAGCGTTGACCACAAACCATGCGAGCTACACCTGGCCTGTAATTACATGTAAAAGCCCTGCACAGAGAAAAGCCAACATTTGAACCTTGAAGATAATTGCTACCCAGATTTTATCATAACAAAATAGCCAACTTCATTTTTTCTGGCTTTCAAGCCCTCCTCAATTCGAGTGATAACGCCGAGGTCTTCATAATTCGGGTAGGTCGTCAATGTTCAACCCCTCTATGCACTGATCCAAATTGCTGAACAAGTTGAGGAAATTCGAGTTATTACAGATATGCTTAGAATGCGTAGGGCGATCACGAAACGGTATAGATGGGATGACATCAAACCATGTAGGTGCCCTGAATGATACCGCTTTCGCTCTAAGATCTTTGTAACAGATGTTCGAGAAAGGAATCGCCGGCCTAGGCGAGAGAAGTTGGCTTGAATGAATCTGCATAGTCAAGGCGCCATACATCATAGATCGGCATTCAAAGTTACATCCTCTTTCTCCGCTTGAAAAAGAATCGCGTATTTCATCAAAGCGAAGCAACACCTTTTCGATGGAATCATGTCTAGATTCGATCATTAATTCTGCAATATGATTAGATAGGGCCAATGCGATGTTTCTATTTGTGTTATCTTACCAATGACGGTATTGGGTATCGGAAGCCCCAGGCCATCTATCAACACACAACTGCCTGCCATAGCAACAGATGTTGACTCTTTGAAGCGGGCAGGAAGGTGAAAATACCAAGAAACCCATATCCAGAGCATAAGATCTCGTGAACACGCAGTTTCGATCTTCTCAGCTAGAGAATCAATCCAACGATCCGTCATGACGTATAGAATATCTTTGCAGTCGTAGTAGTCGGCTATCGCTGCAACCTTGGCGAGCATCTCGAGCGTAATCTTTTTAGGGATTTGATTGTATTGGCAATGAATTGCACGAAAAACAATTAAGAGAGCGTTGGAATCCCAGCCGTCTGCCGTAATCTCAACTGAGCCTTTTTGCTGGTAAGAAATGCTTTCTTTCCAAAGGCCGGTGAGTGATTTTTTGAAATATGAAGATGAAAACATCATATGCTTCGCGGAGACCTGAATGCGAATATCGCTTGGAGCCTCTACAGGGATATCTGCTTCAGGGACCTCTTCTTCAGGGACCTCCTCTTCAGGGGCGTTCACTTCGAGGACTTTCTCCGCGGGAATGCTATCTTCAGACACCTGTGCAAAAGGGGAGTTCGCATTGCGTAATACAATAATAACTTCGCCATCTGGGTCTAGAATATGAGTTGGATGGCTCATAGTTGTGACTTCAAGTAAGACCATGGTGGTGGTTGAAAATAGAGGAATGTGATTGATGAAACGTTTGAAAGGGATAGAATGTACCAACTAATTACTAGTTAGCAGTTAACTAGCGTTTAGTTACCAGTCCACAGCTTAGTAAGTAATCGCGGTCAGCTGACTGGTCACCCAAGAGTAACTGCACGTGCCGTATTTTAAACCTGGTATGATGATACTACACACTGGTGCGGCGGCCGATAGAGGCCACCCCTAGGTCACATCCCAGTTTCAAATTTCTAACTTCACCGCCCTGTTTCCCGCCTGCATTGTATTTATCATACTAGTTATATAGGAATATCTTAAGCGATTTGATCTACAGTGACAGGACATAAGTTTTAACACCCCTTTCGATTACATAATATTCTGCCAGTAGAAAATCATCTGGGGTTTTTCTATCCACCACTAGATAAGAAGGCTTACAACAACTCTAAATCATGATATTGTATAACTATTCCGCTCTGTGTGCCATATATAGGTTCCAAGGTATTGGAAACCCTTGTCCAAAGGTTGGAACACCTACTTTCGATGTTTACTAAAAGCGGTGGGAAAGGCGGACTTCTCTCGGGGGTGTTGAAACTTATGTCCTGTCACTGTAAATACGGGTCACTTTTAGAATAGACTTGAGAATAGACTTGAGAGTAGTCTTGAGAAGGGACTTAAGAATGGATTATATGACTAGGATCTCAGCCTCTCTTTCTTGCCAGTTGTTGTGATAATTTACCTAGAGAAAGAGAAGTAATATAATATAGCATTATACATAATAGAGTTCACGGATTTAATGTATAATGCAGCGCTGAACATACATAATGGAGCTCAAAAACTAATATGAATTTGGAATTACTCGTAATTTACTTTCTGCCGGTCGGAAAGTTGAAATTGGGATGTGACCTAGGGGTGGCCTCTATCGGCCGCCATATACTGGAAAGCTGCAGGAAAATTAAACCGTCATTTCTTAATATGGTATGCTTCGCTAACAGAACTATATGTAAAGATGAAGGTTGAAAGTGTTAGCACAGATTTTGTTACATGCGGTACCACTGATTTAGTATTTACTCGTCTCTTCGTGTAATCCTGTATTCACACTCGAACTTTACTCCTTGACACTTGTACAAGACAACTCCTACTTCTACTACCTTCCCACCCCCAACTCTTCGTGCAATTTTCTAAACACACTCAAACGTCACTCCCTTTACAAGATAACTCCATCAACCCACCATGGAAGCCATCAGCGCAGACCAACTGAACGACGCAATAGCTCGCGCGCTGTGAACAATCGCAGCCGAGCTTACAACTTCTCTTTCGCGCTGAGTATTCATTCGGTGGGAGCGAGACAACACGAATGCCGCTGCAGACACCGATAATTTCCAGGCGATCCTGAGCACACTTAATCTCGACCAAGCTGAAGTTGAGATCTTGGCCGAACAGGATCGGACTCCGGGCTGGACATTGAATGACGCAATCCGGTCCATTTTCCGACGCGCAGCAGAGGCACCCGGCAAATCCATAGTGCTTATTCACTATGCCGGGCACGGAGAGGTTAGAGGGGAAGAGCTCTGGGCTGTCGAAGGCCCATCCCGCCGAAGCATCAGCCTCCAAGATTACATCGATACTCTTATGGAAAGAATAACTCCGACAAGACAATTGCCGTCCACTGTGTGGGGCGATGATTGTATCTAACCAGCCCCTTCCATATTGATCCCATACAGCACATCAGATTTCCCATCAAATGCGAGAGCTCTTCGGTAGTCTTGATCCTCAGGGACCGTTGAGCTTATCTATTTTTCCCGTCCCCCAGTCCAGGAAAATTTTGGTCGTCCGATGGAATCAAACCGTTATGTCGACAGACATTCTGTCAGTGGGCCCTGGTTGCTTTCCCCCTTTTTCGTCAGATTCGTCGTTCACGAACTCCTCGGATTCCCGGTTGTCGATGATAATTTCGAGTCGTTCAACATTCTGCCTCAACATCTCGACCTCGTTGTTCTGTGACCGATAGACTCGGGACAACGAAATTAGTGAGCCTTCTAGCTGCTGAACCTTCGAGATAAGGTGCTCGACCTGCCCAGCTGGTCTTGCTGCTTTTGCCTCCTCTGCGATTTGAACGCGGGTTCGAACGCCGGGAAGAAAATCGTGTAAATCTTGTTTGTGAAAAGGAACCTTCCTGGTTCCTCTACCCGAACCCAATTTCACTCTCTTTGCAGGGGGCAGGTTCATTGAAACATCGCGTTTCCTCACTTTACCTGTTGATGTGAAGATGTGGGGTTGACTCTTATGCAGTTCAACCAAGGGGTTGTTCCGACGCAGCGATTTCCTATTTACCCCACTGAATTTACCTCAAGTTGTTCAGCACCCTTAATGGCAGCCTGGGGCTATTACAAGGTATTTTACCCTACCTTTCTCTCACTTCGACCTCAATTTTTGGGAGAACGAGTTCCTACAAAGCCGACTGTCGCAAGTGTCGTGAGCCCGTGAAGATAAATAACAAGTGCGAGAATTGTGGCGCTGTGACCCGAGTGCGGGATGTCAATCCAGAGCACCCAGTGCATGGAGAAAAGGAACCAGCGCCCAAAGAAAAGAAATCTCCAGAAGGCAAAAAGAAGATTGCCAAAGCCAAAAAGACCTCCAATACACAGCAGAGACGAAAGGAAAATGAAGAGATGTCCGACGATGGCGAAGATAGTGAGCAGACTCCTTTTACCCACACTCAGAAGTCAAAATCTAACTCTATGCTGCTGGTTTCTGATGTTTAACGATTTCGTCGTTCTTGGGGGCTGACCTGATTTCTGGGAGGTTGAAGGATCCCCGCTATTTTTCTGCTGAAGTTTTTATACCAGTTTTTGGGGAGTTCGAAAGGCCTTCTCTATTTTTTTACTGGGGTTTTCATTGCTGTTTTTTGGGGAGTTTGGAGGTTCCCTTAGACCTATTTTCTACGGTTTTTTACAAGTTTTTCTTGGGAGTCAGAAAGGTCTCCTCTATTTTTCTGCTGAGGTTTTTATACTTGTTTTTTGAGAGTTTGGAGGTTCCCTCGGATCTGTTTTCTGGGGGTTTTCTACTTGTTTTTGGACACATTCTATTCTTAAAAAGTATATTTGGTATATGAAGGAGGCATTGGGGTGGGAGGGTGGCCCCCTCTCTAGTTTATGAAATTTCACTTCATCAATTGAATTGAATATCCGCAGATTCCTGTAGATCTGACGTTTATTTTTCAATTCCTTATAGATTCTATCCTAGATTAAATAGTTCAAGTTGCTTCCTAGAGGGAACTTTAGAAGGTGTTGCGTCGGGGCCAGTTCTGGGGATTCTCGGGGTCGTCTAGGCTTGTCCAGGTTACGAGCTTGAAGTTTATTGCTTCTTCTGGTTCGGGGATAGGTACTAGTTTGTTTAGTGGGGTGTTACCGTTTAAAGGGGTGGATATCCCGTCTGATGGGCAGATTGGGCTAACAGAGAGGTGGGTGGCTTTCTTCAGTAGCTCTGAACCGTATGTCGTCGTGTTCATGGAAGAAGATTCGAAAGTCACAGTCAAACCGCAATATCATTGCCCACCTGAGGTAAATGTACAGAAGTACCTAAATAAAGGGGAAAAGCAGGAGCATGCATTATTCATCGCCAGGAAGAAAAAGACGCCATGTAATTTAATCAAACTAAGCAGGTCATTAGTAAAAGATCCGAAGGTGAAATTGAATGGGCAAGAATTACCGGAGTCAAGAAAGATTCAGCAACAAAGCGAGCGCGGGCATTCAACTGCAGGATGTTAGTATAAAATGGCAGGTGGGACTAGAGTAGATTGAGACACCACTTACAAACAACTTCATCTCGGATATCTCCTTGTCGACTTCCTCCATGCTAAAAAAAGAATGACGGATTAGTGGAGTGCGCGGATGATAACCGGAAGATGAGAACTGTACAATTGAATAATAAAGTCTACCAGCTTGTGCTTCAACATCGCCTCGACGTGCACATTGGTAATCAGGAAAGAAATGTCATAGCCCTAAATTGAATTGTCAGCAAGTTATCAACTAAAGCAGACACGCAGATTGTGTGTCATGGATATATGCATCGTGGGTATGCCCGGCAAATGGATACGCACCTTGATAGGCTTTCGGCGGAGAATGAAGAAGGACTCGGCACGTTGTTGAAGGAAACGGGTGAACTTGTGGACCAGAACTACCAGGGCCGTTAATATGGAGAGTGCGGCAATCTTCCCAGGTTAAACATACTGTGCTCAATCTCATCCGCCTGCTTGATTCTAATGGAAACTCGGACACTGTTGACCGAGGGTTCTATATTTCGCGATTCAGTACCCGGGCAAACAAATATCGGTCTCTAGCTAGATATTGGGATCACATACCAATCAGAACTCTTTCATCCGCATTACGAGATACCGTCAGGGGGTTCAAGATAAGCTCGGGGGATGTCTGCGCTTCGATTTCGGGGACGTTATGACGCTCGGAGGTCTGGGAGGCAAAGTTGGAAATTGCCAAGGCTGCCGTAAGCGACGAGCGCACACTATAGGAGCCAGAATGTCAGATATTTGTCACAGGTTGTCAAGGTTCTTGTAGAGCCATCACAAACCATTGAAGGTATGGGCGGAGTGATTGAGACATGGCGCGGGAGGGGGGGGGGTTGTTGATGTTTGGTTGAGAGACAATCCAGGTACGAGGTCTTCGCAAGCGGGCTCTATATCAATTTGAGGAGCTCAATCGCACTGAACGGTATTCCTTGGTATCCGCAACCACCGGTGGCAGAGGATCAAAGGCTTGTAGATCGTGGAGAAGTGGCTAGGCAGAGGGCGAGTTGGCGTCCCGCTCCCCGGGGGCGGTGATGATGACGGCGGGTCGATGGATTTGTTTGGTATGTTTGCAGGCCACCGCCCCACGCCTTCTCTCCATCACCTTCAAGCTGTTTACACCTCAACCTTCACACACTTCCCTCTCAAAGCTTTGAAAAGTCTCATCGGCTCGTCGCAATGGCAGCCATACCTAGTATGTTTCAAAACCGGCAAATTTGGCCTCTCCCCATCACGCTTACAAATTACTAGTTATCATCAAGCACGGCGGCAAACGCTACGAAGTCGAGCTCGATCCATCCTCCACAGGCGAAACATTGAAGTATCAGCTATTCTCCCTGACTGGCGTCGAACCGGACCGACAAAAGGTACTCGTCAAGGGCGGTCTCAAAGATGATACACCCTTGTCCTCCCTCAACGCGAAACCGGGTCAAACCTTTATGATGATGGGCACGCCTTCCGGAGGCCAGGACGCCCTGAGTAAACCCAAGGAGACAATGAAGTTTTTGGAGGATATGACAGATGCCGAGGTGGCACAACAAGCAGGTGCTACTCCTGCCGGTCTTCAAAACCTAGGCAACACCTGCTACCTCAATTCCACCCTCCAGACTCTTCGTGGTGTTCCTGAGCTGCAAGCAGAGCTTCTGAAGTACCAGCCAACTAGCAGCTCTGGTGGCTCAAACCTGGCAGGACTCAGCAGCTTTGGTCTAGGTGGTCTGGATAGCTCTAGGGATATTGCTGCGTCGCTACGGGATCTTTTCAAGCAGATGTCGGAGACCCAGGAAGGGATTCCACCCTTGATGTTCCTCAATGCTCTCCGAACGGCTTTCCCCCAGTTTGCCCAACGTGATCGTAACGGTCATGGTTATGCGCAGCAAGATGCCGAAGAGGCTTGGTCGCAGATCCTCAATCAACTGCGTGCCAAGTTGACCATCAATGACGGAACTGAATCAGGAAGTCAGACTTCCTTTGTCGACAAATATCTGGCCGGTCAATTCAATTCAGTCACCGAGTGTGATGATCCTGCAGCTAAGGAGGTCGGTGAGGAGCCCAACAAGTCATCTGATGTTTTCTTCAAGCTGGATTGCCATATTGGCAAGGACACCAATCACCTCCAAGATGGAATTATGGCCGGATTGGAGGAACAGATCGAAAAGCAGTCCCCGACACTTGACCGAAATGCCATTTACACCAAGCGATCACGTATCGCGCGCCTACCGCAATACTTGACCGTTCATTTCGTCCGATTCTTCTGGAAACGCGAGACTCAGAAGAAGGCCAAGATTATGCGCAAAGTAACATTCCCGGCCGAGCTTGATGTTGTGGAATTCTGTACCGATGAGCTTCGAGATCAGCTCGTCCCTGTTCGTGACAAGGTCCGAGAAATCCGCAAGGATGAAGTGGACATCGAGCGCTCTCGCAAGCGCCAAAGAATGGCTCTTGATCGAGAGGAACAGCAGAGAAAGAACGAAGCTGAGGGCGCTCCAAGTGAAAGCTTGGAACCAATGCAGAAGAAGAAGACCGCGGAGGAAACCAAGGACGCCAAGGGCAAGAAGAAGAACGACAAAGACGGTGACACTGAGATGGAAGAGGAATTTAAGACCGATGCCCAATACGAAGAAGAGAAGCAGGCTGCTATCAAGGCTGCCAAGAAGGAGCTACACGAGCTCCTCAAGCAAAACGGCTCTTCGGAAAGCGGCACCAACCAGTCAGGCCTGTACGAACTCCGTGGTGTGATTACCCACCAGGGTGCCAGCGCGGACAGTGGTCACTACACCGCGTACGTCAAACAGCAGCCCCGAAAGGCTGATGATAGCCAGACCGGTAGCAAGCGTCGCGAGGAGGAGAACACCAACAAGTGGTGGTGGTTCAACGATGAGAAAGTCACCGAGGTAGAGGCTGAGAAGATTGAGACTCTGGCCGGTGGTGGTAAGTGTCTATCTTGTGTTACTTTGAATATTCCCGTTGCTAATATTTGATTCTAGGCGAGTCTCACTCGGCTTTGATTCTTCTCTACCGTGCCATCGAGCTGCCCACTTTGGAATAACTGGACTATTCATGACTATAAGACATGCCTCTAGATGAATAGAAACGATAACTATGAGTGGATGTTTATGGAAACAATGGATATGCCTTGGGATCTCAAATGCAAACAGAATATGATTTGGGCTGTTAAACCTTGTGTCTTGTAGAATTTGTGTAGAACTTGTATAGTGCGTTCCACTTTGGCTACTTTATTCTTTGCACGTATTTCCACACCGCCTTGCTTCACCGCCCTGCACCATAACTGTACGGAGTACCCAATTGAAGCCAAAACATACATGATCTTAGTACACACTACTTTATCACGTACTTCATACCATAGTAGACGACTATAATCTGTCAACACCCTGTTTGATCGATACCGTCAGCATACCACTAAGCTACGATAATGTACCAACTAGATGACCGTCATAGTACTAAAGATAATAGTAGACAGTATCTTCACGTGATGATAGCCTCGGTTGATCTCCGGCTTCCCCAAACAGCTTTCTCTCTTTTGGAATGTTGATTCAAGTTCATGCCACCATGAATTCGCGCCGGATATTACAGTTGCCACTGCGCGCGCCTACCCAAAGGCTTACTGTCGTTTCTCGGTTCCAGACTCGACATGCCTCCACCGCCGTACCCCAAATTCCTTCCGGCCGTTCGCGATGGACCCGACGCCTGATCTACGCCAGCATATTTGGAGCTTTGGGAGTAGGAGCTGGCGCAGTGCTGGATAGCAAAATAGGTTTGCCAGCGCAGCCCGGGTCAAAGGAAGATAAAATCTACTTGGAAGAAATTCAAAACGTCTTTGAGAGTCTCCCGATCGTGAAGGAGTTAAGAGACAACCCTGATTGCGTGGAATCAGGTGTATACGAAGGCCTTCCAGAAAAAAGCAAAGCCCACCGGTTAACTTCAAAGGCATTGGCTGGAAGTAGAGGAATAGGATTGCAGGTACGTTGCCATGGCTTTCATTATACGAGGCTAGCGACGCACAAGGAAGGAGCTATCAGCCCCTTACCTAGCTAGTACACCCGAACCTAGCACAAATAAACTCTGAACCCTTCCACTGCCGAGCCCCGCGAAAAATATCTAACATTTATGCTTTATGATAGAGAGTTTTTGCAAATGACTCGACAAAGGAGGTGACCAGTGTGGTCTTCCTAGGATCCGGTATGGAAGGCTGGCCTACCATGGTCCACGGAGGTGCTTTGGGGACCATTATGGATGAGAATATGGGACGAGCCGCTGTTCGACACCTCCCCGAACGAACTGGAGTCACGGCGAATATGAATATCAACTATCGCGCTCCTGTTTATTCGGGTGCTTTTTACACCTTTCATGCACGGTTGGACCAGGAACGAAGCACGGACCGGAAGGCATACACCACGTGTGAAGTGCGTGATGTGGCAGGTAAAATCTGTGCCGAAGCCACCGGTCTATTTGTGGTGCCAAAGCAGTACCAACTGACAAGACTTGGGGACCGATTTTGAATGATGACCCGTGTGGCAATGTAAACCAGATATTAAGTCCGGTGACTGGGCGCCCTTGGTGGGGGCCACATAGTCAAAATGTGTGGAACAACCCGGGGTGAAGAATTACGGTGTGCGAAGACTGCTTGACTTTTGTATCAGGAACTTCTTCGCCCCGTAAGCCACCCCGCGCCGGACTTCCCCCATGTACATATAGAAAGCAGACAGTCAAGTTAATTATATACTCGGATAATCCGTGAGAGTGCCCAGCTGTTTCATAATATCTTACTTACATACTAGTACTACATATCCATGTTTTTCCCTGGCGATCAATTCAAATCCCTTGTACAAAGGCTTAATGACATCAAAAACCCTGCATCTCGCCAATTAATTCGCCTCTAATCGGCAAGCATTTGGCACAGACCCTTGGAAGTGGTTTAGAGGGAAGATACTAGTGTATGTCAAGAATGCACAAGTCATTCCCAAGCGTTATGGTTTCGGGGCTGTGCCCGATTGTGGACATTAGGCCGAGAATTGATTGATCGAGACCCGCGTTCATGACATGCTCGACAGGCTCCATTTTCCTCGACTCCACCTTCTCCACGCTTTCCCCCGCATTTTCTAAACTTCTAAACTGCCACTTTACTATGGGTCGCCCCCCAATTCCAACAGGTTATGCGAGACAGCCTCGGTATTTTCTGGTTTTCTGTTCTTCTTTCCCGGCTATCGCTTATCTGCTCTCAGTTTCATTGCGTGTTCGACTCAACTACTCGACCTCGTAATCGCCACTGAAGCCGCTGATTGGCGCAATGCAAGCCAGCAACCAACGGACGGCCCCGATGGGTCAGAACGGAATCAGTTCTGCTCTTGGCCCCAATCAACCTGGGGGCACTATTAAGGTAGTGTAACCCTGTCCAAATAATAACTATAAACAACATCCCTATCCCCTCTGAGTGGGTCGATCGACAATCTTTGTTGTTCGCTTGGTGGAAATTGAAATTCGCATCTTGCCCCTTATTATCTCGTCCTTTTGTTATATCCTTGTTCTTTTTTTTTTCTTTCCCAGGGACCAATTCTCACCCTTGACTCTGGTGTTATCTATATCCTTATCTGCCCATTATGACGGGTCCAATTGAGGGCGCTGGTCCTCCCAACATGCATGTTGACGAGAAGAATGCTATCGTGCCACTCGAGAGCAGTGACATGGATCGCGGACACAGTCACCAGGAGGTGGCCTATTCGAGCTCCAATGAGGCCGGACTTGCAGAATCTGAGAAGGATATTCCTGTAAGATCGAACAATTTGTCTTGCTCTGTGAGAAATACTAATATGCGACCTTAAGATGACCTTCCGTCGCTTCATGGGATTCGCGGCCATGGCATTCTTATGGACTGGCAGTCAAATTCCGGTCTATCTATTTGGTACGTAATCTTCATTATCTTCGCTAGCGCCGGGCGCATTCTAATTCACTCTTTCTTTCCAGGAGGCATTCCTCCCTATGTCTACGGCTCCATCGGAGGTGCGGATCGGTGGGTTTGGTTTGTATGTACAATGTACCCCTCCCAGATACCCCACCACATATTAACCGATATATACCAAGGTCCTCGCAAATCTACTCGGCCTCGCGGGAGTTTGTCCCTTTGTCGGATCCTTATCTGATTTGATCGGTCGTCGATATGTCGCCATTATCGGAGCTGCCCTCATTGTGATCGGAATGATCATCTGCAGCACCGCAAACACAATGAATATCTTTATCGGTGAGTTTACCAAGAATTGAGGGCGAATTTTTCTGACGGAGCTGACCCCAAAATAGCTGGTATGGCCATTGCTGGCGCAGGCGCCGGAGTCAATGAATTGACCGCACTCGCTGCAACCTCCGAGATGGCACCCACTCGCAAGCGAGGTGTCTACGTCGCCGTCCTTATTTTCACCATCGTTCCCTTCTGCCCATCCGTTCTCTGGGCCCAGCTCATCGCATACCACAGCAGTTGGCGATATGTCGGTGCATTCAGCGCTGCGTGGAACGCATTTGGTCTCCTGATTACATGCATTTTCTATTTCCCGCCCCCGCGTGTCAACTCTACTGGATTGAGCAGAAGGGAAATCATCAAGCGGATTGACTTTATGGGTGGCTTCTTGAGCATTACAGGCTTGATTATTTTCCTGGCTGGATTGCAGTGGGGTGGTTATATGGTATGTTGCATGATTATTGTTTCGTTGGTGCCTATGCAGATTACTGATGTGTCGTCTTGTCTGTTTACAGTATTCCTGGACCTCGGCCCATGTTCTTGCTCCCCTGATCATTGGTTTCGCTCTGCTGGTTGCTTTCGGATTCTGGGAGGTTTATGGCGCCAAGTACCCGATCTTCCCGACGCGATTGAAGCAAGAACCACGAACCTTGGGTCTTACTCTGGTCATCACTTGCATCTCTGGCTGCAACTTCTTCTCGGTGCTGATGTTCTGGCCGACTGAGTCTTTCAATGTTTATGGTCATGACCCTGTCATGGTCGGTATTCGGAGTCTTCCCATTGGATTTGGCATTCTGGTTGGAGCTTGCATTGTGCTTGTTCTGTTGAGTGTGTTCAGAGGACACAACAAGGAGCTTTTGATCATTAGCAGTATCCTGATGACTGCTGGTAAGTGGCAATTTTCAAAAGTAGATCTACACAAAGGCTAATTTCATTTTCAGGTTGCGGTGCTTTGTCTATTGGACGCATCGACAATATGTATCAGATGTGGGGAATCCTGGTTCTCGCTGGTCTGGGAATCGGGGGTATTGTTGTCCCTGCTTCAATCATTACCACCATCATTTGTCCTGATGTATGTATCTACCTTTATAATCATTTATTGGCTCACCCGCTGACTTATCTAGGACCTGATTGCTACCATCTCGGCTCTCACTCTATCCATTCGTGTTGTGGGTGGCGGTATTGGCTACACCATCTACTACAACGTTTTTATCTCCAAGTTTGTTCCCAAGGCAACATACTACATTGGCGGCGCCATGGAACAGTACCTTAACATTACAGATGTCAGTGTCATCACAGAAGTCATCACACTCACTGGTGCTTCTCTGCTCGACGATATCAAGGAGATCCCCGGAATTGCAGGCAATGAGGCAGCCTACAACCTAATCGTTGAAGCAGGCCAGCTGGCTTACTCCGAATCCTATAAATATGTGTACTATGTCAGTATTGCCTTTGGAGTCATTTCCATCATTTCAGCTTGTTTCCTGGGTGACATCACCAAGTACATGACTGATCATGTCGCTGTGGTGATGTGAGCGGGAGACGGAGAACATATATTGATTGTGGAAGTGTACTTTGATGCCTGTCTGGTTATATGGCTGTCTATTAATCTTCAATTCAATGTTCTTACTATATTCAGTAAATCTTCCAAGGAATGTAATGAAATCTCCAGCTTGAATCTTGTAACGAAGAGCACTTGAGTTATTACATGTGGACCCGACGCAAATAAATCATTAGTAGGTGTAGCACGTTAGCATGTCTTATTAGACTAATACAACAAGCACTGGCATTCGGATTTCCCGGGCGCCAACCCATTGCAGCTGTATGAAGTCAGATTTTCAGTACGTATATTCTAGGTAAGAAAGGGGTTCTTTATCTCACATGTCGTTGTTTTGGACCTGGTCCATTTCTTCCTAGTGTTCCTATTGGGCCATTGCCAAGGAATCAACATTCTCTTGGGCGGTTTCAATGTGTTCGAGCCTGTACCGAATCGATCGACCTGCTGGGACGGTCTTGGGGATAGATGGTGTGCACAATCCGTTATAATCATATCTTCCGAGTCTCCGAGGCGTCAGTTGAGAAATTCGAATCTCATGTGTCATTCGACCGGTCGCAGCGATGTTGAGGGATATTGCAACTCTTGTTTTTCCTGCTAGCCAAAACTCTGCATCTTTTCGTAGCTTCGTTCAATGTTGGCCCCTCCGTCCAGCCAATTTCCATCACAACAGATGGCCAATCGGTTTTCTTTCCGTAGGATTATAACAAAAACGCCAAGGGTAGTGGGAAACAACGAGGAAATAATCACCTCTCGTAATCGGCGGGGAGTGTCTTCTCATCGTCGCTCTCGTGAAACTTGCTAACTGCAAGCGAGCGCAATGGAGCTTTGACTGGAGGGACTTATTGCTTGACTTCATCAAGCACAAGTTGAATGCTATCGATGTCAGATTCATCTTCTCACTTGGTAAGAACCTTCCTGCAGAACTCCTCGATCTCCCAAACGAGCTTCCCCGGCGCGCTTGACACCATCTTATGGGCCTTCTCCCGGCCTGACATGGTTGCGAGACGAATTAAACGAGGGGTGAGGCTTCTTTGATTGACTTGGTATGTTTTAAATAGTCCTTGAATGACCAAAAGTTGGTAGGGAAAATATGAAAGGCAGATGAATAAAATATGAATAGTGTGACAGAATGGAAGGAAGAAGGGAAACAAGAAAACAATTCCTCGCAGACAGAGTGCTGGATATGGGAGATTGTAGATGGAAAGTAAAGAAAAAGGAAACAACAGGATTTTTTGGTGTTTATACCTTGGTGAAGTTTGAAGAGAATAAAAACAGCATTCGCAGAAAGAGTATGCTTGGTTACCAGAAGATCAAGGGGATCGGCGCGTTAAGAGAGAGGAGAAGAGGTATGTAAATATAGATAACGCATAGTATTTACTAGTACACTACTAGCCAACAATCTGCTCAGTACCAACTAGGAGTAGCCCAGTGCTAGTATCCGACTTTGAGGTATACAAGTACTACATACTTGAGATGGGTACCTACGCAGTACTTGGAGAAGAGTATAGACTGTATAGTAAAATTAGTACTTGAGATGAGTACATACTCGGTAAAAATAAGAAGCGCGGGAATGGGTAGCAGGTAACTATATAGCTATGTAACTGCAACAGAACCCAAAAGGCGATTTTTTCATCACAAGATTCAATCATACAGAAGGAGCACTCGACAAGACGTTGTTATGCAGCTGCCACCTCAGTAAATAAAGTGCATCGCGGACGGTGGGGCTGCCGATCAATGACGCGCCAAGCCCGACAACTTTTTTAATCTCAACTTGTGCTTGACCTCCGCACCTCCACCAGCTGCCACCATGGCGTCCAATCCTGCCAAAAGAAAGCCCTTCAGCGCCTCGGGACCCCATGGATCTACAGGCGCATCTCGGAAGCGCGCCAAAACATTTGACGCCCGCACCCTAGCCGTCCAATCAACCGACGCCGCCCTCTCGATAACAGGTGAACTTGACGTCGCCGCATACGCAGCTGCCCGCGCGTTCGAGATTCAGGCACTGGAGAATGGAATGCAGCGCTCTAGAGATGCTCTTACAACACGAGCTTTCCAGAAAGTGCCGCGCTCTCTACGGAGGCGAACAGCCAGCCACAATGTGAAGCGGGTTCCGCGGAGGTTGAGGGCGAGAGCAAAGCGAGAGGTAGGTGGATTCGAAGCAAATTTTTGCCATCCTGCAAAGCTAATGTGTGTCTACGCGGATGATTAGATGATAGAAGATAAGACGCCAACCGTTACCGCACGCAGACGTAAACCGACGCAGATCATGCGTATCCGACTTGAAACTGCCAGACGACTGCAGAACCTCAATGCCAAGTCCAAGACAAGACGCGCGACGAAAAAGGGCAAGGCGGCGCAAGATGCCGCCACGGCGCTGAAAGAGGAGGGCAGCCATCCTTTCAACACGGCTCCGAGAATACCCAAGATCAAGAAGAACAAGCTTTCGCGGCCGCCTGTGCCAGAGGCTAAATTCCGCAAGCGCCAGCGTTGCAAGACTTGGTTGCCGACTCATATGTTTCACGCGAAGCGTGCTCATATGGCGACAACCAAGAATCCTATTTGGCGATTTGCTATTCCTGTGTCTCCTACGGAGAAGAGTTATAGGCCTACGCATAGAGCGCGCGGATCTAGGGGCGCGGTGGCGTGGGACATGAGCTATATGTCTACTGTGCAGCTGGAGGGGAGAGAGTCGTGCATTGAAACGGTTTTGCGAGCGGTTGGTGTTAATGGTGATGAGGCATGGGGTCCCAAGGGAAAGAAATGGAGAACTGGTACTCGGTCATTACATGCATGGACCTATGAGAAGGACCATTCGGCAAGACCACTTGCGCCTGTCACGTTGATTTGGTGTGCGCAGGCTAAAGATGAAGATGTCGAAATGGGCAGTGCCGGTGATAATGGGCCAGCAAAGAAACCTCGGCGGAAACTCTGGGTCCGGGTTCACCCCTCGGCTTTCTTGCAGCTGTGGACAGACCTGCTAGAGTTTTCGAAGCGACAGAATCCGCCGGTTATGGTTGAAGATCTGCGATTCGACATTGGCAGCATTGAAATCACCGGACCTGGTTCTGCGGAAACCTTGCTTGCAGCATTGCGACCTGTTGTGCGTTCGGATGGCCAGGCCCCAGAAGCCAACAGCCCAGAGACTACCTGGTCTTCTTTGCTGGGAGTATCAAACCCATCTTCACTTCCTCAGAACGCTCTTTTGTCATTTGCTGTTTCCGACCCCCGCCTCCAATTTCCACCCCAGACCCTCCGGGTCCCCGATAATGAATCCCACATGAACGATTTGGCCATGTTGCTCGCCAAATGGTCCCCTGACCAAACACAAGGGCCATCTTCTCTTTTCGACCGCCCCAGCCGCTTAGCAGCTGCCCGCCAGCTTCCCAGCCAGAAAGCTATCAATCGCCGCCGAACCCTCGCTGGTCTCGGCACTCGTCCCGCTCCTCAGCCCAACGACCCACAGATTCCGATCATGATACTGGCAAACCGGCCATCCCCCCTATCTAAGCGGAGTACTGCTCCGGGATCCTGGACTGTGCTTTTACCATGGAAATGTGTTGTCCCAGTCTGGTACTCAATTATGTACTATCCGCTCTCAAGCGGAGGAAACCCTCGTTTCGGTGGCCTGAAGGAACAGCAGCAGCTTGCCTTTGAGGCTGGCGAGCCGTGGTTCCCTGGTGATTTCCCAGGAACCAAAGCTGGATGGGAATGGGGTCAGAAGGAGGCCCGGAAATCTCAAACCGAGTGGGCACGGAGGCCGAAAGGACGTCGTTCCGAGTTTGATAGCCTCAGTTTGGGCGCTGGTCGTCCGAAGGGAGAAATCGGACATGGCTGGGCGTGTGACTGGGAAAGACTGATTCAGGGACCGTCGAACGATGTTGCCGATGGCGCTCCTGCTAAGTCAACAGGTGGTGCACCTGAAGATGCTGATGCCGATGCCGATACTGTCACTCCCATCACTCCTCCTCTCAACATTCACAACATCCGATACCCTCCTAGCAATAGCGATCGCATCCTCAGCAACCTCATAAAATCCCCCCCAAGCTCTGGCGCGCTCGCCCCCGTCCACCTCACACTTTCCAGTCGTGGTACTCCTGTTCCGTGTGCCCGTATCTACCGTCTCCCTACCGACCCTTCTTTGCGTCAAAAATGGCTGGATCTCGCCTCGGCATCCAATAAGAATGTCGAGCAAAAAGGCAAGGTTAGGACAGCTTCGGAACTGTCTGACGAGGAAGCTCGACGTCAACTTGCTGAATCATTGCTCGCGTGCTCTGCCCCGGAAGCTAGTGCCTCGGATTATTTGGAGGTCCCCACTGAGGATGACCTCATTGGATTCGTTACCACCGGCAACTACAATCTTTCTGAGGGCAAAGGAACTGGAATTGGATCGATTCTACTGTCAAAGGTCTTGTTGTCTGATGTTAAGCAACATGAAAGGAGAATGTGTATCGTTCGTGCGGCCGGAGAGAAGATTGGTCGACTAGGCCACTGGGAGCTTGTCTAATTTTGATACCCTGATCTCGAACCACCATCATATACATAGAAGCTTGACGAATGAACCATGTCTGTCATGATATCCTCATACCTTCCGCCTTCAATTTTCGTAGCGTAATACTTTCCCCCCTTTACTACTCGGCTGCCTGCGGTTTTTTTTTTTTTTTTTTGTGAAAGTAAGATATGAAAGTAGGCACTGGGTGCCAAGTAGTGAGCACAGTACCTATCTCAAGTACTGAGTTGTATGTACTATGTAATCATCTTGAGTACTGTACCTACTAGGTATATCTGGAACTTTACTGTGCGTAAAAACCAGCGTGGTAGATCATCATTCCGGGATCAATTCCATCCCATGCTATTCATGGCAAAACAAAAAGCGCTATCTATACATACAGTACAGCAGCCATGACAGCTTCCAAAAAAAAGGACCAAAAGATAACAAAAAAAAAAGAGACAAGATCTTTATGCAAACCGACAAGACGTCAATATTTGAAACCCAAAGCTTTCGGCATCAAAATCAGAATCAGAATCAGACCTCAAAATCTAACCCACAATCCGATCCACAAAAGCAGTCTCCATCTTGGCAACCTCCTTCTTAAAAGCCTCAACCTCCTTCCAGCAATTCAATGGCCGGCGATCATTCAATCGCAAACAACCAACAACATCAGCCTTAGCCTTCTCAACACCCTCGTCGAGATCCAGCAGCTTCCGTCGTCCATCCAACTTGCTCCGCAGCAACTCAATCTCAGCATTGACTGAGTCCCGCGAGATCTCGCGGTTCGCAACGGGTGTCTGCTGCTGCTCGACCGGCGCAGCGATCACAGGCACGGCGTCGTGCTCGCGGCCCGCGAACGGAATACGGGGGGCATCGAGGTTCAATGAGCCGACTGGGACGCCCTTGCTGTGTGCGACGGGGCCGGTGGCGGCGGTGATGGGGAGGGGCGCGCCGGTGTCTTTGGACTCGGAGATGCGCTTTTCGATCTCGGCGAGGGTTTGCTTTTCGCGGTCGTGGAGGCGCTTGAGTTCGGCTGCGACGCGGTTTTGGATTTCGAGCTCGACGGCCTTGCTGCGGGAGGAGTCGGTCTGTGGGAAGGGGTTCTTGTGAGTTTGGGGCTTTGGAGGTTCATGCGTTGATAGTGTTTAACGTACCTCGGAGCTGCCCTGGAGGGCCTCAACTAGGTTGGAGGAGAATTGGATGGGGGAGGCGCTATATGGGATTTCTTGTTAGCTTTGGTGGTTCTTTGCGACTTGTATTTTGCGGGCTGGTGGGATTGAGATCATGGCAGAGTGGTTTGTCGTGTTAATTGGTCTTGATCCATTGATGTCCAATAACCGGAGCCATGTTTCGTTTCCCGCTTGTCGTGTGCATTTGATGGTGCATGGAGCAGGGGGATCCGGTGGGAATTACCTGGAGAAGACATGCTTGGAGTCACCCGCAGCCTCGGGCTTAGAACTACCAGCACCCATGATTGTATATGATCGAGATTGCTGTCGATTTAGGTCTAGAGAAGGGCGGGTGTGTGAGATGCAGTTCACCCGAAGCTCCGATACTTCAGGTCACGTGGAATTAGTCATGGAGTTGATTTTGGTCACCAGTTGGCGCCACCAGTTGATTGCTGAAGAGCGCGCATAGCTATAGCGCGCATAGCAGTCTAATTGACCTCTTGTCAAGTCCGACTTGCGGGGATCTTCTTGTGCTTGGATTTTTTTTTTTTTTTCCCGCATCACTAGTATCTCCGAGAAGATCAAGATGGGAGCCCTTCTGGTGAAAACAAAATGCCATACAATAGTTTTGTCCTTTCAATCCTTTTTCTAGCTTGATAAATTCATGCCGCATGAACCATGTCCAGCTCTGCTTATTCTCTGGGGTGACCATGCTCCATAATGTAACCCAAATCGAAGGCTAAAAGAAAGCGCACTAGTTAGTAAAAAGTTGTGGCTTTACTGAATATTTGAACACACTACTCTGTATGCTCTGTACATACAGTTCTCAAGACCTGATACTCCGTAAAGAGAAACATGTCAAGCTTAAAAACAAGGTTTGGTCCAACATAGACAAGATCAACCTTGAAAGTCTGCGGTGACGTCGGTCAATATGGAGATTCTAGACGTCTTTCCTTTCCTAGGTATTTTCTTTTTTTCCCCCCTATGTATAAGGAAAAACAGATTACGTGTTTTCAATCTCCACAAATCTGCATTAGAATCTCTGGAGAACATTTCCCAATCTTGGCCCCCCAATACGGAGTAAGACCCAGTTGAAAGTTCCGTTGGGAAGCCACCATTTTACTGGAGCTTTGGGTCAAGACTACGAATCCACTCCATTGGTAATGAGAACTGTCTCCTCCGTGCTCCGTATCATACTGGAGTATTCATTTAAATCTCGGTATTCCGTCCACTCGGGCCAATCCACCCGACTTTTTTCAGTGGGAAGCCGAGAATGAGATGCCGACCCATCCCGAAACATCCCAGCCAGATCAGAATCAGTCTTCATCCCTGTCTATAGAGAAACTTCAGTATGGTATAACACCATACGGGAGAATCCCTTAGCCCGAGCACCTGCATACGACCCTGTGCAGCGCAAGCCGAGTGCTTCCCCGTGATTCCTTGCCTTTCCCGTCCCCTGTTCGAATTCCCCCGACCTCCCGCTTCCTCTTAACCACTGTCGCTCACCGGTGAAGTCGGGGAAAGAAGTCCCAGTGAGAGCCATTGACCATTCACAGCCACTCCCCACACCTTCTCCGTGGTTTCAAGGAAATGGAGTTATGCCGTCATTGTTAAAAAAAAAAAAAAAAAAAAAAAAGACGCAGACACATGTCACTGAAAATAAAAATAAAATAAAAAAATAAAAAAATAAAAACGGCGATGTGTAACAGGGAATGGCTGTGTGACCTGGTGGAATGCAGAAGCACCTGCATGCGGAACGTCCCTTAATTGAACTTATAGATCTGGTATAGAGAAGAACAATAGAATACAAAGAAAACAAGGAATACAAGAAAAATAGAAAAATAGAACAAAAAAAGCGACTCTGGGGAAAATGCATGTCCGGCGAACCCGGTGTTTTTTTCCCTTTAGTGTAGAAATGTCTTAGTGGCGGGCAAATACGTAGTCGAGTTTCTCGTACCGCAATCGACCCGCCAAGGGAACTGACCTCATGGAAATGTGAACCCCTCCCCCGTTTTTTTCTTGGTTATTTTCTTTCTTCTTTGCACATCTCAAAGTTTCATTCTTATTTGTACTCTTTCTCTCTAGATTCTTATTCCTATCTCTTCTTCTCTATCCTCTATAAGCCAGCATTCTTTACCATTTCATACCCCACCATGTCCTCCCCGCTGTTGGCCGAGGCCACGCGCATTGCGCGCGAGTTCGATTACCCCGCTGCTCAGGTTCAGCGCGGAGTTGCTGAATATATCCGTCAGTCTAACGAGGGTCTGGCAAAGGAGGACACCACTTTAAGCCAGATTCCTACATTCGTGACTGCTGTACCCAATGGCACTGAGAAGGTACCGTAATGCAATCTGACTGTGCCCTTCCCAAGTGGCCTTTTTCTTCCTCCAGAAGCTGACCCTTTCTGACATAGGGCTTGTATCTGGCCGTTGACCTGGGTGGCACCAACTTCCGTGTGTGCTCCGTTCAGTTGCATGGCGATACCACTTTCAACCTCACCCAGTCCAAGATTATGATCCCACGGGAACTCATGGCCTCCGGAACCTCTAAGGACCTGTTCACTTTCCTCGCACGCCAGATCGAGGCTTTCTTGCGCATTCACCACAACGAGCACTTTGAGGCCCACCAGCGCCGGCGGAGAGAGGACAAGTGCGTGGAGGAGCTGTTCGACCTCGGTTTCACTTTCAGCTTCCCCGTCCGTCAATATGGTATCAACTCCGGTACTCTGATTCGGTGGACCAAGGGCTTCAACATCCCCGATGCCGTTGGTCACGATGTATGCGCCCTGCTTCAGTCCGCCATTGATGACCTTGACCTGCCCGTTCGCGTGGCTGCGCTCGTCAACGACACAGTTGGTACTCTGATGGCTCGTTCTTACACTTCCCCCGGAGAGACTGGTACTCTTCTCGGTGCTATCTTCGGCACTGGAACCAACGGTGCCTACGTCGAGAAGATTGAGAATATCACCAAGCTCCAGCACTCGAAGAATGCGCACTATGATACCCACACTGGCGAGATGATCATCAACGCTGAGTGGGGTAGCTTCGATAACCAATTGAGCGTGCTTCCCAGCACCATCTATGACCGTGACCTGGATGCGGATAGCAACAACCCCGGAATTCAGATGTTTGAGAAGCGAGTCTCTGGAATGTTCCTGGGTGAGATCTTGCGCCGCGCTCTAGTGGATCTGCACAAGAACCCCAAGGTGGCTCTTTTCGAGTCCTCCAAGGCCGCTATTACTTCCGATGGCCTTCTCTACCGCCAGTGGGGTCTTGACACCAGCTTGCTGAGTGCCGTCGAGGCCGATAAGTCCTCCCAGATGACCGAGATCAAGACTGCTCTTAAGGACCACTTGAACATTGACAACGCCACCAATGATGACTGTGAAGCGGTCAAGGTGCTGACCCACGCTATCGGTAAACGTGCCGCTCGTCTCAGTGCCGTTCCCCTCGCGGCTGTCCTTATCCACACTGGCAAGCTCCAGACAGATGACATTGTCGACATTGGTGTTGACGGCAGTGTGGTCGAGTTCTACCCCAACTTCGAGGGTCACATGCGCGACGCTCTCCGGGAAGTCGCCGAAGTCGGCCCCGCGGGTGAGAAGAAGGTCCGCATTGGAATCTCCAAGGACGGCAGCGGTGTTGGTGCTGCCTTGATCGCTTTGGTCGCCAGCAAAGACGAGACTTTGCAAAACCCCCGTGAATAAGCCCTGAGGCCTACATTTGATATCTATTCAATTACCTCAACCTTTTCTCACCTTACGACTCCACTTCTTTGGGCTTTAATCACTGGCTGGGCCAGTAGCTATTGGTGATCTTGAGCTTGTCACCGTGACATTTCAGGAGAGTACTTGGCACTCTTGGATCAAGTAACAATCTCTGTATCTCATCCCACCTGCCCGTACTTTTACACAACCCCCCAACTTTTTTTGCATGATCCATTCCAAGGCAAGGCTGCTTAATGCCAGCCGGCTAGGAAATACACAGGAGCTGAAACTTGTGGGATCAGCAATTTCATGTGCCACGTCTTTTTTTTCTTCTTTCTCTTCTCTTTCATCATTTTACCTACAAATTCTGCTCTTGTCTGGCTCTTGCAGCAGAATGTAACATTAGCTTCGATAGGGTCTTATGGAGTTGCGCTATTTGGCGCCGGAGGGCATCCAATCTGAGGACATTTTTGCATTTACTTTATTCCAACGCATTACACACTGTAGTAACTGTAACATTATATCCGCAAGCCCTTGATTTCAAATTTCTGTATCTCTCTACTAAAAAGTATTTGGAAATCTTGAAGTAAAAATTGGAAATGGTTACTACTAGTAGACACATCCAAGTCGAATTGGTTTCACTAACAATGGTTCTGAAATTGTTTTGGATTCAAAATGGTTTCTCCAAAACAATGCCTTTCAAATTTGATCCGCATAGCCTTAAAAACTCGACCTGGCTCCATCAAATTGCCATGTCTGTATATAGCCCTGGAGGTTTCCAGTAGGAATCGCAATATCTTCCCTTGGTCATTGCCCTGCTTGTGCCATGTGGACCCCACAATCTCACAGCATTGATTTGTATATTTGTCGTCATCAGCAGTGCTGGCAAATATCTGAATACGCACTTAAATGTTGCAGCCTCCCAATATTGTCAAATTACTACAGGTTTGATGCCCGCCCAAACTTAGATGCATTCCAAGTTCGATCTAAAGAAAGAGTCGCTAGAAAGGAAACAACGTTCCAAACATTAAACATAAGAGACGAACGAATGATTAGACAACTGCATAAAGACTGAGATATATGCCCCAAATAACCCCACAAGCACTTCCAAAAACGACGCGACGGTCAACTGGAATGACGGTATACATCAAAGTAGACACAACAGGACGATACTTGAGTCTTGCAATCATGATAGGCCGGAAATCCTGCATCAACCGCATTAGCATCTGCCACAGGCCAACCACGGAGTCCAGAACCAAAGTAGAATAAACACATACCTCTACAACCAACTCCCACAATCGCTTCAAGGTCTCCCCCTTCAAGAAATGAATCAACACAATGAAAAGCACAATGTTCATAACGCCCGCCAGGGTCAGATCGAAGAAGAATTTCATCAAGAAGCTATGCAGACCAGATTTTCTGGCCCGCGGTGCCCATTTCTCCTTGTCCTTGTGCGAAGGAAGGGAATCATCTGAACGGGAAAAAGAGAATAATGAACGGATGGAAGAAAACAGGGACCCTAGGGAACATGATCGCGATGAGCACCGGAAGACATTGCTTATCTCGGCGCGCGAGGGAAATCCAGGGTAGCGCGCCTCCAGGGCGCGTTGCCAGTAGAAATTGATCGGCACGATTAAGATGCCATATGTGACGAATTGCAGTAGCGCTAGGGTGTTCAGCGCAAATGGTCCCTGTGAGATTGTTAGTATTTGTATTTTTTTTTTTTTCAAATTTTTGATCTTGTTTTTTTTTTTCAAGTAAATTTGCATGTCTAGTTTCTTCTTCTGTTTTCTGTTGTTTCTGTCTTGTGTAATGTAATGTACGTGGTTACTCACAGTCTTGTTGCGCTGGTCAATTAGCTGCGCTAGGATGTTCGACAAGGCATTGAGGAGTGTCGATTGAACGAACGTCACAGTCAGGGGCGACAGCATAATCCCGGTACCATCAGGCCAGCCATAGAATAATTCTAGGCGTCTGGATGAGGTCCTTAGGAGTCTGGGGTTGTGTTTGGAGTCTTGGGCCTTGAACTCGGGGGCTGCCAAGACGCGCAGACGTGTCCTGACTAACGAGATTGTAAGGGGCTGAAATCACTTATCGTTATCGTATTCGTGTTTCCGTTCCGAACTACAGCCTCATTTACAATCTTTGTCTTCCTTAAGTATTCGTTCAATTTTTCATCCTTGCTCAGGAAATATCATTCGCTGTTGGAAATACAAAAAGAGAAGAAAATGCTACAAAAACTCAACTAAGCCGCAAGCACCTTTTGAAACTCGACATTCGGCCCATTCTTCGCACTGGTAAAATGGTCCACAAGCGCCAAATGGCCGCCTGCATCTTCGCCAACCCGATCCGCCAATGTCATATCAAATAAGAAGACCAGCCGCGCCAATGTAAGGCGCATCTCCATGAAAGCCATGCTCTTCCCGATGCATCCCCGGGGCCCAATGCTAAATGGACAGAAAGCCCGTCGTGCGACCTCGATCGCCTCCTGGGTAGTCGTCCACTCATCACCAGACACCGAGCATGTCGCACCCTCAATCCAGCGCTCGGGCACAAACTTCTCCGCAGCACGATAGTACGCCTCCTGTCTGTGAATAGAGTAGACCGGTGTACCGCAGTTCGTACCAGCAGGCAAGAAGACACCATCAACGACCGCACCGCCTTCCATGACCTCACGCGGAATCGCACCTGGCACAGCAGGCGCAAGACGCAGTGCCTCGTCAATACATGCTTTCAGGTACACCAGCTCATTCAATCTGGTGCCGCTGATGATCTCTTCCACGTGCGTGAACGCGCTGCGCACCTCCTTGCTTAGCTTGGCGCGTGCTGTCGGCGACCGGACTAGATGGAAGAGCGTGGCTGCGAGAGTGGTGGAGGTTGTGTCACTGCCTGCGATCATGAGGACGTTGGCTTCGCCCCAGAGCTCGGGGGTTGTTAGCCCTTTACCTGTTTCTGGGTCCTTGGCGTTGAGCAGGTAGTAGAAGAAATCTTTTTTGGCTTCGCGGCCGGCCATGGCGCGCTCTTGGGCGCGCTTGTTGGCTTCCACGCGGGAGTTCATGATGAAGTTCCAGCGGTCTTGTGTGAGCTGGCGGATGAAGATTTGGTCTAGGTGCCATCTATCCAGAGGCATCCAGAGGCCACACTAGAATGGACGTTAGCATTAGTACTTTTCACTTCCACTCGGAATAATAATAGAAATGAGTCTAGACTGACCACATAATGCCGAAACGCAGCTCTGTCCACTAGCCCAATCATATGTCTCTTGCCCTCGGAAACAAGCATGTCGAAGCTTTTTCCGAAACAAAGCTCTCCCATCACATCGTACGAAAGGTAGCTGAACCAGTTTCCCATATTCCGCACTACGCCATTAGACTCAGGCGAGCTCTTCTCATCAAGGCTGTACCCTGCAAGCGAGGCGCAAAGTTGCCGCACATGCAGCAGCATCACATCCTCCATTCCCTTCAAGGCAGCTTCAGAGAAGGCCTGGCTAAGCACACGTCTCTTGCGCCCATGCATTGTCTTATCAATTGCGTTGTGCGTGTTGTACACGCCCTTGATGGCGGGGAAGGCATTGTAAAAATCGGCTTTCTGGATTCGCTTGCCATGGCCATAGATATCATGAAGACCGCGGTCGCTATTGACTGAGACGAAATTGGGCGCAACACGCACGTGTGTGCCGTATTTTTTGTGGAGTTTGTGTAGCCAGAGGTGTCGATCACCTTTGAGGCCATGGTAGAGTTGGACCCAGGGTGTTAGTGAGGCGAGGAAAGGGCCTGGGATTTGACGGAGAGGGTGGACGAATCGGTTATAGAGAGTGTAGGCGATTGTCTGATGAAAGCTCCGTATTAGCGAGGAAATAAGTACTAGCAATTCTGTACATTTGAATCGAAGCTCGCGAATGATTGATCTGTAGAGATCATCCCGACGATCAAATGCGGACAAACAATGAATAATCGACCCAGCTATCACCTACCAAGACGCCCAGCACCGCAACCAAATCCACCCCCAGCCTCTGCAATGTCATAGAATGCAACACCGGTTCGACGAGCATGTTGTCGTGTGTATCCTTGTATCTGTAAACCTCATTCGTGGTTAATCTTCAGTCTCAGCTCACTCTTATCTTTGGCGTGGGACTTTATACTTGCACCTGATCCGTCACCGCGGGTACCCGCGCCCAGCCGAGATCGGGGGTCAATGACGATGGATCCCGCACGAAACCACCGAGTTCGGGTCTGGAATGCTGACTATTAGGGAGATGGAATGCTGGGTAATGGACGTGTCGTGCTTATCATCCGGGTACGCACGGGTATTTGGGTCTTGTTTCACGTAGAACTCAGGCTTGATTCCGGGTTGTGAACGAGATGCAAGTGTGGAGATCTGGATTGGAGACCCCACAACCACTTCGGGTGACTTATGCTTAATTGCTGATTTGCTCGTGGTCAAATCTGGGGGAAGTGCAAAGTTGGAAAAAGAGGAAGAAATAGAAAAGAGAGTTTGACCTGAGAGCTTCTGCTATGATGCTAGTGCTACCATGCAGGCATGTCTTTGATATCTTTGTCTCTCTTGATTAAAAGTAACCTCTAGGTCCGCATACCCACATACCCACATCGAACCTGATTCTCCATTTAGCGCTTGACTTATCTGCCTAGTCAAGTCTGTTTGTTAATGCCCCTCCATTTAGTCTCCACTGCGGCTTTTTGTGGTACTTTTTTTGGAGTCGGCGCACCGCCAATACCCGTTTCTTTTTCTTGATGCTCCACAGCTTACAAGACGAGGAGATGTGAGGATCTCTAGCGCCATGACTGAATCATAATTTTGGCAATTCCAGGGGCTCATATATTGTCAGCTTAGAATAGTGTACTACTTCTTGGCAGTGGACTCTTGGGAGCTTTCCTCATTTCCCAATTCGGAATGTTACACGATACCGCGAATGTCTTATCCTGTAGAATATCGCCCTTCGACACTACCTAGATGCCTACTAATCATCACGGCGGGGCTATTCATTGTCATTGTTGAACTAATCAATGGCCATTTCCAAGGTTCTGTAAGTTAACATTGATTATAATACATGCTAGTAGTACTGCCCCTAACATTTGAATGGAAAGGCATGAATTTTTGGCATCATGTAGATGTATACTAGTATACGTAAATGAAGACGAGGAGATGGAAAGAGGAAAAGCTTCAAGGAATGCTTGGAACATAAGCCCATGGATGGAGGCATTTTTTCACACTCATCCAACATTGAATTTCAATGTTCAAATGTTTGTATAGCCATTGATCACGCGGTTTGGTTATAAGATCTCGTATATCTAGTCTTCAAAGATGGAATCGATTATTTGACATTTCAAATGTTGATTGGTTGTTTCAGAGGTCATAGTCATCGAACCCTGCACATGTATTCCTCTTAGAATATAATAGCATGTCAGACTATACTACCCTTTATGTATAGACCAACCCAAAGCATGTGTGCGGTTTACTAAGAGCTAGAGAGAGACTAATAAATGAATCAAAGTATATGCTCCATTAAGGTACTCTCCCAAATGACGAACTTAGGAGAGAAGTACAAACTTGAGGTTCTGTGCCTCGCTACTCGAGTGGTAGCAAGATGGAAGATTCGTCACAACAGTTGAGATGTGCGACAAGTGAGGACTGCGCCGGGTATGAGATATCGCATTCCAAGGGCTATGCGTCTTGAATCTGAATTTGGGAAGTCATGCCTTTCACCCGGGGACTGAGCGAACTATTACCTCGAGTGCGGATGGTGAAGACACTTATAGCGATTGCTCTTAAGTACCCCAGTGCCTGGAGGTAGAAAAAGACTCCAGGAGCGCCCAAATGCGCAGTCTATCTATGCATGTATCGTGCTAGAGCTATTTGGATGGGAATTTACCATCTTACACTTCTAGAGACTAGGTGCGGAATTGATAGTCCCGATTGATATATCATGTGGAAATCAGTTCACATGAAGCCCATAACGACGATGCATTATGAAGTAGTAATATACAAATCCTGTCCCACCCGATTCATCATGGTCATCTATGCAAATTCTTGAGTAGATCAAGCCAACCCACAGACGCCGTGACATGAAAAGAAGCAAAGAAAAAATCGAAACGCCGAAGACTCCCAGATGATCGGAAAATGAATCACAAAGGACAACCCACTAACCACTCTCAGCCATCCGCATTCTCACTCTTAATGTCATCATCGTGGTCCTCCACTGTGAACGAGTTCTTAAGCTTGCTAGGCCCAGGCTTGTTGGCTGAGGCCTTCTTCGAAACATTCAATTTCTTCTTCTTGGTTGGGCTGGGACTGCCTTCATCCTCGTCTGTGTGGGCACGTTTTGGTGCGGAGGAGGTGGGACTGTTGGCGCCGCTTGCGCCACTGTCTGTCGGGGTTTTATGGCGCGCGCTTCCGCGACCGGAGATGTTCATGCAGCGATCCAGATGCTGTGCCACACGGTTCATGACAAAGTATCGAGGACAAACGGGACATTTGCTCGTCGGAACTTCGGGGATTGTACTGTCCTTCTCTGTCTTTTTCTTCTTTGGGTTCGGCATTATCGCGAAGAGCTTGCCATGAACGTCATGACCGGGTAATACGACCAACGGTCCGTTCTGACAGTATTCGCGGTTTGGATCGGGGGTAGGTCGGAAGCCTGAGCCGTTGGGTGGGTATGTAAGACGAGGCAGTCGACATTCGGTGCATACGACTTCTTTCATTGTTTGCATCGGATTTCCCTTGAGAAGCACTTTGCCGTGGTCGAAGGTTGCCGCGTCGGTCTCAATATGTGTGCCGGCCAGTTTGACGGGGTCGATGACCATTTCCCTCGGCTTATTATCGACGATGGACTTGCTGCTGGGTGACTCGTCGGGCACGTATGCTCCTTCCTCGGCCTTTTGTCTCGCGAGCACGACCGCAGAACGCATCCGCGCCACCTTCTCCTGCCGGTGGACCTTGACGACGAGATCATGGATTATATTGTGGAAGGTTTCGTTAAGGATATCGGATGTCTGGAAGAAGATCAGAAAGAGAAACCCCGCATATGAGGAATACAAGATCCCTGCACAGATACATACCACTTTGGCGACAGTGCCGGCAGGGTAGATCGGCGCCGCAGCATTGGAGCCGGCCATTTTCGGAGTCGTCGGGAATTTTCCCCAGGCGATTTGACTGTTCCTGTATGGCCGACTGTGTCTACCCGCGACACAGTTCAAATCTGTAGTTTACGGCCAGCGTATTGTCTTAGTCCTCCATGTGCTGTAAATCTATGCAGGGAGGTGTGTGCAACGAAATCGGAGTCGGCCCGGAAGAACGAGGAGTGTCGGACATATGAAATCCAACCAAGCACACACCCTAAAATAGGCTAGTAACTGCTAGGGAGTACAATGTCAGCGTTGAGATTGAATGGTGACGTGAATGGTTTCTCGGGATGCGGGTTCAGTGAATTCGGGAGGTGGAATGAGGTGATCCACTCCCGGCCTCCAATAAGGGGAACGACTCCGATGGAAAAGGTAAACGGGTGTATGGATATCCCCACTATCAGGTAGATTGAATTGAGAACAATGCAAGAACAATAAGCGACTCACTGAAAGAGGAAAAATGCGAGCACCGAGTGGAAATTCTCTCATGGATTAAAGATGAGGGAAGAGAACGAGGCTGGAGCAAGTTGTTCACTGCCTTATCGCTTATCGCATCTCCGCATTCGCATGCGCTTTTTTGACACCTGAAACTTGAACTCTCAAAGAGAACTTCTTACTTGACCATAAGAGGAAAAAGAGATGGCATACCAGTTCTTCGCGAATAAGTCCCAATCCAGGACCTCGTCCTCTTCTCGCTCACCCCACCGTCAAGTTCGTTCGCATAATCCACCCATCCACCCACCCCCTCTTCAACCACCCGCTGTCGCAAACAGTGGCCCGCCTAATGTCAGCCCGGACTCTTTCCCGCCATACCCTCATGAGATCCCCGCGGGTTACGCGACAGCACACCCATGCATAACAGTGGAGACTGTGAAAACAGCCCATATACCTTCTTTGACGCGTATTACGAGTACCCTTTTACCGATTCGGTACCCAAACTCGTTCTACACAGCTACCATCACTGACCCAGTCATCGCGTCGCTTTCACGCGTCGCAATCTACCATGATCATCCTGTGGCCGCGGCACCAGATACAGGAGTCTTGCCGGGTACGGATAAAGTGATCGGGGGTATTCGATGCCGGCTAGAGAGACAGGGGCCTTGGGAAACGATCCATGGTCGCGAAGCTACCAACCTATACATTCAAACTTTACATCTGCTTTCAGCCCATCGTGGTCATGGTGTTGCGACTGCACTGTTGAACTCGTTGTTGTTTGCGCCAACGGGAGATAAAACCAGTAAGCGAGTATCTGAGTTGGTCAAGCACTACAACATCGGTTCGGTGACTGCCCACGTCCATGAAGCGAATGAAGATGCATTGAAATGGTACGTGTCGAGGGGGTTCAAGATGGAAGATGATGTTATACAAGGCTATTACCGACGCCTGAAGCCCTCGGGTGCCAGGATTGTTCGACTAGACGTACACTGGGAAGACGAAGAAGTCAATGAAGATGCCGCGGAGAAGCCAGAAGTCTCCGAAGTCCCCCAAGTGAAAGAAGCTCCCAAGAACTCATCTCCGAATGATGCCGACGACGAGGAATGGGAAAAAGTCGAGGCTGAAGACGGCGAACAAGACGAATATGAGGTTGAATTATTGGGGGAGTCGCGATTTCTCGACGGCAACGACACGCCTTCGAGGAAACGGAAGGCTGAAGAAGAGGAGGGCAATCATCCGCAACGGCGATGATCTATTCTTCGGAGCTTTTTGACGCGCCAAACCTATGAATGATTTTTATACATGTGTATAGTTTGGATACCCACTCATTAAATTGGAGTTTTGTCTGCATATCAGCTTTATTCCATGCACCAATGTGATACAGCGTCTATCGTCTTTCCTTATGTCCTTGTGCACTGGCATAAATTCGCTAGCAACAGTTGGCATTATTCTTGGCATCCATGGATCACGCATAGATTCTGAGAGCCCTGGAGATCGAATGGATCCAGAAGTCCATTCTACCTACCCAGTTAGGTACACGCGCCTCCCATGCATTCCAATGTTGGTCTGTAAGGTGTCACACGTCGACACTGCAAGTGTCACGAGTTGACAGTACAGTCTCCGAGTCTGTTTCCGGTTTCCGTTGTCTGAAGTGTCAGTCTTTGTCCGCTGAGAAGGTTTCCCCATTACCAAATGGGGTTAGTTTCTAGTTCCTGTCGTCAACCTTAAGGTACTTAAGGTTGGCTCTTTCCTGTCTTCTTTCTCTTTCTCTTTTTCTCCTCTGTGCATGTTTTCCTTGGATTTAGGACCTTAGAACAATTTCATTGTTTTCTTGCTTGCCTCGTTACATAAAGTTTCCTTGCTTGGAATGAACATTCGAGATGGCCTGGAAAATTTGAATGAGATCCAATGCATGATGTGGAAAAATGCACTTAGTTCAAAAATGCAGCTAGGTATAAAATAGCTAATTATCGTCGTTTTCTTCATAAAGAGACTCAAAACGGCAAGGGTATCAACAAACAAAACATGACAAGAAATGATACAGAGAGCATGGTAGACTAGTGATTATAGTTCTCTGCATGCAGGAAGATCTCATCTTTGGAGCTATCAGTCAACACCTGCAGCTGCAACTTGGCCACGGCATTCGATACATCAACACGCAGACCTGGTGGACCACAAACAAAGATACAAGCCCGACGACCAAAGCTCTGAGAGAACTCATTCAACATTTTAGCAACGTCGGGGCGGAAGTAGTCTGTCTTCCAGTTATCTCTGCGCAGAGAGGGCTGGAAAGACGCATACCGCGGCGCGGGCTGTTTCAGAGACACGGGTGTTGTATTTCCAAATCCAAAATCAAATCCGGGACTACTGGTGCCCGAAGATGAGCCCGTGGATATATGCAGACTTGGCTGGAAATAGTGTCGGGTGTTTGGAACATGAGCTGCAGTGTATGCGCCGGGGAGAGCTGCCAGGCCGTCTTCGTTTTCACGGCGTAGCTCCTTCTCACGCTCCATGTCGCCATCAGCTTCTTGCCGAATATAGGCGGAGTTTCGCTTGTCGATGCCCTGAAGCATGCCATAAATCTTCTCTTGAACCAGATCACGACCAGCTTGATCGGCTAGCTGCATCTCCGTGAGAAAGAAATGACAATGGACAAGACCCGCTGGGGCGCTATCACGGCAGATCCGAAGTTCTTCGGAGAACCATCCCATCATCTCGGCAGACCTTAATGCCCATATGACCTTGATTGATCTTGTGACGGCTTTTCCATCCCGGATCCGCTTAATGAGATCCAGCAGCTGACTTGCAATCGCGGTGATACCACTTCCACCGGCGAAAAAGACTACATCATCAAATGCGGCCATGTCTCGCTGCATACCGCCGTAAGGTCCTTCCAGGAATGCGGTATATGTTTTGAATGGGCCGAACTCTAACGCTTTCTGCACCACTTGGCGGGTGAAGCCTTGGAATGGTCTAAATACCAGTGTCATGTCACGATACTCCTCACCATATGCAGAGGGAAAGTCTTCACTGCAGAGCGAAGCGATTGTGAAAGGATGACTCTGGATAAATCCAATACTTGGCATGCGCAGGTAGACATACTGGCCGGCCCTCCAGCGCATTTTTGTGGGGATCGTAACTTTGACGGCGTTCTGTGGAAGCAGAGTGATGGCAGATTCTTCTCCGATCATGAATGATGATGATCGGAACGGATTAGACCAATTCAGGTAGAACAACCGGACAAGATATGTCACAACCCAGATTGCTACTGTTGTCCAAAGATAACCCCAAGATTTCAGATAGTTCTTAGTATGCCAGAACATCATCGCGACGAAGATCCATGAAACTGGGATGTGAACAAATATGAAGAGCTCGTACATTCGGTGCCGTATGAAAGGCAGAGAGTGGACACAGAGAACAAGCATTGGTGCCAGTGCTGCCCAGCCGTTTCCATAAGCGTAGATACCTGCAGGTATCCAGTTCCGGTAATTGACCAAGGCATTCCCCGTCCAAACCGGAGTGATGTAGAACGGCACCATATGGACAAGGCAGCAAAAGAGACAAATATAAGACAGCCAGCGATGCAGTCCATTCAGTCGCTCATGGCCTAAGCCCGTCATCATGCTTATGATATTGGCTTTGGTGGCGAGTGCAACAATCCATGGGACCATGGCAACAGCCAACATGCCTGCCCGAATTGCGAGTGGTGGTGATCCCAGGGAAATGTACCAATAGTAGAACGGCTGAGGAACAAAACAGTATAGAGCGACGAAAAGGAAGGCAACTGATACGATAGCGACCACAGCCAAAGATGGGAAAACCAACTCGATACCTGCAATGCTGAGGGTGGGGATGGGGCGATAAAAGATCCACCGAAAGACCGCTATCACCTTGTTCAAGCGAATAAATCTTTGAAGGAGGGATTCGCGTCTCGGGGGGCACATAGCGCGTTGTTGGTGGGAAGAATTGCATGCTTGAAGCATCAGTGCCTGCACTGGGGAGTTCGTATTCGTCCGGTGTTGAGGAGCCATAGAAAGTCTGAGGACCGCTTTCTTTGTATAGGATGATTCTTATCTTGTCGCTATAGCCATGGTACAGTCGAATGAGAGTAGTAGTTACCAGTAGAACAACCGCGAAATAGATGAAACCATATCCATATTTTCCAGCCTTACGGAAAGAGTCCCGGTTCATTTCATTCTGTTCGGCCGTGGTGGTGGATGCCGTGACCTCGACATAGACTCGCTTGGCGAAAGAGAGCATTTTGTCCGACATTTATAATGGTCGTACCGAGGACGGGTGTATATTCAAGATGCCTAGTCGATTGGTCGCGTGGTGAGTCTAGTGCTTTGCTTTGCCAACGGAATGACTATCTGACCTACCGTTATTCTTCGATATAGAAATGCAAGATGATAGATGAATATCGCCTCCCCCAAGTACTATTGTCGCACCGAGTGCATATCTAGGAAGGAGCTGTCCAGGAAGCAAAATAATATGAATAATTCACCAAGGCCGGAAGCAGGATAAGGAGAGCACGGGGGGAACACCCTTCTAGATGTATGAGATGCACCAGAGCCCATAGCGGGGGACCCACTAGCCATCTTGCAGGCCCGGACTGAGTAAGATCAGCCACACCGTCCGTCGACTGGTTGGCCAGCAAGGAACCAGCCAATCCAGGGTTTATGGCCCGTGAATGGTCAACTTGCGGTGTCAAATCTCACGAATCGGGCGTACCGCCAGGGACGACCGCAACCTTCGGACCTCGTGGGGGAGTAATGTTCCAGTGATGAAGGATGATTTAGCGCCGCCCAGACCAATCAGGGGCAACCGATGTGGTGTGCAAGGTGACTGGGGTGATCGGGCGGCATTAGCGTCAACTGGTGGTGGGGACTTGTACTCCTTCCTTGCACGGATCCTCCACCAACACACCAAAATGACAGAATCGGAAGCCGGCATCGTACCGTTCGTACCTTGTTGATGCCGCGCTAATTTTTGCAATCGACTCGGAAAATATAGGTTCATCATTTCTTTCGACGTATCCTAGATTAGTCCTTTTGAGCCGATGTGTGGGAGGTAAAAATAGAAACACGCGAAGGATTTGCGCAGGGAATCGGATATCTACTGGTGTAAAACACTCATGAATCATGAATTCATGAACGGGCATCGATTGAAAACTCCCAGGGCATACCTATTGGACATATGTTATTCACTAATCAGATTGGGCAGCTAGGCACTTCCAATCATTCATACAAGACCGATGCTTACCTAGGCACCTGTTAGCATTTGAATGTGACGAGTTGGAGTAACTGATTATGCGGGGTTGATATTCCGTGGGCCGTGCATGAAAGCCAAGTGTAAATCTGCTCCCGCAGATAGGAAGCTCAACATCCCATTTCATTGACATCACAGCTCAATTTTACGAATCCTGGATTCAGCCATCGAATATCCAAAATTATTTCCTCTAAGTGAAATTCCTTTTAGGCGTAGTGAACTGTTTTTATCTATGGATTATGAGGCATAGTAGTACTAAGTATGCTGCTTGTGCTTTGATCTCTCTGTGGCTTTTGTGATTCATTATATCACACCAGCTTGCCGATTTCAAAAATAGAATCCCAGATATGCTGAAATAAGTATGGAATACCCTCCAGTGAGTCAAAAATAGCAACAGATTTTGTGTTGAATGCTTTAATTCTGGCATAATGGTATGCCGCATCCAAATAGATCACGTGAATTGTATAGATTGGTTTTGCGCCTCAGGCAGCAGGGTGACCGCCTCTAGGCGGAGGAATACTGCCCAGTAAATGAATATCACTTTTTCCTCGACAATCGGAAAGCTCAAACTAGGAATTGCTATAGCTCTAACTTCTACACCACCGAGCGCCACAATGACTTCCTCAGATACGGCAGCACCTTTGGTGCCCCCATCACTCTCTTTACCCCCGTCACAATTTGCTCGTCTGCAACCACACGCCTACCTACTCGCTCATCTTTCCCCGCCACCAGCAACGAACCAACCTTCCGTCCGAGCGAATGGCCGCGCTACGTCCCAATTCCGAGTCACATCCGCCAATGCAGGCTCCCTGACCCACACAAATGGCAGCGCTGTGGTCCGTATCGGCGACACAGCTGCTGTATGCGGTGTTCGCGCAGAGCTTCTTCACACCGAGGATATTGCATCGTGGAGCGTATCCGAGTCTTCGTCCGCTACAAACAACACATCCAACGGAGATGGTAGCGAACAAAGCGAAGAGGACCGCTCTCATATCGAAGACCTCAATTTGCTCGTCCCTAACCTCTCCCTGAGCACCGGTTGCGCACCGGGCTTTATTCCTTCTGCTCCACCTTCTGCCCTAGCCCAATCACTTTCACATCAGATTCTGTCGCTTCTTCACAGCTCACGTATCGTCAAGGCGGATGATTTGCGCATTTGGTACCAACCACCAAACCTGGGACCGGAGGATTCAGAACGTGATAATGAAATGGATGTGGATGGTCAAGGCACTGGCAGTACGGAAACCCAGCCTCGCGAGATCAAGGCTTTCTGGGTACTTTACATTGATATCATGATCATCTCGCTTGCGGGTAATGCTTTCGATGCGGCGTGGGCATCTGTTCTGGCTGCGCTGCGCGATACAAAGTTGCCCAAGGCTTGGTGGGATGTGGATAACGATACCATTCTTTGCTCAGAGGATATCAACGAAGCTCACAAGCTTTCACTCCGCGGTATGCCGATTGCTAGCTCGTTCTGTGTTTTCGAGGGTGACGCCGCTGCAGGATGGCGCGCTGTTGCTATCCCGGATGCCGAGAAGAAGAAGCAGCAGAAGGGCGCCCAGGCTAGGTGGATTCTTGCGGATCCTGATGGATATGAGGAAAACTTGACACAAGAAAAGGCTGTTGTTGTTGTTGATAAGGAGAATGATGGAAAGACTGTTATTTTGAAGATGGAGAAGCTCGGTGGATGGACCATTGATACGGAAGAGCTCCGACAATTGGTTGATATCTCATCGCAGAGATGGGATCAGATGAAACAGATACTAGGACAATGCTGAAAGCATGAAAAGAAGATATGATACCACATCTTTAGAGTTACTGAGATAATGAAGCAATTTTTTTTTTCTAAACATGGACTGTTTCGCTTTTATTAATTAACACAAGAGGACTGGGACAAGAATCGAGCAAATAGCGACACATGGGTTTGCTTCCGACTAAGTCGGCTTTCTGGGAGTCCCGCGGCGTTTCTTCAATGGGCGTTCATCATCGTCGTCGATAGGGCCGGGGAACATGACCGGCTGCCCATCGTTAGTGGTAGACTTCTCTTTAGAAAGTCTCTTGCCTGAGAAAGAGAGAGAAAATGAAATCAAACTCAAGTCGTCCTCGACGTCCTTGGATTTGGTTTTATCAGCGTCGGACTTTTCGGCCGTCTTTTTCTTGACATCCTTCTGCCTTTTGTCCTCAGGCTTGGACCCGAAGACAGTCATATCACCAGACAAAATGCGTGTGAAAAAGCCCTTGATTCCACCGTCGGCGGCTTCGGTTTTTTGATCTGACAAATCGTTGGCGGAATCTTGTTTTTCTTCCTTTTCTTCCTCTTCCTCTTCCTCTTCTTCTTCGGCATCGGAAAAGTCTGACATCTGACTGACTTCACCACGGAAGAGGGCTGTGCCCCAAAGCGAGATCAGAATACCAGGAACCAAGTAGAGAAGAGCAGGCTGGGCATGATGGAAGTATTGCATAATCAAAAGGGTGGCAACCATGCCAAAGAAGTAGCCAACAAGGCTGGCTTTGAAGTAAACCTTTGGGAAGGATCGAGCATCGTGGTATGGTGGCTTAATTTCTGGTTCTCCCGTCTTTACTGACGGTGCCCAGAATCGTTCACCCCACGAACCAGTTGCTTGCTGGTATTCAGGTTTGGCTGTCTCGTGCTCCGGGCCTTCGATCTGGGCCTTTTGAGCTCCCTTGCGCTGATAGTAAAGGAATAGATCGAACCGTAATGCGAGACAGACCATCATACCCGGGATCACAATGTCTCCCAGGCCTAGCATAGCATGGGATTGCATACCATCCGCCTCGGTTCGGGGGAACATGAGCTTGATGGGGACATCCAGACTTTTGGCAACAGTGACCATCACGGGAGTATAAAAAACAAAGTAAATATCATAGAAGAACAATGACATTAAGATCAGGGATCCAGTTCCAAAAGTTGTGGGGGACATAAGCTGCAGAGCACCATAGGAGAAACCAAAGCCGAGGAAGTTGGTCAACCACCACGGCTTTTCCACAAATTGAAAGTAGCCCACAGCGGCAAGGGCGACGATTCCACTCAGAAGGTCAAGGAGGCCCACAGGGGATTTGAGGTTGAACAAGCCACGAACGTGGAATTTCAGCTTTAGCCGTTGATAAACAGCATTTCGAAAAGCCCACAGTGGCTTCAGTGCAAATCCTGGTAGTGGAAAGGTGCCAAATACTCCAGGAAGAGGTGAATATCGTACATGATCAGCACCATTTATTTTGTCGGGAATTGCGGCTCTGCACACATGCTCGGACTGATCCACCTGGTAAAATACACCTCCATGGCGATAGTATTTTGGGAAGATCAAGGAGCGAGCTACCACCATAATGTCCTTGAGAAAAGATAGAGAAAAGAACACACCCACTTGCGAGAAGTAGAAGCCGAGAATCTTGTTTACAATGTCAGCACCTTCGAGCCATTTGATGGCCATGTACAAGGAACATAGTGAGATGCCCGCAGTTAAAGGGAACATCAAAGCATCAGATGGCTGGAGTCCCTCTATTCTCTCGACAGGACCCTGCTCATCTTCATCGTCATCGTCATCGTCGTTTTCATCATCATCACGGTCTTTATCAGACTTCTTTGGAGGCTTGGCAGCAGAGGATGGTCTTGAGAGAGAGGCATGTGCAGAAATCCAGAGTGGAAACATAGCAGAAACCAGTAAGTGGCTGTAAAGAGAGAGATGAGGCCTCAACTGGTCGAAGTAGTAGAACGCATGAGCAATGAGCTCAACGAGGGGGTTGATATTGGCCTCAGCCATGATGATTCCTTGGGCTGGGCAAGCCGGATAGCCAAAGAAAGACTTGTTTCAAAATTTCAAAATAAAAAGAACGAGAGACAACAGTCCAGATTTAATCCATTATGGGCTGAATGAGTTGTAAGGTGGAAATGATGCAAGTTGTTAAAACCGCTGCAAACTGCCGCGCCAAGCTCCGCCTTTGCTCTTCTCTTTCTCTCTCCAAAGGAACTGCGATCGCATCTTTCAATCCATAAACAACCTTCAAGATGTCGACCGACGTGGTGTTTGATACCTCAATGGTAATTCGTGCTCTGATGAATTTGTTTCTCTGAGTGTGGCTAACTTTTGGTAGGGCGCTTTTACTGTCGAGCTCTACAACAACCATGCGCCCAAGGTGAGCAGCCACCACCCACCCCCCACTCTTTGTCGCAACGAGCCAGAAGCTAACAATAAGCCATCTAGACCTGCAAGAACTTTGTCACGCTCGCACAAAGAGGCTACTACAACAATGTCATCTTCCACCGCATTATCCCCAACTTCATGGTCCAGACCGGCGACCCTACCGGCACCGGCCGCGGAGGCAGCTCCATCTACGGCGAAAAATTCGAGGACGAGATTCGCGACGACCTCAAGCACACAGGAGCTGGTATCTTGAGCATGGCAAACAGCGGTCCCAATACGAACGGCAGTCAGTTTTTCGTTACCCTTGCGCCAACACCGTGGCTGGATGGAAAGCATACAATCTTTGGGCGGGTGAAGAGCGGCATGCGGGTTATCCAGCGCATGGGTCTGGTCAAGACCAAGGGAGAGGACCGACCTGTGGATGATGTCAAGATCATCCGGGCAAGAGTGATTGAAGAAGGCGCAGAGGAGTGAAGCTGTTTGAAGCTCCGCACCACCCTTTAATGCCGCTGCACTTGCAGGGAGGATCTTTTTCAGCTTGTTCTCTACACGTTTTGTTTGAGACAGGCAGGAGATGCATGCATGGCTTTGCATAGATGATATGACCCAGAGATTTAAGGCTTGTCAAATAGGACAAGAGCACAAGCAAAGCGCACACCAGCAGAGGGCCACGACGCTCCGCCGGAACAACCCAGCCAACAGTTATTTTGGTCTGTGTGTTTAGGCAATGACCAGAGCACGAATATATAGTTCTAGCATCTATAGCAAATCAATTCTCTACGAGTGCAAGGAGAAGCAATAACTCCAAGCTATGGTCAAATGAATGTGTCACTACAAAACGAACCGCTTCCATCAGATGTTTCCATTCCGGAGCAGCAGATACAGAGTGAAGTCTCTCTAGCACTCCCACGACGAGATCCAGTGAAGGCTCTCGCCATAAAACCCAACATTGCCATTGAAAGCAAGTTGGGCTGTGCAAAACACTGGGAGTGGCATGAGGAGGAAAAAGGATTGCTGGGCCGAATAATTTTGCTTAAATGTGGGTGGATGAGTCATCATGCATCACGTGCAGCCCACTTGTTACAACTTACAGGCTACAGCTTTGGGGGCTTGTAGCTGCTGCTGGATAGGACTACGCGCGATATGATTTTTATCTGATATTTTGGCTTTCTTATAGGCTATGCGTGATCCTGCTTTGATCTGATATTTTGGGTTTCTTATAGGCTGCGCGCGATCCTGCTTTTATCTGATATTTCGGTCAACTTTCCTTATAGGTATGCTTGGTCTTAAATCTCTCATATGACTTTTGGTTTTCACGCAAGCTTTCAGAGGTACTAGTCGCATGTATATACTGTGCCCGGTCTCAAATATTTCACAAGATTAACAAAAAGACTAGACCAACCATGAGCCTAGGGCTGAAGGTCAGTTCTACACATGCACCTTTCTACGTTGATCATTCAAAAATGCCAAATATGCTTAAAATATTACGATTGTCTGGATTTTGACATTGGAGATAGTCATTTGTGATTTAAAGGGAGGCAAGGACGGCATCGGCTCCAGACTTCTATAGAGTTGCAACATAAATTAGCATTTCGAACCAAAAGATAACGGCAAAACCAAAGAAAAAAAAAGCAGTCTCTTACCTTAACGGCACCTCTCTCGGTCTCGATCTGGGCATAACTAATCTTGCCGTGGTCGATGACAATAGCATAACGGCCGGTGCGACCCGAGGCAGCGTCAGCCCATCCAATGCTCTTGGAGAAGGTGGCATCGGGATCGGAAAGGAAAAGCTATTTCACAACGATAAGTGATTGATCAAAAGGGACAAATCGAAATTACCCGAGGTACTCACAATGCTATCGCGCACTCCATTGACCTTGCCCCATGCGCTCATAACAAAGGGATCATTGAAAGCGAGAACCGCAACAATATCGACACCCTTCTCTCTCAGCTTGGGGAGGTTCTGGATGTATCCGGGGACGTGGTTGACGGAGCAAGTGGGGGTGAAGGCGCCTGGATATGTTAGACGGGACTGAGGGGGTTTGGGTTTGAAAATCCTAACGAAATTCACGAACCAGGGACTGAGAAAAGGACGACCTTCTTGTCTGCCCACTTCTCGGAGGCATTGTAATCAATTGGGATCCCGCACGAAGAGGCATCACTGCTCTCTTCAGTCCAAGGGATGTACCTAAGAGTATACGATTAGCAATGTGTTTGGTTGTTTTTTTTTTGCTTTCGAGACCGTACTTGAACTTCACATCAGCAGGGAAAGTGTCGCCGGGTTGGAGGGTAGTCATGATGGGCAGATATTTGTTTTGTGAGTGTTAGGAGAAGGAAAAGTAGATGAGTTCAGAAGAGCTTCGGAGGGGACAGTGCGGGGCAGACCGCGGTTCCATACAAGTGTGGATACCTTGTGGGCAAAGCTTATTAATGGCCGGAGCCCGCCGATAAGCAAAGACCAGTTGACGTCTTTGCCCTTGGATTAGTTGAATCCTTGGAGTCAAGACTCATCATGTTCTTCTAGTCACAGTAGAAGATTTTATACCGGGGAGGGATCTAATGAAGCTCACATGTGCAGTGATCTAAACCTCCGTTCGGTGTTTGTTCTACGGACAAGTCCGACATTAATGTTGAAACTTGAACGACAGATGTCGTGCTCAAGTTACCATATATATACTTTAGGTGAACCGCATTCAAATATTTGAACATTCGAACCTGTGATACTCATGAATGGTCAATTGATGTCTCTCAAGTGCTCCTTATCCGTTCCTTCGAGCCCTGGTCAACACATGTACATTGAAAGTCTGATTACTGATGTTCTCAGCACTGAGTCAAGACTCAAACTCTGATCGATACATGTAAAACAGATTTGTTGATGTTTTTGGTTTAATGAAACATTGAAAGTCATGAACAGAATTTACTCTTCATAGTAAAAACCAAACCTCAAATGCTAATCATTCAGAGGCCAGTAATTAATAAACATGATATCGATGCAACATGATATATGTACTGTAAAAGTGATGCCTAATTTCAAATTCTGATGTTGCGGAGACCTGCAATCAATGCTCGGAGTGTATCAATGTCAGATTCTGGATGGTTCCCATCCAACACGTCCTGAAAGTCTCGGCGGCGCTGATCTAGTCTCCTTTCAACATCCTCAAAAGCGGCAAGGGAATCACGAGCTTCTGTTACTATTGTGCGGGAAGTTCGGGTCGGTTGATTTGAATTTCCAGTCTGGGGTCCACCCGGGGTTGATTCTGATGCGCATGCAGATGTAGGTGTGGTCAATGCAGAAGGAGGAACACCAATTTGGGTGTCATTGAGGCTGCACTTATGTGAATACTTTTCCAACCTCGACTGCCGGTTTCTGCAACCAGTTCTTCCTGGAACCATCGCACATTGGTGAAATGGGCCGTAGGTTGACTGTTCGATCATAAAGTACTATGTTTCCATAGCACAATTCCAAGAATGCGATAAGATATAGACATTGCAAGGTACGATACCGAGTATGATGAATCTCTCGACCACGCTCGACGCTGCCTTGCTGACCTTTTTCTCGGGTGCCATGGTCGCGAGAATAGAAAAGAGTCAGATAGTGCTGGATATGGGAGAATAGAGATGGAAGGGAAAGTATCAGGGAAGAGGATAACAAAAGGAAGGTAGTAGGACGCACAGGGGCGCGTCCTCGCAACGTCTGCGGCGCAGTCTAAGTTCAAAATTGAAGGTATATCTCAGTAGACAGGTACTAGGCGCATGTGCAGAGCTGTGGGGTGTCTACTAGGTACGCAAGTGCTTAATACTTGAGATACATGTAGGTATACACTCAGTCCTCGAGATTAATACCTACGTACTCAGTGCCTGTAAAAGAGTATGAGTTTACATAGTACTACTCAAGTGAGATAGGTGCCCATTTTGTTCTCACTCTCCTTTCAATATTATTTGAATATATCCTAATTATCAACTACAGTCGGTGTACCGACTGGGGAAAGAATCCTCCCACACTGGATGAAGTTTACTCGACAAGGTAAGTCGAAACATCTTTTCAATCGTTTCAAGTCTCGTTAATGCTCTCTCTTCTAGAAAAAAATACAACTCTTTGACGCGTACACTGCGCATCATCGTCATACCAACAGAGATACATGACACAGCCCATGACTGGTGGTACCAAACCGCGATGCGAATCGATTTATCCGGAGCATGCACGGTATACGAGAGATCTCAGTTGAACCCACGAGTGGAAACAAGTAAGTCAAACCACGCGTTTCTCAATCGAATCCTTGCTCAAAATCTACTCTAGCATTGGAGTTCTGTCATGGGCTATGGCCCATATCGATCATGTAACGAAATTTCGCGCAAGTATCCGAGTAGTGTTACCCGGTCACTGACATGCTACCACTACAAGCAATATTACTGTTTTGTTCCGGAGGGAACCTCTCGCTCAATTGGTTACCTCATCAGCAAGAAGGTTAACACACAAGTCACTTCGACAAGTGAGTTCGGATTCGGAGCGATAACCCTAGGGGGATCATACTTGAGCGACTTCCACCCAATCGCGCATCAAGCAATCAATTGGGCGGGGGCCTTCGATGACAAGATCGACGACCACCCAAGAGACCCGCGTTGTCATGACATTATGGCTACCGACCATACGCAGGCAACTCTGCTCCTAAAGGACTGCTCGGAAGCTTTGATTGTACCCCTCACCTTAATTGCTGAGTATAATCCTTTTATTACTCTAAATTGTGGTTTATAGAAGTCTAAGACAGACCTTTCGATCGGATCTATGTACCTTATCAATAGATTTAACTCTATACCTATACCAACTGCTAATACTACTATAACCATAATCAGAACCTCTATATACTATTATAAACTTACTCTTAATAAAAAGAATAATAAGATAGAATTAGATACAACTAGTAATAAAGGAATAGGTAATATTAAGTCAGAATTATATAGTAATAAAGGAACATTAGATAATACTAAGTCAGAACTATATACCTTAATAGATATAGAAGAACCAATTTATAAGCTAGCTACCCCAGTTTACAATTATAAGCCCCCTATTATAATACTTATCCTAAACACTCCTAGTACCACCATCCAACCTATAGTTACGGCTCTAACTCACTTTACACCCAAAGAGTTCAAGGCCATCATCAAGCTCATTACTAACTAGTATACATCAGACATCAAGACATAAGCTATACTTACTATATAGTATACCTTAATTAAGTACTAGCTCATAGTACTCAACATAAATATACCCATTAAGATAGTAAATATCAGTAATACAATCATAAATATGGTCGACCCCGACCTTCAAGAGGTAGCAACCGAGCTAGCAAGGCTAATAATAGAGCATAAGGCACTTTGATCGTTGTTTTTTATTTACTCTAGATTATTATACTCCTACTTCTTATTTCGCTTACTCTAAATTATTCCACTTATATACATTCAGCTAGTTCGTTTACCATTAAATTGTTACGCTTTCGTTCATTCGACTATTTCGTTTACTATGTTTATCCAAATTGCATTTGCTTGCTATGTATTTTCATGCTGGGACAGCATTTTGTCCCGACCAGGGACCTGTTACCCGGTCACCCCCTAATGTTGCCGGGCGTCACCGCCCTATATCACATGGCGGGCGATCGCCCGATGATAGTTATGAATGCATCCATCCACCAGATTATGCTTCCATGCTGTAACAAGTAGTAAGGGAGGGGGAGGGGAGGGGGAGGGGAGGGGAATGACTTTTCCACATCTAAATTGGAGACAAATCTGTATAAAGCTTTTATCCGCCCTCAGTTCCCCGCAAAGATAGTCGTCATGCAACATGGCTGCCAACGGGTAGAATATACCCTGTGTCAACAAGTTCCAAATCCAAGTGGAGAAGGCCCGGAGTCTTAAAAAATGGCCCGAAGTGTGGGGGTGGAGCACCCGGACCAAGACATGACGGATATTCAATCACCCATTTTCCTTCTAATAGCCACAGCTGAACGTCCCAAATTCCTCAAACCTCTAAACCACCTTCACCGTCACCATGTCCTCTCAATGGCCCCCTCAGCATAAAAATGAACTTGGCATCGCCACTCTATCCCTCGGCAACTGGAGAGAACACACCCTCACCCCACGACTCGAAGCGGCGGCCAAAGCCGGGTACCAATGGATTGACCTATTCGACGAATGCTGGGCCGCATACCTAGTCGAACACGGTCTCTCAGCCGAGCAGCTCTGGGAACCCACCGCGGAGAACCTGCGTGTCGCACGGAAATTGGGCGATCTGGTCAAGTCTCTCGGCATGCGGATCGCATGTACACAGCCTCTTCGCATGATCGAGGGAATCAAAGACCCTGTTGAGCGACGGACAACTTTGGACCTGGTTGCGAAGCGCTTCCCATTTATGCGCGCCTTTGATACCGATCTGGTCTTTATGTGTGCCAGTATTCGCACCGATAGTGGCGTTACGTCGGATCTTAAGGTTGTTGCTAAGGATCTGGCGGAGCTGGGTGATATGGCGGCAGCGTATGCGAAAGCAGATGGTGGAAGGATGTTGAAGATTGGATATGAGGGACTGTCATGGGCGACAAGGAATACTTGGTCCTCGTCATGGGAGGTTGTGCGATTTGCGAATCGGTCAAACGTCGGTTTGATTGTCGATGCGTTCAATATTCTTGCTGTCGAGTTTGCGGATCCGTATAATCCTGCGGGCCATGGGCGTATTTACCCAACCTTGGAGGAATCTTTGGAAGTTCTGACTGGGTCGCTCGCATCTTTGGCGACGACCGTTCCTGGGGATCGGATCTTCTTCTTCCAGTGTGGAGATGCCGAGCTGATGAACCCGTCGACGTTTTTCCCTCCTGAAGATCCAACGATACCGGCACTTCTGCCCTGGTCTCGAAGCCATCGACTTTACCCGCTTGAACAATCGCGTGGCGGATATATGCCTGTTGAGCTTGTGACTGCCGCTGTGTTAGCTACGGGATATACAGGACCCATTTCCCTGGAGGTCTTCAATGCGTCTCTGAACAAGCCTGGGGATGATGTTGCCATCACTCATGCTGTTCGGGGTATTGACAGTCTAAAGAAAGTGTTTGATGTGGCAATCAAGCTTGCTCCATTTTGGAAGAACGAAGCCCATGTCCAGCAAGCCATTGGTCAAGTTATCCAGCGATTACGAACGACGAGCCATCGGTTATGATCAGAGGATGACCGAATGAACAATATGATAGATATGCGTGATGGATGTACGTTGATGAGATAGTATTCTCTTTTGTTATTTACAATTTGACATTATGCATTATAATTCATCTCCACGTTTCAACGAGTTTCAAAAGACGCCTCCAAAACCCGGGCCAAATATTTCTCGAAATAGATCTGCAAATCCATCTTCAGTAACATCACCTGCTAAGCTAGCATTTGTGAGGAAGGGGTCGTAATCAGAGACAAATGGGCCATTTGACCGGCTTGTCGCCCTATCCTGAGATATTTGTTGCTCATTACTGCAGTTTTGAGAATAAGATGACTCAATATGCAACTCTTCCCTCAAAGCCACAGACTTAGCCCGAAGTATCATCATAATATGTTGACCCAGTAAGGCCGCAATACCAAATCGATGAGATGGTGTTTGACCAGCGCGCTCAAGTTGTAGGCCAACCTGACCCAGCAGAGCAAATAGCTCAAGCTGACTTCCAAGCCGGGATCCGTATATCGCGGGAAATAATTTCAAAGCCAGGACAGCAGCATAAGAGATCATAGCCCAAGTCGGTGCTAGCATGCCGTACAATGGCTCTCCTATTGTTTCCAGATCATGTACTGCCACTTCGCATGCATTGATGGCCGCTTCAAAACAATCGTTACGAATCCCAGCCATGTTGCCGTTGTCTTCTTTGGTAGTATGGAGCGCAATTGAGAGAGTCCATAGTCTACCGTGAAGGTAGACGTACCGAAGGAACGTGTTTGAAAGTTGCTCTGTTGAACATGATGCACTGGTAGCCGGCGTCCCTAGCCATGTACTGCACCAAGGCTGGAGCGCATTGTCCACGAGATCTCGTACCCAATGCGGATCAGTGTGATGTGCGTCCTCTTTATCTCGGAGGTCGCCGTTGAGGGAGGCGAGGATCCGTCGCAGAGCGATGAATGCGCTTGTATGTCTATCTGTAGGATCGGCTAGTGGGTGCACCCACCATCGTTCGATGCCTTTGGTCAGTGTTGTTTCCGGAAAACTGTGAATCCGGCCATATGCAGCGCTATTGGCTCGCTCCCATAGAAGTATCCTAAACCATGTTCTTTCCCGGTTGCGTATCAATCGTTGATCATATAAACTGTCATTTTCACACTGGGGAGAAATCTGGTTAGCCGTGGGACCTGAGGTCCTAGATGTACTGTGTTCCATGTTGTATGTAGACAGAAGTAGGCCTGTCCGAGACTCTCCTGTATCGGAGTATTGGTCTAACCCAAGCTCTGCAGCTACACCGAAGGCGTGCATTGTATATAGCCAAGAGCGCTCCTTCGCTAATGTCTCAGCGGGAGTGGCAGATAGTAGTGAAATATAGTAGCCCTGAACGATTTCAACTGATTTAAAGCCGCATGTGTGGACATGCTTCGATAGTTTCTCCCCATGTAAGCGTAGTCTCTTGGCGATTGAAGCAGACGCATGATCAAATTGCGCTGTTAAGGCTAGGACCCATGTAAATAGTAACGAAGATCGCGAGCGAACAAATTCGGCGGTATGGAGGACAGGATCCAGTATTCCGTTGATTGGATGCAGGCGGGTAAAATAGCTAAATGATAAACATAAGTCAGCGCCTATTAATGCCAGTCAATGGTGGATATGCAGGTGACCTACATGGGGAATAGATAGTGGGCCTCCTCCATAGTAACCAACCCCAAATCCACAGGGTCCACATCTGGTCCGATATCTCGAAGAGATTCTTGGACAGGTCTCTTGAAATAATTCGAGTATCTGTCCACGTTATGTGTGGGTGTGAGCAGAGCATCTAACGCATTTTCCATGCTGTCTCTGCTCAATTGTAGCCCAAGCGAAACATAGCCTGGTCGCCGCAGTAAGCGACCGAGACTTCCTGTACCCACGAGATTATCTCCTTGACCTGATGTTTCGCCCATAGAGTGTGGTGTGTTGTCGGCCGATATTGAATGAGGCTCGAGTGCCCGTGCAGCATCTGATGCGTCCGCCAGCAGTGCAAGAGGATTGCTGATTGGTTCTTGGGCATGGTGAGGCAATGTGTAGTCTGTTTCTTGCTGTAAAATATTCCCTTGGCTTTGGGAAAAGTCCAGTCTCGGTATGTGATTTGCGGTTGGTGATAAAGTTTGATATGGTTGCTCGTTGCGAAGGGGGTTTGGTGTTGCTTGCTCACTAATTGGAAAGTGCACAATGTCCTGAATTATTTCGGAGTCTGTTTCTATTTTTTCTTTTCGCATCTCCGATCGCAATTTCCGTACTGCTTTTTCGAAGCCTTGGTAACGACCTCGTGCTCCCCTTTTCCGCCCTAGCGGGCGTGGCTCTGGAATTCTGCAAGTCCGATTTGTCCGCCTGCATCGCTCGCATGGGTTTGGCGTTCGGCCACTCGCGTTGTTTGTCTCTGGGCGAATGCATCGCATCTGTTAAGCTTGTCAGCCTCGGATTATGCAGGCCTTGTCGGCTGCTTTTGGGCCTCGCTGTGTGCTTACCTTCATTTTTCGGCATGCCTCGCAGGCAGGTGCACTAGCTGGAGGGGCCGAAACCCGGTCAGTCTCTGAGCTCATGAGCATTTCCATCATACGATTGTGATAGACCGAGCCCGTTGGTGGATGTCATGGTCCACTTCGTTTGCGAGGCTGGAAGAGAGGGGCAACGCCACAACGGGAATCTGCAGAAATCCCTCAGTGGTGGAGAGTTCGGAGAGCCAGAAGCCTGATTGGGTCTTTCAAAGCAGTTCGGTCAGATGACCATAGAAACCACTCCAGTTCTGTTGCATTCAACAAGCGGCAGGATCATATTCGGTGATGGCGTTGCCGTGCTGTAATCGGTTTTCTGGGGTTCACTGCGGAGCGATCATCTATTGGTTCGATTGATAGTCGTCTCCACCCGGCCATTTAATTAAGTGACCGGCACCGCGGCAGAATATCAACCAACGAGATACTTGAATTTCATATAAAGCATGGGTAAATATTTGATATTTTACCATTCGATAAAATTATCTGCCTTCTCTGAGACAAATTTATTTCAACAGTCTGCAAAATGGATATACTCGAAGTGGATACTTTGGTCTGTGGTGGCGGAATGTCTGGCATGGCATGCGCTGCATTTGCAGCAGACGCCGGAGTCAAAACACTGGTGGTGGAAAAACAATCAAAGATTGGCGGCTCTTCAAGCCTTTCTGCAGGCATGTTGTATGTTGCTGCTTCTATTTTCTTCCACGATTTTTTTGTGATAGCACTTGCTAATTTGTGCCTCCGTCCTACAGCTGGGCTCCCCATACATACGACAAACTACGAGCCTGGGTTCCCGAAGGCGATGCGACTCTTCAACAAGCATGGCTGGATGAGTATCTTTCAGCAGTGCAGTGGATGCGAGAAAACGGCATCCCGACTGCAGAACGGTTCGATGGGATCATGACGATTGGTAAATATATTTTAAGCTGTTGCTTGCTCGAACGATTGACTAACCGCAAATTCGACGAGAAAACAGGAATTGGATTCCCAATCAAGATCCCTCAGCTTCATGAGCTACACCGCAGCCGCATTGAAGGTAGTAAGAACGGATCTCGGATTATGACGAATACTTCCGTGGTCAAGCTCATACAGGAAAGACCGGGAGTACCTGGATCACGGGTCACAGGGGCTGTGATTTGTGAACATACCCCCGGATCGAAGGACAAATACTATGAAGTCAAGGCAAAGGTCGTGGTTCTGGCGACCGGAGGATTCCAAGGCTCCTCCCAGATGACGGCCACGTACTTGGGACAGGGTGGAGATAATATCTTCGTACGGTCCAACCCAGGATCGGTGGGTGATGGTCTGAGTCTAGCCTCTAGATCAGGAGCCGGAACAACTAGGGGTATGAACACGTATTACGGTCATCTGCTGGCTGCACCTGTGCGCGCACAAGACGTGGACCCGAAGGATTATCTGCCTCTGGCTCAATATCGTAAGTGAGCAACTTTATCTTTTTACTGAACGGAAAACTGACATTTTGCTTAGAGAGCAAATTCTGTTTATTGGTAAACGAAGCCGGCAAGCGATTTGCAGATGAAACGACTGGAGATGAGATTGTCAACCAATATCTGGCAAAACAGGAAAAGCGTCGAGGCTTTTTGCTATTCAAGTAAGTCATCTACAGATTTAGAATTGACCCCAGAAGGCTAAGCTGATTCAATTCTGCTCACGATAGTGAGAAAACCCGCCTCCAACATACCGTTGGTGCACCGTTCCCCAATGCCGGCTCCATCGATCGTCTTCAGAAAGCGCGGGATTACGGATGCAATGTCGGAAGCGCACCGACTTTGAAAGGCCTGATGGATATAATTCGTCAATGGGGAGTAGATCCCGTTCAATCTGCTCGCACCATCGAGCAATACGATCAGGCTGTGCGTCTCGGAAAGACCAATGTAGGACTTGATGCCCCAGTCGGGCGAGGCGGCTCCCCACCCGCGCCTTTGGTGGATGGCGAAGGGCCATTCTACGCTATGGAAGTTCAACCATCGTAAGCATGTCCGAATACCACACTTCACCCACTTTTGCTAATATTTGACCCAAGCATCACATTCACGTACGGAGGTATTGCAATCAACAAGCACGGACAGGCCCTGACTCCTGACAAAATCTCCATTCCCGGCCTATTGGTTGCTGGAGTCGATGCTGGTGGATTTAGCAACCTGGGATATGCTGGCGGTCTTGCTCTCGCATTTGTGACCGGTTTGTGGGCTGCTCGTGGAGTCGCGCGAGAGTTGGGATTACCGGAGCCTCGTCTACCAGCTGCTGATGCGAAAGATGCGGCACCAATGAAGGGCCGACTTTAAAATCTTGATGAACTCGTTTAGCTTGAAGTAAATAGCCTGTTGGGTCTATGTATTTCCTATTATGTTACAGCTTGATGGCCTCAATAATTCCTTCTCCACTCCCAGGACATTGGTAGAAAGTAACTTGAGATAACCCAACCGATGCAAGTAGAGCCCTCCATTGCCCTTCCGAGCGTTCAAAAGCTGCAACTTGGACCATCATCATAATGCTCATGCATGCCGTTGGAAGGTCACAGTTCGTATCAGGGAGAATCGACTCGTGAAGAATGAGACGCGAATAACCTGGCTTCATTGCATCCACAATGTTTCTCAAGATAGACTGACATCGCTCATCTGACCAGTCATGAAGGATCCAATGCATGAAGTATGTCCGAGCTCCTTTTAGTTCAAATTAGCTGTCAGAAATCAGGTCTTTTGGGGTGGGTTCCATTCTTACCTTTCACAGGCTGAGGAGTAAAGAAGTCATGTGCCATCAACTGCACGTCAGGTGGATTTTGAATAGCAGAGATGACGTTTGGGAGATCCTGTAGCACGAGCTGACTAGAAGCCATGGGGATTCTCAGGCTTTCTTTAAACTCCCGCAGGTACTTTCCCTCGCCGCCGCCAACATCCACAAGCAGGACATTATCGGGAGACTGGAAATCGAAGCCATCAACGATATGTTTTTCAATATCGAACCAATCGGTCCAGCTGGGGGTGGTTTTCTGCTTCAGAGCCATCCATTGCTGGAAGTCCTTTGCCAAATCTGGATTCTGGCCAAGCCACGCGAAATAGTTGAGATCGGTGTTCAGGCCGAGTTGAAACGGAGTGTCTCCCACTGAAGAGGGGAACTGGTTATTATTTCGACGAAAGAACTCCGGAGCCTTGAGGGCACAACAGTTCCCGATGTCAAAGCTGCAGACTATTAGCGTCTCTAAATCTAAAGTACTGGGAGATGTGTTGGTACTTACCATGCGCGTGTTGTTGCTTCCATGCCGGGATCGGTCATGACCATTGTCCGAGCCGAGGGCTTGAACCTTTGTGCATCACTTTGATCCACATACCCTGTTGCCGCAAGGAGTCGGAGAAACTGGTCTGCGTAAACATGAACCATGTTAACAATTGTTCATTGCACTAGGGGAAATGGGAGATCTCACCAACAACGATCGGGCTAGCTCCGGATCTTTCTGCAATTTCCTGGGTAGTTACCCCGTGCTCTGGGTTCTCGCTGATCTGAGTGAATATGCCCAGTTGGACACCCATACGAATGGATGTCAAAATAGGAGGGCTCTAGTCATATTTGTTAGAAATTGTCTCCATGGTTCGATCCTCCAGGACCCAATTTTGGGCCGAAGTATTTTAAACCGCAATGTGGAAGTGCAACATACCATCACAACATCATTGATAATTCTCTCGACCGGTGACTCCAGGGAATCTAGTAAGTCCCGAGCAGCGCCTAAGGCCTGCAGCCGGGTAGTTTCATCAAGTTTTTCAGACTTGATTGCCCTGGCCAAAGCACTAATCTGACTTGTGATGTCGTGTTCTTGACCCATTTTTGTGTTTTTTGCGTCTGAAACTGACACTGTGGCTAATAGTCTTCCTGGGTGACAGGGGTATTAAATGGTACGATCACTCCTTTACCCCCGCCAGAATCCTTTGCTAAACATCGTTAGAGCCATTGCGTGGTCCGTTACAGTGGAGGGCAGAACAGCCGTTCGGCCCGCGCTTTAGTCTCCCACCAGGATCCGCCCATATCACCGATTGGATTAGTTCTTGCCCATGTACGGATACGAGTACTCAATTAGTACCAAGAAAGGAGAGATCATTGAAAATTGAATGTCGTTACGGATAATCCGCAGATGGTCCGGATATTTTGATTTGTACCTACATGTATGGCGCCCACTAGTACAAACTAGTAATTGGGGGCCAAATGCATCCTGCACACGAAATGGGGCATCCAAAAACCTGCGCCGGTAGATCCATTAGAATTCCCACGTGAGATCTGTAAGTCGAGAGATTCAAATGAACTATGCGGGGCGTGTGTAGGAAATTGACTTGCTTTTTGCTGAGGCTTGGAAGAGACCTGGAGCCAGCAAAGACCAAAAAGTGGCAACTGTAGTCCAATCTTGGAAGTAGATCTATAATCAATTCCTGTTGGCTTCACTAAGGCCAAGATCGGGTTGGGAAAGTAGAATGTGTCGATGTGGCTGAGAGACTGATACTTGTTTACTCTCGGTGATGTCTTCGGCCCCGAAATGGGTTGTAACTTGCCACGGACTTGTTCCCGCATCGAAATCGACTCTAACGCCCACAGATCATTGTTGATGTGCAATTGAATATTTCTTGGCAATAATAGTTAGTTGTATTGCAGCCAAGTTTCACGTTTATAGAGGGACCTAGTAACTTCTGCGTGGTCTCGGAGCGAAAAACGGGATATTGGAAATAATTCGGCAATTATGTACACAAACCCAATGTTTGAACACATGTTCATTGGCTTGCAGGAACAATGGCAATTATTTTTACACGAGATGCCCAATCATAAAAGGAGAAACACGCCAGAATCCAGATGCAACGCCAAGTGCTTACAGGTGGGGTCACTATCGGATGTTCCAACGCGCACTGCATTTAATCTATCACGAATCCTTCGAACCGCAAGCCACACATACGAATCCCTTGAGCATAGTAATGTAGTCTTTAAGAAAAAAGAAAAAGAAGCCCTTCCACGTACAAAACTACATGTCCACACATTTCCAATTTCACAAATGTAGGGAGCCCATTCAACAAGTATGGGGCAAAGCACCGAAGTCGCCTATTGTGGCGATCAATTGATCGGGATTTCCATCACGGTCGCGATTCTTCAGATGGTCGTTGTCGGTCTGCGATTCTACACTAGGAACCTGCAGAAAGTGGCCATTGGAATTGATGATTATCTTATAATTCCTGCGCTGGTCAGTCAATCTCAGTTCCTACTCTTGTAAGAGGGGAAATACTGACTCTTCAAATGTTTGTTTTGTAGCTTGCAAGCCTCGGGCAAGTTGCGCTCTACATCTACTGTATGTCGACCCCTCACATTTGTATGATGTACACCAATTGCTAATCAATTTCCAACAAAAGTGGTCAAAGAAGGTGGAATCGGTTACCACCTTGTGGATGTGATGAAAACACCACAGAAGCTTATTACATTGGAAAAGGTGTGTTTCTCTTCGATTATAGTCGCTTCCGAAGATAGAAAATGATAGTCCTGACCTGCCATGTATAGGGCCTTTATGCAAACGAGATTCTGGACTTTCCCTTCACTGTCACTCCCGCCAAGTTATCAATTCTTCTGTTCTACCTCCGCATATTTAGTCTCCGCACCTTTCGAACCCTTGCATATGTTGTGGGAGCGATTGTTCTGGGTCACGGAGTAGGAGTGCTCTTCGCCGCAATTTTTCAGTGCTGGCCAATCGCATATACCTGGGATTCATCAATTGCAGGTACCTGTTTTAACCAGCAGGCGTTTTATCGATGGGTATCTCTACCAAACATATTGACCGATGTCATCATTCTGGTGATGCCTTTGCCCTACGTTTGGAAGCTGCATACTGCGTTTGGACATAAACTGGCATTGACAGGTGTGTTCCTGTTAGGAAGTTTGTAAGTTGTCGTCTTTTCCGCTGTTACCTCTTTTCCAAGTGTCGTGACTCGTGAGTGACCTGGCCTACAGAGGAACCGTGTTTAGCATCTTACGAATGACAACGTTCTTCCAAGAGAATGCAACGACGGACCCAACTTGTATGTTTTGCTTACTCAAAAACCAAGACCAGACAGCTGACAGGTGTATATAGGGGTATCCGTCAAGCTCGGTATTTGGACTATTCTCGAGGGTGGGATCATAATTATCGCAGCTTGCCTGCCTTCCATTTGGCCATTGATATCCAAGATGCTTCCACGAAAGCTGCTCAGGACCCAGACTCCAATAAGGCAGTTGCCCCAATACGGTTACCATGGACAGTCTGCCAGCATAAGTGTTGGAGATGGGTTCTCACGACTGGGCAATGACAGCTTAGAAGTGATAAAACCAAATGGCTCCGAAACCTCCCGCGCAGTGTCCGATCGACATACCGATGAAACGGAACTAATATCCCTGCACATATAAGCGCTTTGCAGGATCGAAGTGCATGTTTATATCAGCATGCATGAATCACGGAGTTCTCATAGAGCAGATCATTGGTTGGAAAATGTAACAGTATTGGCAATTTGCTTTTTCATTTGTAATCTCGGGGATGTACAGCCAAGGTCCTCATATTGACATCATGGATGGACAAATTATTTAATGACAAGGAAAGTACCTTCTAGGGAAAGAAGGTCACTTCTCAAATTCGGCGAACTAAGAAATTTCACCCCCGCGCAACCTCACTTAGTTCTCTGCGACAAGAACACCTCGGTACCGCATTTTTCCATCCTCCAGCGTCTTGAGACTCTCCTTCACTCCTTCTAATGTCAACGGGAAACTCATCTTCACAGGCTTGATCTTGTGAAGCGCCGCGAATTCCAGCATATCGCGATGCACCTGTCTTGAAGATACAATTCCACCCTGTACCCGAAGACCCGACAACAGCAAAGGCATATACGGGATCTTAAGGTCGCCCGCATCCACCGATAATGGAGAAATCACACCACCGGGTGCCATCACACCGAGATACATTTTCCAGTCCGGCTGGCTGCTAGTGGTGACAATCAGGTTATCCAAAGGCTTCTCCAGCTTCAACTCCTTCAAGCCCTTGGTAGCATGGAATTCCGTGGCACCCAACTTCAGCGCCTCCTCCTTCTTGCTGTCCGTGCCAGAGAACACAACCACCGCACAGCCCATCTTCGCAGCGAATTGGATGGCCAGATGACCCAATCCTCCGACACCCACGATGCCGACGCGCGCGGTCGGTCGCACCTGCGCAACGTGGAGAGCATTCCAGACGGTGGACCCACCACACATCAACGGACCCGCATCTTCACTGGCTAGATTGTCGGGGATTTTGAAAAGGAACGCTTCGCGCCAAACGGCGTGCGAGGCAAATGAGCCTTGGTCGAGGTTGGCGCCAGCGTACATCTTTCTCTCCGGACACATGGTTTCCCACCCTGTTTGGCATTGGCGGCAGTGCCCGCAGCAATCTTGCTCGTATCCCCAGCCTACGCGGTCGCCCTTTTTCAAGATGTGGGCGTCCGGCCCGGTCGCTTCTACCAGTCCGGTTCCTTCGTGGCCGAGGGCCATGTCGGCATTCTGATAATGGAGGTCGGTGCCACAGACGCCGGAGTGGGTGACACGGACGAGCACCTCGTCTCGCTTGAGGCCGTCTTTGCGCGTCGTGCTTTGTTGGATTCCATCTTTGGAACCCTTGAATACGGTGAATTCGATCGGCATTGTTGTGAGCTGACTTGCAATTGGAAATTGATATGTGTTTCCAATTTCAATTGAGACTTCTCATTCGTTTTATAGCATTGTCTTAAAAATCAGTTCTCCTACGTCATATCTTCACGAAATATTGAAACACGAGAGCCACTTGGAAAGTTACATCTCCAAAGAAAATACTGGTGATGTAACCTGTTTCGTTATCTAGCGGCTAGCCGGGTCGAGCTGGTCCACTGATATCACCTCCCTTGACCGGGTTCGTCCTGATCTGCAGCTTGTTGAAAGAGAACTTTATCCACTATCAGAACCTTCTGTGATTCTGAGCAATCTATGAATCATATTTTCAGCTGGAAGGGACAGGATAAACTTGGTCGGATTTTCTCTAAACCCGATGCAGCCTAGCTCGAAGGAGCTTGATTCATGTGAGAAATCGAACATTGTGCATAAATCAAGCCACGAGGTCATGCACGCATGCCTTATCCAACAGACTCGGATTTCTCGGAAACTTTCTCGTATTTCAGGTTGAATGACTTTTGTAGTAGAGATTCTGAATAAGCGAACAAGATGTCAGCACCCGGACCACACAGCTCCGATGCTGGCCGATTCTGGCAGTATTCCAAGCGGTGAGCCCCATTTGACCCGCGGTATCGGGTGTCCCAATTAGGAAGTGTCGAAAAGTCAATTTCGTCGAGGATTCAGTTTGTTTTTTTTCCCCAAAGTGCTTTGTTTACGATTCAGAAGTTGAATGAGCAACGTGACGAAGTTGCTGCGACGGGGATCAAGATGATTCAAGTTCATGGCGTTGGTAACGCGAATGAACCTGCACATGATACTGAAAAAGATGCCGCCTTGGCGGTTGTGGGCGATGTAGCACAGGATATTGATCCAGTTGTGGCAAAGCGGGTGTTACGGAAAATTGATTTGTACTTCATGCCGGCAATGTTGATAGGTATGTTTGCTTTTTTTATCGGAGATTTGAACATTTGAAAATTAACCACTGTCATTTGATTTAGGTTATGGCATCGTTTATTGGGATAAGGTATGAATCTGATAGATCATTCTTGAGATCCGTTGGTGGAATGAAGCTTATTGACTGCCTCTCAAGGCTATCCTTGGTAGTGCCACTCTGTTTGGAATGACTACCGATCTGGCATTGGAAGTCGTGGATTATTCAACGACCCCAGAGACAGTCAGTACCTCACGTCTCAGTTGGGCAACGTCGGTTTTCTACTTCGGCATGTTGGCAGGATTGTACCCCATGACTCTGGTCTTGCAGAAATTCAACCTGCGCTATGTCTTCGGTCCTGTCGTTCTACTCTGGGCTATCACTTGTGCAGCAACTGCCAGCGTGACATCCTGGCAAGGACTTTTCGCCCAGCGGTTCTTCCTCGGTAAAGTTTCTCTCTAGTACTCCTTGATCCTTGGTATTATTGTGTCTCTAATACCCTACAGGAGTTATTGAAAGTGTCATCCCCACTGGTTTTATGACCATAGTGAGTGGGTATTACACCCAGGAAGAGCAGACTATGCGACAGGCTTGGTGGTTCTCCGGCGTGGGTTGGTTCACAATCATTGGTAGCGCTCTGAACTATGGTTTCGGCCAAATCACCGCTGGCCATCTGAAAAGCTGGCAATATATCTACATCTTCGCTGGTGTGCTCACCTTTCTGTTCGGTCTTTGGTGCTGCGTCATGCCCAACTCCCCAGTCACTGCCTGGTTCCTTACTCCCGAAGAACGATTGGTTGCTGTGGAGCGGCTTCGCAAGGGCCAGACGGGTGTTAGATGCCAGCAGATTAAATTCAGCCAAGTGAAGGAATCGTTGACCGATCCCAAAATTTACTTGGTAGCTCTTATGATGGCAGCAGCGTGAGTGGTCCCCATGCAGCTGACATATCCTTCATCGGCTAATTTCATCAGGTACACAATCAATGGAGCCATCTCTGGATTCGGACCCTTGATTGTATCGACCTTTGGGTACGACACTTTGGACTCGATCCTGTTCCAATTCCCCGTTGGTGCAATCTGTCTCATTTTTATCCCTCTTTGCGGATACATCCCCACAGTCATCCCCAATACACGCATTCCAATGCTCATTTTATGCTGCCTCCCGGTCATCGCCGGCTGCATTATGATCTGGAAATCTCAATGGGGATACCACCCCGCCACTCCAGTTGTTGGTTATACTCTCACAGGTTTCTTTGGGCCGGTCGTCAGTTTGATCATTACGATTGGCGCCAGCAATGTGGCTGGAGCTACTAAGAAAACCATCATGGCTGCTACAACCTTCGTGGCTTATACAGTTGGAAATATCATCGGGCCCCAGCTTGTTAAAAGCAGTACCAAGGCTCAGCATTATCCAGAGTTGTGGCAAGGTATGATCATTTGGTACGTATTGAATTGTCTTTTATGTTCTATGATTCAGAATCTATATTGACTGACTTTTTTCAGCTACTGCATCACTATCGCCGCTGCTGTCGCTTTATACTTTGTGCTCTGGCGTGAAAACAAAGCCCGCGATAACATGGAACTCGATGAGGTTCTACGAGACAAGATCGCCTTTGACGATCTCACGGACAAGGAGAACCCGTTCTTCAGATACGTTCTGTAAAGTGAACATCGTCCAGATGTCCCTCAAATGGGGCAAAAAATGTAATTAATGCACTACCAATTATAGATAGGCTGATTGGCTTCTAATATCGAACATTCGAATCAACTCAGTGTTTTGTCTCGCATACCTACAGAAGAATCAAATTTAAGCAAACCAATTAAATAGAAATAGCATCACGGAATCTTCACGTAAGATTCCGCGCCTTACCCCGCAAAACCGCGTGTTTATAGATCACCGAAAATCGCCACTAAAAAAGAAATGATCAAGATTTAACAAACAAGACGACTTTTATGGATGAATCAAAAACATGTGGAATGGTCCCCAGCGCAGAAAGTGTGGTGACACCACCCGATCCGCAATTCGAGGTGACATGGGAAAATGGCGACTCCGAAAACCCTCGGAATTGGTCAGTTTGGTATAGAAGTTTCATCGTAGCTTCAATGTCTTTTTCGACATCAATTGTGTAAGTTAGATCCCAAAGCTGGAAAGTTCCTTACTCTGGTCACGAGAATAAACAACTGATGGAAAGCCAGTGTCATTTATACAACGATGTATACGTCGGCCATTGATGGAATCCAGCAGACATTCGACATGTCATCCGACATCGTGGTGCTTTTAGGTTTGACTACAAACCTTTTCGGTCTTGCCATCGGCTGTGTGATACTGTCTTCGTTGTCGGAGATATATGGTCGTCGGACGGTGTATCTTGTCTCTATCACCTTATTCGCTCTGCTGATTCTCCCCGTGGCTCTTGCTGAAAATATCGAAGCCGTGCTTATCAGCAGATTCTTTGGTGGGTTTTTTGGCGGTGCTTGGATTGCAAGTGCCCCTGGAAGTGTCACTGATGTTACCGATGATAAGTATCGTGCCTTGGCTTTGAGTTGCTGGAGTCTTGGGGCAATGAATGGGCCTGTTCTTGGTATAAGTTCAACTTTCTCATAGTCTCTGTCTCAAATCTAACACTATTTTTCCTCTTACAGGTCCAATCATTGGTGGTTTTGTTTACCAATACCTTGGCTGGCGCTGGACAAATTGGCTCGTCTTGATTTTGTCTGGGATATCGTTTGTTTTGATGTTTCTCGTGAAAGAAACTTACACTCCGGCTCTTCTTCGACAGAGAACGAAACGAAGGCAGCAGGAAACGGGTAATTATAAATGGTGGTGTCGCTATGATCACAAAGAAGCGGGTTTTCAAATATTGAAAACAAACATGATTCGGCCATTGCGGATGGCCGTTCTTGAGCCGATATGGTATGAACTTGAAAGTACAAAGCAAGACCTCGCCATGATGAAACTAATGACTCGCTAGTGTCTTTTGGAATCTGTACGTCGGGTTAGCCTACGCAGTCCTCTTCCTATGCTTCGTAGCATACCCAGTCGTCTTCCAAGACCTCCGAGGTTGGTCCCCAGGTCTCGCCGGCCTAAGCTACTGCGGAATCGGAACCGGAACCGCGATCGCAGTTTCTCTCGAACCCCTGATCAGAAAAATAATCACGATGCACCCCAAAGACGCAATTACTAGTCGTCCAGCTCCTGAAGCTGCGGTATTTGCCGTGTGTGTGGGTAGTATTTTGATCCCGGTCGGCGAGCTCTGGTTTGCATGGACAGCCCGACCACCTGTTCACTGGATTTGGTCAATTCTCGCAGGGATTCCCTTTGGACTGGGGAATGGGCTTGTGTTCATCTATTCGGTGAATTATCTGGCAGGGAGTTATACTGTTTATGCGGCTTCGGCGATTGCGGGGAATTCAATTGTGAGGTATGGCCTTGCGGGACTCCTGCCTCTTGCGGGGGATAGGATGTATCGTGTTATGGGAGCGCAGTGGGCTGGGACTATGCTGGCTCTCATTGAGGTTGTTTTGATACCAATTCCTTTCATTTTCTACAGATACGGGCATCGCATTCGAATGCGGAGCCCTATGATTGTCAAAGGCACATGAGAAGATGGTGGATCTGAAAGGTTATATTCAAACATAGTAGCACTTGACAAGAACATTCCTGACTTGCAAAGGTGTTATGTACAACTATAACAAACATTGAATGCTCAACTCAAGTGCTCTCGAGGTCGGATTTATAAAACATTTGAAACATTTGAATGATCCCCATCCGAGGTTCAACTATCAGGCATTGGTTTCTACAAATATAAGTTGGTGGATTTAATCCCACACCGGCAGAAGATGGGTATCTAAGCCATCTACAAACAGCGTTTGTAGCCATTCCATCCCTCCGTCTATTATCTCACCTGGAAATGATAGATCCACATCTGGTTCATCCTGGGACACTGGGCGAGCCTCAGCGGAGAAATATGAAACTCTTGCCATTTCTGAAGGAATTTGGCTTTCACGATTGTTTGAATCTGTCGCTGAAATTCCAACCATCGATGGAAGTTGGTTGTGTGGATATATTTCAACATTGAGTGCTTTATCTGGCTTCTGCACTTTGTTGACATTTTGTGTAGCGCCGCGTTGCTCAGGCTCATATCCAGTGGGCGCGGTTTCATTGAAAGTCATTGGACGGCTTGTTTGCACGCATGGTCGATCAATGGGTTGAATATGTGAGGCAGAAATTCCAGATCTAGCTCTAGCCGACGGAGTCCGATCCGTATCCGAGATCCCTTCTCCAAATCGTACGGATAGAGGGGCTGGGGTAACGGAGAGCTGCGAGTCAGTTGTTACATTTAGGCCAGACTGGTCTAAATTATCATGACGACGATGGTGAGGATTTCCGATTTGAGGTCGGTCATCGGCAGGTTTGAGCGTTGCGTCTGCCATTTGATTCAATCTCCATACAGACTGTGCCATTCTTCCAGAGACCCAGGTCTTGCGGCAATGTTCCCATAGTGACCGTGCAGCCTTGAGGGTAAGTTGGCCATAATTCCGTTTGAATGAAGGTTGCTTGATGATAAGAGCCAAAGCAATGATTGTCGCATTAGTGAGATAGTGTAAAAATGGGAACGTGTATTTTGGATGTTGTTCTGGCATGCTGTTGAAGTCGTCGAATATACTCTGGGCCACGCGCATGCAAATAACTTCATTTTCGATGGCTTCTGGAAGCGGCTGATTGGGTGACCAGGCCCTTTTAAGCATTGGTTTGCGGATGAGCAGATATAACGAAGACCATCTCTTATAGAGTAGGTAAGTTAGCAACTCTCAGCAGTAAGAAAACGGGAAAAAGAAGTAATCTTGCTCATAGGACATACAATTCGCATGATGAATATCTGTTTGATTTGCCACCAGGGAAGCCCATTGATGTCAATGTTTCCAGGGGAGCGCGGGTCATAGGAGAACTCGGGGTCAATATCCTTTTGTGATTGTGTAGTTAGATGCTCCAAGTATTCATTCAGAAGAGGCGTCGCAGTTGAGTCTGAGGTGGCGGCACCATAAAGGGATTCCCAGACCTTGCCTATTACTCTAGAGTAGCTAGCCATGGCAATCAGATAAGGAACGTAAGTCATGCCGGCTTCGTTAGTTTCTTGGTCTAGATTGGATTCGTGCGGTGCGCTTTGAGATCGCGTGAGCCAATCATCGCCCACGTTGCGAGGAAGTCCCACGTCGACATTGATATCCTGGATAAGAAATGGGCGACCAGTCTCTATGGCCAGTCTTCTATCCATGAGATATAGAAACCACCACAAACGACGAGACATCTCACTTTCAAACGGTGACATTTTTTCTACCGCTCGATTTCGATGCAGACCGAGATGGTGTGCATGGGAGATTGAGAGAGCAAGGACTTTTTCAGCAGGGCCATGGGCATCGATGCGGAATAGGTAAACAACCTGGGATTTCGTCAGCACCACACACGATGAGACTAGACACGTATTCTCACCATCAGAAGGACAGTCTGGAGTACTAAAATCTGATCCGTGCACTGAATGAATCCGTTCAATAGATCTCCGAAAATATCTCGGGCAGCGTTATAAAAGCTCCAGCCTGCAGAATACCGCCCTTCTTCACCCTCAGTCCGCGAATACTCACCGCATCTGCCATTGGCAAGACACATCAAAACATGAGCTGTTTGAACTCGGATAACGCCATTTAGGTTTTGATCGTGATTTCTAGACTGGCCATGGATCAAGTTTGTCCACATGCCCTCATATAATCTCCACAGGCTGGGCAAATGAAGGAATGGGACCAGAACATGCACCTCGTCGCAGAAATTATGCAGAAGCTCATCCCATTGTTCTTGCCTAGGAACAAGGCCACGCGCATGCAGAACCTGATTGACAAATGTCGATGTTGTCTCTTTATGCTGTTCGGGAGAGTGGTCGGGAGATGGCGTCAAGCAAGATCTAAACCTGCGACTCGGTGACGCAGATCGAAGTCGCGCATATTGGACACCCATCTGCTTCAGTCGACTCTCAACAACAGTCAAATTATGTGTCAGTGACGTCTCCCCTGAAAATGTCGGTACTTGTGTTGAGGTACTGCGGGTTTCAGGAATAGAAGCCTGTCTTTCTGCGGGGTCTGTCACGTCGCGTTGTGCTTCAGTTTGGTTTGTACGAGTCCCATCACGATGTGAGTCCTGCAAGTCTCCGATCGTGCCAAAACAATTACCAGCGTTGCTCGATCTTGAAACAAAATCATCGGTCGAGCCAGATCTGGCATTTGTATTTCTCCATTTCCCGCGCATGTCGGTTCCAGTGCGCTGGCATTCGTGCCCTCTGGCTACACAAGCTCGGCACGGTGCATCACCATCGCACTGGCCAGGGCTATGTAAGCAGGCCTGCAAGATGCCGCGAAGAATGTTCCGAGGCTTACTTTGATTTTTCTTTTCTTGCACTGGGTACTGTGGCATGTCAGGTTGAATGCATTGAGTTGATTGTATCTTTTGGGGCAAACGAACCATGCTTTCGACACATATTTCGCTCTTTTCGGTCGCTTTGACAGATGTAATGCTTCATTTTGGTTGTCGTCTTGGGAGTCATCCTGACTCTGTCTATTTTGTGGCTCTGATCTCCCCATATTTCACAAATTTTGAAGATACCGAGCTCACGCCTCAGAGAAGCGGAATTCATGTGGAATGTGCATCGTAAATTCGTAATTTGTGGATAGAGCGTTGGTGGGTCTTGCGGAATATTCGGAATCTTGGAAGTTGGTGGCTGGTCCGACTTTGCCGAATGTGGAGACGAAGGAGTGGCATGGACCATGGTGTCCACTGTCAGTGGTAATACCCTGCATCGAGAACAACTCGTCTTGGGATCCATAACATTGAATTGTAATCATCTGCCCAAATGATTTTTTGCGATACTCTTGCTAAGAGATACAAGGCAAGAAAAAGCATGGAATAGGGATGGGAGACGATAACAGAAAACAGGAGATTTGCTTTCACGTGACCATGTCCCAGTACAAAGACTATAGTTACTGTACAGCGAAAATTGGTTTTGGTGGTATCCTGAGGCTAGTCTGTAACGTAAATATAACATTAGGAGCCACTAGCCCTCCTATGTAGTCGGACTCCTCTAAGACAGCAGTGCTATTCGGCTGCTTCTAAGGGGGGAGGTGTTGTTTGCTATTAGGCGGGTTTGTAGGCGCCATAAATGTTGAATCGAACCCTTGCCTTACCACACCCCTGCTCTTGAATTCTCGGCGTTCTGCTTACCGCCAGTAGCCCCTATTTAAAGGAAAGGCCCCTTATAGCCCTTGTAGTATGGTTGTTTCCTCCATCACACTGGAATCTCTAATCTGTTCATAATATCGACTTTAGTTTCTGGCTGTGCTGTTCAAAGCCTTCCCCCTACAAAATGCCACTCATTGCGTCCGAGAAAGACCTTCCTACATAACTTAACACATCCACAAAACAAGTCAAATGGGTAAAAAAGCTGGCCCTCAAGCATCTGGGCAGTGCTGTGAAGCACATCGACAGGCCTCCTATGCAGGGAATGTTTAGTCGGACCTTTATGTTGGTATTAGTAGATGGTCGTGAAGTGGTGCAACAATTTCGCACTGAGCCACTCGACCTAGACGCTTTCAAGATCGCAAAGAAGGCCTTGGGCTCGGTCGTACCTGATGCCATGGCTTTGGAAGATGAAGACCTTCTCGGTGAAGGAGTTTGGGCGTACTCCCTTACTCGTCTTTATGGAAAGATGTGGCTTCACGGAGCCGCTGGTAAAGGTGCAAAAGGTCGAATTGCTATAAACAAATCTCTCGGTCGCGTTTTGTCCAAAGGTTGCCTTGACAGCAGCAGCGACGAGGCCGTGAATAGCCGTGTCAGATCTCACCTTGAGGCCCTCTTAACGTCGCCGCTAGAGGATATCGATCCGTACCGACATCAGCTTCAAGGATTTCACGATAAGCTTGAACAGCTGAAACAGCTCCCTCTTTGGGTCGCTCACTATAACCTTAGTGAAGCAAACGTTGTAATCGATGAGGAATGCAATATCACTGGTTTGATCGACTGGGAGCTTTCTACACCTCTACCATTTGGAGTCAACTTCGGTCGTATCCACACCTATGCTGGTGAACATACGGGTGATATTCTAACGTTTAAGGTGGAGCCAGGCATTCCCTCAATCGCTGGGGTTTACGGCTGCCTCTGGGAACTCTACCTATAAATCTAGGGGCAACAAGGCTCTCAGGACCTACTCATACGTTCCTGGACTCACTTCAGCCACTTTCGGGAATTCGTAGCAGATCTCTTGGAACATTGAATAGAAGGAGCTGCCAGAAACGGTAAAGTCCAATCTACGATCACAGAGGCGATCTTGTCCCAAGCAGACCACTTTCAAAGCTGCGAAGGTCTAGGGAGGCGTCAGGGGGTCTTGAAGGATTATGAATACTCGCACCTGATGTCCAACCAGAGATTACAATTTGAAAATCCATCTATGGGTGACAATTGACGCCGATGTGTAGAGCTTTTAGCTGTTGATTGTGTGTAAAGATTTGAGAGGCTTGGAGCTAAAAGACTGCTAACAGAAGAGCCAAAGTCGCAAACAAGATTGCACAGCCTATTGCTGCCATGCTGAAAGTAAGCTTTGGGACCACAGACGTCTTTTGGGTTGACAAATGAGACACTGAATCATTCGGTGGAACTATCTGAAATTGACAGTCTTCCTGGCCAAGACGTCCAGGAAAGGATTTTCTTATGAAAAGAATCAATGGCTCCGGGACCGGCCCCGTAAGTTGACAAGTTTCATCAAACTCGTAAGGCACTTCAAACATGGTGTGCGTCTGATTTGGATGCAATCGGTTATGGCCAGATTTATTGCGTGCGCAAGTTTGGCAGAGATCTGCATGAGCACAGATCGTGCACACAAAGCGAGTTCCGTAGATATCTTTCTTGCAAAAAGAACAGAAGACCTCCTCAAAACGCTTTTTCAGGAACCTAGGGAGCTGGAACAAATATTGGGCGTTTTCTACTTGGTCAAGGAACAAATAATAGCGACCCAATCGCTCCAGAATGTACCGTGAAGATTTAGGCTCAGAGGAAGCAAGCAAGTCGCTCAGTTGGAGTATGGATCGATGGACATGCAATTTTTGAGTTGCAGCTGGGGTTAAAATGAGGTGAGGGTGGTGATTGCGTATTTCTCGTGTCAGGGGCTCATTTCCGAGGGCCTAGTCCATGACATGTCTGCCATATCCGTCTTGAAGAGAAGGGTCGGCACCAAGGTGGAGAAGCATTTTAGCAACATCTTCATGGCCGGAGGTAACAGCTAGATGAAGAGGTGTCTGTAGGAGTTTGTCGCGATTATGAATGGCAGAAGTGAGTTCTGGAAATCGTTGGAGAATATGGAGCATACCACTGGAAGCTGCAAGATGAAGAGGAGTGCGGTGAAGTCCATCCGGAAGGATCATATCTGCGCCAGCATGAAGAAGAAGTTGAACTATATCAGAAGATTCCATATGAAAAGCTGCTAACAGAGCAGATCCATGTATACCACCTTTTATACTCACATCGGCGCCAGCTTTGAGAAGCATCTTGATTGTCTTGATTCTACCAGTTAGCACAGCAGCCTGTAGGGTATTATCGTGATAGCCACCCTGTGCATTTACATTGGCGTGAGCATCGAGAAGGGTCTTGATTTTCTCGTCGCTTTCACTGTGTGAGGCAGTAGCGCCCTGTAGAGCATTACCGTAAAAGCCACCCTGGGCATTCACGTCAGCATGAGCGTCGAGGAGTAGATGGACCATCTCAGTTTCTCCAAAAAACGCAGCAGCCTGTAGAGCATTGCCGTAATAGCCACCCTGGGCATTCACGTCCGCGTCAGCGTCAAGAAGTAGATGAACTATCTCAGTGCTTCCAGAAGACGCAGCAGCCTGTAGAGCATTACCGTAATAGCCGCCCTGGACATTCACGTCAGCGTGAGCGTCGAGAAGTAGACAAACTATCTCGGAGCTTCTTTTCTGTGTAGCAGCCTGTAGAGCATTGCCGTAATAGCCGCCCTGGGCGTTCACATCAGCATGGGCATCGAGAAGTAGACGGACTATCTCAAAGTTTCCATTCCATGTAGCAGCCTGTAGAGCATTACCGTAATGGCCACCCTGGGTATTGACATCAGCATGAGCATTAAGAAGTAGAGAAACTATCTTAGTTTTGCCAGAAGATATAGCAGCCTGTAGAGCATTGCCGTAAAAGCCACCCTGGGCATTCGTATCAGCATGAGCATTGAGAAGTAGATGAACTATCTCAGAGCTTCCTTCACATACAGCAGCCTGTAGAGCATTGCCGTAATAGCCACCCTGGGTATTCACATCTGCATGAGCGTCGAGAAGTAGATGAACTATCTCAAGGTTTCTTTGCTGTATAGCAGCCAGAAGAGCATTACCGTATTTACCACCCTGGGTATTTACGTCCGCATGAGCGTTGAGAAGTAGACGAACTATCTCAGAGCTTCCTTCCCATGCAGCAGCCTGTAGAGCACTGCCGTAATATCCACCCTGGGCATTTACCTCCGCGTGAGCGTCGAGAAGTAGATGAACTATCTCAGTGCTTCCAGAAGATGCAGCGGCCTGTAAAGCATTACCGAATTCACCACCCTGGGCATTTATATCCGCATGAGCGTCAAGAAGTAGACGAACGATCTCAAGGTTTTCATAATATACAGCAGCCTGTAAAGCATTGCCGTAATGGCCACCCTGGGCATTCACATTTGCATGAGCGTTGAGAAGTAGACGGACTATCTCAGTTCTTCCAAAAGAGGCAGCGGCCTGTAGAGCAGTACCGTATCGACCACCCTGAGTATTGACATCAGCTCCGGCCCCGAGGAACAGTTCGACAACACTCCGGTACCCTCCCGATGATGCTTTCTGCAGCGCATCTCCAGCTGTTTCTTCATCAAGTATCATACCCCCAGGAAGCAGCCAATGGACAAATTCCACATGTCCACGGCCAGCCGCTTCCATCAATGCTGTAAAGCCATAGATATTTTTTGCCTCCGAGTCTGCCCCATTTTGCAGAAGTATTTTGCCGGCTTTTATCTGGCCCCGCCGAGCTGCTGAATGGAACGCGGTATTTCCATGATTGTCACTCTTTTCGAAATCCTTCCCCCATGATGAGATACAATCTAAAAGGTCATCAAGATTGGCAGCAGCAGCCATATGTAATATTGTTGTCCCTCTCGGCGGGCATAAATAACTTCCGCGATTAAGAAACCGGCAATATTCGGTCCATTGACGACCCACTTGTTGCAGGATATCTTTTTCATTCTGCAGAGCGGCAGATCTGGAGCTTGCTGCTTTTTCCGCATGAATGAACAGATAGGTGGTTGCATAATGCACAAATGGATGGTCCCGGATCAGTGCATATCGTCTTTCCTTCTCTTCGATCGGCGCCTCTTGTCCCTCCTTCTCGTCCAACAACTCATGTTGCCTATAAGTTGTAGAAAGATAAATGAGACAAGATCGGTAGAGATCTGCATGGCAATAAAGAAGAATTGATTCCTTCTCTTTGGGGAATTTTTCGGTGTTAAGATCAAAAGATAAGATCCATAGTCCTTTATCACGCAAGAAGTCATTGACCGATTGGTGTACAACCTGTACGGTCTCGTTGTTATCCTGGCTTGGGGCTATACCCACCAGTCCACCAGAGAGAGTTTTTATTCTTCGCTTCATACGGTCGTCGCTTTCGATAAAACCATGGATATCCTCCCATCTCATTGGAAAAGGCGATATTTGGGCATTCTTAGCCACCAAGGCATATCGCATTTCTGCCATGGTCAATGGTCGCTCGGCCAAACATACCCATTGAAATAACTGGAATGATAGTTCCCGATTTCTTGCCTCGATCACCTTTCTCAGAGTGTATATATAGACGTCTTCCAGACCGGCTGGGACCTCGCACAGCCAGGAACGGATTTCCTCAAATGATTCCCCCTCAATGTATTTTCGCCTTATAAGAGGCATCATTATTTGGGCCCATTGGAACAGTCCGTTGGCTTGTTGGGTTAATTCCCCTACCAGCTGTGTGGGATCCTTTCCGAGGTCAATGTCAATCAACATATCATTGATATATATGGCGATGTCCTCTCCGTTGTGATCTTCGACATGAATCTCCATAGCTCGGACATTTTCCATAATAGGGTAGTGTCGACACGAGATGCATACTTTCAGGGCTGCCTCCTTTATCCCAGCACGATCGACCAGCCGATGAAAATATGCTGCCAATTGCTGAGCGGACTCGGCCCCGGCCTCGTCTAGAGCGTCCACAAAAACTTTCACAGTCTGTTGGTTGGCAGATTCCAGGATGACGCTTGCCAGCAAATCTTCTAGCACTGACCGTGGCCATTCCCATGTTCGTTCACCATACCCAAATTGCTTGCATCGTTTTTCGTAAGATTCACGCATCTGGGGGCGCACGGTCGCGTCGCGGTCAAAAATTTGATTCAGCAATGATCTGAGCATCCCTAGCGGTGTACGTTGCAACTCTGTGCCCCGAGCAGAAAAGAAGAAGTCGAGTTGAAGTGTCTGGTCTTCAGCTTGTGATTTCTGGATCTGGAGACTTTCGTGCAGGAACTTCATCAGAGTCGATTTCCCCGCACCCGGCTTGCCCTTAATCCATAAAAGGCCACGGGACTTGTTTTTCCAGGACTGGTACTCATCCCGTTCAAAAATCCATTCACAGGTGTTGGTGTGACATTTTTCCACATTGTCCTTGCGATCGAGCATATGTGGGAATGCCAGTGACCTGCGTAACTCTGTCGCTATGGTAAGTGAGAGCTTCCTTGATTGACATGGGGGCAAGCGAACCGTTGTCTATCTGATCCTGGGTTTTCGGGGGGTCTGCATCAGAAAGCGGGCGTTAATCAGCTGCAAAAAGGCTTCAGAAGGACATGGTGAGGCGTACTGGGTGTAATGTTGATTACCCCATGATTATCTCCAAACTGGTACCCCTCGTTCGCGCCAGTAAAGGATACCGATGTCATGGCTAATGACTAGGTCGCACAAGGATTTTCAAGTTGTTTTGGCTTGAGGGAAAGTTCCAAACGCCAGAAAACACAAGGCTTAACCCCGCTCTCAGGTGACTGGGGCTGAGTCTTGGCACGTACTTTTTTTCATCAAAGGTATCAAGTGTCATCGTGTCAAGTCGCGTACTAAGCTGCGAAGGTATTTTCGATATCATTACAAACGGGATGAATGGTAATCAATACTTAAAAATCTACAACTAAGGTTCGGAATCTAGATACTCAAGGTTCCAAGTTCCGTGGGAGCTTTGAATCTTGATCGCTTGGCAGTTCTCCACCAACAGGGGCTCCACCTAACACGACCCACTGACCCGGAAGATTGAATCAAATGTTTAGTTATCCATTCATAATCAGCTAACCTCCGAATTCTCCGGTGCAGTAGACCATAACAATTCAACCATCTAGGTGAGCCAAACGGGGCTTGTCCGGGCATTAATAGTTCCAGAAAAGGAGCAACAAAAAAAAAATACCAACCTCCTCTCCCATGTGGATGATGTCAATGTTTACTTTTCCAATTTATCTCTCCTCCAAGGTCTCCCAAGGCATCAAATATGGGACTGGGTTAAGCAAAGTTTATTTAACGGGAAGCCCGAGCATCTCGCTAAATTTACGTTCCTTCTATTCTTCGCCGATATCCCCGCAATTCCACCTGCTTGCGTGAAGCCTTTGGGTTGCATAGATTTGTCATTTTAATCAATTTCCCCGCGAATTTGGACCCTTTCCCCACAGATTCTTAATCTGCGGGAGATCGCTTATCCTAGAAAGGGTCATGCACTTCCCCCGCTTCTCTCGAATTGAGAAGCTTCTGCACAGTCGAATAACGGATCCTCCATCTTCTCTCAATCTTGCAGAAAGCCGCTCCAAAAAGCTTTTCCGCCGTTGGAATACGCTACGGGTTATAAAAGGAAGCATGTCGACCTCGCTAATCTTTGAGCAATTGTCAATCTCTTCACCCCAATCAAGGCTTCATTCATCAAAATGTTGACAAGGAATTTCTCTCTCGCGGCTATTCTTTATGCTTTGAGAGTGCTTGGTGCTCCGGCTTCAACCAAGGATGCTGGGCTTCTTGTCCAAACATCTAGCGGATCAATCCAAGGCTTCTTCAACTCCTCGGCCCCCGATGTCCGTCAATTCCTTGGTGTTCCTTTTGCCGAGCCCCCTGTCGGAGACCTTCGCTTTGCTCGTCCACGAGCGGTGAAATCTAAGAAAAATGTCAAGGCAACCAAGCTTCCAAACTCTTGTATGCAGCAGTTTAGCAACAGCTCTACTATATACACCACATACGAAACGGAGTTCTTGATCAATGGTGGCAACTCTGAAGATTGTCTCTATCTTTCTATCTGGGCGCCTCGTACCGACAATATCCAGTCGGAGCAGCGCCCATTGCCGGTCTTGCTCTATATTCCAGGCGGTGGGTTTACCTCTGGTGGCCAAAACTCCTTGTACAAAATTCCGGATCAATGGGTGCAGCGAACACAATCACATATTGTGATTGTGATGAAGTGAGTCACCACGCCTTCTCCTTTCGGTTCACTTTATCTAATAAGACTTCTTCCAGTTATCGGGTCAATATTTTTGGCTTCCCCAATGCGGAAGGGCTGGAAGATCAAAATGTCGGATTCTTGGATCAAAGACTCGCGTAAGTGAACACTGGCTATGCAACTTATATATTACATATACTGATTCATGACATACAGGGTCGAATGGGTTCACGCTAATGTTGCAAACTTCGGCGGTGATCCAGAGAGAATTACTCTTTGGGGCCAGTCGGCCGGAGCAGCCAGTGTCACCATCTACCCATATGCCTATCCCGAAGATCCTCTTCTGGCAGGTTACATTGCGGATTCCGGTGGCCCAGGCATCATCACCAATACTGATACAACGCATACTAATTTCACCTTCATTGCTGGATTGGTAGGATGTGGGGACCTTAGTGCGGACAAGGAGATTAGCTGTGTCCGAAATGTCCCCGCACAAACTCTGGAGAATGCTTTATCCTACTACAGCGGCAATGGCACTAAGCCATCGGTTTCGTTCACTCCAGTCGTGGACAATAGAACCTGCTTTGCAAATTACACACAGCGTATTTTGGAGGGCAAAATTGCGCAAGCGGTTAGTGAAGCTTTTATTCTCGATCGCATCCAAGTTTATCGGCGGAATGAAATTGACAAGTGTCTCTTCTTAGCCCATGATCATCGGCAGCAACACAAACGAAGGAGCGGGGTTTGTATCATTTACCCCCGACGGACCTGGAGCCAGCGCGCTTGCCTCCACGACAAAGATCATATCTTGTCCAGTCGCCGAGGAGGTGAAGAATCGCAATCTCGTCAATTTACCAACTTATCGCTATCAATATGCCGGAAACTTTTCTAACATCTCACCCCTGCCTTGGTTCGGAGCCTACCACAGCTCGGAGTTACCGCTGGTTTTCGGTACACATAACGAATACCGTGGTCGCTCGACTGAGTTCGAGTGGGAGGTCAGCTATGCCATGGAGGCACTGTGGCTCTCCTTTGCTGAAGATCCTACGCGGGGACCTGCGCGTGTTGCGATCAGTGATGCTCCTGCAAATCCCAATAAGGAGAGCTACTTCGCCTGGCCGGAATTCGAGCAGGGAGGCTCGGATATGCTGCTCATTGCCAAAGATGATCAGCTGATGCAACTTATTTCTTCGGATAGCATTGACGATGCTTGTTGATTAAATAGATCGACCACTTGAGCGCATGTTGCCGTAAGCTTTGTCAATGATATCCATCGAAAGTCTCGTATCATAGTTCTTTGATGTTTTGGAAATTATTCTCGAGGTCCAGTTCGTATACAAAATTCAATATTCAATTTTTGCTCTGCAAAGAACTTTCCATGCACTAAAGCTATTACCAAAGGCAGATAATCTACCTGGCAAACTCAAAAGCCCAAGCCGTACTAGCATCCGTCTGATAAATCGGGAAACTCAACGTGTTCCCAGTATACGTATGCGACACAATACCGCGGTTACTCGGCGCATCCACCTCCTCCCACACATCGGTACCCGCAAATCCCCACGTCTGAATATCGACCGTGCCCGCAGTCGGGAGTCCAACAGCACTCATATTGTCAACAGTGATCTGCCAAGTGCCCTCCGTAATCCTGACACCACAGAGAATGCGAACGGTATCCAAATCCACAGTCGCGTACACATCCATCAACCGGTCGGCTGAGCCGGTGGTGTTCACCCGCTCGCCCGTCATGTTCAGGTTATAGTACTTGTAAACCTGGTACTCTGGTGCAGAGACATAGCCGGTTTCCGTGCAGGTGGTCGGGTCGGTTGTTTTGGTAAGGAGGTTCGCGAAGAGATCGTGCAGCGTGCAGCCGCTTTGCCAGTTTCCGCGAAGCCCGAAGGCGTCGTAGCGCTCCAGTCTCGAGATCCACCATGCGGCGCCGGCGGGGATTTGTTCGCCGAAGTTGCCGTACTCGTTGATGTTTACTTGGCGCGAGGGGAGATCGTATGTTTTTAACATGGCGGATAAGGAGATGTTGGCGGTTTGGAGATCGTCGGTTGAATCTGTGGAGCTTCCTTCCAGGTGGTAGGCGTATTGGTCTGGGATGGTCTTGTTGCCGGCTACCTGTGCCAGCCAGTTTGTCCACCAGGTGTTGGTGTTAACGGGGGAGCCGGCCAGTGTAGGGCCTGAGATGAGGACGTCGTTGAAATCCGCGTCCTCTCTGTTAGGAATCAAGGTGCATATTAGCGTCGAGTTCTCTCGAGGGAATTGTAGAAGGAGATACATGTACGGATACATACCGGAGAATCTTATGCGTCCGAACATACAAGTCAAGCCACTGCTGCTGAGTCCGAGCCCAGAACGTCGTCCCATCAGGTTCATTCCAAATATCCCACACCAACCCCTCAAGCGCATCATTAGCCTTAAGATCAGCCATGAGCGTACTCAGGAACAAATCATAATTCGTCCAATCTCCATCATCACCCGGCCACACCGTCGACGAATTAGCATGATCCGTGCCCCAAATATCATGCGGCAGCAGAATAAAGTCCGCGCCGTACTTGCGACAGGTATCGTAATTTGAAAGAGTCGACTTGAGCCGCCCTTTGTACTCGCTCAGACCCCAGATCCAGCCGCGGTCCGGCGCATCGAGCTGTGCGCCGCCGGCTCGGCCGTAATTGAATCCCATGTCCGTGTACCAGTGGTCGGGGATGAAGTCGGCCGTGTCTGGGATTCCATAGATGAAGCCGGCGGCCCAGTGAGTTGGGGAGCCCTTGGATAGGGCTAGATTGACTGTTGCTGTGACATCGTCTGCCTTGGCCAGTGGGGCGGCGAGGAGGAGTGCTAGAGTCCCGTAGCGAAACATCTTGATGGTCCAAGCTGTTCGGGAGCAGTCCGCTTTGTTGTGAGGTTGTGATATGCACGATACGGGCGATTGGAATGCGACATGGTGGCCCTTTTATCTGTTGGCCGGAGCCCCGTTTCTTCATCGTTATTCTTTTTTTTTTTCGGCGGGGTATGAAGCATTGTCCGGTTGCTCTCCACATGGGTGTAATGGATTGTGGAGCTCCGCGACGGGATCGTATGTTTATTTCGCTGACGAAATCCTGCGCAGGGGTATTCTGCAGCCCCGCATTGTTGCGAAGTTTCCCCGGATTTGGTCGCTGGGAAGGATTTTGAGTGTTTCACTGAGTGTTTGGGTTTTTCCGGTGGAGAGCGATGATCCTTGTGCATATGCATAACCTCTAAGCTCCTTGTAGCATTATTCCGGTGGATGAATCACGTATTCACCATGGCTTTATGCATTCGAAATTTTCTTCAATTCATTCGAGTTCAAGTGAGGGAAAAAAAATCCAATGTTGGAACCTGCACGAGCACTAGTCACCAAATATTATGAAACAGAACCCAATCAAAGAACAGACTTCCATTAAGAAACGTTAGCGAATAAACAAAGACAACCAACCCTATCATATCGCATCCCGAGGCCACTTTCTATAATCGCCCCTCTTTTTCTGCACTGTGTACAATAGTCTCATGAACCACTTTGATTCCACCCCCATGACTCTCATGGCTAGTTGTATCCCAATCCCCGTCCCCAGCCGTACAAGTCGCTGGCTGCTGACGCCGATTAGGCAAGATCATCTGTTCATCACTAACAGTATTCCACTGCGATTCACCCGGAAGGGATAGCGGGTGTCGAAACTTCTTTCGCTTAACGTAGCCATCCCCACCACCACCGGTATCTGCTTCTCCTTCTGATAGCTGGTAGCTTTGTGATCCCCCTCCGGTCTTTGTTGTGAGGTATAGTCCTGCGCGACGTGCGAAACGGCGGATGAGTGGGTAGATCATGGGTATATTGCCGATTACGACGGCGACAAAGGTTTCGCGGCAGGCCCAGCTGCCTGCTTGTTCGGCACCGTTGGCACCGGCCTTAAAGAGAACACGGTTGTTAGTGAGAGCGGAGCCGAGTGAGTTCGGGGTGGATCTTTACTGTTAGAATTAGGACGCAACGGAGAATGCCGCACATCATGACGAATAGACCTCCGCTGAAAAGGATGAGGAGTTCGAATTTTTCACGCCATCGGAGGCGGGCTTTGAATAGCATCTGTAGTATGAGGTTAGAGACAAAGTTTGCAAAGATGCCTTTTGGACAGCGATTAAGCTTACCGGAGCAGGAATGCTAATGAGGTAAATATCTGTTGCAACATTGAGTACGACAGTCACGTAGATGTCGATTTTGGATACGGCAGGTTGGCAGTGATCTGAACAATTCACACTCAAGTCAGGACAGTGCTCCAGTCAATCAAAGTAGAGGGAGTTTCCTTACTGCCTGGGTTTGGGTAAATCTGCCAGTTTTTGTCCAAGGGGTGGCACCCGAATAGAATTGAGCAAATGGTCACGATATAAGTTGCTGCAATCAAGACATAAGCAATGTGAATCCGTATACGCATATTGATCAGACCCGCTCTATAGATATTATCAGTAGGACATTCACAAAGATTAAGCTTTGCAACAATGACATCCAAAATTCTGCAGGGCTCTACTCACGTCAATCGAGAGTAAAACACGGCCATGCATGTCTTTAGCAGCCATAGTAGCAGAGTGTATAGTGACCAACCAGCCACTTGGACCTTAGACCCTCCCACTCGCAAGTGGTATTCGTGCGAGTCTGGAGATAGAGTCTTTCTTTCTTCATCTGTCATGGAATTATTGGCCAGGCCCTCAAACCATGCACCAACCATATATGCAGCTGCAGTTTCCAGCCCGTACACGACCTGAGAAATCCCGAGATTGGCAATTAGCAAAAGTCCAGAATGCCCGGCTCTGCCTACCAGGTACGTATATGTCGAATACTCACACATGCCACCAACATAATATAATCATCCGCCTGGAAATTCTTGGGCCCAACCATAACCCATCGTGCCGTTGTTCTAAGGGCGATCAGCACAATGGCAACGGCTAAGAGAGTAAAAGCCTCTGTGATAAATTCGCTCATGATGAAAGGCCAAATTTCTACTTTCTTTCAAGGAGCGCGAAGAAATGACCTTGTTTTCTTTTCGGGGGGGTTACACCCAGATAAAGAACCAACTCAATCCCGTCCAGGGGTGGAGGGGGAGGGTGAGTTCATGAGCAAAAAAAAAGCAAAAGAAAAAAGAATAAAAAAGAAAAAGAAAATAATGAGCGACTGCAATGTATGGAATGATCTCCCTCCCCTCGGCGCTATCCTTGTCAATAGAACCAGACCAGACAAAGAAGCAAGTCGGCCACCTGGTCGGTTTATGAATGGGAAAGAAAAAGTAAAAATCGGGGACGCAAGCCCTCCAGATAAGCCCGAGACGCCATTGGCGAAAACAGGTTCCCACTCGAAATCCAAGTCTGATATCAGGATTGGATTTACTAGTAGGCAAGATGGCGAACGCGGGAGACCGGATTCTGACATTCTGACCGGTTCATGCTGTCTCGAACGGGGGACTCGGGAGCTAACGGCTTTGACGTGTGCCACTGGCGTGCTTCCACTGGTTCTTTTTTAGTGCCTCGGGCGGCACATAGGTAAAATAAAAATACATAGATGCCGTCGAGGACAAAAATACTGGAAGCTTAGGCCCCAGAGCCCCGTTGACGGAGACGTGTATGGATCCCGGTTGGTGGGATTGGAGCAAGTCCACAGTTCTTCTGGTTGGGTGGATATCAGAGGTGCCCACATTGAGGGGGCGATCGTCATTGTGGAAAGTGAAGCATACGTTTTTTGACAGCTCTAGCGTCTGGCTCTCGGGATTGGTCTTTTTTTTTCCCTCCTTGGTTTTTTTTTTTTTCTTTCTCTGTGTAGCCTCGATCAAGGTCATCTCTCGACTCTCGGATCCCCCCCCTCTGTGCTTTTTGCATGATTGGTTACACCAAAGGGAAAGCACAGAGAGCTGTGATGACGAGGTCATCTTCTTTGTCCTCTTTTACAGTTGTGTAAAATGCAGTGTGGCCTGAATCTGCGATTAGCCGATCCAGGCATTGACTGTCATAGGCTGTAGTGGTCAGGGACCGTTGCCCTTTTCAGGAGTCTGCATGATGATCTGTGTGGTCGGAGATTCCCCCTCGATGTTAAATCAGATCGGTAATGGTAGAATCCCGTTGGTTTCTTTCCTTTTTGTTTTTTCTTTGTTTTGCTTTTCTTTTTTTAAATCATTTTATGTTTTTCCCGCTTTATCTGTTGGCTTGCATTTTGTGTTTGTTTTTTCTAGACTATTGCATTGCAGTATCTATAGATCGGGTTTTTGATCACAAAGATTACAATTAAATTAAGGCTTGGATTGAGGGGATTGTTGATTCACTTTCCATGTTTCAAATGAACTTTGTTCCAAGTGGAGTCAGGGGGAATACCCGTTACAAGATTCCAGATTCGAGCTTGTTGGAATGGAAACAGACCTGGAACTTGTGTGATTCTAGAGTTTGGGCTTTTTGTTTATTCTTATTTATTTTTTATGTATATGTTCCTTTGGCTTCTGGCTTCGATTGAGGCTGCAGCTGATGATCGGTGATTGGAGAAAAAGTCACCATAGCCATTAGTACTCCCTGTTCCAACCTGCATAACCCGATCATGAGTCAAAGGTACATTTTTAAACTAAGAGCAAACGCAATTATTACTTCATTAGGGAACACACCACGTTCTAGAACGGTTTACAAAGTACCAAAAAACGCTTTGACTCGGCTTTTAAGCGAGCGGCTTCGGAATGTCAAACGGATACTAAGCTAAACAAAGAAGTGGATCGACTCCATACATTGCGTCTCTTTGAGGCCTTGACAAGGGTGTTTACCAATAGTTTTCCCAACACAAACACACTTTGCGAGCTATCGGTTTAGCCTGGACCGGAAATGATCAGTTGCATGTCGTACCAATCCGATCTCATATTTTCTTTTAAAAGTGGAGAAGCAAGATAGAGAGAAACCTTGGGGGAAAAAAACCACATGTATGAGGTCGATTAGAGCATTCAATTTCCCCCGGTAATTGCCATTGCAACCATTGACCATCCCCACTTTCCGCAACCCTTGAATCGCTCTTCCATTATCCATATCTGGCCTTGACTCTTATTTGTTCCTTTGTGTTGGCTTTGTCCCCATCGTCCCCCTGACCATATTCCTCTCAGTAAAAAGGGAAAAAAAGATATGGAGAGTGTGGACCTGGTAGTGGTGGGCGCCGGTGAGTTTCTCGTGCCATGACATGGTATGCGCTTCCGTCAAAATTCCATCTAACCACCCCCCATCTAGGCTGGAACGGGCTCGCTGCTGTCAAGACCTACATCGAGGTCAATCCGAACAGCAATGTCTTGTTACTAGAGGCGGCCAGTTCCGTCGGCGGTGTATGGGCCACGCACCGTCTTTACAAAGGCCTCAAATCAAATAACATGCTCGGCACCTACGAGTATAGCGATTTCCCAATGGACGAGGCTACCTTTGGCGTGAAGCCCGGTCAGCATATCCCCGGTGAAGTGATCCAACGTTACTTGGTCGCCTACGCAGAGCATTTCAAGTTCCTCGATCGCGTCCGCTTGAATCATTCCGTAGACAGCGCCGAACGTAGCCTCGATGGGTCTTGGAAACTCCTCGTGTCGCGTCCGGAGGGTTCCTTGACTATTGAGACTAAAAAGTTGATCGTCGCGACGGGAATTACTTCCCAGGCGTACCTGCCTACCTTCAAGGGGCAGGAAGACTTTGACGCCCCCTTGTTTCACTGCCGGGATATGCTACAGTATGAGGGCGAGGTCTTCAAGTCTGAAGAGCCGGTGACTGTCTTTGGTGGTACAAAGTCTGCTTGGGATGCGGTTTATGCGTGCGCGACGGCAGGCATGAAGGTTGACTGGGTCATCCGGGAGTCCGGACACGGCCCTTGCTGGATGGCGCCGGCTTACGTGACCCCACTGAAGAAATGGCTGGAAAAGCTAGTCACCACGCGGTTCTTGACTTGGTTCAGTCCCTGCATCTGGGGTGAGGCCGATGGATACTCTGGCGTGCGGGGCTTCCTACACGGCACCTGGCTGGGAAGGAAGATAGTCGATGCTTTCTGGGCCGTGTTGGCCGATGATGTAGTGCAACTAAACGGATACGACAAGCACCCGGAGATGAAGAAGCTCAAGCCCTGGATCAGCCCGTTCTGGATCGCCTCCTCGCTAAGTATCCTGAACTACCCAACCGACTTCTTCGATCTAGTCAAGGACGGTTCAATCAAGATCCACGTCGCCGATCTGGACCATCTCTCAACCCACACCGTCCACCTCTCTACAGGCGCCGCTCTACCCACCACAGCCCTCATCTGCGCAACAGGCTGGCGCTGCACGCCTAACCTGAAATTCCTGCCCGAGGGCATCGACCGCGATCTCGGATTCCCCTGGAGCACAGACCCGCTAGACGGCAAGATGGTCGAAGCTGCCGACGCAGAAATCCTCCGCCGCTTCCCTCGCTTGAACGATCAGCCCGTCTTGAATCCTAAATTCCAGCCCCTCGACGACGCTTCCGAGGCCGCGGCGCCGCATCCCTTCCGTCTGGCCCGTTTCATGGTCCCCCTTTCCACGCTCAAGGAGCGTTCTCTGGCCTTCATGGGTGTTCCCATGACCATCAACACGACCTTGGTGGCCCAAACGCAGGCGCTGTGGATCTCGGCCTATTTCGATGGCCAACTTACGCCTGTCTCGACCGAACGCTGTCCCCCTGCTGTCCGGGCTTGTTCTGACTCGAAGTCGGAAGATGACTCCGAGCTTGATCTCGCTTGGGAGACTACTTTGCACTCTGAGTTTGGCAAGTATCGGTACCCGGGTGGATTTGGGAAGCGGAATCCTGATTTTGTCTTCGATGCTATCCCGTACATTGATCTGATGCTGCGGGATCTGGGCTTGTCTCCTGAGCGCAAGAAGAGTATGCTGGCACGATGCTTCCAGCCGTATGGGGCGGAGGATTACAGGGGTTTGGTGGAAGAGTGGAAGGCTAAGGTCTGAAATATGTGAACATTTTGTTTGAGATTGTCTTTTTCTTCTCGAATTGAGTATCTCAAGGCCTATTCATTTCCCTCGTATTGAGATTAAATCGGCTTCCTTTTCTCTTCGCCATGTTCGCGAGATACCCCTTTTTTCAGTTCCTCGTGTTGACATAGCGTCACGAATCTACATGTAATTTTGGCCCATATCTGCCATGCTAGCATTCAAAGGGATATTTTATGTATCCAGAGGAAATGAAATTTTTTAGAACGACAGTGCTAAAAGATAACAACTCTCACTTCGGAGCAGCATCATTTATAGATCACTCATACCCTAGGGGTTCCCCACATGCATATCTTGTGATGGAGTAGCTCCCTTCTAATCATTATTATTAGCATCTGCACCTCATCTAGTAACATTTCAAGGTAACGAGCAGCATCAATCAGATTTGAGTTCGTGTTGATCTTGTATGGTTCTGCGCCGAGGGGAATTCTCACGGTGCTCGTCATGCATGAAGTGATCTCATCCAAATCATTCTTTTCTGTGCGATGATCTCTGATACAAGTAAGGCCCCAGTGCAGTGAGTGTCGACTATCGGCATCAGCTTTAGAAAACCATGTACAAGCTCCGTATTGCCACGATAGTCTATGAGCGCTTGTATCCCGAACGCCACCTCGCTGGGTGGAGGCAAGAGGAAGGAAAGTGAAATGGAGACAAAATGAAAAATTGAAAACAGGCGGGCTAGCAGCCATGGAGGGTGTTTAGGTCACAACTATTTGATAGGTCACAACTATTTAAAAAAAAATTCTATTATAAAGGGTGAAGGTAAAGAGTACATCTCAATTGCCATATTCCGAATGTGCTGTAGTAGCCAAAGTCTCCAGATGTCCCGCCAAGGTTCTTCACTCCCCAGGTGGCCATCATGTATTCCTGGCTAAGCGCAGCTGCATAGCACCCAAATTAATCCATCTTCCGAATGTAAAAATAAATCACTCAACCAAAGTAAATTGCTCAAAAACAGCAACACCACTTCCAACACTCTGCACACCCGCCGAACTAACAACACTGCCAACCAAGTCCCCAGACCAGCGCGTATAAGTCTCCCCATCCCCAGAAACAAGCGCCGCAATCGAAACATTAACCTTCAACCAAGCCCCATCAGCCAGCTCCGCCTCAACAGTAAACCCATCAGGAACATCCCCCATACGGGGCGGGTACTGGGCTCCAGTCGGGTTCGTAGTAGAATTGCCGCTAACGGGCCGAACAGTCAAGCTCGCCGCATCACACGAAGAAACAACGACCTCATTATCCAGCGCGACATAGCTGCTCGTGTACGTAGTGTTATCCGTAGCGATAGCGCTGAACCAAACGATAGAGTAATCGCCAACAAGGCCATGGCCCCAGTACCAGCTCTGCACACTTTCCGCGAAGGTAAGGTTCGACCAGTTCTGCAAGAAAAAAACGTTAGATGGGGTTCGATGCATGGTTTTTGGGTTTGGGTTTGGGTTTGAGATTGAGTGTGGCTGGCGGGTAAGCGTCGCACGGACGTGCGAGGACCATGGCTGTGTGCATAATCGTGCATAAACTGGGATGTCCACGTTGTACAATTCGACACGGACCGCCTGAGCTCGTGCGTGTGCATTGTGGGGGGATGCTGTCTCCGAGTCCATACAGATTGCAGGGATGGATGGATGACATCTCACTGCAGGTATCAACTGACCTTGTCGTGGTATCCTCGTCCTTGGAACTTCAATGTTGAGCCCTGGATGGTCAGGTCGACGTTGCCGACTGAGTCGGGGACAAGACTTGCCCAGCCGATGTTGGGCACGATTTCGAGCGTCGATGTCGTGCCCTGGATGCCGCATGGTAGATGGGGGGATTGTTGCTGGTTTTTGGGGAATTGGGGTTAGTCGTGGTCTTGTGTGTGCATGTATGTATTGTAGGCATATATCCATCGCCCCATTGGATGGGGTCGAATACGTAAATGTATACCGCCGATCAATGCACCGGAAATGCATACATATCGCAATGAAAGATATATATATGATAGATGATGAAAACTCACAGATTCCAACGAAAAAGTTCCATAAACCCCCATCTCCTTCGACTCAACAACAACCTCATAAAAGGAAAGGTCCTCCGACGCAACCCACCCAAATCCAGACCCATCCCACACCCCACTCTCCCCAGCTCCGCCGCTGGAAACAGTCGCAAGCGTCGCAGGCACATAATCAGTAAACACGGTGCCGTTCTCAAAGCCAGCCCACAGGTACGCGATAAGCACCGTGTCCTCGGTAGAACTGAGCCACGGGAACGCGCTCGAAGCAGCAGTGAAGAGCGTGATGGTCAATGACTCCGCCGCGGACGAGGAAGAGACAGCATCAAAGTACCACCAGTCGAAGGAGTCGGCGGTGACTTTTGAGATCTGGGGGCTGTCGAGCGTGAGGCGGGTTGCTGTTGAGAGAGTTGCTTCGTTCGGGGTTGCGATTGTCAAGCGCGAGGCTACGGTGCCGTTTTGGAGGGCGCTGGGGATTGACCAGGTTTGCGTGTTGGAGTATGGGACTCGCGAGGCGAGGGTTTGGGATAGGAGGAGGGAGAGGGCGGTTAGGCCTGCGGGGATTCGGGATTGGAACATTGCGTGCGTTCGGTCAATGTTGCTTGTTTGGCGCAGTGGGATGAAGGCACGATGTGCACCTACTGAGTGTTTTCAGGGATGTTTCTTGAATCCCTGGTAATAGTATGTTGACAATGGATATGTAGGAAAAAAGACAAGGAACAAGAATCTTATTGAGGTCATGGGTAGGTACAAAAGGACCTTTAAATACCCCTACCCTCCAGGGCTTCTATCTAGGAACCGGTGCATCCGGTCATTTTCTCCTTAATTTCCTAGTTTCCAGCGCGGTGAGCTAACGTCGAAGCTAGTGAGGCTTTTCATCAAAGAACGGCAGAGTTTGCAATGGTAAACGAGAAAATTGGAATTGGGGGCTGAGATTTCTTAATTGGGTCTAGTATAGAGTGTAGGCACAAATCCATCAATCACGGTGCTTGGTTCTGACTCGCATGTACTGGATTTAGCCATACGGGTGAGGCGCCAGGAGAATTCTCCTATGTTAAAATTTGATGAGTTCGAGGTATAGAACTTGGCGGAAATGGTAGACAAAGAAAATCGGGCATGAAAAGCGGTCCGGGGCTGAAGGATGCTTAGTATTGTTGTCTAGTATTGTTGTCATTGTTCTTGATGTGATTAGCCGTTTATTTGAGCAGTGGCGTTCCTTGGCTCGAAGTTGGTAAGGGGCCACGTTTGAATGTTGAGTTCGAGTCTGGGTTTTTTGAAAGAAAGCCAATTCTAATGACTTCCGAAACCAAAAAGTCCGTTCGTTCTACGGCTGAGAAAGGATTGGTAAAATAGATGCTATCCATTATGAGAACATTCATGCACAGTTGTTATGTACCAAAACACCGAGCCGACTCCCGGCAAATCAATCAAACCGGACTCGCTTGTGAAATCAGAGAATAAAAAAAAGGACCAATACACACGTCACACGTCAGGCTCAGAAACAATAATCAAACAGTAGATAAAAGCAGACCGTCCCAATATGCCCATGTCAACACACCCTTCGCCGGCGCGAAAATAAACAGCACATAAACAATAGATATTGGAAAAAAAAGTATAAATAATAAACCCCTCACCGACTCCCAAAGCCGCTGTGGTTGTTGCTCTCTCGTATGTCCCTCGTCACCGCTCCAACCTCCCCCGGAAATACATACACAAGTTTGGGGGAGAGGAGAAAATGGATGACGAGGGACAATAGAGCCAACCACAGGGATGCAGAAATGTAGTGGAATATACGGTTTAACCTCGTCCGTTGAGGGTGGGACTTCCGTCCTCACTTCGTTCGCCCTTGATGGTATCTCCAGATTGATTCTGATTTCCGTCAGAATCACCATCTTTGCCACAGCCCTTGACTAGAATATGCCGCTGAGAGAAGATGTTAGTGACCGAGCACTTTGTGAAAGAAAAAAAAGAATTATTCGTTTTATTTGCAAATTACATACCTTGAGCGCATCTTTGCGCGAGAAGCTCTTGTCGCAGTGGGCGCAAGGGAACGGTTTCACCGCCAAGTGAATTCGCTTGTGGCGCTTCAGATCATGGTTGCGGTTGAAACTCTGCGGGCATTGATCGCATTTAAATGGACGATCCGGGGCAGGTGCAGGAAGACCGTGGGGTGGTGGGTGGCCTCCATAGAGATGCTGGGTATTTGCCACATGGCCGCTATTAAATCCAGATAAAAATCCAGGTTGCATGCCTCCCATCATAGCCATGGGACTATTCGGGCTGTGGACGTTGGACATGACGGGTCCGTTCATGGCGGGGAGAGAGTACGGGGGCCAGGGTTGACGAGGGTATCCCAGGTGCGGTTGGCCCGTCGGACTTTGAGCGGGCATGCGTGCCGAGTGGTTCATTCCAACTCCTGCCCCGCCCATGGAATGGCTTCCATAGATGGGAGAGAAGCCGCCTTGGTGCGGGCTCAGGTGTGGTGGAGCGCCATATAGGGAAGGGTGTTTGGGCGCATATGGATCATTTGAAGGCAAAGGTGCGGGGGATGTGGCGTGAGCCGATGGATACAAAGCCATGGTGGCCGGGTGTGAAACGTGGGGCGGAATACTGGATGGCGGTGCGGGCAAGCCTTGTTGAAATGAAGCTAATGATGGGGCCTCAAATGAATGAGGTTGAGGTAGGCCATCCGTCGTGGGGGGAGATGTAACGTGGGAACGGCCTCCTACGGCCCCGGGAGAATAAGCTGGACGTCCCTGATAGGCTGCATGTACTCCAGAAGCCCAGGCCTGGGTGGCGGAAGCCTGCCCTGCACCATATGGGCTGTTCCCTGGCCAATACGTGGGGGGTAGCTCGGCAGCAGCCGCGGATGCCAAATGGTGAGAATGGATCGTCTCCCCCGACTGATTTGTGGCGGGTGGTGTTAGCAGATTGCCGACGCTCACGTTGGCGGGTGGATGCGATACTGGAGGGTGGTTCGGATGTGTCGAGTACTTGGACGCCGCGACACTTGGAGCTAAGACAAATGGTGGTGGTGGGAGTTCAAAACTCGGCAAGGTTGGGGCAGCTGGGCGTCGGTTCACCAAGGGCTGCGTGACCAGGGCATCCAACGCCGTCCCCATGGGAGCCGGGACTGCGAGAGTCGCCAGATTGACGGTGTGCTGATTATGTCCGTAAAGATCAGAGTCGGGTAAATTCGTGTGTAGATGAATCGGAATAGCGGCAAAAGAATTTTCTGTATTCAAGGACCAGTCTCGACCACCAGGAAGGGCCCCCGAAGGGCTCGAAGGATCCAGGAGGGGCGAAGTGTCGATCGCTGGGTGTTGCGATCGGAGAGTGGAGCAACAGTCGAAGACTCGAGGCGATCTCAGCTGTTGGTAGTTTTGTAATATGATATATTTTTTTGGTGATTTTTGTTGTTTTTTTTTCTTCCTGTCTCTCTCTATCTTTCGGGGGTAATTTGGGTAGATAAGATTGAGGACCCTTTGGGGGATCAGAGACCAAGAAAAAAAAGCCGCGGTGAGAATGGGCGGTTCTCAAGGGCGTCAGCCCGCGAACACTAAAAATATTAAGAGAGGATCGGATGGGAGGAAAGCCAGAAGCCCGCGCGAGGGGGGGAAAGGATGTCACGGTCGAGGTAAGCGCGGGAATTGCATGGTATCGGGGGTGGTAGTTGCACGATAATGCAAAACACGTGTGAAGAAGAAACAAAAAGCTTTTAGGAAGTGGAGGCGAAAAAGAGTCAAGATAAAGAAAACAGCCGTGGCGTTGGGGGAGGCGTAAGGGCAAGCGCGGGGGGGGGGGGAAAGGGAATTATATAAAGGTCAAAAGGAAACCAACAGAGTAAATAAGCAAATAGAACGGTCGACTTGGGTCTGGGCCAAAGCGTGGGGAAGAACGATGCGAAGACTCCAGAAGATGAACCAAAGAATTAAATCCAAATCGCGGTCAATAATAGCGAAAATGTGCCAAAAGTGGATTTGGAGGAATTTAAATTGGGGCTTTTTTTTTATAATTTTTCTAAGAAAAATTGAAAAAAAAAGGGGAGAAAAAAAGAGGAAAAAAACGACAACGTGGTTGACAGGCCCTAAAAATTCAAGTTCCTAGTGTCCTTTCCCAGTCCCCGGTTGGCTGTTCCGAGCTTTTAAGAAATCGAGATCGACTGTATCACTCGATCGGATCGCCACTTGAAGAAATAAAGAGAGTGGAAAGAGTTGAAATGAGGGGACTTCAAAATCGAATCTGAGCTACGGAGGATATTTGGTTTTCTGTACTTGTAAAAGACATATTTTTTCTTATAGGACTTTATGTTTAATTTTCTTACTTAAAACTCACTTATGTACATATAGCATATATAGTGAATGGTATAGGGTAAAAAAAGAAAAGTCCTCCATAAAGGGACGAAAAAAGAAAGGAAAAAAAAAAAAAGGAAGTGGGGATAAGTTAAAGAGAGTAACAGAAAGAGGCTCCTTGCGTCCTAAGCTGATCGCGTGAAAAGGAAGAATAAAAGACTTAGCTCAAGTGCTTAGGGACTGGGGAAAAGAGCGAGATAATCCAAAGCTCCATTTACTCCGTAGTCTAGGATGGATTGGGATTCTCAGCCGGCAATCTATCACCTTTCTTATTTATCTCACCCCCTTTAACATACTTTCATATAGTAAAATCAAAATCAAAATCAAATAAAACATATGCCGGCATTTGGCGAGATTCCTGCCCAATGAGGCGCATGTCAGAAGCAGAACGCACGGACGAAATGACTAGAAAAATACGAGACTATCAGAGTCTGGAGCGTCCGGCGCGTCCCTGGGTAGAGGCAAGCGAGCAGGGACTTTGCTGATTCGTTACCTTCCCGGTCGCGCTAGACCAAAGCACCAAATCCAGTTTAGCTTGGAAAAAGAAAAAAAGAGAAAAAGAAAAAAAAAGAAAGAGCAAAGAAAAGGGAAAGAAAAGGGAAAGAAAAAAAAAAGAGGGGCTAAACATGAGTTATGCTGGTCACCTGCAAAGCAGAACTAATCGGACTCAAGCGAGAGCGAGTAAGAGAGCAGACCCCCTTTTAGCCCCCAGCCAAAATCATTCAATTATACATACTCCGTAATACAATATCTATATGAAAATCGAGAGGTAAAATGGAGATAAGGGAACATTTATTTAGAAGAAAAAAAAATTTACTTGAGAAAATCAAAATCAAAATCAAAATCACATACTGCAGTATTAAAAACATTTGAAGCAAATAAAAAGGAAAAAGAATTAAGATCCTTGGAATCTTTCTCTACGAAAAGAAAAAAAAAAGGCCACGGCAGATATTAATTGCATTCTTCCCCCGGACTTCTTCTCTTTCATCTTCCATACTCCCAACCCCGTGATTGGTCCGTCGGAGAATCCCTAAGAACGGAATATGGAGCTTCCTGTAGTAGCGTGGTCAAGAGAAAATATCTCCCTCCGTTCCACTGGCACCATTGCAAAGAGTTTTTTTTTTTTTTCTTTCCTTTTTCCCTCTTTGCTTCGTGTCCATTCCCCCGGCACTCCTTTCTTAACCCGATGGGTACCACAGACATTTTCCCTTGAATTAATTTTACCCTAAGGTTTGTCTGAGCTTCTTCTTTTTTTTTTTCTTAGCTTTGCTTAGCTTTGGCCTCTATACCTCCAACTCCTCTGCACATTGGCGCGTGCGATCGGGGTGGCGCTCGGAAATGGCACCGTGATAAAACTCCACACGAGTCAAAATCACATTGACTTCGCTTCCATGGGACCAGCGTGGGCGCCTCCTCTCTGAACCAATCTAATCCAATTGACGGACATTCGGTCTCTTGTTCCCGAACCGCACGGACTCTGACAGATGCTCATGAAATTGGGGGGCGAAAATGCACGGCTACAGACACATGCCCTGTCGATCCCTGTTTAACATTGGAAGAGACAAGCCAAAAAATAATAATAATAACCCAATGATGTATATGTATAGATTGAAACAAAAGCACAGCAAAGGGGAGTATAGGGAAAAATTAAAGAAGAAGCCAAAGTCTTGGAGGCGTAAAAGGCGTATACCTACGTTCTCCCGTACCTACGGAGTACAGATACTGGTAACTGCGCAGAAATCCTTAAATGAAAGACAAAAAAAAAACCCTTTCTCTTTCCTCCCCACTTCCCCAAAAATGAAGAAAACAACCGAGATTGATCCATCGCTTGTTCCGGACGTACCCGTTGTCTCTAAAGGGCACTATGTCCTCGCTTCTACTGTCTACTGCTGTCTAATGCATTCTACTGCATGGGATATCGCGATCGCGTCCGCATTGACTCCCTTAGTCCCTTAGCTCCTCCGCCCCCGGTCTAGCTCTCAATCTGACCCTCGAACCAGGGGGAGGCATGTGAAGCGACGCACGATGTGCTTTTGGTTTTGCCCTTTTTTATTTATTTTTCCATTTTTCTAATTATCGCAATCACATTCCTAGGCTTATTCAAGGGTAAATTAGACGCAATTTACCTTTTTGTCTGATTCGGAGGATCGTACATACTTTTACTACGGAGTACCCAGCCCTGACTATTTACTAGTTTGACCCACGCGTACTCCGTACTAGTCACTACATAGTGGACCCAAGCGAAACAAAAAAAAAAGGATAACAATACGGATATGCCGGACCTCGGGAGCACTAAGTAAAACAACGATCATGAGACGGAGTCTCCGTTCGGGATGGAATTAATATTTTAAGACAAAGCTAATCAAAAAAAGACCAAATCAAATAACATAGTATATATGAAATCAAATCAGAAAAAAAGGAACTTGAGAAGATAGTCAACTGCACAGCCCGGCAAAAAAGGACCTGTACTCCTATCTCGGCCTTCTAGACCATTCCCCCCTAAATCAATAAAAAAATAACCTGCGATCTTTTCCCCTCCAAAATAACCGAAAATAAACACAAAGTGTAAAAAAACACCCCTAAGACCCTCATTCTACCCATCAAAACCCCTCTCTGTGGACCACAACGCGCTGCGGTTCACAGCCGATTTGCTCAAGGGCCCCAATCTCATGCAAGGCGGCACCCGTCGAAATGTGACAGCGCGAGTGGATCCACAGGCGGTTTCTGTCCAGGGCTCGAGCCATACGATCGTCGCCTGCGTCGGTTCCTGCCGGTTGTGGCTGCGCGGTTGGCGTTCACCGTGGGCCTCCAGATTCAAGAAAATCAAGGATTGATCCCTGGTGTTGAACGGTGATCGACTTTACGGCATCCAGGGAGGGATAAGCCTAATGGTTGTCTCGGGAGATCTGCGTCCATGAGGGAGAGGGGGTCTGTTCTTGTTCTGCAGGGCTGAGTTTGCATTTGTAAAGTGGGAATGGAGGGGAGAAAACTACTGTTTGGTAAGAATTACTTTTTGTCCCAAAAAAAAATTGTCTTTGCTTTGTTTCTTTTCTTTTTTTTTTTTTTTTTTTTGGTGCTTCCCCACCACCTCCTTTTTGCTTCTTAGCTTGATGCTGAGAGACATCTGCACTCGAATGCTTATTGGACTAGGTGGTTTTCTTTCGTCCACTAGGAGGCTCACCGCGTTAGTTCGTATTGATTATCGATTATTGTCTGCCTGCTCTGTTTCATATTAGCTTTGATCTATTCACAGGATGGATCTCGTTTTCTCGTTTAGGCTGCGTCGAGGATTGGTGGATCGAGGTGATCTATCAACTACATATAGTACCTAAGTACTGTACATAAGTACTCCGTGCTTATATCTACACAACATTTGAGCACTTGAGTACGGAAGTTTTTGATATAGACATCTGGATACGAGAAATCAAGCGGCAAGTGGCAACGTTGGACCTCGGTAACGCCAAGTGGCAAGTCGGCTGAAATAGTCAAAAGAGGTTGTTCCAACCTTGGAACATTTGAAAAATTAAGTATGACTTCTTGAGCCGCGAGACCTGTCATATTCCCGTGGATGTGTCAATCGTTTCTTTGAAACGTTGATTGTTCTGGAACAGCCACTATTCTTATAGCCGAACAAGCTAAACGGACTGGGTGCTTCTATTCAATATTCTCGGGTAGAAATGAGATATTGGTTGATACCTGTAGTTCAAATATTATCGATGTATCTACATAGCCTTCGTATAAAAATCGAACTTCAATGTTCCAATCTTGTCCACCGGGTAGCTGAAAATTGCCTAGAAATATCAGCCTTGGACTCAAGTGCACCTTGAAAACAAAGAAGTACATATGGGGGCGTCAATTCAAAAATCTCCAAAAAAAAACATCCACGGATTCATTTGGGTAGATGTTTGTCCATGGGTTATTCAAACATTTGAATGTCATCTTTCAACACCTGTTCAGTACTTGAGAACAGTTATGTATGAACTTAGTGATCGAGATGAGGACATATGGAGCTTCCAAGATGTGTGTATATAAACAGGTATTTATCGATAATTGATGTTCATGGCCGTTCTAAGCCCTTTGACCACCTGAGCAAATGGACACTGGGAAACCGCCCGGGCGTTGTTCGAAACATTTCAGTGCTCAAACCTTGGAACTTGATTCGAAACATTTGAATGGCCTATGAATGTTCAATTCCAAAGTTCAAATGTTTGATTATTACACTAAAATGCACATTTGGGCAACTCCAACATTCAACATTGAATGTTGCTTTCCAATAAGGGTGCTCCCAAGGTCGGTGGATCTATAGGTGATATATTCCGTACATTTCATTGCGACCGTAGAGCACCAAACCGAGTAAATGGACCCTTTTGGGACCACAAAAATGATTTCACATGAATGTACCAGGCAGTAACCAAGGGTAAAGACTCGCAAGTAAATGAAGGCGCAATATAGAAACTTGAATATCTTAACCTTGGAAATATTGACAATCAAACTTGAAGCTGTTGTAAATCTTCCGAATTGCCGAGTTGTTCCGATGACGTCGGCGCGGGGTTCACGAAAACCCTCGCCCATTTCTTCGCCGAGCTCTTCTTTCTCCAACCTTTGAAAAGCTTTAAAATCTTGGCACATATTACTGTAAACATTCCAATCTCACCAACAAATCCTTCAATCACATTCTAACCAATTGCCTCTTCAAGCTCTTCGCTCCAAAACACCTTATCTCACGAACCAATCCACTTTCGGCAAACATGTCTGGAATCAGCAAGGCTTGCTGCTCGTTCGTCAATCCCCATCGAAGATTGGTAGATGGTGGCTGACTCTCCATAGTATTCCCCCTGTGGTGTCCAAGGGCTACCAGGCCAAGGGAGCTTACCAGACCATCAATGGTCTCAAGACATGTATGCCGAGGCGAACGCGACAGATCCAGATTAAAAAAGGGCCGAGCTGACCAATACAGACGTGACTGGTCCTGCGACCGCCACAAAGGCCATCCTTCTCGTTTACGGTACGTTCAAGTTCCTGCAAAAGTCATCCCGACACAAAGCCTTCCTTTCCAAGCTAATCGATTGGTTGTCTAGATATCTTCGGCTTCTTCGACCAGACCATCCAGGGCGCCGATATCCTGGCCAACTCGAACGAACAGAAGTACCGCGTATTCATGCCCGACTTCTTTGAGGGCAAGCCCGCTGATATCTCCTGGTACCCTCCTACCACCGACGAGCACAAGAAGCTCCTCGGCAACTTCTTCCAGAACCAGGCCGCCCCTCCTCTCCACCTCCCCAAGCTCCCCGAGATCGTGGCCGAGGGCAACAAGCTCGCCCCCAATGGTGGATTCGACTGGTCTATTTTGGGCTTCTGCTGGGGTGGTAAGATTGCCGCTTTGGCCGTCGCTGGCGATAACAAGATCTTCAAGTCCGCCGCTCAGTGCCACCCCGCTATGATCGACGCCAACGACGCCAAGACCATTAAGGTTCCTTTCGCCATGCTCGCTTCCAAGGACGAAGCTGCCAGTGATGTCGAGGCTTTCAAGGCCAACCTGGTTGTCCCCAACCACGTTGAGACCTTCTCGACTCAGATTCACGGCTGGATGGCTGCCCGCTCCAACTTGGAGGACCCTGAGGTGAAGAGCGAGTACGAGCGTGGTTATAAGACTCTGCTCCAGTTCTTCGCCCAACACGCGTAAGAACTGCTACCCATTATTTTAAAATAAATTGTCAGGGTAGTTGATGAAATTTAGATCCCCTGCTGTACCAAGGAATCGCCTGTAGATCTTCAAGTTTGCAAAAGAACTGTAAAGGTGGAGGACTGAGTTTGGGACATGTTGACACGCAACTCTGAATTCAAAGACTGAGCCATTTCTTTTTTTCTGATTTCTTCCAGTATATTTTTGCCTCATAGCTGCACATTCAATGCTTGATGAGTTCAGTCTAAAATTGTCCTTTTCATTCTTACTTATTCCTTCCCAATTCTGCAATTCTGGCCGGGTCAAAATCGGGCAATCCCCGCTTTGATTTCCGGTGCCGTCAGCCGTTCCCAGGGATCCGTCACAAGCCGAGTGACCCGAGATCAGCGGTCTAGGTCTAGTGCTTATCTTGCGACTACATCACCTTCATTTTCTTTGTGCCATCCTGTTCAGTTTCTCGTTTCTCGTTTCTAGATATATTCTTTGGCTTGTCACATACGCCTTTCCATGGGTGCCAGCGCATCCTTGGCACATGCTCTATCAAACGACAAACATCCCGTCCAATGACGTTTCTGCCCAGTCGTCGCCGTTCCAGATCCGAGGTCGCATCGCCTGACCAGGTTGCGCAGGAACCGGCGGGACAAGTAGATGTACCAGTCTCGCGTCATCTGCCCTCAAATCCCCACCAGAATGCGGCAACTGACTCGAGCTCGGGCTTTTTCCATGGCTTATTTCGAAGAAAGAGTGATGGTTCACTGAACTCGGATTCGCCGAAAGCGAAACCTCAGACCCAGGTAGGCTTGGCATTTTATGTAGATGATCAAAGTGGGAAGCCAATGATTTCATTGGCGAAAGTACAAAGGATAGCTGAGGAAGAGAAGAAAGGACGCTAATGCTGAATACAGGGCCGGGGCCCTCTACCTCAGATTGAGACCAATCAGCCGTCCACGCGGCTTGAAAGAGGTCGTGATATTAGCCGACCTCGCGATGGCCCGCGCTCTCACTCGGGGCATTCTACGCCAAGAACTCCTGGAAGCCCGGAGCCACCTTCAGCTATTGCGCATAGTGAGCCAAAGCAACCGAGCAATATTCAGGACTATCTTGAATTCCGTCTCGATGGCATAGCCAAGCAGGGAGATGGCCAGTCGCAGGATGAATCTACCCTCACGAAGAAAGACGTCAAGGCCATTCTGTCCGGAGCCCCCCATTTCCTGCTCGAGAGAGGCAAGCATGGTCGTTGGTATCCGCAAGTCATCTTTCCCTGGGATGAACATAATCCATCTATCCTCCGCATGCTAGATCGCAAGCCGCTACCCCATCCTTCCTTCATTCTGTGTACCCTTCATGCCCATCTTCCAGTCCCGGATGACTGGACCGTTAAGGGCGGTGTTCCCCTCCCTCTCCACAGCTGGCATCGAACTGGAGGGTTCAAAAGAGCTGGGTTTGATGTGGGTGTCTTCGAGGTGCCAAACATGCTGGCCAACAACGGAAGGGAGCCGGGAACTGTTGGATACCGACATTTCTTGGAATTTGACATCGCCGATACAGTGCGCTACTCGGGACCCCCAAAGCCCAGGGTCGATCCGGATATGCAGCGACTCGCGGAACTTCCTGCGACCGAAGCTTTTGGCCTGATGGATGGATACAGCAAGCCTTATTCGCAGTGTCTGAGCGGGGCTGTGCTTGATCGACGCGAGCTGTTGCGAGAGGGTCCTGCTGCATGGAAGCGTATTGGCGTACGAGATATCAATCTTCGGACTCTGGTGCAGCGGTTGACACATTTGCGACAACTGCGCTTGAATATACTGATCGGTGGATCGACGCTGACGGTTCTGGACATTGAAACATCGCAAGAGCTACACAACCAATTACATACCCAGTTCCTGTACCCCCATCCACCTCTCGCAGATTTAATGCCGAAACATCCAGAGAGTATCAAGTCACAGATCAAGACTTTGACAACTGTCCTGGCTACACGTGGAGCATGGATCGATTTCAGTCTCCCAGAATGGCGTGTCCGAGCCGGTCAAGTTCTATGGGAAGCACCACCGCATTCAGATGGAGATTGTTCCGATGAATCTACCCCCGGCACATCGCAAAAGCCATGGATCAACCCTGGAATGGAGCGAAAATGGCTTCTGATCCAATTGTTACTTTCCGCAGAACTCCTGATCCGTCTCGATGCGTTTGTTCGCATGGGCATGTTACACGATCCCCGCGGCGGTTTGATGACCATGCAAGAGCTCCAACACTTCGACAAAATGCGAGAAGGGAAAGTAAACTGGGATCTCATCGTTGTGCGTCGGTTCCTTGACAATCTTGAAATTGTGTATGGCTCGACTCCAGCTGCAGCCTCACCTGTTGGCACTCCACAAAAGGTGTCGTCCGACAAGAGCACCGGCACTCCCACAGGAAAACCGCATAGATTCTCCTTGCTTGACTCTATCAATCGTCGTCTCACATCGTCTGTCGAAACCGATCGCCGCTCAGCATGGCAATGCGACATCGGTTCCCCACATATCCGACAGCAATTAGAAGGACTCTACGTGTTTGCGGAAAACATTGGATGGCCGAACATGGACACACTCAAGACGACATTGGAACATAAACTCCGAAACGGCAGCCAGAATTTCACCTTCCCCCAAGTAGACACGGAGGTTCATCAAGCAGCCTCGGAAAAGACACCCAGAGAACCTGCAGCCTCGCGAGTGGCGAAAGGAGACATGTACACCCGCAGCCAGTCTAGACGGTGCATCAAGCTACGCAGTTCCTGCATGGAAGATGACGATCCACACGCCTCCGAGACTCTGGGCTGGATCTCTCGAAGCTGGTTATCAGGCTTTGTCATTCCCGGGGAAGGAATCAGCCACCTCCTCATCGGGACTCTGCTAGAAAACGACGCCAACGCAATCCAGCAACTAGGACCGACAGCCAATCTCTACGGCGGCTTTATATACAGCGGCCACAGTTGGTGGAGCAAGGCATGTATCGTCGGCCGCGTCTTGTCGGCTCTAGATTGTGCTCAGACCTGTATGGGATGGGTGGGCACTGACGTGCTTCCCCGCGATTCGATCACCCTGGACCCTTTGGAACCGGGCTGGTTCGAGATCCAGGTCCAGCGGGTATCAGGGTCAGGGTCAGGGCCAGAATCGGGGTCGGGGTCGGCGGCAGGCTCGGCTTCACCCGCGTGCCGTCCTCGTATCAAGCATGGAGGCAAACTTGCGTTGCAATCAACCCCGCTTGGCACGGGTGATATCACTGCTGATGCGTTTACACTGCCCGTTGATCAGCCCGCTAGCAGTCGTGCCGCGCCGACCGTGAGCTTGGAGGCGCTTACTCTAGCCGTGCATACGCCCCGAAGAAGAAATGTCATCGTCAGTGATGAGGCTTCTATCTCATTTGGTCTTCGTGTTGAATCGGAGTCTGAGTTCCAGGCTGAGCCTCCGACTACAATCTCTTTACCACTAAAATATAACGTGCGCTTTATATCTGCGCATGCATGTCGTCCCCCGCTCGGCATCTTATCGCATCACCAGGACAAGTCCAAGACAACAGAGACAACCGAATGGAGTGATTTCAAGCGTCTACCGGGTCATCCACTACATCGATCTTTCCCATATAAGAACGTCTCTCTCGAGTCTCTCCCCCAGCACCCAGCACCAGCGCCATCAGCTAAATCAAAGGAACCGCCTGAAGTCCTAGTGATTGATGCGCGCGGATCGCGCACCAAGGAGACATTCGTTCGAGCCTGGTGTGCGTCTGTGGGAAGCCACGCGCTTATCGGTCGCGTCGGAAAAGCGTGCATCGCGTGCTGTGTCCGGGAAGCACGTGCAATCGACGTCCAGGTCGTGATACGAGTAGGGGACTACTAACTAAGCAATAACCCGACAGTACTACTTACAAAAGCATAACAAGTCGCATGTACATACAACTTATTCGATGTCGTCATTGTCTACTACTAGTCCCGTTGTCATGCTCTAAAATCTTGGCAGATATCGAGGATGATCGCGAGTGATCTTCAGATGTGCATTGAAATGTCATCATACATGATCGTGCCACCACGAAAAAAAAAAAACCGCGCACATCACATCCAGCAGTGAGGCGAGCGATAAGGAGGTCGATGATCATTGCAGAAGAGGTTGTGTGGCGTTTCTCCTTGTAATTAGCACCACCGGTAATTAGTTGCCATTGCCAGTATAGCTCGGATGGTGATTATTCTTCCTGGTACGGAGTACGCCGTAGACCTTGATTTCTGTAGAGATATCAGGTGTGTGTATGGACGCCTCAAGAATCCGGCATTTTGGTCGAGCTCGCATATCGCATATCGCAAGCGAGAAAGAGAACAAGCCCCTTTTACTCATTCTTTTTTTTTTTCTCTTTTTTTCTTATGGAGTTTATGGAGTAGAAGAATAAGATTAAAAGGACACAAAAAAAGAAATCATTTCAAAGTGACCCAAGAGTATGGAAAGGGCACAGCCACGGTCGGAAGTTTGAGATGTTCAGATACCACCTTCCTTTCTGCTGGTACTTTACAGAGTATCCATTATGTACTTTACTACAGAGTACTGGACACTGCACAGAAAACTTGTATGCTGATAGGGTACACAAGTCCCTCATATCTGGAAATGGCAATTTTTCATTTCATTGCTGGATCCAGTTCTGCTTTTTTGGTTTTTGGTTTTTCATTTTTTTTCACTTTTTCTTTTCTCTTAATGGAAAAGAAGATTTACAGCTTTTCTTGGGAGGACGCGTAAGGCGGGTTGCAGGTTATAAAGACCCATGGTGGGTCGGTTTCTTGAATGAGTTAAGGGCCCGAGGATGGTGAAACAGCCGGGGAATTGGCTTGGAACCAGTGAGGTCCCTGCATCTGGGATCCACTGGATGGTCGAGACCTTGGCTTTGGTTTGAGATCGGGTTTCCCACCGGTATTTAGCATAAGATAGTCACTAGTCAGGGTGAAAATATGCATAGCATTGCTCCAGATGTCCGAGGTTGGATATTGGTATTCTCAGTGCTGATGTACCTGAAACTAGTGCACATGTGCTAACATTGAACTGATAGTATGTGATTTCTGGCTCCTACAACCATAGATTGTATGGATAAAATTAAATAGTAGTCAAAATCGAATCCAAGGTTGGCCTTGGATTCCCTAACTCCCCCCACGTCTAAATCATGTGCGCATAGTGAATTTATGGTGGATAAACTGCCAAAATGCCAAAATGCCTCACTTTAGCGGATATCCCGATCTACCTTTTTTTTTTTTTCGAAAGTTCCGAAAAGTCCACTCTCCAAGGGGGCATTTCCGAACCACCGTTACCTTTCCCCAAGCCAAAACGTCTTTGAAATGTTTTACGTTGAACTATAAAGGTCTACACGAAGTATAAATGTACAGTTAAGGCTTAGGCTTAGGGGGACGCCAAGTCCGAAATAGGATAAGTTTCGGAGCATATCTGCCCTTTCCAGTCCAAGTGAGTTTTGGACTGTGGAGGGAAAATGTGAATGTGATTTTTTTTTTCGCATTTCAACCTATGCATACTCTTGAAAAAAAGTCACGGAGTCCGGGATGTGTGCCCGTCAAGCCCTGTCGGCAGTTGGCGGGTTTGGCACCGGAAAAACCTGGTTGCCTGCTAAACCACACCGGGTCTAGCGAGGGGGTCAATGTGAATCCCACGTCAGACAGGCCATTCGGAGATTTTACTGGTGATTGAATCAAAAAATAAATTGTCAGTGTATGTAGTACTTATTATGGAGTATGGGAGGATATAGGGTTAATCTATAGGGTATACGGAGTATACGCAACATACTACGCAGAAGTACGCACTATACGGGGAAAATGGGTCAAACAAGAACCATGGAAAAAAATAAAACGTTGTGTTTCATTTTAATCTTAATGTCTAAATTTGAGATGCGAAAAAAAAGCAGTAAATAATATGTAAAACAATCATACCTTTTGGCGAGAGATCTGAATCAGCCCTGGAGGAGACTGGACCCTTGTTTCATCCAACGAAAAGAAAACCAGAAAAAAAGACCAAAGGACAAAAAGACCAGACCAAAAGACCGATCGCACCGTTGGGTCGCTTTACCCAATCGCCCAACCGAAGCCGAAACCTATGCACTTAGTACTGATTCGTCCTAGGCCCGGATATGCGATCGGAGAAGCATTCTACTCTTGTACAATGGTACAGTGCACAGCCGACAAGTGGAGCCATCTTCAAAATGTTGTCCCACCGCGCTACTGCCAGATCTAATCGCGTGCTTGACAACCATTTACTCGCCGCGTCAACACATGCAAATGCACCCCGACCTTTGTCCACCTGTCCACCTGTCCACCTGCTCTGCCCACCGCTTCCTTTCCCAACATAACCTTGCAGATCCAATCAGAGCTCCTCACTTAGCTTAGATATTTTTTATTTTTTATTTTATTTTTGTTTTTCCCTCACCCCCCCTCGGAGTGAGAGAGGGGCAGAGCGCAGAGCACCTGGTGACGATCTTCCTCCTGATGCGTGAGGTGATGCGGGGCCAAGGCTGAGCACGGAGGAGTTGGCGAAAGGAGCGGTCGAGCGCTGCGTCGTTCGATTTGTTCGCATTTGATCGGAGGCATTTGGGCTTTTTTTGGTGGTGATTGGTTCTCAACGACTTTTATACGAATGAGGTCGTGTCCACTAAAAAAAGCCACGCTGGGAGTGACACGTTCCCTTGGATATCGGCAGTTGCCCCTTTTTGTCTTTCTTTCTGTATTTTTTTTCTCGTTCTCTTTCTCTTTCAGTGAAATCCATTCTCTACGCGGACACGAGCAAAGTTGGAGGCGATTTTTATCCCTCACTTTTCATAGGCGCTGTACTCCGGACTCCATATACTCTATACAACTCCGGAGTATACCCTGCTTCACAACGTACTCCGTATATCTTTTCATATCCACGTTTTCTCTGTTTCAATGCTGATCGCTGGGTATGATCGTCTTAAGGGCCCCTCTTTTTTTTTCTCTTCTTTCTGTTCGCTCGTCCCTCTTTTTTTCCCTTGTATATTATGCCATTTTATGCTATTTTATCAAATTATGAATTTTATCTATCATTCCTCTTTATCTTGTCTACTACGGTAGGAAATTTTATCCACGATCATCTTAAAATCCATCGCTCCACAGAATCGTTCGTAGAACCTTCCTTTCTGCTCCATTACTCCATTAGGCATCGCTCATGGAAGCTCGCTTGAGGCTTCGAAAGAACAAAGGAATCTTGATCCGGGGCTCATTTCTCGTTTCCGACGGGTGCCAAGGCTAAATCTCTAACACGCTACTGCGTCGCGATGATCCTTAATCAAACCTTGAGTACAGGCCCCACATCCAACATGTGGGACCTTGTTACAGAATGGCAGTTGGAGACGCAAGATCGCTTCCTCCATGCATTCATTCATGTCCTTTGGGGAATGGACTTCCGAATGTTCCTTTGCCCCTCTGTTTCTTGCATCTCCAAAGATGTTCTTTCTCGCTCTTTGTTCTTGTCCTTTTAAGCCCCTCGGACCAACCTCCAACTTGGGCGTAGACCAGATGCAAGTTATGTCATTTTTTTCTGGTATACATCTGTGGCTTTTTCTCTTAACTCATTTCGTTCTTTTCTACAGCGTATCTTGTTAAGTCTTGTTTTTTTTTTTCTGTTTTTTTTTCTTTTTCTTTTCTATCTTTTTTATTTTTGCTTCGCCTCCTACTAATTCGTACATGATCTAAAATACTCGCAACCCGAGTCCGAGATGAACGTGGTGTGAGCGTGGGGTCGATGTGATTAAGATTGTCCTGATTAACCGGCTATCGATGCCTTTGTCCAAGGTACTGGGGCTTGTATCCTCATGGTACACTGCGGGTAAAATGGATCAGTGACTAAGGCAAATCGACAACTCTCATTGGTGAGCCAAAGCATTGGGAATAGAATTTGCCGATGGAAAAAAAAGGGGGAAGAAATAGAGAAAATGTTCAAATGTATACAATTTTTAAGAAGTTGAATCTCGAAACAATTTAGAGATGAAACGATGTCATCGATGTACTAGGGAGAATAAGCTATGCCCCCCCGACAAGTTAGGGCCAAGACTCAAACCACCAGAAACGAGGCAACAGAAAAGGCAGAAAAAGGGGGGACTTTTTGTTTAAAAAAAAAAGACAAAAAAATAAGAAATTATATAATTTCACAGAATAGGAAATAAAATGAACAGAAGAGAAAAAAAAAAGAGAAAAAATGAAGGAAAAAAAGCCGCATTGCGTGCTGTCCACGGTATAAGCTGATACGTGGACCCTGAATTTCTGTTTTTAGAATCATTCCATCTGTGGTTCGTTCCTGTCGATACAAATCGGAAATTATTTCTTCAGAGTAGGAATGGGGGTTAGAAATAAATCAAAAAAAAAAATAACTTTCCCCCATAATCATTATAATGGTTGATTGGAAAATTATATTGAAAATCAACCGATGCTCTTTAAAAAGGGGGTTTGTTCGAGAAGGCCTCTAAGGTTTCCAATGATCACCTCCGGAATGCCCAGAGACAGAAGGTTCTTTAGCAGTGATGGACCCTAAGTCCAACAAGCTCATTGGCTCCAGCTGCCGACAACGCCAATCAGCTTGTCGGGACTTGGATGGGATAAATTCCCCAGTTCATCAAGGATTGACAGGTAAGGACTTTCCTCTAAGCCCAAATCGTCTTCACCAGCTCCTCCACTTCCTTGACCCCACTGTGTCAGGGCTCCCAGACCATGGTTCCTCTGCCTCATTTGCCATGAACCAACTCTGAGGGGTCTATAGTACGCAATCAGGGGCTTCTTGAAGGGGAGGTTACCTAATCTGGGCATATTTTGGCCACTGCCAACCAGTGGTACTTGGGGGGTTTTAAAAAAAGAAATAGAGTAGAAAATTATCATTGATAAAAAGAGAGAAATAGGAGAAAAGGAGAAAAGGAGAACAGAAGGCCTTCTAGAGATCATACTCTGTACTCGACCTCTCGAGGTAAACAGAAGTATACAGTCTTTCTTCCAAGGTTCTGTAAACTCTTTCGTCACAAAGTTCCCCTGAGTCTCTGTGAGATCATCACCTTGCAGTTGATTTGGGTTAAGTCGATACATCCCTCTTGGTCCTAGTGTCGGTCTGATGCAGAGCCACTTTGTTCCACGTCTGGAATGACCTGAGTTAAAAAAAATATTAATTATCAAAAAATTCATTATTCCAGAAGAGAAAAAAAAAAAGAAGAGAAAAAAAAAATAACACAAAATCAGCCCTTGGGCGTTTCACCCCGCGATTAGCTCTTCCTCTCGACTCTATACGATATTCCTCTCTCGATCTCCTTCCCAACTACTTCATTCACTCCTTTGGTTCTTCTTTTTTTTTTGATCTATTATTTTTTATATATACTTTTTTTTTGCCTTTCTCACCTTACTAATCTCTTTTTGGTGATTATCGTCGGGTGGTCTCGTTATTCGATCTCATATTCGAAACCAAGAATACTCTATTCTAGAAGTTATCCGATCTTCACACCCCTTTCACGAACTTCCACACCCGACACCCTAATTTACTATAATTACTCTCGATTAATTCGCCATTTGGGGGTTCAGGGCTCGGGGACCCAACCGAGATCAAAAAATCCAATCTATCCTCGACTGTGACGACCACTTCCACCACGAAACACGCATACAACTGCGGGCCCCTCATCACCCACCACCCACCATACACACACGCCCCTACCACTCCGAATTACCATACAACCTTGCTGAAACGCGCGCAATATCCCAGTTACTCCAGTGTGGCGCAAGTGGAACCGGAGGAATCTAAGGAATCGATAAAAAAAAAGAAAAACACCGGGGAATTCCACCGTCGCAGCGTCATTATCGGAAATACTTGCTCGTGCCTACGATTTTCCCGATTCATCTCATTGCGGTAGTGCCTGTATGGCCGGGCTTCTTTTGCTTCTCGCCATTTTGCCTCCAGATCTCTAAAATCAGGCTTTCAGATCTCTGTTTCGCCAAGAGGCGCTTTTGATGCGCTCAGCGAAGCATTCGTCTAGATCAATCTTGATCTGATCTGTTTTGTGGGGGAGAGCTATGCCCGCGGCTGTCGAGGTAATGGCAACTACACCGAATTCACAGAGCGCCATGGATGCGAGTAACGCGGATAAGAAGCGTAACAAATTGGGGTATCATAGGACGTCTGTCGCATGTGGTCAGTTCACTCCCAACACTACACCCTCAATGCGCCTTGTGTTTCTGTCGGTTGGTTCTCTTTGAAGAACAAGCAATGCCGCATTTGAAATGCGCAGATACGCATAATCATATGTGATCTTTGAATGGATAAAATGCGACGCGTGACGGACATGCGCGATCAACTGGGCGCTTGAATCAAGGCTAATAGGTTGTTCATTTCAGTGCATTGTCGACGACGGAAAATTAGATGTTTGGTAGCTCCGGACGATACGCAGGGACGCTGTGAAAATTGTATTCGATTGCGAAAGGAGTGTCAGTTTTTCCCGGTCGATCAACAACCTCCGGTGGAGAGAAAATCCCGGCCGACGTCACGATTGGAGACACAACCGCCCACTGATCATTCGACCGCATCAATTACCTCTTCGCCAACCAATGTGAATCTCGAATCCGCGGAGACTTTTTATCCGTACCCTCAAATTCCTTTGAATGCGTCGTCTGGTCAGGATATATCAGCTTTTAACCCAGCTGTCTATGCTGGTCACCCCATGTCGGGCTTTGCGCCAGGTAAGCAAGCTGTTTATTGTTGCCAATCTATGGCGTGGATTGGATTTGGGTATTGCGCGGTGCAACGGAAAGAACGTTGAAAATGGAACAAAAAAAGAAAAAGAGCTTCAGATTATTAACGCGTCATTTATTTAGATCGACCAATGGGCCCTGGAGAATTCTCGGCGCATCCCACAATGGAAACAGGGGTCCCTTGGGATGAATTCACAACGATATCCGATCCCCAAATGTTAGCCACAATGGCCGCCAACAAGAGCCAGATGATGAACCTGTCACCAAACGTCTGGACGACCGGCTCCGTACCAACCGGCCTATCACCCAGCTCACCAATGTCCGCCCAAGCACAACCGATGAGCGCTCCAACATACGCCATGCAGCCCGACGGCACCGTCTGGCAAGTCCCACCACCTCCGCAACAACCATCAAGAGCCATGAGTTACCCAGGCCAGGACTTGAGTCCCACATACCAAAACCAACAACAATTCCAACAACAAATGCCACCAGACCTGAAGAGGAGGATGACAACACCCGCTCAGTCTCTTTCCGCCCCAAGTGCCGGTCCACATAGCTCGCCTGGATCCGCCTCCGACATGCAACCTCCCGTCCCTTACCCTGCCCCACCGGGCATGGAATACGCACAGTGGCCCATGAACCCTATGCCCCAGGGCATGGGCATCGTTCCATACCCCATGTACGCCGGTGATGCGATCCAACAACAACAACCTTTTTCTACCAACCCTTCTCCAATGGGACATCCAGGTGGCCCGGGTCGCTCGGGACCTTGATGATCCCTTGAACCATTATATTCATCTTTCATACGCCTCATCCATCTTCATGTTCATCTTCACCTTCACATTCATCTTTCACCTTCACCTCCCGGCAAATCTTCTTGCAGTTCACTTCTTTCGAGCCCGGACGACTTCACGTTTTACATACCACATTCCTAGACGGCCTTGTTTCATTTCTTATACCCCGTGGGATATACAATTATGGGCCTTTTTTTTTACCATATGCGGTTTTTTCTTTCCGACAGCTTCATTTTGACTCCTTTCTTGTGCAGTTGCACTGCTCACCTCCCCTTATTTCTTTTTGCAAACTTGTTTCTTTTTTGGGGGTTTTGCCTCATCCTCATACACCGTGGCGGGTCTGCTTCGCAGCTGTCATTAGCGGGCGCAAGGGTTCCAAGGTTTTCGGGTGGCTTTTTTCCTTTTGATTCTATCATGGCATGGCCCAACCTTTACTTCTTTTTATTTCTTATTCTTCTCTCGCTTTGACTTCATTCTTATTCTTATCCTTTCCCTCCTGATTGAGATATCTGCTGTGGTTGATGAGGTGATTCCGCTGCATTGCATTCACTTTGGGAGGGCTTTGTTTACGGGCATATATAGACTTTCTTTTCTTTGTTTTTTACCCTTTACCTTTTACCTTTTACTTTTACCCTGTCGTGACCAAGAGTCTTGACATATCTCTTTCGTTTCATTTCTTTCCCACCACCATTCCATTCACATTGACATCCACATCCACATCCACATTCCATTCTGGCTCTCGAACCTTCTTTTCTCCGGTGGATATACTATTTCGCTTCACATTTTGCATGGTCTGATCGCGTGTTCTGTGTCATTTTCATCTTTCTTTTATTGTTTGGGAATACCCACCTGGCTGGGGCGCGAGGCAAGGGGACGCGGGTCTCGATTGATGGGCGGATGGGTAATCGGGCTACTTGGAAGGACTTAATCAATCTCACCATGCTTGTAGTCGGTTTTAACCCATCCTGGATCACTCGATGCCTGTTTCCATGTTACGACATCATTTTTGGGGGGTCGAGAGCCCGGTTTTCTTTCAGGGCAGTTGAGGATTGCATATATTGTACATATTATCCTCTTCTACATTGAACTTGATCCACATTCCTATTGATTCCACGGCCATTGACCAACCAAAGTAGCCCTGAAAATATTTTTAAACTTTTATCTAGCATTTTTAGCCCCAGGGACTGGCCATCTTCGTTAACTAGCGCGAGATTGAACCTTGGAAAAGTGGATCCGATTCCCCGCAGAGGAGAAATGTTTCACCTGGGAGTTTAGCAGACGAGAAAGCATTTTAACATTGAAGAAAACTTATGAAGATAAAAACTCACCCGAAAAGATTCTAATCTTCACGCTACGATTGAGTCATCCCGGATCCATCTGTAATGCCTGTACTTCATAGATAAAAAACGAAGAGGACAGGAAACAGGCCATCTTACTTGATCATCATCTACAGAATGTTCTAGTGCAGCTTCTCGAACTTCTCCATATTGTGGGGTGTCAAATTAGACCCGTAGAGCTTATTTTAACTTTTCCTTCGTCCATTGAAAAAGGGAATTTTCATTTTGATAACTTTTCACTGGCAATCTAATATATCAAACTTTAATACGCGGGACGGTAAAATAAGCTTCCCATGCAGAGGACTCATGTAGCCCCCGAGCTCGGCGTCAAACGAGTTTGTCATGGAACGGCGTTTTAGGAATGTCTTGATGGTTTTGGTTTTGTTCGCATGGCCACATTAAATTGCTCGACACATGTGATGCAGCCGCGCGGGTGGTGTGCCAGGCGCTGCATACTTGGAATGCCATGTGTGTTCACGCCCAAAGTTAATACCGATAGCCGTAATGATTTAGGTAAGTCCGTCAACTTGCGGAGCGAAGCTCCCATCGGAAGTGGGACTTGGCAACTCGGTGCAGAAGATGACGACGACGAATCACCAGCTGCAGAAAAGAGCCCCGCGGGCCTCCCGGGCTCGACTGGGGATATAGTAGTATCTGTACTGCTGTTAGCAGCACTAGAAGGTGGGAGGGAGGGGAGCTAACTTCGTGGTCGGTCTGCGCTTCGCAGTCGGTCTGCGGTCTATACAAGCAGTCAGCAGTTTGTTTGTGGCCATCTTTGATTTAGTAATCACATATGGTCGTCAATTCTTGGTACGACAGGTCACAGAGGAGGAACTCGGGGTTCTGCATCGGCCTCAAGAGGCAGGAAGAGGAAACAAAGTATATAAAGTCGACGTTTTCTGTAACTCAGCAGAAATTGTAGAGAGTTGTCAGCGGCTAGTATATACTATACCGCTGCTCAGGGGGAAGATGGAGAGAGAAATGTGGAGGTACTGATTGACTATCAAGTCTCCCAGGGGGATAGAGAGAAGGATAGAGAGAAGAAGGAGGGAGAAGGGAGGAAGGAAGCACTATTTAAGGATAAGCCTAGAGGGGTCACCTTACCAGTTGACCCCTCTCTGACACATACTGGCGAGATTGCAGTTTATAATATTATAATATATGACTTTCAATACGGAAATCATTACAAATTCTAAAGCTAGTAGATGTGCTAGTGCGGCGTGTTTTACGTGGCACGCTAATCTAACAAGCCTCAATTTAGATATTATAACGCCATATGCGCTTAATATCATTCACATATTAGATAGTATGCGTTGTAGCACTGTCACGTATGTTAGCATATACATTATCACGTATATTAGCAAGTACGTAACCAAGTACGTTAGCAAGTACGTTAGCAAGTACGTTAGCAAGTATGTTAGTATATATTTTAGCATATCTCAATAGTATCAGGTTTCATAGCTGAACGAAGTGAAGCTATCTATGGGATTCGTGTACAAGATTCAGGAGCTAGGTCTAAGGTGACAAAAAATAGTGCTGACTAAGGGTACATATTTCCAACCTGTAACATGTCACATGTGACCCCCGCCTTCAAATGTTGGGACCTCGCGCACTCCCAAATTTCTGCGAAATGCCATCATTCTTCACCATTTCCCGACTCCTCTGACTCTGACTCCTCATCCTCGTTCCCAGGTTCCTTTGCCACCAGATCCGCGTCGCGTTCATCAAGTATGCGCTCTAGTTGTTGGATTGTTCGTGAATGACTGTCCGGCTGGACGAGCAAGTTTTGCGGATTCAGCAATCTGCGCGCGCGGTCGAACACCCAGCACCGTCTCATAGAGATCTTATTTATATTTAGGTACCACTTTGGTCTTGGATGTCGTCTTCTTACTCTTAGTCTCATTCATGTCGGATTCCGTAAACTCAACCCAGGATCGTTTGGTTGGAGGCGGACGGGTACACAATTGCCTCTTTCTTTCCATTCCCAGCGATGTAAACATGTGAGGATGTTCGCGGTATGTCTCGAAGACCGAATTATTCCGCCGAAGTGACTTTTTGAGGTCCGGGTATAGTTCGACCGAATCCATCACCGAGAAGTATTTTAACGTCAACAGGCCCTCCGAGGTGTATACTTTCCGGAATTGCTTCCGGATTGCAGGCCTCTGGTAGAAGGTTGAGATCAGATCTCGAACCTGGGAAGAGTCCGTACGGTCCACTTCAAGAGCCGCTCGGTCGTCTGCATTCTCCCATGATATTGGAAGCTTCAGGTCTTTATCGTAGGGATAACGGGTATATGACTTTTGTTGTTTGAGTTCCGGCTACATCAATTCATGTAGCAACCCCTCAAGGGTTGTTAGCTCTAAGGTACCTTCATCTTGAGCCACAGCAAGAGGTTTGAACTGACAGTTTCCCCGATTTGCCTTTGACCCATAATGGCAGTTGACACAGTCCTGGAAGTGCGGGCAATCAGGCAGGTTGACACAAAGTGGGAATGGGCCAAGCCCAGTCTGACAGTTCATGCATCCATTTGGGCCAATCTGGACATGGCCTACTGTGTACATGTAGGCTGCTTCAAGCTTCAGGTCGTCGTTCAGTGCGTCTTCGAAAGTTTCAGTTCGGTAGTTCCGGCCTGGTCGAATTTGAATTTCTCTCAAAGATAGTCGCTCCACAATCTCTTGTAGTGCCTTATGCTTGATTGCTTCGACCTTTTTCGCTGACCTATATCTCAGTGATTGAATTCGCCGGGACCAAGGTACCGCCGCTCTAGCACACTAATGAAGTATGCTTAGTATTGTTCTTGAATGCTAATCAAGGAATACCTGCTTTACCTTTTGTTTGAACCTTAATGAGGTTCTAGAGAAAAGCGAATGGTAATGAGGAGGTGAAGAAGGAGCAATTGTGTTGTATTCTTCACTAAGCGGGATGGAGAGGGGAGAGGGGAAAGAGGAAGGAAGGAAGGAAGGAAGGAAGGAAGGAAGGAAGGAAGGAGAGAGAAGCTCTCACTTCCTGGACTAACTACCAAACCTAACCCTCTTGCACAAAACTAACACACACACACACAAAGCCCATATACGCTGGAACATGCTCAGGAGCGGACCATGTGCCCAGAATGGGTCATATGGTTCACTTCTCTTAACACCTTTTATAAGGCTATATGTATTTAAAGTCATTAAAAACTTGAAGTAACAAACTAATCTCGCACAGAACCGGTCGCCTTATCATTAGTACCTAACTCTTATGGTAAGCCGGTCCTTCACCTTCCACCATGAAGTACTATTGACCCTACACCACTTGTCTAGCGCAGCTAGCTATCTTCTTTCAGCCCTGACGTTTGAATAAAGTCAGGGTTGACCTTGCTAAGAATGATAGCTTGAATGAAAGCCTGTACATCTTCGGCTGAATCAACTTGAGACAGCCAACATCGCTTTATAATCCCCCCGCATGGAATGTCAGAAACATTTGGAAACTCCTTTTTCCTGTAGAGTACTTCCACTTGGTCGCTAGGGATCTCCTCGTAGGGACTGGTTTCGTGAAAGACCTCGTAAAGGGTCGACCCGAGCGCAAACAGATCTGTAGCCAGGGTAGGTGGGTCTCTCCGATGTCTTGGGAGATAGAAACGAGTCCCTTCGCCAGACGCTGGTTTACAGCCGTCTAGCGAAGAGCCAGAAAAATCAATAATCTTGATATCAAGAGCCGCGTCCAGAAGGAAATTTCGTGGTTTGATGTCGCAGTGAATAATTCCATTGCTATGCAATAGAGACACAGATTGTGAAATTTGGAATGCCCACTTGAGTTTCATACTCATTGGGATTGAGTTTTGGGCCCGAAGGTATGTCTTGAGATCACCGTTTTTCATGTACTCAAGAACAAGGCCATCCCGGGAGTGACCCAATACCTGGATCAGCCTTTCGTGTGGGCCGAGGCGATGATATATACTGGCTTCTTTTGCTATGTCGAGAATGTTGTTCTCCATTTCAGCGCCGGGAAATGGCGATTTAATCACAATTCCATCATCAAGGAGCTCCACAATCCCAGTTAGCCCACCAGAGATGAATTTTCCTTTGGCAGATCGGCGAATGGTCTGGACCTTTCCGTGCTCAGGTTCGTCTGCGTCGCAATCGTGATCAGATCTCTGTGTAAGACAGTCAGGAAGCTCCTGTGGTAGAGAGGGATGGGCTGGAATTGTACCATTTTGTTATTCTGATAAATGGGCCAGGGAATCGGAAATAAAGACGGTATCTATACAGCGCTTTAGACAAAAAAACACCAATAATAATCACCGCGGGATTTTGCGACAAGATCATTATAATGGTTTGAAACGCGTCGGTCGTTGATGATGTTTGTTACGAGACGGTGTACTGAAGCGCTAAGCCTAAAATGGTAAACCCAACTTGGAAAGGCGATCTGCCCCTTTGATAGAATGAATCTGGGGGGGGTTTTCTATAAATCAGTCAAATCTTGCTCCCTAAGCTATTATTCATTGGATGGCCTTTTGACTAGCAGTCTAGCAGTTTGATCATATTGAGTTTTATAGACAACCGATGTGGAGGCTATCTGGAATCGCCTTGTACAATACTGTGAGGAAGAAAGAATGCCACTGCCCTTTGCCAGACGGCAACTAGAAAGATTTTGCACAACCGTAGAGCAGCGACAGGTGTTGAACATGCCCGGATGGGGGGTCCTCCATGAACGCTATACCCTCTTTGGGTATCAAATCTTCTCGCAACGGCAGTTGTATATCAATGTACTACGGTTGTACAAAACCGTTCCAGTTGCCGTCCGGCAAAGGGCAGTGGCATTCTTTCTTCCTCACAGTATTGCACAAGGCGATTCCAGATAGCCTCCACATCCACCCAATCCCGATGTCCATAATCAAATTGTATGCAGAATTGGTTGATAATTTCCGCGGAGGTTCGGTCATGGGAATCGAGGTCACTAGGGCCCGGACGACCTACTAGTAAAATTCCGAATCAGGAGTATTGGTTACTGACGCAAGATCCATGATGGGGATGGGGGTAGAGATGATGGGGGTAGAGATGATGGGGGTAGAGATGATGGGGGTAGAGATGATGGGGGTAGAGATGATGGGGGTAGAGATGATGGAGATAGTGATGATGGAGATAGTGGTGATGGAGATGGTGGTGATGGAGATGGTGGTGATGCACGAGATGGTGAATTGTTGATGAGACTTGATGGTGCTCGTACAAGAGATATGTAAGGAAGAGGAAGGAAGTTTGGTATTTATTACTTTGTCCTGGAAACCCCCGGTAGAGATAGAGTTGAAGTATACAATCTGATTAGATTTGATTTGATTTGGTCTGAAGTTTGTGTCTAATCTGATGCTCAAAGATATTTTGTTGATTGTGGGGGTTCCGAGTGAGAGTCAATCTTTTGGCCCACTAGGTTAAAGGCAAAATGCCACAGCCCACTGGAACTAATATAGTTGAGGTTCACAATAATTTCATCTAGCCAACAGGCCTTCTGTCCTTCTATTCCTCTTGGATAATCACCTGTCTGCCTCCTTCAACGGTACAATTTCCAAACTTCCCTGTTTGACCATTTACCGAATAAGTACCCGAAAATGGAGGTATAATGGTTCCTCGGATTCCAGACGGTGCAGTTATATCCATCATCATCTTCCCGCGCTTGTTATAGCCCCAAGCGGCATATACTAGACCGGAAGGTGTCGGCACTCGGCCGTGTACCCATTCTGTTTTGAACTTGGGCAGCGGGGCAAACAGGTATTCACTGTAGCCAGGTGTCGCGGCTCGTACTCCCAGTACATATTCTGTGAGAAAAACGGTGGGGTAGCTGCCCCAAAAGTGGCTCAAGCCGGTGAAAAGGTCCAGGCCGGGATACTTGCCGTCGGTACTCTGTTGATATTAGAAAAGATGACTTGCTCAATAGGCATGGTATGGCAAGTATTGTCAATCAAGAAGGACTTACAATATACTCCCAGTACCCCCCGGTATAGTTGCAATCGCGATTCACCATTGGTGCCCAAGTATTATCTAATAACTCCTGGGCCAGATCGGTGCGATTCGTTATAGCCAGACCTTCGAGCAGAAAGCTCATGTAGTAAGGGTCAACCACGCCTGGCGTATCCAGGAATCTTGTCCCATTGAGATATCCAGCTGGAACTCGCAGAGCTGTCAATTTGTCCACACAGCTTGCCTGTTGCTGCTCACTGCCTATTCCACCTAGGAGGACTTGCGCGATATCCATCAAATCATATCCAGAATCACCCAGTGTCGCTGCATAATAACCTCCGGTTGAATTCCAAAGAAGCGTATCGATAGCGCTCCTTGATAGTTGCGCTTGTTTGTCGTATAGTTTGGCAAGGGGAATATCATTCATGTGGCGTGCCATATCTGCCATTCTCTCCAGGCCAAGGATCATTGAGACTGTGCTTGCCGGACCAAGCGCTTGTCCCTTCTCTCCGGAAAGTGGCGTTCCCAGAGTTCCAGATGGCGCGCCGTATAATTTAGTTGCTTCATCTAGGGAGCGAGAGACCGCATAACTTGTCGACATGACCATGCGTGGCCAAAATTCCTCCAGAAAAGTCTCATTTCCAGAACGCATCCAATATTCATAGATAACCTGCATGAAATCAAAATTATAGTCGACGAGCAGCGGGTCCACATTGGCTGTTCGAATTATCGTCCCCTCCGTATCAAGCGGACTGAAAAGTGTGTTGGGTGGCACTTGGCCCGAGGCAATCTGTCTGGAGAATGCTTCCTCGGCTGGGCCCCATACGAATTCACCCTGTTGCGAACCGACCATGACGGTACGCGCAGAAACAATCCGATCGCCTAACCAAGAGAAGCGATCGCGCTTTCCTGAATCAGAGCAGGTATATTGATCATTTGTCTTCACGCCGTACTCGACTAGCACATCTGGTGATGTCATGGGATTGCTGTACACGTTGAGCCCATTGCTGAGCGTGACATTAACATTTCGTATGTATGCTGCCTGATCTTGCCACGGCCCAAATGCGAAGCCTTTATTTGTGCCACCGGGAATGTAAGGGTTTGGATTACCGATGCCATAGGAGCTGATGTTGAAATGAGCAATGCGCTGGCCATCCAGGAACACGGTGTACGTGTCATCGCCGGGTGAGTCTGTGCGTATAGTATGCCAAGTCTTTTCAGTGACGTTGAAATTAAGCGGGAATTCGTCCAGGACGTATCCGGGCAAGCTGGTTTGATTTTGGAGGGACCAGCCACGGCCGAGAATCAAGGTGTTGGGCGGGACAAGCTCAGTGTCAATGTTTGCAAATGATCCCGTTGGATACTCACTTGTGAGGACGACTGGTGAAAGAGAGCTTAGTTCAGCTAGCACCCATTGCGATGGGATTGAATGGCTTACATATAGGGCCAGTGGCTTGGATAGCGTCGATCTCTGTATCAACACGCCAGCCAGTGCCGCCATAGTCAATCATCGTCTCGAATGATAGGGTATAGTTGCTCAAATTAACAACTTTAGCGGTACTAGCGGGCTTTTGTCCACGGATATAGGCGCCAAGTGAGGTAATATCCCAAGTCGAGGTTTGTGTTTGAGGGGGGAAGCAGACCAGCTGTTGAGTCCGGGGACCAAGTGCCCATATATCGCTGTAAGTTGAGTTGCTTGAGGCGAAGTATCCCGGCATGGTGCTCAGCTATTCAATAATTAGCTTTCTGATAGAAATATTGTATTCGTAGAGATCTGCCATTGATTACTCACTGGACTCTGATCAACGGAAGAGATGAATCCAGCTCGTTTGATAACCAGTTTCTTCCCGCTGATCAACTTGATCGATTGCCAGCGCTGGGAGCCTTGAATGAAGTAGCCAGCTAGATCTCCAGTGTGGGTGATATTGAATGTTTCAACACGAAAGGTAGCGCCCAATGCGTTCGCGAATGCAAACGGGCCATCGCCTTGAGGTTTCAGAAGACCACTGTTGGCAGCGTTTGTTAGAAGGCCTCCTAATGTAGCCAAAGTTTTCTTAGGTACTTACGGGAAGGCTTCAGTATATTTCACTTCAACTTGGGGGTTTCCCTCGGCCGTTTCTATGTTAAAGATCATTGTCCCGGCGACATCTCTGCCGTAATCCACTGTTTTATTTTTTGAGTAAAAGTTTCATCGTCTTCAAGGCCAAAAGTACGTGTTCTGTGTATTACTCACGGGTGTAGATATCTCCAATGTTCTGGAACATCAATTTTTCTTCTACATTCTTGCTGTTAAATTCCTTGTTCAGGCCCTTACTGACCGAAACAGGATAAACGAGTACTGGGTCGGTAGTAGAGGCTGCGTGTTGAGGCTTCGGGATTGACGGCCACGGAACGTCACCCTGCACGGCTCCCCAAGTGCTTAAGCTTAGAGAGAGCCAAGAAACAACATTCATTAAAACTCTCATGATGATTCAGTTGTAATGTAAGATGACTTCTCTGAATGAACCAAGCTATAATTCTATTTCAATTTATAGGATAGGGTCCCGGCAATGTGGGCGGAGAGGTACTAGAAACCTCGCATGCTCTTAACATTGAACTATGCCCACTCGGCAGTGGATCGCATGAAGGTGATTTATTATAAGGCAAACTAAATAGGTATTATGTACTGCCTATCCTATTGGGGTTAATTGGATCTGCGATGAGGCAATCAAATTCAAATAAACTGCATTGGTCCTATGGAAAGTGAAAAGAAGGGAAAAGAAACAGCAGGAAGATGAAGTTGACAGCTAATAAATGATAGTTGGGGCTGCTGTGTGGGGGAACGGGAAACAAGCTACGCTAGTCTTAATCGGAAAGTCTTGTGACGGCCTTCAAATGTTAGAAACAACTTGAAGTTGTAACTGCTCTGCAGCCAACTGCTACCTGGTAGTTATGTGGTGAGCTGCAAATGCTTAACTTTCCAGATAGATTTATTCAAAGTATGCTTCACCTACCCGGCCATACACTCACAATATAACGGGAGACGCGTACGTGGTGTCCTTGAGGCTCTCTTGTGCTCAGTCACATCCAGCGGCTATACGACCAAGGAACAGCTCCATGCACAATGCGATAATGAATTTCTCATAATCTTTGATAAAGAGTCTAACGGCAGTCTCCTGTAATTAACCTTGGAAAGTGCTGGGGCGAATAGAGATCCGCATATTTTAGGCTTAGCAACAAGGGGGTCCACATGGCCCCACCACTGCCTAAAAGCCAACATAAGGTTAGATCTGATCGTTTCTGAAAGATTTGAAATCCGTAGGAAATAACGGGAGGGTGTGTTTTCACGTATTGCATGTTTTGGCATTCGTAATACACGAAAATGTCACAGCTTTCGAATATTGCAGGAGGGGAAAAGCAGCTGAAACAATTTTATTTTCACCGGCTGTCACAACAGGCGAGGCCCACTTCCACTCTATCGGTTCTCGCATCGATGGTCTCCGGGTTTGACAACGTGATCAGAAATTTGAAAAAGATCTTGGCAGCAGTGGACTGCATATCTTGTGATCTGGATGCTCATGTCACACGATGATGGTAGTCGGCGCTCATATGATCCCCGACACAATGGAGAGCGCCGCCTGACAAGCGCTCATAATTTTGGTGTTTTGGGGGGGGGAGGGGGGCGGCTATGAATAGGGCACCGAATTGAGATGATCAGGCTGTCGCCCTTAAAATCGCATGTAAAGAACATAGGTCGGAACTCGAAATATCTATATGTAGCATTACATTCCTTTATGCTGATCTTATTACGTCAAGGTTATGACGTTGTTCATGTTGTTGTTATTGATCTTAAGATTGAAGCTTAGACTGATAAATAGTAAAGGGATCCAGCACTTCGCAGGATTCCAAGCCAAAGATAGCAGAGATTCCTCTACTACGTTCTTTGTAGACAATTTGAATCTCATTCTTCCTCTTGTCTGATTTTTCAGCTGAAAAAACAGCTCCTTCTAGAATCCAAGATTACTTCTATTTCTTTGTTCTATCCTTGTGTCTGATATCATATGATCCCCTCCGTTCGTAAAATCCTACTGCTATCTCTCTTAGCAGTACTGTACACCCAAGAACAAGGCCCCAGGAGCCTTGGATCCCAAATCCTGACACGTGTAGTAACAATCTTCAGAGGAAAATATCACTTTGTGGTTAAATTGCCCATACAGTTGGTATATAGGCCGTTGAAAGAAGATAACCAACACCTGTGGAAGTACCCTGCTATCTAGGCTGACATGGTATAACTTACTCATGGAGAGAAGTATTTGGTGTCTAAAAATAAAATTTCATGAATAAGCTGTTAATATACTTTAGTAGATATAAGAAACAAAGAGTCAAAATAGAAAATGATGAATTGGTATATCAATTACTCTAGACTCTAGCGGAAGATAGACGGATGGACTAATAGACTAATAAACGTTGGATTACGCGATAACAACATCTCTTAATGAGGACAGAGGCACTAGCTGAAGAAATGTAATTTACAAGGTTTCGCGGCTTTTCCCAACGCGGCCCCTTTCAATGTTCCCTTTTGTACTTGGATATATACATATAGCAAAATAAAACCCGAGGATTTTCATCGATTAATCAGCAGTATATTTGTTTTTATTTCTCGAATAGGACATAAAAATGTATTGTATGATAGAATAAAGGGAGCAGGAGTCCCAACAGACATACACAAAGTTAGTTGTGAACCACTTGAATCGTTCAACACAAGAAAGGAGAGGAAATCACACAGCCAGCTCTTTAGACTCTGTCGTTCATTTGATGCAGTGGGTAAGCATCAGGGCGTAAATCATTGACATTCGCCGAGTACCAGATCCACGTGACGGCCATAATAATCGCCATAAGAGCAACATCCAGGCCATATTGCGGCCATTCATGTTTCTCCAGATACCCCGAAGTCCCGCTTTTGTATTCAATGAATCGATAAACATTGCGGACAGTGATCAGAATACTACACACGTATAGAGAGTAAAGCATCCGCTCAAGAAAAAGGCTTGGATCAACCAATTTCAGAATGTGATTTCGTCGTGTTCGGACATGAAAAAGGATGGCGCAGGTGGCAAAAACACAGAAGAAGAGGACTTGAAGAGCGAGACCACCCAAAATGATGTTCTCTCCAGTTTCTTCTTCGGCGCTTGTGTCAGCACCCACAAGCTTGCCGGCACCTGCAGCTTGGATCAGGAAGCAGAGGATATCACCCGAGACGAAAATCTTCGTGAGCCAGTTGATTCGGATAAGAGACATCTGGGGATATCCCGAGGCCTTTATCAAACGACCGAGAAACATATAGATACCGGCCGCGAACAAAATCGGTGCAAGAAGGATCAACAGAATCTGGATAATATACGGCCCTTTCTCGGTCAAGTGATCAGAGGAGTAGGCTCTGGCTACCATACCCACGATTTCAACTATTTTTCAAAGATGTCAGCGAATGGGTAGATAATCACTCGGAACATGGATCACTTACAAAGGGCTCCGGTTACCAAGGCAAAACCGAACCATTTTCGCGTTGCGAAAATTTTCCATAGATGGAGAACCGTAAAAATAATGAAGATGATGAGGAAAACGATAGCCGCTGCCTTTGATGGAACATAATAAGTGTAGGGGTTTGTAGTACTCGTCATGATGCGCGAAATGTTACAGAACTGATCTGTTCGAAATGATGTCGTTGCGACTAGGGGCGGTGGGGAAATAAAAGCGCCCAATGCAGGGAAAATAATGAAACGAAGGTCGAGGGCGAGGATAAGGACGTGAAATGCAGAAAAGATTGTTCAAGCGAAGGATCGGTGGCAGCGAAGCCAAAACAAAAAGAAGGTGGGCTGAAAGATGAAGTCGTAGTTCTCCTTTGGTCCCCTCTAGAAAGTCTCAAACATCATCAAAGACTTTGGAAGGAGACACAGGTTTTATCAAACATTGAAAAACTGATTTGATTTTTGCGAACGTCAAATCTGTATCTAGGAAGAGAGAACACGTAATCTAGGCAACACGATATCGGTAACAAACATTAAGGGGCGCTCTAAGAGCTTCCGCGAGAGAAATTCCAATACAAGAGTAACTATAAGTGAAGAAAAAGTAGTGAGTAGCTATACGCTATACCTCTACGTATTATTGGACCGTTAATGGGAATTAGTGCACATGTGGGTCTGGGGGTTTCTAATTTTCATAAAATTCGTGTATTGAGCAAACTAGTTTGGAAACTAGTTATGGAACATTGAATAGAAGCTCCATACATATGTAGAACTTTGTAATACTGCCGAGACTCGTAAACGACTACCTAAATATATGTATCGATGCTAGTTTCAGGGGTTTTAAGACTACTATTGACAGGATAGTTGCCAATCTAGCCCAGCCTTTTTGTGTCTGGTACGCATGTCGGCACATGCAGCTTTTCATGGCCGATTGCGCTCAAATTTACACAAATCGACTCTCTCCTTCTTCTTATATATTCAGGGCCTATGTGTGAAGTTCTAGGTCTGATTTTCTTCACTTCGCTTATCTCGTGGACTGGGTAGGTACCTCCGTATGGTATATGTAGTATACAGTGGAGACAAGCTGATCCACCATCGTATTTCCGTCGTATTTTTGGATTGCTGATTGGTCAAAGTTGGCCCTTACAAAAACCAGAAGCAAACCCGAAAACCAATCGGATATGGTCGTACTCCGTATTCCGTACTTGTAAACCAATCATTGGCCAAAAATGATGAGTCATCGCAAACTGCGATCACGTTTGGAGTAAATAGCTTGTTTAGTCTAAGATTAGCTTCTAGAAACAGTGGAGAATATATTGTACATTTTGAACACTGACCCTATTTTGATACCATGGAAATTACCACCATGTAGCAAGGGAAGCATACTACGTTTGCATGATTCAACCATTCAGCCTCCTTTTCCGATGAGGATTTGTTCATGTATCCTCCGTAATCATCTTGAAGATAAAATCAATTGGCGGGGGAGACTCCGTTTTCGGACTCTGGGCAGGTGTTTGGCAATTCATGTATGTAAGATATTTCTAACCAATCATCATCAAAAAAGTACGACGACGATACGATAGTGGATCAAAGTTTCTCGGTAAATGTGATCTGCAGTAGGATTACGGAGTAGGTTCCGTACTCCGTAGTCGCAACACATCCCAAGATCCAACTCACATCCAACTTGCATCCAACTTGTCGATGTCTAGCTGGTATTTCGTTTTACCATGAAATCACGATATGAAGACTTGAGAGCCGACCCGCTTGGCAGGTGGGCTGAATTGGCCCTTTCCCCTGAAATTTTCATAGCATGTGGGTCATGCACCAGCTATAAAAGATACATCTTAGACAGACATGCTGCTGTAAGAAATCTCCTTATCTTATGAACACCTATCTCGAATGATGTTGATCCTTCGTGTTGGTGTATTTGTCGCCACGGTGCTGGCACAGCAGGTCTATGTATCCACTACTGGTACATCGACTAGACCCTACTGTGCTGCCCCCGCAAAAGCGTCCGCAGATTTTGATACGCCGTCCTATCATTATAGCACGTTCTCCTACACTCAAACCGAAACAGTCCGCACTGCAACTTGCGCCACACTCGGATCCACCACCACCTATGCTGTACCCTATTCAAAGGTTAGCAACTCGTTCTCATCATTGGTGACGACCTCGTGGGGAAACTGGAATCCCGATTCTACTGCAACAGCTACTGACACCAAAAATCCCTATGGACATGCTGCCTATACTTCACTATGGGAGAAAGCCAATATCACAAGCTTCACCAGAGGCCTGTACTCCACGACGGTTTCCCCAACACCGGTGCCTACTAGCGAGCTCGTGCTTCCCCCTCCTCAATACTTCAGACCCCATGATTGTTATAAGTTCCCAAAGGACTTTGTCTTTGGCGTTGCTGCAGCGGCCGTCCAAATTGAAGGAGCTATTGCGGACGAAGGACGGTCGCCTGCATTCCCCGATATTTTCACTGGCATCATCGACGAGATGCCCACTTACCTTCTCGACGAGATTACCGGTGGCTCCGCCGCCGTGAATGATTACACCACCAATGAGCACTATTACTTGTACAAACAAGATATTGAGCGGCTGGCGGCAATGGGTGTCGAATATTATTCATTCACAATCCCCTGGTCGCGGATCTTGCCCTTCGTTCTCCCCGGGACCCCGGTCAACTCACAAGCGTTGAATCATTATAACGATTTGATCAATCTCGTCATCAGTAAGGGCATGCGGCCCATCATCACCTTGCTCCATACCGATACTCCCTTGGTGTTCTTTGGAGATGATGTCGAGGCTACTATTGCCGAGAGAGCTTATTTCGGCTCCCTCAACGCCGGGTACGGGAATGCAACCTTCGAGGATGCATTTGTGAACTATGGCAAGATTGTCATGGCCCATTTTGCTGATCGAGTGCCCTTTTGGTTTACCATCAATGAGCCGCAAAACGGTGCTACCAGTGGCCCCAGTATTGACAATATTATCAAGGCACATGCCAGACTTTATCATTTCTACAAGGACAATCTTCATGGGACGGGCAAAATTTCCATGAAAATGGGAGGCACCCCAGGAGCACCCCAGAATCCGAAGAATGCCTCTCATATTGCGGCGACACAACACTACAACGACTTTTATCTCGGTCCATTCTTGAACCCTCTCACCCTGGGTATCGATTATCCCGAGGCATATAAAATGACAATCCAGGATTATATACCTCTGGCCTTAGCGGATCTCAAATACCTGAAGGGAACTATTGGTAAGAGACATCTCGTGATTGTGTGGTTGTTTTTTTTTTTGATACTGATAGATGCACGAATCAGATTTCATCGCCTTTGATGGGTACACCACGCCGACTATCTACCCTGTTGTCAACAGTATTGCCACATGCGCTGCTAACAATGCCACTTCGAATTCCAACTACCCCACCTGTGTCGGTTCTACTTTTGATACTGTGAATGGATGGGAAATGGGCTATCATACCGACTACGTCATGTATTCGACCCCAACTTACCTACGATCTACCGTCAACTATCTCTGGAACACGTACAAAAAGCCCGTCATGCTTTCCGAATATGGCTTCCCGATGAATGCCACTTCTTTCGAATCCACGGCCGATGCACTGAATGATCTACCAAGATCCGAGTACTACCAAAGCTACATGACAGAGATTCTGAAATCTATCTGGGAAGATGGTGTGGATGTGATGGGTTCTCTTGCATGGAGCTGGGTGGACAACTGGGAATTCGGATCCTATAATCACCAGTTTGGCCTCCAGGCAGTCGACAGGGATACCATGGAGCGGTCATACAAGAGGAGTTTCTTTGACCTGGTTGACTTTTACAAAACCAGAAAGACCCATTAATCAACCAATTGCTGGCGTCCAGCGACTTTGACGCCGAGCTGGGTTGGAGATGAGAAGTTTCGGGGCAATAATACTAGCCACTAATTGGAAGCAAATCTCAGCTTGATTCAGTTCGACGGTATACCTTGCACGCAAGTAGCTATTTGTGATGTTTCCTAAGCGATGGGGCTGCAATTGGCGCCACGTTGTGCGATCATGTTCTGTGTGAGATCAAGAAGTAATGATTTAATTGAAGGGCGATATTAGAACGAGAACTCCCGAAAAACCTTAAGCGAAACTGCCACTTGTGACAGAAGGGGCTATGAATAGGGCGCCGAATTGAGACCACGGCCATAAATAACAGAAAATATTAGAGTAAGACGATAAACAAAAGTCATGGAAGGAGAAAGAATCCTTGACAAAGTTCCAGAGTTGTCAGCATATCAATAGTCGGCTATCAAAGGGAGTGGGTCTGAATTGAAGGTTGAAAGGTGATCAAATCAACTATCTCTTTTTTCGGTCTACAAACTCTATGACTCTGTACCTTACACAAAATTAATCTGTCACTGTGCATTTTCGCTTATCCTCCCTTGTTGACTTATCCAGAACAAATGACGAATGCAATCTATAAGATAATGACATTGATTGGCTTTAAAGGAAAAAGAGTAATCCCAATTGCTTTGTACAACACCACAATAAGCCACAGCCCGATGTCCGTGCTCAAAGCTTGGTTCCCCGATAGGGCTTCATTTCGATATCCGGACTCCATACGGAGGTGGAATTTTAGATATTGGAATCTCAGCAGGCAACTAAAAGGCAACTTGTTTCATAATAGAGATAAGAATATAGAGTAAGGACGTATAGTAATGCGATTGGGACGATCGAGATAAGTCCTGTCGATCCTGATTCCTGAGTCACGACTGACGGGGCAGCTCGGGACCCAATTTCTAGGCAAATCATTTCCTACTAAATAGACTTCCAGGCTCTGAGTTTGCATCACAATTGGTTTACAATGACACGCAGATAGGGTGTACGTATGTCGCATCTTCATGATGGTCCGGGCGCCGTTTTCGCTTACTGTGCACCAAGCATGAAGTACATAAGTTATGTGTTTTTGTTGGGCACGTGTCCATAAACAGACTGTTCTCAACTTTTCATAGTCATTGATTCTAGAACAAAGGAACAATCACTGCCTCTGCTTGTACTCTTTTACCCCACATGTCTGGAAGAACTGGGGACAGAGTGGGCTCCGCCGGCTTATGGGGATTTGATATGATTACTCTGGGGATTCGGGGAGACTCGGTTGAATATCAACATCTATCTTAAAACTTGATCAATCACAATCTCTGAATGCTTCCAGGGTAATGATTCCTTATCATCCTACAAATTGCGAATTGCGAATATCGAGATAGATAGATTGGACTCGTAGAGCACGTAAGTTTGATGCTTATCCGGCAAGGGGGAGTTGGCTAAAAAAGAAATGCAACTTCATGATAGGAGGGAGAGAACGAATGACCGTCTTATGGAACGAGTCTACTTGATCCATCTCCGAGGAGATAAACATAGCCCGCTAGGGACCAGTCATTCAAGGACCTTGCTGATGGCGTCAGTGTTTTCTCCGAGCCAATCCCAGGACGCCCAGTATTCAGGCACGTCTATCATTGTACACTTGGCAGATACGACAGGGATATTTCGAGAGCACAATGCGAAATGGTGGGGGAAAGGACTCCCCATTATCAGTGATATCGTTGTGTAACCGAATCAAAAGCGAACAAGTCTGGTAGCTGCTCTAGATAAGTGCCGGATCCGTTGTCAGTCTCGCATTTGCGCCACACTGGGAGGATCTCCCGGGGGATCCGTCGGAGAGAAGGGAAATTTCCTGGGGTCAAAGAAATCTGGAGATAGGCTGTGGCGATGAAGCGGTGTGCGTTATGAAGAACCGAGAACCACAGTGGACCAGTGGGGGAGATCCATCGGGGGTGAATGGGGCTGATAACGCGGTTTTTGGGCATTCTTTGGGGTATGGAGCTGCATGATCTACCACAAAGTTTGCGCCTCAGGGGTATATTTGCTCTTATCTCTTCACTTCAACCCATTCTCCGGGGTCCGAGATATGCAGACTTATCAATGATTGCCGTATCAGAACAGTTGGACAATGGACCTTTTTGGGTAACGTCACGCCTTATCGAGACGCTTTTGGGTGATAACTGGAATTTGGTTTTTGCTTTCCTTTGGCGCCTGAGTTTTCCCAGAAAGAAGATACCTATATATAAAGAGCATCGCTTCTTCCCGTGTCATTTTTGCAAATGCACAGTTCCCACCTCAAATGTTGGGGCCTGTTTTGAATACTTCCAGATTCAACTGTTGCAATGTTCTCCAGGACTGCACAGGTGACGAGGTCAACTGGTTGTTTTTTTTTTCTTTTCTTTTCTTAATCTTCTTTTTTTCGGTTTTTTAAGGGCCAGAAATTACCTGTGGTCGTATGTTACATATGCACAGGTGTCGGTTTTCTTTCCTCCACGCTCCCCTTAACCTGGAGGGCAACTCTTCCCTCATATGAACAAGACCGACATGTGACCTCGAGGCGAGGCAAAACCCTGGATTTCAACATAACCGCAGAAGCCGCTCCGAAAAGTCAAGGGGGAAAAATAAAAATAGGAGATGCACCGACAGGGGACCTCCCATGTCCGTGCCGGAAAGGAGTGGGGAGAGATTTGTGCTTTTTTACCAAAGTACCGCCACCTTTCTTCCCTCTGTTGTCTTACGGCAGGATTGGCGTTGCCAGCTTTCGGACGTGCAGGACGCCACGGCCCACAAGTCCCTTCATCTGTGAAGGTGGGCAATTATTACCCAGCAATATAGTTGCCTTTTGGCGTGTCGGGTTGGTCCGGAGAAGGGTTTCATGGACTACTCAGTTAGGACATACCGATCGGAGGCTTGCCACCCCCGACAAAGCGACAGGGGTTTAAGGATGAGCATACAAGATATTGAAAGTAATATCTGATTGATCCATTGATGTTCACTCATTTGCCCCCCTTCTCCCCCTCCTATTCTTATCCCATTTACCCCATTCTTTGCTTTTTCTTCTAATTTATTTTTGTTGTTTTACCCTTCTTTCCTTTCTTTTTCTATTCTTTTTTTTTTCTTTTCCCCCCTCTTTGCTACATAAGTTTTAACGTTTTGATTTATATTGAAATGTGGAACAGAGCTGAACGACAGATAAGGAATATCGTCATGGGGGGACTCCACCGTGGGGGCCCTAAGCAGTCAACCAACCAAGCTGATCTGCGCGCCTATCAACCAGAATGACCACGGCTAATTACTCTACTTGGGCAGCTTATCAGCTTATCTTGTCATATCTTGGGTGCCCCGACTTCAAGTGGAACCCCGTGGGTCCAAGGGAAGCAAGAACACCCACACGATTTGACGATTAGAGATGTTGTCCCTCCGACAGGACGAAAAAAAGAGGTACCAGCTTGTGCCTGTTTACTCGATCCGGTTGCGGCCCGGGCTGTTTTTTATTTTTCTTTGTCTCCCCACATGGGAAAACCCTCATGGGGGGAGGTGATGTCAGGGAGAAATTGGGAAAATCTAAAATCTAAACTCATGTCGATCTTTTCCTTCCTATCGGGAATTTGGAGAACTACGAGAGGACAGGAATTGAAAGCCGAAAAGAGAGTTGTGGCGAGAAAAAGCCATCTTTAACCTGACCAATCCCTACGCAGCCTTTGGTAAGTTATACCGTTATATTAACCGATGCGGAATATATGCAGTTCAATCCGCCTTGTACAACAACCCCGCGTCGCATGAGGGAGGGGGAAGGATTTTAGGACGTTTTTTATTTCGCTTGCTTGTCATCTTGATGGCTTTTCCTTTTCGCAGAGAAGCCTAAGTGAAAAGACGTTGAAACGGCGATACTCGATGATCGGTATTACCGATTGATACCGGGCTCGGGTAATGTAGGGATGGGGGTTTGAGTTCCGGTGAGTGTTGCCGTTGCGTGGTCGGGGGGTTTATATCCAGAGCCTCGTTCGACCAAGCGGATCCTGTCCGACGCCAAATTGTCTCCGTTATGAGCTTGGTCGAAGCCCCGTAGAACGTTTCTTATCTATTTCGGATGCAAGCTGCTGTTATCTCCGGCAAGTATTGCAACCGAGGTTTTTTTGACATTCTCTTATTTTTTCAACACCCATCCCGTGTCCGTGTCTAGGTGGAAAGTATTGGAAAAACACCATACATACCAAACTCTAACTCTGGAAGATATCACATTCAATATCAATGTTTTGAATAGAGCTCCAGCAAAAAAAAAAATGAAGAAAAAAAGCAAAAAAAAAATGAGGATCCTTTTCTCTCATTCCCCAGTGTTTACACTTTCACATTTTCCATTCCAATCTTGTACGTAGGTCGCATTTGGATCGGCTTGGACCAAAGGCTCCACTTGCGACAGTGCTGTATCCACATCTTTGAACTACATCTGGACTTATTTCCGGTTCGGTCTACGGAATACTGAAGACGGTAACCAATTCCCATGGGTGATGGAGGTAACAGGTACAAGATCATTAGAAGCTTTGGTATGGCCGCGTGCCCAGATCCCAGTACCTGCATGTTTAATTTGATTATTCGCCGTCTTATTTGCCCCCCCAGGTCTCCATTTGACGGGTCTGTCGGACTCGGCCCGATATCTTCGAGACTCTGTCTTTTTGTTTTTCTGGATTTCGGTCCCGGCGTTCCCATTCGATGTGCATAGTATTAGAGGAACAAGTCGGAAGGAAGAAAATAAAGAAAATAAAAAAGAGTATAAAGCAAAAGGAAGAGCTCCATAAGGACGGGGCCGTGCGGAGTCAAATCCAACTGTATGTAGGGGATTGTTGTTTTAGAGCAGGTCGGTTATTCGTGGGAATTTCCGGATGAATATCAAGATCAAGGGCCTAGAAGGGTGGAAGGGGGCATTGTCAGATCTAGTACAAAGCGACAAGAGAAAGGACATTTAGGACTTTTGAACGGGAGTGGCGTTCAAAGGCGCATGAATCATGTAGTCGAGGCAAGCGCCGTAAATCGGTAAAGAAAATAGATGATTACTGATTATTACTGATTATAGTCATATGGATTATATACGAATACTCATTTTACTATGTTGATTGTTACTGGGATTTTCCTCTATACAGACTTGGTTCGTCGTTAGCGTAGGTACTTAATGTATGCGGATCCCGTACTTTCGGTTCCTCTGCAGCTGGGGGCTTGTAACGGTAATACTCTTACCCTGTTACCACCAAAACCTCTTCGTTTCCCCAACTTCAGACCACCAGCACATATCATATTCCCACTTTCTCGTTTTCTTCCCTTCCCTTCTTCTTGATCTCAATTCCCCTTGAGCTTTCTTTTTTTCCCCCTTCTTTCTCTTTTCCCCTCTCATCTTTTGCTCTCTTTCTCTCCGACCCCATTTGGCTCAATCCCGCTGTTATAAGCCCTTTCACTCTCTCCCCCCCAAATTCACCAACGTTTCCGGGGCATGAGTGTCTGGAGGGTCTAGCCCCCCTCCCCTCCTCCCCCTCTCTACGACTCCAATACATTTTATATAACAAGATTTTTTTTTTCTTTCTTTCCCAAACGAAATCAGAGGTGTGGGTGGTGGTCCGCGCTTTCCAAGTAACGCTCGGTGCACCGGATCTAACTGAACGTTGGTACTGACGAGGTCGCTGACTGAGACAACCCAATCGCGCACTCGATCGCGATCTTTCTTCCCCCCGGCAAGGGTCTCTCCATTCCTCGTGAACGGAAGACCGGGGCAGATCTGAATTTAAACTGGGGGGTTTTTTATTTTTAAAAAAAAAAAAAAAAGAAAACGTTTCTCTCAAAACCTCCCCCATCTTTCCCTTGCTTGCCTTTTTACCCCGGCATTTAGCCATGGAGGGTATCCATCATGGAGGTCATGGTGGCCGACCGCTGCAATCCGCGGCTTTTCCGGACATGGATTCCCATATGATGTCGGACGACTTTTCCTTTGGCTCCCCCTTCAGTCCTACGAGTTCCACTGCCCAGGATGGTATGCTGAATGACCCCATTTTTCCGGAGTGGAGGAGTGGTGCCCCGCGCGGTGGCGACAACCCCGACGAATTGCAGCGGCAAGACCCCTTGGCTGCTCAGATCTGGCGGCTTTACACCAAGACCAAAGCCAACCTGCCAAACCAGGAACGTATGGAGAATCTGACCTGGCGAATGATGGCTATGAGTTTGAAACGCAAGGAACAAGAACAGCTACGGTAGGTTATACTTTTTTTCTTTTCTTTTTCTTCTTTTTTGCCACATTCTTTCTGGATAGATCTGCTTTTCCTCAGACTTCCCATTCAATTGCCGGGCGGGATAGCTCACTTTCTTGGCCCTGCAGGTCGTCGCAAGCCAATCATCATACCACCAGTCCTACCCCGAGCGGGATCGCGCAGTTGCATCTGTCCGACCAGGCGTCGACAGTCAACTCGAACTCCAGCATGAACCTCGATTCCACCCCAGATGCCATGAACTTGGATGACTTCATCGTCCCCTTTGACTCCCCCGTCGAGTATTCGTCTCACCCCACCGTGGACCGTCAGTTCACCGCGACACCAACCGCTTCCATCCCGATCAAATCGCGCAAGGACCAACCAGCCGACCCATCCGTCGCAGCGTCATTTCCACACCCTCCCCAGGAGCAACGAAAGAACAGCGAGTTCGGCTACGTCGCCCGTCGGGTCCGCAAGACCAGCGTGGATGAGCGTCAGTTTTTCTCCGGGCTAGCAGTGCCCACGCGCAAACGCCCGGCCGATGCTTCACCACAGGTACCCCCCGTATCGAACGCGATGATGGCACAACACTCTGAAATGTCGGCGGCGGGATTACCGGATTACTCCCTCGACCACTCCCCGGCCGGTTTCGCCATGCCGACCAACGGAATGGGTCCTCGGCGTCATCTCCACCAGCATACCGTCTCATCGGGTCTCCCGTACGGCCTGGATACATTTGGTGTGGGTGATGAGAGCGCAATTAGCTCCGCGGGCCCTTACCAACAGCACTTTACCTTCTCTCCTTCAGACTCCCCTATGACAGCTGGCAACCCATTCTCCAGCCTATACGCACAGACCCCGTTGGCGACATCTCTTAACTCCACTGAGTTCTTCTCTCCACCTCCATCCGGATACCAGTCGGCCGTGTCGACGCCTCAGCCAATTTATGAAGGCGAACAGTCTATATTCTTCGATGCGCCATCGACCGATTCCCACAACCAGCGCCGTATTCCCACATATCTGCAGCAACGGTCCTCCAACTTGTCCGCATCGCTACAGCCTCGCCAAATGTATAACAGTACCAACGGAGAATATCAGTCACCTGTTACTGGGCCACCCACCACTATGGGTTTCTCTGTTCCGCAGCAGCATGTTGACCCCAACCAGGTGCTGGGGCATGAATATTCCTCCACCGCGCCTAATACCAGCATGTTTACTTTCGGTGGAGACTCAGATAACGAAGACGACGATGGCCAGTCATATGAGCGCGGAGGCATTGCAATGCCCCATGACTTTTCATCCATGGATGAGACCGGCGATATGAACGCGGGTTTGACGTGGGATGCAGGGTTCGCAGGTTCTGTTCAGTCATTACCTGGATTTAATGGTCAACATCGCAAGCATGTCACCATTGGTTCGACTGACATGATGGAGGGCCCACCCGAGTGGCAGCATCACGCGAGCCTTGGCCGTGGGCATGGCTCCGCAGCCTCCGTCAGTGAGGTTCGTAACCGAGAACAAGACCATCGCCGTCATCAAAAAATTGCGCGCACTGCTTCGACTCCCAACGCCCCCGGCCTCTTGCGTCAAAGTATGAACGGCAATGCTAGCGGGCCGCCAACGAACCACCCATCCCCTAATACCCCACCTGAGTCAGGCCTTAGTAGCGCCGTTCCCTCTCGACCAGCCAGCCCCGGTGGTTCTAAGAATGGTGACCCTAATGCGGGGCCGACTACGTGTACAAACTGTTTCACGCAAACCACTCCACTGTGGCGTCGCAACCCTGAGGGACAACCCTTATGCAATGCTTGTGGTCTGTTCCTGAAACTTCACGGCGTGGTTCGACCCTTGTCGCTCAAAACCGATATCATTAAAAAGCGGAACCGCAGCAGTGCCAACAGCTTGGCTGTCGGTACCTCTCGCTCCTCCAAGAAGTCTTCTCGCAAGAACTCCATTGTGCACGTGCCAACTAGCGTTGTTAACTCGCGTGCGCCGAGCAACAACGCTTCCGAGTCGCCGCCTTCTCTCTTGGGATCCAGCTTCTCTAACAAATCGGGCGTGGTTCCTATTGCCGCCGCACCGCCTAAACCTGGCCCTCCTGCTGGAGTTGCTCAGGCACGTGCAGGTGTGCAAGTAGCTCCCAGACGGCAGCGTCGTCTTGAAAAGGCACCTGCTGGATCTGAGCCAGATACGGATGATAGCCCCAAGTCAACTGCACCACCTTCTCGATCCAAGGTGGTACCATTGGCTCCGGCCATGCACCCGGCAGCTGCCAACCCTGCCAACCACAGTATTGCTGGTGGACAGGGTGCCAGTCAGGAATGGGAGTGGCTGACCATGAGTCTCTGAGCGCCATTCACCTTCTCTGTTATACGAACTTCTTTCTACCCTTCTCTCTCCCCCTTTTGATGTCTCAGTATGACAGAGCTGGCCACCCCTTCTTTAATCTCGTCCATACACACGACCCGACTAATGACCTTGCTGGTGGTTCCTTGTGGCTTTGCGATCGTCTACCTCTTATGTCCTTCCATTTTCTTGATCCCATTTTTGGATTTTTATATTGTTAAGTTACGTGTGCTTGATGATCTTTGTGATTTGATTGATACAACCGCGTCTGTCCGGTACCCAAGTTGCTTTTCTTTTTTTGGTTTGTTCTTATGTGCAACTTGACACCGGGCAGAAGTGCGCATCTCTCTGGATTTTTTGAACTTTTTGAACTTTTGTTTTTCCCCCTTCCGAGGTTATTCTTCCTTATTTTCTATTATTCTTTGCACTGCTGAGCAGGCCCTGATGATGGGAGAATTTTATTAGACCGAATTTGACTACGATCGATATGACTTTTGATTCTACTATTCACATAGCACTGTGTTTTTAAGAGCTACCTCACTCTCAGGGCTAAGTAATTTCGCCCTTTGCTTTTTTGTCTTCGATGCCACTTCCTCCATATCACCAAATAAATCCATTCCGATCGCAAACTGGGCGCTTTTATATAGCATAGCAGGCCAGAAAATGAGCGATCTAGGGTGTAACTTAGACTCATGAAAGACTAATTACAGTATGTCAGGCTGAAACGCTGAGTCAAGTAGGGAGTTTCCTGTCGGGCTGACAACTTCAACCCATTCAGCATCACACTCTTTCCCACGAACGATGGCTCTCTCCGACATCCCATGCCTCACCAACTCCACTCACAGTTTTTTTGTCCACTGCTTTGATCCCTCAAATCAACCTGCTCTCCCTCTCTATATCACCCATTGTGTCTTGCAACCCCCCTCACCGCTTCCATTTCCCTTCGGCAGGCCAACCACTTCGAATCCAAATCGAAGGTCCATTGATAGCTCTTCAGAAGCTCCTTCCAGGAGTTTCATGGCACGTCCCCCACAGCTTTCCCTTACCTGGCGGTCCCAAGCTAGCGGAGCTTGCTTTCCAGGCAATCTACCACCGAAATGTATGCCCGGATATTGCTAGGGATATGGTAGTGCGAGATGAATACAAAGGTTGGTTAGTAGAGGCCAGACCAAAAGAGTAAATAATTCTTATACAGTATATGATTTTTTATAGCCTATGCTGATAACTTTGTTCTATAGGATGATTGACTACTACGGAGTTACGTTCGACCACCTTGTCCCAACCGACGACACCGATCCAGAAGTCCTACAGATTAATATCATTGAAATTGAAGACGATGCAGGGGTATATGCAAACAAGTATAACCCTTTTGAGATTGACCCAAATGAGTATATTGGGAAGAAGGTGCTTGCTGTGCCGAGGTGCTGTCAAAAAAGGAATGGAACGACAGATCGGATAAGAGTCAATGATGCAGTGAATACTAGGGATGGCAGATGAGAATTCGCTCATGGTGCACTCCGCACAATCCCGGATCTCACACAAGAAACGACTCTTCTTTCTACTAGTCTCCCAAGATGCCTCTCACCGGGCGACATTGCTCATGTTTCCCATACCCTCCCATTTTGGGGAACACAGGCCTATCTTTGGGCTAGTAGGACACTCTTAAATCTTGACACTTGCATCTGTAACCCTAATCCATGTTCTTGCTTACATTAATAAATTGCAGTGACATCACATCTGCATACGCATATACCTTTATCGATCATTGAGCTATATTACTACCTAACGATGACAGACGTCCCGACGTCGGGCTGTGGGGGCGAGACCACGTCATATCGACGAGAGGTTATTCAATAATGCCATCTCACCTACGATCTATCTACTAGCAGCTGATGGGTCATTTCACCTCTACAAAGAACGGAATTCCGAAAACCTTCAAATTTTGACTAACATTTCATGTTTGAATTACCTTTGAATGATAAACACGCTATAACAATGTCCGGCTCAGCAGTACGCCTATCAGCCCCTGTTACCGCAGCTCGCAATAAACCCACTTAGATATTAACATGCATATAACCAGAGTGAGTTTTCCAATACAGACGGTATGTTCAACACCTATTTACTATACCAATTGACAATGACCATTAACACGCCCTCCAGGCGCAACTGAGCCCCTCGATACCAGTATCAGTCGACCGGACACATTTGCGGCCCACTCGAACGAATCTGCCAGCAACATGCAAGAAAGAATTGCTCGCCATTTCGAACCAGGTACGCAATGATGAAGTGTAATATGTGGTTTCGGGTGGTCTTCTAATCAGATTCTCATCTCACGCCCTGTAGGTGATACTCGAGCCACTTCCCGCCGCATTTCCGATACGCCTGATTCGGCAAGAAGTCTTTTCCAGGCCGATTCGGATGATGATGATGAACAAGACCGATCAGGAAATGGATCAAAGTCTGTCTTGGAAACGGTGCATGAATACGTGGCTAAGGCCTTGGGGGGCGGGTCACGGGGTGGGTTTAAGCTGGTTGATGATATGGTGTAGTTTGCCGTGGTTGACCTTCTTATCCAGGTGCAAGCTAGATCGTGGCAGATATAGAGAATTCAGAAAGGCTTTTGTCTATAAAAAATGCTATTTGACTTTTGGTATCAATCTAGCCACCCAATCAACGGACAATCTATCACCGTCACCACAAGCTCTCGCTGTAAAGCACCCATATCTAGAATACTCGGCACGGCGCATGCTGATCGTTGTATTCTCGTGCACTCAGCAGCCCGCCCATATGAGCGACAATCGACAATGCCACCAGAACATGCCAGAGCGTGTGCGAGTGACCCCAGATATCGAACCGACCGGGGTATAATGACTCGGGAATGCGTGTCTATCACCACAATAAAATCAGTGAGTGCTGCCGTCGCTACTCTCGAGTGCTTTCCTTTCTTTTGTATAGACAATTTCAAGATGTATAATGAAAAGAGCAAGTTAGTCCACATACCTGGAACAAATAACATCCAAACAGCAGCAATGCGCCCTCGAGCAAGTAATACGGAACTCCAACTCGCATAAGATACCCAGGTCCCCAAAGATAGCCAGCATGGCTAATTGGCGCAAACGCAAACAACCCCGTCGCGATACAGCTGGATAGACGCACGAACCGCCATTGGGAGCCCCGGAACCACGGGCTCAGCAAACATATCCCTGTACCGGTGCTACTTGCGACAATCTACATTGAAAGCATAAGTATAGTATCAGTATGACAACGTGGGAACAAATCCAACCCCAACTCCACACTAACGACCTTGGGAAATATCAAAGAAACGGAGCATGGATACAGATACTTACAAGAGACCAATATAAATTCTTCAAGGCAGGCGCACAATAAAACCCGAAATGCAACCCGCTGACGAAATTCCCCAGAATCAGCATTAGAATCCCCCCGTGGTCGCACTGCAGTGCTTGATGTGCGACTCGCGCGGAATGGTTCAGTCCCGTGTGATACAGTGCCGAGGTGAGCAGACACAGGATCGCGGCGCACAGCTGTACTGTTATCACGATGTTGTTTGTACGGTCCTGTTCTTCTTGTTTCGGTGTGGGGTTTGTCGCTTTGGGATCCGTGTCTGTGCTTGTGCTTGCGGGCAGTCCGAGTAGAAGTGTGAGTAGCAGTGATATACCTGGGATCAGGTGGGAAAAGATGTTGCCGGTTTCATTGTGGATGTAGAGCCAGCTGGCTAGTGATTTTCTCCAGGATTGGCTTTCTGGTCGGTAGCCTGTGTGGATGAATGGATTGGCGTCGAACCAGGAAGGGACGTTGGAGAGGGTTAGGAGGGGTGGTTTCGCGGGGGTCATGGGATTGTGATTGGGCTTAATAATGCGGGTAATGGGTAAGAATATGTACTAGTGGTATTGATATGTATGGATAGGGATATGGGGATAAAAATAGGGATTGTAGTTGTGGTTGAGGTAGAGGTGGAGGTGGTTTTAGATAGTGGGGATATGGGGGCGATCGCGTTCTTGCGGCCCCACGATTCCACAGACATTTGGCCGATCGTCCGTGTATTTTGATGCTTGGTGGGATTGAAATTGCGAAACTGTTTCCCGCGATTCTTCCAAAGTTGACCGATGTCGATCGATCTGGTTTTCTTGGAATCATTGAGGCTTTTCAATATCCAAGACCTCAAATGCCCAATAGTAGTTAATGTAAATGTACTGGGCTCCCTATAACTGGCCACAGTGTACCAAATTCCTCATTTCAATCGGCACTTGATTGCAAGATTTCGAAAACATACCAGAATCTGCTGGCCTCGAAGCTGATCGTATATTAAAATTCTCCTGGTCCATTATTCATTGCAACCCAGATCGCGATTGTATACTTCGATTTCCTATTTGGGTAATCTGACACCTGAGGCCGTTATCGGTATCACGTGGGTCTCTCCATACTAAAAAAAAAAATCGCGGGAAACTTTGGAGAGCAGCAAATCATCAAACACCGCAATCATGGGTGCCAGCAGCAAAAGAAAGAAGGAGAGGAAGCAGGACTTCCAGGTTAGAATCCAACACCTCTTCTTGTACTAAGGACAATTCATTGATACTTTGCAGAAACCCAAACTCAAGGTCGGCAAGGCCAGAGCCAAACCCGATAACTTCACCGATACCAGTTTCCGATCTAAAGGTATGCATACAGCCTTTTACTCACAAGACCGAGAAGAAAAAAGAAAAGAACTCATAACTAACTTGAACACCAATATATAGCTATCGTCCTCACCCAACAATCTCTCCAACTCACAGCCCCCACCTCCAATGCTGTATTCTCCCACCATCTTTCTCTCCTCACATCCAAGTCCGACAGCCAGCGTCGCGACTCGCTCGCCCACTTGACATCTTCTATCTCCTCCCGACCCGTCAACTCTCCTCTTCCTCAACCCGTCAGCGTCATGCTCCCTGCTCTCACCCCACTCCTCCTCGACGGAAGCAACAATGTCCGCACCCAGCTCCTCAAACTCCTGCGCACACTCCCCTCCTCCGATGTACAGGACCACGTCGTCCAGCTCCTCCCCTATGTCCGCGCAGGTATGACCCATCTTGCAGCCGATATCCGCGTCACAGCCGTGGAGGTCCTATCATGGCTCGTCGAGGCTGCAGGCGAGCAGGTCGTTGCCTGCGCAGGCGGGTGGATCAAGACGCTGAACTGTTTCCTCTCCGTACTGGGATGGCACACGGAGGAATCAGCGCGTTGGTCGTCGAACCGGGCTTCGTTTGGAAAATCAGGTAGCCAGGGACGGCCTATGGTGAAGGTTCTGGGCGCACTTGCAGATTTCTTGGAGGCGGGTGTTGGAGAGCCGGGCGCCGGTTTGACCGGGGAGGAACAGGAGAAGATCGATGAGATTGTCGATTCCGCTTGGCCGTTCCCTTTATGCCAGACTGCTCATCATATGATTTCGGATTCTTCGGCGCCGTACACTTATTTGAATCTTTTTGGCCAGCCGCGTGATGCGGAGGGCGAGATGTACGAGACTCGGGAAGACCGATTCCGGGTCTTTTCGGCTCGCTTTTTGCTGGCTATTCAGCGCGGATTGAAGAGCGCGAGAGAGGAGGGTGGAGAGCTAGGACGGGCTTCTTCTGGAGTGTCCAAGGTTCTTAAGGGTGCCCTGTCGTATGGACCCGGGCCGTGAGCACTTTATTTGTGTTCACTATCACTTCCAGGGTTTAATTTCTACCCGCCTGCTTTGGGGTCTCCGCAGCCGCAGATGATACCCATGAAATTTGGACGCCGGTTTATTCCAGCTACCATTGAAACGGTCGAAGAACGGATCGGCTATTCACAAGTGCCTTTATCCAAAGGTACATCAAGTCCCCAGGCAAGCTAGCCTACTTGCGCTATGGGTTCTCTTCATAACCAGACCCATCCATTGCGAAGAGACAGGAGGCAGCAAGCATTTGTTGGAATGGAAATATGCGCGGAATAGATGTCAGACAACACCAGGACGTACATCTGGTCTGGGAATTGTACAGAGATCTCAGGAGCTTTGCCAATGTAAATAGATTATCAATTATATCCACCCCTATGCTCTCTGGGTACTTTTGCTTCTTTTATTACCGTAATTGAGAGACCCTCCAAGGTTGCACCTCAAATTTTATCTTGATGCTCATCTAAACACTCTCTTCAAATGTGGCTACCTAGTATGTACTGAGGGGAAGAAAAGCCACACGTTTATTGAATGTCGATGCATTATTGGCCATACTTCGCTGGCATGGGTGTGGTGGCTACGGCTTATACTAGATACTACAATTATAACCCTAAACGATCTTCTCGGACTCGATCCCCCGCTTACTGAGTTTCATGTTCCCATCCTCACCACACGCACTGCCACTGCAATGCGCTTCCACACCCATCACCACAGCACCAGCTTCTTCATAAACCTCATCCGGATGCACCGCTTTCTCAACAGCAGCTTCCGTGGCCGGGAACACCCACGACAGTCCAATGTAAACCGCTCCAGTAGAAAAGAAGCCCAACAACCACCCAAACTGATACGGATGCACCCCCACCCCAACCTCAATGGACGAATTGACCGTATTAATCAATCCTGGCAAATTCGGCGCAACACCAACCAAAAAGGCAACAACGGCCCTCCAATTCACGCCTGAAATGACCTTGCCAAACACTCGGAACTCGTACCGGTAAATCGGGTTCCAGAGCTGATACAGCGCAAGAGAATCATACATCTGCTTGCGAATAACCCAGTAATCAAATAACATGATCGCCCCAATGGGGCCTAGGAAAATAGCATATGCGGACATGAAGTTCAGGAAGTTATCCGCAGACTCGAGGATCTTCCAGGGGACGAGCGCCCAGGAGAGCAATGCGCACAGAATCTGGCCGCGGCGGATGTTGATGAAGCGGGGTGCTAGCGCGGTGAAGTCGTTTGCGGCGGAGAGCGAGTTTGCGGAAATGTTTACTCCTAGTGAGGCGAGGGCGAAGGAGGCGGCGGCGAAGAAGCGGCAGGATCGGTTGGGCCAGTAGCTTATTAGGACGGTGGGGTCCCATGGGATTGAGGATAGGTTGTAGTGTGATTGGCCGGCGGATGAGGCTGCGATTCCGATGAAGCCGATGAAGGTGAATATTATTGGGAGCATGGGGATGTAGAGGAGTTGCCAGCGCGGGCTGACGCGAGAGTAGCGGGAGAAATCCGACTTTATATCCCCATGATGTTAGATTGTTGCTTTTGATTCTCGGGGACATCAATGCTATTGATGTATATGATCTGACTGGGGAAAGAGAGAGAAAAACTTACCTGGTTTACACTCAAAGTGGCATAGTTGCCCAGCACAGAGGTCATATTGGCCAAGAACAACCAGCTATACTTGGACCCGGAAACAGACGCAACTTTGTTCTGGAAAACACCACCGCCGCCCTTCTCGGTCACGAAAGCCCAGATCAGGATGGAAATCCAAGCAATCGGCACCAGCACCGACTTGACAGTGAAAAGCCACCGCAACTTATTAGGATGCAGACAAAGAAAGGGAAACTGCACAACCCAAAAGATGAAATATGCCACCATCCCATTGGTGGTTATACCCTGGTCCTCAGGGATCCCATTCTCCAGCCTCAAATAACTCGGCCAGATAGCGCCTAGCATCACACGCACCGCATTTCCACCATTGATATTCTGGATGGCGAACCAGAAAACGGCCAGAATAACCCGTGAGACGATGGGGATATAGGAGCCCCAGAAGCCCCAGCTTGCGCGGGCAATTACCGGGAAGGGGATATGGTATGTTGCGCCGACGGTGCCATTTCCTGCAATCACAAAAGAGATGATGAAGAAGGAGATTGCGATGATGGCCAGAGCTTCTTTGTAGGTGAGACCGACTGCTATAATGCTGCTGGCGAATTCCCAGGATGCGGCGTTAAAGGCGTCAGATATCCAGTATGCTGTGTTTGTAGAATGGAAGGTTAGTTTGCGATTGGAAGGTACTAGTAGGTAAAGTTGTAGCTTACCTATAATACTGGCTACACCCCATTTGCGGCCTAATAAGGGAATAGGATCGAGATCACGGTTCGTCCATCTGGCATTACCGGATGCAAAGGCTGATTCGGGCTGCGAAACTCGGAGCCGGGGCCTGGAGAGGCGCATCTCTGTAGAAGTAGAGTTGACGTTATATCGGATGTTCCACGGGCCGGATCGTAGATCGTAGCAAGGGATGGGGGATTGAAGGTGGGAATGAAAGTGAGACCGCTGCACAACCCAAGACAAAACGCAAGTCAATTGGAATATATCGGAGAGTATTTCATACGAAGGGAACATGCGCCAATTCCAGGGTCTCTTTTTTCCCCGCAGATACGAAATCCCCCATTTTGCCATTTTTCATACAATCTCCATGACGCGTGATAAGAAAATGATAAGCGTGCATGCATGATAAGCGATTCAGCGAATGAAATGTCAGAATCGCCAAAGTGAGACTCGTATTGTATGAATTAGTATGCTTGGATCACAAAGATAGCAAATAGATAACATGGAGATCGCCGTCGTTTAAGAACGTACATCGCGATTCCCGGCCAACTCCATCACTCCCCCGGAAGTCGCACATCCTCCCATCCACGCCCATCCCCAACCTCACTCTCAAATCGTCCAATCCCCTTCCATTCCTCTACATCCATCCACCCAATCTGCTGCACATCCCCAAATCCTCCAATCCAATACACAGCCGTAACTACCATCCGCGCCCAAAAGCTCGAATGCGGCGACCCTGATGCACCAGGTAACCAAACCCTCGCATCAGGGTGAGAAGCAAGGAAACACTCCTCTAGCTCCTCGACATCTGGCCCAGACCCACTATCAGCACCCACAAGCTCAGGTAATGTATCCAGGTACCCGAAAAGCGTCACCCGCGGCAACGCCGCAGGGCTAAGACCTAGTCCCGGGTAAACAGGCCCAGCCTGGTCAAGATGGTCCCACCAGTCCAGTTCGAGGGAAAAGTTGGAGCCCGCACTAGAGCCGATGTTTCGGAATGTAGTTGCAACGCGGAGGGCTAGGATGGTGGGATCCCCGTTGTCGTTGTGCGTGAGGTGAGATGGGAGTGCGGCGTCGCAGTCTGAGATGTATTCGCGGAGGCCGATGGGGAGGCCGGCGATCTCTTCTGGGGAGCGAGAAGAAGGTGGGAGCGGGTTTGGGAAGATGGTGGAAATTACGCCTGAGGTGGACTTTGCGAGGAGGCGGCGGGCTAGGAGGGTTGATGTGAACCAGCTTGGGCGGGTGAAGGTTTCTGCTTCTACTGCTTCTTCTTTCTTGTCGTCTTCTTCTGCGTGGTATTCGCTGAGAAGGTTGAGTCCGGGAGTGGGGTTGGTGGTTGCTTCATGGTGGCCCTGGGCTAGTATGGCTTGTGGGGTTTGGGGAATGGCTGAGGCATGAGTGAGGGGGAGGGAGCATAGGGCTAGAAGCCCGAGGATGCGATAGACCATGATCAGAATAGATTTGAGAATAGATCTGAGGGAACCTCAACTTGGGAGAAGGGAGCCCTGGTTGTCGACGAAGAAATCGAGGACAAAGAGGGGAGAGTGCGGAGAAACCGGATGGGTGGAGTTCCAGTCGCCTGATCTTATCTGATCGCACTTAACTAGCCAAGTCCCACTTGGGCATCCACAACGTTCACTAGTTAAATCATAGAATGGAGTTAGTTCTGAAAGGTCATGAATGCGTAATGAAGTTGAGTAATAAAAAGATCAACAAGTATTCAAATGCTCTTGCTTCTGTGTTAGTTCATACTAGTAATTCGTAAATGTCAATGTTGACTTCTGGGTTTGAAGGCTTGCTTCAATTGGAAATCTTTCTCCTGGTTTGAAAAGTTCAAATGAAATGAACCTCTGCAGTCCGATTCAAAATATCCACTTCAACTTGAATCCACTGCCCATCATACGATGCTTCTCGTGGTGACTCATCGGGAAATATCGGAGCCGACGTCGGCCTCCACCGCCAAGTGCTGCCTTGTACTCCGTAGTGACACATACGAATAATAAAAAAAGGGACCCATACGTATGAAGAACAAATCTCATCAAGAACTGTACTATTGGCTATCCGTAGATGCGATACTTTCCAAGCCGGACGCCTCCAACTCTCCAAATGTCCCATGGCGCCATCACAGTGCCAGGGGAAGGAAGACGTACAGATCACGGCCTCGACTCCTCCCCAAAAACACAGGAGTGAATTGTAAAATAGATAAATAAAAAAAACCGTCCCATGCCCACCACACTCCATGCGTAACAAAATAGATAAATCAAGAGAAAGTCAAGATGACGAAGGAAGAGGGGAAAACCACATCCATCGTACACTGAAACAAAAGTTTGCTTTTCTTTTCACAGAGGACGACCGAGGGGCCCGGGAGGAGCGGGTGGGATCAAAATGAATAAATAAAAAAAAAAGATAGGAGGGGGTATGTACAGCCCCGGGATCGATCGTCTTGGGGAAGAAAAAGGAGATATTCTCATTTTCGGGACGGAGAAAAGACAGGGCTTTTTCTAGAACTTTCACACATTTCATAAGGAGGAAGGAAAATGGAAAAAGGGGCCAATCAGTTCAGGAAGTCCGCGCGTATACTCGGGTTTAAAGCGACTTTGCGCGCTTCACTGCCGCAGCAGGCCCGTTTCATGCCAGCCGGGCCGGAGAGGGAAGACCCATCCCCAATCATAAATGAATTGGCCAGGTGTCCATCGGGGAGAACCGAGGAGTGACCTGATGCACCCGCGTCGATCAGATGACGAACATGATTCTGGAGAAGCATGTCGTCGGATCCGGTACGACCGCGTTTTCGGCATTGGCGTAGTTCGGGTGTAGCGCCAGATAATTGGCAAAGACTTTGAGCAGCTTCGTTCAGACTTGAGTCCAACGAGTAACTGGATAGATCGGGAACAGAGCCCGTAGCACCCTGATAAGAATCGGGGGAACTATTATATAAGTCGACCAGGGAGCTCTCATCAATTGGAGAAGCAATAGCCAGGGTCTTGCGGCTCTCCTTCAAGGAGTTGTTAGTACACCGCATAGTAGCCTTGACGGCCAAGCGAGCTGGAACACAAACACCCGCTCCCGACGCATTGGATGAAACAGACGAAGACCGCGAAGAGCGAGATGATAAAGTTGACACATCCGACACCATCGAATCCGGAGAGGAAGCCGATGAGGTGGACCGAGCCAAAGAGGACCGACGAACCGCAGCCGGGTATCCATCGTAAGAGTGAGTCCGAGGGTAGAACGAGAGAGGCGGGCGCTGATCAAGAGTCGAGCGCGCCAAACCCAAGTTCTGTGCCTGAGACATCGCAGCACCGATGGAAGGGCGACGGGAGCCACATGTGGCCATACTCGCAGCAGGAGTGTGAGCCATATGTGACTGGGGGGTCATCTGAGGGGTCGGAAGCATGGTAGGACGCGGAAGGGTCGCCATAGGCAAACTGGTCGCATATCCCATCCGGGGTGTCGGTTCCAAAGTCCGGGGAAGATTTTGGCAAGTAGACATCTGTTCGCGTGGGGGCGTACGGAGGTACTCGTTACCGGGCGCGCTGCGCGGGGACGGGGATTCCGACAAAGCACCCAAATCCATGCCGTCCATGGCCGAGATCGGGGTCATCGGCTGCTCCGGTTCGATCGTCTCCAGTTCGGGGGTTAACCGGGGGAGGACGGTACGCCAGCACTGACCCTCACTGATAGGAGGGCCACCGGCACCGGGAGTCAGCTTAAGAACAAGGTCAGTCCAGCGCTGGAACATAGCCTCGGAGATATGCAAACGCCAACCGACCGCCTGCAGAAACATCAACTCATTCTGATTGATTTCCAGCGTGTTCAGACCGGAGATCTTGCTCCAAGCCCGGGCGGAGTAGTTTCGGTCTTGCAAATATTTCGAAGCCAAGATCAACGCTGCTAAAAACATACGACGACCACACTGCATGGCCCGCATCATTGACTGGTCACGGGATTGCTCCTTGGTGAAATCATGGGCAGGCACATGCGGCTTGATCTTAATAAGATAGTATAATGCCACCTGCAAAGTACTGTAGCTAGTTCGCGAACGACGAAGTGTTTCTTGAATAAAAGTCCGCAGGGGGAGAACCCCCTTTGATCCGGTCGCGGCATCACTGCGGGATGCTGCGGCCGACAACGGCCAGATGTTCTCAACAATCTGGGATGCCGTATCTTTATTTGGGTGATTTGCGTCTTAGCCGGATGTAAATGGACCAAGATGGGGGGATATTTCTTGTTTCTTTTGTGGAAGCAAAAAAAAAAAGGATATGTAGTTATGACTCACCGACAAGATTATCGACAAAATTCACTTTTCGCTCGGACTGGCGGAGCAAGCAAGGTGGTGGACGAGCACCGGGACCACTGGTCGCGGCACTGTTGGTGCGCCGAGGGTGCATGCGCAACTCGGGCGGCACGGCGGTATCTGTGGAAGGAACGGGGACCTTGTTAAAGGTACGCGAACCTCCCGACGTTCTCCCAGACTGAGCCTCAGTATCATTTTCCCAAATCACATCGACGGGGTTTGTAGCGGTGGAAGAGATGGAACTCTGAGCATCGATAGAGAAGACGGATGAGGAAGAGGAGGAGGCGGAGGAGGAGATCGAAGAGGCATAAGGGTGAGCGTGAGACGCTTTTGAGCTAGGGTTTGATAGCAAACCCAAGACGTCCATCCCCGACATATCCGGCGGTGCGCAAGGATTCATGTAGACTGTGCAGTCTGGATTTCAGGTACACGGCCGGAAGGAAGAAGGATGATCCGAATTTTTTTCAAGTTAAACCGTTAAACAGGGAACCGGGAACGAAGGCCGAGGAGACAAAAGCCGTCTTTTGGAACGAAGGCGACGGCAAAGCCTAATAGTGTTGAAGCGCCAGAGTTGACGAGGATAGGGGTGGGGGGGGTGGTTGGTGGTGTGGGGTTTTTTGGAGGTGAGGGTGGTTGGTGAGTGAGGAGAATATAAGGGATTAACTCCAACCAAACGTCGGAGAGATAAAAGAGTCACAAAGTAGGTTGTAAGAATAAGAAGTGGCGAAATCAAAAATCGAACATATGACACGATAATAGTCACGATCTAACCAGTGAGGCTAAAACGATATACCTCAAGGAGAGACAAAAGATTATAGGGCTGGGAAATCTAGACGGAGACGGAACCAGCGGCGAGGATATCGATAATAGCAACACGGTCGATCGGGACAGAGGACGCAGTATACATTTTGAACAAGACACAGCAAGAGAGAAAAAAGAAAGGCACCCAACTAGACCATCAACAGGCTACTTGGATGAAGTTCAAGGCAGTCGTGGCGACTAGGCAGTAGTGGTTTTGGGGGCGGAAGAGTGTGTCAGGTACGGGGGGAAGTATCGGGATCGGAGAAGAGAAGAGTCAAAAGGGAGGTGATATGATGACAAAGTGGCGGGAAAAAAGGAAAAGGGAGTCAGAGGGGAGAGAGGCAAAAAGGATGCTTTTTTAGGAGAAGAGATTTTTAGGCTCTCACAGAACTCATGATGACTCCTAAAGATCCTAAAGGGGGGGGGAAGAGAAAGGAAGAGAAAAAAAAGGGAGTGACTAAGGGATGTGGCGATGTATTTCGGGTGGCGTGAACGTTTTGAAAGAAGAGAGGCGCAGAGAGATGAGTCACTGCATTTTGTGTCTAAGTAACTAACTACTAGTATGTACATTACGGGCTAGAGTATACCATATTGAAATCTATTACTTTTTGCTATAAAATAAACTCTTCATATTTGCTGATAATATGAATCTCTACTAGTAACAATGATCATACTGTGTTTCCACTATAGAATTTCTCCCCGGTGTTCGGCCTTGAGTCATCCTTTGCCACGCTGTTCTCGTCCAAATCCGCCCATAAGCCAATCACGTCAGTACAAATGGCTGGGTCAGCCCCACTTGCGTCCCGATTAGCCTCGTTCTCATTGGCCCCATCTCCGATCGGCATTGCTCCTTGGGGAAACCTGCAGTCTGGGGAGCCCAAAAGTGATAGGAAATTCGACTTATGCCTAATTTATTGAAGCCTAGAGCTTCTATAGGTTGGAATCCCGGTAAATGTGCATGTCATCCCCCATTCATACGGCCTATTATTAGCGGGGTATATTTTAATGTAAAATCCCTTCAAGGTCACGCACCTGGCACTGCCGTCATCATGGCGGAGTATTCAACATTTTAGCTAGTGGTTTTTCGGTGTGGCTATCTATGGACATAACCGGGCGCTTATTCCTTGAATCAAGTTCTCCATATTTACTTGCTCCACTTAATCCGTACTTCACATCGTATTGGGTCTTCGGTGGTCTCCGTTCATTACTCTAATAGGTTAAATTTCCCCTTGGGTCGAAATAGGTGGAATATTCATGAGAAGACTGGGGGTTTCCATATAATAGACTATGATAATGACATATCTCAGAGATATCAAAATACCAGGTAGCTACTACATATCGGAGATAATACTTGAGAGTCAAAAGATTTCAGATAACTTATCCCTCGGCTAATCCAGATAAGATACGAATATTCAAAATGTTAAAAGATCAACCCACATGACCTGATATTCAGAAAAGTTGACTCATAGAGAACCGAACCATGGATCCCGTATAGTGATAAGCAAATAATGAAATAATGAATAATGTTCCACATCTACAAGGCATCAAGCACTTCCCGCAACACAGACACCAACCCCTCTACCTCCACCTCTGTTGCCTAGTCAGCTGCCTATCCCGTCAACCAAGAGTCCAAAAGTCACAATACAACCTTGGAAACTCTTAGGGGGAAAAAAAGAAAAAAAAAATAGGAATAATATGAAAACAATGAAGACAGCGAAAAACAATGAAAAACGATGCAACATACCCGTATTATAGTGCAATAAACTAACTCGCACGACCCCATCATCCACATCCTCCAATCCACACACATCCTTCAACAGCCGATGGCTGTACATGTGTCCGCTCCGGAACCCATACGCTGACCGGGCCTCCACTGCCTCTACCACCTCCTGGCTTCTAACCCCACGCACAATGAAGCTGATCACCGGCACCCGGAGCGCCTGGTCTGCACGAGGCTCGCCGATTACGGTGATCCGCTCATCCGTGCCCAGAAAGGCGAGCAGGATTTCCTGTAGTCGCTCCTCGTGCGACGCCATCGCCGCCCACGTCGTGCCGGGCTTTGCTCCGAAAAATTCCACTACCCGTGGGATGCTTTGCGTTAGTTCGTAGTTGGCTGAGGCTAGGTTGAGCTTGTGGTCTAGCGTGTCCGTTGGTTTGAAGAAGTGGCCTAGCGTGTTGATCTGGTCGTGGATCCGGGCTGAGGCGTATAGCTGTGCGAGGTGGGGTCCGTACACTTTGTACCAGGAGAAGGCCTAATGAGGCTCTGTGAGCGGGGGTTTCTTTCCGAGGTTCAACGGGGTTGGTGTTTGGTATGGATGTGAGGCTGCACTTACGTAGAAGTCGACTCCCAGGGCTTGGACGTCTACTTGTCGGTGTGGTGCGAGAGCTACTCCATCCACACACAGTAGTGCCTAGTCATGTATATAGTGTTAGTGCGTATGGATGATGGAAAGTAGATTTCTTGTAAGAAAAAGAAGAAAAAAACCGATCAACTCACACGAGGGTAAACGTGAACTGCATTGGCGATTTCTCGAACCGGACTGATGGTTCCGGTGATATTAGAAGCGTGCGGACAGGCGACCAGTCTAGTCTTCTCGGAAAGAAGAGTCTTCAGGTCGTTGACGTCGCAAGTAGGATTCTTAGGGTCACTGGAAGCCCACCACTTCACAGTTAGTCCAAGGCGATCCGCGACTCGCACCCATGGAGCCGTGTTGGCTTCATGGTTGAGCTTGGACAGGACCAACTCGTCACCAGGCTGGAACTGTAGGGCCGTCGAGAGATTGTGGAGAAGCTGAGTGGTTGACACTCCGATACTGATCTATGAGGGATTAGAGATGGAAGATACATTCCAACTGTTGAAGAGCAGGACGCTGCTGGTTACGAATGGATGTTTACCTCTTCGGGTCGAGCATTGATGAAGCTTGCTCCAGCATTGTACCCTTCCTCATATCCACTAGTGGATTCTTGAGAGACTGGGTATGTAGCTCCAAGCTGCACATTCGAGCTCAAAAGATACGACCGGATACTATAGACGCATTAACCAATGACTTCGGGTTCGTATTGATATTAAATCAACCAGCAGAATCAACTTACGAGTTTGCAACTGTGGCAAGTACTTGACTTCCCCCTTGGAGTACATCAGACATGCATTCAAATATCCTCTTGAATTGACACAATCATATCGGTTCCACTAACCAGCATTGTCCATATAGATCTGCTTTTGCTGCAGAGCCGGGAAGCAACTGCGCGCAGTATTGACATCAAAACTTCCAGCCATGATATTGAGTATGCAATTATTAAATTTTATCCTTGAGAATGGAAACTTCAACAAAATGGAAGATTGGAGATACCTACGTGTCTCGCTCAGGAGAGGGGTAGTGGTGGATCTGATTTGATAACACTTGAACGGACTTGCTCCTCGGCCGGAACTCCTCCGTGCCCTCGGTCAGTTCAAAAAGCCATACTAATTTATAGCATGACATCAGACATAACTAACTTGAAAGTAGAGAATAAGGGGGCAAACAACATCTAAGAGCACTCAAAACTGTAAGAAATGCATAAATATGAAATGCATGTGCAAAACAATCTTCCTTCGATCGGGTATATATATGAAATCCAAAAGCCAAGGCCCATGTACAATAGTAAGAAATAAAAGAATCCCCCCGAGAAGCAAGCAACAACCATCAGACACCAGGCCATCAACGCAGATATTGAAATGAATTCCGTTTCTTTTATTTATTTTTTACCTCGAAGAACGAGGCCCCCGAGCTCCAGGTCCCCCGCTTGCATGCGAAGCATCGTGTACAACACAAAGCAGATACTTCCGATCCGGCACAACGACGATCTCATGCTTTCGGGTTCGCATGCGCAGAAGCTTCACCTCCTCATCCTCCTCGCGGTCTGTGCTCTCGCCGTCTCGGTCCTCCTCGCGCGGGGTCCGGGCACCATTCGATCCGTAGACGTCGTATCCTCCGTCCACTGTCGGGGCAGAGCTAGTGGGAGGGGGTATATCGGTGGATTGTTGGGTGATGGGTCTGGAGAGTGAGACGCCCAGTGCGGACGCGCTGGAAACAAAGGCGAAGATGTGCGCGGCTAATGCCTCTGCCTGGGAGAATTGGTGTGTTGATGGAGCCGGGGCGGCGGGTGAGGTGGGGGTTGATTCAGGGGGCGAGAGTGTGGTTTGTTCGCTGGGGGCTGCGGTTATGGGCGCAGAGCGTGACTGGGTTGTTTCTTGAGGGGCAAGCTGGCCGGTCCTCTGGATGATAGAGCCGTCTTTGCGGGAGAGAATCAGGGTGGATTGCACTCCTGGGCGGGAGGTGAGATGGGAGAGGAGCGCGGTGACGTGCTGGGGCACCTGTTGCGAGCGCTAATTGTTGTCAGGTCAGACGATTGCTCTTCAATTTCTCTCAAGGTACAGAATTACTTACAGGTAGGTTGGCCATCGTTGGGTTTAATATGCGGAATCTGCGGGGAAGGATGTGAAAGGAGATGTCTGAGGTGGTTAAAAAAAGTGGTCAAGGCAACACAACAAATTTCATAGCTCGAACTCTCAGGTTTGACTTTCAGCTCATGTGCAATCAGCCAGTACTAAGTTCAATGCTTTTGTGGTAGAATATTCTAATCTTCAGCTCCCAAAACTTGTTATCCTGCCCAAGAAGCTCCGATCAGGACCAAAACAAAGATGACTAAGCGGATCACATGGCTGGGATTGCCCTACGATACGTGCAGCGATGTACGTGAGTAACGTGACGGTATAGACAAATAAATAGTTAAATAACTAGTAGTCTGCTTTAAGTGTGAATTATCAAGGACTCATTGGAACATGTAAACAATAAGTAGTATTGGAATGAATCAGCTGCACGTGGGGGTATGAAGCAAAAGAAGAGAAAAGATGGTATCGTCGAAAATAAATACAGCCAAGCGGTGGGACATGAAGTATATCAGGAAAAAATAACAATCATCACACCTTAAGATCAAAAAATCATGGGAGTCATCAAGAAATTAGGAACATGAAAATAAAATCCCAGTGGGAGAAAAGAGAAGAAGAAACAGCCCAAGAACAGGAAGAAAAGGTATCCTTAACGGTTTCGGACCATGGAGCGAGCTCCACTGAGACTTGACTTGTCCGACATCCAACCAGACTCAATATCTTCAAGCATATTGTCTAGCTGACGAGTATTCACACGAGGATCACGAGAAGAGCTAGGTGTCTCGAACCCGCTGAGATCGCTGCTCCGCGATGAGCTCATCCAGCTATCAGGACGAGATGCGAATCGTCCTCCCTGGTAATGATTTCCGGATCCCGAAGATGGAAATGCAGAAGGCATGGCAGATTCATGGAGGTCCAGATTGGGCTTCACCCCGGCATTGAGGGCTGCCATGAGAGCTGCTTGTAAGACTTGATTTTGACGTTCGAGGTTGGCGATTCGGTCTTCAAGGTAAGGGTCATGCGATGGGGCTTGAGCACGATGCGCGCTCTGTGAGTGACGCGACCGGGAGGTGGCTTGTGAGTATTGCGATTGAGGTGACATGGACGGTTCATAGCTCTGGCTGCTGTGGCCACGATCCTGTGGTGTCAAGGGTCTCATTGAGTGGGAGTAGCGTGGCCGGCTGTGAGCAGAGCGGGAGTCACCACTCTCATAGCCACGTCTAATTGGGTAAGCTCGCGGGTTATGCTTATCAGTAACACGGTGCGCTCGTTGTTTGCCGACGCGGGGACCAAAGCCCTCGTCATCGGAGGATGGGAGGGGTGATTCGGCTCGGCTGGCCTGTTCATGTGATTCAGGGATGCACTCGTGGCGGAGGCTACTTTGTGAACTGTTGCTTCTTGAGAGCATCGAGGCTTGGTGATGATGCGGAGGAAGCATAGCCATTTCCATGCTTCGTGAGGCCATGAGTCCAGGCTCAGTGGATGCAGAATGGTTTCGGTGAGCTGGCCGTTCCGCAGATCGCTGCTGCTGCTGCTGCTGCTGCTGCGCAGGAGGATCCAGCGGGAGAGCTGCAGATGGGGGAGGAGAAGGAAGACCGAAAGGAAGTTTGTTTTGATCAACGCAAGAATCAATTCGGAGACTTTTGAGTGAAGGCCGCCTTGTATGAGACTTTGTGGATGAAAATTGACCCAGAAGAGGAGAATCAGCCAGAGGTTGATCCTTGGTAGGTTGCCCCTCACTGTAGTCCGAAAGACTCTCAGAAAGATCCCGTATACGTGGAGCACGTACACTCGAGGAGCGTTGTCTTGATGTATAAAGCTCCGGCGACGTGGAATTGAGCCGCTCGGGAGTTGCTTCAGAAGACTTTATATCACCTAGTGACTCTGCAGCACGACGATCAAGAGTTGTAGTTGCTCGTGACTCCGACTCACGAGGTTCCTCTGCAATAGGAGATGGCTGGGAGTTCTGGATCTCGAAAAGCTTAGATCCCGATCGAGCAGTTCGCATTGGGGTCCTTGGGTCCACGGGAGGGGCGAGTGTGTTGGATTTAGGAATCGATGGGAGAGGCCTCGTGGGTGCCGGAAGAGGGAATGCATGGAGAGTTCCCATCGCCAGTGAAGGTGGACGGGATTTTCTCTGTCCCTGAGTCTGACCCTGCGCAGAAACGACTCTAGGTTTGCTGATAACTGCAGGAGGCTCGCTAGAAGCTGTAGTGTCAAGAGCGCCCGAGCATATTGGCTCTCCTGGAACTTTCTCAGCCTTCCCTGATTGGATTTCTGTTGATTGCCGCATCTTCTCTGGGGCTGCTTCCTTCTTGGCAGTCTTGAGTTGAGCATCAGGTGGAGGTGGTGGAGCCGTTTTGGTAGTAGTAATTTGGTAACGAGATCCTGATGAAATTCGCAATGCATTCATGCTGGAAAGACGTGGAGGGGCAACATCGGGGAAAAGCTTCAACGAGGGCGGCGAAGGATTTCCAGGTGGGTTAGGAGGTGCCTGGTCTGGTTCTTGGGGCTGCTCCGCAATTTTATCTTGCTTCGGTCCACTATGGATTGATGAACCAACTGCTGTGGATTGAATGCTGCCTGCTTGCGAAGGAGCTCGAGAGTGTCGCTTTCCAACACCTGTGCTCATCTGGATGGAGCTTGGCGGCCATGGCGGATCTTCATCTCTTGACCCACTTGCCTGGGTTTCTACCATGGAGACTGATGATGATCTTGGCTCATCAATGCTCCTTAAACAAGCCTCCGAAGAAGCCCTTGGTAACGGCAGCACAGATGATTGCTGGGACCTAGGGGTTTGATCATTGCGAGATCCCGGGGCACTGGAATTGGATTGCTGATAGGGCGGTGGTGATGTATCGTCAAACTCCGAAAGTGTAACAGCGGCGTCGAGCATGGAGCCAAAGTCATCCAAGTCCAATGAAGCCAGCCGACGTTTGGGATCGAGAGACCCGGTATTGCTGTCGCTTCTGGTGAGCCATGGCCGGCCAATGGCTTCGACGTCCTGCTTCTTTGATCTAGAGAAAGTTCGCTCCAAGCTACTCTTCGGTCGTTCCAAGCTGGTCTTTGACTGATCCATGCTATTTTTTGGACGATCAAGAGCACTTTTGGGTTTTGAAGTAGTCATGAGATAACCTTCTCGATGTAGCGCCTCGATTTGCCGCTTGTTCTCCTCAACCCTGGACCTTGGTGTTAATTCTTTCTTTTGACGAGCAAACTGTAGCAAGCGACGATGAAAAGGCTTGAACTCTTCCTTGGTCACCAAAATTGTTGGCTCCTTGGGCTCTGGGGACAGGACGGCAGGTAGCGCTGTTGTCGAATCGGGAGAGCCAATTGTGGGTATGACTGGAGCGGCCGTGTTCTGTGTTTGGAAAAAGCGTACTAGGTCTGACAAGCTTTCGTTTCGGGTTGCTCTCTCAGCTCCTCCAGCCGAGCGGGCTTGAGGTCGTGGACCACTTCCCCCGCGGGATCTGGTCGAGTCCGGAGAGCCAGTGACTGCACTGGATGGCATACTTGAATTTTTGCGTTTGGAGGGAGGGTCGGGCCGACAAGTCGGAACGATGGGATACGGTGCAACGGCACTTTCATATACAACGTCCCAATGATGCATACGGGCATCAATTGGCCAGCTTTAAAATCTGACTGATCACGCGAGTCTCATAAGGGGTTCTGGAGAGGAGCCGGTGTGACAAGAAGCGCTTTTGTGTTCTGGTTAGAAGAAGACATTCAAGAAATGTATACTCCGTACTCAGAGAGACGGGGCTCACCTGTTCAAACAACAGAGTTTCGAAAAGGAGGTGATGGCTGGAGAGAGTATATATGTGGACGAGAGTGCAATCAGGCAAAAAAAAAAAAAATGATAGGTACTATGTACAAAGCCACGCCAGTATGTATGATGACTGAAAGGGTGGCGTTTGAAATCAATAATAAGGAAAGAAGTGTACGAGAAAATAAAGTCCAGCTGAAACGAGGCAACCGGATGGGAGAAGCCGGGGGGTTTTAATAGAACGCCTTTCTGTTTTTAAAGTTGAGCTGTCTTCTCCTTGAGAAGAGGAGGGGGTGTCCCTATCCTGTAATCCTGGAATCGACGATCATGATGCATGAGTAGTTTGGGCCCGCTTTCGGAAAGCGGATAGCCTGTAAAAAAAGGGCCACAGTTGAAGCTAAAATCATTAGTACGAGCAAAGGATCCCCTCGAAAGGCTCGAAAGGGGAAGCCATGGAGTGTTCATTGTGGTGCAACTGGGCGCGACTTGGGTGGATCGGATGGCAATATGACACAGCAGACAGCGGGATTGACAAACTATTCTTTCCTCGCCTGCGCTCATCACTAGTTCCCGATAAATGATTGGCGCTGCAATGGAGAAATGCCGTACCACAATCCCTCTGTTGTTCATTGTTGTGCGACCATTACCGCATGGCCATGCGCTCTGGAGTACAGGAGCCACGACCTGGAATTGGCATTTGCATTTGCATTTCGTCCCCTCTCCTGTGCTTTACTCGGTTTAGCACACACACGCAAGGGGGGTCTGACCCGGTTTCCTAGATTAGCCCCTCTTGATTTTCAATTTTTTGAAAAGTGTAAAGTATAACCGACGTCAGGATGTGAGGTATCAGCTTTCACCCTGTATGTTGGCGGGTGTTCGCACCGCGCAGATCATGTTCAGGGATCCCCGGGACGGGTAAAGACAGTCGATCGCAAAGATGAGCTGCAGGCTAGACCCATGACAAAGGTTTCCTTTCTGCTTTTTTTTTTTTTCGATCAAAGGTGGACTGTTCGATTGAAGTGGATCTTGGAAGAGAAGTGTCAAGTTGAGAGGGGGAAATGGTACTCGGATCGCCTGTAAACTATCGCTTCCCGATCCACCGCCCTTGCAGTGTTTTTCTGATCTACCACATTCATACACTCCTTGATTTCATTTATATAAAGTGCTCGCAGAAAGCTAGCTATATGACACTTATTCTCCGGGGTTGTATATAAAATGTGATTTGTATTCAACGAGATATTTATCGCATTAATCTTGACATGGTCAAGTCACTAACAAAATATACATATAGAAAAAGCAACAACAAAAAGGAAAATCATTGCAGCAACGCCACCATTGGAGAGGAGTTATGACAGAAAGGAAGAAACCCCTCCAATGATTCTAGAATCAGAATTCCCCAGAAGCCAAAGTAAAACCACGTCAATAACCCCTCCTTCCAAGACACTTCAAGCGATATGTCAATCGGACTCCATCCTCTTGTCTCCACTGCTCTCCACTCTGTCATCCACAAATCGCATGCCACACAAACAACGTTTGCCTAAGTTTGCGGAACCTAGGGTAGTGGATCTACGGATCTTGTAAGACAGTAAGATAGACCTTTGAATAGATCATAGCGGGGAATGAACTCTTAGTTTTTTTTTTATCTCCGACTCTTCAGATGAGAGCAATTAATACATGCGCAATGTAATAGTAACATACATAGTAATTGATGCGATCATTATGCCAGACCATAAAGACCAGGATGGGGCGTCCTCCCTCTTAAACGAAGCCTCGCACTGTACACAAAAGAACAGAGAGGGAAAAGAGAAAGTCTATGTCGGCGCTTTGATGTACGATGATGGGAGATACCCCCATCTTACCTTTGTCGCGGCTTGGGGCGGATGAACGGATCCGCTTGTTTCTTCTTGCGCATCATTGGGGGACGAGGCTTTGGTTGACCACCGTTGGGGTTCTTGAAATCAAGATAATATGTTAGATGACTGGTCCATTTTTTTTCAATGTCAAACACAGCGGAACTTACAGTCATGTCCTTCGGTCCCGACGGGGCGTCTGGTGGCGCTTGATTTGTTTGTGGGTAAGCGGGTCCATCTCGAGATGGCTTGATGAGACCCTTTAGGTAGTAGATGTGTCAGTGATAGGAATCAAAGTAAAAAGAAACCAAGAAAATGGTCGAATAGAAAAGAAAAGAAAAGGTGTCAGTTCGCTGCAACTTACAGTAGGCGCAGGAGGTGCAGGAGGTGCTCGTGGGCCTTTAGGAGCATTTGGTGGTGGTTTGTTGTCAGTGCGGGGACGTGATGCCTTAGGACCATCTGAGATGGCATTATCGGGTCGCTTCCGTTTGCCTCCAGTAGTCTCGCCGGGCTTGCCAGTGCTTGTGCGAATGGTCGGTACCTTGGGATCATGGTCGCCAATTTGTGTTTCGCGTCGACGCTCAGCCATCTGCTGCTTCTTTTGAGTGAAGGCGCGCTCTATGCGCTGAATCTGATTTTTTTGCTGTGGGGTGATGGATCGTGGGGCCTGACAATTGAGCTTCAAATGTCCAAATGCACCACATTCCAGGCAGCGATCAGTAGTGCAGTTCATCTTGCTATGGCCGGTTTTGCCACACCGGAAGCATTGTCCACGAGCCGTGGCCTGGGCTTCGGCATTGTTGCAATTGTGAGTAAAATGATCGGCGCTGCCACATATTCCACACATTTTGTTTGGATCCAAGCCCGACGCCCCTCCAGAAGGCCCATCGGGAAGGGTAATGGGAGGAGTGCCACGTGCCGAGGCGGACACTGACACCGAACGAGAATCAAGGCCGATCGAGGCAGATGATGGGCGGCGAGAGATGGAAGGCGCCGAGGCAACGGACTCGACGGGGGTTTGTGGTGCTTCTTCGGACTCAAGATCGATGATTTCTCCCATTTGCACTTCCTTATATCCGGTAAATTGCGGCTTCTCAAGGAGACGAACAATGTTGCCCTCGGTGTAAACACTCCGATTGCGTGCATCTTTTATGAGTCCATTCCAGAACTCGCCCTGCTCCAGGGACCGGGAGTTACCAAGGACCCACAAAGAGGTTTTCGCACGGGTAAGACCGACGTTCATACGGCGAATATCGGACAAGAAACCAATGCCCTTGTTGGTCGAGGCACGGACACAGGAGAAGATGATAATTTCGCTTTCACGTCCTTGGAAGGCATCGGTCGTGTTGAAGTCAACTTTCTTTAGAATATCCTCACCATATCTTTGGGCAAACCGAGTCTTCATCTCTCTCAGTTGACCCTTGTAGGGTGTGATGATGCCGATCTTGCCATCAAAGTCGTATTCTTTGACATCAGTAATCAGGCGATCATACAACTGCATAGCGACTTGCAATTCTGCGTAATTGACGAGCGAGTGGCCCTTGACTTCACTTGAATGCATTCCTTGGACATCGAAGAATCGATAGGGGGTAAGCAATTCACTTTGATGCCAAGGACGGGTGTTGATCTTGGTCATGTTAGGACCATCCTCGAGCTTGCCGTCGTAGAAGGTCAAACTGGGGTAGCGACTGATATCTGGATGCATACGATATTGAGTATCCAACAGATGCACGTCGCGTGAGTGGTTCTTCTGCATGCGGACGAACAAACTCTGCTCGTAGGAGAATTTGGACGCCATCCGGGAGAGGACGGTGGGTGGCAATTGTTTTGGATCACCAACAAGCACACACTTGGAGCAGCCATATTTGAGAGGAATCAACGCACTTAGCTCGATACACTGGGCTGCCTCATCAATGATGACGGTCTCAAACTCAACACTCATTGACTGGAAGATTTCGTGACCAGAACCGCTGAGAGTAGCGCAGATGACATGTGCCCCATTGATGATCTCTTGTTGGACACGCTTCTTGTGTAGATCCGCATTGCGGGCATTAGTATGAGTTTGATCGCGGCCTTTGTCGATGGCCGCACTATGCTGAGCCCGTTTCTTTTTCAGCATTTCGAATTCACGTTCAAGCTCATCTGGAGCGGGCAATCCCTTTGCTCTACATTCATCGAGACGTGAACGAGCCTCTTTGAATGAATTATCGGTACTCTTGTGCTCCTCGTACAGCTTCTTCATATCCACGGCACTGTTCGAGGCAGGATCTTTGTTCAAGCGAGCAGCCACCAACTCATCCAAAGTGACATCGAGCACATTGGAGTTGATTGCATCACCTCTTCCGAGACGAACGACGGAAATCTTTTCGTCACGGCCATGGGTCGTTTTGACTCCCTTTTTCAAACGCATGACAAGTTCGTCGACAGCGGCGTTACTAGGCGCACAGACCAGTATCTTCCGGGTAGGTGGAGGCTTTCCGGAAGAGTATCCCGTTCCGATTGAGACCCCAGCCTTTTCCAGGGCATTGGAAAGAAGGCTGCCGATGAGAGCAGTGATGGTTTTGGTTTTACCGGAACCAGGAGGTCCCTGAATGAGAGTGAAGCCATCATTGTCAATGGCAGACTTGATCGCCTTGGCTTGAGCAAGATTAATTGTGTAAGTATTGATGAAAGGCTCGAGCTTCGACTCCGCATACGTGAGGATTGGGGAAGGTTTGGCCAAAATGATTTCCTCGCACAAATCATAGTATTGAAGGGCATTCAAGGCACCGAATTCACGCTCCACGGGGGTCAAGGATGTGATCTTGGCGGCAAAGGCAGTAGTTCCCGTGGAAAATGACGAGAGATATTTGTTGGCTCCGGCTCCTATTCCTGGGTTTGTGCGATATGTGACTTCCTGTTTCCCACCTTTACGATTGACACCGCAAACACGCGCGAGGAGATGGCCAGCCTTGGGGTCTCCAGTGGGGTTGGATGAGCTCGAAAATAGGATCAGGTCGCCCTCACCAAGACTGAAATCCTTCACGGGGAGACCCAGGGGTTGGGTGCTAAATTCGATCCAGGAGTCGACGATCAATCGGGACATGACCTTAACTTCAAATGGCCGGGAGGATCCTTCTTCCTTGGCCTGTTGGAATCCCTGCCAGGCTTCCAGGATCAACAAGGGCTGGAAAGTACTCTGGTAATCATTGGGAGAGCGGTACGTGTTAGCGACCCGGGCATAGTCGATACCTTCTGTGCTTGGGGGTTGATCGCCAGATGCAAAATAGTCCCAGGACAAAACAGCATGGTGCAGTGAGGCAAGATCAGGAGCCAAACGAGCACGCATATCCTTCATGGAGCGGTGGCGTTTAACCTTTTTCACGGGCATCTGCTGGAGAGAAGTCTTCTTGCTTTGTTCATAAGCGGCCACGGCCTCCGGTTTCCTGGCCTTGGCACCAAATAGGGTTTTATGAAGTTCATCTTCACTCGACGAATCAGTATCAGAACCAGAAGAAACCATCATACTTTCTGCTGCAGGAACTGCATGATCTTTACCCATAATACCAATACCTTTTAAGCCTGAGCCCTGCTCGGCTGTTTGCCCACCAACCCCAGCGGGGAGGTGACCCTTGAGACGTGCAAGCTCAACTTGATCACGTCTCTTCTTCGCTTCCTTCTCACGCTCTCGTTTCTCGCGGAAAGATAAGACATTGGTGACATCATTTGCAGAAGATCGTATAGGTGGGGGAGGAGCACCATGCCTCGAAAGCGGCAGAGGTCTGTGAATGGCAGAGGGTTGCATTTTGGTGGAAGCTTCCGGTCTGCGCTTTGCTTGGGCGGCGGCACGGCGATCTTTATTTAATTCAACAGAACGAGAAAGTTCTAGTGTTGATTCAAGAATGTCATCAAAATCATCTTCGCTTGGGCTGTGAGCGTGAGAGGGCGAGAGTGTGTGTGAAGGGTCGGAAGGTTTCGCAAAAGAAGTAATGGAGGACTGTTTTTTGAGGGACGCGGTGGAAGCAGTGACTACAGGCTTCTTTTGGTAGGCTTCCAACGCCCGTACCAATTCGGCTTTGTCACGCGGGGTGAGGATTGTCTTGATAGTGGCATTGACAGCAACCCCCTCAATAAACCTCAACCCTGCTTCTGCACTCACTTCCACATTGAGCGACCCCAGTCTCCGTAAGAGTTTTGCTACTAACCCCACTAGGGTATTGGCTAGGTATTCATCTTTCAATCTCAACCATTTGACCATGGCATTCATGGTTCGATTGGGATAATTGAGAAGATTTTCTGAAACGGACTTCTGCTCAGATTCCGTCCCCCCCAAGGCACCTGAGAACACTCCATACTGATCAAAGAGGAAATCTGCAAACTGGATCGTGTCTCGACAGAATTCTAGCATGACGGACTTGTCATTACCACGAAGGTGCCAGGCTTCCGTCTCGTCAAAGATTGTACTCAATGCTGACCACAGAAATTCCCATAGTTTTTGCAATGACATAATCTCTTTACGATCAGTGAGATTGCGCGTTCGAAGCATACCGGTCTGGCTGTTACACAGAATCTCTACAATATCGGTGCCTGTATGAAGCATTCGAGGGGCGGGGCCAAACGTCTTCATGTTGGAAATTCGCCGGAAAGACCAACTCAGACCATACATGGTGGGGAGGAAGAACGTATCCAGCAAATGAGATATCGCGTCACGTCGGGCAGATTGACCGCTCACGTTTTTGATCAAATCAACGGAGGCTTGGTAGGTATCCAGGTCAGCAGCGAAGAGTGCAGAGATTAGTGCACTGGCTGTGTCTTGCACTGAAAACAAATGGTTCAAATGCTCCGGCGGGAAATCCGATAGTCGTTCGATGATCTGGCACAAGAGTTTTGTGAGTTGGCCGTAGATCATGTTGAAGTGTTTTTTCTCTTGGTTCCCTTCGCTCTTCGAGGGCGTTGGGAACCCCTCTAATCCCACTAATGGTAGGATTCCAAGAAGAGCAGACTGGGATAGGGAGAGATTGTTTGGGTGGAGGTGTTTTATGACTGCCTCCCATATGGGTGCCGAGTACGTAGAAACTCCATGCGAGAGTGTTCCTTGTCTCAGGATGACCTCATAGTCACTCTTCAGTGATTGGCACTCAAGGGCCAGCGTATTACGAACAACATCCATACAGAGTGAGACAATATTCTTCTGCAGCTGTGCCTCAATAGCAAACGTCGGAGGGTTCAGAATGATGTGGATGGTATCTCCGAGCACTTCCATGGTTTCTTTTAGGACCACTCGTGCAACTGAGCCTCGTGAAGCTTCATCGTCTGTGAAAAACCGCAAGGTATGCAAAACACTGATTAATCCAGCGTGGAAGCAGTGGTAACGAGCCAAGTTCGGGAACTTCGGGTCTTGGAAGAGCTTTAGTAGGGGTAAAGCCAAGGCTCGACATGCAGATGGCTGATGAGCGCCTTTTAGAGATGTCAAAAATGGAACGATCCATGATAGGATGTCTCTTAAGACTGACTTATCCCAGGGCTCTCCCTCTTGGACCTGCGTCAAAAAGAGACTGAACTGAGGATTGTGGAAGGTCTGCTCAATAAGCGCCTGTGGTGATATGGTCTGCATCGCATCCCAGAAGTCGGCTGGAGCCTTTTCCAAAAAGATCTGTATGGTGTTGAGGAGGAATCGAAGGCCCGGGGTTGGAATGGCTAGATGATCAACAGAGAGGCGGCAAGGATCAATGTCTAAGGCCCGGAGCTGGTGCGTGATTTGTTCTTTGTCCAATTTCTTAAGAATGAGTTGCATACCACGCCAAAGCCGTTGGATAAGCGGCATCTGTGGAGGTTGTTGTGAGGCAGCGTGCAATGCACTGAGAATTCCATCACGCAGAGCCCATTCGAATTCCAGCGTTGTTGGGGGTCGGTTGTAGCGCGTCCATGTTGAGATGGCCCAGAAGCTCCGAAGCTGGTTAGAGTCAAACAAGAAGCGGCTCACAGCCGGCACGTAGTCGGAGATTTTCAATGTGCGTTTTGTCTGGATGAGCTTGAAGGGTTCGTCGAAGTGCTCTTGAAGGAGACTATCACTGCGAAGCATGGCCTCGCAACTCAAGGTTTCAAAAATGGCTAACAAGGCTGCCCGGTCCAATGTATCCAACGCAATCTGTTGTGGTGGGACACTTTTCAGCTGGGTTGTAGCGGTTGCCAGATTTCGTGTGATGCGCTTGATGTCCCACTCATCAACCCGCTGAGCAAATGCCTCGATGTCCTCCTCCTGGTAGTTCTCCTTGAGAAGTTCCATGAGCCAGATCTTCCCTGTGTAGTACTCCTTGATACAGAGATCACATTGCTCCAACGAATCGTCCAGTCTCCTCAAAACCCAAGCTTGTAGGTCCTCCACACCATCCGCATTGTAGGCAAGGATACGCATAGACGAGAGAAATTTTTCTTTGCGAGCCTTGGCCTCCACCACGAGGTCCTTGACCTTTTTCCCGTCCTCGTTCACTTGGGTCAAATCATCGTATCGTCCATAATCGTCCTCATTCTGTCGCGGGCATAGGAGATGGGTGCCTTCCGGCAGGGCCTTGAGCTCTCTGTATTCAATAAATTTTGATAAGCTGCTGCATATGCGCAATTCAAATCCAATCAAGATTACTCACGCAATCGCATCCACAAACTCCATGGCTATGGTTTAAACGTAGAGGGTCCAATTTCTAACCCCGATTTCTCCAAGCATTCCCTGACACTGAAGAGATATTCTAGCACATCACCACTTGGGGATGCCAGTAACTTCAAGGGGGGTTGTAAAGTATCGGGAAGAGACGGGGACTGGGGGCTGTTTACCACGTGTTGCGTGGAGGATCAATCTTCAACGCAACAGTCAGCACATGCTGTCAGACCCACAGCAGGATAATATCTGTTAGGCGATTCAAAGCAATAAGATCCGGGCTTTTAAAGGGTAAAGCTGCCTGTAAGAGCTTCTTTGGGCGTGACGTGGGAGAAAGTGAAAAAGTCTGGTCACTGGTGTGTGGAAATCAGGAAATACAAAGCAAAAGACAGTTTGCTGTTTAAATAGGTTCTATATGGAGGCAGTCAGACCTAGTACCTCAGCAAAATGCAAAGGCCTCACACTGCTGCAGTCAACCTTGATTGTATTGATGTCAAAAGACAGAAAATCGTCGGTAGCAAAACGCGGGCAGTATAATTCTGCCATCTAATTGGCGGTCTCTGGGGCGGTAGGTGACTTGGCCAGACGCGACGCGCTTCATTTATACTCGATTGGGATTTCTGTCTCATTTTACGAACTTGGCTTACGTTCAAGTTAATACTAGCTATTTAGATGTTGTACTGTGATAGAAAAAAAAATTCATAGTAGATATTTGATTAATTCCTTTCCACATTGATGGCATAGAATTGCCCATTTGAATGCTTAAAACCTCCCAATAGGAAGACTGAACAGGTCAAATAGAGAGCCCCCGGGAGATGTAATTCCTCGAAATGGAATCACAGCAAGGGAAACCCGTTAAATGCGGGCTTCGAGCAATAAGACGAAAACGCTTTTGTACAAAAGTCAAGTGTCACTATGAAACAGGTAAAAGCAAATAAGCGAAAAAGGAAATACAGACCAGATAGGGACTGTCATGGATCGGAGGGAGTGATGATGAAAATGGAAACGACACAGAAAGCAAGGAAAAAGTATGCGCCATGCCTCCAACCAAATGTAGTATACCAAACGCCTGCTTTCTATCAGGGGAATATCAAGGCTGTTAATAGGATGGGGGAAAAGAGAAGAAGAAAAAAGCGAATAGGGGAGAATGAGAAATGAAACACCACGGCGTATAGCTCATGAATATGGATGTTAAGTCAACAGAAAAATTGAAGGTAAAAACAAAATCAAAGGAGCCGACTGAGAAAAAAAAAGGAAAAGGGTGGTCATCAAGGACGGGTCGTCATAGCAAATCTATGCAAGGTTCGCTGCGCCTTTTCAAAACATGTTATTGTTACTAGTATGTGCAGGAAGCTCTTCGGGAGTTTTGAAGGGGTCTTGAAGAACTTCGGTATTATGGCTAGATTCCATTCGGTGCAGCATAGCCGCAGAAGTGAAATCATTGCTAGCCTCGAAGCTTTGTCGAACCCGTTCAAACGAATGCCGAGTCCGATCGTGAGATCTTCGGACGTAATCCACTGACTGGGGTCGGGGATACTGGTCCAGGCTTGCGGTGTAATTTGTACCATTGCTTCCGTTCTGGCTGCGAGGGACATGACCGTTCGCATGAGTGACCGAAACAGTCGGTGGATAGTAATTCTGGTCATCTTCCGCAAGTTCTGGATCATGTTTCAACGGAGGTTGGATTGGCTTGGCTAATTCCGAGGAAGCCGCTGACCCATCGCTGTTGGCAACGACTTCATCAGCCCTCGGCGACACATAACCGTCGTCCTTCTCAAGGTACTTGAATTTTCCCATGGTGACCTGCTCGCGAATGATATCCACGTCCAATGGAAAGAAAACCTTCTGGACGGAGTTGTACGCGAAGCGAGGGAGCAAGGCAATCATGACCGTCACGAGTAATATAACCCAGAAACTTAAAGCACCATAAACCTCGGCAGCTCCCTTGTAGAATTGGCCGGAGGCAGTGAACGATGTATAGATACCGGTCCAGAAGAAAATCAAGAGGGTACTGATGGCGTTGATCAAGCAGGTAAACCAGTCCCATCGGTAGGTGTTCATCATGATGTAAATGTTACTGGAAAGAACGGCACAGGTAGCAACAAGGATACCCATGCGCTCTCGATCCGCAATGTCGCGGCCAGTTTCACTGGCGAAGTTTGCTACTTTGTAGAGCATGCAGGGCATGAAAAAGGAGATCACCGACTGATATAAGCCATCGGACATGTAAAGCCTGCAGAAAAATTAGAATATACTATGCAACGAGGAAGACGAGGAAGGGAGACATACCAAAACTTGAGCTGAGACCATTCCTTGCGCTCGATACCCCTCATGTAAAGTTGGGGTACGGCAAGGGACACTCTGTCATCGACATCTTGGTCAAAGATGCCCATGAAGATAACCGGGAGGGAGGTGAAGGCCAAGTTGACCAGGACAATGTAGGTATAATCGAAGAGATATGAACAGTCGAACTGGTTGTAGATGCAGTACCAGAAGAGAGCAAAGGTCCAGACCAAGTTCTTGTAGAAGAAGTTGGCGGTACACTCTCCCAGGCGGCGGTAGGACCATCGTCCGTGAACTAGAAGCAAACGTTGAAGGAATCGGAACTGGCCAATGGCATAATCAGATGACATGACAGCCTGTCGACCTTCTTCACCAGCAATACCAACACCCACATCGGCTTCCTGGATCATAGCCACGTCGTTGGCACCGTCACCAATAGAAAGAGCCATGATGTCAAGACCGTGGCGAACCATGTTGACGACAGCAGCCTTCTGGGCAGGACTGACACGACAGCAGAGAACAGCCTTACACTGCTTGCACAGGAGGAGGAACTTCTGCTTCAATTCGTCGTCTAACATCAACTTGAGTGTTTCACCATCAACGATGACAGCATGGGTGGGGGCGGGTGGCGTGTGATCCGCGCGGGCCGCGATTAGCTCCTCATCGGAGCCAGTTAGGCCAAAGGTCGCAAGATGTTTGTCCAACTCAGCATTCGCTTGCTCTGTTTGGTTTTCAGGGATGTTGAAAACAATCAATTCCATATCGTTGTTGAGAAGGTTGCACGAAAAACCGATGTTGATTGCGGTCTCTACCTTGTCACCAGTGAGAACCCACAATTTGATACCGGCATCAGCAAGAAGTTGGATGGTGTCTGGGACACCATCTTGTAGTCGATCCTCGATAGCAGTTCCACCAATAAGCATCAGCTCCTGCTCAATCTCGCTGGAGACCTTCTCTAATTTGTCCTCACGGTCGACGATAGCGGCAGCCGCAATATCATGCTCCTTGTTCCAGGCCTGGTATTCTTCTTCGCTCAAAAGGCGGTCCGCCACGCACAAAGTACGTAAACCTTCCTTGGCGTACTCCTCCAGATGTTCAGCAGTCTTGCGCCGAAGATCCTGCTGCTTACCACGCGCCAGACGAGAATAGATAATGCTATCAGCACCCTTGCAGAAAAGGCGGATGGTGCCGTCCGGCATGCGAATGATCGCACTCATTCGCTTACGTGACGAGTTAAACTCGAGAGTGTTCAAAACAGTGTAAGTGCGTTCCTGACCCATGACGTTCAGCAGGAGGTCGTCACCGGAACGGCCAAGAACCGTGAAGCCACAGTCTCGGGCAGTGCTAACGAGGGCAGCCTCATCGGGAGATTGAGCCTTGAACTCGATCTGAGGCGGATCACCCGGAGTGTGCTCAGTGATGACAGTGTGGCATACAGCTAGGGCGAGCATGAAATGCTCGACAGAGGCTTGCTGCTCTTCTCCAGATTGGCCATCGAGATCATCAACAAAATTTGGTGCGATGAAAGTCAGATTTTCATCACGCAAGTATGGATTATCATGGATGCGACGCAGGCCTTCCAGCATCTTCTTTCCATCGGCCGCGATCTGCTCACGAGCCTGAGCAGCTTCCTCGTCAGCATTGGCTCCTTCGCGGCGCCTCATGCCTATCTGCGCCTCGGTGTAGGCTTCACCGTAGGACACACCATTAATTGTGCTCTTCTTGAACTCCATGACGTTTTGTGTCAATGTACCGGTCTTGTCAGAGAAGATGTACTCCACCTGTCCCACATCATCAGAGATATTCCATGACTTGGGGACACAGAACAGGCCCAGCTTCTCGTAGAACATGTAGACATCACTGTGAATAAAGACAGCCTGGATGGTTCGGACAATTTCAAGGGAGATGTACAGTGAGATGGGGACCAAATTCTGGAACAGAATGATGGCTGTCCAGAAAGTGACGATACCAGTCACCGGGGGAGTGCCTCCATACGAACTGTAATCGAAAAAGTCCAAGGATTCATCATTGGAACCCCATGCAAGACCGTTGACGATACCCGCAACGAGGCACATCAGAAACAAGATGAAGAAGTTGTAAATAACATTCCAATTAAGGTCCTTGGCCAGGCGAGCACGCTTAGCGGGGGTCGCACCTGAATTAAGCATAATCTTGCTCTCTCCACCGGTGAAGACGACCACGCCAAGAATCCATTCAGTACTGCGCAGAGAACAACCTCGAAGTAACATGTTGTTGATGGTGATTGGCTCCACCATTTCCTTACGAGGGGCCTCTGGGAAATTCGGGTCCCGTTGATCCCATCGAATTGCACCATTGTAGGAATAGAGATTGGGGTGGGGAGCCTCACTCTCAATGGTGAACTCGGCCTTTTCACAGTCACGCGCATGTCGAACCTGACGACCACAATGGAGCGCCTGGCGAACCTTCAGGTTTGTCTCGCCGTCCAGGCCCATGGTTTCAACGTAACAGGCGCCGTCCGGATCCGAGGTCGACAAGATCACAATGTCGGCTGGAATCGGGTCTTCATTGTACAATCGAACAAAATCACCGACTTGGAGATTCTTCCAGTAATCTCGCTTGAATCGAGCAGTGCCGGGTGTTTGCTTTGAGTTATCCAGTACAGTTCCGTGTTTCTTGTCTGACAAAGGTGCTTCCACACTGTCCCTGATAGCGCTGTTTGGCGAAAGGTACTTGTTTTCGGGTTGATCCCAGTTGTCGCGAGCTTCGGGCTGGGGTGAAGGAACCTCGGTCATTGGAATAGCAACATCGGCTGCCAGGGAGTTGCGGTTGGAGTATATGGACGCCCTAGGGTCCCCTGTGGTCAGGAATGATTCTCGTCGTTCGCCATCTTCTCCATCCTCTTCAGTCGATTTAGCGAACATGCCAGCCATGCTCTTGTAAGTCCGGATTATACCTCGGGTACAAGATTTCTTGAATCGGCGCCATGTCGAAATATTGTCCTCGGTCGAATTCACATTATTCCATTCAACCAAACGATAGACGGGGGAGTTGTTGACTTGGTTATCTGATACAGTTCGGCCCCAATCCTCGATGGCGTCCTTGATGGCGGTCACGACGATAATGACAATAAGGGGAACGGCGTTCAAACCAGGGTTATTGGCACCGAAAATGGAGAAAAACTATATCCGAATCAGCTTTGGTATTCCCACATTTCACCCTATTGTCATTGTTTCCTTTTGTGGTTGGAGGTATTCATGGGGTTGACATACGTTCAGAATGATGACAAACAAGAAGTAGATGTTCGCAATGTTGTGGAACTGCAAAAAGATGTTCTTCGGCACAAACGTCAATGCAGTGTATTTGGCGGTCCGAATCTTGTTTCGAGGGTAGGCGAGGTTGAGCTGGCCTTCTTCATCACGCTCGTGTTCAGGGATCGGTATGTTGAAGTAGATCGTGCGATTCTCTCCTCCAGGGTGCGCGGCGCCGTTGGTGGATATGTTGTCGTTTTGGACGCTACTGTTGGTCGATTTGCGCTTCTCGTCTCTCGTCTCATGTCGCTTGTGGAAACGGTCGATGATGGAAACACGTTTCCGCACGCCGCCGGAGCCGGTCTGGCGTGTTGTAGCCCATCTCTGTCGCTTGGTCGGTTTCGAGATGTTGCTATTGACCTCACCAACTTCACTAGTGCCCTCGGCATAATCCTCTCCAGGGAAGCGCACGGAAGCCATTTAGGCTACGAGTGCGCCCAGGCAGGGCATATAACTTGACAAGATGCTGGGATGAATAGGATAGCAACTATCCGTTGTCTCAAAGGTCCACTACCGTCCGTGGGGTGATAGCTTTGTGTCGATTCGATTTAGAGTCGCGGATGGGGATGATCACAGGGCGGACACTAGCAATGGCATCTGAGGGTGGATCGAATCTTGATTTCGAAGGGACAGGTACTGCGCGGGCAGCTTCCAGCGGGATCCGATCTCGACGGTAAGGGATGGTTCGAGAGGATAGACGAGATCGACTTGAAAAGGGGGGAGGTTTCACCCACGAGGGTCCATGAAAGATGCCGAGAAAGGGGCGAGGGATAGATGGGAGAATTAATCTTTTTCGAGAGAGAGAGAGTGAGAAGAATCTAAGGACGATGAAGATGGTTTAGGAGGATTGGACCCAGCTTTGGGGAATTTCCACTTCGCGCCCGTTTTCCCTGCTTACACCGAGATTACAGTATAATTACAATCTTGGTACAACCAAACATGCCGCGCTTGGTCAGCGGAGGCTTGGCGCTTGGTGTTTTTCTTTGTTATGATATGAGCTTCTTTACAATTGTTTTATATAGTGAAGGTTGGTCGGAAGATAGACTACAATATTCCTTATATCCATCCACTCCTGAAGATCCAGTTCATTTGTCTCTTTCTTTGCATACATTGCATCTCCCAGCGGACTTTAGTTGAAGTTGACTTCGGCGGACTCGGCATGAAAGCTGATAAATCCGGTAATTTTTGTCGTACCAGTAGGTACGAGATTACCATACACGGCCAGCCTCGTTCCGGCTCTTCCCAGCCCTGTTGTCTGGTTCATCAGCTAAATTTCTGATCCGTGGCAATAGTATGACGGATTTAGGATCTTCGGCACTCGGGTCAATACACTCGGCTTCGGATCTAAGACGATCCAGGGACCATGAGGCAAATAAATAAAGAAACATTAAGTTATGGCAGAGGTTGATGGATTTATAATGATTGCTCATTATGGTTGTTTTCTGATGGTTTGGCTTTCTGGCCCCTCCTGTACGGAGCATGTACGGAGTAAAACGAGTGGTATCCACAGCCCTCTGCATTATTTTATCTAACACTTACTTTGTACGGAGTATGAATAACTTATAACAATTTGGCCCGGGGGCGGATTATGCGCTCATAGTTCTGCAGTCCCCGTATAATCCCACGTTGGCCCCATTATTGGTCGGGTACACGGCGTCAGGCCCCCGCCTGAGGCCCATTCCGCCTCTTTAGTACAACAAATATTTCCCACATGGGCTCCAATTGATTGATCTGGACACCGTGGTTACAACGGAGCTAAATCGCCCCGATAATATGGAGTACTAGGGACCAGTTCCAGATCGTAGTCGTTTTTTATTTTTTGGTTGTTTTATTTTTTTTCCATTTGCCTCAAGGTACTATAGTTTCAACTTTGGCACTTGTCGGAGCATCAAGCCTGAAACTGAACACGGCACGGGCGTCCGATCCACCTTAGTCAGACAGCGACCATTTCCTGATTCGAGATGATTTTTCTGCTATATAACGGCCCCCAGATGGGAGCCAGCCTGCTCGTGAATAAAAATAACCATGTACACCATACCAAGTGAGGATACAAATACGAGGCTTTCAAAGTGAAGAAAAAAAAGTGAGAAAGAAAAGAAAGACTATTTCTCGGTGTATTCTGGGGATTTTCAACAAGACAACCCAATGAGCAACCTTCCTTTGCGAGGCCCCCTTTTTTTTTCTTGTCAGGCCGGAAGCTTGCGGACGAGTCCAGATGTCGCTTGGGGCTCAGAGCGCGACAATCTATCTGTCCTTTGGTTCTGGGCGGATCCCGATGATCATTTTAAGAGATTTCCCGGACTAGTTTACAACCGTGCTTTGTTTACTACTAATGTACTTTCTACTAGTACGTATAGGTGGGGGTTACATAGTATACACATGTGCACCTATGTAATATATGTCTACACCGTAGTCCACTTCGAATCACTTCCAAGGTTAACTTATAGAATTACCCGAGGCGGAGTCATCCTTGTGAGCGAAATTACAGGATGAGGAATCATGTCAAAGCCCAATCAAAACATGACAGGGCGTCGTCAGCGCGATCGACTGCGAACTCCATAGTGGAGTTTGTGTGCCGTCGCTCAGATTCGGCAAAATCTATACATCGGATCGGCACCCCTGACTTCAAATGGACTCGTTATAATAGACGAAACGGTTTCATCCTGCAGGTAGATCATTATTTAATGCCCAGTCAGAGCTCTTGATTACGCGCATTTCTTCATTGGTGAAGACAAGTGGCTTATGAGTAAAATCGGGAAAAGGTTCGTGTATGTTTATTATTTTCTACTAATGTATACATAAAAATAGTATGTATCCATATATGGATTTAGTACTTACAACGAAATATGTATGTGTAGTTCTCCGTTCAAGCACCTAAACCTACAAAGACAGAAGGTTTGTTAATCCTCACATACATCATCTCCATTGGCTCGGGGCTTTACCACCAGTTTTCTCTGGAACTTGAAAGACAAGGAAAGAACAGAAAAGAAAAGAAGTTGGATCTCTTGACAAAGAGAAAGGAAGGAACAAAGAAATTACTTAATTGGGTAAGATGTTGATCACGTGATTGCGCGCCGCTCTTTCACGCGACGCGGAGATCAAGTTTCAATTTCAATAGAGATTGGACATCAAGTGAGGGGGGATCTTTTTAGCTCCAGTGACATTCAGGATGGCCAGCAACGCAAAGGGAAGGATCTCGGACTACTTCAACCGGCCCAAATTCGCCAAACTTAACCAAGATCGCACCCCGGAAAAGAAACGATTTCAACAGCCCCGCCAACCCTCGTCGCCGGAATCCCCGCTGACCGAGCCAGCATCGTCGTGGATTGATCTCACCTCTGAAGAGCCCTGTGACGGTCCAAGCAGCCAGCTCAAGTCATCTCTTATTCAATCAGTGGATGGTGCACCCTCAAAACCCACGCCATCACAATGCTTGTCACAAAGCTTCCAGAGTATCCAAAGTACGGACGAAGCCTTACCAAATTTGCCGAAAGACGATATCCAACATCCTCAGCGCATTATCAAAGGGGGCAAGCAAGTGGTGATCAGCTCGGATGGGGAAGAAACTGACTCAGACAATTCAGATTTCGATCCAATGGCGTTATTAGGCATAAAATCAAAGCAAAACGAGACCCCAGTCCCTGCCAAAATGCTTTCTGCGCCAAGACAGATCGTCACCACGGTCAAAAAATACAGAAATAATATCCATACGCTTGTAAATGACGCGAAGACGGATAGCGAGACAGAAGCCAACGTTGCCAAGGCGAAAGCCACCCTGGACGCTCAGGCTAATGGCACGCAGAAGATCCCAGGCAATCACGGGAAAACGGGCCTATCCAAAGATGTGTTGACGTCAGCTTTGGGAGGTGATGAAGATGATGACGGGGTGGATGCTCGACGTCTATTTGGTGCCATTGAAAGGACAGATGCCCTTGCGCGAATTCAGGTCTGGCGCTTCTTGAGTCCGACCCGCGGGGCACCAGTTCCTTTCGAATTTCCCAGGAAGATATTCCCCAACAGTTCACAGTTCGCAGCTCTACGAGGTTTGTATTATAAGAAAGCCTTGCTATGCTGCTAAATCAGACTAACCGTCCCGCAGAACCTGACTCTAGAGAACGTATCATTCAATCTGGCATGCTTGAATTTGCTGCGTCTTGGCAACGTTTACCAGACGAGTTTATCATGTGGCTCTTTCACTCTTGTGCGTGAAATGCTATTGTTCCCCTCTAGGTTTCAAAACTAATATTATATTAGTGCCTCTTGAACCCCGGGAAGAGTTGAGACAAGCTTACGTGAGAATACTGACAGTAACCCCTAAAGTAAATACAGAGCTCTATAGCCTATCTTGAAAGCCCATAGCTCATTTTGATACTAGGAACCTGATACTGGAAGGATACAATCTCTTATTCGTCCTTCGAATATCGATGAAGTTTTTGGCTTATTGGGTGCCAAAACAGAGTCTTTGGACTTTTCAAAGGCGATTGTTGAGGATGATCGTTATGACCGTAAGATTCGTCCACCGCTATGCTTCACCTTAAGACATGCTAACAACTACTTTTAGCAAGCTATGATAAGTCAGCATTGAAAGACCGAGGAGCTTTACTCTCTCTCTTCGACTTGCTTCGCGAAGCTGCTGAATTGTGATTTCAACCAATTCTTCCCACAGTCCGACCGGTCCGCTGACAAGCGTATAGATTTGCCAAAGACACTCGAGAGCATGCAATTCAAGTATTGCTGCGCATCACTTTGGATACTGCAATCACGGCAGATTATACGATCCGCTCAGAGCTTGAAAGCTGCATTGGTGCCCTTTTGCAAAGCGTGGCGGAATCGGACATTGAGGAAATGGTATGAAATAATAAATTCATGTGATTCATTAAGTTAACAGTTATTAACGAAAAAATTAGGAGACTCAAATCTGCGCGACCCTATACAAAACCCTTCAAGACTCACAGTGCCAAAGTCGCATGTTACAACACATTCTCCCAACCACTGTATGGATCTCGCGGCTGCGTTACCGTCTCGCCATGGCATTCTTGCTTCGAAGCCCCGCACCGTTGACGGAACCAGTCCAGGATATTTTGGATTTGAAACGTTTGACTTACTCTTTAATTGGTGACAAGCGGTTCCAAGTGAGAACGTTCAAGTCGGAGGAAGACTATGACGAATTGACGTCCTACTCGATGCTATTGGAAATTTGCATCAATACCTGTCTCTACGATCTGAGCTACAGGGAAGACAGTACAGCAAAAGAATTCAATGAGGCGGTCGATAAGCTTGCAGTGCAGATCAAGAGGATTTTCAGCTCGATTGAAAATACAGGAGGTGCGCGCTACCTTAAACGGCTATTTGCCAAAGGAGCTCTCGAGTTAATCTACCACCGCATGATTCACTCTGTTCGCTCCAAGCCCCAGCCCAAGAAGGGTATGTTTACGCCATACGCCAAGACTACAACGGGCAATATCAAAACCCACTTCAAGTCAAGGGTCAATACAAACCCTTCGGACGAAACATTGATGCCGATCCGTCGACACGAATCATCTTGATTTTACGCTGTGACCATTGGATGTGTATTAATTTGGCGCGTTCGATTCGATTCGATCTTGGATACCCATTAATGACTACGACGACCATGATTTCATGATTGATTGTTACATACTGTAGATCTAGCAGAGCATTGATATTTTATTTGCATGCATTTGCTAGCGAAATTTTCTGCAATCATATATGAATCAGACGAACGCTCAAAAGAGATTGACCGTATTTCAGGTCCGATATGTGTGCAAGTTAAGAAAAGAAAAGAGAAATCAAACCCCCCTCTCTATAGAGATGTCCAAGACCAGGGACCAGGAGGAGCCTGAGAACTATAAAACATGAGAAAAGAAAACACCCTTGGCATGGGATCTAAAGCGCAAGTCAATGCCTTCTAATCATAGAATCTCCGGTTCGCGTTCTTTCCAAACAGTGTCTCTCGAACAACGGGGAGAGCATCAATCTCCAACAAACGCAGACGCTCCTCGAAGGTGTTGTTGATCTCGATCTTGCCCTGTCCACCGACAATGTAGACACCACCGGCACTGTTAAGCGAAGAAGAAAAGTCAGTATTAGTGTTGATGACTCCCACATCATAAATTATGAAACTAAGAAGTACGTACGATCCCTCGGGCAATGGCTCCGACTCGTCCAAGGTCACAGTGACTTCGTAGCCGACATTCTCCTTGAACTCCTTGGCAGCCTCCTCAATGGCCTTCTTTGCATCATCAAAGTCCTTCTTTCGTGTACGGATAGAGACCTTATCCTCATTGAGATAGTACAAGCCCTCGAGGACCAATCCCTGCAGCATAGCCTGGTATTTCTTCTTGTCGCTGGCAGCAACAGTAGCCACCTTGGTGCGGGACTTTTCAAAAAGCTCATCAAGAAGCTCCTGACGGCCACCAAGCACACGAAGACGGGTGCGGTTGGCGAGAGTTGACTTGGTGATTTGCTGCGACATGGCAGCCTGCTTGAACTTCTTCTCGTAGAGCGTATCAATGGCGGCGGTCTCCTGGCGCACCAGCTTGGACTTTTCGATCGCGAATTCCTCATCGGCCTTCAACTGGATCTCCCGGGCCTTCTCCAGAGCTTCCTGGCGGATGAACGCGGTCATCTTGCGGAGCTCGCCCGCGACCTAGGATGGGGGTTACCGGGGTTAGCCTGCAAGCTTCTCCAGGAATATGAACGACCAAAATCAGACATTCTCACCTGATCATCTGAAAGAGCATGACTTTGCGACATGACGACGGTGAATAGAATTCCTTCCGGGTGTGGGTGGGAGGAAAAGAAGGTGGTGAATGACGTGGGGTGGGAAGGAAATGGGAAAGGGAGTCAAGTGTCCAACTAAGCTCTTGTCTCTCGCCTTGGCGGTCCGCATCCAGACGCTCCGCAACTCTCCCCTCGTTCCTCTCTCCCACTCCCCTGCTCCTGTTTTGCAATACCTTGTTCCTTAGATTCAAACCCTTGTTTTTCTCCCTGTTGCTCTTGTGACCCCTCTGGATTTTGGAAATAAAAAGCCCTGCTGGAAATCATGGCTTTTATCTTCCGGTAGTCAACTCGCCTTCTACCGCTTCTTCCCGATGTACAAGAGACTCGAAGATGGGCAATCTAGGTGACTTGTCGCCACAAGGCAGTGTCGCGGTAAGTCACAAGACATTCAGCCTGCTATACAACCGGAATTGAATCGCTAATATACAGGATAACAGGTCGGAATTCTCGTCGGACTCATCTCAACTAGCTTGCAGGCGATCGGGCTTACCCTCCAGCGCAAGTCTCACCTGCTTGAGGACGAAAAACACCCATATGATGTGCGCCGACCACCATACAAGCGCCGCCGATGGCAACTTGGCATGGGAATGTTTGTGATTTCCAATATCGTCGGCAGCACTATTCAGATTACTACATTACCGCTCCCGGTCCTTTCTACACTCCAAGCAGTCAGTCATTGTTTCTTTGTCGCCTCCTTTCCTCCAAATACATGCAGGTGTAACTAATATAGCGTGGGATAGTCGGGACTAGTGTTTAATACAATATTCGCAACCCTCATTCTCGGCGAACCCTTCACTCGGTATTCCTTCGCAGGCACCGGCCTCGTCTGCATTGGTGCGATACTGATCGCGACCTTTGGCGCCATCGGAGAACCCGCTCATACCCTGAATCAACTGCTAGAATTACTCCATGGTCGACCGTTTCTGATATGGATGGGTGCGACAATGTTTGTGGTGGCGAGTATTCTAGTGGGCTCGAAGCTATTGAGATACTTCCTGCCAGGGTCGCGGGGGAAACCCGTCGCAGGAGGCCACTTTACACCGCATGTGCTACGTCTGCAGAGCCGGCTCAAGCTTGCCCGGGGTATGTGCTATGGATCGGTCAGCGGAATTTTATCTGCTCACTCGTTACTACTTGCCAAATCCGCGGTGGAGCTACTGGTGCGCACCATTGTCGATGGCGAGAACCAGTTCAACCGCTGGCAGTCCTGGGTGATCTTGCTGGGGATGATCATTCTAGCACTGACGCAGCTGTATTTCTTACATCGCGGGCTCAAATTGTGTAGCACAAGTGTGTTGTATCCATTTGTGTTCTGCATCTACAACATTATTGCCATCCTCGACGGTTTAATCTACTTTCGCCAGGCGTCCCAACTAGCTGGCTTCCATGCGGGTCTTATCGCATTAGGAACTATGATCCTGCTGGGTGGTGTACTATGTCTATCCTGGCGTCTAGAAGATATCGAGAGTCATACTTCCGTTACGGTTGTGGGACCCACACAGACGGGGCTTGGCCCAGGCCTGGGAGTCGTTGAGGAACACTCATCGTCATCAGGGCTGCTGGATGGTCTGGACGATGAAGAGTCAAACCTTGGAGAACGAGAACCACTCCTCCACCGCGGCTCTCGTCCACAGCGTCCCCCTCCACGAGCGCGGGCTCCTAGCCTCCCCGCCCTCCAAACGTTCGATCAACATGAATCCGCAGATCTCAACGCAGCTTCCATATGGGCCGAACTCGACGATTCAGATTACGACTTCGCAACCACACATATGCGCTCCTCTACCGAACGACCCCGCAGCTCCAGCAGCAGCGCCGCCTTGCATGGCCCAACACGTGGTCTGGCCCGCCACTCAACGATTGGCCCTATCTCTTATCAGCGCGTCCGAGGGACACATCGCGGTCGCTCATCCACACAGGAGAACCCATGGCGACGTTCCTCAATGCCCTGGGCCGGTCTCATAGGTTCACAGCGCAAGCGACGGAGCCAGCTCTCTTCACCCATCGTGTCGGGGGCAAATGGATACGGATCAATTCCAGAAGACGAGATCGAACGCCGCCAACATGAAGCAGCCACAGGCACTGTCCCCGATCCATCATCTACGTCGAGCCTTCTCGCGGGTCCGAGAAGAACCCTGCAAGACGCGTGGAATCAAAGCCGACAATACCTGTTTCGATGGACGACCCCGCCGGCGGGTGATATCTCCCACGAGCATGACCGTGCCTATTCACCTCTTTTACCGCGCTCAGAAACACGCCTCCCTTGGATGAGAGATGAGCATGAACCTGTCTTGTCTGGTTCTAAGGGGCCCTCCCCATCATCATCATCACCACCTTAAGCCTCTTCTCAACGCAATTTACAAGCCACATCTCAAACCACCTTTCTTTTATTCTCCACGCCTAGAGATATAACCACCTCAAATACCCTGACAAGCTATACAAAGATATCCAGTCTGCCCTGTACAGTAGGGACTCAACTCCAAATCAGAATTTTCTGTTTCTTTTCTCTTCGTCCTTCAAATTTTTCCTTTTTGTTATATAGTCAAGAAGATATCAAAAAGCCTTAATACATTGCTAGGTCAACTTCTTTACTACATACTCGGCGCAAACCTTGGAAATCGCGTCACATGATTCCCGTGCTAGTACTAGGCCCTGACATATCTCAAGTACTGCCTAACTAAGTTTACATATACTCTCCCAGGTGCCTACAAGTGCTGAAACACTATTCACATCAAGTACTAACATTGAAGTAAATAATCATCTCAAGTACCAACATTGAAGTTCATACTGTCCTTAGCACCTGAATTCAAATACCGACATCTGGAAAAGGCATTCATATTGAATTGATACTACATAACATTGAGTTTATACTCTTCTGATGTCCAAATATTGAGTACGTACTAGTACTAGTAATGATGTACGCAGCCCGCTTCAAAGGAGACCCACCACATGCACATGGAGTCGACGGTCAACATTTGAAAAATTTGAAATCTTCTTTGGATGTTTTTGAAGTCTATCCATGGATGTATTCCATATTCAGTATTCGATCTGTCACATCTGGAACTATATTTGTTTTGGGTTAAACGGCCCCACCCTGCCCGCCACGAGGCAAAACGGTGACGACTGTAGATCTATGTTTACTTTGGGTCAAATTAGGGTTGAAGATGCTGGATACTACCAGTTGACAAATGGGCATCTGAAATACTTGGGTACGAAAAGTGAGCTTACATGGAGCGACTACCCCGATATGTAACAAGTAACAACCGATAACAACATTGACTTACAGACTACACAGTAGGTACACATAACCTTGGGAAGACGGAAAATACCAGGAGCAAGCGAACTATCCATACGAGATACATGACAATCATTTCCAAGGGAAGCGAAGGAACTTCCACGAGTTCATAGGCAATTGTAAAATGGAGGGGAGCACGAGAGGGTTTCTGAAGAGCGATAAGGTAGAGATAGAAACACAGTTTGAAATTAGACACTGAGAGGAAAAATAGAACATGACGAGAAAAAAAAGGATCAATAATGGTCGTATGAGATAAACAAAACAGAGAAGAGATCCACTTCGCCGACAAATCAATGCACCACAAACACCACCGGCCTCTGCTATTTGGTCTACATAGAGGGGGCAAGGGGAGAACCAGTAACAGCTGAGAAAAGGGTTCAAAATCCAACCTTGAGTGCTTGCGCTCTTTTGTTCTCTTTCGGAAAGTTTTTTTTTGGTAGATTTTTTTTGGTAATAAATGTTTATTTTCGAGTCCTGCGTCGAGGAACAGCAAAAAAAAAAAAAAAAAAAGACGGGAGTCATGGTCGGATATTCGCTTGGCGACCTTTGCGTGGGGGTTTGAGAAGCAAGTCCGGTGAAAATCGATATTGGGATCAAAGACAGACACCTGGAAGAAGATTCCTGGCGTTTGACAATGTACACATCAGCATCATACCGTGAGAATTGCCAATACAAGACGTCGACGGTTCCATTGACTGAGGATGGATGAGAGTCGTAGTAGAGTGTAGGTAGGAGGAGCGAGGCGGAGGATGGATCAGCAGAGCTGGACGGGTATCAAATGAACGCGAGAGATGGGAAAAGCAAAAGAGGTGGCGCATTATTTAAGACCCCTTCCACAGCGGCGCGCAATTAATGAAGGACGTTTACGCGGTGGGTTGGTGCTGAGGAGGCATGCGATTACCCACGGGCATACCAGGGTACTGTCCACCAGCCTGCTGTTGCTGTTGCAGGTTCTGGTAGTAGGCCATCTGCTGCTGCTGCTCGCTGGTCATGTAGCCAGGGTGCATGCCGGGACGACCCATGTTTGACTGGGGCGCGTTGACATTGCTGTGCGCGACATCCTCGGGGGTTTCAGCGGGAACATCGGGAGCATCCACACCGTTCTCGTTGGTTGTGGGATCGGGCGCGTTAAGGCAGGCCTAGATGGAAGCGCAAAGGTTAATTTACTTTGAACAATGGATTTTAAGATGAGCATCAACTGGCAGGCGACTCACCTGAATGAGGTTCTTGCCCTCGGCCTTGGTTACGAGTGGCTGAAGCTTGGGGGTGGTGAAGGTGTAGACGAGGCCGGTCTCGGAGACAACCAGCAAGAGGACTTGAGTACCCGTGAGGACGGAGAGCTCATATGCCTGTACAGTGATGAACCTGATTAGCAAATGAACAATTTTTTTTTTGGAGATGAACAAATTGAGGTATTAAGATTTATTCACGAGGAAGTATGAACAAAAGAAAAAGGATCAAAGGAGGAAAAGTGGAGGTTTCGAGTAAAAAGTTGGAGGGGGGATGGGGAGATGGGGTATGTCGCGCGTACCTTCTTCATGATACCAGCCTTACGCTTGGAGAAAGTAATGTGGCGACGCGACTTGTCCTGAATAAACTTGATCTCGATCTTGCGACGCTCACGACCGGGCTTGTCATCATCGTCGTCGTCGTCTTCGGCGCTCATGCGGCCGCGCTTGGTGCCACGGGCGTCAGCGCCGTTGCCGGCCTGTTGCAGGTCATCGTGGTTTGGGGAGAGCTTCTCCTCGCCGACAGCAGACATGTCGGCCATGTTAGGCAGTGAGAACGAAATGGTGAAGGAGTGGTTCAAAAAAAGAGGCAAAGAAGTGTGAATAAAGCTGACCAAAAGGGGAAGGGAATCGTAGATACCGAATCGAGTAACGCGTTTTTGGTATCGCAGGGTTGGGAGAGAAAGGAAGGGGGAAGAGAGCGAAGAAGGGAAAGTGCGAGGTGCGATGTGGCAGGCGGTCAGTCACGTGTGGGACTGGTTTGAACGGTATTGTTACCAAGTGGATAACTATGAGGTACCTGCATTTACCATAATAAACCAGTAGTGAAAATGTGTACCCTCCCCTCCCATGGCCCCCCTAATTGTCCCAAATATATGTATCAAGAGTGTTTGAACCATGTATTTGCCTCCCCCTCTCACGCCTCCAAGAATTATGATTGGTGCCTCCTCAAAGGGGCCAACTCACTTGCCCCGCTTTGCCTCCGCTTGCATCCGTTTCAAGGCAAGCGTTAAACCCAATGTTGCTCCGGTCTGGACTCACTTGATTTCTAGTTGAGGATCACATTTATGTACTTTAGTTTCTGGGCTTATCTGGCAAAGTGGGAGAGGCTTTCTAACACAAAAGTTGTCTCTTCAAAAGCAATCTCATTGACAAGGGTCCTGACATACCGTTCTATATTTGTCATGTATAGGGCTCGACCCTGCATTCCTGAACCGCACTCGGATCGGCCCCCAGGTGTGGCGGTTAAAGCTGGGATTCTTCCCTTCTAGCCTACACCAAGTTACTCCGGTGTGCCGCCGAAGATTCTTATATCTCAAACGACCCCATAAAATAAATTGCATAAAATAGTAAGAAAATATTAGAAGCTGATCAATCTTACAAGGGCGGATTTTACCATGATTCCATTTGAAAAAAAAAGAGAGAGAGAGAGAGATTTGACCTTTTGTATATGGGTTGTACAAGTAACCTGCGGTGTACTTCCCCAACATGCCTTCCGGCATGCAATAGGCCTGTCTCGACCCACGGTCGGATTCTTGCAAAACATACCGAAGGAAGGTATTACAGGAGGAACAATCCCCACAGGACTTTCTAAGCCCTGTTTTCAGAATGATTCAGGGGATAAACACTGAAGAGGTTTGTTGGTCAGGATCTATAATCATATCTTCGACCAAGATCACCTGCGTCGGGAAGTCGATAGGGAAGAAGCTTAAATTGCGGGCGTGTTCCAAGATGGAAGGAGATCCCTCGGTCCATTCTGAATTTGATAAGAGTCAACATGCCCGGAGAAAAAAATCCATAAGAAAAATCGAGAACAAAGATATATAGGCGCGATTGCGACGCTTGGGCAGAGATAACCTTGAACATCTAGTATCTACTACTAGCCATACTTACTAACCAGTTGACGTACATACTATATACTACTTACTAGTTACTATATTTAAGGTAAAGGACTGAACCCTTTACAATCCACACAACAGTTGATAAGAACTCATCATATTCTTCGCATAATGAACAATTAGTTCAACGCTAATCACCAACGGAGACCCAAACACGGTCTTCGGTTCAAGTCTATTTTTACAAACACGATATGCATGGCCATGGAGGGAGGCCTCACTCCTAGTCGCGATGGAGGTCCAGGCACAGAGAAAGTGAAGCGCGACAAAAGGAAATAAAAAAAAATAAGAAAAGAGAAGGACGGCAGCAAGCCTTTGACATGGGAAAAGCACATAGACTCTTGGGTCCCAGCACGGAGGTAGCCATAGAAATAGAAGAGAGAAAAAAATGGTAGCCTAAGAAAAGGCCGGGATATATGGTGCAGGGAAAGCCACCAAGTTTCCTGCGCCAGAAGGGAGAGACTCCGCCAATGCTAACGCCGGATAAATGGAAACATCAGAGACTGTGGACGCGGAGTTCAAGCCACTGTCACCAGTCCCATCCGGAAAAAGGAAAGAGGTTGATGAAAAAAGGAAGATTGGTCGATGCGAAATAGATTTGGCGTCATGAGTGGGAATAAAGGGAGGAAGCTTGATGTGGGAGGGTGGAAATAGAAAGAGAGCAATAGAATCATGTGCAGCGAAACAGAAGATGTGGACAATTGAAAAGAAAAGCACCCAAGGACCAGCCTTCTCACAAAAAACAAAATTCACTTGGGGGACTTCAACGGCAAAAACAAAAGGGTTTTATTGCTGGTAGGTACCGCGGAGCTGGTGGTCGCTCAGGCCGGCACCACCGCCGCCCTTGGGGCCGAGCCAGACAATCTCAATCATGCTGTGACCCTCATCCTCTTCGCGCACGTAGAACTGGTGCACATTGTCACCCACCACGTAAGCGTCGTGAAGCAGCCAGCGGTCCTTGGTGACACCTTCATCCTCAGCGGGACGGAGAGGACCCAGGCGCTCTTCGAAACCACGGGGGTCCTCAGGCCAGGTCTTCTCCACGGCATCAAAGTCAATGGCATCATCTGGCACAGACGAATCGTAAGTGTACTTGACCATGGAGTAGCCGTTGGTCAAAACCCAGAAGTGACGGATAGTCTCTCCAGTGACGCTGTTCACCGTCTCCTCCTGGTCAAAGACCCAACGACGCAGCACGGACTTCCGACCAGCGGCCGCGGCAACAGTAGTCATCTTCACCACATCCTTAGTGTACCAGCTGTTCCAGTGGTGCATGGATTCAATCTTGCGGCCAGATTCGTAAACACCGTCCACGGGGTCAGTCATATCCATCTGGAACAGCGAGGGCCACAGGGTCAAAGAAGTGTCACCGAAGCGCTGGATACATTGGCCAAGCTTCTGGTCACCGGGCTGCTCGCCCCAGGACTGGCATTCATCGTAGTACTTCATCAAAACATCGAGGAGGGGCTTGGAGACAAAGACACCGGCACCACCGAACGCGATGTGGCCAAAGGTGTCCACCTGCCAGCTGGCCTCGGAGAGAGATCCAATGTAATGCTTCTTCTTTTCATCAAACAGCTTCAGTTCCTTGGCGAAGGTGGGGAGCGATAGGAAAAAGGTATCGTCATCGCTGAATCCAACCCAGGTGGTGTGCGGGCGGTGCTTGCGAATGTGCTCGGAGAAGGCCTCCACCATACCGAAGTAGCGAGCGGTGAAATCAAGAGGAGAGGCAACCAGAGTCAGATCCAGACCGCGGTTACGGAAGTAGGTCTCCTGCTTCTCCAAGTCATCATCCGATTCGGGAACCAAAACAATGAGTCCGGCCTTGGTGTTTCCGTAGGTGTAAAGCAGGGAGGGGAGCAGACGATCGAGACGATCCACAGTGGTGGCCAGACCGAACAAAAGCTTTGAGGTCTCCTCCACGTCGTCATCGGCGGCGACATCAACATCGATGATCTCCGGGCAGACAAACGCACTCTCGTCGTTTTCCGGGGAAACAACCATGCCACGCTCCATGGCAACAAAAGGCGGGAGAACGGGCTTTTGGACTTCCTCCAGGGTGTGGAATTCGGTGTCAGGGTTCACCAGACGAGGGCGGAAGTAGGCACGGGTGTAGTTCTTGCGGGGAAGCCAGTCGGCAAAGGACAGAGGAGCGGCCAATTTGGGGTCGACCTCGCAGGTGTTGCTGGCCTCTGTTTGTCCTGTGGACATGTCTATTTGAGACTGGCCCACATTCACTTGGTCAACGGGGTGCTTGAATCGGAGGAACGCTGACTGGTCATAACGTTGCATGCACCAGAAAAAGACACCAATCGAAAGCAAAGCAAGCAACGGGAAGACCGTCTTCAGCCGGAAAAGGGGCATCTTGACGGGTCGAGGGCTCGATTTTTCGAACATGTACGTGAAGGGGTTTCCGCGGAGGCGAAATCAGGAGGACGGCAGGAGCAATTTGGCAGGCCCTCTAGTTTGTAAAATTAAGTTGGTCTTATGGAGTTCGGCGTGGGCAGAATCCAAGATGTGTATCGTGTCCCGTAGTAGTCGTACAGCTGAGGCTGACCAACAAAACGAAACAGTGTCGGGAAAGTAGAGAGGTATAAAGAGGTCGACCACGGGTGGTTTTGGAGGCGTAAAATGTTTATTTCAAGGAATGACAGGCAGTTTCAAGTGCCGGAAATCAACGAGAGGCTGGCAGCGTCGGGACCCGCGACACGGTCAAATGGGAAGGCGGCGTAGAGAGTCAAAAAGGGGGTTGAGGCGGAAAAGAGAAACAGTGAGAAAACAACGCGGCTGGACAACGAGTCCAGGGCGAGACTATAGTCGAAGCTGAAGAAAGGGGTGATGAAAGTCGTGAAGAGTACAAGAGGAAAGAAAAAGGGAGACGAAGAGGTAAAGTAGGTTTAGAGGATCGGGGGAGAGCGAGCCCTGGAGAGAATGCAGCGTGTGTTTTGGTATTACCGGTAATCTTTCCCACTCAATGTTTTGGGATTTTTTTTTGATTTTCCGGATTTTAACTGTATACAGAACGAACAATTATTGGGGCTCTAGGGCTGTTTGCGGAAATCATTAGTAATTGGACCCTGTTGACTTGGATTTGTGATATCTCTTGATTTCTGATATTATTAGAATCGGCATTGAAATCATATGAAATTGGCTGGAGTTCTGTGTTGCAACATTACTTGGTATAGTTGGTACTAGTTAAGTTCTATCTGTATACCAATCGGGATCCCTTTCACAACCGGAAATGGAAATCGCGTTGATAGTTCGACTCAACACCTCCAAACAATATTCGTATGATAATTTTGTTTCTTACCTGTGTGTTTTCCTTTCTACTCATCACCGCTCCTACAGGGGAAATGGAATGTTGGTCTTTTCGGCACAGATCGTCCCATCTACTCGATCCACTGTATCAGAAAGCGTGAAGATCGGCAAATCCCTTTTGATTGCCTGGTTTTTCCCCCCCCAGTGCTCTTCTATCTGGCTGTTCTGAGTTCACAAGGGCCAGTTGTACTCATACTGTACAAGCCACCCGTAGTGGACTGACACCTAAACCTAGCAGGGTGATAAAAGCACCATGGAAAGACGATCGCTTTCGTCCCTCAAGATCCGAATGCGGATACGTCTCCCATCAGATCGTCAGAAGCGGCCGTTAAACCCGTCGGAACACCGTCCGGGAGGTTGAGATCTTCTCTATGATATTGATATCAAATTGTATACCGTAGAGGCATATGAAGTGATGTACGAACCTGATATCCAGATCTATAACCGGACCATATGCCCTATCCGTACGGGTATAGTTACCTCGTATAGTAGATACAGAACCTACTATCTTTGTTCTTACTAGTAGTAGATTGTTTATCCTACAGTCACTGTGCCATGTAGTATTGGGGAGTTCAAGTCCTTCTTCTGCAGACCGTGACTGTTTTACTGGTTTTTTTCTTCTCTTCCGAATGGTTCCTGTAAATGCAGTACTCACCATCATGATGATGCCGCCAGCGATAATGAATCGAAGTATAGACCACGTCACCGTGATGCGCTTGGACCAATAGATTCAACAGATAAATGATTGAAACATCTCATTTCAATCCAACAGAGTACGGAATACAATATGTACATAGTAAAAGAAAACCGACATTACCACATCCGTTACACCTCCACAGGAAATGATCTCAAGGTCGATCGTCCTGGCGTCCAGCCGCCCTGACCAGTCAGCGAGTCGGGGAGGGGCGCAGGTGGCCAGAGGCCCCACCGACGCGTGTCCTTCAGTCGCCGTTAATCTTGGCTGGGAAAACAAAAGCTCCTTGCCAATCACAAACATTCAAATCATCTTGTGATGGGCAAGTAATACTTTTTATCAAATTCGAAACACCAATCTAACGTTTGACTTTTCCCATATCCTTATGCCTTGTCACACTAGTATGCATGTATGGATTTTCTTTTGCACCCTTTTTTTTTCGGTTTTCATTTTTCTACTCTGTAATTTATTTAACTTACAGACCCTGAAAAGCTTATCTGGCTTGGTTTTGGCCAGTGTGGCGATGCTGTCTCTTTCAGCCGTGGTCTCTCTCAAGGTGGCAAGTGGGCCAAGATCGACACCCATTCACACTTTCACCCTGGGCTCAGGCCTGTGGTACCTACCGTACTTGTACCGGAGGTAATTAACCTTGGGATTCCTCTGATAAATTTGCCCTTGAGACAGCTGCGTCACGTTGTCCGCTCTGTTCTATATATATTAGCCTGTGAGGGTGCATGTTTCACCCGTAGAACCGTGGGGAAGTACCGATACCCAGATGTCGCCTCCAAAAAAGTGGGATCGAATGAAATTTAAGCTGGCTTTGGTTTTGCATTAATTGGAGCAGTTGACCTCGGGACATTATGCTTGATTTGTTGACCACATTTTCATTAACTAAGGAACATTGAGTTAGCCAATTTCCCGTCACATCAATTTCAAGCTTATCCTATTGCAAGTCAAGAGCCCACCGTAGGCAACCGCGAAAAAGAGCATTTGTGAACATTTTGAAGTGCCGTTTCAAGGTCAGCTGATTCAAATGTTATCTCCCCCAACATGTGTAAAAATCATGCAGTTCATGCAATTATGGATTTCTTGCATGGAGAAATCCTTCAGGTACAGTTTTATGAGGTTTAAGCTCGATTACAGCCGTCTTGGCGATGCTGTCATTGGAGTCGAAAATTAAAATTAAATCTAAGCCACCTTTTTCCTTCGTACACGGAAATGCAAGCGGAGTCGTAATTTTACAGACCCTGAAATCAAAAAGGAAAGAACCAAGCGTGTCAACTTTCCAGGTGGATCCGCCCCTGATCGTCAGTCCCCGGTGAGTGAGTGGCCAAGGGTAAAAGAAAAGATGGAGGTGCCAGGGAAAGAGAAAAACACAACAAAAAAAAAGGTGTAGCCAAGCAAGAATTGAACGTTCTGGAACGGGAACCCCCTATTTCTAACATTTGAAAGGTTGACACTGAACCCCAAACCCGGGAAATGGAAATTAAGCCGATTTAACGAGCCAGTAACGAGCCAGTAACGAAGCAGTAAGGACATGATGCAATCTCTCGCCATACCGTATTCGGATCACGAAGGGTCCTGAGGCCAAACTACCCGAACGGTATGTTTATCCTTGTTTGGGCTCGGCTTTATTCACTGTGGACTTTTGGGATTTTTTTCGGTATTATTGCCGATATGCTTGGTTGTTGGTCTTCCAATATTAAAAAAACGCTTGGTACCGGTCAAAATGATTTTCAATGTCTAGAATATTCAAATGTTGACACCTCTAACAAGCACGGAAGGGGTTACGGTATATACGATGATCATATGGACCCTGCATAATGATCAATATTCTGAGCGCAAACATGGGAAATACTTACGTAGATGGGCTGCCCTGATCTAGAAATTCTCCTCAGCGATCGGAGATGTGTAAGATCAATAACCTCCGTAGTCCGGGGAGTGAAGATCAATCAACTTTGAAACATTGGAAGTAACATTTTCAACACCTATAATGTACAAATTTGTAACCATTGAACCTTGGGAATTGATCAACATTTCTTTATCCAAAGTGAATCCGGTCCTATAGGGTCTCCGCGGATCGTCTTGTCCATCTCTTGACCAACTGCAAGGGTATAAACAACTTTGAAAAATAATGCATGCTACATGAAACTCAAGAGTTTCCAGCATTTAAAAAGCTGAACCTCGCTCGGATTGGAATCCAAAAACATGTGCATGTACGTAGCACTTGAGTATGTACGAGATCTGTGGTGCTTCCAATACCCAAGCACTGAAAACTCGAATCCATACTCCTGGACATATGTACTCAGTTCCTAGTACATAGTGGCGTATGGATAGTACTTGAAGTTTTTTTTTCTCATGTAGCACTAGTCCAACCTGACCTACTAAATATCTGTAGTCTGCACATGGGCCTTGTTTTGCTTCCCTTGGAATCTTTTTCTTGGTGTTTAACATTTCTCCTTGGAAACATAGAACCAGGTGACTAGGACACCTGCGTGTTGAAATGTTCAATGTTGCTGGTTATTCTCAAAAAAACAATTTCTGGTCGGAGTCATACAATTATGACCGAAAAGAGAGTCTAATCAACCTCCGGACTAGTAGTTTGTATGCAAGACGTGACATTTCAGGATGCGGAGGGTTTCGAGTTTACTAGTAATCTTAAGCCAAAGTTGGAACATTTGAAGCGATTTCGACTTCAGGTTAGTTTGCTCTGCACTGGACACGTGCCCCACTTCACGGCCCGTGATGGTTTCAAATGTTTAAAGTGATCGATATTGAGGATCGCTGTACTAGTGTAGAATATATACTAGTATGATATATATAAAAAAAGGGCAAGAGTCATGTAGTGATTTATGTACCTAAAATTCGAACTTGTCAAATTATTAATCCAAGTCTTGCCCCCTCTTTCACACAAAGCAACCCGAGGTTTGAAGCCCACCAAGCCTCGCTAAATATTGCATTTCCTGCACGTGGAACTCCCCTTTGTTCAGTAATCAAACGCCCTTCAACCACTCAAATGTGCCCCTATGCAAGCTCGGGCCGGGAGCTCCAGCTTGAGCTTTGCCGAGGGCCACGGCTCTCTCCACACTTCGCCTTACTGGGACTAGACCAGACGGGTCTGTGTTCATGCATTCTTGGCGGTGCGGGCAACGTCGACATCTAAATTCCCCATCACAAACTGGTGAGGGCCGCAGCACGTATCCAACGTGCTCGAAACAAACCACAGTGACCGCGTACTTCACAAATTTACCACCATGGTGTTCACAACCGCAGCCGAGTTCAATCAGGTAAGCACTTCAGCTGGTACCTTACACGCTTACACGATTACTGAACTTGGACCAATAGGCCTTGCAAACCGTGCAGAATACTTTTGCCGCAGGAGTCACCAAGGATAAAGAATGGAGACGACAGCAGCTGAAGCGGACATGGTGGATGATTGAAGAGAACAAGGACCGCATCGCAGCGGCCCTTTATCAAGATTTCCACCGCCACCGTCAAGAGTCCATGTTTGCCGACTGTTCCGGTGTCCAGAATGATATCTTACGCACACTTAAAAGTCTTGACGAGTGGACAAAAGACGACATCCCTACCAGATGGGATATTATCAATTTCATGGGCAGCACAGTCGTTCGCAAGGAGCCCAAGGGCGTTGTCCTCATCATCGGGGCCTGGAACTTTCCCATTCTGTTGCTTTTCCAGCCCATGGTCGCTGCTATTGCTGCTGGATGCGCCGTGGTCCTTAAACCATCGGATATGGCGACTGCTTGTCAGGACCTGATGATGGAGATCATCCCACAGTACTTGGATCCTGAAGCGATCCGTTGTGTCACTGCCGGTCCACAGGAAATGGGTTATATCCTTGAGCACCGCTTTGATCATGTCTTCTATACTGGATCCGGAAACGTCGGAAAGATTGTGTATGCTGCAGCTGCAAAGCATCTCACTCCCGTTACAATGGAACTCGGTGGTCAGGGTCCAGCTATTGTCACCCCGACAGCTAATATCGACCTTGCGGCCAAGCATATCGCAGCCACTAAATTCCAGAACGCTGGACAGGTAAGATTGACAGGCCTAGAAACCTCCTACCTTTTTTTTTTTTTTTTTTTTTTAGGGGGGAGGGAAGTTTGTAATTTTTTAAGCTAAATTGGACGCGAACAATTAGATCTGTCTCAACGTGAACCACATCCTCGTGAACCCTCAAGTTCACGACGCCCTAGTCAAGGCCCTGATTCACCACTTCAACATTTTCATGGGCGGCGAAGACACTCGCCCCGAATACTACACACACATTATCAACGAGCGCAACTTCGACCGTCTCGATCGCCTCCTCAACTCAACATCCGGCAAAATAGTCTACGGAGGCCAACGCGACCGTTCAACCCGATTCTTCGCGCCCACCATCGTCACAGGCGTGAAACCAGACGACAGCCTTCTCACCGAAGAACTTTTCGGCCCCATCCTCCCCATCCTCGAAGCAGACCTAGACACCGCCCTCGCCTTCACCAGAGAAACCGGCCAACCCCTCAGCGCATACGCTTTCACCCAGAACCACGCCGAGAAAGAACGACTCCTCAACGAAATCCAAACCGGAGGCGTCACTTTCAACGACTGCATGCTTCATGCCGGCGCACGGGGTGCCCCCTTCGGCGGAACCGGATCCTCGGGTTTCGGATATTACCACGGCGTACATGGATTCCGCGAGTTCTCTTACCTGCGCACGGTCACGAATGCTTTCCCACCGTGGATGGAGTCGCTGATGGATGCGAGGTATCCGCCTTATTCGGCGAAGAAGATTAAGGCATTTGCCCCGAGTGTGACACCTCCGTTTGATCGTGAGGGGAACGATATTTCGCAGAGGAGCTTGACGAAGTGGGCGCTCGGCTTGGGTGTGTTGGCGCTTTCGGCGGTGAAGCTGGGCGTGCATGAGCAGATTTTTGATCTGGCTTCGGAGTGGCTGTAGGTAAGTTTTTTGGAAGGGGGATCGGTGGTGGGTGTGGGGCAAAGGGTTGGTTTGCCTGTTGGATGGGTACAGTCACGGCTGCGTTTTGGATAGGTTGCCTGCAGGCGGACGACTGTGATGCGTACATATCGAGGCAATTATCCCATGCCGTCATCTATAGTTGAGTTGGATGGATCTCGATACGCAAGTACAAGAGTGGGTTTGGTCCTCGGGCCGATTTTTGGGAGAATTATTTCGGGCTTTTCTCAAATTTCATAGCATCAGTATGTAATTTCTTAATCTTCAAATATTGTTTTTTTGCACCTATTACTCCCTGCCCACTCTGTAGCCATGGATTTGAACTTGCAGAGTAGGTGCAGAGTTTTCTGTAGATTCCTAAGTTTAAATTTTTGAATCTTTGATAGTACCTACTATACTTATCCCGACTTCGTGATCTACTTCCGATCTACATGATGAATCTCAGCTCCAGATGCTAACGCCACGCTAGTCAGAACGCGTCCATGCGTACAGTATGTATGGACAGCTCACCACGACGATCTATCCCCACTCGGCTAATCCAATACCCTAAAGGCTCCGAAATACCATTTTGATGCTCTGTCAAGGCTTCTTGCCGGATTTCTCAGGTCTCTAACGACTCAATTAGGACAGGGGACAGGGTTGACATATGCCAGTGCTCTTAAATACTTAGTACTAGCATACAGCATTCTAAACCCCTCATTTCTTACAAAACTTCCATCTTTCATCTCTTCTTCTCTACCACTAATTGACTACTAGATCCCTTTCCACTTCAATCGAACCAGTCCCTAAATCAGTCCATCATGTCAACTTATACAGGCCCACCGAACAACTATGGCCAAGCTCAAAACCAAGCTTACTATCCACCCCACCAGGGTCTGAATAATACGCCACAGCAAGAATTCCATAACAGCCCTGAGGTAAATTGTACCATGTGGATACGCAGAAACTTAACACAAAGAAGTTGACAGTAAAACCATGGCTAAACTCGATTACTATCTACAGTCACAGCCGTATACTCAGCCTCGATATGACGCAGGTGCAAGTCCAGGCTCGGCCTTCCCACCTCAGTACAACCAGCAACAGCCCCAAGGATACCACCCTAGCGGTCCAAGTTATGAAAATGCCCCCCAAGACCGTGGATACGCACCCTACCCTCCAGCCCAGCAACAGGCTAGCGGCGAGAACTCATCGTACTATGGCAGCGTACCACACGGTCAAGCGGGCTATGCCACTAGCCCCGGCCCTGTCGGTCCGCAGGGAGAAGGGGAAAGAGGCCTTGGCTCGACACTGATTGGTGGTGCGGCTGGAGGGTTTGCAGGCCATAAAATGCAGGGTGGGTTCCTTGGGACTGCTGGTGGTGCGGTTCTGGGTGCTGTTGGAATGAATATGGCTACGCATGAGATGTAAGTTTGTCATAATTCTATGGGTGGATTGTTTTATTGAATTTCTCTATTTCTCGGTGCTAATTGGGCTGTCTCGGCGTGTAGTAAGGATCATAAAAGGCACGAGGAGGAACGGAGAAGGTATGCTGAGGGGTATGGGCGTGGGGAAGAAGGGCATGGGTATGGCCACGGTCATGATCATGATCATGGGCATGGACGTGGTCGAGGACGTGGCTTTGGGCGCGGACGTGGGCGTGGGCGAGGATAGACTGGCGGTCTAGCAGGGGTTGTGAACGTGGATCGATGGATGAAATAATAGAACCTCAGAACGGACTAGTAGAAATGGGTGGTGAATATGCACTGGTTCACAATCCAAAGGATCAAGAAGGAGCTCTCAACCTGTCAATCCTTTTTTTGCCCGGGGTTTGGTTGGGAGTTGAATCAGTTTGACTGTATCCAGATCGATGGACCCCGAACGTTGCAAATTTGGAGTAAACAATACCCATCATAGATTCTCGAGACCCCTCAGGCTCAAGGTTCGATAGGAACTGGAAATGATGTTCATAGTTCCTGATTGCTTCCATAGTAAACTGATGCAGAACAAGTTCGGGCGGCAACTTCATACATGTGCCAGTCTCATATGCGCGCAGAGTTCTTTGAAATCTTTCGAGAAAGGCATAACAGCTTTCTTTCTTGCCCATCCGCACATTCTTCCACCTATGATAAAGCAGAAAAGTGCTGCGAAAATCATCTTTCAAGCACATGGTCTCTAGCTCGAGGAAAACAGAACGCATACTCATGGGAGTATCCTTACCGAGTCTCTCAATCACATTGTCGCTGAGCGTCTCCATAATCAACATAGCGCCAGTCTCGTCCAGGTAATTGACCCATGGGCATGGCGTGAGATATTTGCTAGATAAGCGATGATGTGCCTTTCTGTGACGTCTGTAGTCGGAATGCCACATGCGTAGGCGACGGCCGTTTTTCGTTGCTCGGAAGTCACATCGCTACACGGGTCGGCAAGGTCACCTGTTAGGAGGAGTGGGAGTCGCGCATCCACGGCCTTTAGGGCCACGAGTAAGGATTCCTTCCATTCAAACCAATCAGAGTCTCTAAAAAGCTCGATAGTCCACAAATCATCAAAGAGATTACAAATGTCTCTGGTTTTGGTGTAATCTGACACCCGATGTAGACCCACAGGGATTTGAGGCATCATGTTGTTAGTCGAGTCGTTGGTGGTTGATCAGAGAGATCGACGCGATGATTCACCGAGTTCGAGGTGGACGGTAGTCCAGATTGGTTTCAACGTTTCCTTGCTGGGAGCTGTCCTCATCAGATGAGCTTTCAAAACGAGCTTTGTATTCGACTCGTTCTGTCGATGAGACACTCGCAAGCTGCGTGTCATGAGTCAGTGGTTTTCACAGACTCTCAATGGTGGAGCAAGGATGGTGAACAAAATGCGTAAGAAAACACGTAAACTCGTTTGATGCGTGACGCGAATCGCGAGCAACTGAAAAAAGAGACGGTTCTCAGATGCAAGGTCGAGGAGTTCAACTGTGACAGGATGAGGGGTAATCAAGTGAGTGGTGCGCAACGTGAGTCGCGACGAACCAGGACTGCTGAAGATTCAATGTTAAGACTGTTTGTATGCGGCGGCCGATAGAGGCCATTGAATTAAGAAATTGAAATCGGGATGTGACCTAGGGGTGGCCTCTATCGGCCGCCATAGTTTGTAAACAAGTGCAAGCGAATAATGATGACGCCGGCGGGTTCGGCCACAGAGAGTCGACGATGGTAGGAAGATCGGAGCGTCAGGTCCAGGTCCAAAATCCGAGCGGTGTACGCTGATCTGGGATGCGCAGATACCTTGGAGACGAACTTTATTATGTAGTACCTACTAGTAGGTACGTGTGCGCACAGTAAGAGAGAGACATGGAGTCTGTATGCCCCGGGAATAAAGAATCCAAGTTATCAAGCGTGTAGCAAGGCCATTGGTATCATGAAAGCTATATGTTCTGACTACTAGTATATACAGACTTTTTTCACGCAAAATGTTCAAGTCGTCATGGTATTCTACAATCAATCGTCAGTGCCCTCGCGATCGTCAAAGATCATAAAATCATCAGGGTCTTCGTCTCCCGCGACCTTCAGCCACGCCTGCTTGACCATGTCAATATTCTCGTCCTCAAAAGCTAGATCCAGGCTAGGAGGTGGGAAGCTGTAAACATGAGGCGAGTGAGTCTGTATGGTAGGGGATGAGCCATCGTTACTGAGACGACCTTGCTGGGTGTATCGTATGGACCAAAGCACAGCAGCTCGGGGCCCCTCGGCCCGGATGAGGCGGTCCACGGCGCGGTCCAGAAGAAGTTGGCCTTCTGGTCCTGTCACTGATACACTGCCATAAATGATAACTGTAAACGCTGAATTAGCCTCATGAATGAATCAAAATTTCAGTGAAACCACAATGGAGTAGTTGTGCTCTTTATCAGTTATTGATAGTATAACGTTTTCATCAATGCAATTACAGGCAATGTAGATAAGTTAAGGTAGTCATCATAAGAGCAATGGGAGAGGGTGGGTAAGTGGGATCGAGGATTGAAAGACTTACTCTGCAGACGTGGACAGTCGCCGGTGTCACTCGAGTGGACCTGGAGATATACTGGCGGCGACTGTGGACTGTTCAGTGTCTCCCCTGGGAACATCAGGATAGCACTAGCGGGAACAGGAGCTCCCTCCACCGTGACGGGGAAGAGGGATGTGAATTCAGAAGCGACCACAGTGATTGACCGTGTAAATTTGGCACAAGACAGCGATCGATCCTGCGTAGGGTAGAGATCCCATACAGAACCGATCGCAACCTTAGTCCGAACTGACTCACCGTTGGAGAGTTGCAGCTCTACAGGATAATCCTCGTCCGACTCATTATCGGTGATAGACTTAATCCCAGTGTCGAGAGCATAAACGCCTCCACCCACCGCAGAGGCTCGGCAAGCGACCTGAAGAATCTCTGAGCCTCCTCCATATTTGGAAATGACTCCTCCGAATCCCGGACCTAAAGCACCAATAGATGCAAGGTGTCTCTTGATTCGAGGAACGGCATAGCTGGCCGAGGTGTTCTCCAGGGTCCTCTGGGATAGCGATAGCGAGAGTAGAGGATTTTGAAGGTCCTCTGGAACACCAAACTTGGAGGAAATATAATCTCCGAAAGGCGCCGACAAGTCTTCTTCCACCTCTCCGGATTCTGCATCTTCCGTTTTGCCGATGTGTCGCAAGAAGCGCATCAGACTTCTTTTGGATTTCATACTGATTTGAGTATCAGCGAAGATATCCTCACGGTTACCCGGCACCCGATGAAAACTCTGTGTGGCTCCGAGTCCACTATCCTTGGCATCGGCATCCTCAGAGTGAATCCACCAGCTTCCTACGGCCATGAACTCCAGCTGACGGTAGACCTTGGAAGAGATTAGGACAGAGATTAGTTGGGAGCGGGTGTAGAGGAAGTGTGGGGAAAGAGAGAATGTGTAGGCGCGACTCGCAGCCAGCTTGGGGCGAAGGTCCGATGTGCCCGATAGGCGATCGCCGCCTTCGGAGCTAGGCTGGGAGGTAGGTAGGGGAGGGCCTTGAGGGTAAGTGAAAACCTGGGCATCTTCGAATGGAGACTGGCCAGGATCTACAGGTTCAACAGAAATCAGCAACATGCCGGAATGTAGAACACACTCGGCGGCAACCCACGTTGGTTGACACTGTTCACCCACTCCTGAGCCTCATCCAGACTAAAGGCTGCCTCGGATCCTCCATAGTATGGGTTCTGGTCCAAGTGTAGAATCTTCTTTCCCGACCGAGAGAGGGATCTGGGAAGAAACGCGTCAGTGGTGGAAATTGAGGTCCAGCCAGTGTGACTCACAAGGCCAAAAGGGATTGAGCCAGCCCTGTTCCTGCGATGACCACGTCCCATGAGGTCTCGGCTAAAGTGTCCATAGTGTCAATAATCTGACAACAGAGGTCCAAGCTAGTAGCAGGTAAGTGTGCAGATAACAGGTGCAAGCCCAATGCTCATGAGATTGAGTAATAGCTAATCAAGTTCCTCTTGATGATGTTCACAAATTCCATGGGTCGGAGAATGACAATGTATTCAACCCATGGAGTTTGGAGGACTGAAGAGAAGAGGAAGAAGAAAAAAAAAGTTTGCGGACGCGAAGTCTTGGTCCGTTTTGTGCGGGAAGGCGGTCAGGCGTAGTTGTAGTGGGGCTACCTACTAGCTTGGGAAACAGCTTGCCGGTTACTACTATACTAATGTGTGTAATTAGTGTGTAATTGATAAATATGGCTCTTGTGACCGATTCGAAACGGCATTACATCTATGTAGGTAACCTAGGGCACACGCCATCTGTGCAAATATATATAGCGTACAGAATACTAGTAGCTGCCTGTGTATGTATACCTAATTTTGAACTTTACCTATAAAACGTCACCTGACTTCCAATCATACCTACAGGCGTTAAATTACACAATGAATGTATTGAAAATCTTTCCATTTCGGTATTCTAACCTAATGTTGGAAGGTTGCTCACTGGGCATCATCCCAGGTGCCGTGGACCCAGGTACATAAGATTTCCAAGGTGAACATCCATTGAACAGTGTAAAATCTGGAACCTCAATGTTACTAGATTTACAGGCATCAATCCAAAGGTTGTTTTCAAATGTTCCAACATCCAGATGTCGGGTTTCTCATCACATTAATCAAATTAATTGATAGCGAGGTACCTAGCCCTGGAGGTAGTTGAGTATACTCGAGATGCTTCATCTATGTAGGTATAGGGTTTACCTCAAGTGCTAGGTGCCTCATTCCAAGATTGAATTGATTGATCAAGTCAAGAATAGACCCTCCATTCAAATATTGGTGCACAAGTAACCTAAAAGGAGGAAGAGATAGACAGGGATTGTTTACTACTATGTATCCTGATTACTGTTCTCTGTGCATGCAGGTGCAGCTCGACAGAACCTCGGGAGGCGTCGAGGTTCTTGCCTGAATTCCACGAATCAGCTCAGTATCCTTTCCCCACTCTTAATCTGACCATCATTGAGACCTTCTATGTGCACATTCAAAAGCCTCGGCACTTTGCGTATACCGTTTAGGTCGTCTTTGATAAAAATAGCCCCCAAGCTCAAGTGACGTGGTCCTACCAGGGATTGGTAGTAGTTTCACGACTTCTTCTTTGAGTAACTTTACTCTCGTCACCTCCCCATTCATCAATTCCACCTGGAAACAATTCTGACTCCTGAGATCAAAACAGATCCAATTCCCATTCGCTACACATTCGCTACATGACTTGATCACTCACGGTACATACCATGACGAGTGACAATCCTGTCATTATTGTTGGCGGCGGCCTGGCCGGTCTAGTGGCTGCCTTTGAGCTCTCAAAACGTGAAGTCCACAGCGTCATCATCGACCAAGAAAATGAAGCAAGCCTCGGAGGACAGGCATTCTGGTCTCTTGGAGGTCTATTCATTGTGAACTCTGCAGAACAACGTCGGGTGGGTATTAAGGACAGTCGTGAACTTGCATTACAGGACTGGTTGGGTACCGCCCGTTTTGACCGGGATTGTGACTACTGGCCAAAGAAGTGGGCAGAAGCTTTTGTCGACTTTACCTCGGGGGAACTCGAACGCTATGTCAAATCACTTGGCTTGAGCATTGTCAGTGTTGGTTGGGCCGAACGAGGCAGCGGAGACGCTGGGGGCCATGGAAACTCGGTGAGTTCGGCCCCCATTGTACTGAAACAACGCCACTGACAACAGGATTCACAGGTACCAAGGTTTCATTTATCATGGGGCACCGGACCTGCGGTGGTCGACATTTTTGAGAAGCCCGTAAGGGCAGCTGCAAAGAAAGGATTAGTGGAGTTCAAATTCCGCCACCAAGTTGACTCTATTGTGGTCGATGAGCATGGGGCGGCTATCGGTGTGCGTGGGAAAGTTCTTGAGCCATCGGAAACTGACCGAGGGGTTGCAAGCAGCCAGAAGAGTGTGGATACATTCGAGATTCACGGAAGCAAAGTGCTCATATCTAGTGGAGGTATCGGTGCTAATATTGAACTGGTGAAGAAGAATTGGCCCGTTGATCGAATCGGCGCGGTTCCCTCTACTTTTGTTGTCGGCGTCCCAGCATATGTGGATGGACGTATGATTGGAATCGCCCAGGATGCGGGTGCCAATGTGATTAACAGTGATCGCATGTGGCATTACACCGAGGGAATTATGAACTGGAATTCAATCTGGCCAGATCATGGAATTCGAATTATTCCTGGCCCATCCTCGCTCTGGCTCGATGCAGCGGGTCACCGACTTCCTCCAATGCTTTATCCTGGAACCGATACCCTCGCCACACTCAAGCACATCTGTCAAACTGGAAATGACTATACATGGTTCATTCTCAACAGAACCATAATCAGCAAAGAGTTTGCCCTTTCAGGCTCCGAGCAAAACCCGGACATCACCGGAATGAGTTATCTACAAACTCTGAAACGTCTTTTAGGCTGGTCTCCGACCGGACCTGTCCAAGCGTTTATGGACAAAGGCGCTGACTTTGTAGTCGAAAAGACTCTCCCCGATTTGGTTGCTGGAATGAACAAGCTAGCAAAGGAGCGCGGCGGACCAGAACTTGACCTTCAACATATCGAACACGAGATACAAATTCGCGATAGCCAATGCGATAACCCTTTCAGCAAAGATGCTCAAATTATGCTCATCCAAAATGCACGCAATTACTGGCCTGAACGATGGTCCCGAGTGGTTAAACTCCACAAACTCTCCGATCCTAGTTACGGCCCCTTGATCGCTGTCCGATTGAACATTCTGACACGAAAGACTTTGGGTGGACTGGAATCAAACTTGGATGGGAATGTTCTTCGTCCAGATGGGTCATGTTTCCCAGGATTATATGCCGCGGGGGAAGTTGCCGGGTTCGGTGGGGGTGGGCTTCACGGATATAGCGCTCTCGAGGGTACTTTCCTTGGAGGCTGCATTTTCTCAGGACGAGTGGCAGGCATCAAAATGGCCGAGGCAGTGCTGGGGAGCTCAGCTGAGTCCTCATAAGGATGAGGAATATTAGTCAACGGCCGCAACTTTGAAAGCTATAGTTAGGTATACCAAATGGCCCAGTATCACTACTAGTATGTTCAAGTTCATGCAACTTGATATTTTCCTTTTCTTCAGTTTTCAGTTTTAGGCAAAAGCATGCATTACGAGAACCTTGGCCGATTTCAAAATCCAAAATTCCCTATAAAATATTTCACAGTTCATGTAGTAGCCCGAAAAGTCTATCACTGTTGATATTACATGATGGTCACCAAGCTAATCCAACTACAGGTCTGCTCAGGTATCTGAGGCTAAGAACTTGCTGAAGCATTGAGGTTATGAATAATTCCAGATCGTGACAGCATATGAACAGTCACGAGACAAAAAATGGAATTTACTTGTCTCGTTGTTGTGCTGCGAGTGTCATATTAACACGCTCCACCTGTACCCTGAGTCGTTCCACCGCATCCAACACATGCTCAAACTGTGTCTGTCCAGGCGCTGCCATGTTAGAATCATTTGCATCATACGGCTCCGCATTGAGTCGCTCGTGGCCAAGCTTCATACGGTTCACTTGAACCATGGAAGGATGCAATGGGGCCTGGAATCTGGTAACGCTCGGGTCGCTAGCAGCAGTACTAGGTGGTCGTCCTGTAAAAGGTCGAGAAGATCGAGAGGGTGATTTTTCGCAATTCTGCAGACTTGACTCGTAGAACCAGATCATCATTACGAATGGAAGATGGGTTGCTCGAAGCAAGACGATGCGCACCCGACGAACTGTACCGGCGGATAAGAATAATCGCAAAGGGCGGATGCACAGAAGAGGAATTAAGTTCTGCTTAATATTAGCATGGAGGAGCTCTGAATTTTTGAAGGATCCTGTGTATAAAGTGACGACGAACCAGGGGTGGCAGAAAGTACGTGAGACGACGGGAGTTGCTGCTTTCTAGGACGTAGATAGAGAGCCTGAGGATGATGTTAGCAAACCAGACAATGAAGATGGCAACAAAATGCCCCGAGGGAGCCTACTATACTCACTGAAAGAGATACTCTTCGCGAGCGTGAGCCATGACCTGCATCAACGAACTTTAGCCGTGCTTGTTAATACAAGAATGAAATCAAAACTTACTCCTTCTAAGCTCATACCCATCAAACTGATAAGGCATGCAAGAAGCAAAAAGTTGCTCATTGGGATAAAAATTAACCTATAGTAATACGAGTCAGTCTCCGACAATGAAACTCCTATGAAAGAACTCACATCAAGCCATAGCCGAAGATCGGAGAAATCTAAAAATTTGAAATGTTAGTAAAGCAAGGCACGGTAAACCACCTAGTCATTGGACAGCTAACCTTAAGGGCATTATCCTGTAACAAAGTCAATGAGCTGTCAGTACATCCGGAACTCTATCCTTTAATATGAATTCAACATGACACCACCTACCAAACCCAGCGTTGGAGACCTGCTTCCAAGTTAGCTGCTATAAGAAATGGTGAGGAATGGTTTTGGCGGACTGACCCAAAGAACACCTTTAACAACAAGAACGACATTTCTCCGACAGAAAATCGGTCACGGGCAAGAAGCGAAAAGGTTGTAAGAAATGCTTTTCATCCATCAAAGTCAGTCATGCTCATAGGGGGTATACCCGATTCACGCCTACCCGTATACAAGACCAGCACTACAGGTAAGAACCTCAAAAATGCTTTCGTCTAGGGCAAGTTAGCCTTAAGTTCCTGGCATGACTTAGATGTGGCCTCCTTACCATCTCTTTCATTACAGGAATCTGTGAATTTTATGGTCAGAATATTGCTCATAGCTTTCAAATAGGTTCAACCTACTAAACTCCCAAAATACGAATTCAAGCTCACAAGCGAGCATATTCTGTAATTTCATTAGCACCAGAGGGAATAATCCACCGAGCCATTGAAAATGCGGCAAGTCATACCTCGGGACAAGAAAAAGTGCCTCTAAAGAGAGAATGTCGAATGACAAGTTGAGGGTATAGTCATCATTTTTGGCCAGGCCAATGCCCCCTGTTGTCCTCACGTTAGTCTACAAATCAACGAGGTGGTGCTAGAGATAAAAGCGTGAAGATTGAGAAGGAAGAAATTCTGGATGTGGGTTCTTACTGGTGATAATGAATGCAAACCCGACTCCAATAATGGCGAGGTTCCACAGACTCCAGAAGTCCATTTGGTAGAAGAGTACACCGGCATCGACGATTCCGCTCAATTCATCATAGGCAAAAGCGACAATCCAAATATCCATCAAGATCTCAAAGCGACCGATTGACGTTGGCGATCTTTCCACAAGTACTGAATAGTACAGAAACAATAGAGAAAGGAAGAATCCTGCCTCAAACATCTTACGATATACCGGGACGCGCAGGCGCGAGTATGGATCTGCCGTCCTAGAAAACTTATGTTAATAGGACTCATATAGTGGTGAAGTGTTTCTTCTTACTTCCGGTTGAATATTTGTGGCTTCTTGGTCGAATGGACAGTGAGTGAGTCCCAGAAAACGATTTCTCCTTTCCAGATATCATTGACCATGCGCTGAACAACTCGCTGACTGAGAAACCTTTTAGCTTGAGCAACAGCAGCAATTTCCAACGCATTCAGTCCAAAGAATTGAAAATATCGGGAAAAGTCCTCCCTCTCGTGGTCCGAGCCATAAAGCTCGGAATAGTCTTGGTTCCTTTGAGCGGCTGCGCTTCTTCTGCCGAAGCCAAGGAGATGAAGAGGGGTTGGCGAACGGGTCAAGAGAGGTGTTGCTTCTGTATCATGGGCAAGCCCAAACTCAGAATTGTCTCTTCCAACCTCGGAGAAGTTTGTTGAACTACGACGGGGGATGGGGAGCTCCTCCAGCAGAAAATCAATAGCCTCGATCTGATTCAAATGGCACAAGAACTGCCATGCGACAAACTCGCAAGCTTCCCCTCGACTTTCATTCAATCCCCAGTCATCATCAGCGGCACTCAAAAATTCCCACTTGAGAATCATCAATGCGACAATGATGAAGGGATTATGAGTGTCTTCTGCCAAGGCATGTACTAGCTGACGAAGCCGATGGCCTCGAGATTCATGGCTCATATCATCGAATGAGAATGCGACATCACCAACCGCATTGCGGATAAATCTACATGTTCTTAGCATTGTCTCAGAAATACGCAGTCAAAAGTAAGGCGGTAGGGGAGTAGCCTACTTAGAAAGCTTTGGGATTATGGAGAATAGTGACTCATCTGTGTCGATAATAGGGATCCCATAATCATCCATAATCTCGGAATCCATGTTGGATCTTGAGAGATCGGTGGGGAAATCTGCAATCGCGCCCCGTATTTTTGTTGCTGCATGCGGGTCCATGTCAGATTGGATTTGGCCCCAAAGGATGTACAGTTTTGTGAAAGGAAGAGAGGAAACACTTGGAACTTACTAATTGACCCTTGACCCAAACGAAAATTGCTTTTTAATATCAAAGTGCGTCCAGACCCGCTGGAAGGCTTGTTATCTTGATTCTTGAAGCGCCAATTCTCCCTGGATGTTTGTTTACTCCTTGTTGTGTGTCCCCGTAATCCAGATTGTACTACCCGCAACCACGCATGATGATAGTTCCAGTAGTAAAAGGTTAGAGGCAACTCGGATCATAAGCCACACAGAATCCCCCAAAAAAATTCAAGAGATTGAAAATCAATATGAACTGAAACGTCAGCTTTTCCACATCTAACAGTGTGTTGTCATCCCCTCACCGCCTTCTTACCACTTATCACGTGGGGCGGTGTCAAGTGACCTCACTTGCCGTATCGTTTGCTCTCGTCGAATCGTTTACTCTCTATTTCCACCTTCTCCAACTTCAAGAGCGGAAAACAAAGAGAGAGATGAAACGCATGATACACCATGGGACAAGGTTACTCCCTCACAACCCTGTCTGCAGGGTCGGCAGGGATCGATGTGCCGGAGCTGTCAGATTTGGTGTATGAGAAGTCAATGGGTGGGGGCAGATTCATGAAGAGCATCCGTGCTAGACAACAGAACGGCCTGGTATTTGTGAAAGTGATCATGAAGCCTTATCCGACCATGGAGCTCGAGCCATATGTCAAGGAAATTATACGTAAGCGCGCACCATTGGAGCAAGTGTTGGATTCCAGCTCATCTTTTTTCGTCTAGGGGAACGCAAGCTCTTGTCTGATGTGCCTAACGCATTGAGCTATGAGAGAATTCTGGAAACCAGTACCAGTGGATATCTCGTACGACAATACATTCATAGTTCTTTGTACGATCGAATGAGGTCGGTCTAATCAGTTTTGATATATTTGACCTATAATCAACATCACTAACTGTTATAAAGCACACGTCCATTTCTCGAGGATATTGAGAAAAAGTGGATCGCGTTCCAGCTTCTGGGCGCCCTGCGAGATTGTCATTCTCTGGATGTCTTTCACGGCGACATAAAGACGGAGAATGTTCTCGTCACATCATGGAACTGGCTTTATTTGTCCGATTTCTCTTCTTCATTCAAACCTACGTTCCTGCCTGAGGACAACCCCGCAGACTTTTCCTTTTACTTCGATATTGCAGGTCGAAGAACTTGCTACTTAGCACCAGAGCGATTTTTAGTCGCTGGTGAAGAGCCCGGCAACCGCCATGTGAATTGGGCCATGGATATCTTCAGTGCCGGATGCGTCATTGCTGAACTCTTTCTCGAAGCACCAATATTCACTCTCAGTCAAATGTACAAATATCGAAAGGGCGAATACAGCCCAGAGCATGGCCAGCTTGCTAAAATTGAGGATCCCGAAATTCGGGAACTAATTTTGCACATGATTCAACTGGAACCCGAATCTCGTTATTCTGCAGACGAGTACTTGAATTTCTGGAAGAACAAAGCGTTCCCAGAGTACTTTTACAACTTCCTCCATCAATATATGTCCCTCATGACAGATCCATCTTCTGGAAGAACGAAAGTGGATGCGGAGACGGCCAACAGAGGTGAGACCGACGATAGGATAGAGCGAGTTTGTCTGGATTTTGACAAGATATCATATTTCCTGGGCTCCTCGTCCCGAGGACCGCATGGCGCAACCGGCCAGAGTTTATCACGGCTCACGGGCGACATCCTCCCTGTAAAGCTTGATCTACCGGACGGTGGGAACAACCAAATATCTGGGACACAGTCGGATGAGGGCGTTTTGATATTTCTGACTCTTGTGGTTTCCAACCTTCGGACTACGTCTAAAGCTTCAGCTCGAATCAAAGCTTGCGATATCCTTCTGGCGTTTGCAGAAAGATTGTCCGACGAAGCCAAACTTGACCGTGTCCTGCCATACATCATGATTCTCCTGGCCGACCGGACAGACTCCGTGAAGGTTGCGGCGATCCGCACCTTGACACAGTTATTGGAAATGGTGCATGTGGTATCTCCAGTAAACGCATATCTCTTCCCTGAATACATTTTCCCACGACTCCAGCATTTCGTGATTTCTTCCAAGAGCAACCCAAGTGCGATGGTTCGTGCTGCATACGCCTCGTGTATCGCATCATTAGCGCAGTCATCTTTGAGGTTTTTGGACATGATTCAGGCGCTGCGCTCTGATACTCGCTTGACCGCACTAATCCCGGTCGGCTTTGAGCCGCGATGGACCGAGGATGCCACATACCACAACCTATACGATGTGGCTCGAATCGATCTTCTGGAATACTTTGAGATCCACACCAAAGCGCTCTTAACTGATACAGATGCCTCGGTCCGGCGAGCATTTTTGGGTTCTGTATCTAGACTATGTGTCTTCTTCGGGAATCTAAAGGCAAACGAGGTTGTGCTCAGTCATTTGAACACATACCTTAATGATAGGGATTGGATCCTAAAGTGCGCCTTTTTTGAGGCTGTTGTCGGTGTCGCTGCGTATGTGGGAAGCACCAGCTTAGAGCAGTACATTCTGCCATTGATGATTCAGTCTATGACAGAACCCGAGGAGTTTGTGGTGGAAAAGGTTATACGGTGCCTAGCCGCTATGGCCGACCTGGGGTTATTCCAGCGATCTACGACATGGGATCTGCTCCATATTACCATTGGGTTCCTGGTCCACCCCAACATCTGGATCCGGGAGGCCGCGGTGAACCTGGTAGTCAAGTCAACCAAGTTTTTAGCTGTGGCTGACATCTACTCTATCATGACTCCTCTGATACGACCCTTTCTCAAAGTCAAAATCGTTGGGTTTACTGAAGTTGAAATCCTCGATGTTCTAAAGCGCCCAATGTCAAGAAGTGTGTACGAAATGGCTTTCCAATGGGCTTCTAAATCAGACAAAGGCGTCTTCTGGAAGTCAGCGAGCCGCGATGGAGCATTCAGTCTCTCCGACCCTGGCACACATGGATTCCGAGCTGGTCGCTCCTTTTCATTGGATGCACAGTCAAAGAACGAAGAAGACGAACAGTGGCTTGCTAGGCTGCGGAATCTCGGAATGGGCCCGGAGGATGAATTCAAGCTCATTGCGCTCAAGGATTATATCTGGAGGGTTTCGCTGAGGCAAGCAAGAGACCTCGACACCCAACCTAGTCCACCATGGAACGATATAATCAGCTTGACCCACCATGGTCTCACACCCCAAACCGTTTTCTTTGACAAAAATCTCAACGACAAGCCTCAAAATACATCTGGAGATCGCACCGAAAGCCCAAGGCCGGAGGAGACGAGGCCGCGAACTATTGCTGATGCATTGCTTGATGCCTCCACGACTATTGAGCGGGCGCCCCATTCTCATCACAAGCATATACGATCAAGGAGCCAGCTACACAAAGAGATCGATATCACACGCCCAGGCCGCCCGAGAGACATCGCCGTAGATTCCTCCTCCTCTTCTCCGGCGGCTTCATCTCCTGCCGGTGGCCCTGGATCTCGACCCTTGTCTTCGCCAGCCTCAGATATGCCTATTCGTACTCGGCGATTGAGTCCCGGTCAGGAGAGTTCATCGACAACACCTACCAACACAGATACCATGTCTCTCAGAGGTGATCGAGTTCAAAAGAAATCCAGCGCAATCAACCTTCTCGGACGTAATGAGACCACCAAGACAAATGCGGAAACAAGCACAAACTCTGCGAACGCATTTGGGAAGGTTGATGCCTCTGTCCACAGAGCGGGCACCCCTCAGCCCTCAGGCCTCACTCAAGCATATGAACGCATGCCTGTTCAGGCAGCAGCTCGGCGGTATCGCGCGAACCACTCATATGCAGGCGATGATCCGACAGTTTTGCGACTGTTGGACAATGTGTTTGCTGATAACTACCCCACTGATTTGTTTGACTTGGGTCCATATGTCAAAGAGTTGGATGTGCGACAACCAATCCGCAAAGCCAATACTCACGATTCTACTAAAATCTGGAGGCCCGATGGAAATTTGGTAGCAACATTTGGCGAGCATAGCGGGCCGGTAAATCGCATCGCCATACCACCTGACCATTCTTTCTTTGTCACTGCATCCGATGACAGTACAGTCAAAATCTGGGACACGACGCGCTTAGAGAGAAACTTGACCCCTCGCTCTCGCCAGACCCATCGTCATGCGACCGGAGCACGAGTCCAGGCCTTGACCTTTGTGGAAAACACATACACCTTCGTGAGTGGGGCTACAGATGGAAGTATCCATGCAGTTCGGGTTGATTATCATAAAGTCAACGAGACTGCGCGATATGGGAAGCTTCAAGTTGTTCGCGAATATCAATTGCCCCCTATGGAGAATGGCGCACCGGAGTATGCTGTCTGGATGGAACATTTTAGGGACGAAGGCCAATCAACTCTTCTTGTTGCCACCAATGCTTGTCGAATTCTTGCATTAGACATGAAAACCATGTTACCGGTATACACCCTGGAGAATCCCGTGCACCACGGAACTCCGACCACATTTTGTTGTGATCGTCGGCACACTTGGCTCCTGGTGGGCACGACTCATGGTATCTTGGATCTGTGGGACCTTCGGTTCCGAGTGCGACTCAAGGCATGGGGTCTCCCCGGATGGGGATCGATTCAACGAATCCAATTGCACCCCACGAAACCTCGTGGACGTTGGGTCTGCGTATCTAGCAGCGGCAGCCACGGCAATGAAATCACAGTGTGGGATATTGAGCGATTCCGATGCCGCGAGGTCTACCAGGCGACGCCGCTAGATACGCATGAAAACAACCCCAGTGGTCCTAACCGTGGCTCCCGTCCCGCCAACAGCCCCCGTGGGCACCGCACCATGGCTCGAGACTTTGAAGCATGGCCCGTGGACGAAGACCGACCGGAAGGAATGCTCAGTCGGTTTGCTACGGCCAGCCCTGCAGCGGCGGGCATGTCACCGACCACTGGGGAAAATGGGTCCGCTTCGCCACCCAACACGCCGTCCGGAGACCGACTTGGAACGTGGGCATTCACTGTGGGTCTGAACGCGCCCGATGACGAGAAAGCGTCGTCTAGCAGCCGGTGCGGGTTCATCGTGTCTGCGGGGTGCGACCGGAAAATTCGTTTCTGGGACCTTGCCCGACCGGAATTGTCGATGATAGTTAGCGGGATGGATTCCGTGTCGGAGGGCGCTAACGCTGGCAAACCGCGCTATGATCTATCCCAGCCTGGGCCCAATCTGTTGGTTACGACCGAGCACCTGCCCAATGCGCCGGGTAGCGGGCAGGCAGCAGGAGGGGGATCTCGGAAGGCCAGTTCACGGCCTCCCCGCAGTACGGTGATCAGTCTCCAGCAGCAGATGCTTTTGAAAAGCCATCTGGATATTATTCAAGATGTTGCCGTGTTGCGACAACCGTACGGGATGATTGTTAGTGTTGATCGGGCGGGTATGATCTATATCTTCCGATGAGTCCAGCCCATGTACAGTACAAATAGACATCTGGAGAGAAAGATGAAATATATTCCAGCCTTGACAAGCTTCTGCTCAACATTGAAGAGTATGGATTACGTAGTCGCACAGGTAGAGCCTGTACGTCCAATTGATGTTTTTGACTGCAGTGAATTGGTACCTGAATCTCAATCAATACATCTTCAAATGTTCTCTACCAGTCTAGACGTCGACTGGACCCCACAGAGATCAGCATGGATTTCCAATTTCCGGACACATTTCCAGACCGAATGCCAGATCAAATCAAACATTTGAAAGGATCAAAGGGAGAAGCAAATATGTAGAAAATTTGCAAAAAAAAGAAGAAGAAATGAAACAAATCTTATCTACACGGAAGACACGCAGTCCGATCGATCGAGTCCACTCCCATGCTGGGTAAGTGCAGTGGTAGTCCCCACAGATACCTGACGGCAGCGTCCAGGGTACCTCTGTCAGGTACGGGAATTCCGCCACTCCCGAGGTAGTGGTTACGTATCATGCAGGTACAGGAGAAATCGGTTCAATGGGGTCAAGGTGAATGGGTCAATTGGGGGAGAGCTGGAATGTGGGCCGTGCCCACGCAGACGAAACACCGGTGGATGATCGGCAGAGGCTACGACCAGAATCAGTCTAGATTCAGGAGAACAAACATGTAATAAGGATACAGGCACAGCCTTTAAAATACGAACATTTGAAATCAGTACTAGTATTGAGTGGAAGGGATTATCTCTTTTTGCCTTGGAATTGGCTTTTCCGACATAGTTTAGTATACTCGGTAATATTTAGCAGTGAGCCTTGGATGATTTGAATTTGTTGAATCTGAGTGATTCCAAGCAATCTCTTTCCCTGCATAACATACTCTGTAACAGTTTCACCTTGGCAAAAGTGGATTCGATGTTACCGGCTTCTGGATTCCACCCTTGACCCGACGGGATGGGAGCGATGGTGTACATGATCCTGGAGGCAAGTGATTTGGTGTACACTAATGTAATGCAATTCTCTTTGATGTTTTATGTACTCAGTAGTTCGTTTTAATTTTCTCTTTTTTTTTTTTTATATCTAGAAATCTAGATCGGTTGTTGCTTAACTGGAGTTACATAACAGGTGTCTGGTACCACTGGATTGATAAATGACGCCAATGCCGACAAGGTTGCCCACCAGGACGAATTGAGGCGATTGGCCCGATGGGACCTCCAGTTCAGACTTCCTGAGTCGGCTCGGTAGATTTTGACAAGAGAATGACAAGTTTGTGGAGTCGGGAAAAATAAAATAAAAAAGGCAAAAGAGGGGGAAGAGACGAGGCTGTACTGCCCCTGTATTGGATTATGATATGAGATTGTGTACCTTTTTTTTCAGGGGCAAAACCCACTGCTTTTCGGTTACGCGGGATCGTAACCAGCTTTGAGAGCTTTGAGAGCTTCGGAGCCATGGTCCAGCTTGTTTTTCTCTGGTAGATCTAAGATCCAAATCGGACTGATCTTAGCAGGATTTTTTGCATTATGAATTATGGGACTTGGGGTGGGAAAAGCGAATTGGTGGCAATTCCCTTGGTATTGGATTTTTGGGGATACTTTTTCCTTTTTTTTTTTTCACTTTTACCCCCCGTAAACAATATTAGCGGACTTGACCTCTACGTGATCTGAGCAATGGCTGATTATTGATCATAAAATTTTCATAATGTCCATTGTAGGTGGAGCGCAATGTCTCTCCTCACAGCTCGCAGGCGAGACAGAGTTGCAGTGCGCAGTAAACATTCCAAGGTCACACCATAAGGAGTAGACACAGAGAGAGACAGTTGAAATTAGATATGGTTAAGGATTAGCATGGTAAAAGTAAAATGAAAAAGAAACAGGTCAATTGGCAACCTTTTAACCTATCGAGTTTCAAGCTTCTGGGGAAATGTTACAAAGCTTGAAAATCAGCGGTCAACGGGGTTTGAAACGCTGCAGATGCATATAGATCAATCACATCCAGAGAGAGTAACGGTAGGAAGGTTGAGATATGTGTGAATCATTGTAAAATTGCGATTGTAAGTAGAAACCCCTGCAGGTCTCTTTATACATAAGAAGTCCTCTGTACGCATATCAGTTCATTTATGGTATTCCCTCTATTCTATTCCTCCTTTCCTCTCCCCCCCGATTCGAGAAAAGGGAAAAAAGATTAAAAAAACGAGAAAAATCTCCGCTTTTTGCCCTTTTTTTTCTTTCTTTTTTCTTTCTTTTTTTCTCATTTTAATTTAATCCAAGTGGATCTCCATCGGCGGTCGCGAGTGGTTCAAGCGGTTCGTAACTTGGCTCCGGGACGAACCCCCTTTGGCTTTAGCTTCGGTCTCAGCTTCTTCTCCTATTCCAAGTTCCCCCTACACCCTTTCCCTTTCGGCATCTTCGGTTGGAATGTGTGGAATATAGAACATTCTTCGTTCTTATACACATTTCAAAAAACACATGGCTTAGGGTGCCTCCTACCAACTCTAAAAAAAAAAAACACCAACACTCTCTTTGTGACCTATCATTTTCGACTCCCAAAACCTTGGTCTTTCCTTGTCGATTCTCCCCCGTTTGTCTCTCATACTCCAGCACGTATTAAGTGCAAGTACCTCGCCTTTCGAGTCGAGTCTACGGAGTCTTAAAACCACACATTAAATCATCGCCATCATGGGACCATCTCTGAGAGATCATTCGTCCTTTGTTCGGCCCGTCACTCGAGACCGCCCTTCGACTCGCGGCGAGGGGGAAAATTCGCTGGTCGTTCCCAGTCGCACGTCGTCGCTCCACTCTCGTATCACTCAACCTATCCCTTCCACTCTCAACATGAAGCCCGCTCAGCGAACACCAAAAACTTTGACCCACGCCTACATGGTGTGTGGTGTAGGCCGTGAACCATCGCAATGGGTCAAGGCGCCACCTCCAGACCAGGGAAAGATTGGCCACATGAAGGGTGCCGTTGGTCAATTCTGGCTTCCTGAGATTCTGGGTAGCAGCCCCCGGTTAGAGCAGGACAATGAGATTGCTCGCGCTCTTCACTCTGCTATGCGGGTAAGTTTATTGAAAAACAAAAACAAAGACCAAAAAAAACCCCAGAATTGAACGAGATCCGACGATTGGATTGGATAGAAAAGGGAGAAAAGAGACAAACAAAAGGAAACAGATATACTAACCCACTGCTCTGAATTATTTAGGCTTGCTTCCCTCACGACGTTGAAATCTGCACAGGCAAGAGCCAGCCTCACTGTGCCCACCACGCCTTCGTCTTACAACAAGACTCTTCTCACACTCTGTACGGTATCGCGCTGCGCGTCTGGTCTCGTGCGGACGAGAAGCGAGCTGAGACTATCCGCGAGCTGCGCAAGAAGACCGAGCCCGACTTTTACGATAACCCTGATGAGACCTACTGGATTCCCTACTGCTTGAGTTTCTTGTCTCGCTATCCGTTGTACGACTTGCTGGGCGACTACCTCCGAGGAATGTGGATTCACTGGAACAAGGCTACCAACCTGTTCCATGCCGAGGAAGTTTCTCGGATTCTCAGCTTCCCGGCTCCTCGCTTGAACGACTTGGTCCGCATCGATATGAAGGATTACGCCCTATGCTACCAGTTCCCATCCTCGCCAACCGGCTTCCAGAACTTCGCCATGTGGCCCCTATTCAACTGTCTGTCAATCCCCAACATTGTCGGTGTCATCGAGGCCGCTGTTTCACCCACCCGCCGCATCATCTTTGTCAGCCATTACGCGGCCATGTTGACCGTCGCTGCCGAGACTATCCGCTACTGCGTTCGTGTGTACGAATGGAGTGGTCTTTACGTGCCCGTGGTGCACGCCCGCCACGTTAAGGAGCTTGTTCAGGAACCAGGTCCTTACATTTTGGGTATCACCGCTGAGTGCCGGACTTTGTTCAATGCTCCCTCGGATGCCCTGGTGGTGGACTTGGACCGCAACTTTGTTCTGACCTCCAGCCCACCTAACGTCCTGAACCAGGGCCAGCGTACCAAGTTCATCACTCGATTGACTCAGTCCTTGAACGGCGATGTCTCGCCCTCTGGTGTCCCTGCTCATCTGCGTTCAGCTTACGCTGGCGGCAAGCTGATCCCCGCTGGTCAGATTATCGTCATGCGTGGCGAGGTTGAGAGCGTCCAGGACCCCAACTGGTGGAACCAAGATGCTGTCATGGGTGTCATGGACCATGTCTGTGAGAAGCTTGGTCGCAACACCGGTATGAAGGCCATCTTCGGTGGCTCCGTCAAGAAGCCCCTCATGACCAAGGTCTCCATGCGTCACCTCAACGAGATCGTACGTGAACGCAACCAGTACTCCCGTGATGCCATGGAAGCCTGGCAGGACTTCATCAACCTCAAGGGAAGAATGGATACCGAGCTCAGCAAGGTTACCAAGCGCAACAACTTCTTGGTTGAAGAGCTCGAGACCTGGAAGCAGCAGTTCCTCAAGTTCCAGGCCTTTGCTGAGCAGCTCACCAAGGAGACTTCCGAACTCAAGGTCAAGATTGAGAACCACAAGCGCGAGAGCCGTCGTCTTACTGGTCTCATTGATCAGCAGAAGGATGATGTCGCTCGTCTTACTCTCCGCCTATCTGGCACCGAGAAGCAGCGTGACGATGCCCTCGAGGCGCTGGTTCTGCAGCAAGAGATTGCCGAAGAGCTGGAGCGTGAGCGCAAGCGCAACCAGAAGGAGATCTCTGGCCTGACCCACACTAACTCTACCCTCGGCCGCCAGCGTGATGAGGCCCAGCGTGTGGTTCTGCACCTCCGTAGCCTCATCAACGGCCAGAGCCACCACATGGAGCACATCGTTCGCTCCATCGGAAGTGCCTCTGAGATTACTGAGATTGTCGAGCAGGGTTACGAAGATGCCCCCGAAGAGTCCGTGGACAACCGTAGCGAGAAGAGTGTGGAGGTTGTGAAGAGACAAGCGTCGAGCAGGGAGATCGGTCAAAAGCCTTCGGTAAATCATATGAGCCCCGAGCTGGAGCAGCACCTGCTGAACCTTGACAAGGATCACAAGTCTCTTGCTCGCCTGAGCATTACAGATGTCGCGGACCGTTACCTCCGTGACAAGACTGATGCTATCGCCGACATCATTCGCAGCATCAGCGACCAATGCGCCGCCGCCGTTGAGGGCCTTCACCTTGCCCAGGACGCCGAGGACGACGAATCCATCATGTCCTCCAAGGCTCACCACCACTCTGGTGAGCAGCGCCTCGGCTCCGACTACGAGAGCCAGGATGGCCGTACCACCCGCGCCACTAGCGAGATCAGCGACATTGACCACAGCTCCTTGCACCCGGATAACCGTCACTCCAGCATCCCCCCTACCCCCGACCTGGTCCACAACCGCTCCAGCACTTCCATGTCCATGGTCAGCAGCTCGACTTTCCCTGAGCGATCCAGCCAACAGTACGGCCCCGGAGACATTCCGACTCGCATTGTGGAGGATGACGACGAGCACACCCACGAGACCGATGACCAGCAAACCGAGACTGGCACTCTGTCTAAGCAGGCTAGTGAAGACCTCATGCGGCCCCAGACTGCCCGTGTGATCTCGTAGACTGGTTTCAAAAGTCTAGGATGATGCAACGTTTGACTGAGACGATCTTGCCCTTTTTTTTTTAACCTATATTTTATTTCTCATATCTTCCTCACCACTTCTTTCTTTTTCTTTTTTTTCTTCTCTCTCCTGCAACATGGCGTGGTATTATCATCATCATCAATTTTTTTTTTTTGTTTTTCCCATCCTGCTGGCCGGTGCCGTGATCAACACGGACACAAACCTGATTCTCGGCGTAGCTCTCTCCCTTTTTGCTTTTTCATTTTCGCTTCGTCGTGTCGCTTATGATACTCCCTTATATCCATCTGCCATTTACCCTACCCGCCTTTCGTCAATTCTTGTCTATGTTGAAACCCATTTGTTTCCCGGAGAATCTGATTGACATCTATTTCTTATCTTTCCTGTCTGCTGTCTCCCTGGGAAACCTGTTACTATCATACTACTCTATCTACAATGTCGTACTGTTCCCCTCTGAGATGGGGCCGACTTGAAACTTTGTTATTTGTCTTTTGTTTACCTCCTCCCACGACTTGAATCTCGCGCTCGATGTCGTTGATAGACTATATGCGCGGGAAAGAGAGAAATAGAGAGAAAGAAAGTGAGATACTCTTCCTACTCTGCTACTACAACTCTCCCTACCCCTGTCTGCATGGATAGTTCCATACTACCCCTTGCAGATGGGAAGTCTTTTTGTCCTTTCCTATTCCTAATTTGTGCACATCTCACCACCCACTCCTTCCAAGGTTTTTCCTTTTGTCTGCAGTCGTTCAACTGGACTTATTCGATTGCTTGAGGGGAGTTTTCCATCCCTGCTGTATTTAAAATGGATTCTATAATTGCTTATACTTTACTTCTTGTCTTCTTTCTTTGGTGCGATGCATATATGAGTAAGGCCCTGGTGTCTCTAGTAGGCACTATTGAATAATGGTCATTCACTCCGGAGCTGCACGCACGGGATAAGCAAGCACTCGGTACAGATTGGCTACTCAATACAAGTTGCTACACCTGCCAACTGCAGAACAAGAAGGTTGCAAATCAATTTGGTTGATGGTGCACCGCTCTTTCGCTAGTGCAGGGTCCAACCAGTTGACCCTTGCATGTGAATAGCTCAAGCATTTCAATGAACCGGTTTGTTTAGTATAGATGCTTTCAAAAGACATTTGGGGTCGAGCCGAGTCCGCTCTGGAATTCTATCAATGCGGGAGATCTTTCGCATCTTCATTAAATGTGTTATGACTTATGGCCCCGGGGACTTTAGAAACAACATTGGAAATGAAAAATCCATCCATGATTTAAAAAATACATAACACAATTGATATGGGTTTTCACCCCTATCAGCTGCACATTGTAAAGTCAGATGTCAAGCATCATCTAGGCAGAAAGAGATGCTTTAAATAACTTTTCATGGTCAAGTCCTTGTTCATCTCTTTGATTTTCCCTCTCTTAATCCTTCATGATTTTCTGGGGTTCTGTCTCGAGCACAACCAACGTCATCTCTGTTTTCTTCGGCCCATCGGTTTCTTCCCGGGGTTGGACTGGGTGGCTAGTATACTTGAGGCATTTGTCCCCGATCTTCCTCCATGTCTTGCACTTCGGACAAGGTCCCGAATGAATTGGTATTTGGCTGCTGATACCGGTTAGAATATTAGCAAAAAAATTGGGAAAATGTACCAATTAAAAAGAGCTATGATAGCAAAAACATCAAACGCAAAGGGGAATATTGGAGTAGGTAAGTGTACTCACATAGACACTAGTAGGTTTAATGGTTGAGTTGAAGAAATGGGTTGAAAGATTCCAAGGTTTGTCACTGTTCTTGATGGTTGGATGCCACTGTTACGAGGCAGTTTGATCCATGAGGAAAGAGTCCATTTAACGAGATTACTAGGTCAGGTTGGGGGAAGAGGGAAAAAAGAAGTATAGAAAGAGAGGCGAACAATAAAAGGAGAGGCGCGTCAGCGCGCAAGCATGTGATCTCCTGACCCCAGGCCTCAGCTTCACGACTTCCAGATGTCGATTCATGACAGCCGTGATGATTAGGAGAGGTGAGGGTACAGTAGATCTAACCACTAGGGGGGAGGGACCACTTCAATCTGTATGATAAAATTTAGCTGGCGGAATCAGTTGATGATTTATTATGTGAAGTACCATTTACTCCACATGCATGCCGTATAAGGCATAAGGCAGTAGTTACAGATATATGCCTATTTAAAGTACTGAGTAAAGTACTGTACACATGTTATCAATTGATGGTTACTCCAGATGTTTTCATATGCATGTGTACCAAGTTCATACCCATTCTAAATACTGGTAAGCATATGTTCCAACACCATAGCTCATCGTTATTCATGGATAAATTTCCAAGGTTCGATAGGTAAAGTATCTATAGTCCCATCAATTGATAGTTACAACAAAACTCGAGAGTATTTTTCGTCATGTGCAGCATTTCAATTTACGGAAGGAGCAATCTAGTATGGAAGGAGCACTATAAACGCCCGAGCTCCTCAGCACCGGCGGTCGCGACAGAGTACATAGACACTACCCTATTACGCGCATGAAAGTTTCTGAGCTATAGACATTCGTCAATTGATGGCGAAGACCATAGCTGGGAAATCTCGACATCTATATCAGCGACATGTTGACCGACGTTGAACTCAGAGAGGATACTACTCCCCCACTACATTTGAGAGAGGAAGCTTTGGAAGAGCAAAAACGACCAGATACAGCCGAGCAACAGGAGCTATCTTTTGACAAAGCAAACACTACACGATCTGGATGCATTGCCGCCGTTTCGATGGGCGCTACCCTCTCGCTTCTTTGCTTCATTTCTGGAATCTACCTTCTTATAACCGATCAGACAACGCTCGGCGCTTTGACATCCTTCTCTCTTGGAGGACAAGAAACTCTGGCTTTGGCGATCAACGCTATACTGGCACTATGCACCGATGGTATGATGTTTGCGCATTCTGTCTCCTTACGTTGGGTATTGTATCGAGAACAGCGCCTGGAGTTCAACACCAGTATCCGGCTCTTCACCAGCTCTCTCAAATTTGGGCCGAATAGGTGGTATATCAACTTGTTGGCTTTGGCTTGTTTGGTGTTATCATATGCCTCTTCGTCCATTCTGCTGTTGTCTAATCAAGTCGTTCCGCAACCTGAGGCCCAAGACAAATCCTCGGTCCTCATCAACGCCACAGCTTTGGTAGCATTGGGTTTTGGTCTCGCTGGCCAAGCCATCATCGCCGGATGGTGCCTGATTTCTAGTCGCAATCTCGTACCGACATGGAGCTCCAATCCTCTCAACACCGCATCGGTCCTGGTGCAGAAAGGTGACCTTACTCACCACCCGGGAAGATGTATGATATCAGTCCACCAAAAAGACATGCCAAACCAAGGGATTTATGCTACGAAGCAACAGGGAAGCATGCTTCAAGTACAGAGTGAGGTGCGATACATTCTTGCTTTGTTATGGTCGCTCGCTATTTTGGCCGTTGCATGGCCCATCACCATCGCTGCTCTGTCCAAGTCCATTGGAAACGCCAGTGCCGTTGGTCAAAATTACGAGCCTTCTTGTTGGAGACTTGGCTTCGATTGGCACCAGAGCTCATTGCCGTGCTCTCGAAACTTTGTGACACTTTATTTGTCCCCATATGCAAATGACCACAATCCAAGCTCAGCAACGTTCTCATATGGCGCTGAAGCGGTACTCTGCGTTCTTTTTGTCTGTCTGATCCAGGTTCTTCAGACAGTTGCATTGCACTGCCTAGAGCTGCTCGTCAACTTGGCCAGAGACGAAGCTACTTGGCGACAGGCTTGTTGTGAGAGAAAAAAGGCTCCAGGGACCCAGTTAGCCACGAATGCGTTCCTTGCAGCCGCGTCGAGCTGGGAGAACAGTGTTTTGTTTGTAGCCAAATCACTGCTGCACTGGATAATTGGGCAGAGCCTGATACCTTCTATTTCCATTGAAGACGCTAAAAAACACGAATCATACTTCTCTGTCGCTGTCGAAGACCTGCAGCTCAAACACGGGTTCCAGTTTGATATGGTGTACTCGCGACTGATTATATATGCTGTACTAGCTATCCTTTTGGCCACTTTTTCAACCTATCTTGCTCTCAAGAGATCCAAAGGGTGCCAACCTGCTGCGCTGGGCCATTTACAGACTCTTGCCGACCTCGTCGACGATTGGAAGACGGACCAAGATGGTCGAATGTGGTGGGGAGACAAGACCATGGATGAGGCCTGTCAGCTTCGGCATGCTGGAACATGCCCAGATAAGACTATGCTTCGCCCCATATGTGCTGCTAGGTATGCCGGTGGTATTCCGGTGCCTAACTAATAGAGGTGTTGCAAGCACTCGAGGCCAGACGTTGGAAATCCCTGCCCAGATCGATGGGAACTGATTACTGTAAAATATGTACTTGGCGCACAGCAAGAAAACTTTGAAGAATGAGATTCAAATCTTCAAGAAGCTTAATTTGTACAACTCAATGACTGCTTTCAATATGTGAAGGTTGTATCATCATACATGCATAGTATTTATGCCAGCTTTCCAGGAACGAAAGGGTGTCCAGCACTCAACCCACCGCACACAGCCCAAGCCTGCCCATTCACGTAGCTACTCTCATCGCTACCCAAAAATAGCGCCACCCGTGCGACCTCATCAGCAACAGCACCACGCTGAGTGGGGTTCAATTGTCCAATCTTGCGCTCTGTACCGCGTTTCCGTGCATGGTCAAATACGGACTGCGTCATACCCGTCTCGATCAAACCGGGACAAATGGCATTGACCCGGATACCGGTACCTGTAAGCTGATACGAGGTTGTTTGCGCGATAGATATGACTGCAGCTTTAGAAGCAGAATAATCTGTTGAGCCGGCATTAGATCGTAATCCAGCAACCGATGCGGTGCAGATAATTGAGCCGCTTGGGTGTGGCTTAGACGCGGAGGTCACTTTCATAGCTGGAGCGGCATGCTTGGCTGCGAGGAACACACTGCATGGAAATTAGCTTGATTAGTCTTCTCTTCCCGGAGAAGGTTGATATTCTCATACCCAAGGGCATTGGTTTTCATTGTGTTCATGAACCCGTCTCCATCAAGATCTGTAAACATCTTCGGCTGTCCCACTATTCCGGCATTGGCGAAAAAGATATCTAAGCGGCCGTATTTGGCGATCACTTCATCGATAACGGCCACCAGGGCCTTCTCATCCGCTGCATCAAATTGTCGTACATGCACATCGACTCCTGGGTAGAGAGATTCCATCTCCCGCTTGTGGGTTGCGAGGTGGGTGTCGCTATAATCGCAGATATAAACTGCCTTAGCTCCATTATTGGCAAATTGATGCGCACTAGCCCGGCCAATACCGTTCGGTGAGTTGGCACCTGTGTGTAAAGTCATTAATTGGGGTGCTTTCATCGGCGGGGTGTGGTATAGTAAGCTTACCAGTCACGATTACTACTTTGTCCTTTGTACGGCTGTTTGTCGGTGTTAGCTCGGGATACCAAGAATTCAAACTTGATACATCATCTGGCATAGCGACCAGTATGATCAGTAAAGAGAGGAGATACACGTACGGGCCAGCTGAGTCTGAAGCAACATGGCGAACTCGGGGAATGCCCTCAAAGGTGCCCTCGTCCGGAATGCCCTCCACAAGCTGTCGACTTAAAGCCTGGAGACGCTGGCGTGCAGCGGCGGACATGATTGATTGTTGTGAGAGGAATTTCTTTTGGGATATGATTCAAAAATACAGTGATCAAGTCAAAGAAAATGTGATCAATGTAATGACAATAAATAGCAAGGAGCTCGACGCTTTCCCCACTCGGTTAATGCAATAATGCGGAGAAGCCGAGGCCCAGCCATTACCAGGTCAGCTGACATCACATGACCAGAAGCGATAGCTCATGGGTCACGTGTTAAGCAACACGTCATGTGCCCGCTTCGTGTTTTGGGCGCAGAGAGGCCTGTTTCCAGTTTTCGGGGGCTATTGTTTGGCAATTTTTTTTAATGTCAACAACCTCTCTCTACTCACAACTTCTATGGAAAATATAAATTTTTTCCTCTAGTTGGTCTTTTTTATAACTGTGCGGTCGATCACCCTGCATTCCATAGATCCACACAGATCGCGCATGATCGCCAAGGGCGCGCAACAAAGACCACAAAAAAAAAACACTATAAGGACCTTTGAAGGAGTTTGAGACCAGGGGCCGCGCTCACGGGCCAAAACTATCGCTTACACAGTCGTTATTTTTGGATCTTCTTATAAGCATTCATGAAGTCCGCAACCGCCCATTCCGACTTCTATGCCATTCACCCGTCGTTGAGTCATGGCGGAGCCCGATACTCTCCCACGACGCTCGTCGTCCCTGGCTTCTTCAGGGTCGAGCAGGAGCCAAAGGGCTAGAACATTGCGCCCACAGGCGCATAAACGACACTCGACATCTTCGAACAAAACGACCGACCTCACCTCTTTCCCCTCGCTTTCCCCGCCTGACCGCACCCCCACCTTGACACGAGGCTTGACGAATACTTTGATGGGGGACGATGAGGAACAAAAACCAAAAGATAATGGTCGTGGGCGCAAGGCTACTCTGGCGAGACTGACGACTGGTATGTCTCACACCGGCCGGGCAGCTCTCTTTGACGATTCCGTTCCAACGCACGATATTCCTGGAGCCCTTCATTTGGCGGACGATGCACCCATTGAGAGATTAATCGCAAGCACCGGCGCTGTGAAAATTGTGAGGCAGTTCGCTCGCGATCTGGCCCAGCGGGATGCCGAGATTTCAGCGCTGAGACAGCGTGCCGATGCCAGAGAGCGGGAGTTAAAGCGTATGCTTCGTGAAGTCTCCGTATCCAACCAAGACATTGAACGCCGTCTGTATCAATCAGAAAATTCACTGGACGATCGCACTTCGGATGGAGAAAGCAGTCACAGTGGTGATCAGTCCTCACAGCAGTCATCAGGGCTGAATGGACTTATGTCTCAGGCTATGACAGATGCAGTGGGGTCTCAGGTCGATGGGGATACGCAAGTCTCATCAGACAATTTGGCCACCATTCGTGCACAACGTTCTGGGAGTGATACTCGTTCAACCGAACTTGGACCCAACCGTAAGCGACAAGGGTCTCTTCGTGGTTGGCAGGAGTACTTGTTTGGCTCAACAAACACAAGCCGGAAGACAAGCCGGGCGAGCAGCATCATCGGCGATATGAAAGAGGTGGATGAGGAAAACCCCGATAGCTTTCGAGTGCCGAGTAACACTTCAGTTCGCCGCAAAGGGCTTGATGACCAACTGTTCCAACCTCCTCCGGCGAGCGAAATAGCTGGAAAGCGTCTTGCCGGTGTCTCTGCTACCAACGGTGATGATGCAAGCATTCATTCCCGCAAGTCTTCGCGCTCTATTGGCTCGTGGACAGTGAAGTTGTTTGCTGGCAACCCACAAGGGAAAGACAACAGCGATTCGGAGAGTATCCGTACCAAGCCTCCATCAGATCATAATGTTCCGTCTAGCAACCCCAAAGGAGGAATGTCTGCTGTGGCCGCACTAAAGAGAATCAACAGCAACAGCAACACCAATGTTCCTGCAACTAGAACTAACGGCGTGCCGAATGCTACTGGCAAAATGACCCCTACAAATGCTCGAAGAAGCGCCGCGGTGGCAAGTGTATCACAGGGTGCAACATCCGACGGTGCAGGAAGCGCGACCAATCTTGGCCCCGTCGAAATGGATGCCATTTTGCCCATGGAATCTCGTCCCCCTACTCTTGCGCCTATTTACAATAAATCCCACTCTGGGGAGTTTCTTACGGACAGGTTTGGCTTCATTTACGACCAGCGACGAAAGCGACGTGAAAGAGAGGCCAACACTGCAAAACCCGCCAAGCCTTCCTTGAGCATTGCTGAAACTCTCGGGAACCTTCGCAGCGATTCATCAGACGAGGATGATGAATTTGGCAATAAAAAACCCCAATCCACCAAATCACCGACTTCTCCTACCTTCTCGCCTGATGATCCCGAAAGTGGAACAGTTGGACTGCGCCGCTGGCAGGACTACCTGAAACTTCCATCTCGCCCAACAGAACTGCTCTCTCATACACCTTCAGCCGCACCGATTGTTTCGTTGACCGACTCGACGGATAGTCGCCCACACAGTTCTTCGATCTCAACAGACAAGGGTTTGTCAGTCAATGCCAGCGCACAACCATCTGCTACTACGTCGGCTGTTACTGCCGATCGTCCTGAGTTTGCTGGAACGGTCTCTAATGACCCTGCCGGGCTTTCTATGAATAGAATGGGTGCTGCTGAGACCGAGCCTGTGAAATTACTTCTGGAACAGCTCACTGATCTTCATGATACGCTGCAACGGGATCGTACTGTACGGTGGAATGAATTCCTCCGCAAGGTCCGCGCGGAGCGTCGAAAGGAGGGCGAAGCTGCAGCTGCAGCCTCCTCCGATAAGACTGTCACTGCAGTCGATACACCGGAGGCCACTCTCACCGACGGCGAGGTTGTCGGAATCGCCGGTCTCGGAAACAAGGGGAAAGTCGGACGTGCCAAGTGGCGCGAATTCCGGACGCTTGTTCTCGGCGGTATACCTGTTGCTCTTCGGGCCAAAGTATGGTCCGAATGTAGTGGAGCCTCTGCTATGCGTATCCCGGGATACTATGATGATCTTGTCCGCGGGGTCGGGGGAGTAGAGCCAGACGCATCCGCCGTGGCCCAAATTGACATGGACATTCGGCGCACCTTGACTGATAATGTCTTTTTTCGCAAAGGGCCTGGGGTTTCCAAGCTTAAAGAGGTCCTCCTAGCGTACTCGCGTCGCAATGCGGAGGTCGGCTACTGCCAGGGTATGAACCTCATTGCCGCATCCCTTTTGCTTATAATGCCTACGGCTGAAGACGCATTCTGGATCTTGGTTTCGATGATCGAGATCATTCTTCCCCAACATTACTACGACCACGGTCTACTTGCGTCTCGCGCCGACCAAGTCGTTCTACGGCAGTACATTTCGGAACTTTTGCCCAAGCTCTCAGCCCACCTGGAGGACCTGGGAATCGAATTAGAAGCGCTCACTTTCCAATGGTTCCTCTCTGTTTTTACGGATTGCCTCTCTGCGGAAGCTCTATACCGTGTCTGGGATGTTGTTCTCTGCCTGAATGTCACAAGCTCCATCACCCCTCCCAATGGTGTCAAAGACGCGGCTGACAAGGCTACCCCGAGATCCGAAGAGCTTTCTTCCGGTAGTGGGGGTGGTAGCACATTCTTGTTCCAGGTGGCACTAGCACTACTGAAGCTCAATGAGCCACAACTACTTACCAATTGTTCGACACCGGCTGCCCTATACACATACATCAACCACCAAATGACCAACCACGCCATCAGCATCGATGGACTGATTCAAGCCAGCGAGGCGCTGCGCAAGATGGTCCGACGAGAGGATGTCGTTTCTCGCCGTGCCATGGCTCTCCGCGAGATGCGTGAATTTAGCGGCCAATGAGAAAACGCAAGCAGTATTTGGATTTGACTATGCCCTTTCCCCCCACTTTACTTTCCTCTTATTCCATTTCATTAGATCTTCAGTTGATGCCGATATGACGCATTTGGGCAAGGAGTTTTTCTTTTTCTTTTCTTTCAACGGGCATTGCCTGTACATTTGTTTGATATCCCACTAGCTTCATTCCTTGGCGTCTTTTTATTTCCCTTTGAAAATGGGGTTTACCACCAACCTCGTTACCTATTTAACCCCTCGCGAAGGCATTTCGAGATACCCCCCTGGTTGTGACATTGGGAAAACTATAGACATTCAATTTCAAATGCTCACAGATCCAATTTTCTTTTTTCGTCTAAGGTTTCATATACTCTTCTAGGTATTGTTTGTTCTGTCTAATTCCATGGTTGATCTAACTTGAGAATCGACTCCAGGTCCGAATGCGAGATCTGTAAATCCTCAACAGGATAGGGGAAACCATGATCAAGGCAGACAGGGCAGCGAGCAGAGTAGCAGAGTACTTGATGTGCAAAGACTCGTACATAGGCCCTTCAAACAGTAGGAATGTCGCAGAGACCAAGCTACGCACCATAACATAGATCGAAATGGTCGATACGGTGTTGAGAAAGTATACGTCGACAATGTATACAATAACTTGTGATGCCCAATACATGTGTTAGAGAGAGGTCAGGTGACCCCCTCTATATCTAGATTCCAGTGCTTGCTTCCTTCCTTCCTTTTCCCTCTTCTCCATCCCCCCGAGAGAGATTGTCCATAGCCAATCCAGTTGCTTTTCTCTCTCCGTTCTTTCCTTTCCCTGAGCAGCGGTTGCATTCCTTCCGCGCTGACAACATGTCTCCAGACCACCCAAACTAAAGCAAAGATGGAGGTAGCATCAGAGCACCTAATATCATAGGAGGGAGCCAGTCTTCAGGAGAAATGCGAGTTTTTCCTTTTATTCCAGGTTTCTCCGTTAGGCCATCTATCATCTCACCCGCATGCTGCGCAGCCACCCACCGCTTCTTATACCAAGTCATTGTGGAAAATAACAACGCACTCATCAGTCCCCAACGCACTCATCAGTCCAAGCCCAACTGATAAAAATAGCAAATAAGCCACAGGTGTCTTCCATCCTCGATTCTCAAACGCCTTCGGGAAAAGTTGATAAGACAAATACAGCGATCCATACACCAGTGTCAGGTAAACCGTCATCACAATCAAAATAGGCTCCTGCACAAACATCCGCATAGGCTTTGAGCAATACTTTCTAACCAAAACCCGAGTATGGCGGCCGATAGAGGCCACCCCTAGGTGATATCCCAATTTCAGTTTCTAACTTCACCGCCCTGTTTCCCGTATTGTATTCATCATATATAGGAATATCTTAAGGGATTTGATCCAAATACAAGTCACTTTTAGAATAGACTTGAGAGTAGTCTTGAGAAGGGACTTGAGAATAGATTTAAGGATAGACTTGAGAGTAGACTTAAGGATAGACTTAAGAATAGATTTGAGAGTAGACTTAAGAATAGATTTAAGGATAGACTTAAGAGTAGACTTGAGAAGGGACTTAAGAATAGAGTCAAATATTATATAACTAGTAGGATATCAGCCTCTCCTTCTTGCTACTAGTAGTTGTTGTGATAATTTACCTAGAGAAAGAGAAGTAGTTAATATAATATAGCACTACTAATATATAATAGAGTTTAAGGATTTAATGTATGATGCAGCGCTGAACTGCCTGAACATAATGGAGTTCAAAAACTAATATGAATTTGGAATTACTCACAATTTACTTTCTGTCGGTCGGAAAGTTGAAATTGGGATTTGACCTAGGGGTGGCCTCTATCGGCCGCCGCAACCCGAGTATCAAGTGATACCATCTCAGCACTCGCACGCAGCCTCTCGTCTCCAGTCTCCTTCCTCAACAGTGCAGCCCGCCCCATCAAAATCCGGCTATGCGACGACTCATGCAGCAGAAAAATACACAATACCCCCGCTGCACAGCACAGGATAAACGTCACCCACGCCGTCCATCTCCATCCCGTATTCGCGACGAGGATCCATGTATACGTACCCCCGAGTATCAATTCCAGGATTTGTCGGACAATGGACGTTAGGCGGGCACGTATCCCTCCTTCGCAAGACTGATCCGAGCATGATAGCGTAAGCGGCTAATTACTAGAGGAAAATTCTCGTTTGGATTGCGAGAAGACTGGACAGGGTACAGGTCGCAACGTCAAATGTCAAGTGGCTGAGGCGGGTCACCAGCAGGCATAGGGAAAATAATCTCAGTCCGCATGCGTCTTGGGATCCCTTGTCGGTCATTTCTGTAAAGTTCGAGGACTCCGCTGACTGAGCTATTTGCATGCTTCGTCCACTTAACAAGAATGACGATTTTGATCGCCCCGTTACCACCAATAAGTAACCGATTCATATCATCAAGTAGGTTATTATATAACTCACTCCATCCGACCTCTGCGACAAGAGTTAGAAAGGGCTACAATAGGGTATAGAGAAGAGCATCTGGCTCCTTTCGGAGACCACTATATAGACCATTTGTGAATAACAGTGCTTTAGACATATTATTAGTAGGGGTACAATCGAAGTCGTCAGCTAAACTCACTTATGCCTTATTGTAGAAGGAGAAGGTCTAGCTCTACTAGGTTCAGGAAACCCATCACACAGGCTCTGGAAATTAAGGCTGAAATCCATTCAGCAATACAATTATAGGCATAAGTTAACATGATTTTGAGTTGTAAACAACGGCTCTCTGGGTTATAGGTTTTTCGAATAGAAGGGAGATCCTCCTCGAATTTCCAGAGGAAATCCTCCCACCCTAGCAGGATTTTGGTAATCACGAGCTCATGAAAGCTCTTAGCCTCGCGAAGAATATTGTGAATAGCCTCCTCAAACTGTGGTTGTGTTTCGAACCGATCTACGGAGATCACAGTCCTTGATGAGACGCTAGAGGGAGTTAAGGAGAGAGTAGGCATGGCGACGGCGAGGGGACAGAAGTAAGAGATAAGGGAAGAGAAGAGAAGAGTAGGGAATACGGTGTTGAAGAACTTGTGTCGGGAAGGAGCTCGTTACAACTGAGCATGCTGCTCATAGATAGCTCATAGATAGCGGATTCGGAAGAAAGTTGATCCGGATCACTCGTTCTGACCCAAGACTCAAGAGTGACTTGAAACTTGAAAGAGTTGTCTCGGGACCCCGTAATTACATACAGAACACAAAGAAAGGCGGGGGACGAAGGGAACCAATAGGAGGTAGCTATAAGTGAACTGCTCCGTATTCTGATATTACATTCGAAATGGTACAATTTCAGCCCATCCCTCTCTACTCCAGGAGCTTCCTGACCGGCTTACATAGGCAAAAGATGTTCAGATGTCTGAAAAGCCGGCCCCCGAGCTAACCATTTCCGTGTAGTTAGAGCCAATTATATGATGACCAATTGACACTGCCAGCTGAGTTGGCCAATACTTCCAGCCTAAGTAGTAGAGCACTTACATGTCATGTGCATATTATGAGTCACCAATGGAGCAATTGAGGGTACTTGGAAATGAATCACATGAGGTCCAATAGGAATTACTAGATATTTGCTGTATATAGTATTGTGCAGAATCCACAACGGATCTGCCAAAGGCCGTAAACATTGGAACGCCTTTCACGATCCATTTCATCCAGCCGCAACCCACTTCATGTCATCGTGAAGGTGGCTTGCAGTTCAATCAATCACACCTGGGTACAAATGATCCCTGTCAACAATCTGGCTTCTAACCAAGGCTCATGATAGGTCGCCACAGCGGCGATTTGGCCATTGGTCGGTTGTACGCTGATGCCCGTCCGACATGAGCCAGATCCCGGACCGCTAGGCTTGCAGATAGCGGGGTTTAAGCGCCTTTGAAAAACGCACCGACCCAAGGGGACTGGGTGATATAAGGATTGCTGCCCAGGTACGAGTGGTTCGTTCCTATCCACGGGGATGCTCTCGATCATCGTCTTATTCATGTTTCTTGTTTCGCCTTTGCGTGGGGGGTTTGAGTATGTAGTACCCCATCAGATTGCCTGGCCCTCGTGGTAAGGGCATGTATGCTATTCGCTTCGCATCGCCATTTCAGCTCGGGCCTTCCTGTGACCAGAAAAGTCCAGTATCAAGCATCGACGTGAGATCAACTTGATCCATGGTTGGTCGGACGCCGAGATCCAATACGTCACGAGCCACGGCCTTAATCTGACGCATAATGGACTGCGAAATAGCCCAGGTCCGCGCCAGAGACTTGAACACACCAATGGTGAGACCAATGCGATCACGACTCGGATCAGGCATGTTGCCTGCCTTGACGGAGCAGGCAGCCAGCTGAACAATCGAACTAAGAGTAAGGGCGCAGATGAAGAACGGAGTATGGCGCTCAACTGGCAGACGGATAGCTGCAAGCGCAGATAACTCACTCGCTGCCTTGACAGCCTTCATGGCATGGGCGTGATGGGAGAATGCGGGAACGCTAATGGGGCCATGGTGACCACAGATTACCTCCGATGCAACGGCGGGAGATGACAGCAGATCTGACCGCGGGAAGTTGAGGTAGATTGCGGCACCGTTGATGATCATAGTGGCTTGGAACATGATCTCATCGACGGATCCATCGGGTCTGATCAATTCTAATTTGGAATCAGGAAGGTGGTGGAACCAGCTGGCGATACGCGCATCAATAGCTTCGACCTGATCTTGCTGTCCTTGCACCATCTCCTGCGTCGCAACTACTCGACCAAGAACCCGCACAGCCTCGATACGATAACAGTAGGACGAAAAGTCCCGCTCGTCGTCCGCAAAGACCCGCTCATCAAATTGAGCAATTGTTGGAGACGGAGGTGGTGCGATGCCGTCTTGGTAGATGCGCTCCTCACAGGGCAGTGGCACAACAGGTGGCACCTGATTCGTGCGGTAGATCTGTTGCACTCCCAGGGCCGTGAGCAAACCCTCGATTACAAAGAGTTCCCACCATGTTCGGCGCAAACATTCCGCGCGAATCGGGTCGCCATAGGAAGCAAGCTCAGGGAACGTCGCTTGGTGCATTCCAAGTTCAAATGCCGCGTCCACAGCAGTAGCCAGACACAGACCAGCCTCACCGCGCTCATTCCGTGAATGCAACACAATAGCTAACAGGAGAAGTGCTTGTACCTTCTCAACTGACGACGGCTGCTCGCAAACTGCAGCGACCACGTTGGGACGATATGTTTCACTCGAGACCGCTGGGGTGAAGTGGGAAGCAATAAATTTCATTACATATTCCAGATACGACGGAAACGAACCGGTGCGAAACAGGAACCGAAGAGGCGGGAGGATCGGATGAGCGGAGTGGAAATAGGTGTAGTAAATATCAAGCAGATACCCATCGCCGGCGACAGCGGAAGCGACCGACGGGGCCGATTCCGGGGTCAGTGGGCCCGTGAAAGAGTGCTGGATAGGCGGCGCCATTGTGACGGCAATGTCGTTCAGCCGAGGACTGACTGATCCGGATGATGGAACTTTGATCGCGGGATTATAGTGGTAGTTATCCTGAACATGTCCATGCCAATCAACGGGGGGGTTCACTATATCGGCGGATTCGACAAAGACGGTCTCAGGAGAAGAGTCATTGGCGCGACGTTTTTTGGAGCCTTGATAACCTCGGCGGGATTTGGTATATTGGCATTCGGAGCCACTGGCGACACATCGGCCACAGATGGGAGTTTGTCCATCACATTTGAGATGTTTGTGGCGGCAGAGCAAGCAAGCCAATAAAGAGGGGGACGGTTTTGTTGTTACGGGGATGATTGGATTTTGAGAGACTTGCGGGGCTTGCGGAACCTGCGGGGGCTGCGGTTCAGCCATTATGATTAGAGCAGTTGACACATGAAGTTAAATAAATGGGAGAGAAAGCCGTGGTTTGGAGGGGGGAAAAAAACCAGGCGAAAAGCAAATGTGTATGACCGTTAGAGCGTTGTAGAAAGATTAGTCATCGTCAATAATGAAACGCGCCGTGGCCCGTTAGTAAGACGATCGGCGCTAAGTTAACTAAGTGCTTCATGACACGTTATGGATTCCGCCTTATCACTGATGCACTGATCCTCCCACCTCAAAAGCCTTCATTTCAACATCCTTGTCCTTGAACCTCGAGTTACGCAGTCACGTCTTGCATTACACATAATATCTCTAATTGACGTGTCACTCCCCATTGTGACTCAATTACCTCCTGACTATACTCCTGGTCAATCTACGCAACTCCTATCCAATACTCCCTCCAATCCACCATGATCTCCGACAACGACCTCTACCGCCTTGCCATCTTCCTGGGCTCGTGCGCTATGATGATGATCGTTCTCTATCACTTCCTCGATGTCAATGCTCGCGATGACGAAGAGACTCCCGTCGCCAAGCCAGTCAAGAACATCGAAACCACCGTGCCATCAGACAAGGCCAGCGGATCCACAACTCCATCCAAATGAGTCGACAATCAGAAACAATATGACATATCGGAGAAAAAGGAATGAATAGGAAGAACCCAATCGCCACGGTTGGAGAGATTGGCGATTCGGAAGGAGAGAAAGCAGTGCATGTACAATACCCCAACGACCACCGCGAGGCCAATTTGTTTTGTTTTATCGTCTAAGATACCAATCCACTTGAAAGTTGCTCATTCCGAGCGATTGAAATTCTCTTTCTACTGTAATATGCTGTAGAGGGTATCTCCGAATTCAAGAAAAAAAAACTCCCAAAGCCCATCCCGCCATCAAAGCATGCCTCTTCACTGCAAGTAGCGGAGAACAAAGAAACATAAAATAAGTTAGTAGTACATATGATCAAGAGTCGTCGCTGCTAGTAGCAGTGTTGTCCCCGGGGGACACTGGTGCAGGATCAGATGGAGTCCATGCCCTCTCGGTAAGGTCACTCGAAGCCTGACGTGCAGGGGTGGAGAGTGGGCGATCGAAGATATCAAGATCAGGTCCAACCGTCTCCTTCCAGCGAATTCCTCCATTCTTGACAATATCCGCCTTCTGCTTGGAGTTGTGGATGCCATGACTTCGGCTGAAAGCGTCAACCACGCTGGGATCAGCAGGGAGTATCACGGTCCCTGCACGCGCATGCCGATCAAAGAGATCGAACTGGTCAACCTTAGGCAATTTTGATTCATCACCTGATAGCAGTCATTCATGTTAGAATATATCTCGCAGCGTACAGATCAAAGAGGCGAGTCCACAATGGGACTACCAAGAGCATGTGTATCAGTTTGCTCACCAGGTGAAGGCACCGAAGGACCATCTCCCAGACTCCACGCGTAATCCTTGATATGGCTGTCTCGCATATGGGACCACATAGGCACAAATGACATTCCGGTTTTGACATCGCACCCGGCCCAGCGACAATAGATATCGTTTGGGACATGGAATTTCAGCACATGCCGCTGAAGCAAGAGAAGACTGTGAGGCTCTCTTTGACAATCCCCCCAAAGACACTTGAATACTGGATACTCCCTGTGTTGCTCTTTGGAGGTTGAAGATTCCACGGAACTGCTATCGACCTTTTCTTCACTAGACTGATCCACAGCGTCATCCGTAATTCCATCCATAGCATCGACAATCTTAGGGCGGCCCACTCTTCTTTTCAAAGGAGGCATTTTCTGCGGGGACGAATAGATGACAACTTGCGGTTGGGAATATTCTCTGGTTCGTGCCAATTTGCCAGGTGATTTAAATTGCAGAGACACCGAGGATTCCTTTTTCTGCGAACATGGGCTCAACCCGACCTTCAGAGTCTCGACTGGCGTCTCGTTTAGCTTCCCGATTGGTTTCCCGATTGGTTTCCCGATTGGCGTCCCGATTGGCGTCCCCGTTGCTGCTTTAGGTTTTGTTGAGGCCGGTGTAGCCTCACGGGAGCAAGGTACCGAAGGTGGAGGTGGAGGTGGAGGTGGAGCTGAAATTGATGAAGAAGGATTGGGATGATAGGAATTATCCTGAGGTACGGAAGGTAGCTGAGAAGGCTGGCGTGGGAGAGGATTAGAGTGAAATGATGATGCGGTCGCGTCCATTGTATCGGCAGGTGGACGCGTAGAAGGGTTGTGGGGCAGCGGGTCACGTGGTGATTGGCGATCTGAATGTATGAGCGGATCAATAACATCCCAGCGAAGTGTCGCCAAGTTTGCCGAATAGTCCACAGCCGGTATCAACTTGTGAATGACAAAAAGATGATGATTAAGAGTCTTTTCAGATGGATGCTTTCCAGCAACAATCATGACATCTCGAGCGATTGTCGCCACATCATAGCTTTCTTTCAAGTCCCTCTGATCGACTTTTATGGGCTCAGCGATGCTGACTTGACCCCGAAGCAGATTCAAGGATGCCTTCTTCGTTCGTGGCCCATAATTCCCTTTGATTTGGCGGCTTGTATGATTGGTGCCATCGTCAAGTTTCCGCATCTTTTTTGGAGGCTGTTGACCTTGCGTGATGCCCGGCGAGCTTCGAGGCTGTTGAGCCTGCCCAATACCTGAATGTTTGGACTGAATTTTGGGAAACACCGAAGGCAGCCCATGAGTTACTGTGGGTGGCACAACTCTCCGGAAGATCCTGTAATATTTATCAAGGGAAGTGTGACCCGATGGACCAGGAGCTATTTGCCGGGGCTGTGAGGGTGGTTTATGTAGCGGGTTTGGTGCCAAACTTGCGATACGATGCACAGGTGGGCCTGAGTTTACATAGTACGAAGTGGGGACCACCGGTTTCTGGGATGGATGGTGAAAGACTCCCATAGAAGGCTTCGTCGCATGAGGTTGTGTCTGGCTCGTGAGTTGAGAGCCAAGTGAGGTCCGACCTGTGGGCGTGTTTAAACCTCTCGCGTGAGTCCCAGTGGCTCCAATGGATAAGGGTCGGTGTTCTTCAGGCGGTGCAGAAGTAGAAGCTGACCCGGGATGGTTTGTAGGTTGCACGGAATGCCAGGCCTGGTTTTGATGACCCCCATACGGACGACGTGGGAGTGGGGGCTTATTTGCCTGTATGATGGTCCGCTCAGGCTGCGGAGTCGGAAATGAAGATATTTGTGAAGCAGAGGAACTCTGAACAACTCTCTGAGTCTTCACTGGCCTTGAAACCTGCATAGCATCGGCTGGCGTATAGCCATGTCCGTGCGATGTGGCATTTCTCCGTGAATTTGCCTGGTGGTGTCGAGGAGATAGACCAATGTCTGATGGTCTCACAAAGCCTTGATTCATGACCTCTTGTGGGATACTCGCAGGCTGCTTCATGTGCTCCCGATTTCCCAACTGTTGGTAGTAGGATTGGTCGAGTCCGAAGTGCGTGTCCGCCTGGATGGTCGGATCTGACTGTTGTTGGCGATGAATTTGATACTGGTGTGACTGCTGTGGTTGCTGTTGAGCTTGCCCATGATGCTGATTCCATTGTCGAGCCTGCTGTTGCTGGATATGCTGGAAATGTGCTGCATGTGCTGCCTGTGTGGCTTCCTCGAACGCCGGGTGCGTCCATGGAGGATATACCAACGGGCTGGCATACAAATCTGGCCAGCCACTCGCATCATCTTCATCATCCTCCATGTCTACCGTGTGGAAATTCCAACTAAAGCTATAAGCTCATGGTCATTTGGCGATCCGGAGACACGATTCGAGGACAAAGAACGCAGTTTTCGATGGACGGACGAAGCAAATCAGGACGAGGTTTAGAGCAACAGCAGTCAGCCGATGATAAACTTCATTGAATGGCTCTGTAGGTCAGGTAACGGTGTGGATTCCAGTTGGAGAGGTGGAGCAAAGCAACAATGCGACGATGGTTGTTCGCGAAGGGGGGCAACGCGCGGAACGCGCCGCGGAAGTGGGATGCAGCTGTAGCCAATCACATCACAAGAACTGATTAAGCGGGTGTGCTCACGTGACCGCGAAGTTTTCTTTGCTACAAAACCCGAAGTTGGTCTGATCCCACTCCGTTCACCCTTTGTGGTTGTGTGAATCGATCGATTGAAGCCACACTAACAAATGGTATCATGGGCTGGTCTACAAGACTCCAGATACAGTCGGTATGATCTTGTTTCATGCGTCAGGCTCTTGTTGTATCAACAAGCCAATTCATTGAACCCCTGCGAGACTTCTACCGACAAAATGTCTCCCTACGAAATTAGGGCTCCATGTCTGCAATCTGGTTTATGATGCTTATTTTGCAACACTGGACACCTTAAGTCTCACTAACATTGTCTTATGGCCTGGCAATTGAATATGCCTATTGCCCTTAGCATTATTCCGCCAATTTATCACCGTACCAACCCCGCTCGACGGACCTAAAATGGTTGGTTCGGTAAACGACTGGCGTATATCGAATCACAGGGTCATTCTACGGAATGATTCTGTCTCACTTGCAGACCGGCGCTGATGTCTTCGGACTAGGATGTTGTTGGTTTGAAAGTGAGGGACATCTTGTATATCATTGTTGTCTTATATCTTAAAAAAACACAATCCATCACAATACTATACTATAAGCGCTATAGAAGAAATGTTATGATATAGTAATCTATGCAATGAGTCGGGAACAGCGGTGTATGACACTCTTCCAGCCTTCAGGCTACAAAGTGGGTCCTTAGAATAATCACGAATTCACAATTCACGCACAATATTGAAAGACATAATGACAACTTAGGGCTACGTATCTACCAAGTACTAGTAGTATAAACTGCATGTACTAGATCAATGATACTGACTACCATTCAATACGAGGCACCTGACTTAGGTAATTGTACACACACAACTACTAAGCTTCTTTATGAAAGTAACCCTTGCATCATTGCCTTCTTCGGCACTTCTACTAGGTTCCAAAATTATGCAAATTGCCCCTCACCCTATTGATCATCCATGGATGAGTTTTAAGAAATTCCTACTTCTTCACAATTTGCTCTTACATTGATAGACTCACCCTAGAACCTGCATCATGAGCGGCAAGGTAAAATTGAATTTTCTTTAAGCTCTAAATTTATCCCTAATATTGAAAAATTCCTGATAACTATCTATATAGCAAGGAACTATCAGCTTCAAGGATGTGGAGGCGTGGCAAGGCCAGAAAGAAAATGTCAACAAGTAAGTGCAACCTTGGAAAATGATCAAAAAGTCTCCTTGGTTCCAAAGTTCTAATTCATGGATGGAGTGACTGACAACTATGAATATCTCAAGCATTTTGAAGAAGTACACTGGAACATCAGAGTACCCCTCCACCAGATCCCTTCCCCCGATGATATTTGGGGTTGAGTATGTGTGTTCTGAGGTCGTATTCTGAGAAGATTGTCTGACATGAACACTGTAGGCTCGCTGCAGATGCCATTAACGAGTTGGATGCACTGCCAGGAGTAAAATTTCTATCTCCAAATGAGTAAACCAATTGGTAGTACCGTCCATGCTATCAATTCCATTATAATTCAAATGATTATGTCACTGTGGAACCTTGGAATCGACTTTCAAGTGTATATTTGGGAAACATGTTGGACCTCTGTGATTTTTTTACATATCAAAAAAAAACCCTTATCTGTCCATATTCCAACTCCCAGTAGCAACTAGAACGGCGGAGGGTTCAAGTCAAGTCCTTCTACCGTGAGCTTGAACGCGTCGTTCCGAGAATAGCTACCTGCAACATCCATATCAAGTCTACCCCGCTCACAATCCTCAAGGTCGATTTCCGAGATGGCCAAACCGTCTTGTTCCTTGGCCGGGTCCAAGGCGTCAATGGTATCATCAACACAGACCTCCCAGATTGGGCCAGCCAAAACCTCCCCAAGTGGTCCAACAATGGATGATCCACCACGGCAGATATAGTGGCTTCCTGTTCATCCTGTTAGCAGTTGTATTGTAAAATAGATAAATATACAAAACAAGGCAAAATTTACCATCCGCCGAACCTTCTTGTGGTGGTGCATGATCAGTGATCCAAGATGGAAGCTCATTGTAGCGCACGCATTGATTGGACGAGAGGACAAACGTGCGTCCCTCACCACCAATAGTCCGCATTAGGGGAAGCCATGTATCGCGAGCATCGGCTGTAGGAGCAAGATAAAGGTTCACATTCTGCGAATACAGACTCTGTCGAAGAAGAGGCATGAAGTTCTCCCAGCAGATCGCTCCACCAATAGTGAGCTTAACACCGTTGATCTCAGTAGTGATGGCTTTCAAGCTCGCTGCCGAGCCTTGTCCCCAAACTAGACGTTCAGAACCAGTCTTTTTCACGGAAATCCAGAGCACGTTAGCCCGCTTATATTCAAGATTAGATTCCTGGGAGGAGTGGAAACTCACTGGCATGACTTTTCTTCTCTTTCCAAGAATGCCGCGCGAGGGATCCACAAAGACCATTGAACAGTACAAAGTGCCGGCAGCTTTCTCGATCAGCCCGGTCGCAATAAAGACACCAGTCTCCTGGGCTACCTGCTCAAGATACTCTCTTGTCCCGTCTCCGCGATAATTCTTTCCCGAGGCTGTGGGAAGCTTGCGTTCTACCCAGTCATCGCCGGCTCCAGCCGGAGTATCGCCTAGATCAACCGCCGACTGGAAGTATTGCAAGAATTGATCACGGCCATGAGCACCACGCGCGCCTACTGCGGCACCGAAGTCGCAAGTACGCGGATACCCACCCAGATAGGCTTCAGGGAATAGAATGAGTTGAACACCACGAGAGGCGCTTTGGGCTGTGATGCGCTTCAGTGCAGCTAGAGTGGATGGTAGGTCGGAACGAGTGCGGGCCTGGGCCACGGCGACGGTTAATTTTTGGGGCATCTTATTTGACGTGGAGGATTTCGATAAAATCAGTATCTTCTTGAGTTTGATAGTTATAAAGAAACAATAAAAATCGTGGCATGGAAGAATGTGAGAAATGGAATTGGAGTCATCGGGGTTTGAATCTCCGATGAGGAGTGCACTCGGCGCTGAAAGTCCGAATCGGCAAACCATCAAACCCCACATTCCCCACCGCGACCCGACCGTTACGAAAAGTACGGTGGTTAACTAGTAGCAATACTTACTTTATTGGAAATTGAAGGTTGGAACCGTAGGTATGAATATATGGATATAACCGCATGGTTATATTTCGGTTTGGTTAATGATAAAAATGGAAAATGGAAACATGCAATAAATGCAGAAAATGCAGAAAATTAGTGCTCTGATCTTCCTGGCAGAGACTCCAGATGTCAATGAAAGAAGCTTGGAAGCCGAGCAATAGGGGTTTCAGTCTCTTGCCCGGATGCGCGCTTGTCCACGAAAACGAGATCGCTGGTGTTTCTATCCTTTGAAAGGGTCAAGTGGCACTGATGACAGCCAAATACCGTCAAGCTCAGAACTCAACAGATCCAAACAGATCAGGAAAGGCAAATATATCATCTTGTGGCCCGCCACCTGGCTCGGGTAAGTCAAAAGTCTCCATTAAAGGTGTGTTTTGAGTCAATATTTTGTCTCGACATAGGTAACAAGTTTGAGGACAGTGAGTCTCCGAAGGCCACGACGCGATGATATCATTGGTGTTGATCTCATCCCCTGGATAGTCCTCAGTAGCCATCTCAGTGATCATCCTACAGATATCCACATTCACGACCAGCGAGGTGATATGAGGCCACGCCGCATGAATTACACTCGCTGCTTCGGCGGAGAGTGTATTTTTAGTATGCCCTGCGACACCAAGATGGTGATACGGGATCGATGCGGAGAGAGTATCGAACAAATCGCGCAGTGGCTCAGCTTCTCTCCACTGTTCTGCAAACACAGCAAGGATGACAGAGCATGTCCGTATTGCTGATAGTGGTTCCGATGAACAGTATGCATCGGTTCGATAGGATGGGGGCGTTGCCCAAAGGCAATATAGAAGCGTGATACCGATGCCAAATTGACTGAGAAGCTTGATGTCCATATCATTTAGTGGGATTTTGATGTCTTGTTATATAAGAAAGATATCACTCACCCCTGGCCAGAGCTGCGCTGTCTGTCGATCCTTTTGGTACTGTCGAAAAACAGACAGAATATCTGCGCAGGCCTGTAGGCACTTCACTCCGACAAACCCTCGGACATTTTCCTTGGTCGGTCGGTGTAAGAGTAAAACTGTATAATTATAAGCCATACCAACCCACCCTTGACTGGTGTACCCTCGAGATTCCGGGTCACTATGGGGCTGTAGTTGATTTCTCCATTGGTCTAGCTCTTTCAGCATGTGCAGTCTCCATTCATAATTTGGTGCAAATATTGTATCGTAATCGGAGCGCATCATGATGGCAAGGATACGCGACTGAATTCTTCTCACACGAATCAGGTGGAGAGCAGAAGAGACTTGTGTTTGTCGGGGGACGGACACAACATCTGCTTGTAATTGGGTTCTTGGCTGCCATTGCTCGATTTCATTGTCGTTCATGTTTGCAAAAAGCTACATCGTTAGCTACGATGGTATTTAAGCACCGTGGAGGGGTCAGGTTGAACTTACCTCAATATGGATATTTTCATCCATGAGACTGCACGGAACGTGATAGATCCAGCTGATCAATCGATCAATTGCATAAGCAGACCAGAAGACTCGACGTCGTATTTGAAGCTGGAGGAAACCGGAGGCATCTTGAACTCGAGGTTCATACTGAGATCGATGCAGTTGAGATATCACGCAACATCGCATCGTAGTTGCAATAGTGGTCAGAACGTTATGGGAGGAAGGAGAATGAAGGGCATGTATCGTGCACATTAGATATGCTTGAACATGCAGGACTGGATCAGGTCTCTCAATCACAGCCCCGAGGGATGAAATGGCAACCGAGTATGCATTCTGGATTTTTAGAAATTGGCAACCATGTAAAGAGGGAAAGTCAAGCTTACATTTGACAATTGTCTCTCTTCTGGCGATACCTGAGCAGTGAGGAGAAGGCTTACTGCAAAAGCCATGTGAACGAAGAACGACTTCCATTTCTCATCAGCCGGTAGCCCATCTCCGAATCCTTGCAAATCCTTCCACGAAGAGTACCATTCCATCAATTTCTTTTCGTGAATGAATGGGTATCGAGGATTGACTCGTTCCAGATAGGTTTTGAGTAAATCCCGTTCTCTCCGATCTGAGAATCTTAAGCCTTGTGAAGACATTGATCGCTCAACTGATTCAGAGCCCATTGATTCTGATGTCTCATTCACCATGGACTTGGAATTGCGGATGAGGGGCGTATTTTGAAAGGTTGAAGATGATGATTGGCTAGTGATTGGGGTTCCCGATGTTGAATGGACAAATGGCGATGCTGCCGGCTGAGGAGGTCGCGATAGCGAAGAGATAGTATCAATTCGCCTCTCTTCATGAGAAGCGACAGAAGAGCCCTCGGTGGATTCGGATCTTTGAAGACGTGGAATTTCACTCGCTTGTCCCTCTAGCTCAAGGATACGATTCTCTAATGACCGTGTATATCTGGGGAAAAGTCAGTTCAGTGCAATTAAGAGCCAGTTGGCTAGTAAGATTTGAAAATAGAATTGTCATAGGGGACACAGATATAGGATGATAACTGGATTGCGTTGTGGAAGAGGAAGAAGAGAGAAATAGAGACAGAGTAGAGACAAGACTGGAGAGATGGGCTTCAGGAGTCAGGGGTCATCTGGAAAGTCTTACTGGGAAGTAAAAATCGATCGCCTTTGTAAACGTTCTGATGGGACGCAGACTGATAAGGTTTTTTGGAACGCATCAATATCCACATTTTGCACCTGTTGGCTTCAAGCACATATCCAAGTCATTACCTATCTGTGCCTGCACACAATTATCGCATGGCTGTTCCCGATTGCACTATTAAATGATAATGGAATCAGCCTGGTATTTCAATTCATCAGGAGAAAACTCCACTTGGGGTATACCTTTTGTTTTCGCCGACGACATCTCTGACATGAAAATTTTCCTTTCGGTTTCAGCCTGCTAGTGGTGCTAGAATCGGTCATTGTGGCTATAGAACATGAGGGTCATGCATTCTAGGGGTTTTCAAATACTAAATCGAAACCGGCAACCAAAGACGAAAAGTGAAGGTTTCAAATGTTTATAGATACAAATATCGGTGATTGCAAGTTCCTTCGGAAGTTGCATTGGAACTTCTCCGAGGTGATGACGAAATGGTCTGTAAAGTTACCAAAATACACTCGGTACGTATCAGATCCAATACAAATAGATTACCAACAATGACAGGGCCTGGAATGAATTCATTATGATCAATACACATGTGCATGTAATCTGCTTTATTTATTTATTAATATATTTGGAGTTGGCGTGGAGGATCTCTCAAACCGAAAGGAAAATCTTTTATTCCATTTCCAATATGAGCCCTCCTTCGACTCCGCCAATGTGTATATCATGTGGGAGGTTGGAAAATTATATAAAGGGCGTTCAGTCGAAACTCTTGTCTTTGGAAGACAGTAAGCACACATGATGAACCTCTGTTAATCTTTGCCTGGGAACGTTTCAAAGTTGCTGACATACTATATTCAGTTCAGGTTGTTGCGTCCAAATCTCAGATACCGGGCATCACAGTAATCATGGCCGACCCCACCGACAGCAAGAAAAGCAGTCTGCGAGGCAAGCCTAGTCAGGACAATGACTTCATCCATACAATCTGCTGGGATATTTTGATGAGACATCTCGGTCATGGAGTTTTTGACTTCAACAAGTTGCTTCGAATACTGCTTGAAGAGGCGCCTCTTTCACCAAGGTGGCCAGGTAAGGAAATCTTCCAACATTGAAGGTTGTCATCTCCACAAGTCTAAATACATAGGTTTATTAGTAGCGACTCCGATTCACAGCCGAGTACCGCTCAAATATATCCGACGAGCTCAATTCAACGAAGGTGAAAAGAAACTACCGAAACCACCAAACCCACACATGCATGCAGACACTGTATCTGGCATTTTTTTGAATACCATCACTCCAGCCACGGACTTTTTTTCCCTGCTTCCATTTGAACTTCGCTTTCTCATCTCGTCCTTCATAACTACTGCAGACTATTTAAGATTGAGACTTGTTTCAAGGGCCATGGTACCTATATTCGAAAGTCAATATTTTTGGAAAACACGATTTTCATTATATGGAGAACGAGGCTATCTCGGATTTCTTGCTGAAGAAGATTACGATAATTGGAGATTGATATACCGATGCACTAACACAGTTAACCGAATGGCCCGTGACCTCCCCGGCCTAAGAATACATTGGCTCTACAATGAATGGATTTGGTTCAGATGCATGATGGATGAAAGACTACCCCCAACTCCATCAGACCTTGACGACTCTCAGCAGCTGCCCAACACTCTTTGTTGGGACGAATATAAACTTTCACCAAGATCTCGATCATACGTAGCAAAACATTTTAGTCGTTCCAAACACTCCCAAGTGGTCCACTTCTCCCGAGATGTCATCAGCATCGCTGTTTTTACGCTCCTTAAAGTCCGAAATTCTGTAGTTACAGGATTTGAGCTCATTTATGCCAATCGCTCAACAAATGTCATTTTTGGTTATCGGACCCGTGGAACTCAGATTCAGATAAATCTCAAGAATCGGGTATTGAGAGGCTTTGATTTGATGCTTGGAGACGGAGAAATTCAATCAAGTCAAGCCCTCTACTACGCGCGAAACTGTGTTTTTTTTGCAGCACCTGATTGGCTAAGAGGCCCAAAGTGGGTCCGAAGAAAATGCCACAGCTGGGGACTCTGATTGACTTTAGCTATGGCGGCCGATAGAGGCCACCCCTAGGTCAAATCCCAATTTCAACTTTCCGACCGGCAGAGAGTAAATTACGAGTAATTCCAAATTCATATTAGTTTTTGAACTCCATTATGTTCAGGCAGTTCAGCGCTGCATTATAAAATAAATCCTTGAATTCTATTATATATTAGTAATGCTATATTATATTAACTACTTCACTTTCTCTAGGTAAATTATCACAATAACTGGCAAGAAAGAGAGGCTGAGATCCTAGTCATATAATCCATTCTTAAGTCCCTTCTCAAGACTACTCTCAAGTCTACCCTCAAGTCTATTCTCAAGTCTATTCTCAAGTCTATTCTCAAGTCTATTCTAAAAGTGACCCGTATTCAGATCAAATCCCTTAAGATATTCCTGTACATGATAAATACAATACAGGCGGGAAACAGGGCGGTGAAGTTAGAAACTGAAATTGGGATATGACATAGGGGTGGCCTCTATCGGCCGCCATAGCTGGGGACTCTGATTGATCAAGGGGGAGTACGAAACATCGTATCTTTGGATCGGTAAGCCGCCTGCGGATACGAGGTTTTCGCATTTTTGTCGCCTTGCTCCAAGTGGAGAGATAAAGGCATTTTCAGCCGAATTTGACGTAAGTCAAACTTCTTGTCTTTGATGAAATGTGATTGACACTAAATTCGATTTTAGCATTACAAAATGAAAAGTTTGGCTGTGGGATCAGGGCTTGACCTTGATACAGGCATCAAATAGACCTATTTCAAGACCTCGTTGCGTAGTATCGACTGGTTTGCAAAAACAGACCGGGTGCAAATGGTGGTTTCTAGGAGTATTGGACAACGATTCTTTTAGCCCGATGGCATATTGCACCCATTCCTGGGTTTTTTATTGGCATTGGCCTATGAATTTATGAATTCTTTTGCTAAGAAAGATTTGCTTTGCACTCTGAAGGTTGTAACACCGATGGGCAACCTTGTAAACTTGAATACATAGACTGGCTTCAAGGGTGGTTTTTTTCTCCCCAGTAGAGTCAAAATCGGTTCAAATGTTATCTTGAGGTCCAAAATTTTGTTGTGATAAATTCAGGAGAATATTTTGATGATGCTAGGAATAAGTAACGATTTGGTTTACATCCTCAATGTTTGCTTGTATAAAGAAACTTGAGTATGTATACCATCAATAGTTTAACGCAATCTCAGGGCATCGGTATCTTCAAACGATGGTTCTCGCTTTGAAATGATGTACTATGACTCATGTTTACTTGAACTTTTGGAATTATGTGACTACTACACATACTTCCAAGGTTGTACTCCGTATCCTTCGATCAGATAAATCTTTTCACAAATCAAGCATCCAATGGATAAGGCAGCCTACATACTTGATAGGAGATTAAAGAGAGAATATGGTGGGCATGAGTAGTAATCTCCTGAAATAATCCAATCTTTGACCAATAACCAACAGAGTCCATGGCTTTGGGACTATACTAGTGACATATGACACATTCAGACTTATTATGGCGTGCTATTTGACCATCCAACATTCTCCGCACGACGGAATTATTGATAATCAACATTAGGTCTAGGCAGTAACTTATTTAAACATACTAGAGCCCGCGGGAAACATTTGAATAAGAAAGTATACCTGTGAATGCTAAGACAGAAATGGTTGGTCGTACATTGCTTTCCGTTGCTATCATCGGTGGAGGTCCTGGCGGACTAGGAACCGCCATTGCTCTATCTCAGTTACCATTTCTCCAGGTATCGCTTTACGAAAAGAACACCGAGCCCCGAGAGGCAGGAGCGGGTATTAGCTTAAGCACAAATGCGTGGAAGATTTTGGACTTACTTGGGGTCAGTGATGGCGTTAAGGGAGGGTCGAAGTCTAATACGCATCAACGGTGAGCAATAACAACGACAAATGAAGTTAAACGAATTTGAGTCATATGCTTACAGGCGTTTATTAGGAATGCCTATACTGGAAAGGTTCTGAGCATTACCCAGCACCCAGAAAACTCCGATGCAGATACTCGGGGAGCAATCCGTGCTCGCAGAACGCGGCTCCAATCCGCTCTTCTAAACAAAGTGCCAGAGGGTCTCATTCAGTATAACAAGAAGCTTACATCTCTTGAGGATCTCCCCAGTGGAGGTGTGCGCCTGGTATTTGATGACCAGACCGAAGCACATGCAGATCTAGTTGTCGGTGCAGATGGAATACACTCCGTTCGTACCAAGATCACGCTTCTCATTGTCATCGTCCCTGGCTAACAAGGTGAAATTTTCAGATTGTGCGACGAGTCCTGTTTCCTGATCATCAGCTTCGTTTTACTGGAAATTCGGCATTCCGTACCATTGTACCCAGGTCGCGCCTAGCGCACCTCCCGGACATCACGTCCACGACCGCTTGGTGGTGGGGCGAAGCTGGTCATGTGTACTTCTCGGATGTAGATGACGAGAGTGAAAATGATGATCCATTCTTTGAGATCACTGTAAGATCTTATAAGGAACCTGAAATTCCCGGGAAGACTGTTGTTTGGGGTATTCCGGCGACTAGGGAGAAAGTGGCATCTCGTGTCTCAGTACGATAAGAACGGATCCATTGCAAAAAAAGTGCATATATACTGATGGTTTTTTTTTTCAGACATTTGATCAGCGAGTACGGGATGCAGTGGATGCGGTCAATGAAGGTGAATGGGGGGAATTCGCTACCTTTGCTGGGCCTCGCCTGGGGAAGATCACTGGATGGAATAAGGTTGCCCTGATTGGCGATGCTAGTCATCCGCTTTCTGGTACATGAAAAGTTTGATATCTCCGTGAAATATCAGAACACTGACTTTAAGACAGGTGCGTTCGGGTCTGGGGCGACGTTCGCGATGGAGGATGGATGGATTCTCGCTCGAGCACTTGAACATACCCAACTCGCTTCACAACCCGTTCAGGATGCCCTGGAGATATTCAACGTGATCCGATCTCCGTATTATGCCAGAATGTGAGTTTTGAGCAATCCATTTCGATAATCATTTTGATTTGATAACTGATATCAATTGACCCAAGGTATGAGCATCTGGACGGAATCGGCGCCAAAATGCAGGGATTCAAAGCCGAGAGCAAAGACTTTGATACTTTCTTACAGGCAAAGATTGACCATTTCCTCTATGGTGACAAAGATTTTATTTACAAGAACGATATTGGAAAGGTCTGGGAAGAGTATGTGGCATCAGTGTCAGACTGAGATTAGATATACCGAGTCTTTCTAGAATAGCTACTATATCTATCAATGAATTACGCTCAAGTGCTTGATCGTTCATTTGGATGGCGTTAACTATCATATTTGTAATTTACAATCCACTGGCCTCGCAGGTCCTGGCAACTTAGAAATCAGTATAAATAAATTCTTTGCCCTCATCCTTTCCCAAATATCAAACTATTTGTTGCTTCGTGTGCTTCGTGTTCTTTGGCTTTTAATCAACTTCCTCCCTCTTGGCGCTCCTCTGCCTAACAACTGTGCAGTCAAAGTAAACAATACATAAAATCCAAGGTGACATAGTATCAAGAAACCGAATATGAACTTGTGAACGCGAAAAATGCATTTGCAGAGAAATCTTCCTTCGATCGGGTATATGGAATCCAAAACCAAGGCCAATGCCAATGTACAAGAGTTAAAATAAAAGAAACCCGAAAACAGCAACAGCCGTTGGTCACGAGGCGATTAACGCAAGAACTATCATATCATACGTTAGATGTAGGTGAGTCAACCAAAGTGACAAGAAATGCAAGAGCCACGCTTGCTCAAGTTGCCGAGTGCAGATAGGGAGGTGACACCATACTCCACATATGCGGAGTTTCAAGAAATCACTCGCTGTTCTTACGTCCGACACACTTCGACCACGCTGGCAATCCACATCCAAACCCAATAAACAGGTACAGGAGGAAAATCACCACAAAGCCGAGGAGCACCATCAGCTTGATATTCTTCCACCACATGCGCCGACGCAAGCCTCGACTGCGGATGCGGAAATCGTGCGCACTCCCACCCAGTCGGTCAGTCTTATCAACCAGCAAATCAATGCGCTCGCCACGTTCCAAAACACGTTCAATATTCTCCGTCATGATGTCGCGCACGCTGTCAATCTCAAGGCGCGCAGACGCGAGGGAGTCTGCCGGTGGAGCGGTGTTGTATGTCTGGAGCAGGGCGCGGAGGTCTGTGTTAAATGCCGCGCAGCCGTATGCCGGTAGCGAGGAGAAATCTGTGCTGGAGGGTGGGTAGGCGGAGAGGAATTTCCGTTTCATTTCTAGGAGGTAGGCGAAGGGGATGCGGCGGCCTTGTTCGGCGGATGCTACTACTATGTAGCTTATGGGTGCGAAGGAGTTTTGCTCGGTACGTCCGCTTTGCTCGTCTGGGGACCCGCCGGTTGGCGAGTCGGCGATGTAGTGGATGAACAGGCGTTCATGGGTGAATGTTAACTTCTGTGGCTTGTCGTGGGTGATTTTGGGGAGGATGATGGATGCGAGGGAGGAGGCGGAGGTTGATGATGATCCTGGAGAGGAATGCTCGGCCAGAATTGTGGAGCGGTGTGCGATGCAGGAACTGGTTGTGATAAGTGGTTAGAATGCTTCATGCTGGAAACTTGGAAGTCCATGAGGTTCCAAAGTTGGTGGTAGGTATCGTGGGAAGACACTCACTAGAGCAGGGAGCTCGGGGGTTTCGAGGAGGAAGCCATGATGAGAGAGGCCTAATGAGGGGTGAGGAGTAGGGAGAAAAGTGTAGAAACTATTCCTCAGTTGAAGATATGAGAGGAGGCTTATGTTCAAAAATGATGATGCGTAATAAGCTCTCCCCATTTCCAAGATCCGGGGGCGCTTAGTCATGATTTGAGAAACGCTGAAATGATAGCATCGATAACTACTAGCTCATCTCAAATATAGGGAATTGTAGTATTGATTAGAGTCGTAATTTCTTTTCTTCTTAAGCTTTCGATGAAAAAAAAAAAAAAACATACCGATCCCTTAGAGTCCGTCATAGATATGGTATATAAACGCAGATTAACCAATTTGCAACAACTCAAGTCAGTTTCAAATACTGTATCAGCGAAGGTATTCAGAAAATATCTGGTATTTCAAATTCATTCGGTATTCTACAGCAGGTATTTGGAAATCGCTAGTCTTCCTACAGTATTCTAACAGAATTCAAAACCAACACGGTATCATGGGTATTTAATGCTGAGTTCTGCATCTAGAAATTATCTCTAAACACATATTACTATTATTACATAGTATAGGAAGAATATAACTAGTTCAAGCTTCTGCACGGAAGGAACCTTAGAACGCGTAACCTTTAATTTGTTGGTTAGATTGATATGCCTTAATTCCGGAAAGATGGCTCTTTTGAGAATTTAACTCCGCTCAAACATCGGCCGACTTTTCTCAATGCAATCAAAGGCGCGCGTTCTGAATCCATAGAATCTCCCCACTTTGGCTGATCTTGCTGATCTTGCCTGTGTCTGTCGTGTCACAGTCTAAATTCACTGAAGAATAACCCGATCGTTCGGCCTTATCCAGTATGTGTTATTCATGAATGGTGCCACCGCGATGCTAGATCTGCAAGTATAAATCCCCATACCCCCCCCCCCCCCCCCCCAAGGTTTTGCGGAAGTTTGGATGATCGCCAGTCCACTGTCCCCGAAGCTGTTCATCCCATCTCCGTCGCAATCTCAATTGATTCCGCCATGCGTTCCATCATTTCCTTGGCCCTGTGCCTTGGTGCAGCTGCAGCTTCCGAGCTTAAGACACGCACCGTCTATCAATTCGCTTCTAACGACACCTGGCTGGAGAATCTTGCAACTCGATCTAATGGAATTATTTTAGCCACCGAGATCGGTCCTCCAGCCAACCTCCTTGCTTTTGACCCCCGCGAGAAGCATCCGAAGAAGAAAGTGATCACGGACTTTACCCCTGTTCTGGGTCTCGCTGGCATCACAGAGGGAGCCCATGACGTCTTCTACGTGGCCGGAGCGAATACCACATCCGACAACATCACCGATCCCCCCAAGAATGCCACTCACATCTGGGAAGTCGATTTCAACAAGAACAGCGAACACCCTCAAATCCGGCTTGTCTGCCGCCCCACGGCACCTACAGGGTTCAACGGTCTAACCGCATTCAACGAAACCATCCTCCTCGCTAGTGCCTCCTACCAGGATTCCATCTTCGCTATTGATACCCTGACTGGCCGCACCTGGGAGGCCATCACGCAGACTAGCCTGATGTCTTCTATCAATGGTATCAAAGTCTCGGATGGCTTTGTCTACTGGACTGCTAACGGTGCTTTGTACCGTGCCGAGCTGTACCCCAATGTTACTGCTGGCACTGGGCAGCTGGTCTACCAGGGTAGCCAGTTTGATGATTTCGCTATCGCCCCTAATGGATTCGCTCTGAATGAGACTTATGGTGCAGAATATAAGTTCGCTTATCTAGCTACTGCTGCCGGAAACACTATTGAGCAGGTTATATTTACCCAAAACGGAACTGCTGTCGGGGGTGAGATCATCGCTGGTGCTGATGACTCAACTGAAATTGCTGAGCCTACCGGTGCATTCTTTGGACGGGGTGAAGGCCAGTTGAACAAGCTCTACGTTACTACTGGTGGTGCTAGTGCTGTCAACGTTGACGTCAATGGTACTGATACCGCGGTCGGTGCGCAACTGTTGGAAATCCAGCTGAGCTAGATCGCACCAGGACCATATTTTAAAGTATAGGAGATGGTGATATGGATTGTTTCACATTACTATCCATCTGGTGTGATGTATCCTAAGATGAAAGCAGTTTTGGTGTATTTCCTACTGGTGTTAGATATATGCATGTGTAGTTTGCTTTGGTGACTACTGTAACATGTACGACTATGTATTTTCAATTTAAATAACATGATCGCTTTGGAAAATTGAACATTTGAACTATCTACTACTACGTAATAAATCTCACAAGTGCTTACTGCGTAGTATGCATGTCTATTTTCCCAAGTTAGAGCTTCCCCCCGATACTCAAATATGTACCTTTCAATTAACTCGGGATCACCGAGAAAAAGCTAAGCTTTCTCCCAGCTTTGAACTCTGTAATGCCAATTCGATAATCCGAATAATATCACGAGCTTCAGCGCCGCTCACAGGTACAGCTCCCTGTCCACTTAGAGCATAGGCTAACTTTCGGTAATATTCAGCCCAGGTGGGTGGTCGTTGAACAGTTTTAATCATCTCTTGATAGACAGATCCGTCATTTTTCTCGGCAGGGAGGATTTCTTTTCATCGTGTCATGTTAGAAATTGGATTGTCAGTGCATCATTTATGAACTCACCATATCTTTCCACTGGTTCGAGGCCAAATCCAGCGTCGCCAGGAAACTTTCCCACCATGATATGTTCCTTCTGTATATCCATGTAGAACTAAATGGCTCATTGTCTTATTAGTCTGGATCTTGCTTCAGATCAATAAAAAGAGGCAGGAGTGGGGCGCTCATACTTTCTTGAAGCTTCCTTTATCTCCCCCGACAGAAAAACGGAGGGGCTTCTCATCCGGACTAATTCTCCCAGCTTTCGCAGTAACAAGTACGTCGTTCTCGTAGTGCATCAGCACTGTGAAAATGTTGTTTGATTCAGACGAACCCTCTTCTTGCGTTTGATCGCCAATGAAGCCAGTCACTCTTTGGGGAAAGCCAAATATCTGGACCGCCTGATCTAGAAGATGTGTTCCCAAATCATAAACTGCATTGATCTGTGCGTTGGCAATTGTCACGATTGGAAGATTTTGGACGGCTTGCTTGATATGGGGGAACTCAAAGCGCGTTTCGTATTCGGTGACTTGACCCAATGCGCCATTGTTCATCAACTCGACCAAGGTGACAAAATCGGTATCCCAGCGACGATCTGGTTTGAATGAGGCATGTCAGTAGTTGATTTAAAGGGGTGTAAAAAGGTCGGATCGGCGGGACTTGTTATGGGAGCACGAAAGCATTCACATGACTTACTATGAAACACAGTGAGGAGCTTCTGTTCTGCATCGGCTAGGGCTACAAGCTCATCAGCCTCACTGGCTGTACGCGTGAACGGTTTCTCACAAACCACTAAGGTTGATTTAATGTCAGCATAATGGGATAAGGATTTGATCTGGAATTCCATCGAAAAGTCCCAAGGGGAATCCATACCATGTTTCTGTGCAAGAAGCGCTGACTTGACCAATGGGAAATGGGAATCAGTCGGAGTAGAAATCACCACCACATCCACCATACTATCCTGGAATAAGTCTTCTTGATCACGAAAGCATTTCACTGTAGGGAAATCTTTTGCTGCATCGTTTCCCTCTCTCGGATTTCGTTGTACGATCGCATACAAGGTAAATTCAGGCAGAGCATTGATAAATGGTATATGAAATACCTTGGCGCTCAACCCATATCCAACAATACCCACTTTCCAAGTCTTTGAAGTCATCTGGATAGCAAGGGTAGAGCAAGAAGCCCCTTATGATGCTGATCTCAAATAAGTCTAGGAGGGTGTAAATCAAAACAGAGGGAGAAACATTTGAAGAAATGATATAGGCTTCCATAATAATTTTTGTTATTTTTTTTTTCTTTGTAACATCCAAGCCTCAAACCCTAGAACCTCCGAATCCGATATACTCCAGTCTCCATAAGCTTAATTCCGAGATGCTGTAAGTCCGGTGGTTTGCCCCACATAGCGCCGCGGAATCCCGCGGATCCGCGTGAATAAAGAAAATCCTCGTTGAAGAGACTCTTTGTACTTCGTAAAATTATTGATTTTCTAACCTAATAAAGCCTAAGATCCAGGAGTATTGCGGATCCACAAGAAAATTTTGCCATGATCGGTCATTGAAGCTTCGTGCCGAACAGCCAGTTGCCGAACAGCCGTGATGTCCCGCGGGGTCGGATTTGCTGACAACAGGTGCAGGATTCGGCACACCGTCTTCCAGTTTTAAGGTACCTGACCCTGCGAGCATTCTTTAAATTTCAGCCTTTGGTGATATAAGCATTATTTTCTTTTTTTGCGGAAAAGGTATCCAAACGAAGAAAATGTCAACAATCAAACGGGTACGTTTCATGCTTCGTTGTGCGCTGTTGATACCCTTCCTGACAGACGAGATCACAGGCAGTTATCATCGGCGGTGGCCCAGCAGGGCTAATATCTGCTTTGCGTCTGAAGCGGGAAAACGGAATTGACAGCACTGTTTACGAGATCCGTGAAAAGCCATCAACAATTGGTGGCGCCATCAATATCCCTCCTAATGGCATTCGATTGTTCAATGAGCTTGGGCTCTACGACGCTCTCAACGCCCGAGCTGCCTCGGTCTCCTTGCTGACCGTTACCTCAGCTACACAAGGATCTTCTCCTATTGAACATGAAATGGGAGAATCCTGCAAGAAAGCCACTGGGTTTGGCGTGTGGCGAGTGTTGAGATCAGATCTCATCGACGTTCTTATGGACGCTGTGGAACGTGAAAAAATTCTCGTCTTATTTGGCAAGAAATTGACAGATGTTATCGAGACGAAGGAGACTGTCAAAGTCATTTTTGCCGACGGTACTGATGACTCGGCTGACATCCTCCTCGGATGTGATGGTATTCACTCCGCCGTACGCAAGCTGCATGTCGACCCTCGGGTCGAGCCTGAGTATTCCGGCGTGTCAAATATGTTTGCGATATTGCCATCCACAGCTCTCTCCTTTCCACCGGATGCCAAGCCGACCATGCGAATGAGCTTCTCCTCTGATGGACTATTCTCTGTCATCCCCTGCACAGCTTCCAGCGACTATCTATATTGGTTCTTCTCCCGAAAGGTTGAAATGCCAAAGGATGGTGGCAGTCGTGATGGCTGGGAAGCTTTCGGTAAGAAGGACGTTGAGAATCTCAAGTCTGGTTTGTTTGACACGCTAAAAAGCGTGGCCGGTGAATGGGGAAATGCTCTGAGGGGCTTAATCTCGGCGACTGAGACCATCAAATTCTATCCAATTTACAAAATGTCTTCATCCTGCCAGTGGTTCACTGGCCGTTCTATTCTGCTTGGTGATGCTGCTCATGCTATGCCGCCCCATCTTGGCCAAGGAACTTCAATGGCATTGGAGGATGTTTTCTTGCTTTCGCGCCTACTCGAAAGTCAACCCATTGAGCTGGCCGATGCTTTCAGTCTATATGAAAAGATAAGACGCCCCCGGATTGAAAGAATCTCCCAAGGCGCAGTTCGTTCTGGAAACCTCCGAACGAAAATGGACTCTACTATGTCTCAAACGCGGGAAGAGACTCTAGCCGCCCAATGGCGCGATAAATCACGGATGGACGATTATTCCTACAACATTATTGAGACAAAGCTTTGAAAATAATGGGTCTTATTGGCGTTGTCATATCTTCTGCTACAGCGTAGTCATAAGATCATCGCGTTGATTATGTGCTTCGTTATGTAAAGATGCTTACTTCCAAGGTTGGGATTTTCTAAACAACATTGAAGATCGATGCTGCTCAGTTTAGCGCCAATCAAGATTTCTGAGTATTATTATATCAATCCTAGCTAAGTACGAACACTGTAGTTCGCCCGTCTAGCTAAACTCTCTCTCTAAATCCTGGCGAGGTACATAAGCATACTATGTTCCAACCCCCGGGGGCCACGGCTCATTAACTGCGTTATTGATGAATAGCCTTTCAAGGGTCGATGGATCCACTACGATCAATCAATGAAGATAATCAATGAAGATCTGCAAATCAGAGATCCCATTTAACGTCCACTAGTCAAGCTCCAAAATTCTCGGAGATCTCGGCGGTAGGAATCTTGCGATATTTCGCATAGGCGATTGCCCGACTGATACGAGATAACCCATGGTTCTCGAATTCTTTGTTTGTCCGGATTTCAGGATAACTACGGAGTTAAATACCTCAAGTGCTCTGAATTCCGGAGCTAAGCAGTCAACTGGTACTTTTGTCATTTTTCCCTAGGCCCAAACAGGAAACGGGTCTCCCGTTGCACTGTTGTGAGTATCCAGCGCCTTGCCTAATCGGGAAGTGGATCTCTCATTGGCTCCAGCCTTATATATAGACAATAGAACATGGGAAGCATCGGTTTGAGCGCGAACAATATTCCTGAAGACAGATAAAATGGACAATGTTTCGCTCCAAAACCCTTGAGCTCGCCATCTTCATTCTCATAGTATAACTCGCTTTCAATGTTTCATAGGCACCACTAGTACAGTTATATTTCCTCAACTTATCTCTACCTATAGAGCTCAGGCTTAGAAGCTAGAAATATGTTCGCGTCATCCATGGACCATGGACGTCTGCCATGGACCATGGACCATGGATAGGTAGGAATAAGTTGACGTCATACTTGATTTCTGTTTGAATAAACGCATGGGCTAAACACAGAAAATATTCATTTGAGATTTTTTCTAAAGATGACAAGTGATCTAACAGAGATGTCTGAATTCCTACGCAAGATCAAAAACGCCGTGACAAGAAGTGGTGGACAATCACGCAATACCTCACATGATACTTCCAAAAACAGAGACAATCACAATCAATTGGAACCTCCCTGTAATAAGTCACACTGTAAGTACGAAGTTCTTTCTGCTTATTTATTGTTGTGACTTATTGACAATCATATGTATAAGTCAAACGTGCTGTGCCGAAATCGTCCGCGTCCTTACCCGGAGCCCGAGGGGACTGTAGCAGGGCAAGGCCCCAATCTTTAGCAGATGAATGGCATATGAGGCGACACTCAAAGAAGTTCAACTAGCTCCATACACAGCTGCTATGAACATCTAGGCTCTCTGCTGGTCTCTGCAACATTCGATGTATATGATGTTAAAACGCTTCAATGTTGACCGCACTCTTCTCTACACCAGTTGACGTCTTATTGTCCCCTAAAAGACTCCGACCATTCCATTTCTATTCACAAAATCGGCACCGTATCTACCACCTCCGCGAGGCCTCCTAACGATACGCAAAGAGTTCAACTCTACGATCTTGAAACTGAAACCATCAATTATTTCCGCCATTCCCATGAACGATAGCACGCGAAACCTTCAATATTCTTTATGCCACTGATTCCAAGAATAGAGAAATTTCGCTTTTGGATCTACAGGTCGCTACTGCTATCAGTCTCAACAGGTTCCAGAAGTACTTGACCATATGAATAGATAAGACTCCAAGTCAAATACTTGCCTTTTCGGGTAGGCTTCTTGGTATCACATGAATAATGATCATGCCGCTTGTCCTCGGCATAGTATGTGCTTCCCTGCAGGCTGTTTATTCTAGATAGCAGGCTGCGTCTCCCGTTCTTTCTTCCTTCTCTCTTTCCACAACCAACTTACTAAGTTCTCAAAATAAAGGCTTTTTAGAAAATGTGCATTGTATAGTAAAAATAGGCATATTTAAAAAGAATCATTTTCGGTGTGAGTATTTCAATTATGAAATATATTGATGGCAGCCAAATTTTAACAGACTTTTTCTTCATAGATCGTCGAATATCGTCTTCAATTTGCCGCGACGATATGATTCGCGAACTGGGCAGCCACGATGAGCGTGCACTTCCCACTCCTCGGCCTTCTGGTCTACATCGGAATGTTTCTCTTTTCTTTGTCTTCCTCTTCCCCCGCGAACCAAATTCTTCGGCTGATATGTCGAATTGACTCTTAAGCGCCGAAGAGCAGAAACATGAATTTTGGCATCTTCGGGAATATCGCGCGTTTCCCCAAGAGGCAGAGGCCATCGAATTGGTCTCCAGGATTGGTCCTTTTGTAAAAGCATTCTCCGAAGCGGAAGGTACTCAACCATCTTCCAGGAGAGAACAACAAACCATTTGTCACCATGATCATACCGCAGGGCATCATGTATCTCACCATCCGTGCTTGCCTTCCAGAGCGCGTATTCAAATTCAGATCTTTCATTTGTCTTGTCGCTATTTTCTGTTTTTTTATCGCGGGTAGCTCGATTCCTGGCATATTGTTGAACGTTACCATCAATTGACTCATCCAAGCACCAGAATTGTTTCAGCTTTTTGGGATCGAAATGGAGCCCCGCCCGTTGTGCTTCAGTAACCATCCATACTAATGGAACATGGCTTAGTGCCCAATCTTCTTTTTTGGTGAATCTCAAACCACCCCCGATATCTGCGTGACATCCAGGAAACCATACTTCTTCAATGCTCTGGCCTTTATCTCTGTAGTCTCCACAGGAGCTGGCCTCGACCATTAATTCTGGCCACGAAGGCTCTTCTTCAGCAGTTGATTGCCGATGGGAACAAGATAAGGGCCGATAAAACCTATCTTGCATGGAAATGCTCTGCTGAGAAGTATCGTTCAAATTGGGCTTACGGTCTGTAGACGTATGATCTTGCTCGACAAAGCTGTCTTGACGACGAGCGGAGTGTGTACGTCGGGCCCGAAGGCCGCGAGCTGGTCGAGCGGAAACCGGATTTGAATTTGCTAACAAATCTTGTCGAAACTTAGCGCGATGCTCGTCGATACTAACTGCATGGCGGATAATTTTGGCAGTGGTTCTCGTAGAATAGGGATATAAGAATCTGTTGCGATTCGTCTCGAAGTGCGGTATGCTGTTGACAGTGTCAAATAAACCCAGAAAGTCGATTTGCGGTACTGGGCGACAGAATGTCTCTCGAAATGCCTTCATGTATTGGAAAACATCATCTTTCTCTTTCTGGCTAGCTTTCCTGCTATAATTGCATTGTCCCCAGTCAGAAAAGACAGACCAGAGGAAGCGGACTTTCCCTTCGTTTCCTGCCTCTAATAAACCAACGTGGTCCAGCATTTCAGCAAGCAGGCGCGCAACATATGCGCCTCGACTAAAGCCAATGAAGTAGATTCGGTCTCCGGGGGTGTAACAGCTCATGAGATATTTATAACCAGCCATGACATGTTCCTTAAAAGTAGATCCAAAAGCGGCGTCTTTTGCTCTTGTATACCAACTATTGATGGGGTTGGGATTGGCCTTTCCTTCGTGAGAAAGAAAAATGAAGCCAGTATTAATCCCAATTCCAGGTTGATAATAATGCAAATGGTTTTTGTCATGTCGATCAAGCATCTATATTCACATTAATATGGATCATGAAGTAATAATGTTTAGTTCCCAGGTTCATCTTAAGACCACATACGCGATATATTTTGAGTACATTACTATCGGTGTCATCTCCACGAAACTCGTATCCTGTGCCGTCAAAACATAGAACAATTTGCCTCGAGTCCGCGGCTTCATTCATGTCGTGAATTGGACTTCAATTTCTCGGTACGAAGTAATTCGAAATTCTTCTACAAAATAGGAAATAGTACGAAGGGGACTCGGTTATTTATTCCGTTTGCCTACTTTCGATTCGTTTTAAGCTTTGGAAAGTGGTGTTATCATCGAAAAAGATTATCCACGGTTGGCGTCGATCTGCAGCCGAGTTCAGCATTACACTTATTATGGTCGGGTAATTTGGGTTTGATTTAAGCGGCCGATAATCTACAGAGGCCCAGTCCAAATTCAGCTAGCAGAAGGGTAATCTTTTTGAGAGGCAAAAGGTAGTAGAGCTCATTACAATACTTTATGACCATCTTCAAATTCAACGCTATTCCCACCGTATAATTTACAGAATCTTTTATAATCTAGAAGGTTGCAAATGTGACGAACTGGGCGTCTTATCAAATTGGTGAGCGACGCAGATAAACCTATAGAGGTAGTATCTCTTGTCTTAACCGGATTAACTAGATTGGCCTATTTTATCTTACGAACCTAGGACGATGAGAAAACACGTTTGCTTTAAATCTACCCTAGATTCCTGGATACTAACTACTATTACGAAGCGTCGAAGCCATAAATAATGTTTGGTCATGTGACCTTACTCTCACTCCATCTCCTGAGTCCTGTTACTCCTGTAGATAGCTTGTTCTCTTCTTCTCTTCCTCTTCTTCCTTCTTTCCTTCTTTGCAGCACACAATGCCATTGCATTGCGTTCTCGCCCTCCTCCTCGTACGTACAGTAACGTACTAGACTCGTTCCTCGTGTCTCTTCAAATAACCCACTTTGCCGAACCATGACGAAAAAGAAGTCGCCTTCTGGAAAAAGAGGAGAATCACAAGACTACACCTAAGTAGTAAGAACCGAACGATGAACTGAAGTCTGAAACGAACCGGGTTGGTCTTTCTCTTGGGCCTTGGCGATTGATGAATTTCTCAAACACAAAGGCATGTCAGCACATACCTTGAATTCCCGCTTTAAGTTAGCGTTTCGGATAATTCGCACCCCATCTCTTTTCGCGACACTCCTTACGACCAAATTGCAAGGGTCAGAGATGTCTTCGCGAATTCAACAGATGAATATATCAGCGTCGTCTGCTGACGAAGATAGCAGCATGGCCACCCCATGCAGGGCCATGCCAGCACATCCTAAGGTTCATCCCTTTGCGGGAACACTTGGCGGCAATCAAAGAGTGGTTGTTGATCGCAGTGACCCCGAAAATGAATCATTATTAGAGAGGATGCCCGACGCGGCACCTTTAATGACACTCCGAGAAGGATTCAGCTTTAAGGGATTTCTCAATGTTGACCTTTGGAGGCTTGGACTTCTTGAGTGTGTTGGTAAGAGAGACCCACGGTTACCCAACCCCCAGCTTGATGTGCCGGTATGATGTACTGATGATACTTGTCGGGTCTAGGAACAATGCTGCTGGCCTTTGTTACTGCATGGATGTCTATACGACCAAGCGCGGCCATTGTGTCTCCAACTGGAGAGGCGGGGGTGTTCTCAACAAGCACATTCCTGGGCCCGTTATTCGGAGCCTTGAGTAACTGGATATTCCTGACACTATTTGTTTTCTCCTTCTCCAATGTCAGTGGGAGTCATCTAAATCCCACAATCACGCTGGGCACATTCTTCGCTCGCCTTATATCCCTTCCTCGAATGGTCATTTATATCCTTGGCCAAACGCTTGGGGGTGCTCTTTCGGGCTTTATACTCCGCTCGGCTTATGGTTCTCGAAATTTCACAGTGGGGGGCTGTTACATTGACACAAATATTGTACCCTTAGATGAAGCTTTTCTGCTGGAGTTCACCTTCTGTCTCCTTCTAATATTTCTATCATTCGGTGTCGGTCTTGATCCTAGACAGAGTCAGGTTTGCAGCCCTTCTTTGTCTCCTTTCTTGATAGGACTGGTCTTGTTTGGTGTGAGTTGGGGGTCTGCGTATACAAGAGCTGGCTACTCTGGAGCATGTAAGTATCATCAATCGCATATGGCACCTGGGCAGAATACTTATCTTCTTCTAATTGCAGCGGTCAATCCGGCTCGGTGCTTTGGCGCCTATGTGGCCACCACATTTCCAAGCTATCACTGGATTCATTGGGTAAGCTGCTGACTTACTAGTAGTACTACGTCTGACCAGTGACCTGAACCGAGAACTGATCATAATCCTAGGTCGGACCATTGACTGCGTCCATTGGACATGGAATCATTTATTTTGTTGTGCCTCCTTGGAAGGCATGATATTCCCTGATGAGTAAATGCGAGTTTCCTACGCAAAATTTACAAAAAGAAAAGTTTAGAAATATTTTAGTTACGTCATGACTCATGAGTACGATACGATGGGTACTAGACTACTAGTAGTGTTGCCGCTGTTGAGGACTGGATGAAGCCGGCGAATCTGGGCAGGATTGCCGGTTCTTGTTGGTTCTTCTTGTTATCCTGATTCCTGGGACCTGAACTTCTCTTCGACAAGCATCCGTTACCGAATCTATTATCTGACCCACATTCGATCTTCCATCCATAATTCATTACATTCTATCTCTTCCGTACCGGGTTCTTTCAGTAGTTCCGCAGTATACTAGGCTGTCTTAGAAAAGTTTTCAAGGCAATAAACGTCAAATATCAAAACCGGGAGTACCGTGTACATACACTATCGGACACAATATCCGCCGTCAATTAGAAGATCATTACCCGTCATGTATGAGCTAGCATCACTGCACAGATACACATAAGCACCTTTCAACTCCTTTGAGTTTCCATTCCGACCCATTGGAATCATTGACATCCACAAGTCTTGAATCTTCTTGTCTACAAAATCAGATAGACCGGTGTCGATGTAGCCCGGGGAGATGCTATTGACACGAGCAAAGTCGCGCCACTCGTTTGCAAGTGATTTTGTCAAATGGATACAACCCGCTTTCGCAACATTGTATGAGGTCTGCTCTTGTGGATAGTTGGCAATATGACCAGACATGCTCGACGTGATAACGAGGCTGCCCTTGCCGCGCTTTCTATAGTATGCTCCAACAGCCTTTGCGCAGTGAAAAGTACCCGTAAGATCGGTTTGGATGACTTCGTTCCAGTCCTCGACTGTGCCGTCTAGGATGCCGCTGTTGGCAGTGCGGCCGGCATTGGCGATGAAGGCGTCAATTTGACCAAATTCTGCGAGCACGTCTTGCACGAGTTTCTCGACACTTTCGTAGCTTCCGACGTTGCATTTATATGCCTTTGATTTCACACCATACGCCTTAGCGAGTTCCTTTGCGTTCTCCTCGCCGCCTTGGGGACGTGAGGCGTACGTGATCGCAACGTTGGCACCCATCTCGGCACAACCACGAGCAGCCTCGATCCCCATGCCCCGGGGACCAGAGGCTCCTGTAACCACGACGACTTTGCCTTTCAGGCTGAGAAGGTCCTTTAGGCTGTCTGGCTTTGGGACTGGCTGAGGCATCTTTAGTAAGAAAATATGTTGAAGAAGAATGAACGACGTATGTATCAAAAATGTATGAAATAGAACGAACAATGGTAAGAATATTCCAAGGACCAAGGTACGACGATCTATTTATTTATCAAAATATCGTACACAGCATGTATGCAAAATAACGGGTGGCGTTCACTCAAGTACTCGTAATCTGCGCTGTTGGCGTCATTCCCATATTGGGGGAAAAAAACAAAAACATTTGAAGGATCCATGGTTCAAATGTTCATTCATCTTCCATATGTGGTGCATACATACATGTTAAACGCCATTCGTGACATATCCGTGATACATCATTACATATTAGACTTTTCGATCTATATCGTCATATTATCCACAAACCTATTATTTATTCCAATCACAATTAAAAACTGATCTTATGGAAGACCTTAAACTGCTAGTAGGGGGGTTCACCAGATATACAAGGCATTAAAGTTCAGAAGAAAGAAGAATAGATGACGCGAAGACTTGGCCCAAGATCTATATTGGTGCTTAATTATGGAAATAGAAAGATTTGGTAAACCTGGAGACAGGAAGTTTTATATGCGGGATATTCTGAATCTATCTAAACGCTGGGATGAATTACTGTAGCTAGAAAAGTAGAAAAGTGGTTCGAGGTGGTCCAGTGGATACGGAGCTCGTTTCCTTCGAACCTTAATCGGAGAAGATGTGCTACTAGTAGGTATGACGGTGGGTCAAATTGGCTTCTATAAGTACGTAACTAAAACCAGTACTTGAGGGATCGGGCTGGGATAACAAAAAGGAAATATCTATACACAACCACTCTAGGACTATCCATCATGGCTCCCCGCGTCGCAATTGTCTTTGTAAGTTTTATTTTTATCTCGACACCCAGCAAAGATGAACCTCTCTCTCGGTTTTTGAATTTGTTCCGTTGAACAGAATTTTTCTAACACTTTCAAGTATTCGCTCTATGGCCATATTCAGAAGCTGGCCGAGGCTGAGCTGAAAGGCATTATCGGGGCTGGCGGTAACGCCGATATTTACCAGTACGTCCGTCAGCGGCAGAGATTCCGTGGTCTTGGGGCACAGGTCATAAGAACCCGGCTAAATTTCTGCGTAGGATCGAAGAGACTCTTTCGGAGGACATTCTCAAAAAAATGCACGCCCCGCCAAAGTCTTCTTACCCGAAAATCGATGTCCACAAACTACTTGAGTACGATGCAGTTCTATTTGGCATTCCAACCCGCTACGGCAACTTCCCTGCTCAGTGGAAGGCATTCTGGGATAGAACTGGTTCTATCTGGGCCTCGGGTGGCTACTGGGGAAAATACGCTGGGCTTTTTATTTCAACTGGTACTCAAGGCGGAGGGCAGGAGTCAACTGCTCTCTCCTCTATGAGCACTCTGGCCCATCATGGATTTATCTACGTTCCCTTGGGATATAAGAATGTGTTCCCACTGCTAGCAAACCTTGAAGAAATCCATGGTGGATCCCCATGGGGGGCTGGCACTTTTGCAGTGAGTCCCTTCTGTTCATTTATTGTGTTCGCAATCCTAACGTCGCTTCACAGGGTGCGGATGGTAGTCGTCAACCAACTTCTTTGGAGCTTGAGATTGCCGAGAATCAGGGCAAGGATTTTTGGGGAGCTGTTTCTAAGGTTCAAACATAGACTGTTCAAATTCGTGGCAGCTATAAAGAAATTCAAAGTCCAAAAGAATTTAACCGGAGCCCATTCTCTCTGTATCTAACTTTGAAGGAAGTTTATAAACACAACGGAAGAGCGGTATAATCCCGGCAAGTTTCTCAATTCACGCTTATAGCAAAGGCCTTAAACATATCTGTTGGAATTTAGGGGTGTATTATGTGCAATGTACATTGTACGGTAAGATTGTAAGATTGAAGGACTCGATTCGATTCCTTCTCCTCGTGTTTGTCACACGTCGACACCACTGCGAGTGTCACGCGTTGACAGTCTCTGTTCGTTGAGAAGGTTTTCTCAAGGTTCCCTTTGTCGGGCTGAGAAGGTTAGGGTTAGGTTTAAGCTTAGTTCCTGTCGTCAAACCTTAAGGTATTCAGGTGTTAACTCCTCCCTGTCTCCTTCTCTTCTTCTTTTCTTTTTCTCCTCTGTCTGTGTTTTCCTTCCAGTTAGGACCTTAGAACAATCTTATTGTTTTCTTGCTTGCGTCGTCACAGTGTTCTTGTTTGTTCCTTGTGTCTGATATCATATGTGATCCTCCTCTGAGCGTACATATCACTATATCCGCTTAGTGACGTACACCCCCGACCAAGGCCCCAGGATCCTTGTTATCTCAAATCCTGACCAGTGACAGTTATGAGCCCGGCGTTCATCTGATCTGAAGAACAAACAAACAAGACAAACATCAATTCTCTTCCTGCTCTAATGACGTAATCACTTTAATCACATGACCATTAGAATCAACTGACTCTTCCGATCACGTGGTCCGTGGATACCAAGATTGTTTATTTAGTCATGTGACCAAGGCCCACTCTTCCACATGGCCAATCAAACACCCCAGACCCATTTTCAGGCTCTCGGCCAATCAGGTGCTGCAAAAAAACCCAGGTTCCCAAGTAGTAGAGGGCTGGATGGACTGGATGGATGGATGGACAAGTAGTAGGAGGATGGACTGCATTAACTAAGGGGTGAGCACTAAAACAGAAAACGAAATCAAAAATGTGGCAGACGTTATAATTTATCCGGTATATATGTACATGCACATGTGCATCCATGTAGTATTTCAACTAGTCCCAAATTGAAACCAATTGATCAAGTGTTTGCTTTTGTCCACGGGCTTTTTAATCGCCTCTCATCAGCCCTAGAGCTCATCTAAAACCGGAGACTCCAAGGTCAGGTTGAATCCTTGGAATACTTACCCCTTGCTCTCAGTCTCCTTCCATAAATGTAGAACAAGTATGGAATGGGGAGGAGGGCGACAGAAATAAATCCCAAGACGCTCGCTGCCCAAGGGACACCCAGGTTATGAAACATGGCATCAGTGAACAGTGGGAAAGAACCGGCAAAGATAGAGCGCAGGAAAGTACTTGCAGCAACGGCACTAGCAGCCGTCGAGTGAAACGTATCAATAAGATAATTCAAAGCTGGTTGAAGGATAGTCAAAATCCCAATACCCATCAGAACGGCACCAATATTCGGAGCTATCCAATGAATGTGCGCAGGGCTGGTCCAACCAAACATGAACAGCCCTCCTGCAAAGCAAACAGATCCTAGCATCATTGGCGGTAGACGGGCTTCCGGAACAGGTCGGTTGTTGTTTTCTTTCATGCGTTTCACGTAGAACTTTTGATTAGACAGATTGACCAAGGCACCTATCATGATCCCAATGAAGTAGGAGATAAAGGGAAGAGCACCCACAACCTGATTCCAGCCACGAATTTCTTGGAAAACGATTGGAAATGCAGCTAGACTCAGGTATAGAATAGCGTAAACAAAAGACGCGTAAAGCGCAACCAAAAAGCATATTGGGGTTGCTAGAAGTTGAAACGGGCGTATCAGATACTTCTTTCCGAAATCTCTATAACTCGCATTCCACTCCTCGTGGCGGGCATGAAGTGCCCAGTTCCCTGTTTCGAGGCGTAAACGCCGCGCCTTGCGGGTCAATAGGATGGGTGGGTAGGTTTCATCAATAAACACCAGGTCCAAGATAAGGCAAATCATCATCAAAATACCGGTGATATACTCTGTCCATCGCCAGCCGAGATAGCTTTCCGAGATTGCACCGCCCACAATAGGACCCAACACAGGTCCGCCAAAGACTGCTATGGAATATGCAACCAATGCCGCCCCACGCTGCTCGGGGGGCCAAATATCACCAAGGACTCCACCTGTGTTCGTCACAGGGGCGGATCCAAAGAAACCGGCAAAGAAGCGGGTTAACATGATGGTTTGTACATCTTTGGCTGTGGCAGTGGCAAAGGAAAAGACAGCAGCGAGGAAATAGGGTGCAAGAACAGCTGGCTTTCGCCCATAGACTTCCGAGAGGGGCGCCCAGACTAGAGGACCCAGTCCCAAGCCGAACAAAAGTAGTGAAGTTCCGAGAGTCGAGACTTCCGTCGAAACATGAAATTCCTCGCTGACTTGCGTCTGACCGGTAGAATAGCTGGGTAAGGCTGGTTAGCATTCGAAGATGATTTGATTTGTATGTCAAGCCATATTTCTTACATTGAACTGGCCCAGGGAGCGCCCATGGCTGTAAACCCATAGAGAATAGTGGTCACAAGTTTCTTCGAAAAGCGCCAGTTCATTGGTTGATAGGGATCTTCCGGGCCATCAAAATCAACTATCATGTCATCACCGGTTTTCACATGCAAAAATGGAAGTGCAATATGCCTCTCTTGACCAGGAACCTGACTCCGAACGCAAGACATGATCGGGTGAGCTCCCTGTAAATCTTGCAAAGAGCCCGAGACGCTGAGCGACTTTCTTTCCAATGTTTCATTCCTGGCATCAAGTGTAGCATGATTGTCATTGGATGATTCAGAGATATCGCTTAAAGTGCTACACTTGTCATTTTTCTGCGGTTCTTTCACCATAATGCGTGCAGGTGACAGTGTATATCTCTGTTTCAATTCCAAAGATCGGAAGAATGATAGATGGAAATCTTGGAAAAAACAAAATTTAACCTTGGATTGAGCGCGACATATGGATGAACCCGAAGTAATAAAAAATAGAAAATGGGGTACGAGTCCAACATTTGAACTACAGATATCCCGCCTACTGGCATAGCTCAGTATTCTTGGCAATACCTAAATCGAGTCAAAGATCGATCGCATCGTGGGGAACCGGTTTTTTCGGCAAAAAGTACAGCAATCGGCGGTTTTTTTTCTCTGTATGTACTGTATCTTTGAACCTTGGTCTCCATCAATTCTCACAGGATGTGCCGCCCTACCCGGGATGGAGATCAAGTTAATGGGCACGTATATTCACTATAATACAGTCTAAGAACGAGCCTATATGGGATTATCCGTTATGTGACACTCGTGGACCCCACATACCTATTGTCTATGTACATGGCAGGGAACTTCCAAGGTTCCCATTGGATTGTTGAGCCATGATAGGCTTAATCCTCAAAGCTGTGGAGTGTATACGTAGTCTCGGCGAACAGCTCTTGCACGGCGAAGCTAAACTTTTCCAATTTTTTTTCCCAAACAAAAAGAACAGTAGAATAAGGTGGAAAGAGAGAAATTAAATCAATTAGAAAGGAAGGGTTCATTCGAAGTGGGAAAACAAGCCAAAGTCGGGCACCCCCTTACATCGTGCAGAATGCTTTCAAGGAAACCATCAACAAGCTGTACGGATACAGTAAGGTTATGTGCCCGACTACGGATGATGGTGGGGTCTCCGCGGGATTCCGCGGAGTGGTGTGGGCCAAACATTCGGACTTATGGGCGGAATTAAGCTTATCGGAATACCGAGTATATCGAATTCGGAGTGCCGGTTAAAGGTTCCAAACGCGACAAGTTAACAGTACAATTACTACTGCGCGTATATCGAGCTATTAGCTGTATCGTTGAAAACGTGCACAAAAGGCTATTCATTCCAATTTCCGTTTGCCCTTACAAGTTTAAAGTGACCACCCAAGACTGCCAAAGCAAAGTATTCGCCCCTTAAATAAATCAATGAACATCTTCCACCATATCAAACTCATCTTCGTCATTTTCTGCCAGATCTATATCCATATCGTCATCAGAAAACCCAGATAGATGAGGCGAGCCCATAACCACAGTGCTGCCCCCCGCGCTGTAAGCATCGTAATCTTCGTCGTCCGATTTCACAGACGAGATGGCATATCCGTAATCAGGATTAGCTTGCATTGTCTCTGATGAATGCTGTTGGTGGAGGTTTTCAACAGAGCCTAGATCTTCAAGCTCATCGTACGATTCCATCGACGCAATGTCTGAGACATGGGAGTGGGTTGCGTGATGGGAGGCACCCTGCACAGTACTCTGGGAATCGCTCGGGTTGATCTCACTGAAGGAGTCATTGGTGGATGCAACGCTTCCTGTATGAACTGCGGGGCCCGGGGCTGAGAATCCGCCGCCTGTCATGATGGGAATATCTTGATCGGTGAACACACCTCCCGTTTCGTCGTCATCACCGCCGGCCCAGAGAGGTAGGTACCGATATTCATTGTCAGTCAGGCAGGTTATAATACTCGCGAAGTGGTGTTGGAAAGGGGTTCGCTCGGATGTGTTTAAAATTGCACGGCTATATCTGCTAATGTATGCGGTGGCCGCCATTGTGAAAGCTTCTTCATCAAAATGTTTGTAGTCGTAATAGTCATTGGCGCGATTGCTCATATCAGGTTGAGAGTAACTTGCATCATACTGTGAAAGGTCGACAGGGAAGGAAGGTCTCTGTGATGGCTGCTGTGAAATAAAAGGATTCGTTTTTTCTTTTGGCCTTTCTGGAAGTGTTGTTTCCATGGATGGGGAGTGTTTCATATCTTTGGTGGTAGAAGAAACATGATTCGAAGATGAATCGACTGGTTCATTAACCCGTGGAGTTCTGCGGCGCAAATTGATAGTAAGATTCCATCGATTAGACCGCGTCTTCAATTCCTGGTTCAACATATCATGCTGTTCCTCGGCTCGACGCACAGCCATTTCATTGAATCCTCTGATTTTTTCATCCAATGTGTGTCTTGCAATCATCCGGATTTGAGCATTCTCTTGACCTTGAAATGCAAGCAAGCCACACCCAATGTCGGCAATAGAACGGTGCATGTCTATGTCATGATTTGTCCGTGATGCTTGTATCAGATCAAGCGTAAGAGACACTCTCGAGCTTATAAGTTCGGTCCAGAAACTCCTTCCCATCAATCTAACCAGAAAATCCTGTGGTTCGAATGCGCGAGGGTGGGAAAATCTGTGTCCTTGGCTGTTCGACTTTGAATAGGCACAGCGCATGGGATCCGCAGAGATTGAAAGTTTTGAGTAAATTGAAGCTCTAACGCTTTCTTTCAGGATATCGATCACAGATTTCACATCTTCGGCATCTTCCGGATAAATTCGAGCATGCTGGGTTAATTTTGTGACTTCCGGGATACTACTATCTTCAATCCAAGGCATTTCCTCCCCGGCCAAGTGAAGGAAGTGTTTGATGATTGTGTCCATGAAAGCCTTGCTAGCGTACTCGATTCGTTGCACCTCGTTATCATCAAGATTGTCATTGATCGGAGATTTTTCGAACTTCTGTTTGTACATTTTCAGAGGCGTCAAGTTTGCCGACCGTATCAGGTATAGAAGTGCTTCATCGCTGACCAAGCCCATAAATGCATGGCGACAAAGCTCACTAGATTTTATTCCAAGTCCTACCCGATAGGCGACCTCGGGGTGGATTTCAATCAAACGCGTGTTATTTGCCTCGTAAAACCATGAAATGATGTACCCGCTGATGACTGGGAGGGTAGCCACATTGAACAGCTTGGCAACAGCAAAGAAGGTCCATAGCTTGCAAGGCGTATCGAGAGTGATGCTCAGTCCTTCGAGGACGTGTAGGACATATTCAATGCCCTGGCGATGACGGGCTGCGGAGTACTCCACGGGTAGCCCATTTCGAAGAACCATTTCTCGCGCAGACATGCGCGTGAATATTCCAGTTTCCTGTTCATCCAAGTCTTCTTCCTGTATTTCTTCACTGCCATCACTGACCACTAGAGGCTCAGCCAGCATGGCTGGAGCTAGGTGCTCCAGGATTTGATATTCATCCTCACCTCCAACGCAAGACTCTGGAAGCTTCCATTTTTCCTTCAATGAAGCCCATTTCCGAATTGCCATGGGGCAGGATACCTCCGTCAAAGCAATAATGGCATCTTCTTCGTGGATTGCCGGTGTCAAGTCCACCACATACTTGATGCCCATGGGTAATTTATCAGCGAATCCCCGCTGCTTGCGAACCCGTTTTTGATTTCGTAGTGTAAAAAGTTTTTCAAAGTATGCCGAGCCTATTTTCAAAAATTTCTCGCTGTGTACACGAAGAGGAATGGTTGGTGTTGATGCTAAGTTCTTCGGCCCGTCCTCGGGTGGGGGGTCGATGTAAAGCAGGGTGTCTGCATCATGGAAGAGAAGGAGCGGAATTTCTAAGGAGAAATTTGGAATGGATTTCTGTTGAAATGGGATGTAAGGGCTCCCCAGAGACGCCGCTGTTGGTAGCTCTGACGACTGACGTGGTGCAGTCTCGAGGACTCTAGGTGAAGTGGACGACGCCATGGTGAACTGTCATTCCAGGTGAATTTCACCAAGATGAATCTCACTAGAGGTGAGCCAAGGAGAATAGATGTAAATAGAACGAGATGCAATAGGTAAGAGATATATGAAGAGAAGCGGTAAGCTGATCATGGATGGTGGAACTTGGTTGGAATTGGAAGAGGGGCGGAGTAATGAGGCTCAAGCCAACAGTGTTGCCTTAAAAACAAGCCAATCACAGCACAGTTGCGCCACACAGGTAAGGGTGGCACAGTGAGTCACAAAGCGAGCACTTGAGCTGTTAGACTGTTCACAGTAAACACTGAAAGAATAAAGTTGGCTTGTTTTATTTGGTGAAAGACATCCATGGATGACACTTTCCAACTACTCCACGTACTATAATTACAGTATCCACTTAAGGGTGGGGCAAATAGAACCAAGCCAAGTTGAATACTGGAAGCTGTTTTGTCTACTCAACAGTACTGTGAATTTTATATGATACATGGATTATATCGGAAAGTCTCACAGTTTATACTTAGTCAGAATCACAGAGAGAAAGTTGGAACTCGACCTTGATAAATCTGGTTGAACCATGGTTTATAACATTGAAGTCTTACTAAGGTCAATAGCATTTATATTCCGCCGATCAACAAATGTGTTCATGGTCATGTCATCCCACAAAAAAATATAAAAAGTAATAAATTCTTTACAAAAGCACTGCTAAGCATATCCCGATCATTCTTCTTCAATGGAAATGCACATGTGCAAGATATTTACAGATCTTATCCAACTTTGAATTGATTGTTTTCCATCCAGCCTCTTCTCCTGATCATGGCAGTAAGCTCAGGATCTCTGCCACAAGGTCGCAAGCCCATGAAGTCAGTCTTGCCCCTCAGGATCAATACATACACCAATGTGCATCAAATCCATGGATACCCATACTGACGGTTTACCTACGGTGGTGTCAAGGTCGAGCTCCATCGCTCTCATGAGTGTCTTCGGTGTAATTGGAGGCACATATCTTATGTTCCGCCTTATGGCCCCACAGCGAGGAACTGTTTTGACTACAAATGAAGAGATGGAGGCTTTCCGGGGAGGATGTTACGATCAGACAAGTGTGCATGGGAAAACAGCACGGGCTCCAGGCCCAAAATCCGGGTATATCCCACCCGACCAGAAACATTGAATAATCAAAAAATGTTCACATCAATTGATTGTGCATCAAGAAATAAAGAATGGAAAAGGCCCTAGAAGCACCGTATTGCGTACGTGGACAATCTAGAAATTTCAAGTGCAGTTCAATAGAGTGGTATCAAGTATAAGAGACAGTGCGCCATGCATCCAAAACATTTGAAGACAAAAGTCCCGCCCGATTCATGTACAATGGGAGTAATACCCACATGGATTAATCTACAAGACTTGCTCGGGGCAGTGAGCCACCTGAGTACTTGGACATTAGGCGGAAGGCTGGGTGTCAGTCTCTGTAGACTGTTGTCCATCACGACCTCGACCTCGGCCACTACCATCAGATTGTGGCCTTGGCTTTTTTGTATCTTTCTTCTCTCGCTTCTTTTTCTCACGCGTAGCAGGACGGGACTCGTCCGGTCGGCTGCGACTACCGCTACGACTGGATTCCGTCCGTCGAAGATCTTTTACCTCTTTGATAACCTCTCGGAATCCCTCTTCAATGTTGTTCATGCGGGCAAGAACCAATTTGCTGAGCATATCTTGACTTTGGCTGGGTCCGTCCCGGCGAAGATTTCCGGTAGCGAGCGCCATTTGGGTGTTGAAGCTGGATGGGATTGCGCCCCCAAAGCCACCGGCCACCGCCTTGTTATCACCCAGATCGGATCCGAGGTCAAACAGCAACGACCGTGGCGGACGTCGTGAGAGCGGGCGATCAGATAGGTATAATCCTTCGATTTCGGGGACGGACATGTGGCTGAAGCCGAGAGAGGGATTGCGTGAGAGGACTGCATTGAGTGCATGTCGTCTCACAGTGCCGACATTCGCGGACGTTGACAGGCCAGGTGGGTGATCTTCATCCGAAGAGTCTTTGCGGGTCCGTGGGGGCGTTGTTCGCCCTTCGGTTTCTTCATTTGGGGAATCAACAGGGTTGTACAGCATGGTGGCCCCTGAGATGTTACGGGTGTGTCTAGGACGGCGGACCGGACTCTCTCTTCGAGATGCGATTCTAGCAGTGGATGGCCGGGAGCTGTAGAATTTGGGGGTAGTCTTCTCCGTGCTACCGACCGGGTGAGCGCCGTCAGTGACTGAGCCCTTTTCTGAATGCTCTTCCTGGGAGCCATCATCACTGTCGAGCTCATCATCACCTTCCATGTCAGTATGCTGAGAAAGTAGGCGGGTTTGCATGGGTGAGGATGAATCCCTCTGCTGAGGATAGAATGACGGGTTGTCAATATGACTGACTCGCTCTTCAGGATTGGAAGCAGCCAGAGATCGAGTAGTGTCTGTAAAATTGCGCCCATGGGCTCCCGTAGACTTCCGCATCGGGTACGGAGGTCGCCGCAGCGGCATCTCAAGTTGCTCCATGATCACCGAGTCTTGCTCATCTGGGGTGTGCGCTGGGCCGGAACCAACCTCCTGCATCCAATCCTTGATGACATTATTAGTTTGGTGTTTGCGCATGCTGACCGGTCTGTCTCGAGTTCGTTCGACGCTGCTTTGCTGCCGGAAGACCTCTTCCAGTGCCTGGTCTTTATGATATGTAGCTACCGATGGTTCCCGCATCAATCTTGGTGGCCTCGTGCTAAAGGCTTGGAATCGACTGGGTCGGGTCTGAGCTAATGGTTCTTGACGCGATGTGTCCACAAGGTCCATCGGCTCCATCACACGGGCACTCAGAATTGTCTTTTCGTAAAGACAGATAGTAAAGAGTATTGGCAAGTGCGTGACTTTGATGATGGTTCGGTTGAGTTTAATATATTGGCGGAAAGGTATCAGGTATCGGAAGGGCGTGACAAGCCAAGCGATAACGTTGGTCGGGGCAACGTAGCTAAACAGCGCATCTGACTTAACCATAGATATCGTGTTAACAGCGAATAAGAATTGATGTTCAGAATTCGCGTTGTTCACAATTCGCATGAAGCTGTTCGACAGGACAGAAACCAAGATGGTGACGATCACGAAGTGACAAATGAAGAGGAAGATTGTCAGAATGGTCCTGCCGAGGAAATTGTATTCCTCCCACATGGCCCACGCAGTCGGTGTAAATCCCATGACTAGTTGGAACAGACCATATGCGACGCTCTTTGGAGAGTTGTCATTTCCAAAAGACAAGAAGGCGACGAAAAAGCCGCTACACGCAATCACAATGAGAACAAAGACAGCGATCAGATCAGACGCCATGATTCGGAATGCAACTAATAGTTGCGAGAAATAACGGTAGTGATCGAGGATCGAGAATAGACGCGGGAAGAGGAGGACGGAGGTAGCCGCCAGAATATCGTATGCCTGATCGGCTATCTGATTGCTCCGTGGATAGGTCAAAAATGCACCATAGACACGCAGACAATAGTAACAAAACAAGAGCAACAGAATACCTAGATCAAAAATATTCCAGAAGCTCATCAGATAAAGGCTGAAGCCCTGCTCGTTAAAACCAACGATCTCGTCGAGCATGAATCCCGCACTCCAAAACCAAAATACAATCTCCAAAGATGTGATGCGCCCACTGCGCTGTTCAAGAACAGCTAAGAAAAGTCCCAGGAGAACTGCGAAGGAAATTGTAGATAGAAATTGCCGGTATCGAGGCACACGTAACCGCGAAAGTTTGAATAGCGATGCATTTCGGGGGTTGTACAGCGTCACCGAGCGACGAAAGGTGGTATTTCCAGTTGGAACCGGGTTTCCATCTCGATCGGCGGTTGCCCCATAGTCATAATTCCCTGGCGATGATCGATTCAAAGGGCGATGCAGATGATCGGCGGCAGAGTGAAAGACGATTGTTCCTGCCCAGATGGCCTCCAATTGTTGCACCACTACTGGGTGCGCCAGGAAGCGTTTTGCTTGCGCACGAATTGCCACCTCCAAACAAGAGATCCGAGCGGTACCCGTGACCTTTCCTTGAGGGCCACCAGTCCATGCCATGGCTGAGTCCTGGCCCTGAAGAGGATAAAAGTCATACGACAGTGCATCAATCAATTCGCGAGTTGTGTATTCCCTCAGTAGCTTAATCGCGAGCAGCTCACTGACCATCGCGCGAGTCTGGCTTGCTCCGCTGTTCCCTGGATTCACGTGTATCTCCTTCTCGAATTGCAAACAATTGGCCATGAGGGCATAGAGGGTGGCTCGCGAAAAGTGTTCGGACATTATCTGTTGCTGAATAGGCTTGACGAGAAACTGCGACACCTGGGGAGACCGGAGTTGGTCCCAGGTCAAGGTGGTCTCGCATCGTGAGGCGATTAAGGGACGAATAGCATGGGTGATGTCGTAGACAGGGAGTGCATCTATGTGAGTTGCGGTTTAGCTAGATGATCCCTCTCTGTCGCGCTTGACCAAACATCTTACCCAAATGCGAGGACGAGAAGATTGGAAGCAAGGGAGTTGACTCCATAGGCACATCGTCCTCTTCCCCCTCATCCTCCTCCCAGTGTCCATTTTCGTCAATGTCCTCGAGCTCTGGCTCGTCATCACTGGAGTCTGCCCCACGCGTATGCCGAGGACCGCGTCGCGCGCCTGATCCGAACCATGGTAAATTGTCTGTCACCGCAAAGGGGGAAGAAAATTGAGACTGGTCAATCTGCCCGCGGCGTGCTCTCGGGCGAAGTAGGGAGGCCAACATGTTGAGGATCGTCACATGGGCCGAGTACCATGCATGACCGTTGAAGGGTGTTTGTCGGTGTTTGTTGTTTAGTGCATGGTAATTCCGAAGAAATACGGCTAGGAGGTAAATCGGAGAAACAAGTAAAGAGAGAAGAAAGGGTGGAAATCAGTGAGTGAATAAGATATGAACTGGGATCACAAATCCCACATCTAGGAAAACTTAAATTTTTATGTACAAAGTCAACACTAACTAATGGCGCGCGATTAATGAGATCCAACATCTTTGTGAGTCCAAGCTTGTGGTTGTTTAACCAGACGTCTTCATCTGGTATTGGGACGCCCCAACTTACCGGATGGGGTATGGTGTGGTATTTGTATTTCGGAGATTATGACGATGCTTGGCAGTAACAACGTAAAACGGTGACAAAGTAAGGAAAATTGCCTACAAGTTCTCTTAGTTATGCTGTAATTGTTGTAAATTAGGCTCTAATGTGTTAGAAATAATTAGTCTATTTCCCAAGGTTCTGTCACAGGTACAAGGTACACAAAAGTACCATTTCTACTGCGTATGCAGCTCTCAGAAAGATTGATCGAGGCGTCCTCTTAGCGACACTGGGGGCGTGCTTTTAATAACACCCGAGCTTCGGCAGATCTTAAAAAGGGAACTTCTACGTCATAGCGCAGATTCCCCGGGTACACCTGACCGCACATTCTAGGAGCTAGGTATAACCAGGTTTTAAATAATGATCAAACTTTTCATCACAGGTAGTGAAACCATCAGGATAATCTTTATCCTGGTGATTGGTTCTCTCAATTTTCTTTTGTTGGGGGGGAGGATAGTACTGTACAGTATGAACTTGGAAGATCATAGGGCAACGGAACCGCTGTATGGAGTGCATCCTCCCACCGTTACTTATCGTGCTTATCAGGACTGACCGCCTGCAACACTCTGCATGGGCGACTTTAATCTCGTTGACTAGCATATCAGATAGATGCCAGTAGGGAACATAATTGATGTACTTGTAGTTCTAAATTCTCTGATTATATACATATAATCTTCTAATATGCCATTCTCTAGATATCTCGGTTCTTGAACGGTTCCCACTTTTTTTTTTTTTTTTTTTTTTTGCAGTGACAAGATCCACTATGAGAAGCCTGGAGAAAAAAAAAAAAAAAAAAACTCTTAGGGCGGTCACCTACCATGGCGGACCGAAACCGGTGGGTCTCGTCGAAAATGAAAATTTTCTGCCACAGCCCTCAATTTTCCTCTTTTTTCATATCTCAGCGCATTGTAGCTGCTGCACAAATTACTCCCCTCTTACCCTTTTGACCAACCTTCCCTCCCACAAACACCAACGGGATTAGGACGAATCAAAGGTTCTTCTGGCGAATGCTGTGCTAGAGTGACCTGCCCTCGCTCAGATTCGTCCCCGAGAGGACCTCACTCAATTTTCCCCTCCAATTCAGTTATCCTAGTCCGCTTTCCTCCCAAGGAATCGGTCAGACCGAGTCCGCAATCGGGCGGATTAGAACCTGAAAATACCAAAAAGGAACAAAGCTATTCACAATGGCTGCTACCAGTGCTTTGATTGCCCCGGCCTCCATCCCCGTCCGGGGTGGCAGTGACCGTCTCATGGCCCTTGAGCTGGCGGATGGTACCGTGTACCAGGGTTACAACTTTGGTGCGGAAAAGAGTGTGTCTGGTGAATTGGTCTTCCAGACCGGTATGGTTGGATACCCTGAATCGGTTACCGATCCCTCATACCGCGGTCAGATCCTGGTCATCACCTTCCCACTTGTCGGAAACTACGGTGTGCCTGACCGGGAGGAGATGGATGAGGTGCTCCAAAGCCTGCCCAAGTACTTCGAGTCAAATCAGATTCACGTTGCGGCGTTGGTGGTGGCATCCTACGCCGGTGAGGACTACTCTCACTTCTTGGCCAAGTCTTCTTTGGGTGACTGGCTCAAGGAGCAGGGTGTTCCTGCCATCCACGGTGTCGACACTCGTGCCCTGACCAAGCGCCTTCGTCACTCTGGTAGCATGCTGGGTCGTCTGCGTTTGCAGAACGCTGGCGATGCTAAGGCTGTCGCTGCTGCCGTTGATGCTACCAACTGGAACACACACTTTGAGGAAATCGAATGGGTGGACCCCAATGCCACTAACCTTGTCGCCGAGGGTGAGTTGAAAAGCAAAAGTTTCTCGAATAATTTCTTTTTCTAACGATTACCCATAGTTTCCATCCGTGAGCCTCGCCTGTACACACCCCCTGCCAATGTCGCTCTCAAGCACCCCTCGGGCCGCACTGTCCGCGTTCTGTGCTTGGATGTCGGTATGAAGTACAACCAGCTGCGCTGCTTGCTCTCCCGTGGCGTTGAAGTCATGGTCGTGCCTTGGGATTACGACTTCCCCACCCTGGCGGGTAAGGATTACGACGGTCTGTTCGTCTCCAACGGTCCCGGTGACCCTGCGACCCTGACTACTACCATCGCCAACCTGTCCAAGACCTTGAAGGATGCCCGCACACCCGTTTTCGGTATCTGTCTGGGTCACCAGCTGATTGCCCGCTCAGTCGGTGCTACTACCACCAAGATGAAGTTCGGTAACCGCGGTCACAACATTCCCTGCACAAGCATGATCTCCGGCAAGTGCCACATCACCTCTCAGAACCACGGTTACGCCGTTGATGCCTCCAGTCTTCAGGATGGTTGGGAGGAGCTGTTCGTCAACGCCAACGATGGCAGTAACGAGGGTATCCGCCACACCAGCCGTCCCTTCTTCAGTGTCCAGTTCCACCCGGAAAGCACTCCTGGTCCCCGTGATACTGAGTACCTGTTCGATGTCTTCATCCAGAGCATTCAGAACTCCATTGCCTCCGCCGATGCCCTCACCAAGCCTGTTGAGTTCCCCGGTGGTCTCATTGAAGACAACCGTAAGGCCGCTCCTCGCGTCTCGGTCAAGAAGGTTCTGGTCCTCGGTAGTGGTGGTCTGAGCATTGGTCAGGCTGGTGAGTTCGATTACTCTGGCAGTCAGGCCATCAAGGCCTTGAAGGAAGAGGGAATCTACACCATCCTGATCAACCCCAACATTGCCACCATTCAGACCTCCAAGGGTCTGGCTGACAAGGTGTACTTCCTGCCCGTCAATGCCGACTTTGTCCGCAAGGTCATCAAGCACGAGCGCCCCGATGCCATTTACGTCACCTTTGGTGGTCAGACTGCTCTCTCGGTCGGTATCGAGCTCAAGGATGAGTTTGAGGAGCTTGGTGTCAAGGTTCTGGGTACTCCCATCGACACCATCATTACCACTGAGGATCGTGAGCTGTTCGCTCGTAGCATGGACTCGATCAATGAGAAGTGCGCTAAGTCTGCCTCTGCCTCGACTATTGATGAGTGCATGAGGGTCGTTGAGGACATCGGCTTCCCCGTCATTGTGCGTGCCGCTTACGCACTGGGTGGTCTTGGTAGTGGTTTTGCTGAGGATATGGATCAGCTGCGTGACCTCTGTGTCAAGGCTCTCGCTGTCAGCCCCCAGGTGCTGATCGAGCGCAGTATGAAGGGCTGGAAGGAAATTGAGTACGAGGTTGTTCGTGATGCTCAGGACAACTGTATCACTGTCTGCAACATGGAGAACTTCGATCCCCTTGGTATTCACACTGGTGACTCCATTGTCGTTGCTCCTTCCCAGACTCTCTCTGATGAGGACTACAACATGCTCCGGACAACTGCTGTCAATGTCATCCGCCACCTCGGTGTCGTCGGTGAATGTAACATTCAGTACGCTCTCAACCCCTTCTCCCGCCAGTACTGTATCATTGAGGTCAACGCTCGTTTGTCTCGATCTTCTGCTTTGGCCTCCAAGGCCACCGGTTACCCCCTCGCTTTCATTGCTGCCAAGCTGGGTCTCGGTATCCCCCTGAACGAGATCAAGAACTCCGTTACCCAGTCCACTTGCGCCTGCTTCGAGCCCTCGCTTGATTACTGTGTGGTCAAGATTCCCCGTTGGGACTTGAAGAAGTTCACCCGTGTGTCGACCCAGCTGGGCTCCTCTATGAAGAGTGTTGGTGAGGTCATGAGCATTGGCCGAACATTCGAGGAGGCGATCCAGAAGGCTATTCGATCCGTTGATTTCCACAACCTCGGTTTCAACGAGAAGGATGCCCTTATGTCCATCAAGGGCGAGCTCCAGACTCCCTCCGACCAGCGTCTGTTTGCCATTGCTAATGCTATGGCTACCGGCTACACTGTCGATGACATCTGGAAGCTGACCAACATTGATAAGTGGTTCCTGACCCGCTTGAAGGGTCTGAGCGACTTTGGCAAATCTATGTCTGCGTTCAACGCAACCTCAGTCCCTATTCCTATGATCCGCCAGGCTAAGCAACTTGGTTTCTGTGATGCTCAGCTTGCTAACTTCCTCGGCTCTAACGAGCTGGCTGTTCGCCGCATGCGTATTGAGGCTGGTATTACTCCTATTGTCAAGCAGATCGATACTGTCGCTGCCGAGTTCCCTGCTGTTACCAACTACCTTTACCTCACTTACAATGCTACTGAGCACGATCTGAAGTTCGATGATCACGGTATCATGGTTCTTGGCTCTGGTGTCTACCGTATTGGTTCATCTGTCGAGTTCGATTGGTGCTCCGTTCGCACCATTCGCACTCTCCGCGAACAGGGTCACAAGACCATCATGGTCAACTACAACCCGGAGACCGTCAGTACCGACTACGATGAGGCCGATCGCCTCTACTTTGAGAACATCAACCTCGAGACTGTCCTTGACATCTACCAGCTAGAGACTTCCAGCGGTGTGATCATGTCCATGGGAGGTCAAACCCCTAACAACATTGCCCTGCCTCTGCACCGTCTCAATGTCAACATCCTCGGTACCTCTCCCGAGATGATTGACGGCGCCGAGAACCGTTACAAGTTCTCTCGCATGTTGGACCGTATTGGTGTCGACCAGCCTGCCTGGAAGGAGTTGACTAGCATCGAGGAGGCCCGCGAGTTCTGCAACAAGGTCAGCTACCCTGTGCTTGTTCGTCCCTCCTACGTGCTTTCTGGTGCTGCCATGAACACTGTCTACTCGGAGGATGACTTGGCCAACTACCTCAACCAAGCCGCCGATGTCTCTCGCGACCACCCCGTTGTCATCACCAAGTACATTGAGAATGCCAAGGAAATTGAGATGGATGCCGTTGCCCGCAACGGTGTCATGGTCGGTCACTTCATCTCTGAGCACGTTGAGAACGCTGGTGTGCACTCCGGTGATGCCACTCTGATTCTGCCCCCGCAGGATCTGAGTGCCGAGACTATTAGTCGCATTGAGGAGGCTACTCGCAAGATTGGTAACGCTTTGAACGTCACTGGTCCTTACAACATTCAGTTCATTGCTAAGGACAACGACATCAAGGTCATTGAGTGCAACGTCCGTGCCTCTCGTTCTTTCCCATTCGTGTCCAAGACCATGGGTGTGGATCTGATTGAGATGGCTACCAAGGCCATGATCGGTGCTCCCTTCACTGAGTACCCCCCTGTCAACATCCCCAAGGACTACGTTGGTGTCAAGGTTCCCCAATTCTCCTTCTCGCGTCTCTCTGGCGCTGATCCCGTTCTTGGTGTTGAGATGGCCTCCACTGGTGAGGTTGCCTCGTTCGGTCGCGACAAGTACGAGGCCTACCTCAAGGGTTTGCTTTCCACTGGCTTCAAGCTCCCCAAGCGCAACATCTTGTTCTCTATTGGTTCGTACAAGGAGAAGCTTGAGATGCTGCCTTCTATCCAGAAGCTTCACGACCTCAAGTACAACTTGTTCGCCACTTCCGGTACCGCCGACTTCCTCAAGGAGCACGGTGTTCCCGTCAAGTACCTCGAGGTTCTGCCTGGTGAGGAGGAGGACATCAAGTCGGAGTACTCTCTGACTCAGCACTTGTCCAACAACCTCATCGATCTCTACATCAACTTGCCGTCTAGCAACCGCTACCGCCGCCCGGCCAACTACATGTCCAAGGGTTACCGCACCCGTCGTATGGCTGTTGACTACCAGACTCCTCTGGTCACCAACGTGAAGAACGCCAAGATCTTGATTGAGGCCATCGCTCGCCACTTCCCTCTGGAAATCATCACCTCCGACTTCCAGACTAGCCACCGCACCGTGGTTCTGCCCGGTCTGATCAACATCGCTGCCTTTGTCCCGGGTCTTACCACTCCCGGTTCCAAGGACTTCGAGACTGTCACCAAGGCCTCCATGGCCGCTGGTTTCAGCATGGTCCGTGTCATGCCAGTCGGTGTTGACAGCTCGGTCACCGACGCTCGTGATCTGAAGATCGTTCAGCAGAATGCCCAGGGCAAGTCTTTCTGTGACTTCAACTTCTCCGTTGCTGCCACTTCCTCGAACTCTGACGAGATCACCCGCATCACTGGTGATGTCGGTTCCCTGTTCATCCCCTTCAACCACCTTTCTGGCAACATCAACCAGGTGGCTACCGTAACCAAGCACTTTGCTTCCTGGCCCTCCAGCAAGCCCTTGATCACCGACGCGAAGGGCACTGATCTGGCTTCGATCCTGCTCCTCGCTAGCCTGCACAGCCGTAACATTCACGTTATGAGCGTCACCTCCAAGGAGGACATCCAGCTCATTGCCCTGAGCAAGGAGAAGGGCCTCATGGTCACCTGCGATGTTTCCATCTTCTGCCTCTTCCTCTCTCGTGAGGAGTACCCTGAGTGCAGCTCTCTGCCCTCTGCTGAGGACCAGAAGGCCCTCTGGGACCACATGAGCACCATCGATGTCTTCTCCATCGGTAGCATTCCCTTCCAGCTTGCTGGCAAGGATGCTTCCCCTGCTGTCGGTCTTGCTGAGGCTCTGCCCCTTCTCTTCACTGCTATGGCTGAGGGTCGCCTCACTCTTGAGGACATCACTGCCCGTCTTTACGAGGCCCCGAAGAAGATCTTTGAGCTCCACGACCAGGCTGACTCGTCGCTTGAGATCGAGATTGACCGCCCTTACGTGTTCCAGAACACCGAGGCTTGGTCTCCCTTCAACGGCAAGGTGATGCGCGGCTCTGTCCAGCGTGTTGTCTTCCAGGGCAAGACCTGTTGCCTCGATGGCGAGATCACCGCTGATGCTGGCAAGGGTGTTGACATGTCCTCCCACCGCATCATCCCCTCTTCCCCTATCCAGAAGCCTACCACTCCCATGGTCCGCCCAGAGAGCTCCTTGGAGCGTCACACCTCCGTCTCCGGCACTCCCGGTCGCCGTGCCCCCCGTGCTCTGGATGCCTCCATCCCCGCTGGCGAGCTTGGTGCCCCTCTCTACGGCCCCTCTTCTCAGACCTCCCCGCTGAACGAGATGCTCTCCCGCTCTCAATTCCGCGGTAAGCATGTGCTGTCCGTGAACCAGTTCACTCGCGCGGACCTTCACTTGCTCTTCACCGTGGCCCAGGAGATGCGCCTCGGCGTTCAGCGCCAGGGTGTCCTCGACGTTCTGAAGGGTCGTGTTCTGTGCACTCTCTTCTACGAGCCCTCCACCCGCACCTCGGCTTCCTTCGATGCCGCTATGCAGCGCCTGGGTGGCCGTGTCGTCTCCATTGCCACTGAGCACTCTTCTACCCAGAAGGGTGAGTCTCTCCAGGACACCATCCGCACTCTTGGCTGCTACGGTGACGCCGTGGTTCTGCGCCACCCCAGCCCCACCAGCACCGACGTTGCCGCCAAGTTCTCTCCCGTTCCCATCATCAACGGTGGAAACGGTGCCGTTGAGCACCCTACCCAGGCCTTCCTGGACCTTTTCACCATTCGTGAGGAGTTGGGTACCGTCGCCGGTCTGACCATCACCTTCACTGGTGACCTCCGGTACGGTCGCACCGTCCACTCCTTGATCAAGCTGCTCCGCTTCTACGATGTCCAGGTGCAGCTTGTGTCCCCCAAGGAGTTGGCTTTGCCCGAGGATGTTCGCAAGCAGCTTGTCGCCTCTGGCCAGCTCCGTCTTGAGACTGATGTTCTGACCCCTGAGATTGTGGCCCGCTCTGACGTTCTGTACTCCACCCGTGTGCAGAAGGAGCGCTTCTCCGATCTCGCCCAGTACGAGCGTCTCAAGGACAGCTTTGTCATTGACAACGCTCTTCTCAAGCATGCCAAGAGCCACATGGTTGTCATGCACCCTCTGCCTCGCAACGCCGAGATCACCGAGGAGGTTGACTTTGACCAGCGGGCTGCTTACTTCCGCCAGGTTTGTTTACTCCCCATGCCCTTGTCTTTGGTTTTGAATCCTGACTAATTTCTTTTTTTTCTTTCTAGATGAGATATGGCCTGTACTGCCGCATGGCCCTCCTGGCTTTGGTTTTGGCCCCTTAAATCTTTGGCTTTTTTAATAATGTGCAAACAAAAAGCGCCTTTGATTTTCTCTCTCACGCATGACATGTTTTTCTTTTCCTGTTTTTGATTTCAAAAGTGTTTGTTCTGTCTGGATATCTTTTGCTATGTAGGTGTGCAGCTACCTATACGTATAAGAACAGCTGTATAGATTAGACGAATCTCCCTTTCTTATGAATTCCACGCATCCGTGCTATGTATATGTGTATATTATGATTTTTTCATGTGTTATGTGTTATTTGTTATGTGTGTCGTGTGTGTCGTGTGTTGCGTTTCGTGTGTTTTTTGGCGTGCGTGTTGCGTTTGGTCGGTTTTGCGTCGGTTTTGGGTCATTCTTGGGTTTTTCTTGGGTTTGGTGGGGTTTGGGGACATTTCGGGGGTTTCAACAGCTATATACCAATTTCATTTTTCATTTCTACTTGATATTTCTCCTCTTTTCCATGATTTATATCATAAAAAAACGTGAAACAGTTGAAGTCTGAGAAATCCATTTTCGTCTGCTGGTGGAGACAGACTCCACTGCGCTAAACCAGATTCGACATGCCATCAACCAGACCAGTTGCCATCTTCTTACTTGGGAACCTTGGAATGTCTTCTACAACTCATACTAACATTCAATCCCAGTGATTATATCCATGCTATTGGTATTCTCACATGCAAATGACTGATCATCTTTCTCATGTCTATTCTATTCCATTCCATTCTCTTTCCTTTCCACCTCCTAACTCAAACTCATCATTCAAATTATCATTTCATTCCAACACTTCCACTCAACGCACTCCAGTAAGAGCTCCCCTGTGAAGCAAACCATCAACTTCATCTCACATTCCTCTCCACGCAGCAAGTTTTGAGTACTAACAATATCTTTCAAGTGGGGATTTAGGAAACAAAGCGCTGACGAGTATTCCTGCTCCTGAAAATGTCTCCTACAGGAGTTACTCGCTCGGAATCAGCCATTGAAAACGACCCTCTTGACAAGGGCATGATTGAAAGTCCACCACAAATCGACCCAACTTCCCGACCTCTGACCCCCCTTTCACTTTTCGGCCCTATCTTAAATCCCACAAGCCTCACCTTGCCATGCTCGGATAACCCTGTACCCCCAATTATCACTCGGTGTACGCACTGCTGGCGGAGAGATCATGGTAAGTCGTCATGTTTTTACAACCATTCCGTCAGCCTAGAAGGAGAATACTAATGGACTCAGCAACCGAGAGCTCAGAATGCGAGTTTCAACGACTACGAGCCCACTGGATGGCTGAAAAGGAGAGGGCTTCTAACGAAGTCAGTCGCTTGGAAAGTCGAAATGTGACCCTTGCAGCTAATTATGCTCAAGTTCGGGCTGCACAGGATGAACTCATCGCTCGAGTTCAATACTTGGAGTATGAAGTTGGTCTTCTTCGATCAGCGAACACCCAGCTTCATACCAATATTATGCAGCTGACGTCTAAAAATCCTGCTGGCTCAAGCTCACACTTTTAGCCAAGTCCTCTCGCTGCTTTTGGGGTTGTTTTCTTTCAAAATTCCGATTTACCATCACAAGGGACAAGTAAACCCGATTCTAACCAGCCCCAGCCGTTGTGATGAAATGCTTCTCTACTACAGAGGCGTTTTCAAGGTTGGAATAGCGACAAAATGAGCCTTTTTCCATCCTTCTTACTATTCTCTCGCCATCATTTTTAGCATCTTAGGCTTTGTATTCTTATTTTCTATTCTCTATCATTCATTTGCTTTGTTCCTTTGTCCCTTTGGTTTGCCCCTCTTTCATTTCTTTCGTAATACTCTTCCATTGTCCCTGTGTTAGTATTTTCAAGGAAGATTCATTCAAGGTCGGAATTGTTGTTCCTCTGAATGGTTTCTTGTCCTTTCTTCAAGCACTTGAGATCTACAAATAGCCTCTCTAGAACAATGCACATTATAAGTAGAAAGAAAAAACCATGAAAGTATGTATGCAGTACTAGGCATGAATACTTGATACATCATACATCGCATTGTATCCTCGAGATCCCTACCACCTCTTTGTCCTTGAATAATAATAGTTCTTCATTGTACAATTATCAACACAATGGCTATATTCAAGTCGAGGATTCTGGGATTCGAGAATATAAAGACCCCGAGCATCTCACTACCTGGCATCCATCAAATCATCAGCATTCAAAACATTCAAAACATTCAAAACAACATCAAATCCACACCTTCAAAGGCTCTCAAATTTCAGATAAGATCAACGATTTTCTACCTTGAACTCTCACCCCCCAAGAAAATCATACAATTTTAAAAATGGACACTGATTTTAGCTACATTCACGAAGTCGACGATGACCTCCGCGGCGATATACTGGGACTTCTAATTGATACTCGTTTCCGCGCTAGACAAAATGACGGGCGGAATGCGCAACAGGCTATAGAAGACACAATCATGTACCTATCAGCATTTGGTCCAGAAATTTTCGAGCATAGTATGGATATTATCTGGGACAAGGAACTTTTCCGCGACGATGTCAACGTCTTTTACGGAGGCCCCCGAATGGTTGCGGTTGGTCCTCCACGGGCCGGACAAGGACGTACTATTGTGCTAGACATGATTGAAATGGTTCAGCTGCCCGAGTCTTGGTTTATTCAGGGTGTTGTTCTTCCTGATCTTGGTTTTGCTCAGGGCTTCGATACTGTGGATTTCCGCGGTCTGACTGCTCAAACTCTTGCTTCGTTGACACGTAAAGCGGTAGGTGAGCTTGTTTCTGCTGGCAAGGAGACTGACTGTGCTATTTGCAGGGAGAATGTTGCGGCTAACTCTGATGTTATTGTTCTTCCTTGCGAACATTGGTTCTGTGTTCGATGCATTACCACTTGGCTGCGGGATAACAACAGCTGCCCTATGTGCCGTCACACACTGTGAGAGGGATTGAAAGATTGGTAGAAGGTGGATTTTTCTTACTACAAGTAGGTTTGTTTGCATGTTCCGTTAATTATAGACAGAATTTGACTTCAAAATTCGATCATCCTCCTACCCAGTTGTCCAAAATTGTAGAATTTAGAAACCAAAAGTCTTCAGGCACATTAAAGCACGAGTTCTAGTAGATAACAGGACATTTTACTGCCAAGCGTAGATACAAGTCCAATGGCCCCAGACTGGATGTCTCTCTCTCTTTACCATGCGCAACCCTCTCTTCTCATAGAACCTACAAGCTGGGAGATTCCCTTCAGCGGTTCGTAACCAAAATCCTCCATCCTCTCTTGGGTATTTTCTTTTAACTAGGTCAAGCAGAAAATCCCCAAGTCCGAGATTCTGCGCGTCGGGGTGAACAAAAAGCTGGTCTAATGCCTTTTCTTTCTTGTTGATCGCCACAAATCCCAGAACCGTATGTGCAGGGGAGTATTTGCTTTCAGGATCATCGGTGGATTCAGGAGCAGGTGAATTGGCGAGCAAGACCTCAAAAGTATCTTGTTGTGATAACATCTGCTCAAGCCTTTCCTGACAGCCGATCAAGGTGTTGAGGGGTGTTGATGGGATTTCGACATCGCGGGGTAAACTATTCCATGATTCAAAAAAGGTCTGCGCTACTGGTGGGAGAATTTTCAGTGACAGTGGAGTTGTGTTGAACTTTGGCATTCTTTCAGGTAGTCTCTTTGAAGGTTGAAGGTTGATACTTGAAATTGTGAATGGCATTTCCTATGAAGAGTCTTCCATAATCAACACCGCTACTTTCTATGCACTAGAGGTTTCCGATGCCTATGGAATCAACAGCAGAGTTACTTATTTTCAACACTTCCGCATCATTTGTAAAGATCCATCGAGCTCATAATCAGAATTGTTCGGTATGAAAAATGGTCTATTAGCTGAATGTCTATATATAGCGCTGTGAGGTCACCCAAGTGGGCCACATAAGTACATCACAAAGAAAACAAAAACAATCTATCAGTCATGAAACAAGACAAAAAAACAACAAGACTGTCCAAGGAAATTAAGACAAAGACAGCAAAATTTGCATGCATGTCATGACTCGAAATCATTAGATGTGCGATTCACTAAAGTCCATGAGCTCGGCACCCTTGGCTTTCAAGTCATCGAGCACATTATACTCCATAATCCACTTCATACGCTCCATCAGCGCCTCGGGGTTAAACTTATCAGTCATGCGATCAGGTTCATCCGAGCTAGCAAGCTTTCCAGCTTCAAAGCTAGTCTTTGTCACTCGGTCCGTGCGAGGCTTGCGCAGGTCCTGGTAAAATTGGAATGCAGCCTGCAGATCATCGTTCTTCCAGTGGGTAAGAATCGTGGCTAGTGCGATACCGGACTCGATGGCCATACAGACACCTTGGCCTATTATCAAAATCGTTAGTCATGGTTTTCAAAATAGAATAGTTCTTTAGATATAGAGCATAAGCTTACCCTGGTGGGGAAGAGTCGAGTGAACAGCATCACCGAGGAGGACAATTCCCGCATCCTTTTGCCCGTCCTTCATCTCGTACCACTTGGCAATTGGCTCGCGCACATAAAGCGCTTGCTTCATCATTCGGCCATCGGGCGATCCCGCCTCAAGACCCTTAATAAGATCTTGCACCTGTGGGCACCAGTCCTTGACGTGCTCCTGTAGGGTACTGATCTCCGAGCGGGCCATCCAGTTCTCGGAATCCCAGGACTCGAGCGGCTCGGACATAAATCCAATAACACCAATGCGGTCTGTCTGAGTATCAGGGTTGCCGATAGGTAGGCACAGAATATGACGCTTTGGTCCACGGAAGTTGACAACGTTGTGGAGCAGCTTAGCAGTTTCTTCGGGTAGATCCTTGTAGTCGACGAACCCACGGTACACGACCTGGCCGGAGTAATTGGGCGAGTCTCCAAAGCCGAGTTCGCGACGTACTCTGGATTTGATACCATCGCATCCGATAACGATGTCAGCATCGGTGGTGGTGCCGTCCTCAAAGTGCAGGGTGTAGGGTGCTGCGTCGGGGCCGGTGTTGCGGTCGAGACGGGCGAGACGCTTCTGGAGGTGAAGGAGGTTTTCTGGGACGGACTCCTTGAGCGAATCGAGGAGGTGGGCTCTGTGGATGAGACGGGCGTGCGGCTCTGAGAATTCCTCGATATGACCGAGGTATTCGCCGGACTTGTAGTTGTGGTATTGCATATAGTAGGGGAGCTGGGGCGAGGAGCGGCTAAGAAGAGATTCCTTGAGGCCAAATGCGTCGAGAATGCGGTTTGCGTTGGCAGAGATGTCGACTCCGGCGCCGACTTCACCGAATTGATGGGCTTGCTCGTAGCACTGGATATTCTTCACGCCGGCGTATTGGGCGGCGTTCATGAAGGCCATGCCGCCGAGACCGCCACCGACAACCACAACTCGTTTGTCTTGGAAACCCATTTTGTTATGGATGATGCTTGGTGATTGGCTTTCTTTGAAGTGGAGAGGAGTTTATAGTGGAGTGAACACTAATTGTGGAAGTGGCTTTTGCTTGAGGTAGCTTTGGCTTGTTGTATACTGAGAATGAGATGCGATGGTGAATGGAATGAAGGATGAATGGTGTTCTCATGCTGGCTATTTGACTGTTTTTCAAAGTTAGAGATGACCGGCCCATTGCAAAGTGTAATAATAATAGCTATCCGATGCATTGCTGAGGAGTTGAGATGTCGGAGTTCTCGAGAGACGTGCATGGTATGATGTCTACCCCCTTCCGAGGCGCTACTGAAGACAGCGGGGCTCTAGAGGCCGATCATCCGTGTGCACCAGGCATCCACTTGGGGAAAACCTGCCCGCATATTCTTGTTAGTGAAAAAGCTTCATTGACTATTCTAGTCTGCATCTGGTATTTTGGGGGGTTGGTGCTTACCGGAAGTGCACCATGCACATTGCTCAGCTTCCGAAGCCCCCACTATTCATCGGATGGGGCTGCTTATGCGCAGGCAGCGCAGCCAACAGAGTCCAACAGGCCGAGTTAACCGGGGTTGGAACGAATCAACGAGGTTTCCGTGATCTTCATCTCAAGGGTGCGTCATTGGGAAACAGGCTTTGTGTAATTGTGGGAATCCCGAAGGATGAGCTGCACGTTGTCCCGAGTGAGTTATTCTTTCGGGATTCCGGTTTCATCAGCGCTTGGAGAGGATCTTGTTGCCAGCATACACGGTTAGAATCGGACCAGTTGACGGATATCGGCTCGCTTGACGTACAACATTGAATGTATAGAGAAGACTCCGAAGATGAAACTATGCAATGCTCCATTTCTGGCCCATCCATGAGTGTGTGATGATTCCAAGATTTGTAGAGGTCTACTCATTCGCCAAAGGTACTTTTAGTCTACGGGTATAACCAACATTGAAGATTTCTTCGGGAATAACTGTTGGAACTGTTGACAACCTTGAAATGGGCATCGGATTCCGTTATCAACTAAATGATCTTGATTTGAATTTCATTTCGGCTAAATATGCGTACTCATAAATTTTCCCACGTATCACGTCCAAGGCTCCGAGTCTATTCCCCAACAGATCTATAGATTGGCCAGGGTGGATGGCGCGGCAAGTTCACCAGGCTGAATAGCCCGTGGACCACCAGTCTCACTGGGATCCTCTAGTCCTTGTGCAACCAAGTCTGTAAAGTCAATGCCCACGCTATTCAAATGTGCCGCATGCTCGTGCACGATATCCAGACACTTATCCCATATCGATGTGCCTCGTTGCACACTACTAAGCTGGCGACTGAGCAAGGCGTTGAAGCCATCCAGATGTTGCTTGGCCCAGCGGATAGAGGAGCTGGACATTGAGCTGGGGAAGCACTTCTGGTAGATGCCGACCGTGTTCTTGATGAGACTGAAGTAGACGTATGAGATTTGGAAGATATAGAGAGGGAGGTCACCCTCAAACACGCAAGCCCTGTTTCGACGTTAGAGGTGGTTCGTTGTTATTATTTAGAGTTGATTAGTAGTACTCACCGAATGCGCTTGGCGATAATATCAGTTCGAGCCCTCAGATAGGTCTCACGGGCCTGATCCTCGAATCCTAAACGACTTAGCCAAGTGACATTAGTCTTGGTCGCCGTAGGAAATGAGTGGGTGTCGACCAGTGCACGGGAGAGTATCCCAGCGAGTCGAGTTGCTCGTCCATCAATCTTCACATTAATCACGTCCTGGGCCATGGCATTTCCTTTCAGTCCCTTGGCCAGCTTTCGAAGTCGTTCGATGCTGGACACTGCAGCCTCGAATCGCTGCAGCGCGATGTCAATGTCAAGCTCGTCGATTTGTCCCTCCACCCAGCGAAGGTTCTGTTGCTTGCCATCCACATCAATGCGCACATCTGATTTGTCGCGTGGGCTATCCGTCAACTCAAACTGATCGGCTTTTTGAGGGTACGAGGTGTGTCGTCCGGTGAGGTATCCATAAGACTCCAGAGGTTTGCTTGCGGCTTCGGTTTCTGAGCGCAAGTTCCGTCGGAGATCCTCCACTGTTTTGCGAAAGGTCGCGAGCAGTTCGTTTTTGGTGGATGTATCGCGTTTGTCTTGGCGATAGGTAAATGGCTTAGACCCTACGCGGATACTGATTGCATTGGCAATGCCGCGATCCAAAGCCTCCGCTCGCGCCGCGCCAGTTCCCAGATTTGTTGCCAAGTCAATGATATCGATGTCTTGTAGTGGCCAACACTCTTCCGCAACCAGTTTAGTAGGGACCGGTCCACGGTGAGCGGGTTGATTTTGGTCCACACGCTTGCGCTTCTTGGCGGCCACCAACAAATGGTCGTTCAACAAGACGATATGTACCGGTCGCTTTGGCTTCCAAGTGGCCGAGTCCAGCTCCGCCCAGTGACCTGTTTCCAACACAATGTGTCGCCCGGGTACAGCCGGGAGGAATTTCTGTGAGCCCTCCACGCTTTTCCATAATGCCTGCAACTGCACACTCCACATGCTTTCCAGGTTGGCGACGGAGCTGCGATTCGAGCTCCGTTTCGGGAACTGGTCGTCGACTGGCGACATAGGATTTGGACTGTTTCCTACGGTCGTCTGTCCGAGCGCATTGGTCAGTTCAGCCATGAGGGTCCGCAGGGTCCGCATCTCGTCCTTGAGTTTCTCAGCCTCTTTGCTGATTTTGATAAACTGTGTGCGGTTCTGGTAGACATTCTGCTGGAGGTCGGTCGAGGTTCGGTTTTTGACTTTGCGAAGGCTTTCTTGGTATTTTTGGATTTCCTCCTCGGACGCGTTCGCAAGAAGATTGGCCACATCTGGAGTTGTATGTCAGTTTTCGTCTAGGTGAAAGGAGCGGAGGGTATGGAAAGGCACATACATCGCTCTACCGGTAGACTAGGATCCCGAAGAACGTTCAAATCCACTCTGAGTGATGATGAGGGGGCGCCATCCGCCGGTGATGGCTGCCTCTGAGCAGTGGTTGACGGTAGCCCACCATATCCACCCCCGGGCACCGGCGGGGGAAGCGAGGGGACAGGAGGTGCACTGGTATCAATGTCGCCCGGGTTATTGAATCGGGTGGAGTAGCGTCTTTTTACCAAATCGGCGGTGGCATCACTCTGGGGAGCTCGGTCCTTGCTTGCGGGGATGGTGTTTGGGCCGGCATCGGGTGCTCTGGTATTTGGCGGTAAGGGACTGGAGATGGGTTTCGGAGCACTGATTTGAGGACGCTGACGACGAGATTTACTCCGCAGAGTTAATCCTCGGCCTTCCATTGTTGCGATTGGGGATGGGTTGGGATCACTGGAGATTGGACAAGGGGAAGTTGGGACATCTGGAGGATCCCGTATCGGGCTAGCGGTAGGTTACAGTTACGGAGTAGGGACAGCTATTCATTGGTGTACTATGGATGTATGCCTGTACATAGAAACTTATTTCTTTCAGGTTCATTTGTACGCTAATTACCTATATCAAATTCCTTCTTTCTAAAGATTTGAATACAGCCTATTCAAAGGTAGTATCATGGTGTAGGTACATATTTTACATATCTTTAAATGTATGGGTTGGTCCAATGTAAATGACGTACCTAGTAGTAGTAGGTACACACTACTAACATTGTGTATATATATCTTCAATTTCTCCAGATTTCACTTCAAAAGTGACATTGATGCATGGTCTTCTATAGTTGACTTTGAAAGCTAAAGCAATTCCTTCGTATTTAAACTAAATCCTTTATTGGAGTCTTCACTTGTTAAAAAGAGCATCTGAGGTATTCCCTTCATGACATGGCACCCGAAGAGGAAGTGGCCGGAAGAACAAATTTCCTGTCCAAATTCAAATTTATCCCCAAAACACGTCGTTAGCTTCGTCACCTTCTAACCCCGTCATTTCTTCAGATCCTGTTCGGTCGCGTCATTCATTCCAACCCTTTAACCTCATTTCCTCCTTTCATAATGCGCACATCTGTTCTGATTGCCGCGTCGGCTGGTACCGTCGTCGCTGGTTTGCTCGGTAAGCATCGGACCTCTCGGCAATGAAGCCTTGTCAATGCATCATTCCGTCTCAGTCTCTCGCCTGTCCTGCGTTCGATTATCGAATCTTGTCTTGATCTAACTTTCCCATGAATTAGCCTATGCCGCGTACTTTGATCACAAGCGTCAGACTGATGCCGAGTTCCGCAAGTCCCTGAAGCGCAACAACAAGCGTCTCGCCAAGGCCGTGAAGGAGGAGGTTGAAGCCCAGGGTGCTCAGCAGCGTGAGGTGATCAAGGAGGCCGTTCAGCGCGCCAAGGAGGAAGGCTTCCCCACTGATCTGGAGGAGAAGGAGTCCTACTTCATGACCCAGGTTGCTACCGGTGAAGGACTGTGCCAGGATGGTATGTATTGCAGCGCAGCTCCATGGCGTGAAGACCCAACATGAAACCTTTTGATCACGGGAAATAAAATAAAAAGAAGACAAGAATGCTGATATTAGTCGTGCAAATAGGTAACAGCCAGATCGAGGCCGCTATTGCCTTCTACAAGGCCCTCAAGGTCTACCCCCAGCCCAAGGACCTGATCTCCATCTACGACAAGACTGTCCCCAAGGAGGTTCTGGAGATCTTGGCTGAGATGGTTGCTATGGATGCTGGTCTTAAGCTTGGCAGCTTCACTGGCGAGAGTGCCGGTGCTGCTGATAACCACGGAGTCGAATAAATGCGACCCTTGGAACCTGAAGCAAAAACCTCTTCCCATTTCTTTTCCTTGGCTTGACCTTGGCTGTATTATTTTATTGTCGCTTTTTAACCTCATACCTTCCTCGTTCCCAGCCTGTCCACTCTCCACAATTGCCTCTTTACCACCCCAATTTTTCTTTTTCTCTTTTTCTCTTTGCCGTCTTGTCGTGGTGAATGTGTACATGTATTGGGCTTGGCCCGGCCTTGGTATTTTCTGGGCGCTAGGAAATTGGAATTTTGTTTCCCACTCTCTTCTCCTTATTTTCTCTCTATTCCTTTTCTCATTTCTTGGGGGCTCGTTGTTTTCCATCTATTTTATAGTGAGTTGTGTGCATTTAATCTGGGTAGGGCCTCGGGACACGGGGGAAAACAAGGCGACCATGAATATGCAGATAATGTATTTTAGAAGAACGAATCAAAATGATCCACATACGAAGTGATTGAATTGAAAGAATAAATAGAAGCAATGCAAATGGTGGCTGAAACCTGGTGGAATAAGCCCAATCAAAATGGACTTATCATAATTAGCGTACCAAGTTGAAGTGACTTCATTGACCCGCAGGCGTCTCAGGGCACATTTTCCACATTTTCCAGGGACTTTCAGGGCCTTTCAGGGACTTAATCAACTTGGACCCTGAACTCTCATCCTCACTGGACATTCATCCTCTGACCGGCTCCACTTCAAGGGTTTTGTCCCCCCCGCCGATCATAATCCCGCCTGCTTTTAAACTCCAAACTCCTTTTCCTCTTTGTTATTTGATTTTTCCTGCTATTTTCATTTCTCGGTTCATTTTGGTGATCTATATCGCCCGACGTTCGTTCTTTCCTTTTGAGCTCGTTGCTCCCAACTTCTTATACTTCCAATCGCTTCCACAACTTCCCCAGCTCTTTTTTGTTTATCTTCCACTTATTTTAATATATCTCGATCGCATTCATCATGGTTTTCGTATGTGCTTTCCCCATTCATCGGAGAAGGAGAAGATAGGAATCTTAAAAAGAATCCGCGAAGAGATTTAGAGCTATGGAATGGCTTCCAAGGTTGGGGGAGTGCTGACCGCTATACAGTCTCAATCTTACGGCCGTGTGCTTACGGCTGCCTGTGCCCTCATCGGTACCGCTGCTGCTGTTACCACTCTTGAAGTGGATGGCAAGGACTTTGTCAACTCCGAGACTAAGGAGCGTTTCCAGATCATCGGTGTCGAGTATGTCTAATCCCCTGGGGTTTTGAAAATGCCCAATGTCAGCATTAGACCCCCGAACTGACACCGTGCACAGCTACCAGCCCGGTGGTGAATCTGGCTTCAGCTCCACCAAGGATCCCCTGAGCCAGCCTGATGCCTGTCTTCGTGATGCTATCCTGATGCAGTCACTGGGCGTAAGTATTGGACCTGCGAATGACCCAGCCAAAAGATAGAAGAAGAAAAAAAGACGCCCATACTGATTCCCTCTAGGTGAACACTATCCGTGTTTACAATGTCGAGCCCACCCTTGACCACAACGAGTGCGCCTCCATCTTCGAAGCGGCCGGCATCTACATGATTCTCGATGTCAACTCTCCCTACTCCACTGGCTCGCTGAACCGAGCTGAGCCCTGGACCAGTTACACCGCTGGCTACTACGAGCAGGTCTTCGGTGTTATCGAGGCCTTTAAGGCGTTCGATAACGTCCTCGGTTTCTTCGCTGGAAACGAGGTCATCAACCAAGACGCTGCCTACATTGCCCCCGCCTACGTTCGTGCTGTCGTTCGTGATATGAAGCAGTACATCAAGAACAATGTCAACCGTACTATCCCCGTTGGTTACTCTGCTGCTGACGTTCGTGATATCCTGATGGATACCGCCAACTACTTCGAGTGCAGCCTCTCCAACTCCACTGAGTCGTCCGCTGACTTCTTCGGTCTGAACTCCTACTCCTGGTGCGGTGATGCTACCTACACCTCTTCCGGATACAACGTCCTCACCGAGGACTTCTCCAACGCCACCTTGCCCGTCTTCTTCTCCGAGTATGGATGTAACGAGGTCACTCCCCGTACCTTCAGCGAGGTTCAGGCTCTGTACGGCGAGGACATGACTCAGGCTTTCTCCGGTGGTCTCGTCTACGAGTGGACCCAAGAGTCTAACAACTACGGTCTTGTCGATGTCAACAGCAGCAGCGTCGTTACCACTCTGGTCGACTTCGATAACCTTAAGAAGCAGTTCAACCAGATCGACATGGACCGCATCTCGACTGCCAACAAGACCCAGACCAGCATTGATGCCCCTGCCTGTGCCGCTGATCTTATCACCAGCTCGGACTTCTACAACTCCTGGGACTTGCCCGAGGCTCCTTCCAAGGTTTCCGACTACATCAAGAGCGGTCTGCCCAACGCTCCCTCCGGTTCCGTTGTCTCTGTCAGCAGCACCTCTCTTTCTCAGACCGTCTACGACTACACTGGCGCTCAGATCACCGGCCTTACCTTGAAGGTTCTGACTGGTGATGAGTCTGCTGGTCCCAGCGGTACCTCCACTTCCTCCTCTTCCAGCGGAACCGCTTCCTCCACCAAGAATGCTGCCATGGCCAACAGCGCTCCCCTTGCCCTTGGTGGTATTAGCGGCTTCTTCATGCTTCTTGCTACCCTGGTTTAGGGATGTTTAGTGTATGAGGATAGATGATAGAGTGTAGACAATCGCTTTTCTCTTTCTCCCTTTTTCTGGTCACTTTTTTCTTCTTCTTTGGCATGATTCTTGTGAATGCTTGGTTTTTTTCTTTTTCTTCTTCTCTTTATTTACTAGTTTCCTGCACATGATTGGTGTGTTTTGAACAATGAATGTCTTTCCATGATTACAACATCCATGGATGTCTGTTCAATTTTTTAAATGTCTTCCAAGGTTGAGAGGCTGAAGTTAAGCCATTGTTGAATTGAATTGTCTTGTATTGGAGTCTAAATCTAACTGCGGAAATAAAAAAACGAAATCGAAACACCCGAATGAAACAGATATGGTACTAGGCAACAATTGTAATAAAGCAAACACACATTCAAAACATCCACGTATTAATCCCATCCACCTTATCTGCATTTGATAAATGTACTATGTACCCGTCATATTAGAGCGCTCTCGCCTTGCCCTTCCCCTTCCCAGAGGACTGAGAAGATGACAAATGCCCCGACGCCAGAGCAGGAAATTCTTCCCACTCTTGAACATCACGGCTTTGATCCTCGGCCAAGCTGAGCTGAATAGCAAACTCAAGATCATCCATCTCTTTTTGCTGACTGCTCTCGGGACCAGTCATCGACGGGGATGGTGATAAAGAGCGCCTCCTCACGCCCTTTGCGTACTTGATCGGAATAGAAGGCGTCAAGTCGACAGAAGGATAAGGGTCCGCAGCCTTCTCCTCGAGAAGACTCAGACGAATGGCTTCGGCCAAATCGTCGTCCACGGCGTCGTCATCAACGGCATTTTGATAGGGCGATGAGGAAGACGACAGCTCGTCGAAGCCGCAGGAGCTAGGCCCAGCCGGATCACTGTATGAAGTGCCGAGGGAGCTCGCAATGGCGGTATCGTCGCGCTTTTGCGTGTCTGCCTCAGCTCCACTATGGGCTTCCTGACTCAAAAGTTGGGCGTAGAGAAGCAGTTGTTCTTCGTCAATGTCAGGACCAAGAAGATCCACTCCAAAGCGTGCGCTGAGATGGGCTTGCTCCCTGGCATCTTCGATCTCCTGCCGCTTGATTTCGATCCGTTCGTCTTCGATGAAGTCATTGATTGCTCCGCGTCCACTCGACGTGAAACGTTGACCGCTATTAGCCTCGTTACTACCGCGAAGGCCGCGTCGAAGCTGGCGCTTAGTGCCCTTGTACTGATCGGCGCCAGATGAACTGTACGACCAGTAGCGCAGGTGAGTACCGAGGGAAACCATGCCCCTAAGAACTGTTGGATCTGGGTCTAGGCAAATAGCGCCCGCAGCGAAGAAATTATTCCCCACGCCAAGCATGGTGGCCTCTGCCTGGACCAGCCGGCGGCGAGCACGGGTTGAGAAACGAGAATTAATGGTTCGGATTGGCCGAGTAGACGAGGCCAGGTGGTCCCACGCCTGTACGAGACCGTCGTTGCCACCATGCACCAGATATAGCGATGTCAGTGCCACGCAAGAGACTTGGGGCGACTCGGTTTGGATAATCCGAAGCGGAGCAATGGAATTTATCACATCTGCTCTTTGCGCAGCCAGTGCACGGATATCCCAAACATAGATTGTGCCGCTCGCCGTTCCCACGGCCAGATATCTGGCTCGTTGTCCTGGGACCTCCAATGCTGTCCGCGGCTGGTCCATATGAGGCAGCATCGGGGATGAAGTCGCAGACGAGAATGAACTCCCAGACATTGCGAGCAAAGGATCCTCTTCCGCGGTGACGGTCGCAAACAAAGAGTTATCTAAGGCGGTGGTAGTCACTTCAATCGATTTGCGGTCATCGAATACAAAGTTCGAGATCTTCCATTCAGCGTTATTCGCCACATCATTCACCTCATATGAGGGTCGAGAGGCTGGAATGCTACTTGGAGTTGATGCTCCAACCGGCCCGCCGAATAGAGAGCGATGTTGTTCGTGGCCTGGCGTTCCCGGTGAGGATTTTAGGTCAAAGCTAGACGCAGCTCGAACATATCGTCGGACGGATGCTTTCTCGGCTTCATCCGCGCCTCGGGCAATAACAATCACCGACTCCCCAGACCCACGTCCATCATCACCCGCAAAATCGACTTGCAAGTCGCGCCGCATGTTCCAGCCCTCGCAAACCTTGCGGAAATGTTTCGGCTTGAAAGAAAGATAATTTTCAATTTCTTTCGTTTCTGCGGCAATCTGGCTTTCATTGAGTTGCATGAAATCCGAGGAAGATCGCGGGGTATAGCTTCCATCGACCAGTTCTCGGTTGAAGGGGTCTGGGCGAGCGATGCGCCGACTCGCTTCAACAAGCTCCCAGCGGACCGTGCGACCAGTCTTCCAAGCCTGCTCGTCAGACTGCTCGGGTGTCAACTTTGCCGTTGGTGGAATGTCTTGCGCGTGTGGAAGATCTTCAAGGTAAAAGATTTCACCCAGCGCGTTCAAGACAACGGCCCAAATTCGTCGACGGGAGTGACGCCTCGGCGAGTAACTCTCATCAACAGCAATGCCGATAATCGGCACGCCTGGGCACAAGACCCATCTGGCAGTTACCTGTCCTTCCTCGTACCGCCTCTCGTATGTGGGATGAGGGCCAAGCGCATATGTTGTCAGTAAACCAGAAGATGAACCTGACATCATGGCGACAATACCTCCAGTCGTTTTAAGGACCGAGGAAGACTTGGCAATCCATACGGAGCAAACGGCATGAGTGATCATATTCACTGCGGGAATTCCAAGCTGTGGGTGAGAACCCAACTCCGAAAGTCCTAAGAACCGGCCACGCTTCTCCGTAGTTGAGATGAAGTAGCTGCGGCCGAGGGGACATCCCTCACCATAGATCATGCCATAAGGCTGGCTCACATCCATGGAGTTGGAAGTACCGACCATCTCCCCGGCTCCGAGACCATACGGTGCATCTCCGGGGAACATGTCCGCAAAGTGTCGGAACATCTGGTGATCTGATAATCCCCAGGTGCCCACCTTCACGGTCGACGGGTCACTCGCTGAGGCGATGCCTTGTTCAGAAGCGCCATGAATAAAACGCGGTTCTTTGTCAGAAGTTTTGAAGGATCCATGGAGATGGCTGACGGGGAGCACCAGCTGTGAAGTGTATGTTGCGATAGCACTTCCATTGCGCGAGGCTACCGCGCGAACGGTGCCATTCTTTTTCGATGGCTGGAAATCCGCTGGTTTGCCTCGAGCTAACGACCGCATCAGGCGAGTTCGTAGGATGTATTCGCTACGCCAAGACGCGAGTGCGGTCAGTCGCGCGAAATACCGTCTATCCGAGACTAAATCATCTTGGTCCAGATGGCGCGCATCCACCACGCTTTGAGGGCCTGGGAAGAACCGCGAGAAAGCGATTCTCCAGGCATGTGGGGTTGTGACGAGTGCATGGAATCGACGAGACACCAAGGTGATTGCGGAGAGAGATTGCGGTGGCAGATGCGACAAGATGTGAGTAAGAACCTCTTCAGTAAATTGTTAGTATGGACAGTGCTTTGCAGCAAAATTTCAACCGAGACAGGCTCGCATACCATTTGGAAGTGTCTCCAAAGGGAGTGTAGACTCATCACTGGCCACAACTTGAAACCCATGGTTTGCCCCTCTCTTTCTTGGAGTCCCAGCATTTTCATGCTGGCTCACCCGTTGAGCCGAAGGCGGGGTTGACACAACATCACCCAGATTGTTCAAGGGCGTATCGTCGGTCTCTGTGGAAGTCGACCCGTCTGGCGCTCCCGAGCCTCCAGACTTCTCTTCAGGGAGAAGACCAGAGACTGGGCTCGCTTCAGAAACATTTCCATGCTGGGTAGGATTGGGGTTTGCGCGGGGTGGATCTGGGAAAGACGTCTTTTCGGATACGGCAGTAGGCTCGGATTGCATATAAAGGACTTGGGGGGAGATCGGAATGAAAGCGACTGAGCCAGCAACAAACCTGGACCAGTCGGGGGTATTTGAAATGCGATTTGGAGGGGGTGGAACGTGCGAAGTGAGGCGTTGAGGAGGAGAAGAGATGGTAAAGCCGGAATGGAGGCGAAAAGCGGCGCGACCGGGGCCAATCAGCAAAACTGAATAACTCGAAAATTCAGGGAAAAATTCTTATAAATTACACTTTGGTCTACAAAAAAGTATTTGGATGCGCATCAGTCATCATAAATACTACTTCGTACTTTCCATGATATTGGCTGGGACTCATTTAATCGATAATCGTGACTCATACTTAGTCCCCCTTATCCTCTTTACGAGCTCTGCCTGCATAGTAATTTACTAAGTAAAGTAAGAGATTATTACTACGCGTCAGGATCACGTGATGGCGCGCTTTTTACGTGTCTCGCATCTTTCTATCTGCCTCATCTTCAATAGGACCAGCTGGTGATCTTTGTTGTTGACCCCCGAATCAGCCAGCTGGTATCTTTTTATTGATTCCTTTTTTTCCAAAATGGCAGGAGTTAATGGTAAATTCTATCCAAAAGATTTGATGCTCAAAACAAGTCCGCCTTGCTAATCTGAAGTAGAGGCGGAGACTATCCGCATTCTCATCTCAACTGATAACCATGTCGGTTACAATGAAAGAGACCCCATTCGAGGCGATGACAGTTGGAAAACTTTCCACGAAATCATGTGTCTTGCCAAAGAAAAAGACGTGGACATGGTGTTGTTGGCGGGAGATTTATTCCATGAGAATAAGCCATCAAGAAAGTCCATGTACCAAGTGATGCGATCAATCCGAATGAACTGCTTTGGTGATAAACCCTGTGAACTGGAGCTTCTGAGTGATGCGAGTGAAAATTTCCAAGGGGCTTTCAACCATGTTAACTACGAAGATTTGGATATGAATATCGCTATACCTGTTTTCTCCATTCACGGCAACCATGATGACCCATCAGGCGAAGGACATCTCGCAGCCCTTGATCTGCTACAGGTATCCGGTCTCCTCAACTACTATGGGCGTACCCCGGAGTCGGACAACATTGAAATCAAACCAGTACTTCTCCAGAAGGGACGAACTAAGCTTGCTCTATATGGAATGAGCAATGTTCGCGATGAGCGCTTGCACCGTACTTTTCGAGATGGCAAAGTGAAATTCTTCCAGCCGTCTGTCCAAAAGAACGACTGGTTCAATCTCATGTCCGTACATCAGAACCACCACAAATACACCGAAACTGGCTATCTGCCAGAAACCTTCCTACCCGGATTTATGGACTTCATCCTATGGGGCCACGAGCACGAATGTCTCATTGATCCTCGGCTTAACCCAGAGATGGGCTTCCATGTCATGCAGCCGGGATCTTCTGTGGCCACTTCACTAGCACTTGGAGAGGCAGTACCAAAGTCAGTCTCCATAATGAGTATCACAGGTCGGGAATTCAAGTGCGAGCCAATCCGGTTGAAAACCGTACGGCCGTTTGTCATGCGAGAAATTATATTATCCGAGGAAAAGGGTGCCCAAAAGTTGGCCCGCAAAGACAACAATCGAACCGAAGTGACTCGGCTTCTCATGGAGATCGTCGAAGAATTGATTGAAGAAGCCAAGACAAGCTGGCTAGAAGTGAATGGTGAAACTAATGAAGATGACGATGTTCAAGAGATGCCCCTTCCGCTCGTCCGACTCCGTGTTGAGATATCTACGCCCGAAGGTGGAAGCTACGAGTGTGAGAATCCACAAAGATTTTCCAATCGATTTGTGGGAAAAGTTGCTAATGTCAACGATGTTGTGCAATTCCACCGCAAGAAGAAAAGTGCAACCTCGAGAAAGACTGATACGACTGACGAAGCAACTGTCTCGCATCTATCGGGCCTGGATACTGTCAAGGTAGACCAACTAGTCAAAGAATTCCTCGCATCGCAGTCGCTCAGCATTCTACCTCAAAACACATTCGGCGATGCCGTGGCTCAATTCATTGACAAGGACGACAAGCATGCCATGGAAATGTTTGTGAATGAGTCCTTGGAGAGCCAAGTCAAACATCTCATGGCTTTAGATCGTGATGAAGATGACGAGGATGACGACGGGAGAGTTGAGAGTTCTTTGGTTACAGCTATGGAAAAATACCGCACCGAAATGGAAGACTTATTTACCCGAGGTGTCAAAAAGCGAACCACGCGCGGTAAAAAGCGCTTCAAGCCTAAGCCGGATGGGTGGGACAGCGACTTCGATGGCATTTGGGAAGACCAACCGGGGGCACTTATTCATTCAGATAATGAAGGCGGTGACCCAGCTGAAGAAGAAGCAGGAGAAGATGGCTCCGCCCCAGCTCGAAGTCGTGCGGCGGCAACATCTACGCGCGCTCGGGGAAGGGGCCGTGGCCGAGGTGCAACTGCCAGTACTCGGGGCTCCACCAAAGCTGCTGCTCCATCCCGAGCACGCAAGTCCAAGGCTCTCTCTGAGGAAGAATCGGCCGATGATGTGATCATGTTGGATGATGATGACGATGAACCTACTCATGTCGTTTCGGAGGATGATGACTCACAAGCTTTGTTTGTCAAGCAGCCTCGTGCAACGGCACCACGAGGGAGCGGACGTGGAGCTAGAGCGACTGCTACTACGCGCAGCCGTGGTGGACGCGCAGCAGCTTCGCCAGCTCCATCGTCGGCTACTGTTGGGGCCACTGCTCCGCGTCGAGCAGCTGCTAGGTCCTCCAGAACAACCCAGCCCACACAAACAACTCTCGATTTTGTGGGTTCACAGGCCAGTGTAGCCCGACCTTCTCGAACAGCACGACCAGCTCGAAAGATTAGCATTAGCGATGATGATGACTCAGACTCAGCCTTTGAACCGGCCTAGCTCAGGTGATGGTGCCTCCGCCTTGATAGCGAGCGTTGGTTTGCTACACCACCCTGATATGATTCTTACGACTGCATAAATAAAATTTTGTATGCTTCTATTTTTTTTTGCGAATAAACCCATCATATTGTGTCAAATTAGCCCGCCATATACGGCGTACAAAATCAATATCTACATACATACTACTAGTAGACACCACCCAACTTTAGTACTTCACACAGATCACACAGAGTGCCGGTGGCTCCAGCCACAATTGCCAACGAATGTGGGATCTCCCTAGATCTCTCAACATTTGAAGGCATTACCCAACATTGAACCCCTCAAAATGCATTAGCAGTAGCAACTCAGGCTGTGGCAGGTCGGATCTTATCAATTATTCTCTGCTCTGTAAATAAATCCGAATCAGCCAGTCACTCAGTCTATCTGACCTGTTGATTTGAAACAACCCATGTGCAACTTTGTACCTCATTCAGCCTTGCAATTCCACCCTACAGCCTTTCAATTACGGGAACTTAGTGAACGGTATGTGAAATTAAGATTTTTATTCCATCTAGTTTGCTTCAGGTAGAATTAATGCACAGTTAATGATCGCTCAAATATGCAATTCCCACAAAAAAACCGGTTCGTTATCAGATCTTAACCCCGCATTATAGGGACCGAGTTGCCTCGGTCGTGCAACAGCGAAGCACGGCGATCTTCCAATCTCTTTGACATTCTTAACATGAGATTGTCTTGATTCCTTTCAACGCCTGATCTAAGGGCATTCATTCTCCATCAATCATGACATTCACAGGTAGACCCATTCGAATTGCAGGTAAGTCTCTTCGTTTTTACATGGTGCAACATCCACTAATAGATCACAGGGGCTTCAGGCTCTGCGTCAGACCGGCGACATGCCATCGCTGAGTTTGCCCGCCACTACCCAACCGATCCGGTGGATGTGATCATCGCCGATTTCATGAGCGAGTTTAATATGGCAACTTCTGCAGGTCGTCGAACAGATCAGGATGAGAATCCACAGCCGGCTTATGATTTGTCATTTCTTGAGGCATTGGAACCAGCGTTGGGCGATATAGCCAAACATGGAATCAAACTAGCTGTCAATGCTGGTGTGTGCGACACGAAAGGTCTCTTCGATGTGGTGACAAAGATGGTGCGGTCAAAAGGACTCGATCTAAAGGTAATTCATTTCATATTGCCTTTATTACTTTCACTACACGCAATATTGATCGGTCGGTATAGATAGCATATGTCACTGGTGACGAGGTTTTGCCTGCGATCCAGACGGCTCTTTCTGGCGGTGCGTCCGACTTCCGGAACATCTACACTGATGAAAGGTTAGCCGACTGGAAGTTTGAGCCTATATATGCTCAGTGTTATCTTGGTGGGTTGGGAATTGCTGCCGCTCTCGCCGAGGGCGCTGATATTGTTCTCTGCGGTCGCGTATCCGATGCCTCGCCTGTGATCGGTGCAGCCTACTGGTATCATGGCTGGCAGCGTGACGAGTTGGACAAGCTAGCCAACGCATTCGTGGCGGGTCATCTCATCGAATGCAGCAACTACGTTTGCGGTGGTAATTTTACTGGGTTTAAATCTCTGGAGAACGACGGAGATGGCTGGACGAATATCGGGTATCCGATCGCTGAGATCTCCGCTGAAGGCGACGTCGTGATCACGAAGCAGGCCCATTCAACCGGAGGCCTTGTCACTGTGGATACCTGCACTTCTCAGCTATTGTATGAGATCCAAGGACCGTGGTACTATAACTCCGATGTGACTGCCATTATCGATGGAATTCACTTCGAGCAGCGAGGTATCAACCGAGTCGCTGTACGCGGTGTCCGATCAGGTCCGCCGCCTCCCACCACAAAGGTTGGCATCACAGCGCGTGGTGGATTCCAAGCTGAAGTGTACTGGTTCCTGACTGGGCTTGATATTGAAGCCAAGGCCCGGATGTTGGAGGCACAAGTCCGACGACTACTTGCTCCATCTGCCGAACGATTCACATCTCTAAAGTTTGATCTGCTTGGATCGGCTTTGCCAGATGCCAATACCCAGAATCGTGCCACGGTGCCCCTTCGTATTGTGGCACAGGCACGCGATGCGGACGCTCTCGGGCCTCAGAAATTCCTCAAACTTGTTGCCGATGACATGATGCAAGGCTACCCAGGAGCCACGCTAAACCTGGACGTGCGCCAGGGCTTTCCTAGACCAATATTCGAGTATTATGTGACTCTTCTTCCACAGACATCTGTGCAGCACCAGGTCCACTTGCCCTGGAAACCGACTGCACGCACCCAACTGCTTGATATTCCACCCCCACCAAAGACCAAGACATACCCCTCCCGTCAACCTTCACAGGCGACTACAAAAACCGACAAGGCTGTAGATCCGAAGCTGGATTTCGGTCCAACTACGCGTGGTCCACTGGGGTGGATTGTCCATGCCCGTTCAGGAGATAAGGGTTCCGACGCCAACTGTGGCCTCTGGGTTCGTCATCGGGATGAATACTTATGGCTGCGTAGTCTGTTGTCGATCGACACAGCGCAGGAACTTCTGGGAGATGAGGCCCAGCACCAGAAACAGCTGGCTATCGAGCGTTTTGAGCTTCCAGGTCTCCAGGCGGTGCATTTCCTCTTCCGTAATCTCCTTGACCGCGGGGTTGGGGCCACGACCACCGTGGATTATTTAGGAAAGAATGTGGCAGAATACCTTCGTTCACGACATGTTGATCTTCCTGTCCGTTTCCTGAATCGTGGGAAGCTTTAGGTTTTTCTTTTCCTGGTCAGCATGTTGGGGATGCTAGCTACAGTATGTGGTAGGAGGGAAGAGGGAAGAGGGAAGAGGACCAGGTTGATTTCTATTCATAATACCAACAAATCCACATGGTTGAAACTTTTAAGAACTAAGATAAATATGACAGAAGCTCGGCGACTTCAAATGACTTGAAATTCAGACATTCTTTTCTGGCGATCCCCCGCACATTCCAAGTGCATAGTATGTACGTATATACGGAAAGGGACCCCGTGTGTAATTTGAAAGCAGTTCAGTTACCAAGATTGAAAAGTAAATTGACCAGCTGACTCTTCCCCTCGGAAAAAGCGCGAATTCTCAATTTGAAACAAATCGAAGGAAATGGAAAATTCGTGTTAGCTCCACCCGAGCTCTTGTACTTACGAAATCCCGGACACATCTTTCTACCCCACCGACTGTAACCGGGGAGATGTTGGTCCGCAGAACGAATAACATCACGATGATCACACCTGGCCCACCCTTTCCAAGGAGACTCTGCAACATTTCAAGGTATGCAGAAATACCTGTTCAAGTGATTCTATTTTTTTTTTATCCAAATTTAATGCTTTGTCCTTTTTGTTGCAACTCGGCATCGGACATTACTTGTAATCCAGGAATGCGGGGGGAAGCCTCGGTTGGAAGGGGAAAAAAAAGTCCACCTTGGAAGCTACATGTATACTAGAGATTTTAAGTAATACAAAGAGAGAAAAGAGGACAGTGGGGCTACATATACCAAATACAGTAAGAAACAGAAGTTGCAGATTATCTGCATTAACAAGGTTGAATATTCCCTCCGGTGGTACTTACGCGGTACTTAGTCCGATGTCGTGCTAGCGCAGTCCCCGCTGGTACCCGCCAGGTATCTGTACTTGTGGCGTTTCCTACTGACCCCGCATGAGAAGAGAGAAAAAAGGGTTTTGCTTTATAAAAGACCTTTTCCCTCTTTCTCTCTTGCATCATTGTGATACCCTTTTTCTCTTTTCCAATTTTCATCTCAATTTCGTGTCACTATGTCGTTGAAGACTACTATCGAGACTCCCAATGTCACCTACGAGCAGCCCTTGGGCTTGTACGTGCCCCTCATTCTTCCCCTCACCCTGAAATCCCCCCCCCCCTTTTTTCCCTGCATTTGGTGTAACCGATGATCTTTATTCTGCATATATGCTAATGACTCCCGTTTCTTTCTTACTTTAGGTTCATTAACAACGAGTTTGTTAAGGGTGTCGAGGGCAAGACCTTTGAGACTATCAACCCTACCAACGAGAAGGTCATTACTTCGGTCCACGAAGCTACCGAGGCCGATATCGACATTGCTGTCAAGGCTGCCCGTGCGGCCTTCGAGGGTCCCTGGCACGATGTGACCCCGTCGGACCGTGGCCGCATGCTTACCAAGCTTGCCGACCTCTTCGAGCGTGATATTGAGACCCTGGCCGCTATCGAGGCCATCGATAACGGTAAGGCTATCACCTTGGGTAAAGGCGATGTCACCAACGCCGCTGGCTGCTTGCGCTACTACGGTGGCTGGGCCGATAAGATCACCGGTCAGACCATCGACACCAACACCCAGACCCTCTCTTACACTCGCCACGAGCCCGTCGGTGTCTGCGGTCAGATCATCCCCTGGAACTTCCCCATCCTCATGTGGGCTTGGAAGATCGGTCCCGCCATCGCTGCCGGTAACACCGTCATCATTAAGACTGCTGAGCAGACTCCCCTGTCTGGTCTTTACGCCGCTCAGCTGATCGTTGAGGCCGGTTTCCCCCCCGGTGTCATCAACGTCGTCTCCGGATTCGGCCGTACCGCTGGTGCCGCCATCTCCAAGCACATGGACATTGATAAGGTCGCTTTCACCGGTTCCACCCTGGTTGGCCGTATGATCCTTGAGGCCGCTGCCAAGAGTAACTTGAAGAAGGTTACCCTGGAGCTGGGTGGCAAGTCCCCCAACATTGTCTTCGACGATGCCGATATTGACAACGCCATCTCTTGGGCTAACTTCGGTATCTTCTACAACCACGGCCAGTGCTGCTGTGCCGGTTCCCGTCTGCTGGTTCAGGAGGGTATTCACGACAAGTTTGTCGCTCGCTTCAAGGAGCGTGCCGCCAAGAACCAGCTTGGTAACCCCTTCGAGTCCACCACTTTCCAGGGTCCCCAGGTGTCTCAGCTCCAGTTTGACCGTATTATGGAATACATCAAGCACGGCAAGACCGAGGGTGCCACCGTTGCTCTGGGTGGTGAGCGCCACGGTACCGAGGGTTACTTCATCCAGCCCACCATCTTCACCGATGTTACTTCCGACATGAAGGTTGCCCAAGAGGAGATCTTCGGTCCCGTCATCGTTGTCCAGAAGTTCAAGGATGAGGCTGAGGCTATCAAGATTGGTAACGACTCTACCTACGGTAAGAACCTACTGCCTGTCCCTGTCAACGCAGTAAAAGGCAATTGATACTAATTTTTTCTATTCCAGGTCTTGCTGCCGGTATTCACACCAAGAACGTTAACACAGCTATCCGTGTCTCCAACGCCATCAAGGCTGGGTAAGTCATCCAGCAAACCTGCCGTGTAGAATGATCAAGCTTGCTAACTACATCACAGTACCGTCTGGGTCAACAACTACAACATGATCTCTTACCAGGCTCCCTTCGGTGGATTCAAGTCTTCCGGTCTCGGTCGTGAGCTCGGCTCTTACGCCTTGGAGAACTACACCCAGATTAAGACCGTCCACTACCGTCTGGGCGATGCTCTGTTCGCTTAAAGGTTTATTGATCAAAATGACGAGAAATGATATGGAACATGCTTTTGCTCTTTTACTTTGTATATAATCCAAAATTTTAAGGATTTAACCTATTTGGACTCTGGACTTTGCTGTCTTATTCCCGCTGTCGCGTACATTTACTATCAGTACTTCTTAAAGTGTACTAAATATCGGAACGCGTCACAATGGATACCGCGTACTCCATATGTCCATGTATTATCTCTCCACTTCGGGAGAACAATACACGAACTTGAAACCCGGCTTACGGCGGTTCACACTTCGGGGTTCGCTGCGAGACGCCACTGCATCAAACCCCGGACAAGGTGTGGTACGCTCGGGTTGATTATTCCCGGGTTCCTCGGGGTATCTGTGCCCGAGGCGGGTTGGACAGGATCTCGTGTCACGCATGACAATCTCGGGTGATCATGCAGTATGTAGTGCGATGTATGGAATGCTTGACCGGATCTATTATTGGATCTAATATTTTGAGATGGCGTTCTAGAAGATCCGCTAAGATGTTCTGGGTCATCATCAGTTGAGCTTTGATTGGGGCTCCCAAAATTCCAAGGTTAGACGCTCGGTACTTTTGTCCCGCGGATAGCGTAAAGGGCTTCTACACATCCTCAAGTTTAAACTCAACTACACTTGGATTCAAATATTGAAATGTTCAAATTGTAAATTTTTTACTTAATTTTCGCTAATTTATGCTGAAAGTATGCCCAGGAGACTGCACAGCTGGGTACCGGAGTGGATTGAGAAGAAAGGGAAAAGAAAAGGGGGAATAGACGAAGTGATGCCACGCTAATAAGGCCAACGCATGCGAGGAATTATGCGATCCTCGACACAGTCAACCGTAGTAAGTGTAGTAAGTACGTTGCTTCAATCATAGTTGAGTGATCGTTCAAGCACCTCTTGTTCGGGGATCTCGGCTTTTTTGGTATCTTTGCCGGTGACTACAACCCCATTGGGAAGTTTCAGACCGACTGGTAGTCCATTGGCGTAGAGGTGAAGGAACGGTTTGCCGTTCAAGTCACAAAACTTTTCCTCGATGTCCTTGTACATATCGTAGCTAGTACATAAATTGTCAGTATATGATGGAACAAGAAGATCAAATAAACTCACAAGTTCATCTCTTCAATAGTAAGGGTCTGTTCAGGACCCGCGAGCGTGTGGGTTTCTGTTTTTTCGTTGGCAGAAAATCCTACCAGGGATCAGTTAGCACATTACATTCTTTTGGAATTCCTTTCATGTCATGTGTGGCACTTACCGATTCTTTCGTTAATGTTGAATGCAGCTCTAGCGGCACAGCTCTGCACCCTGGTGACACGAGGAAGGCGGATTTGATCGTAGACTTGGAGACCTTTCTGAATGTCCCCATCAAAGTGATCTCTGCTGAAGATAATTCCCAGCGCAGCTGCATCCTCGATTGCCATGCAAGCACCTTGGCTTTGGTGGGGCATCATTGGATGTCCCGCATCTCCCAACAGACAAACACTGTTCTTGTGAAGGTAAGGGTATGGCTCATGGTTCCAGAGGCGCCAAGGCTGAACTTCTTTGCCAATTTCGAGGTGATCAAAAACTCCACGATCAAGCTCCGGAAAGTGCTTCAACAGAACGTCAACAGGTAAATCTTCAGTGCCCCACGCTTGTTTGTTGGTGTCATTCTTATCACGGGCGAAGAAGCAGTAAAATGAGAGAAGTTTGCCACCGTCGCAGGGTGAAAGCACAATCTTATCCCACTTGCCTTCGTGGCCTCCCCAGTACTGGAGGGCATGTGCTGTCGAAAGATCCACCAATCCAAGCTCGGCGGCTTCATCGGCATCCACATTTGTATGCAGACATGCTTGATCCGAGGGTGTTTTCTCGGGGTTAATGCCAACCATTCCTCGAACGATTGATCCAATCCCATCTGCCCCGATAATCAGATCGTGTTGAGCATTAAGACCGTTTTCAAAGGTGATGGTGCTGGATTCTAGGTCGATGGCGACACACTATCACAAAGCATTTTCATTAACTAGTCCGTCTCCAAAATGTGTGCTCAAATCAATGATCATTGTAACATACCTTATGAAGTACCTTCAGCTCGGCCGGCTCACCGTTGCCATTTCGCGACGTGGCAGTACTCAACAGCATGGTATGCATCTTCTGACGGTGAAACATGTTGTAGACATGGCCCCAACGTTCCTTGTAATCGTCCAGCTTGTACTCGTTCCTGACTTCTCCGGTCTTCCAGTCACGGCTGATCATGCTCTTTAGAACAACGGGATCGCCCTTGGCAATGTTGACACCCCACTTATCAAGCCAACGAGTTCCGTTAGCAGCACAGGAGACTGAGGCGCCAACTTCTCCGGCAAAGTCATTCTTTTCGTAGATAGTAACAAGGTGGCCGGCTTGACGCATGGCAATGGCGACGGCCATGCCACCGATACCGCCACCCACCACAGCCACCTCGAGGGGTCTCCAGGAATGAACAGTCATGTTTGGAAGATTCAAGACTTTCTTTTCAAAGATGAGGTGGTTTGTCGGAGAAGTTAACAGTAGACGAGGAAGTGAAAAGGAGACAAAGTGTAAAGAGGCAGTGGTGAGCGTCGTTTCCGTAGGGACAAAGTCTGAAGAAAAGTGAAGATGGAAAAATCAAAGTGAAGAGAATATGGAAACGAAGAGAGAAGAGAAGATAGAGACGAGGACGAGGGGCAAGCTCGCTGGCGCTCTTTATCTATCATGGATGATACGCTCATCAAGTTAGTCCTCGTTCGGCGGATGATGCTCACGTCGGGTCGGGACCCGCTTACCGGGTCCGGACCCGCCTCATACGTCGGAACGATCGATCACTTTGGATGTGGAGTCGAATAGACTCCGAGTCTGGAGTATGCATGATCCACGTCATAGTGGTATCTGGGCCTCTTGCTCATTTGTTCTACTTCTTCCACTGCGTAATTATATAAGTATATAATAATTATAGAACGCATGAACCTGGCTCGGTAAAAGGAAAGCTATCCCACAGAGGTAGCTCCATTCCTTCCCAGTCCAAAAATGCGCCTTCTAATACTGGGGGAGTAAATAGGGGTTGGCTGTCTCCTTGTGGAATCCAGGAAAGCAGTGGGCCACCTTGTGCTGATAGTGAAGCTGCATTATCGGCTCGGTTCTCATCCTGCTTCTGCGCAGTCCGCACGGTGGGGCTATCATTTAAGCTGAATATCCGACTCACGTATTGGCTCCTGCGTTGGCGGGCTTGGGATGCTAGACGCTGCCGTTGCTGGGTAATAGCGGCTTCAAGAAGAGTCAGAATCTCCAAGTAGTGGGCTGCTTGTGCAGATTGCTGAGCCAACATGCGCAGAATGGTCAGGGCGCCTTTGAATGCGCTGTCGATTTCGGAGTCCACATCCCGATGAGCAAACATGGAGAATCCCAATACTAAGGCTGCCGCAAAGACAAATGCCCTATAGTTTGATTAGCCATTGCATGGTTATGGGGTTTGGATAAAAGCTGACTTCAGAATACACATGTTGTGCAGGAGTAGCTCAGATTGGTGGAGTTCAAGGCATGTTTGAAGCATATAAACAGCAGAATCAATACAGGCTGCTGCGAGCCGGGAGTGTGCTGGATCTTCTTCAGGTGAATCGTTTGTTTCATTTGTTGAAAAACTCTGGTGTACTCGTGCCAGGCGCACACTCAGTGTGGAAATAAGGAAGGGGCGCGTAAGAAGGATAATTGCAAAGTGGTATAAACAAGCCACATGCATGTTGCCGATGACTCGTTTTTGTGCGTCATCGGGGATTTCATTTTCAGCCTGGGTGCGCAGTGAATCCGGCAAGTGTTCGCTCCATCGATTCAACTTGCCAAGCAATATTTCAGCCTTTTCAATCGAGGCCGTCTGGTCACCGTACAAGCGCCCAATAATCTCATTCAAAATCAAGGAAAGACGGTATGAGGCAAATAAGCCATCTTCTCCCGCTGTATTTGTCTGTCGAGTATCATCTCGCTGATCCGGTAGGAGTGCCGATGTAGCTGCAGGTCGACCCAAAATAGAGCTGGCTAGGAGATCGAGTACACATAGACTCATCCATAGCCTTGATCTGTACCCAGTGTTAACCCCTTATTTCATGGCCTTTGGCTTCCTTTGGGGTAACACAAACCTTTCTTGCTGTTCATGTTGACCCAATCCTGAGGAATCTTCGTGTAACCCCAGAGCAACGGCAGACCGAGCCGCAACACCCAAATACATGAATGCGGCATTCCGACGACAAGCCCCGAACATATAAAACGACATAAGTAGAAACACTCGAACTAAATCCATGCTTGGGTCTTCTAGAAAATTGGCAAATGTCCTGCGCTGTCCTCGAGTAATGAAAAAGCGCTCAATCCGAACTATGTTGGGCTCATTTAAACATGACTGAGCGCCAATGGCAATCATCAAATCCGCAATGGCAGCGTGAGTCTTTTCTCGATCCGTTTTGGGCTCTGTAGTTTCGGCCAATAGAGTTTCGGTGTCACATCCCAGGTAGAGAAAACCACTTGTCTATTGACTAGTTAAAGGGATGAGCCGCGTCAAGTCGGGTCGGGTGGTACTCACCACTGCATGGAAGTTTGAAATAAAACGGCGCTTATCTTCTATAGTGCAGCTCTCTTCGGAAAAATTAAGACAGTCATGATGAGCTTCATTTTCCAGCATATCCTCGCTCCAATTATGTGAGAATTGCGATGGTCCAATGTGCTGATATACTGTCTCTCGAAGGAGTTGCAGAAACGACAAGGAAGCGGCTTTTCCAACATAGACTATTGATTCAATCTTTAATTTCATGTTTGGGGATTGAATTTCAAATATTGGATTGTGGGGGGGTGTTCTCATACCTCTATCTCCCTGCAAATTACGCAGCATCCGCGGATGCGTACGATGTGTTGCCTCAGGCGAACGTGAGCCCGCTGCGGCTGGGCGCTCCAACAGACGGTCGGACGGGCTTGCAGCACGAGGCTGAGCGAACTGTGTTTCCGATGCTTCACTCGGATTGTTCCACGCTGGAATGGTATTCAATCTTTCTCGAGGCGTTTGGTCCGTGTGGCTGCTAGGGCTGGTCTCCGATATAGGTTTAAAAGGGATGCAAGTGCGGGCAAGTCCCTTGCGGGTGCAATTGGTACATGGGAATGAGCCACTGCATCGCTTCTTGGAGGCTCTGCATTTCGTGCATGCTGTATTGGCGCGCAGGCGGTTTTCCGGGTTTACCTTGGGGCGGCCCATTATGGAGAAGTTGAGAATGCGGGGAGAGCTTGAGGGACTTCGGCTTCCAAGTGGGCTTGTGGGCTTGTGGGCTTTGAGATTCCCTGCGGGTGGCATCGGAGGTGCTCGGGCCGCGCACCCGTGGATTTCCTCAAGTAAACGACTCAATGTTAAGAGATATGCGATAAGCTTACTATTTTTGATAACTTTTGAATTTGAATGATAAAAGAAGATGGATAAGCAATGATTGGTACATGCATTAGTGGCTCTTATCAGTATGTTTCTAGAAAACAAAAGACCCTTGTGTATATGTAGCTGGAAGATATGCCCTGTGATCATCTAGATAAGCACGTGCACATCCCGACTCAAGCTCTTCAAATCCAAACATGGACCGTTAGATACTGCAGCACTGCATGCATCGACCTTGATGTTTTACTCTAGATGTCACCTGACAGCGCTTCAAATATTCAGACCTCAGTTTTACCTCCAGTCTTCCAAGGTCAACTGGTTTACGCATGTACTACATCCACAGATCTCTAGTTGAATGATTACATAGACTAATCCAGGGGGGGGGGGGTTTTAACATTAGAACGAATTCAATGTCTCAATGTCGGGGGCCCATACAAACATTCATTTGAATGTTCAAATGTTGTCAACTGGTATTGAAACTTCAAATCAATTTGAATGTCCAAATGGGCCCCGGGGGGATGTGGGCGGGATTCCCGAACATTATTCAAATTTTCGCCCTGGCGGTTTAAATGGATATATATATCTGTTTCATAGTGTGAAGTCGCACCATTTTCTAGGTGAGAATTCAATGTTTTTGCCAGATTTTTTTTTGGTCGAATTTACCACTCCAGACCATTTGGATGTTAATTTAGGGAACTAATTTTAATGGTTCAAAAATCCTGCACCAGTTGTAACAAGCTTGAGGGTAGAGCTGGTGCTTGACATCTGGGACACATATGCTTGCTTGAATCAATTGATGTTATTTTGATAAGTGACCTTGAAAAGTCCTCCATTTCCACCGTACATCCATGGATAACATAACACATGCATAGTTGGATTTCTGATCAGATAATAAACATCATGAATTGATTAAGGATGGGTAACTTAGAGTCTGTGAGTATCAAGGCATGGATGCATCTGCGGTAGTTGACGTGCTTCCAGTGATTGCTCTCCAGGGCTCGATGTCACCAGTTGGCCGATCTCTCGACATGGACATGAAGTACATAGTTCCCAGCTGGAGTACAATTGTTGCCGCGTCGGTAGTTGGTCTTGAGGCAAGCCGAGATTCCGGAACAAGTCCGGACTACTCCGTACGCCAATCCAGATTAAATCTACGGTGTGGTATCTGTGGATGCGCAATGGATGCTATTATTCACAATTGACAAAGAGAAACAAAGAGGCTCCAGCAAATAGAAATACAAAAACCAATCAGAGGCCGAGAAAACATAGAAGAAAAATCTCTGTCACTAGTTCTGTAAGGGAGACCCACAAGAGCTCCATGATTGGCTCCAAGTATCCACCACAAACAGTGAACAAACAATGACAAACAACACCAACCAAACAAACCACACAAACACCACAAACAACAAAATCTTTCGCTTAGTCAGTGCTGGTCTTCTCGTGGGTATAAAAGGAACTTGTCGCCCCGTAGATTTTTTTTTCTTCAAGCGACTCTACGTTAGTGATCCCTCCCCCATAGGATTCCAACCCTTCTCAGGCTTGGAATTCCTCCCCCGAGCTTCTCACTAACAACCTCACAGTTCAAAGAATCACTTTAGAGTAGACGTCCCACTTCTAAGCTCTTTAAAAGAGCCACAGAATCTCCACCCTTGCTGATGACTTCTATGTCCTCGATGCCCTAAAGTGAAGCCTTTTACTTCCGACTCGATATGTCACGCGTGCTGCTTGCAGTGTCTGCGTTTCATGTCCAGGGAGTGGTGATGATCTTGACCTGGTTCGGTGTCTGACTTCGGTCGGCTGGGCCTGGTGGGTGTCGAGGAGGTCTGAAAGGTTTTTGACTCCTTCAATTTCTTAATGCAGATTTGGTTGTGATGATAAATGGATGGATTTTGTGAGTGGTTGTCTGTTTAGAATAGCTTTTGAATGAAATTCTTTTTTAACTCAAAATATCTTCTCTTAATTTAATGCCTGCATGAATATCGCGATTCATCATGATGATATCGCTACAACAACTCAACCTTGAAAGTTGCTACTTGTACTCGCACCCCATATCTTGACGCTACTTAATGCTTGTCATAACTCGGTTCATATCTCATAATTATTGTTGGGTATCTCATACAGTCATTAATATCTGGAATGGATTAAACCTAGATCACCCCCAATCACTTGCCCGAGCTTCCGCCCTTCTCTGTCTTCTCCGTCTTCTCCGTCTTCTCCGTCTTCTCCTTCTCATTGTTACCTCCAGCAGCACCTCCCTTTGGTCCCTTGTTTCGCGATCCACGCCCGCCTCGCGATCCCCGTGCAGATGACCCGGCCGCGTTTCCACTACCACCTCCAGCATTCCCGGTGTTTCCGCTAGGTGCCACTGGCGGTGCTGGCGGTGGTTGCTGTTGTTGCGATTCGCTTCGGCCCTTCCGCGTCTTCTCCCCACCGGGATTTGCCTTGCGCTCAAGCACCACCACTTGACTCTGAGCAACTGTCACAGGGCTAGCAGCTATGGCCTTCTGCAGACTCGACGGATCTGCGAAATCCACATAACCAAACCCTTTCTTCTTATCGATCTCGACCCTAGCCACGGCCCCGAATGAACCGAACGCGGTTTCTAGTAATGCTTCGGTCACACCTTGAGAAGGGTTTGCGTGTTTGAGGAATGCCTGGGTGGCAGTGGAGGCAGGAGGAGCGGACGGCTTGGGTTGCTTGGGACCCTTGGTCGTCTTTGCGGGGGGTGCGTTGGAAGTATTCGGGGGAGCAGCGTCGGGCGCTTTCGTTGTAGAATCGTGATCTTTCTTCGTTTTGCCGGATCCTCCAGATGAGGCATTCTTGGCTGGCTTGCTTGCGGGTTCCTTCTTGGTTCCCTCAGCGGCTGGGACCGAGGAGTCTCGAGAACTCTCGTTCTTCGATGACCCGGTGTCATTAGCTCCCTTGCCCCGTCGCCGGCCACTGGCTGGCGCGATGCCAAGATCGCGCTGGAGAATTTTGGTCGCTGCGGTGACATTGCCTCGTTCTCGTTTCCTCTCTGGAACTGCTGTAGTTTCTTTGGCTGTATTTGCAGAGCTTCCCTTGCCGGAGGACTTGCTATTCGTGGCAACTTGCTTAGTCGCTTTTGCAGACTCCTTGGTGCTCTTATCGCCTCTTCCCTTCTTCTCTGGTGGAGCCGTACTGGATCCCTTGTCGGCGCGCTGCAGTAGTTTTTTGGCCTGCACCTTCTCCTTGGGCTCTTTCTCTGATCGGCCGTGCTTGGAGGCTTTAGAGGTCGCAGCCTCCTTGGCCTTGCTTGCTTTCTTGTCCTTGATGAACTGAACCAATGGTGTAGTAAGTACAGTCGCCTTCTTGTCTTCGCTCTCGTGGTTATCTGCAAGCCCCGACTTCGTAATAGGTTGTGTTAAACTTTCAAGGAAGGTGATAAAGTCCGGGTCCTGGTCAATTGTACCCTGGCGAGCATCCTTGCGCACGCGACTACCGGGGATTTTGGCATAGGGGGCGAACTCGAGGCTTGGAGCACCCGAGAGAATCGGGTCGTGGGAGGTGCCACGAGCATCTTGAAACGAGGCTTGTCGCACTTGATCCGAAAGCGGGGTGATATGTTCGCTTGACACAACATGGATATAGGCTCGGGAGGGACGGGAGGGCTTAGCGGGACTAGATAAAACGGTTGTTATGGTCAGCTTCTATAAGAGAGAAGATCAATTCAAATGCTGTCTCACTCTTTGGACACTTTGCCAGCCTTGTACTGAAGCCAATCCACTTTCCCAGCGCCGACCTTCCATTCTGCGCCCAGAGCTCCCTCAAGTTCAGTTTGGGTCAATCCTGGTGGCAGGCGACGGATCAACAATTTGAGACGAGGAGCTGGAGGCTTGTGAGCCTTCTTTGCAGCAGACTTCTGTGTGGCTGCCACAGGGATTTGAATCAAGCCCGCCGTGGGTTTCTCGGGTTGGGTCATGATGACACGGGTGATATTTGGAGTTGGGATGACTGCGAAGCAAGAGAATTAATCAAAAAACAATCAAAAAGCCTTTTGAGTGAGACCGTACCAGCGTGAGATTGACCTTGATCCCCTCTAGTCAACACACAATAAGAGCTTGTACACGCGCTGTAAAGTGATGACTGGATTCCAGCAGCGGGATATCTTGCTGAGTCAGCGCTTCAAACCCCTCACAACCATGACTAGTAGTTAGTCAGTAGTTAGTAACTGACTGTGGTAGTAATAGTAGGTAAGATATATAGTACTAGATGCTAAGATATTATCATATTATAGTACTACTAGTAGTGTGTTAGGTATTTGAAGACAGATGACAAGAGAAAGCCATATACACTGGCAAATAATTCGAATTCTTAAAAAGTGCTCAATAGTAGTCTTCATAGCATGACAAGTACTACGTACGTGTGCACCTTCATAGTATCATGGATCTTCGCAGTATCATGCACCTACTATATATTGAAACAAGCAATAATTTTGTTCTCAGAATCAAATCTTCTAGAAGAACGATTGAACGCTTTGATCAAGATGCAAGTATGCCGCAGGGGCATCAACGAACTGGAGTTGGACATTTATCAAATGGTTTCTTCGAAACCCAAGAATCCAGTTCGAAGTCTCGTCCGAAAGGTATCGGGATAGAGGTAGACCACCCATCGCAATTTGTTTTTTTATTGCTCATGATGTTGAAACATCCTCCAAAGGAGCTGCTTCGATAGGTCTATCTCTGTTCTTGCCCTTACGATGCACCCGCTCATCCTCTGGGTTGAATCCACCATTGCCCCAAAGTGCCCACTCCTCAGTTTCTTGCATATAATCCTCGGGAGTGAAAGAGGTTCCGTCAGCCTTCTCCTTCTCCAACAACTCAAAGAAGCGAGGGTAATCAATTCGTGTATGCCATTTCCCATTCACATGGAATCGCTTGGAGGCGAGCAGCACACAGCAGCTGTGGGCGTGCTCTGCAGCGAGGCCATATCCGAGACCACGGCGCTCCAGCTCCTCGTTGAGGGCGACAACAAACGAGGCGATCTCTTCATAGAAGGGAACGTTCTGCATGGTCAAGCCGGCACCCGCACTCGTGCTGGTTCCACAGTAGGTGACACCCTTTACCTCGATCAGACATGGCAAAGCCTTTTCAACCAAGTTCGCGTATCCGATCACCTCGTCATCGACGTTGAAACCCTTGACCAAGGTCAATCGGAACACAGTTCGCTGGACGTGTCGTTTCTCTCGCAGGATATCGAGACAGCGCTGGAAGCGCTCCCAGAAATCACGGTGCAATGGGCGGTCAATCTTCCGCAGACTCTCTCGGTTACTGGCATCAATAGAGACGTATAATTGGGTAACGCGGTGCAGATTCTCAAGTTGGTCGGGGTGCTGGGCATTGCACACCATGAAGCTGGAGATGTGCTCCGCGTGGAGCATTTCAAGGAAGCGGTTGATGTGAGGATAGAAGATGGGCTCACCGACCAGACTCAAGGCACAGTGGCGGATGCGCATGGCCTCAGCGAATCGTTCAGCTCGGACACCAGGAACACCCTTCATCATCTTGATCTTCTTGTAATGACCTTCCTTGACGCCCTCGAAGATCAGCTCGGGAGTATCAACCTTCCACCGCCAAGTTGTTCCAACCGGGTTGGTGCCGTGACGCCAGCAGAAAATGCACTTGTTGCTACAGGACAGGGATGGTGTTGCCTCCATGCATAAATGGGATCGGATACCATAGAAGGAGAACTTGTAGCAAGAGCCTCGTCCTCGCAACGCGGACTTGGTCCATCGGCAGATCTTGACACCAGAGTGCGAACCGACAATCGTGTAACCCTGTTTGGTCAGAGAGGCATAGGTGGGCGAGGTCTTGGGAACCATCTCCTTAGCACTGGCCTCAGAAGACAAAACTTTGCCCACAGTGGTAAAATCAACGGGAAGGGGTGCGGAGTCGCTGTTCATCTTGATATCCTCGAGATCCACCATGGTCGAGGAGCTTTTCTTTTCTTTCTCGTCGTCATCGTCCACATCTTCCTCGTCACTCTCCACAGCATCACCGCTACCCTCGACACCTTCGCCCAAACCACCGTTTTCCAAAATATCCGACAATGTCTCCTGGAGTCCCTGAGACCACTCCTTCAAAGCAGCGTCGGCATCACTCTTGACATCACCCATGCCCATTGGGTAAGCTCGCTTGCGACCGGTGAGCTTTGACATCCACCGATCGATCTCCTTCGCCTGTGTACAGAAGCCCTCCTCCTCAGTCGGCCACTCTTCCTTGTCGCCAAAGCCAAAGACCGAGTAACCGGCCAATTGGTGCAGCGAACCAGTGTCAATTCGGAAATCATTGTGGGTTTCCTGCAGGTCACCCAGGAAGGTGCTCAGTACAGTATCGATGTTGTAGGTAGGAACCAAGATGCAGTACACGTAGCGTGTTCCGGGAGACGTTGAAGGTGGCTTCGGGGCGGAGACAAAAAAGTCGTCAAAGTCGATGTACGAGATATCATGGATCTGCGGAGGTAGGAGACCTCGGCCTGGGCTTTCCAAATTTGATTGATTCTGGGCGGCAGCACGCAAGTCTTCCAAAAGGACATTTGCATATCGTTCAGTGTTGGTTGTCAAAGAGGCAAAGAAAATGATGGGCTGGATGTGGGTGACGGCCTGGGCCACTTCCTCGCTGGAAGTACGGCGACCGCCAATTGTCTTTGCAGGCTTCTTTCCCTGGACACGCTTGGGACCCGATTGTGGCTTGGCTGCAGATTCACTGCGGACTGGCTTGGCGTTTTCTTTGATCTCTGGGATAGGTTGCTTTTCTGTTGCGGGGACGACTTTCTCTAGCTTCTCGGGAGACTGGCTGCGCGGTGAGGACGGGACGGAGGCCGAGGCTGGAGTTTTTGACCGGGAGAAGGTACGATAGGCGCGAATAGCGAAGAATAGCGCTGACAGGGCAATGAGGATAGGTAGACGGTAGGCATGCCACGCGGCGACGAAACCTGCGAGGGACGTGAGCGTGTGAAACAAACGATATTTGGGCAAAGGAAAAAGAAAAAGAGAAAAGAGAAAGGGAAGTCTAGGTTAAGGGAGATACATACCGTCGGTCATGGCTCTATCCGCAGCCATTATATCAAATCTAACGATCTGACTAGGTTAAAGAATGTCGCTAGATCGAGGGGTTCACAAGTTGAACATCGGGGAAAAAAGAAAATAGTGGAGAAAGGCGGAGCAAATGAGCATCGAGGTATTAAATCCTTTCTCCACCTTCATACTTGTTTATATTATTCAAATTTCAATAACAGTCACAATCTTTGACAATAAATTCAACATGGATTTTACTCATGACAAGTAGTTTTGTTCTTATGGTAGTCTGCCATATGACTAAACTAACGGTAGTATAACTAGTTAACAGTGTGTACTATAGTAGCCTCATGAATGGGCTCTGGATGTATACTATCACTATTAACGTACCTACTAGACATAAGTCTATACTGTGGCTCTACTGGATTCATACTACCAACTAGTAATAGGCGAAGAGTCGAAACCAGCGAATTGTGATCTGTTAAAAAACAAAACAAAACAAAAACAAAACATTGATATTCATAATCCAAGTCTTTTGCTCATTTATTCTAATCTGCCGTTTCTTATCGGAAATGATTACGATGTCGGCATTTATCGCGTGCTTTTCCCCGGCTTCTCCTCATCACTTTCAGTGACACAACACACCATGGAGAAGGTCGCACTGCAGAAACACTATGAAGCTCTGGATCAGGATCCAGAGAATCTGTATTCTGAAAAGCCAAAGTCATACCGGAAGCGAGTCTGGGCCTTGCTGCTCTGCGTAATCGCTGGTGGGTGGATTCTCCGGCCGCACTGTCACCATCACCACGGCCACCATGTCCGTAGCATTGAGGAACGAGTGCAAAACATATTGACTCAAACACCACTAATTGGTAAGTAATAGTACCCTTGGATTATATCGATTGACCATATTCAATATTCGTGTCATACGACTAATCAGCGCTTTAGACGGCCACGATGATTTCCCTATCTTTATCCGATCGGTCTTCCATAATCACATTCATGGCTCCAATTTTACAGACGCTTTTCTTAATGGCACACTTCCAGCTCACGTAGACTTGCCTCGCCTGAAGCGTGGCCATGTCGGTGGCACCTTCTGGAGTGTCTTTGTGCCCTGTCCTACCGATTGGACGGATTTTTCTGATGAAACATATGCGCCGAGTAAGTAAACAAGAACAACACATGACCAAGACGGCAACAATTTAACAGCAAAATCATAGGTATACGGCAGACGATGGAACAGGTTGACTTGATGTCTCGTATTCAACAGACTTTCCCTGATGTCTTTTCAACCCCACCAAATGGCACGACTGCCCTGAGCGCCTTCCAGGAAGGAAAAATCATCTCGCCCCTGGGTATAGAAGGATTGCACTCAATCGGAAATTCTCTATCGCACCTTCGCATCTTCTATGAATTGGGTGTTTCCTATGCAACACTAACACACAACTGCCACAATCGATATGCCGACGCTGCGGTTGTCGAGCTACCAGGCGGCGGGATAAAGAAGTCCGACCCTTTATGGCACGGAGTCAGTCCCGCAGGCCAAAACGTCATCTTCGAAATGAACCGACTCGGCATGATCGTCGACCTCGCACACGTGAGCGTGGATACCATGCGTGATGTGCTAGGTGCTGGCAAGACCGACTGGACCGGGAGTCGGGCTCCGATCATGTTCAGCCATAGCTCGGCCCATGCGCTGTGTCCGCATCCACGAAATGTGCCTGACGATGTTCTCGAATTGGTGCGAGAGAAAAATTCGATTGTCATGGTCAACTTTTCGCCTGATTTCATCTCCTGTGTTGATTCTGGCCGTGCTGATGGTCTGCCTGATGCCGATCCGGAAAATGCGACCCTTGAACGAGTCGCGGATCATATCATGCATATCGGTACTATCGCGGGCTTCGACCATGTCGGTCTCGGTAGTGACTTTGATGGTATCCCAACCGTACCTCGGGGCCTGGAGGATGTGTCCAAATTCCCGGATCTCATTGCAGAGCTCCTACGCCGGGGTTTGAGTGATGAGGATGCGGCTAAGGTGGCTGGGGGAAATCTCTTACGCGTGTGGAGAGACGTTGACCAAGTGGCCCTGAAGATGCAAGCTGAAGGCGCACGTCCCGTGGAGGATGACTCTCAGAGAATCTAGTAGTAGAGAACATACTCATAGAACCCTTCAATCCGCTGACTGGTATAAATTTACAAATATTACTTTTGTTTAGATTCTCTGTTCAGTAAAAAAGTCCGAGCAACAATGGGCCCCACCAAAGGCCCAAATTTGAATCGTCCTGCGCCAGGCTGTAGAGATGCGCGAACGTCCTCCTCGGTCGCCCACTCAAATAAATCATGTGCACCAACTTCCAACACCACAGGAATATCACTGCGAGGAACCAGCTGCGAAGAACCAGATAGTTCTCGCATGGATTCATAGACCTCGACAATGAACGAGTACTTGGCAACACGAAAAAACTGTCCATCGCTGCGCCGCTGATGTGTCCACCCATCGACCCCCGCGAGCTCCACAATCCGCGAAACATGCAGACCTGTTTCCTCGAGAACTTCGCGCACAACGCCATCTAACAGAGTGCCATCTTGATCAGCCTCGTGTGAGCCGCCGGGTCCTTCCCAACAACCAGGCATCGAGTCCGTCGGTGCTCGTCGAAGTAGCAGGATGTGTGTTTCGTCTGCATCTCGGGGAGAAAATGAACCCTCCAACGCCGAACTCTTCGAATTCTGGGCGACTTGCTGCAAATTCGGCCGATGAGATGTTCAAGTATGACAGGTGGGGCGCGACTGTGTAGGGAAAAGCCATGGCTGAATGAAGTTTGTAGAGTGTTGGTTGAGTAACGAGTTGAGTTGAAAATTCCCCGCAAAGTTCCAATGTTGTTTTCTGCCTTTTTTAGTACTAGTAAGCGTGGTTCATAACCTTGGAACCTTCAATGTTTTGGAACTCTTCCACACAAACCTCCATGTTAACCTTGGAAACTAAAAGTCTATGAGAACTCAACTATATACTACTTTGACATACATTTCATTTCAAAACTACGACTATATCAGGCAGTTCTAAGGGTCAGGTATGAAATAGATAGTTCAAGCCAATAAGTACTAGACGCATCGACGAGTACCTAGACTTCGATAAGGATTTCTAAACATTGAAAGCTAGTATCCAAGGGCTAATACTAATTATAATCTGTGGCGCTCTTAAAGACCTTCCAAGGTTCCCGCAACTCTCTCAAGAGGATTGCTTAACCAAATCAAGAACCTCAGCCTCTGAAAACTTAGGAACTCCCAGCAACTCATTATCGGTCTTAGCAAATCCAGGGCCGTAGTTAGAGTCGAAGATCGATCGGCGGATCAAATTAACAGCAAAAGTGTGGAAATCAGGCGGAGATTGCTTCACAGCCTCAAAAGCCTGCTTCTCCAAGTCCGCCGTACTGATCTCCTCCCGCTCAATAGTCTTACCAGACAATGCCAGAAGCTTGTTCTGTGTGACATCTGCCTGGGAAACGTAGACGTAACGGTTCTTAGTCTCAGTGGGGTGTTCCAGTACACCGGCGACAGCACGTCCAACACCGGCAAGAGTAGTGGTGCTGAAAACAGTATCTCCGCCATCATAAACGGGAGTCGAGGGTCCAGTGAGGTTCAGGATAAAGCTATGCTTCAGTCCCCAGTCGAAGAAAGGACCATTGATAACGGCGGTATAAGTGAATACGCTTTCTTGCGTGGTGATTTCCTTAAGTCGGTTGATGATGGTGATCTTGTCACCGAAGACGGGGAGTTTGGAGGTGAGGGGGTGGGCAGTATCACTACCAAATTCGGATGGGAGGAAGCGCTGGACACCAGCTTTCTGTGCGGCTTCAATGAGGCGGAGGTGAATTTCCACGGGGACAGCTCCTACGTTGAGAACGTTGACGACTGCGTCTTGGTCCTTGAGGGCTGCGACGAGGGAGTCCAGAGAGTTGTAGTCAACCTCTTGGATTTTAACACGGGAATCGACTTGGTGAGTCGAGGAACGGCTCAGAAGGGTGATTTCGAAGTTGGCTTCTAGGAGAGCATTGAGAATTGCTGGTCCAAGGTTACCAGTGCCCTAATTATGTGATACCAAGGTTAGTTCAGTATTCCATAGTAAGATTTTGAAAATTTGAAAAGAACTCATTACATACTCCGGCGATAGCGACTTTGGTAATGGCCATTTTTGAAAGATGAGATTGATATCGGTTGAAAATGTTTAGAAAGGTTGAGGCTTCCAAGGTTCGATGTGAAGTGTGAATTCAGATTAAGAGAGGGGTGAATACAAGTTATTTATAATTATCCTCCGCATATCGAATTCCTAATTTTCAGCAAGGATCACTATCTGCAAAGTCCGAATGGCGAGGATCATGTCATCAGTTGAAAATATGGTATCACTACTGCCAGGTTGTACAGTCATCCAAGTCAGTTTTGCTGAGTATTATCGATCACTGCGGAATGGCAGCCGCGGAATTATTCCGTCCAAGCCCCGAGCCCGAACTTTCAAGTTGCTTACTAAGCAGAGCAAACTTCGTACCCGTATAACTTACCAGTTCTGGATTCAAGACTTGAGGATTTTTGATATAATTTCAAGGTTTATGCTTATCTTGATTCTCGACGCTTATTCCCTAACATGATTAATGCTGAGTCACGCATGTTCAGACCACAACGAACCGTGATTTAATCTCCATGAGGCCTTGGGTACTTAAAAGTCAACGATGTACATGTACTTCCATGACATACCTGACCCAGTCGGGAAGTTACAGTACTTGGTAGTACATGGTAGGCAGGTTTATAAGTGTATGTGCGGTGTGTTTACCTTCGTACACAATCCATGGATGAATCCATATCTTGTCTCCCGATTTCAAGATTTGGCAGATGATTCTTTTCAAACATTGAATGTTGGCTTAAGGTAACTTTCAATCGTCAACAATCTTTATTCTATAGATGAATATAAACATATCATTTCATTTCGTCTCTAAGATCATTATGTTAAATGCTCCACCGTCATCCACCCGGAAGAATCAATGACAGAACCGCCAAACGCCCGCGCCGGTGCAAAGCTAATTGCTCACATGTTACAGGAAGTACTCGCTGCGGCCCGGCCGCGAGTTGGGCACATGCCTCTGGTCATCGCTCACAGCACTAAACAACTTGAACGATGGCTTGAGATCTTCTCCGATCTCACACACCGAGGCAAGGTTGCCACATCGGTAACAATAGTTGGGAGCACTCCACACTGTCACCACGTTCTGGTTGGCGAAATGATATTTATATCCTTCATTCACCAGTTGATGCGCGCGGGCGATGAGGGAGAGATCATTAACGTGGCAGAACTCGTCGGCGACACGGTCGCCAAAGAGCCAGCCGGCACCACGAGGACTAACCGCCCATGTTTCCACGTCGTCAGGATCGGACCAAACAAGATCGCAGAATGCGCCCTCGTGGGGGATTTCTTGTGCACGAGCTACAACTCGCACTTGGTCTAGTGTGCGGATCTCTGGACTCAATCCTCCGTGAACGCAGAGGACTTTGCCGTCGATGATGGCGCCCAACGTCATAAAGTCGAAGACTTGGCAACAAGCCTTCCATACCGAGGCGCTGCCGTATTTCTGGAAACATTCCTCGTAGAAACCGTAAACCTGTGTAATCTGCCGAGACTCATGGTTTCCGCGCACTAATGTTACTCGATCGGGGTATCTAGGGAGAAAGAAGGGTGTTAGTCTCGCGAGCACTCTCACAAGTTCGAAAGTGTGCATATCTCTTCCAGAATGTACTCACTTAGCCTTCAAACACAGTAGCAGGGTTAAGGTTTCCAGACTGAAATATCCACGATCCACATAATCTCCCAGGAAGACAAAGTTCCGGTTTACTTGGACATCATTGGACGTCTGGCTACCTGACCGACTCCGTGGGCCTTCAGACTCCTCTTCGTCATCCTCCACGGCATTGTTATTGGGACCTCGTAACTTCTTCCGAATTTTAGGGTCTGTAATTTCGGATGGGGGCTCGATGTCGGCAGAGGTGATGGAAGATTTTGGGGCATCGGGCGCTGAACCATCGGGCATCCCACCAGAAACCCGGAAGAGCTCGAGAAGATCATAGAATTGTCCGTGAATATCACCGCAGACGGTGACCGGAGTGGAGACGGGTTGAATATTGGATTCTACAACAGATAATTAGTACTTGGCCAAACACCAGAAGTACCGGCTGAATAATGGCGATCTCCTTACCTTCCATCATATACTCCTTGACCATTTCGCACAACTGCTTCATGTGGGCCTCCGATAAGTACTTGCAGTCCTTGGCCGCCTCCAGCCACTGATCTGGGCCCGCATTGCGTTTAAGTTTCGCCGGTCCTGGCTGAGGGACCTTGCTGTCAGTCATGGCGGGAGAGATGTTTGAAGGGAGAACGTGGAGCAGCGGAGTTGAAGAAGCGGAGGGGAACTTGCGTCCTTGGCGGGACTCGGATACCGCACGGGGCACACGACATCCACACCTGAACGCTTCTGGAACATTTGATTGATTGGAGAACAAAAGTATGAAAGACGTGAAAGGCGTGAATGACGAAGGTCACTTGTGAACCGCATTTGACGTCAGCTTGCTTTACATTCCTTTTTTTCCCTTTCTTGTTGTGTTTCTTCTCTCACCCTGTCTTGATTTTCCGTGGTCAGCCTACATGTTTACTTTTGACTTGCAATACCTTAATTTCATCAGATCCGTCATAACAGCCATTTCATTTCTCATTAGCTATGGACCTTGCAGCATGGAATCAAAAAACTTTCTATCGACATTCTTATATAACTTATAGACGATGCAAAACTAAGCATCGATCTTGCTCAGGTACTCAGTGACAACATCGGCAAAGGCCTCGGGCTGCTCAACCATGGGCAGGTGGCCAGCACGGTCGATGATCTTAAGCTCAGCACCTCCGTTCAGATCGGCGGCCATCTTTTGCATGGTCTGGGGCAGGACACCATCGTTGGCACCGGCGACAAACAGACCGGGAACGGTGGCCTTAGCCATGCGGTCGCGAATGTCGTAAGAGCACAGAGCCTGCACACTGTGGGCAAAGCCCTTCAGGCTGTTAGTGCGCACGGCCTCCTTGACGGGTGCCAGAACCTCAGGCTGGGTCTCGTAAGACTCGGGGACAAACCAGCGGCGGGTGGTGACCTCAGCCAGCTGCTCGCCGACAATGGGCTCCTTAGTCTCGGGGTCCACGGATCCCTCTTGCTCGCAGATGGCGACACGATCATTCCAGGCCTTGCGGTTGGACTCGGGGGCAGAGGAGTTGGTGTCACAGGCGATGAACGCACCAACGCGCTCAGGGAAGAGCAGAGAAGTGTTGAGAACGGTGACACCGCCCAAGCTGACTCCGATCAAACGGGCTGCCTTGGGGGAGACACGGAGGGCCTCGAGGAGAGTGTTCAGGTCGGAGGCAAGGACGTCAATGTTGACAGGCTGCTCACCGCTGGCGGAGAGACGGCCACGGGTGAGGTAGCGCACGAGGCGGTACTTCTGGTTCTCCTTGCGAGCGAAGAAAGCATCGACAAAGCGGTCCCAGATGTTCCAGTTGACGAGAATGGAGTTGCTGAGGACCACGACGGGGGCCTCGGGGTCAAGGCTGCCCTCCAGGCGGTAGGGGATCTCAACACCGTCCTTGGTTGTGACAAAAGACTCGACAGCCGGGCGGGTGGTGGAGGGGAAAGTGCGAGTGCGACCGTCGTTTGAGGACCAGGGTCCGATAACATCCGAGTTGGCAAGGGAGGAGAGCTCACGGGGAGCAGGGCCAAAGGTGTAGTACCACTGGTAAGTACGGCGGGACTTGGAGGCCACGACATCATCCTGGAGGCGCTGGCGCCAAGGGGTGTTCATAGCAGCCTTGTGCTCCTCACCACCCAGACCGTTGACGGGGGAGTACTCGTGCAGAGCAAGGGTCTCACGCGGGGCAGCCGAGTCAATGGAGGCGGTGCGGAAAAGACGAGTGCGACGCCATCCTGGCACGCGGGCAAGCATATCAATGTGTTCTTCGCGGTACCAGCGGTCGTGCTCAGCCTCTTTTTCAGCGTCGGGGTGGATGGTGGTAGTGACAGCGATCATGACGCTGCCGCGGGTCTCGGGATCGGTATCGGCTCGGTCCTCCAGCTCGCGGTAGTTGTCCTGGCTCCGCTCCTCCACCAGATCGTACAGCTTGCGACCGACATCGATCTGAGCCATGGTCTTCTTCTCACGCTCGGTCTTGATCAGATCTGTTCGGAGATCCAGGTAGGTCTTGCGGGTCAATTCGTCCATATCGGTGATATCGTACAGCGCGACGTACTCGGGGGCCTCGCCGTCGGTGGCCCGGAAGCGGAATCCATTGGTAATGAAGGGAAGACGGAGGCGCAGAGGACCATGCTCAGTGTTGTACCAGTCGTGGAACTGAGTGTCTGGCAGCTCGCCCTTGGGCTGCATAGTCACATAGAGGAGACCGGTGGTGGGCATGATGGCGGGGTATTATATTTTGGGGTAAAAATCAATGAAACTTTTTTTCTCTCTAAAAGATATCAAGATTAAATCAAAAGTCAAGAATGAAAGCGAATGAAGTGAATAATAATCTCATCCGCCATTCCTCTATTAATCCCTCCATCGTCATCGGCAGTTGCCCCTCATCTCCGGAAGAAAGCAAAGGGAGAACCGAAGTTCTTTGCCGATTTTCCCCATATTTCTTTTGCCCCCATTGGACTGTAAGCCACCTGTGCTATGTAAGAGTGTACTGTACTTTTTGGTTCTACAAAACTCAATCAAATTTTTTTTTTCTTTACTAGTAGCTCACAAATGTCCAGATTTCTAGCATTATTTCATATATAGTCTATGATTCATAAATTGAATTATATGGGGCTGTATTTTCCAGATTCTATAGTCCAGATTGTTTATGTACAAGCATTAACTGTACTTTTATGTAGTCATTTAATCATACCAGATGGCGTTCATTGCAAAGCCCTGCTCTGGAATGTCCACGCGCGCCACACGGGCAAGCTTCTCGTCACGCCAGCGGTACATCTCAACGAAACCGAGCTGGTCGTCACAGATAGCAACCCACTCATCAGTGAAATCGCAAGGGCTGACCGCGTTGGAGTGACCACCGCTGGTGGAGGTGGGGTTGATGAAGAGCTGACGCTCAATTTCACCAGACGGGCCAAGCTTGAAAGCAGTGATATATCCAGTCACATCGAAGTGGTTGGAGCGAGTGGTCGCGAAAAGGTACTCACCGCTCTGGGTGGTGAAGGTCACGTCACCGCGGTACTTGTTGCGGGGAGGGAGACCTAGAAGAGAGGGGAAACATTAGTATTTTCATTGGATGGTTTTTTATTACATCCAAAGAGGAATTGTGGACTTACCAGCAGGAAGCAATGGGTAGGTAATGTGAGTGAAGACGGGTTTGTGGGTGCGCTCGTCGATCACGTAGACACCCAGGCGGTTGCCAGCCTCCATCAGCACATACAAGTACTTGCCACTGTGGTGCATCTCAACCCAGCGGGGGTGGTCGCCGGGAGCGGGGGCCTCCAAACAATCGACCAACTCCAATTGACCGGTCTGCGCATCCTTCTTGTGCGTCCAGATCTTGTTGGCAGTCAGATCGGCCGAGTACAGGTAAGTCTCGGTGGGGTCAAAGACCATGCCGTGGATACCGGTGTTCTCCTGGTACTCGTAGTTCTGGATGTTGACATCCAGAGCTCCATCGGGCTTCACGGAGAAGACGTTACCGTAACCCGCATACTTGTAGAAGGGGTTTCCGTAGACGTTGAAGGGAGCCTGGTGCGCGGCGAGAACGAAAATGGCGCGGGTGTTGGTGTCAGCGCTGGGGGCCAATTCTGTAAGAGAAAGAATTGATTAGATTAGAGAATCCGAGGTGTTGCATTTCAATTGCTACAAGTCAATGGCCAACAATTGATGCTGCAAAGTTCCAATGTTGACGGATAGAACGTACCGTGACCGGCGACGGGGTGCGATGCCTGGTGAACGATCTCAGTGGGACTCTTCACAGCGAAGCTGTTCCACTTCTTCATGGCAGCACCATAGATGGTCTTCTTGTCATGGGAGAAGGTCATCCATGAAATGGGCTCCGCCTCAGGGATCTCGGTCTTCTTGACCAGCTCCAAGGTGAGAGCCTCATCGTCGAATTGCACAGTGTAGATGCGCCCGGGGGCGACCCAGGTTCCGACCATCAAATGATGCTTCATAGCTGCGGTTGGTGTTGTAGAGAATGAACGAAGGCTTGATCGGGTGAGAATGGCAGATGCCTGAGAGAAGACAGCCGGACGGATCATACGATGTGTAGCTACCGAGTCGAGGATACAGAATATACACGCGCCCGCAGAAGTCTTATCCAGGTGCGGGGGGTCAGCGACCGGCAGCGAGGGGCGGCACCAGGCATAACCGCTCGAAGCGGATTACCCAGAACAGAATGAGGGACTCTGAGTGGTTGCATTGCTCATTGAGTTACAGAAAAACCACGGATCATAGAGAGTGTGGCAAGCCGGCACTGTGGAAAACACAATCCCGGAAAAACGGGAGTTGTGATGTTGCCGCTGCCGATTCGCAGATTCTCTTCTCCTCCGCTCATTGCCGACCGTGCGGTCCGGGGTTGACCTCTGGAATGGGCCGAAATGGTCATCCGGGGTAGGTTTTTTTTTTTTCTTTGAATTAATTTCCATGGATTGAGGGGACTAGGGAAAAAAAAACTTATAAAGAGCTCGATCCTGCTTTCAATCTAAAGTCTTTCTTCATCTCATCTTCAATATAACCTTCTCTTTACCCCCCCCCCCACTTTCATACATCACAGCCATCATGTCTGCTCAACCTCGCTGGGATCCCGACTTCACCCCCTATGTGGTTAACGCCATGGGTCCTAAGACCCCTCCTCGTGCCAAGGAGATCCTGGGTTGCCTCATCCGCCACATCCACGACTTCGCTCGTGAGGTCGAGCTTACTCCTGCTGAGTGGATGCTCGGTGTTGAGTTCATCAACACCATCGGTGCCATCAGCACCCCCATTCGTAACGAGTGCCACCGTATCTGTGACGTGATCGGTCTCGAGTCTCTCGTCGATGAGATCGCCAACAAGATCATCACCGAGCAGGGTCTCTCCCCCACCTCCAACGTTATCCTGGGTCCCTTCTGGTCTCCCAACGCTCCTTTCCGCGCTCTGGGTGACAGCATCATCCAGAACCCCCTCCCCAACGGTCAGGTCACCTACATGCACGGTGTGATCAAGGATATGGAGACTGGCGAGCCCATCAAGGACGCTGTTCTTGACATCTGGCAGGCTTCCGCCAACGCCCTGTACGATTTCCAGGATCCCGAGCAGGCCGAGAACAACCTCCGTGGCAAGTTCCGCACCAACGAGAAGGGCGAGTACTACTGGTACTGCTACCACCCCACTGCCTACTCTCTCCCCACCGACGGTCCCGCCGGTGTCCTCCTCAACCTCATGGACCGCTCCCCCATGCGTCCCGCCCACATCCACTTGATGGTCACCCACCCCGACTACGCCACCATCATCAACCAGCTGTACCCCAGCACTGACCCCCACCTCGACATCGACTCCGTCTTCGCTGTCAAGGATGACCTCGTTGTGGAGTTCAAGCCCAAGCCCAACGACCCCAAGGCCTCTCTTGACCTGGAGTACAACGTCACCATGGCCCTCAAGAAGCACCACCCCAACCCCAACTCTGCTCCTCCCGTCTCCTCTTTCGAGCGCAGCCAGGGCCCCAAGCCTTCCCTGTAAGGGATCTTCGTTGTTGAATGAAAAGAACCATTTGGCATTGCATTTGTGATTTTTAGCGACTTGAACCTGTTATTTGTTTCCCCCCTCATGTCTCCCAGTTCATGTTCAATTCGTGTGCACCACTGTATCCAATTGAAATAAAAATGATCACGACCGAATTACACTTTTATACTTGAAACTCCACCTATCTTTATTCGGAAAGATTAGATCGTAAGCCTCATAAGCTAAAACAAGTAGCCTCTCACACGACTCAGTGAGATCTTAAGAAAACCCCCACACTTACTCGCCATCAACGGGGGGCGTCAAGAGATCTACTGGTGCCGATCTGGTGCCGACTGGACTGCATCTTAAAGTACATAAAGTACAGAACGAACCCCTGTGCATCCACTTACAGATCCAATCACTGAGCTCCGTTTTGGGCTTATTTTGGAAATGCAGGTGGACCCTCCTATGTATACAGGGGTTTACTTTAGCGGTCGCCATACTGTAGCTTCTCAGGGAATATTCTAGGGTCCAAATGGAAGCCTTGTGCAATTTTCGTTCTGCATGTAAACATAGATGACATAAACCAGTTGGCGTGTAATCGCAAGAAATGCGGAGTACAGTAGCAGTTTCCAAGGCCATGATGTCACCATTCGAATATAGCCTCTTCCAACACGAACAAATTTTCCCTTGGGACCCATTTATTGTCGTCACCACAGGCCCCAACAGTCAGACATCAACACTTTCCCAAATTGCTTCACCGAGATCACATCATGGGATCATATTGCGGATCATCGCTTTTGCAAATGTCTCAACGCGGCACTTTGTCCTCGCCTTGAAACCGCATTCGGCACTCGCCACCACCCGGAGAAGCGCTTCCCCACGATCCCGGATATGTATTTATCCACACAGTCAGCGCCTCTCGGCAGCGCCCATTCCCGCTCTTTCCCGACCGGTTCGTGTCGTCCCCACGATGCCGGGGTAAGCTGGCACATGAGCTTCATTTCAGGGGATTTCGTCTTTGTTGACGGCAGCTTGTTTTTAGCTCATTCCCGTGCGGTAAAACGCACTCTGTTCTCATAATTTTGAGCTCTGCCGGTCGCGATAATCATTCCGAGAAGTACCGCTTCGCGTTTCAGCTTTTTGCCCTGTTCATGTTAATGGGTTTATGCTAGCGGAATACTTAGGAAAAGAAACAACAACACCCGAAGATCGCATGATGTCTTGCTGATTCTCGGGTGAAGCGAACGGGATTAAGATCCTCGAGTCGTCCTGGTGGGTGGTCGTGTACGAAGTATCCTAATACACACACCCCAGAAGACGGACCATGAGGGACCCTGGTCATTTCACCGCGCCTTCATAGCGAGGTTGAATCGAGAAGTCAGGGAAATCAACGTGAGCGTTGTTGCCTCCACTTTTTCTCCTCAGCCCAAGGGGCATGGGGTTCCTTTTATGGCATGCGAGTATTTGTGGGACAGGCTAGAACCGCTGGGGGAGACTACATCATCCCCACAGAGGATATCTGTCAACCAAATAGTGGGGCTATGAACAGCTTCATGGGCCATTGGCTAGCTGAGCAGCGGGAATGTATATTTCATAGACAAGACGCCTGCATGCCTATGTGTAAGAGGGCTCTATAGGTTCGCCACCCTGGAGTTCAGGCACCGCATCCTGGTTGGGTTGCAGGCCTTTGTACCAGCTCTTGCAGGTACAGGGGTGATGTTTTAACCCGGGGGACTTCTAGTCCCCCATGGGACAAACCCCCAGGTTTCCACATGGGAGCTGGGCTCAGTTATTGAGATTCACTTGCACTGTACTTACGGATAGCTACTAGTACATATTGACATGTAAAAACCAGGTATGATCTAATGCGCAATATCAGTGCTAAGTTGAATCTACCTATAGGTGAACATTTCGATCAATTGATTGAATTAAAAATCTCTCGGAAGCACTCCATGAGTTCAAATGTTCCAAGTACGTACGAGACCTGGGGAGCAAATGCGACCTTGGGACAATATTGAAGTAGATATGTATCTGCGTTCGAATGTCGTGGAACTGGGCATATCTATTGAACATTTCAAATGTTGAAACATGAACACCGAGGTGCTGATCTCAGTGATATGTATTTCCAGGTGGATTTGGTCTGAGTTTTGACTTACTTCCGCCTGCAAGGTTTGGAACTTGAAAATGACATCTGGATGGGGTTGTACGTCAAAAATAAAACCATTTGAACATTGGACCTTGGAAACGCTTGACCCTGAACATTGAGGTTTCTAGCTGTCTTCATTATGGGCAGATTGACCTCAGTTGCTCAGGAATGCCCCAGTGGATCCATTCCAAGCTTAATTATAGAACCAAATCATCCAATGAAGGTATATCCAGACCACACCCACATTCATGGATATTGACCAATGAATGGTACGTACCATAGTAGACACTTAATATACCAGATCAGGTGCCCAGGTGCCCAGAGGACCGAGGCCATGACTGGTAAAGTGTACCTAGCGAATTTGAAAGGGCGATAGTTTGAACATTGGAAGTTCCTACTATATCTTTGTCCCATCCGAGAGGCTCCAAAGTTCTTGACTGCACATGTGAGATTCCAAACACATAACCGAGTCTTAACTAACGCAGCTAACCAGGAAAAATCCGAGTCAAGTGGAACATTTGAAACATTTGAATTGAAGCCAGCGGCTACCAAGTGGCAAATATCCATTTCAAACATGCAATTTCTACCCAGGGCGTCACACATAAATTACTGTCTCTCTGACCTCGGAAATTGTTTTCTAAACGAGACAGAAAGTTCAAGTTAATTGGTTTTCTCATTTATGCAGGACGCCCTGACGAAATGGCTTGAACTAGTCGGAGGATTCTCCGCGTGGTAATTTACATCAAGTCGCCAAAATAGACTGGCGCTGCAGATAAACGCCACATGGATCGGAATTTTAATGATTCCGTCCTATCATCGCCCGGACCAGGTTACAAAGCTGGGCGCTAGCGTTGACCCTCATGACAGGTTAGCAGTGCGGGGTGCATTGGGATCATTAGAATTTAGAACCCATGCAGGCCCTCGGGAAATCGACGCCCAAAAGTGACTACCGGAAAAAATCATATGTGTATACTGATACCAGTTGACGAGCCCTGATGTTGATAATTCTTGCAAAGCGAACTTAATGTAACTCAGATAAGTAGTATGTATTTGTCTGGTGAAGTATCTGAGTTTTCGAACTGTACATGCATGGTGTCCTCAAAAAATACAAAACTTCAATAAATGTCAAATTTCTTTCTCATAGCACGCGCTATCTCTCTCTCTCTCTCCCCCTCTCTCAACCGCTCTCTCTTTCTCAAGTATCCGCAAATCCCTCTAGCATGGCCTCCGTGATACACCCGTCACCTAAAGGCACTGGGAGTAGTAGGCATTCTCATAGGTGCAGGTATAACCACTGACGCAGGTAGTGGCACCGGTCCATCCAGTTCCACCGCACTGGGCGTAATGAGCAGCACCGGTAGAGCTGGCGGCCGTGGTAGTAGTGGTCGAGGTCGAGGTAGTCTTGCTCGAGGTGGAGCTGGTAGTGGACTTGGAAGATGTGGAAGTGGTCTTCGAGGTAGTACTAGAGCTGGAAGTAGTGCTAGAACTAGAGGTGCCCGACGAGAAGGTGGAGCCGATGGGTCCGACCTTAATGTTCGAGTAGATAACATAGGCGCTTGCATCAGAAGTTTCGATGGTAGCCGGTGCTCCAGATGAGATGTCGCATGTACCACGGGCAGCACCGAGGGTGGTGGAGGTGTCGTTTGTCGGGTAAATGCTGTCAAGCCAGAGCATATCGGCGTAGTGGTCATCCCAGAGACTCATAACCAGGACCATACCGTCGGCGAGACCGGCACTGACACCCTCAAGACCTCCGTGTGTGGTAAAAACATTCTCATCTCCGAAGACGGACTTCTGCTCAGTGCAGAACTCCGTGGTAATAGAGTTACCTGTCACACCACTGATAGTAGAGGCGGAGTTGGGGATCACAACTCCGTCCTGAACGTAGAAGCGCTTGATCTCACTCAGGGTACCAGTGGCAGTGCCATCATCGGTAATGAACTGAGTCACGACAGTGAAGACGGAGGTGGTATCGACAATCTTGTCAGGTCCGAAGAATGTAGTATTACCCATGCGGTAAGGGTTGAAATCACATCCATCAGGATCGCAAGTGCCGCCGTAGCGATCGGTACTGTAAGTACCACCGCAGGCATCTTCAACGCACATGGTCTGAGTGGGCGTATCACACGGGTGAGGAGTGAGCGCATTGGAGATGGAGTTGGCCTCCCAGATATCCATTTCCGCGCAGCAGGAACCGTGGTTACCAATTCCAGAGTTTGAGTCAGTGGTGGAAGGCACCCAGCCATCGCAGTTAGCTTCACCGTCAATGAACTTCAAGTCTCGGGGACACTGAGAGTCACAATAACCGGTTCCATACTCAGCTCCAGCCTTGTTTGCCGGGAATCGGGCCATGCCACCATCGGAGTCCATGGCAACGAAGTAGAGGGCACCGTTCAATCCACATGGAAGGTTGGAGACATCGACATCGAAAGTGAACTCTTGGTTCAACAGATCAAACATCTGATAGGTAGTGGAATCTTCCATCAGGTACAGACGCGATCCGATGTTCGCCTGCGTGGAGTCGGTAACAAAGTTCAGACGGAGCGAGTCACCGCTCGTGGTGACTCCGTAGGTAGCTTCGTATGTGGCGCCTTCCAAGGCACAGTTGGTCGCGCAAGTAACATCGTCGGGGCAGTATGTTGCGTCCCATTCATTGCCAGTGTAGCAGTTGGTATAGCCACCAACGTCGTGGACCCAGCGCCAGTTGGCATCGATGACAACTGAGCCGGTCTGCGAGGTGCAGGTTCCGCCGCTCACACATTTCGACCAGGTCAAGGATGGATGAACCTCGGCTTGTGAAGTGCCAACTTGCTGTGCCCGAGCGGCAGTCAAGAAGGCAGTCAGGAGAAGAGCATTCTTGTAAATCCGGTAAGATAGTGCAGCAGACATTTTGATGGGATGTGAGCTGGAGACAGTGCTTGTTATGGTTGTTGAGGAACTTGATGAAGGAATTCAATTCTAGATGAACATGGCCTTCCATTTTATATCTATCCATGAGGCATCAATCTGGCGCCGGGCTTCATGACAACGGCGACCCGGTCCGCAAGGCCGTTCATTTCGGACCTGTCTGCCCATCCAAAAGAAGAAGTTCAATGAGCACTCCGCGGACACGGAGGGAATTCCTAGATCTCGTCAGGTTGTTTCGGACGAGATCAGGTCACTTTCTGCAGCGGGACTGACAATCTCCCCGCATTTTCCGAGATGGCTGCCAAGGGAGATACACTCCGTGCTAAGATGAGTATGAACCCTGCATACAATCCAGTCTTGTGATTGCCGTTTCTGTTTTGGGTTGAGGCTGGCGGCTAAATGGAAGGACCTGTAAAGTACCACGTTGGTTTTTCTCCACGAAGCCACTACAACATGGTTGACCAAGGCGAGGAGCGAGTCGGGGGGATCCGTGAAGAGGTGGCCAATGCACAAGTTCTGCAGGCTGAAAGCCGGTAAATCAACCCTGGGGGGTCATTTTTGACCGGGGGTACTTGCATTAGCGTGGTGAGACTAGTTCAATGAAGGACGACGCCGACGGATCCGTGGACGTTTCAGGAACCTTCGAAATGGCCAGTGTTAGAGTTTTGAGAGAAAAGAGAAACCGTAGATAATTCTTGAAAATAGTATAGAAATTGATTGGACTGGTCGAATTGCAAGAGTATGCATTCATAGGAATACTGATCCATTATCGGCTATAAGCGACCAAGTAACACAAATCACAATCAGATATCATAATTTGATGCTTGTACCTACCAAGTGACCTTGGACGCCTTTGCATTCTTCAATCGCATGAACTGCATGGAGTATGTGGAGTGACGTCTACAAAATGCGCGCCACTCGATCATCCCAATGCCACTTTCCTTCACAAAACCCGTGCCTGAAATAGAGTGAGCCCATGGTAGTCCACAACTGACTCAAAGCCAATCACAGTTGCACATGCCTGCCATAAAGTATCGTCAGTTATAGACTACTAGTATAGTCAGCACAAGGTTCAGGGTTTACCTGTCCCCGGATTCTTTCATTTCGCTTGCATGGCCCCTCCCCAATCAGGCATATGAAGAAAGCGGCGCTTTTCTAGATTCGTTCGGCGCGTCCCCTGCGCACAGACTGGCCACTGCCAGAGTCTTCGGGACTGAATCCGTAATTGACAACGCATAGGGATGGCCCGTATCGGCTCTAACATCTTCGATTGACAAGGTAGTCAAGCCCGAGCCACGCAAGGCAGAAACAATCGGGCTGAGCGGATAGTTGTGCCCAGATTGACAGTGGAGATGCCATATAGGTTTGCAAGCGTACACACATCATGAGGTGAATTCAATCTACTCCTTAAAAATTCATCGATGAAGCCGAGAGGAAAGCTTGGAAGTTGATAGACGAATGCTGACCGATGGCAATCCGGTAGCTTCATTAGTCTCCAATTCTCCCCTTAGATGGATCAAATTCGTGCACATGTGTTATTCTGTGGATTTCAGATCTCTTAATGCAAAAATAATAAGCGCTGAAAATAAAGCATAATAAAATTTGTGTGGGCAATCATGTCAGGAATCTCGGCATCTTCGCCGGTATTTGATTCAAATGCTCGGATGATGTATAGCCGTAGAGGATCAGTTATTCCGAGGTCTAGTCTAAATCGTCCTACTATGAGCACTGAAAGTAACATACTCGAATGCTATATCTTTTCAAAATCTCACAAAAATTCAAATATCTCACAATTTCCAAGGTTTTGCTCATCTATAAGGCTCATTCATACAATAAGTGACTACACTTGTTCTTCAATATTCGAAAGTATCCACTGACTTCATTGTGGGAGAGAAGCCCCGGGAATGCCGGTTGTGGGCACTGTGGGGGAGATACTTGAACCAAGCTTAACCCCACCAGATCAGCACCAGATCAGAACCAGATTCTACTTTCTTCCTCACTTTAGAAGCTATACAAAACTGCGAACCCAGCTCAACCATGGAAACAATCGCACCGCCGCCTAAGCTGAGCCACCTCTTCAGTCTTCGATGCGCGGTTGATACGCCCATGGAGATTGGCCACGGGCCTTACGGTCGGCGTCGTTGTGTGCCCATTTTATCAGGTACTGTGAACGGTCCTCATTTCAAGGGAGAAGTTGTACCTCTGGGAGGTGCAGATTTTATGTAAGTTGATGTGATTACAGTCTGGAAAGTTCAAGTTTGTTCAAAGTTGGTGATGGTTAATCTGTGCAACAGGATTGTTGAAGAGGACCAGACTACCCATGTCAACACCAATTACGTCATTAAGAGTGATGACGGGGCGTTTCTATATATTCGGTGAGTGAATACTTATCTCTTGTTACTTCTGAGAGGCTTTTGAGAGTTCCAAGGTTGCTTTTTTATAAGAGCGCAGACTGATAATCGCCCAGCACCGAGGGAACAAGAGCAGGACCACCTGAGGTACTCAAGGCACTCATGGAGGGAGGACCTGTCGACCCCAGTCAATATTGGTTCCATCTTCATGTTCGGATTGAAACCGGACATGAAAAGTACAAATGGATGAACGATCGTGTGATTGTGGGACGGGCGACACGAGCCAAGGGGGAGGTGGCATACGATGCTTATTTCTTGGAGAACAGTCCGTAAAAGATACCATCCAAGAGAGAAGCCTTCTCATGTATCGTGACGTTCAATGTCACATATTAATAGGTCTATAGACATTATGGCTAAGTATACAAAAGCATCAACATACGCATCATGGTGCTTGACATCGCTGGAGTAGCAGCTCAGCGAGATTCACGTAACAGCCCTGGCTCACGTCCTGCCGAGCCAGGATCTCGTCGGCCATCTCGTTGGCCCACACGTACTCTGAGTGGAAGTCTCGTAGCTCAAAGAGGCGTTGTCGTAACCATACTTGGTGGTTGGGATCGTCCGTCTCGATAATCGCCATCAGCAGAGGCCAGTGCAGACGTCGTAAAAGTCGGGGATCGGCCGCGAACTGTTTGCGGGCGATCTCTATGATCCCGACCGTGGCTTGTCTATGGATTGCCGCCGGTGGACTGTCTACGCAGAGTAATCGACGGTGAAGTAGGATCTGGGCGTGGAATGTACAAACACCCATGTATATAGTGTTGAGGGTACGCCGGGCGGAAACCGAACCAGCGAATTTGGCAGTGATGAATAGGTCGGAGTATTTCTAAGAAACGGTTAGTTCGAACACCCTATTTCGGTTTATTCCTGTTTTTGTTTTGGGGATGAGGTACATACATCTCGCGTGGAAATGATCTCACGAAATAGTAGCTCGGCGGTATCGCTTCCAGACCCGGAGTCTACCAGAATCTTCCAGGTTCGATAGCGTAAATGAAACCCGGCGTGTAATAACTCCAGAGCCCGGTAATTTTCAATATCGTCCAAGACCTCTTGGTCGGGATACTGCTCGCCCCAGAAACATCGTCCCCAAAGACGAGCACATCGATGCAGATGATCTGGTTGTAAGGCGGGATTATTGGATTGCATGACATAATCGTAAAGAGATTCCGCCAGGCCCATTGGTCGGCAACTGGCATCAATATACCTGGTCTATATGAGCGGAGGTCCAAGCGGGCAAAAGCAAGGGACAAGAAAATAAAATAAGAAAAAACTTACAACATCCAGAGAAGAAATTGCTCGGGTATAAATGAAACTTTCGCGGCGACTGCATCCTCCGGGGATGTCGCATCGTCTTCAGCAGACAGGAATACGTCATTGACGTCCTTGAGGCGGAAAAGCTGTGGGTGAGACTCGAGAAGTGAGCGCACCCCATGTAGATGAAGTTGTAGGTGACGCACAGAGTGGCCAAATTGCCATTCGTAGGTCACCATGAGGAACATGGTAGCAAATATTATCTCCAGTTCGGCCACGGAGACCTGTCTCCGGGGTGTCTCCAGGAGTTGCCGGAACTCCTTGACGGCCAGACTGTAGTGATATCGCCCATGATCTTCGGCAGTCGGTCGACCTGGTGACCTGACTGCCAGTCCATGGCGATGCATGTCACTGGCGGATAACGCCAGGATCATTCGCATGATGACTTTGTTTGTAGCGGCCGGGCCTTGGTAAAGATAGCACAGGCTGCTCCAATTCCATCCTTTCATATAATAATACACGATGGATGAGGAGGGGAAGTATTGGAAATATTTTTGGTCATGCTCGGTGAGCGTGAGAGAGTTGGCACACGCGATCTCGTTGGTACCCCCCAGTGGCGGGTAGAGGGGTGTCGCTATTCGAATGGGGGCGATTGGCGGATAAAATGATGTTATTTGGGGAGGCTCCAACGGGAGTGTGTCGCCAGGCCAGGATATTGGGGAGAATTCATCGAGAAGTGCGTCGTGCGACAGATCGATGACCCCATCACCAGCTTCCGACGCCGGCCAGAGCACCTGATCTGCAGCCGTCAAAGCAGGCTGGAGGTGTCGAATTTGCGCACTGCGGCCACGTTTCACGGGGACCCCCCATTCGCAGCTCAGATGGAGATTTAAACATCGCCTGCAGACGGGGCGCTCTTCGCCGCATTTGACCTTGCGCCGGCGACAGGTGCTGCAGCCTGAGTGGAGCAAGAGTTCGGATTAGTCGCGATGTCGGAAGAAATCTTGAATATGAAAATCGGAAGTAGAGGGGAAGGACCAACCACTCTTTGACCGCGGCGCGTTCCGTCCAGACATGAAGACTCAATCCCCCACCTCTCGCTAGATCTAGTAAATTAATCTTCAGACATCGGCATGAGAATAGGGTGGGGAAGAGGGGAGAATTGAATCATCGATTCCGAGAGAAACCTGGAGCCGAAGCCCGATAAGCCGTGATAAAGTGGGACCGGACACCCGATATGTCAGGCATGACATACATTGGATTTTTTTAGGTTTGACTAAGAGGAAAAGTGACAGCGGCAGTTCAATGTTGTTTTTATTTCCTAATTTTGAGTCTTTATGGTATACTTGAAGCTAATATTCTATATTTAATCCCGGGCAATCTCCTCTTTCCATTGTCGATGCGCGGTCTCGTAAAGCTCATCATTGGTAACCATATCATATCCAATCAGAGCCAGTGATTTGCCGACAATGATTGCTTCTGCGTGAGCCTCATCGGTTCCAGCTGCAGCAGCAAAGGTAGGATGATGAGGGAACGTGTTATCAGGTGAGGGAATTCCGAACATGGTGTGTAGAGTCGGTGTCACATAGCTGACGTTACCTATTTATACATGTTAATTCGGACTTCTCTCTCTCTCTCTCTCTCTCTCTCTCTCTCTCTCTCTTTTTTCTAGATCTCGGACAATTTGACTTACCGATATCGGATGAAGCTGTGAGAACTTTATCGGAGCGCTTCATCACTTTTCGTTCGTATGATCCCATGTGGACTTGATATCTCTCACAAAGCGTATCATTTAATCGGACGTCAGTGTAGAGTTCATCTCTGTAAAGAAGAAAAATATCGGAGTCAGCGATTCGTAATTCGCAAGATTAATAAAAGTAGAACTTACTCGGAAATGGTTGCTTGACAACCGGTGGCCAAAGCACCAGCTTCAATGCAGTTGCGAACTTTGGCCACGAGAGAGTTGAGTCCCTTCAATGTTGGACTTCGAACCTGCCAAAACGCTTTGGTATACGAAGGAATGACATTTGCCACTTTGGGAGTATCGGTAAAGGCAACATGAATACGCTGATCCGGTAAAAGTTGTTGACGGAGGACTGCGACGTTATTATAAGAAGCGACCAATGCGTCCAAAGCATTGATTCCGGCCCATGGGTTGCCGCCGGCGTGAGCACTCTTTCCTGTGAACTCGCAATGAATATTTTTGCGGGCGTTCATGAGTGTTCCAGCAATTCCTGTTGCATCAGCCTGCTCTGGGAATGTTTTCATAGGTCCTCCATGACTGCAAGAGGGTGTCAGAAGTTTGGCCGAGAAAAGTTAAAATTTGACAAACTTACGCCATAAGAGAAATGTCCACGGACTTGTAGGCTCCAGCATCAATGAGCTTGGCTTTTCCGCCGCCGTTCTCTTCGGCTGGTGTACCTAGCAATTGTGCCCGGCCGGGAATACCGTATTTCTTCAATGCAAACGAGAGAGCGAGGAATGCAGCAATACTGCTAGTCGCGATAAGGTTGTGACCACAGGCGTGACCGATATCGGGGAGTGCATCATATTCAGCGTTGAAGTTGATCAAACGGCCACCAGATCCACTGAGAGCTTCAAAGGAAGTGTCTAATCCATATGCATGACGAGTAACAGTGAAGCCCTGTTGTTCGAGAAAGTCACAAATGGCGTCATGAGCACGGTGCTCTTCATAAGCAAGTTCGGGGTTCGACCAAATCTGCAGCGATAAGAATGAGGATTAGATGTTTGCGCCACGAGATAAACATTCTGAAAGGAAAAATGAAGAATTTTGGCTCTTTTCACTGGGATCTCTGCAACTTACTTCGTGATTCAATTTGCGCAATGAGTCGTGCAATGTTTCCAGCGCGGCATCAACGGATGCTCGCACGGCATCTAACTGAACAACGGAAACGGTCATATTGCGAGTTGTATGAGTTGTGGGTTGTTTCGGGGGGGTTGCTAGGGGGGGCTATTTCAGGGTTCTAGGGCATGCGTCTCGCAAAGTCAAAAAAGTTTTCAAATCCTCTCCTATCTTTGAGGGCGTTACCATGTTTTAATAGAATGAGGGGGCCCTATGTCCTATCATCAGAGCAACCACCCGAGGTATCCTTTCCCTATCGATAAGATCGGAAGTTGGCCGGATCTTTCGGATAGAGGATCAGTTTTTGCCGATGAGGACCCTTGATAGCGGAAAGATGACATGGTCATTCCGTTTTTGGCGAGCTGCTGGGGTAGTGAAAGCGAAGTTTGGGCCTCTGTCGGCAATGGGTGGATCATTCTCCCCACGTTTGAAATCTGTGGGGTAAAAGTATGACACACCGGTGATTATCAGGAGTATCGTATTTCTAATCTTAGCAGATCAGATTCAGGTGTTTAGGCTTCAAAGTGACTAGTTCCATGACTTTTGGCTCCTCTCTGATAGGTAAGAGTGGGTTGCCGAGAGGAGGAGGTCCGGGGCTGATTGCCGACGGAATAAGGACATTGGCTACTCTGCCGATGACCAGCCCTAATCTCGGATACTCGCCAGGAACGTCATTATCAATGGTGAACTTTGATAGTCCTGAGCTCGTATAGGGTAATAAGGTCTCGAGTCGGCATCTGAACTCATATCGGTTTACCTACGACTGCCGTGATTAAGAGCCGCTTGCTAATATTTTGATCTTTCTGTCGCGTATATGGCTTAGCATCACCCTCGGCCGAAGATATAGACTTTGATAAGTGGCTCGCAGGATGATCTCTTCGTTCGGATATGTGTCATTCTAGTCTTCCTAGTGGGTCACGATGCGCCAGGCGCGCGGGGAACCCGCATTTTGCCTTTTGCCACTCCTTTCATCTTGCAAGTCTTTATGTATAGGGGCTTGAGGCCTCTTAGAATTGCCTTGTCAATAATTAATTCACGCCCAGATCCAGTTTCTCCAACATTCCGATTTTCTCGCTACTCAATCAATTCCAGCCATCTATTTGCTTGTCTCTTTTCGTTTTCACCTATCTTTTTTATCTTTCTCTCTGTATTCTCTTTGTTAATCTATAAAATCAAACATGGAAAAACCGCAACCGCCTGGTGCGGTCGATCTCGACATGTTGAAAGTCCAAACCAATCCTGCGGCTAAAGATGTGGACTTTGGGGAAGTGCTAGAAACACATGCGACTCCTGAGATGGAACGAAAAGTGCTTTGGAAGCTCGACCTTTAGTGAGTGTGAAAGTTATCTCCTCTCTATGCCCGTCTTCCTCCCTCCTTTCCCGCAATGAACCAATACAATTATGGATCAATTCACCCATGCAATTCTTGAGAGCCTGCTGTCTAACAGAGGCTTAGTCTTATTCCGCTTATGGGCTTCTGTTACATGTTACAGTATATGGACAAGTTGGCGCTAAGCCAAGCGACATTATTTGGATTAACAGAAGACTTGGTATTTTCTCAACCTTTCCCCCCTGAAAACAACAAACTCACCATGAGGCTTCTATCTAACCATCCAATCTCCGACCTAGCATTTTAAGGGCACGGAATATAATTGGACATCCGCCGTCTTCTATTTCGGATATCTGGTGTGGAGTTGGCCCAGCTCCTACCTCATCGTTCGACTCCCCCTTGGAAAATACCTCAGTGTGGCCGTGTTCATATGGGGTGGAGTTCTGATGTGCCATGCTGCTTGTACCTCATTCAGCGGGTTAATGGCAGCAAGATTCTTCTTAGGAGTCGGAGAAGCTTCGATCGCTCCTGGATTTGCCATGATCACAGGAATGTTTTACAAGAGAGAAGAACAGCCCGCTAGACAAGCAGCGTGGTTCATTGGAAACTCCATTGCATCCATAATTGGTGGTCTGGTCGCGTACGGAATTGGTCTTATCAAGAACAACACGGTCAATAACTGGCAATTGCTCTTTCTTATCCTGGGTGCTGTCACGGCTGCATATGGATTTGTCCTTGCAGCCTTCTTGCCGGACTCCCCGGCGAAGGTGATTTTCTTCAATCAAACCGAGAAAGCCATTGCCCTACAGCGAACTCTGCAGAATAAGACTGGTGTTATGGACGTGGGCAAATTCCGTTGGAACCAGGTTCTGATGGCGATCAAAGATCCGCAAACCTGGTGTCTCGTGCTGTATACCCTTTGCGTCAATCTCTGCAACGGTGGCATCACTAGCTTCTCATCGATCATTATAGCTGGATTTGGTTTCTCCAACCTCAAAGCTCTGATTATGCAGATGCCTATCGGAGCGGCACAGCTCGTTTTTCTCCTGTTGACCTCGGGCTTTGCCACCTTTGTGCGCTCCGCTCGAATTCCTATGATGATGCTGAACTGCTCAGTGTCTGTCATTGGCATGGCTCTCATCTGGAAGTTGGATGATGACAACCGTGCTGGACGGTTGACTGGTCTCTGTTTAGGAGCGGTATTTGCAGCCAACATTCCTTTGTCACTCAGTCTCATCAGTTCGAACGTGGCTGGGTTTACCAAGAAGAGTACCGTCAGCGCTATGATGTTTGTGGCATACTGTGTTGGAAATATTGTCGGGCCTCAGTTTTTCATTCCCTCTGAGAAGCCTGCGTATCCAGTGAGTGAATCATTATGCCTGATCTCTTTGTCCTCCGTACTAACTTTAATATAGATGGGTATCAAGGCAGCCATGTCAGGCTTGGTTTTGGGAATTTTCTTTTTGATCTGCTTGTATGTGTACTATGTTTTGGAGAACCGCCGGCGTGATCGCCTTTACGGATCGCCAAGACAATTGACAGAGGCCGAGGAGTTACAGGATGAGTTCTCCAACAAAACAGATCACGAGATAGAGAGCTTCCGATATGTTCTCTAGATAATAAATTATGCACAAATGCCCTAACGAATATTTATTTAAGTTTGCTTTGCCTTTGATCTCTTGTAACGCGTTCCATGGCAGACCAGTAAATATTTTGCAAAGAAATCCTCGGCAAAGTCATCAAATGGCTCATAAGGGGCTCCCAACTGATGGGCAGCTGCAATTCCAGAGATACAAGCAATCTCGTGCATATTCTACATTCTATTCGTTAGCGAATTTTATACGGAGATGAGTCCAACAGTCTTCGAAAGGGAAATATACTTACAACCATAGTCCAGCTACCAGCATAATGGGTTCGATTCTTGCCATTGATGAACATCATCCCCGGAACAACACGCAGATAATGTTGCCATCGATGGCCGAACTGATGCCACCATTTGCGCCCGATGATCTTCGACGGATCGATATCATTCCAGGTCCACAAATCCTTTTGTTGATCGTTCAAAAAGATGGTCTGGAAAACATGCTGATCCAGTGGCCGGGGAGGACTGCCAGCACCTAAAGTATCACGAAATTGATGCTGATAGTTTGTGCAGTCGAATCCCATCTCAATTTTGTCCGGAGCAGATGCAAATGAGTGCGTATAATACATTGGCCGATAACCTTGCCAACCGTCCTTTTGACACACAGGCTCTTGCTTGGCAAATGCGATCTGATTTCTCCGTTCATCTGTTGTGGGCTGGGCACACAGATTTGGATCATATTGCGCCTCAAAAATATTTTGAAAATAATCGGAGTCGGAATGAGTGATGGTAATGTCGTTGAAGAATTTCACCCCACCGAGAACCCATCTCTCTCGCCATGTAGCCTGTTGACCTAGAAGTTTCTTTGCCTCGTCGGCTGGACAACAGAAAACCAAATCATCGTAGACAGCTCGTGTCGCTTCAGAGAGCGAGTCACCATTATTAGTTTTTGTCTGAATCTGTAGTACAATGGCGTCTTTGTTGCGCTCCAAGATCGCCACAGAAGAGTTCAATTGAATTGAAACCCCCTTAGATCGGAGATCCGAAGCCCAATCTTTGTAAAAGTCTCCCAGCTTCGGAAATGTGTACATCACCGGTAGGTTTGGCAACAGTGTATCAGGATCATATTCCCACAACTTCATTTGCGGATCGTCAAATAACCGTTCCAATAGCACACTAGACACGTTTGGAGTCTGATTTCCGGTCCCAAGGAACAATGCCAGCAGCGGCAAAACCATCTTATTGCTGAAGTCGCGACTGAATCCGAAAAGGCGTAAAATCACCTTGACGGGCATGATCCCCAAGACCGGCATCATATATTTGATGCATTTCAGAACCCGGCCTAGCTTCTTAATTTCGCGCGAATGATGGTCAACAAGGGGGCTGGGAAACACGTTAGTCCAGAAGCTCTCTGGTCCTTTGCCGAAAGAAACTTGAAGTTGAACGGGCTGAGGCTCATAGCCGTACTGGCGGAAGAAGCGGAATGTATGACGGAAAATGGCCGAGCCCCCTTGCACACCGTCGTTTAACCAGCTTGCGCCGTACTTGGACTCATCTAGAGAGATGGACGTTGCTTGGCCTCCTGTATGAGAGTCGGTGTCAAACATGGTTATCTCAAACCTGTCTGGGTGATTTGCTAGTTGTGCGGCACATGACTGGATTCATCTTAGAACCTGGTATCAATTTGATGTGTTGTTGAGCACATACCATGCCTGCCGCCCCGGCCCCGATGATTGCTATCTTCTTTCTGCAGACATTTTCGGACATTTTGAACTTCCGATCGGTGTGAGTATACAGACCAAGTGAAGGTTGGTCGTAAATTTGAGAACAAAATATCCCTTGTTCTCAAATCTTGATGCGATGCGATGCGATCGTGGTGATGTCAGGGCCGAGCATTCCCCGCGATGGACCAATCACCGATCTAGAAAACCATGTAACACCGAGTCACTGACCTAGACACTAAAGCCCCGCTAGACAGGCCATTAGAGACAGGATTGACTTGAACACCCAAAGTCTGGATTGTTAAGTATGCAGTAGTTTCGGTGTCAACGCCACCTCTGATCGGATGCACTTTCATGAATGGTGAATTGCATTATTTCCCCTAAATCAATATTGTGCAATAGTAGAAATATCACACAGCCCCCATTTGAACCCCAAACAGTCAAGTAGCGCCATCCAGGGCGACTCCGAAAGTACAGTCATGATTGGCATGATAGTATATACATAAGAAAGCATTAAGGTGGCGATGAATCATCGAGGCCGTGGTCATACGGCGTGTTCTCCATCTCTTGGTTGGCAAAAGGACATACTGACGCTTATCGTCCCTGCGGTCGTCCAGGCTGCGCATGACTATCCGGTACGGGTGGCTTTGACGCATGTACCATCGAGTCAGGCGTCGGCAAACACTCACCCTCAAACGGTTTCCGTGCCCATACACGTCGCCTATATCCGCCCCCCATTAGCGTAATTCAGCAGGGTCCCAATACAATCAACAGGCTAAAGAAGATGGCAACTCACGCTCGTTGATACCCGTGATAACGCGGATTTTTAAGCTCTGCCCGCATCTTCGCAACATACACTACCACCTCCTCCTTACTCCACGGCTTGGGATGTCCAAATTTGGTAAGGAGCCACATGCACCATCCTTCCATTCCATCCATCCAGTGCTGATAGTTGACTGTGCCAGCCTCCTTATACTTTCGATCCCGTGGCCATGCTCCGATCGGCCATTTGTATGTCTTCTCGTGCAATTCCACGAAGCCGGCTTTGCGGATCGAGCCTGCCATCGTGTCGAGGATGTCGCATTCTCGACCTGCTGCTTTGCCGCATGCAAGCATGTTTGGGGCCCAGGTTCGAAGAATGTTGTCGGCGGGGATACTGTCATCGTCACAGTCGATGCTGGGGAAGGCTTCGAGTTGCTCGATCCAGCCACCAGGGCGCAGGTTGCTGATGGGCACATGTTAGCTTAGGAGAAAAGCCCAGTGAATGTACAGCAGTTGGTAAAACTTACTCGTAGATACGTTTATAAACACGATCCCACTCAGTTGGATCGAATGATCCGATCATAATACGCAGATGCACAAGATCGAACGGATTCTGCCATGTCCATTCTTCGAGTGCGTTGTCGACCTCGAGAACACAGTTCGGAGGCATCCAAGTCACAGGGGGTGGGAAGAGGTCCACGCCGCGAACAGTGGCTGGGATTTGTCAGTACTGAGACCTCCATGGACCAAACTTTAATGAATTTGATCGAATAGCTGAGGTTTAGGCTCACCTTCGGGGAACATATCGGCGACATCACTAAGATTGGGTTAACAACGCCCTTCATTGACCCCAAAGGAAGAAGGAAGTCCATGCTGTTGATATGCCGCCTTGTTTCAGGGATTTGACTCACATTGCCCAGGTACCCTTGCCAGTGCCCAGATCAAGGATATGTTCGGGTGCATTTCCGACTGGGGCTCGAAACAGAGGGTTCTCTCTATCCGAGTCCAGGACGAGTGCGACAAGATGTCTTTGTGTATGATTAATATCGGCTGTTGACCAGTCCATTAATCCAGATATTAGGAATGATGGTGGCATACCCGGCTTCATAAGAATCGAACATTTGCTCATCGGAAGGGATCCTACGATCATGTTCAATGGCAATTCTTTTCCTTTTTCCTAATCACCCGGACTCCACGTACAGATATTCTTTATTGCTCAAGGTTTGATAGCTGCAGGCGAGATGAGATTTGGTTTATCGTCATGACGTTTTATCAGTTGAGCTCACCGACGGCCATTTTCTATGAGACCTCGATAGATTGATGAACCGATCGAGGTTGTTTCCCTTGGAGAATTAAAGCCAATCCACGAAGTCGACTTTGCGAATTGTGACTTACGACTGCCAGTCATCAGGATAGCTGGTCTCGGTGGTGTGGGAGGTCGGATCCTACGATTAGGTCAGCACAATGAAGATCAAACATGAATTGCAAGTCCAACTTTACCACCGAGATTGTTTGATTCTCATCCGCCATTCTGCAGCGATATCAAAAGAAGAATGTGGGGAATGCAGACGAGGAAAGCAAAAAAACAAGGTATCAATAGTGTGTGGGGACAAGAAGGGGAGAGAGAAAGGGGGGATTTGCTAAAGCAAGTTGGGAGAACCCCAAAGTCAAAAGAAAAGCCCTGGAGTGCACAAAAGTTGTGCCCAGCCTTTGCAGCGGTCTTTTTTTTCCCTGGGATTTTGGCTTTTGACACGCCCCGCAACTCTCTCCCCACTTAAACTCTTCAAGACTGATTGGGACCATCAAATGGAGCTTCGATTGGTTGAAAAGATGGTTGTGCATGGGTTTTGGACGGGAAACCAGTCCCGCATCCGCGTGAATTACATGAGAATATACGGCAAATAAGTCCAATAAAACGGGCCAAAAAAACGGGCAAAAGAAGCCCCCAAATCCCCAAAAAAGACAATAGGTTTGTATCTTGGATGGGGCCAGGTGGATCCGAGGGACTGAGCCATGCCGCTGAGTCGTCGAAATGATGTCAAGGGAAGCCTTCTCCGACGCCAAATGACAAGGGCTTATGTTTAGACTTGCGCTAGTACTCATCCTGGTACTGTTACCGTGAACATCTATTTACCGTCATTGGTCTGGATTGGGTTGTGCACAGATTGTACATGATACGTCAAATGGAGCTTTGCTCAAACGGGAGGGTTGTGCGTTAAACATGATTTCCCTGTTGATTCCAAGGATGCCGTTGGCTTGCGCGTGCCGTTCCGAGTTCCACTATAGTCCGACCGATGGATTTGTTTTGGTGGCGGTTCATGCCAAGATTCGCTCGGTGTAGCTGGGATTGATAGGATTGGCAGGATTTGGCTCTGGTTTGCGGTCGTTCGCCTTAAATCTTGATTCTGTGCATGTAGATTTGTAATATACAAGGTCGAAGCCACCCAAAAAAAAAGCAAAATATTGAAAGAAGACAGGGGGAAAAAAAGGAAAAAAAAAAAACCCATTACATGTACAATCCGTATTGTGATAAGGGGGACGAAAGGGATATTCCATGGCTTTGGAGTAATATAAATGAGTGGCTATTATGAGCTTAACATTAAAAGGACATCTGAGATCTCGCAGATGTGTTGAGTATATAATAAAATGTACATAAATTCCACAAAGGTCTGGAGTACTCCGTAGCTGCAAGCTTGACATGTGCACGGAAGAGCAAAAGGGGGAAAAGTCTCCGTGGTAACTTCAAAGTACCAACTTCGAAGGTAATATATTCCCTTCAAGCTTGAGCGCAAAAGTGGAACACACCGGCAGCACCACTCTTAAGTGCATGAGGCAGCCGAGGGCACGTTCTCGCATTTCGAGCTGGTTTTGCCACCGGTCACATCCACGTCTTTCCAAGTCCAGTCTGTGCAGCTACCATCACCGCAAAGGATGTACACCTCAACGGCATCAGACTCGACAGAACCAGTGATGCTCTTGATAGTGATATCGGAGATGGTAACACCGTTCGAAGGGTCCCCGGTCGGCGAACCATTTTCATAATCCTGCTCAATGACAACACCGTAATCAGTAATACCGGAGAGGGTGATATCCGAGAAGGTCACATCAGACACAGAGCCAGTGGCATCGTAGACAGTCTTGATACGGATACCGTTCTCGGAATCGCTAACGGTGGACGAGGTAAAAGTGACATTCTTCACGGTGTTGTCGGAACGGCCACCAACGGATCCAATAGACAGACCGTGGCCACCGGAGCAGGTACCACCGGAGAAGTAGATATTCTCGCCGGAGTTGATGGCGACACAATCGTCCTGGTTCTTGACCACGGCACCGGTGATGGTGATGTAGGTGGATTCGCCGATATCGAAGCCATCGGTGTTGTGACCGCCCTCGTCGTCACCGGCCGAGTTATCGATCGTGACATCCGTGATAGTCAGGTAGTCAGACTCAATACTGAAAGCCTGTACGGGGGTGTTCTTGATGGTGAGACCGGTGATAGTCGACTCATCCAGGGAGTGGGCATAGAAGAACTTGGGCTTGGTCTTGCCACCGTTGGTACCTTCGCCATCCCACCAGCGAGAACCGTCTCCGTTAATCACGGCACCAGAGGCGGCCTTGACGGTAATGCTCTTTCCGGAGATCTCGATCAATGGGCCATCCCATTCCTCGTAGCCGAATGTGGTGGTGCCTTCGAAGATGACCTATATTATTCCGTTGGACTTAACAGGTGGATCCATGTTGGCTGCTTGCTTGAAAGATCTTACCTCTGTTCCCTTGGTCAGGTCAGTCAGATCCAGGGTCGTGCCGGCTGGGACCTCAATGTTGCTGAGGATAATGGTAGAGCAATCGGCCTTGCTTTCTGTGGCCTTGGCGGCACTGGTGAAGGTGCAAGTGGAAGAAGATCTCTTGACCACGTCCGAAACCTTCGATGGAGTTGGGGCCGCAACGGCAAGGCTGGCTGCCAGACCGACGCACAATAGATGGGAAAGATACGAGGGCATTTTGGATGTTCAGTATCTGCTCAACAGAACTGGTGATAGTGAGAGTATTGGAAAGGAAAATTGAAAGGAACGTGCGGGATTCTGGTCAACAGAATTACCAAGATTAAGTAAAAAAGAGTGAATGTAGTCGGAAAACGACAACTAGAGTGACTTGCATGATAAAAACCGGCGATTTCCCACCTTTTTATAGTTCCGAGCTTGTCTGGTTTATGCTGAGGACGTGGCCCCGTTCGGATCACATTGGGGTGCCCTTTCAGCCACTCCCCTTTCATGATCACCTCACATGTTTTTATCCCAAGGTTTAGGGGGATTAGTTCGATTTGCAAAACAGGGGCTGAAAAGGACCACTCTATGCAGGCTGGCCTTGTGAGGAACTGTTTTTTCTAGGTGGGACCCATCTATCTCTAACAGCCGGATGATTGGATTCGGAATTAGTGGCTAGCGGATAGACCCCTGAAATGCGCAATGGTGGACATTGTGGACAGTGACCGAGTCTGTAGTTGATTGCTTGGTAGGTCGTGCCGTGCTCCACTGGGCGCCATGTGGTCACCAGGCCGAACTTGCCGAGTCTACTGTTCCTATTAACATCAATTCCGAAGTAATGCCGAGAACTTCTTCAAGGGTCTAGAGTATCCACAAATTTCAAACACGGCTTATTTCCTTCGTAATTAATGAAAACTCCCACGCAATGATAATAATCATCAAAATAAAGATGATGTACGTTATAGATTGGAAGTGGAGAGATGCCTCTAGGCTTATACATTATCGACAAATCACAAAGTGAACTCATGAGTGAATCACGGAGCTTAATTGAGCCATGGTTGCGTATATTAAATTAAGTTAACTTAATTCATCCATCAATTAGATTGTTGCGATGGAGAAATTCGAAGACTCGACTTGTTCTAAGGTTATTCCAAGGCTATTATGCATCGGCTTTGATGTTCTAACAATGTCAAATCCCGAAAGCTTAAGTAACTAAGACGTGGAAGTACAATGTAATAACTAATTTCATATTGAAGTCAAGGACTCAAGGTGAAAAAAATTTGTTGTAATAAAAGTTACAAGAGCCACGGGGCATAATGGCGAAAGATGAAAATGGAAAGAAAAAATGGAAAGAAAAATCGCAGGCAATTTCAAACCCAAAAAAAGACAAGAGCTTTCATCGTTCATAGACATAATTAGCGGGAGAAAAAGGAACTTATTCTCTTTAGTGTAAGTGGTATACTATAGTAAGTTGTAACTTGTAACCATGTGGAATTCACTGCGTGCTAGTGGTCATAGACGGCACCGGGTCACATGACCACAATGGAGACGCGTTTGCCAGAATTTTTTTTTTTCACCTTGAGCATGGCAATCTCAACAGGCAGACCACAAAAGGTCACTGGTGCACCGGATTATGACAACCCGGTGTTTTGGGACGATCGATTTGCGACCGGTCGGGATGTAGGTGAATGGTTGAATTCTGGCGAGGCGCTTGTCGACGCAGTAGTGTCAGACTTGGAGAGTCGAGCGAGTGAACGCCCGCGCGTCTTACATCTGGGCCCAGGCGTTTCCCAATTAGGCCTTAAATTACGCGACGCTTGTACGAAACGTGACTGGATGGGAAATGGGATTGTCGTAAGTTAACAACCCAAGTGTCACACGTTTTTGCAATCTTTCAACTCATTCTTTTTTTCTATGTGACAGAATGTCGACTTCTCTGGAGAAGCTGTACGGCTTGGACAAGAATATGAAAGTCACAAATCCCCCTCCGAGGCCATGCATTGGCAACGGGCCGATCTCCTATCGTGGACTCATGTGTCAGATCTTTTGCCGTTCGCGCCTTTCGATGTGATTCTCGACAAAAGCACCAGCGATGCTATTGCCACTTCCACCGATCAGCATTTCACGTCTATAGCAGGAGAAGACATTTCATCACTTTGTCCAGCTGTTCGGGAGGTGCTATCTACTCGCCCTTCAATCACCCTTTCCCCTGTCGAATTGCTGGGGCTTAATCTCGTGCCATTGACGCAGAAAGATACCACTTGGGTTGTCCTATCATATTCTACCTTCCGCTTCGACAATCTTGCCTTCCTTGACCAATACTGGTCTCTACGCTCCCGGACACCATTAAAAGCACCTGCGGGTCCCGTGTCGTCGTCTGCCTATACCCCCGACGTGTTTCATTGGCTATACATCCTGGATCGGAGATGATGCAAAGTATATACCCGGGATCAAAGTTGCTGCTGTCTTACATAAAGCACAGAATTGGTTTTACGCATGCTTTCAACCTGCTGTTGATTTTTTTGCGAATATTTAACAATGACCTCGGAACCACACAATCGTATAGCAACAAACGTCCATCATCCTTTCGCATGAACCTCGGCTTAATCAAACGAATCTTTATTGGAAAATCATGTTGGAATTGCAAATATCATATCGCCTGCCAATGGGGGACTAACGAACGTAGCCTCTTTCATTTCAGACTTTGAATGGATTGGAAACGACTTGGTCGGAACCATGGGTTTGATCGGGACCCATTCTTGTCTTCTTCAAATGTTGCAGGATTCCAACCTTGGAAATGGACTACTGACAAACATTCAACCTCAGCAGTCCAAATATACCGCTACACAAAATCAGCATTGAACTGGTTGTCGAAGATAAATGGTGTGCCAACTTACCGTTCGCGTACAGCGCATATGTATCCGCGTTCATTACTGCCTCACGGCTTTGCAAAGCAGTTGATGCTGCATACCCGTATCCCAGATCCTCTGTTCCTGGGCTGAAAACCCCCGGAGCATGAGTGAATTCGTGCAGACTGGTGGTTGCTCGATCCTGATGATGACATGCACTCGTGAGTTCAAGCAAATAAGAGTAGTATATGTCGCAATTTGCAATCGCGTTTCGGGACGGAATCGTGTATGCCAACACGTTACTCTCACAATAACCAAATTCGTCACTGCAATAGTAATCGGTAGCCGACGTAGTTGAATTGGCTTCCCTTGCAACCGCGTCAAGTCGAGCTGCAACCACCTCTCGCACGGATTGGTCCGTGGTCTTGAAGTATTCATTGAATTTGAATTCGGAACCATTCCGAGCAGCAACTGCCGCGGCTGCGGCTAGAGCAGATGTTTTTGCCAGCGCATTGTCGAGCTGTTCTTTCACAGTGTCGTTGTCGCAACCCATTCGGGTGCGGCGGTCAAGAGTTTGGATCGCCTTCACGACCTGGGATGCCTTGCCGGCATCCACCTCAATCGTGAGATGATTAGAGCGATATGGTACATGACCGGAGACTGTTCCGTCATGTACAAGATGGACCAATCCACTGGAATGGAGGGTCATAGAACCTCCACGGGTCAAGTCTGTGGTTGCGGCAATGTCAAATTCATCTGTCATCGCCTCCCCAATGCCCAGAGTGGTGATTGCATCTGCGCTGAGTCCTTGCAGTTTAATGTGTCGCTTAATACCTTGAAACGGGACTTCGGCATCTATTTGAGATTAACCATCAAGTATGAGTGAATGGCGACCGGGGAATTTCTTACCATCTCGATAAACGGAGACCTTCTTCACCGGTGCGCTATCGCGGAAAAAGTTCAGATGCACAAAGGTAATCTCCTCTTTACCGACATTTTTCACGATGGCTTTGATCTGGGTATTGTCTGCTTGAATCAAAGTAACATCGAGAACAGATTGGCTGTCAGACTCAATTGGCAAAGGCCACACGTGCTGTACAAGGAACAGAAGCGCCGAAAAGAACGCAACAATATGCATGATGAAGGGTTGACGTAGGTTGACTACTAGTATGGATGCCACATGGGCTATACAGTCCAGATGTCGTATCACAGGTAAACTATTACCTGCTTGGTATGCTTCTGAAATTGCAAACGTCCCAATTCCAGGGGCAAGACGTCTTGATTTTATAGAACCATGACATTGCAAATATTTCCTTCAATATGCTCCGCTCATGGGTGAACTTGGCTATTCTCCAGGGCTTCATGCATAGATGTGATCATCTACGGGGATAGATGGGCAATAAGGTGGTACTGGCTCCCGTGAACAACTCACTGCACGGGATAATCGGATATGTTGATTAACTGCCCCGGGAGATTGCTGTAGATGTCAAAGATCTTTTATCGCCATTGGCTCGGCGGTTCTGAGTGCTTCGTTTCATCATTTCGATACCCGGCTCTCGGGGTCGCTGTGCTATTGTGATATGCGGAAACCACCGGATAGCGGCCCGTCCCTTGATATAAGGAAAGCAATTCATGGTTGAAATGGAGCTAGGGCTCATTGTATGGCCTTTAACACGAACCCTTTCTCCAGTAAAGATGAGTATAGTTCATTAATGTAATCAGGAATGAAGTTTCAAAGGTTGTGCCCAAAATGAGCAGTGCATGGTGAAGGTTGCGAACGCTCGGAGAAGTATACTATCTCCGGCATAGAAACGGCCCCGTGAGTGTCAATAGAAGATTACGTACCACCCAAAAATGAGTTAAGGTTTCTGTTGCAGTCACAATATTTAATTCAGGAGCGCATTATAGAATCTCATTCTCCGGATCTGTGCTCACAATCGATCTCCCAATCTCATTGCAAGTATTTACGGATACTGAAGGGAGGGTTGCACAGAATTCCGGCGAAAATTCCTGGATTGTTGCACACGTTGGGTATCTATCCGGATTGTTCCCCTAAATGAAAGCGTCTCCGATTTGGGCCTGGATAAAACACATGTTATTATTGTTTTCACCCCTCGATCGCACCTATTGCTTGTTGCCAATTGCGTGATCCTCCTCTGGGTTTGATAGCCCCGGCTTACCAACCGCACCACCACCTAGTATTTGGTATCTAAACGCGCCAACCAAGTTGATCTCATGACGACCTTTTTGAAATGCCCATAGCCATCAACAAACAAAGATGTGCGCCATCCCTTTTACCGGCTTAGACTTTCAGAGGAACCACGAATAATCTGTCCGTGCGCGGCGGATCCGAAAGACGGTTTGGTCCTGGTCTTTGGTTGATGTGACTGCACCCCAACTGGCCCAACCGGGGGTTTTCCAAGGTTAGGGGTCAAATTATCAAGGGACATTTGGATTGATAGTTGATCGAATGAGGCTGTCTTTGAAGTCAACTGATCTCGGCGTATTTTGTTACCTCTGAAAGTGGTTGGCATTCAAAATGTTGATTGATGTGTATTCATGGTTTACATAATAAACATTGAATGATTTACGTAGACAGCCGTCGACTATACATACATATATAAATGAACATCCATGGAACGCGAGCTCTCAAGTGCTGGTTATGACTGGTATGTACATATGGACTATATATCCAGATGTCAACAATGTTCAATGTTCAGAGCCCTGTCCAGCACTGGTGAAGAACGGGACGCAATGGAACCCACATACATTCATCACCAACATCAATCAATTCGAACATTGAAGGATGAGATCAGGTCTTGGAATCCTGCACATGTGGAAATTCCAACCTTGAACATTGTGGGAGAAATTTGAATTTCTTAGCTTGTATGATCCTCCGCGAGGTCCTTGTGTGGATTTTACATAATGCGGGTAAATGACGAAATTTGGGGGACATTTTTGTGATTACCAGTAGTTGTGAGTTTAGGTTCAGTCGAAGATGTTGGAAGAAGCTGGGATTCACTAGCAAGATTTGAATGTGAATCTTCTCCACCACTGACCACACTTGACCAAGTATAAATTTCAACATTCGAATGAAAATAACCTTGTAAATCGTCCGAGTCCGTTCGTCTTGCTCGTGTTCGTCTTGTACCCCCACGCCCACACTAGGCCAAATAGAGCTAGTGCCATTCTCCTCCATGGAATCAGTTACTACTAAGTATTCGTCCAACCAATCACAATCGCTCTACGCCAATTGATGTTTATGTAATGCATCTTTTGCTCGTCCTTTGTATTTGGGGTTGAATTCCTTAATCTAGCCTTCAAGTTACTAGTACTTTATCGGAGGTACGTACTCTTTCTGTTGTTTTTATTCATCTCAGCCTGCCTTAAGTGGAAACGCCATATTGTAACGCCATATGTGCAAATTATAAATTTTTCTCAATAACACAAATTAATACTGGCATTTGATTGAGAAATCAGCATATTGAATTTGAGATACTAGTAGGTTCAATGGTGAGAATCTTGGGATATTGTAACATTGAAGGCCTTCTCATTGGGCCGAAAATTATATCGTACTCCCCGAGTAAAAGTTTTCATATTCCCCCCGTCACTCCTACAGGTTAACTAATGATGGCTCCCAAGGGCTGAAACGGGTGGCGGTGTAAAATCCACTTTAATGACTGGCTTGATAGGTACATTCGGGTTGGTACCAGTAGAGCCCCCATAATAGCTGCGAAGCGCGTGAGACTACTCTTCAAGCTTCCGACTCATTTTTCAACTTTTGAACCATCAAGCCAAGACTCAGTACCAGCAATCACTTGTTTCCCAACTTTGGAAGCTTTCTTCACGCCTGGCATTTTACGTACGAGAATACTCATGAGCGCCAGCCAAAGACTAATTGCGTCTCGAGGAGCAGACTACAGGACTACAATGGAATTGAACAAGTTCGAAGCAAAAAGGTAAATGACAATTCTTGACCAAATGTTTATGAAGCATACATGGGATCGCCAAACAAGGCAGATGTTATCCAGGGCAGACTCGATGCATGTTCTCCAGGTTCCAAAAGAATGCAATTTTAACAGCGTCCAGCACAATCAACTCATTCCGATCTCACCAAAAGTCCAGCCATATCACCAGCTATGGCTAGTTCAGAGTCATTTTGACTCTTCTACATGAAAGGAATTCATGCAAATTGATCCTCTTAAACATACTTGACGACAACCTCGCTGGAGGTGACGGAGACGGAGGTCAGGATGGAACCGCTGTCGCTCTCAATGTCCATCAGAGTGGCGCTGGAAGGACCAACGCTGGTGCTGCCGCTGGTAGCGGAAGCGCTGGAGAAAGTGACAGTGCCGAAATCGGCGAAGGGAACAAGGGAGTCATCCTCCTCAAAGTCCTCGACGATCCACTCAGCATTGTACTCGCAGAGGTCACCGTCAACGCCACCGGTGAAGGTATGGGTGACGGACTTGCCAGTGGTCACGTTATCAACGGTAGCAGTGCCGGCAGTATCGGATGTGGCATCCACAGTGACCTTGATCACATCACCAGCGGCGATAGTGAGGTCAAAGTCGTAAGCGTAGTCGGGGTACCACTCGTACCAAGCATCAAAGGAGACAGTGCTTCCAGTGACACAGAAATCGACACCGGTCTGGAGAATAGCAGTGTCGCAAGTATCACCGTCGATACCGACCCAAGCGGAGGCGCAGTACTGAGTACTGCTGGATCCACCGCTGGGCTTGCTGGGGGTGGGCACGGTGAACTCGGCAGTGACAGCCTTGTAGCCGGTGCCAACAAGGACGGCACCAGCCCAGTTGGAGCTGTACTCGACTTCCTTGGTGCCCTTGAGAGAGATGGCCTCAGTAGTACCGGGCTTGAAGGGCGGGTTGCTGGTGCGCTGGCGAGTGGCACGGCGAGCCTGACGCTTGGCAGTCAAGGGAGCAGCGAAGGCGCTGGCGACAAGGGCACTGCCCACAATTGCGGTAGAGAACTTCATGATGCAGGTTGATTGTTCGTAAAGAGAACTGGAGTCAAACTGGGCTTTGGAATGTGGATTGGAAGATGAGGGAGCTGTGTGATGAAGAAGAAACAAACCTGGCAGCGAGAACTGGGTTTATATAACTTTCCATTATCTATCTTCAATTTCGTGACAGATGCCGGCGATGGCGACTACCGAGCCATGGGACTTCGTTTCAATGCAACATTATCGTCGATGGCAGGTGGCTATAGGCTGACCCGAAGCAACAGAACTTGACGCCTGGCCGGTCAATATCTGACGCCGTCGGAGACCGGTGGATCCGTCGAACTAGTTCGCGCGCAAAATGCTATACGTGTTTCTGCAAAGATTGATGAAGAAATGCGCACGGCTCCCATGGGGTAATGGTGGGAGATCGCGCTAGCTTTTTGGTTTGCTTGCTCGACAACGGCCCGTTATCGCCTGCAAAACTTGACCACGAAGGGTACCATCTGAATCACAGAAGGTTTCTTGGCAGCCGGTGCTTTGAGTGTCGCTTGATCAAGTGGACAGAAGGCCAAACGGGGGGTGATGGGACTGAAATTGTATGGAGAGAATAGCAAATCATGCTTCCCTATCAGACCCAGGCACAATGAGCAAATGATTGGTTGAGCGCACCAAGTAATACTTCCTTAGCGCATGCAGGGAGTATTGCACAGAGCACGCAACGCATCTGCAACGGAAGTTGGAGACGGACAGCCGGAATAGTAGCAGGCTGAAGATACTAGATCCCCACATTCGTCAAGAAGACGTGAAATCAGCCACATGCCCCTCTTTGAACGCCCCCGTCATCATCCGGGATTGGCACCGGTCCTGCAGAGATACGGATTTCCGACGGCACCTGGGGCAGCGATAAGGTATGTATTCATTCTCGACCTCAATATTCGGATCCAAAAGGCTAGACATGGGACTGTATACGGAGAATGACCTTGTTCAGATGGTCCATGGCAAACAAGGAAGTGATCGACCAATCCAATTTAGAACATTGAAGGATTGAAACAGAATTGCTTTCCGATAAGCGATATTGTTGCGATGCTACTGTGGCGCACAGGCTAAGTCCCGGAAGATAGACGAGTCAAGCTTTCGACAAGCAAAAATGGCGGGGACGGACGGGAAATCCTTTATTCGTTGATAGAAGATGGACATAACAGGCGATCAGTCCAAGTCTCTGATTGTTCGATCTGAGAATAGAATTGGGATCTACCCGTAAGCGATGAAGGTCTGTCCCTGTGCTTTTTTTTTTTTTTTTTTTTTTTGGGCTCAAGGCTTGAGTGTGTTGGCCCCTTTGGCGGAGAGTCCGACGAGAGATTGTTAATGTTAGCGCTGAGCTCCGTATCGAACCAAAATAGCGCACAGGAGAGTCAGTTGCAAGGTGACCGGGCACGCTAGCTTCGTTGGAGAATCACACCCGGAATGCTCAATGGTCAGCAGTTAATCTGCTGAGGTGGCTCTATCAAATTCCGCGAATCCCTACCCCTTCGAGCGGGGACGAGTGGGGCATGTTAATCACCCAACCCAATTTCCGACTGTATCTAGTACAGCAAGAAAGGTCCGTGTCACAGACTCACAGGTTCAACCAAATCCTGTAAATGACCCCTCGGAGAAAGGTAGATAGATTGAACTAGAGAAGAAGAAAAGGAGGGGAAGTCGTGAACAAAGGATCCAAGAGCAAACAAGACGTGCGGGACTTCGACCAAAGGGATAGGAATAAGTCCGACCACCATGATATGTAAGCCTAAGCATTTTATTTGGTAACAAAATGCATATTGCTTCAATGTTCTTCTCTTGGCACTTGGCATATCATGGATGTCTGATAGATGGGCCTTCCAAGGCTGGGGCCTGGGGCCACCCGCAGCTCGGACCCAGGGGCCGAATTGTATGATGTGCACCCGCAGTGGGTCCTTTAGATAGAAGGAACTTGCAAGATCGAAGATAGCATGGATTTATGGTAAAGGACCTTTTTATTGTGGATTCTGTTTCATAAATATGTTAGTTACATGCATATCTCATAGGCGCGAGGGAGTGATCATTTGCAAACCGGAGTCCGTCTTTCATAATGGGTCAATTTCAAGGACGCCGCGCAAGCGATCAACCACAAGAAGCCGATTAGTCCGGAACTTCCCTGTCAATGGTATTAAAAGCTTCATATAAACCCCAGGAGTCAGGAAAGAAATCCAAGTACAAATTGATGAGTACGCGATGCCAAGACTTGACCCTCAAAGCAGTTTCTCCAAACTGATAATCGGCATTCGCAAGAACGCTTTGAGTTGGAACATCGATTTTCAAAGCAGCTCTTGGTAAGGGAGCCATATATTCTGGAAGAGATGCAGGAAGATGAGAAGATCATGTTTATATTTCAAAGCAGACTCGAGTTTTCTCTGTGCCCATGTGGCAAGTTCTCCAATCGCCGGCGCTATTTTCATTTGTCATAAATCAACCCCAACTTCTGCCTTCGGAGAGGAGACTTACAAAGTGGCGAATTCAGAATTTCGACCTTTCAGGATAGCCACAGGGCAGAGGTGTAGTTGTTGCAAGTGTGGCCCGGGAGTTGGCAGGGGCTTGAAAACAGATAGGAAGTCAAGATCTGCCACGCTAACGTCCATGTGCCAAAACGAAGGCCTATATATTACTTTAGGAGGATGCGTATATAAATTTTCCCTACTAAAAATGATTCAAGTCAGCCAAGGGAGCATAAAAACCTGTAACAACACAACGAATCAGACTTGACTTTGCTCCCAGTGTCGATGAAACTTGATGAGGTGTGTTCCCTGGCGATGTCAGAGCAACATAGTTTCTCTTCCGTATCACCTGCCATCAGATATCACATCCAAAGATAAAGTAACCATCTTCTTTTCAAAAGCACGTGTTGATGCTGTCTCGGCCGTCATGCTGATATCCCAATCACACGTTCGGCTTGAGAGTACGGGGCGTTGAATGTCAAGTACGTCAGGGAGGAAGAATAGCCAAGAGGAGAAAGAAAGAGAATGGGAGCTTGGATCTTGGAATGTGTCACCACTGCGAGCCAACCCCTTAGAGTAAAAACTCCTCAGATTCGAAGTGGACAAAGAGTTTATTCGTATTACCGAGGGATAGCAAGGTTTAGCAAATGTGTAAGTGGATAGAAAATGAAATCCGAATCTCCACTGATAGGCAAACGGCCTAAAACATCATTGGAAACCTTGAAAGGCGGACGAGTGAGTTGAAATGAACAAGAATATGAAGGATGAGTCGAGTAGTGAAGGCCACTGGGCTTACCTGAGGAAAGTGGCGTGACCTGGAGTTTGCCAGTCACCAGCCCGGTATCGGATATGTCGGGGTGACAATGTGCCAAAGATTGAGGATTTATCATTCGTAGGAATAGCTGCACAGACCCTGAGGCTTCCATTCTGATAAGCTGGAACGTGTGAGCCACTAGGCTGATTGGCTGAATTCATTGCGTGGACGGCCACATGTCTCGCGATGTGGAAATATGGAGCAAGAAGATAACATGGAGCACACACAGTTGTCCATTCCATTTAGCTGCGTGATACAAAATCCAAGATCTGTTATTTAACATGGGAAATGGGCCAGAGTGAGTCATCTGAGTATCCAATGTCGAATTTGATTTCGCAATCTTTACCTAGATGTCGACACCTTGAACAGGGTGTGGTGAACAGTACTAGTAAGATTACACGCTGAAAGTACTTTATACTTAAAGTGACTATTAGGAGAATAAATACCATCATTGATGAAAAAAGCTTGGAAAGCCAGATGTAACCATACTACTAGTATGGTTACAAAATACATAGTATGTATTTGGATGTCCACTAGCTCACTTCCAAGCTATTCTATGCAATGCCCAGGTGTCTATTCGGTAGCAGTCGCATATCATCTTACTTTTGCCCGCGCAGTGACAATCTCAAACAACATTTCAGCTGATTTAATTTGTAATTTCAGATGTCCTCAAAGGTATCTATTGGGGAAATTCCGCGCGACCTAGAACTGCCTTGCTATTTATGCACCATCCGTGTTGGAAATAATGTGCATAGGCGGTCCCGAGGGGCCGAGGCCCACGCATAACACACGTCATAGCAATTGTCTATCAAAATACACTAGAATTAGCGCATCTGAAGCTATCTAAAACATCATTAATGTATCCAGATAATCAAAGTCAGGGATATCTTCATTTTTCCAATTTAAAGGCGTCGCATCTGAGTTGTGAAAATCTTCCCAATCGATCTTTGACTCAAAATCCCCCTCGCAGGCTGCTAGGCATTTTCTATAATCTGGACCTGAAGGTTCTGTTGGAAGCTGGAACAAGATTTGAGGGCCATCGGTATTCAGTGGTATCCGACTGGAGGAAGTTGACGTGTGATTTTCTTCAAGGGGGTCTAGGGATATCAATCGAGGTTTCCATTCATCAACCAATACGGGTTGAAAAGATGACGATGCATCATTCGATGTATACTCGGGCGTTCGTACCGATACCAGATCATCAAAGGGAGACGAATTGTGATGATTCGAGTTGTTCGTCGACAAAAAGTATCGAATGGTCGTGGAACTCATCCGTCGGAAGAGTATGGAAGATGGGGTTGAAGTTTGATCCAAAATTGCAGAGACCTTTAATACTGTACTGTCGAGGTTCTGGAATGGCTGATAGACGAGGTTACACGTCAGCTTCAATATTCGATATGCTTTTTAGCGATACCACGCCCTCATACGTGACAACTGGATAAATGCGATATACATACCAAGCTGCGACAAATATTCTCCGAGTTCCAGATCGTAGATAAGAAAAGAGTTCCTTTGAAAGCATTAAGAAGGGTCAAATATACGCAATTCGCCATTGACTAACCTGCAGTAAAAACTTGGTCTTCCGCAAAGTATGCAACACTGGTCAGGTCCATAGATTGAAGAACACGGTATAGCCGAATAGCATTCTGACAGGCCTCAACTATTCGCGAAAAACTCAAGTTGAGTTCTTTGGGACTTGATTCCATTGTCTCTTCATTATTTGCGACGAATTTTGCTGATATTTCGATCAACTGTTTGGGGATTGTGACATTTTGACGATATAGCGTGATGATGGATTGCCAGTATTCAAGCTCCATCAGGAGACCACAAGAAGGAAGGCTTCTTTCAGAAGCTTGAGGGATCCAACATCTCCACTCGTCCAACCTACTATTTATGTCTCTTCGCCAACATGCGAATGTATCAGGTTGCTTTTGAAGTGGAGGCACTCTTTGGTTGGAATATACCGATTCTTTGGTGTCGAAACGGAGGGCTAATCCACCCTTCATCGTATGATATATCTCAGATTGCAACAACCGGAGTTTAAAATGATGGCGTGTGGTGTACTTGCAGCTTGTTGATTCACTCAACAATCCGTCAAGGTCATCTTTGCTAGTACCAAGTGTTGGGAATTCGGTGCCGATGGCCTCGTCGGCAATGGAGAGCGGTCGACCCAAAAAAGGAGCGATGAGGCGATCTAAACCGTATACACACCACCACAGGCGACGACGCAAATCTTGCAGTCTGATTGTTGCTGTCCCACTGGAAGGCGCAAAGCGGGAGAGCTTGGTCTGAAATCCTGTCCTGATACTTTGATCGGAATAGAGACCCAAGTCTATGGCTGAACGCATGGCCACGCCGACGAGGTTAGCAAGAGAAGATATGGTTGGTCGCAGAAGTGCAAGGCTGCATAAAATAACCACAGCTTGCAGTTCAAGAAGGGAATTTGATTCATTTGAAGATATTGACAAGCTCAAGTATGATTATGATTTAAGATAAATCAAGGCTGAAGCTTCGTAAGACTGTGATGCGCTCGAGGGACTGGATAACCTTTGCCGTTTTCCTCCCGATTTTTCTTGCCATTCAATGGTTTCTTCTGTGGGATTTGTCTTCCTCGATGATTCACACTCTATGGCAAGACCGATAGCGAAAATCACAAAGAGGATGTACATTGTTCGAGGCTGCTTCTCATTCGCTGGATGTGAGTAGACTCGATCAATGAATTCTTCGGCTTCCTCACGTTCCAGAGTTGGCGTAAAGATATTCACGTGGTGAAAAAAGAGATCGACTAATCTCTTTGCTTCTTTTCGACTGGGGAGGTCAACGCTTGCTTTTCTCGGGCTGTGAGGAAATATGACCAGGAACGATGAGCGGACCGAAGTGCCTCTTGCATTTTCACAATCCGTGGTGCTTGTCATAATTTTGCATCGGGTTGAGCTTCCAGATAGGACGTCCATGATGGTGGTGGCACAAGCATCTTTCCGTTTGATGCTGAAGGGGGGCGGCGAAAGGGTTGCTGGTGTCACCGGCAGAGATACAACTTCATCTTTCAAGATGGTCGTCTCTCCGCAGGGCCAAATGTCCCGAGTATTGATTTCGCTTGAATGACTATACGGATCGCCATTAATCTCTTTTTCGCTGCTTGATTCGGCATCGAAGGCCGAGGCTGGTTTGACTTCAATGTTGTGATGGTGCAACAGCGTATCGAGATAATCCACCCGGTTCTCAAGGAAATAAACATAACTCCGGGGAATCTCTTGTTTCGTGATTGGATCATACCCAACACATTTCACCTGCGCCCTTTCACAGGGTTGGCATTGTGGAAGTGAAGGATCGCATCTATGTTTTCGCAGCCGACAGCGGTAACAAGCGGAGACATTGCGGAAAGATGCGGCCGGCGCCAAGGAATCTTTGATCGATCTGGGTGAAGGAGTGGAAGGGGCTTGTTTGGAATTTTCACAACTGTGGTCTTTTGTTTGTTGAGAATGACTGTTATCTTGGTGTTGGACAGTAGCTGACGGCGAGACCGAGACTGTGTATACAGGTGGGAACACCTGTTTAAACACCGAGACCGACTTAGACGCGACCAGTGAGTTTGAGGCCTGAGGCATGAAGGAGCAAGCAAACAAGCAAACAGAAGGATGAGTAATAATCGAGATTCGAGGTGAAGACAACCTCCAATGGCGCTAAAGTTGCAATAGTTGGAATAGTTGGATGTCGATTTTTTTTTTTTTTAAACATTCACTATCACATCTATCTCCATACGAATGGCCTTCAGAAAGACATTATAAGGCCCCTTGGAGATTGCTTCAAAGTCAGGGCGGCATCGGGCTAAACAGCAAATCAAAGACCAAGAACAGTATACTTGCTGAGAGCTCATTTGTCAAAAACATACTATGACTGATTATTGCAGCTCTGGAGTGGATTCGCTCAGGTAGGAAAAATGATAACCAAACCCTAGATTACTCGATAGGAATTCTGGAAATGCAACACGGACGGCCAAATCAACTCGATTTTCTATTGATTACTCGATATAAACCCGCTGATGGATGAGAATCAATTGAGATAAGAAAAGTCGGGGTCGAATTCGATTCAATTACTCGATCAAAATATCAGGATTCAGGACGTCGTTGGGGTCGATCCACCTAGGATGTGGTCCGTGAACACCTGAGCATGTGGGAGACTTGGGTGAAAATGGGTTTCCCGCGGGAAGTAAAATAGCCCGTTCGCCGGCAATTGACCGCTCAAAAGTGTTCATAACATGATGGATGGGTTTGCAGAAGAAGCTCCTCAACGCTTGGAAGGGTATTTATCCAGCAAGTATACACACGAGGGTAGTCCGGATGTAGAAATTGAAGGGCTGGACCGACAGAGCTCACATTGAGAGAAAGTCTAATGAACCCAACCATTGTGTTTATGGAACTAAAGAGGCCCATCACGCGGGTTGAGAGATGTTTTGAGGACAATTGAAGGCAATGATCTTCGATGGCTATGAGTTGGCTGGTATAGGATATCTCTCCTCAGAGGTTGTTACTCGATTGCAATATGTACTGTTCATCAATCGCCGATGTCGGCTAGGTAAGAGCGCGTGAGATTGACCCCGGATACTACTACTAGTATGTAATGATCCACTTTCCACTCTCCACGCCCCTTGACCCCCGCCCTATGGAGTATACCAGGGGCAACTCAGGCTTCCTCCACCTTTTTCTCCTCACGGTCATCCAGCCGGCTCTCGTATGGCACTTCGTTCCAAGTTTGGCTTGTTGCAGGAAGAGGAACCATCTTAGCGAGGAGCCAATAAACTCCCCCGGACACGATGAATCCGGAAAAGTAATTGATGTTGTAAATGTATATCGCACCTTGGGGTACACTGACCCCCACGGCACCTGCGAATCCCACAATATTGACCAGAATGCCACAGAAATATGCAGCATACCCGTGCCATGAGACCCCATGCACCCCATAGTAGGCGCCGTCCTTGCGGGCACTGTATATATCCTCGATGTCGAGGTAGCCTTTTCGAACTAAATAATAGTCGCTGGTCATGACGCCCGCAATTGCTGATAGGAACACAGAATATGCCGAAAGATAGAGGGTGAACTTGTTAGAGGAGGCCACGAGTGTCCACTGTGGAGGATGTCAACTTCGATTAAACTAATCGAGATGTCTCAGGAGGCATCAGTCAAGTGCTTACGGGACACATAGCAAGGCCAATGGCCGCACAGATATATCCTCCTCGCCGGATTGTACAAAATCGTGGCAACAAAGCTGTCAAATTTGTACCTGCAGACACCGAATTTGCCGCAATATTCGTGCCAAGTTGTGCTAAAGCAAAGCCACTGGCAATGACGAAGATGCCAAACCTCTCTGCTGAGTTTGCATCTTCCAAAAACATCCCCAAGAGAGTCAAAGGGTTCCAGACGGATTGATTGAAGATAACAGTTGCCGATGAGGAAACAACAATCCCAATAAAAGATGTGACCGCAAATCCAACCGGAATGGTGATGAGTTGAGGCCACAGGGCATCCTTTGGCTTGCTTGCATAACGCGCAAAGTCTGGATTGTTAATCACGAGGGCCGCAAAATTCGCAATGCAATTCATGATACTTTTGACAAATACCCATGCCAATGCGCTCCCATGGGCGGTATTAGACTGGGTCATAATGGGACCCAATCCATGGGCGCGAGCAATCGCCCAACCGAAAAAGGCAATGGCGCATGCTGGGGAAAAATAGGCCTTGACGGTGAAAAGGTGTCGAATCTTATAAATTGGGAACCACAAAGCGGGGAGAGATCCTAGCCAGAACAGAAAGAAACTGACGAATTGTTTAGTGGTCAAGCCTGCGCTGGCGGGTAAAGTATTGGGTAGGTTTGCGTAACTTGGCCAGATGGCTTGAATCATCAATGTCACACATTCACCTTTGATTGTGTTATTTAGTACTGATTGTTCATTTGGAAATCTTATCTTTCAAGTGACTGACCTCCAAGGTACGTCTAGCCAGGTTAGTGTTAGCTATGTCACCAAGCCGGGGTCGATACATATACGTGAAAGATTTAACTCACCTGAACTCCATACCATATAACAGCCATTCCTGCCCTATTCAGAATGGGCCAGAATGAACCCCATATTCCAAACGAGGCTCGGTTTGTGACAGCGAATGGGATGCGATAAATAGTGGCGATTCGACCGAGTAAACAAACGAATATCGCTGCAAGGCTATAACCAATCCACACACATAGCCAAGACTGCCACCAGGACAGGCCATCAACAATCATGGAAGACGAGATCATCCATGTGTTCTAATAAACAGCATTGTAATGACAGGTCAGTATTTTGCGACCGGTGGAAAAGAAGAAGAATGATACAGGTGACACCAACCACGTTCAGAGAGTCTGCGATCCAAAACGCAACAAAATTTAGCCATCTCCATTGACGACGCTCTGGTTCGACTGTTGAAGGCGAGGTCTTTAATTAGTCTTTAAGATTTATCATCAGGGGATGTCAGATTATGGGAGGAAGATTTAGAGAAAGCAAGTGACTCTCACCTGGTCGTAAATCATCGTTAGTCAACATTAATTGGGCTGTTGTTAGTCCTGGTTCTGTGGGCGCCTGCAATCTGCCTAAACAATGCTTGAATTTTCCCATATTAAAATTGGGTGTGATGCCTCAATTCAGTAGACAAGACAATGAGAGATGGGTCAATGTTGAATACTTCACAATAAACAGTTCAACTTCTATGCCCTGTGAAAAAGTACATCGATTAATGCGACTTTTACAGTGCACTTCTTATGATCTTACTTATAAGGAGAACCTCGAACCGCGGAAAGCGACCGGACAACATGTGCGATCCTTGAAGGGTATAGTTTCTCGCTTTGTGATCGTCATATCTATCCGATGTGAACCCAAACCCCGCATTTATGAGGTCTCAAGCGGAGCAGGAAGACATTGACCTTATCTCTTCTCCACATACTCCGCAAAATGAATTGCTGTTAGGTAATTTGAGGTCGCTCGCGGACGAGACCGGCCTCCACACCTTAAACAACATCTGCGTCACCGAGAGTTGTGGAGTTGGGGTGTTTTTCGCGCAAGAAATGAGCTGTTGGTATGGGATGAACAAGCTAAGCTGCTTTTCAAATACAGCACGGAGTAAAATCCCCAAGAGCAAGTCTCAATGCTAGTCTGAATGATGCAGAAGAAAACTACTGGACATTATTTGGGATTGATGGACCCTGAAGGGACTGAAGCAGGGCTCTCACTTCACCAGCCGAAGCGAACTGGCTACTTGAAACCAATGCACTGGAATGAAAAACACGCGCTTGGGTTTCCTCCCACAGCAATTGAACATTTGAAGATCTCACACCGCCGCCAACAATAATTTCTGGGACTCGAAAGCCAGAGGCCATTCTAGATTGCACCAAATCCACCTGCTGGAATAGTTCACCGAGCTTGGCAATGCACTCCATGGCTGTATTCCCCGATGGCCCCCCGCTCGTAAGGATGGAAGAAAAGCCGCATTCTGCTAGCTGACTTAGTGATGTGCCCCAATTTTGTTCAGGGATACAGTCAAAAGCACGGTGGAAAGTACATGGCTTTCCACCGGCCAGTTGAACCAGCTGTTTATTTCGGTTGACGTCAATCTCCGAAGAGACGGAGCTAAGAATGCCAAAAACAAAGCCATCCGCCCCCACCTTTCCCAACGTGATGATCGTGGATTTCATGACTTGAAATTCTTCATTATTGTAGAAAAAGTCGTTGGGGCGTGGACGAATCATCACATAAACTGGAATGTCAACTTGAGCTTTCAATTCAACCAACACGGCCGGATCAGGGGAAAGACCCCCGGACTTATAGTCATGGCATAATCTGAAGTGTGATTAGTTCTGTATTGGAAATTGAATGTTTCAAACAGGCGGCGCCCTGGCAGGGGCAAGAAGGAATATTAACTCACTCAATTCGATCAGCGCCTCCTTCTGCAGCATGAATTCCTGATTTGCCATCAAAGCAAGCGATTTCAAGTAACGGCCTTGTTGAAGCGCTGCTAGCACTCATTATCAGAAGGTTTGATGCGATCAAATTGAATGCCAATGTTTTCTCTACAGAATGAAGAGGGTGAAGTCGATTATAATTTATAGGGGTCAACAGTGGAGCTCCGAGGCCCAAGGCTTAATCATCCGGGCTGCCAAGTGATGGTTCTCTACTAGTAGTTCTCTTAGCTAGGGGTTTATCTGAGGCAAGCCCCTTCTTTCGCTTCCAAGGTTACTTGAGTCTACTTTCAATGTGGAATTATTAAAACATTTACGAGGTAATATTCAAAATCTTTTGCTCGACTCTTCCTGTCCCTGCTCTTCTGACCTGCTAGTACAGAAACACCCGCCTATTGCTCTGTAGACACAACCCCCAGCTCCGCAGTCAGCTGCTCCTCCACCACGTCAGTATCGAGCTCTTTCTGGCCGCGTCGGATCTTCTCGACATCAGGAACCGAGGAATGTTTCTCCCCTTCAAATAGTGCATCAATCTCCTCCAAAGTCCTTCCCTTTGTCTCAACCCAGTAGTATGCCTGTCATTGTTAGAATTTGCCGGATTCAATTAAGAGACTAGTACGTACGATTAAGCCAAGAATTACAAGGTCCCATGAGGCGTTAATCATGTACATTTTCCATCCAATGTTCCCAAGACCGATTGGCATAATGAACGTGAACACAAGTCTGATTTATTGTTAGCAAATATGATCCCTACTGTAGGTATGAAATTTTCGGGCGCAACTTACGCAAATGCGTTAAGCACAAAGGAGGAGAAAGCTACTCCATTTGCGCGAATTGAGTAATTCATGATCTCGGGTGGGTAAAGATACAGAAGAGGTGTCCATGCGACCGAGTAAAACCCCTGGAAAAGGAACATCATTGCGACATTGCCATAAACCAGGGAGTTTGACGCGCCAAGCGGGTTAGATGCGTATTTTTTTGAGAGTCCGCCAATGATGAAAAGACATGAACTCAACAAGATTTGGGACAGCATCGCTGTGGACTTTCGTCCCCATCTGGCTATCAGATGAGTACCGATGAGGCAACATGCCAGACACCAGACATTGAGAACCACATTCTGCCTCGAGTAAGTGATCCAGTCAGAAAATTGAAGGGAGAATAGTACTTACTGCCTTTAGCTGGTCATTGGTATTGGTAATACCAGCCGTGTCAAGCTCAGATCCAAAATAGTACGACGCGATGATATTACCTGCGATACAAGAAAACGGACCGGGAGACATTCCAATGAGGAGTCGCTTTCGGGCGGAAGGAGTCTTGAAAATCTCAATGGGGCTCATATCGTGTCCATTTTCCTTTTCCCATTTCAGGGTATCCACGATTTCTTTGAAAATTGCGATAACGACTGGATCAGTCAGATTCCCGTTCGCGTTTGTCTGCGCTACGGCGATCCGGGCCTCCGCGTAATATCCTTGGTGAACGAGCCAGCGAGGAGATTCGGGACTGAATGAGCTTGTTAGACCGTGATGAAACACATGCAGAAGGAGCAATGTGAGAAAAAAAAATCCCCGTCTCAACTCACATAAATGGTAGGGTGATGATGCAAAGAAGGGAGAAAATCGCTTGGAAGAGCGAAGGGGCTCTCCATGCCCATGTTGACTCCCACTGACCAGTTCCGAGCGTTATTCCCGCCGCAATAAGGGCCCCAATACTGGATATTTCAGAAAAACTTCATTTGACACGTGCGGGGGAAGGAACACTTACTAGTAGAAATCATTCAACAGTCCGACTCCCCATGCACGCCAACGACTGGGAAATGATTCGGCAAGGTATACCCCTCCAGCAATGCCTGAGATCGCGGACCCAAAGCCAATAATAACGCGAGCCACAACAAACATTGCAATATTTTGGGCAGCAGACTGCAGAATCACCCCGACAATTGTCAAAGCTGACCCCCAGAAGATGGCAGGGCGTCGACCTAATCTATCGGCCATAACGCCCGATACCAATGGCCCAAGGAATCCGCCAATAGCTACAGACGCCGTGTTTAAACCTGTGGTTGCATCGTTTAAATTGAAGTAATCGGTGTAAGATGGTAGGATATTTAGCCCATTGAGCATAGACCCATCATACCCTCCAGTCTTAGGTAAAATAGCATAGTCAATAAATATCCAAGTAGAAGATTGCGTTCACGCTCTAAGGGGAGGTCGGGGTATGGAACCTACTGCAGATTGAACGATTGAGCAGATCATCAACAGAACGCATAGCGTTGAGGTAGATTCAGGAACCCATGCTGGCAGCCAGGTTCCAGTTCCTGTCTTTTGGAGCATCTGATCTTAGGTATATTGATTGTAACAGAGCTTGGGACACTCCAGAATGGTCCAGGACTACTACCTACTAGTAGTCAGTTGCGGAACCAACTTGATTATATACTTTTCGATATCTAGGGGGAGCCCAAACACCTTTTGTTTTATGTTTCTTTTACTCCGCAATTGCGTTCTTATCACCGAACAAAGGGATCAATTGATAGGAGGGTTTCATTAAAAATTAGCCGATGAGTGGGGTTCGAAATGAGAGATACGAGAATTGCGAGTAAGGAGTCTTGCAAGAGTCAAGAGTCAAGACTAAGCTTCAACGTGTGTGCCTTATCCGTTATCATGCATCTCCAAGCTTTTGGTGTTCATTCCCCTTGACTTTCTTCACCTTTGCGCAGTTACCGTTTTGCATGCGACAACAGATAAATACAAAGTACAGTATGAATCCCACTATCCCTTGAAATATGCCAGATAAAAAAAAGGCCCAACTTTGACCTTTATGACGAGAGCGCAACTGGATAGTATCAAGTGTCAACTCAACAAAGCGGGGTCAATCTATCGGGAAGGCGGCACGAAGCGACGTTGCATGGAGAGACATTGAAATACCGATCGAGGAATAGAGAGGCATATTAGCAGTGTGACTGTGATTCAGTGCAACCTTGAAATCGTTGCGAGTTCCAAGCTTCACGTGCTCATTTCTCACATCAATTCTCGTGCTATAGTATTAAACCCATATCCTTGACTCCTCATTTTGCATCCCCGCAATTTCAACCTTGCATGTATCGACGAAAACGATTGATCGGAAAGACACCATGCAAATCATGCCAAATATCGCCATCGCAGGACTTGCCTGTGAAACTTCTACCTTTTCTCCGGCTCGCACATTAGCCCCAGCATTTCATCCACGACGGGGTAAGGAGGTGATCGATAAGTACGCCTTCCTCCACCACGAAACAGAACTAGGGAGATGTGCAAATTGGCATGGGGCACTTATTGGACATGCTCTACCCGGTGGAATTGTCGCTCGAGAGTCATTTGAGGAGCTTGCTAGCGAGATAATCACTCGACTGAAAGACATTCAAAGAACGACCAAAATCGATGGGCTTTGGTTCGATATACACGGGGCTATGTGTGTCGAAGGGATGGATGACACAGAGACTGAACTTCTCCAGCGGATTCGAGATATAATTGGGCCTGAAGTACTTGTGTCAGCCTCGATGGATCTTCATGGAAATGTTTCCAGACGGTTGGCGCACCAGACTGATCTCATTACCTGCTATCGGATGGCACCACATGAGGACGAACTGGAGACCAAAGAGCGAGCTTGCAAGAATCTTGTTCAAATGCTAACTCCTACTCGTGGAAATCCAGGGAGACCTCTGAAAGCGTGGGTGCCCATTCCAATTCTTCTGCCTGGTGAACAGACATCAACTCGCATAGAGCCTGCAAAGGGACTATATCAATTGGTGGGAAGTCTCGCGGGAAGAACAGACATCTTGGATGTTGCGCTGTGGGTGGGTTATGCCTGGGCGGATGAGCCTCGTAACCATGCAGTTGTCGTCGTTACAGGCTGGGGCGCTGAGCGCGTTACTGAATTTGCGAAGATGCTGGCAACTGCATTCTGGGAGGCGCGTGAGAAATTCGATTTTGTTGCACCCACAGGCTCACTGATGGAGTGCATTGATGCCGCGCTGAGGTCTCGCAGTCGGCCATTTTTTATTTCAGACTCAGGTGACAACCCCACAGCTGGTGGTGCCGGAGATGTTACTTGGAGTCTGAATCGAATTCTTGGCCGATCTGAATTTCAATCTTCCACTGGCCCCACAGTCATTTATGCTAGTATTCCAGGACCGCATGCAATTGATTTGATTTTGAAAGCGGGAATAGACGCAGAGGTTCGTATACTTTCCAGAATCTTCACGCATGACTGGCACTGATAATCACAATAACAGTTACAAGTGACAGTTGGTGCCGAGGTCGACAACCTCCATGATGGCCCGATCACGATGACAGGACGCGTCCATGCTATCAGATATGGAGATAAAGACGCCGTTATTGAGGCAGTGCTGCAAGTCGGAAGTGTGTTCGTCATCATAACCAAGTTGCGGAAGCCTTATCACCGCGAACATGATTTCACTCGGTTAAACCTCTCACCCCGAGATACAGATATTGTGATTGTGAAGATCGGGTACTTGGAGCCTGAACTTTTTGATATGGCTACCGATTGGCTACTAGCTTTGACCCCGGGTGGTGTTGATCAAGATTTGCCTCGCCTTGGTCACCGTCGTATTCATCGTCCAATGTGGCCATATGATCGAGAATTCCCCGAGCCACCGGACTTGACCCCCTATCTCATTGCGATGTCAAATGAGCCACTTTAATTTTACTTCTTAGAGACCCACTCCCCGGGTCAAGTCAGCTAGAACAAACCCTCCGAATGCCCGATGACCGAGGCCAGAATGAAGTAATATGATGATCAGCATTTAACCCCGCAATATTGACTCTCCCGACTGGAGAATTGAACTTGCATTACTGCTTGGCGACCGGAAAAATTAAATATTCTATCACACCCCACCTACCAAGTTACTCTATACGTTTGAGTCTGTCGGCAATTGATTGAATGTGGCTCGAGTTCACGGACATGTATTTCCCCACAAAGTGTTATTTAATGTGAATGCAGCACTTGAGTAACACTCCGTGACACTGCCAGTCTACAAGAGATGAAACTACTATAGTTGGAATCAAAAATTGCGACAAGATGATTTACCCCATGATTTTGCTGATTGGCAGCCTTCTACCAAATTTATCGTCCGCCGCAAGTCTTTCATTCACCATCCCCTCTAGTCCCCCATCAAATGCGAGTGCCACACTCACTCAAGCTCCGGTGGGAGTATCGTAAGTAAAAACCCGACTATACACGTAAAGCAGTTCTTGTCTCATTTTGCGCTCAACAGGTTCGAGTTCTTCGCCTACCCCGCATATGTAACAGATGTTGCTTCGACTGAGCAATGTCTAGAGAATTTGAAAGACTTGACTGGGGTATGGCCTCCCATCCGTATCGGTGGGACTACACAGTAAGTACCAGTGTCATGCAGTAAAACATTCATCGCAACTGACAATGAAAGGGATCGGGCCACATACGACCCGTCATCAACAGAAGCTGTGACGTACACTGTGGCCGATGCCAGCGATGCTCCGGAAACCCTCACCTTTGGACCACCACTGGTCGCACTGGCTGCCGATTATGATGGCAATGTGACTCTTGGGCTCAACCGTCGCCTAGACAATATATCCAACACGATCGCAGCTGCAAGTCTGGCAGTTGATAAGATGAGTAATTTATATGCCATAGAACTTGGCAACGAGCCAGACTGTCAGTGTGAAGACTTTGCTTTCTTGAGAACTTCAAAGGCGCACATGAGAGCTGATTCATTTATAGTCTACGTTTCTACAGACCCGATCGCGGACGGCGCATCCTGGACTGCTGCGGATGACTATGCGTCCCAGGTGGAATGGCAAGACGAAGTATTTGGAAATTTATCAATTGAAAACATTGCGTCAGCTGGCGTTTATTTTGGAACATCCCCAGAGAGCATCGTTGGCCTTACTGCTGTTGAAGGGAGTGCTAATGTCTATGTGAAGGATTATTGCTCTCACAATTATCCCCAATCGGCAAGTACTGCTGACCTGGAGACGCTCATGGGCCACAGTGATATTGCGTCCGAAATTGAACCTTTTGCCGCAGAAGTTACAGCAGCAATTGCTAAAGGAAAGGAGCATGTCTTTGGTGAAACAAACTCCGGTACGTCTCAATATCTGTCTACAATTTCAGTACTCTCGGCTCATATTCAACAGCGACGGGTGGTGGCGGTGGAATAAGCCCGACTTTTGGCGCTGGTTTGTGGATTTTGGACTATGTGATGCAATCCCTCATTATGGGCAGCAAGGTAAGACTGCAACGGAGGCCTCGCCGTATTTCATTGTTGCCATCTTCTTTTCGGGCAGATAACTGATGGTGCCGATGCCAGTCACTTTATTTCCATCAAGGCACGATCGGAGACTGTAAGTTATTGTTATCCTCTCATTGTGAGGTTATTTACTAAAAACCCACCTAGGTCAATACTGTTGGTGGGGCCGCTACGATACGGGCTCTCCGTATTTTGGAGCTTATTTTGCCACGATGGCACTTGCAAATGCCGATCAAATTGCACCCCTGGACAGTGGAGATACAGCATTCGCGGCATACGCCATCTACAAATCGGGAAGTCCTATTCGAGTTCTTCTGTATAACTCGGAGTACTACGCGAGTGGGACCAGATCAACCCAAGTATTCGTTTTGAGCGGCCTCCCTTCCTCGACTGTGACAGCTAAGCGACTTACTGCCTCATCTGCAACTTCTCGGGTCGATGAAGGGCAGACTCCTACTGTTGCTGGACAATATTTTGCCAATGGGACATGTGTTCTCACAGGCGATGAGATTACTGAAACGACCACGGCTTCCTCTGGCAAAGCGACATTTACGGTGAGTGCGTCTGAGGCTCTTCTGATAGAGCTTTCCTGATACGCCAACATTTGAACTCGCGTGGGACTCCCAACCGTGTCAAAGAACATATTTTTCAGGTCACCTGTGTGTAAATACAAGAATGATAATTCCGAGATTTCTTTCAATCTTTGAAAATTGAACTACGGGATGTCCGCGCCCAGGTTGGAATGTAGACCCACCTGCCGCCGGGAAATATCCCATTTCAGTAACATTTGAAAGGAGCCCCACATCTGCACAAAGCCCTGGAGACGAACTAGTGATGTCTGATAGTACCAGTTGACCATTTGGCCAAGACAGATACATACTATGTAGTAATAAGAAGCTGTGGCGAGTATGCTCAGGTTTTGTTGTGTAATGTATTTAGTATCTCTATGCATGTGTGTCTATGTGTATTTAGCAGGCTCGACGACTCGTATTCGAAGATGCATTATATTGTTGTTGATATGATGATGAGGGCATCGGTCTCGCTTGTCCATATTCATTCCGCGACATCTATTTCAATTTCCCCGTAGTACATTGGACAACTGAGGCCTTCGGAGATTCCGATGCACGCCAAAAGTCAAAATAATTGCACTAGTCCTCGCTTTCGGGAGAAGTAGATCCGAATCATTAACCGAGATCCTCTTTGATATTGAAAGTAGAACCAAGCCGGAGTTTCATCGTTATGAGCTGAGCTCACGAACTGGGGTCGGGGAATGAATCTGCGTTTCAGTAGCCGATGCGGAGGAATTGTCGGTATTTTCCAGTCTTTCTTTGTTAGCATGTGGTCAGATGCGTGGCTTGATAGTATGTCAATCCACATGAACGAACCCCGCACTCACAGAAGCTTAAAAAATAAAAAAAATTACGGGGAAACGCGCGTGATTTGACATGACTATCCGAGGCTGGGCAAGCATAGCTTTAAGATAAGCTGTTGAGGTTCAAACATTCCCCGGAAAGTTGGGGTGCGACATACCAAATATTCTATCCCTTCACTTCTGAACTCATCAGTCACGATGGAGGAAACGAAAAACCCCAGCGAGGATATTCAAGATGCCCACGCGGAGAATCCAATTGGGAATGACACCCCTAAGCAGGCCACGATGCGATCCAAGTCGGATGATCTTTCGGTCTGGCAAACAGCTCGCCAGTTCAAGTTCATGTCGCTGATTGCCATGGTTGCATCTTTCAGTGCATCACTGGACGGATACCGTAAGTTATCTCTTTGACAAAATCAAGTCCCTTGTCTGACTTACTTGTACAGAAATAAGCCTTAACGGCGGAGTTGTCTCCAACAAGGGCTTTATCGCTCAATTTGCGTCTCCGGGTACAAAGATCATTAACGGACATTACGTTTCGGCGTGGGGTGGAATTCAATCTGCGGGTCAAACGGTTGGACAAATCGTCAGTTCAACTAACTAGTCTGCTGTTTGATTTTCATTGCTAACGATATTTTTACATTAGCTTTTGCAATATATCACAGAGGCCTACGGTCGAAAAGTCGCGTTGTATACAATCTGGGTGGATCTTGTCATTGTAGGTGACAAACACAACACCTCCGGCTGGGTACACTATAGATGAATACTGATTGCGATCGATTAGAGCGTTTTTATCGAATCCTTTGCTACCAAATGGCAGCACTGGCTTGTGGCCAAACTTTTCTCCGGGATGGGTGTAGGAATGCTGCAATCCACTCTTCCCCTATACTTGTCTGAAATTGCACCCACTCAGCTGCGAGGATTCTATATCAATGCTTATAGCTTGTGAGTCAGAGAGACGCATGCCCTCCGAGGTTGATGTTTCTTGAAGCTGACTTATCTAAAAAGGTGGTTTGTGCTTGGTCAAATCTTCGCGTCAGTGGCACTTAACAGGCTCAATGCCTCAGACCCTATGGATTTCCGAACACCAATTTACTCCCAGGTATGTGTTAAAAGTATCTCTATAACCATCATCCCCAGGTTCTGGGTGGGAATCACAAGTATATTGGATGTATACATACTGATAGTAATCTAAAACACAGTGGGCGATGATCGGTGTTATCGCTATCATATTTTTCCTTATTCCAGAATCCCCATGGTGGCTGGTCAGCAAAGGAAAACTTGATCGTGCAGCAAAGATTTTGCAGACATACAATGGAAGCGTTGAAGGTTATGATGTTCAGGAACAAATCGTATGATATAATCTCCGATGCTTTGACAGGATCTCACTAACAAGATAACAGAATGTCATGGATGCCACTGTGGCGGAGGAACGCAGAGTTGCTGAATCTAATGCTGAAATTGGCAAGTTAGCTGTTTTCAAAGGTCGCAATCTCATTCGTTTCATCATTGCATCTTGGCCTAAGATAGCGCAACAATTTGTGGGCCTGGCAGTCTTCAACAGCTACGCTACCTACTTCTGTACGTCCGAATATTCCTCAATTTTCCCCCAGCTCCGGTCTCAAACTAACCCAATACCAGTCCAGGCAGCCGGTAGCGATGACCCCTTTATGGTGACAGTCATCTTGTCTTGTGTTCAGCTTCTTTCTATGCTTCTGACAGTGACACTTACCGATCAATTTGGACGTCGACCTCTTACTATCTACCCGTATGCAGTCACTGTAGTATCTGTGTTATGCCTTGGTATCATCGGATGCTTCAACTATGAAAAGCCTGCGACTAGCTCTCTACTGGTACTGCCCACCGTTCCAAAAGTCTTCTTCAAACTAACGCTGGATTAATACTGACGCATCTTTCTTCAAGATTTTCTTCGCCTGTTTGGCTACGTTTTCCACGACCGGAGCATCGGCCATCGGCTATGCTTACGCCGCCGAAGTTCCCCAGCAACGTCTGCGAGCGCAAACTGCTGGTTGGGCTTTGGCATTGTCTAATGGTGTTGCCATTATGTTTAGCTTCTGTACACCACTGATGATAAATAATGGGACGACTTCGAGCTGGGGTGTTAAAACAGGATTTTTGTTAGTTCAAACCCATCTACAACCATTTTTATATCTTGCTGACAGGAGATAATTCTAGCTTCGCCGGAACTGGATCTGTGGCTGTTCTTATTGCATGGTTCATCTTGCCAGAGGTGACGCGCCGCACACCTGCTGAAATTGACGAGTTGTGAGTTTTGATTAGGACTTTTGATAGTGGGGAAAATCATTGCTGATATGAATACTTTAACAGATTCGAAAGCAAAGTGAACCTTCGAAAATTCAAGGGATACGTCACTCAAGTCCAAATGCGTGCGGACGAAATTCATCAGAAGGAAAGGGATGCGATGGCTTGATTGACGGGGCCGAGTCTAGTGAATTGGGAGGGAAGTGCGAAGTGCTCTCTGTTTCATCCATAGCGCTACTTTATCTTTTGATACTTTCAATTTCAAGTCGTTATGTATCGAGAACAGACTCCTTTGAAGGTCAAAGTTCAAGAGGAAAATGGGAATACATGCAAGCCACACGGGCCCCCAAATGTACTCAGCTCTCGAGATGAATAGGTAACTATGCAGTACTTGGAGAAGAGTATAAATTTGCTACTTGAGATCGGTATTTTACTCACTGCTCAGGGTTTATTTCATCTATTGTTTTTTAACCATAAACTCCGCCAGTGGGAAAATGCATAGGTGACCGAGTAGTAAAGGTGAGGATGCCGAAGTTGCTGTGCAGATACCACAATACAGCCTTAGATGAGAATCAGGCAAAGAAGAGGTATGGCCACAGACCTCAGGAGAGTAACATAGAGATGCATAGGTGATTCCATGATTTGAGAAACCTTAGAAGTGTATAGGTAGTATTAAACGTTGTTTGATTCATGTGTAAGGATTCATGTGTAAGGAAACTTCACCATCTAAATTATCAAAACGGCGAAGAAGAACATGAAGCTTTGAAGCACTGATGGCATGTCATGATTGCATTGTTATACATGGTTCCAATGTTGCAAACGGGTTTGACCATCACTGTCCCGCAATCGCTACCTCGACGGGTGTATCAGACCTTGCAAATAGCCCGGGTGTAATGAAGCTCAACATACGAAACAACACCGTGTTCTTTTAATTCTTGCCCTGGAAGCTGACTCACCACCGAGATAGCCCTTTGGAGAGTAAGCTTCACTGTGAGTTGGCCATCATTCTCGATATACCATTCAACACTCGCTGAGTTATCAGGACCCAACACGATAGACGCACTCAACTTATCGGAAAGAGATAGTCGTGGTTTGAAGAGGATCTTGGAACATCTCGGTGCGATGGGAGAAACACCTGCAAGCTCAGTGCAGTATTCGTATAGCGGAACACTTCCCCAGGCGTGGCAATCAGATCGCTGCCGGACATCATCCTCCTCCCATGTGGACAAGTTGTTGCCAAGCATGGCTCGCCATGGTTTCCACATCTTGACCCAGAGTCCTTCATATAGCCCGCCTCCGGCAATAGAAAGGGCACGTAGGAGATAAAAGCGCATGACATAGGAGCATTTCGAAAATTTTGGATTCTCAAAGGACTCCGCAAGGATACGTTGGTGGTCCGCCGGGAAGGCAGCACCTGAAAGAACAGCGAAGACTTGGCAGTGTTGTGAATACCCGTCAGGACCCGCTACATCTGCCGTTGAATCTGTGAAGAACTCCCCATTGTAGCAATGTTTTCGAATAGCGGAGACCACTGCATCGGCGCGGGAATCGTATTCATCTGCATTCCCAGGTCGACCAACTTCACGAAGTAGCCGCGCTGCGTGCCGCAATACATACGCATATAGCATGCTGAAGTATGTGTGTCGATTTGACTTCCGACCCGAAACTGGGACACCTTTGTCCGGATGCTCATCTGTTGCGCCCCATGTCGACACCCAATCGACATATTGCCATACATCATCGGAAATCCCGCTTACGAGACCGAGCTCGTCAATATGTGAGTCGAAAAAGTCCAGAACGCCGTCAATGCGCGGCACAAATGAGCGAGAGTATTTGATGTCACCGAAAAAGAGGTAGTGGTCGCAAATCTGTAGAATCCAGTATAAGGGGAAGCCTGCGATAATTTGAGGAACATGCGATGGAAATCTGGATTGTGTGAGCCCCTCGGGTGTGATCGAAGACGCAAAGTTTGTGATTGCCTGTCGCATCAACCTGTCATCACCCGATAGAAGATAGTGGAATAGTCCAACAGATCTGCTGTCTCCAGAGTACCTGCCATGAGAGTTAGCTTTTCCTTCGGTAGATATATATGCAATAAGACATACTGGAGTTGCTCGTAAAAAGGACAGTCTGAATAGCCGTCAAACATGCAGTTTCGGAGAGTCCTAATCGAAACATTCCAAATATCCTCGCTGTCTGGCTCAGAGAGGTTGCGCCAACTAGCCCTGACACCTAGAGGATAGTTGACCTGTGTCCCGCGAAATGATAGCAAAACCACCGGCTCATATGCGATCGTGATTTCGATTCGTAATACTCTGAATGTTCGGAACCAAAATGGTTCGTATACCACATCCTCTCCATCGGGGACTGTGAGAGTAGCCTCATCATATGGACCGATGATTACTCCAGCAGTGTTATCGAGTCGATCGCCCTTGCTTCTGAAGTAGGGGTATGACCGAGGTTCCAATTCATATCCTTCGGAATAGGTGATTTTGAGTTTGACCTGGGACGGTTGATCGACGGCTTTGAACACACACTGTAGAAAGGCTGTTGAGTGCACGTCCGCTTGCAGCTCCAGCACATGGGTGGATCCGGGAAAGAGTGTGAGAGGGTCATTTCTTGAGAAAACCCCTGTCCAATTCTCTTTTGGCACATTACTTTTACACAACTTGATCGTATCCATAGCCACATTCTGTGTCTCGGGCATTGGGATAACACGCGGACGTAAGCGCCAAGGGGGTAGTTCTCCATTCACGGATCGGATTTCATATGGAACTGGCACCACAATGGGACTCGGTTCTATGAGATCGACACGCTCATTGATCTTCAAACAGATTAGACAAGGAGAATGAATACAGGGAGGATAGCTTACATGGAGAAAGACGTCATCCACAAGTCCAGTTGGAAACCTCACACTTTCATCAACTTGTGCCTCCCAGTGCTGCCTGGATTCAAGATTCGCGATCTCGGTGGCAGTTTGAGCGCAGCCTACCACCGTCAAACCTGGAAAGGAAGTTCGCTCAAATGGCATCGCTCCACGGGAAGATGCGAAGTAGCGGAGCACTAGAAACTCGACTTCATTTTGCCCGATTCGTAGTTGAGCTGCGATGTCCAAGCTATCATAATACCATATCGACGGGCTTCCTCTGGCAGGTCCCGTGGCAACATGCACGCCATTTACGAGTAATTTGTATCTTGTATCGGCAGAGAAATGGAGGAGGGCATTCTCTGGAGCGGATGTCAAAGTGAATTTGCGTTTGAATCTGACCAATCTCCCGGCAGTGTTGATAGGAGAAGAATCAATCCAGTTAGGTACCCAGACCCAATTTGCTTGGAGACTATTGATTGTCTATAGGTTCCAAAACAAGATTAGGCAAAAACCTTGGAAGTAGTTGGGCAATATACAGTAATCACTGACCTGCTGCTCTTTCAATTTTGATTCCTGCATTTTTGCAGAATTGTAAACTCCCGGGGGTCCTCCAATGGATGAGAGGTTATCGAACGAGACTGGGTCTGGTGCCACGGATAACCCGTTCTCCCCTCTTTATACCCCCGCAATATGCTCGGGGCTGTCTACCCCGAGAGAAACTCCGAAGCTCATTTTACGAACTCCACCCCTTCCTCAAGATATTTTCAAAATTTCAAAATTTCATGGATTGTAAGCGACAACACTCGGGTCAAATACGAAAATATCCAATTGGGAATTTGCTGATGTTCTCGACAGGTGGAAATAAAAGTGAAGATCCTACATACTAGGGTTGTTGAGCTAAAATGACCCCTCTAAAGAAGATCGAACCATCTCGCAGCCCCATATGTTGTCCCGATCAGTACAAGCCAAGAGACAATCCCTCGAGCATACAAAATTCGCTTTATCATACGGACTTCAGCGGCATCGTTTCGATGTGGATAAGGTTCATTCTCCGGGGTCTCCTTTCCAAGGAATTGACAAATGGGTTCCCATCCATCCTTCGGCTCATGCTCCAGAACCTCTCGGCCACGCCTAGTCGCCTCCGCATGAACCCACGCGTTATGGGCGTCATAGTGCTTCGTCGTGAACACCTCATCCTCAGCGAGGCCAAATTTTCTCATACACATTTGCACATAAATAAGCCACATGGCATGCAGGTTGCGATCAGTCTTCCAAAGGAAAGTGAGGACGTAGTAAGACGTGTCTTTCGCCCAGTGTAGTGCTTTGATCGATTTTACCCAGCTGGGGCCACCACCTGGACGCAGGTTCAGGACAATCTTTGCATCGGGGTACATATCCATCAAGTCGTCGATGACGGCACATCCGGGAAAGTCAGAAGTGGCTTGGAAACCATCGAATAATTCGTATAGTAATTTTTGGCGTCGTTCAGTATTTGGCTCTTGCATTGCTTGCAAAACTAAGTTGCTACGAGCGATGTTAGGCGCAATATGGGCCATATGCATCGATGGATGGCAGTTGATTTGTTCCGATTCCATGGCAGCCTGCATAGAGCTAGTCGCACACCGTGGTAGACCTGCACCAAGGACTTGCATTGTAGGTTTGGTGGTTGGATCGACGACCAGAGTATCAGATAAGAAGCGCATATTGGCGTATGTATGATAGTAGAATACCGGCGAATAGAGTGTTGACGTTTTCTATTATGTGGTGGGCCAAAGAAGAGAGGGGAGCTTCATTTATCATATATTTTTTTTTCTCTACGGTTTCTTTCTGTCTTTCGTCTTGTAAAAAGACTTTGGCCCCCATATCACCGATCGTCAGCAGCATGAGTGCGGCTGTAAGACTCGCACTACTTGGCCGGCTACCACTGGTGTTTCTCTCGGGCCATTTACTTGATCTGGTAAAAAGTATACGACAGAATTTGGCTAGTCAGGAGATTGGGTTTGTGTGTTGTCAGCCATTCAAGCAGATCCAGCTCTTTAAGAATTTTCTTCATTTGATTGCCTTTTGCGTTTTCCCACGGACGTCAGGGAAGTGGGTACTTGTCTCTCCGCCAGCATTTGGACCAACTTGTCGATTCGTTTGCCCCTAGATGTGGGGGAAGCTGTTTCAATGCGCCACAAAACAGTATAGCGATCGGTTTTGTTCAACGTTTCAAAAAAGGGGGTAGCAAAGGGCACTGATTCCAAAGCGACCCGAAAATCATCAGGGACAATTATAGTGGCTGAGCCGGCATACGCACGGTGCCACCGGCCATCAGATTTCGCAGCCTCCACTGCAGCTAGTCCAGCTGGGCGCATGCGACCGTTTTCTATCAATTGATGGGCCGTGTTGACATTCTTTTGGGACCAGATACTCTTCGCTCGACGAGGGGTGTACCGCACCAGCCACCAGTCCTGGTCGAATCGATTCGCTCGACCGTCAATCCAGCCAAAACATAGGGCAGTTTCTACGGCCTGCGGCACGGATACAGACTGGAATCCGGATGCCTTTTTTGCAAATTTAAGATAGAATCCTGGTGCGGTCGTATGCTCGCGCTCAAGAAACACCTCTAGCGCTTGAGCGGTGGGGAATGAATGAATGGGTAAATCGGTAGGAAGTTTCAGGGCCATGGTAAGGATGGTGGAGAAGTATCTCAATGGCTCGCATCGTTTCTCCGGAAAAGGTTAGACCCAGTAAAAGTCTAAAAGAAAAGTGTCAAAGTGTGAAAAGGCTTGAAAGGGTTAGAAAAGGGACAGGGACACGAGTTACGCGACAAGTGAAACACGTGTACGGTGTAATCCCTGTTAGATTTAAATCTGGCAGAAAATTTACAAAACTGAATTCCAGGAAAACCAAGGGAGGAAGCTACAGATCAAATAATCGATGAATCAATAAGGATCATGTGATTGGTGGCCCCAAGCTGACAAATCGCGCACTACACTACGACATACAGGGCGGAGTAAAGGGCGGCCAATATTTAGTGCAACATGGCGACACGTGAGACACGTGTGGGGTAGTACAGATAACGAGATAGGATAAGCGATAACAACTCCGCGTTTAACTGGGGAATGACATCAGCCACATATCTGTCAACATCACATTTCTTTCCCTCAATCAGCATCTCGGGACCTTCTTTTCAACACTACAGAGAGAAAGGCGGCAAATTCACCACACCCGGTGACTATGAGCTATGAACACGAAGTCTCGGGAGACTTAAACAACGAGGTCCAGGATGACAGCTTGATCCAGACCCCCGAGAGCGGTCCAATTCAGCCAATACACCAACGGCCATTGCCGAATGCCCAGTGGAAGTCAGCCTCTCGTACGGTGGAAGAGAACCTTGCCAAGGGTCTTTCAAATGAAGATCTTTGGATGCTGATTCGACGATTCGACAAGGTTTGTGGCCCCCACCGGCATAGAGTTGCAATCCAAGCTGACATGTGAACAGCAAATATACCATGTGCGAGCCGTCCAAGATGCCAAAGCCCAACCACTCGATCTGAATCGCGTGGACAGTGAGCGATTCCCGCCCGAAAAATTGCGTATCACCCTCGAGCGGTTCTACACCTCCGTGGTTGTCGGTGTGATCGAGTTCTTTCGGCATATTACACGATTGCGGTCATGGAAAGAGTCCGGTCGGACAACCGTGTTTTGTATCGTATGTCCATTTCCCCATTCGACCATACCCCCCTCCTTCCTTTACAGAACTGACAATCTCCAGGTTTATTTTACATGCTGGGCCTTCGACATTCTGGTTCCGACCATCTGTGGTGTCATGGTTTCCATGATCATGATTCCACAGGTCCGAGCATGGATTTTTCCTGCTACCACTGCAACACTAAACTCGGAAATTCCTAGTGCAAGGAACTCGGAAACGGGCCAACCTGAATCTCTGGATAGCCTCACGGGCGCGCCAGAGGCCCACAAGGGCGAGGCTGCGGAACAAGAAGCGAGAAATTTGATCGACAGCCTGGCAACCGTAGCCATTGAGAGTGCTGCCACGAAATATGGTCAAGCTGTAGCTGAGGATGCTCCTGATCAGCCTCTTCTTGGCGATGGGTCAGAAGTCGTAGACCCCATGGAGACTCCGATTGTTGATAGTACTGAAGACAAGACCAAAAAGCCCATGAAGAAGAAGGTTTCGCACGCTACAAACCAACTCATGCGTGGACTGAGTGATGTCACTGATATTTATGAGAAATTTGCCAAGTATGTTATGCTCCATTGACCAAAACACCTCCCTCGCTGACCCTTGGCAGTCTTCTATCTCCAACGCCACCATTCTTGCTAATTACATCCCGACTCCAACTGGCGGGTATCTTGACATTAATATCTGTGTTGGTACCCTTGGTATCTAGTTATTGGATTGTTAAGATCATTGGATTTACCATTGGTTTTGGATTTTTTGGAGATCCGGTCTTCACATACACGCTGGATACCTTAAACCAGAAAATCCCAAATTGGAGAGATAATATGGATTTGCAAAAGTATGCCCTCTTGGATTTCTCTTCGTATTCTTTCTTTGGATTTTTTTTTTTTTTTTGCTGATTCAATGTCTAGGACACTTTTAGCTGGCGTCCCTACTAATGCTCAGCTGACATTGACTCTATTACGGATTGGTGAGATCAACTCCGAGCCTCTGCCGCCTCCTCCGGCTATTGGTAACAACGATAGGGCATGGCCCATTTCTCGTAAAAAGTCCCAAGCGGGATCTTCATCGTTAGACCTTACAAAGCAGGATTCATCACCCGAACTACAGAAGACAAACTCAAACATCTCTCTCCCTGAAGCAAAACCGAAACGGAGGACGATGTTCAAATTCTTCAAATTCCTTCGCCGAACCATTGCAACTGCAATCCAAGGCCACATTGCATTCGACCGAGCGATGGCCATCGCAGGATCTGCCCACACCAAGAACTTGCTTGGGATGCTGCAGAACAGACACTTCTCTGCAACCCCCTTTGGTCCCCTGAAGTTTGACGCGAAGTACGAACGAAAGCGTGGCGCAGCTGTGATTGACAATTCTAAAGAGCCGCCAATTTTGTATTTCACCACATATCAGTCAGCGGGGCTAGACGATTTGCGAATCGAAAGCCGGAAGAAGGGATCCGTTCTGTTCCAGATCCCTGTCACAGATATCAAAGAGTTGAAAAAGACCGAGGGCCTAGGATGGAAGCGAAAGTTGATCGTCGAATTGACAGCTGGTAGTAAAGAGGCTGCTGATGGCCTCGTGGTCAGCGGTGATGACATGGAGCAATCATATCACCTCACTGGTATGCGATCTCGAAACCAATTGTTCAACCGCCTAGTCGCGATGGATGCTCAATTTTGGGAAAGCCGTTGAGATGTTGCGAGGGATGCAAGCTGCGGTCAATCCTGGAAGCTGGTAATAAATCTAGTCAAGATAATTCCATGCGGCATGGCCACCGTGGATATTGTAAATTTCAGCATCATAACGCCATATGGGACTAGACTTTCACGATTTTTGTCATATATTCCAGGATGCCTTTGATCCCCTTGTTGAACGTGGCTCGAATATTTGAACGCCAGTTGTTGTGAAAGAATGAAAGAATGAAGACCTTATGACAATGGCCTTTCACCTTCGAACTACAATAATTCCTTTGATCCCTATTTTTAGTTTTTTATGTGGAAGTCAGGCTGTGCTTTTGTAGCATTGTCTTCATCACAAAGCATTCAAAGTTCTCTCCAATGATCAATTGTGTTTTCTTTGTTGGTAATGGGATACATAAACCCCAGTCCATTTCCTCCAAATGTCCGAAATTCGAGAACATAGCCATTATCTGACCTCTGTTTCTCTAGCACATTGTGTTAAATTACCTTACAAGCTCTTCTTCGTCTACAGTCTTATCAAATAACTTTAAAGGTCAGAATCATGCATCATCAAAGCTTTGCGGTCGCGGCTCTGGAACTTCTAGACCCACATAGCTCCCTATCCTTGAAATACCCCCATCTTCACCATGCTTTCCAATGGCGTTTGGAAAGGGCCATGGCCGCTAGAGAACATGGGAATATCTCACTGTGCGATCATGTGATGTTCCACGGCTACGAGATTGGACGAAATGATAATCTAATATTCCAACAGGAAGAAAACTCGGCGATGGTTGATTTCTTGAGCCCGGTTTCCAACGATGACTCGAAATATCGCATAACTCGACTATGTCCAAATTTGCGGGATCGTATGGAGATATATGGTACGATTGGCCATGGCAGTAAGTTTCCCTATCCTTCAATGTTTGTTTACCATCCCTCGCGTGAATCAAAATCGGCTAACATTTAAATAATTCATATAGCTTTTGGAGCCGTTTACCTAGCCCGAGAGAGGTGTGAGCAAACTCGAGATTCTCGAAATATCAAACATTTTGCGGTCAAGATTGAACGTCATACCACACTCTTCAGCGCCAGGTACTATATTTCACCTCCTATGGTGCCAATTCATGACAATGCTGAGCCGGCAAGGTATATCCCTGCTGAAGCTTTGTATCTACTCTTTCTCAAGTGCAGCGATAGGTTCCCAAAACTTGACTCTGTCTACATCCATGACCGATATCAAACAATTGTTATGTCCCCATGTGTTGATCCGGCTTCGGATCGATGGACCCAGCAGGTAACGTCTTATGCACCACTGTTTCCCGCATTCACGGGCAAATATCTTATTCTTCACAACAGTCGTCCTATGCTTGACGAGATGTCTGCTTGCAAAGTTGCGGGACAACTCCTGCAAGCAATTATTGACATGGCGCAGATCAACTTGGTCCACTACGATCTCTCTGTGCATAACTTTGTTGTCGACCAGAACTTGAACGTTCAACTGATCGACCTCGGCAATGTCTGGTTCGGCTTAGAAGATGAAGACTTTGTAACAAAGGGGTATGCATATATACCGTTCCAGGAATACCAAATGCAACCCGAATTTGCAGAGATTTTATTTCGACCGGAGAACCGCGAACGTGACTTGGGCAAGGAGGTCTGGATAAAATGGAAAACCGATGTTCGTCAAATCACATTGTGGAAGTTTGGTGTCATCCTCTATGGACTTCTGCACGGCTTTTGGCCGTGGGATAACCCTCCTTCTGGAGGTCATGAGATGGACTTATTGAATTACCACGGAGAGGAAAATCAGAGAGTCTACGACCGAAGGCTGAGAATCATGTGGGATGAATTGCCGATCAGAGAAGATTTATCTCAGGATTGCAAGGATGTGCTGCGTCATCTTTTTCAGAAAGACCCTGCCAAGCGTCCTTCCTTGGATACACTGGCTTCCTACTCTTGGTTCATGCAGTGGGCCCACCAAAACCGTGTATATGAGCGGCCATTTTCGCAAGAGTTCCAGGACATCTATAGTCAATCTATTTAACCTCAATTGATTCAAATAATTGAAGGCTTCATTCAATGTTCGAGGTTTCAGAGCTGGAACTCTGGAGTCAAACGAAAATCGAAAACTTGGCGTACTCGGAAATTATGTACATAAATCTTGCACCACATGCATCTGCACATGTGATCAGCTGAATTGTCCCCAGTGTGACCTAATCACACTATGTAAACACGTCCTTCGATGGATTTGAACCGAATCTTTTCTTTTTATTCAAGGAACACGGGGTCTAAAGTTGAAAGACCAAATTGTACTTTGTATTCAATGTCCCAGATTCACATCAAATGGAATCTCAGATCTACTTGAATTACTGGACTGCTAGGTACTTTTGTTTTGAACTTTTAAAAGCAGGATTGGACAATTTTCATTGTACCAGCGGAGTAGTAGACTTTGGGTTGATATCCACATGGAAATTTTCACTCCCCACCTTTAAACTTGTCGATCTCCATAGTGTACACATTGACTTTGGTCCCAGGGTCCCTTTGACCGTTTTTCATTAGGAAGATTTGTTCAAATGTTTATTTTGAACCATGTAGACTAATCCTCAGGCTTCAATTCTGGCCCTGTTTTCCCTTTCATCTTTCAATTTTCAATTTTTTCTTTTTCTCTTGATTTTTCTGTTTGTATCATAAGGGTTAGTGTGATTCGTATGTGCGGGCTGATTCCGATGCTTACTAGTAGACGGGTTAACCCCTTTTTCCGGGCCGAAGTATCTCTGCCACGGCCCACGGCCCACGTTCAATGTTCTCAGTTGCCACACCTTAACATTGAATGTACGACTGCGTACGGGTAATTTGTACGAGCATAATTTTAGATCATAAAACATTCCAAGCCATATCTCATTGACCAAAATTCCATTTCCCTAACATTGAAGCCGGGTATGTTTTCTACCATACTACCACACTATTTCGTTTTCGGTGGGGCCCGTTCCCAATACTGAGGCTCAAGCTAGCAAACCATATTCTCTTTTTCGGGTCAACATTTTTGATTCAGGTACTCTCCTGTTCCTTTCGATGCCCTTTTTTCTTCTCCTGCAAATTCACTGTCAAATAGCTAAAACAAGCTTTTCCTTTGCGATACACCAATTTGAACCAATTTGATACGATAGAAGCCAGCCCTGTGGGGCCGTGCCGCGCGGCATTTGCGTGTGCCATCGTATGCCATCGGACTAAAACGGTCCCCACTGGATTTCCAGTGCAAAAATAACTACCAAGCTAAACTGTTCGTGGGCTACAAGCCAGATGTATAACGCAAGCCTTTGCTAAGAAATCTCGTTCATGGCTAAGATTTAACGGTGGAGTCTACGCCGCCAAGCCACACCACGTCAAGCTACTCGCGGCCATACAACTAGCACAAAATAATTTAAATTATGCCTCTCTGCTCTGTTTTTTTCCTTCTTCCTTAGAATTCAATTCCCCCTCATTCTTTCCATAGTCATCCACGGTACGGGTCAATATGCAGGGTCTACTTTTGCTCCTTCTGGGAGCTCACTTGTCGCGGGTTTCGGCTCAGCCATTCTCTACACCCACCACTATCGAGTTGGCCCCGCAGACTACTCAGCTTGCCTTTCCTCCTATGGTGGCCGATGTCGACGGAACAGTACAGATCCTTGAAATTCGCGATAAGAGGGAGCTTCTAGGTGCGATCTTCGCTCGTGATACCACCACCACTTCCGAGTCCACCACCTCCACCACATCTACAACATCATCCACTTCAACTACATCCACAACATCGAGCACGACGAGCTCAACGACATCCACTACGAGCTCGACAACCTCGACAACCTCAAGCACTACCTCGAGTACCACAACTTCGGATTCTACTACAACATCCACCACGTCTTCTGCCACTTCCTCGTCAACTACATCCTCGACCACAACCACCAGCACCTCCTCCACTACCACAAGCACCGCAACTGCAACCAGCACCGTCAGTGCCGCACAGGCAAAGAAGAACCACAGGGGGGTGATCAATGCTATCATCTTTGTCTGCGTCATGTTCTCCGTGTTCGCCGGTGTCTCCATTATCCACTGCGCCGGAGAGCGAGCAAAATCAAAGCGCATCGCTGCCCGTCAACTTCTGAAAGCGACGGCTGTTGTTCCTGCGCCACTCGAAACTATGAAGAATGAGTCCAGCACCAATCTGCTCGGCGATAGATCATCTGTGATCTTCAGAGATAACCCTCAATCCGAGTCACGACCCATGACGGCCCGAACTCCCTCTCCCATTCACGAAATGGAGAATCGAATTGAAAATCACTGAGTGATCCGACGATATATTTTTTTCTCTGTACTCCTACATGATATTTCCTTTTTGCCCTGGCGCCGGCGTGGTTTAAAATACCGATTTTCAACTGTCTTCCCTTGTCTGCTCTCTTTGTTTTTGTTGCATAGCAATTTTCCTTTCTTCAATGCATAAGATTTTAGCATGGTATCATCAATCATTTAAATTCCTTCCGTTGGGATGTAGACTCGCGTGTGATCTATAGATCTGTTCCACATGGACTCCACGATTGATGACCAGCGAATCACAGACTAATCAGCACCATGAAACGTGCATATGATAAATTGTGATTAATTATTTGCGGATCTACTACGTTGAAGTTGTATAGCCTTCGTTTACAACTAACTCATACTAGTAAGCTTTCGGAGTCGGGCTCGGCATTCCGTATCACTCCATGTTGAGAACGCAACTTGGGAATCCTTTGGGTGTAACAGTCACAGCCGACCAATATGGGGCGCAATCATATATTGTGACAGCCATATGATGATTGATCGATAATGTTTACAATGTAGCTACATTTACTAGGCTTCTTTCCTAGGCTTACTTGTGTCTTTCGTATACGTCGGTTAAATTGCACTGTACACGGTCCAGTGTGCTACTTTGATCACTGTCCTCTACAATTGCACTATAAAATCATTCCATCATTCTAACATAAAGCGCCGATCTTTTCTCCAGTTCTTCTTCTTGACCAATCATCAAGCAGACACTTATCCATTCACGACCCTTTTCAAAGTCAATATGGGTGGTATTTTTTCAAATCCGACCAGGAATTCTCAAGCTCCAGCTCCCGCTTCACCCGCACCTCTAGAGCAGAACGAGATAACAATTACTGGGTTAGCCACGGAATGGCCTTCAAGACTCGTCACTCCAGATGACCTTAAGGAATTTGCTCACGGTTTATATCCCTCAGATGCACCATGGTTCGTGACCATCTGTTGTTATCCAGACCATCGTGCTAAATTAAGAATATCCTAGGCTCAAACGATTGCTCAAAATCAACGAGCAGACGGGCATTGAGACCCGCGCGGTGGTGGATCTCTGGTCTGATCCTCGATGGCGTCGCAAAGATCCTCCCAAGGCAGAAGAAGTGGATGCGATGTGGCGGCAATACGGGGTCCAGATTGCCAAGACCGCTGCTCAGAAGGCGCTGCTGGATAGTCAGATTCATGAAAGCGATATTACACATCTCGTATCGGTCACAGCGACAAATGCTGGAAGTCCAGGTTATGATCAGATTGTTGCTCGCGAGATGGGCATTCCAGCGACTGCAGAGAGGTTATTGATCAGTGGCGTCGGATGCGCAGGGGGGTTGGCGGCTTTGAGGATGGCTTCTAATCTGGCTAGAGCAGCCACTAGTCAAGGACGACCAGCTCGAATCTTGGTACTGGCTTGCGAGATTTGCAGTATCTTTATTTGTTCAGAGCTATACGCTGCTTCTACTTCCCAGGACATGGGAATCGGAGTGGCTCTATTCGGTGACGGTGCAGCTGCTCTCATTGTGTGCAACTCCGAGGGCAGGATTCGAGCGAACAATGAGAAAAGTATTCCAAGACGATTCTCCATTATTGACTCACGCTCTCTCATCACGCCAGGTACACATGATGAGATGGAGGATAAGGTGACCAGCACTGGTTTTCGGCTGGTGCTGTCCAAGAATGTTCCCAACTTGACATCTGCCTCACTTGCACAACCATTTGAAAGTCTCATTGTGGAGAATGGAATGCTTGGTGCTTCGCCAACAGACTTTGATTGGGCGGTTCATCCTGGTGGACTGTCCATTATAAAGGGGGCACAAGTTGCAATGGGCCTTTCGGATGAGCTAGTCGCAGCCAGTAATGAGATATACAGGAGTCGCGGTAACACTTCTAGTGTTGCTGTTCTGGCGGTTTTGGAGAAGCTGAGAACCATGGAGATGAAGAGGCCGGATGTTATCGCCTCAAGTTTTGGACCAGGCTTAACAACTGAAATGATGCTTTTGAAGCGATGGCAATGAATGCATGCGTGTGGAGATGGATGTATAGAGTTTGCCCTTTTACCTATATCTTCAAATTGTTAAGTAGATATTCCGCGCGAGCGAAGTTTTGAATTTTACGAGGAGTTCCTATTGCATGTATATGCCAGTCTTTCAAGAATATTATCGATTCGCTGAATAAAACCTCACTAGATCCATGGATCGGCACTTTTCTGTTGCCTTGGCAGTGTGCATAATTCGTTGAGTAATGGTATCGAGTTCAAACTAAGAAACTCCTCGGCGATAGATGACCCGATAGATCGCGGTAGTAAGTCTCGTTGTCCCTAAGCCTTTGTATCATTGCTACCCAGGCATCTTCCGTCAGCAACAAGAGTCGAGTTGTTGCAGTTTAAGATTGTGGTGAGAGAATCGATTTCTAGCTCCACAAATCGAGGATTGGTCTTAGCAGCGGCTCGCAGTAAATCACATGATTCTTCAAGGAGGAATTGGTTAGATCGAAGTCTCTCGAAGTGGGCGCGATGAAGCCGCATTGACATCTCAAGCCTTCGGACTTTGGATTCGAGAATTAGGTTCTGATCAGCTAGGCTTTGTTCCTTGGCTTTCCATAACCCGGTGGCTTGTGAAGATTCATGGGAGTGAACGCTGGACTGGTTGGTATTGTCGACGGACGTCTTATTGGTTGTCTGTGGAGAGCCGGATTTTTCACTGCCAGCAACGCGAGTCCCAGACGCCAGTTTCCCAGGCACTTGTTTGCCAGAGGTACGTATACCAGAGGCTCGGCGGCCAGGAGCTCGGCGACCAGGGGCTCGGTGACCAGGGGCTCCGTGGCCAGAGGCTCGGCGGCCAGGGATACGTACTACTACACGTTGAGAGCGAGAGGCAGAGGTAGCTGGTGTACAGTCACTGGAAGCGGGCGTAAGATCACTAGTAGCGGCTGTAGCCTCCTTAGTACGCAGTGCTAAACGTTGAGAGCGAGGGGTAGAGTTGGCTGCAGTAGAATCGATGATATCAGCGGTAGTAGTAGCGGCTTGCGGATCCTCAGTGCCGAATTCTATACTTCGAGAGCGAGCGGCGGAGTTGGCTGCTGTAACATCACTGGTATCGGGGCTACCGTGGTCACTTGGCTTAGCAGTGGCTTGTGTATGCAGTGAGGACTTGGAATTCTTGGCTGTCAGAAAGTCACATCGCCGGTCTTGCTTTCGCCAGTGGCAGTTTGCACACGAACGTATAATATTGCCAGTCTCGTCAACCACGACACACCGGGCCCATGGACCCAGACTCATGACACATGCTTTGCAAGGAACACTGACGAGACGTCCGACTACCTGCATAGCAGCAGATTCCACATTTGCAATTGATCTGCCGATCTGCTTATTGAGATGGGTACCAGGCCAGTTTTTTTCATCACGGAGGAGCGGCTCACGGACAGAAGGGAGCTCGATCAAAGAGCACAGAAGATCAGATTTGATGTGGTCATCTTTTCTAGCACAAATCCATGGCAATTCCATAATCAGGTTGGCGATCTCGCCTGGAACCTCCGAGTCCGGCAGCCATCTGCGGGAAGCAAGGGTGTTGTTATCTCCTATGGGCAGGCGGTCCGATCCACTGTCTTGCCTATTATCATCATATTTGTTAGGGTATGCGAGTCATAACTAGGATAAGACTTTTGGGGGTTATAGAACTCACGAAGCCCGTGTTTGGAGGGGGGCCTTGTGGCTCATGATGACTCTGAGTTTGATCGAATGGCTCGCGGATGCGTTGATGACGGTGAAAGAGTACCACTGGGTTGAATTTCCTTGGAGTGAATAACGAACTTGGGAAGAAGAGAAATAGGAGGAAGGAGGAAAGATGGGAAGCTTGGAGAGACGCGAACAGAACGCGTGGGAAACTTCAGGTAAAAACAAGCAATGGGGTCATGAGGTTTTCACCTTGGAAGGAGTTTATCATTGTTCCCACTGTTCTGAGCAGGCACTTAAGGCTGAGGTCCACGAGCGCTATTTTGTGGCCCACGTGCAGTAGTACTGGTATGTATCAACAATTTCCAGGTGGCAGATACTAGGTATCGGGTACTATCTTAGTTCTCCTAGGGTCCTGTTGATCACCTTGCTTCTAGATCTGTACTTAGGCCTCCTAAACTGCCAGGGTTCATTTGAATGTTAGTATGTTCCTCCAGCTATATTCAACATTGAATGTTGTGGGGAGCTAGGGGATATTTGGATAGGTACTAGGTACATACATACCTACATAGAAAGTGCTTCATCCACGGATCCCTCACCTGCACAGAGTGTTAGGTACATATACCTACTTTGAGGTATATTATACATATATATTGATGTCAACTTCTCAATCATATTCATAATGACTTATATAGAGGGTATATGGGTAATGTTAATAGGATTGAACATTTGAAGAGTTTCTCACGTTTCAGTTTGAAGAAAGGAGACTGGGGGCCTTTGAATAATATTGATACTAGTAACATTGGAATTATGTTATCCGGCATTGGAGGGTTTGATCGTTAACATTTGACTTGGCACGTTGAATGTGAAAAGTGAACAACATCACCAGTTGACGCATCACATAAGCAACTTTGAATGGCTATCACGTGCATATTTCTTGACCCATTTTTATCAGCACGTGATATATCTATCCGATCTTATCGCTTTCCGAAAACTTCCCCGAACCCGGACTCTTGCAAGGCTCTTTCGGATGCGGGGTCACATTTTCACATTTCTTGCAGAATCCCATACCCGCCCGTACATTTTAACCCGACGGCTAATGTGCGGCAGTGGTCGGATCGAGTCCGGGATGGCTCCGTCGGGTGGCCACTGCCGTCATGTTATATAGCATTCGCGACGTTCGCGACGCCTTTAATTTTGCTTTGGCAAACTTTATCTTTTAACATTTGAATTCAGTCTCGGTTGATCTTCATTGACTTCACACTTGCTCAACACACGCTGTTATTCAACCTCCGCCATTTTTTTCTCTTACAAACCTCAGAAACTCGGGGATCAAGGTTTGAAGCCATGACGAACGATTGCTCGTCCAACGGTTCTCCGTACTCGCCCGTTCTCGAGACGACTCGTATTTTTTCCAGCCTCTGTGACCAATCTGAGAGGCTGGGTTTACCGGAAGATGTAATTGCCAACAAAGACAGAGTCTCATTTTCATCCAGTCATAATGAAATCTACTTCCCCATTCCCTTCAAGGAAACCGAGACACTTGCTGCACTGAAAGGTGTTGAGGGTTCCGTGGCTGCGGCCCTGGCCGATCTGCGCTTTGGAAAGGCCGAACAGCCGCGTAGTGTCCAGGTCAGCCTGGAAGCAGCGACAGCCTTTGGCTGCCAGGCATACATGGCTAAGATCGATGGATTGTCGAAGCTTGACCCCAATGTCAAATCCAAGTTGAAAGGTATGTTGAAAAGAAAACCAGTAGTCTATGGGGCAATCCTTTCTAATACATATGTTTGCCAGATACGGATTTACTTGCTGCACAGTCAAACGGATACCGTCGCATGTCGGCGAATCTGTATAAAACCAAGAATCCGCTTGAGTTCTACCATATCCATGGCTCACTTGAGGCCACCACCACATTGAACATGATCGGCCTCGAGGGCCACCGCCCTGACTTGACAGATTACGAGGAAATCATTAAGGTAATCGAGGGACAAGTCCAGAAGTACACAGTTTCTGAACTAGAAGCAATGAATAAGGAGCGACGTCAGGCCGGTGTTCCGGCGCTCAAGTACGAGGATTTCATCAAAACCCCTCATGTACGTTCGCACCCCACGCTTTGTGGCTAGGCTTCCAGGTGGAGGAGTCAACACATGCTGATACGAATCTCCAGGGAGCTCTGAATGTCCAAGAACCACCTTGGAAAGTAGTCAAGCTTGAAGGCGATGTTGCCCCAACTCCGTTCCCGACTCCTCGACCCGGCAGCAAGAAGATTCTTGAAGGCGTCAAAGTCCTTGAGATGTGCCGCATCATCGCTGGCCCAACAGTCACCCGAATCCTTGCTGAGTACGGTGCCGATGTGCTCAAGATCACAAGCCCCAACTTGTCAGATGTACCATTCTTCCAGGTTGACGGCAACATGGGCAAACGTGCCGCGGATTTGGATTTAAAGACCGATGCCGGCCGCCAGGAGTTCGAGAAGCTATTGGCTGATGTGGATGTGATCGTGGACGGTTACCGACCGGGCGCGCTGGAGAAGCTAGGCTACGGACCGAAGGCCATGGCTACTCTGGCCGAGAAGCGTGGAAAGGGAATCGTCTACGTGAACGAGAACTGTTTCGGGTACGAAGGTGAATGGGCCGGACGGGCTGGATGGCAACAGATTGCCGACTGTGTAAGTTTGACCTTGTCGCGTAGATGAGGTGACTGCTCCAGCTAACAAGCGGGGGGGAAATAGGTAACGGGTATCGCATGGGCGCAAGGAAAATTCATGGGCCTTGACACACCTGCTGTCCCACCCTTCCCCATCTCCGACTACGGAACCGGATGCATGGGTGCCATTGCTGCGTTGACGGGTCTTTACCATCGTGCTAAGACTGGTGGCTCTTACCACGGCCAGGCGTCCCTTATGCATTACGATCTCCTGCTTTTTGCAATGGGACAGTACTCTGATGATGTACAGGGAAAACTTCGTGCTGCTCAACCGGAGGATTTCTTCAAGCTTCGTCATTGCGATAGTGTGGATCGGATCTCCGCCACTGTGCTCAAGGGAATGCAGAAGCGCTTCCCTCACTTATACATTAACCCCGGCGTTGAGTCTGAAGGTCGCCAATCTTTGTTGGAGAGCTGGTATTCCGAGGCTTACGGTACTGATATTGAGGTTGTCAAGCCCATCGTCGCTGTGCAAGAACTGGATAATCAGTTTGTGCGGGCTAGTCGGCCGAATGGTTTCGATAGAGCCACTTGGGAGGATTTCCAGGTTGAGGGGCAGGGTGATTTTAAGAAGTGTTGATTATGCCTGCCATTCTACCAACAACAGGCAATTGAAGAAATTCCAAGGTTGGTCTGCTTGTGACGACGTCTTTGATTTGCCCTGCAAAATGTCCTAGGCAACCATAAAAATCGTCCGTAAAGATTGATGAAGAATAAAGACGAAATGAATCTGTGTACTAGCGCGTTCCAAGATTAGCATTTGTAGAGGCTCAAAACTTTGGTGTATGATGCTACCAATCAACAGTGTTATTCATATCACATCCAGAAGTTGGGCATGACTGATCATATTGGTTTCTCATGACGCGCGGGGCTCAAGCCACAGTGACACGTGTGGGCCTTAATTAGTGACAGGATTAGCTGCTGATCAACCGGGGATTAAATGGTCTCGTTAATTAAACCTATAAGCACTTGGTAAGTATTCAGCAACGTCATCCCACTGACGTCATTTTTAATATACCCTTGGGTCGTGGAACAGGGTAAATAAAATAAATAAAACCACACCTCGCCCACCAGGGGGGGAGAGTAGTTGACACAGACTCATCTTATCTCGGCCACACTGCACACTGTTGGGTATGTGATCTAAGTTTATATGAAGAGGGAAGATATCTGGGAGGTATATACTACTAGTATTGAGGACTGACTCAACATATTCTAGAACTTCATCTACTTCTACCTCCCCCACCTCCACTACACGCCCACGATGCCAACCATACACGAGCGAATCCGCGAAGAGATTCTCAGAAAAGAGCGCGCTCTCTGGTCAGCGCTCACATGTGCCGATCCACCACCCCAGATCAAGAAATTAAGCAACGAAGGGGTTGTGTTGTTGTTCCCGAAAATGCCAATCCTAACGTTGGAAGACGAGGAGGAGTTTGACGAATGCCTGAAGCCTCCATTCCATCGCTTCGATGGATTCCAGCTAGATGATGTACGGACGATTGTCATCGATCTCATGGCCGGCTCGGTGACATATAAGGTTTATGCTGTTCGGGGGGACAAAGAATATCGAGCGACGGGTTCTACTACTTGGAGTCAAGCAGCTGATGGTGAATGGCGGGTTGTGACGCACCAGGAAACTCTCCTGTAGGCCTGGGGACTGTGCCCTTTTCCTCTTTTGTTAAATATTAATATTTTTTCTATGATTCCATGATCGACACGAGTCACGAATCGATCTTGTTCTTGCCAGGCGAAAAGATGAGCATATGAAAGATGTGCACTGTGTCAAATGCCTATATACAGTCATTATGCGTATTACAAGCCTTTATTCATATGGTCGCATACAACCGAGGATATTTCCATGTCCAGAGGTGGGGAAAGGTGTCACTAGAGCTTTGCTGTCCACAGCTTAGGTGGATCGTTCGCTTTTCGTCCATGTTCTCCCTTTCCACCTAGATTCACTGTAACGCCCTCCCCGAATGCAGCCTCCTGGCAATCCTCATCATCAACTCCATTCACATGTTGCACGACAACAAAATCCACGCGTCGACGACCTAAAACCACCATGGGCGCATGCCAAGTCCCAACACCATATGTGACAGCTTGCCCGCCGTGTGCAATGAATGCCTTGATATTCTTGAGATCTGGTGGATCTCGAATAGTAACGATTTCGCCCTCGGAGTTCTTCGCCATAGCAACCTCACCCTTCAAAGTAGGCGCAACGACAACTAGGAAGCTAGGTTCATCCTCTCCATCACCAACCTTCGAGTGGCTTGACAGATCGACGGGAATGAAAGTCTGGTTGGTGAATGGGTGGCGCTCCAGTATCCGTACATCAAATACCTCCGTCTCAGAGCTGCGACCCTGGGTGATTGTACGCAATTGGCGCGGGAAACAGCAGAACATTGTCATGCGTGCCGAGCTGGCCGTCCCAGTTGGACTACTTGTATAGCGATCGAGCATTGGGGAGACGGGGCTGTATTTCAACGCAGAATTTTGGTTTGCCAGGACAGGTGCTGGGTTATGCGGGGGGAGATTGGAGGGCTTAGGAGCGACATTGAGATCTCGTGGGATGGGAGAGCAGATTGCCGTGCCGAATGGTGCGAAGTTGGTCGGTGTAAGAGGTTGAGGGGTTAATGTGAGGGTCGGGTTAGAGGTGAGAATTGGCGCCATCGTGACTTTTATCCTGAGGATACCAAGGATCAAATGTCAGTCAAGTTGAGAGTTTCTTCGAAGATGATTGTTTGCAAAAAGGAAAAGGCTTGAAAATGTGGAGATGCTTGGATATGCTTTGGAGAAGCGGAGAACATGGTCGGCGTCCTCCGGCGATAAGATAAGCGGCGGGTGCCGAAAAATAACACGTGACGATGAGAAGATATTTCGGCCTCAAGTCTCAGGCGAGGAAGAAATTTCCTTGCCTTGGGAGTCAGGCCAGAGTGTGGATAATTTTGCATGTGCTTTGACAGTACTGGGTACGTAAAATGTTACAAGTGATCCAAATTCTAAAGAGTCCAGATCTCTTCATGTCGTTGAAATCATCAGTCAAAGATCATCTTTCTTTTTTCAAAGGGCATTCATCCATAATCATCCTCTACTACTCTTTCTGTGCTGCTTAGGAAGCTGACATGGTTTTCGGTAGCGGTACGTTCGCGGTCCGCAGGTCTGATGAATCCCCGAAACTTACCAGCCATTCCGCCCGGATGGCATACTTCCGGGGCGAAATACGTATTACTCGACACGAGCTATCATTGGTCAATCCTCTTCCCGGTGTAATTTATCTTGTTCCGGTCCAATCTAAGTTATCTAACATTCATTAATAAAGCATTGAGGTGATTCCCTCATCGCAGTTCCAGTCCAGTTACAGATCCACACTAGTCTACTAGCACATGGCCACTCGGGCTGAAGGGAGGATTTCCGGTACGGCTTTATATCGGTACCGGGTGAACAAATTCCCCTTCTGCCATTCTCATTCAAATGTTCCCTCTCTCATTCTCATTCAAACAATCCTTCGCGCTCTACGTGATCGCAACTACAAGGTAGCCAATATTGCATGACTTAAGGTTGCCCAACAGGCGCAATATGTCAATCACAAACCTACCTTTGGAGTTGTTAACTCATATCTGTGAGGATCTGGGACCTAAAGATTGGGGCGCGTTCCGGACCACTTGCCGCCAAATCCACGACAACACACTGGAAGCCTATACAACGCGATATTTTAAAAAAATCACCCTTCTTCTCACATGCGAAGGGCTTGACCGGCTGGAGCAAATTGCAACCAGTAAAACTCTTTGCAGCTCGGTCGAAGAAATTTGGATCATCCCAAACTTGTTGGAACCTTGGGCACAATTGGACAAGGCTACTTTTACAAAGGTAGATCCTGCGAGACATTTGTTGAAATGGCAGCGCCTTCCAACTACGGAAGAATCGAATAAAATGAAGGTTGAGCTTGAAGCTCTATTTGCTGTCTTCAACACTGCAATGAAAGAACATAATAAGATTCTCCAATACTCAGGTCTCTTTAACAGGCTTGAAAAATGCCTACCGCACCTCAAAAACGCTGTTAACCTTGGCTTACGGTCATACACGACACATTTCCTACTCAACCGTGCAAGTCATACTGACTTCACCTGCCTAGGCTTGCGTGAATTGAAGAACCAGTTCAAATACCAGGACTTTCCATCACTTAACCGGACCATGCCATACATGCCTTACGGTTTGGCATTCTCACAACTTCTCAACGCCATGATCAAATCGAGTCAGAAAGTCCAAGCTCTTCACACATGTAGCCATGTCTATTGCGGTATGAAATTGGGACATCTTCAACTATCAGAGGCTCAGCACCAACAGCTTCTTCCACTCTTACAGGATCTGACGACTCTCCATATGTGCATCCGCCTTAAAGATCACGAACAAGAATTTTTCGATGAAGGCACCTTCAATCGTCTCCTCAAAATTCTGTTCACAGTTTCATCGACACTAAAGACCCTGACTTTTGCCCAATGGAGTCCTATAGAAGAATTATCTCCTCTCTACTTCAAGGATCTCGCTCAGAAAGTTCAATTTTCCCAGCTAGAGGAACTCAATCTCCATTCAATTGAGGTGACAGTGGATAGCCTCGAAGAGTTTCTGCGGACAGCAGCCCCAACCTTGAAACGACTGAGTATCAGGTTGGTTAGTCTGGTTGATAGGATAACATCTGCACCAGACCTAGGACCCCTAACGGGAAACAGTCAAAGTTGGGTCACTTCATTGTCCACTGAGGTCAAGACTGAGATGCAGGGGCTCTGGCGGCGTGTTTTCAAATTTTTGGCAGATCATCTCAAGTTGCAATACGTCGAAATATACAAGCTTGGGTATCGAGGAAGATTGATCTTGTTGAAAGATGCCTTGTTTATGGAACGCGGACAGCCGGGCGCAAAGCCTTCTCCTGGCCTGAACCCCTCAGATTTCTATTTCGACTCTGAGAAGGCGAGTGTAATTTTCAAGGAATGGGTCACGCAGCTTCAGATAGAGATGTGGCATTGGGCAGCCTTTGGAGGCCCCAAGCTCCCAGGTACCAGCAACGTGCGCCAAGTACGCCCGGGATTTGGTAATATCGCTTCTTCGGTATGCGTGTATCCGCAACAAAACCAATATGCAAGACTTCAGATTTAGAGTTATGTCGTTTTATACATATATATGGGGTTATTGTGTCAATGAATTGATACCTATGGAATTGGCCGAAGGAATTCAAGGAGGTCTTTTCGGGCACCTGGGTTCAACAAGAAGTCGTCTTGATAAAGTCATCATGCTTGAATTATTCAATTCACTGTTAAACTACAGCAGGAGTGTTTCACAATATTCAAGTTGGGGATACTTCTTCAGTCACCCGTTCAAACGGCAAGTGAAATTTTGACTCGGAAGACATGCTGCATGCATCATTCATTCCAAGCGGATCACGCTACATGTATCAATGTAGCATCATGGCTAAATGTAGCCCTAGGTAAGTAGTAGAGCTCAGCCCTGGAGACGGTGGGAATATATCAAAGACTCAGACATCTGGATATAATCCACTTGGGTCCCTTTTCGAGTACATACATACGACCACACATGGGGTGTGGAGAACAGGGCTTCCCGTCCGCTCAGCCGTACTTAAGCCACATAGATCAGTACAACTGACCGTTTAGAGAGCCTTATTAGCATAGAGCCGCGAGGAGTCATCTCTAGGTGAGTATAGGTGATTTGGGTGAGAATTTTGTAGACCGGGTGACAGCGGGGCTAGCTATCTCAGGGTGCGGGAGTATCTGACCGGCGGGGGGCTGCTTGAGCACGGGCTATATTTCCCAGTCTCTTAGATCTTCATTCCTCGAATCAATATTTCGTAGATTTCAGGATTAATTCACTAGAAGCCGAACCAAATCTTCCGAGATCATAATTCAAGCAGCTCATCAATTGGATAGTGATCGCAGAAGTTTTCTTGATCACCCGCGCACTTGTCAGTCTTGAGCTTCACGAGTTCTCTCATTTCTTGTCGCTGTTCTTCGCTCAAAAGTTGGATACGGTCATCCAGTGTGGTAAAGGTTCCATAGCACTGTGGATCAATAAGTTTTCAATAAATTTCGTCGAACATAAAACTGTATCTCGCTGCTAAGCAGGTCCAAAATAAACCAGTCTGTTACCATTGGGTCCGCGCGACCCCTAGAGGCTAGTCAGAAGGGTTCCGCGTGACCAGGAATGCTGGCAGGAGTTGAATACAAAGAAGAAAGAAGCAGGATGTGGGATTTATACCGTGGGATTTACACTATGGGACTATGAGAATTTGAGATCTTTACCTGTATGGGCAGCCGCCCTTTTTCTTTGTTCTAGTCATTCGTTCTTGTGCCTGGAGTTACTGGCGTACGGACATGTTCTATGCTTCAACAGAAGAAGCGCCTACTTCGTTGCAGTCTGTCTCTGTGTCAACATCGCCGCCACTACTTACATGCGCACGAAGTATCCCCCCAACGCGGATGGATTAGGCCAGCGTGATCCTTAGCCATGACTGCAGCGGAATCCGCAACATCGACAGCCGCTTCCACTATGCAATCAACGTGATCGCGACCATCCTTGTCAGCGTAAGCTGTTGTGATATGAGGCTGGTGCAGATCAGAAACCAAGCCGCAACATCGGAATTCAAATGTCAGTCCCGAGGTGTCTATATGAAGAACCAAGTTGATTGGAAATCAACTTGATCTTCCTGTTGTATATATAGCCTCATGTTCCCCACTGAATACAGAATAATCAATCTTCCTTTGAACTACAACAGGTTATGAGCCCGGAAGCAAAATCTCGGATGCCATCTCTACTACTCATCTGAGACTTATCTTAAACATCTTGATTATATATCTACCCCGCTTTCGCAATCATCACTATGTCTGCTCTGGTCCATGAGTCTCCGGACCGAGCTGTCACGGCCATCGAGCCTCTGACAGGAAGCGATAACTACGCAACCTGGAAACGTCTCATGACCTCCCGTGCCTACCTGAAAGCCAGGCAGGTCTGGGATGTCTTGTCGGGCGACCTCCAGCGTCCTGACTGCTTATTCAAGTACGCCAAGCCTATTACGGCAGACATCCACCCCTTGGTGGAACCGCACCTCGCTGGGGCGGTGAGACAGCGCGCTATTGAGGCGCGCCTCGAAGTGGAGGTCCAGGCGTTCGAGCGCCACCGTGATTCGTGAATGGTCGCGCCGCGAAGCCGAGGCCTACAGTATCTGAATAGCGTTCAAGGTTTATGCAGAAATTCGGATTACCAAGCACTTCCTACGATACTGTAATAAATAAAATGGCTGGAATTGGTATTTGAAATTTCTTAAAAGGGGGCAAACCAGATTATCCATAGCTTTCAAGTTTATTACTGTGAGCACAAGGGTCCATCCCGCTCAGATGGTCAGTACCAATGGCAAAAGTTTGGTCCGTGGGTGGATCGGCACACATGCAATCCCATCCTGTCTCTTTTCATCTTCCATTCAAATTTCAATCTTTAGTTGATTCACAGATACTCAAGACTGGGAGGAATGATTTGTTGCTTCCCCTCTGAAGATTTATCTTGGTGAGCGTGAATCTAACAAAGAATCCTATTGTGAACCTCAATAGATACGCTTGGTAAATTCTCAATTTCAAACCCTGGGCATATCGAACTTTATGCACGGCTCGTATAATTATGCCACGCCAAAATTCGAAATCAAGAGTGTCAAGAGACTCGCCCTACCCTAAAGACAAGGACTGCAGTCGGTCTAGGGTACAAAAGGCATGTGATCGCTGCAGACGAAAGAAGACAAAGGTGAATAATGGCACGATATGTATGACCCATACTTCAACAGAAAGCGTTGGTCTAACCAAATGTAGTGCGATGGATCCAGTCCTTGCCAAAAATGCAGTGCTGAGAATATGAGCTGCATATTCGGTGATCGAAGCAGAGATAGAGAAAAGGTTTACCCTAAGGGGTAAGTAAACACTTGTTACGAACAATCGGTATACCAAAGACTTTATTGACTTTTTAGATATGCAGCTTTACTGGAAGATCAGCAAGGCTGGCTTATTCACGGCATCAGAGAGCTATATCGCCATTTGCAAGCCGGTTCAGGTTGGCCTGGAGAACCACTGAGCTGTGAAGCCAACGGTCAGCCCCTAGTTCACAATATCCTTACTCGTCTAGGGTCGTTGGAAAACTTCGGAGATAATATTCCCAGCGGAAAGGAAGAAATATTGGCGCACCAGCAAATTTCAGATGACGCTGGCTGTGAAAAAAAGCAGTGGCCGAGCTCCTCTAAGGACAATATGCAAAGTTTTATCTCAGCCCGAGCTACACCAATTGCTCCTGTTAATACGCTACCGTCATCAACAGCTATGAAAACCGATTATACCGAAGCTGAGAATACACTTTCACGATCGTCGAGAATTAATGTTATCGGTTCAAAATGTTCCGCAGAATCAATGCTAGGCGCTGCGAATGACGCAGGGTTGCCGCATCATGATTTCCAAAGCAGCACTGGGATGCATGGATATCCTACTGGAAATGACTCGATAAACTCGAGTTTCTTCAGTGGGATAGAGAACGAGACTAATGACTGGGACACATTGTTTAACCCATCTTCGGAAAGCGAATTAACGAGGGAGGAATATTGGGCACGGTTTTATGAAGCTCAAGCCTTACTTTTTTGAGTGTCCTGTTTAAGGAACCAACTGTATCGGAATCATTCAAGTACCCCCCCGAAGTCGGTATTAAGCGCCTTCTCCACCTGAGAATTCTTGTGTACATGGCCTTTTAATAATGTATGTATTAATGCACATTTATTTGGCTGGTATCTTGACCTGGTACACTCAGGTATAAGAAACCAAGGACTCTTCGTCTCCGAGAGTCTAAGGTACGAATGTTGCAGGCTGAATACGTAGATGAATCCTTTGAGTGTGAAAAAAAAATTCTATGATCAAATTTCAAGGTTGCAAGATCTATCGCTAAATTGATGTGCAGCAATTATTCGAAGAGCATTCGCCCTGAGAATTAGGACGATTTCAAGAACTTGACAACGGCTAAATGAAAGGATGAGCGAGGGAAATGTACATGTTGATTTGGAATCATTACCTTGGCGGAAATCTTCGGGTTTCTCAGAGATAAGCCAGTGGCCCGCCTCGACGTCCGCAATCTCAGCGTTAGGGAAGAATTTTTTGATTGCAGGAATGGTGTCATTAGTGATATACTTGGACTTGGTACCCCGAACGAAGAGGGTGGGTCCATTGTACTGGACGGCATCCGACTCGCGGAAGGGGAAATCCGCCATGTTATCGAGCGAGTCGCCGATGACTGAGAGGGGCACACGGAACTTCAGTGTCTTACGCTCGTCGTTGGAGCGGACAAGATTCGTCAAAAGAAATTGACGGATAGGAAGGGACTAGTAGCTTTAAATCAGACGCTGTTTTCAACTTGCTTTCTCGGCTGTTTCCATACCTCTTCATAGTCCTCGAGGATCTTGTTTGCATCTGATTGCTTTTGCAATTTCTCTCGCTCCACGTGCTGCATACCCCGGACATATTTGGGGAAATCACTCTTCAGGGCTGCGTTTAGCGGAGCATTGTCAACCGGGATTAGGGCGGAAACGCTCTCCGGGGACCGAAGAGCTACAGTCATCGCGGCTTTGGCACCCCTGCGAGCGGTCAGTATGGAGATTTGGAATCGAGAAATATCTTCTTGAATCATATATGTAGACGTACATCGAATGGCCAATCAGGACGCATTTGTTGAGCTTCTGCTGATGTATGAACTTTTGAACATCTTCGGCCATGACACTGTAGTTATGCTCTGGGGCATGGAAAGAATCACCATGGTTACGAAGATCCTGACGCGATTGTCAGTACAAAAGGAGGATCATCATTTTCATCTATGATATTGGTGGCTGTTGGGAGAGCATGCGACACACGCACCAATGTGAAGATCTGGCATTTCAAATCCTTGGCCAAAGCCCTATGAATCATGTCAGATATGTTTCGTCTCATAAAATTGTTATGTTATCATACTTGCTGATACTCCGGTTATTTTGCTTAGAACCGAAGAGCCCATGCAGGAACAGAATGGGATCGCGAATGGCTTCCTCCTTTTCAGGGCCGTACACCTGGTAGGAAAGCTCCGCACGATACACACGACCTGTAGAAAATGTGCGAACGCCAATGAAGCTTCGCGTCGCGGTCCGAGTGAAAAACATGATGGAATGCTGACAATTAAACGTCGATCGAAGAAGCCAACAATTGACGTGAAGCGATCGGGAAACCATGCCGGATGACTCAGCAGATCGTTAAGTCAACCAGGCACTTGCCGCGGCCAAGAAGATTCACCATGTCAACCAATTCGGTCAAATCATCAGGATACGAATCCGACTCATATATGGTCTCATTCATGAGTCTGTCGCAGTAGTAATTGATCGGACACTCTTTCACAAGATGATGAGTAGCCAAATCTCAATCTCGGGGTGTTAGCGGCTCGGCTAGATGATGTTGATCGACACGACCTTTTTCAGGGTTGCCGAGTCTTTGATTGAACATTGAATCAAGATTGCTTATCTAAACCGCTCACACAATTTCTGGCGTTGTTTTTGAACATGAACATGAACTGTTTACAGCACACCTATAGAAAGTGAGAGTGACCAGTTGCCTCACCGACTGGCCAAGTGCCAAAGTTCATCGGACCGCGCAGTGGGGCTAGTAAGCGCACTCAGCAAATTCAAATAACCGCCGCACGACGAGAGACCATGTAGAACGAATGGGTGAAAAGGTCCTTTCCTGGAGCTTCTCTAAGGTGGCCATCTGCCTTTGCCATTAATCATAATAACTCTGGAAGTATCAGTATCAGGGTAGATAATTGATCATTCCTTTGCCTTCGGCTTGACAATACATATTTCTATTACTAAAGCATGGATTCGACTTTACTTCCCTTGCTGCAATACAAATGCAATGTGATGATGTATCAGTCCCATCTCTGGAAATCTACAAATGATAGGAGAAATTATATTAAGTGTGGATGTAAATGTTTCTTACTACTAGTAGTATTCCACTGCGTTGAGAAAGCTGGGAAGCTGATATGTAGTTGATAAGGGACCGCGGGGAAGAAGACCGCGATAAGCCAAACACGTTATTAACAAGCCAAGCTGCCCCTCTTGCCACACTCCTTTCTCTTCACTCTTCATTTTTCTTGTCTTCCTTGCTCCCAATATACCCAATTTCCTTTTACTCAAAATGTCCAATCAAGTCCGCACAATCAACCCGACCACCCACGAGGTCATTTTCGACCACCCGGGCACCTCCCTCGCCGAAGCAGCCCAGATTGCCACCGCTTCCAAGCAAGCCTTTGAATCATACCGCGCCGTCACACTCGCCGACAAGAAGAAGATCGTCACCCGTGCACTAGAGATCATTGCCTCCCGAATCGATGTTCTGGCCAAGGAGATCACCACACAAATGGGGCGACCCATCCGATACTGCGCCGGCGAAATCAAGACTGCCATTCTTCGCTCGGAGCACATGATGGACATTGCGGAACAAAGCCTGGCTGAGCTGCCTGGCAAGCCCGAGGCAAACTTCAAGCGGGTGGTAAAGCATGTGCCTGTGGGCCCGGTGCTTATTGCTGGAGCTTGGAATGTAAGGATTTCCCATTCGGATAACAAGGGGGGTTTCCTAGACCGCTAATTCCTCCGCAGTACCCATACTTGACCACTGTTAACGCCCTGATCCCTGCACTTCTCGCCGGCAACTCTGTCATTCTACGTCCATCGCCTCAGGTGCCTTTGTTTGGCAACCGACTGCTTGAGATATTCACCGAGGCCGGTTTGCCGCAAAATGTTCTGCAGGTCATCCACATTGGTAGCTTGGATGTTCTCGACCAAGTCGCTCAACTTCCCGAGATTCAGTCTGTCTCCTTTACCGGGTCTACTGCAGGTGGTATCAGACTTCGTGAAGCTACTGCACGCCAAGTCAAGCCAGTCCACCTGGAGCTTGGCGGAAATGATCCCGCATATGTGCGCCCAGATGCCGACGTGAAGGATGTGGCAGAGAACCTCGTTGACGGAGCTGTTTTCAACTCCGGCCAGAGCTGTTGCTCTATTGAACGGGTCTACGTCCACGAGAAGGTCTATGATGCTTTCATCCTTGCCGTTCAAGAAGAGCTTAAGTCGTAAGTTTCTCTCTCTCTTTTTTTTTGCTCCCTGCCATCTTTCTATAGGCAATGCTCATACTGTACAGGTATAAGCTTGGTGATCCCCAGGATGCCACTACCACCACCGGTCCTGTCATTTCAGCACCTAGCAAGGAGAAAATCCAGTCGCACATTGATGATGCCTTGTCGAAGGGCGCTGTCAATGTGACTCCGGAAAATGCTACATTTACTCTGGCTAAAACAGCTGATAAGGGCAACTGGCTTGCCCCGGTTGTTCTAACCAATGTCAACCACTCTATGATTACCATGAAGGAGGAGACTTTCGGACCCGTGATGCCGATCATGAAGGTCTCTAGTGATGACGAAGCTGTTCGTTTAATGAATGATAGTGATTACGGACTGACTGCTAGCGTGTGGACAAAGGATATTGCTGCAGGTGAGGAGTTAATCGATCGCATTGAGGCTGGCACGGTCTTTATCAATCGCTGTGACTACCCAGCTCCGGTAAGTGTCTATTCCTTTACTCTTTCATTCAGGTACCATAAGTTGACTTTTTTTTTTTGACAGGATCTCGCATGGACTGGCTGGAAAATGTCCGGACTTGGCTCTACTCTTGGACCCCGAGCATACGATGGATTCACAAAGCTGAAGAGCTACCATATTAAGGGCGTTTCTGCTTAAAACATAGATTTCTCAAAATTGCATGATGGCCGACCTAGAATTGATCGGCTGATACATAGTAGGTATGAAAGATGTAACAGATGAAACTTTCTACAATTAAATGACATTGCAATTACCTCCAGGGCAGTACCTACTTCCAATGTTGGAGCTCTCAGTGCTTACTCTACTAGTACGGTATACTGACTGTTGTTAACTATGGGCTTACTCTACTAGTACGGTATACTGACTGTTGTTAACTATGGGCTTATCACCAGTCTTATGACTCTTATCATGATTGGATCCACAGCGCGGTCCCGGACCGCGTTTCTACACCACCAACCTCCAGTTCCTCAACCAAGTCCCGAAGTCGGTGTCTGGATTGGTAGTAGATGATTGGAAATAGGATAGGGATATTTAAGACGTCATTTTATTCTGAGTACTACCTGGGCATCAATGAAAATATCCGGGGGAAATAGTATGCCTGAGTCTTACACCAAAGTCCCGACTCCCGGGAATTGGAGTGAGTCGGTGACGCTCCCCGCACTCTGATTCGCGGTGAGACCCACCACGATGATTTCACATTTCCCTTCGACATCTATCCATATCCATGGACCATATCCACCCGTCTTTCCATTCGTACCCATATGAAAAGGAAGCCTTGTGGTCAAAAAGGCTTGATATCAAACTGCAAACCATCTCGGTCCGACAGAAACTCTTTGTGGAGCTAGGTGACATCTCCGATCTGTGCTGAAATTTACTAGCATGAACCCTCCCAATGACAATTACACCATCCACAAAGTCTCACTTAAACGAACCCGCCAAGCATGTGGAACATGCCGGTAATGCTAAATTGTTGCAATCAAATGTTTTGAATCTATTAAGCTGATTTCTCTTCAGTCGCAAGAAGGCCCGTTGTCCTGGTGAGAAGCCAACATGCTCACTATGTCAGCGGTTAGGACAGCGCTGCATGTACGGGACACAGGTAGCTACCCGGAGTCAAACTCAAGCGATTCTTAATGAAAATGGAGATCATTCTGTTTCTGCAAGCTCAGATCGAGCCGAGGCTTCTGATGCACGTTTTCAAAGCATAGAGCAAAGACTGGAAGAACTAGCATCTCTCATCAAGTGCGTCACATGCGCTGGATTATTCTCAGCAACATGCAACTAATTTCCCCTTGCTAGAGAACGGCTTCCCGAGACAAGTTCTCATGCTGAACGTTTGAATGATTATTTCCCGACAACCCACGACGATATCAACCAGGGCGATTCAACCCCTAACGCTGATCAAACCGTATGCCATTCTGCGTATGAGTAGGTGCTTAACCAGTTAACCCAACCTGCTTTTTCTAACTGGTTTACCGAAGTTCCCCTCTATCTGCGCCATTGATTGGATCTGAAGTGCAGGTATATTTGAACGACTTTCATGATCAGCCCTATTGCGTCTTCTCAAAGGAATGGCTTTTGGAAAACAAAAAGGATCTCCCACCAGAGATAGTTTTCCCACTGATAGCTCTCACACGACGTCTCTCGGTGAATTTTCCAGATCCGATAGAGGGCATCCCATCAAGGAGCAGTAAATGTGCCGAGCGGGCGTGGCAGCTACTGTCGGTCAAGTATCGTGATGGCAAAACAGACCTTTCATTTCTACAAGGCACCTTTCTTGTTGCTCAGCTTGATTTTGCCGATGGCAATGTCCACCGGGGATGTGCGTCAGTCGGCCTTGGTCTGCGGGTCATCCAGTCAAATGGGCTCAATCACGGCAGGATGCTTTCTTCCCTAGACAAGTCTGAAGCAGAAGCCTGGCGCCGTATTACTTGGGCATTCTTCGTGCTTGATCGCACTTATAATGCATCGCGAAACTACTCAATATGTCTATCGGATAATCACTTCACACTTTCATTCCCCTTGACAACAATTGGTGATCATTCTCCCCGTGGGTTTTTACATGACAAATCACCGAACCACGAACAAAACGGCGACCTGGATATATTAGCTTGTCTCTTACGACTCTACTCCCTATGGGGCAAGGTAACGGAATGGGTCTTTGAACCTCTAGAGACCAGCACTCTACCCCCTTGGCATAGTGGATCTTCACTGGCAGTTCTTGAATCTGAATGGATGGAATTCGAAACACGGTTTGCGAACGTTCACAGGTACAGAAACGTGGACTTCAAACGACGCGCTCGCGAAGATCCCGATTCTCGTCAATACCTATCAACCTGGCTGTGCGTGCAGTTTCTCTTCCATTCAATTCAGTGTCTCTTACATCACCCCTTCGTGACAATGGTCAAGCTGCGGCATATGAAAGGCAACTTGTCCGCAGCGTTTCTTCAGAAATCATTTGAATCATCGTTGCTTCATTCGCGATGGATAGCAAGATTCATAAGGGAAATGACGGAGGTGGAGTTGCGTATTTGTGATCCGTTTGTTGGGTATCTTGCTGCTATTGCGGCCACTATTCAGCTCGAGCATACGGGTAACAAAAACCCCAAAATTGCTCTGTTGCTGAATAGTGAATATCGTGTTCTTGTCGGGTTCATAACGAATCTGTCCTTACAGTGGGGGAGTATGAAGGTCTTGGTAGGTTTTTTTTCCCTCTATTTCTATTGTCGATGAAAGGCATTGGGGGGAAATGCTCTAATCTTCATGTTGTGAACAGGTTCGTCGAGTAAATGAATTGGCATCTCGGCATCAGAATTATGGATCGCTGTTCTATAATCAGGATGGGTTCTCGGGTGAATTGTCTAGCATGGCAACACCCTCTAATCTTCCGAGGATGTCAGCGCAGGATGAGGCTCTTATGTGGGATATCCTCGATCTTACTTCTTGTGGCTCTGGTCCGCAAAGCATCACTAAACCGCCTGCTACTACCTCCATTGCAGCAGAAATACCGAACCTCGATACTCCAGCCCCGGGGGAAGCGGTTCTTGGGGAAGTTGAACCGGCAATTATTGATGGGGCTACAGGGGAGTGGCCTTTTGAGCATCGAGGCCTCGGACTTGGAACAGGCGTGCCGGATATTCCAGACTGGATGATCTTTGGAGACTTCATGTCGGAGCACCTTTGAATGAAGACGGGGCGGATCTCGGGGATTGTGCTAAGCGTTATTTCTTAAAGGCATGCTCTAAGAATCCACAAATCGAACGCATATGCATGGTCGTTCGAGCAACTCAAAGACACACAGACCCACCATCTTCTGAAATGAAACAATCGGAACACAAAAAATCTCCAGATGATGCTTAAACCCTCGCCTTGATATGCACCTTGACGTCCTTGGCAGGCAGGAAGGCGCCCCAGGTTTTGATGTGGGCAGGCACAATAAGGCCCTTGCCATCTGCTGAAGAAATGACCCACATGGAAACGATTGAAGCTGTAAAAGCCAAAATCGCTCGCTCGGTAAAAGCATTGTTCTTTGACGCATATAGTCCATCCGCGAACGGCCCAAGAATATCCAAGTTGGCCTCCTTTTTACCAGATGTATGATTCGTAACGATATACCGAAGTGGATCATACTGGTCTGGATTTGAAAAGCGTGTTGGGTCGTTCTGATAGACGCCATGGGGCATGAGTACTTTCACGCCCTTGCAGATCTTGTATGTGCGAGGTTCCAAGGCTTCGCCCGCGGATTCGGTAAGTGTCAAGTCGGAGTCTAGCCTCCGAAGGGAGATGCCGGCAGAGTGGAGACGGATCGTTTCGTAGTGGCAGGCCTTCAAAAGGTGGCATGTTTGTAGCATCTTTTCAATGTCAAGATCGAGTTTGGGAGGTTCATCGAATGGGAATCCGGTCTCCTGGCGACTAGGCCGAGTGGAATTGACGGCTGGGGCCATTTCCTTCTGGATATCTTTGAGCAGTTCCTCATCGGCGAAAATATGCACCAGATTCCAGAATGTCATTTTAACTATGTATTCCATAAGATCCCAGTGAAGCGATAGAGTCCCCGCCGCACTGGCTCTTGGCGACAAGCCCAATTTCTTGAAGGTTCGCATTCGCTGCTTGAATAGGTCTGACACGTCATCAAGATCTCGTAGCTCAATACCCGGATCAATCCCGTCATCCCAGGCGGCAAAGGCACGGCTAAAGACTGACATAATATGCAGGAGGCGATCTCGCGCAGCATGGCCCGAAGATACACCAGGCGATGGGGCCCACCGTTTGAATCCCGCAAACAGCGAGACAAAATTGGCATCCAGTGTCCAAAATTGCTGAAGTACACCGGGAAAAGATTCGACGAAGGCCTCCCCTAGCAAGTGCGTAGTGATATTGTGGCCCACAAAATCTCTTACGAGGGCAAATAGGTCTACCTCGCAGATTGTCGCATCCTGCTCTAGTAGAGTGACAGAGCTGTCTCGCTCCCAAGCGACCTGATCCACGAGGCTTCGGGAGAAGGTCACCAAATTGGGAACATTGCGCTGTAGCAAGCGGGTGATGGCCGCTGATGTCGCACTAATGAACTGGCCTTGGTTGATAATCGCCGAGACATCGTCACTGATCTCCTCGTTGCGATTTGAACGCAAACTACGCACCAGGCTTTGGTCACCAAAGACGTTTCGCAGAGCTTGATCAAGCACCATCATACCAGATTCCTTTTGCGACAAAACAGTTTTGATCATTGATGGTGACACCACAGTATCGTGGGTCTCGCCTTGCAGGTAGACGCCAAACACAGGCTCACCGAACGAATCCCTATGTTGGTGTTTTCGATTAGCAAAGATGAAGGAGGTATGATTGAGAATTTGTTGACCTACCTTATTGACTCGATCAGACCGACGTGATCCCACAGGAAAGATGGGCCATGCCCAAACCAAGGGAACCAGTAGGGGGCTAACCGCGTCGGTCGCACCTCTGTCGGGTCGGATTTCCGTTGGCTGCTTTGCAGACCAGTAATCACACGGGTCGCGATACACGTAAAGATCAACACCGCTAAACACATTGACCAGTCCAAGCTGGACATTGAATCTCGCACAGCCTGTATAAATACATGGGCACCAAGTCTGTATTCCATATTTCTTTTCTCTCTCTCTCTCGATTACTCCTCACGTTGACTGTCTTGAGCTTAAATGTACAAAACCAAACAACAGGTGGGAAGATCCCTTGCTTATGTCATGTTGCTCGTGCCTGAAATCCCAGGATGCAGTATCAGGCCAACGCGCAGCAATACCGCTGTTGCCTTGAATACCCCAAAAACCTGAAATTCATATACTCAATACTTAATAGTAAACACAAGGAATCTTCATTACTACTCGAGTCCTCGACCACCTCAAGGCAAGTAATTTGATGGCTCGACTTGAGATCCACGTAGTAGTGACTCTTCTAAAAAAAAAAAAAAAAAAAAAACTAGAAAAAAAATTCCACCTACTGAAATGAAGAAAAGGCTATTATGGAAATTTTGAAACAAGAAAGAGTCTTGGATTAATGACAGTAGCTGCAAGTTCAATGTCTTTCTTCCGGAGGCAACTCAACATGTAAGGCTCCTTCCGCATAAGCCCGATTCTGCTCATTCTTCTTCGCAATAAAGGATGCAATATGTTCTGGAACCTCGGCGACCTTATTCCCATCACTGGAAACGGGCTCCCCAAACATCTCCCAGACAGGAACTACGCCCGTCCAGATACGACTGGTGATGTCGGCATTGTCCGCATCCTTGCGCTCATCAGAAACCCCGCCATCTCGAATCTTACCACTGCCATCGATAACCCTAACTTTGAGAATCACCGTAGACGACATTTCCGCGCGGTCGGGTGGGACTCGGGAGTTTTCCCAGCGGTCCGCGACAACAGAGTTGGTGATTAGCTGCATAGCCCAAAGCTTCTCCTCTTCCGATGTGACCAGCTTTGCATAACCATGCAAGATCGCAGAGCGGTAGTTGTAGTTGTGAGAGTTGGGGGTGAGCGAAAGGACTATGCCATCCACTCGACTCGTGGCGATACATATTGGGAGGCCCTGTTCTGCGGACTCGGAATTACGGGCCAAATTCATTATGCGGGAGCTCACATAGCCATGGAGGTAGCACTCAAGGGGCTCATCAATAGTTGCTGATGGGTAGTCGAAAGATCCCATCTGTCCGATCATAGGAAGGATCGTGGGGAATGGGTCCTCTGGGCCAGGATTGAATGAGACATGGAGCACCTGTGATGTATTGATTATGGAATGAATTGCACCCAGATCGTATGTTGCTGGTTGAATGTCAGAAAGTATGTGACGAATGAGGGACCAAGACCATTAATGGGAAATAATATTAGTAGTTCCAAGGCGTACAGGAGACATGTATCACGTACCGCGATGTTTATACCGATTCACTGTATTCGACACTCCCTTGGGATACATCAGAGTGCGGCCCATATTGTTCCAGTGATAAATGACCTTGGGATAGTACTAATTTCGAGTCCAAAGTCGGATGGACTATTGGTTTAAATGTTTGGCAAGACTTGACGCTTTATATGCAATTTGGTATCCAGGACGAGATAGGGTAAACTTCCGACGCGCTTCCAATGGCCCTTTTGAGCATGTCCACCCGAGCGAGCTTCCCTTGTGAACAATCAGCCCTGTCAGCAACGTCTAATCCGCTTGTCATGATTGGTTCTGTCCTGGAGACTTTCAATTGGACACCTTCAAAATCTCTGATTGGGAAGATTCTATAGAAAATTGTGGTTTTATCTGCCCGCAGGGGTCGTCTAATTGGGAGTCGGCATTCTCTCCATGACGTCTCATGAAGGTTTTTATGTTTGCCGAAAATGGAATGGCTTCTCAGCGACTAAGCCTAACTCAATCATTTTTAAACAGACTTTGAAGAATTCCGAATAGTCATCGGGAGGTTCAGTGGGCAACAGCATGGGCTTTCTGAATTGGGATCTCTCCTCTTCCGCCCATTTCGTTTTCACGTTCATCATCGAGTGGCACTTCAGGCCTCAGGTTACTGCTTAAAGCCTAAGTAGCCCTTGAGAATAGAAACACAGCAGCATCCAAGCACTCGAATGACATTTGCACTTCCAATATGGCTCCTCAGAAAGGTAACAAGTGGAGCCACCTCACCACCAATCTTACCAGCACAACTCCCGGGTACCTGCATGAAATATACCACGGTGAAGCCTACGAAGTAACAACAGGTAAGCATTCAATCTTTACCTGGTAAGATGGAAGGGACTTTCCAGATTGAAAGGAACTTGATGATCTGAACTACACCCAAATCTCCAGGACCACTATATGGACACATCGAGCCCCCCTCCGCCAAAGTTATCAAAAAAGCCTCTTCTCCCCTGACATTGGATACAAGGGGAGAGAAAAGTTGGTGGGAAAGAGCTAAAACCACTTCGAAACTCACATGCATTGTCGGCTTCATTGCTTTCTGCATCTTCTTTGCATTCGTGGTGGGCGTGCCTGCCGCTTTAGCGACTCGAACTGCCAAGAGGAAAGGAGGCCGACCCAGCCCCGTACCACATCCGCCCGAGGAAACAAACGATCAGCTGATGTCTGCGTTGGACCTTCCTATGGAACCGACCATTCTTCCACGGGGGCATTCAGTAGATGGCAAAATCCCAAATACTGCTCTCTTCTCACCACAAGGATTTGTGACTGTGACAACCCTCCAGGGTTAGGTTTTTCAACTGGGGAGCGATAAAGACTGTGAATGTGAGTATGAGTTTTTCTAGGATCTTGGAAGGGCAGGTACATTGCACTGAAAGGATGGCTTGACTTGCTGCGGTGTATTTTCAAAGACATTTTGCTTGTTCAAACTCGAATATTTGGGGGTTTTTATCACTTGTATGTTCTACTCGATCCCAGAACTTTGCACATGTGAGAAGGTTAGATTAATCAATCCAAAATATTGCCATAAATGTTGCAAATGCCAGAAGTCTCAAGTTACAACATTTGAACTGTTATACTTCGAAGAGCTCGGCCACTACCGGCTAAAATGTCAGCCGATCACGAGGTACGTCATAGCCGGAGCCCGGAGCAAAGTGCGGAGAGTGAGTTCTACTAGTAACTTCTAAGCCAACTTACTACCATGTGACATTGGTAGAGAATGCAAAGATCAATTACGATATACGGGGAAAGACGTATGGTAAACAATGCCGCAGTATGTAAGCATTGGGCGGAAAAAAGAAATTGTTTATGAAAAAAAAAAAAAAAAAAAAAAAAAGAGCCCCGAAAGCCTTGCTCTTGCTGGACAAGTTCAAGTGACAAGTCACAGTTGCTTCGGCCCGCCACTCGGCACCCAAAAGTAGCTCCGGTGGCCGAGAACTTGCGTCAACCAGCGCGTCTTAAATTGCGATTCAAATCCCGTTTGTTTCCTCCTAAAGTCGTTCAATACACCCCCAAATGTCGGTTTTAAGAGTCACTACAGCTTCATTATCGCGCAAGGCGATCACCGCCGGTAGGCCGAGAGTCTACCTAGGACTGCGCTGCAGCGTAGGCCCACTACTCCCGACCGCTCGACCGACCTACTACTCAACCAGTGCGCCACGACTGTCTCTTTCTCCCAAGGTCGAACGTGGCGCTTCAAAACTGTTTAAAGATGCCGATGCTGCAGTCGCTGATATCAAGAGCGGATCGACGATCTTGAGTTCTGGCTTCGGTTTATGCGGGGTTGCTGGTGAGTGGAATGGTTTGCGGAGAAAGCTCCGAGGGACTGACATGGAGAGGGATCGACTGGACGGTTATGCTAACAGAGAGTTCTATTCTAGAAACTATTATCAACGCTATGGGCCGTCGAGGTCCCGATCAATTACATTCCTTGACGGCGGTCTCGAATAACGCTGGCTCGGCTGGCAAGGGTGGGCTCTCTACATTGTCGCAGAACGGACAGTTGAACCGGCTCATCCTGTCATATCTGGGAAATAACAAGGTATTGGAGAAAAAATATCTATCCGGCGATATTGCAATCGAGCTTTGTCCCCAGGGAACATTGGCCGAGCGACTGCGTGCCGGTGGCGCGGGTATCCCTGCCTTCTTCACCCCCACTGGAGCCCGTAAGTTACATCAGAGTTCGACCCGATCTCGATTTTGAAACTAACTCTGACTGTGGGACAGACACTTTTATCGAGGAGGGTAAGATCCCTGTGCGTATGGATGAGTCAGGCAAGGTGTTGGAATCGGGAAAGCCGCGCGAGACTCGGGAGTTCAATGGCAAGAAGTACTTGATGGAAACTGCCTTGACTGGTGATGTGGCGATTTTGCGAGCTTGGAAGGTCGATGAGGCTGGAAACTGTGTTTTCCGGTAAGCTTCCCTCCACACAGCACCTATATCTTTCTTCCTCCATGCTGACTAATATTCGCAATTCAGTTACACCACCAAGGCCTTTGGTTCCATCATGGCAAAAGCCGCTGCCCTTACCATTGTGGAAGCCGAGAACATCGTTCCTGTTGGCTCTATTGACCCCAATGATGTGGACCTGCCCGGTATCTTTGTCGATCGCATCGTGCCGGCAACCGATGAGAAGCATATTGAGAACAAGAAGCTGCGAGAGAGTGAGGCTGGCGACATGGAGGGCTCGAACAAGAGCCAGGCTCAAATTGAACGAGAAAGGATTGGCCGAAGGGCGGCTAAGGAGTTGAAGCAAGGGTTCTACGTCAACCTGGGTGTTGGTGGGTGGAGTAGTATATACTTCTTGTGAACTGTCCAGCCAACTGACATTTTCAGGTATTCCCACTCTGGCTCCCTCATTCTTACCCAAAGATATTAAGGTCTGGGTCCAATCCGAGAATGGAATCCTTGGAATGGTAAGTCGGGGAAGATGAATATCAAGAAAGTGGAATTGTAACATGATGGTGACTTACTCTCTTGTAGGGACCCTACCCGACTGAAGAGGAAGTTGATGCGTGAGTTATGTCCCTCAGTTTCTCGTGTGGTATTAATTCTAACCCATATCAGTGATATCATCAATGCCGGTAAAGAAACCGTGACCCTGATCCCAGGTGCTTCCACCTTCGACAGCACCGAGTCCTTTGGCATGATTCGCGGTGGCCACGTCGATGTCTCGATTCTGGGAGCTTTGCAAGTTAGCGCGACCGGTGATTTAGCCAACTACATGATTCCCGGCAAGGTATTAAAGGGTATGGGTGGTGCTATGGACCTCATCTCGAACCCCGACAAGACAAAGATCGTGGTTGCGACAAGCCATGTGGCGAAGGATGGATCCCCTAAGATTGTGCAGAAATGCAGTCTGCCCCTTACTGGTGCCAATGTAGTGAGCACCATCATCACCGATTTGGTAAGTCGAGCAGAATGGATTCTTTGGGCGGGTTTTGCTAACTCAAGTCCAGTGTGTCTTCCAGGTGAACCGGGCTACTGGTGAGCTCACTTTAACCGAGCTGGCTCCTGGCGTTGAAGTGGAGGAAGTTCGCAGTAAGACCGATGCCAAGTTTGCTGTTGCGGAAATACTAGAGATTATGGATTAAGATACACTAGAGTATAGAATGATGTGTATAATTGATTGAATATGATTCCTGGTAGCTATCGATAGTCCTCCGTGAAGGGTCTGTACAAGCTATCGTGATATTCCCAATTCGGCTAGAATAGCCTCGTTATGTTCTCCGACCGTTGGAACGGATCTCATCTGAGCTCCATAACCACCTTTGTCCGCTGATTTAGTAGACCCCGGTGGTAGTAAGGCTTCTACCGGGCCCGTGGGAGTTTGCACCTCAGTCCACCGGTCGCGAGCTTTAAGCTGGGCATGTTTCCAGACGCCCTGCATATCATTAACGCTCGCATTAGCGATCGACGCCCCATCAAGTAGAGAAATCGTCTGATCCGCGGTGAATGACGCAAAGGCATTGTGAATGACCTCCTTGAGCGCATCTCGATTCTGTGTCCTCAGCGAATTACTGGAGAACCTATTGTCCTTGGCCAGGTGTGGCTGAGAGAGCACGTCATTGCAGAAATTGACCCATTCCCGTTCATTTTGAATACCCAGCATGACAGATTGGCCGTCTCCTGTCTCAAAGGGTCCATATGGGTAAATGGCTGCATGCGATGCGCCCGCGGGAACTGGCCCGGGAGCGTTGTTAGAGGTGTAATACATCGGAAACCCCATCCACTCCACCATACTCTCCAACATGGAGATATCAATCCGACAGCCTTGTCCATCTTTCCCTCGTTGTAGTAGTGCGGATAGAATGTTGCTATAGGCGTACATGCCGGCGGAGATATCGGCAATGGAGATACCCACCTTTGCCGGCTCTTTGGCTGTACCGGTAACCGAGAGCATACCTGCTTCACTTTGAATGAGAAGATCATACGCCTTCTTATCGCGATAAGGACCGTCTTGGCCATATCCGGATATGTCACAGACGATCAAAGAGGGATGTTTTTCTTTCAACGCTTCGTGCGATAACCCCAATCGGGCCGATGCGCCCGGTGCCAAGTTTTGGACTAGCACGTCTGCTTGTTCCAGTAGTTTCATAAGAACGTCATGGTCATTCTTTCCCTTGAGGTCCAGTGCTAGACTCTCTTTTGATCGATTGGTCCATACAAAATGCGAGGACATGCCATTGACGCGAGTGTCATACTGGCGGGCAAAATCGCCCACCACGGGTCGTTCAACTTTGATGACACGGGCCCCTAGATCTGCCAATTGGCGTGTGCAGAAGGGAGCGGCAATAGCTTGTTCTAGGCTGACGACGGTAACACCAGCAAGAGGAGCTGGGCGGTGTGTTGAAGCTGCACTCGATTGCCATCGAAAACCAGAGGGTAATGGGGTGCGAATTTTTGATGCTGATAATCGTGCAAGGGCAGTGCGCGGGGGTGTCATGGTCAGGTAGAGAGATAGAGGACAGATGAAACAATGGCTTGTCAGGTATGTATAATAATAGCGAATGGGCATTGAGAAAGAATCACACTTGTTATATAGAGTATTGTGGAATGCGGTGGGTAATGGTTGTAGACTTGTAGTTCGGCGAGTAGGAAGCAAGTCGGCTATATGCCTTTCAGCCGAGGACTCGCCGAGCGGCAACAGCAGTAAGGCTGGATGAGGCTGAATCGTCACTGAAGCAGTGAAGACCTCAACGCTCTACCCAACGCTCTACCCAAACATCCGTTTTTCTTGTCTGCATTTTGGAAGAAGCTTTGCATTAGCGAGACTTTTCAATAATCTTTTCGTGTCAACTCGAAGACCACAATTCCAGGCGATCATCCAAATTGTCTTTGGTTTGCATTTCACATTTGTTCGGATTGCTAGGCTCGAACGCAAGATATTCAAGAATTAGAATCTCTGTCAGGTCGGGATACATGTACCACTGATACGTGACATGTGGATATAGTGGATTCCCATGGTTGTTTGAACTTGTTCCCAATTTGCTAAATAGTGAACACTGAAGCATTAGGGGAAAAGTGGGGAGGAAACACGAGAAATTGTTTACAAACTTGAAACTTGATTGATATTTTTGTATTTTGGGTTCCAAGGTTCGCCCCTTGATTCTTATATCAACGCCCATTGTCAACTTATAATCGTTACTACTAATATATACTAATTTTACTCCATATTCGATCAGCTTCATTTCAACAAACCTCCTCACTGTGGCGAAGCCCGAGAACAAAGGCCAAGAAGGGCCAAGGCACAAGGCACCTTCAAACGCACCGAACTCTCTGACTGGTCAGAGCTAAGATCTGCGTAACCATTGCCCCATTTCCCCCAGTTACAATCTTCTTGCGCATCAGAGCAAAATCCGCCAGTTTTCTTCAACCCGTTTTCCTCCAAACCATCAAACCCTCTCATTCTCTTTTTTTTTTTTTTTTTTTTTCTCCTTTTCCTTCTTCTTTTTGTGCCTTGAATCTGGACTCAAATGCTGGTCGTTGTGTGATGATTGATTTGTGACGAATATCGTTTGCGACCGCGATCCCAACCTCTTTACTCACCCGTTCGACCATTGACATGAGTGTACGATATGCAAATGACTCCTTCTGAATACGGCGGGCTGTTCAATCCACCACTGGAACACCATCTCAACCATATCCATGTCTCAGGACTCTGGAGAGTGACGACTCTTTTCTCGGGGATTCTCCTTCTGGTGGGGTATGCGATTGAATCTATCCGGGATTTAGCAGCAAAGAGTCACTAATGAAATTCTTTCTTGGTCCAGCTATCTCCTGTTGGCGGTAGTCTTCGACAACTCGGATGCAAATACTCATATCAATCACACTCCCGCTGTCGTTGCCGCTCTTTTTTTCATTGCCCTCGCCAACGTCTCCTCCTTTGGGATCGCCTTTTTTCAACGCCATCAACCGCTATTCCTTCTGCGCTCATTATTTATGTCAGTCTTTCCATCCAGATCTGATCAAGATTCAAGGGGAGGCACAAACTCACGCATTACAGGCCATTCGTGATAATTAATTTAATCGCCTTGTTCAACTTCCTTCTCAACGTCTTCGCTCGCGATCTCTTCCCTCTGTCCGCGCTCCGGGTTATCGCCATTGGTCTTACGAGTGCCTTTGCCCTGGTACATGGCGGTATAGCGATCCTAATTTACCACGAATATGAATATGATGGCAGCCCTCGAACCAATCGCGGTACACCCTTGTTGAGTGACGAGGAAATGCAGCGCCGGCAGCTTGCCCGACTGTTGGGGGATCGCTCTGCGGGGGCGCCGTCTCCCGATATTGTGAACAGCACATATCGGCTTGAAATCCCCACTTTGGAGCCCATCCAGAAAGCTTGGGCTGGAGAATTAAGCCTCCCGCCAACATCTCGGTTTCCTTCGGATCCTGAACCCCACTGGAGTAGGGTGAACCAGTCCATCATTTGAAGACTTGTGGACATGGATAAAATGCAAATTGACGCAATCGTCGCCCTCCAAGAAGACAACTCATACCCTCGATGATGACATATAGGTCATCAAATATGCCGCTTGAACCGTAAGGAGATATATACTTTTTCAGGACGAAATAATGCGGGGGGTTATGATGTAGTCCGCTACGTATTACCCTGTTCTTACTTCTCCCATGCATCGACCCTTGTTGTTCCATCTTTTGCTTCGTGTCAACGATATTATATCTGATATAGTCATGGTGGGGGGGACGAGTTATAATAATTGCTTCGGCCAATAGGATCCCGCGGCTTCAAAGCCGTGTTGATTATTGATTAAAATTCACCTACGTAAGAACGCCTTGAGCCTCGCTACCCCTACTAGGTACGATCTACCCTGGAATAAGTTAGTAGTCTCACTATTGGGCACCCGACGGTTTAAAAGACACCATGCATGGATGTGAATGTCGCTCCAAGTCAAACTAGGCTTATGGGCTGAAGCACGGTTGTGTTTGACGGTTCCAAGGCTGACGTAGACTATTGCCCAGTCCTGGAGGTGAATCCTCTAAAGCACTTGAGGTTTCAAGGTTGGAATTTAGTTTTGAGTCTCAAGTGTTCGATTGTTCGATTTGATTGCAATCTTAGAACCTTTACGAGCAAGTAACAAAAAAACTTCCCACATGCAGATCCGAAATCTTGTTGAAAAAGTCCAAAAGATTCAAACATTGATTTCCAATTCACATTTTCAATTGAAGCGTACTAATCAATAACAAATTTGAACACAAAAAGCCGCCCACCGTTTTTTCTTCCGAGAAAATGCAATGTCAAAGCCTGACCCCAAGTCTGTACTAGTAGCTTGTAAAGATAACATTTTGTTTTTCCATCACACATAATTCCTGTATACATACCGGTAGGCACTCAAACCTCAGTAGAAACTTTCTCTGTTGGCTCGCCCTGGGCTTCTGTAAGGCGTCTGTTATAATACTCCAGAACCTTTTTGCCCCACAGGTCCTTTCCCTTATACTGACTGACGTAATCTGGCCATGTTTTCATTTCCTTGGCTAGGTTTTCCAATTGTTGCATCGGTAACTGCCTGAGCGGCGTTAAATAGGTCTTCACGCCGAATACAATGGCCCCTGTGCGGGGCAATCGGCGGAAGGTCTGTCTCTCACGACGAATGATGATTTCGTCGGGCGAGGGATCACTGAGCTCCTTTTCACATAGAGAGCCAGGGCGGTATAAAATATCGTGAAGATCTTCATCTGGTCGTTTGACTTCGACAAAGTAGTTGGATCTCTCCATGGGCGAAGTTGGGGATAAACGAGCCAGGAATCTAGAATTTGGGTTAGAGGATCTTTATTCCTGATGGGTGTCAAGGCTGTGCAGACTGACTTGCTGACTGAGCATGCAACTTGTTGATGCCAAAGGGGAACCGGTGCGTGCATTTGAGTAATCGTCCACCCAATACGTTCTTCAACCGTCCATCCTGTGGGGAACAAGCTCGCGCTGGCAGCTCTATATCCCATGCCATACTTGATTAGTAGACATCCTCGGAAGATAAGCCCAAAATTGCGGAACTCACAAATAATACTCTCCATCCTCATTCATCATCAACACACTGAGATCCTCCATCGTGAGCCGAACTGCCGCCTCCAGAGCATCTGTGCCGTTGACAGTTGGCCCCTGGCCACCAATATTGAATCTCTCTTTTGTTGCCATATTTTCGATCCAGGTGTCATTCTCATAAATTGTTTTTTTGAACATGGTCGGAAAGCGCTCGGTAAGGAACTCCGAGACTACTTCCAGTGTTTCTTGACATGAAGCCAGAGATTCGGGTAGGCATCGCAAGACTTTATCCCTCTTCTCACGAAGCAAAAGATCTCTGACTCGATGTTCGTCCATATAGTTCTTATCCAGGGTAAGCCAGTTATGGGCATCTAACCTGCGGATATCCATCATGATCCGGTATCTTTCCCTGCCTCGGATAGGCTGCGCTGGGTATGGAGCCATACGATTGAGATTGGAAGGCCCTTGAGAGAAGGCATTTTGTAACGACTCCTTCTTGGAAGCTAGCCAATTGCACAGTCGTTTTTGAGATCCCACAACGAGTAGTAGGATCAGAACAGAAATCACCACTAATGAGAAGGTTGTCATACTTTTTCCATACGGCTCCTCGATATCTCGAATATGAAATCAAAAATAACTTTTTGTCACAGCAATTGAGTCTTCTATGATAGGCGAGGATTGGAAAAAGAAAAAATGAAAGGATGCTGGCTAAAAAAAAATCCAGTTGGAAGAACCCTTTACATAAATAATAGGCTTTGCCTGATGACGGACGATGATGCTACCCTAATTATGACCTGAACCAGATAGAACCAGCTGATCAGCATAAGAAAATGAAATGAAAATGAAAAAATGAAAATGAAATTAATAGAAAGGCAATAAAGAGAGAAAAAATTAATACCCAAAAATCCCAAAACTGTCCAAAATGAAATTCCAACGACGCTAGTTCCAGGCAAATAATGGATATTTGGAAGGAAAGCAGTTCCATTCCACATTCCTAATTCATATGGAACTGTTATGATACGCCCAGGGATTCCCCGCAATTTTTTTTTTTTACAAAAATAAATCATATTAGAAATTAAAAAAAAAGCCGCCTCAATTCGCCTCCAATAACAGGGCACATGATGGTTGACCCTCAGCTTGGGGTCGTCAGCGGCTCGAGTCCAGGGCTGTGCTAACAACGACAACTTACTCCACTAGTGTCTCGGGGGCTGGTGGAGATAGTGAGATAGGTCCGACTTGGGGGCCTTTCTTTTTTACAAGTACGGAATCGGCGCCTGGAGAAAATCGTCAGGGACGTGCTCAGGAGTCAGGGCCGGTGGATGGACCCAATCACTCGGCATGAAAGCCAACGATCTAGACACCAGGAATCGTCAAGTTCGCGTATAACGTCCGTGCGCGCCCCATCCTCGTGGTTGAGTTTGCCGAACAAAATCGGGAAACAAACCTCGAGACCAAGTCGTGCAACGAACCCGGATACCATCGGAGGGATACCGGTCTTACCGCAGCTGATCCAGCGTGAAGCGAGGGCCATACGCATCAGCAATAGTGATGATGATGTTTGATCTGAGTCGCGCCAAGTTTCTTTATCCCCGGCTTTCTTGGGAGGGGGGGGGACAAGGGGACCGTATACATTGTACAGCGTCAACAAATAACAATGCTGGGTTCGACTGGCTGAAACCTCGATCTACAAGTTCCCCCCCCCCCCGCACATCACACTCGTTAGAATGATCAAGTGTAGCTGAACGTGAGCCTGACGTATCACTCCGAAGCCTGTGTCTGTGTGGGGTTCCTCCCCACTCAGTAGTCAGTACCTTGACTTCCGTATGCACTGACACCAAAAACCCCCAAAATTTATAGTATCGATCTTGTTACTGCCCCTTGACGGCTGTTCAATAAGGCGATCGCCATAAAGCTCCCCTCAATCCTTGGAATTCAGTGACCTGGTCCAGATTGATATACCCTCCCCTGGTCTAAATGGGCACCTAGGGCCCGTAAGGTAGGTGTGCAGGTACACGCCTTCCCCCTTGGCGTTTTGGCGTTCATTGACAAAACCACTGGTCAACCCGGCGATCACCAGATCCAGGAAATTTCCCCTTTGGCCCAATGTCCGCTTTTTTGTCTTTTTGTCTTTTTGTCTTTTTGTCTTTTTGTCTTTTTGTCTTTTTGTCCTTTTGTCCTTTTGTGTTCTGTTCCACGGTCCGTCGGTCCCACTTTGAGTGGAGCCTCTGCAAGTTCAACCGCTGCTTTCACGCAAAGCGCGCTTGCCGCTGTAGCCCGCAAAACACCCAAAAACATCCACTTTCCCCGTTACTCTGGAGTCTGGACTTGACTGTGCAAGGGACTGGGTTTTCTTTTTCTTTCCTTTTCAATTGTTTGTGTGACATGATTGAAATATGACCCCTGAGGGGTTTCTTGTGTGGAAGATTGAAAAGGATATTGCTAGTGGGGGCGATCATTTTTAGTAAAGTAGATGACTGGTCACTGTACAATGGCTGTTTCCGGTTTAGAGGCCTGTTTTGCATGCTTGTTGGCCCTATTGGGACATTGAGACCAATTGGAAGAAGGCTCTTGCAACAATGGCATTAGATACCTTGCTCGTGGCTATACATGAATCGTGATCCTTCTTGATGACAAGGGGTATCTTGAGGTTTGAAGGCAACAGGATGTAAGCTAGGGGCTTCCACTCCGAACGGTTTTCTTTGTCTAAGCTACTAGTTCCGTCCACGTCGTTAGCCTGTACGAAGTAGCTTTATTACAAGATTCGTCATATTTTCATATTTCATATTTTCACTTTTGCTTTGTTTTTTCCCCCCGAAGCCATAACCTGTGAAATATGCCATGCTTGTCATAGTCCACTTATCTTGGCAAACGTCCACATGACCTGGATATTGATTCCGGGAATCTTTAGGCCATGATCAATGATCAATTAATTCCGAATGTTTCTAGCCTCGAATTTCCAAACATCTGAACGTTCAGATGATTAAATGTTTGCTCCTTACATGATCCCCCTTGTTTGTTTTTCTTTCTCCTTCTATTTCACCAACATATGAATACTCGAGTGCTGTCAACTTCTTGTTTTATATTTCTTTGCTTTTTTGCCTCGTTATGCGCAGCCACACCGCTTAATCCGTCGCTATTTAAACGTTTGGCTCATTCCTGATATGGTTAGTAAGGATTTCTATATGCACGGCGGAAGTCGATATAGCATTGAAATGTTTTAAAGATGGCGGTCAAATGGACATGACTTTGGAAGCAGACTTGTGAGCGTTTGGAGACCAATTGATTAAAATGTGACGTTTTCAACGACGACTTGGAACATGCCATTCGCACATTTGAAACAGGCGTGGCAAACACCTTTGTAGGTTGCTGGTGTTTGAGTATTCAATGTTCCAATCTTGAATTTGTTCGATCCTTGATCCATGATCTATGACATGGGCATATGTATGAGGTCGTTGGTTCCAGATGTCCAAGAGAAACATCTCGACTACTGTTCAATGTTACATATGTAGTAATGCCCAGAAAATCTATCTAGGTCCACGGTATTACCTACATGTAGGTATTGTCCCAGCTGTCGTTCAAAAGTTTGAGTTGCCACTTTCGTCAATTCACCAGTTGACGATTCAAAACCTCGAAACATATACACAATTCGACGTCTGGATGCTTTGGAACTGGAACTGGTAGGGTATATCAATACATATGTACCTATTGCACACATATACAACTTACGAGGACATCAATTGATGCATCCTGGATTCCTGGACGAGTTTTACTCAAGAAATTTTCATATTCGCAAAGAATTGATTAGTCCTGCTAACATTGAAGTACTCTTAGCCATGGACCCTAGATTGATCGTGTCTATAAATTTTCAAGACATAGACCAACTGCCTAATTTGGCCCAATGTTGGAGTATTTACGTACGAATCAACCAACGAAGAACAATTTTCTCGAATTTCAACGCTTGACTGGTTTGTATGGTCCAGCACGTGACCTTCAGCGGGTTAAGCCGCCGACAACAGAACACTAGTAGTAACTAGTGCAGAAGTCCAAGCTGTCAGTGACTCACGGGAATTGCTTAAAGAAATACTTTCAAACCCTTCTCACTAAGGGACACAGATTTTTTTTTTTTATCTTTTAATACATATCGTATTCAACCATCGTCATGGCTGGAAAACCTACTATTCGCCTGGCGACACCAGAGGGTGAGTTTACCACCCCCTTTTGCCGCATTCCAACGCGCAAACCGACCGTGTCCCGCTAATGGACAATCTCGAATGGGAATAGATGTCCCGCTCATCTTGCAGTTCATTCAAGAACTCGCCGACTATGAAAAGGCCCTCCACGAAGTCGAGGCCACCGAAGAGTCCCTCTTAGCCACCCTTTCCTTTCCCGGTACCCCGCCAAAGCGTGGCGCTGTCTACACGGCCCTCGTTACCTTGCCACCCACCGTTGAGAACCCCGCTCCCATCCCCGTCGGTATGGCGCTCTACTTCTACAACTATTCTACTTGGCGCTCGGCTCCGGGTATCTATCTGGAAGATCTATATGTCCAGCCAAATGCGCGTGGTCACGGATGTGGCACTTTGCTGCTGAAGTACCTGGCCAAGCAGGTGATTGAGGCGCAGGGCCGTCGGTTGGAGTGGAGCGTTCTTAAGTGGAATGAACCTAGCATTCGTTTCTATGAGCAGATCGGAGCCAAAGGAATGGAGGAGTGGATGAAGATGATGGTAGACGGTGATGCTCTGACCCAATTGGCCGAGGGTGCATAGTCCCTAGGTCCATGGGTCGGATCTCAAAAAGCATTGATTGATGGCGTCGATGAATTCAACTATAGACAGAAAGGGCATTTAGACTTGCGCATATCTCCAGTCGATATACACCTATGACCACAACATGAAATGATTGCCTCTTGTTTCACCACCACATCCGAAGCCGGGTATGCTTCCACTTCATAACCATCCCTGGCCCGTCAAGATGGAGAGATTCTTTCCGAGGTTGCCAGGCATGTGCCAATAATTCAGATACTTCGTTACTGGAGCGCGCCGCTGAGCTGTTTACTTAACGGAAGAAATCAGGGCAATGACATAAGACAATGACAATGCACCGAGCTTTCATCGATGAGGATTCAAATCATGGCAAATGACGTTCCCCAGAATGAGCGCGACATCCTTGTCACCACTGGACAGGGGTTATGATGATGCGGAAGGCATGAACACAACCCTCTTCCATACGAGTGCATAGCTAGCTACTACGTAGTAGGGAGTTTAGGGTCAATAATTGCATGCATCCATTTATAGTGAGAACAAAGCTGAAACATCGCTGAAACGAGTTGAAATATTGGAAACTGAACGGGATACGCCCCGACGAAGTGGCAAGTACGTACATACTACTAGTACTACTTCAACATCACAACCCACCTTTTTTTTCCGCCCCCAATCTGACACAGTTGTATCTTAATGCCCCCATCCCCAATCCTTTAAATACAAAATCTCGCCCCCTTCAAAGTTTGTTCCCCTTAGAAAACCCCCTTATTTGAACATTGAAAAGTCCGGATCATATGGCCATGGAGAAGAACGAGTCGAAACGAGTCACGAAGCGGATGATCCACCGCAGAGTTCGAACCGGCTGCCTCACGTGCAAGTTAGTCCATGAGGATCATTTCAAAATCTCAGACGCAAAAGGACTTTGAAGTGGCTAATCCAAGCAGAATCCGAAAGGTGAAATGTGATGAAACGCGCCCCTGCTGCACAAGATGCGAATCCACTGGGCGAAAATGCGACGGGTACCCTTCTAGCCCTTTGAACACATTGTCTCAAATCCAACCATCAACGTTCCCAGAGGCAGACAGTAGCTCTTTGCGCAGCCTGGAACGCTTCTACCACAGCCTAGAGTCGGCTTTTTGCCTGCCGCTCAACTACCTTTTTTGGTCGCGTATCGTAGCTCGAGTCATTATGGATCAACCAGCTGCTCGTGATGCCACGATCAGCCTAATGAGCCTTTATGAGAGGTCAAGTCAAAAGCCGTCGTTCTTCAAGCTGCCATATGATAATGGCTTCGCTATACGCCACTACAATCGCGCTATGAAGGAAATTCGCTCGTTGAAATCAGTTCACGCGGATCAACTCGATATAATCCTGATCTCCTGTGTGCTTTTTGCTTGCATCGAGTTTACACGGAGAGATATCAATGCCGCAATGACTCATATCAAACACGGTATTGATCTGATGAATGCCTCACAACATAGATCAAAGATAGCGGCTATCTTCCGATATATGAGCCTCACGCCTGTATTCAGCATTCAATCAATATGGGTTCTTCCTCTTATTGATCATTGCCCGCCTTATGAAACGCCGGAGACTTTACGAACGTTTACCGAGGTTCAGGGCTCAATCAATTCAATCCAGTATGATGCTGTCAAACTAGCTCGAATGAAAGGAGAATACCGTGCCTCTGAACGTCATACTGTGGACGCATTTGGCGAAATGCTACCACCTAATATTATCGAGGAGCAAAAGAGACTCAATTCAGAGGTTGAATCATTGAGAAAGAAATTCGCGGAATTCCGGGCACGACTCGCCCCTGATCCCAAATTGGAAAATATATCTTGCATTTTGCAGCTTAGATGGACCATGTTGAAGATCTGGGCCGTTTGTCTTGGAGAAAATGATGAAGTTTATGATACGTGCATGGATGATTTCGAGAGAATCCTCAATTTTGCACGGAAGTCTCAACTGCTCTCCACTACGCCAGGCTTCATGCTAGAGGTCGGACTTCTCCCATACCTCTATTTCGTTATCGTGAAATGCCGAAGCCTACAGCTTCGTCTCAGGGCATTGTCGTTGATTAAAAAAGGGTACTCTCATAACTACGATATTTTTTGGGACCCCGCGATCATTTTTGGGATGAGCAAGAAGATTTTGAGAGCTGAATATGGTTTCATAATCAATGATAGTCATGCTAGCGTTCTCGATGCGCTGCAAGACTCTCCATTCTTTGCAGACAATACTCGTCTCTGTCGCGACTTTGCAGTTTGGGAGCTTGATACTCGAATAGATTTGCCCGAGACAAAGGGGAGAGGTTTCATAATAGGGTATATTCCCACCTCAGAGGTTCTAAATGTCCCTGAGTGGAAAAGAGACCATCGGCAAGTCTCTGCATAGCGCAATGCAACAAGATAATTGGAGTCTGGAGGCATCCTGTGCATGCTTTTTATGGGGAGCTGGAATTTTCCTACCCTTTTAACAACATTGAAATTTGGATGTAACCCCAATGTATACATGCACATGCATCCACTTGGGGGAATTGTATGGAGCCTTGGAAGCTAGCAGATATGTACTATGTATGTACTTTGTCCAGGCACCCGGGGTTGGTAATGTTATTTCACGCAGCTGGCCTCCAGCACTTGAGGGCGAGAGGAACATTTGAACTTTGGAACGGAGTTCAAGGTTGGAAAGCATTGGAAGAAAGCACTCATTTTACCCTCCAGGAATGAACCTTGGAACTCCGAGGTATTATATACATACATGATGTCCAGAATCCATCCATCGCACCGCCGCTCTAGTCTCGATGGATCAAAATTGGAGCATTGGAAACTGGAATCAAGTTGGAACCGTCAACTTGATTATAAAACAAACATGAAAATATTGTTTAAATCCAGACAGAATACGACGTAATGAATCGAATCCTGGAAATGAATGAAAATGAATTCAAACTGATGGTATCCATAGATGGTGGATTGCGAAATTCATGACCCGTGATAGATACAGAGTAGGGTATAATGACTATTTGAGCATGTTCTTAGTAGTATGATACAAAAACCTTTGTGTTTTGATAGCCAACGGCATGTCTTATATGTGTGCCTTCCTACAGCACTCGGAGTCAGCCAGTCTGGAAGATCCGTTCTTGTTGGAGGGCACGTCGATGGAGGGATTTGCCGTGAAGAAGTCAGCAGGACGGATCATGAGCTGGAATATTTCAACGGGCCTTGAAATGAGAGTCAGTGCTTTGTTCATCAGAGGGGCTCCGGTGGATCGGGATATAGTTTTAGCTAGCAACTTACATGACAGGCCAATCTTCAACACGAGGATTGTGAGTGATGCCAAATGTATTCCATACCACAATATCTGTGTCTTCAACCGCATCGCCACGGCGAACAGCATCAGAGACACCGTCAACTTCGACCTGACTTTGAAGTGTGTATCGACCACCTGCGTACAGTTCGTTGTCACGGTACTTGGTAACCCAGACATGATGTTGAGCGAATTGCGCCCGGCGTGCCTGTACTGATTCTGGGTCCGCCAATAATGTCTGCGTGGCCAAGGGAATGAACTTGTATCCAACTGGGTTTCCACTGATTGGGTTTGTTTTACGAGGGTTAATCATTTTGATGGTCCGATTCAGTTGTGGTGCAGCGTCGATCCAAGAGGAACGTTTGACGGTCTCCTTGATAACCTGGTAGAAGTTTCCATTGGGGTTGGTCACTGCATTCATAGGGACTGGGTGCGACTCTTCTACCACGACGGAGTTCTTCTGTCCATCGATGGCTGGGTCGATACGCACACAGAAAATATGCTGGTGATTCTGAGCTAGGACACCACCACTGACGACATTTCCGTACTCGCTGACCTTGCCAGCATCAATGTTGACAACGTTGAGGATGCCAGTAGCACGCGACTCTACTGTGATACCACCCGCTTGATCAAACTTGTAGGCGAATATGTATTCGTAGTTGGCCAAGGTGATGATGAATTGAACGACGAACTCGCGGTGGCGAGTAACGACAGCGCGACCGGTGCGCCAGTTGGAGTGCTTCCAGCCGATGCCATTATCCTGTTCGTGAAGGCAAATGGCATTGGGCATCTTCTGGGCGGTACCGTCGGGTTGGGTCATTACTGCATCAAGGTACTTGATAACTCCGAGGCAGTCACATCCCAAAGACAAGTTGTTTGCCATGTTACCACCACCTCCGTCGCCGAAATCGAATGCTTGCTTGCGGTGGAAGGGTGGTCGGGGATCAGCATAGGGAACGGTCTAGTAAGTCACATTAGTGTCAGTAATTGTCAATCAGATTTCCAGGAATACAAACATACCATTTCACTGATCGCCAGACGATGCATGACACTGCGATCATCGTACCAGACATCGTGAATAGTAGCGCCCTCACGCGGATTGAAGGCAACACGGAAACGCCATTTTTGCCACTCCACAAGAGAGTCGTTTGTAACCCGGAAGGAGGGCCCTTCAGGTTGAACGACATTTAATGGCTTCAGATCCTTTCGTGTTCCCCCAGGAAGAAGTTCGGGGATGTATTCAGACGGTTTGCAGTGCCCGATGATATCGCGCTTAAAGGTTTGCTCCACAAGACCATCTTCCTTACCACCAGTGGCAGGTCGATCCACCCGAATGATCTGTTGTGTATGGGCATCCATAACTGGGATGACGGGAAGGGGGAACGAGTAGAAGTTGGAATCTTCATTGCCAGAGCGTTTGTCTTGGGCGAAGCACAGTGCTTGGAAGTAACGCCGGTTTTCCTCGGTATTGTCCAAGCCACCATACGGCCAAGGCTCGATCACCACCTCAAATCCCGCGGGGAGGTCAAATTCTGCGATCGCCTGCTGAAACAGAGGGGATTTCATGCACTGTTCCACCAGAGTATCGAATTCAGACAAGGTGAGCGCTGCATGATGTTGCTTGCCCACGATGTGGTGCTTGACTCGGCAGCGTGTGACCACATCGACGACGGATTCTTGGTAGGAGGGGATTCGGTCGGCGCCAATGACATCGTACTGGCACAAAGCCAGACGTAGGGGGCGAGGTGTTGTCGGACTCAAGCGACCGGCATGCTCGATGGCTAGAAATTCGAGTAACTGTCCTTTCGGAGGTTCTTGTAGGTAGATCTCGCGGAAGTCAATAATGGTGTCAGGGTGAGCGGCCCTGACAACGTCACGGGCTAAGTTGGTCTCCTCTTCGGATAGGATAGCGAGCGGGTGAAGCATGGTGAGTTGTCGTTAGCGCGTACTTACTTCATTGAGCGACCCCAGAGACATGGCTAGCTCAGCGATTTATATATAAATCCATGGGTATCGGAAAGGGCATCTCCAGGAGGGAAAGAGAGGGGGTGTCTTGGCTCGGAAAGATCGGAATGGATCCGAAAGCTCCAAGGTGTTATCCACCCCGGCTTCTTTAGCAGTCACGGGTTGTTCCGATAAGCTGCTTATCTCTGGTCATAAGACGATAAGATTCGCCTTTCATTGAGTTATCTGCTTTTTATGTATCGCCAAGATTCCGCGTAGTTCATACTATTCATACGTGTATGTGCAGATATAGTAGTAGGCTGCAGTCCGAATGTGCACGTCCAGAACGACTTCTATCTAGGCAAAGCTCTTTGAACGTTTTCCAGTCCCATTCCCGTCATTGATGTCAACGGTTTCTATGAATGTTTTTAAGGTTGCCATTCCGACATTCCATCGGCAACCCCACACTCAATATTCAAATGTTACCTAACACAAACTATACATGACCAATCAAGCCGAGATGAAAGTTGAACATGACATGGATGGTCTTTTGCCAAGAAAAAAAAGGCTAGCATTGAAGCCCTTGCTCAGGTTCCAAGCATGGAAGTAGTTCCGCAGCTTGACAAAATGCGGGGGATGTGGAGTTGACTAATTGGAAGGTCTGTGGTTAGTTATGTACATGCTAGACTGATGTGGACATAAATGCGTCAATGGTATTCAATGTTGGGCATTCCAAGAAAATTGAAGCCCTGGCCGGACGAGATAATTCCCCATTCCAAGACTTCCGAGGTCTCGATTGGCGATAATGGCCGGGAATTCCACGTCTGTCTTCGAGTTGCTTATCTTCTCTCAATGTTTAGATCAACATTAAAAAACTCATTCCGATTCCGAGCTTTTATCGTTCAGGACCCACTGTTCAGCTTGTCCAATCAGCAACGGTGGCTTTTCTCAATGCCTGCTCATTGGCTTTGATTTTCGTGACGCCTGTTCTAAAGTGACTCTGGCTTGCCTTTAAGATGGGACTGCGGAATGACCGCGCAAAGATAGATGTATGTAGTTGCCATCACTTTACATAAAATGCGGGGAAGATGTGGATCTGAAGCGATAAAACAATCCGCAAAACTGGCGCGTGTATCAGCCCTGACGATAAGCCTTAACAATTCTAGCAGACTAACCTTGGAAGCGGGTCATTGTCTAGTAGGTTATCATGGAAGTGCGGATTGAGAACCGCAATGTACTAGCCACTCCATATCTCGTATTAGTGCCGCGGTTATAAGACCAAGGGTAGTCCGAAATCTACAATCTGGGCATAGGAGAACCCTCAATTCTCTAAAATTCAACTCTTTTGGTGCACTGATGACTTCCAATATTTCGGATTTAGAAGATAAGAGCAAGCTGGCGTCTCCAGAGAAGCCTGACAGTGATGAGGAGCAGCTGGCTGCCCTCGGTCACGTACAGGAACTCCGTCGAGAATTTTCACTATGGTCCATTGTGTGTCTCCAGATCTCGTTGATGGCAACATGGGAGGCACTTTCATCTGTGGTGGGGACAGCCCTGACCAATGGCGGTGCTCCTTGTTTATTTTATAACTAGTACGTTCGCCGTTCTACGATTTTTTTTTCAAACAGAAATTATGCTTGGATTGACACCCTTTTCAGTCTCATTTCATTAGTCGGCACAATATTCGTTGTTCTTTCACTATGTGAGATTGCCGCGATTTATCCTACAGCAGGAGGTGAGGGTCCAAATTTGTCATTTTTATGATTTTCTTTCCCATTTTAGATGTTGCTCTCTCAGGTTGCTCACACTGCATGCGGATTTTAGGCCAATATCACTGGGTCCATTGTCTGAGCCCTGCATCATATCGAGCCACTGCTTCATGGTTTACCGGCTGGATTTCCATCGGTGGTCAACTCGTTCTCGCCGCTTCAGCAGCTTTTGCAGCCGGCCTACAGCTGCAAGCTCTCATCACCCTCAATAATCTCGACACCTACGTTTCGGCTAGATGGCAAGGAATGCTTTTTTACTGGCTGATCCTGGCGTACTCCACGGCGATCAATATCTGGGGGTCGAAGATTCTACCTCATACCAACACCACGGCCGGTAAGTCAGACTGTGGATATCAACGTTTTACGAGGGCTGGAAGTTGGCTGATTACGGGGCAGGCATATTGCATGTGGTAGGATTCATCGCGATTGTTTGTGTCTTGGGTGCAATGTCGACGAAACACTCGGCCCATTATGTCTTTGAGGATTTCTCTAATACCAGTGGCTGGACAAATGATGGGGTATCCTGGCTGGTTGGGTTGTTAAGCACAGTCTACCCCTTTCTTGGGTATGGCCCCATCCATCCTACCAAATGACATGTTGCAAAGCTGATGATTTTGTCTTGCAGATACGATGCCGCCTGTCATCTAAGCGAGGAACTCCCCAAGCCTTCGCGTAATGTACCCTTAGCCATGATTGGCAGCGTCGCCATTAACGGGGTAATTGGTCTTATTTATGCCATCGTGTTATTGTTCTCGCTGGGTGATCTGCAGGAGCTCCTCGAATCTCAGACCGGGTTCCCCTTCATGCAACTGTTTCTCAACGTTACGCGTTCACCGGCCGGGGCCTCCGTTATGGCACTCTGCATTACTCTGGTTGCTCTAGCTGCCAACTCTGCCGGTACAACCTCAACCAGTCGTACAGCATGGGCTTTCGCACGCGATCATGGTCTGCCTGGCTCCGGATTCTTTTCGCATGTTAACCCGACCCTCAAAGTGCCTGTGCGTATGGTTTTAGTCGTCGGATTCCTGCAGATGTTACTTGGCTTGATTTATCTTGGAAGCTCAACTGCATTTAATGCTGTCCTTTCCATGGCGATCTTGGGGATGTACGCTTCTTACTTTTCTCCAATCTTGTTCATGCTACTCTACGGTCGACGGACATCATCCTCGGTTATTGGTGGATTGGGATCAGGAATGTTTAATCTTGGATCTCGCTGGGGGCCAGTGGTTAATGTGATTGCTCTGATGTGGCTGATCCTTGCAATGGTGTTCAGTACCTTTCCTACGGTTGAACCCGTCACGCCAAACAACATGAATTATTGTGTGGTAGTGATGGTGGGCTGGGTCTTCATCGGTGCATTGTACTATTATGTTTGTGGTGGGAAGAAACGATTCTCTGGCCCGGTGGTAGAACTGGCCGAGGATATATAATTCGACATGGGGAACATTTGAAATTTCAAACATTGGAAGCTGCCTGCCAGCACTGGAGGTACATAGGCATTGATGGAACATCCTCTCCCGAGCCCCCAATCAATAAAATTAGGCACTCAAGTTGCAAGCACTGCTTGAACATCAGTGTAATTGATGATTCAATGTTTACTGTATCCATCGTGCGTAGATAGATTTTGGAACATTCAAATGAATGTACTGCATCCATAATGTGAATCGCGTTGTCTCAATGCTCAGCCAGGTGGGCAGCTGGACATCGATGTCTGGATTCTAGATGTCCAATGAAGGTTTCTTTGGACGACTTCCAGGCAAGGTTTTAACTCTGATGTCCAGATGTCCTTCCAAGCACTGGGACCTTGGAAGTAGTCTCAAAAAAAGATGGATCCAGCGCCTATGTACGGCCAGCCGGGGGAGTTGCAACTTCAATGTTGCCACTCGACCAAGCAGTGGAGAACCCACTCGGACCACTCCACTTATCTCCTATTTCCCCGAAACTCTACGAAATGCCAAGACTGGGGTATAAGTAGCAAGATGAAGACGGTATTGATGTGCGGGAATATTCCAAGTATTCCAAGTCAAATATTTCAAACACGCCGAAGAGATGTCGAATACGAAGATCATCCACGTTCCCCACTTGGGCGGAATCGATGCGGCATACCAAATGCCCAAGCAATATGATTCCGCAAAACCAACAGTGGTCCTAGTAAATGCCTTCACTGTCACGTCTGAATTATATAGAGAACAGTTCGATGATCACCACTTGTCAGCTCTATTCAATCTGGTGGCTATTGAGCTTCTTGGGCATGGCCAGACACGCACTTCGTCTGAGCACTGGACATATTGGGATACTGCGGTGATGAATCTCCAGGTTTTGGATGCCTTGGGTATTGATAGGGCCTTCGTACTGGGAACCAGCCAAGGAGGGTGGGTGACCGTTCAAATGGCCCTTCTTAGACCACACATGGTAAAGTAGTCTACTGTCTTAGACAATATTTGTATTATTTTCACTGCTAATAAACCCTCTTCTAGATTGCCGGCATCATTCCTGTGGGATCATCAATGGACTCCGAGTCAGAGCGCAGTCGAAAGCTGAAATGCTGGGATGGCGCATCGATAGTCCCGGGCTTCGCAAAGCAATGGACTAGCAACAAGCCTGTGCCAAATTTCGAGCCTGGCGATGACTATTGTGACGCACTTATCGGGGTCAGTTTCAACAAGTGCTCTGCTGAGGTTCACAAATTTTGGACCAACTCAATTAAATCAAATTATCGTGGCGAAGAAGGTCGCAAGCGGCTTCGTATGGCTGCGATAAATTTGGCAGAACGTGGACCGATGCATCTTCGACTATCAGACATTCGTTGCCCGGTTTTATGGATTCATGTTTGTAAATTCCTGTTGTGTTTATCGGGAAATGACTAATTCTTTGCAGGGCACCGATGATGCTGTTTTCTCCTTGGCCAATGCCAGGGAAGAGATTGGGCTTTTTACGCAATCTCCAGATGCGAGGGTGGTTGTGATCAATGGAGGTGCACATTTCTCCAACTGTACTCATCCTGCCGAGGTCAATCATGCAGTGATTGGGTTCGTGAATAAGTACAAGTAGATCGAGGTGGCTCTTAATTCCGTCTTGAACTTAGAAATAGCCGACCCGGATAGCCGAGTGGCAATTTGTATGATAATCCATGTCAATAAATTCTGGCCAACATTCAAGTTAAATTTTGCTGTAGAATCTTTGTTATATGAAGCAAGCTTGCCGTTAGTTTGAAAGAGTGTAACATGGAAAGCCTCTCTTTCATCGAGAGCACCGCTCCTGCGGTGGCCTCCAGCCAATCCCTAATCGTTCCATGACAAGTTTTTCTCTCGCTTCCCAGGTCTCACCTCCCTGCTCCAGGTCTACCACTTGACCGCCGGAAGTACGCTCGCGGATTCCACTGGAGTCGAATTTCCAGTCATGGGCTGTTTTTGCATATCTTCTCAGATCTCGTTGGAAAGTTGTACCTCCTGTCCAGCCAAGAATTGCACAGCCAATAGTTCTCCAGGGAGATATGATAATGTCCACTCGGTGATGTGGATTGGGATTCCGGTTTTTACCACTAGCTTCTTCATTTCCTAGGGGGTGTTGAAGATCGAAGTCTGGATCTTGCCAAACAACTAATGCTTTGTCGAGGGTATCGAAATGTTTCCCCGTCTCATCGCCTCGGAAAGGCAATGTTTGTTGCCCGCGAAGTGTTGAAGTGAGATGAAGGGAGAGGGTATGAGTAATATACTTCTCTTTCTCAAGACTCGCCACAATATCAATAATAAGGCCGCGGGTGATTTCATTCTCACGATGAGTGAGAATAACATCCACATCACCGCTTCTTTCCTTTCCTCGCCGGTAACCCCCAACCAGGATCAAGTTCACTCCACCATCCGCTTCAGGCCGTACCTCATTAGCATGGCGCCTGATAATAGCAGCAATACTTTCAGATTCAGCGCGAGAGACACCCTCTTGAAACTCCTCAAAAAACTTGACTCCAATCTGCTGGACGCGTGAGAGGGAGCTCCAGCCATGTTCTACAATATCGTCGAGGTCTCTCCAGCCACGGTGATAATAAAAATCCCGAGCAGTTTTTGCTCCAACCCCCCAAATTTTGTTGAAAGTATCGAGAACACGGAGAGCTGGATCATTCTCGAGAGCATCCGCTGCAGCGACATTCCCGTCTTCATCGGAATGACCGCAAGTACCGTGGTGTTGAAATTCTGCGAACAGATTGGCTATTTTCGCATCGCATCCAGGCAAAGCGATAACCTCGCTCGGCCGCTTGATTCGGTAAGGATATGCAGCCACAGCAGCAATCGATGTGCTATAAGCTCGTACGCCGATTTCATCAAGCGTGAGCTCCCGAATTCGACGAATGTTCACGAGCTGCGCAATGAAGTCTTCATTAGGGGGCCGCAGAGGAGCTGATCGCATGCAGGCATATAATACTTGATCACGCACCCACTCGGGCTGAGGGGGCAGTGTGATAGTTTCGTCATGCTCGGATGTGGATTGTCGGTACAGAACCGGTGGATTTCGCTGACTAGAATCATCGCCCGTGGACCAATTGGAACGTCGCCCATGGAAGGGTTCGGCGGGTGGTGGTACTGGACAACGCCAGCTGGTTCCATCTTCTCTTGCCCGTTGTATGATTTGTTTTGGTATCAAAGCTGGTGTCGCTGCCAGAATTGCTGATGGAGCGGATGACTGCTTCCATCCACGATAGACCAGAAATGAATCACGGGGAAGAGATTCACCAGCTTCAATTGAGCGATCCAGCCAGTCTAGCTTAATGACCTCAATCCTCCATGCACTATCATCAACCGCGGGTGCAACGTGCTGAGAAGTCTTACTTGAACCCTTCTCTTCATCGGACTCGTTGCACAGATCCACGATTTCTGTCACGGCACACACGGAGAACTTTCCTCTTGTGTTCTTTTGTCGTTTCAGAGCAGGCTCAACAGCAACTTCTGGTAAATTCGGCTTTGCCTTTGCAATCGCGGTGTTCTCCTCTGTCCATATTCCTCGCGACCGTAGCTCCAGCATTGCACGTTTCTTATGATCAACTCTGCCCAAAATCAAGGCCGCTTCCGCGATATCGTATGTTAAATTTCCCCCATGCTTGAGCAGCCGATCTTCACTTTGGTGCAGCTCTTCCAGAGTCATGTGAGTGGGGAGAATAAAAGTGGCAGGCTGGCCTGAGAATAGCGCGTCATGCTCCACCGCGGGGTGGGTTTGTGGGGTTGAACGTTCGATGAGATCCTCGATGCCCATATTCTCCGTTTCGCATGTGTAAGAAACAGGTTCTTGCGATCTGAACCTCATATTTAGGCAGTGTCACGTCAACATTATTGTGACGCGTGGTATTCCGGCGCATTTGGAGTCTGAAGGAAGAGGAAGATAATGTTAATTCCTGGCTTGGTTTAACTGAGCGTATGACGAACGTGGGTTGGGACAGAAGAAAATACGAAAAGCTTCATATAAGAATACGAAGATATGCCCATTGACCATCAACTTTTAGTGAGCCCCGGGCCCAGCTGTAATTCAAGAAGTTTTAGTTAACTACTAGTAGTTAAGTTACAGTGAAGTTGGGATTTTAGTCAGCGCAATCGAAGTTGGGGCTTAATCACATGACGTCATTCACTAGTGTATTACTGTACATATTAGACATCTGGGCCACAATATCGCATCAATTGATCTACAAGACGCTACAATGTAGTATGAACCATATGCGTGCTCTGGGCAAGTGTCGAGATGTCTCCAGCCCCACCAAGTGGAATGACTCCGATCGTGATTTAAATTTATATGTAAAACTTAATCCTTACTAGTCATTTCAGGACCAGCTTTCATCTGCTACAGCCTTGGAATCCACGACCTCAGAACTTGTTAAATCCGAATTCATTGGCTTATCTCAAGTTCCTGAAATCTTAGCATCTTCCCAGTTGAACTAGAGCGTTGTTCCTTCCAAGAAGGGAGTCTTGCAGATCTCAACATGCAGCTTCACGGCCACTATTAATACAGTTAGCAGTCAGCAATACTAGTAATAGTTATCCAAAGTTATGTTGACATACATTCCCAGTCAGAATATGGACATGATGCCTTGATGCATAACTTCAAATGATCCAAATAAGGTATACTTGGGCAAGTGCATGCAGTATCGGAGACACCTTTCCAACACTCTCCAACGATGGCTGCTTGTTCGTTACATACGAGCTAAAGATATCATGTCTGTAAGAAGAGAACTCCAACATTGAAGATTGAAACTTGAATGATTGAACTGAGATCACACTCATACCAAACATGGCGTCATCTTAGAAATACCGGTGGGCTCAGTGGCAACATCGACAGGGGCAGCAAACGAACATGACAAGAAGCCGACTAGTGAAGCAAGGTAGAAGATCTTCATTTTGGCAACTCGAAGCTTAGTGATTTCTTCAATTTGCAGGATGTAGGTAGAATCACCGGTAAATAAAATGATTGATGGTTTAGTACCTGGAACTTGCACTTCTATCAACCCTCTTTATACATCAAGGCCCAAGAGTTGACAGATTGGACTCTTCAACCCTGGAAAGTCACACAAAAAGATTTACAGCTATCTTAAAAGGTCCATCTGGTCAGTTATGGTGTACAAATATTTCCATCTTGACCACTGAAGATCATGATGTACCGAGTATGCGTTTTCATTAGAGATACTAGGATCTACGCATCACAGCGTCACAGATCTCTGCGTATTTCAAACTGTACTAAGACGGTTTGTGACGCCTTCAGTCGTAAGACCATCGCCCGTTGAACAACGATTGGCCAAGGCCTCCAGAGTATGCGCACCATACATTGGAAATACTCTCTCTCATTTCTTCGAAAATCAGGGAGCTGACAGGCAAGGTTACACTCGCTGAATCATTCTGATGGTAAAAAATAATGCTAATCCAATTTTGAAATAGTTAATGAGCCTTGGAACCTGCACACTCCCTGGCGATCGGCGGCGGGCTCAAATAGGTTGTTAGTTTTTTATGCAGGCTTGTGGAACGAAAATTTGGTGGCTGGAATGTAAACATGTCATCAAGTTTAGAATATAAGGGTAGTAGTAGTAAAATCACAGTAGTGATGACAAGTTGACGAAGAAATCTCATGTAGCAATTTTCATGTGACTAACAAAAGACACATAGTTTAACACGTGGAAATGTTTGCAAGAGTAGAAATTTTGCAAACATTTGAAAGTTCACTTAATACACCTTGACCTCGGGAGTCTATTATGTTGAAGGTAAATATTTGAAAGTCGATAGATTGTCAGCTTCCAAGGTTGAGTATCTTAGTGAAAATAATTTCGAACTAGTATGCATCAAGTGACTAGTAGGAGAAGGGAGTTGGAAGATTCAATCCACTTCTAAATTCATGTAATGAAAAACCATTTGAATATGCTGGCAGGCCCAATGTCCATACCTGTATAATAGGATTCCTTCAAATAATCATTTCTAGTATTAAATACCAGTCTACTACGGTCATGGAAAAATCGTCCTTTTCAACAGATTAAGGGTGACAATCTTCTCCCGAGGTCAGAGCCTGAACGTTGGAAAGATTGTGATCAGACAATCTCCTCTTCAAATTGGCGCTCCTCTGCGGTGGTAACACAAGTCGAAGCCCCTTTGATGACAGTGGCCTGTCCGTGCTCACTCGAATCATTCTCTTCTATCTGGCGACCAGTAGCAATCGTGCCCTCCTCTTGTTGAGGTACATCATCGCAGTAGAGCTCTTCATCTGTTACCATGTTGCGTCCATGACGTCGGTCCATCCATCTCCGCCACGGCTTATACAGCACAAAACTCAATCCTCCGAATATAACAAAACAGCCACAAATCCCACCACCAATAGCATCGTAATAGTCACCAGCCACTTGTACACCGTCCCAAAACTTCCCGGTAGCATTGGTGATATTGAGTATCATAGTGAGCAGTTGAATCACGCCAATGACGATGGCAACAATGACCGTTAAGACAGTCAGTACTATGGAGAAATATAGGAATGCCACAGGATCTCGGTGATTATCTGTAGATTGAGGCAATTCACTCCCACTCATATATGAAGCCGTTTCGGATACTTCACTGTCGGGTTTTTGGGCAAGGAAGTTTTCAGCGGGCTGAATATACAAGGCAAACATCAGAGCGCCATCAACGGTGTCCAAAAGACACATTCCAGCTAGAGGAAATTGTCAGTACAAAATCCTTCCAGCTGTGAGCGATTGAAAATTCCTTACCAGTAAATAAAGCAGGAAGAATCAAAATCACCCAAAATGACGTTCCCTTGGTGGCCTCGATAGATGAGATCCCGAGTAGCGCAATCTCGGATGAGGTGTCAAAACCGAGTCCGAAGAGAATTCCAAGAGGATACATTTTCCAAGGACTGAAAAAGTTTATCAGGACACTAGTGGATAAAAACAAGTTGAAATTTTTCCCTTGCAACATACCGATTGATCAGTTTGAACATTTTCTTCAAGATGGAGAACAGCGGACCTCCGCCCTCTATCTTCCAAGCTTCATCCTCTTGTCCTTCGGGCAAATTGAAAACCTTTTGCATCTGCTTGATCAGTTTGAATAAGATATACGCATTCATCAGTCCCAATAATATGAGAAAAGCTGCGCTAACGGAACTGCCAATAATTCCGCCGATTTTGCTAAAACTATCAAATTTGGATGAAACCGCGGCGGCGGTAGCTGCGACAACGATTGAGGTGATGATGACAATTCTTGAAATATATCAGTGCGGCTGTCGAGCTAGGGGGAAACTTTTCTATCGTCAAATGTTGATCACTCACGTCGAATGCCCAAGAGAAAAGAATGTTCCGACGGTGACGGGCTTTTGTCCGGTCGCCAATAATCGTCTTGTCATCAGATCGATGGCCTAGGCATGTCAGATCCTCTGAAATCAAATGCATAAATATCAGTCAGTATGACTCACAGAAATATGATCTGCATCAAAGGCATGTCTTAGCCCAAGAGAGTATGCAAGAGCCGCTGTGGACACCATGGATCTGAACGAGCGTTAATTGAGTTTATATACGTATTGGGAGGGCCCATGAAAACGTGAGACTTTTAAACATACGGATGGTAATGCTGTTTTGATGTTAGCTGCCCGCAAGTCCACTTCGTTTGCTCGTTTATTCAAGGGATAGGACTGAACATACCAACACAACTGCCGCCGCGACCCACACGATGATATTCACAAAGGCAATCAATGCAATGATTGCGATGGCTCGGAATGGAATCTTTCGAATTCCTGGCATTCGACTGTGGGAACGCTCAGCCTTACGGATCAGAGGTTGTAAGCTCCATTTCTTATGGCTGTCCAAACTGTCCAGATCTGCGGGCCTTTGATCAATCGAAGATGCCATTGTGAGATATGATCTGCGAGTTGAACTATATGCTGGTCGTTTGCGTCAAAAATACTCTCGTTGGTGGCTCACAAGTCGGAGTTGGAATCGGGCGTTGAAATTCCTGCAGAGTCTTGGTCAAATGACAAAAGCGGACGGGAATTCCACTTGTTATATCTTGCCCTCTTGGCCTTTCTCTTGGCTCTGAGATGCAACAGTTCGCCGCACAATTTTCGTTTGGTCTTATCGGCCGTTGCCTTTTTTTTTTTCCTCACGGCCTGCCAAGGTCCCCGAGAACTGTAGATCCACTTGGCGGGGAAGTTTCCCGCTACATAAAACAGAACGGAAGATGTGCAAATTAGCCAGCTGATTAAGAAAAGCCCTTTGCTCTAGGCGATTGAAGATGGCAGTGACTTGCCAAAATGACTTGACTTTAGCTAGAAACCGAAATGTCCGCTGCAGATGATTAGCAGCTACAGCGAAGAGTGTGGTGGGATGCGCACGTGATATAGCGGGGCAGCGGGCCAGCGGCGAGTACCGGTTTGAATCTTCAAAGATAGATAGTGGATTTTGTTTCTCCCTTTTATTCATTCTCCCGGTTGCTGTATGATAATTTGGCATTTGAGATCCACATCAGCGTTGCCCGAAATCGGCTTCTGATCGCCGGTCCTTGTTTGCAATCTTCAATGTTGAGCGGTATCTGTATCCCGTAAACCTCGGGGTTTAGGCAAGAGTTAAACAATTCATCTTCCCAGGTGATTTCTTCATATTTCTTCATCAATGTATGAAGTTGAAATATTCAAGATGAGTCAACTTGTGGGACATCCGGACATCTGGATAGGGATCAGCTTGTTGTACTAAGTACTAGTAGGTATTGTATCATTCTATGATAATTGATGTAAGTGACTACGTACTGACATCTGGAGGTTTGTCTGCCCACATTGATTGAATTGATACATATTCCAAGCACCGTTGAAACCTTCAAATGTTGGAATTTCCAATCAATCAATTGATGGACAGAATTAAAATTCAACATTTGAATGTTTGAACTGGTCTACCAGTCAAGTGCACATTGTGGGCCATGTCCAGATCAATTGATTGCATTCAATGTTGTTTTTACATAGCCACATCAATTATATCATCGGGTTCGAGAGGATGATCTGTTGAGTCTCATCCCGAGGGTACCAAGAATTTAATTATGTATGCTCGGTCATTTTCCGCGACCGTAGTTGGAGTATTATTATGCCATAAAAGCGACTATAGTTATATCAGGCGACCTGTCGATCGGATTTTTCACTGCTGTTCGGCCTTGCTTCGTCGCAGCCACTGACCCATGCCTGATCCTAGCCCCCGCAATCCACGCTGCTGGACCTCTCGCCGAGCAGCCCCATCAACAGCATCATCTTCTTCCCCAGTCTGACGATACCGACCGTCAGTAAAGTGAAGAGTCACCTGCATCAGCACGGCAGCCAAAATGCTGGCAATCAGAATGCCAATCATAACCAAGTTGCTCTTCCGGTACTTCTCCCTTCCCGGGGCATTGGCGTCACTCGCCCATCCGGAATACAGAGCATATGTTGTCATAATACTCCCTAGATTGCCCCAACCCGACACCACGGCGGAGGCAGCAGCCACGCCGACTTCGCCGTGACGAGGCTGGAAGATCTCCGCAGTCCACGTCATGGTGATGGGCACAGTAGGTCCGAGGCCGAATCCTACGATCAACAACCCTCCGTACCGTGGCCAGGGATTTTCATCAGATCCAGCGTAGCTGGTGAGAAGGAGACCTAGGATCTGTAACAAGGTTGGGATGGAGAAGAATAGGGCACGGTGGCGATGGAAGCGGTCGGAAAATGGGGTTACAAGCAAGATGGCGATAAGATCCATCTAAAGTCGAAGTTAGTGGGATGATCAACGTGTCTTTCTATGGGTAGAGAGACTCACAATCCAAATAGGAGCAGTCAGCAAGCTCACATCGACCCCATTCAAAGATGGGTTAATTGCCTGGATAATCAAGGTGGCGTAGAGCTGGACGCCAATACCAACTCCAACGACACCAAAGTACATGATCAACAGGGGCCATAGTCTCCAGTCCATGAACACATGAAGTAGATGACGAAAGTTCCATGCAGGCGCATGGTAGACTCGCTTCAAGTCGTGGTAATGAATGACCGCATCACGCCCTGTCAAAGCCGGGGAGCTGCGCGGTATCCACCGCATGAACCAAGCGCGCGCCGGTTCTTCTTCGCCTGGCGGGACTGGGCGATCCGGTAGCCACCAAAGCAAGGAAAATCCAAGCACAATGGTGATGACGCCCCATATGAGAAACATCCACTGGAATCCAACATATCCACGAACTCCGTCCATCTTTTGGAAGCCAGCAGAGACAAGGCCTACCACGGCTGCTGAGACCTGGGCGGCAGTAAAGTATCGACCAATTCGCTTGCCCATTCGGGATGGGGGGTAGAATAAGGTCAAATAGTAGGTCATGCCCGGCCACAATCCTGCTTCAACGATACCGAGAAGAAGGCGGAGCAAGTAGAAGCTCCAGGCTGCTTTCATAGCTACCATACATGTGCCGATCAGGCCAACACTGATGACAATGCGACTCATCCACACGTGGGGACTCAAGCGAGTCATGAGCAAGTTAGACGGTAGATCGAAAACCACGTATCCAATATAGAACAGTGCCAATGCAGTTGAGATCTGGTGAGTGTTCATGTGAAGTACAGTTCCAATATCATGGCCTGAGGCTTCATTCATTGTCTGCGCCAAGCCGACATTCGAGCGAATTGCGGAGGCCATGAAGTAGAGTACCCAGAGGGCAGGAATGATGCGCCAATCCAATTTGCTAAGGCAATATGTTAATATGGTGTTTCCAAAGTGCAGCCACGTTGACGATTTCCAAGGTTGGGGGAGGATAATTTATTACTTGTAGATTCGTTCGACATTATCGACGTTGAACTCTCCCGGGACAAGCTCATTCGCAAATGCAGACTCGGATGGATCTTGTGAACGTTCGTAGACATCTTCGGAAGCAGGCTGCTTGGGGAGGCTCGTCGCGGACTCAAATGCCTCAACGCTCATTTTGCGCTATGATGGATTGAATTGATTTTTGGTGGGGGGGTTGCGATTTTTCCTCCCCTTCCAACGCTTTCGAAGATTCCCAGGCAAGCAAGTCTGTTGCCGACGAGTACCCAGGGGAACTAGTACAAGCAATATTGAATATTGATCCGGACGTGGTGATCCAATTTTTTTTTATAGGCGTTTCAACGCTATATAGAAAAATAATCCAATGAGCGAAGCGTCTTCGCAAAAAGCTCAAATAACGTTTCGTGAGTGGACTTGATCTCGCTCAACAGCCTTTACCCGAGGTATATCGCTTATCAAATACCTGGTAGGGGGAGAAGAAAATACCCGGACAAGGTACCGTGAAATTCTGGTGTACGCGGTACACTGAAGCTCCCCCGGAAGATGGACGAGCGGGGAAATCAAGAAAATAGGGAAGAAAAAAAAAAAAAAAAAAAGGAAAAAAAAAGGAAAATCGTAGAAGGCGGAGAAAGCCGATCTGATAAAGATTGAAGAAGGGCAAAGCAGCGCTTTGTTTTTCTTGGCAATAAAAAAAAAAAAGAAAAAAGCGTATTGTGTATATAGAAGCAAGTCAAGGCACAGGATTTGAAAAGGACTAGGAATAGCGGATTTAGAAGATTGATGAGATTTCAGAAGTTTGAAAATGACTAGAACAATTGCAAATAAAAACCAACATGTTGAGGCGTTGAGGTTCTCTATTCTGGAGAGAAGCTCCGATTGTCGGGGATTGTTGATTCATCTCACCGAGCGATAACCTTAAAACTAAGGTTGAGCTGGAGTCGGGCATTTCTCGATTTGGATCACGTCACCCTTCAATTGAGCAACTGGTGGGGGTTTTCTGTTTTTTTTTCCCCCCTTTTTCTCTTCTACTTAATCAAAGGGGGTTTACCGTTTATCAAATAGGGGTCATGCACGTGGGATTGTAAGAGCCCTCAGCCAAAGCATGTCGAATCCATCTTTTTCGGATTCCCCGTTGCTTACTAAGTTTCTCCGTACTCATCGAGTCATCTTGAATTCCCAAGTCAAGGCTCACGGGATTGCTTTGGCGTTTGCTAATATTATTACTATTTCTTTCCTTTTCAAATTCGACGATGAAACCCTGCCACAATGAAACTGATGGATTCTCCCATTTCCCCATTTTTCTTGTTTCCTTTCTTTTTGATCCCTGTTCACCTGGAATACTGGAGTGATCTGCACATGTGTGCCGCAGTGTGCGGGTCATGTCCGCCGAGATGAAAGATCATCAGCATTTAACAATTGCCGAGCCCACCCGTCATGTAACCCGGTTAGTCGATAGACCGACCTCCTTTCAATTCTTCAATTCTTCAGCATGGAATCGTTTTAGTCGGATTTCCCTGTTCCCATTGAAACGTCAACCCGAGTCTATGATCCCGTCAAACACGTGACGTTACCTCCCTCTTGGGTTCAGCCATTTATCCAAGTACATTTTTTGAAATCTTCAAGTCCTCAAAAAAACTGGCAATTTTTTTTTTCTCGGAGCTTTCATGCGAATTTCCATGTTAAAATTCCCAGGTTTGGATGTCAAATACTCGACCTGGCTGACATACTGTTCATTTCGACAGTAACATTTTACGGTTCACCCCACACCCATCATCAACTCATAAATACTCAAATTATCACCTGGGCACCGTTCGGCGACAAATTTTAATGATTGCCAAGTCCTCCTAGAATCCAGCTACCTAACACAAGCATCACCATGAGAGACTCGCAACATGAGATCGATACAGAGGGACATCCTCGTTATGAACTCGGAACCCCGCTTGATGGCGAGAGCCAAGAAACCGCAGTTGAGGATGAGCCGAAGAGAACCACATCCCCCACCCATGATGCTGATCAGAAGTCAACTGCCTCCTCCGAGTACGCCTCTGATCGCATGTCACTTCTCCACGAATGCGTCTTCATCGCAACAATATGTACGGCCCAGTTCACGACGCAAGTGGGATTGACCCAAACACTGGGTATCTTGCACCAGATTGGCGACAGCTTCGGTGTTGGAAACCCCGGTGTCTTGTCTTGGTTTATAGCTGGTTACAGTTTGACGGCGGGCACTTTTATTCTCGTCGCCGGGCGCATTGGGGATCTGTTCGGTTATAAAAGGATGTTTGTCCTCGGCATGCTGTGGTTCGCTCTTTGGAGTATGATCGCAGGGCTGAGTGTCTATTCCAATCAGTACTTGTTCATTTTCGCCAGAGTTCTCCAGGGTCTCGGTCCTGCTGCTTTACTTCCAAACGGGCTTGCACTTTTGGGGGTTTCCTATCCGCCCGGCCCCAGAAAGAATATGGCATTCGCCTTATTCGGTGCCTGTGCCCCAGGTGGTGGTGTCTTTGGATTCCTTTTCTCTGGTCTGTTTGAATTAGCATGGTGGCCGTGGACGTTCTGGAGTTTTGCCATTGCGTTAGTGCTACTGGCGACTTTCAGCGCCTTGATTATCCCAACACAATGCCGTTCGCATTACCAAGATAAGGCGCTTGGAGAAAAGCTTCAAATGCTTGATATTCCAGGAGCCATCACAGGTGTTGCAGCTTTGGTCTTGTTCAACTTCGCGTGGAATCAAGGACCAGCGTACGGCTGGCAAGAACCGTATATCTACGTCTGCCTCATCCTTGGTATAATCTTTGCGGCTTGCTTCTTCTTCGTCGAGTCTCGCTGGGCCAAGATGCCGCTTGTCCCTTTCAAGGTCTTCACGGGTGATATCATCTTCGTGGTTGCATGTATCGCCTGCGGCTGGGCCTGCTTTGGCATCTGGGTCTACTATCTGACACAGTTCATCGAGGTTTTGAGAGGCGCATCTCCATTGCTACTTGCAGCTTATATTTGTCCCGTGGCCGTGTCTGGTGCATTTGCATCCGTAGCCACTGGCTTCCTGCTGCATCACGTTCGCGCAGCGTGGGTAATGACCTTTTCCCTAACCTGTTTCATGACGGGAACTATCTTGGTGGCAACAGCACCGGTGCATCGATCATACTGGGCTCAGTTGTTTGTCTGCATGCTAATCATTCCGTTTGGGATGGATACGTCATTTCCGGCTGCGACGGTTATCTTTTCGAACGCTGTTAAGAAGGAGCATCAGGGGATGGGCGCAGCTTTGATTGCTACGGTTGTCAATTATAGTATTTCGCTTGGACTGGGATTTGCCGGTACTATTGAGGTACATGTAAACCATGGTGGCACCACACCTGCTGACGTCCTTCTTGGGTATCGTGGTGCTTGGTATTTTGGTATCGGTCTCACTGGATTAGGCATTGTGTTGAGCTTGATTTTTGTTGCGAAAGGATATTGGCATAACACCAAGGAGAAAAGGATTTCAGAAGAGGTCCATTGAACGTTGTGGTAATGTTATGAAACATTTGAAAGGTGTCTAGTATGCAATAAAATAAATACAGTGGTTTGTCACTGAGCTTTAAGAGAGCACTCCGCTTTTCATGACTACTATCTTAGGTACTGCGATAGTAAGCCCACAACTTGGAAATAGAATCCTGTGTTGTAGAATAGCAACAACTATTAAAATCAAATAAAGAACAATCGCTGCCCAGGTTATCAAGTGAAAGTGGATTGACAAATTGCAGTGGGTAGTCGTTGTTGTCCCCCACCCCACAATTTCGCTCCTCCGCACCCTACTGTCAGTGACTCAGATCTGAGAGAACTCAGATCCACTCTAGCTCCACTTGTCATCAAAGGGCGTGGATCCAACTCTAAGTTTTTAATTGTGACTAACATGTCTCATCTTTCATTCCTTTCACAGATCTCACTTCGGTATCATCCATGCTGTTAGGAGAAGTGAACCATATGACCCATTCTGGTCACATGGTCCGCTCCTAGATGCTCCAGCGCGTGTGGGTTTTGTGTTGATTTCGTGTCAGGGTTAGGGTTGTAGTTAGTCTAGGGAAGTGAGAGCTTCTCTCTCCTTTCCTTCCTTCCTTCTTCCTTTCCCCTCCATCCCGCTCAGTAGAAGAATACCATCATAGTTGTTTCTTCTCCTCTTTCTCCTCCTCATTACCATTCGTTTCTCCCAGATTCTCTTTGAGGTTCTGACACATGCTAGCTGCACACTTCAAGGAATACCACTTCTCAAGTGCATAGTGCTCACTATGGCGACCACAGCTCAGACTAATACACGCATGATACCGTTGGAAACAATTGAGCCGAGTCAAGTTTCTAAAAAATGGCAGACACTCGGTTCACAAGACCCCATCCGCCACAGTCACATCCACGTTCTTTCGGGATTGACACCTGATACCCAATCTCTCTCCCTCTCTCGAGCCAGGGCGGTCATTCTAGTGATCACGCTCACTGGGATTACTTTCGTCGGTAGTATGAGTGGTGGCCTCTTGACTGTTTGTCTGCCTGGGATCGCGGCGGACTTGAATCTACCTGACAATCTTCTCCTCTGGTAAGTTATTGTATTGTTCGTTATTAGAAGACAAGCAACACAAAACGGCTGATGCGATAGGTGTTCAAAAATCAAAAGGCCCGCTTCTGTATATTCGTAAGTACCTGCTACTAAACATTTCACGTGGGAAATGGGAGCTCGCTCATTAACGAAAATTATCAGTCTTGCGAATGGATGCTGTTTGCTATTGGCGGGCTCATTGGCGGATTTTCTCGGAAACAGAATCATCAATTTGATCGGATGTTGCCTACTGACAGTGTTTGTCGTGGCTTGTAGCGTGGCGGAGACTGGTATCCAGTTGATTCTGTTCCGCGCGTTTCAAGGAATCGCAACTTCGATGTGTCTTCCAACGGCATTCAGCATCATGACAGATAGCATGCCCGCAGGCAAGCGTCGTAACATTGGATTCTCGTGTCTTGGGCTTGGCCAGCCACTTGGCTTCTCTGTTGGCCTTCTTTTGGGCGGGGTTTTCCAGGACTCTGCCCTTGGTTGGAGATTTGGCTACTATCTCTGTGCTGGGGCGACTTCCATTTTGACCGTTGTCAACTACTTCAAACTACCCAAAGATCGACCCCGAGCTGCTTTCTCATTTTGCAGATTTCAAACCGAGATCGATTGGGTAGGGATCATTATTTCGAGTGCCTGCTTGGGCATAATATCTTATCTTTTCGCGTGAGTCCGTCTTATTTCTTGGAATCCACGAATGAGTCGCATGTTAATCTTTATTTTGTCTTTCTTGCATAGCAACATTACAAATGACCCGTCCACCATCAAAAATGCCGGAAATATAACTCTTCTTTGTGTTGCTCTTGCCCTGATACCTGCTTTCTGGTGCTGGATGCAATGGCGCGAAAGATCTGGAAGACCAGCATTGATCCCAAACTCCTTGTGGAACAACACCGCATTCGCGAGTATATGTGTTATGGTTCTACTCTCCTGGGCTGTCTTGAATGGAATGGAGACAATCATGAGTCTTTTGTACGTTTCTATCAAAATCACCTTGGTGGGGGAACGCACACGCATACTGACTTCAAACAGCTTCCAGGAAGTCCAGCGGCTTTCTGCGATCCAAGCAGCTCTTCGGTTCTTACCGAACGTTATCATCGGGATAGTCATCAATCTTGGAACTGGACTATTGATTCATCGCCTTCGTGCTAATTACCTTGTGATCATCACTTCAGCTTTCTCCGCAATTTCTCCTCTCCTTATGGCTCTAATCGACCCAGATTGGTCATGGTGGTACTGTGTCTTCTGGGCTATGCTTTTAGGACCTTTATCAGCAGATGGTATTCAACTTTACTCCTGTCCAAATATTAAAACATGTCGCAACTGACGAAATATATCAAGCCATATTTACCGTCGCAAATTTGATTATTGCGGACTCCTTTTCGCCTGAGACACAGGGACTTGCGGGTGCCGTATTCAACACCATCGCTCAATTTGGAACATCTATTGGACTCACCATCTTCGCTATTATCTCGGCGAGTGTTACCGATGGCTCTTCTTACAGGAACAAGAGTTCGTCAGAAGCTCTCATGGCTGGATATCGCGCCGTCTTCTGGGCCTGTTTCGGACTCTTATTAGTTGCTATAGGCGTCAGTGTGTGCGGGCTACGTCATGTGGGAAAGGTTGGTCTTAAGCGGGAATAATGAATTGCAAAAGTCATTACATGTAGTAAGGCTCGTTTAAAAAAACTGTTATGGATGCGAATCCATACGTATCTTGCCTCAACTCTATCTAAAGGCATAGGCATGTGTCGATGACATAACGAACCAAAGGCATCCTGGAGATAAATTTCAAATGCATTTCAATGCTTCTTTTTCGGAATAGCCAGCTCTCACAGATTCAGGTCTTCAACGGTCCTAAATAATTTTCGACATGGGAGAATAAATGCAAGGTCATTTCATAGACGCCGGGGAATCGATTCAAAAAAGAAAAAAAAACCCCTCTTTTCAGTATTCAAACCAATCTGGAGGATCAAAGTCAGTTTATACATACGCCAATCTTGAAGTTTACTCAACTTGCATACTGGCTTAGCAAATGATGGAAGCTCCATCGGCATGACTGCGAGCTGTATCGACACGTGTGATCTGGCCCGTATTTGCAGTAGGAACTTTCTCCAAATCATGATCTCCACCTTCCTGGTCTTCTTCTCGCTGAAGTTCTACCTTTTCAACCTCTTTAATGTGCTTTAGCTCCTGGCAGAACTTGCTATTGGCTCTGATGCGGTCGCCATAGCGAATGAAGGTAAACGGAATGATCGATACCCCCAAGGCCAAAAATGCAATGAGGCTGCATGCCCAATGAATACCGAGCCGGCCGAACATGGGTTTCGCCGCAAGTGGCAGCACTGCTCCCAAGATACTGCGGGTGCAGCTTGCAGCAGACTGGGCACTGGCTGATAGGGTTTCGTAGGCGTCGGTCAAATAATTCAGCATCGCCATGAAAATCAAAAGGTAGCCCATTCCGAATGGAATTCCAGAAAGAAATGGGACGACCCAGGGGATACTTGTAGAAGAAGTCCATCCTACCCAGAACAGCGATATCACGTATAAAGGGCCACCGATGCAGGCCAGGGGTAGTCGACGATATTCTTCAATTTCAGCCCAGGGAGCTTTGCGAGCTTTTGCTCGAGCAAGATATCCATCATACCAGAGAAAGACGAAGCAGGCAAGTATAGCGCCTATGCCGACTGATCTTAGTGTCAGGAAACTTCTCAATACATAATTTTCAAATGGCAAACCTACTAGGCAAAAACATCAAACCAGCAACACCAGCACTCATCCCATACATATCTGTATTTGGATTAACATTCGGGGATTTCCATGCATAATATGCTGATTGGTAAGCTAACCTTGGAAGATTATGGGATATGCCTGAAAATAGAGATAGAATATGGCATAGGCCAAGGCGAGATAAAGAGATGTCAGTGATACGATTGATTCGTGGATTATCATGCGAAATGGTCGTGATATTGTAATCAGAAACGTTTGGCGAAGATCACGGCTTTCCACTTCCAGTGGGGACAGTATGTTTGGGTCTCCCGTGTCCTTTCTTAGCTTGATTGCACGTTGCTTCAAAACCACTGGTCCATAGGTCTCCGGCATAATAATAATCAAAGGCAGGGACGCACCAGAGCAGATGAGGCCAATCCAAAAGCACCATCGCCAACTCACGACGGCGACAAATCCTGAAACCCAAGGTCCTACTATGGGTCCGAAGGTAGTGCACTGTTTGGAGGTTAGACGTTCGTAAACTTTAATAAGGTGGAATCACGTACCGCCATATAATACGCCATGAGACGGCCTCTCTTGGTTGGATTATCATGCACATCGGCAAATAAGCCACCCACTGTGGCGATCGGTGCCGATGCCATCATACCATTTAAGAGGCGGAAGATCAACAAGGATGGATATGAGTTGGCCAGCGCGCATGCGAGCATGAAGATCATAAAGCCGCAGTATGCGATAAGCAAAGGGCGCCTGCGTCCAAAGTACTCAGAGCTAGGTCCCCAAAGAAGAGGACCTAGAATGTAGCCTATCAGAAATATAGAGATTGGCAAAACCAAAGCTTGCTCGTTTTGGATGTCGAACTCTGTTGCGATTTGGGGTATTGCGTTGCTACAAATTGACGAGGCAATCGTGCTGTTCATGACCTGAATATTAAATCACCACAGTGTTAATATATGATTATCCAGCTCTAAGACAGGTTTCGAATGCCTCTCACCTGCACCACACCAGCTGCAAGTACCAAAAACTTGCTAGTCTATAGTTCACATTAGAATCAGCGATACTATTTCTTGCCCAGGTATGTATTTGCAAATTCCGAATTGCGGGCCATTTGGTTCTCGCCGTACATTTTTCCAGTTTACAGGGTTGCCCGGGTCATTGGGTCCAAAAGACACGATAGTCTTGGAAGCGACGCGTCGGAAACGAGCGTATGATGGGTTTTCGTAACGTTCTTGGATAGGTTCGTGTAGAACCTCGGAATCTTGATCTGAAGGCCCAAGCGACTCACCCGAAGATAATTCTACATGCATGTTCTCTGTACTCGAGAGTTTAAGCTTGAATTGAGACTGGCAAGGTCAATGGGAAAGATGAAGAGACTTACCTGTGCTTGTGAGCGCTGTTTGCAGGTTCTCTTCCATGGGGAGAAGGTCTGCCATGGTTGATCAGGTGAGTCAAGTTCGAAGTTCAAATTGACAGAAAATAATGATGAGGTACCTACTACTAAATGAAGATCGACTCAGGTGGGATGAACGGTTACATATAAGAAATCCCAAGATGGCTTATCAAATTCAACGCAGCTCCACTTTGGCAGGGTCCCAATTAACTCATTTGGAGTACCTACTACTAACTCGGTAAGAGGCAAATAAAACATCTCCATCGTTGTGGGGTTGGATCCACAGTAACCCATGCTTTTTACATTATCTGCGCCCTAGATTCGACACGAGTCTGTGTGCGGTACGGTTATGGAAAAGAAATCATGAGAAAATTTAAGCTTAGTCGATTCAAATGCGGTAGGAGTAGTTGGTGATCAGCCATCAAATCGGCGCTTCGGCTAAGACGGCTTTCAAATGCATTGAACTTGGCACATTTCCCAGTGGCAACCAAATTTACACCAGCACCAAGGTAAGTCTGCATGTGGATTCACATCACGCTCTCAGCAAGTCTATGTGAATTGAATGTAGTAATTACGCAATCAAAGCGTTTGCTAATTGGGAGAAAAAAAGATGAAGAAGAAGAAAACCATTCACTTCTAGGATCGGAAAAATCGAACCTGCATGCGTGTTGCCCAGCATTCAAGTCATCAACCACGTCAAATGAAGGACAATTAACCAGATACTGTATACATTCTGGCAAAATAGTTTCAAAGGTGTAACCTTTCAAATATTCTGAAATCAAGATGACTTCCAGATTTCATGAGGCAAGTCAGGTTCTGAGGATGTAAACATGCTTCAACAAGATGTGTACCCTTCGGCTTTACAGACCGGTGCCGGACCGGGTCCGTAGTGAAAGTTTGACAGGCATTGAGTGTTTTGCTTGGCATCTGCGGGGAATACATTGGATTCCTGCCACTAATTGAGGATGTGATTGATCTAGCTTTGACCTCGGGACTTGTGGAGTCGGAATAGGAAGCCGAATCCGAAGATCCCCACATTCTACCCTTCAATGTTCAGGGCTCGCCCATGTTCCTGGATGACAAAGTTGCAGATATCCGGAGTATTTCCAAGGTTTCCACCCCCCCCCCCTCTCAAGTGCTCCAGGGCTAGTCTGAAGATCCTCAAACATTAGGTGCAATTGGGCAGAGAATGTACTGGTACATAGTAGATATCCCTTGTTCGTGGATTTGTCAACTGGTGCCAAGCAACATTTGAACATTCAAATGTTGAAGCGCTGGCATGTCTCTCCGCTTGCATTTCTGAATGAATCCCGACATCGGGCACCAACATTTGAAGTCGGAGATCTGACCGATTTCAATCTTCCAAGGTTTAAGCACCGGAAGGTCAGCAGCCACCTGTGCATCGATTGATGAACTTTTATATGTGCTTCTTCCATGCTGTGCCACATGCAGTTAATTGTGTTGCCAGCAATTGATGTTGTGTATATATACTCGTAGCACTGTATATCCACCTTGAGACCTCAGAAGGCCGTAGGTCAAGAAATTTGAAAGTGGGATTCAACACTGATAGCAACGAACCAATTCGTATGTTGTGGCTAGTTGATTCACTCACAAAGAACATGGAAGTCGAATATTAATCAATGTTACTAGTTACAGAACTACTATGTACTGTGTACTACTACTATATTACTAGTACTAGTTAGTGAACATAGATCAAGTGGATGCCGAGCTTTTAAGGCACAAATGAACATTACGTCAGATCAATATCCACGCTAACCCATATGCGGCTTAGCGTAACGGGGGAAAGCTGGGAAAGTTGAATCTCCATCTTCGCATTTCACCACAGCGAGATCTTATCGTGGTTCCATCAATCACCTGGGTACCATATAGTTACTCGACCATGACCCCTCCTGCCCGTGGACGGGGTACAAGCCAGCGGAGTCCGACTGTCTTGGTACGACCCTTGAAAAAAATAAGCAATTATTCCCCGGCCTGCAGCCAACTCTGAGCTAACCAATTATCTTTAGGTCACGGATTCTCGCGACCAGCAGTCAGCTTCGACACCTCGACGACGCCGATCTCCCGCCACCCGTTTCATCACAGTCGATAATGTGCTTCAATATGCTTCCGATGTACCTTCAATGCAGCAACGGCAGCCGCCTCCCATCTCGCGACCACGCCGACTGCCATCGGGCGGGTTAATGGGAAATGCTAGCGGATCCTCAGGAGGTCTGACGAATTCAGGTGGCACCATTGGCCGCCTGGCGGCCCAACCACGTCTACCCCCACGAACCACCAAGGTCAGTGAGAAGCTCGTTCTTTTGCCGGACACGGGTGGTGTTGGGGAGGAAGATACCGCCGAAGATGAGGACGATGACGCTCAAGACGATGCCGATCTTGTGGACGAAGAACTTGTGGATCGCTTGGCCAAGGCGAAACAGCTGGACCCGGAGCTGGTCAGAAGGCAGCTACTGACGCAAAAGCGACTGGGTGGTGATTTTGGCGTCGATAATGACCTTGCACCTTTACGGGCCGAGGAGGATTTACTCCGAAAGCGACGCATTGCACCCGAAAAGGCGAAGAGCTATGCCGAGCGACTACCCAAAGCTCGCCGCGCAGAGAAGCTAGCCCGTGTGACCGCTTACTGTACCGCACAGTCCTACAAAATGGGATCCTTGGCGTCATTCGTAAAAGAGTGGCATGGGGCTCGGACTAAGCTATACGACGACTGTCTCTACACCGCCTACCACCTTCCACTTCTCCCTGGTCATGAAGGATATCGTTTGCGCAGCAGTCCCGTTGTGAAATTTCCTGGGGGCAAGTCTCTTTTGGACGAGGAGATCGAACGAAATGAGCTTCGTGATCATCACGACGATTACATCGGCGAGATTGAAGAGCACTCAGTTAGAGGCCATAACCGTCCAGAGGATGAACATTATCGAGAGGCCTCTCCTCGTGATTCGGACGATCAAAGCTCGCACCAAAGCTCGCGGGATGAAAGCCAGGAAAGATTCTTGACCCACATCTCGGAAGAGGAGAGTCGCATCCAGGAAAACAACGATGAATCGGCCGTGCACTCAAATACATTCCAGAACTCCCATGGGCTAGAGTCGGAGCAAGATCAACAAACTTCCGAGATCCCTCCGCCTCGTCGTCGGCACAGTTCTGGCGATAGTCACTCCCTGTTGCGAGACCTTCCATCATCGACTGCAGGAACGCCTTCGTCATCGAGATCTCCCGCGCCGGCGCGGACTCTTTACAACGTGGCAGAGATGTTTGTCTTTGGCTACGGAGTCGTTGTGTTCTGGAACTTCACTGAGCGACAGGAAAAAGATCTGCTGGCAGATCTGGCATTTGCAACCTCATCAGCGACCGGCACGCCCATCCCACTTACCACAATGCCGTTGCATGAGGAGGATTTTGAGACGGAAGAATTTCATTTTGAGTACTCGACAGAGATCTCACGCCCTCGTGTGTATAATGACATGATCACTCTGCGCAGTGGCGACCATATGATCAAGCTTGCAATCAGTCATGGTATCGCTCAAAGTACTAAATTATGTTTCTTTGAGGAGGTCATGGCTCGTCAAATGGCAGATGCGAAGGATGTTCCTCGTCGTCTCGCCACAACCGGAAAATTGGGTATGAAACGTGAAGAGGTATTCCGAATTCTTGGCCGTCTCTTCAAGAGCCGTGTTGAAGTCAACCTTTGTATGTCATTTTCATGCTTATTTCCGCAGAATAGCGCTAACATTCGATTACTCAGCCTCTAACATGCTTGACGTTCCGAATTTCTTTTGGGAAAGCGAACCTACACTTTATCCGCTTTACCTTGCCGTTCGAGAGTACCTTGAAATCAAGCCTCGAATCCAGGTACTTAACGAACGCTGTCGAGTCTTTCTGGACCTTGCAGAGATTCTGTCTGACTCCATCGCTGACAACCGGACTTCTCGTAAGTTGTCTCTTAATTCCCCAGTTTTTAGGGTTTCCCAATTATTAATTTGGATACAGACCAAACGTGGATCATCATTGTGCTTATTGTCATTTCAATCCTTGTGACTCTCTCTGAGGCGTTTCTTCGCTTTGGCCTTCTCCATGCCCGCGAGGGTGCTGTCTCAAGCCCCACAACTATACTTGCTCGCGCCATGGGGCGTTCCATTCCGTCGCCACCTTCGGGTTGGTCTTCCACTAATTCTCCCCCTGGTTGCATCTGTCCTTCTATTGCACCCGGTGGTGGGTCGGAATTGGGTGTCGGTTCATTTTGGGGCTAGTTTAGTCGACCGTACTTTGTCCAAAGGGCCAGTCTAAGACGTTTCCGAGGTTCTGGGCAAATCTACATATATGTACACTTCATTCTTACTACATATCCTATCGAAATTGATGCGCCAGCCTAATATCACATCCATACATCGATTTCGGGAAGCCCGCTCTACCTAAAAGTAGCAATTGATATGAAGCCTATGACACAAGCCTCGTAATGCATACTGCATCCTTAATTGATTCCGTCCCGGTGACGATGCAACTCTTTCACATGCAATGTCAAAAAAAAAATTTCGAAGTTTTCATGACCTCAAGCTTTCAGCATTTCGTGCGAGTTGGAAAGTTTGAGAGGTTTGCTACTACCTACTACTAGGTATATGGCATGTGTGTTTCGCAGGTTTGTAGTAGTGAATGTTAATTGATTGAAAGATGCCCCCCCCCTCCTAGGTGCTATTTCAAAATCAAAACCGGATAAAAGAGTGGAAGCGCCAGAGCACCAGGGGTACATAGTAACTAATCGATAGGGAAATCCAACTGTGGACTCGCCGAACTAAAGAACAACCTTGGTGTGTAAGGCTTGGTCAAGGCAACGCCAAGATTCCAATGAATGAAAGCGACGCGTTCAGATCAAAGTATGAATCTACATCCATAGGCACAGCTTGCCACTGGCAGTACCGCCAGCAACCCAATTCTTGCTGCGGTGGAAAACCGCCACTGCAGGCACAGCCGTGATGCCATCGCCGCCTAGCTGAGCAAGTTGATCACCGTTGGAACTGTAAACATCAACGAATCGGTTCATGTTTCCAATGCAGAACTTTTGAATACGTGATTGTGGGTTTACTTGCCATTGGGGACGAAGACTAAACAGAAAGTTAGGTTAGTAAACATGTGCAAATGAGAGAAAAGGGGAAGTGAACGCGCACATTGTAACCCAACGTCCAGTTTGACAATTATGCCGCACGACAGTATCTGGTCGAAATTTGTCGGCAGATACTGTGTGCCCTTTTGCCCATGAAGAGATACCCTTGGGGCCCATGTCATAGATCTTGAGAGTGTCATCATAGGAGGATGTGGCGATTTGACCAGCAGCATTGAAGGCAGCGTGTGACACAGAAAGGCGGCTCTCATGCTCGGCCACGGGCTCTGGCTCATGGGAAGATAGGTTCCGCAGATCCCACAATCGCATGAAGCGATCCAAACTGGCGGTGGCAAAGAGATGCGAAGATGATGGGCACAATGTGAATCCACCAATCTTTTTTTCGGACAACTGCCAGGATGACACTGTCTTTTTGGGAGCGCGCACATCATAGCGAGAAAAGCCACCGTTGAGTGTAGTCCAATAAAGAACGTTGGAATCCTCGGATGCCATATCAATGCCTGAAATCGCCTCGTCGATGTTGGTAGACTCTGGTCCGTATTTCTCAACTGACACGGTTTTTTCCAGATCTAATTCGCGAATAGAGCTGTCGTAGCTAGCCGTGTATAACGATGTTGGCTTTGATGGGTGAATCGTCATCGAGCAGATCGTGCGAGTGTGGATCTTGAGTGTGGTGAGAACAGGGTCGGGATCATCTTCGTCTTCGTCTTCATCGTCTTCTTGCTTCGCCTCGGGTTTTTCTTGTGAGGCATCGAGAATACCAAGATGTCCCATCTTATCACCAGCAAACACTAAAGGTTTTGATTCGGAAGGGTGGAATGTCATGGTATACACACGCTCGGGAGTGATTTTGATCCCTGCACATACCGCATCGCACGTGTAAGCTAAAGTTGCTAGAAGACTTTGAGGTGATTGATAGCAGGGGATTGAACATACTTTGTGGATCCCATTTGTCCCACAGCTTCAGTCCATTCATTTCCTCACGAATGGCCTTGAGTTCCTTATCCGTCGTCTTCTCGATGTCCTCGTCCCCGAATGTGCGCAAGTATGGCTCCGCAACGCCCTTGTTGACTACATCGATTCCAATCAGGCTTTCACCACTGAGCTTTTGGCCAGCAATAAACATGTCATTTTGCGTAAATGAATCAGTCCGCCTAACCTTCTTCGCACGCTCAACTTCTTTGGCTGCCTCGTATTGCTCTTCGGCTTTGCGCTTGGCAACTTCGCTATCAGCAGCTAGTCCCTGGAGACGTGATGATTGTCGTCGTGGAGCAGGGGAGTCCTCCTCCTTTACACGCTTGGGTGCAGGTCGCTTCTTATTTTTAGCGTTTCCATTCCGGCTTGATGTTCCCGGGCTTGCAAATTTCCCCGCCGGCTGTGTGAGCTGTAGATCTTTGAGAAGAGCTTTCTGTTCGGCGATATTGGCTTGTCGCTGTCGTTCGATTTCCGACAATTCATTCGGTGTATTAATCCCCATTCTGAAAAAAAAAAAGAAGAAGACCGGCCGTGATTGTGAAGAGACGTAGTGACGCAGGTACAATACGATACGCGGATACAAAACGCGACATGAAACGCGAGGTCAGGTGACCGTTTTAGGGGAAAACCTATCAAGCATTGAACTTCAATTTTTTTGTGAACAATCAAAAAAAGAGACAATCCCAGTCATACCTCAGCACTTAGCCGTTAACTCTTATCCGATGGCAATTAATCTTTCACGAATATACTTCCTCTCAGAAAAGACATCATCCGCCGCATTCCTGTACCAGACTCAGACCCTGTCGCATATATCTCGCCTATCCTCAGTGCCTCCCCGAACCCACCGATACTATTCTATACAACATAATGGGTCGGGTAGTGAAAGAGAAGGTCATGGATATTCAGAAGCCCTAAGCCAGCAGGACCTAAATGATACCACGAAACCATCATCCCAGGATCTTACACAACGGCGCACCAGCTTTTTGCGCCATCGAGGTGCTTCTGTCCCTGAGATGAAGGCTAAAAAGAATAAGCAATCGCCTCCCAAACCGAAGTTAAGGACCATCACCAGGAACGAACGGGAGGCTTTCGGGGGCCTCATGACCAGATTGAAATATGCCCAGAGCCACCAGAGCGCACCGCTTGAGGGCTCTGACCCGGATACAATACCAAATCCGGATGATCTCACAGCCATCATGAGTGTTTTTGAATCAATTCTGGAGGACAACAAGGTTGGGTCGAAGCAAATCCAAACTACCAAGAAGATCAAAGACAGCATGCCAACCGACACGCGGGAGCAAGATCTTGTTCGCGAACTGGATGTGCGGGACGAAGCATTCTCTGAAGTGGAGGAGGTTCGCCTGAGTGACCTCGATCTTGAAAACCACAGCGCAAGCACCGATATAGATACCGTTATCACCATGAGCGAGGCAATCAATATCATTGTTGAGCGAGAGTCGAAGAGGATTGAATCCGAGCTTTTCCAAGCTGTGGAGGATGGCAAAGGTGATTCGGGTCTTTGGGCTGTGTGTAGGCAAAGAATCTTCACCATGATAAGTCATATAGGAGGTCCTAAGGCGGCCTCTGCTGAAAATACCACCGAGAACGGTTCTTTCAGCACAGTGGCTGATATCCCTCCCACGTCGCCTTCACCTGGTCCATTGAACATCCCGCCCACGGTTCCACCTGGACCTGTAGTTGCGAAGCTCTACCCAAAACTTCTTCTTCTTGCGTTTCGAATCCTCACCACCCATTTCCCGGAATCTCATTTGATTAGCCAATTTCGAACTGCGGCCAAGGCCCAAGGCCGCTCATCCGCCTTCCTGGGGACTTCCGAGACTCTTTGCGATGAATTAATGGCCTTTTACTGGCACAGGTGCAACGATCTTCCCGCGGTGGTATCATTCCTACGCGATATGGACAACGCGGGGCTTGATCCAAGTGGCCGCGTACGCAAGCTTCTACGAGACATCGTCCGTCAACACGACCTAGACATGAAATCGCGCAAGAGGGCCGGGGGAGAATATTTTTGGGATGCCCCGCCAAATAAGAGGGCCTTTCAGGAACTTGCAGGATCTGGTGGTTGGATCGAAACGATCGACTCCCGGAGGCGTCAGCGGCGTCGCACTGCCATCCCTGTCCCGAGGATGTGATCAAGCCCTTAAAATCGGTAGCTTATGTAATATTGACCCTCTTCTTGTAGATATCAACATAATCCATATATATACATGGGAAACTAATACAATTGATAATCAAACCCTGATCAACATCGATGCCATTTCAACATTGAAGGTTCCAAGGTTGTTTGTTCCTCGAAGGTTCTACTGGAACCTTTCCTCATAGATTTGTAGTTGGTTATTGATTGGAAGACTGAAAAGCCTCTATCAACATTGATGTAATTGACTGGAAGAATGGCCCATGCCTACCATCAATCATATCCATTCAATCAATGTTCAAATGCATGGCCCAGACCGTCCGGACTCTATACTACACATAAGTAAAGAAAGGCCAATACAATACTTATAGGGTCTGCACTCTCTAGCCACCGGGTTCAATGTTCACTCAGTTGAGTGCTCCATCCACATGTGCATGTCCCTGAGCTCAATCTTCAAATGGTTGTCGGACTGAAATCGGCATTCAGGCCGAATATTCCGCCGATTACATAACCCGGTATGACGCCAGATCGTGTCCCCGCACGTTATCTCCCGTTGTTTCTTTTCCTTTCTGTACAATTCGTTTTTATTTTCTTTTTCTTTTTGCGATTGGAGTTGTTTTGTTTCTCTATGAACCGTCTCAGAACTAGTGTCCGATCAATTCAGCTATTATCCACATTCTCGACTCCGCTCTCCGAACCTTGGCCGTCAACAAGCTTCAACCGGTTCGCTCAAGCAACTAATCCAATATCCATTCGACGCAGTATGGCTTCCGCGATGGCAAAGCGCCTGGAGGGCAAGACTGTTCTAGTGACCGGTGCATCGTCTGGCATCGGAAAGAGCACTGCGAAGGAGTTTGCGCGCACTTCGCCGAAGAACCTAAAGCTGATCCTGACAGCGCGTCGCATCGATGCCTTGAAGGAAGTTGCTGCGGAGATTAATGCGGAAGTGGGTGATGGTGTACAGGTGCTTGCCGTGAAGCTGGATGTCAGCAACCCGGACGAAATCAAAAACTTTGTGCCATCACTGCCAGACGAGTTCAAGGATATCGACGTCCTTGTTAACAATGCGTGAGTCATCATCCATACTCCCCACCTTAAAGGAGATCAAGTTGAAGAAGACACTAACATAGAATGCCACAAAAGTGGACTTGTCAAGGGTGTTGCTCAGGCGCCCAACATCGCGACCGAAGACATCAATGTGATGTTTAACACCAATGTCACCGGTCTGATCCACATGACCCAGGCAATCCTTCCAATCTTCAAGAGCCGATCGGAGGGTGGCCGTGGCGATATTATCAACATTGGCAGTATTGCTGGCCGTGAACCCTACCCTGGTGGCGGTATTTACTGTGCTACCAAGGCTGCGGTTCGATCCTTCACAGACTCGCTTCGGAGGGAGCTCATTGCGACTAGAATCCGCGTCATTGAGATTGACCCGGGTCAGGTTGAGACGGTATGTATCTGCGCTAGAACCTTCTTTGCAATTTCCTGACGTGGGGATAGGAATTCTCCGTTGTTCGGTTCTACGGAGATAAGTCCAAGGCCGATGCTGTGTACCAGTAAGTTTTGGATCACATAGTGCTACATGCATCACTATGGGCAAGTAACTCACTAACAAACTGCAGGGGCGTTGAGCCATTGACTGGCGATGATATTGCGGAGGTTGTGGTCTTTGCTGCTGGCCGACGAGAGAATGTCGTAATTGCCGATACACTAATTTACCCTAGCCATCAGGTAAGTTGGACCCGTTTACCTTTCCTGACTACATGTATCTTGAAGCTGATTAAATTAGGCGGGTGCTGGTGCCATGCACCGTAAGTCATAATCCCTCCATGGTCATTGAAAGGCAGGAAGGACATCAAAACGTTAGATCATGCTAGTACATAAGTAACTGGTTGATACGAACCATGAATCGAGGATTGGAATAAGACCCATAAGAAGCAGAATATGGTAGTTGCTCAGGCCTCAATTCATTCAACATTTGAAATTACCAGTTGAGCCCGAGGAATTATCCCGAGGACTCTTTCCATAAAGCCCGTCACGCATACATATCCGGACCTACACCCACATGGTCTATTCAATGTTATGTAGGTGGCTAGGACTAGTTTGGGGCCGGCCCTCAGAATGAATTCATGTCTTGAAGATTGGCAACCGGTACCTAGTGCTAATAGGTAACATGGATTGGAAGATCTTTGTGAGTTTTAGAATCATATCATTCTGTCCAAAATTCAGGTAGCTTGGTTTCCGCCCTCAACTTGACAGTCTAACCAGCACTGGCTTTTTAGCCTTGCTTCCTACAGACAAGTTGGTTATATCGGGGTTGAAATTGGTATCGGTGACTACTAGTACAAATCAGCATGGTGTACGCGGGGGTAAAATTACATGCGGGGGAAAGTTTTGCTAGAGAGTTCCACTTTCCAACCACACAACAATTGGACAAACTCCCGGTAACGATGCGTTGGGTATTGTTACAGTCCGTGGAAACTTTTTTTTTCACACTCCATTTTCTAATAGCACTTCATGCATTCATTCGACATGTAAGGACAAAAAAGAAGGGGGGGGGGGGGGGGGAAACAAGCTAATTCCACTGATAGTTACATCAAAAAGACTGCCTTTTATCATCGACATCGGCTCTCGGCAGTCCATGACGTTCTCATCCTGAGTAATTCCACAATTTCCACAATTTCCCCCAAATCAAGCATTTCACCGCCCAATTCAGACCCGCAAATCAGCGAATCCGGAGGTGGAGCCGACTCAGCCGAGCACTCCAAGTCTCCTATAGAGAGTCAACATTATAATTTATCACATATGCAGCGAAGCAACCCCTAAACTTTATACGCTGCCCAAAACCATTGAACTAACTTTCTATTCACTCCTTTGGGAAAGTCCTTGCCCACATCGTTCTTTTCTGGTTTCGCAATCATGTCCGACCATGTCATCCCTAGCTCTATATCAACATCTCCACCTCGACCCGCCTCCCCTTCTCCTGATTCTGTCTTCTCCGTCTGGTGGGATGGACTGGCAAACTGGTGGAATCTGAATACTTCTTCAAGTTCCTATTCACAGCTACCCCAGGCTTCTGATCAGCAGTCCCCTGAGCTGGAGTTTGAGACACAGGATCCATCTATTGAGGCAATGCGGTCATCCAGAGCCCGCTGGCGGACTTATTGGCTTGCCGCAGTCCTATGCTGTGGTGGAGCATTGTTCGGATATGATTCTGGGGTCATTGGTGTGTACTTGGATATCGCCAGGGGTGCAATTTTGTGTCTTCTACTTCCCCTTTGTCTAACCTCCCCCAGGCGGTGTCCTTACTTTTGACTCGTTTCAACAATCGTTCGAATTCACTGCCGATCAAAAGACCCGGATCAGTGCCGTTGCGGTTGGTATTCAGCAAGCTGGTGCATTGGCTGGCTGCTTTATAGTGTGGCCAGTGACCAACCGATGGGGCAGGCGGATTGCTATGATGATCAGTTCCGTGATATTCTGTGTTGGTGTGATCTTGGAGGTCATCGACACCCACTCTCTAGCAGCATTCTACGTTGGACGCGTCATCTGCGGTCTTGGGGTTGGCGCGTCTGCTACCGTCATTCCAATTTACTTGTCCGAGATGAGCCCCAAGGAGATTCGTGGTCAACTTGGTAGCTGCTACCAATTGACTTATACAATTGGCATCTTGGTATCTTACTGGATTGACTATGGCGTAGAGAAAATGCCGTCCAGTGCCAAACAGTGGCAGCTGCCGATAGGTTTGCAGCTTGTTCCAGGTGCTATGATGGGCCTGGGCATGTTCACTCTCCACGAGAGCGTGCGCTGGCTCTTAGCACATGAAAAGACTGCAGAGGCATGGCAAAGTCTTGTGTGGATCCGTGCTGGTGATCATGCCGCAGTGCGAGAGGAATTCGAGGACATGCAGCGTGGCCTTGAAGAGGAACGCCATGTTACGGCTGGCTTCCACCCACGCGAACTGCTAGAAACGCCTAATTTGCACCGACTCTTGATCGGTGGTGGACTCTTTCTGGCGCAGCAGTCGACCGGCTCGACCGCACTTGCCTACTTCGGCCCCCAAATTTTCTCTCTTGTAGTTGGTCCTGGTGACAAGAATCTCCTACTGACCGGCATCTTCGGTGCGGTCAAGGTACTTGCCTGTTTGATTTTTGTGATATTCATGTCCGACCGCTTCGGACGTCGACCAGTGTTGGCTGGCGGAGCAGCCTTCATGGCTGTGTGTATGCTGGCTACTGCTGCCGTTGTCAAGAGTTATCCACCGCAAGGCGGAGTGATGTCATCCGCGGGCATTGGCACGGTTGCTTTGATATATCTCGATATCATTGCTTACAACTTCAGCTGGGGTCCTCTACCCTGGCCATGCACCAGCGAGATTTTCCCCACCCGGATCCGCGAACCGGGTGTGGCATTTGGCGTTGGCTCACAATGGCTGTTTAATTTTATTTGGAGCTTCTCCACTCCCTACATCATGGCAGGGATTGGTTGGGCAACCTTCCTCCTATTTGGTCTGCTGGATATCCTCATTTTGGCCTTCACCTATTTCTGTCTCAAGGAGACTGCTGGAAAGACTCTGGAGGAGATCAATGAGCTTTTTGATGGTGTCGATCTTGATGCTGAGCAAGGATGGAAGGATGCGGGGACAATGGAGAATACTACCGCAGAGGCTCCTGGGTTTGGAATTTATCAGGATGAGACTGCGTCCGCAAACACCGCCATGTCTGACCAAGATAAAAATGGCACCAGGCACTTTGAGTCAACCGCAGGCCGGGCTTGACTACATTCAACTTGAGTACTTCTCCTGAGGTCCTCGGGGTCAGACTTCCAGAGTTGTGAGGTCCATATCCATTCAAACGAAATTCAAAGTCCACATGTGCAAGCTTTATATTTCAAGTTTGATACCTAATATTGATGTATACATGTAGGTACTGTTGATGTAATTACATACAGTATGAATAGGAAAAAGTGCCTAGGCATATATATGGGTATCCGATTTGATTCTATGTCCTGTTTCTATCAGAATCCCTATTCCATGTGTGCGTGCATATATTTCTCATATTTTCATTTTCATTGTCTTGAACAAAGTCCTTAAAGGATCACCTTGTGATCAGCAGGCTGCTCCTCGGGCTCGCCGAATAGGTTGACGTTCCAGCGAGGCTTGTCTGGAAAGAAGTTAGCGGATGAAAGGCCTCATTTATATGTGAGCTTAGGGTGGGGCACATACTAGCAGTGTAAGGGGTGTTGTAGCGTTTGCGATCATTGCCCAGAACGTTGACCTTGGCGACCTCCTCAGCAGTGAGCTCGACCTCCTTGAAGTTGTCCTGAATACGCGAGGGGGTAATGGACTTGGGAATGACGCTGTGGCCTCCAACCTGGGACCAGGCAAGGCTTTGAAAAAACAGAAGGGTTAGCTATAAGCACAATGATCATGCATCGAAAGGGACGTACATAACGTGAGCACCAGTGACGGCGGTACCGGTGCGCTTGGCAACAGACTCAGCGACCTCCTTCACCTCTGGGCGGGTGATCAAGAGGGGAATGTTAAGCATGTTGTTACCGAAGGCGGAGTAAGCAGTAACGTGAATACCCTTCTTCTGGCAGTACTCGATAAGATCGGGGCTTTGCAAGACTGGGTGACGCTCGATCTGATTGGCGGCAGGCACAACGCCAGTACCGTTAATAATAGCCTCGAGCTATTCAAAACATCAGTATAGATCGCGGGCTGAGCAGAGCTGGGAAAGTTGACGAACGTGAGGAATGGTATGGTTGGAAACACCGACGGCCCGAGCCTTGCTCTTGGGGAGCTTGGTCATGGCTATAAAAGAAAGCCCGAGTTAGTTCATCAAGCTCGCGAGTGTAAACTTTGCTTTCCTTTTTTTCTCTTTCATTGGACTTACCCTTCCAAGTGTCAACAATGGACACACCATCGTCAATGACAACATCGCCACCTTCTACGGTGCTGCCAGCGACAAGAGGGAAGTAACTGTTACCCTTCTGGAAAGCAACGGGCCAGTGAACGAGGTAGAGCTTATTAGGTCAGCCCAAAGTCCCATGTATATCTATCCTTGAATTTTTTGACCTACATCAAGGTAATCCAGCTCCAACTCAGCAAGGCAGCCGTCCAGGGAAGCCTCAACGACCTCGGGGCGGTGCTGGCTGTTCCACAGCTTGGAGGTCTATGGAGATAAGAGATATTAGCAAGGCAGACGTTATAAAAAGATACCACAAACACTAACAATGAAGAGGTCCTCGCGCTTCAGACCGGGGATATCCTGGTAGGCGCGCTTGATACCGGCGGCAACCTCACGCTGGTTCTGGTAGCTAAGCAAGAAGGGGACGGTCAGTTCATTCTCCGACATTGCAATTGAGGAAGGGAATGCATCCTACATAGTGGCCAAATCCTATGGCAGAGAAGTGCGTTAGAATTATGATCAATTGCACTCGTATTTTCTTGTTCTCTTTCAAGATTACGTGTGGGGGGGGGGGGGGGGGGGGGGAGAAAACTCATACCAGGTGGCGGTAACCAGCCTTGAGGGCCTCATAGACGGCCTCACCAACTTGGCCGGGGGCAGATTGCCAGGTGCCAAATCCCAACTGGCTGTGAAAAATGTTAGTTGTTGTTGTTTTTTTTTTCACATATTTTGCCAATGATTGTATCCATACGGAATCTGAGCGCCGGTGTTAAGAGTGACCTTCTTGCCGAGAGACATTTTGAATATAATTTAGGCAAAATTTGAGACAATCGAAAATTGGAGTGGAATTGAGAAGAGATTAACAAAACAGAAAGGAGCCCACGGGGTTTAATAGACAACAAGTACATACCCCGGTCCCCGGCCATCCCACGCTTTTGCCCCTCTTGCCCAATGCCCACTCTGCCCCTCCCTTGGAGTCCGGACCAGACCCCACCGAGAGGGGGAAGATCGGCAAGTTTTCAGAACTTCTCCATTGAACTAGATGCAGAATGGGAGTTGATTCTAAAGCTTTTGTGGTATGCAGCACCAGGGCTGTACCTACTACTAGGTATTAATCGATGATTGCCTGGGTATGGTTCAACCGGAGAGTTTCTAGTGCATTGCATCAATGTTGGAATTCACCTTAACACGCTTCCTTTTGAATCATGTCCACCTATTCAATATTCAACCTGGCCAAAATTCCTGTTGTCGGGCACCCAATCTGGGATGGTATGGTGCATGTCCATTCTTTTATTCCTCCAATCAATTCCAAGATAGCTGGTAAGTGATCTCATATGCTCATACGTTGTACCCCTCGGACTAACACCGGCCCCATCGGCTCGATCGCTCCGACACCTCGCATCGTCTCCGGGGTATTTTACGGTTGCTGTGTACCGATCGGCTCACGACAGGACCCTCGTTGGTGACACCATCGCCTTTCTTCCCCTCAGTCCGCCTTGATGTGGGCAAGCTTGGAGCTTTGTAAACACTGGAAGTGGGGAAAGCAATTCATGTTTAAATGATAAATCATAAATGCTTGAGCCCTTTTCACTTTCCATCACATGATATTCCATCGCTTTGGAGACCAAGAGAGACAGAGAGACAGAGAGAGAGAGAGAGAGAGAGCTCTTTTCTTCGCACCACAAACACCCACTGCAAACCTCCCCCGTAAAATTGAACTCTTATTGAATCGAATGTCGCGATTGGGCGATACCTACTTTTCGAGTTTTTTTGATATAATTAGGATCGTCATTCGTCGATGACTCGGAATCTTGCGCAACAACGGCGGGTCTTTGATGATATGTATATTCATGCTTCCCCGTCCAAACGACAGCAACATTTGAACCGGGCAAACACTTACACATATGCATGCATGTAGTACTCTACCTGTACTGAAAATTGGCAGGCACAGTACATAGGTAGTAGTAGTATAGTATGAATCAATGATCGCCTAACTTGGAATATGCGCAACTCCAAACATTGAAGAGTTGACGCAATGCGTCTTCGCAGTTTTCGAGCACTTGAGATGTATTTCCAACATTGAAGGTTGAATTCAGGCCCCATTGAGTCCCTCATCTTGTAACGCACACATGATGTGATACCTCTCATTTGAATGCCTAGTACTGATAGCGCCGGTGGCAAGAATGGCAGTCAACTGGTAAATAGGCGGGGAAAGCAACACACAACTTCTCCGCCCGCACAGAACAAACAGGCCACTTTCTGCACTTTCTCTCCACCCCAACTCCCCTTTCCCAACACCATTTCCCTCGCCATGTCACACTACGCCCGCGTTGAGGAGCTGTCCGACTCCGACCCCGATGAGGTCGCTCCCTCGGAGCCCCTTCCTAGTGACTCCATTATTGCGCCCGTCTCCGCCCCAGCTAGGAACCCAAGCCCACCCATGCCGCAAATGCAAATGCCTCAAATGCCTCAAATGCCCCAGATGCCGGAAGCTCAACCCCAGCGCGAGATCCCCAGGCACTACCAATGCCTTTACCCCGTCTATTTTGATAAGACTCGCTCTCGCGCCGAGGGTCGCAAAGTCGGATCACAGCTTGCGGTGGAGAACCCGCTGGCTCGAGACATTGTGGATGCAGTACAGATGCTGGGGTTGAAAGCTGGCCTGGAGCCCGAAAAGCTGCACCCAAAGGATTGGGCAAACCCGGGCCGAGTCCGCGTCCTTCTGAAAGATGAGAATGGCCGCTTGGTGAACTCCAACATCAAGAATAGTACGTTGTTCAGATTCGCATCAACAGACAATGACTCGCTCAGAGGTTTCCCAAGGCAATTGGACCGACCGCTAATTATCATTTATCCACAGAGCACCATCTTTTCATCATCGTTGCACAGTATCTCAAAGCCCACCCGACCAACGAACAATCCCCGTACCGACTCCGCATTCGTGGCTTGCCGATGCCCGAAAAACTCCCCGAGGCACCCCAGGCACCCCGGGGCTGGAAAATCGGAACCATCTTGCCCATTCATTCACCGGCATACAGCGGGGGTGGTGTCAGTGACAACCCATTCAAAGAGGCAATGGCCGAGTTGCAGAACATGCAGGGGATGCCCGGTATGCCTTCGATCCCTGGAATGCCTGGCATGTCTGGTGAAGCCGCAGGAGTCGATTCGGACAAGAAAAAGAAGGATAAAAAGAAAGGCAAGGCATGAAGTGGGCATTTCCTCACTTTGTCTTTCGTGGTTTCCACTTGCATTGCACGGCGACGGGCGTTTTCTTTCTTTTCTCCTTTTCATACAATCCAGGATACACAACTTCTTGATAACTGGGGCCTGGGACGGTGAATGTCCGGAGTGTGAGCGACGGGCTCAGCAGAATGTGTGTGGCCATGTAGTGGGCTCTACTCAGGTACTATGAACAACACTCGGTCTCTTGTGACACAAAGGTCATGGGACTTTATTCTACCAATAAACCGAAATTATCCAATGGAATATTATAAGAATATCCCCTTTATCTTGAAAGGTGTCCCTCTACGGGATTTGACACACAAACATTTGAACAGGACCTCGGATCTTGTACAGCCGTTGGCTACAGACCGACAGGAAAGTTTCGGGTTGACAACCGGTACAAAGCATCCAGATATCAGGAATTAAGAAAGGACATGATGGCATTCCTGAGTCACCAGGTAACATTTGAAAGGTACCCCAGGTCTAAAATAAACATTCTTGGAGGAAGATAAAGAGATAATTGACAGAAAAACGATCAGCTATGTATACTAGTAAGTATCCACATGTGCAGCATAATACCCTTGATTCCCAAACAAAGAGAACATAAGGTTCTATGGGCATGAAAAACATTGATAGTCACATGAAGTCAATGGCTCTGAAGGAATCAAAGATATCAATTGAACTCTCATACATCAAAGGTGCAGTATAAATCCCGTCCCACTCCCTACTAGTAACCTCGGAACACAATTCCCATCCATTTAGATCATACACAGTCTCAGAACCAACACTCCACTTTTCGCAAACCATTACAGTACTACGGAAATACGACAGACTTCAATATTTCTCACTGCATGTGGGAACTGGCATGTTTTGGCACAAAACCCCAAAGCAAAGCAATCCTGACGTGACTCAGGATATATTGCAACTCATTCAACACGAGATGACAGTACAATTTTCTTCTTTCTATACATACCCGGAGAGAGTTCCACCATTTCAAACACAGATCCTGGCCGATCTTCGAGCGCTGAAGGGAATGTGGACACCGCCAAGCACCTTGACTGTCGCTCCTGTTGCCTGGAAATACCAAATCAACAAGTGTCCAGGGTGCATGTTGGCACGCATCATATCCAAGAAGGCGACACTTAGAGATCTACGAATCATGCTAGGAAGCCGCGCCGAAAATCGCAACAATCATAATTTACCTGGACTGATGGTATTTATTGATGACTGCATCAATCAATTTGGACATGATGAAGCAAGGCATATTTTTCATGGTGTGAGTAACATGTCACAGGGAATAAAAGGCGCTCACAGTGCTTGCATTGATGTCCCACTATCAACCCCAGATCCAGAAACAAGACTCGGAGGTAATGGTAGCACTAGTATATGCGAAAAGCCCTGTCACGGGGGCTCATTTTTAGGCGACGAGATAGGCCAACTCAGAAGACTAACACCGATACCCCTGGTATCACAGGCGTATTCTCAGCCTCAAGATGAAGAACAAGGTGATGGAACTTGGGGGGAAATCCCTAGGCAAATCGATGAAATGTTTGAGCTATATAGGGGAATTGGCTCAGGAAATCCTTACGATGACAATACAGTAACTTCACAAGCGATGGTTGCCCCGCTGAATATTTTCAACAAATCTGCCCGAGCGAATGGTATATTCAAGAGAGATGGAATCTTTGGATGTCCAAGGGAGTTCAGTTTATTCGCTTTTTTTGGAAGATCCCAGTGATACGACAAAAATCTCGGCGATGTTCAACATGCACCACTGTTGTGCTTGACAGAGATTTCGGCAAGTTCGAATAAAAGGAATCACCTAGGCAGATCCATGGATCAGATTTTGCACTGCACTTATCGGAATTTCATTTGAAGGTTCCCCCTATCCTTCAAACTTATACCCATGAACCTTGGGACTAGGTAGCATAATATTATGTCTCTTGTACAGCTACTTAGATATTTGCACTGTAAATATATTTAGTGTTCGCAGCTATCTCAATAGAATCCATGACTAATAGACGAATTTATAAATGAAATATTTACAGTCAATCAGTAGGGCTTCTAGAAGATAAGTGCAAGCTGCTATGGAGCTAAATCGATGTCTTTAAGTGTTAAAATACCTTGAATGTATCAGTTTCATACCTAGTAAGCACTCGCCAGTTACTTCAAGTTAGTATTCAAATGAAAATGAACTAAGACATAGCGTATCCCCCTAATTTACTACATTCATCATCTATGATATGATAGTATAGTATAATTCATGAATGTTAACTGGTGGAATCCATCTAATATCACCACTCAAGACGATCATCATACACAAGATTCACATCAAACCTCTGGTCTCCTTTCCAAACTTTAGGACCGGAATTAGAATTGGCAACAATATTCCGCAAATCGCTGATCATATCACCAGGTCCACTAGCAAACACAGTTGTTGGACCTTGGACCGTATCTTCCAAGAATTCATTGACCAAGTTTACCAAATCGGGGTGATTGCGACCTGCATTCTGTTTCATATGCAATTCATTGACCGTTGGAGAGTTTCCAGAATTGCAGTGGCTCAGAGGAGTATCAGGGTTGGGAACGCTGGTAGCCTTGTCGCCAACCTCCGACGTGGTAATTTTGTAGTCCGTGTGGTCGCTGATGAGATAAGTTTCAATACTAGCGTCTCGCGTGGCGAATATCTTGATATGGAGATTCAATCTTTTGCGGGCCCTTTGCAGGATGTCCAATTCTGATGCAATCCAGGCAGTATTGCAGCTATGGCGAATAGCCCAAATAAGTTCAATCTTTCGATTTGGCGGAGAGGGTTGCCGTACAAGTTCAAGCAGAATGGGAAGCACATATGTGATTCCAGTGCCACCAGCAATACACATAATGTTCGTGCTCGGGGTGAATGCTCCTGTGATACTGTCGCCATATGCGCCAGTTAAAATGACCGGGGTGGTAAGGTGACCATTTTCAGCATGCAAAGCGATCTTCTTGGTTTCGCCACTTTTTGCTCGAATCAGGTAAGAATGCTTTACTTTGCCCTTTTCCCACATCGGTGCATTGAGAGGAGTAAATGGATGGGATTGCCAGATGCTACACTGCGTAAAACAAAGATAATAGTGCTGGCCAACGGCCCACAGGTCCTGTTTATTTTCAAAATCCAACCGCACCACCTCTCCATGCTCCTGATCCGGAAACCGAGTGATGGCTGCATCTGCGGCGCTGAAAGCCAGTAGCCCGGGGTGATCAGGACGGTAGTGTAATATCGCCGTGCGAACGAGACGAGCGCCTCGGTCCAGGAACCAGAAGATTAATGACGGTAAAAGGAAGCATTTCAATTGTTTCCAGTGGCCCCAGCATGCACCAATATAGACCGTCGCAAGGACGTAGTGAAGTTTACGAAAGGTCTCATATCCTGTGAGCCTGATGCACCGGGGTGTACTCAGTACAAAGAGGAGAAGAAGCAATATCATGGCGACAATTCCCCAGACCATGTATTTCTGCGTAATCCACTCTATACTGACGGACGGTTGTGGCTGGTATAGCCTCAACTCCACTATACACCAGCCCACTGTGTGAAGAGAGCTCTGCACAAAGATGATGTAACCCAGCCAACGGTGCATGAAGTTGAAGCTCTGATATGGCAAGCCAGTGATCAGTGAAAGAAAAGACTCTCGGGTGCTCATAATGACAGAAAGTGGGGTGAGAGCAAAGGCTAGAATGCCAATACGGTCTGCCCAGGGTCCAATGCTGCTGCGGGTCTGAAAAAGGCCAGGTTTGCCCGATACAGGAGTGATCCACGTATTATAGGAAATGCCAACAAAGCTGAATACCAGGAGATATGTGACCAAAAAGGCGAGAATGAGAACCTGAAGGCGTGTTGTTCGTCCAAATACTGCGTGGGCAGCATCAGGCAGGAGATACTGGCGGGAGAAAGACGCGAAGGTTTGTTGAACCCTGCGAAGCCTCGGTACTTCGGATGTAGCCCTAATTGAAGGGGTGGCCGTTTTGCTCACCTGGTGAAAGATAGCCCAAACGAGGGAAATCCCACCGATAACACACCACATGATGCCAGAGTATAGAACTCCCTGGTCGTGGGATGTGTAAACCACGTCTAGGTAAGCACAAGTACCAGCATCGCTGGTACATGGCAAGGCGCGGTCCGCATACCCCCAATGTGGCTCTAATTTTGAGGCAGCGCTGAAGTTCTGGATGTGGCGAGTGTTGAGCTTCGCGAGGGGCATGGTGTCGGCGAGTATTGTGGTGTAAGTAGTATGGAAACAATACAAAGCTGAGATCGGGAAGGAGCGGACCAGAATGTGAATGAGTGGACGCGGAACCAAGCAGAATACCAGGTTGATCCAGTCTTTTTGTTTTGTGCGACAAGATCATGAATCTGGGTCAGGTCACCGTATAACGGTCGTTCTTGTCGACTTTTATTCAGTGTGACTGAAAGGCTTCCATGGCAAATTGCATTTATGCGGAATCTAAGAAGCGACATTTGTCAATTAAATCCAATGAGGTTATTTGAGCACATTTATCAGACTCCATGATTATTCCCCCCAGTCACCAATGATCCACTTGGGCTGCGCTGTGTGGGTGCTGAAACTTGGCAAGATCCCAACACTGCTATAACTTCCGACAAGGTCACAACCGGACCCTTATAACACAGAGACATCCACAGACATGCCCATCCATTCATTGCACGTGGCAGATTTTTCCATTATCGGCCAACATGGATATGACATCAAGTGACAATGACAGCATGCAGTGCAAAGTTTCCGTAAGTGCCAAGGCAAATCTCTTGGCTGGAGCGAGCGGTTCGCTCATGATTTCGCCAATTCTAGATGATGTTCAACTTCTACACAATCAACGCGTGTTTCCTGTCCACAGGTTGGAAGATCGAGAATGACGGAACATTCGCTGCCACCTGCATCGGGGTCGTTTTGCTCGTGGTTCTGGTGGACTTCTGTCGACGCGTCGGACGCGAATACGACAACTTCTTAACCCGTCAGTTCCAGCGCCAAGCTCTGAACGGAAGCTTTGCCAAGACTTCCACTCGCCACGACTCCGCCATCACATATCGGGTGACACCATTACAGCAGTTGACTCGAGCTATCATTCATGCAGTGACATTTGCCGGAGCATACATGATCATGCTCTTGGCAATGTACTTCAACGTGTATCTCATCATCTGCATTTTTATTGGGGCCGGACTGGGCAAGTTCCTATGTGATTGGATGGTAGTCACCATTGGCGTTGATAACCTTCAAGAAGCACCGCTGATCGGTGGGACAGCCACGTGTTGTGATTGATTGGGCATACACATTGATAGAGCGACCTTATAACCTTGAAATCTTCATTTCATTGTTTGAATACTTGTTCCCATTATAGTTTCAATGTTCGTCTTTTCAAAACATTTGAATGTTATCAATTTATAGCATTCAATGTTGCTCTTCGCTCCTATTCCCCTCACCCATGTCATCCGTTCCAATCAATTGATGTTATTGTATCTAATATCGGTAACAGGTATTTTCAGACGCTACCTACTACTGGGTTATGTAACTCGGCCATGAGACGGTCTCAAAAGCGCTGTCCGCGTGCGGTAAATCGATACATAAGTGAAAGTGAACATTCAATGTTTGAAGCATGGATAGATATGTAAAGAAAAGTAAATTGGGGTTCTACAACTTTCCCAGTATAGAAATATGATTATTTCAAATGTTGGTATAGACTTCCTAAGTAATTTTCAAAGGTTAAGAGATCGCACGCAGTCGTATATTATAGGATATATAAGCTGCAGAGATCAGGGATTTATTGAAAAGAAAAGAGGAAAATAGCCAAACCAAGTGTCAACAGACTACCTGGGAGAACTTTCGATGCGGTGTTGGAAACAACAAGTGTAGAGGTTGGCTTGGGTGGAGGATTTGCGGGCGCGGTGGGAGTCTCATTACTTGAAGTAGTAGATTTCTCCACCTTCACCGTCATAAAAGATGATGTGCACGTGCTATGGGGCCAGGGAGATGACGAAGTACCGGACTTGTTGATTGGGTTGCCAGTCACCAGGCTCACCACGGTAGTAGAAGCATCAGCGCTCGTACTAAAGGCCACTTGTGGGACGGTGACGGTCTGGGATGACCAGGTAACGGTCGTACAAGGTGGCTCTGGTCCGGAGGTGTTTGAGACAATAGCATCCGTAGGGGATGGCCCGTCGGTGACATGGTCAAGTGGGAGACTGGTTGACCTTGTGCTGGTTGGAACAAGACTGATAATAGCAGGGTTCGTAGGAATATAAGAGGCGCAGATACCAGCGAAGTAAGACAATGCCGAATCAGTTTGTTGTTGAGAGCTACTCCAGGCGTACACACAGGACTTGAACTTTGCAGTGAACTCTGACGAAGGGCAGAAACATGCTGCATCGCTGTTGGAGTCACATTTGGGGATAGAGAGCCAGGTGTTTAAGCACTTGGGAACCAAATCTGGACAAGGTGGAGTAGTCGACAAGCTCGGTACGACCGAGGTGGTAAGAGCTGGAGGAGCGACTGTGTGTGTAAACTCCTTGACAGAATCCGTGGCTGTGTTGGACTGGATGGACGTAGTAACAGAGGCAGGAGCATGGTCAGGGCAGTCTGTGACAGTGGGAGAACAACGAGTAACAGTAACAACGTCGGTAATCACCACGACCGAGGGAGTAAACACTAGGGGTGAGCTGGTAGAGATGGCCACTTCCACAGTGTCGGTCGAGGACTTGGATGATGGAACTATACGTGTCGATGTAGGTATTTGAGGGGTAGAACTGGTGGTTTCAGACGAAGTGATGACAAGCGGTCCTGCAGGCTTTGGTCCAGGAGCACAATCAAAGCCCATCTGGTGTAATTCAAGATCGAGATCACCAAATTGGTCCAGCACGGAGAGTTGAAAGTTGACGGAGACTGCGCCACCGCATTGGTCATTGACAATGTCACTTCCCTCGGGGGTAGTCGAGGCCACTTGATGGCAGGAGGAGCCATCTGCCAAAGCGTAGGTCAAGATGATATCTGCGTTCCGCGATGTGGTAATGTGGAAATTGCTGACCGAGAACGGAGCCTGCTCAGCGTCGATCTGCAAATCCCAATCATCATCTCGGGAAAGTCTTCCCTCGATGCATTGACCCTTTTCAATATTAGCTTGCGTAGTCTAGATAGTAGACTGTATGTGTACTCACTCCGGAGGCCCTGCATCCATCCTTGGGGGTGAATCCGTTGAAGCTGAAGCCTTCATAACTCCAATTGTCCCCATTGGCCAGGTCTGACCAATCGAAGCCTGACTCTTGTGCCACCGAGCAATGATTGTCGGTATTTTCGGGACTCGGATAGCAGAAATCGGTACCCCACCACTGATAGGTATTAGCAATATTTCAAGATGTCAACGATTCTGGTGTATACAGTTGTATATCCGGAAAGGGGAGCAGCTTACAAGGCCGGTTGGGTGAGCGAGTGCAACAGCACTCAAAAGAGCGATGGAACAAATCAAACTCATCTTGTATGATCAATTGGAGAGCTTTCTGAGCGACTGGGTCTTCAAGCAGCGGAAATAAATGAGAGACAGCAATCTCGAATTATTAAAAGTTTAGTAAAAGTAAAAAGTGAAGTCAAAGGAGAGACAAGAAGGAAGAATAGCTCCGGTGCGAATTTGGCGATTTGGCGATTTGGCGTTGATGGCGAATGCTTTCTGCGGGCGAAGTCGAGGGCTTTTTAAGCTTCAGATGTTAAGCACAACGGCAAAAAAGACCTTCCTTGGTCTCAAGCATGGTAAACAATGCCCGGGCGTCCATTGGCTAGTTTCCGAGCGAGTTCATTTCCATGGTATCAAAACACCCCAGTATATTCTGCTTTGGAATGTGACAAATTGATAATTACAACCATACTCTTGATTCTTTAGTAGGTTCAATCCAGGGCCTGATCTAGATAACTCAATGTCAGAAATCGTTGGCGAGCGATCGCCCAATCATCGTGGAAATTCCACGTGATTGAATTTCACATATCCCTTGATCGCACCAGATCAGGATGATTGCATGCCACGAAAGCCAATCAAGGTGGTGGACTTTGAGGACTTTCCAGGGGCCATCTTCCACTTCATTCTATTCCTGCTGTCCCTTGCCTCAAAGGCATCTCCGGGGCTTTGCATCCATAAGCTTGGGACTATATACCCACTGAGCAACTGCTCTGGATGGAGGGGTCCTGGCAATTACCCCGAAGCAGGGCAGGATGAAAATGGTCTCTCATAGTTGAATGGTGGAATGTTCCCATGTGGCCTTGAAAGTCACCCATCAAAACAACCGCTTGGGGGGGGGCATGACATTTTTGTCACCCCGCCCTGATGAGCTTTTTGTGAAGGGACCTCCACTATATCACAACAAAGGCTTGATCAACCATACTAATCATACAACGAATACCTATCGTGTGCATCTTAGTGACTGGATCCATGTGCTGGTAGGTCAATCAAGACCTTGACCCTTCAGCTCCAGGGAAATTGCGCTTGAGGGTGGTCCTTAGCTAGGTTGTAGAATTCGGGTGTCACCATCACTTTATTTATTTAGCTCCCCTCGTAGAACCGGATTACCCTCATTCGTTTTTTTTTTTTTTACTGTCGCCCTTTACTGCTATGCGGGAGTTTTACTGCCGTCCGGATCGGCGCAGCGAAGACTACAGCGCGGCAAGTCAGGAAATCATCATCAGTAATACTCGGCCAGTCCCAAACTGGAGAAATCTGGCACATCATCTCCGCATTTGAAAGATGGAGAATACGCCTTGTCCGGCATAAACCCCCCTTTCCACGCCGTACGATAGCTCCACTGCGCTGCTGACTCGGTACGCCAGGTCCAGTAAAACCAACCCATGGCGGTTTCAAAGACGGACATTTGCGCCTCGGCGTAGTAAAGGAGCCATTTTTTGTACGCGTCCGAGTACTCGGAAACATCGGCATTGGCACCATTGCAGCTGCAGGTGCCCTCGCTGGCAGTGGGACAGTACTGCGTCGACGAGCTCGTGTCATATGTTCCTTCCCACCGAGTACCGCGACCCACGTTGTTCAGATATTCCGCGCAGTCAGTGTCAGCTTGCGACCATTCACCGCATACTGTAGGGCCCCACCCTGAGCTAGTGCTATTGATAGCCTCAATCATGGTGTACCAGCTGCTGCAGATGAGCTCAATCTTGGCCGTGTGGTTCAGCACAATCTCGCCGGTGTTGAATGTGGTATATTGATGTGTGTCCAGGTACATGTTGTCCGGATGGTACTTAAACATCTCGTCCCACTTGTCGAGATTGAGGAACCCGTCGTGGAAGACAATGGTCGCACTCATTCCATTTTTGCGAACTAGTTTGGCTGTCTGATTGTTCCAATCGAGAACTTCCTCAGTAGATAGGGAGAGCATAAGCGGCTCATTGACAATACCATACATTGTCACGATGTTTTTGTATCGGTCCTGGGCGAAAAATGTAGACAGTTGATCATGAATCTCCAGAGTTCGGTTGGCATTCAATTCCCCATCGGTTCCATTCAACCAGCCGATCTCTCCTTGGTGGCCACTGTGTTGCCAGCCATTTTGACTGCCAGGAACTCCATGAAGATCAAGTTTAATTCGAAGACCATATTTACGGCAGTACTCAATTGCACGAAGGAGGTATCGCCAGGAAATCTGAGCCACGTAGGGGTCGCTGTCATACACTTTCACTGCCCAGTAAGAGTATTGAATGCGCACATGATCCAGGCCCGCTTGCTGGATCTCAGCAAAGTCCTGCTCTGTATAGAAGGTTGCATAATGTTTTTCGATGGTCGCGGCAGCGCTAGACCCCAGCTGCTCACTCAACGTCCACTCATCGATGATACCAGCATCGGAGGAGTAGCTGTTGAACAAGGATGGGACAATCCAAGGCTCAATTGAAAGCCAACCGCCAATGTTGACTCCGCGGATGGGCTGTGAGCCATAGGGAAACGTTTCGTTCAATGGTGGAACGTTGTCGTTTGGTCGGGCCGAGTCCTCCCATGACGAGTTCAGACCCATGATGTACAAACCGCCCACTGTCTGATTTGTGAAGGTAAGATTAAACCCCTCGGTCTCATACCAGGTAAAGGGATCAAGGACGGTTCCTTGTGCATACGACTAATAAGTGAGTCAGTGTCAACATTCTGCTCCGGTGCTTGCAACGAGCCAAGCAAAAATCAATCTTTAAACGCCAGAAAAAAAAAAAGAAAAAAAAAAGAAAAAACCCACAGGAATGCTATCCCGGCTGATTGTGTCCAGATTTGCAGTCAAATTGCTCGAGGGGCTTGAGGAGGTCGAGGTCGAGGCAGATGAGGCAGTACTTTTCTTTTGCGACTCAGTAACGGCGATTGGAACGACAATTGCAAGCAAAATCAAGATGCCTGCCATTGTTGCAATCCATATACGCTTCTTTCTGGACCACGAATCCCAGAACTTCCAAAATGGCCTTTGCTCGGCACTTCCATAGTTGCCTGCCCAGTCCTTTTCATGTTTCCAAGCTCGGTCCATCGCAGGACCACCACCGCCACGATGACGGACGTTCATATCCGGAGTGTGACCTTCTTCTAAGTAGGACCCGGATACCACTCTAGCTCCAGACCGGTGTCTTGGGCTTGCCTCGAGAAGTTCAGCCGTGAGAGCACCACCTCCGGCACCCAGTAAAGCACGTTTCCGTTGTCGACGCTCTCTGTTATTTTCGTCTGGGAACTTGGAATGTTCTCGCGCTTGTGCTTGTCGTTCCCGTTGGCGGCGCTCCCATTGTTCCGGTAAGTCTTCCATCTCGTGCTCAGAGCTTTCTCGAGCTAGTGCATCTGCAGCCAACAAATGTGAGGCGCTACTTGTCGACTCTATGCTCTTATGTTTTGCCGCAATGGGCCCTGCAGCAGCAGTGTCCCTGCTCCCCTCCATCTCACGCCGATCGCGTCGCCTCTGCCTTCTCGCATCGGCATCGACATCGTGCTTCCCTATCCGGTCTCTGTCTCGATGCTTCCGCCCTCTGACTTCTTTTGTAGGACTCCCTTCCCCTTCCACGAAATGCCTCCGGCGCGGATTTCCATCGCGATCGCGCTCCCGATCTCGTTTCTTCAAAGGCGAGGTAGCCGGTGATTCCTTCGCCTTGCCCCCTTCTTCTTCCCTCCGTCTCTGTCTCCGCTCTCTACGTCTCCGTTCTTCATTTTGTGCATCGCTTGCATCTCGTTCCTGGTCGTATGAATCATAGCCGACATCCTCACCTTGGAATCTGTATTTCCCCTTCCGCGAGTCCACAGGACTGGACATTGCGCCACCATCCTCGTCATATCTCCCCCGCGCATGGTCCCTTTTCCTCCTATGCGCGCGGTCACGCTCCCGATCGCGGGAATGTCCGTGTCGGTCACGACTGCGAGATTGTCCAGACATCCCCGACCCCAAATCGTGCCACCACGGGCGGAATTGACCTTCCTGATGATCAATCACGTATAGATCGCTCGTCCAGTGCGGCAATAGGTTAAGTGCGCTGCGGCGGGCCGATCTCGTTCGGTCGGGCCGTTCAGGAGTGTGGAATGCTCGGCGTGTGGGAACCGGTAGGTATCTTGAACCTGCCCCGCGTAACGTGTTCGGAGAATAGGTGTAGCGGTTCGGATTATTTATTTGTAGGCTCGCGGCTGGATTCGAAATTCCTGAGGATAGAAGAAGCAAAATCTTTCTCAAGTGTTCACAGGAGGGGGGTTTAGGAAATTGTTTTTGTTTTTGTTTTTGTTTTTCCCCTTTTCCCACTTTCCCACTTTCCCACGTATCGGTTCACGGTGTGGGTGGACGCGTAATAGGGGGTTGGTTTCCTATCTTCGTTCGCAAATACTAATGGATTGAAATTCACTCTTGCTATATATCCAATCACAATAGGAACGAACAGTCGGTCGTCTCAAAAGTAGATATGGAGTACGGAGAATGGACTCGGTGGAGTTCACGATCAATGTCCAAGCCTCCAAGGGGCTGCGGAGCAACAAAACGCGTCATTAGTGGAGCGTCTATGGCTACGGACTTGCGATGCGATCGCCAGCGTGAAGAACAATCCCTTCTCTGTCCTTTCAATCCTCCAATACCCCGCGATTTTTAACCTTCTCATCATTCCTTATTACAGCCTTCCCGCTGCCTATGTGACTGTCTAACTTGGGGTGAAACCGACGTCACTGTATATGCGTCCATGGATGTACATATATCCATAGATAAGTCCCTGGCGGGTCTAGGGCAAATACATACGTGTAACTACTAGTTCTATCAGTTAATTGATCGTTGGCTTGAGGACGTGGAACCCCTCCATTTCAATGATGACCTAGCATTAGGTACATAAGTTTGAAATAGCTCAGTTAGCATCCCGAGAGTCCATGGACCCCATCTTCGGCTGTATAGGAACAAGATCCTATGCCAGCCGTTGTGGAATTCTCCGGGAATAACACAACATTGTCAAAGTCGATGTTATAGCATGGGTAGACGTTGGAGCAGGATACAGATGCAACCTTCGTCGAGTCCTTGTCGATAATGCCTGTAAAGTTCACAAATGCAACGTTGGAAATACTCATCTTGCTCGTTCCCACATACGAACCGTTATCCCCACTGTCTTGAGTGATGGCAATTCCAGAGCTAGCACCATCTATATCGAAATTGGAGAAGAGGACATTGCGAATGCTTCCCCACCCTCCTCCACGGGGAAGACCTGCACTCTCATAGGAACTCTGTGGCACTAGGCCACCCATCCACGTCTTGATATATGCACCATTCTCCATGTCGTTATTGCGCCGTATGATTTTCACATTATCGACCAGAATATTGGCCACACCGGAGTCCTCCAGATACTGGCCCAGGCTTCCGATTGCAACGCCATTTCCTCCATGGCAAGTCACATTTCGAATGTCGACATTATAGGATCGTGGCTTGATCGCGATACAGTCATCACCGCCTTGGTATACCAAGTTCGTTAGTTGAACATTGTCCACGTCCATTGTGTCTATTCCATCGAGATTCCAGTTAGCCGACGGAACCTTGAATGTCAGGGCTATTCATGCATTGCTCACCAAAACCATCGGTATTCTGTACCCAATTGACTCCATATGGTGCATTGACTGCAGTGGCATTACACAGGATATTGTTGAATCGCATATTCGTGCCATTCATAATGTTTAAACTCCATAGTGGCGGATCTTTGACGTAGAAATTCTCCACGTTGACATCCGACACATTCCAGAAGACAAATGGCATTGGTCGACCTGGCTGTGTTACAGTCTCCTCTGCATTGTACCATACGTTTCCATTTCCATCAATGCCGCCTGTTGCATAGCCATCAATACTGATCCTTTCCCCCGAAATAACAAATCCGGCGTGATGATTCTGGAATGCAATCGGGTAGGAATTGTTGCGCCAATAGCTCAGGTCATCAGAAAACTTCAAATTGTCAGCTCCCGACTTTCCATTTAAGGGATAAGAATCAACAATTGAACAATTGAACAATTGAGTACGGGGGCTCCATTAGAAGGTGGATACTCACCGTCCATTTCCCTCGCCATTCGATTGTCACATCGTTAAGCACTGGGTTCAGGCGCGTCGCAATCCAGTAAGATTGATCCTCCGGGAAAACAACAGTACCTCCGTTGTTGCACTTTTTGAATGCCTCGAGAATATTTGGCACATCATCCTTTCGATTTCCTCGTGCCTTGACCGTACAGATATTCCCAGAGGTGGGAATGGCATACACAGGAGTAATAAAGGCTAGCCCAATGGTCAGCACCGAAGATATTGTCGACAGATGCATGGTAGTGTTTGATCAAGGATGACGACGATCGAACAAAAGGAACAATCCATCCCACGGCAACTGGGAATATTTATGACATGTAATCCGCAATGCTTTTTGATGAGCTCGGCGATCTTTGTGCCGAACTTTTCCAATTGCGGAGAAAAGGATTTGCGGGGGTTGGAACGATGTCATGGTGTTAATATCCCCCGGTGGGCGTTACCATTCTGTCTGGGGTACACCGGATTCAGGGGACAGCTCGCGGCGTTAATCTTACCGGGCATGGCCAGGGTTCGTGCGCCTTGGACAATATATTCCACCAATGAAGAGAATACGAGTCATGAATGGCCCCAGGAAATTCCTCGTGAGATATCTCCAATCCAAGGATGAATCCATTGCCTTTTTGGTTGTAATTTGTAAACAGTAAATCCCCCTGTGATCAGTCACAGGACTCACAGGTACAACGCCCACATGCATGCGTGAGACTAGCAATATTAAGGATAGTAGCAACTGATTTATTGACTGTGTTATCCTGTTAACGTTATATAGCAGTCATGACTCATGTATACATGAAACAGTTGCATATGACTGTCGCAATTCAAATTAGTCAAGTAACAAGTCAGTTAGTTAACTTAACTAGTCAGTTAAAGACAAGTTGTTTTGCTCAGCGCTTTGTCAGCAGTTATTTTCAGTGAAGATTCGACTTTTGAAAGCGAGTGAACGAGCCGAGGTTGGAAAGATCCATGGATTTCTTTACTTTTCTATCCTTTTGATACAAGAAGATCCGAAGTAAAGAGCAACTTTGGAGAGACTTTGGTTTGGCTGTGGAAGGATCAAAGGATGCTAGACTTCAAAGATTGAATCGATGTACGGTCGGACAAGCCCCGAGATCGACATTCTAGATTCAATGAATGTTAGCTTGTATGCTAGTAATATATAGGAGAAAATCCCAAGGTTGCCATATCGGGATCCAGCACTATCCGGCGGATGAAAGTATAGTCTGGAGCGACCAGTTTACGTGGTCAATCAACATTGAACTTGAGTATGTATAGTACGTTCCAACATTGAAGGTGTACCCCCACATCTCCAGCACATCATCTCGGGGTTGTATCCGATGGCGAAGATCACATCCACGTTTGTATCCCATCTTATTCATCACCAACCGGAGTTAGTTATAAGAATGCCCCGCATTCGAAATTTCGACCACTTTAACGAGTTCATTATTATCGCTCACCCTCTTACCATTCACCTCAGCGTCTGCTTTGACGTTCAGCTGTTTGATCAACAATCACGCACCAAACACAGTGATGTATGTCCACATATCCAAGCTATTCCCATTTTCCCCATAAGATAGCTGATGATCCACCAGGGCTTATACTGCGTCTTATGCCTTCTTTGAGGCCCTTTGGGATGTTCGTGATCTAGCTGAACTAACCAGGTCTCTTGTTTCATTCTTACTGATATAATTTTGGTTTCGTTCTACAGGGCGGCGTGAGTCATGTGTTTGTGAATCTGGGGTCCGACCATCCTTCCATTCTTGAAGCTATGCTGAAGGGACAAAGGGAGAAGAAAGATCAGTTTCCTAAGATTATCACCTGTCCAAATGAGGTGAGTCAGGTATTTTTCAATCATTGTCGCCATGATCTTTTCTTGTTACTCCTCCTCTTTTTCTTGGTCTTTTTGTTGGTGGAATCCCAGCCAGAGCTAAACGTGAACGCATAGATGGTGGCACTTTCGATGGCTGATGGATATGCTCGCCTTACTGGCGAGCCCCAAGCTGTCATCGTCCATGTGGATGTGGGAACCCAAGGATTAGGTGCCGCAGTTCACAATGCGTCCTGCGGCCGAGCACCCGTTCTAATTTTCGCTGGTCTTTCTCCTTACACGATTGAGGGAGAGGTGAGGGGATCCCGAACTGAATATATCCACTGGATTCAGGATGTGCCAGACCAAAAGCAAATCGTCTCACAATACTGCCGCTACACCGGAGAATTCAAATCTGGGAAGAATGTCAAACAGATCGTCAATAGGGCACTTCAATGGGCCACTAGTGACCCAAAGGGCCCTGTCTATCTCGTTGGAGCCCGGGAAGTGATGGAGGAAGAGATCGAGCCATATAAATTGAATCAGAAGGTGTGGGGTCCGGTCTCCCCCGCTGCTCTCCCGGCAGTCGGTATTGAACTCATAACTTCTGAGCTTGCAACTGCCAAAAGTCCATTGGTGATAGTTGGATACACTGGCCGGAAAGCCCAAGCTGTGGATGAATTAGTCACACTGGCCAATAGCTTCAAGGGAATTCGAGTGCTAGACACGGGAGGAAGCGACATGTGCTTCCCTGCTTCCCACGCGGCTTGGTTGGGATTGCGGTATCCAGGACATGAAGCTGTGCAGACAGCTGATCTCATTCTCGTCATTGATTGTGATGTCCCATGGGTGCCAACTCAGTTCAAACCCTCCATCTCGGCAAAGATAATTCATATTGATGTCGACCCTCTTAAACAGCAAATCCCAGTTTTTTACATCAATTCCATGGCCACATTCCGTGCGGACTCGAAGACTGCGCTGAAGCAGCTAAACGACTATATTACGCAAAATGGCCCCCTGCAAGAATTCGTTGGCTCCAATGTCAATATAGCCATGGGAAAACGACGCGATGAACAATACTCGAAGCGAAGGCAAGAGATCACCGACCTAGCTGCCTTGCCGGAAGGTGGCGACGATGCCCCACTCAACATTTCTTACCTCATGGCGCAAGTTCGTGAGGGCTGCCCTTGTGACACCATTTGGGCCATTGAGTCAGTTACGCTCACTCACCCTGTATCGGATCAGATCGCTGCAACACTTCCAAACTCTTGGATCAACTGTGGCGGGGGTGGGCTGGGATGGTCTGGTGGTGGAGCGCTTGGAATAAAGCTGGCTTCTGACGTGAAGAATGGAGGCCCTGGTAAGGGTAAATTTGTGGTACAGGTTGTAGGTGATGGTACATTCTTATTCTCGATACCCGGCTCGGTTTACTGGATATCACGTCGCTACAAAATTCCCGTTTTGACAATCGTGTTGAACAACAAGGGATGGAATGCGCCCCGACGCAGCATGTTGCTCGTTCACCCAAATGGTGAAGGATCTCGAGCTACAAATGAGGACTTGAACATCTCGTTTGCACCCACACCTGACTATGCTGGAATTGCCAAGGCTGCAGCTGGTGGAAATTTATGGGCTGGCCGGGCATCGAACGTAGCTGAATTGGCTCGAAGACTACCCGTGGCAATCCAAAGCGTCATCGATGGAACAAGTGCGGTGTTGGAAGCACAGCTGGATGGGACTGTGGGGAAATATGTTGAAGTCTGAACATGTGAACAAGGGATGCGTTCAAATGTTTCAAATGTTACGTACATTAGTGGAATGAAGAGTAGACCTGGAGGTACATAGTACAACATACTATGCTAGGTGCTCATAGGAGCTGGAACATTGAAATTGTCTGTGGTCAACATTTAACCTTGGAACACCTACCTGCGTACACAAACATCCCTAAATCAATCCATCTTAAACTTCCTCCAATGGACATTCCGTATGGGGCCAGTTCGGGAAAGAAAATAGCAAGGAAAGAGATTCTACAGTAAATAGTAAGAGACGGTGGATTTAAATTGCCATTTCTAAGACAGAAATTATAAGTATTGTCACATGGCAAGCGAACATACAATGATATTGTACGAAGCTCCTAAACTCGAGCAAAACACAGACAAGACAGAAAAGAAGAATAAGATAAGTTATGATTCTAACCTTTTATCCTGACTCACATCATTGGCCTTGCGAAGGTCCATCCATTCCCTCATGGGCTCCCACTTTCGGCATGTATGGACCTGCCCAACCCCTAGTCCTACTTCGTCATCATTATAATGATACAAAGGCACCGGTGATAGATCCCCATGACACTGAATCGCTTGTCGCAGTTGATCCATGCAGTGGTCACGGTGAATACGGTCCCAATTATCTGGAAAATTCGGAGAGTTTCTGATTGCTTCATCCAATCCTTTATGGTGCTGATCATGTGTCGAATAATAGTCTTTGTCAAGTTCCATTCGAATTGCATTGAGACAATGTAAAGAGTGAAACATATCAGGCCTGCCATGTAATAATCATCGATATTAAAAAGCGAGTCAATAATGGAGTAATGGGAAAGAATGGAGAGCTCACTCAAAGTGGTAGTGATGCGAAAAAGGAGATTTGTTGAGATCTGGTGTGTATGGTCCCGCTTCCTCGTCTGTCATCCTCACGAACTCGCCTTGATTCCACAATTGTCAATAAAATGGCCTTTCTTTGCTTAGAAAACAATGGAATATCAAAAATGGAAAAGACCTACCTCGTAGAATATCAGCCCAAGCGTTATCGATATCAGGAGAAGGAAGTCCAAAATATTGTGGCTGAGATGAGTCAATATCTCGGTAGACCTTGCCGTTCTCCTTGCTGAAGGCAAGCTTCCCAGAAAACACGCGCTCCTCATACATAACATAGGGGTGTGCATCACGAAGGTCCGTTGGAAAGGCCGCTGAGCCGTACGCGTATGTTTGTTGACATATCAAATAACCGGTGATAAGGGACAAGCAGAGCGTGGAAGCTATCCAGGGTGCTATAAGACAAACATGAGACTTGCGGCAAGTATGGGACGCAGTAACTTTCAGTGAATGGTAAAGCTCTGCGTCTGTGTCGTCGCCGTGGATAGGTTCATATATCCGTTTCATGGATGAACCGGTTACTCCCATATTATAGACCTTTCCCTTGGTTTTCAGGGCTTCTTCGTTCAAATCCGCCTGGATATCTGGAGACTGGAGCAGCATTTAATGGAAAGGTTAGGGAATTAAATAGGAGCATTGAAGGATAAAAATGCCATTATAATTGCCTGGTATGATAGCGAGTATGATAGCGCAGGTGAGAACACGGGAAGATCACAAGGGATTGATTCCCACACTAATTTGATTACCTACATAGACCTGCTTTCAATGTTTATGACGTAGCCTTCTTATAGTACATGCCAGGGGTCAACTGCTGTGCACCTGCTATTTGTTATGTACAAGGGTGAGGAATGGACGTAATAGATGTCAAGTGGTTGCCAGCCAAATGATAGTATATAGTAGGTATACCGCATGGTGGACTTTCCTAATGATATGTATTTCCAAACACTTAAAGACAGACCTGAGAATTGCAGGTTGTTAAATTCCGGATGATTCTTACTACTATGTAGGGTATCATTTATGATTGAATTATGTAAGCCATGGAAGAAAATCCATGCGAAATGCTTGTGTCAGATCCACAAGGATCTGGGAGAAACGAATGGTAATGAGGAGGAGAGAAAGAGAGGAGAAAAATCAATGGTAATGGTATTCTTCTACTGAGCGGGATGGAGAGGGGAAAGAAGGAAGGAAGGAATGAGAGAGAAGCTCTCACTCCCCTAGACTAACTACAACCCTAACCCTCTCACACACAAAACTAACACACACAAAACCAACCCACGCGCTGGAGTATCTAGGAGCAGACCATGTGACATCACATGGTTCACAATCTCCTAACAGCTTGGAATCACTGGTGACTGGCCAGTGGCCAGATGATAAATTCTACCACTAGTATGTATGTACAGATCATCATAAATTATGATCGATCTAGTAAGAGCACTGCCTGTGGTCTGCTAAGGGGGGTGGGAGTTCATCTTCTTGCTCAAACAATATCGAAATCAAGAATGCGGCATGCCTACCTACTACCTTGTGAGATGCCGGGATAATTTTCGAGGTGACTTGCTTATCTGCCTACCTAGTTAGGTGACTGAAGCATTCTTACCTAATTAGCAACTCAGTAACTAGCTACTTAGTAGGCTAGGTATCTGTATATAAATGGCAACAAAGCCCCGTGGATCTCTCAAACCCGAAAAAAAATCTGTCGCAAGTAGCTCAAAGTTATCATCTGCCAAGTTACTAGGTTAGGGCTAACTGCCGCAACAAACAAACAAATTTAACCAGTAAGTCTGCGTTTCTGTTCAAACCTGACAAGTCATGGGATGACTCGGACGAGCTTACCATTCTATGTTTACTAGTTCACTTCTCTCTTAAACAAACATGAAGCTCTTCATGATCACCTTGGTGCTATGTAGTAGCCTTGCTATTGCTGTACCTACAGAGAAGATCTCTGATATGATTAGCGGGGGATATGGTGAAATGGAAAATAGCCAGCATAACTCCGTCGGCGAAGCCGACCTGGACAAGCGAGGCTCCATGCGCGAAGCCGACCTGAATAAACGCGGCACTGCACTATTCTCCAGCTCTGTCCGCGAAGCCGACTTGGACAAGCGAGGCTCCATGCGCGAAGCCGACTTGGATAAACGTGGCACTGCACTATTCTCCAGCTCTGTCCGCGAAGCCGACATCAAATCCTGATCAAGCCGTCTCAACCACTTGCTCATCCTTCATGGAGACAACGGATATCATTTCGGTTGCCGCTATTTCCTGTCATTTGTTTTGAGTTTACTGTTTCAGTGTTTGTTCGCGCAGTGTTGTATCATCAAAACTTAGAGTCATGAAGGAAAACTTATAAAAAGCACTTGTTTTCAACGAGGGGAGATACTTGGATGTTTTGAATAAACCTTCCAAATGTCAGATGCACACCGCACTATGCCCATGTCCGTAAACCAACACTTATTGAAAAATTTGCTTTTTGCGATCCGGCTTGTTTATGTAAGGGTCTTGAAGGTTGGTGGCTTTTGACAGATCCAGACACCAACCAACTTGGATCAAGATTCAAGAGTAAATTGATAGATGGATCTTTCGCCTTGAACATTGATTGAACGTCGTGACTGCTAGTTGTCCTTGGGAAACAGGGCGTTGACTTCGTCGAGACCGGAGAGATAAATTGATCGGACCATTTTTGGACGAAGGAGACTAGGAATCAGATGGCATCTTCACATACGTAACCCGATCCTGCCAACATAATATCAACAGAAAGGCCAGACATGATGAGCTAGATTCATTTCTCGAGTTACTTTTTTCCATCTCTGGGGTTTTTATCTTAGATTCTTAGTATGATTGTCATTCCAAGCTTTGCAGTTTAATGTTCTTCAAAGTCTTTCATTGTATTTTATTAAATTACTTGGTCTTTTTACTATTAATGTTATGTCTATATGGACTCATGGAGTCCCTACGGGCCTACTTTCTCATTTATTTCTTTTTTTGCTCTCGCTCTCTTTCCTAGTCTGATTATCTTCCAAAGACCTCGAACCAAATCCAATCTCTGCCAGGGTCATCCTTTACTGCCATGGCGCCTGACGCCGCTGTTTAGCGATTGCTTCTTGTGTGCCAGGCCGAGCCTGCTGATCTATGCTATAAAAGAGCACTCGGATTGCCGCTTCTCCTTCTCTCTCTCAAGACTGCTAGCGGCTACATGTTATGTCGCTGCTCAGGGAAACCGGAGAGAGCAAAGTAACTGTATTGGCTACGGATTATCTCTCTCGGGGGGATGGAGAGAAGAAGAAGGGAAAAGGGAGGAAGTAAGGACTGGATATCTAGAGACAAGCTCAATTTAATCAATCAAGCCTTCGTTCGCTGCATGTGGCCTTCGTGCACTTTGTAGCCCTCTGTCAATCTCTCTTTATATTCTCGTCATCAAGGTGACAAGGTGGTAAAATAAACAATACAAGATTCAAAGATGTGAGATAATCTAATATGAGCCCCTGGCAGAATACACAAGATAAGTCTTCAAAGTTCAAACTACATAGTACCTAATAATTCCATGATAACTGCCGTTCTTGGTGCTTTCGCGAGCACTGAGACCGAGCACAGTCTACATCCGACTTTTTCAAGTTCTTTGGCCTCAGAAGTCCATATGATATGATTCAGTCACAGATACCAACTTATTGGCAGGGTAACAGGTTTCGAAAAGGTCAAATGAGCTCGGAAATCTGCTATCTGAAATATTCTTTCATGCGAGAAACCTGTGCAGACTCTATCTACAGTAGTTGGGTATAGTTTGAACTATGTCACACGTCGACACTGCAGGTGTCACGAGTTGACAGTCTTTGTCCGCTGCTTGACAATAAGGTTTTTCCATTACCAGATGGAGTTTAGTTTCTAGTTCCTGTCGTCAACCGTCGTCAACCTTAAAGTACTGAAGGTTGACTTTTCTTTCCTGTCTTCTTTTCTTTCTTTCTCTTTTTCTCTCCTGTCTGTGTTTTTCTTGAATTTCTAGGACCTTACTACAATATCATTGTATCTTCGCTTGCCGTGTCACAAACTATCTAGACTCAACTGTTTAGGGTGTTTAGGGTGTTTAGGGTGTTTAGGGTGTTTAGGGTGTTTAGGGTGTTTAGGGTGTTTAGGGTGTA